GTCCTGCTGGTGACGAAGCTCTTTTACTTCGCATTCTTCTATTATTTTTTGCGATGAAAAATAAGCCTTAGTTAAATTGTTTAATTTTAGTGAAAGGTTCTAACCCTCCGCGTGGGTTTATTCGTGTATCAAAATCATGGAAACAATAATTCTGCAAGGACCTTCTAGTTGATTTATGAATCCATTCAATAATAATTAATTATCATCATAGTTCATTTTTCTTTCCGTTTGAACCCAATATTAGGTTTTCGCGAGTTTGATGCATGATCTTATCTGATTTTACTAGTCGATCCAATTCTGGTAATAATTGGATAGTTAATATTTTAGCGGAAGTTTAGTATCACAGTTTGTGAGTGTGTTTCAGCTATTACCATTATGTCATCAACTGTTGGCTTTTCGACTTTATAAATTCCTCTGCAATTCACGTTTGGCCTTAGTAATTATTCTTACTTCAATGACAGTTTTCACAAAATTTCAACGAGAGTCACTATGTCCGAGCGGTTAAGGAGTTAGACTTGAACTCGTTCAGGCATCTAATGGGCTATGCCCGCGCAGGTTCAAGTCCTGCTGGTGACGAAGCTCTTTTACTTCGCATTCTTCTATTATTTTTTGCGATGAAAAATAAGCCTTAGTTAAATTGTTTAATTTTAGTGAAAGGTTCTAACCCTCCGCGTGGGTTTATTCGTGTATCAAAATCATGGAAACAATAATTCTGCAAGGACCTTCTAGTTGATTTATGAATCCATTCAATAATAATTAATTATCATCATAGTTCATTTTTCTTTCCGTTTGAACCCAATATTAGGTTTTCGCGAGTTTGATTAAGGTTTCGGCCCTGCAAATAAGTGAACAACAAAATTCAAAACTCTGCTGTATGTATCGAAATTACGTAGACTGGTTTAACAAGCAATTAAGACTATTAATAAACTTATGCCTAAACGTTGCAATTCATTGGTGATTTGTTCATTTAGTTAGTTTGTCTTTTACCGTGGTTTTCGCTAACACATATTAATAAAGCTAAGCGAACCTCAAGCAACAATTACTTCAATTTATGATTACGTTATTAATTAGATTTGACGAGTTAACGAAACCCGTGCAAACGTAAAGGGAACAAGACATAATGAATTTGTTGACAACAACTCTCTACTCAAAGTTATAAAAAATTTGTTTAGTAAGATTTTCTTTAATTGATTTTACTGAGAATATTATAGTAGCTCTCAATAATTAGTACTCATTTTTTTTATTTAGACTTTTCTATAGTAACATGGCTTATTGTTTACTAAATTTAGTAGTGAATAGTACCTGATATAGTCGCTACTTTGTTACTGCAAGCAATTCCACAAGAAAGAAGTAAATAATAACGCCTTTGCCAAATAATTCTGTTATTATAATACCATACTGGGTCAGTAACTCTAAACTTTCCCGTCGATCTATTGTCTTCAAGCAAATTCTTAGAATATTATTAATTCATTTTTATTTGGAATGAATAATGAAACAAACTTAAACAGTTTATTCTTAAGCACGTAGCGTTTTTGTCCTTGTGCAACTGTTCTTTTTATTAGAAAATATTCATATTATTAGAATGTGATCTGATAAACTTGTACACCTTGGGCTTTCAACGCAATGCTTGAGGCCCTGAATTATCAGTACATTGCTTGCTATTGTTTGATAACACTGGCGTGTCTGTTTTAAGAAAGACTAAAATGCTTTACTTGTAGTCATTTAGTTGGAAACCTAATTTAGCGAGACACGACAATTCCCTAAGCGACGAAAGAAAAAGAAAAGAAACTGAACGCAGCAACAAAAACGAGAATAATGCAGCGAGCGAGGTTCGAACTCGCGCGTTTATCAACAGCAGAGTTTCCATCGACCGTTCAGTCAACTTAAATCTGCCCCCTTAGACCACTCGGGCATCGCTGCTTCAGATGCTCAGTGTGGTTCAGGGGACGTCTTCTTCAACAATTGAATGCTGTGTGTCAGTAAGCCTCTGTCTTCGATATTGAGAGCTGTAATACCAACCAAAGTGACATCCCCCAAAATGTGTGAAGACATTTAAGTAAGATTCAAGCCTCACTACCTACTAGTATCGACAAATCGTGTAAATTCAGATTTCGCGTGGTGCATACAGTTAGTTATTCTTGTAATTCTAAGTAATTACGGTCATTGACGATAAGGATGAGATTATACAAACACATTTGTGTCGCGGCATATTAATTACATAACGTTCACTCGAAGCTGAAAAGTAGCAAATAACAAAGTACTGGTCGGACAGTCATCATTGATTTTTTTATAATAATGTTATTTGATAGTAATTGAGTAGGTATACTTACTAGGTTTCTTTTCAGCTACGAATGTACTAGTTCTAATGTCATTGAGCCCTTACACTCTGGGATTTGTGTACTGCCTTTGCAAGTTTAAACTACAGGCAAGTTTCTGAACCTTCACACTTAACTTCAAGTAGAGTGTGTATTTTACGTGAAGCTATATTATTAGTATTTAGTCTAGTTTTAGAAGATTGATTTCAACAACCAGCCTCGAGTAATTGACATGCAATGATCATTGCACATTGGCTTTACTAGATTATGTTATGCAAAACTTGGAAGAAAAAGAGACGTCATGAGATACTATAAGAAGCAAGGCAAGAATTAACATATGCAAATGACGTATAAATTTGATTGTAAAGGCGAAAATGTAACATCGCAACCATTTCAGAACTCATTTCGTACATTCATAAAAAAAGACGAGAAGAACGAGAAGAAAGCACCATATCATTCAGCTAAAGGAGGAATATACGAGTCATTTGTTAGAATATTCAATTAGTCATGAGCCGACTGTTATTGACTTGTGTTTCATTACACTAGTATTTCGTTTTGGTACATTGATCGTTTATAATTATGCTCTATATCGAGACGGAAGAAAAGAAGAAAGTTTTCCCCAATAATCCGAATTAATTATTTCTCGCTTGGATCATAAAGATTGAAGCAAACAAAAAGGCAAAGAGCCGAAATTGCCAGCAGTAATGATGTTCAGCTATTGATATTATTAGATAAACTTTGAAACTGTTAGATTCTAAAGAACATTCGTTTAAACTTTACACACACTACTCCTTCTCCTGTGGAAACTTGGGTTCCAGCAAACGATTCTGCAACAAAGTCGGTAAATGGGAGGTAATGGAACAATAGCTGATGTCTTGGGCATCAACACAGAACCGCTTTCCACTATGGAAATTTAGGTGAGAGTGACGACTAATTTCCTCAAACAGATAATTGAGAAATAGAATAACTTCTTAGCACCGCGACCAAGCAAAGTTCAAGAAAGGCTAGTAGCAACTAAAGACCGTCCTCACTGTGCAGCTGCACAGTTAGACACTCTCAAAGGGAGTAGTCTACTGACACACAGCATTCAATTGTTGAAGAAGACGTCCCCTGAACCACACTGAGCATCTGAAGCAGCGATGCCCGAGTGGTCTAAGGGGGCAGATTTAAGTTGACTGAACGGTCGATGGAAACTCTGCTGTTGATAAACGCGCGAGTTCGAACCTCGCTCGCTGCATTATTCTCGTTTTTGTTGCTGCGTTCGGTTTCTTTTCTTTTTTCTTTCGTCGCTTAGGGAATTGTCGTGTCTCGCTAAATTAGGTTTCCAACTAAATTACTTCGAGTAAAGCATTTTAGTCTTTCTTAAACAGACACGCCAGTATTATCAAACAATATCAAGCAGTAATGACAAGTTCCGTGGTATTGACTGCCTATTGTAGCAATTGCGCTATGAACTATCTTATATTACAAGTTCTCTAAATTTTAACGTTGTGATATCTCAACTCGTTGAGAAAAAAGAAATGAATGCAAGGAACATGTTTAGGCCGCTAGTTTAGTCCAAAACCTAGGACATCCGAGGTCCCATTTTTCATGTTTAATCAAAACAGAAATATCGTACATTGGGTTCGCTAGATACAAACCTTAAAATACTTTCTACAGAAATCTAAAAAAATGGTCAAACTGCTGAACAAAATTTTGGCGAACGATCAGTACCAACTTGAAATGGTATTTGTGATTTTTTTTAGGCTTTAAAATTAGTATTGGTGACTGTAATAACTATAAACACTTTATCTCTATTTCTCGCTTAATCGCATGGCCGAAACCTTAAGTCACAAAAAACCAAATCTTAAAAAATCCATAAAATGAAAAGTAAAATATTAATTGAACTCTGGTTAGCTTCATGAGTAAATGCAACAGTTACTTTAATACAGTATTATTTTCTGCTGCTACAATTCACCAACTTTCCCGATGGTGTCTCAAGCGAGGGTTCAGATCATTTCACTAAAACTAGACAAAATAAACGCTGTTGTGTTTCGCTTTTAAAAAAGACGAAAAAGCTGCGCAACAAAAGAGCTTCGTCACCAGCAGGACTTGAACCTGCGCGGGCATAGCCCATTAGATACCTGAACGAATTCAAGTCTAACTCCTTAACCGCTCGAACATAGTGACTCTTGTTGAAATTTTGTGGGATTTGAGATTAATAACTCAATGTCTTCTCACATTGTGAGTTAGTTGATTGCTCAATTGATAGTTTTAGTTACACGGATAAAGAACAATTCCGTTGATACAGTCGAGTTTTTTAAACAAAACTTTTTTCCTTCCAACCACATAGACAATCATCCGCGAATATCTTTTGAAGAGTCTCATCAAATATACAGCTTTAAGTAGAAACACCTTTATTTGATTTTATAAATTGCAAATGATAACTATAATATACATTACATATATTAGAGCCAGTTTTCTTGTATAGTTAATACTGAACACTATTCTTGTTGCAAGTAGAAGTATTTAAATTGAACTTTAAAGCATACGATAATAATGATACCGTTTCTTCTGTACTGAGCTGTTCGCACCCCTTAAAGTTTAAATCACTTAAAACGAAATAAAGTACGTATAAAAACTGAGCAGTAATGCAGAGAAACAATTCGAAAGAAGTTGGTCTTTTTATCAAACAAAATTACATCGTTTCGTTAAGTGAAATATTACAAATACCAATGGCAATATAGAACATTAATTAACAGCTCTTTTGATTAGATAGAGGATGTACAAAATGAGCTATTCAATCAATGACAATACACAATAGATGTACAACAACAATTCTCCTAATGATTTCCTCCTGTCTATTTCAACAAAACAAATTTCATAGATAAAAACCTGACCAATAATGAGAAATTTAAACAATTAGGCGACAACAACAACCGGTGCTTCCACTTGTTCAGTGTCTTCCGTCTCAACAAACATATCTTCGTCGAAAATGACTCTGACAATCAAACTGCAGCTAGGGCAACGAGCAACATCTTCACCGTTCTTCAAATCTTCCTACGATTGTTAGTAATAAAAGAAAACAAAAATTCTATCAAGTAAATTCTTACGAGGGAAATCTCAAAACGGTCGCCACAAGGGCAGGGAAATGTGTAAATGTTGTTCACAGAATCTATTAAACTGTCAGTATTTTCCGTCAAATATTGACAATAACGTATATATACCGAACGTAAAATCTTCAAGCTCAATTTCATCGTAGAACGACATTGTTTCTGTTGAGCGTTTTTTGTTCTCGCCAACTTTTTCTTCTCAACTCGTTTCGCATATATATTACCACTCGGCACCATCTTGATCCACCAGATTACAAAGTATCGCCACGTATGCGCTACAGTAATTTGATGAATTAATACTCATTTGCCTATTTTTTTATGAAGATGAAACATATGTTTAGGTTGATGTCGTCGCCTTACGAAATTTTTTGTTTTATCTAACAATCTTAATTTTCAATTTTGTTTATTCAATCTTGACAAAATCATCTTTATCATTCTTTTAACAAACTTCTGAATCACATTTAACTCACGAGACTCTGTTTTAAATATTCCAATGAAATGAGTTCTTCGTCTGACGATTCCGATGATCTGCCTATAATTACTCTTGTGCAGAAACATGTAGAGCAGTCTCCTCCTAATGCACTTTCCGCTAAAAAGTCAGAGACGAAAAAGAAGCGACCAAGTTCCGAGTTAAAAAGGAGCACTCGCAAAAAACGAACGAGCGATGTTGAAAGAAATCCTTCTCGTCCTCCCTCAATTGGTCACACAAAATATACACCCTTAGAGGAGCAGTACATCTGTCTAAAAAGACGTTATCCCGATACGATTCTTGCTGTAGAGGTGGGATACAAATACAGATTCTTTGGAGAAGATGCGCGAACGGTCTCTTCTATTCTTCATATCGGTTGTTATTTAAGTCATAACTTCATGAACGCTTCTATTCCGAATTTTCGTGCGGACTTCCATTTACAACGGTTAATACATGCTGGACTAAAGGTTGGCGTTGTCAGACAAACAGAAACAGCTGCTTTAAAATCCCAAAGTACGACGAAAAGTAAAATCTTTGAACGTGATGTGACGGAAGTATATACTAGGGGAACATATCTGGCTCCAGTACCATCAGTACGAGAAGCGCCAACTCAGGGCGACTTTACTCAAGACTCGTGTATTCTTTGCGTGACGGAACAGCCTCGTGGCGGTACAGGTGTTAACGAGAAAGTTCTTTTTGGAATTGTTGCTGTAAATCCCGTAGACGGAAATGTCGTGTACGACGAATTTGAAGACAGCTTTTTACGAGGTGAACTACAAACTCGATTTTCTCATCTTCATCCTTGTGAACTGATATACACTCCTGATTTCTCACAAACTTCTTCCACTTGCATTGAGTCTTACAAAAAAACAGAAGAGAAAGACGGATCGCTCATATGGACACAGGAGTTAAAAGGGATTACGCCGGATGCGGCTTTTGTAAATATAAAGGACTTTTATTGCGCAAAGTTTGGACACGTCAAGCACTCGTTACTTGATCTTCACCTAACAAAAATTATAAATCTTCCTAAACTTGTTCTTGTATGCTTGAGCTTGATGATTGATTATATGACCGAGTTCTCAATGGAAAACATTTTCACAATGACACAGAATTTTCAGGATTTCAGGTCTAGCAACACGATGCTGCTCAGCAATAATACGTTAAAAAACCTGGAAGTATTCCGTAACCTTACTGACTATTCTATCGTTGGCAGTTTGTACTGGGCTGTTGATCATACCTATACTCGATTTGGTCAGCGTATGCTGCGTGCATGGATACAAAGACCTCTCCTAAACAAAGAAGAAATTATTAAGCGACAGGAGGCTGTGGGTGAACTTGCTTTTTCCCAAAGTGCTTCTGTCGAACGTTTGCGTCACTTACTATGGCGCTTACCTGATTTGGAAAAAGGTCTTTCAAAAATATACTATAAACGAGCATCTCCGGCGGAATTACTTATAATTTTACGCGGATTTTACAGTTTATCAAGCGCGTTTTATGGTGCTACGAAGACCCCGTTTCATTCAACCTACCTGAACATGCTAATTGGTGTATTTCCACAGGCTTATGATTTTGTTGATGAGCTATTAAGCTCTATTCACCCAGATGAGGCACAAAAGAATAACAAAATAGGGCTATGGACCGATGATAAGGAGTTGTTGAGTAGTGATTCTAGTCTCAGCCAGGAAAATACTCTAAAAAGTCAAATACGTGAACACAAAATGGTAAGAGCCTATCACTTATTAACTATAAATACTGATATTTTAGGCAATAATTATGGCACAAGCGGATCTCCAGGTTCATTTGGAAGAGTTGCAAAAACTGTTTAACTATCCTGAGCTTGAGTACAAGACGTGGGGCAATATTGAGTATTGCGTTGAGTTGTCTCGTGGATGCAAAACTGTACCTACAGATTGGATTAAATTGAACAGTACTGCACGCCTGGCACGGTATCATTCACCGAAAATCTCTAGAACAGTGTTGGAAATTAATCAACATAGGGAAAGTCTACAGGCTTTAAGTAATGAACGGTATATGGAATTCCTGGATTGTATCCTTCGTGATTACGAAAAACTACGGAATATTGTCTCGGCTGCTGCTTCTTTAGACTGTCTTATGTCTTTGGCGAAAGTCGCTGCCCAACCCGGCTATGTAAAACCAGAATTTACTGATGACAAATTTGACTTACTGGGTTGTCGTCATCCAATGGTTGAGCTGTTGCTTGAGAGGCCTTATGTTTCCAACGACATATGCCTTCAAAGAGATGGCCTTCGTGCTTTACTTATTACTGGGCCAAATATGGGCGGGAAAAGCTCCATCATTCGACAGGTCGCACTTATTAGTATTCTTGCACAACTCGGCTCTTTTGTGCCTGCAAAGTCCGCGAGATTACCCATGTTGGACAAAATACTAACGCGAATGAGTTTTCATGATGATATGTTAAACAAGAAATCGACGTTTATGATTGAAATGAATGAGACACAGCGTGTTCTCAGGGACGCTACCGATCGGTCACTACTAGTTTTTGATGAACTTGGTCGAGGTACGAGCACCTTAGATGGGGAAGCAATCTCATATGCAGTCATGAATTATCTGTTATCGTCTACAAAGGCATTTATTTTGTTTGTTACTCACTATCCTGGGTTGAGAGTTTTGGAAGATTTGTATCCATCTAACATAATGTGCTGCTACATGGGATACTCGAAAAATCAAACAATCGAGTCACATACCAAATTTTCAGCATCTAATTTAATTTACTTTTTGTATAAGCTCGTTCCGGGGACAGCTCCAAAAAGTTATGGTCTTAATGTCGCACATATGGCTAAAATTCCTATAGGTGTCCTTCTTCGGGCCGAAAAAGTTTCAGCTAATTTGGAAAAAAAACATAAAGAGAAAGAGCTTTCTCAGTTCGCCAAATGGATTCGGCATATCATAAGCGACGAAGAGGGTTTAACTCCTAAGATGATGCAGGCATTGCTTAGAGAGTGTCAAATACTCTATGATCCGGACTAGTGGACTATTTGACTTATATACAATGTATTATTATGACTTCGATATCTATACGAGGGTGATTGAAAAAATTGAAATAGAAGTAATATTGCCGCTTAGAGGGCGTTTATATACACATTTGTTGCTAAACAACGTATATAACAAATAACCATTTCTGCACTTAGCATCAAGAATGTATTAAACATAATGAGTATTACTCATTCTAGCTAAATAGGAACAATAACAACAAAGGGAAAACAGCGGTATCTGAATAAAAAGCATCGAATCCGTAATAATGTACCAGTACTGTTTGAGTGTGCTGGCTGGTTAGGAGTAACTTTGTGCTTGACGAAACTTTTCTTCTTCCAACCACCACCGGGAGGGTAATCAGAACTTCAGCAAAGATGGCTTTGGCGGATGTACTTGGAAAGGATGTGAAGGTATTATTCTCAAACAGTAATTAGTGCTTAATAGGCGTTCGTTTGTGTGTGTTTTTCAATTCATTCAACCTCAGTATGAGTGGATTTTCTTTTTTTTTTTTTTCGTACTCAGAAGAGCCCGTCTTGATGAGAACAATCTACGATCATACATTGAACGCTTATTTCAACGAAAACCTGTGATGTAGTTTTATTCTCTTTACTAATTTTGGCAGGCGGAAGATCACTTTGCTTCTCTTTTGAAGTTGGAGGAGAAATTGGCAGCTGAGAGAAAAGCCAAAGCTTCCCCCGAGAAGCCCAACTTGCTTGAAGATGAGGATGAGCCTTCTGCAGAATCTGTTTGGGTTCAGTTCTCGACTATGAAGTTCGTAGCTTCTAGCCGTAAACTCAAGCCTTATGTTATTCCAGTGAAACATGCTATTTTCCCTGCTGGTGCTGAGGTTTGCTTGCTCGTGAAGGATCCTCAACGCAAGTTTAAGGATCTTGTCACTGAGGCTGGCCTTTCCAAAGTTGTAACCAGAGTTATTGGAATTAGCAAGCTTAAAGCAAAGTGGAAATCTTTTGAACAGAAGCGTCAACTTCGTGATCAATATGACTTGTTCTTGGCTGATGAGCGTATTTATGCCATGCTTCCTCACACATTAGGAACCACTTTCTACAAGAAGAAGAAGCTTCCCATTCCCGTGGATGTTCATCAGGCGACCGCTGAACAACTGAAGGAGACTGTTGCAGGAGTTTATAATAGTACCCTTTTTCAAGCTGCTCCATGCAATAGCTTTATGGTGAAGTGTGGTCACACGACCAATACCCCTGCCGAGCTGGCTGAAAACTTGAGTTCTATCATCGAGTACTTGTCCGCCAAAATCATGTGCAAAAATGAAAATGTTTTGCTCAGCATTCACATCAAGACAAGTCACAGTCTTGCTTTGCCCTTGTGGCAAGCCGAGAACCTCGCTGAACTTCTTGCTAAGAAGCAGAACGAAAACAAGATCCCCGCAACGAAGCGCAAGAACTCTGATGCCGAAGAACAAGCCGAATCAAAGCCTGCTGCTACGAAGAAGCAAAAGCAACAGAAGACCAAAGAGGCTTCTGCTCCTGCAAAGAAGGCTGAAGAGAAAACGGTTACTAAACCGGCTTCTCCTAAAAAGGAAAAGACATCTGCTGCGCCCAAGCCAAAGGCTTCGAAACCCACAAAGTCAGCTAAGAAGTCGACCACGACTTCGACAAAAGCAGCAGCTACTACCAAATCCCCTGCAGCTGCCGCAAAGAAGCCTTCGGGAAAGAAGGTAACCGTCGCTGTTCCCAGCCGCAAGAGAAAAAACTGAAAATGAAGGGAAATGGAAAGGTAATTGGAGTATGTTTATCGTTACATTGGAGTCATCTAGAGTTCCTTAATTCGTTATTTTTTGCAACTCACTGTACATTGTATAGATGAGAAAAATATTCAATTTTGTCGTGTATCTTGCTACTATCAGTCTTTCTGCTCGTTTGTATAAATTATCTGTTGTCTGGTTATTGGTTTTATAGTGCGCATTGACTTAAACCTTTACTTCTTATCGTTATAAACTAACAATTAACCGTGTACTAACGTATTTAACAGCACAGTGCTGCCCCTAGTCCAGGTTGTTTTGCACTTTCTTTTCCGGTGCCTCCCTTCCCGTCAAGCCAAACATGGTACCCTTCAACAAGTTTCCAGTCAATAGGGTTCTTATGGCTACTGAAATAGTATCGGAGCCATGTGTCCTCTCGCTTCATGATTAACCGAATTGCATGGCAGTCTGGGAATTTGGCATTATCCATTTTACCAGCAAATACTTGCCAAATACCGGGCGCCTGTTTGCAGGTAGAGAACCATGGTGAGCCTAGGTAATTCAAAACAAAAGGAGTATATGATGAAACGGGATTCTCTTTCTGTACATTAATTGCAAAGTGGTTTGACCATTCGTCGTTATCAAATACAAAAGGTGCATATTTATCTGCAATGTATGCCTTTTCTCCGCTATTATGCGTTAGCTGAATACTCTAAGGGTTGATGCTCGTCGTACTTTTTGAGTCTTAAGAAACCTTTCTGATGCTGATTGAACTGGAAAACAAGCTTTTCGGAGCTTTCTGATACTGGAGCCAGAAAGAGCTTTCCTCCATCAATAACAATATAACGACCGCTCAATCCGTCCATGCTTTCGTCTTCTGGTTTTGTCACTAAAGACCAATAAGCAGACAGACGATATTTTACAACATCTTTGGCTGCTTCAGCAGCTTCAATCTCAGCTTTGCTCCTCCATATATTTGCTGAGTCTGCTAGACATAGCCGTATTCCTTCAGCAATGAGAAGCAGTAAACTGAGCACACGAACACTTAAACCAGTGTTAGTAATCACCATACTAAAATGATTTTAATGAATTCACAAAAATGTCTTAAAAGAGGTGAATGGTAAGTAATATGGAATTGTTTATATACTCTCGCTTTAGCAAATGGCTCGAGCTTGAGTTGTTTACATTTTGCGAATTTGGTCTTAACATATAATTACTACATTATCTACGAAGTTTTGTAAGATTGTTTCTAAACACAAGATATTAGTTATACTTAGAATTGCATTCTCACAGCTCATCTGTTCGAAAGTTATTTCACAATTTTGTATTTTAGATAATGCTCTTACATTCTACTAAATATTTGCCAGCACCAAACCGCTAAACTTTTTGAAAATTCATTATTCCATTAACGGTGCGGGTTCTCGTCCATTGAAGACATAAAAATTGTTATTTTAGTATGTTTTAATGCCTTGTTTGTGGATTTTTTGATCTGCCTTGAATTATAATCTCAGTTTTTGCGAAATTGTAATTCTATTACGGACAGCATAGAACAGTTTATGCGTACTTGGTCACATTTCTGCCAATTTTTCTTTACATATTCCTGACACATGAGAGAAAAAAATGGATGTTCTTATGGATATAGAAAATGAGTACAATTGTACTGTTCCAACGACGTCTCAAATGAATGGTTGTGCTGTTCCCTTTTCACCATTTGAAAGTACGTTCTTTAATGCTAAAAAGTGATATACTGACTCCATATAGAGGCTGAAGCCCAGAACGAAGATGTGCCAATGCCGGATGCAAATAAAAAACGAGATGAAAATGTAGTTGCCGAGTCTCGCAAGCGTACGAAAGAAAACAAGACAAATGAGAAACAGCAAAACATGGATGGGAGCCAGAAAATTGACACTCAAACTAATAAAAATGGAAATTATCGGCGGAACAGAAGAAGAAGAAATAGTCGTTTCCATAACCAAAACCAAGTCTCACTAAATTATGGCCCCCAATCTCTTCAATATGCTACCAATGCTGATCCAAAGGAGTGGCTACGAGTGCATAAAGACTTACCTTTAATCATCTGCAATTACCTACAACTTATATTTAACATTTGTGTGGTCTCCATTCTTATATACATTTTGTTTGCTTTTGTCCTCACAATAAAACATGATGTTAAGCAAAAGGCACACGAGCAATTGTCAGAGATTACAGCCGTTATTAAGGATTGTGAGAAAAGTTATAACATAAATCAATGTTATCTTCCAAATCCCCTGCCCGGAATCAGGGACCAATGCAAGGAATGGAATGATTGCAGACACCGTGAAGTTTACGGTATAAGCTATTCCAAACTTGCTGCACAAACATTTGCGGAAATTGTCAACACCTTCACGGAAACCATATCGTATAAGACTATGCTGTTTGTATTGCTGCTTGTATTTGGTGGTCTCTTCGTTTCCAATTACGCATTAACTTTGTACCGGGGAAAGCACTTGCAGCATCTGCAGACCCAAGGATTAATATACAAGGAAGGACCTCCATACCGGGATCTGACAATAGCAAAGAAGGACTAGAAATATTAAAGGAACGTTAACTATATCGAATTTGAATCTCCTTCAGCTGCTTATTGGCAGTTTGTTGCGAGATGCCAATGAGCCCCAGCCTTCAATTTTATCGAATGAATAGTGCACTGATTCACTGTGGATGTTTCCAGTGAACCAAGCATGGCTCAACATGGACCGCGTGTCTGCTCGTTTTTGAGGCTCGTAAACAAGCAGCGGTTTTAAAAAGCTCTCTATCATTCTAGCATGTGTCGGTTCAAAATTGTGCCTTTTCACCAACATGCTCTCAATACTCATCCGGTGTTTTACATTCCTTCTTTTCCCTAAAAAGCGATGTTAGTACAAAAACATTTGAAAGCTGCCAATTACCATTGGTTTTGTAAAGATAAGTTCCTTTTCGTTTAAGTTTTCGGAGCATAAATTCAGGAAGATCACCAAGTACACTTTCAAAAAGCAGTAAGTGCATCTCATCACGAGAAACTTCAGAATCGTTTTTTGGATTAAACAAATATTCGCTGGTCAACAACTCAAAGACCTATAATGCATTAGTGAACAACTTTGTCTTTTTAGGTATTCAATTCCGTACCATGCATGCTAAGCTCCAACAGTCTGTAGATGCACCCCATGGATGATGAAGTATAATTTCCGGTGCTCTGTATTGTCTTGTCTGTATTTCATCAGTAAAGTGAAAGTCTGTCAGACATGAATTTCCCAAATCAGCGATAACGACGCTGACCAAAATTGCATGCTTTCCAAGCACTTGATAATTGGGAGGCAGCTGTTTTTCCAGCTGCCGCAATTGTTCTTTGTATAGATGTTGAGTTTCATGTGAGCTTGTTGCCTTAATGGCACGCTTGAGCTGATAATATTTCCCGACTTTAATGTATTGGCTGGCATACCTTTCCAAAGCTGCAGAACATAAAGGCCTGCTTCTGGTTATATCACCAACCGTGTCTTCCTCTGCCTCATAAATATCTGACAAGCAATCAACCAAGTCATCATCATTAATGCGAATCAAGACATTTTCGGGTTTTAGGTCGGTGTGGATAATGCCACATTCTCTGTGGAGAAAATCAAGCCCAAGTAATAGTTGTTTAGTAAATCGTCTAACCAAACACATCGGAATATTGTAACTTCTAAATGATCGCATTACTGACAGTAAGTTTTGACCAAGTGTTTCGAAGACCAGACACACGTGAACTCCATTTGGGCCCTGAACTTCAAAATAATCCAGAAGCTCGACGATATGTCTTCTACCCGGATGCGTGTTTCGTTTTGAGTTGACTTTTCTTAAAATGCGAATTTCATCAATTGCATTCTCTCGGTGAGCCCGGGAAGAACGACATATTTTCACTACTCGGTAATGGTTGTGTCTGCCTGTTAACGATGTTCAGATAGTATACTTACTTGTTGTCTTTTGCGAGCCAGACTGTTGAGAATTGTCCCCAACCAAGTTTTCTGATTATAGTATATTGCCCTCCCTTTAGTGAATCGCCAATATGGGTTACGTGGTAACCTCCAGGCCCATAATTCATGATTTGCTCTTCGTACTTTAACCAATTTGGTTCATGTGGTTTCTCAATCTCGGAGTGAATGATAGTGGGTTTACCATAACTTTTGGATCCATAGGATGTTATCTCACTAAGCGTGTTAGCGATTGTGTTTTCTGAGACACTAATTGACCAGTCTTACTTCACCGTGGTAATGCTATTTACTAGCTCCTTAGCATCTTCATACGACTTCTGTTTTGCCTTAGGGCCATGTCTATTTTTCCGAATTAAGTTTAAAAGCGCCAGTTTTAACAATGTGAATGAAATTGCATACAGAAAAGTGGAGCTTTCTATTAAAAAGAAAAACAAAACCACGGGATTTATGAATACGTATGTCACATTCCGTAGTAAGTCCTTACACAATTTCAACTTTCTGAAGCTGAACCTCACCTAATGGGTTTACGTAAATATCAGCATTGCGGAATTCGGTAAATGTGACATGATCCTTTAATGACCGAAATGCTTCTTTCGCATCTTCAGTATAGGGTGCCTCTAAATAACGCAACTCTGAAAAAAGAGTTTCAAGCAAACCAATTCTCGCAAGCGCTGAAAACTCAAATTCACTTTCGGTTAATAAAGTACACAAAAAGATAGGTTTTCTTATAATTTCTTCATCCGCTACATCTTTTTGACAAACATTACACACACTTGTTTTCTCAGTCTTTGCCAGGGGTTGAGAACAGTCTGTGTCTATAAAAGTTTAGTAATAAAGCTCCCATCACACATACGGACATACGAAGCGAAACTAATTTTTGTAAGGCAACATCAACAAACCGAACACGAACATGTCCAGAATCACCCATTGATAAGCGTTTTTGATTTGGTATAGGGTTTCTTAAGCAAGATGAGACTAGCGGCGCATGGAAGTTTGAGACTTCACACATGTTAGCAGCTCAACGAAACCATGGGACAGAAAACATACCTATTTTAAGAGAGCTCTCGCTTGTAACTTCCATGCTGTTCTCTTCCAATATAAGATTATTAAAAAAGACAAGATCCCCCCGCTGACAACTGTGGATACCCAAATTGTTGGTAGCTGGATATTGGATCATTACCCTCTTTTTTGAGGATGAAAGACTATCAAGGAACATGCTTGTTCTTGTAATTTTCGTCACTCGACCAGAAACCCATACATAACTTGCATTTTCTTTCAGTTTGGTTTCTGGCTGTTCAACAACAAAAGCCACCATTCCCGAAAACCACTCAGTCGTTTGTTCCCATACGGTTTTCCAATTAGGAATAACAAGCAATTCGCCAATGTTCAAAAGACGCACGTAGTCTCGAAAGGCGCGACGAAATGTCAAAGTGACATAGTCCGATGCGTTTCGAGTATTTAACAATTCCTGTAGATTCCTACCATGCAATTCTTTCAGACAAACCCTCGAACCTCCAGATGGTTGATTTACATCTTCATGGTAAATGTCAGTGATTAAAAAGACAGTATACTCTAATTCATTTAGGTCTTTTGTTTTCTCCAACCATTCCTGGAACATAGTAGTGTTCATTATCGGTATAAACAATTGTGTCGGAAGGAAATTAAGTATACTGCTCTCGTGAATGGAGCATATTGGGTAAAGTGGAGCATTCGTAAAACGCACTTGGGACTGAAATACATTGTTAGTTTTGGGTACAACGTTGATTTAAATATATTCACACACATCAATTAAGATATCATAAGGAGGATGAAAATAAAGAAAGAAATTGGAGTGAACTGTCAATCGACCTTCCGTTGAAGACTGCATGTCTTTCAGATATAATTTGGAAAAATCACCAAATTCTATTTTATAGCATAGTGCTTTAATGACATAATGGAATGGATCTCTATCAGTGGAAATGAAACTTGAAAATCCTTAAATATACATTTATGTTAGTATTGTATCATATGTAATCCAAATGACTCAAGAAATTCGAAAATGGTCGAGTCAAATAAACTTACCGTTATTCAGTAAATAATTATTCAATAGCTATTTCATAAAAATGACTCATGTTAGAATTAGGTTTTTGTATTTACGAAACGTTTACTCACTTTTTGTTCAAGTTCCGTCAGTAGAACCGCTCGAGAAATACCCCAAGAAAATGATTCTGTAATATTTACAAGTTCTGTTACGATTCTTTTCCAGTCAGCATAAGTTGTCGAAAGGTGATGACGATGCTTACATATTCTCCAGTTGTTTTTCATTAAATGGAAGAGTACTTGTTAATGGTTTTAATTCAGTAGTTACATCGTTTAACACAGCTTCGATATTCATAGTAAAGCACTTTGTTACAAAAGAAAAGAAACCAAGCAATGGTTTCTTCTTTTATTGTGCACAATTATCAGGGCAGAGTATTTGCAGTATGGAGTATTGAAAAATCTACATAGTAAAAAATAACAAAACGTTAACCGCACTAACGGTCGATTCGGGATCTTATTAACATGAGTAAATTTTAGTACCTTTTCGGGCGTTTTGTTGGTAAAGCAGTTACTGGTCATAACAAATTATCTCATTTTTTTTTTAAGTTCATTAGAATCCGTCATTTTATTAAATTTAACTTTTCTGAAGCGTAAAGAATCATTTTTTTAAGAGTACCATACAGAAAGCCATTTAGGAAAAGCACTGTTTGTATAGAACAAAAAGAAAAGCCAACATATAGTAGGCTGTAGGAGTTTAAAGTCAACAATTTTGATTCCTGTTATGAGAACTTTCCTTAACAACAATCCTCATGTCTGGTGTTAATGGATCATCAGTCATATAGGAAGAACAAAATGGGTGCGTTGTGCAATCAGTGTGATGACAAAGCAAATTACGATAAACTCTTAATATCGTCGTCATGAGCAAAAGAAAAGTGATAGTGAACACTTTAATAAAGGTAAAAATAATTCTACTAAATCTTTACCACCAATTTTGTAAGAATGTCTGTGCGGGGTAAACGAATGAACGAGGAAACACAGTGTGCTAGAACAATCATTGACATTTGTTTGCCTTAAACGTGTTTGTAAACCACTGTTGGATAAGCTCGGCCTAAAGTTTGTTAGTAAATTAGTACTTAGGAAAGCGACGTCTTGCTTGCTCGTACCGTGGCAATTGAGCGGGGAGACTCGTAACAGTAGTAAAAGGGGAAGGAACCAAACACGTATATAGATGAATCATTTTCAAGATTTATAATGCTTTGGGTTTTCGCCTTGGCATCACTATCAGCGTATACACTCTCACTCCCGGGGTGCAAGGTGTATACCGGTAATTCAGGAGTAGACTCGGTAGAAAAGGGAAGTGCGGGATCGTTACGAGGGCATAGAGCAAAAAAGGAAAGAATACACTTTTGTTTGGCAGCGACGGCAGCAGCAACTGCTGCACCCGTGTCCTCACCCAAAATTCCAATAGTTGAGGAGTCACCATGATAGTAATCTACATTCTCACGGACCCAATCAACGACATAGTGAATGAATTCCACCGACTTCTCCACAGGGAACTTTGGTGGGCGACAAAAATCAGGGATAACGACAACAAAACCAAGGTGGGCGAGAATGAAAGGGAGCTGAGAAGGTGCGCCATGTGTGCCACTCACCCAAATAATGACAGGTCGATTTGTTCCAAACTCAGGTGCATAAACATCAAGAATAAGATTGTGTTTCAGTACCAGTCGACGAGCGTTGTTTTCTGCAAGCACACGATCGGGGGGGTAGGAGACTACGGGTCAGCAAAGAAACAATTGCATATGACAAATACTGAAACTTACTGCTATTGTAATGAAGCAACTCTCCAGCCAAGTCATTGTAAAAGAGACGGCGAATTTGTAAAAACCAAGAAGCACCACTAGTAGAATAAGACGTTAGCTCACCGAAAACATACTGACCGCTTCAAGTTTACTTACGTGTTGAACTGAAACGACTTGCCGGTCAATTTTGCGGCAGCAATTGACAAACTATGGGCCGCATAGAGACCCATGATAATGACGGCAAGTAAGGAGCCATATCCAAGCATGTCAAGAAAATACAGTTGCTGGAAATAGCGGGAGTCTATTAAGACAAAATGGACTGTTAGCAAGCCAAATTCAAACGAGAACGAAAAGAATAAAAACATACACCGTGCGTACGAGTGGTATGCCCGAAACGTCATGAACGTTTTACAAAAGAGAAAGACAAAGGGCTTCTCAGAAGCACAGGCAAGTAATCTTGCCAAAGTGTACCTGGAACATTTAGGCAAAAATCCGTGCACAAATTTGACAAGAGCAACATGCACCTCTGGCTGGAATGAACCAACGATGCAAGCAGTCGACACAATCAACCAGCCAAAATACACGGCCTCAGAGATATACATGTCAGCGGACTGTGCAAAATTAAAGTTAGTACTAAGAAAACAATTGTGATCCGGAAACAGCAAATATAATCGCCAGTAACGTGTTTAAAAAAACAACAGGATTGGAAGACGTTTCTCAAGACCCCTGCACAGTAACCATCGTGTCACCGGGTGCTATTACTTCCGAACTGTTCAACAAACATATGCGGCAGCAAGTCGGAAGCAATGTTACCGACGGTACACTCATTTCTACGCTAAAGTGCATTTTCTCCTTCATCATCGAAACACAATTCAGCAATCCTTGAACCTTCAGTGGGCTATTTGTATATCTTTCGCCAGTTGGACGTATATCAAATGCTCCATTCACAACAAACGTACCAATATTAAATTCTCAACTAGGCGACAAGAGCTATGTCTGTCGAATTGATATTTGCAGTTCTTAATGAACGACGAAAGACTTCAAATAGCTCCAAAAAAACGGTGGTTCCTCTATAATATATCGGGTACTACTAAACAGTTCGTTCGCTGTGGTGGGGATATAGCCATAACAGCCATTTGTACACCATGCCGCAGGCGGCAAAGAACATAAGCGAATTTACTAGCGAGACAACCGAAATGAATAATCCAACGCGTTGTAAACAATGGAAACACAAAAAAGCACTACATTAAAGGACGAAAAAGACAGGGAAAAGAAGGGGAGACGAACGGCTAAATTCAATAAATCCGAATATTAAGCAAAGGTATTATTATTAGTAGCTAGTACACATTCATGCTTCGCTACGCTTCCGTGCGCCCACTCTTATGTTTTCGTTTCTATTTAGTATTCAAAACTCGCTATAGATTAAGCAGTAGCTCTATTTTTTAGTAAATAAACAAAACACTGAGAACGCCACAGAACCATTACAATTGAAAGATATCCTCAGGCGACCGTCGCCTGGCTATAATCCGACAAATGCCGTGCACCATTGATTAGACACGTTTTTTATGTTTTACAACTTTTCCTCCTACAAGCTCATCGAGTAGCCGTGAACCGTAGCACGAACCTCTGGAGCTCCAGGATCGTTTTCGAACATGGGTCGTTTTTTGATCTCAAGGAACTTTTTCACCTTAAAGCCATTTTGCTCGGCGATCTGAAAGAACTGAAGATCTTTGTGGGCAAGACGAGGACGATGATGAGTGAAGAACACATACACGATCGCGTCAGGAAACTTTGACAAAGCCTCCTTACTCGTATGAACAAGCTTTTCGTGCTCGGTATGATTAAACACAAGATCAGACAGCAAGATCACGTCGAATCCACTATCTGCCGGCAGGCCAGCAGCCTCGCGGAGAGGTGTGATATCTGCTCCCCAAAGGAAACCCCGAACGTTTGTTCGATCGACAATCTGGGGAAACTGTTGCACATTATATTTGATGTTGTCAATAAGTGGATTGTCTGGATAATCCGTACACACGACAGACTTGGCCCCGTTAAGAGCTGCAATGATGGACGGTAAACCGGCACCAGCACCTAACTCCAGTACTTTTTTACCAGACACAACCTCTGGATGTTGGTCAATATAATCGGCCAGGACGATACCACTGTTCCACAGATAATGGCCCCACAACGAATGGTTCCCAACAAGTCTAAGCAGAACTTCCTTTGGACTGTAATAACATGTTAGTATCGAAAGAAGAGAAATAAAAAAAGAGAACGAAAGGAACTCAAAAAGACGGAAGAGATCATGCTGCAATTCCAAATTTCAAGAATTCAAGCAGTAACAAACGACACGGCGGGCGAGATAAAACACCTTTTCACCGCGAATTCTTTCCGTTTTTTTTCAGCCAAATCAATTTGAACCATTCATTTGGTGGTGACGTACCCTGACATGGCATGCTCTCTCATATGAGAGACCATGGTAGGCGGAGGAGAGGGCGGACGAAAGTCCTTTGGCTCCTCAAACATATCAAAGCCCTCAAAGTCGCTGTCGTTACCGCTCATCACTTCTTCGTCCTTCACACCTCCAATGCAGTTGGAAGGTTTTGTGGTGGAGCAGACGCAGGGCGCTCAAACATCATGGTCACCACCAAGGAAAAACAGGCTCCAAGTAAGCGAAGGAAGAGAACGGGGAATTCGCTAGAAGTAGTTAATGTAGCGACGCTTATTTCAACGTCAATCCATTGAAACGGCTCACAAGGTTCGCCACAAGCGTCACGTGGAGATTAAAGAATTTGCAACCGAGGACACAGACAGCTGGGCAACGAGGGAGATTCAGCCGCGCATGTCGCCAGCAAAAACTTGTTGGTATAAATAAAATGAAAAGAAGTACAAACAATCATCGACATTCCGTTACGAGTCCACTTATGAGAATAGGGGAACGATAGTATTAAGTGGAGAGGGTCCAAGAACACAAACTCATTCGGTTCTGGAGCAATACTTTTTAGCGGGATAGATCATATTCGCTGAATTAGGTCACAGACTAAATCAGTTGTAGACTGAGACATTCATGAGCTCGTCCAGGAAACAGATGGATCAGGGCAGCACGCTTGTGTGCATACGAAAGATGTTGGTTTAAAAGGTCTCATTGAACAGGTCTACTGCGCAGGACCACCATCAGGTTGGTATGGAGAGGTGGGAAATTAAATAAGATTTTTCTCTTTCCATTCGAGAAGCATTTGGATAGCCTTTTCTTCAGAGTCAACAACAGCACTCACACCAGGTTGCGTGCAGTCGCGCAGCCAGGTGTAATGGTATTGACGGACCTTACCCATCTTCGATGTTTCGACAACTACGTGGGGAATACCGAGCAACAGAGAAAGAACATGAGCGTGAAGTCTGTCGGCGATTAGGTAGTTGGAACGGGCCAAGAACTCAGTACCAGCGTAGTAACGATCCAAACCCTTCTGTTCAAAGGTGGCCTCAGGGTCAGTTGCACTGGGAGGATCCCAGTCCAACCAGTCGTCGATACGGTATGTGAGGTTTGCAGCACTGAATTGACTCGTGTACAACTGCTCATTACCATGCTTTTGACCGCCCTCATTGTCGCGGCGAGCCAACACAAGGACATCAGTGGTCACTTCTTGATTGCGCAACTCGGGATGGGGACCCAAGTAGAAAACAATGTCGGGAACCAGAGCAAGGTCATTAGTCAAGCCAAAGTAATTTACACCGCGTCCGTAACTTTCACGGTCACGAGCAGCCAAACGGAGATCAGAGTGGGCAGAGTAGACTTCGCGAGTTTGGTTCAGATAATCCTCGCTGTTGAACCAGATGGACTGAGGGAAAGAGACGATACGGATGTCAGGAAAGTCACGAGCAACTTGCATACGCAAAGCTTGATGGTCAGGATACAGATCACCAAAGTTACCGCCGCCTTGGAAGGCCATTGCTACCAGCTTGGGGTCTTTACCCTCAAGAGAGTTTTGCAAGGCCTCGCGCGAATAATCGTTCAGGCTAGCACACATGTACACAGTCTCAATGCCCAAATCCTTCAACAATTCGCGCTCACCAACATAAATGGCACTGTCACCTTTGTTCGGGTAATCGGGGAAATTAATGATGGCAGCATACTTAATGCCATCAAACATGTGCTTGTAGTAGTTGTACAACACAGTTTTCTGGTATTCAAGAGCAGCCTCACACTTGGCACTGCCAATGGGGGCTTTCTTGAACAGAGGCTCCTTCTTTGATGAGGAAGAAAAGACAGAAAAGGGAGAAGAGCTGCTAGAGGATGAGGAGGGAGAAGAAGAGGAGGAGGAAGCCGTGTTTCGGAAACCATCCAAGCTAAGAGAATCATTGTTCCAGTACGTAACAAAGAGGGTCACCACAGATAGCAATGCAGCGCCCAGAATAAGCACGTACTTTGTGCGAACATGTATCACCTGGCTCATGATGAAGCGTGTCAAACAAGAAAAACAGAGACACAGGCAACGAAGAAAAGCGTAAGTGGATGCGATATCAAACCCAAACGCAGATGCAGAAAGAGGAAATTTCTTAGAACTGCACGACTAATAAAATGCTGGTAAATTAACCGCAAGAAGCAATTTCAAATATTGCAAGAAGCACTCTGGTTGAAGTAACAGGATTTTGTAGTTGCAATTCAGCCAGATAAGCAGTCAGCTACTACAAACAGAGTTTTCTCGATAACCAGCGAGAATACGAAGTTCAAAAAAAAAGGAGTGCCAAAGCAGACCCAGGAGACGGAAATTCTATAGCAGAAGTCCTTACAAAAACCCAGAATTCCTCTGCACGCAGGGAATGCAAGTTCCAATGGACGTTCTATGGGGTATGGTGGAGGGAAGAAACCAACGTGGTGGAGAAAAGCCGAACGGGAAGGGGGAGGTCGATGGTGAGGGAAAACCTTAAATGCCCCATACTTAAAAGGTGCTGCGGTTCGCATCAGATAAGAGTACTGTTGTCCAATCAGCAGCTCACTGAGGCAATTCGCCGCCAAATTGCGAACCCCCCCTTTACAAACATGGGCAACTGACGCCAGGAGCCAATCAGCGTCCAGCTGTTTTGTTGGCGATTCACTGTGATTACGTTTGACCTGTCGCTTCTCGTTACAAACACCTTCATTAGACCAAAGTGGTACTAGCGGCACGGCGCAAATGAAGGCAATTCAGGCGTTTTTCGGGCAATAAAGTGCCGCTTCTGTACCTCCTAACAGCGCTCGTGCGCCTCGCTCGGAAATCGATCATATCGCCTATGGGGGATTATTCTTCACAAGCGACGTATTACGACGTTATTCCTGGTATGTTCTGGAAGTGCAACTACGTAACAATGTCGTAATGCACGTGCAAAAAGAGCCAAGTTGGAGATGACGTGGTGCGGGGTGAATCCCTGGATGTAGTACGACCTGTGAAATCGCAGGAGTTCGCTGGTGAAAATCAGTACGGACATATGTACACGCTGAGCTACAAGGTGACAATTTCGACAACGAGGGGTCACACTCAATACCGGCACTTTATTGTATGCAACGACTGAATATGTGCATTGCCGGTGCTACAGTAGTTATTAATTGTTATCCAAGTTGACCCAGTTGCGAAAAATGCACTCTCTTCGTAATAGTGTCACTACGTCAGGGTCTAATTTAGTTTTTCTTTAAAACAATCTATCTCTTTACGTTTTGCTCCAACGCAATTCGCAACGTCCGTAAACGCGGCAATTCTTTCTATTGTTGCGATATAATTTCTTGTTCCCGTTCTCTGAGACCACGTCGTTTCCAGAAACCTCGTGAAGGTTGTTGACATCTTACAGGGTTTTCGTTGCCGAGCAGCCGAAGACCATGCAAATGTTAATGAATCAATGCAGAAAAACCCAGTTGTACCTTAAAAAGAAGACTCCTCGTCACCCGACTTAAGCTTATATAAGTATATACACCCGTTTTCTAGCGAAATTCCATTCGTTTGTCTGTTTGATGCACAATTGTTTTCGAGACGCGTCTCGTGTTTCGGTTATGACGTACGGAGAAAGCTTAAACAGGAATAGCTATCGAGATGAGTGGTGATGTCATCACATGTCCTTTCTGCGGGGCTCTAGAAGATTTCCAGGAAAACGACATGCTGCTACAAATTGGCACTTAACCTCTCCTAAATACACAGTGCTTGTTTTCTTGTAAGTGCAGCGTCCACGGGAACTTTAACAACTAACTTTCTTAGGCTTTACCAGCAACTGTATACGAAATATTCCCAACCCCCTTGTACGTCTACCTGTGAACGCAGACACGCAAATTTTGTCACTTCCTTTAACACAATTGTGTACTACATACCTTGCACGCATAGTAATTGCACCAATTACGGCTTTCTGAAAAACTTTGAACTCATTTGTTTTCCCTGTACCTGTCTTTCTTCCACCCTTTCGTTCTTTTCTGTTTCTGAAATTGTTTCGTTATTATCTGTGTAATGGGACGCTTACTGCTGGCTAATTTATTTCTCCCTTCATCTGTTGGCATTTCGTACGACTCCGTCGGTTCTTCAGAACTTGCATCAAGATTCCTTCCAAGCGAGCAAGCCGCTAAATGGCTTACGGACGGACCATTAAATGAAACGTTGCTGGTCTCGGATTCCGAGGACTCGGTGGCCGAGATGTCACCTTGTACGATAACCCGAAACAATAGCGAGGACAAACACAATTCTGACTCTACGGACACGTATTTATCTGACGGTGCTAACGATCCTGCATCCATATCCAAAATCTTCAATCACAAACACCTGTCGTCCATTCGTGAGCAAGTGAACTTGACCGAGCCCGTTTCGCGTCATCACAGCCCACCGCCTGTCAGCGTTCTGGCTCCTCAATACGAGACTCCGCAAACGGCAGCAAGAACGCGGCGTCGCTCGTCCGTCTACTCACAGCGTCGTCCATCCATTGACTTGGCTGCGTGGACAGAAGTTCAGTTTAAAATTCGCCCCAGCTCCAGCGGCAATGTATGCGTCGTGAATGCGATTAACGCAGCCAAACGTGAAAATCCCGATTTCGATGAGCATATATACTTTGGTACGTGCGGGGTTCCGACTGACGCACTTCCTCAGGCTCTTCGTGAGCGCATTGACAAAGTGTACCAAGACGAGCATAACAGCAAGGTTGTGTATGTGTCTGACACAGACTTTGTTGGCCATTATAATCATTACTGCAAGCATATCTTATGGCCTACCTTTCATTACCAAATACCTGACAATCCAAAGTCTAAAGCCTATGAAGATCATTCTTGGCACAATTATGTGAGCGTGAACCAGGCTTTTGCTGACTCGCTCGTGGAAAACTACAAGGACGAGGACTGCATTTGGGTGAATGATTACCATTTGCTTCTCGTTCCCCAGATGGTTCGTGAGAAGATTCCCGAGGCCAAGATTGGCTTATTTGTTCATATTCCATTCCCCTCTTCTGAAGTCTTTCGCTGTTTGCCAACACGTAAGGAGCTGCTCACAGGCATGCTCGGTGCAAATGTGATTACTTTCCAGATACACGAGTTTGCTCACCATTTCATGCAATCTTGCTCTCGTCTTATGGACTTGGATGTGAGTGGAAACGTTATCACGATTGATAACCGCATCATTATCATCAACAGTCTTCCCATTTCAGTGGATCCTGTCGCTCTGAACCGTCATCTGAGCAGTGCTACTGTTAACCACTGGACACATGTTCTTATGAAACGTTTTAAGGGAAAACGACTCATTGTTTCCCGTGACAAGCTCGATCCCATTAAGGGAGTTCGCCAAAAGCTTCTTTCGTTTGAAAAGTTTCTTGCAAAGTATCCCGAATTCCGCGAGAATACCATTTTCGTCCAAGTCTCTCCATCATCTGTCGACGACGGCGAGTACCTTCCTGCAATTTCCGATATTTGCACACGGATTAATTCTGCCTATTCGAACATTGCTTCTCAGCATGTTCCTGTCATGCTTCTCCAGCTTGAGCTCTCCTACTCTCAGTACTTGGCTCTTCTTAAGGTTGCAGATGCCATGATTGTAAACTCTCTTCGCGAAGGCATGAACTTGACGTCGCTTGAGTATATTTTTGCTCAACAAGAGCGTCATAGACCTCTTATTTTGAGTGAATTCGTTGGCAGTGCTTCATTGCTCGGCGACTTTGCTATCATCATTAATCCTTGGGATTACCAACAGACAGCAGATGCTTTCCATAAGGCACTTACTCTGTCTGACGAAGAATGTGACAAGCGTTACGAAAAATTGCTTCGTGTCAGCAATGCCTTTGAGGCTGGAAAATGGGCACAAGCATTTTTGAACAGCATTAAGGAGTCATGGAAGCTACAAATCAAGTATTTGCTGCGCAGAACGCCTCGATTCTCTGCCAGCAGTCTTCGTTCATCTTACCAAAGAGCGAAGAAACGCTTTATTTTCCTCAACTACGAAGGCACCTTGGCCTCTTGGGGTAATCAAAAACATATCGTGATGTCGAGTTTGCAAAGGGCAAACGATCTTCTCGTCGAACTTACAAGTGATCCGAAAAACTGTGTCTACGTCTCTAGCACATTGTCTCCCCAAGAGTTGGATCAACTTTTCCACCGTGTGCCCAATTTGGGAATCGTGTCAGAGAACGGCTGTTACACACACCTTCCAGACCCTGAAAGCTCAGGCAAGCTGAAGTGGACCTGCAATGTTCCCAACTGTGACCTTAGTTGGCAAAAGACGGTCTTCGATATTTTCAGCTATTATGCCGAGCGCACCCCTGGAACATACGTTTCCCGCAAAAACATATCCATCATCTTCCATTTTGGCAGTGCTGAAGATGCGGACACGGCAGCTTGGGCTGTTAAGGAGTGCTGTGCTTCGGTGAATGGATTTAAAAAATTGAATTGCCATGTCTTCGTGTCTACTGAAGCCGTTATCTGTACAACATTGGATGTTTCTTGTCGTGAAGCGGCTGAACGGGCATATAAGACGAGTGGTGAAAGTGAATTCGATTTCGTCTTCGCCGCTAGTGACGACCCAGTGGATGATGCCATATTTGAGTGGGTCCGCGAGCTGGGTCACCAGGGTGCCGGTGCACCATTCACACAAACCGTTAGTGTTGGTGAGCGTGCTTTTAGTAACGCTGATTACACGTCGGCTGGTGTGTTCGGCTTTTTGAACGATTTCCAGAAGGCAGTCAGCAAGTAAGGTGACGAATCGTAATTGCTTCGATGCATCATGTGAATGCCTGTACTTTTTTTGAACGATACATATTCTGATGGACCTTTTTTAATGTTGTTAACGAACCAGATATAGCTCTTATCAATGGAGGTGAATATTCTTTCTTTTAACGCTAGAGCGACGATGAAATCGTGTATTAACTGTCTTAAAAGAGCACGCCTTAACAGCGACAGCTAATGAGTGTTGAAACTTACAAACTATTAAAACGAATCCAGCGTGGCTACACCACTACTAGCAAATGCTTTGATGAATGAAAACACATGAAAAATATTGACGTTCTATATTAAGTTTAAAGCAAAGAAACACCTGTTAGTGCATAAAACAAGTGTCACAAGACGAAACTACGGGAAAAAACGTCGCAACTTAGGACATAAAAAAACGGCCGCTTCTACAAGCAGGCATCACCGTTTATGTATTGAAGCCGGGTGGAAGTCACGAGGAAAACAAAACGCTTTAGGCGTTCTCGACAAGCAAACTTCCAGCAATCTTGCCGAGATGTGTGTGTTTGCTGACACGAACAAGCTCTATAAAAGCGACGTCGCCCCAAACGAAGGGCTCGCCGCTAAATGACGATACAGCTGCAGATGTACTGTAGTCGGCAAGGACATTGTCGGCGTACAGCAAAGGCATGTACGGTTTATACGACTCAGTGTAATCGGGATCAACGCTGTCAGAAACGGCATTTGCACGTTTAGCCAACTCACACAACGTGGGCGTCTTCTTCACCTCGAGATGGACACGCTTGTAATAAGAGTCACCGATACAGAGCTTTCCGGTCTTCACCTCCACTGGTCCCTTAAAACCGTCGACGATAGACTCAAGGATACTGAGAGGTGTTTGGCCTTCCTTCACATGAATGTCAGTCGCCAATGTGATGTGAGGAGCAGTTGGGATTCTCAAATTCTCAAAATCGTTACGGTGGTTTTCACTCCACGTAACAAGTCTACGGCACCGCTCCTCCAATTCACTGGTGCGTTGGGGAACAAGCCAAACTGTGTATGTCTGATGTTGATGGACATGGTCATCTTTGACAATACGATGACCCATCCGACTGGCGGACACGGGCTGGCCAGAGATTTCCTGGTCTTCTTCAGGCTTCTTAACGTCTTCGTACGTCGTGGTTGTTGTTGATTGCTCCATTGATGCTGCGGTAGTAGGTTGAGGGAGAATAGTACTTTGTGTACTTAGGAGAGATGCAAGTCGTGAGGGTTGTTGGTCAAGCAGGTTCAGTTAAAGGCAGTAATTCTTCGGGGAATCCGGAGACGTGAAAGGGAAAGATTCTGCGACACTATACCAAAGGAATTAATTAGCAGGGGATCCTTTACGAGATAAATAAAGGATGCGTTAATTAGGACAATGAAAGACAATGATGAACGCGAGTGCGGTGGGGAAAAGATGTAAACCAGCGGGGGCCTCAATGGGCTATTTATGCAAATCTTCGTGCTGATCTTGCGACGTACCGACGTCCTAATGAACGCCGTTCGGAGACTTGCTAGGCCGAGGCGGGGATATTTCTCAGGACAATTCACAGCCTGGGCGGGGCAGGTGGTAGTGACGTAAAGCCATGGCATCCCAGGTGGTAATGCGACATTCCCCGCTGGAACCACGAGAACTCATTCACGTTAAGCGAATATTGCGGGGGGAATTAACGCATTGTCACAATGACGTAACGTGCTTGTCATGGTACGAGGTGAACCAAATTTGGTGCGGAAGATGCCATAGTAAGGAGGGTTGAGCACTCGTCGGGGCATATGAAGGAGTCAGTCGGTAGAAGCTAGTCGGTTGTCAGATAAGCGTAGTTGAATATTTAGACTTCAAAGTGCAATAAGTATGGAAGTCGGGAGTAAACGCGACCCGCAACGTCTCGTTATCTGTCCAACTAGAGTACGCGAGAGGTGTGTCGTGTGCGTGCTTGTTTGCGACCAGAGCTTCGACGAGATGCGACAGTTCGTTTGCGAGAAACATTCTTTTGTGAGTAATCAACAGCAAACTCATCATAGTCAATTCGGTTGCGCAGAATAGATAGCGCAATCACCTCAATCCTGTAGACTGGAATTCCTGTTAGCGACATATTTTCTCCCTCCTCATCAGCATCCGGGTCGCACAGAACAAGTACCCCTGGTTCCTGTGCATCCTCCACTTTATGTAGCAGCTAGAAGTCGTGTTAGTATACAGTGGCTTATTTAATCCCCATACCCTTGCTTGACAAACATCAAGAATTGATTCAAGTCCAAAAAGAGAATCGTTGGACATGGTTGACTGAAGGCCTTGAGTGAGGTAGACACGTTTTCCAACAAGAACGGTACGTTTGTAGACGTCGTTGAGCGAAAACCCCCATTCCTGTTCAGCATTTTCATCTTGGTACAGGTATTCGTCCAAAGCAAGTATGGCGTTTTGCTTCATACAAGCCTGAAGGTACCGAGGAGTCAGAGGAGGGACACCGAGGGCAACTGACATAAGGAACTTGTGTGTCCGGCGAAGAGGAGGAGGCCCCATTATGAGAAAAGCGGTAGCCGAGGAAATGGTATCAGTGACATTAATACTGTGTTTTCGCAGAAACGATTGCATTGCCCTGGTGGGCTTAAAGTTTGAGAAGGCGATTTCAAAGTGGCCATTGGGTAAAGTTCGCAAACGTCGTTTTTGGGGTGATTGCTGTGACGCAGAATCAAGGTAATTAGGACGCGGGGAGCTGGGAAAGGAATAGTTGGTTCCTGGAGGCGTTGCGTCAGGGACCAAGCCATCTTCTTCTTTCGACTCGGGTAGTAGTGGGGGAAGAAGAAGTGTGGAAGATGTATCTCCCTGTTGGGTCGGCGTTGACTTGCTTTCGCGTTTCGCTGAGCGGGGGGTCGAGGTATCGTGGATAGATGGTTCGTCGTATCTTCGAGCAATTTTTGTGTCATTCTCTTCTTCGTCTTCCGAAGCCTTGTCTGACGCCGTCAACCGTTCTGGAAGAGGCGGTGACGGGTGATCAGTAGAAGCGGGTGATTCTCCTTTTTTAATGAGAGGCTGCTCGGTAACTGGTCTAAATTCTGGAAGAGGAGGAATGTCTTCGACATCCATTGCCTCTACATCAATCATTTCCATCAGGGAGTTGTCTTTTGATTGAGTCTCGGGGATAACGTCTTGTGAGGTTGAAATGGGAAGGGCACCATTTTCAGTTTTCGAAAGGACAGAATTTATGGGAGACAGGGAATTGGAATCGTAATTTTCGCTCGTCCGTTCAATTGTAGATAAACTGTGACCATGCATGTCGCCGACATCGGCCGCAAGCCTACTTGTTGTGTGCTTTTTTGATTCTGATTGGGTCCTTTGAGTATCAGAAGACAGTCGAACTTCTGGAGTCGACATCATTGTGGCATCTGCCGAGGGTGCCTTTTTCGTTGAGGAAACTGCATTCGTCGTTCGACGTTTTTGAGGAGTCTCTGGAATAGTGTCTGCTGTAGGAATGCGTCGTAAATGTGCTGCCATGCCATTTACATAAAAGCTCTCGTGAGGAAGAACGTGATACAGCAATTTTTCGTTATTTGGAGATCGTAGTACGCTGACACCGTACATGCTCATTGAACAACGGATGTTTCGTACAAACACTTGATCTTCTTGGGCGTAAAACTCTGCAATTTCATCTGGCACATCTGCAGCAAAATGCTCTAAACTTCCGTCAAGAAATACATGCTTTGATTTTGTAGAGAATGTTTTCTCGTTTATTCGTAATTCCATGAGAACAACACTAACAACGACAAAGTTGGTGGGAAGGAATGAACGGAAAAAAAGCGACAGAAATGAATCGGAAACGAACCAGTAAAAAAGCGCTAACAAAGAAGCAAATAGATATATCCTTTAACTCGACAACGATTAGTTTAAGAAAGTTTCACAAAGTTAACCGACTGCTATTTACAAAAAAAACCTCCTTCAGTGTTACGCTTTGCAAATTTTTTGTTCAGCGCGAAAACGTATTTTAGGGTTTTAAGAAACAGATATTAAAAGATTTTAAGAAGCTTTTTCATCCACGTTTTCTCATCCAGCAAGCTGCGTGAACATCTATACACTGAGGTGCTCTTTGAATACAGTGTGTGGATGCTTCTTAAAACACTTGGTGGTGTGTTTTTGGTGGAGTAATGCAACGAGTCCCAACGTATACTTTTGTTTGTTCTTTATTATAAATAAGCTACCGAGCTGCGACTATAAGCGATATATATACCAATCATTACATTTCAGGTGCAATTAAGCTTTATTCCTTTCGCTGCCTTTCGCTTCCGTAAATAATAAGCGATGGCTCTGCTGCTAGAAGATGTATGTGCACAACACAAGTTGAAGAACGAATCCTTATCCATTCCTCATCGTTGTGAAACTGTTGCGTTCGCTTTTCAGTTTAAGGTTTTTTCATCAAAAAAACTTGTTCGAACGATTACTGCAATCATGGGGAATAAGCCGACCGTAGAATTGGTCGCCGATAATCAAGTTGTTCCAAACAACGATGACCGTCAGTACCGGGTTATTCGTTTGGCCAACAAACTTGAAGTTATGCTTGTTCACGACGACGACACAGATTTGGCTAGTGCTTCTCTTGATGTTCGTGTAGGTAGTCATAGCAATCCTAAGGAATTACAAGGACTTGCCCACTTTTGTGAACATTTGCTCTTTATGGGTACGAAGAAATACCCGGAAGAAGACGGCTATAGACAGTACCTCCATGCTCACAACGGTCTGTGCAATGCATATACTGCTTGGAACGACACAAACTACTACTTCGAGGTTTCTCATGATGCTCTGTACGGTGCATTGGACCGGTTTTCTCAATTTTTTATAAACCCTCTCTTTCTCGAGGATTGCAGGGAGCGTGAGATTCATGCCGTTGACTCTGAACACCGTAAAAACCTACAATCTGATGTCTGGCGTCTTTGGCGTTTGTATGGTTTCCTCTGCAACCCTGATCATGTATTCAACAAGTTCAACACGGGTAACTTAGAGACGTTAGACGAAATCCCCAAAAAGCTTGGTCTTGATGTTCGTGAAGAGCTTATCAAATTTTACAATAAATATTATTCCGCCAACCTCATGAAGCTCGCAGTTGTTGGCCGCGAACCATTGGACACACTTCAAGATTGGGTCGTGGAGTTTTTCTCAGACATTGCCAACAAGGATGTTCCTATCCCGAAGCATGATGGACCATTGTACACTCCTGAACAGCTTGGTCGCATATGCTTTGTTAAGCCAGTGAAGAACTTCCGTCGCCTTGACCTTATCTTCCCTATACCTGGACAATATCGGAATTATCGCAGTCGTCCAGCGGATTATGTGTGTCATTTACTCGGTCACGAAGGTGAGGGATCTTATCTTGCATTTTTGAAGCAGCAAGGTTGGGCTACCTCTTTGTTTGCTAGTTCTGTTCGTATTACGGATGATGCAGAAATCATCATTGTATCGGCTGTATTGACAGAGATGGGTGTGGATCGTTACCGTGATGTTATTTGCGCACTTTTTGAGTATGTGCAATTATTAAAACATACAACTGCACATTCTTTCTTATTTGAAGAATGTCGCATCCTGTCCGAAGCTCAATTCAAAACCCGCCAAAAGAGCCCGGCTGCCCGTTTTGCGCACACGGTGGCTAACCAAATGCATGAAGCCTACCCACGGGATAAGATTATGTATTGCGCTGATGCCCTTACAGGTTTCGAACCCGAAGAGCTTCAGAAGGTGTTCGACAGTCTCGATGCATATAATTTCTTTGCTGTGTTGGTTTGTCATTCTCTGGCAAACAAGTGTGATGCTCGAGAGAAACACTATGGTACTGAGTACCACATAAGTCAAATTGAGCCAGACTTTCTTGAATCGTTAAAAAATTGCAAGCCAAACAGTTCCCTGCACCTTCCTTTGCCCAATGAGTTTATTCCGTGGTCGTTGGAAATTGAGAAGGTCCCAGTTGAACAGAAGCGAAAGGAACCTGATTTGATCCGCAATGATGAATACGTACGACTCTGGCATAAAAAGGATGACACCTTTTGGGTGCCTAAGGCAAATGTTTATATTCAATTCGTTACACCTATTATCAAAGCATCACCGAAATCGAATGTGATTGCTAGTCTTTATGTGCGTCTGGTGGAGGATGCTATGAACGAGTTTGCCTACCCCGCTGAAATTGCCGGATTAACGTTTTCTCTCCAGTGCAGCTCTCGTGGCCTTATTCTTTCGCTAAATGGATTTACGGACAAGCTTCATGTTCTGTTGGAAAAAGTGGTCTCCAGCATGCGGAATCTCAGAATCCATACTCAACGATTTGCAAACATCAAGAACCGTTATGAACAAGAATTACGCGATTTTGGAACAATGGATGCATACTCTCGTTCCAACATGGTGCTTACATGCCTGACGGAACCGAATGTTTGGTCAAACGAAGAGTTGTGTCAGGTTGCGCCTGAAGTTACACAACAGGATGTGGAAGATTTTGTTACCGCGTTTACTGGTCAATTCTTCATGGAGTCTTTGGTGCATGGTAACTTTACAAAGGAGGACGCACTGGAATTGATCGAAGGTGTTTTTGATCAATTCCAACCAAAGCCGTTGTTTGTCTCGCAACTTGCAAGAAAACGTGTCGTTGTATTGCCGAAGGGCAGCAATTACTGTTATACTGCTCGTGTACCTAACAAGGACGACATTAACTCTGGTATCATGTACTATATTCAAATTGCCGATCTGGGCGATCAACGCGCAGGTGCTTACACTCGTCTCATGCGTCAAATTATGAAGGAACCTACGTTCTCTATTTTGCGTACGAAGGAGCAACTAGGATATATTGTCTTTACTCTGCTCCGTCAATCTTCGCCTTATGTTGGTTTAAGTATATTTGTTCAAAGTGAACGTAGTCCCGTATACTTGGAGCATCGTATTAGAGCACTGTTAGACGTTTTGTATGAACAGTTGTTGAACATGCCTGAACAGGAGATCGAAGAGCATAAGTCCAGTCTTATCAGTTTCATGTTAGAGAAGCCCACAAATTTGCGGGAAGAGAGTGGAACATATTGGTCTCGTGTTTGCGATGGATTTTATGATTACCGTCGTTTAGACAAGCAGATTGATGTGGTCGGAAAGGCTACGAAGCAAGACTTGTGTGATTTCTTTAGAGACTACATTCACTACAACGGACGGAATTGTGCTAAGCTTTCTGTTCACGTCCATTCACAAAAATGTGCGGAGCAAGTTGATCCTGTTCCTGCAGCCGTGGAAGTCAAGAACAAATTCCTGTTTAGAGAAAGCTTGGGTCTTAGCCAAGCTGCCTATCCTGTCTCGCCGTATGAGGACATCAACGAGGCGCTTTTGGTTTCTAATCCCTTCAACGTCTAAGTGTTCGTTCTATTTCGTATTCACTCGTTTCTTATACGATAACCACACCCCATTCGACCAAATTGTTCACGTTTTATTTTTTTTGTTATTGTTGCCGCGGAGTATCCGTGTATTGCCGCGGCATAGCCTGGTACTGTGGTGGAGTCCTCACTACCGCAGTGTCAAGTTTTAGTTGACCATACACTATAGCAGTGCGCTGGCGCTAATATTCCTCTAGAAGTTCAACAGGACGTCTTTCTAGGCCATAAGAAAAGATGTCTTCAAAGTTGATGAGTATGAAGTTTATGCAACGGGCTCAAGGGAGCACCGGAAGCGATACAGCTGAATCGGCTTCGGCAAAACACATCCAAAATGATGAGCATTGGACTTTACCTGGTGTAAATGTTATTACTCAAAAGAAACAGAGCAAAAACATTGAATATGAGTCAGGATATTCGTCGTTTCTGGCCATCGATCGTCCCAATTACTCGGGAAGAGCAAGCTTTGGATTGTTTAATAAGGCCTTAGAGCCTGCCAGGGCAGATGCTGAAGGTTCTGATGTCAAAAAAGGATCTGATGAAGACAGTGAAGATGATGAAACGACCGAACGTGAACGCAGAAAGCGTGAAGGGAAGTCTGGAAAAAAGCATGGGGAGACGCGTTCAGTTACAAACAGTCCGGCTTCTACACGTGGAAGTGGAAAAAAACGGAAATCAAGTGAATTAACTCACGATGTAATTTCATTGGATTCTTCGCAATCGAAAAAGGTGCATAAAAATAAACACAAGAAGAAAAGAAAGTAGTCGGTGGGCGTTTAAGCTAATTTCCGGCATATTTGGTAACTTGTGTCTGTGTTCTACAAGTGCTTTTGTTCGATAACAGGAGTTAAAAGTCTAGTGCATGTTAGCTCTCTCGGTGCTCTGGCATGAATCAAAATGAAAACTTACTTGTTGCAAAGCAAGGCGTTTTTCCCATTGTTCAGCCACAGTTCTTCCATTTTTCGTTGCGTTTCAATACTGTTTGTGCCAAGGTGCGGAAGAAGCATCACATGTTCATTGTTCATCAAACCAGGATGAATTTTCGGTTCATGCTCAAAAACGTCAAGTCCTGCGGAGAAGACAGTTCCGTCGTCAAGAGCTTTGACTAGCGCATCTTCGTCCATCACAGCGCCACGAGCTGTATTGACGATGACGACGCCCTTTTTCATCTTTTTAAACTGTTCCTCGCCAATGATATGGTGCGTGTGTGGGTTCAATGGCAGATTCAAGGAAAGGACGTCTGAGCGAGCCAGCAATTCGTCGAATGATACATATTCCGCATCTGCTGCTTCGCTAGGCGGGAGTTGTTTCCGGTTGTGATAAATGATTTTCATGTCGAAGCTTCGTGCTCGTCTTGCCAATACGCGACCGATGCCACCCATGCCAAGAATGCCCAAGGTTTTCCCTTGTGGATCGTGGCCCACCGTTACGTCTGCTCCTCTCCATTCGTTTCGTCTTAGAGCAAAGAGTCCACGGTTGAATCTGCGCAATGCACCAAGCATTAAGAATAATGCAGTGTCTGCGGTAGAGTCGTCTACAGCTTGTGGCACATTAGATACGCGAATGCCTCGTTTGGTACAGGGTGGGATGTCTACTTGGTCATAGCCGGCTCCTAAATGACAGATGAATTTGACCGATGGAGGAAGTTGTGCAACGAGCTCTTCGTCAAAACGTCCAGTAAGCAACACAGATGGCGCAGTCCGAACGATCACTTTTACATCGTTGAACTCTCCGGACTTGCACTTCTGGACAAATTCTAATCGACTACCACTGTCGTGTATCTATACAAATACGAGGATTGTTAGTATCAGTGAATCACTTTTTTTGAACACGGATGTTACAAGGTCGCATGCAAAAGGTCTGTGTTTTCGGTTGATCGGCATCTCTTGTCTTCCTTTCATCAACCCTCCTTCTATTTTCCGTTTTCTTCTTTTTATTTTCCGTTCTTTTTTTATTTTTGTTTCTCTGTTGAATCCAAGAAAATCGGTTTCCTAACCAAATGCAGTCGCCCCCGCTTCGTTCATACCTTCAATGTAGCGATGGACGAGAGACTCGACCACATTTCGTGTGAATGGACTATGGAACCACACAATAAGATTGCTGGTTTCGACATTGTTTTACTTCGTTCTTAAAACTCGGCGAAAAAAAAACTAAAACTGTCTTTGACGAGAAGACAAAAGGTTAGTTGGAAGATGGATTGCAGGAAATAACGAAATATCGTCTTCCTTTAAACTGTTTTTTGATCAATAAACTGCCCTGATCGGGTGGAGTGAATCGGCGGTATCCGATTCTCCATCGGATATCGAGGCCCAAGTTTTTCTATTCTAAACTGTGACAGGCAGATAAAGCGTCATTACCTAATACTATCTGATATTGCGCGCGATTATGGAACTGTTAACTAAAGTCTAAAGCCTTTTCTTAAGACCATCCCGGTCTGGAACCATGGGTTCTTCTTTAAAAGCCCGCTGAGCCAACTTACTCGCTTAAATTCCTACTGATGTCACTGTCCCACCTTCTTCTTTCTGTCACTAGCAGATGACCAATCAATAGATACGAATTTGCTTCGCATTGTCGATCATATTTATCAAATTGTGGGGTTATGCTGTGTTGTGCTGATGTAGCGATAGACCCATCAACGTCATTCAATGACGTAGTGTGACTGCTCTTATTATCTTTGGGGTCGTTTTTTTTTTGTTTTCTTGAACTTGACGAGAACAAAAATGCTGACCTGCTATTAACCTCCCTGTCTCTTAACATTATTTATTTTAGTAATAGAATGCTTAATATTCATATCCTCTCATCATCTCTGGAATTCCACTGGAACCTTCGTGTTGTGTGTTCTGACTTCTTCTCCTTGAAGCTTATCTTTTTTCTGCGTTGAACCTCTTCCGCAGAAAAACACACGCGACGGGCGATTTGTTTGTCAAGATGCGTGTTGGAGTGCAAGGCTGTTGTCATGGAGCGCTTGATCGGTTGTACCAAATGGCGAGGGAGAAAAAAGTCGACTTGTTGATTATAGGAGGTGATTTTCAGGCACTTCGAAATTTGGCAGATTACCATGCTATATCAATGCCAGACAAGTACAAACAGCTTGGGGATTTCCCCTCTTACTACGCTGGAAAAAGACAGGCCCCAATTCTTACCATATTCGTGGGCGGAAATCATGAAGCTAGCAATTATCTGGATGAACTGTAATTTCCAACGCAATGGGTAGCATTATGTCTAGTAAACTAACGAACTGAATAGTCCTTATGGAGGCTGGGTTGCACAGAAAATTTACTACATGGGCCGGTCTTCAGTTATTAATGTCGGTGGTCTGCGGATTGCTGGTTTAAGCGGTATATACAAGGTGAATGATTACTATAAAGGTTTGTTTATTCGACAACTGTTTGATTTTTTTGGTTAACTTGAAGAACAGGGCGTTATGAAAAGTTGCCGTATAACTACAAGACGGTAAAAAGCATATATCATGTTCGAGAATTTGACGTGTTTAAATTGAAGTGTCTTCAGAAGCCAATTGATATTGCCATTTCACATGACTGGCCCCGTGGTATTGAGCAACATGGAAATGTTGAGGCTTTGTTAAGACGCAAACCATTTTTTCGAAAGGAAGTGGAACGCAATGACTTGGGTTCTCCTGCAAACGAAGAATTGCTTCGTCATCTGAAACCACGATACTGGTTTGCTGCGCACCTTCACACGTACTTTTCAGCTACTGTTCAACATGAAACGCTGGAAAAACATGACGATGAACTCTCAGGAGAAAATTCGGATCTTAGAAAGAAAACCGAATTCTTTGCGTTGGACAAGTGTCTTCCGAGACGCAAACACTTTGAGGTGTTCGAAATTGATGTTCCTGAAAATGAATCAGTTACCGGCCCATTGATGCAATACGATCCAGAATGGTTGGCTATCACTCGTGTATTGGACAAGTATCAGTCACAAACTGTGGAACGTGTTAAGCTTCCAGACATGGAGGAAATCCAGAGGTATGACTTCCCGTGTGGCTATTGGCACATATAAAATTTAACACGTTTAGACAAATTGCAGCGGAGAGTAACTGGGTGGACGAACATATCGTCAAAGCTTCTAAATTGGGTATTCCTCAAAATTTCGTCCAGACGGCACCTCCTCATAGTCGGGATGTTACCGACAAACAACTCCGTATGATTGATCGATTATCTTCATCTGATACACTGTTGACTAACGAATCACACTTGTTTAGCGAACACATTTGTCAATCCTCAAACGACGGAATTCAGACGTCTCTTAGGATTAGAGTCGGCACCGGAAACGGAAGACTCTACGAAAAACACTGAAGAAATCGAGTTGGATTTGTGGTAGTTTAGACAATGACATTTTTAGTATAATAATCTAATTAGTTTTCTGGATGAGAACAACTTCAACAGGACGGCCGTCTTCAATGTAACCTATGTCGTCGCACACGAGTTCCAGACCATCCAATTTGGCGACCAGTTTTTTTATTTCCCCTTTCTGCAGACGATGGTCTTGTGTTTTGGGATACTCATAGACAGTTTTTCCATCATCGGTAAAGGTGCACAGAAACAAAAACCCGTTTTTGTTTAGCATTTCGGCAGTGTCTTTTAAAAGGGCTCTATTTAAAAATCGTATTTGAAGAATGAGATCAAATTTCTCTGACTCGTTAAACCGAAAATTGGAGGAAAGGAAAGAGGCAGTTGTGAGACCTTCTTGATCCGTAACCCTTTTTCCTTCGCGCGTATATAGCGTCCAAAGACCGTTTTGGTCCACTTTAGCCACACAAGCATCTTCAACTCGGCTTTCAAGATTTAATTGCTCAAAAAAGTCTGTAAACCGATTGATGGCACGTTTTTCAGCATCCAAAGCCGAGACCATCCATTGAAACTTTGATCTAAAACAAAGCCAGGCAAGGTCTCTTCCGGAACCGCATCCAATGTCAAGGACTCGTGCTGTCTTTTTAGGTGCGAAAGCAGTTTCAATTTTATCTATGACGGCTGCAAGATGAGGGCTGGGAGAAAACAGTACTTGCTTGCTTGTTCCTTCTTCAAGGAATCCATTTTCTCTGCACCAATTCCACAAAGATTCATTTGCGATGATGCTTTTTTCAACAAGCCATCCTCGATCCTTTAACTGACTTCCACAAGTACCTTGTTCGTTTTCATCAATGCCATGTATTCCGTCCTCTACAACCACTAGGGGAACCTGTTTAGCAGGAAGTTGAAACCATAGGTGTTGCAATTTTGAGTAATGAATGTTAACGGAATTTTGTATATGGCACCGAGTAAATTCGTGTGCATCTCTTGTATCCAAACATTTCAAAAGACCTTTTGCTACCTTTGTTACAAGCGAGCGTTCTGTTTCAATAAGAGAGGTTGTCATTTATTGTGCCAGCGAAGGATCCGTACTAGTAAACCAAGGCAGAATGTAAAAACTAGCTGGAATCATGATTATACAATGACAAGACTAGCCTACAATTCTAAATAGACCACAATATGTACAATGTTTCATTTATCACTATTTTTTAACTTTTTTTTTTTTTTTTTTTTTAATTTTTTATTTTCAATTTTTCCTTCGGATACGGAACGTTTATGAATTATAATGATTTTTATAAAAATTAAGAAAAAATAACAAAAAATAACAAAAAAATCGGATAAATCAGATCCCTAAAACAAAACCTTCTAGAAACTACTTTTACGTGTTTCCGACAAAAGTTCCCGTTGTAAAGATAATTCTTGGTGGTCGGGTGACCTGAGTACATTGGGGCAAGAAAGCTAATTGAGCTACCACGCGTCTTCCTAAGCTACCAAGAGCCAACGACCCTATTTCTTCCATCTACTAACTGGATGTCGAATTCGCCGCTGGTAACCAGTCCAGACGTAAAAAGCGGGAAGCTTTACCAAGCAATCCCTCGGTTTTTACATCTTTACGTCTGGCCCTTCTTAACCATAGGTTATCCCTATGTCTATAGACTTTACCTCAAAAATGCATACAACGAAGATGTTCGTCTTCTTATACTCATTCTGATTGTTTCTCTGAATGCTCTGACCTGGTTGGCTGGTCAGTGGAATACGAGAGTGTATTGTTTTATGACATGTCGACCGGTCAACAGTTTGGAGGATGCTACGTGCATCCATGTTGTTTCTAACGGACCTGGCAACCCTGGAGGTGTCGAACGTATTATTCGTACCCCAATTCGTGAAAGAAATGAAGTTCAGTACTCGTTCTTGTTCCAAAGCAAACGCTACATCTTTTCTAAGGATAGCCGCTCTTTCCAGAACATTAACTTCCCTATGGACAGTGAGATTAAGATTGGTGAGCTGAAGAATGCCAAAGGTCTTGATGATAGTACGGTGAAACTCGCTTCGTACACATTTGGCCCCAATCGTTTTGACATTCCCGTTCCCACTTTTGGTACCCTGTTCAAAGAACACGCAGTTGCTCCTTATTTCGTGTTCCAGATCTTCTGCAGTCTTTTGTGGTGTCTGGATGAGTACAGATACTTTGCCTTGTTCACTATGTTCATGATTGTCGCTTTGGAGTGCTCTGTCGTCTGGCAGAGACAGAGAACCTTGAACGAGTTCCGTACTATGAGTGTTAAGCCATATGAGCTTAATGTCCTCCGTGGTAAGAAATGGGTTGTCATGTCATCTGAGCACCTGCTTCCTAACGACGTTGTATCCATTACGCGCTCAAAGGAGAATAGCGGCTTGCCCTGTGACTTGGTCTTACTTTATGGAACTGCTGTTGTGAACGAGGCTATGCTTTCCGGCGAATCTACCCCTCTTGTGAAGGAATCTATCGAACTTCGTCCCGAAAATGACGCTCTTGACACCAAGACCATTGACAAAAACTCTCTTCTGTTTGGCGGCACCCAAGTTCTTCAAGTTACCACCTCGATCAATTCTTCCATCCAAACTCCCGATGGAGGTGTTCCTGCTCTGGTTTTGCGTACTGGTTTCGAAACACAGCAAGGTAGTCTTGTGCGCACTATGATCTACTCCGCTGAGAAGGTCACTGCCAACAACTTGGAAAGTCTTTTCTTCATTTTGTTCTTATTGGCTTTCGCCATTGGTGCATCCGGTTACGTCTGGTATCAACGTTATGAAGAGGAGACCAACCGCTACAAGCTTCTGTTGCACTGCGTTCTTATCATCACATCCGTCGTTCCTTCAGAATTGCCCATGGAGCTGTCTCTTGCCGTTAATGCATCACTGTCTGCCTTGTCTAAGTTCTACATTTACTGCACCGAACCTTTCCGTATTTCGCTGGCCGGTTACGTTGACGTTTGCTGTTTTGACAAGACGGGTACGCTTACCGAAGAGCATATGGTTGTGCAGGGTGTCGCTGGCTTGAACAAGGACAACTTTACCGAATTGACGGGTTTACAAGACACTCCTAAGGACACTATTCTTACCCTCGCTACCGCACACACTTTGGTTTTATTGGAGGAAGATGACAAGAAGGAAATTGTTGGTGATCCGATGGAGAAGGCTACGTTGGAGGCATTGGACTGGACTGTCGATCAAAACAGTTGTGTCTTTGCTCCAGTTACTTCCCCTTTGCATAAACTTCGTGTGAAGATTACAAAGAACTTTCAGTTTACCTCAGTGCTCAAACGTCAAACTTCTGTTTCTAACATAAAGAGTCCCACGGAAAATGCTAAAACTTTTGTTTCTGTCAAGGGTGCTCCCGAAGTTATCATGAAGATGCTTAAGACCATTCCTGAGGGTTATGAAGAAACGTATAAGAAGTTTGGCCGTGAGGGTTCTCGTGTGCTCGCGTTGGGTTGCAAGTACATGGGCAAGTTTATTTCGGAACAAGAGATTAGCAACGTTGACAGAGATACCCTGGAAAGCAATCTGGTCTTTGCTGGCTTTTTGGTTTTCCACTCTCCACTTAAGCCTGATGCAATTGATACCATTAAAATGTTGAACGAGTCGTCTCACCGCTGTGTGATGATTACTGGTGACAGTCCTCTTACCGCTGTCCATGTTTCTGAAAAGGTTGGTATTGTCAAAAAACCTGTTTTGATATTGGAAAACGAATCTGGAAAAGTATTCTGGCGCAGTGTTGATGAAAAAACTACTCTTGCCATGGACCTTGAGAAGCCTCTTGATAAATCGATTTATGGACCTTATGATTTGTGTGTTACTGGTCAAGCCCTTGCGCTTGTTAAGAACGAATCTGTACTGGTTAGTGTTTTGACTCATTCGTGGGTTTATGCTCGTGTTTCTCCTGATCAGAAGGAGCACATCATCTTGACATTAAAGAACAACGGTTATGCCACACTTATGTGTGGTGATGGAACCAACGATGTTGGCGCATTGAAGCAAGCCCATATTGGTGTTGCTCTTCTTAACGCTAGTGAAGATGATATGATTCGTTTGCAAGAGAAGCAAAGAAATGACAAGATGATGAACCTTTACAATAAACAAGTTGAATTAGCAACTCGTTTCAATGTTCAAGCTCCTCCGGTCCCCCCTGCACTTGCCCATCTTTACCCTCCTGGTCCTAACAATCCTCACCGTGAAAAGGCACAAGCCAACGTTACACAAGTTTTGGATACTCTTAAAGAAAAGGAAAACACTGTTGAACTTACGGATGCTGAAAAAACTATTCAAAAGCGCGCCTCTATGGCTTCCAAAATGTTCGAGACTCTTAACCAAGCATCGGACGATGAAGCGCCCTCTGTTAAACTTGGTGATGCTTCTGTTGCTGCTCCTTTCACCTCAAAGCTCTCAAATGTGAGTGCCATTACAAACATTATTCGTCAGGGCCGTTGTACTCTTGTCGCACTGGTACAAATGCACAAGATTCTTGCACTGAACTGTCTTATTACCGCCTACTCTCTTTCTGTTCTCCACCTTAACGGTATCAAGTTCAGTGATTCTCAATATATGATCTCTGGCATGTTGATGTCTGTTGCTTTCTACTCCGTTTCGCGCTCTCGTCCTTTGGAAACATTGTCTAAGGAACGTCCTCACCATAGCATTTTCAACACCTACATCATTGGCTCTGTGCTTGCCCAATTCCTCGTTCATGTGGTTACTTTGATTTATATCACGAAATCAGTTTATGAATACGAAGATCCCGCTGATGTCATTAATCTCGAATCCGAATTCGAGCCATCTCTCTTGAATTCCGCTATCTACCTCCTGCAGCTCATTCAGCAAGTATCTACATTTGCTGTGAATTACCAGGGTCACCCATTCCGTGAATCCATCTCGGAGAACAAGGGACTGTACTACAGTTTGGTCGGTGTTACGCTGTTTGCCTTCGCCTGTGCCACTGAAATGATGCCCGATGTTAATGAAAAGCTTCAATTGGTGAAAATGGCTTCTGGCTTCCAAGGAAAGCTTATCTTTATTCTGCTTGTTGACTACATTGGTTGCTGGGCAATTGAACAAGTTATGAAAAAGTTTAGAGACGACAAGCCAAAGGACATTGTTCTTGACAACTAATTACCTTTTGTGCGATCATATAGAAGGTAGATATGTTAATATCAAACTCATGCATCCAATGATTAAGAGACAGTTAAGCAGTAGCTATGAACAAAGTAATCATATTGAAAGTGAAGGCACGTTGATGTGCTTTTTACCACGTCAAAAGGCTTCAAGCGAGCTCATAGCATCTCTGGCACAATAACAGCATACTGAACTTTTGTTTTTTTATAAAATGTGTTGGCTACCTTTTGGTGTTAAGAAAGACTTTACTCCACCAAAAAAGCACTCACTTGCATGTTTCAACTTTAAACTAAGGTTGGGTGCTGGGATACGCGTAGGAAGTACCAAAACTAAAAAAGCGCGTTTTCTTGTTTTTCCGCCATCTTTTACGAGATCGTTGCTTGTGAATCTAATATATCACTAAAATTATTTTCTGGATTATTCAATTGCTATATTCTTACTAAATTAAAAGCTGTAAACGCCTTTATCCTACAACAAAACGAAAAATGCCATTTTTTCTGAAAGAGCTTTCATTGACGATTTCCCTACATCCAAGTTACTTCGGACCACACATGAGAGATTATTTAAAGGCAAAACTGCTGGCTGATGTTGAGGGAACGTGTTCAGGTCAATATGGTTATATCATTTGCGTTTTGGACAGCAATACTATCGATATCGACAAGGGAAAAGTTATCCCGGGACAAGGATTTGCAGAGTTTGAGGTAAAATATCGAGCAATTCTCTGGAGACCGTTTCGGGTACGATATTTTATAATCCTATATATCACCGTAATACACTAACACTAGTACAGGGAGAAGTCGTTGATGCTGTTGTAACTACAGTTAACAAAATGGGTTTCTTTGCCGACGTTGGCCCTCTGAGTGTTTTTGTATCTTCTCACGTATGTTGGAACTGTTGTTCTCTTTCATCTATACTAACAAATTCGTCAAGTTGGTACCACCAGACATGACTTTTGACCCTGCAGCAAATCCTCCTAACTATTCTGGAGAGGATCAGGTCATCGAGAAAGGTTCAAATGTTCGACTTAAAATTGTTGGTACTCGTACAGATGCTACCGAAATTGTAAGTTACTAATTTTTCATTTATAATACGTTCTCTTTAAGTCCTAACTTTGTGCTAGTTTGCCATTGCAACCATGAAAGAGGATTATCTTGGTGTACTTTAGTTCTTTTTTTTTTGTGTCATTGCTCAAAACGTTCCTCCTTCATTTCTTCAATATCCAAAACAAATCATTTAATTACGAGCTAATGTCATTCCGACTGCCCTTGTCGGCGAGTAGCCAAAATAAATATTCACAGAACGTGTCTCACAGTATACTGGTGCATGTAATCGGTTGCCGTGACATAAAACTTTATATCTACAGTGAATGCATTGATGATTTTATCCTAACATAGTATATGATTCGGTTTCATTCTCTACAAGTATACGGTTGCTGACAGTACTGTCTTATGAACAAGAATCCCGCTTACAACTGTTACCGGAAGCCAAAGACTTTGTTACATAGGATTCATGTATCAACTCATCCTTTTTGAATCACAAAGCGTCTTTGATTTCTGACGCTACACTCAACTGCCGTTCTAGCAATTACTTTTATCCTAACTGAGTTTGTCATAGCAGTAAATTTAAAAGATAGTAAAATTACTAAAAATGTACACGTACGTAGGATTGGTACCATAAAGGTTCATATTAAAAGTAAAGAGCGCTAATTGAATCACGTACACATTCAGCCAAGAATGTCATACGCATGAAAACCAAAAAAATACATTGGACTTCAGAAAAAAACTTTAATTAACAAGATGGGGCTTGAGTTATTCTTCATCACGCTTGTGACGGAAACCTCCAAGAACACCTTTGCGAAGCTTGTTTGTAACATGTCCAACAGCTCCAATACCGTCAACGACACCACCTCCAAGAGAAGCAAGGCCCTTAATTGGCATTCCAGCAAGATCAGTAGCATGTCCAAAAACACTAGAAGCAACGCTTCTTGAGCCACCTCTTTTAGAACGTAAGATCCATGCAGGTGTAAACTGCAGTCCGAGTTTCAGTTCACCACCCAGTTCACCGTCCAAAGGCAATGTCAAGACAACTTTCTCATTTGGACTTAAGCTTGCCATGTCAATGACGACATTGCCCATGAAATCGTTCTTTCCGCCAAAGTCCCAGTCATAGCACTTGGCAATAAGTCTGTTTCTATGTCTGTTGGGAATTTCAACAGTGAAGCTTTCGTTAAACTGAGGGTTGAGAGTTTTCTTAATTGTCTTCGTCTTGTAAACCTCTTCACCTTGAAGCTCAAAAACGACAAAAGGATCAGACTTACCACTGCGGTCCATTTTAGGCAACTCAATACCCTCAATAACATCCACGGTAAGCTTTCCCATGTTCAGGAATGATTCAGTTCGATCAATGATAACCGGAATAGGAACGAGGCAGGAACAAACAGTGAAACTTGCCGCAACTTCCTTAAACTTGATTGTAAGAGGTGCCAGACCACTCCTTTGCAAAAATGTAGTGGCAGGAATGCTGACAGATCCAAGAATTTTCTTTGAGCTGCGAGGATCTGTTACGAGGAATGTAAGTCGAGAGTAGGGCAATTCACGAACAAAGTATTCACCAAACAAATGTGCACTAGCTGAACCGTGCTTCGTTTTAGGTGAGATAAATACAGGTTCAGGAATATCATCCACTTGCAAAGCAATTTGACTACCCGGGTTTGGCAGGTTGGACTTAATAATATCAAAGCAAAGGAAACCGGTAAGCTGTTTCAAGTCTTCTTCAAGATCAGAGGGACTAGACAGCAGAGGTGACACCACTTCCTTCTTTGGTTGAGGAGTAGCAGAAGGCGATTCGTTTTGAGAAGTAGCAATACTTGCTGTGCGGCTGACATTCTTTGGCGTAGGAATAAATTTCGCAGGATTGGGATAAAAGCAGAAAAGATAACAGAGGGAACTCTTGGTTTGAAGACCCTTAACCGATGTCAAGGAAGTAGTCACTTCGCGAGTTTGTTCGAAAGGAATAAGCTTTCCGGAAGCGTCTTGGCGAATGTAATCCTTGGGACTAATGTCAACATAACCGAGAATACGCTCTTCCCCCTCATGTGACAAAACTTGCAAACGAATAATATCATACTTTGTGACGATAGGCACATAAAGATACTCATCCCACACGGGTTGAGTGTGATTAGCAATCGTCACCGTTTGGGCCATCTCCTTGTTATGACAGAGCACACGGGTCGAAGCATTCACCTTGCCTCCATGAGACTTGGGCGACAACGAGTTTGCGTTACGAATAAAGAGTCGAAGAGCACCAAGAGGCTCACGGTATATATCTGCGCTTTCGCACACAGCAGTCATATCAACAGGCTTCCATTCCGCAGCAATACGCACACGACCACTCTTGGCATTTTCCAATTGAAACCAGTTTAGTCCCTTTTTAGTGGCAGTTAACAAATCATCAAGCGTAATGTTAAAGACGCCAAGAGGTTTACTAACACCATCAGCACGAATTCGCACACCCAAGCTACACTTGGACTTCTGTTTAACCAGGTATTCCTGAAAATCACCCCAAGAAGGATTGTTGTTCTTCTTGATTTTACGTGTCGTGTGAACAATCTTTCCGTTCATCACAAGTTCAGCGTAAGCAGTATAACGGTTCGAGCCAGTACTCAGCTCCTTAGCTTGGAAAACCGTGTAGCGCAAGATACCCGGACCAGTCAAATCGGAAGCATTCTCACCTTCGGTAACTTCAATAACAGGGTAGAAACGTATGCTGTACTTCAATGAACCCCGAATCTTTTGATGGAACTTCACATCAATCGTAGCATCATTCACAACGGGAGCACCGTCAAGAACAGATGTTTCGATCACATTCGTGCCAATGAGTTTATCGCTGCGAATGTCATTGTAATCATAAACTTCCAAAACCAATTGCTCAGAGAAAGACGTAATTGTAAACTCAAATTTCTCGTCAAATGTAGGAGAACTAGTATCTGAGACAGTCTTTGAACGAGCCAACTCGCGACCAGTAAGAGTACTGCGAATCACAACGTAGGGATCCGGAGTTCCACTTAAAGTCTCATTAGGCTTCAATCCCGTGGCATTTTGCAAGTGGAACGAGATGGCGCCAATGGTGACATTCATGTTGGCTGCGCCCATCATTTGTTCAATATCGAGTTCGTAAACGTTAGGACTATACATCATCGGACCCAGAGTAAGGTGAATTTGATCGTAAATAAACTTGCTCAAACCAGGAACATTACCGATGTCGAAACCAAGCTTCTCACCGCCAATGGGCTTCAGCACAAAAGAGATATCAGGTTTTTCAACAAACGTCAGACCCACTGACTTGATGTAAGGGTAACTGCTCAAAAACTTGAGTTTCAAACGAATGACGCCGCTGAATGAGAAATCTTCAACAAGAACAGGCATACTAGCAGAGGCAATGCTCTTACCAATACGCACGCTCAATTCAATTTTCGGTTTAATTTGAGTAGCAATTTCATGGCCTGTCAATTCGGAAAGATTGTCGGGAGTGAAAGAACAAGCCAGATCCATCATATACAAATCCTCCTCCGTCTTTGGATACGAACGAATGAAATCCAAACGTGGAGATTTAGTACCGAGAGTGAATTTGGAAAGACGAAGAGAATCCAAAAAGCCAGGTGTGTTTTCCGAAAGCACTTGATCAGCGGTCTCAACCACATTTGCACTCAAAGAGGGCTCAAAAATGTACCAAAACTTTTGTAAGAAAGAGTTTAACCAAGCGACAGTCTCGGGCTCGTCTTCAATTCGGCGAGTAGCCAAGTACCGGGTAAAGTCGTCACGGAAATTGACAACGACCTTTCGTACTTGGATACGGTAATACTGAATACAGACGGCCATTACAACAAACAAGCCCAAAATTCCAAAACGAAAGTAACCGATGAAGAATGAAGACAAGGCCGTGTAGAAGATGATCCGGGTATCGTTCGAATACTGAACAAAGATATTCTTCCATTCAAGCAACATGTAAACGCGTTCCTTCGTAAGAAATTTGCCCAACAGAGTGACTATTCTAGACACGTTTTTCTGTTCATCCTTAACTTCCTCTTCTTCTTTCTTCTCGTTCAAAGAATCCGAAGAAGTGTTGGAAGAAGCCTGTTTCTCGTCGGAACGCGACGGTTCACTTACCGGAGCCTCAAGTGACTCGGGAACAGGAAGCTTATCGTCCGTTGATTGTTTCACGCCCGTTGAATTTTTCTTTTCTTCGACCTTGGCTGACAAAACTTGGCCATTCTTCGCGCCATTAACATTGTTTTTGGTCGTTTCTAGCTTTACATCAAGATTATTTCCCAATTCTCCAGTGACAGTCTTCGTGTCGACCTCAGTAGAGGCCTGCGCTGGCTGCTTGACCTGTCCAGACTTCTTTTCCATAATGTCCTGCAGGTTAAAGGAAAGAAGAACGGGAAAGAGAGATTAACAGAATATCAAGTGCAGTGATAACACTGTTTCTTAATCCTCTGCTCTTCAATTTCTGTCTTTTTTTTTACAAAACTCTAATCGCGAGGTTGGCACTTGGTAAGTTGTTTTCGGCGGTAATGCTTCAAGCAAACTTTAGTTCAGGACGATGATATCATAGACTGGCGCCTGCGTGAAGTTCAAGAAGCACTAAAATGGTGTGGACCTATTGGGACCAGCCCTACCACACTAACACCACCATTTATTGGCAACTCAGAGGGAAAGTGCCTTGGGGATGAATGGGTTAGAGCAAATGATAGCGATTTCTTCATAGCGAGTCTTGACCGATGTTTCCGCCAGTTCCGTCGGTACGCTACTGGCATACACTGCGATAGGTAATTGCAGATGCTGAGCATTACGGAAAAAACCCGGCTGTTGCAGCAACAAGAGCTGCGATGAAGGCCACCCGCTGCTGGATTTCACACAGTCCAACTGAGAACACAACATTGCTACATCTCTCTTAACAAATGTAAATGTAAAAGGATACGCTGCAGACCCATTCCACAGGCGCGCTATTTCATTGATTTTACAAAACTTTTACCATTAGACCATCGTCCGGTCACCGGTAGCGTAGTAGCAGTGTGCAGAAGAAAACACCTATTAAATTGCCATACAAAAGACCAAAACAATAAAGATGAAACAACCTACAAACGGTCATAGTACTCAGTGTAGTCAGGAACGTTCTCCTTGAGACCCTTACGCTTACGGGCCTCGACGACAATTTGACCGACCTTGGAGGAGGGGTCCAACGGGTCACCGTTCATAGCGGACCAATGGTCGAACACCATTTGGGGGAAAGCTTGACCACCAGTAGCTTGACGAAGCTCAGCAGTGAAACCGAAGGACTCGTTGACGGGAAGGTAGGCCTTGATGTTGTACAAGGGAGTACCGACACGTTGCTCCTCAGCGAAGACGTGACCACGCTTCTTGTTAAGAACAGAGTAGATACCACCCATAGCGTTCTCGGCGACTTGGATCTCGACCAAGAAGACGGGCTCTTGGATGATGGGAGAAGCCAAAAGGGTAGAAGCGTAGACAACACGACGAGCAGTGGGGATGATTTGTCCACCACCACGGTGAATAGCATCAGCGTGAAGAACAACATCAAGAATGTTGAAGCGGCAAGAACGCAAGTTCTCCTCGAACATGGGACCCTCCTTGGAGGCCCAGGCGAAAGCAGCAACAACGGAATCCTTGATTTCGTTAAGGTATTGAACAGCCTTGGTTTGGTCAACAACAAGGTTGGCACCGCTGGTGTCGGGACCGAAACACCAAATCTTACGGGCGTCAGTGACATCCCAGCCGAACTCATCAGCCATGATACGGGCACGGGCCTTGAAATCATCACGAGGGCTAACGTGGCCGCTCTCAATGGCAGCGGAAAGCTCCTCACCCAAGGGCTCGGCAGTCATGAAGATACGGTTATGCTTGTTGGGAGACTTGGAGAGAGCAGTCATGCTGGATTGCTCGCTAACAGACTCACGGTAAGAAACAACGGGGGGAGAGATCTTAAGGGGAATACCAGCATGGTCCTCTTGAAGATCCTTAAGGCAAATCTCCAAGTGAAGCTCACCAGCACCGGCAACAATGTGCTCACCAGACTCGGAAGTGGTGCAAAGAACACAGGGGTCGGACTTGGAAAGACGCTTAAGACCCTCAACAAGCTTGGGCAAATCGTTACCGTTCTTGACGTCAACAGCGACTTGGACGACAGGGGAGACAGAGAACTTCATGACCTTCAAGTTGTGGGCAACCTCGGAGGTGGTCAAAGTACCAGACTTGACCAAGAATTGGTCAATACCGACAAGACCAATAATGTTACCGGCGGGACAGTCATCAATGGGATCAGTCTTGGAACCCATCATAAGGACAGTACGTTGGATAGCCTTGATGAACAAGTCATCCTTCTTGCCGGGAACGTAGTTAGGGCCTTGGATACGAACCTTAAGACCAGAACGAACGGTACCAGAGAAGACACGACCGAAAGCGTAGAAACGACCCTTATCGGAGGTGGGAACCATCTTGGAGACGTAAAGCATCAAAGGAGCCTTGGGGTCACAGTTCTTGATACCAATGGCACACTCATCATCCATGGGACCCTCGTACAAGGTCTCGCAACGGTAGGTTTGAGCGAGCTTGGGGGAAGGCAAGTGAAGAACAATCATCTCCATAAGAGCATCAGCGGCAGGAAGGAACTTGCGCATGACGAGCTTAAGAAGAGCCTTACCGTCGAGCTCCTTCTCATCAGACTTCAAGTTGACCTCAAGCTTGGAAAGAAGCTTGAAGACTTCCTCCTTACGGCCGTTCATGACAGCATCGAAGATACGGTAGATGGGGTCCAAAACGAACATGTTAAAAGCACGCTCAAGAGGCTTGCCCTCAGCATCAGTAGAGCTCTTGGACCACTTCTTGGTCTTGGGGTTGAAGAAGTTGTCACCCCAAAGACGTTGCATCATCTTGTTGCGGTCAATACCGAACTTCTTGGCATAACGGTTGGCAAATTGACGGATAGTGAAAGCCCAACCGTGAAGACCGGAAGCGAAGGCAACGGTACCCTTGTCGGGGTAGACTTGGCAGTCACCGAGAACCTTGTCGTAGTAGGTGGAGATAACGACGTTAACGGACTCAACGACACGGGAGAAGTTTTGGTAAAGCTCCTCCTTGGAAATTTGAAGCTCCAAAAGAGCACGATCAACCTTGTTGACACAGACAACAGGCTTGATACGCTCACCAAGAGCTTGACGAAGGACGGTCTCGGTTTGGACACAAACACCCTCGATAGTGTCGACGACGACCAAAGCACCATCAGTGACACGAAGAGCGGCAGTAACCTCGGAAGAGAAGTCAACGTGACCAGGGGAGTCAATCAAGTTAACCAAGAACTCGTTGTGGTCAGTAGGCTCCTTGATGTCCTTGAGATCCTCTTGGGTCATCTCAGCGAACAAGGTGATAGCAGTGGACTTAATAGTGACACCACGCTCTTGCTCATCAGGACGAGTATCCATGAAACGAGCCTCACCGGCCTTGGCGGCGGAAATAATACCGGCCTTTTGGACCAAGGAGTCGGTCAGCGTCGACTTGCCGTGATCGACGTGAGCAATGACCGACATGTTACGGACGTTGGACGGCTTGTCCATCAAAGCACGGACCTCTTCAGGCGAGAAAGCAACCATTTTGAGGACGTGGAAGAAATGGGGTAAGGGGGGAAGACAGGTTGCGGTTGAGCGTCAGAAAAATGTATACACCAGGGAAACCCTTACCCTGGTTTAGACGAGATTCGTTACGAATGGCATGCTCTTACCGAGGCTGCTGAAAGAGTATGTATCAAGAAATGAGTTGTAAAAGGATGAATGTTTTTGTGACTGAGAGTCTTTGGGATATGTTAGTGGTATTGTGTGCTTGTTTGTTTGTTTGTTTGTGTTATTTGTATATTAAATAATTAAATTATTTTTTTCGTCACATTTATTTGTTATATAAAATAAATATGATTTTGTAATGGAAGTCAATAAAAAGGCTGACTTAGTATCTTGTGATAGAATAATACTTGCTTGTTAAGAACATTGCATATCGCAGCTATGAACCCGTAGGGCAATACGGTGCACGTACCGGTAAATGTCAACTTAGTTAGCAGCAATGTTTGTTTATTATTTGAGAAATTTACAGAAATGTAAACAATGCGCTTACCAATTTATTAACGAAAATTCCCATACAGACACCCCTACAGAGACGCGATATTTTTTGGTTGTGAATACAAAGTTTGAAAAAGGCTCAAAAGCCATAAGTATTAATTCAACTTTGTATCACTCCGCTATAAAGTCATACGTTCCAGACAAGAGCTAGACATATAAAAAGGCATTTGTCCTTTTTTATTAAAGTCAAACATGGACGGAAGATTCTCTACTGATCCCATTTATTTCCATCTCCCAAGGCAAAGAATAAGCGTCGCCTGCCAAAGATGCAGGAGACGAAAAATACGATGCTCTGGCCGTTTAGATCCTCAGGGGAAATGTCTCGGATGCATTAAAGCAAATCACCCTTGCGAGTTCGTGAGCCGCCATCGTCATCGGACATTTGATTATTCAAGTCCACAGTCGCCGTATCCAAAACCCGTGGATTTCCAATCACCTTCCTTGTTTACGGAAAGGGTAGAAAACAGTCCAACATCGTTTACACAGGAGTCTCCCATACCTTTGGGAGTTCCCGTAAATTCACCATGCGGTTTCTCACAAGACCCGGTCATGACTTTGTTGCAAAGACAGCAAGAACAACAACAAATGCAACTTGAACTCCGTCTGCTGACACAATCTATTGCTCGACAAAACCAGTATATGCAAAATCTCGGGTGGACGCAGCCAACACAAATTCCAAACGAGAAGGAAAAATTCGACATTAGCCCAACGATGTTGTCCTTGCAAGCATATCAGAGCGCGCTCATGGGTGAAAAAGACGGACTCCCGTCAGCAGATTTTTCAGAGAAAATGTCTCTTTTTGACCAGTTAACCCCTACCAACATTCCTTTCATGTCTGATACAGAATAACAACATAGCTATAGTTGCAAACGTTGAGTCTTCAGAAACATGCCGTTCTGTAAGAAAACCACATGTACATACTATTTTAAGAATAATCCACCGGCAGTAGTGGAGCAGAGTCTGCTAACAAACGCTTATTAAGCGCCTCTGTCTCCGCGATGCGAATATCATTTTGTAAAAGAACGGGGAAGGGAAGGTAAGGATTGTCTCGGCCATTTTTTATTCCAGGTGGAAGAATTGTTGGCTGTTCTAGCCGGGCACCATAAACAGCAGCGTACCGGTTGATGGGAGCAATGGGTGAGAAAGAGTGTAGTGGAACCGTGTTCCAGGAATTGTAAACAGGTGCCATTGGGCATGGCCAGTACGGATTTTCTATCATTGGCATACTGCTGAGTGTAGGCGGACGACCCCATTGAAGTTGAATGCGCGAATTTTTTATCAGAGCCCCATGCATTTCCAGAATGCACCGCTCAGCAGGGTATCTTTGTGCAAAGATAACGTTTGCCTTTCCGTTTAAAAGCTGAACGTGCACAATTTCACCAAGATGCTGAAAGTAGGATCGCAGATCTTCCTCTTTCACCGTGTCAGCCAAACCATCAACGAAAACGGTCGTGTTGTTTGGATCAGTAAACTGATTCATTGGCTGAAGTATGTTGTAGAAGCCCGGGTTATTTACTAATGCATCTAATTCGACCCTTAGCGAGTGAATTAAAATGGATCTTTTAACACAAAAGGCTCCCTGAGCTTCCGTATGTGCGTGCAAGGCATCATCAGCAGTCGCAAACCAAACAAACGCGACCCGAGTTGAAGAGCCATCTTCGTTCCTCAGCACATGCGAAGAAACATAACCGTACTTTGCAAACAAATTACGGAGATCAATTTCTGTAGCCTCCAAGTCCATGTTCGTTACATATAACATGTTGTACTGACTCTTGTCCCAGTCGGCCAATTTATCGAGAGAAAGTGGCCTTCCAGAAATGAGTTGAATACCTTGTTTTTGTTCATAAGCGTCATTAGCAGCCGTAGAATTTTCAAATTCAAGTTGGCAATAAGGAAGGGTCACAAGTCTGTCGGCGTCTTGATAGAATGTAACTTTTACGGGAGTTTCGAATAACGATTTTATAAACTCTTCATTCATCCATGGTTCCAAATTCTTCATCCTGTTGCAAGTTAGAAAAAGCCAAACACATTTTCATCCACGCTCCGGCAAGCTGTTTTTATATAACATTATCGCTAATTCAATAATACTACCATATTTTTTTTTTTTAAACAGCAAGAGTACAAGAAGACTTAGACTAAGAAATATACATACCACAAGGAAGACATGACGAAGGGGAAAGAAAGTTTTGGCCCTTCTCTAGGACTTTTGGCTGCTTTTGCCTTTTTTTCTATTACAGTCGGTGGAGGGAATGTAGACCGTAGCAAATCTTCCAGTTGCAAATGCAATTCAAAGAGAAAGCTACCTGAGTGAATAATGGAAGCAGTAGTATATACTTAATCGGTTTTGTAACAATAAGCTGAAGCGATGCTACAATAGCGAAGTGATAAAGTAACAAAAATACAGAAAACAAAAGTTGTTGTAATGTAGTAATTTTATTGTAATTCTCCAAGAAGAATAGTTTTGTCTGTGGAACAGGACAATATGGCATTTCTTTGGGGATGAAAGTCAACGTGTGTTACAGAGCCTAAGTAAATTAGTAAAAGTAGATGATTCAGGCACAAACCTTCGTGACCAGGAAGCTGGTATTTTAATTGTCCTTCGTCATCCCAAACATAAACAGAGCGGTCTGCACTGCCAGAAGCAATGAGGGAAGCGTCGTGGTTCCAAGCTGCTCCTGTCAGGCAGTGTTCGTGACCTTGCATAGCGCCTGTAGCCGTGTTCAATAAACGAGTAGCCGGAGCAAAGGGTTGGATGTTAAAGGTACGAACTTGTTAATTTGGTTAGTAGATGGGTCGATGCAGATTGCTTGCATGGAAATCCTTACCGATACTATCCCGAGAGTTTGAGAGGAGCCGTGTACCATCGGGGGATATCGCCAAGCTTGTAATTATATCTGAGGAATCATTCAACGTGTACAAGGGCTGAGAAGAACGTAAATCCCATGCCACAATTTGTCCAGAAACATCACCTGTAAAAACTGTTGATCCTTGCTTGGACACGGCAACAGCTGTGAGTGGGTATTTTTGTTTGATGTTTTGGGCTTCTTTTTTTTCTCGTGCGTCCCAGAGCTACAGCGTTAGCGACCGATGCACGACGAGCGTATTCTTACTTTAAGTGAACAGTCATCACCGACAGATGCTATAATCTCGTTTCCGACACGCAAAACGTCAATTGCGTTTACAATGTCTGTATGACCGACATGCTTGCAAGCTCTTTTGCCCGTGTTCACATCCCAAGTAGAAACAATATAATCAGAACCACACGTGTAAACGCTGGAAGAGTCTCTGCTCCATTGCAAGTCTAGAATAGCACCTTTTGATCCTTTGATTAATCCAAAATTTGAGCATCCATGGTCCACGTCCCACAAGACTTTTGCGAGTTAGATAAGAGTCAGAGAGTATTACATTCTCACATACACAATTGTTTATCTACACCGGCTGATGCAAAATAGGATCCGCTTGGACTAAAACGGACAACTAAGACTTCGTCCTAACGACAGTATTAGAAACATCCAACAAACACAGTTCTATCAAAGTTGAACATACCGTGTGTCCTAGCATCTGTAAATTGCTTGAGGTATCATTTTCGACTGCAGAGTGGTCATATTTTGCACGTTTAACCTATACGGTCAGATTCAGATTTCGACAATTCCACAAAACACATACCAATTGAGTTGTTCCTGCGCGAGTTACTTGCCGACGTTTGTCCATAGTTCAAATGTATTTGGTTTCCGTTTCGTATTCACCTTTTTGTAACGTTCTCTGTTGGTGAGTAAAAAGAGCGGTATTGACGCGTCTTCAAAAGTATAATGATATAAAATAAAAAAAACAGATTCTCTGGGCGACACAGAACTCGCTTATGAAGTATCGTAACTGTTTGGTTAACAAGATTGGGATCTTGGTTCAATTCAGTTACCAATGTTTCTTTTTGTTTTTTTCAATTAAAAAGAATGCCATTTTCTCGAAAATTGTTTCATGTAATAAAATTCGTTTCACATGCCAGTGCACACTATAAACCGTTTCTCTTTCTTTCTAGCAACATTAATCCATTTCTACGACCAATATGAGAAGTTGAAGTTCATTATTAATACTTGATAAATGAAATCGACTGCATAGTTAACGATTCAGAATAACAAAAAAAAGAGGTGTGAGCTGGTTCATTTTTATATTAAAACTACAACTGATCTAGTAACTTTCATTCTCATTTTGAAATATTTCTTTTTTACCATTTGCAGGAAATCAGCAAGATATCGAAAAATCGACCACTTCCTCTGCCACTATGCCTAATATCTGACTGTAAATAAAGTATTAAACCAACTGAACCATCAGCAACTGCGTCTAAAATACTGCCATATTGTTCTTACGGCCAGATAATTAACCTTCGAAACCTCCATTTTTCTGCCACACAGCTTTGGCGTGCATTCGTTACATTTGCCATAGAATAACACTCATACAGGGAAAAAGGACTCATTTTAACGTTCTATACACACTCGTTTTTGCTCCTTTTAAAGGATTAATCAATTAAAAACGGACTGCTAATGGATCAAGTGAATCCTCAAGAAGAAAAAGGTAAACCTCCGCCAAATACGCGAGACTCTGGACTTTCATCGTCTTCAAGACCAGCACAGTCGTTGCTTAATTCTTATATTTATGATTACTTAGTCAAACGTGATTATTGTGCGGCTGCTCGGATTTTTGGACAGGAGGCTCAGATTCAGACACTCGTTCGGACGACAAACGATTCAAGAGATGAACGAGGTTTACGCCAGAATGCCGATGTAAACAAGGGAAACGTCGGCGGCGATTCAAATGATGAGTCTGTTCAAGCTGGCCGGAACAACCCTTCTAATCGGCATGATTCTCAGAAGCCACCACCGCCCGTCCTGCCAATAGATTCATCTGCAGGATTCTTAATGGAATGGTGGAATATATTCTGGGACTTATGTGATGCACGAAGCGGCTGTGGATCAGAATCCGCCAAATCTTACCTCTCTTACATACAGCGACTTCGTTCTAAAAGTAGAGCACTAACCAATGTTCCTCGGCAACCCTATGGAAATGGTTATCCATCTCCATACCCATATCCTACATCAGGCGTCGGTCATGTTGCATCGTCCATGACACCGGCAATGGGTCCGCCTTACATGCCTTCTCAATTTGATGCATCGGGGCACCAACGTGCTCCTACGGATGCAGCGGGAACGCAGTTCTCAAATGTCCCTGAAAAACAACGTCAACATCTTTATAAGCAAGCTATGCTAAATAACAAAAAAAGAGAAACCTTCCCTCCTACGGCCGCGCAAATTCAGCAACTGAAACAAATGCAACAGCAGCAACAGGCGCAGCAGCAACAACAGCAACAAAACGTGGTACAGGGTCCCTCACACAATTACGCCGGTGCAATTGTGCCACAGTCTCAGGCGTCGTCAGCACAACCGGGCGGCGGCCCTGGACCGCAACAACCAAATGCTTATCCACAATCGGCGAATGCGAAAACGGAAAGTCAAAATGCCGCCGCGCGAAACCAGGAGGGCTACGGCAAACGCGATGCCTCTGCTCAAATGAAGCCGAATACGATGAATGCATCGCAAATTCAAAATGCGAACGCGGCCTCGTATATGGGCATGTCGAATTCGTCTTCACGTCCCCCCACTCCCAGCTCAGCAATGTCATTTAATCATGATTTTTCTCAACAGGCCGCTGGAAATCGACTTATGGATTCGGCTCAGTCTCAGCAGCCAGCTATGATGCAAGGATCAGGTATGGTGATGGGTGCGATGGACAATACATCTGATCCCATGATGATGCCTGGATACGGAGCTGCCCGTCCTGGCATGCCGGGTTATACGGATTCAATTTATTAATCCACTGACACCAGAAAAAATGCTGCGTTACACAGTTACCGAATGGAATTGAAAAGCTTCTCGAGCAACAAAATAAAAAGCGGTTACAGATGGCCAGACAAGAGCAAGAACGTCAACATCAAATTGAGGCGACAAACTTGCCCGCTGATCCATCAAAGCCCAAGCAGGAGTCACAATCTCCAAATATACATAATTCAGGTAATGGTACAGGGGCAATCCAAGATTCCGCAAATAAGTTTTCGCTCGAGAAGGGGGCAGACTACAAGCAATCTGTAAAAGGACAATCATATTTAATGACAAATTCTATGGGCATGAACAATGGCAACGATGTTGCCAATAGTTACTCTGGCACGAGTGTTTCCGTGAATAAAGAAGATGAAAAAGGCGCACAGGCTTCAAATACACCTCAGCTTTCCGGACAACAGAATTCTCAGAATGCTAACAACACAAACGTATGCCAGAAGACCGAGTTGTTTGTAGTCCTAGTATACTAACTTAACATAGGTGTCACTTAATGCTCAACGAGCTCATCAAGAAACAGCTAATCCCGAAGGCTCTTCAAATTCACCTGCTGCGAGCGCTAAAGAGTCTGGTGAAAAGCAAAGCGTAATGACCGAAACCTCCAACAGCAAGCCAGAAGACAGAAACGCATTGTCTAATCAAACTAATGCAACAGCCCAAACATCCGGAATCGACACAGCTGGCACTGTAGATTCAGCAATGTCAATCCTCTCACAAAATGCCGATTTCTCCAAAGGCTCTACTGCTGTAACCCAAAATAATAATATGGAGGCGACTAACACAAGCGCATCCCAGCAACCTGGGGTATCACAGAACTCGGAACAGACCTCATTCGCTCAATTTGACCAAACAACTGGGGAGATTGATGCTGGCCTCATGAATGATTTTGATTTTGATCGGTTTTTGACAGATAACGAAACGAACGGTGCAATGGGTTTTGGATTTTTTAGCATGCAAGACGGTACAGAACCGTCCGTTCACTAAAATTAATGTACTATATTTATAATACTGTTCTCCCTACAATGATTCATTAAAAATGGTCCACAGCTAAAACGTAAAGTTTCGTAAGCCTACTAAAAACGTGTATGGATAACATCAGAAACAAAAAAGTAATGTCTAGTTACTAGGTGCATAGAACATCATCATATGTGTTGGTTTTATTTACGGCAATACCAGTCAGTAACCTCAACTGCCCCAAGAAATGTTTTTGAAAGATCCCCACAAGCCAACCTTCTTACGAAGCTGACGAAGAGAATTGCTGTTGTCGAAAAGAATAATGTTACCGTAGTTAGAAACATCAACATACAAATAATCCCATTCAAATTTCTTTCCCTTTTTGACCAGGCGGCCGAAGACATGTCCCTTCGACTTGTTGCCGATTACATGAAACTGCAGCAACATGAATTCTCTACCGGAAGGATCATACACTCGCGTACTTAAAACGCCGTGAGAGCGACGAAGAGGATGAGTACCCTCACCAATTGCTTTCATCGACTCACCTATGGCATACTCACATTCGGGATGCTTTCTAACTTTCTCAAATGCATCATCGCCGAAGTACGCTTCTCCTCCAGTCATACTAGTGACAAGTGAATATGCAATAAGACCGAAGACAGATGCACCCAATGCAAAAATGGCTGCATTTCCGGCCGTTGAAGATGCACGATACATTTTTTGAGGAATGGTCAATTCTTTCCATTTTTTGTCTGGGGAATCTTTGAAAATACGAGCTAATCGCCCTTCAGGCCGAGTTCTGGAATTCTTTACGGCATCAGAAGCCAAACTGTAGAGTCGAATATGAGCCTTTATAGGTTGCACGACCGGTAACGTAGCTGCCCTCTGAAAAGCCAACATTGACGACGAAAAATAACCCGTTCGAAGCATAGACATATTCAAAACACTTCAACGCAGTCGCAGGAATGCAAACTGCCAGCTGTAGAAGTCAAAAGTGAATTATGAACAGTGAGTATGGTGTTTTGCCAAATTAGGAAGGATCAACTCGGGGCGGAACATAAACGAAAACAAAAACAATTAGAATACGACAAAAGAGTAGTTTTTGAAGCTAAAACATTAAAGAAAGTCCTTCTGGACACAATTCTTTCCCTTTAACCATTCTAGGCCTTCACCTCGTAAGCTGACATTGGGTGGAATGAAAATTGGCTTCTCAGCTAGGGTACCTCCGTTTTCGAGAATCCATTTCTCACTCAAAGCATAGAGACTCTCTAGACACGTCTTTGCGTTCTCTGTCTTAGCGTTGAGACCGTTTTTCAGAGGACTGAATTCATCATCTCTATTCACTTCGAGACAAATGAAATTGTCGCGCCGAAGGAAAGGAAGAACATCAAATATAAACATTTCAAATTTGTAGCCATTAGGACTCGTAGGTTCAACGTGTTTGTTTTCATCAAAATCGTAGTAAGGAATCTTCTTGTGGGCAATGTGTAAGGGAAGACGAATGTCAGAACGAGCAACTTGGTCCAAAAAGCTTCGACGGAAGTAATGGTAGGCAATGTTAGCCGCCCGGAAACGTAGGACCTGCTCGCCTTGCACTTCTTCAACTTCGTTTGCCATGTCGGGTCCGAGCTCGGAATACTCAATAACCGCAGGCTTTCCATTCCGTAGTACGACCATGCCAACCTTTTCATCTGGACGAGTCTTTTGAACCACTTTTAGAGCAGCCCTGGCGTGTTTCATACTCGCTGCTCCAATGACCCAAGGGTCTACGGGCTGCACCAAAACATTATCGACCGAGAATGCGCAGACGTGAAGAATTCCCCGACGCTCCATATCGTCCAAATAAGGACCCACTGCTAAAGCTTCATACAGTCCACCATTTCCGTTTGGTGAACGAGCAATAGAGTATGGTGTTGACATAAGAATTCGTCCCTCCTCATTCACACAGGGAATCTTGCCTTGCTTGAAGAAAACAACGTCCTCTTTCGGCAGACCAAAAAAGTTATGCTCTTTGAAGAAAGACAGTGTTTCATTTGCTGTTGCATCAGACACTAAGATGTACCAAGGGACATGGACACGCTTGTATTTAGGAAAACGCTCATGGGCAAGAGTCATTACTTTCAGTAATCTTTGTGCTTGAAGCTCAAACAAACTGTAATGAGTGGGCAATTGGATATCAAAGCAACCCTTTGGGTTCTTTGAACCCAAACGCGTTCCTTGTCCACCAGCAAGCACAATAGCGGCCACTCTGCCCTGGGCGATACGTTTGAGTCCTCGGTATACCAAGCAGGATCACGTTCTTCAAGCAATGGAATTGGCTCAATCTTATCTTCGTGTTTCTTACTTTCCGGGGAGTCCTTGTCAGCGAGTACATTGTCTACGTACGCTGATCTGACTCTGTCCACATCAATATTTAGCAAGTCCCGGACCAAACTCGACAATTCCTTTGAGTTTCCAGTTATAGCCGACGACAATCGCTCAATTATATGTTCTTGTCTGTTCTCACAGAGTTTCTGGAGTTGGATCTGAACAAAAATTTTGTCCTCGTCTCTGACGAGTTGCTTCTTCTCTAAGGAACTCACAATGCTGCATATATCGTGTGCTGAGAAAGCGTATTTAGGCATAGTTTCAATCAATTGCTCCAGTTAGTCCAATTGGAGTACTTTTTAATAGTATAATACGTAAAGACGTAAAAATTACAAACGAATAATCAATTCTGCTGTTCCGTGGATTTGGTAAGACCCCTCCTCCCCCAGTGGGCCACTGCTAGGGACCCCGGTGACTAGTCGGTAACTTCTCGGTGACCTCCGGGCAACCTTAATCCAGACCGGGAAAGTTGGCCCAATACACCAAAAATGCGAGCAAACCTTAACCAACAACGCTAAGATGGCACCAGTGGACAGATCGCGTACTGAGGTGGGTATACAGGCTGACAGAGTCACCGATGTAGGCAGTACGGACTTTCCTGGATACTATTTTGATGAGGATAATTCATGGAACCTGGAGGAGTTCAAGAAAAAACTGAACATAAAAATTACGTCGTTAGACGATTTGAACATGACTTTTGACATTTCTGGTATCGATGCATCTATTGTAAATGCTTTCCGTCGAATTCTGATTGCCGAAATTCCCACTCTTGCTATCGAGTTTGTCTATATCATCAACAACACAAGCATTCTTCAAGACGAAGTCCTTTCTCACCGTCTCGGTCTCATTCCGTTGAAGGCTGACCCTGACATGTTCAAGTGGTTTGTTCGCCCAGGCCCTGGAATGGAGGCTACACACACCGATTACGATACCGTCGTCTTTTCCCTGAACGTAAAGTGTGATTTCAACAAGGAAGCTGCTCCTGGTGAGACAGATCCTAAAAAACTGTACCTGAACTCTGAGGTCCTGTCTGGCGAACTCGTTTGGAAGCCTCAAGGTCGTCAGGCTGAGCGTTTCGCCGATAACCCGTTAACTGTTGTTAATCCCAACATTGTGGTTGCAAAGCTGCGTCCTGGACAAGAGATTGACTTGGAGGCCCATGCTATTCTGGGAATTGGCCAAGACCATGCCAAGTTCTCGCCCGTCTCCACCGCCTCATATCGTCTTTTGCCCGCTATCCACATTTTAGAACCAATTGAAGGCGAAGATGCCATCAAATTCCAAAAATGTTTCCCGGCCGGTGTCATTGAGCTTGAGGATGGCCCTAACGGCAAACCCCGGGCTCGTGTGGCCGATGTTCGCAAGGACACTGTCTCCCGTGAGTGTCTTCGTCACCCCGAGTTTGCTGACAAAGTACAACTTGGTCGTGTGCGAGATTACTTCTTGTACTCAATTGAGAGTACGGGAATTATTAAGCCCGATCAGCTCTTTCTTAAGAGTATTGCTGTTCTTAAGTCAAAGTGTATGGCTGTTAAGGCTAGTGTGGAAGGCTTGGGAACCACGGAGTAGAAAGTGTGTACTCGCTTTGATATACTAAAAACTGGTTGTGTTCTTTTTTTTTGGAAATAGGATAGGACTTTGGGAACGAGTTTGCGAAACATGTTTGCTGGTGCAACAATCTTAATAAAATGAAACTTGACGCTTTCGTCCTTGTCTTTGCATGAACTTTCGAGAAAATAGAATGTGCGTTGTATCTTTTGAAACGGGTTTGGATAGTTTTAGTTTTGTAAAGTTTATTCCGGACGGCCTGCTCACTTCTGCTTAACGACGTTCCTTACGAGAATATGTTTCGGTCGAACCTATTTTTCGTCGGATTCCTTGGCTAGTCAACTTTCACATCTGCCGAAATTCATACTGTCTTTCCCAATTCTCGACTTCCTAACCGACCGCAACTAAGCAGGCAGTAGAATTCTTTGCTTTGCAGGAATAGTAAATAACAAGATGCTATTCCGGTTAGCGATTCTTTTGCAATTGTTTGTAGGTATATTTGCACATGCCAATGAGTACAGATCTGGAGATGAACTTGCAATTTTGGTAGGACATACTAGTTCTACAAAAAGTCCTTTTACATACACATACTATGACCTGCCTTTCGTCTGTCCGTTTGGTTCCACAAAGGCAAGCCACCGTTCTTCTTTGGGCGATGTTTTGATGGACAATCGTTTTTCGTCGACGAACTTTCAGATTCGCATGTTGCAGGATGTATCTTGTAAGAATCTTTGTGAACTAAAGCTCTCAGATGAGGGCAAAGGTTCAGCAAAAGAGTACATTGAGAATGAATACAAGATCAATTGGAGTCTTGATGATTTACCTGCTGCTCTTAAACCCGCCGTCACCGGAAAAGACGTGCGCTATGTTAGTGGAATTCCATTTGGCAACATCTCTTATGGTAAGGTTTTTCTGTATAATCACTTTGACTTTATCATTCGATACCGTCCTGCTTCTCTGATCCAGTCCGACAAATGGCAGATTGTTGGTTTCGAAGTCCTTCCAATCTCCCAGGCTGATGCAACGTGTCCAGACGCATACTTGACGGACAACAAGGATGTTTCTGGAAACGAGTATGTGCTTGATTCCCAAGTTTCGGACGTACAATACTCATATTCTGTACGTTTTGTATTGGATGAACAAACAACCTGGGGACAGAGAATGAAAAAGTATGTAACTTACACATCATTGTATGATCGTAAATACGGTTTTATGAACGCCATTATTATTATTTTTCTGCTCTCAACTTTTGTTACAGGGATTGTGAGTCAGCAACTATTTACCAAGAAGTACGAGAACTACGAACAACTTCAGGAAGAAGGTCTCGAATCTGAAGATTCTGATACCTGGAAACTGGTTAAGACAGATGTTTTTCGCCCACCCGCGCACCCGCGTCTCTTTTCTGCTCTGTTCGGAGCAGGTTGCCAATTTGCTGCCATGTGCATGTTTTTAGTTCTTCTTGGCTTCTTGGGATGGGCGCAAAAAAAGGCTTCTGTTGTCAATAGCGCTATAGCATTGTACGTCTTAACAGGTGTTTTTGCTGGATACTTTTCTCAGTCCCTGTATCACTCTTTTGGCACTGATAAAGAATGGAAAAAGGTGGGAGTTCTGACCGCGTCATTGGTTCCGTTCCTCGTATCCTTTTTTGGCATGGTAATTAACTTCTTCTTCTTCGTTTCTTCCTCCTCGCGCGTAATCCCTTTTTCCACTATATTGGGTTTGTTAGCCCTTTGGGTGCTGATTAATGCTCCGTTGGTTTTTGTTGGCTCGGCAATTGCACTTCGTTGGCCGATATTTGAACAAACAATTGTTAATAGTCAAGTTTCGCGGTCAATCCCTCGCCAACCCTGGTATCTGAAATTCCCCTACAACGTTCTGTTTTCGGGTTGTCTTCCGTTCTGTTCTATATTCGTTGAAGTGTGCAACCTGCTCGCAATCACTTGGAAGGAGAACAATGCCTTTTTCTTCTTTTTTGATTATCTGTTTGGAATGATAGTTGTGATTACACTTACCATTTCGTTGACCGCTATCATATCCGTATATACGCTGCTGCAATCGGAGGTACGACGAATTGCATTTTCCGTTTTATCAACTACTCTTACTAACATCGCAACAGAACTATCACTGGTGGTGGCATAGTCTGTTAATAGGAGCAAGCCCTGCTATTTATCTTCTGTTATATGCCATTTACTTTTACTTCCAGAACCTTAGAACATATTCATGGAATGGTGTCATCGTCTACTATGGCAATTGTGCAATTGGAATTTGCATATTCGTCTTATATACAAGCACCGTCTCTTTCTTGTCCTCTTTACTCTTCGTAAAGACATTGTTTAAATCTATCAAGTCGGACTAAGTTTCAGTTCACGGCTTTTCCCTCTTACCAACTTCATGACTTTTCGTTAAGGCCCTAATTCCAACGTGTAGCCTATCGAACCCAAGAAAACTTGTTCTCCAATACAACACACTGTCAAATGTCCCTCATTCGACTTCGGGGGCCCGTTCTGTTTTCTAAAATCATTCTTTTGTCGAAAAAGCATCCGCGCCAACTACTTTTTTGTTTTGATCGAAGTTTTCAAACGACATCCACTAATAATGAAGAAATAATTAATTTGAGTAACCAAGTTCGGATGAAAGCTGCAGATGCTTTCCGACAAGAGGTATAGCGGTTTTTTTTTGTTGCATCCTTTTCTCTAAAACTAATAATTGCTGTTAACAGATATCACAATTTCGTAACCTTACGGACGAGATGAAAATAGGACCATCTATGGAAGTTTATGAACGGTTAAAGCCTCTGAAAAGTCTTACAACATCCAATCTTCAGAATTTGGTTCTCGCAATCACAAAAAAACAACTTCAGCAAAGTTTTAAAGAACCAGACCCGTATTTGGTTCAGTGTTTGAAGGACGTGACGGTGTATATTACAGAAAATCAACAAGTTTGTTCGGCTTCTTTGTGGACGTCCATTTTAAATGCCTACGTTTGCTTTCGTCAAAACGAAAAATGTCCCCTCGTCGCTGAGATGGCTTTAAGCTGGGACCAAGGTTGTCTTACGGACCAGCAACAGACTAATTCCACTGGTTTATTGTACGGGCACATTTTGAAGTGTCTGCTTTTGGGCAATGTTGACGCTTCCAAACGGAAAATGTTTCTTGAGTACGCAAAATCACGACTGGGAGATGAAAATTCCTCATGGTACAAGTTCTTCCTTTACACTCTAGCGGCTATTCAGAATTCTGAGTCAGCTCAGCCAAAGCTTACTTTCCTGATCCAGAGAAATGCTTTGTCGCAGCAACAATCACAGATAGCTTTCGACATTTTTACTCGACTATCTTGCTTTGACCAAGGCTTGCGCTACCTGAATCAACCTGGCCTAACGAAGAACTCCTTGCCCTCTAATTTTATATTTGCAAACTTCTTAAAAAACTACTGGACGCAAACGCACAATACTGCGAAGTTTCTGGAAGCCATCAACAATTACTGTTCGATAGCCAAGTACAGCAGCACACGGTTGCTGAACTTGACATTGGGCATTTTGTTCCGTGCCATCCCGGCCGAATCCGACAAGAAATCTGTGGAAAGTTTACTCTCTCAGCTCTCTGACTATTTATCCAAGCTGCACGCAGGGAAACCGAACATCGTCACGGCAAACACCTTAATTTCTGGTGCTTGTTTGTTAAAGGACAAAAAATGGTATGACTTGGGCATGCATTTCATAGACCAGTTTGGCCTAAAGCCGACTGTGGTTACATTTCGGTCTTCGTTCATTGCATTTGGCGCACTATCAATAGAACTCGCGGGCATTCAAAAACTGTGGAACAGCTTGAATGAGTTCCTGGCGAGTAAGTCTATGACACTAAGTCGTAGGGACTACGAAGCTGTGAGGAAATGCGTCCTAGAGCTGTCAGCCCGAAAGGATGCGTCAGAATACATAGAGTGGTTTAATAGCTTGCTTGAAAAGGAGCGAAAACTGGACGTGTCTGATTTGTATCTCCAGGAACAATCGGAGCAACCGAGTTTGAAGGAGGCAGGTCAATAGGCAGTCATGACACGCACATTCAGTTACTATGTGTTTTTTTTTAAAAAGTTGACATTATGATTATGATGAGCTACTATCTATTTAAAAATGTAATAATTCATTTAGAGGCCAATGGAAGGGTCATCACGCCGGTGCAAGAAGACTGTAGACGATTTCTTTTATCAGGACTCAAACAGTGTCTTAATTTGTCTTTTCTGTTTTTCCTCGCTGCTCGCTGCGCGACTCGAACCTACACCGTTTTAGTATTGTTCAGTCCCGGATTCGAACGAGGTACTGCCTGCAACCACTTTCGTGGTCGAGCGGTCAAGGTGTGGCTTGAAGATAGTAAGTAGTGAGTTTTGGCAGTCAGATGCGTCTAGCAACTGCCAATACCAGTTTTGTTAATCATGGTATGTTCCAGCGGCCATAGATCGACTAGAACTGTAGAACTAACGTCTTCTTAACAGAGTGCACAAGGAAACAGCGGGGTTCAATTGCTTTTGGAGGTATGATTTGCTTATTTGAGGATTTGTTGCTAATTTGTCTCGTTAGGCTGAAAAAGATGCCCGTAACATCGTCGAGAAGGCTCGTCAATGTAAGTAACTGTCTAAGGAACGTGAAGCAGGATATTGACTTTTGAAAGACCGTTTGCAACGGCTGAAAGATGCTCGCAATGAGGCAGCACACGACGTGGAAGAATACACAAAGTTCAAGAAGGACGAATTCGCAAAGTTTGAGGAAAATGTACGTATCTAGAGGATGAAAGTTTCAGCGGGCTGGTCTCTGAGTTTTGTCTGTGGTTCTTTTTGTTTCTCGATCGTGTTTGCTAACAACTTTCTTTACAGGCTTCTGTCTTGTACAAGCAGTCTGAGGAGGAGTCTAAGCAAGAGGTTGTCAAGATGATCGAGTCTATCAAGAGCGACTCCTCTGTAAATGCCGACAAAGTTGTTGACGAGGTTTTGGCTCTTCTTCTTGACGTGAAGTACTAAGACTCGGTGTCAGTTGTACATACAACAGTCGCTTACTTTCTCTATTGTCATTGACCTAATCGTGTTATTGAGCGGACTGTTTCCGGGCGTCTTATACTAGGATCCTGTTCCAGCACTGCTCATCACTCCTACCTTACTTTTTACTACTAATCAATAATATATACCCAGCTGCGTATTGAATGTGTTGCGGCTCGTTAAACCGCATTATGCTAAATAGTGGGGTTTGCGTTTTTCGTTAAATGTTTAGCGTGCTGCATATACTTTCGCTATGTACAATACCGCACTCCTCTGTCTCACAAAACAGATATAGCGAGCTGTATTGAGTTCTTCTGCACTCGATCGCACTCGATCGCACTCCTGCGCACTCTTACATCCCCTTGCGCGCTCACCATCTTACACCGCCCCTGGTTTAACCGACCCTCGTGTGGCTCTGACGTCCTATCGTGTCGCTCGCTTATACCCCAAACGCAGTCTTAGGCGAGTGCTGCTCGCGCTGTAAACCAATGGGCAAATTGTTCGGCGCATTTAAAGTGGCCCCAGTCACCTCTAACGCATGCTACTAAAACACGCTTGATGTGGTGGGTGGATGACATCGCTACTTCTTCACCACCACGACATTACCTGGGCCCCACAGAGTACTACGCTCGCGCGAGCTCCTACCCACTACCATACCTGAAGTTACGACCGAATTATGCGGCAACAACGGTTCGTGGTTGCTCTGCATTCTTTCCCGGGAAAGAGCAGCGATGAGCTGCCTCTAGTCGCGGGAAAAAAGTACTTTCTAATTAAAATGGACGAGGAATTCAGCGATGGCTGGTGGGAGGTACGTTTTCTCGCTCGTTAGGCGTGTTTCGTGGTTCTACGGGAGGAGAAACATCTACGAGTCTGTTTGTGTACTGTTTTTTCGCGTTTGTGGTCTAACAATTGCGGTTTTAGGGACGAGACGAAGAAGGTAATCAGGGTATTTTTCCAGCGTCACATGTAGAGCTGTTAACGGTTGAACCACACAATGAGAGTATCCCGCAGCCTCCATACATGGACACCTTTGAGCTTCCAGACTCTCCGATTCTGCAGCACAAACCGTCAAACCTGGGAAACCTAAACGACGGGATATCATCGTCGATAGCGGCGACGGCTGCAGCTCTAGAGAACCATGCCCTGATGGAGGACGAGCGGAATGAGTTGATGCGTAAGATGACAAACTCTTCTGACGCTCTGAATCGCATGGATAGTTTTACAGACGATGGTTTGGACAACGTTCCATACGACGGAGGTATTGATCGTCCTTCGACCAGTTCCTCGCAGGCACACGTACCTGAGTTGATGAACACGAGTGCGTTGGCCGATAGTCCTACCCTTCAACACACATTCGAGCAATCGTCAAACACAGCAGAGGAGTCTATGCGTGAGGCGATGACTGACATCGAAGCTGTCTTAATGAACATGACGTCTGGTAAAGACACAACAACCACTACTACACAGTATGATAAGACGCCTCACTACGACGAGGCTCCTCAATTCGATCGGACACCTCAGTTCAACGAGTCTTCCCAGTACAATGAGGCTCCTAGGTTCAATGAAGCTCCTCGATACAATGAAGCTCCTAGGTTTAACGAAGCTCCCCGGTATAACGAGCCTCCCAGGTTTAACGAAGCTGCTCGGTACAATGAGCCTCCTCGGTTTACTGAATCATCGGCGTTTGATGAGGACGATCATTCTTCTTCCTTCACCAACAGCGTCAATGATCCTCTACAGTCGGTGATGAACTGGTCCGCAAGCGATGTAGCTGACTGGCTCACTCGTGTTGGCTTGGAGAGTGTGTCCAACAATTTTTATGTCAACGACATTAACGGTGAAATTTTGCTCGAGCTTGACTCTAACAGTCTGAAGGAGCTGAACATTCCCTCCTTTGGTAAGCGGTACGAGGTGCTTCGGAAGATTCAGCAACTTCGGGACGAGATTATGGGTTCGAAAGCCGACTTTTATGCACCGAACTCGCCTGCTGCATTTGTGAATGAGGGTTACGCTTCTGTAAAGCTGACCAAGCAATTCTCCCAGCCAAGTCCACTTGCGGACACTTTCCGTTCGGCGTCTCGGGCATCGAGTATCCCTCCTCCGAATGTCATGGCGCCGTTCTCCACTCGTGTGAATGATGAGCCGTCCCTGTATCTTAACCAGCAAAGGATCGGCCATGCTTCCCGGACAGCAACACCCACTCGTGGTTTCTACGATCGACCCGCAGAAACAACAAAGGAAACCGCTCCTGTTGTTCCACGGGCGCAGACATTGGCGCCGCAAATGCCTCCTCTGACCATGTATCCCACCCTGGACAGTGACTCGGGCATTCTTTCAGCGCCGCCCGTCTCCAGAACGCCCGTGCCAGACGGTCTTGTTTCGCGACAACGATCCCCATCGAAAGCGTCCAAGAGCTCCAGCATGCTCAGTTTGCGTGCGGACTCTATGAAGGACGCTGCTCCCTCACTCCCCGACATCGAAATCAAGCCGTCGGTTAACGATACAACTCTACGAAATGCCCCAACCCTCGCCCAACCTGCAATTAATGATGTCCCAACTATCATTCAACCAACACCAGTATCGACTGCTCCTGAGCCGCCTAGTGCTCCCCCTCCTCCTCGACCTAGTTCGCCTCCAAAACCCAAGGCACCGGTACCACCTGTACCGACATCGGCACCGCTTCCTGTTCCTACTGTGAAGCCAATGCTGACCGAAGTGTCAAAGGTCTCGTCGCAAAGTGATGCTAGTGTTTCCTCCTCTACACTTGAGAAAACGCTTACGTTAGAGACACCGGCAGACGCCAAGCCACCAGTCAAGAGCTACCACAGACTCCGTGGCCCCATACCTAGAGCTGTTTCTGGTTCATCAAACAACACATCCTCTAGCCAGACACCGAGTTCGAGCATCAACACAACAGCACCTGCTGCTCCTGCTCCTCCCCCTCCTACACAAAAGTTGAAGCCGGCCGAGGAGGCCAAGTTGGCTTTAGCAACTAAGGCAAAAGAGCCAACAGTGAAGCGGAAGTCAAAGCGTGACTTTTTTGGACGCCAAAAGATTTTACCCACCGGCATTAGTGAAGGTTTGGCTAATGTTCCCGCCACAGAAGCTATAAAAACCGCAGACTGTCATGGTTGGATGCGGAAACGCAGTGACCGCTATGGCGTGTGGAAGACCCGGTATTTCGTGTTGAAGGGGACAAGACTGTCTTACTACCATTCACTTTCCGATGGAAAGGAAAAGGGTCTCATTGATATAACATCTCATCGAGTAGTGAAGGTTGACGACTTTGTGTTGAGTCCTGGTCGCACGGTCATCAAGCTGATTCCTCCTGCCCCTGGCGCAGCCAAGGCTGCTGTTATGTTTACGCCCCCCAAAGTGCATTACTTTACATGTGAGAACGACGAGCAGCTGCGCAAGTGGTCGAGCTCGTTCCTGAAAGCGACTGTTGAGCGCGATCTGTCTGTTCCAGCCCTGACGACGTCGAGAATGCCGACGATTTCGTTGATCAAGGCGAGGGAGCTGCGGGCTCGTCCGCCTTCACTTTTGCTTGACGATAATGACGAAGGCCTTGAATCCTCTTTAGGTCGCAGCCGCGTTGTCAGTGACTCGAAGGCCCAGAAGGGTTCGTCGCCGAAAGAGTCGACGATTGCGACCATTCAAAAGAAGATTGAGAAGATGAAGTTGTAATGTTTATATAAGGAATCCTGAGCGCCGCTGTTAATACTGCCCATTGCTTGGCTCGTTGTGCCGGGCATTGGACCTTGGAATTGGATCGTGGGCTATGCCGGAAGATTCGTTCTTAGTTTTATTCTTTTTTTTTCGTACACCGTCATTCACTTTTTCTCAACCTTCAATCTAATAATATCTATGTCTTCCGTCGTTTGTACGTCCGAGCAAGCATGCGTACACACGCAACCGAATCATGGACAGCGATTGAGTGTTCGCTATACTGCTTGAGCTCCTTCCATGAGCACCTTTGGGTCCTGGGGAATGCATTTCATCTAATTTCTTTTCAATATTTTATTTATTACTACGCTAGGGGGAGGAGGGAGAACGTATGGCTGTTCCGTGTCGGGATGAAAGGTTGGAGAGATCTGTTTAGCTAGTGTTTGTTTGAGTGTGCGATCCCTAATGGGAATTGGTTCATCAAAGTATCGCACTAGTATATGGATATCGGTAATTAGTATCCTGCAGATGACATGTATTCTATATCCGTTCTGCTCATTCTGTTTTAAATTTACATATAGATTTACATTTACACTTACACTTACGTTGATGTTAGTATCTGTATTAATATCAATATCTATGGTTATATTTATATTTACTTTTAATTCTACTTTATATCTATCTACAAGTTCAATCTATCGTATCACAGCAAGTTTTATCGTTTAACTTTATTCCCTTCAGCCTATTCTCCGTCCCGTTTGCCAACGATTCTATATATACATAAACATTCATAAATACATATACATACATATAAATGTATATACACTCGCGAATTGGATTATTCACAAAACAAAATAAATAAAAATTATGAACAATATACAGTAAATAGAGCCATAACTTTTCTGTGTATTTTCTTATTAATCATTTCTTATCCCACTTATCCTACTTATCCTTTCATCCTCATCGGTCATTAAATTCGCTTACCGGTCTCCCTCTAGCACCCCCGTCGCGCGCCCATCATCTGACCTCACCCTCGCTCCTAAGCTTCTTTTCGCATCCACGACCTTTCAGGGTTAGGGTTGACGTGGTGGTGAGTTTGGGGAAGTATAAAAATACAATTCTAACCAGCGCACATACTTTTAACCAGACTCACAAGTCAGTTCAAGGCTGTAAGTTTCTAGGAAAAATGGCTCAGCAGAACGTTCCTACCTTCAAGCTTGTTCTCGTTGGTGACGGTGGTACCGGTAAGACCACCTTCGTCAAGCGTCACTTGACTGGTGAATTTGAGAAGAAATACATTGCTACTTTGGTACGTGCGGAAGAGTAGCGCGGGGAGCACGGAGAGGACGTCGGGAGGAGCTGCCTGGCCCGTTTTTCTGCGCTGATTGACGCCGTTTGATGCTCTTTTTGGACGAAGTAGACCGAAATACGCGGTTTTGTGTGCTGGTCGTGTCACCAAGACGCGTTGAGACGGCAGGAGATGCTCCAGGATTGCTCAAAAGTACCCATAACGGTTCCCGTATACGTCTGCTCCGTGTGACCTGCGTCAGCCTCGTTGTTTCCGCTTCGAGACTCACCGGATCTGTCGCTAACTAGTGTGTAGGGTGTCGAAGTCCATCCTCTTCATTTCCACACCAACTTTGGTGAGATCTGCTTCAACGTGTGGGATACTGCTGGCCAAGAGAAGTTGGGCGGTTTGAGAGATGGTTACTACATCCAAGGTCAATGCGGTATCATCATGTTCGATGTTACTTCTCGTATTACCTACAAGAACGTTCCTCACTGGTGGCGCGATCTCGTTCGTGTCTGTGAGAACATTCCCATCGTTCTTTGCGGTAACAAGGTTGATGTGAAGGAGCGTAAGGTTAAGGCCAAGGCTATCACCTTCCATCGCAAGAAGAACCTTCAATACTACGACATTTCCGCCAAGTCCAACTACAACTTCGAGAAGCCCTTCTTGTGGCTTGCTCGCAAGCTGGTCGGCAACCCCAACCTCGAGTTCGTTGCCTCTCCCGCTTTGGCTCCTCCCGAGGTCCAAGTCGACCAACAATTGCTTGCTCAATACCAGCAAGAGATGAACGAGGCTGCCGCCCTTCCTCTTCCCGACGAGGACGATGCTGATTTGTAAGCTCGTTAACCGCTTCGTCTTGATTAGAGGATGCACATGTGTTCGGGTTGGTACTTAAAAACTGAATAGTAAATGGAAATGACGCGGTGTTGCTAGAATGAATGGGCGGAGGCGAGAGGGCTTGTGTGGGTCGGATGTACAGTTCGGGTGGATGGAGCGGTTTGGAGGTTCCGTCAGAATCTCATTGTGCACCAAAGGCTGTTTTCTGCTGTGCTTCGAGACTTGTCTCGGTGAACAGTTGGTCTATATACAGACATGACTCGCCGTTGATGAGACAATCACAGACAGGACACTTCCAAGGGGAGCTAGTGCTAGATGTCAACAAAAAGGAGCCGAGCTCAAAACACTTTTTTTGTTATCGTTAGTAATTGAGTGTGTGCAACGCATGGTTTCGTACCTCGAAATGCTCGCAACGGTTGGACCGGGCTGCAAGATTGGTGTCTGTTTTGCCGGCGTTTCGTAAATAAACATGAGTGGGTATGTCAAACTTGCGAGTACTCAAGAATTGCATGCACTCAGACTTGGGACGAACAGTCACCGAGGACAAGATTTGGCGCACTGTTTGAACTTTGAAAAGACAAAGACTTGTGAAGTAGCGATCGCTCAGCATAACCACAGACAGAACATTGTTTGGCTCTTTAATAAAATTTGTCACTTCCACCGGCGACTTGCACGAATCACCAATCGGTACGTGTACGCCGTTGATTTGGACGAACAATTCTGAAGGGTAGGCGCATTTTTCCAAATAGTCGTAAGGATCGCTTGAGTTTGGGGTGTCTGCGTAAAGACAGAAAGAGTTTATACTGCTTGTTCTCCTTTGGTCTTGAAAACAATGTTAGCGACAGGAAAAGCGGTGAGATTTCAAATCAATTGTATGAGTTACCTCTGTTTGAGCAGAAGCATGTCTTCTTTGGATATGTCAAAAGGAATTTCCAAGAGATAATGCAGCTCGTGCTTCCGAACAAAAGGAATGTAATTGGATTTGGGAATGTAAACGCTTGAAAGGATTGGGGACTGGGACACAGGCTTTTTCATACCTAGTTTTGTTAGCTGAGAAACGAAAATGAAGAGCGGCGGGCACACAAACATTTTGTGGATACTTCAGGCTCGCCCGACAGTTCTTCCAACAGAGGAGCGACACCATTTTGGCTTGTAGGAGGTGCTGGTTTTGAAGAGGATGAAAGAGTCTTGGGATGGTTTGGCGTCGACACGTTTGGAAGAAGAGATTGGTAAGCTAGTGCGAGTTTGCGCTTAATCACGATCGATGTGTCGACTAGCTTTTTTCGAGTGATTTCGTCGTAAAAACTGTACTTCAGTGACTCGAGATTTATTGTAAGGAGTGCGAGTAAAGTCTTTTCCGAATTGCTGGACTCTGCAACTGAGCATAGTATGAGGATCATTTTCGTGCAAACAGGACCCCAGTCAACATTCTGCAGCAGTGACTCGAAGGAGTTTCGAAGGATGAAAATCATTTCTTCGGTGATATAATCCAGTGAATCCAAGACACTTCCGTGAATAAAAATCAACAACAAACGATATGTCCGAACAATCAATTGTTCGTACGTGCTCATTTGCGTAACCGGCGGAATCGTATCCACCCAATTGTTCAATTTCACTAATTCATCATAGTGTTTTTTTACATCATCAAAAAGACTTTGTGAAATGGTCAACGAGCCTGTAGTTCGCGACATGAGTTCTGTTGGTAAGAGAAAGCAGAATTGCCAACTGGTATTGGAAAGACTTGGGGGAATAAAACTGTGTCACGACAGGAATGTAAGTGCGAGAGCAATAACAATTTTCATGCGTCAATAGTATCCAATAGTAAGAAAGCACGAGAGTACAGGCGAATGTACTAGATTACGGTTTCGTTAAGCTTGATTGAGTTATAACTTTGCTTCATGTACAAATCTTGTTTCCCAAAGCTCTTTTTACCGGGTGGACGTGTACTTGACAAATTTGAACAAGACTGCAAATTTTGCTGTCAGTATCATGTCAGAGCAACCATTTTTTGACAGTGAAAGTGGTCTTTGGAAGTTTAAAGATCCAAACGGTGCCGAATTATACTGGGATGATGGGGAAAAAGCATGGAAAGACCAGGTACAGTCGGGCTATCTTTTCATTCATTAAAACTAACACGGACTATTCTAGGACGGTGCTGTTTTGAAGAACACAGACCCTTCTGAAGTAAAAAGCTTTGAAAAACTCGAAGCCGAACATATTCAGGAGCAACGTCAAAAAAATGAGACTCGTAAACGGAAGAACAGCTCAAGTTCGGACACGATCAATCCTCCATGCTCTCCTAATCGGACTGAAGAAGTGAATAAAGATGCCAATAAACCCCCGGTTGTTATCAACAAGGCTGTTTACGTGCAAGGATTACCGAAAAACGTAAGCGTGAAAGAGGTCCAAGAAACATTCAGCAAGTGTGGTATCATTGCAGAAAACATTGACACTGGAACACCGAGAATCAAGCTGTACACGAATGACGCTGGTGAGCTGAAGGGAGACGCATTGATTGTTTTCTTAAGAAGCGAGAGTGTCGATATGGCAGTACAACTTTTGGACGACACAGAACTTCATTACGGATCAGGACTACGTATGCATGTGCAGCCGGCTAGTATAGACTACAAAAAGGAAAAAACCGTTCGAAACGCATTACCCGAGAATGTCAAGAAAAAGCTAAAGCGGCGGCGTCAGCAACAACTCGAGTACGAAGGAATCGACATGAATTGAGGAATTGCTTACTAACACTCTACAGAAAACTAGCTGAATGGGATGATACAGAGAGTCCGGAAGCCGAACGGTTACGGAAAAAATGGGGCAAGTTTGTCGTCTTGAAACATATGTTCACGTTGGAAGAGATCGAAGCTGCGCCCGAACTATTGATTGACTTAAAGGAGGACATAACCGCTGAAGCCGAGAAATGTGGAGAAGTCACGAATGTGGTGCTTTATGATAAAGAACCTGATGGCATCGTGATGGTTCGTTTTCGGACAACAGAAGCTGCAGATGAATGCGTACGGCTCATGGAAGGTCGTTTCTTCGATGGCCGTGTTGTTGAAGCCTTTGTTTACGACGGAAAAACTCGTTACCAAAAGACTGGACGGCATGAGGAACTTAACGGAGACGAGAACGAATCCGAACGGCTTGAACGGTTTTCGGAATGGATTGAGAAGGAAGGTAACGAATGAGTGGCTTACATGTTTACTACAGCTACTGGTCTACGGAGGATCCGCTAAACAAGGCTTCCCTAAAAAATATGTATTCATCTTTTATTAATATCAAGTTCCCGTAATGGGTCATGTACATATATCACTTGCACGTTTGCAAGCAACTTTGATGTGAATGCAAATCAGTACATCCCGTACATCCCTGTGCTGCGATTGTTATTTTGTAATATTAAATCTTTAAAACTCGTTAACTACATTGAACAAGAATGGGGATAATTTTTTCTTGCAACTCATCTTTTATTTACAAAAAGAGAACCTGAAAATGTGGAGCTTTCCAATGGGAGAGTATGTGAAAAATGTTTTTAGTGAGACTGATTTCCATTAATTCGGAAAAAAATCACAAAAATCGGCAAATTAATTCCAAAAAATCCACCAAAAATATAAAAAAATTATCACAGCCGCAATCGAGCATGTTATTTCAGAAAAAAGACACTCGTTTACTAATTATTGAAATTGTCCACTGCTTACCTACCCTTCGGCTGTTCTACCAACTCCACACCAACAACCAGTTGAATCTTGGAGACTGAAAAACGGTGAACGGCCATTCTAGACTTGTTATTTCCATTAGCACAAGTCTCTGTATGCTCTCGTTCATAAGTTTACCGTTTTAGATTTTTATTATTACTAATTTTTGTTTCTGATATCACGTATATACCCATTTCATTAAGTCATTTTTGCAGAAAGATACCTATTCATTTGCGACGTGATACCAGCCGTTTTTACACTACAGAATTACACAGGTAAAAAACGGCTCAATTTTAGATACCTTTGTGATGCAACGCAACAATCTGAAGCACCGGGAAGGAACCAACAAGTATACTCCGGGAATGGCAAATTCAGCAGTTTCTGTTGCGGCGACTCGCTCGCACAGTAACTTTCCCGGCAGAGACAGATCAAAAATCTCGATGAATCATCCAAACGATAGTCACTTGTCGGCAATCCAGGACTTCTATATCTCCAGCATTCAATCGAGTATACCGTTCGAGTCAGATGCCATAATTCCTGCTTACGGTATTGGTGATATGATTGTTCCAGAGATAAACGAAAACGTCTTAAATCCAGCTCTTGGTTCGCAAGTGAGTCTCGCCCGTCCTCACTTTCAATATGCGATGCCCAATATATCTTCATCAAGTGTCATGTCCACTATCAAACGAGCAACAAACTCTTCAGAAATTCCACGCTCTTCGTCCGGTACAAGTCGATTTGCCTCATCGTTGTCTGTAGCGCAAACGTCTCACGAAGATCCTCGCAGCCATCGTCAGCATAATGCTTCCCCGCTGCAGAAACAAGTCCAGTACGATATTCCTTTTGCTTTACCCATAACGGGTGAAGAGCAGCTCGTATGGTTACAACAAAATGAAGAAGCCGCGCACTCCAATGAGCCCGAAGCGGCTCTTGAGTGGGCAGAGTTTGCGCTCAATTGTTGTGCTATTGAAATCCCTTACTATCAAACGAATCGCCCAGACTCCCAAACACTCGAGGCCCTTGAGCAGGTTTGCACTTTTGCCCTCACTACGATTCGTGATTTTGCAAGTCAAGGTAACATTAGAGCTATTTATGATGACGCCCGTACCTACGAAGTGGGGATATTCGATGTCTGCTCTGACATCGACCAAGCTTGGCAAATGTATGCAGACTCAGCCGCCCAGGGCCATGCTCGAAGCCTGTATCGTTTGGGTGTTATTTTGGAGGAGCAAGGCGACCTGGAGGGTGCTGTGCAGTATTTTGAGCGCGGCATTGAAGAAAACGATACTGCTTGCTGCTGGAGGCTAGGTTTATTGATACTGGAGGGCGAACTCGATAACATGGGATATGCCGAACAACGCAGCCGTGGTGTCGACTTAATTAGACAAAGTGCGAAGTATGCCGATGCAGATTCTCCTTCCGGATTATACAGCTATGGCTTACTGCTTTTGCACGAACATCCCGGTTTTGTGGATCTCGATGCTGAAAATGTACAAGTAGAGCGTGACGAACATACTGCTGTGCGCTCGTTTGCGAAAGCGGCCTTCCTCGGCAATTCTTCCGCTCAACTACGTATGGGTGCTGTGTTTGAATTTGGTAAATATGGCCTTCCGTTAAATCCAGAATATTCTGTTTTGTATTACACACTTGCTTCCCGTCAAGGAGAGACGGAAGCCGATGTTGCGCTGTCAAAGTGGTATTTACATGGTGGACACAATGTCCCCAAAGATGCTGACCTTTCATATGAACATGCTTCAAAGGCAGCTGTCGCTGGAAATGCGACTGGTCAGTTTATTACCGGTTACATTGAAGAGATGAGAGGTAACATTGATGATGCTATCAATTGGTACTCAGCAGCCGCCTCTAATGCACATGAAGAGGCGCAAGACCGTCTACAGAAAATCCAAAGAAAGCGTTCTCATGCTTCACAAGCTGCACAGGCCCCTCCTAATGAAGAGCCTGTTGCTCAAGCACCGCGGACTGTTTCGGAACTTAAGAAAGCGTCCGTTCGTGCTTCCAAAGAAATTACAAGCGTTGCCCAAAACAATCCGACTGCTGCCAAGGGAGCTAGTTCCTCGTTGGGTAACAGACACTCCTCAAAGACCAAGAAAAATGGCTGCACAATAATGTAAATCCTAAAGGCACATTCGTTTTGTTTCCACCCTCCCGCACGCTGGCATCTAATCTAAACTTGCGATAATTTCATCACATCTGTCCATCTTTATTTTGTCTTATGATTTTGTCTTCTATTATTTTTTTTTCTCAACTCAACAGGATTTTACGATTTTTACGCGCGTCAAAAATGTCAAAACCTTCCCGCTCAAATGATCCTACAATCCTCTTTTTTTCGTCTTTTCCAAAGAAGACACAGATCGAAATGAAGCTTTAGGCACTACTAGCATATGATGCATTTTTCCGACAATTTTGCAACATCACCTATCCTTCTTCATCACCAGAATGAGTTCGCATACTGCGTATAATTGATTACATACAATACATTCACTAATAGATGCTCTTCTGTCAATGTAGTAGAACTCGTAATGAAGGGTATTATCATATACATACTTTATACGCACTCGCAGTGTTCAACCAAATCTAAAACCCCAAGACTTAACCCGTACCAAAAAACGCTTAAATTAAACCTACATTACAAGTCGAGTCTCTTGAACAGAGCCTTTAAATGTGCAGAACTATGCAAACGAGGATTCAACTTAGTATCCCGAGCCATTTTTTCGAAACTCTCGTCATCAGTACCGTACTTTGCAATTAAACGGTTGACGTACTCCCGTTCGTACTTACTGAGAGGATTCTTTTGTCTGGGCTTTGCACGCTCAGCTGCTTCCCGCTCCAGCTTTGCAACGAGGTCTGTTTTCGCAGGAGCTTGGTCGATAGGAGCATCTAAAACATCATCTAAAGTCTTTTCCTTTCCGTATACGACTTCAATGATTTCACCGTCGTCATTACGACGGATTAAGGCCTGTCCAGGAAGAAGATTTTTCTTGACCTCCTCTAATTCCTCAGCGGTAGGCTCGTAGTTTTCATCACGCTTGGGGGTAGGGTAAAGCTTCTCTGTACCACCAGTAGCATGATTCGGAGTGACAATGAGACCCATCTTTTGATAACTAAGTAGTTCGTTAGTAACCAAATGCCAAGAAAATAAAAGTTTTGAAGAAAAAAAAAAAAAAAAAAAAGGACTGTAAAAGTAATGAAAACAGTAACACTTCTCAAAAACTCTTAAGGTTCACAACATACTTTTGCTTTAAAGTCAAGTTTTTATCCCAAGCTTCACTGATAAAATGGTTGCCAAAAGTTTTAGGCTTTTTCACGCGATTGGCAGTTCTGCGTGTAAGGCGTGCATGACCGGAGCGCTGTTTTCTTCTTTGTCTAGGATTGGCCATTTTCCTGATGCTGTACCTTAACTAGTACACGAAAAGATTGTTTCTTTCTTGAAGGAAGCCTTATGGACGGCTCTGGGTAAGTCTTGTTTTTGGGTCTTGGTCTCACAGCCAACATTTTTTGGTGGTGAGTTTTGCCAACCTACATGCTTTTGGCCCCCACCAACAGCAAAACACTTTATTCCCCCGGGAGCTTGGAGAGATGTGGTGGCCGATCAGCTTCTGCACGCAAACTTGCCATCTCCCATATCGTTGCTGTTTTCATACAAATTGCAGCTCATTCTTTTGAAGATCCTTCCCAAGGACAATGGAGAACCCGAAAAGTCATACGGCGGAAAATGAAGAAAGAATTCTTCCAGAGGTCGAGGAACGGCCAATTGTCATGATCGACAATTACGATAGTTTTGTGTGGAACGTCGTTCAATACCTCTCTAATCTTGAGAAACGATACCCTATTATTGTGTTCAGAAACGATGAGGTATGTGCACTCAATTGAAATTGCTAGTTAATATTGTGCCATGGTCACCAATTTGCGTGTTTTTGGTCTATCTAATGACTTCTTTTCCCTTTTTTTTTCGTGTTTTTACTAACAGTTTAGATCACTGTCGACGAACTTGAAAAGCTGAATCCTCGTAAGCTTGTTCTCTCGCCTGGTCCGGGTCATCCTACTCGTGATAGCGGTATTTGTAACGAGGCAATCGCCAGATTTGCAGGCAAAATTCCTATTTTTGGAGTATGTATGGGTCTCCAATGTATTTTCCATAGTATGGGCGGCAAGGTCGAGTCTGCCGGTGAGATTATCCACGGTAAGACCTCCAAAATTTATCATGACGGTCTTGGTCTCTACGACGGCATTCCTCAGGGGATTAATGTTATTCGTTACCACTCGCTCGCTGGTAACGTCTCCACGCTTCCCGACAGCTTGATTATTACGAGTTGGACGGACAACGGTATCATTATGGGTGCACGTCACAAGGAGTATTGTATTGAGGGCGTTCAATACCATCCTGAAAGTATCCTTAGTGAGTACGGTAAAGAGTGCATGAAGAACTTCCTTAACTTGGAAGGCGGCACCTGGGCTGAAAATGGAATTCATATGCCTCAGGATAACTCGGCCTACGAGAACCGTGACAAGGAACATCCTGTAGAAAAGAAAGAGTCCATTCTCGAAAAAATCCATAAGAAGAGACTGGTGGATGTGGCCGAGAGCAAGAAGATTCCCGGTAAAAGTGTCGCTGATTTGAAGCGCTATTTGGAGCTTGGATGTGCTCCCCCCAGCATTGACTTCGTTGCTCGTTTACGTCAGAGAAAGCCGGCTCTTATGGCTGAGGTTAAACGTGCCTCTCCATCCAAGGGCGACATCAATCTCGATGCAAATGCTGCTGCTCAAGCCTTGGCTTATGCCTCGGCCGGTGCTTCTGTGATCTCAGTGCTTACGGAGCCTCATTGGTTCAAGGGCTCCTTGTCCGACATGGAGCTTGCTCGCAAGTCTGTTTCCCACCTTTCTAACCGCCCTGCAATCTTGCGCAAGGATTTCATCTTCGATCCTTATCAAATCATGGAGGCTCGTCTTCACGGTGCCGACACTGTCCTTCTCATCGTTGCTATGCTTAGTCAGGGTCAGCTGGAAAGTCTGTACTCTTATTCCAAATCTCTTGGAATGGAACCCCTGGTTGAGGTAAACTGCCGTGAAGAAATGGAGATTGCCTTGAAGTTGGGAGCTAAGGCGATCGGTGTTAACAACCGCAACTTGCATACCTTCCAGGTTGACTTGAACAACACATCAAGTATGGCTTCCATGGTTCCTGAGGACGTTGTTTTGTGCGCTCTGAGTGGCATCTCGTCTGCTAAAGATGTAGAGAAGTACGTTGAGCAGGGTGTCTCTGCCGTTCTTGTTGGAGAGTCACTTATGAGAGCCAGCGATGTGAACTCCTTTGCCAAGGAGTTGGTTGGTTTGCCTAATCTCCCTAATCCCACTTTGTCCGCTCCATTGGTCAAGGTTTGTGGAACCCGCTCCGTCAAGGCTGCAAAGTGCAGTGTTGAAGCTGGCGCCGATTTTATTGGCGTTATCTTTGCTAAGGGAAGCAAGCGCGAAATTAAACTCTCCATTGCCAAACAAATTTCTCAATATCTCAAGGGTGCAGCAGCAACTGCCAAGCCCAAGTATGATACTGCGGGTCGGCAACTCGGATACTTCCAGGACCAACTCTCTCAGTACACACAGACCAAGCGCCCCCTCCTTGTTGGTGTTTTCCGCAACCAAAGTTTGGAGTATATTCGTCAAATTGACGCTGAAGTTGATTTGGATATTATCCAACTTCATGGTAACGAACCTGCCGAATGGGCAACGATGTTGAAGAAGCCCGTTTTCCGTGCATTTTCGCCTGAAAACAAGACTGACATTGGTACACCCCGTCTGCATTCCCTGCCTCTAATTGACGCCTTTGTTGGCGGCCAATCTGGTGGATTGGGTACTACTGTGGATTGGGAAGCAGCTGCTAAGCTGAATGTTCCTTTCATTCTTGCTGGCGGTCTCAATCCCGAAAATGTGAAGGAAGCCATTCAAAAGACAAACGCCGCTGTAGTCGATGTCTCGAGCGGTGTTGAGACGAATGGTGAACAGGACCTTGCTAAAATCAAGGCTTTCGTTAAGAACGCCAAGGGTCTTTAAACCGTTCCGCTTCAGGTTGCACACAAGCTACTTTAGAAACATATACAGCCCCCATTTTTGTTTACCTTTTTCATCAGTGTTTTTTTTTTCTGAATCGCGATACACAAAATTATTTCCAACGAATACGATATCTTTTTGACTTTTTTTTTTACATTGAAAGTGAATCGTCACCAAAGCTTCACTTGGTGATGCACCTGTACCGTAGACCATAATGAGATTCCTTTCTCTCCCGTGTATCCCTTCTTCGGCGCCGTCGTCCCACTGTATATGAGTTAGCTTTGTTATAAATATATATGTCATATATATGCTAAAGAGATGATAAAACGAATGTGTTTAAGTTGGTCTTTGTAGAACAGCTCGTCAAACTTTACACGGTAAAAAAGGAGGCAAATAGGCCCGATTGAGGATTAATGCTGCTGTACTGCCCGATGCAAAAAGGGTCTGATATTACTTTAACTCAGTATTAGCGCCCAACCATCCCAATCCTTCGAGCAAACCATCGCCTGTTAAGGCACATGTTGGTTGGACACTCCAAAGACGGTTCTTGAGCGAAGTCAATTGCAACACCTCCGTGATCTGAGCCGGGGAAAGAGCTAGATAGCGAGTTAGCGCGAAGGATAGAGCAGAATAACCTCTTCATACCATCTGGCAAGTCTTGTTTATTGGCGAACACAAGCAGTAAGGCGTCCTTCATCTCTCTATCGGAAATAATACGATGCAGTTCGGTTCGAGCTTCTTCCAGTCGACTTCTGTCGGCAGCATCAACAACGAAAATAAGACCTTTTGTACCAGTGAAATAGTGTCTCCAAAGGGGACGGATTTTATCTTGTCCGCCGACGTCCTGCATGCAGAAAACACTTGTCAGTTCTGTGGTCATTGGGGGTACATAGCGTATTTCCATGTGTTCGTGTATACATACCCATACATTAAATTTTACGTTTTTGTAACTAACAGTCTCGACATTAAACCCAACTGTCGGAATCGTGGTCACGCTGAAATGTAAGCGACATGTTATACGCAGACGATGAAAGAAAAAACATCAAGTGTTACCTTTGGTTCAGCTTTAGTTTATATAAAATGGCTAAACAGTATTAGTAAGCATGTTTTTTGCACACTAAACAACATTCCGAAACAGACCAAACTCGTCGTCCTGCCCTTGTGTTCACTTACTAGTTTTACCGGCGGCATCCAAGCCAAGCATAAGAATTCGCATTTCCTTGTTTCCAAAAACGCGGCTAAAGAACTTGGAAAAACTGTTTCCCATGCTTTCAAACAGACAAAAGAGGCGCAGAAAAGATGGACCTTGGCGAGACTTTAGTTGTCAACTGATTTCACAATGTATCTGGAGTATGGTAATAACCGGGAAACAAAATCTAAGCAGGCAACTACACGTATAAAAGCAGTGAACGCAAGTGCTATTAAACAAAACAAATTTCTGGACACAATCCTCAGCCCCAAAATGACTTTCGTTACTGGAATACCCAACTTTGGTGTGTGGTTTTGCGTGTAACGGTGCTGATAACCTGCGGCTACTAAAAGCGTTCGAGTGCACGAAAGGGGATGGGAAAGCCCGCAATGTAGACAAAAGACTTAAATAGAAGCTAGGAGAAAGCGAGAACACAAACAATCTCTTTCTTGTATGTAGTTAACTGAAATGAACTTGTGTTTGTTCGCTGAAGGTGCCAGTTTTGACGAAATTCGTCTGGTAAAAGGGCCGTTCTAGCCGTCAGAATCACGGAACGCAAAAAGGCGACAGGGAAAGCGGAGAACCTGCATTAGAACGCGTCAAAACATGATTGATGTCTCGTTTTGTTATTTTTCGTATCTAAACAGTTTTGTATATTGCGTTCCAGTGTATACAAAGATTTCATTTAGCGCGACGCGTCTTTAAGCTTTTCTACTACGTCATACAGCATTCAAAATTAAATTGTACAGCAGAAATGAACCTGCCAAGAACCACACACTTCAATTTTAAGGAATCTGCCACCGTTCCCACACAATGTCTACTAAAGGAAAAACTATCACTTGTAAAGTACGTTTTACACTTTGTTTGAGCGATTTCTAACACGAAAAGGCTGCCATTGCTTGGAAAGCTAGCGAACCGTTAACAATTGAGGAGTATGAATGGGTTTGCGGACGACATATCGGGAAATGTAAATGCTAACTTGTCAATTGCTACATTGTGGACTTGAATTGACCGGTTAAAACCGTCGACTCAGTCCGTTTGAGCAATTGTGTTTACAGAATCCAAGTAGAAGCACCGAAGAGTCACGAGGTGCGTGTTAAAGTTGAATGGACGGGTGTTTGTCATACAGACGCATACACTTTGTCGGGTGTGGATCCTGAAGGTGCCTTTCCTATTGTACTTGGCCACGAAGGAGGTGGAATCGTGGAAAGTATTGGAGAGGGCGTTACAAATGTCCGCGTGGGAGACCATGTGGTGCTTCTCTACACTCCTGAGTGCAAAGAATGCAAGTTCTGCCTGAGCGGTAAAACAAACTTGTGCTCAAAAATCCGCGAGACTCAAGGAAAGGGCCTTATGCCTGACGGAACAACACGATTCACATGCCGTGGACAACCCCTCTTGCACTACATGGGCTGCTCTTCCTTCAGCCAGTACACCGTTGTGTCTGACATTTCGCTGGTTGCAATTTCTCCCGTTGCTCCCCTGAGAAGCTGTTGCTTGTTCGGATGCGGCATTACGACCGGCTACGGCGCTGCCACACGCAGCGCGAAGGTCGAGAAAGACTCTGTGGTAGCCGTTGTTGGCTGCGGGTGTGTTGGTCTGGCTGTCATTCGTGGTGCAATTGATGCTGGAGCAAAGCGCGTCATTGCCATCGATACAAACCCTTCGAAAGAAGCGTACGCCAAACGTTTTGGTGCTACAGACTTTGTAGATGCATCCAAGGTCTCGGATCTCGTTGACTACATGCTCAAGGAAACCGATGGCGGAGTCGACTATGCCTTTGACTGCACCGGCAATGTGGAGGCTATGAAGAAGCAACTGCAGTTTTGTCACAAGGGATGGGGCAAACTGTGCGTTATCGGTGTGGCCGCTGCAGGCAAGGAGCTTTCCTTCCGTCCATTCCTCGTCGTAACTGGCCGTCAAGTACTTGGCTCAGCCTTCGGAGGCGTTAAGGGACGCACAGAACTCCCCAATTTTGTGGACGCCTACTTGCAAGGCCGGTTTATGGTCGACGAGTACATTACTCATGAAGTTGTCCTTGACAACCTCAACACAGCCTTTGACTATATGCACCAAGGCGCCTGCATTCGCACTGTTGTGAAGATGCATTAGCCTTGCGGTCAGGCGCACACAATTCAATAAAACAAAAAAGGACAATTAGTTTCGAGTGACGAAATCAACCGTGTCTTACTATACGAATGGTTTACTACCAAATAACGACTTTATGCACACTTAACGTCTTCCCTCGTCCATCTCTCTCTTTTTACCGAGAATCATTTTAATTCATGAGCTGAATGACTGTGTCTATTTAATTGCAACCGTACTTGGACTTGAGCTCCTCGACGAACTCAACGTACTTGCTGGCGGCATCCTCCTTGGAAGTGCCCTTCAAGTCGTTCCAAGCGTTCCACTTGAACTTGCCCTTCAAGTCGAGCAAACCGGGCTTCTCAGTGTTGTTGTCACCAACGGTGGCTTGCTTGAAAAGAGCGTACATCTAAAAGTCGCATTGTTGTTAACAATTCTGTCTGTTTTACTGCACCGTCTGCACGTTTGACATGGACAGGCTGCATTTGTTGTTACTTACCTTCAGAAGCTCGTCATTGTTAGGAGTCTGCTTAAGCTTCTTAGCGTCGACAGCGGCTTGTTCAAAGGTAATAGACATGATTCTTGATGTAAAAGGTTGAAGGAGGGGGAGGTGGTGGATGGCTAAGCGGTTAGGTAGTCGCTTTTTGTACTGTACGGCAGAATGCGTGAGAGTAGTTACACCAAAAGACGAGCGAAGAACAAGCGTAACGAAGATATTTGTTGTCATATATCCTTGAGTAAGTCCGACCCGTACGGGAAAAGGACAGTCATCATGAGCCTTGTATAACAAAAGCTCTGCATGTATACTAATGATTACAGCTAAACAGTTCGCTTAATGCGAGTTCACTATATTCTTTCATTCATAACTTTGTAGTATATATACAACTTCATTAGATTGGGTATAAGATGGAATTGTTTCTTTGAAGTAGGTCTGTCCGTATCAGGAACAGAACAAAAAAAAATGGTATCGAGGTTTTTTTCGTTTTAGTCATTGGAACCGTTGTCGGGTCCTTCTTCTGCACTCTTATCCAAATCTTCTTCAGCACCTTCAGTTCCCTTCTCAGAGCTCATTGACATGGCAGACAGAACCTGGTCCAGTGAAACGGTCGTGACAGCAGGTTGAGTCGATTCCAGTTCCGAAACATATGCTTCATATGCACGAACAACGTCTTCTTGAATGGCACGGACAAACAAATTAATGAGCCAATCTTCAGTAAAGAATGCAGCACATTGCTCTTCAATGTGCGAGAAAGACGCATTTAGCTTTTCCAACATTTGGTTTGCAGCTTCAGGCCTCCGTGTCTGCAAACAATCTGTAAAGCTTCGTGTAGCTGTTTCTATATACAGGTTGACAGCAATACGTAACTGCTGGTCCAACTCCTGTCTGGCATCAACCATGTTTGTGACCATACCCGGCAGTTTCTGTTGAGCAAAATCCCATAAACTGTGTAGACCATTTTTCCATTCACGTATTGATTGCCAAACCTTGTGAAAATCGATTCCAACTTGGATGTTAGCAAACTCAATATCGAATGCCTCGATTTGGCGCTTCAGAATTAAAAAGTTTTTCACCAGAAACAGACGGCTAGACTGAGGATCACTGGTTTTTGCAAACGCATTTCCAGCAGAGACAAGGGAAGCGATGCAAATGTGAACAATTTCGTGGGCTATTTCATCAAAGACGTGAGACTGTTGGAAACGGTCAGTAAATAGAATAACGATCAGAATTTAGCTTTCACTTACATTTAACAGCCGATACACCTTGGACAATACCTCAATGGATTTTTGTACTGGAGGATACCAACCCTGTGAGGCAGCAAGATTGGACAAATACTCTGTGTTTGCTGCAGTCAAAGGCTTTTCCCCCATATTTAGTTTGTTCATCGACTCGGGGAGAAGGTCCGGACGCAGCTCTGGTTGCATGTCTTCCGGCAAGGGCGTGTATTTTTCAATAGAGTTGATGTAGGTATTGTGCACAACAAAAAGAATTCTAGATTGCAGTGTCTGTAGCACTTGCTGGTAGGTTGTATTTAAGAAGTCGTAGTACGATTGTGTATCCTCGCCATTTGAGTCTTGCTGCACCTTCGTTTCAGCTTGGAGCAGCGAACAGTTCCGACACAACTGATCCAAGTTGTGCTCATGCAAAATGAGAGATCGGGCAAGTCCTTGGAAGGAGGATACAACTTCCGTCCAGAAAGAGGGGAGTAAGGGACTTTCTTGGCGGAAGAATTGTGAATACAGTTTGAGCTCGTCATCAACCATGAGCTTGAAAAATGCAAACGAGTTTTGAATCTGTTCATGAGGTTAGCGTGTACTTCAGAAGTGAAAAAAGAAATCACAGCATACATAAGTAGTTAGATTCTTTTCACGCGCATAATTGTTCATGAGAGACTCGACAAGGGGAACAAGAAGCGTTTTACGAGCGGCAAGAAATTCTCGAATACAATCATTCACAACCTGCACTCCCATTGGGCTTAAATCCAAATGCGCTTGAACTTCCTCCAAAAGTGGTCCGGTGATGCGAGACACGACCGAAAACCTGGCGTACATCAGAGAACTATCCATGACTTTGGATGCATCCTGTATGTGTCAATAATCGTGAGATGAAAAAGAAGAATAAATCAATACCATTCTGGAAAGCTCTCTCTGAGTAGATGCAAGAGCACTCTTGATGGAACGAATAAAGTAAGTACGAATGATACCTAGGGCATTTGAAAGAAGCCTTTCATATTGCTCCAAATACTCTGGACTGTCAAGGAAGTTATTCTGTGTCATGTGGGAATTAGCACTCAGTCTTGTATCACGGCAATTGCCCACAATTTTCACATACGTGTAGCTGAAGAAACGCAATGCAGCGGTACAATTGAGACAAAGCGTCTTTAAACACGTATTTTGTAACAAGGTCTGGAGCAGGTTTGTGAAGCAACTTCGAAAGCTCTTTTAAAGGCTGAAAGTAGTTCCAAGATTCTTGGATTTTGTCTGCCGTATGAAGAAGCGTGCGCTAGACGCAAGTTAGCCAGTATTTTGGGAGTATGGATTATCACAAAACACAATTAGAAACATACCTCTCCCGAAGTTAGTTCGTCGCAACGCATTGAAAACTCGAGCATCTCCTTTTCCGACCGAGAAAATCGGTTTCGGAGCAGCGACAAGGATTCATGAAGAGTATCACTTTTGGTAATTAAGCAGTCTGTATATGCTGCGGTAACATTAAGCTGCTCCAACAGTTTTTGGGCCTCCACCTCAGCAGTAGTAGTGTACAGCTGCGAATTGAAGAAGTTGTACTCGTCAAAAGTAAAGGAAATGGATGGTTGAGTGAGACCCTGTTCATGGATAGCTGAATTTCCAGAAAACGAGCCTGCCCGACGCGACACCGAGGCCGTTTCAATGCTCAAAACAGGTACTGCTTCCTTCTTCTTCTCTTCTGCTGACTTCTCAAACCCAATTGGGACAGGGTTGTCTGTCGTGGACTACAAAACACGTAAAGTTAGCACCATTGAGCGGTTTCTGAGCGCGAAAAAAAGCATCTCGAGCGTCTATACCTCTTCTTCTTCGTACGAGGTCGGCAAAAAGTTCGTCGAGAGGTCCCATTGATCAAACATAGTGAATGGCTCTTGGCACGCGTTCGCTTGTGTATGATCGGGAAGAGTGGAAACGCTGCGGTGTGTTAGGATACGGTAAATGAAATTGTGTGTTTTATGAAGACTTGGCGAATGTTTGTTACGCTGCAGTGTGGTTCGGTAAAGTAAATACTGAGAGTTAATGAACATTAGTGTTGGATAGAGATGTCTAACGAGACTAAATTACAGTTCGCACACCTACGCTATACAAAATAACGACGCACACTCCATCGCTCAATACCCAATAGCAGGCTCCGCCACATTGCCGTATCGCAAATAACGACACTCAGCGCAGTCCTACGCACTACTAGTCTCCTCTTCTCCCTTCTACTTTCCGGTGCTGTCGGTCGTTCACGATATCATTTCTTAATGGGCGGCGGAAGCCGTGGGGTTAGCGGGGCGGGGAGCAGCTTGGGTGCCAGTGGCATTCACAAACTTAGACACCAGCGACTTGATAGTGGTCCACACCGACTTGAGGAAGGCGGGGGTTTTGGGGTTGGCAACCAAAGTGTCGACGCGAGAAGTAAAGTTATGCAACGAAGTACGCGTGTAGGCGCTGTTAATGTAACGGAGACGGAGAAACATAACGTAGGAAAGCAATTGGAGGAAAGAAACACGAAGAATGAGGGCGCCGAAGATGAGACGAAGCAACAGCAAAGTCTCGATGGCTGCAACGAGCTCCATGGCAAATTGAAACTTTTGACGCACGTACGCGTGCAGAAGAGCGGACAGACGAGCCGCAGGAGAATTGGGATGAGAACCATCGAGCATTTGAGGAACAAGCGTCGGCAGAAGAGTTTGACGCGTGTATGTAGCGACATGGAAAGAGCCATAGATCGCGTAAGGAAGCAAGGCAAGGGTGATAGCGGGTCCACGAAGCCAGCTGCTGGCAAGCATGAGGTACTGCACGTTGTCGTCCAGCAATAAACGCGAGATGTATTGACGGTTCGTCAAGTTTTTGAAGGAAAAGTTTGGAGCGTATGTCTTGTACAGCACAATGACATACGCTACGACAACACCGAACAGAGCAACATGATACAGGTGTGAATCAAACGTGCGTGACAAAATTATACGCGCGAGGTAACGCGTTGTGTACAGCAGAAGCGTCACCTGTCCGATGAACCAGGCGAATTGGGATTGCTAAGCAGTTCCGTTAGTAACAATTACTGTACAGCACCAAATTGGGACGTCTTCCGTACCTTGAGAATCACCAAGAAGCGCTCCGTGAACTTTTTCTGGGGAACACTGGCAGTTACCATTGCTGATGTTGGGTGTGTGTAGAGGGCAGGTGTCAGCTCGTCTGCCTGTGGTAGAGTGGATGCGGTCAACGGGTGGCCGCGGAAGTTTCGAGGACTTTCCGGATCACTCCGCGGCAACGCCGAGGAACACGCGAGGAAAATCCGTGGCTATCCCGCACATTCAACGGTGTTGCCTCGGAAACACACGTGCTCGCTTAAAACCTTATCAGTAACAGATGCAAACTAACCACCAAAAAGGCGACTGCCTCCTAGCCGCTCGCGCTGCGTGTCCCTGCTGGCGTCAGCTAGTGATTTCACACACCGGCAAGATAATCTCTTATCGCAGCAGGAGATGGGATCAATCAACGGGGGAATCAGTGAAAAAGGAGCAGTATCAAAAGCAGCAGAATCGGCAGCCTAGTAGTATAAAGTTATTTCCAACACAGCAACAATCGGACCGCGGAGCTCGCACAGGATCAGAAACAAAAATACAGCAGGATGGCATCAGGACACAAACTTTGGGGTGGTCGTTTCACCGGTGAGACGGACCCGTTGATGACGGCTTACAATGAGTCTATCCATTACGACAAGCGGATGTTTAATGCAGACATTGATGGCTCGAAAGCCTATGCCAAGGCTTTGAAGCAGCGTGGAATTTTGGTCGATGAGGAATTGGAGGCAATTCTCACTGGTCTTGAGACTGTCCGTGACGAATGGAAGCAAGGAAAGTTTGTGCTGCAGCCCTCGGACGAAGATATCCATACTGCAAATGAACGCCGTTTGGGCGAGGTCATCGGCACGGGAATCGCAGGAAAACTGCACACCGGCCGTAGCAGAAACGACCAGGTCGCTACTGACATGCGTCTGTGGTTGCGTGAGGAAATGAAGGACGTAAAGAAGATTCTCATCAACCTGTTGCAAGTGTTCGCGGCTCGTGCAGAGAAAGAGATTGACATTGTCATGCCTGGTTACACACACTTGCAGCGTGCTCAGCCCATTAGATGGTCACATTTCCTTCTTTCCCATGCTCTGCCTATCACCACAGACTTGGTGCGTCTCACTGAAGTGTACACGCGTGTCAACCAGCTTCCGCTTGGTGCGGGAGCACTTGCTGGCAACCCTTTTGCTGTTGATCGTGAATTTTTGCGCAAGGAGCTGGGTTTCGACGGCATCATCATGAACTCAATGAACGCCGTGGCTGACCGCGACTTTGTCATCGAATTCATGTTCTGGTCGTCTATGGTCATGTCCCACATCTCTCGTATTGCTGAGGACCTCATCATTTATTCCACGTCTGAGTTCAGTTTCGTCACTTTGTCGGACGCATATGCCACCGGCAGCAGTATTATGCCGCAAAAGAAGAACCCCGACTCACTTGAATTGCTGCGCGGAAAAAGTGGCCGCGCCTTCGGCAATATGGCCGGCTTCATGATGTCCGTAAAGGGCATTCCTTCCACATACAACAAGGACTTGCAAGAAGACAAGGAGCCCTTGTTCGATAGCTTGAAGACTGTCAAGGACTCTATTCAAATCTTGACGGGCGTTCTTTCCACCCTGACCGTTCATCCTGACAAAATTGCCAAGAGTTTGACGGCTGATCTCTTAGCCACAGACTTGGCCGAGTACTTGGTACGGAAAGGCGTCCCATTCCGTCAAACACATCACATTTCCGGCTCTGCTGTTCGTATGGCTGAGGAGCGTGGCACAACAATCGACCAGCTTTCTGTGGAAGACTTTAAGTCGCTTCACCCCCTGTACGAAGACGATGTTGCTGCGGTCTTCGACTACGAAGCCAGTGTCGAAAAGCGTTGCGCCATCGGTGGTACCGCAAAGTCTTGCGTTGTCGACCAAATCAAAAATATCCGCAACATCATTGCCCGGTACAAGGACTAGGGAGTTGCTATCCTTGTTTTGCCAATTCCGAATTCTTCCCCATTCCTCTTTAGCTTTGATGTATATACAATGAAATGAATAACACGTTTGAGTCAGGAGTTTTATAAGGATTGCCCGTAAAATGTTTTTGTTGAAGAATTACGCCGTTTTACCGACGCTTGCGTTTGCCGACATCATCTTCATCATCGTCCTCTTCGTAATCTAACATGTCTGTTGCTGAGGGTGCATCATCACGACCGAGTTTCAGACCGAAGCCGGCGTCCACTTGTCGCTTTTCTTGTTGTTCCATTGCTTCTTCTGCTTCTCTGCGTTCCTGCAGATGGGCGAGCCGGCGAATTTGGGACTTGGCGTTAGCTTGTTGCGCATCCAGCTTAGAAATCTCTTCGTCATTTACTGATTCCGCAAAAAGCTTTTCCTTTTTCAGATCTAATTGCGGCTTCTTCGTGTCTGCACCCTCTCCCTCTCTGTCACCAAATGGATCGTAATCACTTTCTTCGTCAAAAATATCGGCATCGAGATTTGCCTGGGGGAGAGGCAAAACTCGCGGAGGACATGCAGGAATCCGCTCCTCAACAGTGTCTTGTTTTTGTTTTGTCTGCTGTTCTTCGTGAGAAGAGGCTAGTACGTCCGCAGGCTTAACGATGTCTTTGTGCTTCTTTTTCTTTACTAGTCGTTTCGTAGCATTACCATTTTCGTCGAGCAAAATCTTAACCTTTGTGTCATTTTCATAATGGATTTCATACATTGGTGCTCCGTTAGGGTAAACCGGGATCCGTTTTTCCTTTCGTGGGCGATGCTGCGTAGGCTTGCCAGTTGAAAAAGAAGTCGATGGACTTTCTTCATGCGGTTTTTCCGATGCCAATTGCTCTAACAATACATCTTCATCCTCTGTATTTACCGATTCTTTCTCCGCAGTTTCGTTATCACCATTAGTTTTTTCTGCAATATTAGGAAGCGAAGACTGTTTCATTCTAGCGAGGAGCTTTCTGTCCAAACCACGGACAAGGTGTGTGGTTTCCATATTTCCGCCTAGCTCCTTCGTTTTTTCCGAATATTCTTGATTGGTGATTTTTCCTTCACGAACCAATTGCTTTAGCTCCTGAATCCTTACAGAGTACTCGTCATCCTCTGCTGTGAGTTCTGCGTCTGTCTCCTTTGAAAGAGTTTCCAATTTCTTTCGTTGCTTAGTCGTCTGCTTCGTGCCTTTTTCTTCTTCGCTAGCTGTTGATGGTCGTTTCTTTTGTAAAACACTCCTTGGCGGCTGAAACAAATTGAGTCTTGGCTTTCGTCTAATCCCAAACATGTCTACAGCAGGTCGAGAAGGTGCTTTCAGCTTTGACAGTTCTGATTCTGCATTTCTTGGCGTTTGAAGTAATTTCCGAAAATCATCCTGATTCATTTGACTTGATGGGCTACTCAGTCGTTTTACACCAAAAACTCCTGAAAATAAACAAAACTTGAATTCAAAAACACGAGTTTAGCCCGGATATTTCGTTCAATTGATTTCTAACTGGGATATTTGCGAAGACTGTGTGTAGACGCGACATGGCAGACGCGCTTGTATTACACTATGAAGAATAAGGTTGTCCGTTAGAATATCCGGAATCCCCGCTTTCGGTCACTTTTTCGGCAACTTGATGACCGAAATGTCACCGAGGTGCAGGCTCCACTACCACCATAAACTGTAGGTATTGGGCACGCCGAACACAGGCAGCAAGAAATTGTTGTTGTTGTCACTAGCTGTAACTTGTCCAAATGAACGGACGCGTCACATCCAGATCGTTGCGCCTGGTTAGGTTCTGTACACATAATTATGGCTTGAACAGGTCGCTCATCTATCGTAGCATGTCAACCGGTGACAGTTCCGCTGGAGATAGCATAACGTACGCGCCCGAACCCTCTCAGGTTTCAGAGTTTTATAAGAAACTATTCAAGACAGATAATTACTTTGAAAGTGATGAATTAAATTTGCAGCTTCTGACACACAAATCCTTCAATCATGGTCAAACACCCTATAATGAGGGCTTCCGGGCAATTGGACGGCATGCATTAGAACTGAGTCTCATCAATTTCTCATTACAACAAACAAATCAATTGAAAGGAGTCTCCGAAATGTGGCTTCAAAATGCATGCCGACCAGAAAACATCAACAAGGTGGCCGAACAGTGGGGCCTGCAGCAGGTTATTCGTTGGAAAACCCCAAAACTACGAGCTTCAGTTGATACAAAACAGTCCGGGCTGGAACGTGTTACATTCGATACCATGTTGGCCATCATCGGGGCCGTGTACATGAGAAAAGGTGCTCGGACAGCTGTTGATTTTTGCCAGAAGAATTTGGTTCCAGCATTAATTAGACTACTTCATAATACCCCACGAAAACAATCCTAAAGTCTTAATGATACGCGTATTTTTTTGGTTAGTGAACGAAGACAAAAGATTAAGGGTACAGAAAAAGATCAACATGAGGATGCAGCGTAACGGGTATCATAGGCGTATGGGTACACTATGCATATATACAGAAACAAAACAAGTCTTAGAATTCATACACGAAACGGAGGCATAATACGAGTTAGTTCACCGGTTTCGAGACTTTGACGAAACAGCAGCTTTTGGAAGAGTAGAGTGTTGAGTAATTTCGTTCATCATGTTCATAAGGCATTTTCGTGACACCAATCCTGGCGACATTTCTTCGTCGTATAGATGGCGATGCAACGACTGTGCCCAGGTATAAAGGCGCCGTCCCTGCTGTAATTGACGACGCACTTGTCCGATAGCTTGGGGAAACAAGTCAAAAGGCATGTCGAGCTGGACAAGCGCAGTTTTCAGCATATTTGCCGTCTCCACGTTACATTGACGATCAATTTTGTCAAGCCCAAGGCGATAATATATCTTCTCACTGTTAGGCAAGTGGAGTTGTGCATCCGGCATATCCTGCTCGGTAAGTGGTTTAGAAACATGTTGTTCCCATGGATATTTTTGTGCAGCTGTAGAAGAAGCACAAGTATCTGCAGTGTTTTGTGCAGTTGGTTTTAAACACTCGTTTTCTTGTATATTGGAAGGAAACGAATTGCTAGTACGACGAATGGGTGCGGAATAGGTTGCCGCCGGTTTTGACTCCTTTTGCTCTCGAATGATTTCTCGTTGCCGTTGTTGGCGCTCCCATTCCTCGTGCTCGCGTTGACGCTGCTTATGCAACCATCTAATTTCCGCTTGAGACTTTGCAAGCTCCTTTTGTAATTGTTCCAAAATCATAACAAACGAGGTGGCTGTAGAAGTTCGATTGTGGTCTGAAGGATCCTTCGTGAACACCCGTTCCTTTTCTGTCGTCTCGGGATAGGTTGTTGCTTGTGATTGTTGCTGAGGCTGCTGCTGTACAGGCTGAGTAACTGCAACGGGTGCTGGTGCAGGTACAGGGGCCGTAGCGTTATTGCGGTTTTCGAAAACAGGATTAGAGGGCGGAGGCTGCGGTTGTGTAGCAAACTTACCAACCTGATGAACCAACATTTGTATAGTTTGATTTTTTTGTTCGCATTCTGTCCGTAATGCATCCAAAGCGTGTGTTAATTCCTGCACTGCAATATCGTTTTGCGGAGCGGAAAAGAGGGCGAAAACGTAGGCGGTTGGCAGACCTCGATCAGTCATTACGACTGATGGTTGACGGTGTGTGATGGGAACTTGTGCTGGCCGTGTTGCGTATGACTGTTGAGGTAGTTGCTGAACTTGGGGTGAGAGATGTTGTTGTTGCTGCTGCTGCTGCTGTTGGGGTTGGGGTTGATGGTGCAACTGAGATTGCTCAGGTTGCCGAGCTCGTTCTTGTTGAACACGTTGATGCTGCGAAGCATCAAAAGGTGGATCACGATACGACTCTGGAACGCTTTCGACAAGAACTGGCCGCGCAACGGAAATCGCCTGTCGTGAAGGAAGACAGTTGGGCGTAGTGGGTGCTTTTGCGCCCATATTTTGTTTTATTCCAGCAGGTTCCTGTGTAGGCAACGTATTCGAAGTTGTTCGGCTTTCCGAACGAACCTGGGTGGAAGGCATGTGGGTATCGTAGGTGGGATTGAAGGAAGGGTTGGTTTGTCCGAGAATACTCTGAAACCCCGAGTATTCTTCGTCGAGGCTTCTTTTCTCGGGTGGAAGGGAAGCGTCATAATCTGCGCTGTAGTTTTTAGTCGCCTCCTCAGCAAACGAAGCAGAAGACTTAGATGGAGTGCTAACGAATGAGAGTGTTCGTTCTTGTGCCGGTACAGAATGTCGTTGCAGGGAATTCGAACCGGACGCGGAATTCGTGTGCGTCTCGTGGGACGTCGCTGGGGAAACAACTTCAGCAGCTTTCCGGCGAGTAGGTGATTCCTGGATTTGGAAAGAAGAAAGCTGATGAGCTGTACCATTGGACTGAGCCGAATTCAGAATTCCGTTCATCCGCTGGTCATCTAGACTGTCTAGCATTTCTGCGACTTTTCTCAGCTTTTCCATCCTTGTAGAGTCCATGAAATCTACTTCGTGAATTCGTTAACGGTAATTCAATTACAGGACAAGACGACATGTTTTAAGGTAAGACCAGACGCGCCATATTCAATTACCACACCAATTGTCACACATGACAAGCAATCTCGTACAGACCTTGCCTAACCTTCAGGCTCCTCCCTTACATACCATTTGAACTCGACTCAAAATTCGTACTGTCTCCAGCAGACGGATGACTGTCTTGGTGAGAGTGTCCAAGCCATCTGTAGTCTGTGCTAATGCTGTCTCCACAAAACTCATCCATGGAGAGTGCTACAATTCAAGGACCTCGCCTTTTGCTATTGGGAACGTGGATTGGATTCGACGTGCTGGTGGAGAGCATGGTGGTGCATTTTTGGTGGAGCAAAATAGCGTATCCTAACGCACTATAAAGCAACGCAATAGAATTTACCGCGGTTTCTGTGGGGCGTCTGGTTCAGGGTCTTACGTGAGACACGGAGTTGAGGCGGCGCCGCAAGGGAACAAGGAATCTCTATCTGCCGTGGAAGTAACATGCGTATCTACCACCTTGCGCCTCACTACCCTGTTTTCCGAGACATTGTCGTATCTCCTTATTTACATTTACTGCACCGCGATACCACTCATTAAACCGTTTTAGGCCAGTTCGTCGTCCCGACGTCCTACCACGAGCATACATCCAAACACCTCTGTTCAAGGAGCAATGCCTCATTAGAGCTTGTATTATTATTCGTTGAACGAACTGCGAAGAAACCATGGAGTTTAGAACACGTACGAATTGAATTGGCTCCAGTCAGGGTTGGATATCTAAAATCTGACGAACAAGAGGAAATCATGCTCCGTTGGTAGTGCACAAGTGCTCCTTTCACTCTCGCTACACTTCACTGCGACACGTTAACTTAGCTAGTGTGGAGACTATACCATCGCTAAACTTCGCTACGAGTTTTTAAATCTCGCTATCCATGACAAACGCCTTCTCCCACGCGCTGTTATCACGCCATACGTCATGGAGGATGCGAGTCGTTAAAACGCGATTGCACGCCACGCAGCACTTCGTTACCGCCTTCTCACCCAACACCAGTACGAGGCAAAATCTTTTCGCTAGCAGCAAAACTGCATGAGTACAAGCTTGCTGGTTTTGTCTTGTCTATCGCATACGAGTATTCGGAACTAGTATGAGAGGTGTACCAAACCATGACACGCGTCTATTAAACGATATCAAAAGTTTCCCGGAGTTCGACTACGAGGCTTTGGCACGGTCGCTGCCGGCTTCAACTGGCGCGGTTGAATGCACTTCTGTTGCCGCACCGGAGGCAGGAGAATTGTTTGGTGCTTCAAAACCAGTTGCTGAACTACATCCATCAGAGTCAGAGTTCTGTTCTCCACTCGACTACGTCGGTCAGGTGGAGGTAGTTGCCCGAGACACCGGCGGTGTTCTCGTCGTCCCTCCGGAGCAGTGGAAATGTCCGACGGTAATAGACACCACGGTGTTGAGTCTAGTTGGCCGGGAACAGCCGGAGGCTCCTCTCCGGGACTCGGGCAAGGGCAGCAGCAGTCGAAGCAAACGACATGTGCATGTTGATTTTCCGAAATCGATTGTGCTGTCGTACGTATTTGTGAACAAAAAGCCTGTCGATCTGCTGTTGATCAAGCAATGGATTAAATTGTGCGACGAACGGGGAATGTCGGACGCAGAAATGTGGTCTTTGGCTGCTCAATATTTCAAACTTGACGTGAATAGCTTGCAAAAAGCGTACGCCAAGTATGATGAAATGGACGATGCGCCCGTTTCTCGTTCACGGCATTCTTCCACGCCTTCCCGGACTAGCAAACGGGTGAAACGACAGGCGACGGGGCCTCGGTGCAAAGTCTGCAACCAGGACTCCACGCCATTCATTACTTGCTTCGTGTGTCAGTCAAAATACCACTACGAATGCCTTGACGCGCCTTTCGCAGCGGTGACAGACACTCGTCGATGGCAATGTAATGTTTGTCTCCCAGAAAAATGTGTCGTATCTTGGAAGGAAGTTGATTATCAATGTTTGTCTTCCTTCCATCGACACGCACTTGATTCTTATGATGATTTGGCTGGTTACGAACATCCGCAAGACGATGGATTACAGTGCTTGCCGAAGGTTGAGCAGGTCTTTTGGCGAGCATTACAATCTGGCGCTGGTCGTCAGGAAGCACCTTCTATTCCCCGAAAACCGTTGCGGGCGATAGCCACTGGAAAAAGTGGCTTTCCCGCAACCCGTCAGCAACCATACTTTCACGATCCGTGGAACTTGCATCACTTGCTTTATTCCAAACATTCGTTACTACGATTTAGCCCCCCGATATCATTACTAATGACTTGATTTTAAGCGAACAATTTTCTTATACTGGATGGAAACAGGATCCCATGTCGATGTTTGCTTTGCATTATCACCATTTCGGTGCACCTAAAACTTGGTACATTATAGCTGATGAAGATGCCTCGAAGTTTGAGGATCTTCGGTACCGTTTAGCCCAAAAGGAGCTTCATCTCGATATAGAATTACTTGTGCAGTCAGAAAGCCTATTTGCCCTGTCGATTTTGCGGGAAAACGGAATTCGCATTCACCGAGTAGTGCAACAGCCGGGTCAGTTTGTCATTACTTATCCGCATACATACTATTCTACTGTGAGTCATGGCTTTAACTTAACGGAGACTCTCCCATTTTCCACAAAGGAGTGGATCACAGAGCAGTTTGCACATAACGCATTTGAACAAGCGAAACAGTTTCACATTCCAGCACCGTTTTCGATGGATCATATCCTTCTGGCTAATGCAACTCTCGATAAGAGTGTGAAAACGGCGCTGTGGCTCCAATATCCCTTGAAGGAAAGAATAGATCGGGAGCTTTCTTCTCGATCTGCTTTTAGAAAGGACCACAAGTCAGTTGTATGGAAGTCAATTCCTGCCAATGCGTCTGTCATGGCCTGCTCCTTCTGCAAAACCTTCGCTTATCTCGCGGTAATTGAGTCGAGGGTTGGTGATATGTACTCTTGTATAGATCACTGTAATGAAGTCTTCTCATGTTCCGACAAAGAACTTATTGTATATGCTCGTTACAAGGACGAAGATTTAAATGCTGCCTATGATCAAGTAATCAACCGAGCCATAAAAAATCAACTTTGGCTGAAAAAGTATGAGCAAATTAATTCTTCTGATGAAAAACCAGCATTGAAAACACTGAAGTCTCTTCTTGCAGAGGCGGAATCAATGTCTTGTGCATTACCAGAAGTGGATGAGTTTCGGGAACGTTTAAAGGTTGCACAGTCGTGGGTTGACCAAGCTCATGCACTGCTGCGCAAAAAATCTGTCGTTCGGAGAGATAAACGAAAGTTAAAAAAGAAAGTATCGACATCGTCTCCTCAGAGTGGATCTCCATCTCCTTCTGAGTCTCCTTCTCCCACCCTTCCCGTTGATGAATCTGTATTATTGTTTTCATTGGCAGAAGACTCAAAAAATCTTCAGTTTGAGTGTCCGGAAATTCATGAAATTGCAGAAAAAGCAAATGCGGTTCGTGATTTTCAGGCCAAAGCAAGATCGGTGAAACCGAACGAGCTTACATATGAAGTGTGTAGTTCAATTCTTGAAGAAGGTAGAGCTTTACAGTTGCAGCTACCACAGCTTTCATTTTTCGAACGGAAAGCGGAACAGTTGGAATGGCTTGAGAACAGTAAAAGCTTGTCACCGGAAAACACTTCACTGGAGGAACTGACGATTGCTTATGAACATGGCAAAACTGTAAATATTTCACCAGACAATGAGCAATTGTCTAGACTTTCTGAATTACTTGAACGATCTAATGACTGGCAGCAAAGGGCTGAAACTTTATTGAAACAGGACGTGTTACCTGTTACACAATTAGATGCACTGGAGAAAGAGGCGCCTCACGTGTGTGTGAACACAGATATGTTAGAAAGGATCCGTGCCTCTTTAAAAACTACTCGTGCTTTGCACTCACAACTCATAGAGATTACTGAAGCTTCGCAAGATCCCGACTTTTACAAACGGCCGTTTGTTGAGAACGTCAAGGCTGTGTTAGCCAGTGCAGATGATTTACCTTCGAAACCTGAAGAATTTAACTTGGTTAACAAATTACTCACCAAGACGTACGAGTGGGTGCGAAAGGGAAAGAAGTTATTTGGTAAGGCCAATGCACCGTTGGAGATTTTCAAACAACATCTTGAATTTGTTGAGCGTCGTGATACTGTTGCTATGGCGGATGAAGGTGAGGACGCACCATTCCTTGTTGGTACGGATGTCCCTTATTCCACGACAGGCGATCGGTCGTCCGTTCATTACTGTTTTTGCCGCATGCCAGAGAGCGGATTGATGATTGAATGTTCCTATTGTCACGAATGGTACCACTGTAAATGCATGAAGATGTCAAAGAAAAAATTGAAGGAGGATGAGAAGTTTGTCTGCCCAATTTGTGATTATCGCGTAGAAATCCCACGACATTCCAATCGTCCTCGTTTGGAAGAACTTGCTTCTATGGTTGATGAGGTGCTCAATTTGCCATTTCAACCCATAGAGCTCGATTTGTTGAAACGTGTTGTAACCCAGGCAAAGGAATTTCATGAGAAGGTCCGCGCAGTTGCGCTAAACTCTTTAGGATTAACTTCACAGGACTTGCCTCTAATTCGTTTTTACCTACGTAAAATGGAAGGAGGTGAAATCTTAATGACTGAAGAAACAAATATATTTCGTCAAAAGCTTCACGAACTTGCACCTTTGGCTCCTACTCCGCCTCCGTTTATTGGAGAGAGCAAGTCTAATCGTAAGCCAAGGCCCACGAAAAGACAGCGCGAGATCATGGAACAGGTTGCGAGCGGAAAGTTGACTTCTGCTGAAGGTGCGGCTGCCATTGCAGCTACACAAAGCCGTAATCAGTCAAAGTCCGTCTCGAGTACGAAGAGCGTTAAAACTCTTCATCAACCCCTTTCTCCTTGGACAATGAAGGGTATAGCCCAAAATGCCTTGTTTGGTAAGAACATACCTTCGGCTTCGGACTTGTTAGTCTCTTCATTTTCAAGTCTTCGCTCCACTCCTTCTGAGATGTCTACTGTTTCTCCAGCGCTAACGAAAGCTTCAGCAATGCAAAATGCCATGTTGTCAGCAAATCCCATGACTTCTGGTGGCACTTCATTTTGTATTTGCCGTCAAGCTTTTTCCATATCTGACGGGATGGTTCAGTGTCAGTCGTGTTCAGAATGGTTTCACTATGACTGTGTTGGTCTAACGGCAGCTATTGTTGCGACCATTGTAGTTTACATGTGTCCAAGTTGCTGCACGCAGGTTGGCAAGGCATACCCATGGGAGTGTCAACCTAGATCAGTCAATCTTTCTTGGGAAAGTGAAGTTTATCCGCCTAGTGTATTGCAAGGAACAACAGAAAACATTGCTGTTGTTACTGGTTCATTAGATCGAGCATCGAATTTGTTTGACCAGTTAATGCCGACTGAGATGGCTCAGTTCACGAGAGACAACATCCTTCAGGACAATCGGCCAGATCTGTTTACCGAAACTTATCTGAACATTTAGACCCTTTATTTACCAGCAGGCGAATATTTTTAATGAACGGCAGCTTGCTGCCATTTGATGAGGACTAGCAATCATGTTGCAACGACTACTCTTTAAGAGGTGGATTAACTGAAAAAATGGGCTGGCAAATCATTTTCATATATCACGGTTACTTAGTTTTTTATAGATAGAATGGATCATGAATAACAAGCTACGAAAAAACGTTGTAGCTAAAAGAAATTACTGTATTCGCAATAGGTGCTGTTAAGGCACCCTAAATAATGACTTGAATGGGAGTTCGTAAGTTGAGTTACGGGTGTAGGAAAGAAGGCACGAAGTCATTAAAGCAACAAAGTCTAAGAGGAAGCTAAGCGGAAGTGGTCCAGTTGAGGAAAACCATTCAAGTTCAGAGGGAATATGGGCGGTTTCCGAGCTTAACAACCCAGCACTTCCCAAAGTGCGTTCTCGTCCAAGAAATTATGGTGAATGACAGAGACGAGCCAGCAGTTATCGATACACGACTGAATCAGTTTATGAGAAGGCGTTCCAGCGGGATACAGGCGTGCCCATTCGCCCCAAATACTATAGGCTTCGTCCCGCCACGCTTGGAACGAAACGGGTGCAATAATGGTCGATTGAATGATTTCACGACCAGGGAAAACACCCCAAGTAACTGCATTGGCGCTATCCAACGAAGCATTCGTTTTGAATTCTCCCTTGTTGTTTCCAGCGAGATAGGTAATTTGAGGATTGTCGTGCAATCTTTGAGCCAGGGCTTCGAAATCCATGGTAGACATGAACATCTCAACAAAAGCTTTCTGGAACACCCATCCGCCACGAGGTCCCCAACCAAAAATAGCATGGGAAGAAGGTGCGGCGTTAACAGCAGGTTGACTGCCGACGGTCCACCATTTCTTTTCGATCAATTTAGCGAGTTTATCACCAATGGTTTTTGTCTCGGCTTCCACAGGCTGATCAATCCAAGGGATTGCGGTTGTTTCCCCAAGGACATGACGCTTGAAGATATTCGTAATGTCATCTTCGTCAACAGGATAACCCCAAAGCTTCAATGACTCTTCCGGAGCAAAGTGAAGAGAGGGACCGTAACCATCGATGTTACCGTATGCAGGAGAACGTGGGTCACCGAAACGACCGTTGGTATAGTCGTCCCAAGTGGCTTCACGACCTAAAGCACCAGTACCTTCAGAAACCGAAATGGAGGCTTGCTTTTCAAAAAATTCTGCCGTTCTTGTAAATTGCTTGTCGTCAGCCCGAATATATAAGCCTTCAAAGGCTGAAGGAAGATGATCCTTCTTAGGAATAACGACGCGGTTATGGACATCGGCAACGTTTTCTTTTTGATTGTTAACAACAGCCTTAAGTGCCGTGAGACGTCTCTCATAAAGACCGCTTTCATTGAGAATGCGAGCCACTGATTTTTCCAAGTTAAGTGTACAAAAGTGGAAGCCTCGTGTATCGGTGTTCTTAAGGATGTCCTTAATCATCTGAGCAACGTGCTTCACGCCAATTGCCTTTACCTTTTCGTCGTCAGTTCTCACCTCTTCCAACGACTGCATTAAGTCGTGAGGAATCACACAATTGCACAGACGAGCCATTCTGCGAAGTGTGGTGAGAGATTGGACGGGCATAATGGCAGGAATGATCGGAATCGTTTTGAATACGCCGGATTCATGCGTGCGAAGCTTCTTTACAAAGTCGATATATACAGCAGAATCATAGAAAATTTGAGTAATGATAAAGTCGGCACCTGCTCTCACTTTTTCAATCAAATATGGGATATCTTTGTCCACATTCTGCTGCAATTCAGGCACATTTGTGTCTGCGTGTCCCTCAGGATAAGCGGCGACACCGATACAAAAGTAGTCGCCATACTCTTCACGAATGAAACGGACTAGGTCAACAGCGTGCTCCATCTCAAACTTCTGAGCATTCCAGTGCTCAGTTTTCAAAGGCGGGTCACCACGGAGTGCCAAAATGTTACGAATTCCGTAGGCCTTTGCCTGATCAAGATTCTTCTTGATGCTTTCCTTGTCAACATTGGAACAAGTCATATGCAAACAGGACGTAACGCCAAACTTTGATTGTAAAGATGCACAGAGCGCCAAAGACTCGGCAGCTGAACTTCCTGCAGAACTCCATGTAACGGAGCTAAAGAGTGGAAACATAGTTTTCGACATACGTTTCATACGGACAGTAAGGTTGTCTAAACCGATTGTCGTTTTAGGAGGGAAGAACTCAAAAGAGTAATGGATATCATCTTTAGGAAGCTGTTCCAATTGTTCAGAAATCTTCATGATGTTTAAAGAAGGTTATGACTATGCTAAAACCAAAAAAAGCAATTCCAACAACAAATGAAATTGAAAAAAAGAAGATATAAAGCAAAAATGAAAATGAAACCGTTTAGAGGGTTTTCCCCAACGTTTGAAATGATACTTCTTGGATAAGCAACTTCCTTGCCTAATTGTTATTGGGAATGGTTAACGGTAAGAAGAAAAAGGTCGGTGGCAGCAGGTTTATTCGAGGTAACAAGATAACAAGTATGGGAAAACTTCTGGTAAGAAAGAGTTACGAGAGACGTTTATAAATCTTCTTCGGTTGTTTCATGATACTGCAAATTACGGGGTTTGTCAAGTCATTAGGACATAATTTCTTCATTAAGTTGAGATACACTTCAAACTATAAAAAAAAAAGAAAAAAAAGTGACAGCCTCATTAGCAGTATGTGCAACTGCTACATAATGTCATTTACATATTGCTTAGAAATTTGAGAACTTGAGGTCTGTTCCTTTTTTGATAGTCATCCATTAGACACGTTAATAAATGAAGTGAGTCATAGAAGGATTTTCGGTTTGAGAAATTTTGTCAGTAGCGGGAACTACTTTGGTTAAATCCATTGTTTCCGAAGAGTCCGACTCTCTTTGCTTTTCCGTTTGAATCTCGGAGAAGTTGTCATAAACAGCTGTAAAATCATTATAACGCTGGAGAGCTAAGTATGTTTTTGAACGAGAGAAGCATTTTTCAATTGTGCTTCTTCAATGCTCATGTCCATGTTGTCCAATGTCTTCGCGGGAAAAGGTACGCAAAGAATGAAAGACTGCTCTGCGGAACGGGAACGTACGGCTGTGTACAAGTCACCAATTGTATGCGAAAGGTTAAGGCGAACAACTTCGCGAGAACCATTTAGCATGCGAACTTGAATTCGAGTAGAAGGCTTGGCTTCGTCAACTTGAATAGGACTGTGTTGAGCAGAGGTCTCTGAAGAAACGTTACTTTGAACAGAAGTTGAGGGACGGGACGGGGCAGCGATCGGTGTGCTAGTCAGGGAAGAACCCAAACGTTGTCCCTTGCCCGAAAATGGTTTTGCTTTGGGATGGTATTCCTCGTCCATACGACGTTGAACAATTACGTTAACGGGTTGGTTAGGAGCAACGTTTAAAAGTCCCAGGGGCGCACGACCAGAATTGATGAGTCGAAGCGTCTCTTGATTGAGGGGGTCATCATAATTGTACAGTGGACCATCATCAACACTAAAACCATTCTTCCAGAAGTTCAGTGTTCTTTCTACGGTGGGCAAGACAGCAGCAGAGGCAGGTTGCGACGACGGAGCATGTGTTTCCGGTTCGGAGGCAGAGGGAGAAGCCGATGTGCCCAAACGAGTACCATGACCAGTCCAATGAGATGCACTAGCCGTGTTTTCTGCTCCGGGTGGAGTTACTGAGCCCTGTTGACGAGCCTTCTCAAAGATTTGTTGAATAAGGTGTCTTTTGGAATCGTTGTTGTTTCCCTGAACGGAAAGACCACTCTTTTCTCCTCCGGTAAAGAGGTTAGGATTGTCATTGTCTTCATCGCTCTCATCATTCCGCAGGTCTCGGAACGTTGCAATCTTTTTGTGTTGGTTTCGAGGTTTTGAAGAAGAGGCAGAAGGCTTCGCCTGAGAGGATTGTCCATGTTGTGCGCTTGAAGCCTTTCCCGTAGCATGTGCAGACGAACCACTCTCCAAAGAGGACGATTGTGAAGACTCCGTAGGCAAAACTTCACGAAACAGCATACGAGCTAAGTCATAGTTCCAATTCGATGACTCCAGGAAAAAACGACCTTGTGTAGAGTCAATACCAGTTTCATTACAGAATCTATCAAGTAACTCCTCCTTGTCCATTTTCTGTTGCTAAGAAGACGATAAAAGGAAGTAATAAACAAAGACTTTGTTTTTTGTGAAAAGTAAACGGAATGGGGGGAAACCACAAAGTGATGAGCACAAGAAGTAGTTTTGTAGGTTAAGAAGCAAATTAGAACAGACGTTCTATAGGTGCTATACTTTTTTTTAAGTCGTCGAGATATTTGTTTTGGGCAGGTGTGTTTCTGCTGTGTGGACCTGTGGGAATCCAACAGTAGAAAAGTTGTACGTACTGGAAACGCGTTCAGTTAAGGTCTTTACTTGTTCGTACTTTGTTTTCATTATACCGTAACACGTCTTGTGTTTCTGGTGCTTGTTTCTCCTACTTATTTCTTTCTTTAGGCTTTTTTAAATTTACTTTTATTTAAATCCAATTTAAAAGCATACAGACTCATAGAAACATTATATCGACGAGAACGAACGGTTTACAACAAATAGGTGATCATTTTTGCACTGATCATTTAATAGTTCTTCAATTCCATTCACGTGTACACAGAACATCGGCATAATTTACGGCATACCATCCTTTTCTATAATCTAATTGACTCTTTTCTGGATTGGCTCTCTTGATTTGTACTACTAAAATGGTTTTCTACGAGCTCTTCTGTATAAGCCGACCTTTTGTGCGAAAAATGGTCTACACAGAAGCTACGGTATGATTAAACGACATCCAGTATTCTCAACACGAACTGTATACGGAATGCTGACATGTAAATAGGATATAGCAAAGAATCTCGCAAAGCGTTGCGGAACCATTTTACTTGATCGAAGAGGGGCAATTGATGGATTCGAAGTTTATGGTCTAAAAGAACTTGATAAACCAATTAAGAAACAAGGCGAGAAATACGATTTCGGATTTTGGTGGGGAATGCGGTTTCACTGCAGCACATTTGCCCAGTACGAGATGTTCAAGACGCTGCATCAGGATCCTTCTGTTCTGCGGTTTAATATTATTCGGAAAGCTTATAAGTAAGTATATACACGAAACTCGCGACTTGTATGGCTGTAGTAAATATACTGACTTTTTAGGATTGATCAACTTTAAATGATTTAATGAGCAAAAACAACATGTGTTTTTGGCTCATGTATTAATGACTGTAATTGTAATGTAAACAAAGCTCTCATGTTTTATGCTCTTTTTACAAAACATTTGAACGTTCACCCAGTACTTTGAGAGGTTTTATGTTTGGTTGCATATTTTCTCGTTTCATCACTTTCACTTGGTTTTCGTTTGTCCCCATTGGAAGCACACAGACACGGTTTAGTGTTTGTGTTGGAATGACAGAGTACGGATTTTCCTGGACTCTAGCACGAAGCCCCATTTCCAAACGTTTAGATCGTTGCTCCCTCGACTCGGCAAAGCAAACAAAGATACGTTTTTCACCAACCACAACCCCGTTCATACGAGTTATGGCTGAAAACGCTTCTTCTGGCTTTGAGAACGCAACAAAACCATATCCTTTTGGTATATCTGTATCGGGTATACAGGGTAAACAAGATGATGTAATATGACCAAAAGGTTCAAACAGCTGTTCAAGCAACGTTTTTGAGTAAATAAGCTTATCATCCAAATTCTTGACGAATACATTGCATGGATCTTCAGGTTCGTAATTCTGTTGCTCCGCCGCCGAGGTGTTCATACCACATGCACTCCATGCACGAGCATACGCTTGTTCCTTCTGAAGTGCCAGAGAGACAGCAAGGACCTGTCGCATGTCAGGCGACATTTGTGCGCGCGATGAGAAATAGCTCGGTGCCTTGACGAAAAAATCGAGCTTTCGGTCATGGTACTCATATTCTTTATAATACTCCAATAGCTATAATTTTGTCAGCAAGCGAAGTCATTGAGGACTGTTTACCTGAATGCAATCGTAGTATGTAGGAATGAGAACTTCTGCATACGTTGATTCGCTATTTGGAGGAGCTTGGTTAATTGCCGTTCCGACAATTTTGGCATGTTTCTTAAAGTCATTATAAAGTTGGAGTGGTGTAACATTTGTAGGGAAATTTAAAATTCCAATTGCTAGAAAACAATATCCAGACTGAGATTTCTTTCTTGCGGATTTCGTTTTTGACGATGATACTAAATCTTTCGAAGAAAACTGGTTGGTAATGTCTGTATCATCGCCTTCCATAATGCTAGTGGCGGCATTTTTCGACTTCTCCAAATTCGTCACATTCTTAAAGACACGTTTTCTTCGCCGATGACGAACAATCCTATGAATGGTTAGTCGTTCATCCTCTCAATGAAGTAAGAAACACTGTCATACACTTTATTTCCGCAAAGAATAGTGTCGTTTAATGCTTCAATGGCTTGTTCCACTTGCATCGTGTTTGAAAACACGACAAAAGCAAATTTGGTAGCTTTTCTTTTAAAATTTGAGTTCCTGGTATCATTATTGTGCAATTGAATAACTACTATCTCTCCTATACAGTTGTTTAGTATTAATGCTAAAACAAAAAATGTTAAACATACCAATTGGTGCGAAAAACTTGCGTAAATCGTCTTCTGTAACGGAATCACTCAAATTGCCGACAAATAGTTCATTTTTAAAGAAGAATTGACGATTATTAGGCTGCATACGAAGCTGCTCTTCTACGAAAGACATTGGTAAAGGATAAGGCAGGTTTTGGCGGTTTGGTGTTTTAAGCGAAATTGCGTCACCGAAAAGCTTAATTTAAAAATCAATAGGATGATCACGAGAATTGACGTCGAAACCTTATTTAGCTTATATTAAGCTACACCATAGGTGAGAACCCTCTCAAATACCATATACGCGTACGGCAAGAAATGGCAATTGCTCGTTTACATGCGCCAATTTTGTGGCAGACGGCACATATTTTACGTCCATTAATAAGAACAGTTTATGGAGTCTGTCCATCTCGGTCTATGAGCACGAATGGAGCAAGTTGCTTGGATACTACAGGATCTGTTGTTCAAAGCGAACGGGCGGCTCGTTCTCAAAATGGTTGTATACCAGAAGGTTCCCCGGCTTCTGTTCTTCTTTCTCATGATACATTGATTGTCGAAAGACAAATAGAGATGTTAAATGTTTTCATGGGATATGAACAAGCAAATCGATACGTTATATTCAATCAGCGTGCACATCCCGTTGGTTATATCGCTGAACAGGGAGGAAATTCCTTAATTTCTGGTATTTCACGTCAGTTATTTCATACACATCGTGCGTTCACAGCCGATGTTTTGGACTTACAAGGGCAACTTGTCCTACAGTTACAAAGACCCTTTTCCTGGATAAATTCTCGATTGTTGGTGAATTCCATAGACGGATCTAATGGTGGAGTTAAGAATGTTGGATCTGTGATTCAAAATTGGCATCTGTTTAGAAGAAAGTACGGCCTTTTCATCAATAATGGTCAAGAATATACCCAATTCTCACAGATTGACGAACCCTTCCTCAGTTGGAACTTTGCCTTGAAGAATGAAGATAATAAGATGCTGGGAAGTGTTTCACGCAATTTTATGGGCCTGCCAAGAGAAATGTTTACAGATACTGGAAGTTATGTTCTTCGATTTTCTTCTCCCACTGCTGCAGATGGAAACGTTGAAAACAATCAGTTTTTACAGACTTCTGAAGGTTGCAAGGAAGACATCTGTCCTAGAGAAATGTCTTTAGAAGAACGTGCTGTGATGCTTGGTAGCGCTGTAACCATAGATTTTGATTACTTCTCACGCACTCGTCACGGAGCCTCAGTGGGTTTTGCGGTCCCATTTATGCATTCATCGTCTATGGGCCCTACTTCAACACATGTCCCACCGACTGAAGATACTGATGCACAGAAAATTCTCCGCGATGATGATGGCTCACAAACCAAACAATCATCACGCTCTTCTTTTGATGACGGCCAGACATTTACCCACTCTGATTCGCCGTTTATGAGCGATGAGGAAGTGGAAACATCAAATGATTTTTGGGATATATTCGACAATGACGGTTTTGGAACTGATGACTAAAAAAACTACAGGCTATTTTTGTTTAACTCGTTTTTATTATCTTCTTTTATACTGATAAAGTTTCTTAACTAGCACTTTTCATGAAAATTTATGACAAAATAGGATATGTTCTTCCCTCATAGAACCAATACACTCAACATAGAATTACACGATTTATGAGAAGCTTCACCGACTGTGAAAATTAATTTGTAAAGTTTATTATGAACATAAGGTAAAAGATAGTGCAACATTATACGTATTAAATGTAAAAAACTGCACACTTTACTTGCGCGGTGGAAAAAATATTAAAGAATCAGAATGAACGCGCTGAAAAGTGGGTAAAAGTATCTGTAAGGTATAAAGACTCGGCCTGTGTATTAAGAAACAACACAATTATCCCAAGTAAAATGCTTTTTACTCGGACAGAGCTTGGAAGCGCATGTCAATCTTCTCCAAAAGTTTGTTATAGCGGTCGACCAAAACTTCCTTGCCATCAGCAGGGTTTTCAAACTTCATAGAAGACAGATCATGAAGAAGGTCAGCAGTACTTTCCTTAATCTTAGCCCAGGGAACATTGCCGTTCTCCACAGCAGCACGAGCCTTGTGGTAGTATGAGACCATTGCCTTCAGCATGTAGAAAGTCTTGTAGAGTGGGCAATTACGGTCATAGTCAGAGTAACCGTTCTGTTGCAAGAAGTCATTCTTGATGATAGTGGCAATGTCCAAAGTAACCTTATCGGGCTCGGACAGAGCAGATTTACCAACCAGTTGAATAATTTCAAGCATGGAGTCCTCTTGCTGAATGATCTCCTTCACTTGATCACGCAGCGAAGTGAAACCAGTAACATTTTCACTGTACCAAGGCTTCAACACTTCAGTGTACTTGGAGTACGACAGAGATGTGTTGATAGATGGGAAATGCTTGCGCTGAGCGAGTTTTTTGTCCAAACCCCAGAACACTTGAACAATACCAAGAGTAGCACTCGTAACGGGGTCAGAGAAATCACCACCGGGAGGAGAGACAGCACCAACAATGGAAACGGTACCCTCACGGTTGGGGCTACCAAGACAACGAACACGACCGGCACGCTCGTAGAAAGATGCCAACTTGGCTCCGAGATAAGCAGGGTAACCAGAATCAGCAGGCATTTCAGCCAAACGACCAGAAATTTCACGAAGGGCTTCGGCCCAACGAGAAGTAGAGTCAGCCATCATAGCAACATTCTTACCCTGATCACGGAAGTACTCAGCCAAGGTGATACCAGTGTAAATGGAAGCCTCACGAGCAGCGACAGGCATGTTCGAAGTGTTAGCAACCAAAGTGGTACGCTTCATGATAGGCTCTTGGCGGCCCTCAATTTCAATACTCAACTCAGGGAAATCCATCAAAACTTCAGCCATCTCGTTTCCTCGCTCACCACAATTGTGAACCAAAGTGAGATTGGACAACAAGAATTGGTGATCGGAGTCCTCAGCAAGAGTAACACCATAGTAATTAGCAGGGGTGGTAATACCAAGGTCGAAGTACATGGGAACAGCCTTGCGCTCAAAGCTGCCAGGAGCGGGAGCAACGTTGGAGCTAAGAGCAGATTTGCTCAAAACAGACTGCAGAGCCTCGTTACCCTCCAATTCAATAGTGTAAGTTTCAGGGTAGTATACACCATCAACAATTTGCTCAGACTTGGTGGAAACATATGCAGAGATACCAAGAGAACGTGCGATTCTAACAGTACCGTCACGAACCTTGGGAGATGTCGTGCTAAGGTGGGCAGACGACAAATCACCGTGCTTAACGGAACCATCAGCATCAATAAGACCTGCAAGGAAAGCTTCACGAACAGGGAAACTCTCATAGGCAAAATGAGAAGGAATAGACTTGACAGCACCAGAGAAGCCAAGATCTGAAATAAGCTTCCAGAAAACGTTGTCCGTGTTACCCTCAAAAGAAACAGAGAGGTTACCACGTTGTTCCCAGGCGGGAATCTCACTTCCCTCTTGGAAATCGACGACCTCAACAAGGTCCTCAACTTCAGAAGTGAAGGTACCGTCAACTCCAAGCTCGCCACGAACGATCTTAACTGTGCGAGGATTGTGCTCAGCGGTAACAGCCTTCAAGCCCAAAGCCTTTCCAAAAGAAATGATACGAGAAACGAGCTCAGAATCCTCTTCGTAGAGGGAGAAGGCGGAAGATCTTGAGAAACCAGCACCAACCCATACACCAAGTAAATAAGCAGCTTCAGAGGCGTACTTGGCACTAATTCCTCTTTTGACCAGACGATTTTGCAAATCGGCCTTCTCAAACAAAACTGGGCTAATCATTTGCTGGGTAAGTTCGCGGACTTCCTGCGAAACAAGAGTGTAATCTCTTGCCTCAATTGTCCAGTAGATATCATCGTCGCCAATGGTAGACAAAAATTCCATGGCGAGCTCGCGAGCCTTTTCAACACCGCGAGGCTCGTGTTGGAAGGACTTAGTAACCTTCTTAACAATTTGAATACGACGACGGTCACCGCCGCGAGAAGATCCAACAACAACGTCAGCAAGACGAAGGAAGGAAACGGAGCTTTGCTTCTTTCCACGGACAACCTGCTCAACAAGAGAGATTTGCTGAGGAGTTTTGAGGACAAGCTTGTGAGTTGCATTGCATGTGTAGGAAAGGTTGTTCGAGCTTTTAGCTCCCTTGCGTGAAATCTTTTGGGAAACAGTATACATGGTGTCAAAGCCACGAGGGAGGGCAACGACATCTCTAGGTCTACCGTCCTTACCCATAACCTTGTCACCAATGACAACATCCTCAATCTTCTTGTCGGCACCATTGGCCATCAAAACTTCAGTTCCTTTAGCGAAGCAACCAACATAAACAATCAAATCAGAGTTGGAGTATTTAGAGAGAGATTGAGAAATAACGGTTTTACCACAGCCGAAAGCACCAGGAATAGCGGTGGTACCACCTTGAACACAAGGGAAAAGAGCGTCCAAAACACGCTGACCAGTAAGCAAAGGCTGGTTGGCAGTCAAATCATCGGCAACGGGACGAGGTGCACGAACAGGCCAGTGGTGCATCATGCTAAAAGAGTGTTTCTTGCCATTAAATTCAACTTCTAAAATGGTTTCGTCGACAGCATACGAACCAGCCTCGGCAATGTGTGTAATCGTTCCTCGAGCGCGAGGAGGCAGCATGATCTTATGTGAATTAAAGAGAGAGTTTTCAAAAACTGTACCGTACACATCACCTCCAGAAATGTGATCACCAACGCGGAAATCCTTGCTAGGAGTGAATTCCCACTTACGGTTACGGTCCAAAGCTTCTGTGTAAATACCACGGGGAATGTAAATACTGTTAGAAACAGCGTGGATACGTTCCAGAGGTCTCTGGATACCATCGTAAATAGTCTCTGTAAGGCCAGGGCCAAGCTCGACGGAAAGAGGCTTTCCTGTACGTTGAACTGGATCACCAACAGTCAAGCCAGAAGTCTCTTCATAAACTTGAATGGTACATTTGTCTTCAAAAATACGAATCACCTCACCAACAAGCTCCTGGTGACCGACGCGAACCAGCTCGTACATTGAACAACCAAGCATGTTCGAGGCGACGACAACTGTAAACAACAGTAAGAAACATGCTCCAATAGAATATAGTCTATAACTTACCGGGACCGGAGACACTGTAAACTTCACCATAGAAAGTCTCCTTCTCATCAAAGTTTCTCAGGTTCCGAATTGCTTTTTTAGCATTTTCTATACCTCCAGCCTTTTATCTTGTTAATAGCCCGTAGTGCAGTGTGAACTTACCATCTTTCAAGCTTTGTATTAGGGAAAATTGGGTTGGAAGAGGTTTGGTTAGAGGTAGAAGGCAGAGGGTAGTAGTATGTCGTGCTGTTATGAGATACCTGCCTTACTTATATTTTGGTGGTGAGTTTCCAGGTAACCATGGTCCACCCACACAGACCACGAGTTGACCGTCCCAGCCACGGTCAAAAAACCATGTACATTCGCGTCGATTGTATTGTAATATACCAAATAACTAGTCAAATTATAGTTCATAAATAATTCAATTTTCTATTCATGATTAATTTTAACGCGTTGGTTTTTCCTGTTGTCGTGACAGCTACTGGTTGCTCTAGAGGTGATACGTGATTCGTGATAATTGGTTTCTTGTAGTATTGGCATCATAGCTTCAATGATAAGTATTATCAGCTGCTTCTATTTTCATAATTCGTGTTCATTCTCCCAAAGCTTGAATTTCCGGTTTTCTAAATTCGTTTCTACCAAACCTTCCAACGCTATAGTAACCGTTCTCTTCATACTACCGACGGTATCTAAACAGTGACTAAGAATTGGCCAGTTCTCTGGTAACACGTAAGAACGAGATTTACATAAAGACAATTCTAGAATTCATTGTATTTGCTGACTTTAAAAAAGGAGCTCGTCGTAAGTTGCTCTTTCATTATAGAAAATTTGGACTTTTCGTCATTAAAGACAGTTGGCTTCAGTTCGTGCCACTCAGTGTCCCTTCATCAGCTTACTTCAATACAAAATTACTCTGGAGCGCAAGTATTCGGTGAATACGTTTAAAAAACGTAGAAAAAGAAAACTCAGTAGCTTGTACCCAGACGAATTATATGGTAGAGCGCTTCGAAGAAAGATGGATGTGACAAACAAAAGAAAGGATGAGATCACACGTCTTATAGTGCAAGCGCTAAATGAGTTTGGCTACCGGTACGTTTTGCATTTTGTTTTCTTAAAATGAGCATTCGGGATCTGTTTATTAACAGCCTTCACAGAGCGAGTGCTAGTCTTCTACAAAAAGAAAGTGGCCTCGAATTAGAGTCTGAGAATGTTCGGAACTTCCGAGAGGCAATCATGTCGGGCAAATGGGCTGCTGCTCGGGATTATTTTGAACGACTCACCGTCCGTGATGAGTCCATCAAAAAGGTAAGGACGGATGATAGAGTTGCTACAGAGCGCAATGCCGTCACCATGATAACTAACCTAATTTAGAAGGCATTCTTTCTTATCGAGAAACAAAAATGCTTAGAACTCGCAGAACAAGGAAAGCTTTCAGAAGCGTTTAATGAACTTCAGAAATTCTCCCGGGCGATCCCCGAGTTGCCCGTTGACACAAGCTTCTGTGTCATGTTGCTACACCCGGTGAACGAAATACGCAAGGAACTCGGTGTTGCGTCTATGGAAGATGCCCGTACATTACTGCTCAATGAACTCTCGTCATTCGTTTCAGCAGACATCCTCATACCCAAAAACCGACTAGTAACTCTGCTCGATCAAGCGAAAACTTTTCAAATTCAAAAACAGCTGTGTCATAACGTTTTACGCGATTTTTCCTTTTACACAGATTACGAAGTCGATGATTCACAAATTCCTCAAATCACAACCCATATTTTTGAAGAGCATACGGATGATGTTTGGCATATTAGCTACTCACATAATGGTCGCTATCTCGTTTCAGCCTCTCGCGACAGAACTGCTGTAGTTTACGACGTCACGGCTACAACCGTTCTTCATCGCCTACTTGGACATGACAATGAGGTTGCTTACGCCCAGTGGTCACCCGACGATGATTACATCCTCACTTGTTCCGATGACAAAAAGGTTATTCTCTGGAACGCGCACACTGGAGCCAGGGTTCGCGTTTTTCAAAAACACAGTGAGCCAGTAAGCTGTTGCAGATGGCTTCCTGATGGACAGTCATTTGTCACTGGCTCCCTTGACTGTAGTATTATCCACTGGGCGTTAGATGGAACTATTCTGCACCGATGGAGAGACTTGAATATTTACGACATGGATATAACTCCGGATGGAAAGCGATTGTTTGTCGTTGGGGTGAAACAAGGCTTGTCAACAGAAAAACATCTGAGCGTTTATCACATGGAAACAAGACAATGCTTGAAACGCATCACCCTCGAAGCAAAAGCCACCTCTGTTTGTGTGTCGAAGGATTCCAAGTATGCGTTGACAAACACAGAACCCCAAACGGTATTGCTGTGGGACTTAGAAGACTACCGTATCGTCCAGCACTACGATGGAAGTCAACAAGGAAGATGCTTGATTGGTTCCTGTTTTGGCGGCCAAGACGAAACATTTGTTCTCAGTGGAAGCAAAGACGAGAAAATTCGAATCTGGCACAAGGCTACTGGCAAGCTGCTTAAGACACTCTCGGGTCATGTAAAATACGTGAACTATGTAGCCTATAACCCTAAGAATCCCTATCAATTTGCCTCCGCAAGTGATGATAAGACTGTGCGAATCTGGGAAGCTCCAGAGTACCTTCGAGACAAGGGTCTTTTTGATGAAGCCATGGAAGTAGAGCAATAAGCTTGTTAATGAACTCAATTTTTTACGTTTACGATTCTGTTTGAACTCTTTTTACGCCCTTGTGTTTTTATGTTTTCTCTTGTTCCAGTTACAAGCTCTGAAAAATGCTTTCTGCCAAGCCTTCACTGTTTGCGAAAAGTGTCAGTTAATGTAATAATTTTACGTTCATTAAAATATGCTATTCATAACGAGACAATACGATGTGAGAAGGAAAGACGTCTGACGAAACTGCTTTGCTTAGGTGCTCGTACTTGCGATTTCGAATGGGCGTCGGTCCATGGGACATTGTCCTTGGGAGCTTTCTGTGGCAAGCCAGTTGGTTATACAGTGAGAATGGAAGATGTGAGTGCATTTTCCCCAAATTAAAGGACAGTCATCACCAGGCGACTTGCACAAGGGACAACATCCATCAAAGGGGACGCGACAAATACCGCAAACATCGTCTTTTGGAGTCGTCCAAGTCCAATTAGCTACTGCATGATATCCTACGGTTATTGTTAGTCGATGAAAACATAAATAAATGCGCTTTATAAGCCCATACTTTTAATTTTGACGCGCATGATTTATCGTTTACGGTAGTACACTACTGCAGTTGGTACAGATTAAGCTTTTTGGTGTAGTGGTTTACAGCACACGACGCGTCGCACCTGGCTCACTGGATGACGTATTCGTGTTTTACATAAATGAAAAGGGCGACGCGTCGCAAACTTACCAAAAGCCAACACGTTTAGATGCAAGAAACCAGAGAATGGTTTGTGAGCAACATAAGTCACAGCACTTTAGTTCTTCAAGCATCTGTTTTTGATTTGGAAGAGTCAATGGATTCAAAATAATCCTTGATCATCGGTGTAACAGATGGTAAATGGAATTTTGGCTTTCGTAAGTAGCTTAAATACGCTCTTCTTGGCCGCTTACCCAAACCATTCTGGTTAATGACGAGAATCTCCTTGACACTTGGAGAAAATACTTTAAAACCGGCCTCCACGTACGTATCGAGGATTTTGTTTCGAAGAAGAATGGAAGTTTGAGGGCCCCGTCGCCGGATCTTCATTAAGTATCCGGCAAAACTTGTAGTGCGAGGATCTTTAGAACCGTTAACATACGACCGAACCATTAAAACAGCACCTGGACGTATACGGTCGGGATTATTTTTGGCAAACATGCGAGCATTCTTATTTTCCGTCTCCAATTGAGAAACATGTAATGCTTCAATGCATCTCGTAACATCCTTCGCCTTTGGCGGGTCCAACGGTTTTGGAAACGGAAACTTGGCAGGTGGAATTCTTCCTAATAGCAACTTTTTGGCGCACAGGCGCAATGTTGGAAACATTTTATGTGTGAAGAAATGTCTTTATATACGGGCAATGACCAACTGAAAGGATTGGGTAATTATCGATTCACAAAAGAGCAAGGACACGTTATGATGAAAGGAAACGGTAAACGAAATCGTAAAAGTTTCTCCTATTTTAACAGCAGGTTATACCCCCCAACAACCAACGTTTCCTACAAGTTTTTGGGATTTGTGGAGAACGGGTTGTTCTTGTGAGTCTACGCTTCTATCCTCCACCTTTGGATCCTCTCTAGATTGAAAGGGTGCGATTAATTCAGTCAAACATTAAAAACAACCCCTCCTGAGCCCTTTTCCGTTGGTATACTAGTACACGATGTCAAATATAAAAGTGTATGACTTGACATTTATGCACCATTTCTGTGTCTTGTCCAACTAACACGACGCAGAACATGTTCAGCCCCTGGAAAGGTAATGATTGCCGGAGGCTACATTGTCCTTGAGTCACAATATAGCGGATTGGTAATTGGTTTGGATGCGAAAGGTTATGCAACTACGACGACTCTTGAAAGTCGACAACTTCAAATTCACGTGAAAAGTCCCCAGTTTATTGATGCTGAATGGCACTACCAACTGAATGCGGAGACCAATCCTATTTCCGTGAATCAGATCTCAGCAAAGGATGGAAAGCCAACCAATTGTTCTCCGAACCCTTTTGTTCAATGTGCAATTTTCTACACAGTAAACGCTCTCTTCCATACGGAAACACTGAAAACAAAGTGGAGGGATCTTAGTATTGTTATTGAGATGGACAATGCATACTACAACCAACCAGAGTTGCTCGCTGGTCAGACTGCTTATCCTCGTTTCAATCCTCTGCGATGCAAGATTGAAAATGTGAAGAAAACTGGTCTTGGAAGTTCAGCGGCGATGATTACTAGTCTTACTGCATCGCTGTACACGACTATGCAAACCTTACTGTCGAGTGCTACTGAAGCACCGAAAGATCTCGACGAACAAACACGCACTCTAATTCATAACCTGTCACAGCTTGCACACTGTTCTGCTCAAGGAAAGGTGGGCAGCGGTTTCGACGTTGCTGCTGCTACGTACGGTAGTTGTGTTTACCGCAGATTCGACACAGCAATTATTCAAGATCTGCTCGTCACTTACAACGACCAACCCAACGACAACACCTTTACCGACCGGTTGTGCAAGGCCGTGAATCGTCCCTGGACGCGTGTAGTGCCATTTGTGCTGCCTCGTGAGTGGAAGCTCTTAATGGGTGACATTGCAGGCGGATCACAAACGCCTGGTATGGTGAAAAAGGTTCTCGCGTGGAAAAAATCAAATCCTGAGCAGGGGAAGAAAGACTTTGATTGTCTCCATGATCAACTGAAAACCATCGCTGCCTGTTTCGAGACTGCCAATGAGGGCGACACCGAAAAGAAGTTGCGTACGGCATTCACAACAATCCGTAAGACGTTACAGCATATAACAAAGGTTGCAGTCGTCGACATCGAGCCCGAGCAGCAAACGAAAATTCTCGACGCTGTTGAACAAATACCCGGTGTCCTTGGCACAGGAGTGCCTGGAGCCGGTGGATTTGATGCACAATTTTGCATCTGCAAGAACGATCCCTCCGTCGAGAACGCCGTCTACAGTCGTTGGCGTGAACTGAACGTTGTTCCCATGACTGTCGGCCCCGTTGACAGAGGACTTTCCATCGAATGAGGAGAGAAAGAGTTCCTCCCCCAATACCTAACCGGTCAGTTACGATCCAACATAGCCCAGCCCAACCGCATTCCATTCTTGCTCCACTACATCCCAAACCAAATCCTCCCTCTTCACTCCTAGTCAACTGCTTTCTCTTTCATTATTGTCGTCGCTTTCTCCCGTGTCACCGACCGCCCCGTTGTCCTCATCACTAGGAGAGAGGGATGCCTGCACAAGCAGTTTCCAGGAAAGCAATCTCTTGCAGCGAGCGCAGGTTCCAGAAATGGGCAGAATGTGTTCATCGTCCTGGGCCTCTTGCAGAAAGGAGGCTGCCAGACAGGTGGAATGAGCTATCATTCGGCAGTCAGGAAACGGGCAACACAGAAAGAAGCAAGGGAGTAAAATTGCCCTGACGCAAATAGAACACTGAGCCTGGACGGACAATTGAGCCCGTTTTTTTCGTTGAGTGTCGAGCCAACCGGCATCACCTCCGTAATCAGCCAAACGAAGCGATTCAACATCGTCGAACGAACAAAGCTGGATGCAGTTGCTCGGTAGCCGCTCCTTCAACCAAAGACGGTGCACAGCATCGTCAAAGATGGCAACCCGAAGGCCCCAACGCGACCAGGCTTCGCAACACAGCATGACACCCAGCGCCCGGACACACGACAACAGTGTTTGTCGCTTGACGCTCACCACCCGGCTGTGCTGTCGGAGGTCGTCGTGACGAGTGCTTTGTGGATGCTGCCAGACCCATTCAAATTGCAAGGCGGCGATTTTTGTAGGGAAGCCGTGAACGAAGCAGGCGACTTTCCATGGTCGGCTTCGTTTTGTTTTGTACGCACCGCCCTTGATTTCACCGTTGTGCTGACGCAGTCTCCTCGCCGGGTCTGGCGTCGACCCAATATACACAGAGCGAGATGCTGCCTTTTCCGAGACCAGCAAGTAGCAGCAGTAGAACATGCTGCCGCGGTGTGTTAGCGGATGGCCCAGGGAATGAGAGAGTAGTGAGGTGCTGCGCGTGCGGTAAGAAGAACAGAGAGGACGTGGTAGAGGACGTTAACCACGATTAGCGCATCCCAGCAAACCGATCCTAACTCGGAGTAACCGCGGCGGCCGACAGCCGCCCACTGGGTGCCGCCGTCTCTCACCGCGTCTCGCCTCCGCCTGGCTTGTTCTCCTGCTCCGTCTGCTGCTGTGGGGGTTGCTGCTCCTGCGGGGGCGGGCCTTGAGTAGCCCAGTTGGGCTGTGTGAGGCAGTACTTCTCGGGCGGCAGGCGGAGGCCGTAGGCCGGAAGGACCTGAGGGAGAGGCTTGCGGTTGCGTTCGTTGGCGAGCTCGAGGAGAAATTCCTTGGGAGGCGGGCCGGTGAACGAGTGGTTTATCTGGGAGGCGATAGCCAGACGGACGTCGTCGACGTTGATGGCGGCGTTGGTTCCTCGAGCGTGCTCGGCATACACGTGTGAGTCTTGAATGATTTGCTGTGTGTATCGATGAGCAAATGTTAGCAATTGCAGCGGCACAGACTGGGAGTACGCGGGGACCCCGAGAGAGGTCATGATGAGGTGGATCAGCCGCGCATCCTTGGGCGTTTTGGAAAAGTCTTCTGTAGGAGAGGACATGCTGGGAGAGGGAAAGTGGACGAGGAGCAGACTGTGGGGGTCAGTAGACGCGTTGGGCTGCACAGGAATGCGCTGGAATGCACTAGCCTGCGTCAAAATGCGTTATCCACATAACGCAGCTCTTTACACAGCGCAAGACTCCCGCATTGCTCGTTATTGTTGTTAACGAAGCTCGTTGCACTGCGTTAAACAACACACCACGCCCGCGCTCGTTCACGCTATCCCGTTTAACGCCCTCCACCGCAGCCCCACTTCCCTCCACCACCCCACCCGGTCGCCCACATATCCCAAAACTGGCTATTACCATTTATCCCAAAACCTAAAGATTGCCATGTTGTTCGTTGCAGGCGGCTGTCTACTGCAACCGCCGGTTCACATTCAGATAGCCCTTGCCCAGACAAGTCATCTCGATGTGGCCCGTGTCGAGCTCCTTGAAACGGTACTCGCGGCCAAAGAGCGCCTTGACGTCACGCAAGAACACGACCAGCTGTGACGTAATGTTGTCGTGGCCGATGACGATCTGGTTCACGTCCTCGGACGACAGCAGCATGCCGGTGAGGATGGAGGGCTGTGTGAAGTGGTCCACGCAGCCGCCCATCTCGATGACCTGGAGCAGCTGCTTGGCGCACAGCTCGCCCACGTCTTCTGGCGCCTGGCCGGCCTCGCCGCACTGCTGGGCTGCGTACGAGCAGCCCCGGTTCGTCTCGGCGACGAGTGCCAGCGAGAAGCCAGGCGATTTTCCGCACTCGTCTCCACGACGAACGTCGGTGTAGATGAACACGTCGGGAATAAAGCGGTTCAGCACTCCACGTGCCGACTCCACGATCCGGTTCACAGTGGCCGGCGAAATTCGCGTGGATGACGCAATGCCCCGGATCCGGAACACTCGGCCAGGGTCCGTCAGCCGGATCGTCGGCAATGACGTTTTCACCACGGGGCACAGAAAGTTAATTTCGCCGCCGCCGTCGGGCTCTGCCCCGCGTTTGAGAATGCGGAGCTCAAGCTCGTCACCGAGGTTGTACTGCTTTTTGAGGAAGGGAAGCACGCTCGTCCGCAGCACGTCGACGCCCACGTCCGACGGCTCATTGGACGCTGTGACACCCCGTAGGGTGAGCGATGTGGGGGTTTTTGCAAAAAGACACAGCAGCAGCAGTGGCTCGAGAAAGTAGCCGACGGCGCGGCCGGTCGGGCAGTCGTGCTCGACACGGCCGCCCGTGATGGTTCCTGGGCGGTAGACGAACGAGGTACCGGTGTATGAAATTTCAATGACGCTGCCGTTCGTGAGTTTTTCGAGCAAACGCAGATAAGAAACTTCGTAGTCGCGCAGACCGGGGTCCACGCTATCAGAGCGAATCCCCTCCACACGAACAGGCGTCCCGCTGAGTGTTGCAAGGGCCAGTCGATGTGTGAGGTGCTCGCATCCTCTAAACCGAACCTGCACCTGCGACATGATGGAGGAGGAGGAGGAGGAGAAAATTGCAGGAACAGTGTGGTGGTGAAGGGGGAGGCACGTGCAGGGCAGACGGGAGTAAGCGAGAGGATAAGCGAGGGGCGGGGAGGGGGAGGGAGGCACGTGGAAAGCGTATTGGGAATAGAGGGGCGGGGTGAGGGGAGGGAGAGAAAGGTAATCACGTGGAACCTTATTGGGAACAAGAAGGCGGGATGAGAGAATGTGGTCACGTGGCACCTTATTGGGAACAAGAAGGCGGGATGAGAGAATGGGGTCACGTGGCACCTTATTTCCAACAAAGAGGCGGAACCGATTCGGTTTTACGAGACCCTCCTCTGCTGCCTCACTGCCTCACTGCCTCGCTGCGACTGCCGCACTCGGTGCATAAATCGTTACTCGTTATTATCGTTTCTACCGCTCACCGTTGCCGCGACCGCGTCCGCGGCCACGGCCTCGTCCACGTCCTCTACCACGTCCGCGTCCGCGAGACGAATTGTGGGGACGAACCCATTCGGGTGTCATAGTGTACATGGCACGCTGCATCTGTTCCTGTGTGGGGGCCGGCTCTGTGGCGGGGGCCACAATGTCCTCATACAGCTCTGTCTCGGCGTTTGTGGGGGCCGGGTTCGACGAGCTGCTGGCCGAGCGCGGCACGGACGACTCGCCCGGCAGCGCGTCCTCGCGCGGTTGCGTGCCCTCAATCTCACTCTCGTTCAGGAATTGGATGCCCTTCGCCAGCGGACGCGTCGTTGGCTCAATGTCCGCGCCCTCAATGCCGGCGGCGTTTCCGGACTCAACCGCGGAAACACCCGCGGCTTCGGCCTCGGCGTCCAGCTCGCCCTGGGCCGGAGGCGACGAGCGTGCCGTCTCCTCCGGCGTCGTCTCTGGAGAAGACTGGGCCGCGGCCGAGCCGTCCTCCTCCGCGGAAGGCTCCTCGGGGCGGAAGAAGGCCTGCACGCGTTCAGCCAGCGTGGCATACGTCACAGGCGTGCCGTCGAGCTTGGACTCGGAGCCGGCACGCAGATCGGCGACTGCCTGCTGGGAGGTCTCGCTGCCCTCGTAGACGAGGACGAGCAGCTTCTCAACTGCCGTGTTCAGGTCGGTGTCGGCAGATGGATGGACGCAGTTGAAGCTGGCAAAACGCAGGAAACGGACCAGACTCGTCACCTCCTGGCGTCCGTCAGCCAGACCGTCCGCGTATCGAGACGCAAGCTGATTTTCGTGTGCGACACGTTCGCGTTCTGCTTGTTTTTTCTGCTGCTGGGCGAGCTTATTACGCGTCGAGACGACTAGCGACTGCAGATCCTCTAACTCGTGCAACGCTGTCATAACAGCCTCTTCACCCCGAAGAGACGCGCGTTGGTCAGCATTCAAAGAACCCGGCGCCTCAGCATCCTGCTCCTTGAGCTTGACGATTTTTTGCTGCTTGTTAGCACGGACGCGTCGGACGGCTCGAAAAAACGCGTAAAAGCGCGTCAAAACGCGTCATTTTCTGGCAACTTACTTTTTTCTTGGTAAAGTTTCGAATACGTTTTTGAATGTGCTCGAGGAGCGCGTCTTCTTGGGCGTTCTCTGCGGTTTTTTTGGTATCGGGCTTCATGACGGTGATGCGGTGGATGGGAGGTGGCAGGAGAGCAGCGAGGAGTATTGCGAGCGTTAGCGAGCAATACGGGCACGCTAATGCGTTTAGTGAGGCGCACCAGACACGAGCGCAGCGAGCCCGAGCGAGCAATAACGCCGGTCCACTAGCACTCACTCTAGGCTGCTATTGCCTTTTCCGCAGTGCGCTGCAGCACGCTGGCGCGCACTGCAGCGCACTAACGCTCGCAATACTCGCTGCCTCGCTGCAACCCTCTCCCCATGTTCCGCCGCTTCTACTCGTTCATCGGCAAAAAGCCCATCTGCCTCCCCCAGAACGTCTCCATCACACAATCGAACCATCGTATCCACATCCAGGGACCTCATGGCCGGCTGCAGCTCCCGCTCCCGCCGCATTTAGCCCTGGAAGTTTCGCCGGTCACTGCACGCGTCCGCCTCGCCAAACCGCTCGACCTTCTCGACCGAAAGGAACACGCAATGTGGGGGACGACGCGTGCGCTCCTGTCGAACCACATCCGAGGAGTCTCTGAACGCTGGCAATGCATTGTTCGACTCGTTGGCATTGGCTACCGCGTCTCCTTGGACAACACGAATCCAGCAGACCCTTGCATCGTCCTCAAAATAGGCTTCGCTAACCTTATCCGAGTGCCGATCGTCGATGACGTAGAGGTTACGAACCCGACTCCCACCTCGCTGATTTTGCGGGGGATCGACAAGCAACGCGTCACTCAGTTCGCCGCGAAAATACGCGCCTGGCGAAAACCAGAGCCGTACAAGGGCAAGGGAATCTTCGTGGATGATGAAACCATTGCTTTACGAAAGTAACGAAAGTAGCGAAAGTAAGTGTTCTCCTACGTGCTGCTTGGTTTGCTGCTTGGACGGAGCCATGCTCGCGCTAAAAGTTCGCGTAAAGAACGCCCGGCTGGTCGCGGTTGCTTCCTTTCGTAAAGTATGTACGCGTACACTCCTACAGCTAGGCCAAATACGGGGTCTAGACGCCTGTTTCAAGGTTAGCTCTGCGCTACGTGTCCTGTCACTGACTTGGAGATGAGATTCATGACTTGGTAATGGGAGAGAAGAAAGTGGAAACGGCGAAGACGTGCCCTTTCTTCAAACGAAACTATGGCGGCTGGAAGAACCTCCACTCGGTGCAGTGGGGGCACCTTCCAAGAACCTCCAGTGCCCCACAAGTGTCCCGCATTTTCCCCGCATTCACGTGTACTACCACCAAAAACACTACACCTTGTGTCGTTAAAGACGAAGCCCGACGGGCCCTCATGGTCGTCCTCGTTCCCCATGTCGAAGCCGTTTTTTACAAATTTGAATCCATTTGACTTTCTAGAAGCCACCAGTCCTTTACGGAACAAAACTGCTTCACAGAACGCTCAAGATTCCGCGCCAGAGTCGCACTTACCAAAGTCGTTTACATCGTGGACGCGTTCCAAAACCGATCCAAGCACCGTACCCTTCTCTCCGCCTGTCGCCTCCCGTTGTTTCTGTCTCTGAAGATGCCGTCGCGTTTTCTCCGCCTGTTACTTTCCCTGTAGATGCTCCTAAGAAACGAGAAATTCCCTTCTATTCGGCTCTGTCCGGTTTGCTGGTGGACGCTTGTTCTGAATTCGTGGCTCGTGCCGTGAACGATTGCATTGTCCTGCACTCGCTTCCCGATCTGCACACGCTCACCACCATTCAATGCCCTGGCAGAGTAAAACACGTTCACTGGATGTCTTCTGTGACGACTGAGACCGACGACTTCAGCGACATTGCCTCACAGACAGACGCAAAACTTGTAGCTCTTCTCGCTACCGGCCAACTCTTGTGCTGGAATGTGTCGCTTGCTTCACCGCACACGACTACTCACCTCTTCACGACGTCTCTGGCCTGGCCCCTCTCGGGGTTTGCTGCCGTATCGTCACACTCGTTGCTGCTTGTTTCCCATTCCACGTTTACCATTGTGGCTCTCGATTCAATGATCCAGGAAGACGCATCTTCTCCCCGCTCTCACCCCATCGATGTGACGCTTCTCACGTCTCTTCACTCTGTCGGCGAGCCTATTCAGGCGTTCTCGGTGTGTAGCAACATCGTTTGTCTCTTCACTCAGTCTCGCGTCCTGTTCACCAGCTTAAACGGGTTGGCTGTTACTACGTTGAACAGCATCCAAACATTTTCTCCCGCCGGCGTCCGTTCATTGTGTCATCTTCCCGCCGCTGTTCCTTTCTTTGCGTTTGTGAAAGATTCTACGTTCGGGTTGATGAAGTTTGCTCCGCCGTATATGCTGCTTCGCGGCAAATTCCCCGGAGATGTTCGTCACGCATTTGCTGCTAGGACGGCTGATGGCACTCCTGTCCTGTTGGGCTACACTGTTGATATGATGTATGTGGTTATGATTGATGAAAACGTCTTGTCAGCAAACCCCCGAATCCGTGTTGCGTCTATCCCTATTCCCCAAGGTTTGCTGTCTCTTTCTGTTTTGCATATGGACAAAACTGCCATTCGTGTAGTTGCACAATCGTACAGTTCCTTTTCTGTTCGGGAATTCCCTCTCTCATTTGCATACACGTTCCCTTTGGAAAGCGAACCCTTGGTGATCACTCCAGCTGCGTGGTCTTCTGTAGGCACATTGCCTAGTGAACCTGCAGCTCTGTTGAATACGTTTCAACAGGAAGCAGAATCTGTAGCGTCTCACACACATGACGCCGTTGCTTTGTATGTAAACACGTGCATCAGCGAGCAATTGAAGTGTGCGGTTATGTCAGCTATGAACTCCCTTCAAACAAAATCTTCTGTGGTTTCTGAGCAGGTGCAATTGCAACACAGTATACAAACCCAAGCGGTGGACGAGACGAATATTCCGGTTTCGTCAGAGAATTCCATAGAGTCGCCCTCACCATCACCCACCGGCTCGTCTGTGGCCGTGATAGAACCGGACTTGACAACGGAATCTTTGCCCAGACCATCGAGTGCTACAGAGACAAATGATCTGGCACTACTGGATTTGGACCCTGTTGACGCCATAGTGGAATTCACTCTTCATCCCTCCCCTTCAGCGTTTTCTGATCTTCGCGACCAGATTGAACCCTACCTCTCCAAGCTTTCTGCTCCCCATCTGCTTTCTCTTATGCATGTTTTGTCTAAGCTAGGGTTGGATGTTGATGAAGACGATGACTTGTCCGTTCTTCGAGTGTCTTGCATTGTGCATGCCTTCTTCCAGTTCCGTGCTCTTCAAGTGGAAAGCAAAACACTCACTGACTCCCTTGTTCAGCCCGTCCTTCAGAACATTCAGGCCAACATAACCCAACTTGGAGCTCTTGGCTCTGCTAGACATCAAGTTAAAGTAAAGTTTGCTCGTGAGGTTTTGGAAGCAGCACTTAAAACGTTTGAGTAAGTGCGACGGAAACTCTCCCGTTAGTATACCTTTTACTCGTTTATCGTGTACCATATGTCTAAGCGAATAATACCGTGTGTTGTTGCTACATCTTCAGGCACGTTAAAACAGCTTCACTAAAACAAAACGAAAGCTAAGCATCGTCCTCCTGTTCATCCTTTCTGAGGTGTTCTACTCTAATTCTACATTTTTCTATGCTTGTAACACTCAATCGCTAGCATATACTGAAATAATTTTTCCTCTAACACCCTTCACCGACGGGGACGAGGATTTGTGGATGTTTAGTACTATTATTTTACAATTATTCCCTTAAAGGTGTTCCGAAACGATTCCTTGCTGCAATTAAGTGTTTAAAACTGAGTAAGGCTCTCAAATAGATCCTTTTGCGGGTCAATAATGGTTGCTCCTCATATTCCAGGTTTTGTTTTCGATGAAGCAAGAAATAGGTATTTTCGTTTGCAATCCGCAACACAGGCCAATCCTAGCAGCATGGAGTACACAGTACAACATGTTCGTCAGGTTGGACGAGAGCAGAAGCGGAAGCGAAAGGCAAATCAAGTGAAGCGGCAAGAAGAGAAGAAAAACAAAAAACCCCCTCCAACAATGTACTCAATGTTGCTTAACAGGAGTCTAGGCGGTACCATGTGCAAAGAGCGCATACAAACAAAGTTTTTAGACACTAAGAGTACAGTACAATTCAGTAATATGACTCCACAAGATTCCATTACACATATGGCTACTCCGGAAACATCCTCTGAAATTCTTCTCGTGGGTACACAAGCCGGTCTTGTTTGTGCGACGAAAATATTAGAGGAGTTACGTAGTACGGATCCAGAGACAACCCGGTTATCGTTGAGCGCCTTCGATCTAAGTTTTTCGCAAACGGGCATTTCATCCGTACAAATTTCTGAAGATGGGAATGCATTTTGGACAACGAAAGCTTCCGGAAACGCCTCAAGCAAGGCGTTTTTTTCACGAGTTAACTTCCTTAATGAACTAGAAGTGCAATCATTAACAACTGTGAGCACTGAGCTCATAGCAGATATTCAATGCAGCTATAAAATTCGCTCTTCAAACTCATTTGCTCTGGGAGGGTGCAATCGAATTGCTTTATTCGATGCGCATGCGCAATCCATGTCAAATATTTTACATACAAAAAGTGAAGTATTTTCTCTTCAGGGTATGCACGATGCCAATACCGCAATGTTATATGCAGGTTTGCGAAACAGAAATGTCTTGGCAATAGATACAAGGCAGTCAAACCGTCGTCGAGCTGCTGTTTTGTGTCGCCATGTTTCAAGCGTATGCAATATGAGAGTTGTCACACCCTCTCAACCAAAGATAATAGTTTGTGGATTAGATTGTAAAATGGCATTATACGATCTGAGATTTATTCGAGAACACAAGTCCGAACCACTTGTTCAGTATGTGGGTTATGGAAATGAGTATCAACGGGTGACACCTTTGTCGGTTGATGAGACAAACACGACAATTCTAGCAGCTGGAGAAAAGAATGTTGTCCGTTTCTGGTCACTAGAGGATCCACTTTTCAACACGGAACATGTTCTCAATTCACCGGATCAAATTTCAGCATCGTCAAGTACATGGTTTAACGACACCTCGAGGGATGAAAAAGGATGGATGGTTTCTGCGGGTTCTCAGATTCAAATATTTGTATAAATAGAACATTAATGTGCATTGTCCTTCATTAACACAGCTAGATGGATGTTTAGGAAATAATACAAGGTTTCAATTCTTCTTTTTTCCGAGAAGAATGCTTGTTTGTAGAAGAAACCTTTGGTCGAGTAGGAGGGTGTTGCTGCTTTGATGTTTTCGTCCGAGACTCCCGTTGGTTCTCTTTCTGCTGAAGCTGCTTAGCATATAGTTTGTCCCGAGCTTCTTGAGAACGGTTCGCTTCTTTGCGCCGTTGAATAATTAGCACAGTGGGGACAAAGTGTGCTGAGCAGAGTTCCCCGTTTCCCGTTTCAACAACCTGATCATCAAATGTTTCCCATACAACGTCGTTACCTGCATTAATATAACCTGAATCCGTAACAAGAGTAAACAGCGACAACGATTCCGGATGAGAGAAGAGTGTGCTGAAATGATTGGAACGAAACAGAACCAGTACTTCACCTGGTGCAACATGCTCAAGAATTTTACTAATACCAGCATGTGTCAGAAATTGTTTCGAATACCGGTTCATCATCACGTCTGCAATGACAGATGCTATTCAAGTTAGAACTCGCGAAGAAGATTTTACTAACGTACACTTCTGCAGGAAATCCAGTTGTTCCTCAGAAAGTTCCTCAGTATCAGAGCTTTCCAGAAGCGTACTTCTTTCCACAAGTTTGTCAGCAATCTCCTCATAATAAGGAATTTTTTGCAGCAGCTCGAATGTCCCTTCTTCGTTTGCGTTAAGGTCCTCTTGTGATAAAATCCAGCCGTGGACAAGACGTATGTCAAAGAGACGAAATACTTCGTCCCCGTAGGCAAATTTCTGTACGTCGAATAAACATGGATTCAGTTGTTGTCCAAAATGCATTGTAGCAAGATTGTTTTGTAAGTTGTCCATCGCAGACTTATCATCCTTCACGTTTCCGAGATTGTATTGCTCTGCATATTGTACGAGAAGCGCGTTCAATTGCTCTTCCGTAAGGCGCTTCTTTTCTGGCAGCTTGAATTCCTTTGCCGGAGTTGATTTCAATACAAGACAATTTATCAAGGCAATAATGGGGCAAGGACCATTTTCTAAGGACACAATATCGTTATTTCAGCTCATGGAAACATTTAAAAAGTTCGCCTGTCGTACGAACATACCTGTTTGACAAACAATCCGTCTTCGTTCATAAACACCTTTCTCTGACACCCAGAACTCAACTGATTTTGTAGCATAACTGGTACTACTCTTACTTTCTTCTTTTGGCTCACTTTTGGGCTTTAATCCGCCTGGAATTGCTATTTCAGACATGGTAGTTTCAGCGGGTTAAGATGGCGGGAATCGCTTATTGGAAAGAACGAGGATGGCTAGCGTAACTACTGCTTAATAGGCTATACACTAGTTGAACGAAAGTAAAACGAATGCTAGAGCTGAATATTTTGAAAGCTATGAAGAAAAAACTTAAAGGCGGATATTGAATAACTTGAGAAATAAGCCATCAAGAAACACGCTTAGTAAGTCACAAAGAGAATAGTATTTAAGAAAGAACGTTAAAAAGAGAAAGAGAAGAACAAGAAATTTAGCAATGCCATAATATCAGACCGTCATTGTCAGCGATGCTAAATCCAACCTTGAAGATGGTGCTAGAAAAACAGTGCTTCACACCATAGTAGTCGTGCAATACATCAAAATCATTACGAAAGAGTCAAATACAGAAGCAAGCAATGGCTCCTTCTGTACACAAAGTGAACATTTAATCACTGTTTGTGTTTTTTAAACACTGAGATACTATTTTCATATACCTCTCACATGCAGTAATGTTCTCCTCCAGAACACGAAGCTCTTGAGAGATTATTGTGCATACAAAGAATGCACGAGAATCATTTTTTCGGTCCATACAGACGATTAGTTTTTCGTACTCAGCGGCACTCATATTCCCATTCTTGTAGAAACGTTTTCTTGTATTGCAAAGCGTTACAAGCGTCTTCAGACAGCGGAAAACTAGTTGAGAAACGATGACTGATGCTGAGCATGGATGTTTGCCCTGTGAAAGATCATGACAAATACGCCAACATTGCTCAGTAAGCTTTTGAACATCGACAGGTGAAGCCGGTGGGTTTGCTTTTGATTGTTTACGCTGGTAATCAGTAATGTGATGGTAAAACAAGTAAGACCATAACATAGGATTAGGACCACTTTTATACAAAGCCGGTAGGGAGTCTGTGACAGCCGATTCTTCACTAATGCTTAGGGAATGATCGAAACGAAATGTAGAACAGTCAAATCGCGCACTTGAAGGAAGCATTAACCATTTGCGAAAGGTCCGTTTGTTGAACTTCAGTAATACTGAATAAAAGTCAATGCGCCAGAGAGCATGAGGAACGTCAACAAAGCCATAGTGTGCAAAAAGCTCATCTGCAGTGTATTGTCCATAAGAATTAAACACTTCATCACCGGGGTTGACGCTTCGCTGCAAAATTATATCGCAAGTATCATTGTCTGGATCAAAATGATCCCAAGAATCATGCATATCCTTTTCTTCGGGTACCCACAAAGTTGCACATTCGGTGCCAGAACGGTGGTTCAAACTAAGCAGAAAGAGTTAGCAAATCTTTAAAGGCTTTTTTATAAATGGACGAGGTGAACTTTCTTTTTCAAGAAGCACTTACATGTCACAAAAAGGAACGAGAGCCAGTTGATGTGTAGAGTCGATGAAGAAACATCGAGTTTGAACAAGAACAAATGCATGCAAATATTCAGACCAAGAGGGACAAGGTAAGCCTTTGGGTACCAAGACAGTTTCAAAAAATGGTTGAACAACTGAAATAAACTGAAAAGCCGTCAGTTTTGAGCAGTTGACAACGAGCGAATGGACACATGTTCCTTCTAATTGTTCAAGTGTTTCGGGCGGCCAGTAGATAGGCAAATCTGGTGTTTCCGCATTGAGTAAAGAATCAACAAAAGGACGCCAGAAACTCCTTTCGTTGTATTTTTCGAGTAAAAGCGCTACTGTTAGTCGGACAAGAGCGAGAGCATCAAAAGGACTGCTACTACAATCGGTGTCAATAGTTGATGTGTCTGTTTTTGTAGAGCGTTCACCCATTGTAGCTATGAGTTCTCGATAAGGCGAATTGTAGACGCTAAGAATTATGTTTTTTGGAATACTTGCTAAAGGAGTTTGCGCACCAATTGCCGTTCGAGCGAAAACTCCATCGCCTCTAATCAGACTTGAGTCGATGTACAAATCATCATGAATAAAAGCACGGTTTTTTTCCAACCAAGCAAGAAGATTTTTGTAAGAATCGGGTGCTTCGACAGTCATGAGCTAAGTTTGGATTCAGCTGTTCCAAACAATTCCTTAGGCGTTTTGAATTCGTAAAACAGAGAAAGACAGGAAAAAAAATGGCAATTCGTTTCTTTTTCCTGACAATAACGTGAGGATAAATATAAGCCTTCAACAAGCAACAAAAGCTAAGACAGATCAAACTTGAAGAATGCGTCGCTGGACCCTTTGCCGTTTAGTAATTGTTTGTTATAAGAATGGACACAATTATACAATTACAGAAAAGACGCCGTGGGTCAAAAAATAAAAAGGGTCAAGGGCGCAAATGACCCCGACGTCTTCCTAAGGGATAGGCAATATTTTCTCTGGAGATGAGCAGTTTGTTATGCTATGTGGTGTTCCGTCTATGTATTAAAATATAAAAAACAATGAATTGGCCCAAAGTGATATAGATATACGGACAAGTAGAACTAAAATCAGAACGCTTAGATGTAAACACAGCGGAAGATTGTGTGGACTTCATGTTGAAAAGTGTTGGATTGCATGTCTTAACAACAAAATGCGATACAATTACTGTCCAGTAAGTAAATTTCTTCAATTTTTTTTATTCATTAACGAAGTAATTCATTACAGCTAAATAAGCACGGGATATGGCGATGCCAATTAACGGACACGGAACGACAGAGATGGGCGCAAAGAACAGTGAAGCGAAGGTTAGAATAAGAATATTAGCCACAGCTTGCATAGTATGATAGATGCAATGAATGGTAGCGTTTATGATCATTTAACAGCAGAAAATCTCCAACGACAAGTATAAACACTCCAAACGTTCCATACTGGGACAAAGGTTTAGAAATCAGTGACCGATTTTGTCCATAAGAACCTGTTTTTCGGCTTGGATATACAAGCGTATCAATCAGTTTAAATCCTGCGTAAAACAAACAGAATGCAACTCATCTAACTTTTCGGCATCAGACTTCAATGTGTAGTTCCTTTTTTGTGCTCTCTCCAGTCTTTGAAATTGTGAATCTAGGGCTGTTCGCAGAAGTCGCTTGTATTCTTGTTCGGCAGTAGAAATAGGCAAGCTTTTATTGCAAACTTTTTCCAGAAGACGTATGCTCTTTGTGAACATTTCAAAAGCATTATTCTCTGTTTCCCATTTCTCTCTTGCAAGGTTGAGGATTAAACCTTCGAGTTTCATGTTGCGTTCTTCCAATTGCGAAACCGTTAATGCCAGCGACTCGTGCTCCTCCAGAACGAGAGCCAGTTGTTCATGAACATTAGACGTATCTGCTATAGAAGCAGTGAACGAGGATTCATCGCGAATTTCTTTCCAAGTCATTTTTGTTTTTGGGTGATCCTATGTAAACAGACTAGTAGTTTATTTAGGATGATGTCATGAGTCAACTGGTTGCCCGAGATGCAGAAAAAGTAAATGTGAATTCCACATAAATATAATAAATTTCATAGCAGACATCTCTAGAGAACGGGTGGACGTGCGCGCATGCGTTGACATTCCTTTATAGCTGTGTGTAAAGCAACCACACAATTGCCCGCCTCTTGTTCGGTTGTTGGTAAGGGTACACGCTTTATTATCTCGTTTCTGCATACCACTTCAATCATTCCTGGTTTAACGACATCTCTGCGTATCTCGTTGATTCGACAAATTACGTGGAAGGTCCACGAACCAGGATCCAGAAGTAGTACATGCTCGAGTGTAAAGAATAGTAACTCCTTTCTTGGCAAAACAGCATGGTAAAGATAATGGTCGCTTGCATATGCACCCCTTTCACACACCCTTAATAGATGCTGGCCATAAGCATCACGTCTAGAGTAGGACTTCACCAAACCGAGGTAATCGATATAACGAGTATAACGAACAGGACGTACCTCCCCATCATCTAGCTTGGCTGTGTCACGGACAGCGCCGAAAGCATTGCTTGCAAGATCTAAGAATCCCACTACTGGTTTAGATCCAAGGTTGACGATGTTACCTCCCAAACGTTTGAAGAAGCGTGACGGTGTTACGTCTTTACGAGGGGCTTGTACATCGTCCAAGTTCACCTTGCGCTGAGAACGTTTATCAGATTTCTTCTGCGTGTAAACACTGATGTTCTTTGACAAATTGCCAGTCCATTTAGAGACGCTGTCCGTAAATCCAGAAACTGCTTTACGAACGACACGATCACCATTGTAAAGTGTGTCAGCGTCACTAATAGTGGAGGCAAAGGTATTGAAAAGGCCAAGTGGATTGCCAAAGGCATCTGAATAACCCAGCATTTTCGGAAATTTAGAAACCATTTGTTGCTTGTAATATGTCTGAACCCGGTTGCCAAGTTCACCCGCTGAAACCCGAGCATTTTGAAGTTCCATAGCGTTCAATACTAAAGGTGCATTGCTTATATTTCCTAAGAATCGAGAAAACAAGGTGATCAGGACTTCAGAAGTAGTCTTTGAAGAGCCAATGTAATTGTCCTCTTCATTGCTGGCTGTAGCAAATGAGACACTTAGTTTGAATGTGCAAAAGTCCAAAACTTCGATGAACAAATTGCTGGGTTCGACCGTATCATTAAAGTTTTGACTAGGAAGCGATGTCTCAAATGAACCTGTGTCAATTGCAGTCGAATTATTTGCTGGGGAAGCAGCAAGAAATCGAGAGAACGCTGCTAAGAAGGCCTCCTCCAAAGAAAGCGTACACTCTCGCATATAAATGCCGGCATGGCGAATGTAAGTAACACCGTACGATGGACTTTTGAGTATGGACAATTGAAGATTTAAGAAATCCGAACTTTCACCGTTATCTGGTACGGTAACCGGTTTAGGGGCCAAGATTACAGGAAATCTAGCACCGTTCATTTGATTGTCCACTTGAAGCCAGCCTAAAGAAACGACGGTGTCGCAAACATTCACTGAGCTGCTAATTAAGAGTGAAAAGTCACGAAGAGTAAAATAAGCAAGCTCCTCGTAGTAAGGATTTATTAACGATATTCCCACACCAAAAAGCTTTACAGACAATGCAAAACTATTACCGTTTGAACTTTTATTTGTAACGGATGTGTGTTCTTCACCGGGACGACTTTTTCGTGATCGTTCATCAAATGCAGGAACTTGGGTATTAAGAGGCTTTCTGTTAGTAATTAAAAGAGTTGGTGTAATGCCATGCATTTCGACTCTAAAGCGCAAATTATCATTAGGAAGCTTCCATGTTGTAAGATCTCCAATAGCCGAAAGGTCAACATCGATAAAGTCTCTATCCAACGAGAAGCGTAGCCGTTTCTTTTTGACAATTGGATAGTCCCATGCATAACCAACTGATTCATGAGAATTCAGCCTATTAATCGTACTGCTCAGTCCAGACCCAGCAGGTATTGTTTGATTAAAGGACAATGAATAAGGCGTATCGTTTCGTAAGGTAAAAGGCCAAGAACCGCTTTCGTCATCCAAGGAAATCAATATTGTTGCTTTATCTAACTCAGCGGTTACCCGAAACGAGTCGATAGTTACCCTCACCACATGGCACTTTCATATGCGTGCACCCAAGTTCTTGTATGGAGAAGCTTGAAGACCAATCATTAGAATAGCCTTGGAAGGAGAGAACCAAATTGTGGATTTCCCCGTGAAAGTATAAATATGGTCTCACTTCACCGTGCTCTAAAACCAACATATCCTTATAAGCAAACTCTCGAATTCGAACAATACGGCCAAGGTTATTCTTGAACAAAAAGCGGGGTGAAATAGATACCGATTTCGAGATACAAAACTTGCCAGTACATTCTTCAATAAATAAACCAAGTAAACAGAATTGTTGAGTTTTATAATTTGGAAGAACAACCTCGATGGCTCGGTTGGCCACATCAAGACTAAAGTATTCACTTCGCGAGAAATTGGCAACGCGTAGTCTAGCGCGATTGTTGCGACTCTTTTACGAAAAGAGAAAAAGCATGGCTTAGGTGAACCACTCCTTGTTGGATTAACAACGACTTCACTAACGCCGGATCCAGAAGCGATTGTGACAGGGAAGGTTAAAGTATTATAAATGATGTAAGGAGAGAAAATATTCACTTTGTAAATGTACTCTGTTCCTGGAACGGTCTCATAATTCAATTCCACACATAACGAACTGTTTTCTTTTTCGCTTCTCAACAAGAAGTAACGATCTAACTCGTTTGCGTAGTCCGGGGGGGAGTGTATAACAGGATACTCAATTGGGACAAGTCCTATCTCAGGTATTTCCAAAGAAAGAATTAGTCTTTTCCTTATGTCAATGAGGTAAACGGGCAATTCCAAACCGGTTTTAAGGTCCGCAGCAAACGAGATACTATGTTCACTCATAGTCTCTAATACCTTTATTTTACAATTATATGGAAGCAAATTTTGAATCACCAGGGGAGGAATGATGTTAAGTTGCAAGAATGGATAAGTCATTCGTGAAGAGTATTTTAAAGAGACAGATTTCTTGCATGTAATAAGAATCTGTATTTGTCACCACTTGTTTCTGACACACAAGTAAACATGGAAAGAGGTGTCTCCAAAAACTCCATCCAGTTAACTGGTTTGTGACACCAGACGTATCCTCGATTCGCAGACGGACGTAAACGGAACTGATACACATTGGCTAAGTCAAGAGGAAGTGCGAGATAACTGTTTGCTTCAATGGTGTATATATCAGAACGCTTATGCCCTTTCGATGAATGGAACACAAGCTCAAAAGGTGTCGATGTATGGTTACGAATAATGTACGGAGATGAGATGGTGATCCTCTTCACGCTATTCTCCAGTAATTGTACATTTACCATCAAAAAAGTCTCTGTTTCTAACTGAGGTTTAAGTTCAAATAGAAAAGTACCTTCACGATGAACTGAAACCTCCCGAACAGGGAACCAGACTTCTTTAAATGATATTGTTAGGCGTACATCGGATTCCTTCTCATCAAGCTTAGTAGAACCCTGCTCACGCTTATGCTTTTCAAATCGCCAGGGGATGGATTTTCCATTTTGAACAACCACTTTGTCTTCGCCGTCGGTGCTTCTCGACAATTCCACGTCAAATCCAGTAAGATTTAATATCTCATAAGGGTAACCTTCCGATCTTTTGATCACCGACTTATTCTTATTCTCTTCATAAAACTTCTTGACATAACGGACACTCTCAAGCAGTTTGGATGTCACAGAAACTTCGGCGACATCATCAGAAACAGCATTAAGAACAAAATCACCGTCGTTTTTTCGAAGAGTAAGAAGAATATTCCAATGTTCAAGGAACGGTTCCCAATGAGATTTCGCAAAATTAAATACTCTGCAATCAAATCCTAACAGGACCTTAAATCTCGGACTTGTTGACCAATTTTTCAAGGATAAGTTAAATGGATCCACAGAAAAACTAGCAATGGGTAAATTATGTGAGTCGCTAATGAGTAAGAGCTGAGAACCACCAGAAGTAAACGTTAACTCTTCAGATCTTGCCCTTAAACCCGAAAAAGATGATGCTTCTGTTCCATGAGTCAAAACTTCCTTCAACTTTTCTTCTTCTAATTCCTTTACATCGCTTGAACTTATAATACCATTTTGTTGCAGCAATTCTGTTGCTGAATAGAAGAGTCTTTTGAGCAAAACAATATCATAAACAGACAGTCGTAAAGTTAAGGGATCAATATCCAAAGAACCGTTTGTCGTACTACCAATTTCCATTCCAAAACACAAGGAAAAGTCATCAACGAGTGTTATGCCATCACTTTTCAGATTATTCAATTGAGACATTGAAAGGCCTATGTTTTTTACAATAACAGAATAAGAATTCTGCTTTATGAGAGTGGTATGTTCAACATTCAATAGTAAAACCTGAGAATTTTTATCAGAGATGTCAGAGAGTAGCAAGACGTTAGTATCCAAGATGTCGAAATTGTAATGCATCGTCAGGCCATCTTGTTTCGGATTCTCAGCTGGTGTTTTCCTTGAAGTATTAACAATTTCAGGATTACCATCATTTGCGGAACTGTACTCAGGCGGAATTTGAAGATACTTATAAAGTGCAATAAAGTAATCCAACGAAAGAATGTACCGTGTCTTTTCCAAAGAAGCACTGAGAACACCAACGTGAGAACCATTTTCAAGGGAAAAACGAGCATCAAAGTGACTACTGGATTCTTCTTCAATGAGGACAATATCAGCCAACTCGGATGTAGGATCTCTAATATCTTGGATACGGATGGATGACAGAGACAGAAAGGCATCCGTTCCCTTTGTATCCTCATAGAGTGATTTTAATGAAACATTGTCAAAAGTAATGTCCGTTAAAGGAGTTAAGTCGTTAGGCTTGAATCCACCTCTAAACAGCTTAATTCCAATGGAATCTGCAAGGAAGCTAAAAAATACTTCAATACTGGTCGATAAAGTTAGGTGTTCTATAGTATTCTTTAAGGTCTCTGGGTTGTAGGTTTCATTGTAAAGAGCTTTGGAGAGACTTTCCGCATCAATATTTGAGCGGAAAGAGTCAAATAGAGTCAAAAATTGTGTACTCGTCGACAAAAACTTAAGAAGAATGACATACTGGAATTCGGATACTGAAACACAGAACTTATTAAGGTTTGACAGCACAGAGATTCGATAAAAATTCTTCTTTCCCTGATCATACTGGTCAACCTTCAATTGCACGCGGAAATTAAGGTCGTTAAGAACAGTTTGATGATTGGTGACTTGATTATTAACATCAACATAGGTGTGAGCGGACATTGAATCAAAAACAAGTTCCAAGGACAGGGAAGGCAACCAGGAAGAAGTTTTGATGCTCAAATTACCGGGAGATAATTCTAATATAGCATTACAGTCATCACGTAATGGTACAGGCAACAGCATTACGGGCTTTTCGACATCAAGAGAAAGGTTAAATATAGTTCCTTGCTCAACTTGATAAGACCCATTGGCTGCTAAATAACGAGCGGAATCAATAACAGCTTTTGTCTGGATTATATCTGAGAATATAAGAAGCAGACGCTTAATTGATTCTTCATCATAGAGCACTGAGCAAGTTCCGCTCTGAAGCGTAAAATCGCAAGTTGGGACATAAGAATTTGCAGCAGACGCAAAGCGATATTCACAGGTTAAGTCGACTAGAGAATCACCGTTTGTCTTTAGTAATGACAAATGGTCTGTGAGTCCCTTCTTGTGTGAGACAACATTCATGTCTTGTAAATGCAAAATTACTCCCATGGAACCAGTTTTTGAATTAAACTGCATTTTGGCATCACTTAGGTTAAATTCAACAGGAGCGGACATGTAGTCATCCATGATTGAAAATGAAATAGACTTAAAGTGAGTATTAAGATTTGTAATGGATTGAATGTCCGAATCATTAATAATTGTCTCCTTCGTCTCATCATCATCTGTAGAAAAGACAGCAAAGTATTCTGCCATTGAAAAAAGTGGAAGCTTCGCCAATTTCAATACACCTCTTTCACAAGAGAATGTATACGTATTTACGTTCTGATTACCGTTATCAACGCCATGTTGAAAATTGGCAGTAAACTCGATCGGCCATTCATTTTCTTCTGACGTCCCAGAGCAATCCAATATCTTTGGAGTTCCTTGACCTACAGTTTCGGTCGCTCTATCCAAGATCCCTATCCTCTGAACGAGAAGCTGGAAAAACATTTGTTCATCAGTTTTCTTTAAACTCATCCGACCAGTGCCGACATTAATTTCAATCATAGGAATAAAGCTTTTATCTTGAATCTCCTTTTGTAGCACCAAGCTGAGTGCCGATGCTTGGAATGACAATTCCAACAAAGGACCCTGTTCGAAATCACGGTCATCATCTTCTGGCTGAAAATAAAAGGAAGATGACTGATCGTCATCCGTCACCGAACTTGCATCCTCAAAGTGTTCCGTAGATGCAGTCATACAGTCTTGTATGCGCATCAGGGAGCGGTACTGAGAATCAGACATGAACAGATTGAGCTTCTCAAGTTCACCCTCAAAAACGTATCTAGGGAGATCTTTTGAAAATACACTAAGCGCCTTTACATTAAAATGCGTAGTAATATTCTCAATAAGCGCATATTTTTTCTTCAGATTCACATCGGAAGTTTTAAGAATATCAGAAGGACCCAGCAGTAATTGAGCGTTCTCGACCGAAAGTTTGTAACATTCGTAGAAGAGCTCTGTTGGTAATTCATTCGGGTCCTCCTGTTCCTCTTGAGCATAATTAGGCGTTGATGAATTAATCGTCAACTTGCCAGCATCGATGCAAAGAAGATTCGTAACCTGACTACCTTCAGTCTCTGGAAGATATATAACCGGAGCGTGCAGATTAAGGTCCAAAATAAACTTTCGGCGATCTTGTAAATACCTGCGTAGGGCTTGCGTTGTCTGTGTTGTTATACCATTTACAGCATTTCCGGCATACTTCATGAACGCTCGTACTTGCTTTTGTGTTTCTGAGGGCTGCGAGAAGAATTTTTGAACTTGAGCAGCGGTAGCATAATCATAGTAAAATTCAAGGGCCTGTAAGCCCATGGAGAGTGAATCCGTTGGAGAGGAATCATTGAAAGCTACACTCATGTTCATCTTCAAAAGAGGTTGTGGTTCGATTGAATTGGCAGCTTTTTGGTCTCTCAAGAACAATAGCTTCCGTTTGTCATTAAGAACAAGCAAATCGCCGAGTTGGATGTCGCCTTCATATGCTAATGGCGTATACTCATGTTGAGATTCGAGATTTACGAAACGTACAGACAAGATATCGACATCGTTGACCCTCTCAAATAAGGAAAACTTTCCCGCCTTAAGCGCAATCTTCACTTTGCACTTTGCACGAGATGAGCTTTCCTCGTTATCGGTCTCACGGATAGTTTGTTCATCAAAACCAATGGCATCTACAATTCGCTGCTTCTCCGCGAGATCAATTTCCTCAGTTGCTGTGTCGGACTTGAGGGAATTCCAAAGCCACGATGTCCACCCCTGTTGAGTTTCAGCTGGTTTTGGTTTTGGCTTAATACCCTCCCGCTTGATCTTTTGGTACACAAGTGTGCGGAAAAGTTTTATATCTGACACAGAAAAGAAAAGTTCGAGCTCGTCAATGGCAGCAGATTCCTCGGGTGTAAGACTTTCCAAAAATCGTTTTTCAAATAGTTCTAGATACGATCGTCTCCGTTCACAGAAAGCCTTTATAGCCGGCCAAGTTGCCGCTTTCCGACGTTGACGCACGAGACGTAGCTCATGCAGAAATGCATATCGCAACCAGACCGTAGGATTATCGGAGTACGACTGTTGCGGTCTTTCTGCGGCATGTTTGCGAGCAATTAGGAAAAGGGAGACGTCATTCCAAGTCTCTAATAATTCTGAATATTGTTGGTCATAAAGCGTAAGGTTTAAGGCATCAAAAATGAGATCAACGGTTGTTTTGGGAGCTTCAGACGTCGGATCCTTGTTCAGAACCAACCGAGCAGTACCATTCACTGGCGATACGATATATTCAATACCATTTGTTTTGGTTTCATTAAGATAAACACTGTAGTCATCAACATGTGTGTTCGAGTTCACAGAGAACTCGTTGTAGTATATACAAAAAGATTCAAGTGAGCAGAGTTTGTGAATGATATTCAGATCCTGTTCAATAAAAATAGGTACCCAGTTATCATTACAGGAAACAACGGAGAACTGACTGATGCAGATACCAAAAGCGAAACCTTTTGGGAGCTTCGCTCGAGCTCCATCATTCTCGTAGCGTATATGAATATCTTCGATAGTCACTTGAATGTTATTTACCATTCGAGTTAATAAAGATTCGGTCATTGACTGAGCCTTCGGATCATTTTGTTCGGAATTGGAGCTTAACCGTGAAGCTTCCCAATATTCTAGTTCATTTCGTTTGTGTTCTAGTAATACGTTGCTGTCTTCTAGTTCTGGTTCACGTTTCTAGCAGGTGTGTTAATACTCTTGCAAGAAGAAGTAAATTTAAATAGGTTTCATACGGCGATAGTTGTGTTGGACGAGCCCAGCGCTTGTATACCTGAGATGTGAATCTCAACGGGCTTATTTCTTAAGTTCGACCATGGAATGGTCACGTCAAGTTTTCTGACAATTCCATACTGAACGCCAATGGGAAGACCAAAACGTCGAAGGGCCTGAAACAGTCAGTCAATGTGTTTAGAAGTGTTTAAAAAAAGACTTATCACGAACATTAGGTTTGAGAGTTAAATCACGAAGCGTAATACTTCCATTCCACACGCCGACATTCAGTTGCTTAGCATCAAAATCCTCAATGTATTCACCTAGAAACCGATTCAAAAAACCTTTGTACTACGTTAGTATTTCCAACGATAATAATGTACTTACTAGCCAGTAATCCCTCCAACATTGGCTTGAATTAGTGTGTGGTTCTTGGTAAAAGTATATTGGCTATGAGAGGGACCATGTATTATGAACCTACGTCATGTTTTGAGCTTAAGCAAAATAAGCGGGGAGGTGGGGGCAGCGGTAACTAAAAGCCGCGGTACTAGTAATAGCAGCAGGTAGTAGGAAGTAGCGGTAAAATGATGTGGATTGCTACGTTTTAGTTAGTAAAGTTGTATTAGTATAGCAAGGGTGCAAATAGAAAATTAAAGTACAGTGTTAGAGGTGTTGCTTTCTGTCATAGCGGGGTTGTCGTCGCAAGGTTTTGGTTCTATAGCTGTTGCTTCAGTTGCCGATGAGAAATTAGTTGGGATATTTTGCTGCTCCATCTGCTGTGGATCCGTTTTAAGTTGTTCTATTTCTTGTTGTGTCACATTCTTCGGTTCTAGTTCATCCTGCGCCGCATTCTCATGCTGCTCTAATTCTTGTTTGTTTGCCGCCTCTTGTTCCGCTTTCTCTTGATCTAAATAAGCCTTAAAAAACTCGAGCAAGAAAAGGTTTTCATGTTCTGTCTGTGTTTTCAAAAGCTATTGTGTGAGTTATGCGAGTGATTCTTGTCGGTCATTGGCATACCTTTTGAAAGAGTGTTACACGCCCCTTGGTTGGCTTTGCCGGACCCGGTTTGTTACGACCGGAGGCATTAGTTGTGCCTTTGACATGAGCAAATGGACATTTGTCCTTTTTGTAACAGTGACCACGGGCGTAATACCGACATACTGATGTTGAGGTCTGAGCTGTTCGAGATGCAGGTTCACTAGACGAAGCAGCTACTGCTGCTGTCTCGCCGTCAACGGTCGTATCTTCGTTGTTGGCTGCGTCTTTTTGTTGTTCCTCCTAATGTCGTTAGAACTATAATCCTATTTTTTGGAGCAGCGAAGAACACTGTCATGTGCGCGTGTCTCTCTCTTTTTCTTATATGTTGGAACAAACCTTCTCCTTTATTTTTGCAGCAGTCGGCCAGTTTCGTTTCCGTTCAGCAATCCATGCTTCAATATCAGCCGGCGTTTCGAGACGGATATTACGGCGTTTTAGATACTCTATTCCGTTGGAGACTTCGTGTGTTTCCGTGGGATTGCGATTCTTAAATCTGCGCTGTCTTTTAGCGGTAGGCTCCTGTGTTTGCTCGGAGCGGCTTGCTTCACTGCTTGGTTAACAGAAATGTCTCAATTTTATTAGACGTACACTTCTGCTGCCGACGGCGGTTTTCCAAAGATGTAGCCGCCAGAAGACATTCCTGTATGATGATACTTCTCGCAACACACAAAAAGCAAGGTGTTAAACGTGTTCTTTTCACAAGATTAACTGTCTGTCCAAACAAGTGAACAGAAAATTATGGAGGAACAAATTGCACTGTTGTCGTTTTACTGCACACTCGGAAAGAAAAAAGTACTAGGATTAAGAGGTCACGTAAAACAGAGAAAAATTGAAGAACAGAAGTCTATTATGTATTTTTCAACAACACAAACATGTATTGAAAATTTTATGTTTACGTTGGATTGGTAAAAACTAATATTAACTACTCTAAGAGGCACATGAAAAAAATTTCTTCATTGTTTGCGGCGCTTCGACTATCTTTACTGCATTGCAAGAATTATCTGCAATTGCATTCATCCTCGTCCGTACAGCCTCTTCGTCCGCAGCACTTCTTCATAATGTCATTTTTCAGGAGAGTCGTGTTTAGGTTACGCGTGCTAAATACTTACACGCTACACGGACCAAATTCGCGAAACACCAAAAAGTGCCCAAAAGTAACATTTCTTGTTAAGGGACCCATTAGAAACGGTCCTCAAGGACTACTATATTGTTACTAAAAAAGGAGAATTGTCTTCTTTTCTCAGTAATTGGCCTGAGGCAAGACTTTTCCCGTTGAGCAATGGATTCTGTCACGGCGGACATGAATTCGCCAAATGGGGCGGTCCCTCCGTGGAATAATCAAGGAACTAATAATGACAAAGTGCATAGACGAAAAACTAGTGGCCCTAATCAATCATCTCTTGGGTTTTTTCTATCAAATCGCGACAAGAGTTTCCGATGCTCCAATTTACATCAAAGTTTTTCAGCTAGCTCTTCGGAAGCTTCTCCATCTACTACATCAGTCACTCCAAACTTTTCTCTAGGCTCTGGACTGCTCATAAATAATACCTCATCCTTCGTCGACCCGGACGAAGACGATGATGATATGCCGTTGGCCAGTTCAACGAATCTTAGCGGAACAAACATACTCTCGACACCGAGAAAGACACACTGCATACCTCCGTGCACTACTCCAAACTCCTGTTTTGCTGCTTTCTCCCGGCAGCAGCGGTCTTCCTACAGTCCGTCCCCTACACGATTCCCTTTAAAGTCCATTCATTCCGTCCATCGTCGCAAGTCTTTACTCCCTAAACCAAAAACATTCCAGCGTGTTGCACGGGCATTGCAGGAAGAAGCAGCTCCGTTACAGACGGAAATGTTTCACGAAGCCGCCATCTCACGTCTCTTCCAAGAATCACAGTCTTCCTGCGATAATATTTTTGCTAATAAGCAACAAGAATCTTCTTTTACACTACATCGAAAACCACACGAAAATCTTTTTACTAATGACTTTTCATCGTCAGAAGCAATGTCTCAACGACAGTCAAGCAAACTAGCAGAACGAAGCAGCAATGACATTCCACTGCCACAGTACGAAAGTACCGATGTGCCGACTCCATGCTCGTCTATGGGTACACCTGTTCGTTCAACAGAGTCTTTTATAGACATTATCACCACTCCGTTGAGCAGTGTTTCTCGCACTCGCAAACGCGGTCTTGACGACAGCTACATAGATTCGTGCAAAAGGCGTGCCGTTTCTCCATCACTGTTGTCTTCAGCAAATCCCGCTTCCCTTCATAACTCCCCTCGCTTAAATTCCAATCTTGCACGACGAAGCAGCTCCATCCCAATTACCGACACACGCGAAGTCCTTATGAATCTAAAATTATAAAGGCATCTCTAAAAGGCTCTAAATGTTGTCACACACATTCGGTGCTTCTTCTGCCGTTGTGTACACACTACCTTGCGAATGACCACGATGCAATTTGCTCTCATTTTCTCATGCAATTTTTCGTCCTTCTTTTCTCTTTATCTTTCTTCCCCTTTTTTAATTTTGTAATATTTGCAATAACGCTAATCTTTTCGGAAAAAGACGGACATGTTTCATTTAACCATCTATCTGTATGTAAGTTTCATAGTGAACGTATAATTTCTTATTTATACGTAGAAAGAGTAAGAGAAGGGTTGTTCAATACCGGGGGAATGTTGTTATCAAACAAATGATTGTACATAGCTAATTGCTACATTTTCACGGCTCATAATACTTACTACTTTTGACTACCTATTCCATAATTCTGAATACCCATATACCACTCCAACCTACCTACCATACCTTGTCTCCAAATCCACCACTGAAAAAAGAATGGCAACTACTGAAACGCCTCAAATAAAGTCTGTTGTGTACTGTCAAGTCTGTACTCTCCCTGTAGAAGTAAGAATAGCGCTGAGTTTTGTTTGTGTATGTAATTGCTGACGCGTCTAATAGTACTGCGAATTTGGAGGTACCATCAAAGCCTGCAAGGAATGGCTGAAGAACAACCATGAAGATGTCTACAATCGTCTGTACGCTGTCGATTCTTTATCTGCAGACATGAAAGACAAACTCGGAGTGTCTGGTGCAGCTTCTGCTGATGAGGTCTCAACGAAGGAAACGAGACGTGCTGAACGTGAGGCGGCGAAACGGTTAGCCTCCAAGGTGATCATTAAAATTGTTGAACGTACCCGTAGAAAACGTGTGACGACTGTTCGTGGCCTTGATATTTTCGGCGTGGAAACGAAGAAGGCTGCAAAGATGATGGCCAACAAGTTCGCTACAGGAGCCAGCGTAACCAAGAGTGGGGACGGAAAGGATGAAATTGTCATTCAAGGTGATCTTGGTTACGACGTTCAAGAGTTTATTGAGGAGAAGTTCAAGGAGGTTCCTGCTGACAACATTGACGTTGTTGAGGATACCAAGTCTAAAAAGAAGTGATCTGAATGCAATGTAGACACGTTGAGGACATTTACTGAAATGTGTACCAACAAACTTATACGAAAAGTTGAAGGGAGAAAAGGAGCTGGAAGAAACTGATAAGAAAGGTCTGTTGGAAGGAGGGTTTATTAGATGAATTGCCGATGTACAGGTCACTTTTTGGGTGTTTAGAAACAGTAAGAAAATCGCTGGCCCTAGTACTCGAAGTCAAAGTAGTTGAAGTTATCGATGCGACCTAGAACAATTTCATCTCTTTATAAAGAATACTCATCTCTTTAAACTCTCACTTTATTAATGCTGATGGCATTCTGCTTCATAAATTACTGTCAAACTATCGTAGTTTACTCTAACGATGACTCTGGTTAATTCATCAAAAAGATATCAAGTAACTAAATGTCCAAAAGTTTCCAATCTCGCGTGTCAGCTTATAACAACTTGTACCTTCGCATTCACATCCGCACGTAATCATTGTTGAATACCGCTTACGCCGTTTATATCGCGTTTGAGCCTTTTTCTTCTGGCTGTGTTCTTGGTTTGTCGAATCACCACCAACTCTGTGCTACTGTACCAATAACTCTTAATTCAAGCGTTTTAAACGCTTCTGCTGCCCTTAGCATGCTGCACCATTGTGTACTGCACATTATATGTGCATTATTTTTCTTCCTTCCCTTAGGAGGAGCCGATTCAAACTATGCTATTTCGAAACTAGGGACAGCCTCTAAAAGTCAAAAATCACTTATCGTTAACTTCTCAAAATCACGTAACATACTTCTACTGGATGCTACCGGGACACTGCTTCTTTCTCAAGACGACGGAACTTCGTGGCAAGATGCTGTTAGTAATTCTGATCCAGCAGTTGTCGAGCAACTGTACCAACATCCTTTTGAAGATGACATCGTTTACGCTATAACGAAAGAGAGTGATATACTCGTGAGTGAGGATGCTGGTCTCACTTGGTTCACCGTGACTATGCCTCCCAAGACTGTTATTGAGGCACAACCTTTTGAATTCAATGCTCGTCAGTCTCAGAGCGTTATTTTGAATGCTGCGCGTTGTGAAAGTGGCTCTATATGGACGGGTGTCACTTGTTACCCGTTCACATATTATACCTACGACAACTTTCGAAACTTAGACTCTGTTCATGACTCCATTGTAAGTTGCACTTTTGCCGTTGGCACTGTCGAATTTGCCGGACAAGATGAGGACCAGATGCTTTGTCTTATTCGTGAGAATGATGTTGACTTACAAGCTCCTTTCAATCAACAACTCATCTCAGTATCAAAGGGTTTTGAATCCATTGACTATGTGGTCTTCGACCCTTACTATGGATCACTCGGAACTGAGAGTGTTGTGGCCGTTGGTCAATATCTTGTCGCTGCGGTTGTTGATGTTAATTCAAAGAAGCTCAAGCTTCATTATTCGACTGATGGTCAAATTTGGGTTCCTATAACATTTATAAATGCCCCATCAATAGGCTCCCTTACCGTCACTCGATCTACCTCTCTTACGCTTGGTGTCGATGTCGAATCTACGAATCTGAAAAATCCAGTTGGTGAATTCTACACTATATCTCCATCTGATGCGTATGCTGTGCGCCGACTGAATGACACAAACCGTGACACCCGCGGATATGTGGATGTGATAGAACTTGACTATCTGAACAACACAATCCTTGCAAACACAGTTGCGAACACAGAAGACTTATATAAACGAGCATCTCGCCAGAAGGAACTTGTGACGAAGATTTCTCATGACGGTGGTTTCTCGTGGACTCAATTGGAACGTCCTGTTGATTTGGAGTGTGAGGGTGATGACGCTGAGGACTGCCACTTGCACTTGCATCTTGGTATTACGGAAACGAAATTCGGTTCCCTGTCTCCCGATCGTCTACCAGGTGTAATCATGGCGCTTGGATCTGTGGGTACACACTTGCAACCTCTAAGTGACTCGGATCTCTTTATCTCTGAAGATGCAGGCAGAAGTTGGTACCTTTCTTTGCAAGGACCCCATTACTACTCATCTTCTGCGTATGGTAGTGTTTTTGTTGCAGTTAAGGCTAACGAAAACTCAAAACTTATCTACTACTCCCTTGACTTTGGCCGTGAATGGGAATCGCTTGAGGTTGAAGCAAGCTTCAGAGCTTTGGAGATTATTCCACCCAAATCATTGGACTCGTTGACGTTCCTTATACGCGCCAAAGTCAAAAAGGAGGAGTCTTTCATTGCAATTGATTTCTCTTCTATTCTTTCACGCGAGTGCACTTTTGACGAGAAGAAGGTTGCTAATGGAGATTTTGAATTGTGGTATCCGTTCGTCATGGACGATACACCCCAATGTTTGATGGGTCGAATTGAATATTACCTACGGAAAAAGCGTGCTGTTAGCTGCGTTGTTCGTAATGAAGTTCCCGTGCATTCATTTGTTGAACAAATATGTACTTGCGAAAGCAAAGATTATGAATGCAGTACATATTTTGAACCAAGCGACCATTTTACGTGTGAGGTTAATCCTGAAAGCCTTGACCCGCTTTGCAGGGTGGACCCCGATGCAACATTGCAACTGAAACCATATCGCATTCTTCTTGGAAATAGCTGTGTTCCAAAGAAAAAGGAAGAAAAGGAAAAGTCGATTTCTATGAAATGTCCAAAACTTGATCATCGTAAAGACATCCATATGTATCATCACAAGATCCAAGACACAATCTCCAATATCGTTTATATGGAAGGGACCGGAGAGCCTGATTCCACCACGGAATTGCTCTTAACGAGCTCACAGAAAGTTCTTTTTAGTTATGATTTTGGCGAGGAGTGGCTTGAATTTGATGAAAAGAAGAATCCATCGTTCTATGGAATTTACCCTCATGCCTTCTTAAAAGACACTGCTTTTCTTTTGACGAAAGACAGAAAAATCTATTTTACGAATAATAAGGGCCGCAGCTTCTACCGATTAGATGCACCTTCACCCCCGAATGTCGTTGGTTATCCCGTCTTCAACTTTCACTCTCTTCATCCAAATTGGGTTATGTATATGGGCTCTGAGAACTGTGATGACTCATTCTATGAAGACTGTCGAAGCGTCGTATATCTTTCTTTTGATTCTGGTGCCTCTTGGCAAAAACTCCCCGATGAACTGGAATATTGTTCCTGGGTATTGGGAGAAAGATTGCTAGTGGAAGACAAACTTTTGTTCTGTAACAGACGTCGTGCTGCTGCTGACAGTATTGGATATGATTTGGTAGCTTCCACTGATTTCTTTGAGACCGAAGCAAGTTCTATTCGCGAAAATGTCCTAGGCTTCCTTCTTGCTGACGAATATGTGGTTATCGCTGCTCTTACGGATGACGAAACTTCACTTTCCATGCACGTTTCGGTTAATGGCCGCAATTTTTCTCCATGTATCTTTCCCCAAAACATTCAAGTGCATTCCCAACAAGCATACACTATCCTTAGTTCAAAGACTAGAGCACTGTTTATCCATGTTACACTCTCTTCTCGAAAGGGTGCTGAGTGGGGAAGTGTGCTAAAATCCAACTCAAACGGCACTTACTTTGTCAATGTTTTGGATAAAGTAAACCGCAATGAGTTGGGATATGTTGATTTTGAAAAGGTTGAGGGGTTGGAGAGTATTGCACTCGCAAACGTTGTTCTTAATTCAGACGAAGCCTTCAATGGAGAAGAAAAAAGATTAGGAACCTTAATTACTTTTAACGATGGAATCGACTGGGAGAGATTGTATCTCATAGACGCAAAGAAACATTATCCTCATTGTGATTCAAAATGTTCCTTGCATTTCCACGGTTTTACGGAAAGAAGCGTGTTTTCTGATCCAACCTCCTCGAGTGCTGCCACAGGAATCATCTTTGGAATTGGCAGTTACAGTTACTACTTGGAACCTTATGAAACATCTCAGACTTTTATTTCTCGTGATGGAGGTGTCCATTGGGAATTGATTTTCGACTCACCGCACCAATGGGCATTCGTTGACAGTGGTTCTCTATTGGTTGCGGTACCATCAACGAACAAGACTAATATCTTGTATTACTCTGAGGATGAAGGAAGAAGTTGGATTGCATATCAGTTCGCTGAAGATACATATCTGATTGAGGATTTAAGCACAGCGCCTTCCGGAAACTCACAACGCATTCTTGTGCTGGCAAAGGGAAAGAAGTCTTCAGAAACCATCTCATTCACCGTCGACTTTTCTCATCTCCGGTCGCGCGTTTGTGTTTTTGACTTCAACGATCAACGTGATTTTGCTTCCTGGACACCAGCTGGACGTGATGGTAAGCCTATGTGCCTCTTTGGTCATAAAACAGCCTTTTATCGTCGTAAACCTGGAAGAGACTGTTTTATCGGTAATACTCCCTACGTGTCTGACACTATAATAAGCAACTGTCAATGCACACGTATGGACTATGAGTGCAATTACAACTATGAACGGATTGCTGGAGGTACATGTCGTCTTGTGAGTGGTGCCGAACCGCCTCTGCAACAAGAAGAACAATGTGCAGCTGAAGGCGCCATTGAATGGATGGAACCTACAGCATACAAGCGCATCCCCTTAACAACGTGTGAAGGCGGACTTGTCCTAGACGAAAGCACGACGCATCCTTGTCCAGGTAAGGAAGATGACTACCATAAAATTCATCCTGGTACCCCAGTATGGCTTATCATTATGCTTGTGCTGCTCTCTGTATTTTTGTCTACTATTGTTGGTGCTTGGGTATATACGAAGGCTCAAAGTTATTTAGTGGGTGCTATTCGTCTTGGAGAGGACCCTGCAGACGAAACAGTTTTTGCCAAACTTATGACTCGAATTGAGAGTGTTGTAACCGCGGTTCCCATTTTCTTCTCTGCTGCCTATCATCTTGTACGCTCTGTTTTTGTTCGTCAGGATCGATCAATGTCACTGGACGACTACGACAACTTTGAAGGAATGGAAGATGCGGCGTTTCTAGAGGTAGATGACATTGAAACATCTGAATGAGTAATGAAAATGAATATCTAATGGTTGGAGTATTCCAATAATTAATTGATTACATTGTACAGTCTACAGTTAAGACAGCTGTGTATCTGGTGAGCATAGTAATTGGATAGGTAAAGGTGAATTGCTTTCATTAAAAAATCCTTGACTAAGAACTCATGTTCATGTAATCAGCAGTACTACTGAATTTTTGGTTTCCTTTAACGACCTTCTGCACGGCGTCAAGGAAATCCTTCTCAGTAGCAACTCTCCTTCTTGCACGGATGGCAAACATACCGGCTTCGGTACAAACAGAGCGAAGCTCGGCTCCAGTTTGCGAGGGGCATAAACGAGAAATAAGCTCCCAACGAATATCTTTATCAATAGCCATACTTTTAGCGTGAATTTTAAGGATATGTGCTCTGCCTTCCAAATCAGGCAGGCCGAATTCGACTTTTCGATCAATACGGCCAGGACGCAAGAGTGCGGCATCCAGGGTATTAGGTCTATTTGTTGCGAACAAAACTTTAATGTTTCCACGGGGGTCGAAACCGTCAAGTTGGGTAATTAGTTCAAGCATTGTCCGTTGCACTTCATTATCACCTCCGGCACCGTCATCGAAACGGGCACCACCGATTGCATCGACTTCATCAAAGAAAATAATACAAGCCTTTTTGGTACGAGCCATCTCGAAGAGTTCACGCACCATACGAGCGCCTTCACCGACGTACTTCTGAACAAGTTCCGAACCGATGACACGAATAAATGTGGCATCCGTCCGATTAGCGACGGCACGAGCACAGAGTGTTTTTCCTGTACCGGGAGGACCGTACAACATAATACCTTTTGGTGGATCGATGCCAAGTTTAACGAAGCGCTCGGGCTATTAGATAGGTTAGTAAAGCAGTTGCTCGAGAGAATTCGTCATTCAGCAACTTACCGAAAGTAGCGGAAGTTCAACAACTTCACGAAGACGTTCAATTTGTTCTTTACAGCCACCGACATCACCGTAGGTGACATCGGGCTTCTCCTCAACTTGCATCATCGTCACAGAGGGATCAATTTTTGGAGGAAGAGGTAACTGAATAGAATACTTTGTGCGATCACATCCCACACGCATTCCTTCCTCGATGTCGGTGGGACTAACACGCTCTCCCAGACTGACAACTATTTTCTGTTAGTAACTTGACCATTCGGCTTCATAGCGGAAGTTTAGTTTCTAAAGCAAGTAGAAATGATTGCGAGCTGAATCTCGAATACAACTCGACGCTTTTTTTGCATACCAAACTTAGCTATTTGCTTCATATTAATCAGATATGCGGATTTTTCTGGTTCTTGTTCGTTTTCTATAATTTTTGTGCAACGAGCGACTTGGAGAGGCTGTTCTTCGCTCATTCTTTGACGATCTGCTGCGACATCCCAGTACGCAAGTGGTGCGAGACCGGTATCTGACTCTTTAATTCCTTTGAAACAGCGGGTTAGTTCGGATTTCGCGAAGAAAAGTAATTTGTCGCGAAGAACGACAATTCCACCATACCAACAGTGTCATTAATCCGCTTCAAAACAGCTTTTGTGTCCTTCTCGATCTCTTTCAACGCGCTACCGTAAGGTCCGGCACCCTGTACACGGTCAGATACAGCTTTAATGGTATGCGTGTCAATTAACGTACATATGTTTTCAGCAACGCAATGTCATTCTCGTCCAAAGGAGGAGGATTGTTCTCATCCTTTTCCTCTTCGTCAACAGGGCGTTTGTACTTTTCCCAATCTTCTTTAGGAGGCATAATTTGTTTTTACAACGCTACGTTTCTAGGTGGTAAAGGATAAGTTTAAATTCAGCGTGTGGTGAATGACGCTTCGAAGAAGCTTCGCTGAGGCGGGTGGGGGCAAATGTTGATAGTGGGATACTGTGGGGTATTCGTGGGGGAATGGGGGCGAGACAGATGGATGCAAGTAAACAAACAGGATGTATGCGGCATATAGAGAAGTACGAGGTGTAGGTGGGTTTTGTATCGCGTACGAGAGTCATTGAGTTAGTTACGGAACTTACAGGGCGGGTCCGATTAAATTGGTGAAACGATTTTTGGCCGCCTTGGTAATTTAAATTCATTACAAAAAAAAAACATTAACATTCATTATTTGACATGTCGTTAAAAGATTCGCTACAGGTAAATAAAGAGTAGATAAAACCCCTTAGTGTTACAGAAAGGAAGGAACGGCAAACGAAAAAGGTCATGTAAGGGAGGGAGGACCAAGTGACAAAACTATTTCAACTCTGCAAAAGCTTTTGGCATCTATAATCGTTGTTCGGTTAGTCAAGTGTCTGTATGCAATGAAACGTGTTTCATTGTCGCATAAACAAGTGTTGAACACATACCGCACAGTTTCTTGCACATTTGTACAGATGGAAAAACTCTTCAATACAGTTCTCAGAAGTATCCCCTTCTTCTTCCTTTTTCGTTACACGAGCAACACATTCGTCAAATACCTCTTTTTCGTGAACGCATTGGGGTGAATTCATGCAAACTGAAATGGTTAGCTAGGTTTGGAACAGAAGTGAAAGTACCTTCCGTGAAATGCTCTAGAGGGTCGACGAGTTCTGGCTCTTCTTCTTCTTCTTCTTCTTCGGTTCCCTCTTCGTTTTCACCGCTTCCTTCTTCTTCCTTTTCTTCTTCTCCATCTTCTTCGCTTCCTTCCTGTTCCTCACTTTCTTCTGTCGGTTCCTCTTCCGGTTGTTCCTCTTTGGAAGTTTCCTTGTCTGCCTGCGTTTCGGCGGTTTCACCAGTGGCGGGACCGTCTGCAGCTGTCTCCGTGTGCTGCTGAGCTTCGTCTTCCTCTTCTGCAGCTGGCTCCTCTTCAGGAGGTTCTTGCTGTTCGTCAGCGGACTCTTCTTTTGGCGCCTCTTCAGTTGCCTCTGTTGTCGCAGCTTCATTCCTCTCTTCAGAGGATTCTTTTTGAGTGTCCTCTAAAGCATATGTTAGCAGATTTTTGCTGGATTCATGCATACTCACCCTGTTTATTTGAGCCCAGTTTAGTACTCAAGTCCTTAGCGTTTTCGGGAGGATTATGACCTTGTTTTGAAAGTGCCATTCGCTGGGATTCTTTTGATCCAGTACCTCCGTGACCCTCATCCTTTCCATGGGTTAGTACTGTATTCGAATAACTATCACTCGCAGTTACGAACATCCAACTGTGTTTCTGAGGCCTTTTTGGAAGGCACGTTTACAGCTTCATCCGGTAATTTTTCAGTATCCTCTTGATCATCAGCGTCACATGAAACAATGGGAAACAAACTGTTTCGTATCCAACGTGTCCAAGCTGCCATTTTTGACGAGAATTCCAACTCGTTTCAACTGTTAAGTCAACCGTCAGTGTTCAATTATTTCTACGACAGAATTTTTACTTACAGCCTGTTTAGAGTGTGATTGAGCTTCTTGTCGTTGTTGTACAGCAGTTTCTCTTACATATTTCTGTGCTGCAGCAGGCTTTTGTCGGGCATACGTCATGATGTGTAAGGCCACGTGGCCTTTAAAGTTTTCGGTTATGCGTCATTATACTGTTAAAGTTTGGTTCAAGCGAACCTTGTTTTAAAAAACAAGGATAATTATAAATACAAAGCAGCCATGCTATATATTCATCTTGCTTGAACAAATGTATAAGTATGTATATTCCTCGTGTTTATTCTATCGTCGCTCTTTGGTCCCCTTTTTCTATCCCTTTGTTCTCGTCTGATTGGACCATCCGCTCCCACGTGCAAAACTATCTTTAACTTTAAGTATGCCTCGATTACTCGAACATTCTCAACCACCCCAGGTGTTGTCTCCCTAGTTGCGTTCTCCCGTTCGCGTTAGCTGCTGAGTGCTTGTTTGTTCGGGTTTTTACTGCGGAAACTGCCTTTAAGTTGACACGTATTTGGTCTCTGTGAGCAGTATGGCAGCTCCTACAACAAAGAAGGGCGATACCGCGCTCCGTCGCAGGAAAAACGCGACACAAAGCCCGAAATCCAACTTGACGGCTTCAGTCCGTGAAAAAAAATCCGAATTAGACGAAACGTCTGCTGGTGAAACGGGAAAAAGTTCACGTAACACTTTTTTGTACTCGAAAACATGCTTTCGTAAAGCTTTGATCGCTATAACTGTGTTGTCATTCCTTACACGTTTTTGGAAAATCTGGGACCCAGCTCAAGTCGTGTTTGATGAGGTCCATTTTGGTAAATTTGCGTCGTACTACATTCGGGGTGAATACTTTTTTGATTTACATCCTCCGTTCGCAAAACTGATGCTTGCTCTTGTCGCTAAACTGGCAGGATATGATGGTCACTTTCTTTTTGACAACATTGGTGATTCGTACACGGAAAACCATGTCCCATACGTCTTTATCCGCTCATTTCCCGCTTTTCTGAGCAGCATGGTGCCTCCATTGGTCTTTTTGATTATGAAGGAGTCTGGTTACGACGTTATTGCCTCTTTTACGGCGGCTGCTATCGTTCTTTTCGACAATGCACACATCACGCAAGGAAGATTGATTCTTCTGGATGCTATGCTCGTCTTCTCCATGGTTAGCGCCATTTACTGCTACATTCGTTTCTTCAAGCTTCGTCATCGCCCTTTTACTCGCTCCTGGTGGGCTTGGTTGACGATGACGGGTTTTTGCTTGTCCTGCACAATTAGTACAAAATACGTTGGCTTCTTTACTTTCCTCTCCATTGGACTTAGCGTGGTTCTCGAGTTGTGGAAGCTTTGGGACGTCCGCACAGGTCTCTCTGTGAAGGAATTTCTTAAGCACTTTTATGCACGTGCGTTTACTTTGATTATATTCCCTTTCTGTTTATACCTCTTTTGGTTCTATGTACATTTTTCCATTTTGAAGCATAGTGGTCCCGGTGATTCCCTTATGTCGGCTGAGTTTCAGGAAACATTGCTCGATAACCCTTTGCTTGTGCAAGCTACTCCCCTTAATTACTACGATGTCGTACTTCTCAAGCATAAGAGCACAGGTGCATTTCTTCATTCCCACCCTGACCGTTACCCCTTGCGTTATGAGGACGGCCGTGTCTCGTCTCAAGGTCAGCAAGTTACTGGTTATCCATACAACGATACGAACAGTTACTGGATGATTCTTCCTCAAGACCACTACGCCGACGGTTCCAAATACACTCCTGGTAGACCGGTTATGAACATGGATGTTATTAAGTTGCACCACATTTCTACGAAGACCGATTTAATGACCCATGACGTTGCTTCTCCCTACTACCCTACGAACGAAGAGTTTACCACCACTTCTGTCGAAGAGTCTGCCTCTTCCAAGCACAATTTCACACTCTTTCAAATTCGTTATGAGAATGACGCTAGTGCTCGTGCTGTAACCACAAAATCGTTTCCCTTCCGTCTCGTTCATCAATTAACAAATGTTGCAATGTGGTCGGGACCTCGTCCTCTTCCCGAGTGGGCTCACGAACAGCAGGAGATTAATGGTGCCAAGGATCTTACTAAGCCTGACACCATCTGGACATTTGATGAAATTGTTGACCTCAAGGATCCCGCTCGTTTACACAAGGAACAAAGAGTTCCCAAAAAGATTTCCTTCTTGCGGAAGTACATTGAGCTTCAAAAGCAAATGTTCCGACAAAATAACTTGTTGAAGGACGAGCATCCATATAGCTCTGTGCCTTGGCAATGGCCTATTCTCCACCATGGTATTTCATTCTGGGCTAATCAGTCTGAAAACAAGCAAATTTACCTGTTGGGTAACCCCTTCGGTTGGTGGTTTATGCTTATTTGCATTTTCACCCTTCCCATCGTTGCTGGCATTTTGATTCTTGCCAAGCAAAGAGGAGTTTCTTTGATGGACCAAGATGTCTTTTTGCATGTCAACAGATCTGCACTTTTCTTCTTGGTCACTTGGGTTTTCCATTACATTCCTTTCTTCCTTATGGGTCGTCAACTTTTCTTGCATCATTACCTTCCTGCTCATATCGCAGGTTGTTTTGTTGTTGGAGCCTTGCTTCAACTCGCATGTCGTAAACGCTTCGACTTGCCTATCTCTGAGGGTGCTAAGACAGCAAATACCAGTGGTAAGGTTCATTTCCGTGAGCGTCGTAACGGTGCTGCTATTGAACTTTTAATTTCCATCTTGATCATATTGGCATTGTTGTACTGTTTCTACCAATTCTATCCTGCTATTTATGGCACTAAGAGTCTTTCAGGAAATGGATGGTTAGGACTCAAATGGAGAGATACATGGCTTATGCATTTCCAGAAGCCTGATGCTAAGTAGCATTTTTGCAAAAATAATTGATGAATTTATCTGACATTAATAATCTTTTAATTTGAATATCACTATGTAAGTAATCAAAAGAATAAAATCGTATGCCCTATTGATGAATCGTAAATATGTACAGGCTGAATGATTGATTCGCAATAGAACTGAATCTAATATGTAGGTGATGAGCTTCGGATTGTTAGTCAGGTTGTGTTGTTTATTCTTGCTGGCGAATTGAACTGTTTAGTATAAGTCTTACGGTCAGTATTTTTGTGAACTTGTTCATAACACGCAAGGATGCAATTCTTGTCTAGCTTGCGCAGCGTTATTATACTCTTTGCATTATTTTAGGTTATCGCTTTTCGATTAAGTTGTAAAATTGCAATGATTTATTTAATAACTATGCAATAAACTTAACGTTTTTAATTAATTCATAAGAAACAGCAACTGCAAGTTTTAATGTTCTTCGTGTCTTTCTTCATCGTATCGAACTTTCCTTGAACATTAGAGGCAAAATGTGTCATTGTCTATAAAAACTTTTTACACAAGTACAAGTAATGAAGTTATTATGGTTATAATGATTAGCGCTAAAAGTCGAATATCTACACAAACATGAAACTGCTACATGTATAGAGTCTGTTAACTAGATCGACGATGTCCAATAACAATACTCATACTGTATCACAGCATCCCATTCGGGCCATTGAAAAGTTTCTTTCATGGATGAGTCCAAAATTTGTCAAGTTCATAAAAAAGGCAACATGCTAATCAATTCTAGCAACAATTTCAGTTTTAATAGTATGTCCTCCCGCATACATAACTCTTCCTATAACTTGAAATTAATTTTCCTTTCGATACATATACGTGCAATCGGCCTGGAAGGAGGGAAGAGCGGTTGCCTGACTTAGAACAAAGTTCTCTCTGCGAGTAATGCCGAAGACAATGAGCTCGCCAATATCTTGTCCAGTTAAAGGCTCGAGTCCTCGTGACACCCTGTCGGCAGCAGCCTTGTCACCATGCGCACGAACTGTAAGGAAGTCGGTGTCAATCATTCCTGGATCAATTTCCATTACACGAATGCGAGTATCAATGGTCTCCTGTCGCAAGGTGGAGGTGAACATGCTAACAGCAGCCTTGCTGCAACAGTAGATAGAACCGCCAGGATAGGAATCTTGGCCAGCAATACTGCTAATGTTAACAATGTCTCCGTGGCCATCGTTCTTGTAGAAAATGCGAATAATGGCTTTAGTCATGGCAATGAGACCGATAACATTAGTGTTGATAACTTTCATGGTATCTTGCATGTCCAAATTGCGAACATAATCAACACCCAAAGCAAGACCAGCGTTGTTGATCAAGACATCAATATTGGCAAACTCTTCAGGAAGAGAAGCAATTGTGGACTCTATCTCTTCGACTTTTGATACATCGAGTTTCAAAGGAAGAACCTTAACGCCTTCGTATTTTGACTCCAATTCAGTCTTCAGTTCTTCAATTAGAGCAATGCGACGAGCGGCCAAAATTAAGTTAGCCTTGCCGACCTTGGCAATTTCATAAGCAATAGCCTTTCCAACACCGGTAGAGGCACCAGTAATAAATACTGTTCTTCCATCCAAGCTTGTCATGTTAACGGATGCATAACTAGTAATAGTTTAGCTGATAAGTCATTGAAACATTAAACTCAGAGACGGGGAAGTCAATTGGGAATAAGTAGTCATGCAACTGCTGTTGCATCATTACCAGCTATGCTGTCATTAAGAATCCGAATTTGTTCATACGAGTCAGTCCAATTAGTTACGTAAGAGCAATTCACAATGCTTATTCTTACTATGTTTCCTGTTAGTGACACAACTGAAAGGCTCCCTGTATTATATAACAACTTCGCACTTGAATTCTTTTGGTTTGCGATAATTATAGCTACAGACCTTGCGATTCTAATATTCAATTAAATTTATTTCATAGCGAGTACATTAGCTGACAGTTTGTATTTTAGAACCGGTAAATTTGAATTCCAGGCTACATGTTTTAATAAACATCCGCACATAAAAAGCTGAAAAATTGCAGTTCATTGCCGCGGTGATCATTTTTATCAATCTTTGTTTTCTCAATGGCTTCAAAGGATACACGAAAAATCTATTACGTTGAACACCTTCAATGGAGTAAAAATACTCCAACTCGCTCTTTCATTTCTCAGTTTTGCTAGCATAAATGGAATAATATTCAGTATTAATACTCAACTAGTTGTTGTAGTGTCGTTCTTTAATCAAGCTGTGAGTAAATCGTCATAATTAAGCAAGAAACCCAAGCGCTCATTTTTCACAAAATTATTAATCAAAAATTGCAAAAAGAGGAAAGAAATGAAGGATAATGATTTGCACTTGGGAGACAATGAAGACCAGGCACTTAGGCAATAATGCTGCAAAAGTGTTAGTATAACAAGGTTATCTAAACGAGAATGCATTTTTAAGAAAGCCGGTAAGCTTATCTTAACGAATCGCGTTCGCTCCTTCTCCGCGAGTAGTACTTACCACATGTTGGGGTATCTCCAGTGGGTAGGGTGGTACTTGGCGCCCTTGGTAGGGAGGACATCAATGGCAGAGTTGGAGACGGTGACAGGAGTGGAGTTCATATTGACGAAAATTGAAGAAGTAGTAGATGTTGTTGTAAAGATGGATTGATGCCTCTTTGGATGCTGAAACTGGAGGTTTATGGCCAGCTATTTATGCAACTTCATGTTTCAATTTCCCAAGTCATCTGCTACAAAGACGACGTACAAACAAATTCTCTTTTAACAACTGTTCTATTGTGTCTTCTATTGTGACAAGAACGCAACTGTCCGTTCGCCGTCACATTTCGCATTACGTATGAACGTGGTACGGGTTTGTCTTTGTTCAGGACAGAAGCGAGTATTACAAACAAAGAAATTAATAACAAAAACAAGGACGAGAACAAAGAAATAACACCCCCCTCTGAATCCGTTAACGACGCAGCCAGCCTCTTAAAAGTCGCCTAACCTGTACACACACACACACACACACTGCTGTACTCGACTCGCTTTATTCATTTGACACAACCACACGTAGTAAGTAAAGCATAGAGTATATATATAGTTAAAAAAAAAATACAACAAATAGAGATAAAGTTTACAGGTCCAGTGTACATCTTAACGGCACGTTCCATACCGGCAGCATTCATTAGAGAAACGGGAAAAAAAAAATAATGCAAGGATATGCTGAACAAGGAAGAACCAAAGCCGAGTGCTTATTTATTTATGTCCATGCAACAGCCAAGGCCACCACTGGGATGACCCAAACTATCGGTATCGATGACAACATAAGCGATCCAAGCAGCAAGGAAGGAGAAGAGAAGAACGTAGCCATTGTAACTCATAAGCATCAACATCAGCAACGTTGCTGAACCATAGACTGCCGTATAGAGAATTGCACGGACAAAGTGTTCGGTAAATGTAACGTGCAGAGTGTCACTAGGAAGTCCCAAAGTGAAGAAACCATGCAGATTATTTTGACGACGCTTTGAAATCAAGCGATCAAACTCTCTTTGTCCACGTCTAACGGCAAAAATAGCCATTGTAAAGGCCATGATGCCAATAATACTTCCAGCAAATTGACCAGAGGTGTGGATGTGCCATGACTTGGCAAAAATACAGGAATTCTTCACGTACCAGTTCCATAGCATACTGATCTTACAAGACTCTGTGGTCGAATTCCCCATATCCATTCCACTCATTCCACTCATTCCGCTCATGTCCATTTTCATTGCGTTCATCGCGTCCATTTTGGTGTTTCGTTCCCGAGTCTCTCGTACTGGTCTTTCGTTCTGGTATCGGCGAAGGTCAACCAGCGATAAAGGAGAGGAGGATACGGCCAAAACGTCTCCAAATTTATGGAGTGAGAATCAGGAGGTCCCCGTTACGTACTTATTGCTTCTTGTATATATAGTCAGTATAGCTTAAATCTCTCAGGGAAGTCTTCTCCTATACGTTAGATACGTTATGTGTAGGTGTAGGTGTTGCGCTATCAGATATCTGATCGCAGGCCTTATCAACAGTATCCAATCGTCTTTGAGAACGATTAGCACATGGTCATCTTTCATGTACCTGATTGGCTGACTGTCGCTTAACCATCGCATCAGATACGAACTCACGCGAACAGCTGCAATGTCGGCGCGTTGTAGAAAAAGGAAAATAACAAAAAAACAGGATTCTTTAAGACTGTTCTTCAGATAAAAAGGACATAACTCGTGTATTATGCTGTAGATACCCTTTGTTCTATAACAAACCAAAATACGGAATAAAAACCCTGTCCTCAAAAACCCTTTTTGTAAACCAAACAACAACCCCGTCGGCATGTAGTGCGTATGCTTCTGTGAAGGCGTGAAACAGTCGCAGTTGCTGTCTAGGCCTCCATGGCATCGTCATCCTCACTCTCGACCTCCATGTCAACTTCGACGTCTTCGTTGTTGGAATTACGAAGAGCGTCCCGCTTCTTGCGACGGACAGCCTCCTTGTGCTCTTGGTCTTGTTGAACAGATTCCATCAACAATTTACGTTGCTCCTCACGAAGGCTGCGTTGTGCGGCGGCAAAAGCACCCAAAGGCGTGCTTGTCCATTCCACATCCTTCATGAAATTCACACCCTCCTCCAACGCGATGGGTGCAAAATGATGAGCGACTCGCTTCTCCTGCACAAACGCGGCATTCGCCTCCAGCTTACGCACAAGCGTCAGCAGAGAGCGATTGAGGTGGATGTTTTTGCTGCGCTTAATAAAACGCTTCAAGTGAACGATGACGGGAATAGAAATTTCGGGCATAGCAATCGACTTGCAGTAAAGTGTGCAGTATTCCAACAACAACTCTGAAACCTGGTCTGCAACACCTTCTTGGAAAATGCGTGTATGCAAGTAAGTAGTCGGTGCGTGGATTTCCACCTGGAAATCCAATGCTTTGAGCGTGCTAGGTCTAGGCTTGCGCTTCATCTCAGAACTGTTCAACACTTCAAAAAGGAGAGGGGCAATGGGTATAGACACGCCGCATTGTTGAGCAACAAACAACAACACACGGATAACGTGGAAACGAAGAGGGAAGTATTGCGCGGAAACAGCGACACGAACCACACCTAAAGCAATTTGAACAAGGGGGTATACAAGGGCACTCAGACCATTGTTAGACTTTCGTTCGCGTTCCAACCAAACACCCTTGGAAAGCAAGCGAGCCCACAGGTCAAGAGAATGAATGTATGACCAGTTTTGAACCAACTTCAATGTTTCCTTACCAGGATGCTGAATAACGTTACGCAGCGTAATGGCTAATTGACGAATGTACCGATAGGCAGTCTGATAGCATGAACTTTCCTCAAGCAGCATAAGTTCCACAGCACTATTCTTCATAAAGTTAATGCCGTCGAGTGTGTGAACGGAAGTATGGCCACATTGGCGCACAAATGTAAGATATACGGAACGAAGGATAAGGGCAGCAAGCGCTGCGTCTGCCGAAATACACAATTCACGCAGCAGCATAAAAGCTGACGCACGCACAGAGTCGTCTCTGTTCGTGCCCCATTGAGCGACAACTGCCTGCGTGAAAGCTTTCAGAAACTTTCTGTGCGACATGAGATAGGGCGTAACATTCTTCGCCTCTCGCAGCAGCAAAGACAAGTTCTTCGCATCAGACATACCCTCTAAAATGTGGAGCAAGGACAGACCATATGAACGAAGGGATGTAGACAGCTTGGCCAACCGTTTGTTGCTTGTGTCAATCGTTTGGCGGTGCTCACTAACTTTTTTAATGGGGAAATGATGTTGCAGGACAGCAGGCACCTCCTTAAGAGCGAGCAAAAGGACTCCATTGAAAATCTTTGGATCAGAGATGGTATACTTGAGACTTGCACTTCCTTCCTCGTTAAAGTAAGCAGCAGCCTTGAATGCCTGAATAACCTTTTGCATCACATTCAATGAATGATTTTCTGACATGGCAGTCTGCCAGCGAGCAATTATTTCATCGGTGATTAAGACCTGCGAAGAACCAAGACCAGCTTCTTTCAAATCATCCTCAACCTCTTCTTCAAGGGTTTTGGCGTTAAAGTTCAGCAAATCCTCGTCATTTCTTTCCAAATACTTGTAAAAATCTGGATCCTTTTCTTTCAATTCCTGAAGCTGCTTTTGATACGTCTCGGGATCAATATCAGCTTCGTCTTCACTTTCAGAAGACTCTTCTTCTTCCTCCTGGACGGGTTCTTCTACCTTTTTCTTTGATTTTTTCGACTTCTTCTCCTTCTTAGCCTTCTCAATCTTTTTAGGAGCACTGACTTCGGTAGGTTCTTCAGAACCGTCGTTCAAAAAGTCATCCATGCTCATATTCAAATCCAGTCCTTCATCTTCTAAAGGTTCCTTTCCATTTTTGACATCCTTCAGCAATTTTTTCACTTCGCCCTTCAAAGTCTCTTCCTTCCTCTTTTTTCCCGAATCCAATTTCTCGACTCTAGTCTTGGACTTTCCAGAGCGTGTCTTCTTCACGGTTTTTGCCTTTTTAGCCTTTAAAACTGCAGAAACTTTGGCCATACCGACATTCACCAGATTTCGACGTTGGTTAAGGAAGGAGCCAAAGAACGCCAAATACCAGTACCTGAAATCCACCAAATACACAAAAATAATAACAACTACGCTGTTTTATTAATGAAACTGATCTAATTCTTTTTGCTACACATATACTCTTGCTTTTTTTGAACTAGCCGCTTTTTCGCCGCTTTTTTTGAATATTGTATCGCTCTTTACAGATGAGAAATTCTGTGAATTGTGCTCTCCTATGACTGTTCTTAGATTCTATTCATTTTCTTCTGTGTGTATTGACAAACCCAAATCTAATCCATTGATTCAGTTTATCGACTTTTACAATTTCAAATTTGTATGAAAAGCCAACTTACGAGTACGAAGGGCATTCGCTCCAGAAATATATGCAATGGAGGATAACCGAGCATCTCCTCCGAATACTGTTTTAAAGGATATGGTTGTTAAACAAAATGATTCAAACAGGGTTCCTCCACATGCCTCAAATGAGAACTCATTGTCAACATCACAACCTTTACCGTTGCCGGTGCCAAAAAGAAAAAGAGGCCGACCAAGGAAACAAGCGAATTCTGTCCCTCAAGGGAATCCTTCCAATGTGAAAGTTGCTGAACTCAATGAGCCGGTGAAAAGGAAACGAGGACGCCCTCGTAAAAATCCCCTCATACCAAATGCTGCAACCAGTAGCATCCATAGTGCAACAGTCATGAATCCGGAACCATCGACTGTAGTCAACAATAGTTCGGAAGTATCAGCTTCTGTTTCAACAGACGCCATGGAGCGTGCCTTTTTAAAACGGAGAAAAGGCCGCCCTAGCAAACAAGATATGTTAGTGAGAAAAATTCTTTCTCTTGCAGCTGACTCCTTGGTAAATAATACTGATCCTAATTATTCGGATTTATACTTGACAGAGAAAGCGCCGCACGCATCAAAGAAAAAAGACGCATTACCTAAGGATGTACCGTCTTTAGATGATTCGAACACATTAGGCATTGATGATAAGAGTATTACCTCCCAAGCTTGCGCAGTTCCTGCATTGGGATCCGAAATGAACAACAGCTCTTCCAAAATGGCATCAAGTAAGCCCCAAAGACGACGGAGGAAGCACTCAAACTTTCTTTCTCCTTTTTCTTCTATTTTATCTACAAAGGCTCCCTCAACGTCTACTTCCCCTTTTCATTTTTCTTTCCCTCAATTACCTGAAAGAAAACGGGGAAGAAGAAGTCGTGAAGAGCAACTTCTTCGAAATTTTGGATTTGTAACCAGGTTTGATTTAGCACATATCAAAAGTGGGACTTTTTTTGACACGGTGTTAATTTCAAATTCGAAAGAAACCAAGGATTGCCGATTATCAGATGACTCTGCGGGTCCATGTAACAATCAAACACCTTCAACTTCTATTACTTCCGCAGTACGATCTCAAAATACATCCAGTACCACTGCACCTGACAGTAGGCGTTCTTTTGAAGAAGAATATGATTCATTTGACGATTCACAAATTAATCTTGACGTTTTGGAAAGAATTGAACAAGATGTACATCTTAAGGAACACAAAAATTCAACTAATGGCCACAATTCTCGCCCGAACCCCATCCTCCATGACGCTTCTTCTGAATCCCCTCCACCGCTTAGTTCCCAACCGTATAACTTTCCTGAGTGTTTATCCTCTGAATCACCGAAATCTCCTGTACTGAGCGCTTCTCCGTCCTTTTACACTCGTTCCAACAATAGTGCTACTTCTCCTACTTCCGCTAACGATGCTCATGAAGAACAATTACCATTTTCCTCTCCCCTCAAATCCTCCACTGTCTCAAACCAAATTACAGATGGGCGAGTTTTAGCCTCTTCGCCCATAATGGAGACATTCCGTATTCATCATGCCGACAGTGCACGTCCCACTCCATCAAACAGCACGTATCATTCTGGCAAATTGAATAGTCCTTCGTTTTCCGCTACTACAGATGAAGTTTCAAAAACGGAACCTGCGGCCAAACTTATTAATTGTATGAGCGGTTTACGTTCCATTCGAAACAAAAAACTTTCTAAGAGGTCACTCACCAAACCATTCAAAAGTCCGCTATTGAGCTCAAACAAGTTTCTTCATCAGAGACGAAAGGAAAACAATTTCTTGCGCGTGACTCAACGAAACGATCCACTGATACAAAAAGAAGCAGAACTGGAGAGAGATATAGCAGAACTCAATCATAAATTAGAAACTGTTCGTATGGCTTTGAAGGCTGAAGCTGGTGGACTCGATACAAACTCCATTGCTTCAAAGATTCAATGCTGGCGTAACGCAGCTCGCCTCGCAATTGAAGTTTTGTTTCCCGTCTTTTCTCTACGCTTTAGTACTATGATGCAGGAGGTTCCGGTGTCTGTTATTCCTAACGTTGTGGATGAACTTCGCGAGAAACCTTGCACTATAGGTACATTTTTGCGTCAGTTAGATATTCCATTTCATCTTGTTGGATACAACTCTGAGAGCAACTGTTGGGATGACTAGTTGGCATCTATGGATAATGTGGTTTAATTTGTTTTTACTCTTCTTCTTCGTACAGGTTCAACAACTGCCCCTATTGCCTCAATTTTAAGTCTTATGCCTACAATTTTTTCAACAAGGAAACTACTACGTTTTTTCCTTTCCACGCTCTAACGTCTTTGCAATTCTACTTTTAGTTAACGTTTAGTTTGTTTTTTTTTTTTCTCTTTTTTGTATGAACAATGAATAGAATGACTTATGAAAGATAATAATACCAACCGTAGCGTAAACCCAATAGACAACGTATACCGCCACTTTTGTGATGCATTTTATACTCTCTACCATGTTCTATGGGCGGGACTTGGGTATATTTCGGGTTTCAGAGTCGTTCACGAACAAACACCCACAGCATCAAAAAACTTGGTATTGTGCTTGTAACCTCTAAATTTATTCCTTAGACTTCAAATACGTTAATATGAGTAACAACAACAAATTTGCACTGTCAATCATTGATTTTCTGCAAGTCTCCGCAGCTAACGAGCATTTGGCAAAGAACAAACAGGAATGCCTGGAAGTTGCTGGTACGGATACAGATATAAAGAAATCATTGTAACTAACACGTGCAGCTCAATGTTTGGCAGATGCCTTTGACTTGGACAAGAAAGACGCACCCTCTGGCGCTGGTGCAAAGCTGAAAACTGCTTTTGAAGAATTTCAGGCTCGTGAAGCAGCCCTCACTGAGGCTAAGAAGAAAGAAGCAGAGGAACTGAAGGTTAAGGGAAACGAGGCTGTGGCTAACCATGAGTACGAAACTGCCATTGATTACTATACCCAAGCTCTCAACATCATTCCCACGTCTCCTGTCTTCCTTTCCAATCGTGCTTCCGCCTATAGTCATCTTGGACAACACGAGAAGGCTATTGAGGATGCTGAAAAGGCTGCTCAAATCGAACCTACTCACGTTCGTGCTTACAGCCGTCTTGGCTATGCAAAGTATTCTCTGGGACGACTCGAGGAAGCCATTGAAGCCTACAAAAAGGGTCTTTCTCTCGACCCCAACAATGCTGTTTTGCAAAAGAGTCTGAGCTTGGCCGAGAAGAAATTGGAGGCCAAGGAGGAATCCTCTTCTTCTGCAGCTTCTACTACTACCCAAGATCGTGCTGCACCCAGTGGTCTGCCTAACCTCGGCGGTCTCGGTTCCGGTGGCATGCCCGATTTGGCATCTCTTATGAACAATCCTGGTATGTCTTTATGTGTTGAAACCTAAATTGTCGAATTACTAACCTGTCATTGTAGCTGTCATGAACATGGCTCAGAACATGATGCAATCTGGTGCTTTGAACGGCCTTTTGAATAATCCTAACATTGCCAATATGGCCCGCAACTTCCAAAACGGTCAAATGCCCAACCTTCAAGATCTCATGAACAATCCTCAACTTCAACAAATGGCTCGTAGCTTTATGGGCGGCATGGGCGGCAACAGTGAGAACTCTAACAACAACTCTGGAAACCACTGATTTACATGACGCATTTAGTCACGCTTTTGTTTTCATAGTTTCTCTTCTAAAGATTTTTATTGATTACCCTAACTAAACGATTGTGACAGAATGTGTGTAGCTTTCGCCGATTTCGAGAAAATAATATTTTAATTGTAGATGACCAAAAAAAATGCAATGAAGTAATGTTTACTCAGTATCCTCAAAATCATCTGCAGTGTCCTCTTCGTCTAAGGAAGAGATAGCGTCTTCGAATTCGTCATTTTCATCTTCAGCTTCACTTGGGTTGGCAAATAAGCCATTAATGTAAGAACGAAGTCTTCGTAAGAGTGGTAGAACGGTATTGGTGTCCTCCAAACCATCAATAGCATCTCCTTGAACAGCATTCTCTCGGTCTTGATGCTCCTCATTTGTTGCATTAACCCCGTTTTCTTCATTTTCCTCTTGCTGTCCTTGATTCCGATTAAGAACGGCGTTCGTAAAATAAGAAACCAATGAATCCGTTAAACCATGAGACACACTGGGTTGCACCTCAGAGTCATACATTCCTGGAGGCAAAGGATCATAGGCCAAAATATTTTGCTGAGTAATTCTCCGGGGTAAGTATTTAATGAGTGGTTGTTCGTTCATTAATAGAACGCATCTAGCGATGTTCTCTGTAACTTCGGTGCAACGTGCCTCCACAGGCTCAAGCCCATCCAAGTCAGTGACACACTGTTCAACGAAGCTGACGACGTCAGGCGAAGACCATAACTCATGTGCATGCAGAGGATACATTTCGGCGTAAAACTCCTGCATTACATCCTCACAGGCTATAGGAGCTATCGTATGACGAACACCAATGGCATTTAACAAGGGTACCAACATAAAAGGCGCACGCTCACAAGCAACGTGCAATGCATTTCTTGAATCATCGCAATCTCCGTATAGTTGATACATTGCCAATGCAGATGAATACATTAGACTTGGGTAGGTCTCAATAAAATTCTCTTTATCCGCGAAGTTGGCATAATGAATAAGCCAATCGAACTCTCTCGATTTGAGTGCAAATATATCGATACAAGCAGATAAGGCATAAGGGTCGGTTTCGTCTAACTGAAGGAGCAACTTTCCAAATTCCAACACAGTATGCCAACAGTTACGTTGAGTAAGGTTGGTAAGATGCAGCCATATACTCAAGAAGAAATCGCGATTCGCCTCAACGACAAACGGCAATCGAACTCTTCCAGTAGCCAAATTGAAGAGAGGGTGCAACGATGAATCAAAAGCATACAAAGCGCGACCAACAAGGCTGCTAGCCAACTCGTGGTCGCCTTGTTGCAGTACGACATCGGAAACCTGCAGAAGTGTGTCAATGTGAAATGGATGTGAGCGAAGGAGAGAGAACAAATTATTGGGATCGTAAGTTTGGACGCAGAAAAGAAACGTGTCTTGTGCTTCTTGATATGTTCTGCTTCTCGTGAATTCGAAGTAGCTTATACCGTCCTTTTGCTCCGTCATCTTCATACTCAGACCCGTGCGAATCATTGCTGGCCATCCCTCCTCTGGTTGGATAAGCACATAGCGCCGTCTTCGCTGAATTCCTCTTCGTTTCGCTACAGAACGTTTTTCAACAAGCCGTCCAAACAGTTTTCTGAGCTCTAATTCGGGGTTTAGTAAGTTCAAGTTAACCTTACAAAGATCTGCACGAACAGCAACAGGATCATAGGAAGGTACCGATTGGGTCGACGATGATTCAGGAACTGCTTCTTCGTGATATTTCAGCTTAATCTCAGCGACAACCCTTTCCAAGTCATCAACACTCGTGTCATTTTCCAACTGTTCATTTGGGAGACTTTTATTGGCACCTCTTGCCTTCGATTTCTTCTTCTTCTTCTTTTTCTTCTTTTTTGAAGGTGCTGCCGGCTTTACAACCTCAGTCAGTTCCTCTGTAGATGTCTTTTCTTCAAGACCATCGTCATCTTCTTCATCCTGTTCTTCCTCCTCGTCATTAAGCAATTGAAAGATACTTTTTTGTTTGGTAGATTTTGAGCGTTCATACAACTCATCCTCTTCGGAAGACTCTGTATCTGACTCTGAACCAAGATATTGCAGTTCACGCTGTCGTTGAAGCCTGCGTAAAGCCCGTGTCGACATTTCGCATGTTTTTGGTGGAAGCCAACTTTTTGCCTCACCGTGACTAGGGAGGAAATAGCTATTCGGATACAAGCAGTATGGATGGCATTACAATGAATAAATAGAATAGTTTACTGTCTTCGTTGAATACAAAAGAACGCATGTAGTTCATTTACTAGCAATATAAAGTTCCACTTCCCCTATAGCTTACTCATATCTATTAAAAGCTGCTTACTAAAACTATGTTAATACAAATAACGATAATTGTAACGAAAACCCAGTAGTCACAGAACATGACTCTTTTTAACCATAACCAAAAATTCCCCATATCCCTTCACAAATCATGCTTAGAATGAAACAACCTTTTTAGCAGGAGCCTTAGCAGCCTTTTTCTGAGCAGTGGCAGAAACAATCCGTGAGTACTCGTGAAAACCATCTTCATCAGGTCCAATAGCGCCGACAGAAGAGGCAACACGTCCTCGAATAACGTCCTCACGAGTGATCTTGTCACAGTCTTTGGCAAAGTGGTGCACAGAAGAGCAAAGTTTGCATCCGCCTCCCCTTGGATACAAACCTTTAGGATTGTCTGGACATTTCGAAGCGAGATGGCCCTTCGCCTTGCAGATGAAACATGTCGCAAACTCTAGAGGTCCCTTCTTAGCACAAGAACTCAACGTGTGTTCTGTGCTTCCACAGCGAAAACAAATAGCCTTAGAATTTCCACTTTCTGGACAATCTTGAAGAATATGGCCTTGCTTTCTACATCCAAAGCAAAACTTGTCTGTCTGTCTCTTAACTTGTCTTCTCACACGTCTGTGTTCAGAACGCTTCTTCTTTTGGTATTCACTGAACTTAGGTCTTCCTGCGTTTTTCGTTTTTTGAACCAGATTCAGTCTCACCATCGCCAGAAGCACCTTTAGGTAATTCAACGGGTTTATACTCGTATGGAGTCGCTTGCAAAAAGCGTTTTTTGCCCATGTTTGTGTATCTAGCCATTTTGAAAAAAGAATGCAGACAGGAGATAACAAAAGGCTTCTCAAAACTTAAAAAACAAAAGGACTAGCACTACCCAAAACCTTAAAGGTCTATAATAAAACCAGTAAACAGCAGTAACTCGCTGTAATATAATAATACACCTTTTTCCCCAACTTTGTTGTGGTTAGAGTGTATTTTGGGGTACTCCCTCCTTGCAATCAAACTGCTTGGTGGTGAGTTTTTGGTGTAGCATTACCAAGGTTTATCCACGCATTAAAATATAATAACCGTCTCTAATGCTGCCACCAAACTCTGACTGCTGTTGTTAATAGTACGGTGTTTCACCCAGTCAATACAGCTACCCTCTCCCAACACAGCAGCACTATGAGCAGGGCCGAAATTCAAAGCTTGACGGTAAAAAATTACCGTCTAACAGACTTAATTGGTGACTTCGCCGGAGAAGAACTGTATGTCCTGTTAACACTGAGTTACTGTTACTGACATTTTTTCTACAGAGTCCTTGTTGAAGGTGATTCTTTGATTTTCCGCGTTTTAGGAAATGACTGTCACTTTTTTGGAAAAAATGGCGTTCAAATTTTGCATGGTATTTACAGGATTGAAAAGGAACTTGCGAAGTTTAAACAGGCTCGTTTAAACTACTGCATTGTATTTTTTAAAAAATGGGAGGCTTTATATACGAGATACGACCCTTTGTTGAGGGAATCACTCATTTTGTTTCGTCGTATTTTGATCCGTCATCTTAGAAAACACGTGTCGGTATACTCGTTTAAGAATGTTTCGGATTCTCAATGGAGTTTGTTTATTTCAAAGCATCGTCCTTACGGCTTTGTTGCTCTTGACACACCGCACAGTTCTACTGAGAATGGATTAAAGCTTTCTGAGGAGCAAGTACTTGTTTTCAAGTCATTTGTATACTCCGCTTTGGCAGACGGAATCCCTGTCGCTCTCTTAGGTTCTTACAAGTTTGTCGATAACAAAATATTGGTCTCCATCAAGTCTGCTTTCTCTCAACGTTCCCCTGAACACGTCGAAAGCGCCTACAAGGTTCTTTCTAAGGCCTTGAATAAGTTTGAGAAGGTTGACTATGAAATGGAGCTTCCTGACATTGATGTTGACTCTTGTGAAACGAACGCTGAGCGTGTGATCGTGCTCGTTGCCGGTTATTTGCTGCGTCACAGCAAATCTAAGAATATTATGAACTACGCCAGACTTTTAGTGCTTCTGACCTCTGTGTTGGATCAACTCTCCTTAAAATCTCGTTTCCAACCCTCTTACGAAGCTTTCCAACACGAGGATGTTCAGACTTTCTTGGTCGAGTTCTTGAAATGCAGCTCTACTGTACTTCAATTCATTGACTCTAAGGTGAACGGTTTCCACGATCTTTTTGACAGCCGTGTCTTCATGCGTTTGATGGCTGATGCCGCTCGTGGCAAGTTGGAACTTCCCGAGATAAACCAAGAGCGCGCCTTGTCTTTGTGGAAAGTAATCATCGACTTCTGCCCCGAAGCAGGCGAGTTACTTGACTTCAAGCCTTTTGAGGGAATTTCGGAAGACTTGTTTACTCCCATGCTTCCAAAGGTTACGGACGTTGACACTGCTCTTTGTGTTATATATGACCCTGTTATTGCTCAGTTTTATGAATCTTCTGAGTGGCATGAAATCCCCGAGAAGGAGCCTCGTCCCTTGGAGACCGTCTTGGACTTTTCTCGTCTTCGGATTAACGATAAGGCCATGACCAACAAGCGCTATGAGGATCTGAAGTCAATGCAGAAAAAAACTGGCGATGAGGTGAAAGATCGTCGTCAACAAAGCCGTGCTAGAAAACAAGATCAATTCTTTATTAGTCACGTTCAGAAATACGCCAGTTCTTTAACGGGTGCTAAGGGTGGTCAACTTAAGCGTTTAACCATCTTTACGAACACTGCAAAGGAAAATGTTGCCAAGTCCAAGGAGGCTGAGTTGGCAGAGAAGGAAAAGGAGAAGGAGAAAGAGGAACCCGCTAAGAAGGGTAAAAAGGATAAGAAGGAAAAGGGCGCAAAGAAGGGAAAGAATGGAAAGGCTGCTAAACCATCTAAGGCCGACTTAATTCGTGCGGAGATTGCTGCTAAAAAGGCTGAAAAGGAGGACAACAAAAATGAGATGATTTGGCAAGAAACTAAGGCTGACTTGAACCGCGTTAAGGACTTGCATCTTCGTGTTTCTCGTCTTGCCCAACTGCTTTCAATCAAGTCGTTTGATCCCTATATTGAAAATGAGATGCGTCTCTACAAGATTCGCATTCTCTTGTCTCTTTGGGCTGCCGTTTGTGTTTCTGACGAGGAGAAGGAGAAGAACATCAACTTCGCTGTTGAGATCTTCCGTGAAATTTCGCTCATCTATCCTAACCCCATCACAAAGCAAATTAAGGCCGCTTTAGACGACACTTTGACTGCCTTTGGATTGGAATCTGTTATCCGTAAGGTGAAAAAGCTTGAATCTCGTCCCCTCTCTTTCCCTTTCGTCCTTCCCGAGTTGGAGGACGAAGAGATGGATATGGAGATTCCCTACACTTCGTCCACATTCCAACTTCTCCACTTTGGTGAGTACATGGAGCGTTCTATGGGTAGTGCTCCCGACTCTCGTGTTGCTTTTGATCCCGATAAGTGGCAACGCGATACTTTGGATATTCTTGACCGTGATGAGTCTGTCTTCGTTGTTGCTCCTACCTCTGCTGGTAAGACCTTCATTTCTTTCTATGCTATGGAGAAGGTTCTCCGCGATAACGATGAGGGTGTTGTTATTTACGTTGCTCCTACTAAGGCCTTGGTCAATCAACTGTCTGCTGAGGTTTATGCTCGTTTTAACAAGAGATACCCTCATGCTGGTCAAACTGTGTGGTCGGTTTACACTCGTGATTATCGTATCAACAACCCTACCAACTGTCAAGTGTTGATTACTGTCCCCCACGTTTTGCAGAGCATGCTTTTGCAGCCTGCTTTGGCTAACGCTTGGTGCCCCAAGATCCGTCGTATCATTTTCGATGAAATTCACTCTATTGGACAAATGGAAGATGGACTTGTCGCCGAGCAATTGCTTCTCCTGTCGCCTTGTCCCATTGTTGCTCTTTCTGCTACTGTTGGTAATCCCAAGGAGTTCCACCACTGGCTTTCTGCTTTGCAACGTGCCCGCGGAATTCCTGTTCATCTAATTGAGCACAAGCACAGATACTCTGATCTTCGTAAGTTTGTCTATGGCGCTACTCGCGATTTCGATGGACTTCAAGATGAGAAGGACTGTGGTGAAATCCAGTTTTTGCATCCTGCTTCTGCAATGTCATTCTCTGATGGTTCCACAACAGGTCTTACATTTGAACCTCGAGACTGTCTTCAGCTTTATCATGCTATGAAGCTTGTCTCGAAGGGTGACTTTAAGATTAGCAAGAAATTGGACCCTGACAATTACTTCAGTGACTGCCAATTTATCAAAAAAGTTGACGTTGTTGCTTACGAGAAGAAAATCAAGGAAACTCTTCACACCTGGGCCTCCCTTCCAAATGCCTTTGCTCCAACCTCTCCCTTCCAAGCTCTCATCCGTCATTTCTGCAATGAGCCTCAACGCCTTATCAATAACCAGTTGAAGCTTCACAAGGATATTTCTAGCATTGAATACATTGCTAAGAGTACTTTGCCTATGTTGAAGGATTTGCATAGCAGAGATTTATTGCCTACCATCTGCTTCAACTACGACAGACAGGAGTGTGAGTTTATTGCTGAGACGGTTTACAAGACCTTGACCGAGAAAGAGCGTGAATGGCGTGAGAACTCTGAGGAATGGAAGGAGAAGATGCGTGAGTATAAGAAATGGCAAGCTTCCGCAACTCAAAGAGCTAAGCAAGCCGAGAAGTTCCAAAAGCTTGCTACCGAGAAGCAAAAACTCCAGGCTCTTAAGGAAGCTGGCGATGTCTCCTGGATTGAATTTTTCGACCCGAACGAGCCATCTGCTGAGTTCTCTTTTGCTGGTGTGAAGTCTACCTACGGTAAGGAAGAGCTTTACCGTGATTTGGAGTCCCTTCGTAATCGCCATGCCGTTCCCGAATGGTACATTGATGCTCTTTACCGTGGTATCGCTATTCACCATTCCGGTTTGAACAGACGTTACCGTCAAATTGTCGAGGTTCTTTTCCGTTGTGGTCAACTCACCGTTGTTATCGCTACTCGTACTCTTTCTTTGGGTATTAACATGCCTTGTAAGACTGTTGTTTTCTTGGGTGATAGTCAACAACTGACTGCTTTGAACTTCCACCAAGCTGCTGGTCGTGCCGGTCGTCGTGGTTTCGATCTCTTGGGTCGTGTTGGCTTCCTCGGTGTTCCCATGCACAAGATTTATCGTCTTCTTACTACTAAGCTTTGGGATATCCAGGGTCAATATCCTGTTACGACAACGTTGACTCTTCAACTTAGTCAATTGGTTTCAGGTTCTCAGGCTTCACCTTTCGCTCGTGACCTTGTGAAGGCATTGGTCAATGAGCCCAAGTTCATGAAGAATGGTGAGACTTTCAGCGTCCAATTCCTTCATCATCTTCGCTTCAACATTGAGTATCTTCGTAGAGAGGGACTGCTTGATGAGTTCTGCAAGCCCATCAACTTGTCCACTTTGACTACTCATTTGTACTATGCTGAGCCTTCGAATTATGCCTTCATTAATCTTCTTCGTCAAGGTATTTTCCATGACTGTGCTAAGGTTTATGAGAGCAACAGACTTGAGGCTATGAAGCTTACTGTCTCTATTCTCGCTCACCTCTTTGGTCGTATTCCACTTTCCGCTGAGTACGCTGCTGAAATTAAGAGTCGGAATGACTTGGCACCTTCAGAAGTTTTGCTTCCCGAACTGCCTTCTAAGGCTTTGGACGTTTTGCGTGCACATGATCAACGTGTTTTGGACTTGTATAAGACTTACATTCGTTTGTACCAGGAACATGGAAACGTCGGTGTCAATGACACTGAGCTTCCTTTGTCGAAGATTGCCGTTGGCGGTACCGAGGAATTGCCAAACTCCGCCAAATTTGGTGTTATTTCACCATTCCATGCACTTGGCGGTTATACTGATGCCGATGTCAAGGATGTTCCAAGCTTCCTTGAATCCATTTCGGACAACATTCTCTTGAAGACGTCTCATCTTCCTTTCGCCCTTAGTGGTGACAAGTATCTTAATGCTTACCTCCTTGATTTCTTTGTTCATGGAAGCGTTGAGCTTCTTGTTGAACAAAATGATCTTAAGCACTCTGAGATCTGGTTCGTTCTTAACGATTTCAGTTTGGCTCTTGCTACTATCTGTAGTTGTTTGGGTAACTTGTTGAATCTTGTTACCGAGGCTGATCTTGAGAATGCTATGAGTGCTTTGGAAGGTTCCGACGCTCTCCAGGCTTCGTCTGAGAAGACGGATAACAATACGACTACAACATGGACTTCTACTATTAGTACGAACTACTCTACTACTCAAAGCCCGGATGAGAAGCTTGACGTTGAGTTGTTCAAGGTTTACCGTATGTTTTTGGATGTTCGTAATGAGTTCGATACGAAGTTCAAGAAGATGTGGGCTTAGGCTTCGCGGGCGTGCTTGTCCATGCTTTTCACGACACTGGTACTGGCTGTACATTTTAGTGGTACTAAATGTTCTTTCCACAGAGTTATTGAGTTGATCCTCACGAAGTGGATAACTAATGTAGACATAATTTTTTAGAATAAAACTGGGTAGTACAAATAAGCCTGTAATGCTTCGTCGTGATGTCTGGTGTTGTGTTTACTGTCCGCTAGATCCGTAGTTGGTATGTGATTATTGTCGCATTAAATCATGTTATATAAATACTGTGTACTACTCACTGTATACGGTCGACAGCTCGCTCCTTCCGAACTGTTACTACTGGTGTGAGATACTCAAGAAGGCATTTTTTGGGATTACAACGACAGACGAGAAACAATGCCGTTAACTGTCGAAAATGCAAAGCAGTTGATTGACGATTTTATGCTTAGAGATGCCACATTCATGTTGGTAAATTACAATGAGCCGCAAGTAGATAAGATTTACAGTATGCAACATAACGATCAAAATTACTGAGAGACTACCGTTTAGTTTGTCATTTCCCTTGTAGCTAACTTAAATACTTGAACAGTTCTGGACAGTTCTTTCAACCCCCCTCAAAATGCACACTTGTCCATGTGCAAACTGGTACCAAAAGATGCTCAATTACTTCTTTTGTTAAGTGTCAAAAATGCGGACAAAAAAGCGGTTCCAGCATCTTTTGCCGAACGTTTAGTTATGATGGAAGCAATGGCACTGGACCTACAAGAGGCAAGACCAATTATTGGATTATGTAAACACGCTTTGTTTGCCGATAAAGCAGAAGCCATCCATAATTCGCTTCATACAGCGTCACAATCATACTTGCTCGGATTTGACACGCTAGTCAGACTCCTGGATCCAAAGTACTATGAGCCGCAAGGCATTGAACAAGCACTCGGACACTTTTTCGCCAGTACGAAAGTGATGTGCGTTGCTAGGCCCGACGTATCATCAGGTCTTTCCGAACAGGAGGAATACATGAGGAGTATCGCCAAGGGCGATATGAAAGGTATCCCAGCACAGTGGGCCAGCCGGATTACATTTGCAACGTTGCGAAACGGAGGAGAAGGAGTCAGTAGTACAGCTGTTCGAAAGGCCATTAAGGAAAAAAATGATGAACTTGTCAAATCGCTCGTTCCACCAGCGGTGTATCAGGTATTGAAAGAGCTTCGACCATACTAGACAAATACAAATGAGTAGATATATCTGTGATCATTTCGTCATTCACCAGAACCCTTTTTTGAGTATGCCAATAATTTATTGAAAATTCAGAGCTTTCTTTGCCATTTCCAAGACACCTTCGTAGGTTGCGTTACCACCAATGAAGCCGGAAGCATGAACGAAAATGCATCCAGGAATACCGGTCAGTTTGGACAGGGCATCGTCACGGACACCACGCCAGGGCTCGGGCAGAGGCAAGCGGGAAACGAAAGAATCGGGCGAAATGCTGACAGCTTGGATACGCCAATTTTTGCCATCACTGTAGAGTGCGTATTTGAACTGGCCGACGATATTCTTCTCCTCCTCAATTTCGAACAAGTGACTCTTCCAAGGACAGCTCTTTTGGAAAACAATGATCGGAGACGAACCAGCTTCGTTAACAGCGGACTCCACGATTGACTTTGCGGGAAGCCAAGAAAGAGTATAGTATTTGACAGCTGCCTCGAACCAATGACCCATCATCCGACTAGCCTTCATGAATTGCTCATAAATAGCATCGTCATCCTGCTTGTCGGAATTCCACTCAGGAAAAAGCATGGAAACCATACCGGGGAGACTTAAAGAGGAGCGGAAGGCAGGCTTCAGCTCGGCAGGGTATGGAGAAATACCATTGTCATCAGCGTCAAGGCCTTCGATGAACTCGCGGTAAATCTTTACATGAAGCAAGTCCAATTGGCTTTCCGTAATGGGAGCGCTAGGCAAGATGGAGGTAATAACACGCTTACCGAAATACTTGTACACAAGACCAGCACTGGAAAGTTTGGTTTTATAGTCGGGAGAGAAAGTATCATTGAATTCACGCTGGTGATGGTCAAAATACTTCACACCGTCGAACTTTCCGCCAACGTCTACGGCAATGTCACAGGAATCAATGAGCTCGAGGTCACGAGTACGAATTACTTTTGCATCACGGTATTCCTCCAGACAACGCAGCATATAGACTGCGAGGGCTAAGCTCAGTTAGTAAGCATGCATGAAAAGTGAGAGAGGAGCAGAAAGGATCACCGTTTTGGTGAATCTGTACAGATTCATCAACGTTTTCGTTTTCTTATGAACCGAAAGACTCCCTCATCTTTAACACGTACATTCATCAGCGTGAAATTTTCCACTATGAGTAGCAATTCGTTTTTGAGAAGACATCCTGAAGCGTCTAGAGAATGGAAGAACGCAAATTTTGCTTATTAAATTTTGGAGTGGTAGTTGGCGCATTCGCTACCATTGTATTGGATGCTCCCTGAGAAGCTTTCGCCGCGTTTTTAATTCTCGTTAAACGAGTAGTTTGTTCGCAAAGACCAGCAAGCACCGGCGCTTTTATTGTCGGGATTGAATTTTAATTGAAAATTGAAAAGAAGCGTGCATGTCGTTCAATACGAGAATGAACAAAAATTAAGTACGTGTATTGTTAGTAAGAATAAGCTCGTCGTTGCAGTGAAACGAGACATTCAGAGCACAAGAATCGGATCAGGTCGCAGAAAATGAGTAGTAAATGCAATTTTTTGTACGCGAAATTCAATGGCAGCGTCCATTCCTACTATACTCGTGATTCTTTATATAATCCTCTCTCTGGAATGGTTTACAGTTTGTACCAAGCGTTTATACCATCCATTTCATAACCACAGAAATTAAATTCGGATCTTCATCAGCTGTCATTTCACAGTTCATTGTGCAATTCTAGTTTTGAACGTCGAGTTGACATTTTTTTCGTCCTGTTTTAAGCAATTTGAAGCCTAGAATTCTGTTAAACGTTCAGTTTAAATTGAAACAGCACTCGTTCAGTGTTCTCTTTGCATTTTTTAACAATTTATTAAACATTGTTCTCATTTTCGTGACATTCAGTTTCTGCCGTAGTTGGGAGAGGACAAAACGAGATAGGTGGTTGCTGTGCTTTGTTGTTCCGGCGGCTTACGTGTAGAAAACCTTATTTGGGGTTTCGACTTCGACGTGTCGCGTCGTGCCCAGTGCCATAATACACATGGATGAGGATAATATCCCATTGGAGTCGTTAAAGACTCCAGAAATACAAAGAAGTATTCGTATATTTCTGTTTAAACGTCTATTAACGCTTAGGTTTTGTCCCTTCATTTGAGGATACCTCAATGCTTTCGAATTCAAAAAGCAATGCGTTCGTAGAAGACTTTTTCATGCAGAACTACATTCCAGACACGCTTGACGGTGCACTAAAAGAGTTGAATCTTGAATCTCATAAAATTGACGAAATAAACTCGCAAAATATAAAATCTTACTACGAGTTGATGGAGTCTGTGGACAAAAACGAAGATGTAGAGACGTTGACTGATGCAATGGACACTTCGGGTATATCGCTCCTTGAGCAGCCAAGTTTTGGAACGGTAAACTTTGACGAATGGTTAAATTCGCCTTCTCCGTCCAAACTTATTCAAACTCGCGAATATGAAAAACCAGTGGCTCGCATTCCGTTAATGGCTGTCAATCCACAGAGCCTTACTCCTTCAAGAAGCTTACGGAAACAACATATGTTGCAAAGTCCGACGAAGATGCAGAGTCCAGGGACACCGTGTATGCGTTTGCGAAAAAATAGACAAACTCCTCTATCTACAAGAGTTACCCCGATCCGACTACAAAGCTACCCGTTGAGAGATAGTCCCGCAGAACGGGAACAAGAGCATTGTGATGAAACGTGTCCTCACTTGTTTCGGTTAGAAAAGATACGTGACCTTTTAGCATTTGTTCAACTTGAGCTGAAATGCTATGTTGAGCCCTACAAGCGTCAAGTTAAAGAGCTCAAGGAGGAGTTGCAGCGGCGAAATGCCGAAGTGGACGAATTAAAACGACAGCTTGCTGCAAACGGTCGGATGGAGACTTGATACAGGCATTAAATAATATGCACTACGACGTATATGATAAAATAACCTCACATGCTGACAATGTGGATGACTGAATGGCCCATTCTACATCATGTGCTAATGGGTGTTAGTATGGTCCTGCTTATGTCGTTTTATAAAAAAGAAAAGACCTCGTTCAGTGGTTTAAGGTTACTTCTTACCTTCTTTTAGTCTGCCCCACTTTTCCGTTTGGTATTTCGTTTCCAGGTTTGCACATTCAATGGCATTCTTGGTGTCCATTTTATTCATTGTCATATGCATACCAATGACGAAGCTCTTCATGCTTCGGGTAATCTGTTCAAAACAAGCCAGACGCCAATGGTTCTGTTGCCGGAGCCATTGAAAGGCGGCACGTTTTACTTCAAGCGGCTGTTTGTTTGGAATTAACCCCTTGTCTCCGTCGAGATACTTTAGTTGGAGTCCAAACAGTTCCTCGATATTCGCTTTCAGCGGGAAATATCTTTGTTTTTGTTCAGCTAACAGTTTGCCTTCATACTCATGTGAGGGAGCATAAACGAGAACCGTGTCACTGTCGAGATAGTTCATGAGTTGTTCGTACAGTACATTCAGTGTCTCCTCGCCATTCTTTTGCTCTTTCCACGTCTTCATATCAATAGCTCGTGTCACGAGCGAAGTTAGAGAAAGTTGATACTTACCGATACTGCCTGGGGTCAATTGGTTCCATTCTCTAGCGACTAGATGTGCAACTGACTCCATCGTTTTCGGTAATACAACTGGAAACCCATTGGTCGTTTGTAATGGTTTATTCCCTAGCAAGATACGAACACAATCATTGGGCATGTACTCTACGTGTGTTTCCTTCCAGAGTCTTTTCCACAAGTTTTGTTTTAAATCTTTGACTGTGCTGACGCGCGCGTCCGCATACCCTCTCACTAAAAAGGAAAACGTTTGACGCAAACCATGAATCCGATTTTTTGTCCATACAGCTCGCATTTCCAAACTCCCGCGTTCTTTCCTGTCTTGCAAGTTGACTTCTTACTCCGCGCATAGCTGGCCTAATACCCGCGGCATTTCCGAATACAGAAGAAAAATCAAGAACGAAAAAAATGACGGGCGATTTCACTTTTAGCAAATGAATTCATGTTGAATAAAGTTATGCTTACGATTGCCGTTAACGAGTAAACGAGCAGAAGGTCATTTCTGTGATACGAATAAATGTCATTATAATACAGCTCTTTTACGGCGGCCTGGCCCAGCACCAGCTGGCGCCCGCTTTACCGGTTGAAATGAAGGAAGTTTTGTTTCACCTAAGACGTTTTCAGCAAGTTCCGTCGCCGACGGTGGAGCTTTTGTCGTGGATTCCGTTGCCATTCGCCGAACAACGGCACCATCATGAGAAGCAAACAGTTTTTTTGCTTCCTCTAGCAGTTCTTGCTGTTCTGCTTCATCGGCTTCTTGCTTTTCCTTACGTACAGACTCAAGTTTTGCAATGGCATCGTCAATGTCTATGCGAGATCGCCTAGCACTCTGTTCTCGAAGTTCATCGAGCGTGTCGCTGATCTCCATCCGCCGTTTTGTGTCGAGTGTCTTTTGTTCAAGCAATTTTAGATTGTCTGGCGTCTCATTTGCAGGATCTTCTCCATCAAGTTCGGGGTCTTCATGAGCTTTCAACTTTTGTTCTCTCCATGGCTCAAAATTCCGAGACGCACCTTTTTCAGCAGCGTAGTCCGTGTGTTTTGGGTCAGTGACAAAGGTGATTTCTGCGGCACAACGTGTGCAACGAATATAAAATCGCAGGATGTCGATGGAAAAGTACTTTTCACCGGTCTTTTCCTTACGAGCATTAAACTTCTTTCCCTTGTAAATGTATTCACCGCAAGTATTACACTTCATTGAAAATGGAGTCATCAACCGAACTGTTGATTTTCCTCCATTGGGTCCTTGAAACTTTTTCTTCTTCTTTGGAGGCGCTTTCGAAGGATCATAGTCTGGAGGAATGTATTTGTTCAGAACTTTACGTTCTGACATTGTTAGTTAATTTCGAAAAAGAAAAACGTGAAAACGGAGGGACGGGATGGGAATTTGTTCTAATGTATGAACTGTACTACACGTTTACGTTCAGATAAATCCGAGTAGTATTCTATGAATCGTTTAATCTACTCAATTTCTTGCCGATAAGACGAGAAACGTGTAAATCGTGTAAATCGTGTAAATGTATATTGAAAATGCTGCGGCAAGAAGAGGCAATTTTATGAAAATGTCTCGAGGAGTCTGAGCTTTAATGGTTGAACTCTTTTTTGTTGATTAAATGCGTGGCCAATATTGAAAAGACTCACCACCAAAAATTGTGTTGTGGGGAAGTGGGGGGAGACATTCGTTCTCACAAAAGAAGCCAATACAATTCTTCGCACAATACTTCTCGTCCTAAGATAGAAAAATAAGATGCTAATGTATGTGTTATTGTAATTGTAATTAGTCTTTTATTTTCATATGTCGTAGAGTTCCTGTTTTTGAATACGAGAGGTGGGTGATCTCATGGGACTTGAGGCCGTTTTGTTTCGTTGTTTGCTTTTCTACTGCAAGTCGTCAAGCATGTATGTGCGCAATGTATGGATAATGCCTAGGCCATTTTTGCATCACCATCAGCCTGCATTCGACGACGCTGCGCTTCCTCTGGACTAAGACCTTCAACACTCCAAGGGAATGTAACACGAGGCACGGTGAAAAACGAGTTTTCTTTTGAGGCAAGACCGGCCATTGCATTGTACCATGCGATGACAGCAGTCGCAATTCCGAAGGCGCCGCCAGCCTTGAGAAGATGAGAAGAGGTTGAGGCGTTTTTTACCAAGTGAGCAATGCCGAGGAGCAAAAAGGTTATGTCTAAGCTTACAAATAGCAAAAAGAACGCGAGGGTAGATCTCGTCGTACACAACATTACGAGGAATGTGAATACGAACCAACACATGAGATACAAACCAATGGCGTGGGTCAATTCCGCGGGGTCCTTGTACGCAGAAGCAACATTGAAGAAGGGAATATTGATTGCAGCAAAAGACAACCAGAAGGATCCGTAACTGCCGAATACGGCTGCACCGAATGTGTTTCCTGAAGCCAATTCCCACATAGACACAAGCACTTGAGCCATGCCACCATAGAAGACGGCTACAGTGATGATCATGTTCGAGGTGAGAATATCATCGGTATGCAAATTGAAGAGCGACAAGAGAAAGGTAGTGAAAGCGAATGAGAACAAACCCAACGGAGCCGGATTTCCAAGAGTGTTATAACGCAGACGATGAGGCATAGGCTCAAAGTCTGCGGCAGAAGGACCGAATAACATCTTTTGGCGATGTTGGAGTTCTGCAATTTGTGAAGCCAGGTGTTCAGCCTGATCATAAACCGGCCGAGCACTTGATCCATAGAGTTCAGTGTCGCAAATGGCGGCTTCAGAAGCCTTGGCACTCATACGCTCTTCGGGTGCGACAGAAACGGTGTAAGTCATAATGTATGCGATTAAGCAACTTCCCGTAAATTAAAAAAAAAAAAAAAAAAAAACCTGCGAGAGTCTTATTAAGAAGTGCAATAAAAACCTCGTTCAGAGTGATTGTTGCTGATTAAATGAAAGCAATGACTCGTAAATTTCTTTTTGGGCTTCGAATTTTTTGGTTTCCCAGCTTGGACCCTTGAATGTATCGCTTGTAAGTTCTAAGCGCTATAGCACCCTTTTTACGCTGTATTTCTCAGTGTTCAAACTACGAGGAAATGCGATAAAAGTACTGAAAATTAAATACTTCTCAAAACAGGGGAGATGGCACAGGATACTAAGGCTGAGATGTTGTATCACGCTCTCTCATAAGATCTCACGTCCGACAGTTGACACCCCAAGGTGGAAGCTCTAAACTGTCCCTTCGGCGGCTATGAGACATTCGGAAGAATGAGAAATTGTCTAGATTCCTTCCGTAGAACTATGTTTTTCGGGGAAAGTTGGCCTTATAAACCCGTTTTTTAATGTCCACGTGAGCAGTGGTAGCGTATTCTGCAACAAACACTGGGGTTTTGAATTTATTTAATACGACATACAACAGGGCTTGTAAAATTCTGTTTTACCACAATATTTACTGTTTGTATAGCGAGAATTGGATGAATGTTGAGTCTCTAGAAGAGGAGATATTGTCGCAAAAATGCGCGGTTGCATCTGTTTTGCGACACGATCTGATTCACGTGATGACGCTATCCAATCAAAAAATTGCCGATTCGCATCGGATGCATATAGAAAAAGGGTGCCGACAATTAAGCGACGCTAATAGGCAACAATTTCGCACCCGGTAAACTCGGCGACCGCTACAAAACAAAAGAAAACAAAGGTGTGAACAAAACTACAAAGTTATTTAGTGATTAGTCATTAATACGATGAATTGATATGAAACAAATACTGTATACCAAAAAAAATGAACGAAAGAAAACAGGGAAAATTGAGGGAAATAATGATGAAAGCAAAAAACGCGCAAACAAATAAAACAAAAAAAAAAACAAGAAACAGAATCCATGAATAATAATGAAACAAAACGAAGGAAAGAGCAAGTTGAACTCAACAGTTGCCTGCGATGGGCTGATTAGAAGGGATTATAACGGGTGAGCCCATTGTGAGTTTACGCTTGACAAGGGTTCGCCTAATGGGCTTGAGAGGAAGAGGTGATGCGCTCATCTGGTACGGGATCACATTTTGTGGCTGTTTAGAAACGCCATATTTGGCTTCAAGATACTTCTGATATTCTTGAGCAAATCGCTGTTTCTCCTGAAATTCTTCCAACGCATCTTCACACAGGATCAGGTCTTTAACGAAGACCCGCTGTAATGGCTCGAACTCCTGAGTATCACGAACATTGTTGAAGAGGAACACATCTTGTCGCATACAGAAAAACTGCGTGGGTCGACCCTGTTGTCGTGGTATGAGCTCCATAGATTTCAAATACATGTGCAACGGAAAACCCCGAGCAGCTGTGCCTATGCTAGTGATGAAGGCCAACCAAGCCAGGTCGTTGGGCGTGGAAGCGAATTTTAAAACAGGGGATAGACGCATGTGATGAGCTTTTAAGTTTTCCCCGTCCATCGGCTGCTGCAATCTGATGTTGGCTTTGAAGCGTTTACTAGAAACAACTGCCCAACTGGTACGGTGTGGCACAGAAAACAGGGTCCTTGGATCAATCAAGTACATACGAATATGACCAAGTCGGTGGCGCGCGGCTTGAAGGTGAAGTCTCGTATAACCGCGCTCATATCCGTTTTTCTCGATGTATTTTTCCACGCCAGACCATATGCATTCCTGATAACATTTTGGATAAAAGTCAAACAACATCACGTGGTGGACCAAAGTTGCCAGCGGAGCATGTCCCTGCTTGATAAGTCTCATTAACTTGGGGAGAATGTGGGGTTGATTGAGTTTTCGAATCGCTCGTAGTTATAGCTGAGCTTTTCGTTTTTACCTGCATACTCGTATGTGAAAACAGATGTTTTTAATCCCTCTGCGACGAGTGCTGTTTCTCGAGAATGCTGACTCCGTGATGGAGAAAAACCAACATTCAATCCATACTCAAACGGAACACTGAATAACTCGGAAGGAATAACTTGTGTAAAGTAAACTTGTGCCCTTTCTGCAAGCTCCTGCGTCCATGAATAAGCGCCGGCGCATTGGACGAGATCGGTGTTGGGGCAATTGGAAGAAATGCACTGGTAAGCTTTGTCTGGATTTAATTCCTTGTTAATCAGTGTTGCGGTGGAATGACTGTACTTTGAAGAAAAAAGTGTGGCAGATTCAGAAAGTTTCTCGGCGAGTTTTTGTTTCACGGAATCGGTATCGTCTTCATCAAACAGCTGCTTTTCTGGCCATTCTTCAAAGCTACGCGGCTCTTCTTTAGGCTCTTTGTACAAGCCAAGGCCCTTTTTTATGTTCTTAATTGAAAACAACTTCCTCATCGACCGAGGGACGAAGCGAGACCAAAAACTTCGGTGCTTGTATAATACAGTGTCGACTTCACAAGCATTTAGATTGAGCTGCTTCAGAACTGTAGGACACTTTTTTGCACAGTCTTGAAAACTCATCCCAGCGACTTTGCCCCATGCATTATCTGCATCGATGGGCTGTTTCCCTCTGATTTTCTCAGCGCGAGACCTAGCAGATAATGACATCAAAGGGATTGACGGATGATTCTTCTTTTAATAGAACGCCTTAACTGATTCAAAGAGTGAATTTTGAAGTTGAACCTTTAGAATTCAAGTTCAACCGAAAAAATGTATAAATACCGATCAACAGAATGAGAGACCAAAAACGGAGTTGGGAATAGTGCGGAGAAAGATAGACACGAACAGACTATATACTTATCCTGTGAGAGGTTTAATGAGCCATTTAAGCAATGTAAACAAGGGGAAGTTACAGAAGTAAAGTAAGCGAGAGCGGGCGAGAAGAAAGAGAAGACAAGAGGTGTGTTTCGTTCAGTATTAAGGGGCTTAAGTAAGCGTTATTCGTATGAACTCGTCAACATGCTCGTTAACAGACTCGTCAACTAAATTTGTATAGTCATTTTAGTCCAAATATCGAAATCAGACCTCCAAAAATCACTGAGAGCACCAGCATTATTCAGTAATTCATGTAAACTGGTCCTTCCGCTTTCAATTCATTCTCATTCTGTTGCTACACTTAAATAGCTTCATTCTTCCTTAAAAAAGCTCGTTTGAGCGTCGGAAAAAAACGAAAGCAGCTTTAATGAATCAATGAAGCGAATAAAGTCGGAATCCACTGGGAAAAAACTCGAATTTCGTATACAAATGAGCACTCGGGCATCCTTTGACGTTCTCTTTTTCTAATCCTCTCCACCAGTTTGCCCCAAGGCATCCCACCTTGACGAACTGTTACACGTAAGGATGCGGCGATACTGTCAGGATGCTACCCACAGTGGGTCTTCTGGGAGCGGGCCGCAATCATCATTTCTTTGTAATCACTCGCCATGAATTTGTTTAGAGAACGGTCGAGGATTTTCGTGCCCTTGTTGCTGATTTTTTTGGCGGTAGATGTTATAATAGCTGCGTGTTGGTTCAATTGGTTCTCTATTCCATCAAAAATTGTCTCTGCTTTGTCGGACGGAGGTGTCGTTACGATTGAAAATGCAAACACTCACACAGCTTTTTGGGCTCAGATAGCTTCTTTTGGAAAACAGAATCTGTTTGAAAATTCTACGGGACTCATGATTCACCTGGAAACGCCAGCTTATGACAATCCAGACGGTTGTTTCTCAATGTCCCCGGACCCGGTCACGGTTGAAAGGAAACGCGATGTTTGGGAAATGGAGAACGGAATTGTCCGCGACGGAACATACCTTCTCGTAAATCGAGGTGGATGTACGTTTGAGAAGAAGGCATTAGAAGCTCAGAATCGTGGATTTCAAGGAATTATTGTCGGTGAAACCCGAGGAAGATCTACTTCTTCTTTGGGACTGGTTCGCATGCTCAACAAGACGGGAGCAGACGACATTTATATAACAGCCCTTTTTGTACAGAAGACGGCTTTTATTGAGCTGAAACTTGAACTACTCGACAATCCACACACGGAGTACATTATCAGACCTTTGGCTCCAACCAATGCTTTGCTTCAACTACTGTTCGCCTTTCTTCCTTTTGGAATTGGTATATTAGTGTACGAAACGCTTGTGCTAGTCCAACTGGGTGTGGAATATTTCAGGAAACGCAGAACCCGACGCTTTTTAGATACTCTTGAGTCTCGGCCCCCGTATCGCCTAGCTCCAGCTTTCGACTGCTTAACAATGCAGCACCCGCCGGGGAAAATGGCAGCAGCGACGAAGACGATGAAACACTTTTGAGTGTCGATGAAGCAACGTGCAGAGCCCTGTACGGAGTAGAGTGTGTCATCTGTCTAAAATCTTTTACAAAGGGCGATACGATTGTTTGTCTGCCTTGCGGCCATCAATTCCATCGGCCTTGTATCACCACTTGGCTTGTAGAATATCGGCCCGTTTGTCCTACTTGCAACATTCCCGTTTCGCAAATGAACATGACTGCAAAACGACTTTCTGCTTGATACTTTATTGTGTATTTTTTTTCTCTTCCTCCTCTAGTTCTCTCTTGCTTATGACCTTTTTGCTGCACATAGAAACACACGCTGGAGCGTGTATTCATCCGTCATTGTTTTGTAACGATGTTATGTTTTACTTTGGTATACGCTTGCACGGTTCTCTCTCTCTTGAGATTCTTCCTTTAATATACAGAAACCGTCGCATCTACATCCTTCGCTTTCCCATTACATAGCTTGAATAATATCGCCTGCGATTCGCAGCAGCTATGGCCCACGTGCGTTTACATTTAACAAGATAATTACATTTTGTACGTGTAATAGTAGCACCTTTTCGATTTTTTCGTGTCGCCAAACGGGCTCTGTCAAAGAACGGCATTTTGGGCATACCATAGCCAACAGGTCGAGAGGTGTGGTACATGCTGTCAATGTATGATGCCCTTCATCAAGTACACCCTCATGCCCAGAACTAAAATGCAATCGAGCCAAAATATTACATAAACATATTTCAATATGCCCGAACAAAAAAGGTACTTTGGCGAAAGTAATCAAATCAAACAATAGTAATAGTCCATTCACTTTCTATTGCCATCGGTTCAACGGTCATTATTGAGGTCAATTAAACAGTTTAAGCAACACCGGAGAGAACCAAATCCACAGCAGTCTGGCTTTCACCATGTGCAGTGATCTTGACCGCGACACCAGCGTTGTCCTTGGCGCGGGCCATTTTGACTGTAGCAAGAACCTTGTCTCCAGTGACGGTCTTGCCGGAGAGCTTAAGAGTGTGTACCCGTTCACCTTCCATAGGGTGTTCCGAACCCTCCAATGGTTCAAGTTGCAGCATTTCAACAACTCGCTCACATGTCTCAAAATAGTCGTGAACATTGCTCAGAACATAGACTGCACTACCTTCAGAGGACGACAAAGATTCCCAAGCACCGGAAAAGTCGGGTTCATACACGGGGATTAAGTAATCACCAGAGTCAACTTCAAGATCATCAATCTCGTATTCATCCTCGTAGCCCTCTTCTTCGAGCTCTCCAGTGTGCAGATCAACCTCCTTGGATGTAAACTTCAAAACATTATTCAGCGTAACAGTAGGATAAGGCTCCTTAAAGCTGAAACTAACATAAATCGAAACGGGTTCCTTTTGGCTTGCTCGAGGAGCAGGAATAACACAATCCTCAACAAGGTCATCATTAGAAGGGGTTGAAACGACGACGACGTTCTCTAGTACAACTTCAGCCAAAGTGTTTTGCAGCTGGAACTCAACAACTAAATGATCCTTAAAGACGTGCTTGATGGTCTTAACAACGAACTCGGTCTCCTTCTCTGTCAGCTCAACAGGAGTAGTGGATGACTTAAGAATATCACCGTAATTAGAGAACTCTGGAATAGATTGAAAGATTTTGTTGTAAGTGTCAACAAGCACTTCAGGCTTCTCAACAACCTCAGCGGCTGCCTCCTCCTCGGGCTCCACGGGAACAGCTTCAGTTGATGCCTTCTTGGCCTTGTAGTTTTCAGCGTCAATTTCGTCTTGTGTAAGTACAGGAACCTCATTCAAGTCGAAGGCGTCGTCAAACTTTTCGTTCAACAAATAGTCCACCAACTTGCTTTCAAGAGCAGATAACGAAGGAATTTTTTTCATATCAACGACAGGAGTCAAAGTCTCCACGTTGTCCAATACCTTCAAGCTAAGGACGGTACGATCACGTACTTCGTCATCAGCATCATCCAAACATCTTGACAAAATTGTTTTGACACTTTCCCTCACAGCTTCGTTCTCAGCATCCGTGCCAAATTTAGTAAGAGCGCTGACCGCAGCAGATCGAACAATAGCATTTTCTAGCATGATACGATTGTAGATGTAGCGGATGTATTTCGTGGGATGGGAAGCCTTGGGTCCCTCTTCACCCAGGATGCGCAGAATGCGAACGGCAAGTTTGGGATATTCACAGTCTTCAATAAACTCCGCAAGCTCTCCAAGTGCCTTTTCCTTCGACTGAGGAATATATTTCATAAGATCATAAATGGCATCAACAGCACTACGCTTGTAGTCATAAGTGCCTTCACCGTCGAGAATGCTGGACAAGAATTTAAGCATCGCCTTGTACTTGTTAGGGAACTTCAGACAAAGAGAGCGAACGGCATCCACAACAACGATTTTAAAGCTGTCAGAGATGTCGGACATGAACCCGGAAATTTGCTGCATTAACCGGTCAACCGACTCTTCGTTGCCAGTCTTTAACAGAGTAGTGATAGCGTAGGATGCAATGGATCTGTTAGGGTCTGTCAAAAGGTTCTCCATGTCAATGTTGCAAGAGTGAACTAAATGAGGACGAGTCATAGCGAGCTCGCTCAATGTGCAAATAGCGGAAAAACGAGCGGCGGATCTGTGAGAAGACAAGAAAATCTTCAGCACATTAATGACGGGCTGAAGGAATTGCTCAGGCAAACCTTTAACACGGACCAAAGTACGGGCAGCTTCCAAGTTCACCATATCACTCTTGCCCTTAAGCCATCCATGAAGAATAGGAACAAACGAGTCGGTAAGATGAGGACTTTGTTGGAGCAAGACACCAGTGTAACGAATTAGCATAACGAGTGCATGAGGATTGCTCACAATTCCCTGCTTTCCACATAGCAGTTGGATGAGCTTGGAAATGGAGACGGGGTCCTGTCTACGGATGCGGTACAAAAGACCAAGGGCGTGGTACTGTGAAATCCCACTGGAAGACGGTTTGTAACCTAAACTGGACGTAAAGAAAGGGGACTTGCCGACTTGCTTTCCAATGGTTCGAGAAACAACGGCTTCTTGAATCTCGTTGTTCCAGCGAGAAACAATGTCCTTCGCAATGGGAAAAAGATGGTAAGAGGACACAAGTGCAGCAGCAGAAGCAGCTGAAATGGTATCAACAATGGCTGTAGTCATAATACGCTCAATAGCGGGAACTGTATTGGCGTCAATCACCCGCACAAGAGCTCTGATGGCGTTTGGACGGTACACAGTTTCACGGTCAGTAGCTGTGTCCTTCATTATACTACTGGTAATCATAATCAGGTCCTGAGCCGTTCCGGACAGCAGCTTGATAGTAATGTAAACCATCTGACGAAGACTGGGATCCTTGTTCTGGAAAAGCTTTGTGATTCCGAAGAAGAGCTCTGTAGCCTGTGCCTCTTGGAATTTTTCACCCGTATAGACGAGATACGCAAGCTTCTCCAAAAGAGCTCTACATTTCTTTGGGGATACAGGAGACTGGTTGAATATACGAGCCTCCTGCATCACTGTAATCTGATCTACATGGGCGAAGACTGATTCATCTGCAGAAAACAGTTAGTAAAATAGAAACAAGCCAAAACAGTACCAGTATCGTCGTCTTTTTTAGAATAACTCATTGTTTACAACGACACAACTCTATCTGTGGCTTTTACAAGACCAGCCAGTATTGTGTGTTTGTGTCAGAAGGTCCTCCACGGTGGAAGTGTATCAACGCTAGTCCCTACGGACGCAGAAGAATAAGGTTGCAAAGACGCGAGGTAGAATTTTTGTCTGAAGTAAACTAGTGTAAAGATTCGTAGAAGGCAATAAATATCTATGGAACATAATGAGCATGATAGTTGTGTATAATTCGTGTCTTGAATGTGCGACTTTATTCAAGAACAGCATAGAACTGGATGATTGGCCTGGCTGTATGGGTTGTTTAGATATTTATAAATTGAAATCTATGAAGAACATTCGTCTATCTTTGTTTTATTCTTGTTGTTCTGGTTGGCTCTCTTGGCTCGCTCTCACCTCTCCTTATTTACCTACCTGCTAGCCATGACACACCTGAGCACCACCGAGTGCATTATAGTGGACGAACTGTATTGACCACCTTTATTAAACCAAATCAATTAATACTTATAAGAACATTTGCTGAAACAGCTCTCTTGTAACTCAATTACGTTTTCCGAGGATTTGAGATGAAGAGTTAATGACAATGTCGGAAGGAACTGCAAATGAACCCTCCAGAGATGGACTCGACGGCATAAGCCTGAATAAAACGATTACCACGAGCGTATATGGAACGTCTGTGGGAACTTCAATTAGCAGGGGTGCCGAATCGTCTTCGCAATACGCCGAGCAGACTGGAGATGAAGATGGACTCAGTGTTATAAATGACGACGAGTCCATATTCACTCACCCTCGACATGGCTTCGAAGAAGAATACAACAATGAGGAGTATATCAATATGCTGGAACAGGTTTGTCTAAATAGTCCAAGTTGCTAGTTGCTGTATGCCTGTGTGCCTGTGTGCTAACTCAATTACAGGTTTTCTACATGTACTATGCCGACAAACGGAATTTCGGCCTTTCACGGACGAAGAATAAGGAAAAAAAGTACGTTATCCAGGACTGGAGAATGCGTGATCGCCTGAAAACCGTTTCAGCCGCGTTGTTTGTTTGTCTGAATATTGGCGTTGATCCTCCAGACATCATTAAACCAAATCCTGCTGCCAAGTATGAGTGTTGGATTGACCCGTTTTCATTACCAGCTTCCAAAGCCTTAGAAGCTATTGGTAAGAATCTGCAGCAGCAGTATGAAACCTTGAGTATGCGGACTCGTTACCGGCATTACCTTGATCCCTCTATTGAAGAGACCAAGAAACTGTGCATTGGACAGCGGAGAAATGCAAAAGAAGAGCGTATCCTCTTCCATTACAATGGTCATGGCGTCCCAATGCCTACACCTTCGGGCGAAATTTGGGTATTTAACAAAAACTACACCCAGTACATTCCGGTTTCTATCTACGACCTTCAATCATGGCTTGGTGCACCATGCATCTACGTTTACGATTGTAGCGCCGCAGGGAACATTATCATCAACTTCAATCGGTTTGCTGAGCAGCGTGATCGCGAAGCTGCTCAAGTACTAAAACAGGGAGGTGCGTCTGTCTCAACCCCTTCACACTCTAACAGTATTCAACTGGCTGCCTGTGGCCCCAATGAAGTCCTTCCCATGAACCCAGATCTCCCGGCAGATTTGTTTACATCTTGTTTAACGACACCCATTGAAATATCTGTGCGATGGTACATTCTGCAAAACCGCCTTCCAACGAAGCTTACTTTGGACATGGTGTTAAAAATCCCTGGACGACTTCAGGACAGAAGAACACCGTTGGGAGAGTTAAACTGGATATTCACTGCCATTACAGATACAATAGCCTGGAACACGTTCCCAAAACATCTGTTTCGTCGACTGTTCCGTCAGGATCTCATGGTTGCGGCCCTTTTTCGAAACTTTTTACTCGCACAGCGAATCATGCGCGTTCACAATTGTCATCCTCAATCTAGTCCTGAGCTTCCTAGTACCTACAATCATCCCATGTGGAACTCGTGGGATCTTGCCATTGACAATTGTCTTTCTCAGTTACCCGCCTTGTTGGACGCAGAGAGCAAGGGTTTGCCTTATGAGTATGTTCATTCCACCTTCTTTAGCGAACAGCTTACGGCCTTTGAAGTCTGGTTGTCCCAAGGTGTTGTGACTAAAAAGCCTCCCGACCAACTTCCTCTTGTGCTTCAAGTTCTTCTGTCACAAGTCCACCGTTTGCGAGCGTTGATTCTACTGTCTAAATTTTTGGATATAGGCGTTTGGGCCGTTGACTTGGCTTTGTCCATTGGTATTTTTCCTTATGTGTTAAAGCTTTTGCAATCTCCTGCAATTGAATTAAAGCCAGTCTTAGTGTTTATATGGGCGAGAATACTTGCAGTCGATAGTTCGTGCCAGGCCGACTTATTGAAGGATAACGGATACGGTTATTTTGTGCAAATTTTGAACCCAAACGCCAGCATATTTCCTTCAAGCAACATTTCCGAACATCGGGCCATGTGTGCGTTTATCTTGAGTGTATTTTGTCGAGGCTTCCCGCAAGGACAACTGGCTTGCCTTGGTCCACAGGTCTTGGGACACTGCTTAGCACACCTGCAAAGTGATGACCCGCTTTTACGCCAGTGGTCTTGTCTTTGTGTATCACAGCTTTGGGACAATTATTCTGAAGCGAAGTGGTCCGGTATTCGTGACAATGCTCACCGCAAATTGGCTGATATATTGAATGATCCAGTTCCGGAGGTGCGCGCTTCTGCAATTATGGCTTTTACCACCTTTTTGGGTTTTCCTGAAAAAACAGATGAGGTCGTTGCCGTAGAATCTTATGTCACTTTTGCTTCGTTATCAGTCTTGAACGATGGTTCGCCTCTGGTACGGAATGAGCTTATTATATTCTTATCGCACTTGGTTACGTGTTATAAAAACTGCTTCGTTCTTGCTTCCATTGAGTCCACTTTAAAAGAGTTTGGACTTCAAAACAAGAGTGAGGGACTCTTAGACTCACAATCTGTATTTTATGCTTCTTGGGATGCTATTTTGTGTCTAGCTGCTGACCCTTACATTGAAATCGCTTTGGCAGCTCAAAAAATTGTGGACTATGTATACACCCTTGCCTGCAAGTCACCGGCAGGTTCTTGTTTCGCGAAAATCATTAAGGAAAAGTTAGGATCTGACAAACTTTCTTCTCATTGTTTCCCTTGTTCCCATTCTGACACGCGTTCGCTGGAGGCGGATTCAATGTCTAAAAAATCGACTGCATCTCACAAGGAACCGAAGATTAAACGTACTTTCTCTTTGGCAAGATCATTGCGTAATATGGCTTTTGGAATTCCATCAAATGATACAGGATCTATTGCCGAAACCTCTTCGATTACTGAGCAAAGTAACAATCACGAAACGAAGCATCCTCCTCCGGCCAACTTTGACGAAGCAGTCTATAAGGCTTCACTTAAAATACCCCTTCAAAGTCGTTTGTTCGACGTATCTCGAGAGTATTTCACAGAGCCGCAAATGCGGCCCAATGAAGATGACGAGCCTGGAAGTATCTGTTATAACCAACGTCTTTGGAGACGTAACCGGAATGAGCGGTTAATCTACAGAACTCGTCCTCTTGCCGATGTTGCTACCAATACTTCTTGGAACCAACAGATTCCTTCTATCCAAAATATCAGCAAGCCAGTTAAGCTGCTTCTTCATCAGTTCGAAAACCAGCTTGTCACTGCTGATGATAACAACGTTATCCAAGTATGGGATTGGTATCGAACACGTCGGTTAAATAGCTTTGTGAATGAGTCGTCACCGAGTGCCCAAATAACTGACCTAAAATTTATAAACGAGGACGATGTTGCGCTCTTACTTATAGCAAACTCACAAGGTATTATTCGGTTGTTCAGAAATTATGACCAGGAGAATGTTGAACTGGTGACTGCGTGGAGGGCGTTGAGTGATCTTGTTCCTCCGTCTATGCCTACTTATATGCTCACGAGCTGGCAACAAAACAGCGGACATCTGTTGGTTACTGGTGACGCTCGTGTTATCCGGATATGGGACGCTTCTCGTGAACTTGCCGTGTGTGACATTCCTGCACGAACGAGCAATCGAATCACTAGTATAACTAGTGATCTTGTTGGATGCAACAGTTTGGTCGCGGGCTTTAATGATGGTGTTGTTCGAGCCTACGACAAACGTTTGAATCCCCGGGATTCGATGGTACAGTGTTGGAAGGAACACCGAGGCAGAATTGTGAATGTCGAGATGCAAAGCTCGGGAATGCGTGACCTTATCTCCGGAAGTGCGAATGGACAAATAAAACTCTGGGACATTCGTTATCCAAAGAGTCTCGCAACATCAAATGGTTCCAATGAGCACCTTGTTTCACTGTCCACACATCATCATGCACCTGTTTTTGCAAGCGGAACGGCAGCACACTCAATCAAAATTTGGAGAATGGATCGAACTAGTTTCCGAGATACGCCTACATATTTGAGCCAGTCTAAAATTGGTTCAATAACTGACATGATGTTTCATCCACATCATCTTCTTTTGGCATGTGCTGAAAGTACAGACAATCGTATTAACTTTTACACTTGTACGAAAAACGAAATAATGGATCAGCTGTATTGAGCGGTATCTGCTTTTTGTCAATTTATGACTGCTAAACACCTTCTGCATGAGTTTCTGTGTTTATAATTTTTCTTTTTGGTTAGCGTGAACTGTAATGCCTCTTGGGTTTGGATTCTTCTTTGGTCAACTTTTGGACTCCTTTCTTTTAATCAAATATACTAACAATCTAATGAAAGAATCAGGCCTTTTTTAAATAAATGTCTATAAAGTGTTTCTCTGTTGTATAGCTTATTATTGTGGGAAAGGCAGTTTTGACGGTATGATAGAATAAACAAGGTGAGTCGGGTTTATCTCTGTTTTATCGTTTGTACTTCACGGAAAGAACTAATTATTTGGTACTTTATTTCATAAAACATTTAAGAATAAATTTGAGAAACTTGTTATTGTTTCATTTGAAAAAAAAATAACCAAAGAAGATTGAATTGTATAAAACAGAGAAGAAAGTTTGTTATATCTCCAATGTGACCAGCGGGACCTAATCGCATCGTTATTTGCCATATTTTATTCGCATATTTACATATTGCTGCTCCAGTGGCCCCCACAATTGACCCGTCCCCCACTGTTGATGAAGCATACTCCTAGTTCGAGAACCTACCAACAACCAACACCCTCAATCCACGGAAAAGAGAACGAAAATGTCTGATTTGGAAGAATACAAGACCGTAATCGGTCTCTCTTTTGGTAACCAAAACAGTTCCATTTCATTCACAAAGGTATGAGCATTTTGCGACGAAGTCGTTTAATAGGTCGTTCTTCTGCAAAATTAAGTTTTATGCGCGAGTACCGTTACTGACATTTGTGTACAGGATGGCAAGACTGAATGTCTGGCAAACGAAGAAGGTGACAGACAAATTCCCGCTATTTTCTCTTACCAAGGATCGGAGGAGTACCATGGTGTTCAAGCTTATGGCCAGCTTGTTCGTAACTCTCATAACACAATTCTTAACTTCCGTGACATGCTTGGCAAGAGCTCTGAGGACGTCACCGACAAAAAGCACAAGCGCTCTGCCAAGCCTATCTCTGTGAATGGCCAGCCTGGTTTCAGTGTCACCGTTGTTGACCCCGAGACTGGTGCCGAGACTACTTCCAAGAAGACTGTTTACGAGTTTACTGTTCGCCATTTGAACCGTCTGTTTGAGTCTGCTCGCGACTTCTTGGGTAAGAAGTTGGATGGCTGTGTTATTGCTGTCCCCAGTGATTTCTCCGAGAAGCAGATTGAGATGCTCTCCAAGGCTTCTAAGGAAGCTGGTGTCCCTGCTATGCAATTTGTCAAGGAATCTGCAGCCCAGATCCTTGCCCTTATGTACTCTGATTCTGCTCTCGTCGACAAGTTTGTTGTCGTTGCCGATTTTGGTGCTACTCGTTCCGAGGTCTCTGTCGCTTCCATCAAGAGCGGCATCATTACCATCCTCTCCAACGAGCAAGACCTTCACTTGGGTGGTGAGCAATTGACCGAGGTCTTGGTCAACTTCTTTGCTAAGGAGTTCGAGAAGAAGCACAAAATCAACCCTCTTACCAACCGCCGTGCCATTGCCAAGCTTCATGCTCAATGCGAGATCACTAAGCGTATTTTGAGTAACAACACCACTGCCTCCGCTGCCATTGATTCGTTGGTTGATGGTATTGATTTCCACAGCAACATTAACCGTCTTCGTTTTGAGTTGGCCGGTAGCTCTATCTTCAACAAAATGTCTGATCTCGTTGTCAAGGCTGTTAAGAAGGCCGGTCTTGAGACCGTTGACATCAACGAGGTGATCTTGGCTGGTGGTGCTTCTCACTCTCCCAAGTTGACTTCTTTGATGTGGTCAGTCTTCCCTGAGCAGACCGTCATTCGCTCTTCCGCTTCTTCTGCTACTCCTTTGGCTGTCAACCCTGCTGAGTTGGCTGCAGTTGGTGCCGGTGTTCAAGCATCTTTGATTGCAGAGTTTGATGCTGACGAGATCGCTGGTTCTCTGACTCCTGATGTTGTCAACGCTCCTCATCTTACCAAGCCCATTGGTATCAACGAGGGTGATAACTTTGTTGTTGTTTTTGACATTGAGACCGCTTTGCCCGCCCAAAAGAGCATTGAGTGTGTTGCTCCTGCTGAGGGTGGTGCTTACATTCCTATTTACGAGGGTGAGCGTTCCATCAAGGTTACCACTGTTGAGGCAGATGCTGATGAGTCCGACTTTTCCGAGGAGGAGGAGCCTGAGGAGATTCGCGAGCGTGTCGTTACTCCTGGTACTCTTCTTGCCACTGTTAACATCGCTGATGTTGCTCCCAAGGCTAAGGTTGAGGTTATTCTTCATCTCGACGCCGAAGGCAAACTCACAGTTACTGCTCGTCCCAAGGATGGCAAGGGTAGCAACGTTCGTGGATCGAACTAAGCGTCTATTTGACGGGAAAAGAAAGCTTCCTTGTGACTAGTCAGTGGTCACTGACAACCTCGAAGTTCTCTCATTTTTGGGACACTTTCCAGCGTATTGTTTTTGTATGTTTTTTTTTGCCATAGCTGGATAGAGGATAAATAGAAAAACGGTGATTCAAACGGACTCATACAGCAGGCATGGTATGGTATTTGTTGAGTAGAAGGGATGTTAAGGTTCAATGCTCGTCTTGGTGATGTTTGGTATCAGATTTGGTTAGCACGCACTTGCTGGCTTCCTCTCACCAATTCATCCTGTAATGTTTAGAATTACAACATAAAATCGATATAAATCATCTTCATTCTTAACAAGAAGAAGCTCATTGCATGTTAGATTGCTTTTTGCGTGTTATTATTTGGTTAATTCTTTAAATAACGGCAATCTTGCAAGATGTCTTATAACACGCATTCAACAGGATCATTGTCTGATGAAATCATTATTAAAGGCCTAAGTCATGAAACGACAGAAGAACATGTGGGATACAAAGGCGTTTAGCTATTTTTTAACTGTTGTTGCTAACATCCAATCTGTAACAGATCAAAGAAGCTTTACAGGACACAGGCGCAGAATATACGTCAATTACAGTTATTCGTGATAGAGAAACGAAGAAAACCAGAGGATTTGCATTTGTTCGGTTCTGTTCGCCAAATGATGCAAAACTATGGATGGAAGAAAACTATTCTTCGTTCTCTGTGAACGGAAGGAATGTCATTGTGAAGTTCTCCAAAGAACAGCGGGATCCGGCGGAAGGATGGTCTTGTCAAAACGTTTGTACAACTCAACTGCATATGCGATAATTGTTGTGATTATTTACATCGTTGCTAACAACTTGCCCAGTGTGGTTCCAAGAATTACCCACGAAGAGAGTTTTGTTTTCATTGCCGCGTGCACAGAAACCAAGCTTCCTTGTCTTTACTACCGCTTCGGAATGAACGCAAAGGCGATCGTGATGTTTCGGAGGACATTCCCTCTGTATACATGCTTATCCGTAACCTTGACACATCCTTGAACGCAACAGTCATTTTAAAGGGTCTTGAAAAGTTACTCATTCCAGTGCAACGCTTGCTCATGGTTCGTTACAAAAGCAATGACGCTTTCTGTGGATTTGTATTTGTAGAGTACGCAAATGTTGATGAGACAGCAAAGGCTCTTCGAAACGCAAGGACAATGCCCAATCGGGGATTCACCATATCGTCGCGCAGGGTTTCAGCAACCTATATTCACCCGGGCGTATTTGTACCAGCGTACGGTCCGTCACAGCAATGGATGTTTCCGACACGCACAGGCCATGTCGTTTACTGGGATCCTGAATTGTATTGCGAAGTAACCATACCGGAAGGTATAAGCCCTGATCAGTTTTTGCCTGTTGCTATTCCTGAGCAAAAATCGAAAAAAGAGAAGAGAAAGAGAGACTTGTCGAAACTGAATCCAGGACCAACAAAAAAGGTACGTTTTGAGCTTTTTGTAACGACTTTTGATATTAACGGCGGAACCAAAGGTGTCCATGACACTTGCCCGTTGGCAAGGAGCACAAGAAGAACTTCGAGACAACATTCCATCTCTTACTGAAGAAGATGAGTATGTGCTGATGCAATACGCATGGAAGTCTGCTCTTGTGTGTGTGCTTTGCGAGCGAAGGTTTCGGTCGTGGGGACACATGGTAAAACATGTTACTCAATCTTTTATGCACAACAGCAAGCTACACAGCAAAGAAGCCATTGATAAGGCTACGGATCTTATGCGACAAGTTCGACAAATCGAGCAAGAAGGCGGCTACCGAGATCGTGCTACTGAAAGACGCCGTATTGTTGCATTTGGAGGAGATCAAGACGACGACAATCTAACAGCGCATGAACCGTTAGGAGCCACAACTATGCCATCGACATCCCGAACAGAAGAAGATGAAGGCCCCACTGCTTACTTGCCTGGATCAGGTTTGGGACATCGAGAAGGTCGTTTTCGAATGAATATGACACCTGTTGGTCGGGTCAAAGATCGCGCTAGAAACTTGTATTTCTCATCTACTTCAAATAATTCATCTAATTCTACTTAAGCTATGTTTGTTTACGTGTCGCGTTTTGCATTTAGGGTCGCGTCGGCATAATATATGTGACTGCTTTTCTGGAAAGATAAAATACGCGGGTTTACGCTTCTCATCCCCTGTCCTTCGCGAACAACTACTCTTTCCGTCGTTTTTTAGACATTTTCTTCTTTGAAGGTATGATGAGGTGAAATATAGGCATCGGCATGCGACACAGTGGCGGTTCGAACAACGGTGTTGGCGTAAGGTCAATGTTCTTGGAAACAAGTCCGTTACGTGTTTCCTGCTGCTGTACTCGCGTGTCTTGTACCCGTGTTTTCTTGACTCTATCACTATGGACACTCAAGAAAACTAATGCTTGCCCAGTAGATATAAAAACGAGTATTTAAAATGGTCCGTCAATCTGTTCTCTCCGACTGCCTTAACAACATTGTCAACGCCGAGCGTCGTGGACGTCGTCAAGTGATTGTTCGTCCCTCCTCGAAGGTCATTGTCAAGTTTTTGACCGTTATGCAACAAAACGGCTACATTGGCGAATTTGAAGAGATCGATGACCACCGTTCCGGAAAGATTGTCATTCAATTGAACGGCCGTATCAACAAGTGTGGTGTCATCTCTCCTCGCTTCAACATCAAGCTTAAGGATATGGAGAAGTGGGTTAGTCAGCTCCTTCCCTCTCGTCAAGTCGGTGTTGTTGTCTTGACCACTTCCCGTGGTATCATGTCTCATAACGAGGCCCGTGCCAAGGACACTGGTGGCAAGATCTTGGGCTTCTTCTATTAGACGCAAAAATTGAAAACGGGTTCAACGCCCAATTTTTTCATCTCTATTCGAGGCTTTTACTGCCCAGTTTCGTGTGTATTTTTAACCATGGAGGTGCTCTGTGGGTGAGCCCTTCGTATTCTGCTTCCGCCGCTTTCCGTGTTCCTTCGTAATGAATTATCTGTGGTTCCTGTTTCATTCAAAACTGTTAAGCCGGTTGCGGTGCGTTGATGTTAAAAGAAAACCATTTTAAACAGAGTCGTCATTGTCCTCTCAAACGAAGGGCGGTGGTGTGCGTTGGTATGCAGGCTGAAACGAAATAATCAAAGATTTGACACGTTCGACAAATGTCGCTGAAAGAACTTAATCATGAACAGGTCCGCCAGGGAAGGGCGACGCCGCCACTGAACTCATAAACATAGCCTTCCGGTTAAATTTACAAGGATTGCTGTATTACAAGTGAACTTGAAACGGGGTATGCCTATATCACCTATTAAACTTGGCCGGTGCCCTCGTCGCAGCTCTTGCTTGCGTAAGAACTCTGTTCGCACATGTGTTTGCGTCCCTGGCGCATCCACAAAACGTGTCGGAACGGTTTCAATTAAATGAGCTTGTGTTTGTTAATGTGCAAAAAACGAGTGGAAGTTTATATTCATAATGTGCGACTGATTGTCGGTAACTATTGCTTGAAAGACAACACGCGTGAGTGCCAGAAGGGTGGCTTCTTTTGGGCTTCCCACTTGGCCCTCTTGTTCTCTTCCCATTTACATTGGATTTACATAACGGACTGGCTCTATGGACTGCTGCAATTGGTGAATGGAAGGCAGTCTCGCCGGAGATTGTGACAACGACGTAAGTGAACCTGACGGCGGACCAGCCGGGATTGTTGGTGCAGGTCCACCTTTTGTGATTTCTTCTGTTTCTTCTTCTTTGGTAGTGGTGGGTGGTAAGACGCTGTTTTTCTCGTCCATGTTGTTGTTTTCAGATTCGTCTTTCACAGAAGTCTCGTACAGTTGAAGTGCTTTAGGAGCAGCACGGGATTCCACCAATGACTGTAGGCTGGACGCTGTGTGTTGCAGCAGTAGTCGCCGAAGCATGCATTGATATCTTCTGAACGAATACTCAATTGATTTTTCTCGAAAGGCATTTTGACGAGCCAGTTGTTCTCGCCGATAGTGAGCGCGTCGTTCGCTGAGAACGAGTTTGAACTGTCGCACTTGGTTGTATGAATCAATTTCCGTGGTCAGCACATGATGTGTGTCGTTCAGGATAAGTCGTTCTACCCGTTCCATCTGAACAATGTACAGCTCACTTAGAGCCTGGTGCAGTTTGTGGTAGCGGGATCTCAATTCATTCACACGAGCCTTTGCTTCAGATTCGTTACTGACTGCAGCCGACTTTTTTGACAACTGAGCAGGGACATTGCTCCTGCTTTCTGACTTTTTTGGCCGTCCTCGCCGTCTGCGAACGGGTTCGGGTGTTTTGTTTCCCGGGCTGTTGTTCATTTCGTGAATGTTCGTTTGTGATTTGAGCGCTTCTCACTTTCTCACTTTCTCACTTTCTCACTTTCTCACTTTCAAGCACTCTCACTCGCTCGCTCTCTTTCTACCTATGGTAGTACCTCTCTCTGGCACCTTATGGGAGCGAGAAAAAAAAAAGCCGACTGAAGGTTTGCCGAGTGTTTGCGCTGACCTCACTGCTTGCACAATCGCTTCGAATGGTCACCGTACTCGACGTCTTGTCTGTCTCCACTAAGTCGTTACGAATGCGCTTTTTTCGTGCTGTGGTACTGTAGCGCACTGGGATTTTGTGTCTCAGCTTCGGGATGGGTTGAATTTCCCCGTGTCCAATTGTCGGTCCAGGGGCGTGCTCAGGAGGCCGACTGGGGCACCCACTCAGCTAAGAACCACCAGGCCAGCGGGATAGTGAGCTCTCGCACGGGTGCGACAAACGCATTTAACGACTCGCACAGCAGTCGAACGTGACGATGGCGAAGCTGTCACCATGTTTCGTGCAACCATCTCACCTGAATCTGCATCATCCATCAGTTGCCCGTGAGTATACCGCGAGTTCTCCGTATTCCCCGAGTTCTCCGATATTGTCGCATCTTCAATATAAGCCTTCTTACGAGCACATCATCCGGCAGCAGACCCTTCACTAACCGTCGTGCGAATTGACATATTAACGAGGAATTCTGTTACAAGAAGCAGAATCTTGGTTTTACAAGTCGAAGACCTGCTGCATCTTTACCGAGAGCTATCCACAGAAAATGCAATTAGGTGGATTGGGGAACGTTGACCTTTGGAGTCTTCTAAAGCCTATCTTCGAGAGTGACCTGGAGGTCATTTTCGTGGCTCTAGGAGGTTATCTCTTGGCTAGAAATGGCTTTCTTACACGCCAATCGCAAAAGGTAGGGTTCGCCGGCGTGGCTGATAGAGAAGGAGCGACAAACAGAACGGTGTTTATGGTTATGGAGTGTTTTCAGCTCGTGTTGCGAGTGTTGCCGTTATGGAATGCTTTCGGCGACTGGCGTTACAGTCGTTAGCCTGTGGTCGTGATGGAATGCTTCGACGCTTGCCTGTGCCGTTCCTTGTTTTGCTCCCTACAGCTCCCTTCTTTCCTTTTTTTTTTCTGTCTGACTAACAATGTTGCGCACAGGTTCTTTCAAATCTCAATGTTTACTTCTTCATGTCCTGTCTTGTGTTCGAAAAGATTGCTGGTAGTTTGACGCTGGAATCATTAATTGACCTGTGGTTGTTGCCTATTCTCTACACAATTATTACAGCTGCATCTGTGTTCGTTGCTTACGTCCTCGCTAGAATCTTCCGTTTGTCTAAGCGTGAGCGGAATTTTGCTACTGCATGCATCGCTTTCCAGAATGTAAGTAAACCTCAGCGCGGCATCGAACGATGCATTGGATGACGCGCCTTGACGCCTTGTCTCCAATTCCTTTTTCTTTCTTTTATAATTGTCTTCTTACTAACGTCCTAGTCCAACTCTCTTCCTCTGGCTATGATTACCTCTTTGGCCGCTACTGCCGATGGTCTTTTGTGGGATCGTGTTCCTAATGATTCTCGTGCCCAGGTTACCTCTCGAGGCATCATGTACCTGCTTATTTTCTCGCAACTCGGACAGGCTCTGCGTTGGTCTTATGGTTTCCGTGTCCTGCTTGGACCTAATCAACCTCCTGATGAGTTGGACGAAATGCCCCCATCCGAGAGCATATCCGTATATGAACAGGCTGCTGAACAAGAGCGTTTGTTGGGCACAAGCAACGATGAGTCTGAGCTCGCTGCTCTTACTGCCAATGAAGGCATTCCCACTGATGAACGAAACCTCACGGCATTCCGTGATGCCCTGGCACACAAGCATGGCCATCTGGTGAAGCCTCCTCAACCTGTTAGCAACTCCACTTCGACTATTGTCGAGAGTGACGCCGATATCTCTACCAAGTCTCGTTTCCGTAAGGCAGTGGTGTTGATTCTTGACTTTTTCAGTCCTCCTCTGTACTCTATGCTTCTTGCTTTGTTTGTCGCCATGGTTCCTCCTATTCAACGTTTGTTCTTCGAGAAGGGTGCGTTCCTTGAACGCAGTATCACAAGCGGTGTTCGTATGGCCGGTAGAGCTGCTGTTCCTCAAATTCTTGTTGTGTTGGGTGCCAGTTTGGCTACCGATATGACGGGCAATGGCCCGGATGCCGTGGACAGCTATCGTCGCAAGCATCCCAACCGTGAAAAGCGCTTGATTTTCGTTTGCTTGTTTGGTCGAATGATCGCTGTTCCCCTTTTGCTGCTTCCTCTCTTCGCAATCGTTGCCCGTTACACACCTTTCAGCACATTCGATGATCCCATTTTCGTTGTAGTTATTTTCCTTCTTGTTGGTAGCCCTACTGCCATTCAACTTACCCAAATTTGCCAACTGAATGGTGTCTTTGAACGCGAATGTGCTATCATTCTCTGGTGGTCCTATGTTGTTCTTACTCCTCCTAACTCGCTTGTCCTGAACTTGGCAAGTTTGCTTGTCGTGAAATGGGCCAAGTAAAGCGAGTAGATCTGTTTCTTATTTCTTCTTTTCCTTACTGAGTTTCACTTTAAACAGTGGTACACATACATACATGTGCTCGCTGCCTTTACTATCTGTTTCGTCCCTGTCGTTTTTATACTAACTTACTACCAACACACTTCTGTTCCTTGTCTGGCCTGTGTACGTGTGCCATGCCCTTCTTCACTACCGTTACCGCTGGATAATCATTAGAAATGTGTTCATTTTATGCTATTAATTCTTCGACACTTGTTGTGCGTGAGTGAGAGGCATGTCGTTGCAGGCTTGTTGACTGTCCTCTACGGAGGGAAGTCAAGTCATGCAGACCGTGGACTTTTTCCTCATTAGTCATTAACGTCGTGTGTTTCGTGTGTTTAATTTATGGGATATTATGAGTGTTATAAACGCGCGTCATTGAGGCAACGGAAGACGCACGTATGGGGTATCAATGGCCTTCTTTCAAGAGGCGTGAGGGTTTCATGAGCACCAAAAAGGTGTGTGTGCGTATGGACTGTGTTTGTGTCCAGGACGAAGCAGCAAGAAGGTGACTTCAAAGTTTCATCAAAAGCAAAGAAAAACAAAACAAGCAACTCGTAACTCTACTCGGTGGACGAAGGCTGTGCGAATTCATCGCAAGTAGTCACCGTAGAGTAGAAACTGTGAATACTAACGAAGATTGCAAAGGGACCGACTGCTTGTTGCTGCAGACGATTTGTGCTTTGTACGCTTCGCCATTGATGTACCCATAAGCAAAGCCTGTGTCGCAGAGAAACGAGAACTGCTGCCGCTGCCGATATTGTGACGAACTTCTGTTGTCCTGCTGCCGATGCTGCTGGTGTTGAAACACTTGGAAATCTTCTAAATCACGTTCTAGTTAATAACTATGTTCAATGGAGCACGCAAACAAGTCTCTTACCTTGAGATCCTGCTTCTTCTGCTTTGTGTGAATAATTAGGACATCGTCGATAATCTTCACAGACAATTCCTGCAGAGGCTTGCGTTTGAGTGGTCTTTCGACTTTGTACACAAGAGGTTTGTGAGCAACAGCTGAGAGTGTGTCAGTCGACGAGCTGCACGGAGGAACGTTTTCCTTGTCTTCAAGCACCTGCATCACTCACGAAAGCCTCTGAGACAGACAAAGCAATGGCGGGTGACGAACAACTGGAAGGAAGGCCTTAGAGCTTTAACAAAGGAACTGGTGACGACTAACGCTTGGGTCTGTAAGCGGGGCCATTAAGCGAGTATAGCGAGTCGAAGTGGGCAAGTGGGGGTTCGTGGAAATAAGCGAGGTAGGCGATGTGCCGGCGAACATCGGTGATGAAAGCGTCACATTGGCACCGAAACAAAGCCGAAATGACACCGAGTCTACACCGAATCCCACCCCCCTTTCCGACGAGGCACCAACAACTCTCCTGTCAGTTGGCGGACAGAGGCCGAGTCCAACTACACCTGGCAAATCTCATTAATGCGAATTAACAACAGTGTGGTGCCGATCGTGCACGCTACAGTGCTTAAAGTTCATCGCCATTAATAGTGAAATTCATGAAAAAAAAGAAAAAACCTGGCACAGAAAGACAGCTTGCAGCGACCAAAAGGAAGAAGGCTTGGTAAGGCACGTCAGTAGAAAGATACACACTTGCGTGTCCTACACAGAATTATTTTGCGGGCGCAGGTTTTATAGAGAGAGAATAGAAGAATAGAAACTTTTTCTTTTACCTTTATCAATGCGAACGCAACATTTCTCAGCATAGTACTGCCGAGTCTCTGGGATACAGTGGGACGGCAACATCATGTGTGTGTCTGTGTGTATTGACGCCTCTAGCCGACACACCTTCCTGCACTCAGACCTGTCTGGAGGGAAAGGATGGGCGTGGATAAAAGAGTAATCGTCAAGTAGTCGAGTATGTGTATGAGTGCATGCAAAAGTGAGCGTCAGTGTTTCTGTGTTTCTGTGTTCCGTGAGTGAGTGAGTGTGTGTGTGTGTATGTGTGTGTTTTGTTTGTGCATGTGAGTGAGAATTGAGTAATCGACCGACCTAGTAGAGCTAAAGGGCCTCTTAGTATATTTTTTTTAAATGCTCACAAGGAAGCTGGTACTGCTGTTGTTGTACGGTGAAAAGACAGTCGACAAAGATGGCTATCGCCGTAGATGTTCATCAATACTGGCGCGAGCACATGAAAACACGGTATACAATGATAGACAACCTAGAAGAGTGAATCAAGGTGTGTGAATACTTGCAGCACAGCGGCAATAAGCTCAATGGACAACAGTTCGTCACCGCTTACGTTCGACAGCTCTTCAGTAATGGCCTTGGGCAGGTTTGTTGCTACCTGGCCAGAGGACCGGAGACCAAAGGGCCATTGGGAAAACTCATACAACAACTCATCCACATGACTAAACGCACGTTCTCGGTCCTCGTAGCTTAGCTGACTGAATACGTTGTCCAGCACGCAAGCTGCATACGCCGAACACACGAGCGTCACCGTACGCAGGTAGCGGAACGAGAGATGTTTTGGGAAATAAGGAGTATCGTCCAGCTCGGCAATTTGAGACGTAACCAAGCTCATGATCCGACGCTTCAAGCCCTCCTTCACGCCCGTGTCTGCTACAGGGTGTGTGGCCATGTCGAACAGCAAAAAGTTCCGCTTTTCCGTACGCAGCACGCCCTTGTCGACGAGACCTTTGGCCAAACGCTCACGCACCTGGCGCAATTGGTAGCCGATTTTCATGACATTCCACGTTTCACCACTCATTAAGTCGACCCATGAGCCGACAGACATGGGCTCGCTGCTTCGGATCATCTTGAGCGCCTCGTCCAGCAATACCTCGCCCGTCAACTTGTCGTCTACAAGTTCAACAATTCGATCAGTGAGCGGAAAACGTTTACGAGCAACATCCTTCTGCATCCGGATTTTTCCACGGAACGCCAACTCTATCAAGATGCAGCCTCGGAGAGCGTAAGAGATGCTGTCGTTCCAGAACGAGAGGTATCCCTGTTTGTCCTTAATACCTAGCAACAACACTTCCTCCATAAGCGTCAGCTTCGGCTGACGAGCCTGTTCTTCGCCTTGTTCCAAGTCTCGAGGGTCAAACGCAATTTTATGGTCGTCCCCATCCGTATGAATGGTACGCCGCTCACTCGGCGTCCGCGATATTGTCGGTGAGTCCTGACCGTTTGCACCGGAGGCAGCATTCACTCTTCTACGCGACAGTCCACTCGACATGATGTGTGTGGGCTGTAGATGAGCAAGACGGTTGAAGAATGGACGAAAAGTGAGTGTGTTGTGTGTGTGAGTGTGTGTAGGAGTGTAAGCAACGCTTGGTATTGGCGTCAGCCTACCACTGGTGGTTGGTGGTGGTGCTGAGAGTGGGTCGGGTCGGACGCTAAAAGTGGACTTGCACCACGGGGAGAAGAGGGAGTGTGAGGGTGAGAAGGAGGCAGACAGACTTGAAAAGGGTATTTTGGTTTCTGGCCTAAATCAAGGACGCACATTATTGCTGCGGTGGCCGTTTGTGCATTTATCACCGTCCTGTTGATCCCGCTTCGGATGCTGGGTTACGATCCTTTGTGTGCTTTTTTTGTGAATGCCTTTTGTCTCCCATAGCTGCGAGTATGTTTTGTGTCTCTTGGTTTGGGGCGATAGCATTCGCTTCCATCTCCTTTAAGAGCGAATGCACAGTCATCCGGTCGCGCCATCCCTCCCAAGAGGACAACAGGGCTTGATTGTAAACAGATACATCGCATGCACGAACGTACGCTTCTGCGCTCGAATGTTTCAGACGATTCATAAAAGCAATGGCCAACATAGGGTTGTGATACAGCCGTCGTGCAAGTAGCATGGCATCTCGAAGGGCTGCAGCTGAAGGGAACGTTTCCGAATCATGTGTCGACGGCTCAGTAGCGGCAGGATATATTTTTGTCCTCACTAGCTGCTGCAGCTCCCAGTCCGTTTTGCAGGCCCGCATCTCATTTTGAAGAACACGGAATGCAGGCGTTTGGTTTTCAAGATCAGTGAGTGTGTTTGATTCACGTAGGATCTGTTCAGAGGCAGCCGTCATCGCCGTCGAAGAATTAGAAGACAAACCAAAACTTTCGGCTGACTTCACCTTCAAAGCGGCTTCGTTCAATTCAACAGATTCCGCTTGTACTTCCTCTAACAGCTGAGAAAAAAGGTCGGCAAACGATTTACGCTCCTTCACAGATAGAAAGGAGCTTGGAGCGACGGGCTTTAGAGGTGAAGGATTTCCAATTGGTGGTTTTCGGCGCGACACAATTCGTTCTGTTCCATTGTAGACCATATCAAAGAATCTGAAATCGTCATCCGGCAACCTTTTGGCATCGTCCTTGTTGTCGGGCGATGTATAATCGACTTTTGGACTAGTGTTGTGTCGCGCTCGCACCAGCATTACAGGAGATTGGTTGTTGTATTTCGAAACAGCCATTGTCGTCCATCGGGTACAGCCACCGCCTTTCGCTTGTCGCAAACTCGTTCGCTGGAGGGACACAAGGGGCCCACGACAACGTGTAAACAGGCATGGCATGTTTCGCTAGTGGTGTTTAAAAAGAGAAAAAAATGTCACAAAAAGAGTTTCAAGGCACTAATGTGTCGTTTAGTTGTTGTGGTTCGGAGCCCAAAGAAGAAAACCAAAATAACGAGGACGTGTTGTTTGAATGAAAATGGTGAAACTAACGGAGAAAAGGGTGTGAGTGGGATGTTTGGGGTAGAGAGGATATCAAACGGGAAATGTGCGAGGTTTTGCTCAATTGAAAGAGTTTGCCCCGGAGGAAGCGTTTTAATTTATGTTCGAGCTCACGAAGCGGGATTTGTTCCTGTGTCATGCAGCATTCTTAAGTTTTGCAAAAGCAACTGAAACTGCTGTTGCGAGAACCAATTCCGAATGCGCGAAAAGAATTGTTCCGTCTGTTTCGAACCTTCCATAAAACCTTCCGTGTCGTACATAGAACAACTACAACGGTGATCGGTGATGCGGTTTTGTGCGTAGTTATACGTTCGAATCTTTTCTGAACGTACGGGAGAGGAAACCTGCTTACGGCGAGCGTCATGCTGCTGCTTCTGCAGATTTTCATGGCGAAGAGCAGCAACGCGGGATCGAAGAATGAGGAGCGCTCGCTCCTTGTTCTCGTGTTGTGAGCGGGAATCTTGCATGCAAACAGTGATACCCGAAGGAATGTGTGTTAATCGAACTGCAGACTCTGTACGATTCACGTGCTGGCCGCCAGCGCCCTTGGCTCGCATAACATCCACGCGTATATCGTTTGCATCGAGCTTGCTTTCGGTTTCCAGAGTCTGCGAATTCACGGTAGGCAAAACGATTACGGATACAGTGCTTGTGTGTAAGCGACCTTTGGTTTCCGTTGCTGGTGTCCGCTGTACACGATGCACACCTGCTTCGTGAAACAGCTCACCATATACGTGTCCGGAGACAGAAACAATAGCCTCGGTTATTCCATTTCCATTTTCTGTCTTGCTCAGCGACAGAGGTTTCCACTTCCAATTACGGAATGCGCAGTATCTTTCATACATGCTGAGCAATTCAGACGCAAACAAGGCTGCTTCTGATCCGCCAACACCTGCACGAACTTCTAACAGCGCAGGAGCTTGGTAGTTATTTGGTTTCAGTGACAGAAGCTTGTGCATCCCTTCTAGCACATCATGGGTCTTCTTCATAATCTCATTATTTTCACTCTCAGCTAGTTGCAGGAGTTCTTTGTCGCTTTCATCGTTCATAAACTGTCCTAATTCACGTAATTGCTTTTCGAAAGGTAAGTAGAAAAATCAAAAGGAGCCACAAGTCGTTCTAGACCAAATTTTCTGTTACCTTCGTAAGCACCTGGAAGGTTTGGTATGTGCTACAAATAGATTTCCATGGCAAAACAGATAATTGTTCCAATACGTGGTCCTTCGACTATCTTTGTCAGCACAATTCAGCCATTTGTTTCAGTAAAGTTGAGATAGTACCTCGTTTTGAGACAATTGATGTGGTTTCTGGTGTAATTTGGTTTCAGTTTGACACAAAAGTCGCGAAAATTCCAACAACTGTTTCTCGGATTCAGACAAACACAATTTTGTTGCAATTGAATCTATAAAACGTCTTACAGGAACATTCCTAAATCTTTTATTCAAAATTCCACGTACACGCAACCCAGAAACTCCCAAAAAATGAACTTTTTGAGCAAAATTCATGCTCTATGTTGCGGATTACGGTGTTGGCGGTGGGAAGGTACGCGAGAGGGAGGGTGAGCTTAATTGGGGATGATGTCATTTAGGCGACAACGTGTTCCACTCCCACAGCTTTCACCACGCTTATTTGACAAGTATATGTAGCCTGTTTATGAACCGAGGCAGAGCCACGAGTTTAAACGACAGCTTCTCGTTTGTCAGTTGCACTCTTCACCACACTAATTTGTACATTTTTTTGCCTAAAAGGTGCACTCTTTAGGGTCAGACGACTCAGAGAATAGTTTCGCTCGATTTATCTGGAGAAGAGCTTTGTGGAGATACTAATTTCACCGACTATGAGATGACAGCTGTAACTGAGCATCAAACTCATGCACCCGAGCTTGCTATTGAATACACTAATGCACCCAATGAAACTGTAAATAATACTGAAGAACCAGCTGGACTGGGCGCCAACTCTCGTTATAAAACAATTCCAGGAATCGTGCTTAATGAAGCCAGTGAAAACGGTGAGGAGCGAAGGGACTCCATGGCATCGGTCACTACGGCTCCTGAAGAACCGCTACCCCATGAAGATCGTCCGAACAACCATTTGTCTGTCGATCCAAATCAGTATACGCCTCATCGTAAAGGCCATTCACGGTTTGCATCCTCAGACAGGAGTTTCAGCAACCTTCCACAGCGTGCCAAGGCCAGCGGTAAACAACTATGGGCACAATTAATGAATGCGTTCAGGAAGATGAAGAAGGAGAATGAAGAAGTTTCTGTAACTGATATTCCTATTACAAGAATCTTCGAGAGTGGCACGCCTGCTGCTCTATTCCCTGCTCTTTTCTTCCTGCATAATCAGTCGGGCGAAAGTGCCATGCCAATGTTGATGGACCTGGTCAAGATTCGTGTCCTCGACGTTGAACCTAATCACAAGCGTATTCATACACTTTTTACTGTCCAGGTACAATACGGCTCTGGTCCTAAAGCCATTCGCTGGCTCATTCATAGAGAACTGCTTGATTTTCTTTCACTCCACTCTCATTTCCTCTTTCTCGAATTCAGTCATCATTTTTACGGCAAGCGTTTTAAATTGCCAAAGTTTCCAAAGGAAGCACTTCCTTATCTACGAAAGCTGAGGGGCTTTAATTATTTGTTATTTAACAAGGATCATAATGGCCAGTTGGCAGACGATGTTCGATCGATGTCCAACATTTCCGTCTCCGGCTCCTCTATTTCTAGTCGATCTGGGAAGTCTCATGCACATCAACGCTCATTATCTGCCTATTGGATTTCTCAACGAATGCATCTTGAGCGTTATTTGCAAGAGATGTGTTCTGCTCTGCAATTTCTTCCAGAATTAAACATTTATAATACCTTCTTGGAGCTTAGTATGTTTGGTCTGCGCTTGGCTGGTGACGGAAATTTCCATGGTAAAGAGGGCTATGCTTATCTAAAGAAGAACTTTAGTCCAGCACAGTCAATTCTTTGCTGCAATGGGCCTACAATGAAGTCACGGCCAAAACCATTTTGGATTATAGTCTCTCAAAGTTACATAGTCTTTACAGACAGCCCATTGAGTCTTGAACCTTTGGATGTGTTCATTTGGGACGCTGATTTTGAAATTACGCAGAAGGATTTCCGCTCGAAACACTCAAAGGATGTTAATCGTGCAACTTTGTACAACTCTACGCATAATTTTAAGATGAAAAATCGTGAAAGAGTTATGAAGCTTGAAGTACGAAATCATCGCTGGTTGAAGCAATTTATGAACAGTATTCAGGTTGCTCAGGGCTTGAGTTCGTGGTGTGAATTGCAACGCTTTGACAGTTATGCACCCGTCCGTACAAATGTTGCTGCTCAATGGCTAGTGGATGGACGTGATCACGCTTGGAACATCAGTCGAGCAATCATGAACGCAAAGGAATGTATCTATATTCATGACTGGTGGCTCAGTCCTGAATTATATATGAGAAGACCCGTGCCGTTGGCAACGGCTTTTCGCCTTGATCGGCTTATTCAAAAGAAAGCTGAAGAAGGTGTAATGGTCTATGTTATGATATACCGAAACATTGATGCAACGGTGCCTATCGACTCTTTCCACACAAAGGCACACTTGCAGCTACTTCATCCAAACATTTATGTAATTCGTTCTCCTTCACATCTTCGACAAAGCACTCTCTTCTGGGCACATCACGAAAAGTTGCTTGTCATTGATAATATCATTACCTTCATAGGAGGTATTGACTTGTGTTTTGGTCGTTATGACACATCCCAACACATTTTGCGTGATGATAAGAATTTTGGTTTCGATGGTGAGAGTGATTCACAACGTACCTTGGATAATGCCTTTACGTGTCAGACTTGGCCTGGAAAAGATTATTCTAATCCTCGTATCCACGATTTCTTTGACTTGACTCATCCCTACAAGACAATGTACGACCGTAACGAAATTACTCGTATGGGATGGCACGATGTTTCTATGTGTATTCTTGGCCAGCCGGCTCGAGACGCCGCCCGACACTTCGTACAACGCTGGAACTATTTAATTCGCTGCAAACGTCCGGCTCGTAAGACTCCTCTGCTCATTCCTCCTCCGGATTTCACAAAGTATGAGCTGCAAAACCTGCAGCTTACAGGCACTTGTGAGGTTCAAGTTCTTCGTTCAGCAGGTCTTTGGTCGCTTGGTTTGGTGGATACCATCGAAACAAGCATTCAGAATGCGTATGTTAGTCTCATTGAAAACAGTGAGCACTTCATCTACATTGAAAATCAGTTCTTTGTTACTTCCACCGTGTGCGAGGGAACTATTGTCGAGAATCGTATTGGTGACGCTCTTGTCGAACGAATTATCCGAGCGGAGAAAAACAAGGAAAAATGGAGAGCCGTGGTGATTATTCCCTTGCTTCCTGGATTTGAAGGTGAAATCAGTCAAAACGAGGGCAGTAGTCTTCGTTTGATTGTGGAATGTCAATACAAGAGTATATGTCGTGGCGATACATCCATATATGGACGACTGAAGAAGTGCGGAATTGATGGCAGCAAGTATCTTCGTTTCTATGGTTTACGAGGATGGACACATAACGGACCACATGATTTGCTGTATACTGAGCTTGTTTATGTTCACGGAAAGGTTATGATTGCTGACGACCGAGTTGCAGTCATTGGTTCTGCAAACATCAACGAACGTTCTTTGCTTGGTAACCGAGACTCCGAAATCGCAGCTGTTGTTCGAGATACTTTGATGGAAGATTCTTTGATGGATGGCAAGCCATACAAGGTCGGTAAGTTTGCACATCGACTTAGAATCAGATTGATGAGAGAACATCTCGGTATTGAAACAGACGTGCTTGAGCAGCGAGAGTATAATATGGATGGATTAGATCGCGACACCGTTGACAAACGCATGCAAGTCTGGAATCCTCAAGCCGATAAAGGTATAGGTGGATCCATGTTTTCGGCGGAAGAGTTGGAACTCAGATACCGTTCGCAAATGGAGTTTCAAAACTCTGAGGAACTCGTTAAAAGGGATTCTAGAGTACGGGAAACATTGGATAGACGTGTTCGTATCAAGAAGTTGCAACCAGCTAAGAACAAGCCAAACACGAATGAGTATAGAAGGGAGAAAGAGACGGCGTGTCTTGATGCTAATGCACTTGTTGGTGGTATTCCACCCTGCATGCGCAGGAAGATTAGAAATCAGTTTGACTTTTCTAAGTTCCCAGGCTCGGGAGAAGATCAAAGACCTCTTTTACTTAAGGATCCAGAGCACCCTGTTCCTGAACCTAGTCGTCCTCATTGTGGACTTGGTTTGGCCTACGAAGATACGGACAAGTACATGGAGTTTAATCCTTTCACCAAGAAGGAAATTCCAAAATTCACTGCGGATTCTTTTACTGATCCCGTAAGCGAGGAGTTTTTTGAAAACACGTGGTGTGCTATCGCTGAAAGCAATACTGTACTTTACAGAAATGTGTTCCGCTGTATGCCTGACGATTGCGTGAAGACGTGGGACGAGTATCACGAATGGAGATCTTACATACGTCGATTCCCTGAAGCTCAAATGGGTTGGCTTGAAGAGGAAACGCCTAGTGACAGCCTGCAAGCAATACAGAAACAGCCCTCCATTAAGTCCGGGGAGGGGTCAACCCAAAGCACTAAACGATCTTCGGCGAAGAAGGAAACACTGGCGAGTCAAACTGCGTTTAAATTTCCCACTAAGCAAGAGGCTACCGAGTGGGTCAGCGGAGTTAGAGGACATTTGGTCGAGTTTCCCCTCGATTGGATGCTTACAGAAGACGAGAAGTATGTTTATAAGAAGGATCATGGGTCGCGAATTTTTCGCCTTCATGCATTTCTTTTTTTCATTCGCTTACAGTTTTTACTAACATTTCAATTAGCAAAAAGTGGCTTTTTGGTTTCGACAAAATTCCTCCATTGGATATTTATGACTAAATGCATTTCATCATTCATTATAAAGTTTTTGAAACCAGCTTTTTGGGATGGGGATTTTGTTCAAGTCTCGTTTCAAAGGTTTGCGTTCACGGAGAGGAATGTCTGCGAATTTAATCTTGTACTCCCTAGCTTTGTCGATGAGCTTGTTGAAGGTAACAGCTAACGACCGCTTGTTCTGCAAGGCTGTGGGGAATGTGTCACAGGATATGGTGAGGATACCTGTACTACTGTCGTACCGGTCGTCAGCGATGAGTTTGAGGGCGTGTATAGTAGGTTGATCAAGGGAGGGAATGGCATCAGGGTGAAAGGTGAGTGAGACTTTGTTGTCATCAGCGGTTGGCTTTGTACGTGCAGTGTATGCGAAACGTAGGAATGCGTCGTTTTGTTTAGAGAAAGGTTTCACGAATTCTAGTAAGTTAGTATGAGTACGAAAGATATGTGTTCGCTGTTTAAGCGTTTTGTAGATCATAGTATCCTGCTGTTGGATATTTCCGTTTCAGACGAATTGTGTACGGTACGTACTTGATAGAAAGGGAAGTTCGTAGGCAATTTTCCTATAATACTCGCGAACAAATCGTTCATTGTCGAGCTCCTGAATAGCAGATTCCTTCATTTTGCGACGTTTTTCTGTGTCATCGGTCGCTGCCGGCCGGTTACTTCTGCGTTTCATTTTCCATCTGACACTTCCAATGGCCCATTTCGTAGTAAAATCCAACGTTCGCAGCGGTGTGAAGTTTGAGCGTAACAGCATTGTGCAGATGCTCAAGTAGACCTTCGATTGCACGCTGCTTTTTATTCTCCAGTATGCTGTTTTCACTGACCAACGGCACTTTCAGTTTCGCTACTGTGTGGGGGCATACCACTTGCTTAGTGGTGGTTTCGTGGGGGTGTTGATCGTTTTCAACCACCAAGTTTACTGTTTATTCCCGTCTTGGGCGAGGTCTTAAAAAAGCTGCTCGTCGATAAAGAACAACAATTGCCGACTATACGGAACGTTGATTGTCTATTCTGTCAGTTCTTAGTAAAAATTCTGTACAGATATCTTTTTTTCCCGTCTCATTCGCCTTACTGGACGTGTTGCAGTAACAAAACGTAAACTGCTCTTCTGTTCTTAAAGAAAAAAATCGCATAACACAGCCGAATTGTGAGGTTGTTGAGGAACGCGTTAAATTACAAAAATGATAACGGTACTACAGCCGATTCAGACGTATCAACCAAGTGAGGATGTCGTAGAGGAAACCGAGGATACTACCTTTGATTTGCTCAAGGAAGAGGAAGAAGATGAAGACGAAATGGATCTGGATGTTGGTGACGAGGTTCGTCACCTTCGTAATGTTGTCACTCCGGGTCAATTGATTACAGAGGACCCACAGTTTATGAGGTGCGTTAGTGAAAGTTACGAATGACCAATTAGTACGGTTCACTAACATTACAGGGGTCATGGAACATACGCAGATGGTGCTAGGATTTGTGCGTCTGTGGCCGGCATTGTTCAACGTGTGAACAAGCTCATTTCTGTTAAGCCTTTTAAATCCAGGTATGTTTACTATCGTGAATACTCTGAGTGTTTTTTCTTTTTTCTTTAATACGTATTTGACTGACACCGTTTTTAGATATGTTCCTGAAATTGGCGACCTGGTAGTCGGACGGATTACTGAAGTGCAGCCGAAACGTTGGAAGGTGGACATTGGTGTGAAGCTTGATGCAATTCTCATGCTTTCCTCTATTAATCTCCCTGGAGGTGTCCAACGGAGAAAGTCGGAAACCGACGAGTTGCAGATGCGTACCTTCTTTCAAGAAAATGACCTTCTCGTTGCTGAAGTTCAGCAATATTTCAGCGACGGTTCGGTTTCTATTCACACACGTTCATTGAAGTATGGAAAGCTACGAAACGGTGTGTTTCTAAAAGTGCCGCCTGTGTTGATTGTACGTTCAAAGGTGCATTCATACTCGTTTCCAGGCGGAGTGGATGTCATTCTGAGTGTGAACGGTTATGTTTGGATTTCCAAACATATGGAAACCCAGAAGTCGTCTGTAAGTATTACACGATTGGAAGAAGAGGCATCCTTTGCTATCTACTCTAACGAAAACGATGAAATCGAGCCACATACCCGGTTAGCCATATCCCGCATGTATATATGCATCCAAGCGCTCGCTGCTCGTGAGCTTCCTCTTACGGAGGCTACTATTTTGAGTATTTACGAGCTGTCGCTGCAGTATACTGATCTTCAGCAGCTCACAAACCCGGAAGTACTAGACCGTCTTGCAGTCGAAGTTATGCATCAGTAAAGTCTTTTGTAAATAAAATGGGTTTCGGTTTAAGGGCAAGGGTGAGAGTGAGAGTGAAAGTGAAATAGAAAGTGAAATTGAGAGGAATGTCTTAGGGTGCTGGGTGTCGAGTGTAACTGAATTGGATGTTCTGCAGAAAGGCATCAACATTGACTACGAACTAGAATGAGCCTTCAACTATTGTATGGTGGTTTTCAAGCAGCAAGTTGATGTCAAAAGTCGAGGATTTTGCGACAGTTTGTTCCTCAAGTATTACTATTACTGAATAATAGCTTTTAAAATACATTTTCTCCTCGTAACTGTTTAAAAACGAACACCAGTTAAGCGTTGGTAAGTAGAGCTTACTTCAAAAATTACTGGATATATTTAATTGTTGTCTTTATTTTATTTTTGATTATTTTTTATATATTTTTTATATATTTTTTAATATTTTTTTAATAATTTTTTCTTTAATACGAATAAATAAATAAAAAACACACCAGTCTAATCCAAGCAGCTCCGAATCATCATAAAACAAACGAAAACCCATCTTTCCTCTCTCCTCCTCTCTGCCGTGCCCTTTTCTCGCAACTAGTCTTCTTCACCACTCCTCCACGTCCACCTCGACATGGCTACGCAAGAACAAATCGTGACTCCTTGGGACGTCCAGGGCTCCGTGGTCGACGGTGTCGAAAAGGGAATTGACTATGATCATTTGATCAACGAGTTTGGAACGAAGCGGATCACCCCCGAGCAACTTGAGCGTTTCGAGAAGCTTACCGGTCATCGTCCTCACCTTTTGCTGCGTCGCGGTGCCGTTTTCTCTCACAGGTAAGACATTTTGAACAGATTGTCTCGAGGTTCTCGAAGGATTCGTGCGACAATCTCCATTTAAATAGACTTTTTCTTCTGTATTTTTGAACACGTCTTTATTTGCGAATGATTTCGTTCATTGTGCCTATGGTTCATTCACCGTGTTACCTTTGCAGCATTTTTTTTTTCTCTTATGTCCTCCTTTACTAATCGTTTCGCAGAGACTTGGATAACATTCTCAACTTGTATGAGCAGAAGAAGCCCTTCTACATCTACACGGGTCGTGGTCCCAGTAGCTCAAGTATGCACTTGGGACATATGGTTCCTTTTGTCTTCACCAAGTGGCTCCAAGATGTGTTCCAAGTCCCAGTCGTCATTCAGTTGACGGACGACGAAAAGTTCTTGTTCAAGCCCAAGTTGACGCTTGAGGATTGCCGCAAGTTTGCTCGTGAAAACGCCAAGGACATCATCGCTGTCGGCTTTGACCCGAAGAAGACGTTTATTTTCGCCAACACTGACTACTTGGGCGGTGCTTTCTATCACACTGTTCTTCGTATTGCCCGTTGCATTACTCTCAATCAAGCTCGTGCTTGCTTTGGTTTCAGTGACAGCGACAACATTGGCAAAATCCACTTTGCCTCTATCCAGGCTGCCCCCTCGTTTAGTAGCTCGTTCCCTCACATTTTCAACGGTGCTACGAATGTGCCGTGCTTGATTCCCTGTGCCATTGATCAAGACCCTTACTTCCGTCTTACTCGTGATGTGGCTACTCGCCTCAAGTACAAGAAGCCCTCCTTGTTGCATGCTCGTTTCTTCCCTGCTCTTCAAGGTCCTCAAACCAAGATGAGTGCTAGTGACGACAATTCCGCAATCTTCATGACCGACACGGCCAACAAAATCAAGAAGAAGATCAACAAGCATGCCTTCTCTGGCGGCGGAGCTACCGTTGAGGAGCACAGAGAGCACGGTGGTAACCCCGATGTCGATGTTGCCTACCAGTACTTGTCCTTCTTCCTTGATGACGATGACCGTCTCAAGTATCTTTACGATGAGTACAAGTCTGGCCGTCTGCTCACTGGTGAACTTAAGGCTGAATGCATCAAATTGCTTCAAACCTTTGTCCAAAACTTCCAAGATGCTCGTGCCAAGGTGGACGACGCTACTGTTGACCTGTTTATGGATGGCACTCGCAAGTTGGAGTTCTAGAACCAACGGACAATGCGTGTGCGCGTTGTAAAGGGAAGGAAGATGCAATTGGTCAAGGGCACTAGCATATCATGTTTGTGTCTATTAACTAATTGTTCCGTTTTGTTTCGTTTTAGATACCTTAGAATATACCTGTGTATGGTGCGTTGGACTGTGTTCGAGCGCAGTAAATACGATACGGAGGTTTGCCGAGATACGGAATAGTCGTTACTGATGATTACGGAGTTCCAACGAGGTATTAGTGTCGTATACGCACGCGTTGCAACTCCTTATAGTACTTTCTGGAGCACGGGTGCTCCCTACACTCTCCCTGCACCATGAGTTCGCCTTCATATGCAGGTTTGCCTACGAGCGCTCTCTCGGTAAAGATGATCTGCTCCGAGTGTCGTGAAGACCCGCCGAATCTCGTAGAGGAGTTTTCGAGCGGTGACACGGTCTGTGGTAGCTGCGGGTAAGAAACAGGAATTGTGGGTGAACGGGCGGTCAAAATCGGTTTTTGACGGCACCATGTGAATCAGAAGAGCAAGTTGCATGTGCTGCTCGCGTTTCAGTTTGTTTGAATGCGTTTTGACGGCATGAGTGCATGCTGTTCCTTAATGGAAAAACCGTCGAGGCGATTGGATCCACAATTTGCAAAAACATGTGTCCGTTCATTAGCTAACGATTTAGTCTCGTCTTAGGTGATCGTATCGTCGATACTCGAAGCGAATGGCGTACATTTTCCAATTCTGATGAAGCAAATGGCGATCCCAGTCGTGTTGGTAAAGTTGCCAATCCTCTGTTGAACGGTTCACAGCTTGATACGTCTATTTCGTCTACAGATGGCACAGGAGCTATGCTGGCAAAGGCTCAAGGTCGTTCTGTGCAAGTCCGTGGTGAGAAGAACTTGCTCACAGCTTACAAGGAAATCAGTGCGATGTGTGATGCTATTAGCTTGCCCAAGGTGATTGCTGATACTGCAAAGCAGTTGTTTAAACGTGTAGACGATCACAAGGCCTTGAAGGGAAAATCTTCTCAGTCCATTATTGCTGCTTGTATTTACATTGCCTGTCGTCAAGGAAAAGTACCTCGTACTTTTATGGAAATCTGCACGCTTACCAACGTGGCAAAAAAGGAAATTGGCCGTGTTTACAAAACACTGCAACGTATGTTGACGGAAGGTGGTGCACTGCACAATTCGGTCGACGCTTTCAAGGGCCAAGAGTACATACAAAACAGCTCTACATCGGCTGAAGACTTGATGGTGCGTTTCTGCAATCGTCTGCAACTCCCCACGTTTGTACAACTTGCGGCAGCTGAACTTGCTCGCCGTGCTGGCCAAGAAGGTACTCTGGCTGGTCGTTCCCCTATCTCCATTGCCGCTAGTGGTATTTACATGATTTCTTCCCTTATGGGCTACCCCAAAACGCCAAAAGAAATTTCAGAAGTGACGGGTGTGAGTGATTCAACTATACGAATCGCATACAAACTGTTACACGCCGAACGAAACAAACTTGTGGACCCTAAATGGGTAGCGAAAGACCGTACCATGGATTCTCTCTTACCTAAACCGTAAAGGGATTGGGTAATTCAACAGGTCAAGGAGGCTGTTCATGAGCCGCTCCCTTTTATGTGCGTGTGGTAATCGACATTCACTTTTGTGTGATGGAGTGTTCCACGTGGCTCTACTCTTTCATTTGTTCTCTATTTGTTTTCTTCTGATGACTTTTGCAATTGCAAAGCTTCTTGACGTTTTAGGCCCGTTCTTGTTGTTAAAAACTCGCCAAGTTGACATGTCATGTATGTGACAAATTCGGCGTGTTACTAGTTTTCCTCTTGTTTCCATCGCTCTCACCATGATTCCCAGATGAAAGCAACAACTAGTTCTTAACAAACGATTTATGAATGATGAAAAAAAGAAAACTTTAAAATCTTGAAAAAAAATAAGGAAAATTTACGGGACCATGAAAGATAAAACTGGATGATTGTTTGGCTGGAACATGTTTCAGACGAATTAGTCCAGGAACACGTACTATGTGCGTGGAATGGAACTTTGGCTGTCGGATTTTGCTGTTTCATTTGAGCCATTATCTTCGTCGTGTTTTAAGTAATCCAGCAAGGTTCAGTCTGCAAGTCCGCCATCTTACTTTTGTTACAAAGAAGTGTAAAGCTTCAGCTGGAATTGCCTAATGCGATCTACCGTTATTATTATGAGTTTGGCTACATTAGTTCATGGTATCCGTTCGTGTGTATAAAACGGTAGCTGCGTGTCCTGAGCAGTCAATAACACGGCTGCTTAGTGTCATCAAAAGCTGTACTTATTGCTTGGCCAACTCTTCACAAATGAGCTTTCCAAGAATTGCAGGGCTACGAGCAGTACGAACACCGGCTGCTTCTAAAGCAAGAAGTTTGTCCATAGCACCACCCTTGCCGCCGGCAACGATAGCACCAGCGTGACCCATACGACGGCCAGGAGGAGCCGTAACGCCAGCAATGAAGGACACAACAGGCTTAGGCTTTTCGCGGGTCAAGTTGTGGTTCTTCAAATACTCGGCGGCTTCTTCCTCAGCACTGCCACCGATTTCACCAATCATAATGACACCGTCAGTATTGGGATCGTTAAGGAAAAGCTCCAAACCGTCAATGAAGTTGGTTCCAGGGAATGGGTCACCGCCGATACCAATGACAAGGCTCTGACCGAGTTTGGTCTGGGTAGTCTGGTTCACAGCTTCGTATGTAAGCGTGCCGCTTCGAGAAATGATACCAATACGGCCGGGCATGTGGATGTGGGAAGGCATAATACCGATCTTGCACTGACCTGGACGAATAACACCAGGACAGTTAGGACCAACAAGACGAGTCTTGGATTGAGTCTTGAGCATGTCAGAGATGCGAAGCATGTCGTGTTGAGGAATTCCCTCTGTGATAGCAACAACCAAAGGCACCTCTGCCTCAATAGCCTCAGCAATAGCACCAGCAGCGAATGCTGGAGGAACGAAAATGGCCGAAGCATCAGCCTTGGTTTCCTTCATGGCCTCTGCAATGTCGGCGAAAACAGGACGGCCCAAATGTGTTGTACCGGCCTTTTTGGGGTTTGTACCACCGACAACTTGGGTACCATAGTCGATGGCCTGTTGAGCGTGGAAAGTGCCTTGTTTACCGGTGAAACCTTGGAAGAGGACCTTTGTCGAAGAGCTGATCATCAAGTTCTTAATCGTCGAGCGATACGCCGACGACGACGCGAACCGTTTGAGGACGAGACTCATTGTTATTGTAGAAGACTGGTTACCAGGTCAAGGTAGTGTGGAGTAAGTCAAACGTTGTCCAGGAGTATAGGAGTAAAAAAAATTGAGTTAAATAAAATTAACTTAACAATAATAAGGGACTGAGTGGGGAGGGGATTATATGATTTGCAGAATAAAATAAAATAATAAAAATAATAAAAATAAAAATAGTGAAAAAAATATAATAATAAAAAATAAAAAATAAAAGAAGCCAAGAATTAGAAATTCGAGGCTGAGGAGTTTTTAAGGTTTTGCAAAAAAAAAATATGGTAAAAGTATTTCTTCTCAATGTGTATATGTATATGTATATGTATATGTATATGTATATGTATATGTATATGTATATGTATATGTATATGTATATGTATATGTATATGTATATATATATATATATATATATATTTTTTTTATGGTTAATAATTCATTTCATTTCAATTAATTTTCTATTTTATTTTTAATTAATTAATTTGTGTAACAAAATAAAAGATGAATACAATACGTTTTAACCATAAGCCGTGAACATGGTTGTTACAATTCAATCTTCATTCAATCCAAGTATTTGAACTCTTTAACTCGTAACAGATTCTTAAAAATCTCATCTCGTCCTCAGTCTCATCTTTATATAACTTAATGTCCCTAACGAAATGCTCTCGTAGGTTCTCCAATGCGTGAAGCCAGACTTTTCACAGATGGCCTCAATTCCTTTCCGGGTCTAATAACCGTATGCTATCTCTGCATGGACAATTTCATCTTCGCGCTTCTTCTCAACAACGTGTCGAGGTAAAAATCCAAAAGGGAGCAGGCTTCGACCAAACGAAGCTCCATGATGATGAAATACGATATCCTTCTCTACCAAGAAGGTCGAGCCCAATATGATATCGACATTATCGCACTTGGGAATAACAACAAACTTTTCCCATGATACACATCTTCCAAACCGAAAAAGCAAAGACTCGGTGATCGCGCTGTTGGCCGTAAACTTCCTGCCAGGGTACCGGTAAAACATACGGATGGACCCCCTTGCAAGAGGAATGTCATTTGCTTCAACGAAATCACGGGTGATAAAGTTGAAGTCGCCAATTGAAGACAGCCGACACCAGCAACGTATGTAGTCATTAACTTTACATACAACGTCGTTTGTGCGCACTAGTTCCATTGCCTGTTTGTGTACTTCACACTCCACTATCTTCAAAGAGGGAGCAATAATAGGTTTAGGAGGTTCACTTTTCACTTCAGACGTAGACGAGTTAACGCCTTTATCGCCAACCTTGTTCTTCTTCCCCGCGCTGATGTTCAGTTCAACGGTTGGATCGTCATCCTCGGCCAACGAGTTTAACATGTCAACAGCCACCTTCAACAAATTGATGACATTGTTCAGTTTTTCCTTTCGAGTCGAACGGGCAAGGGAACTGTTATCCTTCTGGGACTCCAACGAGCAATCCTTCATGGCATTATTGATCGACTGAGTCATTTCTAAGAGTTAACACTCGACAATGGCTAATAAAAACAAAGGATGTGACTTGGGCGAACCCTTGGGGTCTTGTTTAAAAGGAATAAAATTGTAAAACTGAGAGTTCCCTGAAATCCGAAACCGAATATCCTCCTCGTCTCACAGACGAAAATTCCCAACTAAGAGTTGAGAAAGATGAGCCTGAGGCACCGGTTTACCGCCACATCCATTTTTATATAAATTGTGTGGACGCCTGAAAAGGTTGTGGTGGTGAGCTTTTGGTGGAGTAAAACAAGATAACTCTAATGACTCGTTTAGATTAACTACAAATGGATACATCATCATAACGTAAGCCGAGTTTAAGCTTAACTTAACTTCTGCTCCTCCGCGTACGCTTTCTCTATGAACCAACTCGTAATTGACTTATTCTCGCTGCTCGAAACGCGTGAATCGTTTCAAATAGCTGCTCAAATTCAGCTAAATCAGGCATTGGATGCTCTTGCTCGTGCTCGCGCCGTCTTGCTGTCGTCGAACGACGCGTTAAGACTGCTTGTTCCCCGAAAGGCAACGTTGGCTGTCGAAGACGACGGAAGCTTGAACAAAATACATCCGTCCACCCTCCCAGCTTCCATTTCTTCATCTGTACACCAAACCCAGCAACTCTGGACCAATCTCGTCCAGTCCCTGCTGTCTCTCAGTCGTGTTGAACGGGACGTGCTAGCCCACTTCAGCAAAGTGGAGGCGACGAAAACATCCCACAATTGAATGTGGGGTGCTTATTTATACCCCACATAAACCCCACATCAGTTACGCTGCCTTGTTGGCTCGTGATACAGCTGCACCCAGAAAAAAGCTGTCCATGTCTTTTGTTGAACTACGAAAAGGTACGTGTGCTTCTCACACTGACGCCTACTAACACACCAGCCTTTCTGCTCGAGCTCTACAACACTTCGCGGCGTTTAGAAGCCTCAACGACTGACGCAGGAGCCGCGGATGTTCCAGAATTGTCCGCGGAACAATGGCTTCAAGAGCGGTCACGGGATCTGGCGCGTTTGACTTTATTGTTTAATGAAGAACGCGACGCGCTCTCCGCATTTGACAATCGCAAGCGCATGGACCAGTTGACGCACATGGCCGCCGAGCTTCACGAGCTTCGCACGCGTCTCTGCCCACGCGCTCCATTTAAGTTTCGTAAAAAGCGTGATGTTTCGTCCAACTCTGTGCAGTTGGACGCGTCTAGTCGAGAAGTGTCTGTAACGTCAGAGTGCACCGTACGTGACGGCACTCTCGTGCTCCGGAATCTCCGTGGCGCTTCCATTCCATCCGCGGAATGGATACTTCTCGACAACAATCGCATCAAACTGAGTGCTTCAGGCCTCCGCGGTTGTTCCATCCATTTACCGCACTGCTCCGCGGTTCATATGGAAGACATCGAAAATTGTGACGTCAGCGTCGATCTTGTGGATGGTGCCGTACACGTGTCCGAAGCGAAAGCCTCCACAATAAATGTGACGTGTCATCAGGTACGCTATTCGCCAGAGACAACAAAGCCCCGTGGGATGTACAAGAACTCCACCCACGTTGACACTACATTCGGCTGCACTAGCTTCCCCGCACGCTTTCGTTTTGCTTGGCCACACATGCTAACCCCCAGTTTCGACTCCACGACTCGCAAAATCTCGGCTTGGTTGTCGACTGCCCAACCTCCCCGGTAGTTGAAGGATGCACTGGTGTGCGAATCGCGTGTGAAAAACCGGTGCTCGACTTCTCTTGGGCGCGGCCAGGACCATCGCCTCATGTGGAGCAACGCCCCTTATCCCGCAATTCTTAAAATGCGCAATATTGCGCCTATTCACCGATAAGATACGCGGCGAAGTTTTTGATGACATCATTTGCCACGATGACTGAAGCATCGACTTACGATTCGACGATTTCAAGCTTCCCCACTTTTTTGAACTTCGCTTACTCAGTTAAGCTTAAGTTGGTCTGCGAGTCTGCCGGAACAGCCTGCCTCTCACCTCCCTGAGACGCTTTCTTCACTTCAACCATGAGCGAATACTCGCGCGTACCTACACAACCATCACCACCTCCGTCCCCTTCTAGACGTTCGATTGACGCGGCGTTTGAGCCTACAGAAGACGCTGATGAACGGGCTCCTTTGTTCCTAGGCAATGAGCCCGACTCTCAACCCGCGGCCAACCCGGCAAGCAATTCTGCAGCATCACCGGCCTACACAGAGCTCAGTCACCTTCCAGCGGAAGGAGAAATTGCAAATGATCGCGTTGTGACGAGTCCTACGCCGTCCAGTACCGAGGGAACAGGCGTAGACGAACGTGCCGTACACCATCATGTAGACAGTGCTTTTCCAACCTCTCAGCAAAGCCAGAGGCCCGTTCAAACACATCAGATGCCGGTGAGAAAGAGGAAGAAGAACCACCTTCGTACGACGAGGTTGCTGCTGACGCCGTCCCATCGTATTGGGACACGACGCTGTTTCTTCCAGGCTACGAGCCATCGGACGTGTACATCGATGGAATACCCGTCGGAACAGTCTATGGGTTCTGTATCAACAGTGCTGTTTCCATCATTTTCCCTTTTGTGGGATTCCTTATGACATATATCATGGCTACAAGTCATGCAGCAAGGTTCGGTTCACAGGTTGGTCTTAGCGCTACACTCATCGAGCGTGGAATTACGTTATGGACGGACTCGACAACAGCCGGTAATGAGCATGCTGTTCCTGACGAAACAGAGTCCATGTATCAGTTTATCGCAGCCGTGTCACTCGTTTGTACGGGATCCATAATGTTTTTGCTCGACGTTTTCTTTTTCCTCAGGGTGTTACGTATGAAACGGGCTATATCAAGATCCACAAATGAAACGAACGAAACGGAGACGCCGACTGCAGCATAATCAGGGTGTTTCACCACTTAATAAACGCTTGTGGTCCTCATCACTCGTTTGTTTCGTCTTCTGTGTGTGTGTAAATAAACACATGCGCTTCACAAACGTGATACTCGCCTCTCTTTATTGCCTCAAGCGACATAAAAAGACCTCGATGCTGTGAGTAACTATCGTTGAGGTCGTCATTATATACGCATCTCTGCAGTCGCCTCTATCTCGGACACTTCGTCCTGTGTCATGGTGCACTGCTGGTTACAACTCCTGATGATGATTCTGTTGCACTTATGTCCACATCCTCATCCTTCCCCCAGATTCTAAACCATCGTTACCACTCCCTCCCATTCTCTCATTCACGTCTCGTCTCGCTTATACTCCAACTGCTACGATCGGACGCTTTTCAGGGCCTTTCTCTACCATTGCCCATCACCCATTTATCGTCCACTAGTTGGCTTTTTAGGTGAGTATGTTTTGACCAACGATTATAAAATAGTTAGCATTCGTGTAAATTATATATGAAAAAGTAATGTTTATAAAAAGGTGAGTGCGTTAATGAAAACGAAGTCGTATTCTTTTTTTATAGGAAAGAGAAAAAAAAGGGGAGTAGAAATATGTGAATCAAAAACGGTTTTGGTGCTGAAAACTTTTCTTCTTCTTGGTCCAAAACATTTCGTTGGAATCATTGTGTTTTGATTTTGAAGGTTCAGGCATTAAGAAGATAGTCGGGATCTCTCTTTAAACATTCAATCATTCCTATACATTCCTTCTTCACATAAACGAGCATGTATGGATTGGCGGTGTTTCCCGTGGTGTCCGAAAACACTTCACTTTCATCAATTGTCGTAACATATTCATCGTTATACTTGCGATACATATCACGTTCAAAGTCATAGATGTACGTCCAGTAATGTCCAAATGTAGCTTGTCCTCGGTGAATGAATACAGCAAGGAGGTGGTACTCCTCGGACATCATTTCCTTGCACAGCTCCTCTTGTTGTTTACATATCGCTTCTTGTTTTTGTCCGAGAGCACCAATTTCGGCCTCGATTTTATCAATTTCAGCTTGCAGGAGAGAAGGCAGCTCCGGGTTCAAGGGAAGCTCAGTCACTGATTGTTGCTGAGCCCATTGTGCAACAGCAGCCAAAGTATCTGTCGAGGATGCAAGTTTTGAATTTGTCTCCAAAAGCAACTGGCGATCCTTCAAAACGCTTTGTAGCTCCATGTTCAATTCCCAATAGCGCTGGTAACGACGTTGATGCTCCGGATCATCCTTTGACATGTATCTGTCCATGAATAAAGTCTTTCCAAATTCGACATATGCATTTGACTTGAAAGGTTGACCCGTAACACGGTTAAACTGGACACGCTGAATCTGAATTTGCAGTATATCAGGAAGTTGCTTAACGGAAAGGGATTTCTTCGCAATTGCGTTTCCAACTTCAACATCACTTAATTCAAATAGATGATCCAATGCTTCATATAGGGTTTGTCGATCTGAGGCAAGGTCAATGATAAGGTGTGAAAATGGTTCCTCTTTGCTACGTCTTCCTTCTCTTTGATCTTCCAATGTTTGACAAAGTGTTCCGTAGAATAGCTTTTTCATAAGGTCCACACAAATGGGTTTTTCATCCCCCTCCTGTATGGAAATAGGCTTCATCGAAGCCGATAGTTGGAATAAGACATGGTCAATGCATTCCGTCACATCTTGTTGACCGCCGAGATCCAATGATGACTTGATACTTTCTTGCACGACATCTTTTACTTCTCTTACTGAATTTTGTTTTTGGTCTTCTCCGTCAACGGAGTCCATATCGATCAACGAGTTTGTGTCTGGAAGAGAAGATACACTCTTTACAGAAACAAGTTCTTCTTCCTTTCCAGTGCCAATTTTCGTTTCAGCCATACTTGGCTTTTCCTTGTCCTCGGTGGTTGAGATGGATTTTACAATTTCCTCGTTTTCGTTTCCTGGAATAAGAGCCAAATACGCCAACTCGAGGGAAGGTAAAATGGAATTGCTGCGAGTAGTGATTAAGGTAAGAAACAAGTCCCTCAAGTCTTGCGTAAAACGAAGTGCTCTACGCAATTCCCATTTTGCGATTTTACGTCCGCCAACAATCTTTTCAGTTTCTGTATAACCATCAACATCTTCCTTGTGTTGATCAATATTCAAAACAGCATCACGCAGAGGCTTGATGATGAAGTAAAATTGCAGTAAAGAATTAAGGTAGCAAAAATTGCCATTATTTTCCAGTCCAACAGGAACGTCGAGTGTTACAGGGGGAGGTGGCACGTTTAAGTTTCCTTCCTTTAGGTAATGCCGAATTAATGTAGAGTCTCGCGATTCTCCAATGCATTCGAGTGCTCGTCTTAGAAGATCTGCATCCTGTGGTCTGTCTTCCACCGCAAAATCGTAAACATTTATCATTAATTCATCAGAAAGGTTACGATCCTGAACATTCAAAACTTCGTAAGCCATGTTTATATCCATAGGAGGCTCTTCAACTACGGAGTCGGCCATATCAGAACCACCTACTCCTATAAACTCCAGTATGGCTTTACTCCTCCGCTGTTCCCCGATCATCTGCAAGGCCTCTCTTGCTTTTAAAGCATCATCTTCGGACTTGACGACGAAAACGGATATAAGCAAGGAGTCATCAATATCACTTGATACACCGAGCCAGTTATAGCATTCTTTAACATCGTAAAAAGCTTAAAAGTGTTAGCATAAGTAAGTACCGGGTTCATTACATACCTCGTTCTGTAGATTGCAAATATGACAATAGCGATTCACTCTTGCGATGATAGGCCAAAGCTTCAAGACATTTTCGTAAATTGCGAATGTTGTCAGGGTCTTTCTCCATCATACGAAGAGCTTTCTTCAGCAGAACTTCGTCGTGTTCTTCATCTCCAAGTTTTTCATGATCAAGTCCAAATATATTGTAAGCTTCTTGCCAAACTGCGGTGGGAATAAGCCCATTCTTTTCCTCTGATCGAATGAGATTCTCTAAAAGAGGACTATCACGAAGCTTTGCAATATGATACAAAGCATCCATGTATACAGTAGCGTTGTCGGGATCATGTTGTTTTTGTTGGAAAAAGAAGTACCGAACAAGCGTATCTGGAACATCGTTCAATACACCCAAGGCCAAGAACGAAGGGACATCAGGAAGTGAAGAAGAGTTTTGTTGAAAAATGTTGCTGTATGCCAATGCCACACTTGGATAAGGAATCACATCCAAGCCATTGATTAATTCACCTCTTGCGTAGTTGAATGAAAGTTTCCATGAAGAGGTCTTGTCATACTCTGTATTTTTGTCACGATATTGTATGGCAAGAAGTGCTAGCTCATTCCGTGCAAGAGAGAGCAAACTCTTTTGGTCAGACGTTAACGCATTTCCTGCGTTGCAGGGGATATAGTGCTCTTCCTCGGGAACGTACGTAAATAGAAGCTGATTCATAATACGCTTAACGATATCACCTTTACCTACATGTTTTTCAAACGTGCCTTCGCTCGCAGCACTAATCGAGCGGTGATCACCTTTCAATAAGATGTTACGAAGAAACACTTCAAGCGATGAAAACATGGAGAATAGAGACGGTTGTTTGAATGGAGTCTTTTGTTCTTCCGATGAAGAGCTTGATCGGTTCCTACGAGATAAAAGAGACGCAAAAGAAGGGCGCCTAGAATCAACAAGTTCTTGAACGAGATCACCAGGCATGACAGGAGATAACCATTCGACTCGCACAGTAAAACTACAGTTGCAACATTTCCAACACATAGAACTCTCGGCCGAGTCAATGAATGATTGATTCGAACCAGACTCTGTTGTGCTTTCTGAAGACTGGTAGAGCACATGAGACCCCCTGTCAACATCGCGGCAATGAGAAAACTCTTCATCAGAGTAAAAAGTTCGAACATGCAAATGTTTTCTGGTTTTCTTACAGATGGCCCATATGTCAGTACACTCCTCATCTTCATCGCCAGATTGTCCGGAATCCGGAAGGTGTAGCAGCCACAAGTGCTTCTGATTAAGTAAAGTCCAAGGGTCGTTCCAAGGATCCTCGACTTTGTCGAAAGAATCAAAGTCTTGAATTAAACGACCAGGGGATTTTCCAATACGCAGTTTTAGTTGTTCATTAGAGGTCATCAGTGGAAAAGGGTGTTTATTTTAGCGGAAACGTTGTACCTGGTTAAAAAAAAGACAAATAGCGGAAAACTACAATTTCATAAATTCTTGAATCCTTGGCGAATGAATACACACAGATAAATTCACTCTAGGCGGAAAATGTAATGTTTAGAAAGTAAGTTGGTATATAGCAAGTTGCCTTTTATTTCTGTATCGTCAACACTGGCAGTTGTTAAGTGTTAATCCGTCTGGAAGGCCTTTTTCTTCAGATGAACTCCAGGGAAATCGGGTAACTCACTCAGCGATGTGCCGTATAAGTATATCATATCTTATAAGGAACTTCACAGTCCCAATGCATCGCAACAGAAAGTACATAATATTTATTTAGTTGTTACTAAAACTTTAACTTAAGGACAAACAAATATCCGTGGATAACAATCAACTAGTTTAATTTAACTTGAAATTACAACATACGTACACATACAATTGACTTGTATTAGCTGTTAGCTTCGTAGAAGAATAGGGCCAGAAACAGCTATATGTACGTATAAAAAAATGTAAAAAAAACGAATGAGGAAGCCGCTTTACAACAACGTTACGATACTTGTGATGCTTGCTCAACCATAGTGTCCCTTTCCATTCATCAACATTGAAAGAAGATAGACAGCAAAGACTTGTAACGAATTAAACGGTCAGAACGGTTGCCATTAATAGAGACAAATAAAACCTATAAAAACAGAAAAAGATTGGAATACATATGCGTAAAATTGTACATAGAAAATAATATGTCCGGGTCACAGCGCAGTGTTGAAAGAGGAAATGCGTTTTATGAAGACATAGAGTTTGATGACTTTTGCCTTCCTAGTGTTTTTCTCATCATGCTCTCAAGGAGGAAGCCCAATTGATTGAAGCACGCATGAAACGGAGTTCAATGCAATCAGGGTTCAGTTTTTGAGGCCTCATCACGGGGTTGCTCCTGTTGTTGTTTTTGTATGGAATTTAACAGCTCAAGTGCAGCACTCGCATCCGTAGGGGGAAGAACTTTGGTCAAAAGGTCGGCATACGGAACTGCAGATGCTGTTGACGGTGCCGAAGTTGTTGTAGACGTTGGTGCTGGGGCCATTGACGGCAACGAGGATGTCGAAGCTGTTGGCGATGCGCCTAATGGCAACGAATTCGCCCGAGGGAGTGCAGATAAGGAAGGCACCGTCGGAGCTGCAGAAAGATCAGCCGGAGTATAGCCAGCTGCAGCACCCATCCGCGGACCAGTTGGCAAAGGCATAGAAGCAGCGGCAGGCCCATCTGATGTTGGAGGAGCGAAATACGGTGTGTTATAGCGAGCATATGAAATTTGAAGGGGTCTGTTACCGTAAACATAACCATTTAACTTTTCTATAGCTGAAGCAGCCTCCGGCGTTGTTTGAAATTGGACAACGCCAAAACCGCGAGAACGGCCGCTAGGCTCATAGGCAATAGCGGCTCTTTCAATTTTACCGAATGAGTTAAACAAGTCCAGCAAATCTTGATCAACCGTAAGCCAGGGAAGCTAAAAAATTAAAGTCAGTAGATAAGCTCATTAAAAATTCCAAATGCACATACGTTTCCAATATGAATGATTGGAGAGGGAGGGCCATTCGCATATGCTCGATCGACAAAGTCATTTGGACCGGCATTGTATCCGGCAGGGCCCCCATACTGTCCCATATAAGGAGCGGCGGCAGCAGGGCCTGCTCCATATGCTCCAGCAGGTGGCCCAGAAAATGCCATTCCAGAACGACCGCCTCCTCGCGCAAAGCGATCCAAACGAACCTCAATCATCCGTCCCATAAAGTCCGTACTGTCAAACATACGAATAGCCATTTGAGCTTCCTGTACAGTTTCCATCAACACTATACCATTGCCACGAGAACGTCCCTCATGGTTCATTTGCACATCAGCACGAACAACATTGCCTATATTTTTCACATGTCAACAAATAGCTCTTAAAAAATAAAACAAATTGTTTCAGGTTAAATTTGCAATCACAACGCAAAGACAAGTACATACCGGCTTTCCGAAACAAATCCTTCAAATCCTGCCACCGGACACTGTAAGGTAACTAAAGAAACGCAAATGTCAGTACACCTAAACCACACAACGAAGGAAAGACGCTTGTTTGCAATCACGTTTGATGTTGTCCCGACCGACGCCCACAACGACTTCACTCATGATACACATCCGATCACCAGGCTTGTCACATCATCTAGCTCTTAACGCCTTGAAAAGAATATCATCGCTCTCGGAATGTTTCAGTTGCTGAATGATGTCTTTGAGCTCTTTCATGTTTATGCTGCAATCAACATGCATCAACGCACCCGAGTCAAAACACCGCCGCCGCAGAGATTGTAACCGTTGGTTTAATCAGTTGCTCACAAGCGAGACAGCCATAGTCAATAAAAACAACATCATCACGAAAACACAAACATCCTCTGGTCCCAAAAGAAGCACTTACATTACCAACAAACAGTTGTCTTGAAGATTCATCTTCTCCGCCCATTCCCTCGCTTCTTCTGACTTCGGAATTTATTCCAGTACCACTAAACTTGGGTTCCTGTTCACGATCCTGTTCCACGTTAGCTCTCCAAATTCTGAATACGAATATTATGGCTTGAGCACGCATAGACACAAAATAGGATAGCATTACCTCTCGAACGTAAATTAGACGACCCATCAATTTTTGATTACTGAGCATTGCGACTGCTCTTCTGGCTTCATCACGAGTAGAATACTCGACAATTCCACAGCCCTACAGGGAGTTAGCAAGATATCGAGACAAGCGGGTTTGAAAACAATGGGAGGGAAAAAAAGAGTGTCGTGTGGCTGCATTCAGTGCTCTTGTTTCTCTCGTAGTCCGTCTCGCGCCCTCCCTATGTCTTCTTACGCATCAAACATACTTTTGATAATCCGTTTGGCAACTCTAGAATTTCTGCGTACAAAACATGGCCAGCTTGACGCATAAAGTCCTTCAATTCATTCCAACGAATTTGATAGGGCAAGTTTCCGACGTAAACACGTCGGTCTTGTTGAGTGTGTTGTTTTCCAAGCAGCAACTCTGGATCCTTCTCGGGATACTTGCTATCTGCAGGGTTTTCGTCTCTTCTTCTTAAAAAATCGCGATCTCTATCCCCGCGATCACCCGCATCGCGACGTCTGGGAGACCGGGAACGATCTCTCGCGCCAGCAGACGACGAATATGCACCGGTCTGCATGTACGACATATCAGGCATATACACACTACTCTGAGTGGTACCATTCTGCTCTCAGTTAGCACAATTGCTCCTTAACGCGCCAATTTCAATCGAAAAGTACCCATTCTGTTGTACCCGACATAAGTGAATTGTTTATGAGGTACTTGGCTAAGGAATTGTTCTTCTCGGAGGATGGTGGAGAATATGCTCTGACGGGGGCGTGTGGGATAGTGTGGGCGTTGGTGGGGGCATGAAGTGACACTTGGTAGGAATTACGAAGTAAATGCATAGAATATAGGGATAAACGGGCGTAAGGATACATTAGAGATCTATTAACATTCAGTCGTTCATATACAAAGATCATTATCTGTCCGCGTTTGATTTATTAACATACACATTCACGGATGTGTCTTTTAGTAATACAGTAGCAGTCGGGAATGAGGCAAAATAAGAAACAGTAGATTTACGGTTTGTGGAATACATTTAAGAACATATTCCCACTGGCAAAGCTTAACCCTTGGCACCAAACTCCTCATTCCACTGCTGGAAGCGCTGCAGTCCCTCGGCGTTCACACTTGGACGAATTAGCTTTAGACTATTAGTAAAGTCCGTATAGTCTATGGGCCGAATAAACTCCATACGAGTCACCAGCAAATCTTCGCCCAAGCTTCGTAAGGGACCCATGGCAGCGTCTTTAGCAAGTGCCATTAAGTCTGAACCCGAGTAATTATGCGTAGCATCGACGATGGCTTCCACTTCCTCATCCGTAAGACAATGTTTTTGCGAACGAAGTAGTTTAAGCAAATGCAACTTGCGCGTCTCGCGCTCCGGCAAAGGAATGTATGTTCGACGCACAAAGCGTCGCCGAGCTGCTTCATCAATACACCACGGGAGATTCGTGGCCGCAAGCACTAGCACACGAGACTTATTGTCAGAGGATCGTGCAGTAGAACTAGCTAAAGAGGACCACTGGATTAAAAATTCGGTTTTAATGCGTCTTGAAGTTTCATGCTCATTTCCATCTGAACTGCGAGCAGAAAGAAGGGAGTCAATTTCATCCACAAAAATAATGCTTGGTGATAGTTTTTTCGCCAACGTGAAAAGGGCTCGAACTAGTTTCTCGGACTCGCCCAACTAAGTAAGGTTAGCATAAGACTTTGAGGTTCCTCAGATGGATACGTACAAATTTTGATGTAAGCGAAGAAGCAGAGATGGAGAAAAAGGTTGACTTGGATTCGGTTGCAACAGCACGAGCCAACATTGTTTTGCCTGTACCAGGTGGTCCAAATAACAACATTCCCCGTGCAGGTTCTCGCAATCCCTGAAACAAATCAGGTCGTAGAAAAGGATATACAACAGTCTCCTTCAAAGATGACTTTGCGTCTTCAAGCCCTGCAATATCGTCCCAGTGCACCTCGTCACCTTCCACAACAATCTCTCTCAGAATGGTCATACCCAGTTCTTGGTCTATGTCAGGACATTCTTTCAAAGCACGCAGCTGTCGACTAAGGGTGGGATTAGCGTTAGGAAATTCCTGCTCAGATTCACCATCCACAGGAAATTGCTTCACGGGTTGCTCTTTTGTGGGCTCAGAATCCGCATCAGCGGTCAAGGGAATATCGATTTTCACCGGAGGCGGCCGGCGTGGAGGGGGAGGATGACTGACAGATACCGGCGTCCACACATTTTGCGACGGCTCCGATGTGTATTGAGGTGGTGTCTTGGGTTTGTGCATTGACTTCTCCGGCGAACGCGGTTTGATTTGGGAAAGGTCGGGATCAGGAGGTAGCCAGTTTCCGGTTAGTTTTCTCGTAAATGTTTGCTTTACGACAGGTGATGACCTGATGAAATTTGGACTTGGGGAACGATTGTTTTGGTTGCGTTGGGGTGTCGCCAACGTCTTTGATGCAAAGCTTGGTTTCGCAATTGTATGCGGCGGTTGTCGAACAACGCGAACAGGCTCCTGCAACCGTTTTGTCGGCGACGACATTGTCGGGGTCGACGGAGCTGTAGTAGGAAAGGAATTCGCAATCGCATTCCAAGCAAGCAGGGCTGCTTGCCCTGCATTGCTCCGCTGTGGACGTTCCGGTGCAAGAGTACGCGAGGAGTACAAAGCAGCTGGTTTCTCCTTCGACGAATGTCCATGTTTTGTACTGTTGAAAGTGGGTCTCAGAGAACGGTTTTCGGACGAAGACGATGAACGAGGCCGTAATGTGGTACGTGGGACATACCCACGCGAAGTCAGTGTTAGTCCTTCAGGAGATGGAGACGAGGGTGAGGATCGAGTGTATGTACGGTGAGATGTATCGGCAGCCGAAGAAGAGTGCAAGTAGCGACTTCTTGCTGAGTCCTGAGACAGCGGACGTTGTGAATTTGGCTGGATAGAAGTGGAGACCGATTCTCGAGACTTTGCAGCCTGATGCTCCTCTTCCAATCGTTGATGAGCTAGTTTTTGCTGAATAATTTCGGCGTTCAAAAAGTCAACACGGGACGAGAGCCCTTCCAGCATACATTCCAAAGCTTCGACAAAGTACCGATCAACGTCTCCTACACTGTCTGGAAACTCGTGGAACTGACGAAATTCAGGGTTTTCTTTGATAAGATTCTCCGCCTTTTTGTACATTGCCAAAGCCTCAAGATACTCAGCATTCTTTTCCTTTGATATAGCAACTGTTGCATACGATTGAGTACGATTGAAACAGTCTTCCAGCGACATTATTGTTCATTCTCTTAAGAAATTATGAAAATAAAAACACACGTTCACAAAGCACCGAACTGAGAGAAATCTCGTTTAAGGTTATTATTAAGGTTTGTTGTTAGCTTAAGGAATAGGATGCAAGAAACCACAAACGCGTGCTTTTTCACAGAAATTGGTTTTCAATAAAATGTCTATGTTCTAAGTAACGTCGAAATGAGTGCCAAGGTTCAATTCCGTCACGAGGCTGCAATCGAACAGTCGGTATTGGGAAACACCTGTTGACAGTGTGTACGAGTACGAATAAGAGTGTGTATGGTTTTGGTGGTGAGTTTGATGCCTATGACGTAAAGCAACCTCACCACCAGAGAACAGCGCCATGCATCACCCCGCACACGTATCGGTAGAGCGGGGTAATGTTTGAGAGATGATCGATGAGTAAGTAGAGTCTATGGCGTGAAGAACACACAAATCTAATAAAACACAGTGCACTAGACTCGTCAATTGTAACCTTAAATCGATTCTTCACTTTCGCTTCGTCCTAAATAATTTATAATTGACATATTCTTCATTAAATACAGTACTTCGTTATAGACAGCCACATTGGTAGTTATTCGAAAAGCAGCTGAAAAAATTGAAACAAGAAAAAACTTCCAAAAAAAAAAGGATCAAATGTTTTGTTCATTAGCAACCTTGATCTGGTGAGACTTGGACGTAATAATATCGTTACCAGCAGAACCATAGTTCACCGATTGTATGCGCTGGAGTTCATCAACAAAACTCTTGCCCCAGAATTGGCTAGTGTACTTGTTGACATAACGATACAGCTTTTGGTGGTTGGCCCGTCTTTGCTCGGGTGGCATTATAAGGGCGTCGTGAATGGCATCCGCGAGTTCCTCGGTGTTCCAAGGATTGACAATGATACTTCCGTTCAACGATTGTGCAGCACCGGCAAACTCGCTAAGGATGAGGGCGCCATTGCGCTTTTGCTGAGTACAAATGTACTCATAAGACACCAAGTTCATACCATCACGCGTAGAAGTAATTAAACAAGCATCCGAAATAGCATACAAAGCCACAAGCTCGTCAAAGGTAACGCTCTTGTGCAAAAAGTGGATAGGAGTAAACTCGGCCGTGCCGAACTTACCGTTGATACGGCCCACGAGCTCGTTCACAACTGCTCGAAGGTTTTGATACTCTTCAACGTCTTGACGTGAAGGAACTGCAACTTGGATAAGCACAACCTTACCCACCCACTCAGGATACTGGGTAAGGAAGACCTCGAGTGCATGGAACTTTTGAGGAATACCCTTGATGTAGTCCAAACGATCTACACCAACAATAATTTTCATTCCTTGCAGCTTTCGCTCAAGAGCGGTGATGCGCTCCTTCACCTTCTCTGAGCGCAAAGCGTCGGCAAACTTCTCTGGGTCAATACCAATGGGGAATGTTCCCACACTGACCATGCGTCCATCGTACTCTACACCATTGGGTAGCGTATTTAGACCGAGAATACGGGAACAGGCGGACAAAAAGTGACGAGCGTAGTCATAGGTATGGAAACCCACAAGATCACAGCTTAAGACGCCCAACAGAATCTCGTTTCTGACAGGGAGAATACGGTAGATTTCACTACTGGGGAAGGGCGTGTGCAAGAAGAAACCGATCTTGATGTCTTTCAGTCGGTCGCCGATCATGCTTCGTAGCATCTGCGGCAGAAGCATCAAATGATAGTCCTGCACCCAGATCAAGTCGCCATCGCGCAGGTTTTTTACAATTGCCTCAGCAAATTTATGGTTCGCTTCACGGTAGGCTTCCCAATTGTCCTCATCGAAACTGATCTCACCGGGGTGGTAGTGGAACAAGGGCCAGAGGATGCTGTTACTGAATCCATTGTAATGGCGATCAGCAAGCTCATCATCTAAAAACACCGGAATCGCACTGCATTCATCCAGTAGGCGTTTCGTAATGTGCTCCTGTTCGTTTTCCGGAATTTCCTGACCTGTTCGAGAAAAGTTAGCTTATGTCATACATACGTCATTGACTAGATGTTTCTCGACGATCACTGCGCCCATGACGTCATCGAAACAACCAGCAACGCGAATCGAGGGGATGACGTACCACACCATCCAATCCACTGGAAGGTCATTAACTTTTTGAGACCGCTGAGGGCGCTGACAAGGCCTCCAGAGGACATACTGAAGTTGTATTTTCCTCCTTGGGACCGTTTAATAGTAATAGGAAGTCGATTGGAGACCACAATGAGCCGGTGACCCTTCAGGTCAGCGTCTTCGCTTTGACGGATATGCGTCGGATTGAGTTGATTCATGCCAGACATTGAATCGTTTCGTTTTAAATTGCTGTTCGTTGCTTTAAAGATTGATTGTACAGGAAAATAATTAGCGTTGAACTTTCTGTTCAATAAAGGGTGGATGGATGCGAGTTGGAGTGGGCAAGTCGAGCTTTAATAAAATAGCTTATGAGGGGTTCGAGAATAGTATAATGCATATAGTAGACGAAATGCGTCTCCTAAATGTAATAAAACAACTGATATATAAATCGGCTGAATCGATACATGTTTTAGGTTTATGCGTTTTTTTAAGCTCAACTGTGTTAGAGTTTTCCAGGCCCTTCACCAACTCTAAGCAAGCATTTCCTCCTCCACGAAAAAGACCAGAAGGAAAGCAATATTGCCTTATTTGAATGAACGAAAAGCTTTGTAGTTTCCCACACTCTCGAACAAATTGTTTATGTTTCAAAACGGTCGATGAACCGGCTCTGAAATATCAAATCTCCTCTATTTTCATATAACACCGATTTTTCAACCTTCTGAATGCCATTGTGCTCCTCCTTGGATGATTGACGCACCTAATGACGTTTCCGAATGGATCATCAGACTTTGTAGGTGTTTTGCTGAGCCAATTATGGCAATAGCGATTTATGTCTCTGACCGCTTGACAATTTAGGTGAAGAAGTTGTACAAAGTGCTTGAAGACCCGGCATATCACAATTTGATTCGCTGGGATCGTTCTGGCAAGTCGTTTATCGTGCTACAGGTATGTTATGCCCAAGAATACGTGTACAGGAGGAATTGAAGGGAGCTTCTCTGCGTGCATTCATGTTTACGCGTTTTTTTGCCGCAACTCTAGTGTTTCTTGTCTCCTATCATCGTTCATACATAAGTTTTTTCTGCTCACTACTAACGGACTCTAGCCAAGCGCGTTTACCAAAATTGTGCTAACGAAGCACTTCAAGCATTGCAACTTTTCAAGCTTTGTCCGGCAACTGAACAAATACGATTTTCACAAAGTTCGAAATTCTGGGAACTGTGAGGGCATTGGCGGCGAACAATGCTGGGAATTCAAACACGAAAAATTTCAGTTGCACAACGAAGAGCTGCTTGATGAGATCAAGCGAAAAGCGCCAGCTTCAAAGGGATTTTCGGCAGCGAACTCAAGAAACGCGCTAAATGAGGTCCATATATTACAGCAGCAGCTCGACAGACTCTCTTCCCAGCAAGCTAGAATGTTGCAGCACATCCAAATGGTTCACACGAATTATGAAGAAGTTTGTGAATTGCTCCAAGACTATAGTAATAAGGTGACAGTTCAGGACAAACTGCTCGAACAAGTGATGACTCAAATGTGTGGCTCCAAGCGGGCAGGGCTTGTCTCGAATCCAAACAACTCTACTCCCATGCCTGCTCAGCAATCGTTTTCACCACCATATTATGATCGCTCTCGAACGGTTGTCAGCCCTTTAAGCACTATTCCGACCATACCCTCTACCCGAGGTTCATCGGTGTCCTTTACCCACAGTCTCTCATCCGCAAACTTATCTGATGTTAGTCAATGTGTGTCAACGCCTAGTTCAGACATGTGGCACACTGGTAATGCAAGCATTGCATCGACAAACAATAAAAAAGCCATGAAAGTGCTCACAGAGGCGAACCTGGAGACGCCGACGCCTATACTCATGAAGAAGAGTCCGCCCAACTCGTTATTGTCAGATTCACAACCTATTCAATCTCCCCCTTGCAACCGTGGCATGATGGATTATTCTTTGTCAATGCCTCATTTCCCTGTAGCATATACCGCGCCAGCTTCTGCAACTCATTCGTTTTCCCCATTGCCACCTACTGCAGATTCTAGCAGCCGATCTTACGATCCGCTTGATAATTACGGAGTCGGAAGTTACTGTCAGCCGCTCATGTCAGAAAATTCGCTGGCTTCAAGTACCTCATTGTCTTCGTTGTCAACAGAAGCCTCTGCCTGTTCCGCGTCCTCCTTCGTCACTGCCTCCAATGAGAATCCGGGGGCAAGGAAGATGTCGGAGCCGTCTGTGTCAATTTCAACATATCCAATTGTTCTCGTTTTGGACAGTGATATCAAAGATGTTCCTTTCACAGTCAATATGTTCGAGGGCAGTGGATGTGTGACCTACACAGCCAGCGATGCCGTTAATGCTCTGCGCCTTTTGGAGTCGCAGTTCATTGAGTTGTTGGTAATTGCAGGATCGGCACTATCCGTTTATGATTATTTATATCCGTCCATACGGCAACGTCATCCTTTTGTGGTTGCTCTATTAGAAAGTGTATCCGAAAAGGATCAAAGCTATCTTCTCGAAAAGGGAATTGATATGGTGGTTCTGAAGCCATTAAACTCCAATTCCGTCAAAACTATGCTTGAACGAACACGCGCCATGGCTGCTTCTGCGGACGAGCAAGCTTACAAATATATTAATTCCGGTGTTTCCCGATTATAACCTTGCCGGTTGCATCGTGTTCCTCTTTTGTACGCGACAAAAATGACGGCGACGACCGCGCCCTGATTACTTACACTCCACTCACACCAATGTGTTTCACATTTTCCTCTTATATCGTATTATCTACTGTTACATACTGCATCATCGTCGTTTTTTCATTTTGAAATTAGATTGTTTCGCGAGACAAAGACGAAGTGAGACAGAACTACGGATGGTAGCTCTGTTCTGTTGGCAAGGAAATGTCTGTCTGTTGCTATTAGATGACCAGCACAGTTTAAACGGACGAGCTACCGGACGGTTTTAAGTCACCCACGTCGTCAACACAGCTTTTTGCTTAGATTTTTTATAATAAAAAGTGTCTGACAAGAATTAAAAGAAACGAACATAGCACAATAATGGTTATGAAGGGGAAACGTGTCCTCGAAGGGAATGAGCAAACAAGAGTCTGCTTCTTATACGAAACGACGAAACAAGCATTAGAAAAGGCGCATCAGGGGTCGTTGAAAAAAACCTTTAATAGGAAAATATGCAGGGAGCGAATAGAGAGGGAGAGTAAGTGCAGGTAATTTGTTTTCTAAGCATCAATAACATATGTCCAGCGATGCTCCGAAAGACCACGAACTGTGTCATCAAGCAGCACCTCGCGCCGACTTTTGACATAAACAGTTCGATCAAGAACCTTTTGTTTGAAGCTGGCGACGTCTTCAGGAGTAAACGGGCTCTCACAAAGCTCACTGAGATTTTCCACTGCAATTTCCAGGTCGCGTTGATTATCTTCAAAAATCTCCGTTTGGTTGTCCCGTTTTAAATAGAACGCAAATGCATATGTCCACTTCAAAGTCTGACGGCAGATACAAAGCGTGTCTACAGCATTCTTTAAGAATTGTACCTCCATCCATGACAAGTTGGATGCAACTTGCATTTCTGTCATACGTTTCTGTGTTTGTTTGTACAGCTCCCTATCGAGCTTAGCCGATTGTTCGTGATTGGCAAATCGGTTATAATAATGCAGATACCGATCCAGTGAAGCTCGAGAAGAAGATTGGCTATCCCGGGCTTTGGCGCTGCTCTTCTCATCATAACGGTTGCAGGTATACCAACTGTTCCCGTGCTCTGTCCATGGTCCGAGACAAACCCAGCAAAATCCGTACTTACATTTCTTACAAGTCATGTGGTTGCAGCCACCATTTTTCTCAATCGTTGTCAAACACTTGGGGCACTCCTTTGTATTTGCGTGAATCCAGTTTGCCGTCTCTGAGTCATCTTGACACTTTTGAAGCCAGATCTTTACAAGACTGCAGATAGCTGGCTGATGATTATCACGGCCACAACCGAAGCAAAACTGGTTTCCGCAAGCACATGTTACTGTGGGCACCACTGTTTCCAACTGTGACCGCCGAACATGGCAAAGAATTGCGTACTGGCAATCAGGTGCAGGACACCAGCACAAGGAGTCATTCTCGTCCACGAATGACTGGTCCAGCAATTGATAGTATCGATCAAGAACGTTTTTTGGCAGCAGTAAATCAAAAGATGCTCGTGAAACAATATGACTGCAGTTCTCCTCGGGACATTGAACCAAGCTTTCACCTTCTTGTATACGAGTAGTTAAATAATGTTGGTAGCATTCTTTGCAAGCCTCATGTCCACAATCCATACCAAACATTTCGAGCATTCCTTCGTCGAAACAAATATTGCATGTAGCTTGCTTTTTGACAACGCTGTGTTGATGTTGGTCACTCGATTCAACACCTGCTTGCTTGAGAGTGCGTTCTGGGTCTTCAACATACTTTTCCAGCAAGCGCTCTTTGTTCCAACGAAAGTACCGAAACAGAGCAAGTGTTTGTTCACGTGTAAGACCCGTTATACTCATGATGTGCTCGAGGTTTTCAGCCTGCCAATTCCGAAGATCTTGAATGGTAGCAACCTTGAAATCGACATCATAAGCCTTCTTCTTTTTCGAACCAATAGTAAATCCGTCACTTTCGTTTTCGTTTAACTCGATATTATCTTCACCGAAGCTGACGCCTACTGTTGTTAGCAGCTTGCAGGAAGAGAAGAAAGGTGGGAGAAGAGGAGAAACATAGGATAGGAGACATGTTAAATGTACCAAATAACTAGTACCTTGAATAAAGTCTTCATCTAATTCTCTTATGGACCTTCCCATCAATGTGACGTACCTGAATCATCCGTATCAAAGTCGGAAAACTCTGACTTGTCCGAGAATTCGTCGTCGAGAAACGCATCCTCGTCAAGACTATCCATTGTGGATTCTTCTTCCACGCGTTTCCGTTTTAAGTCTTTCGTCTTGAACAAGAAGCTTTAGCCTTGGCAATTGTATGTCTTTGTGGCAAACCGTCGATGGCAAATGGACGAATTGCTCTCAAACTGATATGATTTTAGGTGCTAGCGGCTTGTAGTACCCAACTAATATAAACGATTTGTACCAACAGGTCGCGTGCAGCTCAACTTATAAGAACAAGCGCCTACTATCAGATACGAGAGAACAACCGGTATCTCAAGCGAAGCCTCTAATGCTTAGTCTGCTTTACTTTAAAGAATGAAACTGAGCTTTCCTTTTGGTGGTGAATCTGGCCTAAGCGAATCCAGCGGAGTACCGAGTCGGAACGAGGATCTGCGAGAATAGGCGACACAATCTCCGTTATTATTGGTACTCCTTTGTCGAAACGACTCGTAACGAAATATGACCGAAGAGCTCTCGGTTATGATTGCATTGAAAGCTACCATACAAAAACAAAAAACAAAAACAAGTTTAGTGACAGAACAGTAGAAACCATTAAATCTTTAGGTGTAGAATGATATAAAGGACATAAAAATGTAAATAATTATTTGTGTTGTTTCAGCGGTTTTTCTGTGGGGTTCCAGACCTCCGTCTCCTCCCTCCAACGAAGTTTAGATGCTTCACCCCTAGAAGAAGCTTTGAGCTGATCTTCTGCTAGCACTTAACAAGGCACTTTTATGGATGACACTGTAATAAATCGAGTACTAGAGGCTTTGGATGTCGTCCATTCCTCAACGACTGCACCTGATGTGCGTGTTTCTGCTCAGCAAGTAAGTTTATCGATGAATCTTATCATATTAGAATACATACTGATTTTTTTCGACAGTTCTTAGATGAGTTGAAGGCGTCTAAAACAAGTCCAGCTGTAGGAAGTGCCTTATTAAATACGGTTCAAGAACAACTGGCCTCCAATGGGCTCCATGTGGATGTGAATTCGGTTCGTCATTTTGCTCTCAGTTTGTTTGAGGCTTCCATTTGTCAGTATTGGCCCCAATTCTCTGAACAAGAAAAAAAATTCATTCAAGTTTGCATATGTGATGTAGCCCTTCGGAATACAGACTTTTTGACTGCTTATTATGTCCGTACAAAAATTAGCACGGTTCTTATCGAATTGGCTAAGAGAGAATGGTTCCAATCGTGGAAGGAGGATTTTAACGAGTTCTTACTAAGTCTCTGGACACTAGGTGATGCACCTCGACAATTGGCTTGTTTGGTACTTAGGGGGATAATGGAAGATATGTACCAGTTTGAGGATCCAATTGCAGCTCTGCGTCTTCCCATTCTTCACAATGCTCTTCTGAGCGTTCTGTGTTCCACAAAGGTGCTGAAAGAGGTGTATCCCTCAGGTCTTCCTTACTCCATATCTATTCCTGCAAATAGCGAAGGTTGGCTTTCCTTATGGTCTAAGGCAATGGATCGTGAATCCGACATTCTAGAGGTACTCCAATGTTTTAAAAGCTGTTTGTCTTGGGTTCTTACTCGTTCTATTTGCGAGTGCAACGTTGTTCCCCGCATCTATAACTGTCTTCTTAACTCGTCGCTTGAGTTGAAAAAGCAAGCTGTGGATTGCTTGTATGTTTGTGTCACTCGTACCCTTGACCTTGATGATCCTATGTGGCCTTTTGTAGATGAGATGCTTTCAACGACTTCTCTGATCACTCTCCATCGACTGTTCACGCAGGCCAGCGAGTCTATTACCATGAATTCGCTATCTTCTACAAGTTCAGAGTACACTTTCTTGAAAAAGCTGACGGAAACCATTGTTGCTTTGGGACAGTATAACTATATGGATGTCCACCGACGGGCTTGTATTAATTCAGATGCCCTGGATACATATGTCAATCTCGTAATTGAAATTATGAGACATCCAAGTATGCTCATTAGCGCCATATCACAGCACTTTTGGGTGCTCGCACTGCGTGATCCTATAATTTCAAAAAACGAAAAGTTTAATTTTGTCTTAAATGATTTACTGCAGCTCGCCTCTGAGCGTGTCCTTCGGTTTGAGGATGCGCTTGTTGAATATATCGCCGGTTCTAAAACGGCACAGTTTTTGGAATACGATGTTGAAGGAACTGCTGCGGTCCATGCTTTTTGCGGAAATTATCGACGCTTCATGTTCGACATAATCCGTCTCTCCGTATCACTAAAGCCCATGGAGTCATTGGGATGGATTTATGGAAAGTTTGAATCTGTGGTGACGGCAGAGATGCAACAAGCTCAAAACAGGAATGCCTATTTGGAACGGACATCTCCTGCGTATCTTATTATTGATTCAGTTTTCACCACTATTGAAGCAGCCATTCACGGCGTTACGCGCTGGCATGACATGAATGAGAACGAAAATGAACTGTACGAGATCCTAATGCAAAAACTCAACGGATGGTGTGAAATTTTGGTGAAAATCAACTTTGAAGACCCGTTACTTATCAGCCGCTTAATTACTGTTCTTGTTCTTTGCATTTCTATGATAGCGAAAAACAACACGAATTTGCTTGGTTTGGTTTTGGAGAAAGTTATCTCATCAGTAACCTCTTCAAACTCATTTGCAATTCGTCTTCCAAAGGACTCTCAAAAAATCCAGGAGATGAGAAATAAGTGCTGTTATGAGCTGTTGCGTCTTGGCGAATTAATGCCAAATCCGTTGATGAGTATCTATGATCAATTGGAGTCTATTATTGGGCAAATGGGCGATTCCTCCAATTTGAGCGGATCGGAAATAATCATTTTAAAGACGTTTCTATTTGTTATTTCCCAATCCTCTGACACTGATTGGAGTGTAAAGCAACGTTATTTCGAGAAACTAGTAAATCCAGTTGTTACAACTTGGTTGGATGTACACCCACCAGTGTCAACATTTGGTGAATTCATTAACCATGTTTCCCTTCCACAAATTTCTGATTATCTGGCTGCAAAGTTCCCATTCAAAAGCGACCTCACAAAATACGAACTGGATTCTGATGCAGCGAGTTTCCAGTCCGACCTTGAGAATGGCAGGAAATGGCTGTGGCCCATAAAGTGTCTTGGACGTTTCTGTGAGGCCACCGTTGCAAATAAGCATTTGCACCCTGAAGAGTTTCCCAAACATATCCAATTGTGGAGCACAATCATTCCTAGTATTTTACCCGGTATCTTGTTATTAGTCGAACAAATGCATGGATGCTATGATCCTAGCGTGGTAGCAACTTTGAATGAGCATACGCGCTACTTTCTTCAAAAGAGCACGACCGAGCGCTTTTGGCTTCATGGTGTGAGCCAAGTATCTAAGTCACAATTCCTTGAGGAGTCGTACAAATCAGACACAAGTGCGAATAAGCTTGTTCACTCATTTGGCCATTTTCTGCGGAGGATGCGTGAGTACTGCTACTTTACTCTGTCCTCTTTCATGCTCCTTGGCGAGCCTTTCTATCGCACAACCGACATGTCCAAGCTTTTTTTGAAGTCTTTCTTCTATCATGCCGCCGGTTTCACCTTGCATCAGTGGACTGCAGTAGTGAACAATATCCTTAAACCATACTGTCTGTATTGTCCTCCTGACCTTCGTGATGATTGTCTCCTTCCGCTACTGCCTCCGCTGCTCTCCCAATTGGATAAGACCATTGTGACCGAATGGAGAAAGGTTGCTGAGCGCGGCACTGTTTACGATGAGGACAATGACGAAGATGAAGAGAATCTGTCTGAAGAAATGATTGGTGAGTCCTTGCTTCGCTACCTATCGTTTGCTACTGCACGTTTAATCTCCGAGGTTTTGCTTCAGATTTCTCCTAGTCGTTCATCTTCTCGAAGTGCTTCTGCGTTGACAACTAGTGCAAACAAGTCAGCCGTTCTCAACCGTTTGTCTGATTATGTGTTGAATAGCGTTCTTATTGCTGAACCCTTGTTGTGCATATTGTGTCACATGCTCGTTATCCATGACACCCGTACCGTTTCCCAAGCCATTTCCGCTTTCCTTGCCATTGTCCCTTCCCTTGTTTCAGAGCAAGCGCATGTTGTTGTTCGAGAGTTCGTTTGTCAGCAAGTGTTTCAAACGGTTATCATGGCCATTAACGACCCATACTTTGAATCTCTTCAGTCTGATCTCCTGCGTTTGTCATGTCTTATCCTTTCTTTATCACAAAATCTTAGTTCAACACCTGCACAAGTGCTTAACAGAATACCCTCAATTTCTTCTCAGCCTGATCTGCTTCCCAATTTCCTCCAAAAGTTCAAGGAAGCTACTACACTGAAGGTGCAAAAAGCACTTTTATCTAAGCTGTTGCATTCAGGAAACGTGTTTCCGCGCAACAATCGTACAGCCATCAATGCTGCCATCCTGGATGTCAGTACGAAGGAAGTTCTGAGTCGGTTTGAAAAGAGTGTCACCATCAATGATGACAGTAAGAGTAATTTACTCTCTCGAGACGAAGACATCGGATTGTCTTCGTTGTTTTCTTGAGCAAGAGACGAGCGTTCTAAAAGTTTGCTATTACTCTGTCTCTACACACAGAGACTGAGTACAATCCCTGTTTCATACTAAAATATTAAAAACTTAACTAAGGCTCACATGAAGCGGGATATGATTATAAAAGATCACTACAAAATTATTTACGAGAATCACGAGCTAAGAAAGTTTCGTAGAGATGGTAGAGACGGAAAGGACGGCAGATATCGACCGCGATTGAGGGCCAGCAGTTTCAATATTCGCATAAGCGGGCTGTATATGTCTTCTGCACATTCCAATCCAACTCTCGTTATTGCCGAGGGCCGCGCTGCAGGCTCTGCAAATTACAATCCTGTTTCTCTTTAAATTGCCTTTTACGTAATCCAATATCTCTTATCTAGACTTTAATTTGCCTATCTCCTTATCGGCAAATTAAAGTGACACGCGATTATCATCGCTTTGTTACTTGTGTTACTTCACAAACCTCTGCCTGTCCGCGGCTCACCGTTGGCCCATATTCGAACAAACGACATTTCCTGGCCGCAGTTTGTCACGTATCAAACCGAAACGTGCAGTACTGGTACCAAGATTTGACATTGATATTGAATTTCAGTTGTGGGTGAAAACGGCAATAAAAGTGTGTTTCCAAATTGGACGTCCTGAAGGGCTTTCCTTTGACATTCGTTAGATCGGGGACTTATAAAAGAAAACATCAAAGATGACGAAGAAGAACGTCTTCAAGAACGCAGAGGATACCAAAAAATATCATCTCAGTGACTTTAATTCTCAGGCAACTCCATTGTCTAGGACGTCAATGAAAAGTACTGAATTTCGAGGTTTAATTGATACTGACCGCTAGGTTTACAACATGTTCCGTGCAAGTTTTTTCGTCAAGGAACGTGTACAAGTGGAAAAAACTGTGTGTTTAGTCATGATTTGGAGCCAAATTCCGAAAAAACTGTGTGCAAGTATTTTCTGAAAGGCAATTGCAAGTTTGGATCTAAATGTGCTCTAGATCATGTGTATCCCGATGGTAAACGAGTGAAATCTCGAGCCATTATCAACGGCACTGCTCTCGCGGGCACATCAGCATCTCCTCCTCCATATGCAGGAAATATCAGTGGTCCTCCCTTGACTGCCATGGCATCGAACAATGCGAAGACTGACGGAGCAGGTGAACGAGCATCGGTTTCTTCGGTTCCTATACCGAAAAAGGCAGTAGGAACTGTAAGCCGTACCCCTTCACGTTCCATCAGCTACAGCTCTGCCGATCCTGGCTCCATTTCCGGTACCATTGGCTTGGGTTCCTTGCCTGCAGCTGTGGATCCTTTGAAAACAACTAGTGCCACGGAGGGTACTGGTACCGATGGTATGAATGAAAAGAGAGGTGTGGACGAGTACTGAATGAAGTGTTTTCCCCTCATTCATTTGTCGCTTACAAATCAATGAGCATATTTGACTAACAAAAGTTTCAGGAATCTCTCGTGAACAAGGAAATGACAGCTTTTCTCATCAACCTAGTGTTCCCTCTTCTCCTTCAAATAGTCTTTCAAGAAAGGATTTGCTTAGCAAGCTTACCCAAGGAAACGGTGTAGGATTTTCTCCCATAAAACCCAACCCTGCTCCATCTTCTCTTGATAATATGTTCTCGTTATCAACTCGTAGGATGATGCCCCCCATGCATATTACCTCTGCATTCCCTTCTCTAGGAACTAGTCCTGCGTCGCTGCGGACAGACCCGTTCGCTTCGGCGAACGTTTCTCGAGCGCCATTCTCACCTTCCTTTTCTGCCGTATCCCGTTTCTCCGTGTCACACACAAGCAACGGCAGCACTCCAGGAAACCTGGCGTCCGCGTTCAATGCATCTGCGGAAAAACAAAGTGTAAAGGATGATTCAGAAGATTTTGCCAATGAAGAGGATTTCGTACCGAACAGTCTGCAAGAATTGCTTACGCCTCAAGAACTCGAACGACGACTTAGTCACTTTGAGGAGGTCTCGGGAAGCATGACTTCGTCACGTTTCATTTCCAAGACATCTTCAAACATCATTTCAAATGGTGGATTTACGGTTGGTTCAGTGAACGCGGCTGCATCCGTATCATTTACGGGGACACCCACGTCTAGTAGGTTTGGAGCGATCTTTGAAAAGAACAAAATGCAAGATCCACTGCAGTCACCGTTTACGAATTCACCAACCCTAGCTTCCCCAATGACGCCTGGTGTATTGGAGTTTCACAAAAATAATTCATTAGCAAAAGGCGGTAGTAATACTGCTGGGAAAAATTCCTTGTTTACTATACCAAGTGAAAATTATGAACAGCAAGCTGATGACGAAACACAGTTTCAGATGGATGAAGCTTAGAACAGGCTTACTTTCGATTCTCTCATATATGTACGCTCACAAGCAACAATGATAACATTGGATGTCTTTAAATCTGCGTCATACCTTTGTTTTATAAAAGCGTCTGTGAAAGCGCGAGAGTTCTTTTAACCTGTCTAAAAACTTTAAAAAAATCGTGTATTTCTCGTTTTAAAAAAGAAAGAAAAAACTGCCTATTTATTTTCCAGGCTTCGATCTCATACAATTAATATAGGAAAATAGTTTCGACTTGTGGAGGAGTCGTATTCGTGTAATTGATTTAGTTTCATGTACTGTAAAACAATTGAGACTTATTTTCCCAAGTGTCGAAGGAAAGAGCAGGAAAGAGCAAACAAACTGTAAATGTGAAAAAAATAAATGAATAACGAGCTACGTCTCGCGTACTATAGTTAGAAGAAAGAAGATAGAAAGAGATAATGAGCGTTTAGATATACTCTGAAAATTAGGCGCGCAGTTAAGAAAGGTATTTTCCTCCATTATGCTCCGATGATAATCGTTTTTGAAGATGATCCTCCGCAAAAGGTGCGCTAGGGAATACGAGTACTTAAAACAGGATTGTCGGGTAATATTGCCTTAACAAAGACAGAACTTAAATAGTGGTTTTGTTAGGGCGAGTGATAACGACAATACGAACAGGAGGACCATCATAGTAAAGAAGGCGAGGAATGTCAATTTGAGGAACATCTTGAATTTTCAGGTGGCTGATGAGCTTAAGGAAGCGATCAAACGTAATTTGTCGACGGATCGTTGCTGCCAAGATGACTTTGCACTGAGGATTTTTATCAAAAGCAGACTCAATGGTACGAACAAGCATCGACAAATCTCCCTCGTATGTAACATCAGCGGCGATTACAGCGTCGGCATAACCGATCATGTCCTTTCCCCAGGTAAGACGTTCAACCGTCAGTTTGCAATCATTTAACTCAGCGTTACGTTGCAGATCATTGCAAACGCGCTCATCACCATCTGTAGCCAAAACGGAGGCGCCCATCTTGGCACACAAAATACTTACAAGTCCAGTTCCTGCACCAAGTTCGACAATTTTAGAGCCAGATTGAACGGGGTGTTTGTAGAGGTACTCAGCAAGTGCCATTGAGGCCTCCCAAGTGCGAAGACCAGTAGTTCCGTCTTTAACCAGTACATTCTTATCTTCATTGATCTTTACATTGTAGTCGCCAAGCGTGTACACGACTGGAGGATTAGTCTCGCAAGAGAGAGACTCAATATGCGCGTTCAAGATCGCTTCATTGACTTCTGTGTCTTCCGGAGTGTATAATTCAAGGAAAGTGAGGTATGTTTTTAAGAATATGCGGCAATATTTAGAAGGTGAAACTATTTTCGCAATTTCTTCCTGCATCCGAGAACTCGTAAGAAGGGAATAGTCCTCAGCAGTCTCATACATTGTCCATTTGAACGATGTCATGGGAATTTGTTGGAAGTATTGATCCTTTATGCGCTGAAACATTCGCTCAAACGACTCCATTTTCTTTAATTACTGGCAATTAGGTTTGTCTCTGGTAAAGGGTAGACTGAGAGTTGCTATATACCACGATGCTTGTCTTTGGTGTAGCATTTTTGGTGTAGTGTTTCTGCATTCAATAAACTTATCTAAGACGTATATATGCTTATCTCTTACCAGTAATTGCGCGAAATTACGACTAGCATTCGGTTAAATATAACGTTATATCAACTTTATTGTCGTTTCAATGACGTGTGATGAGTTCGAATACAGTTGTACGACAGAAAAGAACCAAAGAAATGCAATTTCCGTTATCAAGAGCTACTTATTGAGTTCGGAAGTTAGATGACGACGTTTCCTAAGAATGGCGTTTTTACTGAAGCTTTTTAAGGCTTCCATGTTCTTAGTTGCATTTTGCTGCTTGTCCGTACTTAGTTCAGTGTTTTATTCGGTCTTCTACAATTTGGTCATTCCTAGTTCATTAGTAACATATAATGTTCATTTTGAGTGAGTAGTTCATGAATGGTGACAACTGTTAATGAATTCGAAACAATTGCTAACACGGCGATCGTTAGGGAAGTATCAAACTTAAAGGCCACAGTACCGTTGGATGCATCTGTGCTAGGAAAGGAAATTCCTTATACTGTGGAACTTGAATGGAGCTTTCCAACTTCCGAGACGAATGCTCAAATTGGCAATCTAAAGGTTGACCTTGCAGTTACTGACAACAGAGGCTTCAACGAAACCACTTCCAAAGTGGTTGTCCTTCCATACACTTCGTCCTATCTAAAGAAGCTAAAGGTATTAGCTTTAGCGCCTTTGTATATTACCAACATTTTGAGAGAGAAGGACAGTGCAAGGGTGACACTCTTTCAATCGAAGATTTTACGACCAGCGTATTACGGGCATGTCGTCAATGACTATGGCAGCTCAAAGCAAGTGACAGCTACTCTTCAGGTGGATTCGAGTAAGCTCGAAATTTACGAGGCAAAACTGCATTTTGTGCCCCAAATCAATGATGTTCGGTAAGTGTCGAGAATTGAAAATGCATGTGTGACTAACAAATAGTTCATTTATGTACAAACACCGCATAATCAGCTTCTTCTTTTTGTCTTCCGTTTTTTGGTTGACGAGTTCGGGCAGCATGCTTGTTATCTATGCTGTAGCCTACTCAAGATTCCGACAAACAAGTATGAAAAAGTCTGTATGAAGCATCTTCATGATGGTTGGATAAGGGAATTGTCGTTTGCACTTAAACTGTAATCGTTAGAATAAGCCATGCGGACCAAAAATAAAAATGTAACCACGAAAAAGTAAAGAATGTATAAATGCAGTTGAGGCTCTGTAACATAGAGCAAGTAAGAATATAAATAAACAGCTTTTTGCAAAAGTGTTGGGGCCTCAATGACAATATGAGGTGACGGTGCTTGCTGTGAAATGGAGGCCGGTATTGGTAACGGCTCTTCTTTTTCGATCTTTTTTTCTACAAACGGGTTTGGTTCATCAGAGTCAAATTGATCATTAACGGCTGCGGTTACGGCCGTAACAGTGTCTTCAATAAAATGTAAAGAAGTATCCTCTATTATTGAAGATGTGGTATTTTCCTCTAGTTCTTCGTCTTTCTCGTCCTTAAGACGATTGAGCGTTTCCGTTAGTTTTTCGATCAATACGTGTTGATCAGAAAGTTCTTTTGAGAGAAGATTATTAATAATAATAACTTCATCTGGGACCGATTTCGAAGTTGATGGCGACTTTGTTGCTTGTTGACACTTCAGTTCGGATAGCTTTTCTTGAAGTTCACGAATAAACAGATCCTGCTGTTGCATGTAAACCGTCAAGTGTTTTGGAGTCTCCTGTGAAGAAAGAGATGGAATGGATAGCTGAACTACGGGTTCGGTAATCTGATGCTTTTCAGACCGGGGATGATGCAATTGAGCAATTTCTTGTTCTAAAGCTTGCCGTTTCAGCCGTTCAGTGTGAAGTTCATCCGTAAAGGCTTGAATTGCCTCTTGGAGATCTTGCTTTTCATCCTGTATTCGTCGGAAAACTTCTTCATCTAGGGTGCATTCTTTTAATGTTCGCTGTAGTTTTTGACATTTTGATTCCTCATGACTTAGCCTTTTTGTAGCGTCGGCTAAATCTTGTCGTAGCAGTTCTTGCTCCTTTTTTAATATCTCATACTGTTCATATACTTCCTTATTTTCGAGATGTGATGTTTCCAACTGCTCCTTCAAAGCCCTTAATTGAGTAGCCTGCTGTTGAAGCTGATTCGTCTGAACGCGTACTTTTGCTGTGAGACCCTTTGCGACATTGGAAGCTTCATGAAGCTCTTTTAATGTACTTTTGTAAGTGTTTTCTGTTAGTGCAAGCTCATTCTCCTTATGCACCAATTCATTCCTCCATCGATCACGCTCTTTTGTAATCATGTTCAGTTCTTCTTGAACTTCTTTTAGCCGCAGTTCTGCAGATCCATTATTTGTTGAAGACGCTTGTGGTAAATGGAGACTGTTTAAGTTAGAAAATCGTTTTAAAACAATACACAGGCCCACGTACTTTGGAAGAGGTGTGGATTGAGCAAGGATATTCCGCCTAGGAGGTGTTTGAAAGAGGTCTTGTCGTTGTGAATGGGGCAGCGAATTAGCAAGGTCCATAGGCCGACCGTTATACATATTTATATGCATACCAGAAGGCATTGGTGAGGGTGAATCTGGACTTCCACGTATAGATGATAGTTCTGAAATCTCGTAAGATTCATTGTCAAGTTGGAGGTTGGGAGGGCCGAAGACAGCAGAGTTGTTTCCCGTTAGTTTGTAAACAAAATCTTTAAATTCTGATTTTGTGACATAAAGTTGCTCATTTTGCTGGATAAAATCCTTTGAAATAGCCCGTTGTCTTTCGTTGAGGAGTGGAAACTCATTTGAATTCTGTGACGCTTGTAAATCGTCAATTACATTTAGGAAATCCTTCAGTGAGACCTAATAAACGGTGTTAATTCATGCTTCAAAGAAACCATGCTATCGCACTACCTTTCCTTGGTTTTTATAGTCGTACGCATCGAAAATAATGTCGAATTGGTACGATTGCTTCATACTACAGAAAGTGTGAAATACAAGGTCTTAATAACCACATATCCTATCCTGTACGACGTTCACTGCTTCCCCTAACTCAGCTAATGCTTCCGCAGTGTTTTATAATAGAATTATACACCAATTAAGCTGCAATTGGGCAATGTTGATAGTGCGCGCGTTCAAGCAGGTCGGTAATATGCGTCGCTACCAAAATACCAGCTTTACGAGAAGTACCAAATTCAATATCAACGCTGAACGACAAAAACACCGCCCTGCAATCGGACCCTCACATAATTTAAAGACACTAGTTGTTTTACAAGCTCCAATTTTCAATACATTAAAATCATGAATAAACATTATTTTACCATACAGACAGTTGTAACACCAATGATAGTAACCAGGGTAGTAATGGTAATAATAGTACAGACGTCTTTAATAATCATAAGCATTAAATAGCGGTAGTTAATAACAGCTAAAGGGAGGAAATATCCCTTCCGAACATGTTGATACGCATCCAGTCAAACGCAACGTTCGTCCGGTTGCGAATCGTATCCAATTCAGAAAGGTACGTCGCACGCCAGAAGTAAAAGGCAGGGAGGCCATGTGCTGCATAGACTTTGTGAGAAAACGGTAGAACAATATCAACAATGGACCTATTGTCACCAACATAGGCGAGTGTACCGCTGTGTTGATATACAAACGGTTTAAACAAAGCATTTCGCGCATGCTTTTTGATTTGCTAAGGCAATCATTTCGTTACCACTCAGATTTTGGATGACAGGAGTTTGCTGCAAACTTTCAACGTCTTTAAATGTGAGGCGAGCAAGTTTGTTAAGCTGTTGACCCAAGTAAATGCCTTGTTGTTCTGCAACTTGAGCGGTAGCTGCGAATTGAGTCGTGGTACAATCTCCAATAGCCCAGACATCCTTCAAGCCCTTCACTTGCATGAAATCATCAATCATTAAACCGCGTCTATTAGTTTGTTCCGGAAGACTGGAGATGAGAGATTGAGTGAGTTGGCGGGGCTTGTTTCCTCCAGCCCAAACAAGTAAGCCGTATGGGATGGTCTTTTTGGTCTTATTGCCTTGATCGTCAGTGACTTCAACATGCAACTCTTCTTTCGTCGCCTCTTTTAGCGCGGTACGTGTTTGAATGTTTATACCGGAGTCGGCAAAATGCTTTACAGCGTACATCCGTCCCTTCTCGGTGAACATGGGAAGGACAGAGGGAAGAGCTTCCAGCAAGGTGACTTGGAAATCGTCTGCCAAATCAGGGTACCACTTCTTTAAATCATGTCTGATGAAGTCACCCATTTCAGCAGAAAACTCCATACCCGTAGGACCTCCGCCAACGACAACTGTGTGTAAATAACGCTTCCTTTCTTCAGGACTCAAACCGGGCAAACTGGCTTGTTCTAAGCACCGCAGAACATGAGCACGAATTTTTTGCGCATCCCAAACTTCCTTCAATTGGCAGCCGTTTTCAAGAACGCCTGGGATACCAAACGTCTGGACATCGGCTCCGATAGAAAAGACAAGATAATCGTATTTAAGTTCCTCTTCAATCTGTTTATCATCCGTGGTCACAGCAGAACGGATTTTAAGGACTTTACTTGAAGGGTCGATGTCTGTACATTCTGACCGAATAAATCTGACTTTATTAGACTTGTGACGAAGGAGGTACCGTGTAGGAGTTATAATGCTGCGTGTCTGAACAGCGCCAGTAGCCGTGCTCGGCAAAAGAGACGTAAACAAAAAGTAGTTCCTGGGGGATACAACGATGACATTGTACTGCGATGTATCCAATGTTCGTAACAATGAAATAGCACCCCAACCTGAACCCAGAACGACGAGCGTTTTCTTGTCTGGATCGGCCTCCGGCTGTTCCACAGCAGGGTTCTTAAATCTGTGAACTCGATAACCGTAGTAAGCCAACGAAAGCCCTGTAACACCAAAAAGTGTGTTCCTTATGGTCTTCCAACGTGATCGTGTTGCATTTGGCTTGAAGTTTCCAGGGAACGTTTTAGCATCTGTACTTGCACGACGAAGAAAATTCGAACACCCTCGATTGCACAAAACCGAATAAAAGGCTGAAAACCTCCCTAAAGAAATGCTTGGAGATTTCATATTTGAAAGAGAGTAGGCTAGAGCTTCAAGCCTTGCAAAAAAGGAGCCAAGTCGTAGATTCAACCAAGGAAGGAGTATTAAGATATCGTAAAGTTTAGAAATATAACTGTTAACGAAAAATGTTACCAGCGGGCAATATCAACAAACAAAAATTTTGTTACATCATAAAATGACACAATTTTTGCGTTCTGTTACGGCACTTGACGTCAAAGAAGGATGAACTTCACAGCCAAGAGTTGACCAAATTAGCAAGAGGGAATGAAACATCCAGAGAATGAAACAAAAAGGAAAACAAAAAGATGAAGAAGGGAAGCTGTGTGTCTAACGTAACGAAAACAAACAATTCAAAAGAGGGAAAAATTGCTGTCAGAGAGAGCAATGTGGAAGAAAGGAAGAAGAGGTAAAACTAGACGGAACGGACTATATCAAATTCCCAATTATACGGCATATTCGTATAACGGAGAAGAACGCTAAAGCATTTAAACCACAAAGTTCTCAAGTATCCTTGAATAATACTCTTCTTCTTCCGACAGCAATTAAGTTAAACGTAATATCTGTCACTTGCACTCCATTGCTATTAAGCAACGTACGCAAGGTTCGTATCGTCTGTACGCTCAATGTATTCCTTCTCAATGAGTTTCTCAATGCCCTTCTTAACTTCAGAAAGGTCTGGTTTTCCTCGTATTTGCAAATAGTCCATTGTTTGTCGCACAAGTTGGTTGTAAGTCATAGTTTTATTTGCTTTCATAAGACGAACAACACAGGCTTGGAGTTCGAATTGTCGATCACGAACAACTTCCTCTTGAACGCTTGCCTTTTCTTCTTTACTTTCGCGAAGTTGAATCTGGTTGATTTTTATGCGGAAGTGAGGATTGGTAAAATGCTGGTTATAGAAAAAACGATGTTCTTTCGTTATTCGCCGGCTCTTAGGTTGCATAAGCAGGGGTCGAACGTGGGCACAACATAGAGATTGTAATGTGCGCGTGAGATCATTGTCGTTCAATTGCGTTCGTTTCTGAATGTCAACGTACGACAATCCTTCGTCGCCAACATCGTTAAAGAGCAAAAGAACACAGGCCTGGAACAGGGACACGCTCAACTCCTTACTTCCCGATGGGAATTCTGCTTTCAGCAAACAATAACACAATGCCGGCCGCCAGGCGAGTCGGCGTGCCGTCTGCTGAGAAAGGTAAAAGTTCTTAAAGATATCCAAATCGGTTTCTAGTTCGGGGGGAAGAGTAATAGTGGTGTCTGGGTACGTTGGCCAGTATGCTAGAGAAAGTACATTCACGAACAGATCGTAGTGCAGAGATCGTCCAAATTTGGACTCCTTGAAGGACTTTGAGAAGTCTTTGGAGAAATCAACGTCTTTAAACATGCCTTCGAGTGAATGTGTAAATGTACTACCGCATTTCTCCTTCAACATCTCAAGTAACTTTCTCTCATTATCGGTATTGGCAGACTTGTTTAACAGTAAACGTTTGGCCACATCACGCTTATAAAATGCTTCAAATACATCCTTGTTTGGCAGGTAACGGAAAATGTCTAACAATTCTGCGCACACGTTATCGAACGTGTTGTTGCCGACGACAGACTTCGTAGACCGCATTAAGTGGTCGATGTATTTTGCCAGTAATTCAGCTGGTTTCTCCCTCCGCGTAGAAGGAAGACTGCTGAGAAAAGTTTCAAAAGACTTGCGCATGCTGTACGACAGTGCTTCGTCTCCCAAAAACGCATGTTTCAGTACGTCTTTCAAAAAGATATGAATCTCTAGTAATTCAGATATGAGAGAGTCATCATGGTTAGGATCATTAACGAGAGAAGAACCCAACGCGACAATTCCCTGCGACCAGGGATCACACAGCAACTTTGTCTCGTCCACCCTTTTTAAAAGTGTGTACAGTGATTTGCAAGAGTCTGTTTTTCGCTTGAGTACGAAATCCTTCAAACCGGGTGTCATGCTGGATATGTGTTGGGACACTAAACAGCGGTCTAAAACAGCATTGACGTCTACTAAGACATTGTCGGCGAACATTTCGTGTACGATATCTTCCTCGTGCTTTAAACACCGCTCGATGTATAGCAAGAACTCATCCAGGGGCACTTTTTGCAGCTCAGCTTGGGATGCCGACGTATAATTTGTTTCTAGCGAACAGAGGTACATCGGAAAAAACAATTTGTCAAATAGATGAGTTTGTTGGAGCATTTTAGAGGCGTCTTTTAACAGTGTCTTGTCGACATTATTGCCGTTTCGTAACTGCTCAAATAAGGATGTGAGTTGGTTCAAGAAGGGAACACGAATTTCATCAAAAGACATGAAGTCGTCACGGAAAAGGGAGACAGAAAACTCAAGTATGGACGTTTGGCCGGCTACCCGAATCAAGTAAGCTCGGTCCATGTAGTAAAAAATGTTGTGAATTAGCTCAATACGTTCGGTCCACTGCCTCCAACAATGGATGACGGCTTTACAGCTTTCATCAACAGCCGTAGATATAGATGCGAGAGCAAGTTCTTTTAGCTCGGCGATTCCTTTCTGACAGTGCCGAAGTAAAAGCTCTAAACAGCTTTCCGTTTGACCTGCACGTACCAGGTTCTGAACGCCGACATAAAGTTCCTGGTAGCCACTGTTCAAGCCTAGGCCTGACATAATAACGCTAAGAGCAACGTCTAGTTTTTTCAGCGTGTCATGGTAATAATTCTCTTGACGCTCTTTCGTTTTCTTCGGATCAAAACCACGAACAACGATTTTCTTAACTTTTCCCTGCATTGAATGATTACTGAAGTGTTGTTTGGAGGATGCTCGGGAGCGAATTGTTCAGGAACTGTTCTTTTGAGAGAATTGTTCACAAATAAATATTTCTATAGCAGAAGAAAGGAACAAATGGGGAAGTGTGGAGGAATTTCGTTTAGTCTAGTATTTCACAGAGGCAATTATCTCCGTCTCGTCGTCTTGTCACTTCGTTCTAACGGTTTTCACTTCAGCGCTTGTCGCCGGGAGAACAGCCTACTCCTTCTGTGTTCTTCCCTGCCGAGTGTTAGTTTTCTTGGAATTGCTGATAGAACAGATAAGAAGATAAGTTTATTTTTATCTTAGTGGGGTTGAGTGTCCATATTGCTGCGATAATACCCCTCTCGCCGAGTAGTTATAACCTTAACCTCCACCTAAACGTCACCTCCACACTTCCCCTGCTGCGAGGTTTAAGTTGGTTTATTTTGTCGTTTCGAGGGAATTCGCTACGATATTTGCATTTCTTATCATATTCGTTGGTTAACCTTGCATTACTGCGAAAATTTCATTAAAATAGGTGCATTCTTGGTATTTTTATGGCTTGGGAACAGCTTGAGATTTCCAAACCTCATTTAGCTTATGCTATCATTGGCGGATTCACATCATTGTTTATGCTATGTTCGTCTATCATTAAGGAGAAACTGTATCTCGGTGAAGCAAGTAAGTAACTCGTACACATGCTGTGTGAAAAAACAAATCGGACTAAACAACGACACCCGGTTGCCATTGGTAGATCTGGTTGCCGTTTTCATCTTCTTTGCATGATTTCACTGCGTTTCGTTGTTTTTATGTCCTATGTGTATATAGGAAGTGTTGCTAACGAGTTAATAATAGGTGTCGCTACAGCTATTGGCTTAATTTTTGGTCCTCATGTAGCAAACCTGTTTAATCCTACTACTTGGGGCAATGTTGACTACATTACGGAAGAATTGTCGCGTATTGTGCTTATTGTTTCAGTTTTTGTTGCAGGAGTCGAATTGCCCAGGGCTTATCTGCTTCGCCACGCTCGAGGCATGTTCATAATGCTTCTGCCCATCATGATTGTAGAGTGGCTCGTCACTACAGCGTTTGTGTATGCCCTCATTGCACGATTGAGTTTTCTGGAATCGCTTGCTGTCGCAGCATGTGTCACAGCAACTGATCCCGTATTAGCATCGACAGTCGTAAGCAAGGGTAAGTTCGCAAGACGTGTTCCTGGTCATTTACGAAACCTGCTTCTTGCGGAGTCTGGTTGTAACGATGGCATGGCAATTCCTTTCTTATACCTTGCCGTGTATTTGCTTATTGAAAAGCCGGCCAGTCATGCAGGACGTGATTGGGTGCTGCTTATTATTTTGTATGAATGTACGTTCGGTGTCATCTTCGGAGCTATCCTTGGCATCATTGCTCGCAAAGCGATTAAGTATTCCGAGCGTCATGGACTTATGGATCGGGAGAGTTTTCTCGTGTTCTACTTTGTGCTTTCGCTCTTTTGTGCCGGCATCGGCACAATTATTGGAGTCGACGATCTGTTGGTTTCTTTTTCTGCCGGTGCAGCCTTTGCATGGGACTCGTGGTTTCAGAAGAAGACGGAAGAATCGCATGTTACGAACGTCATTGATTTACTTCTTAACTTGTCTTTCTTCGTTTACTTTGGTTCTATCATTCCATGGTCTCAGTTCAATTCGCCCGAACTGGGTCTGCCCGTATGGCGGTTAATTGTGCTCGGTATTTTGGTACTTTTGTTTCGTCGGATTCCAGCTGTTTTAATCTTTAAGCCTTGGATTCCCGAGCTTTTGAATTGGAGAGAAGCCCTTTTTGCTGGCCATTTTGGGCCAATTGGTGTGGGTGCCATTTACACTTGTATCGTTGCCAGAGCCGAACTTGAGTCCGGCCATACTGTTCCTGAAGTCGACATCTCAGATGAATCACATCCTCATTACTACATTATTCAAGTGATTTGGCCTATCGTGTGTTTCTTGGTTTTGAGTTCTATTATCGTCCATGGCAGTACCATTGCCGTGTTCATGCTTGGAAAGCGTATTAATACATTGGCTCTTAGTTTCACGCAGACAAGAGACTCGCACTTTTTGTGGAATCTGCCTCGAATCCGTCAGGGACAAAGTCTACCTCTGCGACGTTCTAAGACACAGGCCAAGAGCGAGCGTTCTATCCAGCAATCTATATCCCCGGAAAATCGAAATTCTATTCACCAGGATCTCCTTTCTCAACCCGAAGCTGCTCATGTTTCGCCGAGCTCGCCTGAAGTTCACGGTCTTCGGCACACCGATTATGAGAATGTCGACACGTCCCCTCAACCACCAATTATTGATATACAACATTCAAACCCGAGCAGCGATGAGCGTGTCAATAGTAGCTCTCAGGAACAGTTTCAAATTGGCGATGATATTATCGTTGAAGATGAATCTGGTAACGTAATCTCCCATACAAAGTCTCGCGAACCTGAGATGGAAAAGGAAGAAGAGGAACCAGAATGGCCTTCCAAGAAACCAAAGACTTTCGTTGGACGGTGGTACAGAAGATTCATGGATGCTGTTAAACGAAACATGGATGATCGGTTTGACGGTGTCGAAGACGAGGAGAATCGTATCGGCAGACCGACGGATTTGCGAAAGATGAACGACGATGTTAATGCTGATGACTATTCGGATCGTGAAAACAGTGTTGAGCGGCGGCGCCGTGAGCAAGTACTTCAGACATTGGGTGACAGTGATGATGAGGACTCGTATCTTGCACCTCCTACCCAAAGCAGATCAAGAAGACCATCCACAGTTAGTTCTCGTTACTCTCGTACATCGCGCACGCCGACACCGACTCCATCGTTTGATGAGGCCCATCAAACCAGCGAGGCTTCCAATACTGGTACTACTGCTCCCCGTGGAAATATTCGTTTTGTGAACCTCGTTCCTCCTAGTCAGTATATGCACCGACGTTCTCACTCTGGGTATACTGAAAAATAGGGAAACCTATACCAAAAAAAAAGTATGTTTATGATACCTACTAGTACTCTACCAAATCTTTTTGTGAAACATGCACACCTTCATCCTTGGACATTGTCTTTGTGAACTGTACATACATAAAGTTTTAACGTTATTTTAATACCGCAAGCGCGATCAACGCCCGTTTGTCCTGACGAATAACGCTGTGCGCACCCATCTTTATTTTTTCGCCTTTCTTCCATTCGGTATGTATCGGCCCGAACCCTCAAGCACCTTTCCTTTTCTTCTTTTTCTTTCTTTTGTTTTGTTTGTTTTGTTAAATACTTGTCATGTGTTCTTCTTCCTCTGGATGGTTGGTCATCTAGAGTGTGTTTGGAAATTACATTCTTCTATCACTACGTGCTGTAGTCCTCATTCGTAATAATACTCGATACTAAACAGAGCCTGCCGTACATAGTGTAATGATATTCTTCTTTGGTAACGTGAAACAAGCATTGATTCATTAATATCGTATTACGGTGAAGGAGAAATGTTAATTAAGTAATCCTAAAAGATGCCCGAACCATCAAACTCATCTTCAAACTCCAAAGGGGGGTCTTTAACAAGGGCCGTAGCCTTCTCTGTCTTATGCCAGACCCGAAGAAGGTTGTGACCGGCAATACCCATCAAATCGGGTATACTAAGACCCTTTTCGGCGAGTCGAATGAACAAATCCGGATATTTGGAAACATCTTCAAGACCTTTAGGGACAATTTCAATACCGTCGAAGTCCGCGCCAACGCCGATATGTTTATAGGAGCCAGTAACCTTAGCAATGTGCATGATGTGCTCCACTACCGTTTCCAAGGTAGCATTGAGGGGATCAGGACTAATAAATCGGGGGTAAAAGTTGACCATCACGATACCATCCTTCTCCGGAATTCGTTTCAAAACATCGTCTGGGACGTTTCTAGGGTGATTATACACCCCCTTGGCTGAGCTGTGTGAGAAGAAGGCAGGGGCAACAGAGATGTCAAGTGTCTGATGCATAACATCAGGAGTAACATGAGAAAGATCGACCATCATACCCAGGCGATTCATTTCTCGGACAAGTTTTCGTCCGGCATCCGACAGCCCACCGTTCGTATGATTGCCATGAACAGCAGCATCGGCAAAAACGTTGTCACAGTTATGAGCGAGAGTAGCATAACGCACACCCATGTTGTAGTATTGACGAAGCGTTGATGCGCTACCGGCAATTTGATGCAGGCCTTCAATACCCATCATGCTTGCAACCTTCTTGCGACGGGAAACGGGAAGCACCTGTTCGCTCCGAGTAACAAACCGAAATTCTTCGGGATAAGCTTTAATCATGCGTTTAACAATGTCGATTTGTTGGAACGTTTTATGAACGGCTTCGTATTCGCCCGAACGATTCCAAGGAAGACCAGCTGCAGGGTCAAGAGCAGGGCAGTCAACATATAGAGACCAGAATTGGCCTTTTAACATTCCCTCCTTGATGCGAGGAATGTCGGTATGACCCGAAAGATGATCATACATACTGAAATTAGACAAATGGTACTCGTAGGTTTCACGAACAAAAGTAGGGAAGTCATTATGGCCGTCAATGAGAGGTGAAAGTTTCAATGCAAATAAAGCTCTATCCTTGGGAGAATGGAAGAAGCGGCTTGAGCGATATTTCTCAACTTCTGAAAAAGTCATTCCAAGAAAGAAGATACAAAACGCCGCCGAAACTGCAAGAACAACTTTTTTAGTAAAGACACCATTTCTTCTTGCTTGCGGAGGGGGATTCCCAAGCATAAGGTCTTGTTTTTCCGTCATTGCTAAGAAATAGGTCAAACGAGAGGAAAAGTAGTTACAATGTAATAAGTAAGCAAGTGTGTTAGGAATTGGAGAACAAAACGTGTGGTGAGCAAATTGGACGTGCGCGCCAAGATATGAGCAGGTGGGTGAGCCTTATTTCGTGATTGTACATTTTTGATGTAATGATAGTATGCGTTATTTACTAGTAGCGCAAGATAGCAGAATGAGGCAGACAGAAATAAACAGCCATTCGGTTGCTAATTACAGGAGTTAGATATGTGTAGAATTGTGCCCCATAAAGTATCGTAAAGAACATTTGTTTCATTAATATAGCTGGTTGCAAATCTAAAGGTATAAACATTAAGCATTGCGTTCAGCCATCGTACATTAATTCTATATCGTTTTACAAAAAAAAAAGAAAACTTAAATGGCCAGATACTTATCAAGCTGCTCGTTGTAACGTTTGCCGTGGATAGGATGCTGGTCCAAAGTGTCCCGAACTTTTTGATATTGCTCTTCGCTGAGAAGATGATCAAGAGTATCAAGATTGCTTTTCAGACGGGCAGCAGTAGTGCAGCCGGGGATAGGGACAAATGCGGCCTCCTTGTTAGAGAGAACAAATGAAAGCGCCAATTGGGATAACGTCATGCTGAAGCTAGCGGCCAGAGCTTCAAGAGCATCAAGGCAGACCTTGTTCTTACGGAAGTTCTCTGGCTTGAAACGGTCAAGCATAGTTTTGTTCTGGCTCTCTGCAGCCCTTTTCAAGTCCTCTTCTGTCTTAATGGTACCCGTTAAGAAACCGCTTGCGAAGGGAGAGTAAGCAACAATAGGAATGTTCAGCTCGGCGCAAGCCTTCAAGATACCGTTTTGCTCAATATCAAGGGACCACATGGAGTATTCTGTTTCGACCATTGCGATAGGAAGAATGCTGTTGGCCTTACGAATGCTAGAAGCCGAAGCTTCACTAAGTCCAATACAGCCAATCTTTCCTTCATCGACAAACTCCTTCAACACTTGCATAGTTTCCTCAATGGGCACACGAGCATCCACACGGGCACACTCAAACAAATCGAGTTTCTTGACCCCACGAAGATGTTTTAAAACATTGTTGACACTTTTTGTCACGCTAGCACGGTCTCCACAAGGTCCCAATGTTTGGGGATCTGTGGCACCTTTAACGGAAATGAATACTTTATCGGCATTCTCTGGATACTTTGTGAAGTATCTAGCCAACAAATCCAAGTTGGCCTCAATAGGGTCAATACCGTAGAATTCACCGGCATTCCAAAAGTTCACACCTCGGCTAATGGCATAATTCAGCAACTCAAAAGCCTGTTCATCTGGGATGACGTTTTGTCTCCAAGTAAGGCCCATAAGGCCTAAACCGAAGGTACCGATCTCCTTTCCATTAACTTTGATTGTCTGCATGGTGAGCTTTTACGAAGAATAGTTGAATGTCTTCGGATGCAGGGGAAGTATTTTTAGGAGAGCTTAAGTACGACTGTGCTGACTAATAGCTTCGGGGAAATTCAATACGTAGTAGATTAGTCAACTTGATGTATGTGTAAGATTTGCTAAACTCTGATCTAATTGAAAACAAACAAACAGATATGAAGGTCCGACTGATGAAAAATATGCGCTTTTAATTAGATTTAACTTGTGATTAGTGCTACTTTCCGAAAATAAAAATCGAAATGGGAATCAATAACCTTTTTTTTTTTTTTTTAATAATTCAAATCTTACCAGATTGTATAGAACTAATGAACAGTTCTGCCTAGACTCAATGACAAAACATAATAACTGCAGTGAATCAATAATAGAAATCATGGAAATATACAACGTTTCGTAATACAAACAGCAATTTTCTTAACTCACTAGCAACCCCGATCCTACAACTTTTGGAACTCACTTGATACTGTTCATCAGCTATAGCCCCCAACCCACCCTATTCAATTCGTTCACTTCATAGACGTACATACTAGAATAACAGTAATGCATAGTATAAACATGCGCAGTAAATCCAAACAGAGCTCGTCTACGCAAAATATTGCAGAGTCTTGGACTTACGCATCTGGACTTCGAGAATACCTTCCATAAAGTGTTCGTGTGTGATCTTGGACTCACCGTGACGAAGAGCAATCATGCCTGCTTCCACACACACACTCTTCAGCATGGCACCATTGTACTCGTCGGTACTGCGGGCAAGTTCCTCCCAATTAATGTCATCGGCAACGGTCATCTTACGCGAGTGAATGCGCAAGATACCGACACGGGCCTCTTCGTTAGGCAAAGGGAATTCAAGCTTACGATCAAGACGACCAGAACGAAGCAAAGCGGGATCCAGGGTATCAACACGATTTGTGGCAGCAATTACCTTAACACGATCATCGCTACTGAAACCGTCAAGCTGATTCAACAGCTCAAGCATTGTCCGCTGCACTTCACGATCACCGGCCTTTTCCGAATCAAAACGTTTAGTACCGATAGCGTCCAGTTCATCAATGAAAATAATAGCGGGACTTTTTTCTTTTGCCAAGGCGAATGCATCCCGAACAAGCTTGGCACCGTCACCAATAAACATTTGCACAAGTTGGGGGGCTGCAAGTTTTAAAAAGGTAGCATTTGATTGAGCAGCACAAGCACGTGCAAGCAGCGTTTTTCCTGTACCAGGAGGTCCGTACATAAGCGCTCCCTTTGGAGGTTTGATGCCCAGACGTTTGAACTTGTCTGCTTGTTGCATAGGAAGCACAATGGCTTCGAAAAGCTCTTCAATTTGTTTGGACAATCCACCAATATCAGAGTAGCGTTCTGTAGGCTTCTCATCCACCTCCATAGCCTTGACACGGCTGTCGTACTCAGAAGGAAGCTTGTCGATAATTAAGTACGAGTCTTTGTTCACACCGATCAAATCACCGGGATGCAGCTCTTCCGGCTCTACCAAGCCAATTAAAGGCAAAAAGATTGTTTGACGAGTAGATGTCTTAATGACGGCGGACTTTCCATCGCGGGTAGCCTCAGAATTTTGATTTGCCGATTCCTGAACATCTTCGGCTTCGGGGTTCATGTCAAGAATTTCGACAACATTACCAACCAAGTAAGGGAGCTGCTTATTGTTTGCAATTTTCTCTTGGTTTTCTCTAATTTTTTCCAGCATAGTGCTTTTTTCATGATTCAAACGTTGATACTCTGATTTCATTACCTAGACATAATGTTAATAAGAAATTCGTCAAACCGGGAACAACAACGTAGAACGCGAGCACAGACTTAAGGCTAGAACAGATTATGAAAGAACTGAGCGGCCTCCTTGCAAAATATTCGCGTACAACATTGTTTTCTAAAACATACTTTTATGTCATTTTCAAGTAAACGCGTCCGGCTTCCAAGCTCCTCAGTGCTGGCATTCAGAATCTCTCTTTCCAATTCTTCGTCTTCGGCAGCATGTATGTTCTCCGTGGGCTGCTGAGCTTGGTTTAATGCGTCAAGTTCTTCGAGCGTCGACATTTGGTTCTGGTTAAAAGATGAAAAGCGGTTGCTCGAATGAAAGCTCCACCACCAATTTGTCTGTCATAGCTCAAACGGGTTTTAGCTTATGTAAAAGTACAAAATTAAATTTTCAACAACAGGCCTCGTGGCCTAGAAGTAAGGCGTTGGTTTCCGGTGAAGCCCTCTCATCGCAAAGGGCTCAGGTTCGCCAAAGATCGCGGGTGCAAATCCCGTCGGGGTCGATTTTTTCCTTCTGTCAACTGAGACGTATTTTATTTGGATTATTTTGCGTGGCTCCTCCATTCGATTTACTACACCAAAAACTCACCACCAAACATCTACGCTTCTAGTCTGCCTAAAAATGGTGCTGCTCACTAAAGACTGGCGGAATTGCCCTTTCCAGTACGCAAATACCGTTTTTGCAACATAATGGACGAGCTCGTTCGTCGGTATCAGGATTTACAGAGTGGTATGGAATTCACTTTTTCTGAATTTCGTCTTTCGTCCAAAGAGAAAATGTGAAATTGTGTGGAAATGGTTTTATTAATCTATTTTTTCATTCTTGCAGAGGTCTCCAATCATGTCCAAGCTTTAAAGAAACTTGAGTCTCAACTGCAAGAAAATGTAACTGTACAAAAGGTAAAATGATAAGGATAACAGTCGACACGACTGGCGCATTCACTGAGGCACAGTCCAGACAAAAGCTAGGAATAAATACTAAACGACTAGGAATTTGAAAAACTAGATCCCTCTTCCAATGTGTTCAAGTTGATTGGACCGACCCTGGTGAAACAAGATCAAGAGGAAGCCAAAACGAATGTGGCCAAGCGTCTTGAGTTTATTCGAAACGAAATGTAAGTAAACAAGCTCGAGTGAGCGATAAAGGTGACACGTATCCCTTCCTTACCGTCACCGACTGTAACTGTGTCACAAACTTATTTGACGAGAACCCTCCGCTGACTTTCCCAGTGTTCGAGTAGAAGGTTTGCTTGAGAAAAGCCGTAGCGATCTTACTATGGTTCGTGCTGATCTCGCACAAAAGCAGACACAAATGGCCACTCCTCAGCAATAGATTAGGCATTCTTTTTTGCATTAAGTAATGATGACTGTGGAGGGCTTTGATGCGGTTCTTGTACTAACCCCCAATCGTGTACTGTTGACCTTAGTAGCAAAACGTAAGCTGTTGAGAGACTCTGCAAAGTGGTCACGTAATGGAGAAACATTAACAAACATGAGTGTTTTAGCGTCTCCTCCTAACGAGTACTTTAATAGATATGTCAACTGTGTAAGTAGGTTAGTAAGGGCATGTGCGTACATTTTCACCATTCTTACCTTTGAATTCCGATATGGAATGTGGTGCCGTTCAGAGTTGCCTGAATTACTGGCGAGAGCCGCTATGACATCTCCAAGACAGCTTAAACTCTTATTGATGGCTTGTGTTTCCCGCAAACGATCGCCCACTGCCTGACTGTGGGCGAGTCTTTCCGAACCTGCCAAATCAACAAGACTTAATGATCCAAACGTTTTCTCCTTTGTGGCCGCGTGTACACCATCAATGTGTAATGTAAAGACTGAGTGCGAACGCGAAGACCGCTCGTTGGCTTTTGTTGCGGCGACTGATCGTCTCTCACTTGCCCGTTGCAACACGGCTTGCATCACTTGCTCTGTTTCGAGATAGATGCATTTACTGTCCGTCACACGTGTTCTACGAGTCCGTTCATCATGATGGATTTCAAGGCGTTTGCGAGATGATGTCGTTTCATCGGAAAGTAGGTCTCGGATTCGTTCATTGTATATCTCAATCATCTGGGCCGTCAACTGATATTTCCAGCCCTTCTCTTCTAATCGTTTCACTTCCTGAAAGACATGTGCTGCAGCTCTTGGAATGACACCGTCCGAAGAAGACATGGTATGCGTTTTTCCCGAACCAGTCTGTCCATAGGCGAAGATACTGACGTTATAGCCATCCAAAGCGCTTTGCACAAACTCGGAAAGCTCCTGAAAGACGTCCAAGTTACTGCTATTAGGTGGAAATACGCGGTCGAAGCTAAAATTATAAATTTTGGTTGACGGCTGGCCTAGAGAATTTTCAGTGCGAAGTCCTTCAAGTACAAGCTCTCGAGGTTCAACGGAATGGATATCAGGAAATTTCATGACAATTTCTGGATTTGAAATGGAAGCTGCCTCCACGGGAAGCACTGGACGCACTCGACAAAACACCCGGATATTTCCTTTTAAATCTTGAATAACATTGTGAAGGCGTCGTCGATGCTTCTCTTCTTCCATGAGTCGGCGCTCTAGCTCATCATTTCTGCGCTGGACCGCATCTAATGTGATCTGAAGTTGTGCAGCGTCATTAGTGTTGGAATTTAAAGACGACTGGATGAGTTCCATCTGCTGTTGAAGAGACTCATTCTTCTGATTCGACAGGTTTATTTCACCAACTAATGTCGCATTTTTCCGTTGGAGCTCGTAGATTTGAGCAAGTGCTTCTGAAACTTTAGATTGCAACTCTTCTAACTGTGCGCGTCCAACAGTCTGTGTCTCATCGTGTATCTGTTGAATTTCGTTTAACTGGCGTTGAAGATCCTGAACAATCAACTTATGTTTCTCTTCTTCGTTGGAATACTGGATTTCATATGCCCTCTGCAATTCGACTATTCGCTTTTCATACGATGCATATTTGAGTTGGGTATTTACTTGAACCTCATCCATGGCTTCATTAAAAGAAATACGAATAGCATCTATTTCGCTCTTGAATTCGTGACACCATTTCAGCTGTTCCGAGTACTGTTTAGCTTTTAACTCCGCCAGGTTTTTGTTCCAAACAGTCTCTTTTTCAGCATATTGTTTTTGCAAGTCGGCACACCTTTGCCGCTCTACAGATAACTGAGTTTGTAGTCCATTAATTTTGCCAGTGTATTGTGCGCTGCATGAATTAACCTGTGCAGTCAATTCCGTCACTGTATTGAAGTTAGCAATATTCCAAACAAAATTAAAGATTACCTTGCTTCTTTTCAGCATCTAGGGCTGCCTGAAGGGAGGCCAGTTTTGTGTTTGCAGATGTTTGGATTTCATCGAACTGTGCATTCTTTGCATGAAGCTTCGACTTCATGTCGAAATATGCGTTTTCCAAACTGTCTATATCATTTTCGTCGTCCAAACCCTGCCGAATGGAGGACTGCTGCAATGAAAGTAGACTATTTGGCTTTTGAAAGGTAGGGAACCGAGTTTGTTGTCTGCCGTAAGCTAAAACCCAAGTTGTCGTAAGCAAGGAATCCACTCTACCGCTTCATTATACCACACACACCTGTGTTGGAGAATCCTCGATTGATTCTCGACATAGAGAAATCATCATTGTGGACCCCGCCTAACAGAAAAATGTTGCTTGAATTCGCATTTTGGGACAATGCCGCTGAGCTCTTTTTCGTTGGCGAGTTTGATTGATCAACCATAATGGAAATCCAATCCACACAGTATTTTTCTGTACCACAATTCTTGTAAGTCTTGGTATTCAAATGCGTTTCTCGACAACAACAGCACATTCGCACCATGAAGTCATTAAGCAATTATACTCAATATTCAAACCAGAACTGCTTAATATCCAAAATGTGCGTACCTGATCTCGTCTTCTGTCCCCTGGAACAGCAACTCACAGCTGAATATCACGTACAAACAAGACCGCCGCACCTGAAATCCTGTTGTTGATTTTTGGTGTGGGCAACTCAACACCATTCCTCTGACCAAACTCACCACCAGAAAACGGCTGTTTCGAAAAGAACGGCCGAGGAGCTAGCTGGGTAAATTGCATAAAAATGAGCATTACACTGTGGAACTGGCCGAGTTATTATTTCCTCGGTTTGGACCTGAACGTGTACGACAGTTCCCAATTTTCTGAAATTCAAGGAATTGAAGAGGGTCTTCATCTTATTACTTGGGCTCGTCGTGACATTGCAGGACTTGTAAGTGGTGCTGTTGTGTCTTTTGAAGACCGGACGAATTTACTGTTGAAATTTGATGAAAGAAGTGAATCAGTTGAATTGGAGTTTGTGGACGGTATTGTGGCTACCAACGGGCCGACGCAACAAGGAAGAGCAAAAGATTCAGCAAAAGCACGAACGATCCCGTTTCGTCCATCAACTGATTGGAACAGACTGTCACGATTTATTTCCTTGGAACTGCTGGGACGGTTATTTTCTAAAAGCTCAAAAAATGGTCCGGCTGGCTCCGCCTTTCTTATAGACACATCAACCTATTCCAACACGGATCAGGCCTCAAGTGCTGCGGAACAGTTGCCAATAATGCAGCCGGGAAAGGACGACTTTGTTTTACAGTACACAATGTTTGACCTTAAGCGAAGTTGGGACCCCCTCAAGTATAGGGCACGAACGGTCCATCCAAGCATATGATAAGTCATTTCTATTTCAACGTCTTGTTCACACTTCATGGAATAATGACTCTACAAATGCTCTGGGTGAGTTCAGTCTGGCTTTCTTGTTGTACCTGGAATTATCTCATTACGGTTCATACCTGCAGTGGCACAATCTTATACGACTGATCCTTCAATCGTACCAATACGCTCGTGAGGAGGCAGAGTACTTTACTACGTTCTTGTGTAAGTGAATATTTGTTTTTGAACGGAGTTTGTTTGTTGTTCTTAAACTATTATTGGATTTTCACTTTCAGTGTCATTACTAACCTAGTTTTAATACAGACCTTCTTCGTTCTCAGCTGGAATATATGAACGACAAGCACTCGACAAAGGAGTTGCTACCGGATGAAGGCATCTTTGCTCAGTTATTCGAGCAATTGCACGAAGAGCAATCTGAAGAATCATTCGCTCCGGCTGTCTACACAGCCATTCGAGCCCTGGAGGAATCCATAAGAGACAATGTCTCGCATCCAAAAAGCACTGCACAAACTTCGGCTGCTCAATCCACGCCTACTTTTTCAGAAATGTTTGACGAGGGCAACGAGGCCGAGCTGTATGAAATGGAACATCATGAGACGGTCTCTAGTGTTATCGAACCGAATGAAAATACTAAACACACCTTGAATGAAAGTAATTGAAACAAGTGAGGCAGACCTAGGGTGAAGACACCCTTAAGACACTCATTTCAACCAAGCATAGCTCATACAAACTACCACACAGACAAAAAATGACACTCAACACACCACTCTGCAAAAATAAATTCTAGGCGATTCATTTAAATTCTACTTAAAAAGCCTGTAAAAGATGTCGAGGACCTTGGAACAAATATGCTGAACAGCAGACAGCAAAAATTGAAAGGTGCTCACAATCTGCGACCACGACGACCACCCTTTCTGCGGGTGGAGTCGGTAGGGATGGGAGTAACATCCTCAATGCGACCAATACGCATACCGGCACGAGCCAAGGCACGAAGGGCAGCTTGAGCACCGGGACCGGGGGTCTTGGTGCCAGTACCACCGGTGGCACGGATCTTGATGTGAAGAGCGGTGATACCAACCTCCTTGCACTTGGCAGCAACGTCTTGAGCAGCCAACATGGCGGCGTAAGGAGAGGACTCGTCACGGTCCGTCTTGACCTTCATACCACCAGTGACACGAACAATGGTTTCCTTACCGGACAGATCGGTAACGTGAACAAAGGTATCGTTGAAGGAGGCGAAGATGTGAGCAACGCCAAAGACAAGCTCGCCGGCGCGAATTTGAGGTCCAACGTTAGTAGCCATGACGGACTTTTTTCTTAAGTTTTGCTGTATACGAGTGGTGTGCACTGGGTGAGTTGGTTCCGTCGGAAGACCCAACCTGTCACTTCGTCGTGGATAGCAGTCACGTTAGGGTAGGGTTGTTGAGTGAAATGAAAATCGCGTCGCGTAAACAACAATTGGTATGGACAAATGTTTTACGCCACAGAATAAGAAAAGAACAATTAAATTGGAATGTAACGGTTGATAATTAGTTCATTGGGGAATTGTTTTGAGAATGGTGCATGTGATAGATTATAATGTACGCAATAGCTCGGAGAAAAAGGGGAATGTGTTCATTAGAAAGTCGTTATTATTTTAGTAGGAGGCATATATGGCTCCCAAATTAACAAATTTGCGAGCATTCTTGTTCAAGTAACGAAGAACCACAGTTTCTATAGATCGGCAACGAATAAGGCCGTTCATTGTACAACCCGTTGGATTGTGTACCGCCGTATGTAAAAACTTAATTTGATTGTAAAGAGACTTATCGTCAATTTCAAAATGCATGTGTCCACGACATCCCGGTGCACAACATCTACGACCATACACGTTCATTTGGCGAGTTTTGTTTCCGCAAGAGGAATCATCACAGACGAGGATACCTTCGTAGTAGTGATTTAAATAATTGCGCAGTTGTCCGAGAAATTGCAGATTCACTGTCAAATTAGAGTATTCATAACCGCAATCACACTCAACGTTGTCTGCAAACAACACTTCACGGATCTCCGCAACAGTTTTCATGTTGAAAGATTCACCCTTGCATTCAGGGCAAATGAGCAATAAAGGACGAGCAGAACTGAACCGCTGATCGTCCGTTAACGTACTTTCAATTCGTGCGAATGCAGACGAATCGGCATGCTCCGGCGTATAGTACTTTCTCGGATCCAAACCAAGACACTCAGCCAAACGTGCACGATCCGTGCCTTCAACAGGAGCAACCAATCGTTCTAGTGGAGGCAGGATTTGATGCGAGAGGTAATACTCATAGTCGATTGTAAGATTCGATGACTGGTCCATCACCTGTTGAGGACTAACAGCTCGGTCGGCAGGGTGACCTTGTGATTCATTTCCGGTAATAATAAACGGAATGACATCGCCCACACGAACATTTTCTCCTCGTGCTTTCTTCTTTAAAGCAACTTGAACAAAAGGCATCGTTTTTCCGTTAGGGTAACTTTCGGGTGCTTTTCCCAACTTGTTGAAGATGATGAACTTGTTCGCTGAAAACTTTCCACTGCGCATTTTTTGAGCGAAATCAACTAAATAAGCATGAATATTGGAGATTACCGTCTCAGTGAGCTCTCCAGAAAGAATTTGATCCAAACTATACTTACTGGCTTCCTTAGCCAGGGCACAGAATTCACGACGTTTCATATCAAGGCCCTTGATATCAAGAACAGGTTTTCCTTGGGCATCCATTTGAAGGGCAGCATATTTCTTTTTTGCATGAAGAAGCATTCGTTGGTAAACATTATCAATGTCAATTTCCAGTTTTCGATACCGCTCATTGACACGATTCTTAAATTCATTACCAATGCGCAACGCATCGGTCATGTTGTTGGCATTCGTATTGATCATAACAGAATCTGTATCACCATAAATAACTTGAAGTCCCATGAGGTCTGCCAACTCTTTTGTGCTAGTCAATACCTCTCGACCCTTGTATGTAACAAGTACGGCCAATGGACGAGCGTAGAATCGCGATTTTGTGTAACCAAGACAGCCGTACATGGAGTTGGCTGTCAATTTAAGAGCCTGTTGTTTGATATCCCACTGCAGTCTTTGCACCGGCGTTGCATTTTTGTCCTTCAGTAAAGCCTTGATTTGCTTACGCCTATTAACTAAGTTTGCAATGAGACGAGGGAAAATTCCCTGTTCGAGCGACGAGTTTGGCACGTCTGGGACAACGTCAGCACCATTTTTTGAAGTGCAATGTTTGCGATGAACAGTAGTGAAACAGATGTTGTATTCCTGAATGATACTGGGATACAGACTGTTGAAATCCATGACGAGAATGTATGTATCATAAAGGCCTTTCTTTGGTTCAAATACAAGACCACCCTTATATTTGTCTTTCTTTTTACCTAATGTGTCTGCAGGAGTTTCTTCCGGGTCAACAACATCGACCTCTCTGCTGTTTTGGTATTGCTTGTCTGGCAGAATATAGCCATTTTTTTTGAATTCGTGTAGCAGAATGTACTCGTTTCTTTCTGCACGCGTACCCGTTAGTGTGCGCGACCAAGAATTGCCAGCAATATTGGTCAAATTTTTTGATAATTGTAAAATTTGAGTTTTAAAAGCAAGAGCCGAAATAAAATATGTATCCAACTCACAGTGAAGCAAATAATCAAGCAATCCTTTTGGAGTGTCTGTCCAAGACTGCAAAGCCTTGTCCTGATCAATTTCTTGGCGTTTAATATTAAGCTCTTTCTGCACAATTTCTGATAAACTCCATGACTGAGTCTTAATCATGGACCGGCCAAGGTCGTTAGAAAGATCACACAACAAACGCCCAGAGGCCAGTTGACGCTCAATGAATTGTTGTGAACCCCTATTTGTAATTTTAGGCCATTCATAACGTCTAAGTCGTCCAATTCTGTGCCAATTACGAATTCTTTTTTCCCGCATACGCGATAAAAGAATAGAATATGATACCTCAAAATCATGTCCAATTAGGACATCTGGATCAGCATTTTGCAACTTCTCAAGAAAGTAATTTAGTAAAGCAATTTCTGTGCGTTCACAGCGTATGTTGGATTTGCTTTTTCGAGCCTCTGCCTCGAAGCCATTTGGAAAAATCTGCTTCAAAGGTCGGATGACAGTAAAAGAAGTGGATGCTGTATCTTCAGCAACAATGGGTGATTCAATGTTCACTAGAGCATAGATTAGTATGTGTGTAATAAAAATGCATCTTACCATTTTCATAAACCCGAGCACTGATGGAGAAGATTTCCTGCTTGTTCACTTGATGGTTGACTAGCGTTCTGAAAGCCAGACTCATAACAGTTAAAGGAGGCGTAACAGCTGGCACCTTTTCTGTTCCTTTAACAACGCAGATATTGGGTATAGCGCAAGCGGTTTCTAGACGGCACCAACTTGTATTTTTTACGCTATCGAAATCAGGAGAACGGATGCGAAGCCAGCAAGGACCCATAACATCTTTTTCAAGTACAAATTGCTCGAATAACGCAGTGTGCGTACCAAAAACACGTGAAAAGGTTTGGCCCGATAAATCGAAAGGGAACGCGGGATATTTATATGAGTACAATACGTGCAAATATTCAGTCTCTGCGGGCACATCTGGCAGTTCAAAGGCGTACTTGAAACGATCCACCTTACACTTCCATTCATGGATACCGCTTTTCGAGAAGAGAGCCGAAACCTCTGCCTGGACCTCGTCGAGAGAAGTATGCGTAGGGGTCGGTGTTGATGAAGCAGAAGCCTCTTCATCCTTTTCTTCATCTACGTCCAATGGCCTTGGCAAGAAATATAGATGACGTTGGATACCGTCGAGTTTGACAAAGGCGGACGAGTACGTTTTATTTTGTCCGGTCGTATACTTTTCCGAACAAACAGAGCGAGGAAAAGATTTCTGCGTAATCCAGCCAAAAAAAGAGCATACTTTCGTCATCATCAAGAACGTGTTTTGGGTTAATACGAGGAAAGTCGTGTTGTCCGTCTTGGAGAAAGGTAGGAGTAGGCTGTTGTAATGCTTGCAAACGAGTGCTAAGCTCAACCCATGCAGGGGGATCGAGCTCAGACAGCATTTCAGATGGGGGAGCGGAAGTAAGACCAGTATGGGCAGGAAGGACAGTTTGTGAGGATTGCGAGGTTATCGGAATAGCATCATCAGGAGGAGGAACAACGGGCAATTCCATATCAGGAAGGTGAGCTTGGTATGGCAGTAGCAAAAGATTCTTTAGGAACATTTTCAAGGTTATTTTGTGGGAGACATCGTCCATGGGAACGTCAACACTTGTTGATTTAGCAACGCTTGCCGGCACTGGGCTGCTTTTAACTGTCGGATGGAGATTCTGAGAAACCGTGGATGCACTAACAGAAACAGATGCATTCAATTTTGTAGGGATAGGACTTGAGACAGTAGCGGGGCTGTATGCTTGTCCTGCGTCTGTTTTGGATTTGCGCACTGACGTACCAGAAGGGGGGTTTCTCGTTTCATTAAGCTTTCGTTTTTTAGGAAGTTCAGTCATCACATCTGCGTCCACAGCACCCAATATATCAGCAAGGAATGCATCGTCATCGCGTTTATCGGCGCGTTTTTCTGAACTTGACTTTGTGGTAGGAGGAGCCAGTGCCTTTCGTTTGAAAAAAGTGCTAATTCGTTGTTCTGGAGCAGCTAACCGTTGTGAAGAAGACCGTTTTTTACGATCCTTTGCGTTTTCGTCAGCTTCATCGTCACTCGACGTGGGATTCCGAGGACCCCATTCATCGTAGCCGTTTTCTACGTATCCAGCACCATTGTCATCCACAACGAAGTCGTCCTCATCTAGCCGTTTACGGACAACACGACGATACTCGTCCTCATCCACCGAATCGTAAAGTTCGGGATTTTCCTCGGTTTCATATACTGACGCGCGTGTTTTTCCTGATTCTCGAAGAGCACGTAGCTGCGACAATGCCTCTCGAGCACTCGCCTTGCCTGACCGGCTCATATTGTGGAAGAACAGGTGCTAGCTCGTGTGTGTGAGTGGAGGTGAAGTTCTTCGGTGCCAGTTGACCAGTTCGCAGCAGTAGCGGTAGTAGTTACAGAATTGTACCTTTTGCAGTTAAATAGAAGTTGTAATTGCGTTCTTTAGTCCAAATATGGAAAGTTTTATTTCCTGTCAACGGTTAAGTTTATAAGTGATGATTTTAATTTTCTTGTACCAAGAAAATATCTTCAATGGAAAAAGAAAAACAATATGAAGAGCATGTACGACCCATTTCAATGAATCAATCATTAGTCAAAAGAATACGTCGTATTCACACTAATCGGTACTCGACGTTTCAGTTTTCTAGGATAGAAACGTTGGATGCCAAGGACTTCTAATTCAGTATGCAAATTGACAACAATCAGGGTTGTGCTGTAAGAGCGAGTTCAATACACGTGTGTTGATGCGATAACTGGTTTCTGGTTAGAGTAATACTAGAGGCCAGTGCGTTCTGCGAATAGCGAACAATTGTCATGATTATAAAACTTACATTGAGATGATTGTTACTAAAGTTAGTGCTATAATTGCACGGTTATTTTCTAATGCTAGAACATAAACGAGAAAGTTTGTTTTCTTCACAGAATAGCAATTCATCAATCTTTACTGAATTGCAAAACATTACAAGACATTTGAGATTTTGAGCATTAGGCATTAGAACTCATACGGTCTCGATGTAATGGAAGAGTTATACCAAAAAACTGTAGTCGTATACTTGTAACAACTCTTCAAATGTGAATTAAGACGCAGATGAAGTTATTGGCAATTGATACTACTTGCTGCAAAGGTTTCGTGATTGACTTGAATCCTTTTGTTGTTCACCTTTATGGTTCATGGAACTTTCTTCTTAAGTACAGGAAAGGATACAATGAATTTCGTAACAAAATTAACAAAAGCTATGCTATTAAACATCATCACAACTCTCACTTGATAAGACAAATTTATCAAAACAAAGTTTGCGCTTGACGAACACGTTACTCTTTTCACGATTAATGATTCTACCGGTAATAGAAATATAGCATACATAAAACTATGTCCTCTCTACATTTTGACTGGGTTGGAAATTACAAACGAAATTTATGCTGATTGCATGACGAGCTGTCTAACGGCTGCAGGGTTGCTTCTTACCTTTTTTTTCGACGATTTAAATAATCGGTATAATTGTTCGTTACGTGATTGAAGCAAGAATAGATGGCCTAATTCATTTCGCTGCACCCAACATGATGCTTAGCTATACATGCTTAGTCTTCATTCAAAACCAATATCAGTTCCGTGCGAGAGAAATCCGCTGGCTCGTTTTGTAGAATTACGAGCGAGATAAAAATATAAAGTAATATACTAAACCCTGAGACTAATTGTATTGTCCCGCGAAGTATTTCCCTTTGCTCTATCCTATATATACTGGCAAACAATGATAATTAAGACTTTGAACCCTGCGACTGAACGAAGTTCAAAACGCTCGCACAGAAACTAAATCACAATACTAAATTGCATCGATGCCACTCCGATCAAAGTTTACTGCTTTTGCGTTGATTCATCGCAACTCGTTCTCATACGTTTCGGTCGCCTGACTAAAAGCGCAAACTATATTCGGGTGCCGAATTTATTTTAACACACTTAAGCTACTAATTTTATCGTGACATAGGACGCAAAAGGTTTTCTCGATAAGAAACAAATGCATTGAGTATTATGAGCGAGTTTTTTTGCGACAATTTCTTATCCTTGGCTATTTCTCTGACGTTAATTTTTAGAAATAGTACCTAAGCTTCAGCAAACTTTCGCTCGAACTCGGCGAAATTACAGAGAACTTTCTTTTTCCACGAATTGTAGCCAAGTTTAACATCGGCGGTTGAATAACTTAATGTGACAAGCTGATACTACCAATTGGCATTTAGCGACAATAATGTTGGTTAAATTCAATGACTATTCAATAAGAAAGCTATGGTACAAAACGGGTTCCACAGTTTGTAGATAACTATGCTCATCCGTAATCGGCCTGGACCGTTGAGGAAGAGAGGAAACCGATATTCCTCCCTAGTCCAGGAACCGATCTCGGGGAAATGCCTCAGTCCGTAAAAGATGCAAGCGATCTTAAAAGTGAAACTGACTTATACGAATGATACAACTGATATTGACCTCATCGATCGCAGCTATCTAGCCCCCGTGATCAATTGGTAAAGATGCATTCGCCTATTTACATTCCTATCCAAATCTCCTTTTGCGTTTAACGGTACCCTATGCGGACCTCTCAATGGAACTTGGATGTGTGCATGGAGGGGTTCCGTTCTGCAGCGGAAGGGGGAGCTATTGGAATTGGCTGACATATAGGAGTGAGTATTTTCGACTGATAACACTACGCTCTGAGCTCTTTAAGCATGTAGTTACAACTGGCACTGTTGGAGCCGCGCGAAACGGTATTACTGAAGATGTTGAATGGCTTATTGGGGATGTCGAAAACGTTTGTGCTGAATAACGCAGATTGATGATGGAATCCAAAGTAACTGCCGGTTGCCGGTTATCGTAATTATTCAGTTTGTAAAATAAAATAAAATAAAAATAAATAAATAAAAATAAATAAAATTCAAAACAAAAAACAAAGTCTTAGGGTTTAGGAACAAACTCATAAACTGTCAATACGTATGAGCTCTGTGGTTGGGAACTTCCAATCCAACAAAGTTTTCGTCCACTTCATGTGTCTTGGATCCTGTCAACGAATGCTAATCCAAACCTAGTCTACTCGTACCAACAGTCAAGAGACTCGTTAAGACTCGTTACTGTCTCATCTCTCTGCAGGGTCAAAGTGTTTTATGATCTAGTCTTCGTTTTCTCGTGTTCCCATCCTCCTCCTCCTCCCATTACAGGCCTTTCGTTGACCGACTCTATTCCCTGCCTACTGCCTGCCTCCTGCCTTCTACTCCCACTACGCCCTCCAACTCCCTTCTGCCCCACCAAAAATAAGCTCAAATGAAAACGCGCTACGCGAATCGCACGCGCGCATCTGATACCACCCTCCTCGCGAGTCACTAGGGTAGGGTTACGAAAAGCAGTCACGGTTGGAACACTTGCGTGTGTGTTTCCCTCTACGATACCATACGCCAAAATGGTTGCCTCTTCGACTGTCCCCAGCGTGGCCGATATTTTCGCTCCCGAGTCTCTTTTGAAGAAGACTAAGGCTCAGGCTCAAACGCGCGAGCAACAAGTTGCTGCCGCTGCCGAGAAGAAGGCTGTAAGTGAAGACGGACAAGGAGGAAGGTGTGTGTGTGTGTGTCACGGATGTTTCCTTTCATTCATGGAATCAACGCCAGTGGTGATGAAGACCTATTCTTTTGGATTGCGAACAAGAATGTGCGTTCCACAAATACCATCTTTCGGGGCTGAGCTGTCGTTGATTCTGTGAATGAGAGAAGGAGAAGTGACTTTTTCACGTGTACGGTTCCACACACACACCGTTTCCCTCCATAGTTTTTCTCTTTCGATAACCCATACTGACCTGTCTAGGCTACTCAAAAGAAGCGCGAATTGATCGCCAAGCGTACCGAGGCTTACGACGCTGAGTACCGCAAGGCTGAGCGTGAGCAAATTGACCTTGCTCGCAAGGCTCGTGCTGAGGGCAACTACTACGTTCCCGATGAGCCCAAGTTGGCCTTCGTTATCCGTATCCGTGGTATCAACAACATTGCCCCCAAGCCCCGTAAGGTTTTGCAATTGCTCCGTCTTTTGCAAATCAACAACGGTGTCTTCGTCAGATTGACCAAGGCCACCCAGGAGATGCTTCAAATTGTTGAGCCCTACGTTACCTACGGTGTCCCCAACTTGAAGGCTGTCCGTGACCTCATCTACAAGCGTGGTTACGGTAAGGTCAACAAGCAACGCACTGCTCTCTCTGACAACGCCATCATTGAGAACGCTTTGGGCAAGTACTCCATCATCTCCATCGAGGACTTGATCCACGAGATTGCCACCGTTGGTCCCAACTTCAAGCAAGCCAACAACTTCCTCTGGCCCTTCAAGCTCTCCTCCCCCCGTGGCGGCTGGAGAGAGCGCAAGTTCAAGCACTTCATCGAGGGTGGTGACGCCGGCAAGCGTGACGAGCACATTAACAGCTTGATCAAGCAAATGCTTTAAATGAATGAGCAACTACGTGGGCAACCGCGTGCGCGTGTGCAGTGAAGAAGTGGGATGTGGGAGGTTGAGTGGGGTGCAAGTGGGCGAGGAGCGGGGTGAGTGGAATGTGTGGGATGCGATGGGATAAGTGGGGTGTGTGGGATAAGTGGAGCGTGTGCTCTGGTGGGATATGTAGGCACTCTGCGAGCTTCGTGTGCCTCTCCAGGTGCCTCTCCGAGGCCTCTCCAATTGCTTCCGTGCCCCACTCGCCCCCACCACCCCGTTAACCTTGCGGGGCTTATTTCGCCGCCACCTGCACGTGCCACTTTCTCAGTTCACACCCTATTCTCCGCCTATCTCCACGTTAAAGCCTCGTCCCACATTGCATCTCCTGTAAGGTTTCGTGTAACGCACACATAGCTCAGCACGCGGCTCGGGAGCGTCGTAGACCGACCATCTGAAATAGTCATTCGTCTAACCGACTCATTTTGAGTTCGCGAACGGTGGTCCCCGTCGTCATTGGTGGCTCTGGACTTTAACGCTTCACAAAGCCTGCGACACACGTCATCTCAGACAATCTAAGATCGTGGGGGCGACGCTTAGAGTCACGTGCATGTCGCGGACCGTGTTCACGTGCATCTGAAGCGGATCGAAACGTCATTCTTTTTTGGCCACAAGCGCGCCGGAGAAACTTTAGCACACTCGCTGACAGGCCGGCGAATCTGCGCGGCGCCTGATTGGGTCGCGATTATAAACAAAGACGCTTCCGGTCACGTGAATGCACAGTCTGAACGAGCGGCTGCTGCGATTGGAGGAGATAGTGTATTTTCGAGCTGCGGGGAAAAAAGACTAAGTGAAACGACGGCCTGACTCCGCAAAGCATACGAACCGATTAGAGGACGCGTGGCGAGAACATGCACGGCGGGGAGGGGAGACGAAAGCAGACAAAAGCGCAGACGACGGCCGAGCAGAAACAACAAAGCAGCGAATTCGCGCGCGCGTTTACGTCGCTGTGATACAATTCGGCGACGGTGATCTGCTCTTCATCGCGTCCCACCATGTCCCACCGCGTCATCTCAAGGCCGTGGTGTCGAACCCTGCCAGCGGCGCGGTGATTGGCTGTTTATAGTCTGCAGGCTCGCTAAGTCCCGCCAAGTCTCGGCTGGTCCCGGTAAGCGGAAGACAGATCTGCCGGCTTAGCGAAAATACAGCGCGTGTCACTCGCCACGTACGATGGTGGTGGGTGCCCTGGCCGTCTTCACCAGACTGGTGCAGTCCCCCACGGGCGCGCTCAGGGATGAAACGAACCCTGTGGCAGCCTTCTCCAGGGCAGCAGGCCTGAGGCGAAAAATACGCGTCTGCAATTGGTGCACAGCAGGGGATGCATTCCGCTCCACATCGAGCGCTATGACGGCGGCCTGCCATTGGTTGCTGCGATCAAGCATCGGGAACGGTTTTTTAATTTGCCCTCGGAAGATTTTTCGTGCTGGATTTATGAACCAACGGGCCCCAGAACAATTCATCCCACTGCGCGCAAAGCATATAAACACTCTTTGACTTTCTCGCTCTGCGTCCTTTACCAGCACACCAGCACACCCACACACACCGGCCTCGTCGCGCGCGCGCGCGTAGCATTCCCACCAAAGCTTATTTCTCCACAGAATGCCTCGGTTTCGTATGTGATTGGCCAGGAAGGGCTCATTGTCCTGCCTGCTGCTGCTTCCGGCTGCACTCACCCGGAAGGCCTTCTCCCTCCTCCAGCACTGCTGCTCCCGGAGGCGCGGCCGCTGACGTAGCCATGACCGCGCTGACACGGTAACCCCACCTCTCGCCTGACAACCACGCGACGTCCACGTGATATTCCAAATGTGGAGAGTCTCTCCACTGGGGCGCATGATCGACCACTCGCAGCAGCCCTGCGTCCGCGCTCCCAGTCGGCCCCCCTCTGGGATTGCCACCCGCCGTGCTAATATGAGCTCCTCAAAAAACCGCCTCTGAGAGTGTTTCCATCGAATGAATCGTTATTACTGTGCTGTGTCACGTTCGCAAAAATTATTGCGCGCGCAGGTGCGCTCTAAGAAGGGAAAAAACCAAAACAAAAAAGAAGGGTCGCTCGTTCTATGCCCAGCGGGAAGCAAAATTCGTACGTGACAGATGTGTGCGTTGTGCCCGTCGTGGACGCGAGCAAGACTCACTCGCGTCTAGGCGCGCGCTTGAGATGCATGCAAAAAGTGTGCTTATGTGCGTGTATGTGTGTATGTTTATGTGCCAGAAAAAGATGTGCGACTTATGTCGGCAGCGAGATGAGAATCACAGGCGATGCGGGGGACACGTGCCTGGCCGCTGCCCTGCGGGGTATCGCGACGATCCGCCGCCGCACTCACGTGTTGGACAGACCGAAATTGTCGGCCGGGCCGCCGTCGCCGAGCGTGCGCGGGGCACGGCTGCCCGCCGACGAGCCTTCCTTGTAGTAATTGGCGCCTGCGTAGTTCGCATAGGCACCGCCCCAAAGGGCGCCGTCTGGGTATGCTGAGGCGGCCGCCGCGGCCGCCGCGGCGGGGCACTCGTACCCCGGAGTCACGTGCGAATAAGGATAGAGGGGATGGGGCGGGGGCGGGACGGCGGCGAGAGGGACTTGGGAGTACGCGTTCATGACGGCGGGGGCGTGTGGGGGCATAAGCATGTGGGGAGGAGGAGCGAAGGGGCCGGCGGGGGCTGTCTGAGCGACGGGTGCCGGAGCATGTCGTAGTAGGTGGGCGCCTCGAGGAAGACGGGCGTCAGCTGTGCGGCGGCCCTGGAGGCCTCCTGCTCCTGCTGGAGGGCGAGCTGGGCCATGGCCTCGCGCTCCTGGCGGCGTTTTCTCTCGCGCCAGGCGGCGCGAATTTCGCTGAACTCTTCGGGCGTGCGCCGGGGCCCGTGGTTGTGGTCGAGAACATGCGCGTTGAGATGGTTCAGCGTGCCGTAGGCCTTGGTGCAGCCCTCGTAGCCGCACACGTAGATGCGCTCAATCTCGTTGTACTTTCGGCGCCGCCGGCGACTGCGAGGCCGCATCGGCTGCGGCGAGGACGCAGGCGTGCTGCCGGAGCGTGTGGGTCCCGTGGGAGCTGCAACGGCTGCCGGCGCGGCCATCATGGAGGGAGGAGGGACTGCAGCGGCGGACGCAGGAGCGGCTGCCCCTACGGCGCCGGGGTTTCCGGCGGCCGCCGGGTTCGGCGGCTGCGTTTGTGTTGCTGGAGCCAGCAGCGACACCGGTGCGGCCTGCTGGGGCAGGCCGGCGCATGTGTTCGCTGTGGGGTAGGGCGACCAGACGCCGCCTGCCCCTGACCGCGTGCAGTCGATGGAGGGCGGGGGCGGGGTCAGTGCGGAGATGTCGCCCAGAAGCATAGAGTTGTTTAAGAAAGCGGGGCCCGACGGGAGCGATGCGGGGTAGTGCATGTGGTCGTTTCGCGCAGCAGCAGCGGCGGCCGCCGCCGCTGCGTAGGCGGCGTCTGCAGACGTCCGGTAGTAGGCGTGCTGCATGGGCGGGGCGGCCGACGCAACGTAGCTGGCCGCGCCGGCGCCGCTGGACGCTGCTCCGCCCGCAGACGCGGGATACGCCTGCATCGGCGGGGTGAGAAAGGGCGGCGGCTGCCGCGTCTGCGCCAGACCTGTCTCGTCTGCAGGAACAGATGCTGAAGTGACGTCATCTCGAGCCGTGGTGGAGGCTGGGGAGGGAGAGAGGGGCATGCTGGTCAGTGCAGTCGACAGCGGCGGAGGCTGCGGCGGACAATAGAAAAGAGAATGCAATGCAGGGGTGTTGGATAGAGTGTGGGGTAGCGGGGAGAAGCGCGGGGGCGAGGGGGGCGCTATGCGGGGAGACAGGGGGAATGGGGCTGAGCGAGCCAGTGGGAACGACGAAAGAGAAGGGGATGGAGGCAGGGAAAGAGCAGCAGGTACGTCGCGGTCAGCGATATACGTGCAGAGAGAAATAAGACGTGTGCGGGGTATGTGCGGAGCACGCGGGGTGTGCGCGGCGCGTGATTTATGGCGTGTGGGCGAAGATCCGCGGAGAAACTCCGGACTACAGAGGAAGAAATTTTCGGGGAGCTCGGTAATCTCTCGGGAAAGTTAGTTCCGGACAAGGTCGTCGTTCGGCAAGCTTGCGGCGACTTTTCGGCAAATTATCGGCGACTCTGACGTGTTGGAGCGCGGGCGACAGCAGCGGGCAGAGAAGAGAAGAGGCAAACGCGACGTGTTGTCTAGCTGGGTGGAATGGCCTTGGCGGGGCGTTGGCCGTGGTCGTCGGTGGTCGTGGTCGTGGCCGTCTCAGGTGGCCGAGCGTTACGCCGGAGGGCCTGTGGTTTACGGACGCAAGTGTTCACGCTACTGCTGACGTCGATTAGAGCAGCAGTTTAGAATGTCGTCGTTGTCGTCGTGGTCGTTGGTTTGCTGACGTGTGGAGCGTACAGTGGCGAGTTGCAGAGTCGTCGTAGTCGTAGTCGAGGTCGTCAGTCGTCAGTCGTTCGTTAGCGTCGTAGTTGGTGCGTGCGAGAGCGGTTCGCAGTGGCAGCGTAGAACACAGTTGGAGAAGCGTAGGTACCCATGGCGGCCCCCTTTAACCAAAAGCGTGGCCAGGTCTCTAAACGTGTCGGCACGAGCGATGACCGAAAACCACGTTGCGAAACGATAAAATGGGTAAACCCCCGCCCGAAAGGTTGACCGAAGGAGGAAGATGACGTTATTGTGAGGCAGTTTCTCGCGTATTTGGAGTGGGCGGCGCGGTGATTGGAGGGCGTAGCGACAGCGGCTGAGACAGTGTGGGTTGCGAGGCCTATTTCGCGTGCAGAGCGAGCCTTGGGAATATCCGATTCGGCCGGGCCCTGGCCGGGACGACGGTGACCGGCAATGGCGGCTATTGGCTGGATGCGAGATTAACTATGGGAGAGCTTGCGCCCTTGGAGGCCATAGGTGCAGGGCGCGGCATCAGCTACGCAGGGATGACGCAATGCAGCGCAGATTGTCGGGTGATTGGTCGAGTCCGGAGTCGCCTCGCGGAGCACCGTTTCGACGCGCGCGCGTATTGCGCTAGCGAGCGAAGCAGCGTCTGGCGGTGATTGGGTGCGAGCGAGCAGAGGACCGGAGGAGGAGGCAGATGCGGCGGATGATTCGTCGGAGGACGCGCGCGGTGTACGTAAGCGATGATCTCGGTGGCAAAAAACGCAGCAGAAACCGCCAGGGCCAGCGCGTCGAGGGCTGCGTCATGCACGCGATAAAGTTTCGGCTGCGACCCAATAGGCGACGGAACGGGCGACAGGCGGGCGCAAGCGAGGCGGCACGCTTGGAGCGTTGAGAAGACGCGCGCGGTGGAAGACGCCGCCAGACGTCCGTCGTGGCTGTGTGGAGAGCCGACGTCATCCAATTCAGCCCAGCCGAGCGAGGCGAGCTGGGCGCTCATCACGAAGCTTGCTGGCGACGGCTCCGTTCGCAGAGGCAGGGCACCGATAGATCACCGACGAGGCAAAACTGCGAACTGAGTCAAAATAAACCCATCAATCGACAGGCTCCTGTGGTCTGCTTTCCACACAGGCGACGCAGCGAAGCGAGCTCGGAGCGCAGGGTCCTAAACCCCGCGAAAGCAACATGCGACGTTGCGTCATCGAACCGCCCGCGACGCGCCCACAATGCACCACGCACACCCTGCCCACTGGCGGTCCTGAGCTCTCGCAGCCGCTGCCCTGCTCCACGCCCCCTAGACGACCCCCCGAGTCGGCTGTGCAAGCGAGCGTGGGGTTTGCCTTTGACGACCCCGTAGCGGCTGCTCTCCGCACCTGGGTGCACGTAGCCGGCGAGTCACGTCATGATTCGTTTCGGGAATGCTTAAAGAAACGTGCCCAGGGGTCACGCGACATCCTGGGGGTGCGGAAGAGCGCCGCCCGCTGATTGGCCGAGGGGGCTGCCGCACGTGCCGCTTCGAAAGCCTCTCGCTTCCGGAGATTCCCCGCAGTCTAGTTGCGATTTGCCGGAGCGCCGGAGATGATTGGGCAGTGGGCTGTCAGGTGACAGCCAGGCGATGAAGGCGACGACAGGGCGAAGCTAGCGAAGGCGACTGCTGGAGCGAGTGCGAGCAGAGCAGGCCATGGCGCTATTGGGGCGAGCGAGTGGATAAGATTTCGATCCTTGCCGCTGAGATCGAGGGATAGGAGGATTCTAGCAAGTTCGAGGGAGATAGCGATCGTTAGCGAGCGCTAGCGAGCGGCTGCGAGAGGCTGCGAGCGCTAGCGCGCAGGCGGGAGACGCGTCGTGCGGGTTGGTGCGGGTTTGCGTGATTAAACCCTAAGGTACCCCAGAACCCTAAGACTAGGAGAGGTAGGAGTGAGCCCTAGACCCCAAGTGCGACGCGCGAGCGGGATGCGAGCGGTAGCTTAACGGGCGCGAGCGAGAGCGAGCGAGCGTAGCTTAATGTGGGATAACGAGTGCGAGCGAGAGCGAGCGCGGATTAAAGTGGGTTAACGAGTGCGAGCGAATGCGAGCGCAGCTTAAAGTGTGATAGTGTGGGGTAGCGTGGGTTAACGTCTGCGAGCGAGAGCGAGCACAGCCTGATGTTTGGTAGCGCGGGTTACCGCACAGCAACGCAACGGTACGCAAGTTTGCGCACCGTTACACCCCGCTACACCCCGCTACGCACTGCGGTCCTTCGTCCCGCACTGCTCGCTGCCTCCCACCTCTCCTCTCCTCTACGCTATGGAGAAATTGCTGGCATTAGCGACGAGTTTGTCTGCAAAGGATGCAGACGGCGCCGAGGCGACGGCGGCGGCGCCGGTGACGACGACGCCGGGCGAAAAAATCGACACCTCGGTGCTGGACCACATTTTCGGTGCCAATCCGGCCGAGGAGATGAAGCAGGCCATGGCTGCGATTGAAGACCCTGAGGTGACCTTGGAGAACAAGGAGGTGGCCTTTGACAACCTGGAGATGCTCGTGGAGCAGATTGACAATGCGAACAGTAAGTGAAGTGGGGGCGTCTGGCGTAGTTTCGTAGAGGAGACAGTTGTGGGTGCAACGAGAGCGGAGTAAGAGCTGGAGTACCACGTCGTACTCCAGCTCTGTCTCAAGAGCGTCTGTCACCGTCTCTTCCCTCTACGACCATTCATTCCCTCTCCCTCCCTCCCCTCCCTCATTTTCCACTAACAAACCAGATCTCGTCCCCCTCCAACTCTGGGATCCTCTCTTGAAGCAGCTCCAAAACGAGGAGCCTTCGCTGCGTAAACTCGCTGCTTGGACAGTGGGTACGGCAGTCCAAAACAACCCCACATCACAACAAGCACTCCTGGACCACAGCGGCTTGTCGAAGCTTTTCGACGCTCTTCGTGCGGAAACGGACGATGAAGTCAAGAGCAAACTGCTGTATGCGCTGTCCAACGAGTTAAAATTCAACTACAAAGGTCTTGCTCGCTTAAACACGGTTCCCGAGGCCTGGAACACGTTGATGCTGCTTTTGGAGGGCCAAAACTCGACCATCGTCAAGCGCCTCGTGTTCTTCCTTTACGCCATCTTGGCTCAGGAAGACGACAGCTCAAAATTGTTGCTCGAGAAGTGCAACGAGTACGCTGTCGCCGACAAGGTGGTCCGTTTCATCCTCCAACACCGTGAAAACGAGGATTGCGTGGACAAGGGACTCCAAACGCTCTTCCTTTTGTTGGAGAAGAAGGCTCGGCTGACGACTGGTGAACAGTTGGCCGCCGAGTTGGCTGCCCTCAAGACTGAGTACGAACACATTCTCACTGCCACTGCATGGGAAACGTTGCAGGAGATGTTAGCACGGAAGGAATAAATGGTTGTGATGGATCGTTAAGGAAGAAGGGAGGAGGGTGACAAGGGTGTGTAAGGCAGACACAGCCAAGTTTATGAGGACGATTTCGAGAATGATTTCAAGGACAATTTCAAGGACGATCTCGAGGTCGATTTCTCTTTTTTTTCTTTTTTTTTTCTTTTTTCAAATGGCAACTTTCAACTTTCATCGAATTCTTCTGCTATGATAGGAAGAGTGTCTCTCTTCACGATTCTCTTCACGATAACTTCTGTGGCTTCTATGACTTCGATGGCTCCTCCGGTAGCTGTGTCGGTCCCGTTCATCGTGCTCACGGTTTCGTTCCCGTTCCCGTTCATAGCTTCCGCTCCGGCTCCTGTCATGATTTCGTTCTCTGCTGCTCTCCCCCCTTCGTCGTCCATCCTCTTCCGTCTGTGTTCTTCCCATCTCGGAAGGTCTCTTTCGAAGCGGGATGTACATCTGCTTGCGCGGGTTCTTTTTTCCCCAGCTGCCAAGTTCGGGAATCTCTTCCTCTAGGGGCTTGGCTCCCATTCCCAAGAACGTCGGCCTCCTGTTGACGTCGAATGCGTCTTTGGCAGAGTACTCGTTGTTCCAGCCCATGCCTCTCAGCATGGCTGCTCCGAACTCTTCTACCGGCATTTCCGCATACTCCTCGACTTGGGACGCCGATGGCAGCTCGCCCATCTGTTTCTTAAACAGTGCGGCAGCACTGTCTTCTGGCGAAGGGGATTTTGTGGATGCCACAGAGATCACTTTTCCCGAGTCGCTCCGAGCAAGCGGATCGTTTTCTCGTTTTGTTTCTTCAAGCACGAGACGAACTTCTGCTGGTAGTTGTTGTTGTTGCTGCTGCTGCTGCTGCTGTTGCTGGCGTGTGGACTCTTCGACTCTTGTTGTTGTCGTCGTTTCTTGGGAGACGGTTTCTGCAACGCCCGTGCTGGTTTCGGGAATGTCTTTTTGGGTCAATGTAGTTTGTTGCTTCAATGTAGTTTGTTTGATAACGACATGGGTTGTAGAGGCTGACGGTAGGTTGAGGCCATATTTCACAGAGGGAGGTTTTGGAGAAGCATTACTCTTGTCGTTGCCGTTGTTCTTCCCTTCAATTCGCTCGTTCCCTTCCCTCCCTTCGTCTCGTTTCTGAATCCTTTCCTGTAACCAATGTGAGGACGAGGGAACCGGAATGACTTTGGGTTTTGCCTTCTCGCGCTCCTTGCGCTGAAACTCTTCGTCTTTGTATTCAATTCCTTCTTCACCGAATCCTGTGATGAATTGAGGCTGCCTGGTTTCTTCGTCTTCACTTTCGTCGTCCGAACGGCCGCCAAAGGAGCGAGAAAACCGGTTCTTGTTGCTCATGAATAAATTTTCCCGTGTCTTTGAGGTGTTTTCCGGTTACAAATGGAGCGAATTTCGTGAGAATACGAACTTTTTTGTGTTTGGTTCTTCCAGCTGCCAGACTCCCAAGTATAAAACTCGCAACCACCAATTAGGCAAATTGTTCTGCAGTCTCCTTTTTCTCAATTTGCTGGACGTAACGTTTGCCGCACGGTCAAATTCAAGAAGCAATGGACTTGTTCGCCGTGGTCACTAAGGGAGGAATTGTGCTTTGGGAGAAGGGCAGCCTTGCCTCAAGCAGAAAACAACTAAACGCCTTGTTCAGCGATGTATTTTTAAACGAACAGGTCTTTGAAGATGATGTCGTTCAAATTGAAAACCTCAAGTACAAATGGCTGCAGTCGAACGTGTACAGTGTTGTTTTCGTGGTAAGTTGATATTGGAAAACGAATTGGGTTTTTTCGTTGGCGATACCAAGTTTTTAGTTTGCTAACAGCATTTCCCATAACAAAGGCGGCTTTTCAAAATGCTCGGCTAGTCAAGTTTGCAGACAAACTGACACAAAGTATGCACAACATCGTCCTCAATTCATGCTTAAACGCATTGAAAGAACAACGATTATTCAACAAGGAAGAAAGTCAGCTGCTAGAAGAGGCGTATCAGATGAAAACACAGCAGCTGAGGGAGGAGTTCAATGATCTTCTTGTCGTGAAGACAGCAGCGAATACCGGGGGAGCGAAACCTTCTTCCTCGTCAAAGTCAGAAGCGTCTACTCGTTCCTCGAAGCTGGCTCCTCAAAAGCAGAAGAAGCAGCCAAAGAAGGCGACCACGAAGAAAGAATTGAGACGTTGGGACGATTCGTTGCTGGATGAGGAGGAGGCTGCTGCTCTTAACTATTCGGAGGATTTGCCTGCAGCAGAGTCCGCTGCACATGCCGATGCAGAATTGTCAAGCATGGTGGGGGAGAATAATAATTTGGTAAAGACGAAACAAGGAGCCTTCGTTATCGAGGAACTGGAACGAGCTCCTGCCGCTGAGGAGACTTCCTCTCGAGGATTCTCCTTTTTCTCGAATCTCATCGGCCAAAAGACGCTCACCGAGAAAGATTTGAAGCCTGTCCTTGCAAAGATGCAACAGCACTTAATCGAAAAGAATGTTGCCCAGCTCGGTGGCCCAACAGCTTTGCGATTCACTTCGTTCATCGCTCGTGGGCAAGAAGACCGGTTCTTTCGAAACGGTAAAGGGAACTATTAAAGCTGCTTTACGGAAAACGTTAACGAAAATCTTGACTCCAAGCACTTCTCTCGATCTCCTTAACAATGTTCAGATGGTTCGCAAGAAGGAGGCCAGACCATACACGATTTCTCTTATTGGTGTCAACGGCGTTGGAAAGTCGACGACTTTGTCGAAGCTGGCTTACTGGTTGTTGTCGAAATAAGCTCCGCATTCTTGTTGCTGCCTGTGACACATTCCGTTCTGGTGCTATTGAGCAATTGAACGTTCATGTCACAAACCTGAAAAAGGTACATGGTGATAATATCGAGCTGTTTGCACAAGGCTATGGAAAGGATGCCAGTATAGTCGTAAAAAATGCTGTACAATATGCCAGTCAAAACAACTTTGACGTTATTCTTGTCGATACGGCCGGCAGAAGACATAACGATCAACGACTAATGGGATCATTGGAAAAGTTCACAAAAGCTACGAAGCTTGACAAGATATTTCAAGTTGCCGAAGCACTGGTGGGAACTGATTCCTTGGCTCAGGCAAAACATTTCCAGGCTTCTCTGTACCACCGCCGTCTGGACGGTTTTATTATATCCAAGGTAGATGCTGTAGGCGAACTTGTCGGCGTGATGGTTGGCATGGTTTACACGACGCACGTTCCCATCGTTTTCGTTGGCGTTGGTCAAACGTATTCCGACTTACGAACGCTTTCCGTTGACTGGGTTGTGGATCAACTGATGCGTTAGACGCTGTAATGGGAAATTCTCAGTATACTGATCTCGGCTGTTATTTTCTTAATCATTTTCACTCTCTATTTACTTGACGATTAAAAAAAAAAAAACAATTCATTATTAATTAATTTAAACAGTTGAGTCTGTAATATACCGTTACCGTTTGTTTCTAGTTTCTGTATTGGAATTCTTATTATCTTGAACTCGTAAACCATCTGTACCGGTAGACAACGAACCTCCGTCATTAAGGTACTCCGTCAGCGATTGTTGGTATCTTGATAAATAATCATCCAGACATGAAAGGGAAGCTCGCTCTGGCAGGAGGTGTTTATCTTTTAAGTGTATATGCAGGCGCTCTTGGTTGGAGGGTGTGGAAAGATGTTTCTGCGTACGAACAAACAGACGGACATAGTAGAACACAGAGGCAGCCTAGTTCTGTGCCAATTTATAACCAATGTGCTGACGAGTATAAAAAACGCCTTCGTCGAGAAGAATTCTGGACGGGTATTAGACACCAAAGACGTTCTCTAGTTCGACAAGCAAAGGTACAGAAGGATGTAGTATTCAGACAAAAACAATTGGCTAACAAGAACAAAGGGTAATGTCTTGGAAATGAGCAGTGGTCCAGGAACGAACATTCCGTTCTACCGATGGGCAGACATCAAGTCACTAACACTTGTCGAACCGTCTCAGCAGATGCAACACTTAGCAGAAACAGTAATAAGAAAAAAAGTACCAAAGAGGGTACCGTGTACACATTATGGAAGTGCACAGCAAGTCCCCGAGGACATGCTTTATGATACCATTATTCAAACATTTGGCATATGTTCGCAGCAAGACTCAGTGACAGAGTTGAAAACTTGTGTAAGACACTTAAAGCCACAGGGAAGAATTCTGCTCTTAGAGCACGGGAGAAGCAAATACGGGTGGTTAAACCGTATCTTAGACGCATATGCCGAGAAACATTTTCTTCGATGGGGCTGTCAATGGAATAAAGACATTCGGTCAATAGTACAGCAAGCCGGTTTGCGTGTAGAATCGATCAAGCGGACTCATCTTGGAACGACCTACTTATTAGAAGCGAGGGTAACCCCTCAGACGTCAATGATTTAAATTCAACACGAATTGCCCAAAACGCCTTCAGCTGCTTCTCCATCTGCTGCTAACCCGGCACAGTTTGGCTGGGCGGCCAGACGGCGCTCGTTAACACCACCAAGTGTCAACTAAAAAAAGAAAAGTGTGCTCAAAAGCAAAAGTTGAGACTTGCTGCGACAGTCTTAGAACGCAATTATCTCATGGAAGACGAAGCTAGCTCGACGAACGCATTGAATGTGCGGGTACTTAAGTTTCACTATCCTCAAGTCCAATCCATTGTCGACGTAGCATCGCACGTTGCTGTCTATCAATTCGATGTTCAGCTTCAGAAATGGGTACGTAGTAACTGCTCGAATGTTTCAGTGATGAATTGTCACTTCAACAGAGAAGTTTACTTTCCTTTTTGGTTTTCTAACCGTCCCTTAGTTAAAATCGTCTGTTGAAGGAACGTTCTTCTTGGTAAAAGATCAAGACAACAGACTAGGATACATTATCCTTAACAGAAACTCGCTTGAAAATCTTTTTTTTGTATATTCAACAGGGGTCTGACGTCCACTTGGTAGACAATTATCTTATCCATAAAGTCTACAACCATCAAGTTATTGGGCTCTGGATGTTTGATTCCTCTGAACTTGCTCGCATTTTCAAGACAGTAACGGTACAGGTTTAAGTACATGTACCGACGCTTGTAATTATTTCGGTCGCTTGTATTTTTTTTCCACTTGAATCGGTCGCCTCACAGACAGACCAACACAAACCTATTTTTACAGCCGGTAACGGTTAAAAGTGGGATTCTTGAAAGAAAAAACAACGCTTTGTTGTAAAACGAAAGGCTCAGTGTCAATAAAGAGCCTAAATTTTCTGTTGTTTTTTGAGTTCTTTTTCATTCATTTTTAGACTCCCCAATCATTATGTGTAAACACATTAAAAACGCACAAGTCTCTATTCGAACGGCGTGCTGTCATCGTTGGGTTGACTGCGTTGAATGTCATAATGAGATTGCTGATCACCCTTTGCTGAAAACAGCTGAGCTTACACTGATTTGCAAAAAATGTCGGAAGGCCTTTCGCAAAAATCTCACAGATGAGATAGACGAGAGTGACGAGTATTGTCCTCAGTACGTTAAGCGACTTAATTGTCCAAATTGGGCCAGTCTAATGATCACAATTAGCTAACCAAATACAGTTGTGACAACCACTATGTAATTCCGGCAGTGACAGAGGCAGATGTTGAACGTAAACGAGCCGAAAAAGAGCTCGAGAAGAGACGGGCAGCCTTTGATATCCGTTATGTGAAGGAAGAAGACCTGTTGTTCACCGAAGACATGGAGGATGTCACTAGCCGTCTTGGATAATGAATGAATGAGTCACGAAGGCAAAGCCGTTGACGGAAGAGAATGTATGCTCATTCGGTAATTGTGGAGAGTAACTGCATGAGTCTATTGTTCATTCGTATTGTAGAAATTACATGCTCGGTGCATGAACGTGGTCAACTATGCCTGCATAGTATAATCGACTTCAAAGTAAGGCAACATAGTCGATATGAACTTCAGAAAAAGAACCATGTAATGGTCAACTTCGAAAGACTCGCCCCGATTTGCATACTGCTTCATCAATTTGAGCAAAACGCTTGCGTGCTTGCATGGGTGAACACTAGCCATTGAGTTGTGGGAATGGAAGTGTGGGAAGGGTTCCATAGTAACGGTTTTCCCGGCATGTTCAACGGATACGTCTTCGTAGATGCTCTTCATACTGAGCAGCTGCCCTGAACTATCCCAACCTCTAAGGTACAGACGTGGTGTACGATAATATTTGTCGTAAGCAATGTATAGATCATAAAGTCTCGCTTTTGACTGCATCACTGGAGCAGCTTGAACGTCGTCTTCTTCATCATCATCGTCTTCATCATTATCGTCGTTAACTTCGTCACTAACAATAAAATCATCGATGTCGGGTATAGCAGAAGCTGATGTTGTTTCTGTGGTCGCTCCGGTTCCAGAAACGGTGTCTGTTGCCGTTTGTGTTTCAGGACTTGCATCATCCGGATGGTCCGTTTCAATATCTATCCAATCTTCTTGTACATTTACCTTCACTTCCCTTGGAATGCTATAAACTAAATTGAATAGTCAGAAACTCATTCGCAAGTGTATATCGAACAATCTTACCGTGCTTTGTGACCAGGTACTGTCGATCCTTTGGTAGAAAATCGCGAATACGGTCTCCTGTTTCCCATTTCCACGTAGGAAACTTTCGCACCAAGTAATCACCGGCCAATACAAACTATTCTTCTGTTAGAGATAATTGTTGTGACGAGGAATGGCGAGCGAATTGCCAATTGCGTACCTGCTCAGGGCTAATCATGCCTGTTTTCTCAAAGTTTGAATCTTTCACCGGAGGAGTGATGTGCTGTCTCCAATTCATAAACGCTGAAGCTAAACGTTGAGTCATGGTCTTTCATAAAAATTGTGTCGCAAGTTTGAAAAAACGCGAGTTGTTTACAGAGTTAAGTTATAAACCAATTGCTCAACCAGCAAGAAGCCTCTCAAAAATAAAACGAAATATATTGGTTAAAAGAGATGTGTGTTAAGGGTAGGTGAAACAATGAAGGAATCCGCCTTGCCATGCAGGCCACACGTATCGCGTCTGGCCCCCACAAGACTCCCACCCGATAAGATTTAGCTTATCTAAAGTTTAAGCTTAATTTAAAGTTTCGCTATAGATAAGCGAGTTTTGGTGAACGATGGGGCTAGCTTTAACGAAAGTCAAAACATGAACATTGGTAAGGCAGTTAGCAAATCCAAGCACAAAATGTTTCCAAATTTTTAGTACAAATACGAAAAGTGAGAGGGACGAAGGTATCGGTATTTTATGAGGCAATGAGGTTGCCGTGAACCAGGGTGACGCCAGCTTCCCAATGAAGTCTAGAGAAAATATGTTAGTATATGCAACAAAAAAAAAGAATAAGCGTAGCATAGCATACCCATTGACACGGAATTTAAGTTTGCTTCCAGGTTCGACTATTTCACCCTCGTCAGTTTTCCATTTTCCTTGCTCTTCCGTGGTGCTTGGTTCAATAAAAGACCAAGTAGAAGGAATGCATTCACGAGGAATTGAGGCATTGAAGATGCCCATGACGAGCAAACCAATATGACTAGGACTAACAAGGTTCACTTGTCCTTCTGTAAATTGTGTTAGATGTTGTATACACGAAAAGGAACGAGAGGGGGGTGTTTGGAAATCCTTAGATTACCATACACAAATACATACCTAAACGGTCATCCTTCTCCGGAGAGAACAGTAGAACGTCTACACTCACCCAAACAAAAGAGAAAGGGGAGTCGTACATAATTTTAGCGGCTTTTTCTAAAAACTTTACGTTTTCGTAAGCCAAAACGATGCCTTTCACTTGAGGCAATTTGCTCAAGATGAGACTGTCCATGTGTTCCTGCACAGCAGTCAAAGGCTCCCTGCTATGAGACGGCGGGATAGACAGGTAAAGTTCGACGTTTTGCTTGTAAAGGGAGAGTTGAGACATTGTATTTTCTTTTCACTTTTTTTTTATTCCAAAACTTTCAGGCCAGCGAGATCACAATAAAATTTTTCTTAACTCGGAGAAACACCAAATCAAAGTAAGGTCACAACAACAACAAGCAATTTACCGCGTCCAGTACGTCAACAGGAATCTCCTCTGTCCCCGTTGTTCGTGGTCCTGCGAGTGTGCCGAACAACGCTTGACTGCAGATATTTGGTGGTTAGCTTTTTAGGTTATGGATCTTATCTAAGCGAAGTCTTAATCATGGAGCATTATAAAAAGACAATACTGAAGTTGAATCCATGTAGTAAATCAATCGGAAAGCAGATATCGATATGAGCTCAAACGGTGTTGGCTAATATGAGTCGTCAACTTGGTATTTTTTTTTTTTTTTTTTTTTTTTTATTATTATTATTATTATTATTTTGGTAATTATAAATATATTATTAAGCTCCACTTCGATTTGTCGTAACTAACTCAATTGACTTAAGTTTTGACAGCGTTGATATTTAGTTTAAACTACTCAACCGTCGAGTTAATATTATTTTGTATTTATATTGCTAGAGGTTTCTTCTATATTGAGTTCCGACTCAATACAACAAAATCATTATAGATAGATCGGGTTAGTGGTAATGCATTTAAAGCTCACAGCTTTAACTTAAATATAGCCCCAAATAAAGATTGTATTGTATTAGACAATTGTAATTGCATTCTTTCCATGCAATTATATTGATCATCTTCGTCTTGCAGTAATCCGAGCGATTAGATAAAACAAGTCCATCTACCAATTTGGAAGAGCACGTTGTCCGTTAATCTAAATCCAACAACGATGAAACACTTGCGAGAGAGAAACACCGAATCACAAAATGATACGCATGTACTCATCACCCTTCCTTGAACCTATAACATTTATTAATATTATAACCATAACGTATTTCATTGCAGCTCATGAAGTTCAGTCCGAAACAAGAGGTCTTGGTTGTTGTCGAACTGTGTTTCTTATTCCTAGTTCATTCTTCCGTATGACACCTGGATAAAATTGAAATATTAATCGCCAAAACTTAAGTTTACAACTTCATCAGCGTAACAAAATAAATAACTTTTTACATCTAGTTCAAAAGAGGGGTACTTTGGTTGCAATGACAACACTCCAAGCGACGCTCCTTTGCGTTTCCAGATGCTTTTTTCGTAAACATCCGAAATGTATCATTTCCGCAGTGAGAGCATTCGAATTGAGTTTCGTCTTCAGCGTAGTTCACTTTGTTCTTATCCACCAGATTCATTTCACTAACAGCAGCAGTGGCCGTAGAAGGGGGCTTGATTACAAGAGGGGGCATTGAATTGCGTTCTAAGCCAGTTCCCATTGAAAAATAAGCTTCTGCCTTGTTCAACGGCTTCTTCCCTTTGACAAGATTGGATGAAGGTGAAGCTCTACCTTGAGGCGAAGCCGTTTGTGGTCTTTGATTCGATGAATATAACGCAGTGTTCTGCAAATAAGCTTCAGGCTTATCGGCAACATTGCACTGCTGAGAACCGTGGTGTAAAGGTAATGCGTAGTAAGCCATGCTAGCAGGTCCTTCTTGCAGCAGCATCACATCTGCTCTTCTCAATGCTTCACGCGTGTTCATAGTCCGTGCATTTCGTGCTTGCGTATTTATTGTCGATACATCAGAATGCGTAGCCTGTTGAGTGACGCGCGATAGCGCAGGCGTCAAGCCAAGTTGAGAGGTGCTCGCGGCTTGTGGAAGTTTGGCATTAATGTAAGGAAGAGTGGTAGGACGATCACGTTGAAGACTCATGGACGACTTTGAACGTTGAATTGTCACCTGTGGAATGTTAGAGTTTTGTGTACCGGGGTCTGCGCGTTTTAAATTTTGAACACTGGCATTGATTCCTTGGAACTGTTGTTTCTTCTGAATAGCGATGGCTTGTCGCTGATCAAATGCACTGTCTTGGCGGAAAACCCTAACGACCCCATCAACATCACCACACACTATAATATGCCCATTGGAGAATTCTGAAGTAGTTTCATGAGGGAATGCAAGTACTTGATCAGTAATAATACGGCTCTCGCGAGTACCACTCGCGCGTGGGAGTCCGTAGATGGGATCACTGCCTTCAGCAAGTAGTCGCTTGGTCCAAGTGGGTGCAAAAATAGCCACCGTAACTGTCCGCAAAGATGCCTTGAAATGTTCGTATTGCTGGCTTTTCTTTTTTCGGTAACGATACGCATCCACATCCCAAACATAGACTTGATCATCTTCACTACCACATATGACATGTTGCATATCATCGCTGAAGGACGCTTTAATTTGTCCTTGTTCATTAACATGTCCCTTCAACTTGTATTCCAAACTTTTGTCCTGAATGTTGTACACACGAATTCGAGAATCATTCGTAGTAATTAAAAGCTGCGTTTCACCTTTCACGCCGCTTGCCAACATACGAGCCTCGATTCCTGTAATCTTACTCCCTTTTGCTGTCCGTCCCCGGCTGTCCTTAATAGGCATTTGAGTCCGATACCGAAGGCCTTTTGTGTCGTAAAACAGGCAAAGACCACCAAAAGTTCCCGCAATAGAGACCGATCCATCTGGAGTGAATGCGACTGCAGTAATCAACTCTGGAAGTTCATTCCAATATGTCACACTTTTATCCGTAATAGACCACAGACGCAATCTACAGTCAAGTGAACCAGACAAGAAGAATCGATCATCCTTGGGATGGAAAGCAATAGAGGTAACAAAATCACTGTGTTCAAAACAGCACAAGCAATTCGCTCCGCTAGGATGCCAAAGTCGGACTGTACGATCCATGGATGAGCTTAACAGAAAGTTATTCTTACTCCAGCAAAGGTCAAGAATATCAGACTTGTGGCCTACATATTCACGCACAGGGCGAGTAGAGAAAACGGGCGCATGAAGAGTGCCATTGACGGACTTGCTTGCAGACGTGTGACCCATTTGTCGGAAAGCTTTTTCTTGCTCCTCATTGTACACGGTCCAAACCCGAATGGTTCTGTCCTGCCCTCCAACAGCTAAATATTTTCCATCATGACTAAATTCCATTGCCCAAATAGCTGCACCGGTTTTTGTGCCTGCACGCGAACTGGTACCTGTACCGTTTGTGCGTATGCTTCCGCGTCTAGAACTTGTTTGAAGCGGCGACGATAAATTCTCAGACAGAGTTCGGGAAACGGAGGGCAGCACAGGCGACATAGCTGAATTGCTGCATGTAAAAGATATATTGGTCACATAGGGCATAAGGTCACTGCCCTCAAAGGCCGTAAGTCGTGACAAATCGAATTCTTGAGCAAGAAATAGACGCGAGAAATCCTTCTTGCTCTTGTTCTTAGAACGCACACGCACGTATCTTCCAGGCTCCTCTAACAACTTATTTGACGCGTCCGAAAACTGCAGAGTGCTGTTTCCTTCATAACATGACTCATCATCTTTACTCATCGATGAATTGGCATTGCCTGGTTTCAGCCTCCGTGTCGTACGAAAGATTCGTTGCAGTAAAGACGGCCTGCGTCCAACCTGCGTCGGCTCCAAGGCGGCAGCAAGATTGTCCACCGCATTATTGGAATTTCCGGCAAAGTCTTTCAAGCTTATTGGTGCATCATTTCTACCTGATTCGTCTATCTCTTGAATTTTTTGCGAGGCCTGTCGTCTGTGAGTACCGGGAACGCTCAGGAAGTTGCCGAAAACGGAGCTTTGCTGCTGCTGTTGCTCCGAGTCTGGCTGGTCGACTCTGCTACGAGATCGGTCAATTATCTTCCGTGACAATGGGTCTATTCCCTCGGACACATGAGTCTTGCTAGACCGAAAAGGCAGAAAGCCCATATGTCCTTCCCCTTCATGTTTCCGTATCTCTAAAGCCCAATAAGTTAGTAACAAAGTCTCGAATATATAACAGTAGTGGGGACCGAAGTGTATATACCTGGTAGCGGCGGCGGTTTTACCGGTAGCTTTTCATCAGAAGTGTGTTCATCATGCACTCGAGTGCAATTGTCGTTCTCTTCTATCGATTCGTCTTGAACGGAAACTACAAGGGGGTCATGACTGTCAGAATTTCCATTCATGGAATTGGTCTCAGTAATGGGAGTTCGGATCTTCACGGTGTCGATTAATTCTTCAGTTAACAAAACTTAAGATGTTCAAGTCCTTCTCCTCCTGCAAATTGCAGGAAATAAAGGTGAATTCTGGTGCTAGTGGATGGGACTGTGTGGTGGTGGAATTCCCTAAGAAACAGTGTGTAGCTGTATAGCAGTGTGGTAGACGTAATGTATGGAGAAGTAAATGTAAGGACTATGGGAACAAGAGCACCGGTTGGTAAATGCGAGGTTGTTGGGCGTGTCAAATAGCCTCAGGATCATAAGATGCAGCAGTCAAAGCGACAGCAAATGCGACAGTAGTAGAAGCGGACCCTGGCACCGACAGGCTTATGCCGATACCGATACAGAAAATGCGAACAAGTGTGCGCATGCATGCACACACAAGTTTGATTGTTTAGATGTTTGTACGTGTATGAAAGTACTATATCTACAAAAAAGAATATCAAATTACATTACATGGAAAAATTCATTGCTGTTCTATATTCATGCCTTACTCGGGAAGGGATAGGTAAAGGGGGGAGGAAACAAAAAAACAAAATTGTTGAGTTGAAAGAGGAACAAAAGTGCAGGAAACTAGAAAGTAGAAGAGAGAAAGTAACAATAAAAGTAGAGAAGTGTGAGGGGAACAGTAAGTTATTGTTCGCATACGAATTGCGGCAAGACGAAAATCTCATTGAGGACCTTCATTTGTTAAAGTTCCCGAGCTGTCACCAAGAACAATTTCACGCTTAAGGTTATTGAGAGCATCTTTACTGATTTGATTAGTGTTCTCGGCCGGTTGCTCTTGGTTAGATGTTGACGAAGTAGTGAATGTGAGATTCAGGTGTGGAATATGCTTCTTTATGACTTGTGAGATTTGTTTGCTTCGGCGACCTTGAGTCTTCCAAAATGACTTTTGTGAATGCCGTGAACGTATACTAGCAGCGTTCGTTATCATCGACGTTTGAGTGTCCAGCACAGGCGATTGTCCGGCAGTAAGACTCCTCACCGTTTCGTCATTATAGCTACTAAGGAAACCAGTCTCTGGATCCTCCAGTTCTTGTTCCAAGCGGTCCGAATTAGAATTCTTTGAAGTTGTTCCTGTAAACTTCTCGAGAATCAACTTTCCAGAGTGATTCAATATTACACGCAACATATCATGTTTTAATTGCATGGTAACTTCCAACAGCGACCAGATCTCATTACGATACTCCATCGTTGGCATTGTAAATACAAAGTCTGTAATGTTATCCAGTCCCAAATGACCTTGGCCATGGTAACTAAAGCAGAGAACCACACTTGGAACCTTGAAGTATGTAACTGCGAAGAAAGAGCCGGCGCGTTCTAGCATTGTATTCAACTCAGCTCTTGCATCCTCGTCAAGTTCAAAGTAGGTATTAGCAACAGACATTTGACTCGACTGTACCCGAGACGTAGCCATTGTGCTGCCTGTCCGGGAGCTCACTCGAGACATAGCACTTGCCGACCTCTCTACTGGAGGTTTATCTGACTTTGAGTCGCTTTGCTGTTTACGTTTTCTAATACGAGAAAGAATGGATGCACCTTCCATTCCCTCAGACTGTTTCGGAAACACATAATTGAAAACCAAGTTAACCAGTTCCTGCTCTAATTGTAGACGCAAAGGGAAAAGTGAGCATTCGACATGTTCAAACAAAGGGATACCAGCAACAGCGTCCTGCACCTGCCAGTGAATTCGGATAAGCTTTTCCTGGTGCAATTGCTCAATGTCACTATCCACCTCAAAGTACGGCGAGATAACATTTGAAAATCGTGCACCTTCGAACAAGCTTGTTCCCTTCAGTAGTCCAATTTCAACGGTATTTGAATTAGAGGAATCCGTATTATCAACCCTTCTAAAAGATGCTCTATACAAAGCAATGTCCAAAAACTTTTTATGGTGCTCATCTAATAAATGCCAGATAACCTCTTTCGTCATAATCAACCAGCTTAAACGAGGACGTCTATCAGACTGTCCGACCTGTCGTTGTGCAAGCGCAATTGACTCCATGATGTAGAATAGCTCTTCTTCAGTTTCAAAAATTTCGTTTTGAAGAAAGTATTGTTGCTTGACATGCCGTTGAACATTTAGCGTAATATCATAAAGCTGGTAGTGCTGTTTAATCGCTTCATAATTTCTAATTCTTCGTTGCAAAGCACGAACGATTTCCGGGGTTCCTTCCAAATCCGTGAAATCAGCAGTCAGCAAAATCTCCTCGATTCTCTTGCTCCGTCTTTTTTGATTTGGTTCTTTATACAAGAGAAGGTTCGTAACGATGGTGAATATTTCATAGTACTGCGACGAATCCGTATAGCAGACAACTTTTGGAAAATCGACAGTAATAGTATTTGTGTGCGAATCCAGGTCTTGAAAGTGCCCGTTTGTAGCTGCAACAGTTCGCTTTAGGCGCAACGCATTGTGCTTTGTATATTCAGCAGAGAACGATATTCTGTCGAGGAACCGAAAGAATCCAGGAGGAGTCAGAACAAAATCAAATGTTGCCTCCAGAGGGACCCACGGAGGATAGAAGCTGTTTGCATCAGAACCGTAGTTATTTGCGACAAGAAACTTGGCGTTCTGTTTCGAAAAGTAAGCTCGCTTAGCAATGAAGAACTGAGATTCGCTCACATTTACGAGGAAACGTTGCTCAACAAGGTTGTTCAAATCGTCTTCTGACAATGATGGATCAAGCACACTGAGAATTTTCATTTGCATACTTTGAACTGAAACAATAACAGACGTGTTCGGATTTACAGCGCTCTGAAATTGAATTTGCGGAGCAATAAATCGAAAGATGTAACTGTTCACGAGATCATAATGCTCATCTTTGAGAGAAAAGCTTCCACTTGAATTTGTAGCTCCAGGATGCCTAGCTCCTGAATCCGTACACTTAACAACAAAGTGCTTGTCTATATCATCCATGAGGAACTTTATCAAATTTTTGGTTTCTTCTCGCTTCTCTTCATTTCGCGGACCGACATAAGTATCAAAAAAATCGGTATCAACTGGGGCTTCCTGCTTCTCTAGCAAACCCTGAAGAAATCGGATAGCTCTTTGAGACATATAATAGGAAAAGCCCCGTCTTCTATCGACTTCATTTATGTACTCCAAAAACGTATCGCGCACAAAGTGATTCCATTTGATCTGAACATTATGGACCACAAAACGATTATTGAATTCAGTAATTGAATCAGAAAATCGAGCATACACAAAACCGTAATGATCTGTTTTCCGAGATTGTTGCGCTGAGTCCTCGTCAGTATTCTCAAGCGCGAGTTTTCTCAACTGATCAAATATTCTTATGTTGGCGTGTACCAACTCGATGCTCTTCCGTTCTTTTTCAATTTCTTTTTGAATGAATTCTGTAGCACTGTTTGGAAGCGAATTAAGCTTAGCAATTCGTTCTTCTGATTCTACAACAAGAGCCTTAAGCTCCTCTTGCCGCGCATCGAGAATTTCCGTCTGGATTTGCGACGTATTTTCCTCGCTTAAAAGACAACGGTGCGTATTCTCTTGATTAAATCGACACTCTGGTTTTTGACCATCTTTGTTCTTTCTTGGTTCATGTTGAGCCACAGTATGTCGATAGTAAGTGAACCTGGGCGAGTACGCGAAAGGATAAATGGAACAAATTGACCCGAATTGTGGAAGTAACCAATCGATTTCATGGAAATCATCTTGATCAATCCACTCCAAAGGTCCTTCCACTTTTTCAAACATATCCTTGTTTGTATTGTTAAAATAGGCGGGTTGGTGTTGATAATTGTTATCACTTTCCACATTGCTTTCATCAAACAAGGCATTTAAGACTCTTAGATCAACTGCTCTAAAATCGACCTTTCCAAGATGCATCTTCATGGTGGAAACCTCTTTAAGTTTTGAATCTTTAGAAAGATAGACATGCTTTTCTTTTCGTTGATGTAAATCGATGGTAAATCTTTCTACCTTAGCCTTTATACCAGTTGTACTTGTGCACTTGGTGTGTAAATCTTTTGAAGTCTTGTACCGATAGACATGGCTGATGAAAAGAGGTGCTATTTCCAGGCAATACTTAAACGTCGCTAGGTAACGGCCAAACTTTTTATCAGGCTTGTTATTCTCACTTGGATAAAGGGAACCTGAACGCAGTGGATATGACATATTGTTTGAAAACAATCTCCACCAGTCAAAGAAATGGGCAAAAACCAAAGGCGTAAGATGAATGGTATTACTTGATTTAACCTCAGAATAGCGATTCTCATCATCAAGAAACCTGGGAGACTCTAAAGCAAGTGAACAATGAAAAAAGTCACTGCGAAATCCCCTGTAGGCATCATAAGGTCCTTCGGAATCTGGCTCACAAAATTTTGGAATCCTTGTGACAATGTCCCAATGAGGTTTGAAATTCCACAAGCGGCACTTCCGTTGACCATTACACTTATCACAATGTTTTCCGCAGGCTCTTTCAGGAACAAATCCACATCTCCATCGGACTTGCCCAACGAGTTTTGCTATAATTTTTCGACATCGTAAATCTCTACTCTTAACGATATCTTTTGTTTCCATATCATGCATATCAGTGGTTTCATCATACATGGAATTCCAGATGGTCGAGGCCTGTTTCGGGAAGTCTGGCACACTAAGATAAAACTCATTGCTGTCGACAGTCATAAAGTTCCTAGGATCTTTATCACAATTAATGTCCCATGCAACATTGCCAGACCAACATTTTTGAAAACCGGCTCCCGAGCCCAAAGTTATGTAAGGATCTCGAGATCCTTTCAGAGAAAAGAGGACATCACCATTACCAACCCAGCGAACCCTAATTTGCGAATGAGTAATTAAACGCAGCTTATCCCAAAAACCAAGTTTTTCCGAGGGATCTACGGGAAGCTTTGTAAAACTATCCGTAATTCGAATAATGTCAGAAAAAGCAGGTTGATATGAAGTACACCACAGCAAAGTCGTGGGAAGGGGTGTACGAATGTAGATCCGAGTATCTGAAAACGTTTTTATAGGAGAAACAGTACGAGTAACATTCACAGCAAATGGGTTGATAAGACTACTGCCCAGCTTGGCAGGAACAACTTGAACGGTAACATCTCTTATAGCTGCTTCAGTAGGGACTTGTTCAGTAATTACTATATTGCTTTTAAGTAACCACGAAGACAATTCATCATGACAGCGTTTGGGTTGGGCTGGAATAAAAATCATAGGAATTGGATAATCACGAATGTACAAGCTTGCTTGGTTCATTTTCCAATCAATAGACATAGGGAAATAAATTGAATACTGATAATCCTTTGGCTGACCATTACCAACTCTGTTGAGAAATTCTGGCAGTTCATCTAATGGAAAGGTTGGCTTATCCATTGTAAAGTCAAAAGATTGAGCAGCAATATCCATTAAGGGCGGACTCACTGATATTGGAAGAATCTTTTCCGAGAAGAAAACATTGTCATTTAATGAAGGGACTTTTATCCAAACATCGTGCTTCTTCCGTTTCAGTCTGTTGTAGCGAAAACCTCTTACACGCTTAAGGTTCACAATCCAAGAAAGTGAGTCGTATTCCATCAATCGTTGCCGTGCTTCTGTAACGGTGACTGAAAGATTATTAAAAAATTGCTCATCGTTGTCATCGTTATTCATAAAGAATTCGGCAAAGCTCTTGTTCAGATCATTCAGACGTTCTACTCTCTTTTGTTCTGTTGCATCGTTAACTTCAGGATCTTCTGCATGACTTTGATAATCCTTGAAGCTAGTATTGAAGTCAAATGATGAGTTGCTAAAAGTGTCATCTAAGTAACGAGTCCGAAGCTTCATTACTCTGTTTTCGAATGCTTCCCATCGACTTTGACGCAATTCCTGTTCAGCCAATCCAGTGCGGAAGATAATCGCTAGCTTAACCTCAAATGGATCATCTTCAATTTCAAAATTGAATGCTGAAGCCTTAATATTTATATGAGGAGAGATCTTCGGTTCGTTAGGGATTTGAGCTTGAACGTGTTGCTCTTGAACCGTAATAGGCGGTTTTACAAGACGAATAGCACCTTTAACCGTGTTGATCAGACTCTCAATTAGCTTATAGGGGATGAATCCATGAGGTATACGGATGCAGATACTGTTAGTATTGAAATGATGCAGCATTCTTTGGTGATCAGACTTTGTCATAAAGTAATGAATATGAGTCAATAAAATAAGCGGAAGCCAATAATTCTCATCGTCTTTACTCCAAGTATGAATCTGTAAACTATCCATGGTTAATTCCCACGAACGACTTCTTTGCTCTTTAAGCATATGAAGATCAGTAATATCGAGAAGAAGGCGGGCATTATCATGCAAGATCATTTTAAATCGAGATCCCCGTACACGAATATCATATTGTTTTTCGTGGGAATAAGGTAGTATTGCTTGTTTTCCCTTCAGGTTTTTTGAAGCCGGTTCATTTTCCGGCTTACTCAAGATGCTTCTTAAAACATCAAACGCTTTCAATAAGCAGAAGTTATCGAGCATTGAGTATTCTCCCCTTAAAGCATTGATATCGCCATGTAGCCTCGTGAGGACATTCTTACTTCTCGGTTCGAAAATGGTTGTATGATACAACGTAAGCTGGGGAGCAACGAGTAGTAGAGTTTCATGGTAGTTTCCCGATATACTTGAAAGCTTACTCTTTAAACTGACATGGTGAAAACCAAACCTTATGTCTTGAGTGTGTTCCAACGGCTTATTACGACCAGTAGTTTTAACTTCCATATTGCGAATACGAAGGTGGGCTCCGCACGATGTATTGGATTTTTCATTTTCATAATCGCAAACTGACATATCGAAACCAGAACCATAAAGCTTAAAATGTTGAAGCCATTGAGGAAGAAAACAGTCGCTTTGTTTTTTTGGACGCGCTTTTCCTGATTTGGAGGAAAAATCCCTCTTTATGTCTAAAACCGTGTGTTGAATACGCTTCAAACAATCGATAATTGCCTTTTGATCAACAAAAATAGCCATACGTTGATAGTCACATTCAATACGAGCCTTTTGTTCAAAGAAAGAATAGTCGCATGTAAAGTGTATAGTGTCCGATAGATTAACAGTACTCTTATTATTCTGTGGGTCCAGAAAGAAAACCGTATTATTGCCAAGACGCGCCGCAAGTTTGACTGCTGATAAAAGCTTTTCATTGTCTGATGGATGTAAATTAACTCGCATCGTTGACAAACTTGCGACGAGCATTCCAGGGGAATCATAGTTAAAAGGGTCCTTCACGCTTGAAATAAATAAACGAAATGTTGGATGATTCATGTTGAGAGATACATCCAAACTAGGAAGCTGACAAAATTTGGAGAACAAGGAGTCTGAGCTTTTAGAACGCGTGCTACTCGTTGTTTTGTTCCGCAAAGCATCTATAAACTGCTGGACAAAATGTAGCCGAACATCTAAACAAGGAGAAGCAACAGAACTCTCAATCCGTAGTGGACAAGAACGTATTCTAGAATGGGAAAAAGGCGTGCAGAAAAGTTGTGTAAACATGGAAGTGAAACCCGTTACTGTAAGCAGTGGAACGTCCAAAAGTACGTGTTTTTTTTGTGAACGCAAGAGATTCTCAATATTCACATTTAAGGCCGTTAATAATACTTGATGAGCAGTAACATTCTGGTCAAAAAAAAGTCGGTATGACGAGTTGTTTTGATTCAACTTGTTGAAAGTGAAGCCAATATCATTACATTTGACTTTGTGAATTGAGTTCTTTTCAACAAAGTGCTGTATGACAACTGAAAATGTACCAACTTGCATATGTACTTCCTGAAGTTGCAACAACAATGCCGAGTAATCTTCGTCCTTTAATTTCCATGATGATTCTTGGTGTGAACTACATGCATCTGTTTCCCCACGTTTATCACTCTTTGAAAACATGTCAATGAAAAGAGGACTGTTGAGATTCAAATCCAGTCTGCCAATCTTGATACCTAATTCGAAAACGTCCAAAAGTTTTTTCGTTTTGGGAAACAGCTCCTCGGCATTTTTAAAGCTAAGAGAAAACGTGGTAAAATCATTCACGTAAAACTGTTCTCCATTGCGTTCGACAAGTACCAAATCAATAAACCGAATAAACAATTGTCGATGAGAGGTTTGTAAGTCACCTCCAAGCACATTCGTAGTATCAATAAGGTCGGTCTCAGATGTTTCACCAAGTGATACACTTCCGAACTCAATGACCTCACCACCTTGGAGGACAAATCGCATTTCACGGAATGTAATATGTATCATAAGCATGAACTTGCTTCGAAGAACACGCATAACATATTTCTGAATCTTGAACAGCCTCAAACAGTCCACGAGATGACGAGGACCGCTAGCATTTGCGCCCTTTTGTGACTCATTCCGTGTGGAAGAGACAGAATTCTTCAAATTTAGTTGAGTAATGGTCAAGCCTTTAATAACGAACGTAACAGCATAAGGATTTGAGGGTGAAGGTCTATGTACACGAATTTTAAACGAAGGAACAATGATTGAAGAACCATTAGAGAAAGTGTGCTGTAAACCATGGATAGAGAAGAAACCGATCCGTCGGAAACGCCAGCCAGAACAATAACCAATTATCCAGAACAGAGTATGGAGAACTAAAAGAACGAATGCAATTTTCCATATTGTGAGGTAGGCAATTAATTTCCGAAAAAGACCAATGCCAGCTCTAAGCATACCCATTGAGCTCCTCAAACCAGAGAATTCAAAACTTTCTGTCAAGGGACTTTTTGACAGTTTTACTGGGCCCTAAAACAACTTATGTTTATAAGTAAACACACTTTTTATGTGAATAATGTCATTCGCGGCTGTTAGGAACGCCGGCGGCAGCAGTTGGAAGTGACTCCATTTCCCCATGACGTCGATTTCCGGCAAAATCTTATCTTTATATCTTATCAAACCTTAATTTGAAAAATCAGAAGCCAAAAAAAATACAGAAAACAATACTGCGTTTGATAGAGACGTATTAAAAACACATAGTTTCTTATTATCACTACTTTTCGTATTTTTTTCTGTTCAATCAGAAGAAGCAGTCACACGCCTTAAATACGAAACACCACAATTTCAGCACTTTTCACCCACAGCAGACATGGCCGCAGTGAAGATCGTCAAGAAGCACACGACCCAGTTCAAGCGTCACCAATCTGACAACTTCAAGCGTGTCAGTGAGTCGTGGAGAAAGCCCAAGGGTATCGATGGCGTCGTTCGTCGTCGTTTCCGCGGTACCATCCGCATGCCCAAGATCGGTTACGGCTCCAACAAGAAGACCAAGTACTGCATGCCTAACGGTTTGAAGGCTTTCCTTGTCCGCAACGTTGCCGACGTCGAGCTTTTGCTCATGCAAAACAAGACCTTCGCTGCCGAGATTGCCTCCAACGTGTCTGCTCGCAAGCGTGTCGAGATCATTGAGAAGGCCCGTGCCTTGGGTGTTAAGGTCACCAACGCTGGTGCTAAGGTCCGTTCTCAAGAGTAGATCCATGAAACGTTTTTTGTAATGTTTCAATCGATGTTCCGTGCTATGTCCTTTGACTGGGTATATACGTTAATCATGCTTTGGGCCAAATAACTTTTGCGGGGTAGTGGTGGGGCTGGGTGTTTCAACGTGTGCTCGTAAGCGAACCTAAAACAATCTAAAATATTTTAAAACCTTAAAAACTCACCACCAAGAACTGCGGGGAGTTGCTGGGGCTCGTCGGGCGTGTCCGCATACGTATCTTCCAAGTAGTTGGGACGTACTGAACGTCTTGTCGTGTCGTACTAAACGTATTTGGTGAAATTACTTCTTCTAAAAGTCTGTTTATTCCTCTTGTGAGTTAGTTTGCGTAGGAGTTGCCAGTGCAATTCGTAAACGCTCGTTTCTGTTCGACCTTTACACAATTCCTCATACACGGTAAATTGCAGTTGTTTTCCTATGTCACAATACAACGATCAGTGTCTTTCAACTAATCCAAAGACTGCAAATGACTATCATGGTGCATTTCCTTACTGCTCCGTCCATGCTCAGTTAAGACCTTACGTTGCAGATTGCTCTGCCGCGTGCCGAAGGAATGCTCCATTTTCCGAAAAAGACTCCCTTCAAGATGTTGTTTGGCAAATTAGGAATATTTCTAACAAGCTGAGTACGTTTGTTTGCCTGTTTTAATTAATTTTGTGTAAAGAAAAAAAGCTCTAACAGATTTCATTTAGAGGGAACACCCATCCAACCAAAAATCTGCTCTCTTTTAATTGTATCTAAACCCGGTGAGGATGCGGTGGAACAGAAGCTGATTGAAATTGTAAAATGGCTCCTGTCACACAAGTCGTTTGTGGTATATGTGCAACATACACTGAAATCTCTATTCGAAGAGCATGAACGCTTGCAATATTGGACTCCGCTGTTATGTGCTAAACAGTCGCAGTTATTTGATCTCGTGCTGACTGTAAGTTCTGATTGTGAGATTTGATATTGTTAATAGGCTGCTAACATTGTGAGTTGGGCGGTGACGGTACAGTATTGTATACTAGTCGACTATTTCAGCGGACGGTCCCACCGATCATGCCGTTTGCCATGGGCACTCTTGGATTTTTGACGTATGGTTTAATTTGATGAATGAAGCAAAATTGCTAAACGTTTGCAGGCACTTTGATGTTAGCAAATTTCGCGAATCAATTCAAAGCATATCAAAGGAAATGTACATTCATTTACGTACTCGCTTTGAATGCCGGTATATGCGGAAAAAGGATAGTCATAAGCGGATTGAACTTGGCGATCATGTGTTCAGCAACTCGCTGGTGGAAAACGAAGAGACACATGAGTTTGTGGAATCACTTGTCGTATTAAACGAAGTCGTAATTGATCGTGGTCCAAACTCTGCTATGACGAAAATTATACTTTACGTTGATTCGAAGTATCTTACAACGGTAGAGGCAGACGGTTTGTGCCTATCCACACCTACGGGCTCAACCGCGTATTCGGTATGCTTTTTTTTTTCTCATTTTAAGACATTTTTGACTAAACTATAAACGCAGTTGGCCACAGGTGGTTCGTTATGCCATCCAGAAATTCCCGTTGTCATAATTAGTCCTATTTGTGCACACTCGCTTTCTCTACGGCCCATCCACGTTCCGGATTCTATGTATCTTCATGTTGTCATTCCCGAAGATGCTCCTCATAGCGGATGGATATCGTTTGATGGAAGAAATCGAACTGAGCTTCGTCCAGGCGATTTTCTCATGGTCCGAGTATCTCGGTATCCTTTCCCTAGTGTCTACTCTCGTGAGGAGCAGGCGGACTGGTTTGACAGTATCAAGCGCACGTTAATGTGGAATCAAAACTAGAGGGCTACAATTTCCTCAAAATTTATGTTATACCGTACCAACAATTCCTTTCTAAATTTATTTTCGTATCTCACTTAAACGCGCCGCTATGTACGTGTCCGCGACGTCTTAACAGGTTTCAGCTCTTCCTCCAAGCTAGTCTCCTCCGCAACCGCAGATGTTTTGACTGGCACTAATGTTTCAGCCAAAAAATCGGCCACCGTATAACTTTCCTCCTTTTTCGAGTCCTTTCGCGTAATGTTTTTCAAACGGTTAAGGGCATCCTCTCCAACTGTTCCTTCTTCCAAAGACTTGTTTCCGTCCTCCTCATGCTCCATTGTCTTTGTTTCCAATAGGTTGCCGTCATTGGCAGCGGCTTGTTCTTCTAATACACCAAGAGCAAGATCCTAAAATCTCAAGTTAACAGCTGTTTCTCAAGTGTTTGGACAAACCATTTCAATGTATGTCTCTTCGTTCGTCAGTTTCTCAAGATCTGCCTCCTCTCCTTGTTGTTCGAGCTGATTGTTGGCCTCTTTAAAGCTTTCTAAGAATGATTTACATTGTTCTAGCACTACAACCATTGTTAATATTGCAATAACCCAAGATACACTTACGTGGAGAACGTCCTGGAAACTTGCCAGAAAACCCACCACCAAGTGGATTAGTACGTTCTTTTTGTTGGGTATTCTCTTCTTTTGCACTCATAATGTATGTAGAAGAAGGAATTATAAGACCTAACAATTCACCTAAAACTACGAATTTGCCTCCACGGATGAACCCTTCTGAACGCGATTTTTTGGTGGTGAGTTTCACTTGGGGAACTAGACAAAAGGCAACGCAAGAAACCGCACGTACGTACGACGAAATGATCGAACAAGAACAAGGGTAAGAGAGCTCTAATTCCTGCGGAAGAGAGTCTTCCCGCATACGGCTGCATGCCTGTGCTGGCTCCTACTTGGAATGACTACGAAAGCCGATACTCCTTACGCTCCTCAACCTTCCACTCTTACGGAACAAAAATACATTAAGATTTTTAAGCACGGCCAGCAGCAACAATCTTGGCTTGGACGCGGGCCTTGCGCTCGGCGTTGGTAAGCTTGTTTTGCTTGTACTTGAGAGACTCGGCCTTGATGGCAGCCTTGTCCTTGGTAGACTTCTCGGGGAGAGGGTTCTCGCGAATGTTGGCATAGGCCTCAGCGTAGATGTCCTCGAGTTGGTCACTCTCAATGCCATCAGCAATGAGAGAAGAGAATTGCTTTTGGTAACGCTCCTCATCATCGTCAATAAGCATCTCCATGTACTCAGCAACGTGACCACCGTAGATGTACTTGCGAAGAGTCTCATCGTCCAACTCCTCAGTCTCGATATCCCAACCAGGGAAACGGCTAGGAGAGTGGGGAACGTAAAGACCACCATCAGAAGCACCCTTCATAGCACCGAAGACACGAGCACCGGTGGAGGTACGCTTCAGACCAACGTCCAAGAAGACCTTGAAGGGACGAGGACCGTCCTCAATAGCCTCAGTGAGCTCAAACTCACCCTCAGGCTCGACAACACCCTCGTACTTCTTGTCAAGACCCAACTTGATAAGAGCACGACGGGCAACCAAGAGACCAGTAGCGTAGGCAGCGGTCCAGTTGGCCAAACCCCACTTGATGCCGTAGCGAGGAGCGTAGATGTCCTCGAGTTGGTCACTCTCAATGCCATCAGCAATGAGAGAAGAGAATTGCTTTTGGTAACGCTCCTCATCATCGTCAATAAGCATCTCCATGTACTCAGCAACGTGACCACCGTAGATGTACTTGCGAAGAGTCTCATCGTCCAACTCCTCAGTCTCGATATCCCAACCAGGGAAACGGCTAGGAGAGTGGGGAACGTAAAGACCACCATCAGAAGCACCCTTCATAGCACCGAAGACACGAGCACCGGTGGAGGTACGCTTCAGACCAACGTCCAAGAAGACCTTGAAGGGACGAGGACCGTCCTCAATAGCCTCAGTGAGCTCAAACTCACCCTCAGGCTCGACAACACCCTCGTACTTCTTGTCAAGACCCAACTTGATAAGAGCACGACGGGCAACCAAGAGACCAGTAGCGTAGGCAGCGGTCCAGTTGGCAAACCCCACTTGATGCCGTAGCGAGGGAGCTCGGAAGAGTGAGCAGAAGCAAGAACATAGTCACCGTTAACCTTAGAGGAAACGATTTGGCAGGTGACGAAGCGGTTGGAAATACGAACGACCAAGCGGTACTTGGGGGCGTTGTACTTGTTCTTGGCTTGAGAGATCAAACGCTTACGAGCATAGTAGTCGGTCTTACCCTCACGACGACGACGGTACTTGGTTTGGTAGCGAGAGAAGTAGGCGCTGTTCTTGACACTCTGGAAGGCCATTTTTGGTGGTAGAGAGAGGGACAAACGGCCGCGACAGAGAATTCGCGAACAAAACACAACCGTGACTGTTTTTCGTTTTGTTACTACCGCCAAAACTCATAACCTTAATTACGCGTGTGAGGCTTAATTCATTTCGCGACGCGCTTTCCACCGCTTTTCATTTTCGTTCGAACAGAAGGAAGAACTCGGTCCATCACTTATTTTTGCATATTGGGTGCTTCCACAGCCAAAATGAGCCTTAGCTTGTGGTTGCTTCGTTGAAAACAGAATTCCTGGCTTTTTTAGTAAAACTCAACATGTTCTCGGCGAAACGACTCTGGAACTTGAGTTCGTTTTTTGGTAATGGACGGTCAGCTCGATTTATCTGCAAATCATCGAAATTAACGCACAATTCTGTGCTCTCGTACATGAAGTACGCAGAAGAAACCGGCTTGTCAAAGGCGTCAACTGTTTATCAAGGAACATTGTTTGAGTACATTATACAACACACCTTAAGTCGACATGGCTTTCAGTTGAAACGTTGTGGTGGACGAAATGACCGGGGAATCGACTTGCTTGGGACTTGGACTTTAAAAGGACTAGTTCCTGTAATAAACCCTGTTGCCATCTCGTGTAAATGCTTAAACCAAGCACTTGGCCCACTTTATGTTCGTGAGCTTGAAGGCTCTCTCTCTGCAAGACCAGAGGGAACCATTGGTATATTGGCCGGCCAAAGTTCTTTCACAGATGCTGCCATCAAAACATTAGCAGGAAGTAGTTTCGCCATGGCTGCGTGCGGTGTTGTTGCTCAAGATTTGAACAGTTACATCTACCAGTTTCTTTGGAACGAACCAGCCGCAGAATTATTGGGAAATCTTCGCGTGTGTCAAGTCCACAATACGTCAAACTCTCCTCCGCCTGTTACCTTTCTCCGCTCATGAGACGAAGAAAAGGCTGTTTAATGATTCCCTCCGTTTTGTGTTGTGCTCTCTCACTCCTTTATGATAAACTAAAATGAAACTTGATAAATCAACATGAGTTTACATTCTAAAACAAGGAGCGTAAGTAGGTTTACGTTATGTAGAGGTGAGTCGCTAAATAAACTGGGATACGTCGAGCGTAGTCTCACATGGGCGGACCTCGGTGTATTAATGAAACATGAAAAAGAGGGATTGTAACTTTTTGTCAACTTGTCGCGGCGGCGGAAGTCTTTTGCATAGAGATAGGTTATCCACATAAAGTAAAGACCAACGACATTGTGAATAAGGTAGGGTTTCTCTGCTCCGTAGATTAAGGAGTAAAACGACAAGAAGTAGAGAAGGAAATTGTTGAGACACAACTCTAAATCCGACATTCGTGGAAGCATCCGACCCGTTCGTTGAATCTCAGTGACAAGGATAAACGGGATAATAGAGAAGAAATTATGATGGGTAGGAAAGGGAATATACCAGTGCATAGAAACATTCCGAATCCAGACAAGAATGATCGGCATATCAAAAGGCACTAAGTGGAGCATTATTACAAGCAAACTTAACGAGAAGTTGAAAAAGCTCCATCGCCTCCGAACACTGGGTCCATATTCACAACACTCTGCAGCGTACAGCGCCTTGGCAGTAGTGCAAATTTGAGTTAAACAGGTAAATAAGTAAGCAAATTGAAAAGGAACGACGGTAAGCGAGACCGTAAGGAGGATTATATTCGCAATGATGCGAAATTGAATGGTTCGCTTGTTGCATTTGAAGACATTGTCTCCCCTAACATGTTAGTTGAACGTTATACTGAAATAAAACCGACAAAAAAAAACGTACAAATCTGTTTCTTGGGTTAGTTGTTGTATATTTTCTTTCGCCGGACTAAAGAAAATGTTTTTAAAAGACCGCCTAAGCTTTACAAAAATACGGATTAAGAAGGAGACACATTTCAAAATCACAGTCAGCAAGAAATTTAGCGAAACGGAAAAGCCAATAAACACAATGGTCAAAACAGGGGCCAACATCCAGACCATTGGTTCCTGTAAACCAAACACCAGATAGTTTTGTTTCCAAAACGCGGATCGGGAATTAATGGCGGAAGCCCTCCAAGCTGCGACAGCATTGTCGGCATGTTCTGCAGAAGCAGTCGTAGCCCGATAACTCATTGACAAGAAAACAGTCAACAAGGAAACTACTGCTAGCAGCTTTATTAGGCCTCGACGAGCAAATAGCTCAAGTGCTTCCAAAACATCACTGAAAGAACCTGTCATTTTAGTTAGCGAATAAGGAGTAAAATAGACTCACGTACCTCCTTTATTAAAGCGAGTAATTTGGTTTCTTAAAACGTAAGCGAGAATAACGAAGGGAAAGGAAGCCAGTAGGGTTCTGTAGCGCATAAGCAAGCGCCCCATACTTCCATAGTAATCTGGTTGTATCCTCAAGAAGACATGTTGATACTTTAAAGGATTCATGTAAAACTCCAAAACGAGTGACTTATTAAATATTGTATCCACGTTGTCAATAAAAGGCGAAACACCATGCATAATAATGTCTGCAGATTTTATGTTTGGAAAATAGCGAGATTCAACCGGATTTTGTAGTTTCTGTTTCATAAATGGTGCAAAGAGAGCCGGCACACCATCGTCTATTTCATACTCAAGCGTCAGCTTATAACTGAACAATGAGCTTTGAAGGCCGGTAAAGTGAAATGCCGAGAGTAAGGTGTTGTTCGGTGAGAACTCTAGTCGCTCTCCAACTGTTAAAAGCTTTAAGACTGAACTGTCTATGAGCGTTGGCTTGAGGGATAATGGTGAAAGGAAACCTTCCAAAAATCCTTCTCTTCTTTCAAAATTACGATCATCAATCAAGATAAAATCATAATCAACTAGATCCTTTGACTCCGCTGACAAGTAATAAAACACACCTCCGTCATGTGGGTGCTTAGTTTCAAACGTGGAAGCTGGATACAGTCGTAAAAATTCATTCTTTTCATGGCAAAGGGCATTAATACCAAATTCTGTATCGTCGCTTCCAGGGAAGCTCGAAGAGGGATCCAACTTACAGAACTGTACGCGAACATGCGAACCTATGTCCAATGATTGGTCAGTGAGTAGTTGAAAAGATTGAAACTTTCCATGTGGTAATGGCACAACAGTTTTCTTTTTGTTACTATCGCCAAAATGGTCGAATGTGACATGTGCAACTTCACCCAGATATTCGGTGTCTTCGGAATAGAGTAGCATTTCTTTGAGTGGGTCCTTCTTGTTCAGAAACAAATCGTTTCCAATGGAAGCACCATACACATAGGTACGCCAGAAAAGGGCACGCCGTTCATCCAAAGGCTTCGTACCACCAGGAAAGCGAGCGTCAGTAACTGCCAATAATCCGCGGCTAACAACCTGACGAAAGCGTTCACACCAAGCCATGGCTTCATGATCCACTTCTGCCCAAACAAATGGTATACCGGATGTAAAAATTACGAGACCATTTGTAGGAGGTACAAAGCTTGAGATAGCAGAGTATTCTGGAACAACTGTAGTATCGAGGCCTCCGCCTCCAATTGAAAGAACAAACACATCAGCTAGAGCGTTGTTCTCTGGTGGTTGTAGAAAAGAATTGGTCCAGTACTCTTTTACCGAATCATAGAATTCAACCAAGTGACGGTCAATGGGAAAAGGTGCCATTGTGTGTGGAGCTGAGAGTGTGATGATTGTGTTCACCGACCCCTTTACATAGTTGTATAGGGAGAATACGGACTGCGCAACCATTCCTCCCATTGAGTGGCCCAGGAGAATTACTGAAGTTGGATATGGCAAATCGTCATCAGGAAAGGAGGACCGCGTTCGCGTATCAGGATAAAGAGAAAGGATGTAAGCAATCGCATCATTAACGTATTCGGCTTGATCAATCAAAGTTTGCCCGTGGAATGCCGAGAAATCCTCGTTAAAATCTAGAGTGAAGAAGTCTAGGTTCCGCTTTCCAGAAGCAATTGCCTCGTCGTAAGAAGCTGAAAGTAAGTCTGCAAACTGGTGTGCTACATCCGCTGCAAAGGCGCGGACCTGTTTGTAACTGCCGGCATTTCCAGGAATGAAAATTATTGGAATGCCCGAGGGCTCTGCATTTTCGATTACGCTTTTTTCTCGGTAGAGATACAGTGAATATTTCTCTGAAAACCTTGTGTACCGTTCATCGAAGTCGTGTATTCGAGCATAAGAAGGCCACACGGTACTAGTCTCACAACTATTCACAGGCTGGTGATCGACAAATGAACGGAAGACGAGAAAAAGAAATACAATAGAGAAAATACTAATGGGGAAAGAATACCCTTTGAAAAAGGCACTTAATTTAGTTCGCTTTTGTTGGACATAACTTCGTTCTGGAGAAGAAGCTATAGACTCGTTCGACGGAGAAAAGGTCCCATGATCAACTTTCTCGTTCACTGTGTCCATAATTCAATGAGAAGATAAGTAATCTTCACTTTTAATGGACTTTTTTGTCGTTTACGTGGGCTCTTTTCAAACTCAATAGTAATGCCAAACACAATTGGTAATTCCAAGGTTCTATACACAGTAACTGGAATAGCCTTGAAGGATGAACTATGAATAAACGAAAAATCACCTTAGTTACGCATGCGTTTAGCTTTTTTTGCTGGTTTCTCAAAGTTGGAAGAGGAGCTACAGACACGAACGTGTGTACGTCTCAAGGTCTGGTTGACGGAACCCACGAGACCGATTTGAGACGTAGAAGTAAGGAATGAAACGATTTGATTATGATTTTAATGCAATTATCGTCTATCATTAGCGGGATGGGTGGTTCTATTCATGGCGAGTTTTTAATTTTCTTGTTGACAAGAAAGCAATTTTAGTGAAATACAACGCTTTATTAAATTACATTGACCAGTGTAGAGGACGTTTTATTACATAAAGCGTTAAGAAGAAAAAATGAAAGACAAGAAAAGAAAAAGAAAAGAAATAAAAGACAAGACGAGACGAGAAAAAGATAGACGTATCAAAAGATTGAAAATTGAATGTATGAGTCGCAGGGTATGGTCAAGAAAGGATTAATGAAAAATGAAATAAGAGTTTCCAGTGTCAAACCTGGGTCGTTGAAGAAAACTGTGAATACAGGAAATCGCAGCGGGAAGGATATCCGAGGACAAATCATTGAAGATGCAGGGTATGTTAGAAAGCTCGAGGGTATCAGTGACAGACGGCAACGTCTAGTGGCCTTAAAAGCATTTGGAATTTAGCAAGTCGTAAAAAATGGGTAGTGTGAAACGGGCTTTAACCGCTCAAAGATGACAGTACGTCGTTCAGGCTTACTTGAAGCCACGGTGTTCCAGCTCTTTGTTCGAGAATGTTTTCGTTTCCAGTCCTTTTTTGACCCCTTTCCATCCTTCATGCCTTTCAGGTTGGTTTCTGAGTTCGAAAACCCATGCGCAGGAGTCGGTGCAGACGTGGAAAAAGGAGTGGAAAATGTGGCATAGTTTCGCAAAGCAGGTATTTGAATACTTCCGTAACCAACCGAATGAATCGGAGGCGTAGGGTGCTGAAATTCGTCAAGAGCCGCATCGGGTAGTGATATTTCAACAATCTCATCCACGACATAAAACGGCGAGCATTCACATAAGTGGTACACATTGCTTCCAGGGACCTTTAATGTCTCAACAATGTTGTATGCTTGGCCTTTTAATAACGAAAACTGTCGTCGAAACATTTTGTCCTCAAAGTCAGAATCCTGACTATGTAACTGGCGCATCTTAACGTAAAGAGTGTTCCACCAGTCCTTTGAGGTGAGCTTGTTTAGAAAGACCGTGCGAGTAAAGCTCGAAAATGGCTTTCTCAAAAAGATAGAAGGCAGCGTCAGCCAGCCGTGAGGATAGGAACGCCATTCATCTGGATGCTTGTAAGGAAACGCAAGTGAGTTATCGATGGCTCCAATATGAAAATGGGGTAAGTCGTCCTCAGTAAGTGAATGATGGTTAGAAATAGGATCATCTTGATGCCGGCATTCAGGTTCAAAACAAAGAGAAACCATCCAGTTTTCCATATTTCTGTCTGTATTTCTCATTAGGTAGTCCAAAAGTACCAGTTTTTCAAGTTCGAGTGAAAATCGCTCGCAAAGCTCTTCATTCCAGAAGTTTGTATACCATTCGCCCTCTTCAGCAAACGATTCTTCACTCGAGGTGGAAGCCGCATACCCACTTAAGGAATTCAACATCGATTTAGGGACTGGATGCATGCGAAAGAACTCGGATGCGGTATGGTAATTCCGCAGAAAAAGTTGCAAAGAGCCAATTTTGTCGGGCAATGGTTTCTTGCCAGACAAAAACGCTTTGCGTTCAAAATAATCATAGTTAAAAGTGGGAGATGCAAGCCACGTAATATCCGTGTAAGGAACAATGTGAAGTCCAAGACTACGATCCAACAAACAAGCAGCAGCCTCGGATATGTAGCTCAGATTGGGAATAAGACAGCTTCTACCAAAGAAGCAAGGGAACATTGTCCGATGGAACCATTTTGTCCATTTGGGATTCAATCTGCCATAAGGTTCTTCATTTTTAGGTTTGAAGATGCCTATAATTTCACCGCTCTCTTCCAATGTAAAATACGACCCAGAAGATCCCTTTTTTATGAGTAGTGGATACACTCCCTGACGAATAGCAAGTTGAATGGAGCGAAGCTTTTGAGCGAAATCTGGTTGATTGTAGCATCCATGATTCGGGTATGTAAGCTCTACGTTGGGAAGATCTAACAGGTTCGGAGGTGCTGTAAAAACCGAATAAAATATCGGGGGTATAGATTTCTGCGAACGTTTATGGGATTTTCGTTTCAGCTTCAGGGATTCCATCAATTGTTTTCCCCATCTTTCGAGAACCGGATAGCTGGTGAGAAGAGGACTCCGTTCGCCTTCACTCGTATTTGGCGTGGAATTGGTAGGCGCAGGAGGAATAGAATGAGTTTCTGAAGTAGAGTCCGTAAGAGGCCATTCCTCGCGCTCTTCCTGATGTCCGGTTCCTTGAGAATACAACTCTGTAGAAGACTCTGATAAGTGTAACACTAGCGGACGTCTTTCTGGTGTCTCAACGTCATTGGGGAATGGTTTCAATGGAAATGGGTGATATGAAGCGAAATGGTTTTCTACAGCCCCAGAGGCAGAATTTGGAAGCAACATGTGTCAAATAATTTTCTCCTTGGTTGTATTACGGTCAAAATTCACATTAGAAATCAGCTTGGACTTGCTGGCGATTCTGTTCGCCAATTCACCACTCTTGGTAGTGGACACGATGAGACTACCAGAAATTCTTGATTCGGACGTGGAATGTTTCGGTGAAAATGTAATCAGTAGTATTGTTGTAGAAACGTCTCATAGAATAAGAGCAGTCGTGCAAGCCGTATAAGCGAAATGTTTACTTTTCAAATGTCGGAAATTTATAATACCTAGACTATATAAAGAATGGTGAAAAGCAATGATGTGAGGAAGATACTTCATTAAGGAGGTGGGTGAGATCTATAATAGTAATAAGAACCGTGACTATTGTAACATGGCTGGAAGGAAGTTAGATTTTTGATACCGAAATGAAAAGGTAAACAGTGAGGGAGAATGAGAATGAGAATGAGATTTGTTTAATCGGATGAGTGATGGAGAAAGGAACACAACAGCCGTGATGTGACACTGTAAAATTTGACGAATTTTGAGTATGAGTTAGAATGCTCACGTAAACGGAATGGTGAGCAAATATATTGCGATTTTCAGAATGGCGCCGTCTTTTCAGAGGTAGAAGCTTTGCACATTCCCCGTAGACTTACTAGAAGTACAATGGGAAAATAGCCTTACGAGTTATTCTAGCTCCACAATGTGGAACAACGCAAGATCCTGCTTTACGCCGGTAAGGAGCAGCGCATTTTGAACAGTAGACATGCCCACACTTAGTAGCAAAGACAGATACATCCTCATTAGAGACCAACTCCTTTTCACAAGCCGGACACACAATTGGAAGTTCCTTTTGAATGTTTACCGAATAACCAACATGTGCGGCCCTAGTAGTAGTTTTTTCTTTTGGCTTTGGAGCAGCAGTACGTCGAAGTCGTGAATTAGGAAAGCGAATAGCTCGGAGGATGCGAGCCTGTTCGCTCGTTAATCGTGATGTGAACGACCGCGGCCGTTGTTGCTCCATATCAGACGGCTGATTGATAGCCCGAAACCTTGGAGCTGCGTTGTTTTGAGATGTCTCGACTTGCCGTGAGGGTGGAAGACTGTTGACATTTTGAGAAACTCGTTCTTGCGTCAAGTCGTAATATGCAACAGGAGCAGTATGCGTACTTGATTCCAAGATTTGCGGAGCGTCCTCCACCGTCATATCTATAACCGTAACTCCATGAGGCCGTTCCCTTCCGGGCACTGAAATAAAAGTTAGCACGTCGACGTCGTAAAATCTAACCATGGATACATACGCTCCAACCCATCGATATTCATGAAACCGCTAACATGAACAGGAACTGTTTAACCTTCTTTTCGAACGAGACAATACACGCAATCGAGCAATGGACGGTAATATGACTTTTTGGTGGACAACAAACGATGACTTCTTACCCATGCAGGACGAGGAAAACAAAATTGTCATTCAAAAATAGAAGCGCAAAACGTGAATCGGTCCTACCATTTATTCGGATTGAGCTATTAGTACGAGTACTAGAGGTGGCAGGTAGAGTTCTACGTTCCCGACAAGAAATCCGTACTGAATTTTCATCATCAGCGTTATTAGCCACAATTTTTGGGCAAACGTTGGCTTCTTTAGTTTTAGGTTGTTTTCTCTTTAAATGAGAATGAGCTCCTCAGATGAGAATGCTGAAGTATTTGATGGAATGGAAGCGGCTATTCCTGCGTCTTTTGGAAAGCAACAAGTGAAACAAAATCCACAGCTGCTTCTCAAGCAATTTGAACGTAACAAAGAACAGGACGAACTTTGTTACAAAACCACGATCTCTAAGGAACCAATTTCTCAAGAAAAATCTGATGACGATGACGACTCTTCAAGCAGTGATGGTTGGTCAGACGAAAGTGATGATGAGGATGTTGGTGTCCCCAGTTCTCATGAGTTAGTTCTTAAAGAACATTCAAAATGTATCACTACAGGCACGTTCGATGTTTCGGGTACTCGATTTATTTCTGGCTCGCTCGATAATACTATCCGGTGCTGGGATTTCCATGGAATGGATGCCTACAATCCGAAGCCCTTTCATGTTTATGACCCGGCTAATATTGATATTGAGCGCTCAGGTCGATATCCTGTAGTGAAACTTACAGCATCCCCAAAAAATACGATTCTCACCTTATACTCGCATTCTAAACCCATGGTGTTAGACACAAATGGAAAGGTGCTGGCAGATTTTGTAAAAGGTGATGCATATATTCGTGATATGTTGAACACTAAAGGACATGTTATGGAAATTACGGATGGCTGTTGGAAACCACAAAGCTCACAGGTGTTCCTGACTTGTAGTGCGGATAGTACAGCTCGTATCTGGGACGTTGAACGGACGAAGTCACAAATTCAAGTATTTGTTCATCGTACGGATGCTGCTGCAGGCATTTCACGGCCACATGTGTCGGCTTGCGCTTGGAATCCTTCAGATGAAAACCAAATTTGTACTGCTGTCAACGATGGTAGCGTTCATTTTTGGGATCTTAGATCTCGACTTTTACGACCCTCTTCGAAAATTATGCATGCTCATGCACCAAACACTAATGTGCAGTCTTTACTCTTTACAAAAAGTGGTACCAAACTGCTCAGCAGGGGCGGTGATAATCTCGTCAAGGTTTGGGACACCCGGAATATCAAAACTGCTCTTGCTGTTTCTTGTGAGCTAAAAACGCCCTCTTTTGGTTCCAATGCTATTTTTAGTCCAAATGAAAAGCTTGTTCTTGTAGGCAATTGTGCCTCGAGTTCGGAAGGATGTTTCTTAAATGTATTGAATGCCGAGGACTTGAGCTTACATGCACGTCTGTCGTTTGCTTTGCAAGGATCTTCAGTTGGAGAAAGCAGTATAACATCCATTTCCTGGAATGATCGGATCAATCAATTGGCCGTTGGTATGTCTTCCGGTGATGTTCACGTACTGTTTTCGGCAATGGAATCCCTTCGTGGAGCTAAAGACGCTGTACTTAAAGGACCAAAAACAAAACATATCGATGACAATCTCACAAATACTGTTTATATCAATGCTTTGGATGGCTCAGGAGGCACATCAAATGGATTGGGTTTGGTTGAAGAGACAAACGAGTCCATCTCAAGTTACTTTACAAACGCGCGAAAGCGTAAAAATGAAGCTAGGAAAAACCCTATCCTGTCTCGTCAACCTCAAATTGGTCGAGTAAGCGAAGCAATTGATGAAGCATCAGTCCCCTTTGCTAGTATGCGAGATGAGGATCCCCGTGAAGCGCTTTTAAGATATGCTGAGCTTGCTAAAAAGGACCCCATCTTTACAAAAACATACACAGAGACACAACCAAAACCAGTGTACCAAAACGTTACTGAAGCCGAGGACCTCCCGGATCCTCAACGCTCAATCCGGAAGCGACAAAAATCCGAAAAACCTTAGCATAAAACCCCAGACACACTCAAGTAACATGTTTGAATAAAACATCTTCATAATAAACAGAGCAATTTCTATTTACTTCAAAAAGGGGAAGTCTAGCAAGATAGGTATCAAAAAGATTAAGTGTTTTTTAAATAATTAAGTTTTAGGCGGAGATTTGATGCTTCACCCAGCCCTCAAGGCCGCCTCTGATGAAAAGACTTTGGACGGATTCACCAAGTTGGCCAACAGTCCATGTCCAAACCTTGTTTTCAGTGTTCGTTACGGTGATGGTGCTATCGCGAACATTCCATTCAAGCTTCCAACCGGTACGGACAGTGGGGTCGTTGTTAGACTTAAATGCGTCGCGAAGCTTGGAGACAAGTTCAGGGAGTTGAAGAGCAAGAAGAGCATTGTTGATAGAGTTTCTCTTGAAAATGTCACTGAAAGAACCACCGACAACAAGAGGTATGCCTCTAGACAAAATGGCTGTAGCGGCTTGTTCTCTGCTGCTACCACAGCCAAAGTTGAAACCACTCACAAGAATGTCACCGGGCTTGGTAATTTGACCAAACTTTTGATCGTAATTTTCCATGCAAACCTTAGCCATATCCTCCTTTGTCAAATCTTCACGGTATGTGTACTTGCCGGGATAAATACCATCGGTATTCAAGTTATCGGCATCACAGAAAACAATCTCACCGGAAACCACCTCAGGGAAACCGTCAAGAATTTCAGTCTTAGAGGGGACAGCATTGCTTGAACCAGCAGAAGAAGAGGCATCAGAGATAGACTTAACAACCTCACCCTTGACTTCTTCAAGTCCAGGGAGAGAGGCAATTTTACCAGCAACAGCTGAGGCAGCAACAACAGCAGGAGAGGCGAGGTAAGCAAGAGACTCGCGGCTACCCATACGACCCTTGAAGTTACGGTTCGTAGCACTAATACCCACTTCGCCGTCCTTCAGCAGACCAGCACCCAAACCGATGCAGGGGCCACAACCATTGGGTAAGGGAATGGCACCCGCATCAAGGAGCGCTTGCCAGTCACCATTCTTTTTGGCTTCCTCCTGAACAATGGTAGAAGCAGCACCAACGTAAAACTCAACACCGGGTGCAATCTTCTTTCCACGAACGACCTTTGCGGCCTCGTGAATGTCAGATGCACGGGCATTAGTACAGGAAACAAGGTACGCTTTGTTTACCTTGATGTTTTTCTTTTCGAGTTCGTGTGCTGGGTTGAAAATCTTGACAGAGTTGGGACCAGCGACACAAGGTCTCAAACTACTCAAGTCGAGGACAAGGTTTTTGGCGTAAGCAGCACCAGCGTCAGGACGAAGAATGTTCTTTTCAATGGACTCCAACAATCCCTTGGTGATGCGAGGGTGGTTGGGTCCAACAGCACGAAGACGACGTTCGTACCACTCAAGTACCTTGATGTCAACAGGGAAGAGACCAGACAAAGCACCCCACTCAGTGGTCATGTTTGCGATTGTCAAACGAGAATCGACGCCAAGCGTCGAAACGCCCTCGCCGGAGAATTCGACAGCATGGTTCAATACCTCATCGTGGTTGAACGCACCGCACAAACTCACAATGACATCTTTACCGGAAAGACCTTCAGGCAACTTTCCAACAAGCTCTACACGAGCGACAGGAGGAATCTGCCACCAAGTTTGACCAGTAGCCCAAATAGCGGCAGCATCTGTACGCACAATAGGCGTACCAAGACAACCAATACCACCATAGGTGTTAGAATGAGAATCACTGGCGACGGCCATGCTGTTGGGCACAGCATAACCCTCCTCGACCATAATTTGATGGCCGATACCACGTCCGGCAGGATAGAAGTCAGTTCCCTGTTGTTCAGCAAACTTGCGAATACTCTCGTATTTGCGCAGATTTTTTTCGCTCTTGTTTTGAACGTCATGGTCAAGGGTCATTACGACCTGGCGATTGTCAAAAATCTTTTTGGCACCAATGCCCATGAACTTCAATGCCACAGGCCATGAATTGTCATGGGACATGCAGTGTTTGGGCTTGATGGTGACATAGTCACCAGAACGGACATATTTGTCAGCGGGAAGATCCTTGGCAAACTTTTGAACGATCTTTTCAGTAACATTTTGAGGTACTGACTTTGCCGTAGAATAACTACGAGCAAACCGTGGAAGGATTCTCACCCTGCCAAAATGATACATTTGTGCTCTGGTCTCATTTGCACAGTGGTAGCGCGGGTTTATTGTAGTCGAGGAAGGGCGGGACCAGATTCAGCCAATGATAGCACAGATATTTTTATAGTCAACGCGCATCTCAAAATTACTCTACGAGTTGGTTGTCGGCTTATGATTTTGAGAGCATCTTGGCCATTCGTGTTTTCTGTTGAAGTTTATTGGTTTAAGTTTGATGTGTGTTTTTTGTTTTTTAATCTCGTCTGCAGATAGAAAGAAGGTTTTAGTTTGAGAGTAATATTTCAGTCGTTTCAGTGACAACAAGACCTGTAAATCTAGCAGCCTTTGGTGGATATGCGTTTCAAGTACGAGCAATTGGAGAAGCTGGTGTACTTATAGCAACCTAGAATTAAGGTTAGAAATCCATTTGTGTGAAATAGCAATAGTTCGTGTATTTCTTACTATATCGACATTTATTAGATTCAAAATGTCTTTTCTATGAAATGTATGCGTTAATAATATAATGTGGTTGCAAGCAGTGAGATCCGTGTGAGGGAAGGTGCCAATGAGAAACAGTATATAGCATGCAAATTCTGGTGAATGTAATTATTTTATAATTAGGATTGGCCTTGATTCCATTCTGGTTTAGTTTTCTTCTGAATTGCTTCCTTCTACGGAGGGCTCTACAGAGGTGCTACCTTTTTTATATTGAGACAACTGCTCCCGCTGCGTCTTCCGCCGAACAAATTGTCTGTGCCTACGACTCGCCAAGTGGATGGACCATGCCCGTTCACCTATGGCTACAAACGGTGCCCTCCGTTTGTCTAGACATGTGTCGCATACAAATCTTTTGTGTAAATCGTTGGGATCAATTTTGAGCCTACCGCGTGCTTCTTCATACAGTTCCTTTTGTTCTTCAGAAAGAACAATGTTAGATGCAGTGTTTTCGTTGAAAAAGTCCCGAAAGATATCGCATGCATCAGACACTTGGCGCCTCCATTGTGTTAAGTCAGTAGAGTTTAACACATAGAATAATACAGAACTTGAATCGCGGTCGTGAATCTGAACAGCCTGAGGAAGGAACCGATTCTTGATCCACTTTACTTGTGATTTTGCATATTGACGAGTGGAAATCTTCATACGGTCAACGCCGGAAGCGAATGACTTTTCGGTTCTATCTTTTAACCACGGGATAAACTCCTTAAAGCCAATACACTGCCATATACCCCGAGTAGTATCTGGCTCAAAGTTCCGACTTTTTGCTAGTTCGTGATACTGGAGAATCTCATTCACGAGTCCGCGTTGAAGCATCGCGTCAACCCTGTTGTCAAGACGATCCGCCAATACAGAATAATCGCACCGAGGCCAAAAAACAAGGGTTTTGTAATGAAGTGCTAATTCATTCTTTTTTTGAGAAGCATAGAGATCACTTGGGCGTTTTCCCGTGTGAAAGAAGATTTCAAGACTACGCCGAATCTTGCGACCGTCTTGTGGATGCCACCGCTGTGCCATGACAGGATCGACTTTTTCTAAATAATCTAACATGACTTGAGGGCTTTCGTCAAGTATAAAAGCGTCTTTATGCTTTTCACTTGTGGTGTCCTTACCAGCTGCTTTTTCAATTACATCGATATCAGATAACGTTGAGTCTTTAAAAAGAAGAGATTGTAAATAATAGTGTGTACCCCCGACAATGACAGGAATCTTACCTCTGGCATGCAAGTCGTCAATCTTCCAAACTGGTTAGTTTTGAGCTTCATGAAAATAGTCTTTTCTATTAATTCTAACGTACCACCCGTCTTGCATCCTGTTCAAACTCTGCCACACTGTATTCTTTGTTGAAGTCCAAAAACGACATCAAGTGATGAGGAACACCTTGGATCTCCTCTTCGGTGACTTTATTGGTGATAATATCCAGACCCTTATAAATCTGCATCGAGTCTGAGTTGATAACTTCTGATGCAAAGCATTTTGCTAATTCTATGGACAAGTCTGATTTGCCTGCACCAGTCGTCCCCAGGACGACGCATACTGGTTTCATCATACACTTAAGCATGAGCAAATTGTTACTGCCAAGAATGCATCAAATGTAATTATTGGTGGTGAGAACTGTTACTCGTTCAAAGTCTACGCCCACGCAAAAAATAATACCAAAAAAAAAAAAAAAGTTTTGTGAACAGTATTACTACGAATCTGTGCTAAACAACATCGATAACTGAGTTTAAGCTGTAGAAGTCAATCTACGAATATTTACCGTTGAATAAAGCAAATGCGCGTCTTTTTGCTAGAAGTACTGTGAATACTACTACCACCACGAAACCTTCTTTCAGCTTCACCAATCTAATTTAGACTTTACAGAAGATTGGCCGTAAAAAACGGTTTAGAATTCACAACTATGGCAGATAAAGCTCTTCAAAATATTGAACATAGTTACCCAGCCGTGAGTAATCTCATTGCGAGATTGAAGCGTCGCCAAGTGAAAGGTGCTTTTCCAGTAGCTGTTGAATCGGCGCTTGTTATGCGCCAGGTTATCTCTCAAACAAGATGGTCAACCGTGGATCAGTTGTTGCAGATTGTTCACACAATCGGTAATAAATTGGTAAAGGCGCAGCCTACAGGTATGTGTTTTTCGTGTGCTATGGTTATTGTGTTCATTCGTCTGCTAACCATTTGTAGAATTTTCATGTGGAAATATTGTTCGCCGTGTTTTGAGAATTATTCGGGAAGAGTATCAGGACCTTTGCAAGGCTGCAGAGGATTCGATTCAAAAAAGTGATTCAGACGCGTCTCTTAAGACGATGATATATAAAGCAGAAAGTGAAGCCATGAAGATGCATGAGCCTATCTCTAGTCAAATGTATTCTTCTATGCTTAACTTACTTGGTCGGCCTACAACCGAGTCAAGCACTCGAATTCCCGGCGACTCACGAGTAATTGGAGGTATGGATATGCGAGGCGCCATCATTTCTGGAATTCAAGAAGTGATCGACGAACTCGATAAAATCAACACCGATATTGAGGTTCAATCCATGGATCACATTCATTCGAATGAAATTATCATGACACAGGGTTTTTCTAAGACTGTGGAGGCTTTCTTATGCTATGCTGCGAAGAAAAGAAAGTTTTCGGTCATCATTGCCGAAGGTTTCCCCAATGAGCACAGTGAAGCCCATTCCATGGCAAAAAGACTTGCGAATGCGGGTATTGACACGACCGTGATTTCAGATGCAGCCATCTTCGCCATCATGTCTCGCGTGAACAAAGTCATTTTAGGCACCCATGCTATTTTGGGTAATGGTGGCTTGATGACCAACAGTGGTGCTCAATTAGTTGCTCAAGCAGCTAGGTACCACGCTACTCCTGTTGTGGTTTGTTCTGGTATCTACAAGTTAAGTCCCGTATACCCCTACGACTTGGAGTCAATCATTCAATTATCCGCTCCTGGAAGTATTATGCCGTTTACGGAAAGTGAGCTCATAAGTCGAGCCGATATTCTGAATCCCTACTACGATTACATTCCACCCGATTTGGTTGACCTGTTTATTACAAATCTGTACGTTATACATTTTGCTACTTTCCAACGTCTTACTAACAAGTATTAGCGGAGGATACCCTCCATCCTATCTTTACCGTATTCTTAATGATACGTACGACTCCTGTGATACCATCCTTTAAGCCATCATAACGATTGTTTAGTTAGATTAGAAAAATAAAAGAGGATTGTTTTGGGTCTAATTGGTGTTCTTGTTTACCTTTCTATCTATCATTGCAATAAAAGTAAGTTTACTGGAAGTAGTTTGCAAAAGGAACGATCGTCCCCATATTCCGAATCCCAAACCAATTGTAATGTGTAATCCGTATTTATTTTTATTCTTTTCAACCCTTAACCTCTTTTAACGAGTTGTTTGTTCAATAAATTAATGTCCTCGACCAAAAATTCTATACCGAGTCCCTTTTTTATGTAAGTTACTTGCTGGAATTTTCACAGAGCACCGTATTGTTGATGAGTCGTTTAATTTCATCAGGCTTTGCTTTTCCGGAGGAGCGTCTCATCACATTTCCAATGAACCAATTTAAGACACCGTCCTTTCCCACCTTCAAGGCATTCACCTTGTCACCATTGGCTTGGATAAGTTCATTCACCAAATCCTTTAACGTGTTTTCATCAAACTCCGCGTTTGCATTTTCATTTACAAGCTTGTAAATTGAGTTTTTCTTTGGATCCTGAACAGCAAGCTGAAGGATATGCTTAGCAGCGTAAGCTGAGAGCGTTCCATTTGCGAGATTGCCCAAAAGAAAAGCGAGATCAGCAGGTGGAATAGTATCCAGGTCACGTTTCTCGTCTGGAGCATTGGCACAGTCGCCGACGTATTCATTCACCAACCAAAAAGGGATGAGTTTTTCTGCCTTCAGTTGCACATCCGGGGACATAGAAGAGGTGACCTTTTCCAATTCACCGACTAAAACTTGATAGTAGGAAAGGCCGTCTTCCGTTTGCAAAAGAGCTTTAGCGTCTTGAAGGTTAAAATATTTCTTTTGCAACAATGTCTCAAGAAGCTCATCTACGGACGGTCCAATACTCTTACGTACGTCATCGACGTACGCAGAAGTAAGAGTAATTTCAGGAATGTCAGCTTCAGGCAAGTACATGTAGTCTGAAGGGCCACGCTTTTTTCTAAGAAAAACGGTAGCGTTCTTCTCAACATCGTAGGAACGCGTCTCCGGCACGGGAGAGGATCCATTGTTAAGGAGCTCAATTTGTCTCTTGGCTTCAAGCTCACTTGCAATTTCAACATATCGAATAGAAGGTAAATTCTTCAATTCGACTGTAGCTAATTGTTTAGTAGGATTTTCGGCACTTGCAACAGATACATTTACATCACAACGCATATTTCCCAATTCCATTTTCGCGTCCGAAACATTTGCAAGTCTAAGGATAGTCTGGAGTTTACGAAGGAAACAAGCGGCGTCATGAGGACTATGGAAACAAGGTGCTGTAACAACTTCAATCAAAGGCACATTTGCTCTATTGAAGTCAAGGAGAACAAGATCCTCATTCAACTCGTTAACCGTCTTTCCGGTGTCCTATAAAAATGTTAGTATTAAATTAGAATGAAACGAAACAAACAAATGAACACGCAGAAATGCGTCACTCATTTTAAGCAAAACATACCTGTTCCAATTGGAGACATTTGATTTCCACAAGTTGATCCTTCTCAACGCCATCCAAGGCGGCATTTAAACGAACGAAACCATTCGTTCCTAATGGTCTTCTCTTTTGAGTAATTTGGAATCCAGCACGTTGATCAGAATAAACGTAATGTTTTCTGTCGAACTCCAAAGACGGTGCAATTTCACAATTACATACCAGAGCAGCCTTTGTTGCAAGACGAATGGCTTCTGGGTTGACAATGGGAAGAGTTCCTGGAAGCGAAATATCAAAGAAAGACACAGCAGAATTAGGAGCCTTATGATTTTCGGCCAGTGCTCTAGAGAATAATTTCAACTTTGTAGACAATTGAACATGAACCTCCAATCCAATGGTAATAATCCAACGTGCGAGAGACGACATTTAGCAAACCTTCCTATATAACTCGTTGTTTGAACAAAAACCGATAAACAGGTATACTTTTAAAACGTATTTTGTGTTGAGCAATGCTAGATTTTGTATTTAATTTTATTTTTGTGGTTTGCTCTGTATAACTTCGCGGATGAGCTAAATGGAGAAAAAGTTTTCATAGCCGTTTTTCTTTCGACCAAATGAAAAGTCAATAAAGCCTGTACGGCTTCAAAAAAAGACGTAAAGTAACAAACAGCATCATAGAAAGTTGTTCATTCATAATGCTTTACCCAAAGCCAGCTGCCAACAAAAATTGTTCTTTAAATGACAACATTTTCCCAAATGCTTCTTTGTAATTTACATGACCCAACCTGCAATGTTTAGGTTCATAGCAGAAACTGGAGTAATAAACGACTCTTCTATAAATAGCGAAACGTGTATTACCACTCTGATAAACGTTAAGATATGAACACTAAATCGTTATCAAGAACTGTCCGAACTGCTCATAATAGAGCTGTTAGAATAACTTCCGTCTTAGATTTGTAAATGTACATAGCTATAATTCCGTGACCTAAGTTTGTTATGAAGAAAGTGAATAATAGAATACGAGATTTAAGAGGATTTTGTCCAACAATATACCGTGTGCATAAGAAAACTTTTACAAAACATTTGCTGAATTTTAATATATGAAACAAACTATTGTATGAGAACAGAGGCGGTCAAGCCGACAACGTGCAATACAATTGTTGTACTGCATTGTTAAAAGTAAGACTTGAGTATTCGTTTTGATTCAATAAGCATTAATTGCATGGACTTCCTATCTAAGTCGTCGGCTACTTGTTAGGTTAATTGGGTTAGATAAATTATTTCAGCTCGCTTACTCGTATAGTTAAATTTCATGAAGATAGTAAAACGAGTATAGGCAATCGATGTAGTACATCTGTATTAATTTTACACGCTTCCTTGTTAAACGATAGACTTTCAGTTGTGCAGGTGCTGCAATATTGCAGAAGGAGTTAGTAGCACTCATTGTTTAATGAAATATGAACTTGAGTTAATGTATTTATATGAACGTATACACTGTAAACGGGGTAAATACCAATTCAATTACATAGCGGTTCCCTAAATATAACGTATAATCACTGTTTGCTATGAACGACTAATCTCTACAAAAAGCATTCCCTCAGATGGAAATGCTTGATACTACATCTATTCCGTGCCATGGGTATACCGCACATTTGCGCGATTGCTCTCAGTTAGCGAGATAATATTTATTCGGTGCGGCATGAAACCTCTCAATGTCTTAACTCATAATAAAAAAAAATGTGATAAAATACAAAGTATCTCAAAAGAACTTAGCACTTCTTGGACTACAACAAAATAATACTTTTGGTTTGTGTGTTCGACAAGTTCGTTTTAAAACAAAACAAATTGTTCCTGGTAAAGACCCACTGAGAATGTTACAAGTCAGTTTCTAATACTACATCACATAATGACACATAATCATCATAAACATCATAACTTATTAGACTCTTCAAATAAAAATTAAATAATACAAGATACTATAGCAATTCGAAATTAATCGAGATCACTAATCGCAATTAGATGCAGCTTAATCCGAAGAGTAAACGGCGGGACCAGCAACAACGTGCTCGTTAATAATGGAAAGGTTGTAAGGAGTAAGAGGAATAGCCTCGTCAACAAGAACAACGAAAGCAGTACCGTTGACAACCTGTTGAGTAGCGTTAGGGAACACATAAGCAGAGGGGTGCATAGCAACACCGCTGCTGTTTCCAGTCATGTTCAAAGGTGTGTACGTAACGTTAAGCTGGGAAATCCAAGCAGCGTAACGGGGTTGGCTAGCAGAAGTAGTAGTGACATAAGAGCTGTTGGGACCAACGCCGTGGCCGGGAGTCTCCCAGATGAAGCTAACAGATTGTCCAGGGACAGTCATGGAAGTGCGGTTCGTGGAGACAGCAGCAGGGTACATGTAAGTTCCGTTTTGGAAACGAGGGTAAGAACCGTTAGAAGCGTTTGAGACAAAGTTGGGCGAGACAATGCTCAACTTTGGGAAGTTTTGCCAGGCAACACGGCTGTTGTTGGCAGGACAAGAAACGATGTAAGGAGCAATCAAAGACCAAGCAAATGATTGAGGAATACCAGTCTCAAACCAGACAGGGTAAGGGAACATGCCACCGAGTTGACGAAGAGACATCTCTTGTCTAGCCTCAGTACTAATGGATTGCAACAACAACGTTGCAGCAGCACCAGAATTCATGTGGGCCAAGAATCCGTAGACACCGGATTCAGACCACTTGGTGAGATGCTGGGCAAAGGTAAGGTACTCACCAACACTGGTGAAGTTGAAGTTGTAAGTACAGGCCTTGGGGGCGCTAGGGCCCAACATGTTGGAAATAAGTTCAGCATGGCCAATTTCCTGTTGGGCCATGAAGCGAATTAAGTGTTGGTAGTCTTCATTGATACCAGCTTGTTGGAACTCTTGCTGACTGAATGCGGTAAGACCCCAGTTGAAGAGATCAAGTTCAATGTACTCATGGTACAGAGCGAGTGTGAGAGATTGATAGTCAAAGTCACTCAAAGGATGGTAAACGGGGTTAGGCTCCATGGGAGCAACACCACCGGCAGGAGTGTAGTTTGCAGGCATAGATTGGTTGCTGTAGGATCCTGTAGCATTGTAGGTCCAGTTACCAGCAACGTTTCCAGTGCCGTTGAAAACAACACCTTCATCAGCACGGGTACCTATTTTGGAAGTAGCATCAGCGCTCTTCTTGAACAATCTCGTTAAGGAGAAAGCTTCAGCGGCTTGAGGTACCACAAGGGTAGAGGCGGCGAGGAAAGAAAGAAGATTAGCAAGCATTGTATTTTTTTTTTACCACAACGATTGCTATTCACGTCAATTGCTAATGAGCCATGAACTTACATTGTCCATTATATAAGACTTGGTTTCAGTCTACGTCACTCTTTGCGATATTTGTTCTTACCAAAACTTACACTTACCGGTTTTCTCATAATACTCTGAATCATACATTTTAGGTAACAATGAGTCATTTACAAATAAATACGTTGAAAGCATGAAATTAAAAATGCACACATATCGCATGGTGTCGCAAATATGCGCCTTTCGCCAAGTTTGAATCGCGCCAGCATAGTTCTTCTTTCGCTATGCGTTTACGAGAAACAAAGCTAGTTGTAGTGAGATTTAGTGTTAAACTTTTATAGACTGAAGTCCGTATTGATAGATTGTGAGTGCATCATCCAGCATTTGTTAATAATTGGGAATGTGTATTTTTCTTATTAAATCCTTCATGACAAGAATCATTTCCTTGCCCAGTTAAGCGAACAAACATCCAATCGAAGAGGGACAAATGACCATTATTAGCTTTAAAGCTCATCACATGAGTAGGGGTGGATGCGTCACTCGTGACTAAGTTGCCGAACAATCAAATGAGCTTTCTCTGCGGTAATTACACTTGACGAAGCTTATAGCGTAAATGATGTGTTCATATATGTAGTTGGGTCAATGAGTTATTGGAGGTTGATGTTACAGACTATCGTTCAGATGATGAATGGGTTAATTGATTAAGACGTAAATGGATCTCGAAGTGTCCGTGGAGTGATTACTACATTAATGAGACTCATCATAAACTGAAAGCATAATGAATTTGGCCATCTTTTACGAGTACATTACAGCAAATGTTGCATATGAATCTCAATGTTTCAGCAAAGTATCCGTAACGACCTCATACGTGCTGTTATGATTTAAGGATGTCAGAGAGTAGCATCGCCTAGTATATGAGTATAATAATAAAGAGTAAATGGATTATCAATCTATAGAAAACTCTTGAATTCGTATCTCTAGTGATTCAATTACCAAAAAAGTAGACCAAATAAATACTCTTCGTTTCTGTTAAGTTATATATTCATTAATCAACGACCGATAACAAGACGACCTAGTTTAAAAATTTGATAGAGTACAACGATGTGTAATATCTATCTTTAACATCGAATTTTCAATTGTTGTTTTTTTTTTTTTTTTTTTTTCAATAAAAAGCAACGAGAGATAAAAACTTAAAAAATCAAATAAAACAGGAAAAAAAAGTAGGACAGCTTGTACTAATTTCTTTGTCAAAGAAATCAATTATGCACCCCTAAACTCTTCGTTTTACTTTCGTTTTCATTTTACACGGGTAAATTTCTATGTTATGAAACCCGACTCCACTGCTGTGTCAGACTTTTGACATCGGCTGAAGAAGATTACTGGCAACTTCCTTGCTTTAATAGAATCTCAAAACTTTATTGTTTAATGTAATTTTGTGTCCTCTCCCTGCATAGCTCAATATATGGTCTGGAGATAACAAGTTTTGTGTTTTTTGGTCAATTTTAGCAACCTCAATTGTGACAATTCAGAACATTCCAAAAGGAAAACTGATTCTATTTCCCACCTTTTTTGAACCCGTTAATCTCCAATTTGTTTGAAGTTCTCGCCTCTTAAGACATGGTGCTTGAACATACACCGATTTTGAAAAAAAAGAATTCAAACCCTGACAATGCTACACGGAACACAAAATCATCCTCCAACAAACAAACGGTCACATTTGATTTACCACTTGACACACAATTAAGCAGCCAGAGTTCGGACGAAGAATCCCCAAAAGTAAGAATCGTAGAGAGATAATGAGGGAATGACCTAACCTTACAGAAACAATCAGACTCTGAAAGTTCGTCGCCGTCATCATCCGATAATGCTGAACCAATAGATGTTGACAAAGAGGTACCCGAGGCTTCCAATAGTGCCGAAACCGAAAAACAAGTTGAACTGAATGCCGACACTGCAGATGATAAAAAAGAGGTTGAAAATAGTAAGGAAGAAAAAGGAAAAGAAGCAGACGAAGAAGAAGACGATGACGGGGAATACGTGGTAGAAGCGATCTTAAATCACCGACCAAGTTTTCGAAAAGGATGGGGTTATGACTATTACATCAAATGGGAGTCCTATGATGATCCCAATGATAATACATGGACACATGAACAAAACTGTGCTGGATGTCAAGACATGATTGATCAGTATTGGAAAAAAAGAGGCGGAAGGCCGGACCCATTCCCCCCGAAGAATTCATCAACAAAACGCAGAAGGAGCTCGAGCCTATTGACTACTTCACGTCGATCTAGCACGTTGGCCAGCCCGAAAACCTCAAAAACCTCCAAACGAAGACGGCTGTCGAACGAAAGGACCAAAAAGACAACCCCCCCTCGTACTCGCTCATCTTCGGCATTGATCAAAAGCTTCTCATCCAGTTCGTCAGATTCGGAGGACGACTTTAAGCCACCAACTAGACGCAAAAGTTGGGAAGATATGGTGGAGCGTGTTGAGGCAATTGAACGTTTACAGAACGGAAAATTGATTGTTCGACTGAAATGGACTAATGGACATTCTAGCCTTCATGACAACGTTGTCGTTTATGGAAAATGTCCAATGAAGGTTCTGTCGTATTATGAGCAACATTCATCATTTGATTAATTGTATGTGTGGTCCTATATACAATGAATAGAATGGCATAGGGTTAGGTATTCAACGCTTGCACGAGTTATTGAATTGAAGGCAGTGAAGTAAATTTACAGAACCGTTAGGTATTAAACGAGTGATCTGCTGACGATGCTGTTGAAAAGGAGATGTGTGCAAATAACTGTTTTATTAACATTTTCTACCGAAATTGAAATTCTGCTTCTATTGTCGAGGAACAAAAATAAAGTTTTCGGCTTAGCGATCGCTTCAAAACCTTATTTTCTGCTGCGTAAACAAATGTCAGAACCAGTTAAAGCGAAAATCGTAATATATGGGAAGGGATACTGTTTTGATGTGTGGAGAAACTCAACTCGGTATTATATTAATCGTTTTTTGCACTGTTTTCGGTTTAAACGGCTAAAAAACTTTTAGTCAAATTCATTTATTTACCAAATTGGAGCCGAACGATCAGCAACAACAAGGTAGAGTGAGCAGGCTTACCATAATTACATGTCTGTCTTACTGACGACACACGTTTCACTGTTCTGGTACATGCAGCACTGCTTATTCCTTTAACGAGTTACAAAATATCGCTAAACCCCAGTAAATCTCGTTATCCGGTTTTAGGGTTTTTTCATGCTCGTTGTCGCCACGACAACGAGCGCCCGTCGGCGAAAAAGCAGTCACGTTTCAAATAGGTTCTAGCAAGAAGGAAACACGAAACCTCCACCACACACCAGGTCAAGTATGGCTGCCGTCAAGATCGTCAAGAAGCACACTACGCAGTTCAAGCGTCACCAATCTGACAACTTCAAGCGTGTCAGTGAGTCGTGGAGAAAGCCCAAGGGTATCGATGGCGTCGTTCGTCGTCGTTTCCGCGGTACCATCCGCATGCCCAAGATCGGTTACGGCTCCAACAAGAAGACCAAGTACTGCATGCCTAACGGTTTGAAGGCTTTCCTTGTCCGCAACGTTGCCGACGTCGAGCTTTTGCTCATGCAAAACAGACCTTCGCTGCCGAGATTGCCTCCAACGTGTCTGCTCGCAAGCGTGTCGAGATCATTGAGAAGGCCCGTGCCTTGGGTGTTAAGGTCACCAACGCTGGTGCTAAGGTCCGCTCTCAAGAGTAAATGCAAACATAGTCATTTATTCTTGTTCAAAAAATTTCAATGTACATCATAACGGGTTGTAGCGAAGTCGAAGTTCTTGGAAAAATGGGTGGTAGGTAGTGAAGGGTGTGGATTGTGAATGATGTAGCTGCGGTAGAGGTACGTCGATGTTCGCTTTGATCCCCAGGACATGTTCTCTGTGTTCCAAAACTCCCTGCAGAACCTGTGCGGTATTCACATTGATGCGACGGAGGGTACCTGCTTAAACAATGATTTCTTCGTTTCTTACATAATACAAGCACAAAGAACCTTTCGCGGTGAAGTTCTTCTTTTTTAACGAATGACTTGTCCGATAGGAACAAGCTCTTCAGGACCAATTACCCATTTTCGGTTAGCAAAGACACGGACGCTTGCATCGTTTTCAGACGACGGTGCGGCAATGGATGACAATCGCTGAGAAAACTCGTGCACTGTCTGTCGCATCTGTTCAATGGTGACGTTCGCAGCGTCGTTAGTGCCTTGCTCGTTTTCATCTGAAACCACGAAGTGGATTTGATCGCCTCGGAAAGCACACAGAGGCTTGTAGCGTTTCTCCAGTTCTTCGTCCAGCGAGACCAGATCGTCGATAATAATTCGAGTGTAAGGATCGCTCCGTTGAAGGCATGTCTCTAAAACGGACGCGAGTTGCGTCTGTGTAAGTGTAGCAGACCGGGCCCAAGGTTGATCAGTGTAAGCTTCCGCAACCAAAAGACTGTACCATTTTGCATAGAAGGAGAGTGCACTACGCGTTTCTTCATCCTTTTCTTCATCTTCTTTGGACATCTTTACCCTTGTCCAAGGGTCTTCTTCCTCGGCCTTGCTGTATTCGTCGATTTCCGACCACAGTGCACCGATGAGTCCGGGAAGGAAATGCGGCTGTTCTTCGGTAATTGCTTGGATCAACACGATCCACAGCTTTTGTACGCTCGGGAATAACCGGATGTCATTTACTCCCGCAGGAATCAATGCTTTTTTTTCCAGGAAACAGTCAATCACATACTGAAGATTGGTTGTTTCGAGTGCGAACGTTAAATCATTTTGCAACTCATCGTTGACAATTGAGGCAGGAATGTAGGAGAGCCGGGTGTTAGCAATAGTAATAATAGAGTCTACTACAGCGAGGGCCCGTTTCACATAGCGTTGCTGGTTCTTGGATTTCAGTGTCGATACATGCAAGTGACTTTTTCTCCAAGTACGCCAGGTTTTAAGCAGCTGTGCTATTTCAGTCTGTACTTGGGTCTTTGCCGTTTCATTCAACCGTTCCGTTTCCTCTACATCTTCTGGCTTGACAGAAGCTGTCACGATCCAATAATGCTCGTAGAGCCATTGAAGCGCTCTCTGGGCAGCAACCCGTAAAACGGGCAGACTAGGAAGTTCCTCATGCGTGATTGCATGTCTAATTTCTACAAAAAAGGCAGGGAGTCCAAGAGTTTTCGCGAGAGTTGACATAGGGATAGCAAACTGTGATTGCTGAATAGGATCCAGTAAACCGCTCACAAATCGAGACAGAGATAGAGCGAGGGAGAGCCGTTGGGAAGGTCCTTCAGTCAACAGAGCCATCACCAGTTGAGATGTTGACTCGACTGAGTGTGGAACTCGACCGCGAGTGGACCAAGCTCGAACAATTTCAACACCCCGGTACAAACTTTGAGCCTCCGGCGGTTCACCTGTCCCGTCTTCCGCGTAGAAACACGACATCAGGTACAAAAACTCTGTTGTCGACCTCCATGGCACCACCTTGTAATCCATGAGCTTGGCTACAGGAAGGAGGATGCAACGCGTCCAGCTGGAAAATAGTTAAAGTTAAGGTTTGTGGGGAACAGTCACGTGTACGCTGCTTATATTATAGTGATCATGTGGATGGAAAGCGAGAGCATTGGAGTAATCCTGGGGTAAGAGGCTACTAGCTTTGCCTTTGCGTGTTTGTTTTATTAATTTATTTTTTTCTAATTTATTTATTATTGCTAGTAGTAGTACGAGTATACACAACTGTATATATTGTACATGCTTTTTTGTTTTGTTTTATTTTAATAATCACTAATAAATATCTATTATCGCAAAAAGCTACGTTGTTACGGTTAACTTTTATTACTGGATACGAGGTCCATGGTACCTTTTACATGTACTTGATCCCAAGCCAAAAAAGCGGTAATAGGAATAATAATTAATTTATTAATTTATTTATTAATCGATTAAGTATTTAATAAATTAATAAATAATAATAATAATAATAATAAAAAAAAAAAAAAAAAAAAAAAAGACGAATAACCTCCATGAACATCCTAGTCATGATCAACATACTTCACTCCACTTAAAACCATTCTCCTTCATTAAAATCCCTTCCGTCACCTTTCATCCATCCTACGGTATACATCGTTCGAGCACCGTGGTCTCCCTGGCCCACCTCGTCTAGCTTATTCATAAGCTTCTTGTTATCAAAAGTTGATTCTAATCATGAGACATTTCTAAATTTGTCTTCTTGTTTTGTTCTTCTTCTTTCCGTTTACAGTTCATTTAATTATTTTTTTTTACGACAATAGAACTTTCAGTGTAACAAAATATCTTAAGGGTGCAACTTTATTACTTACTCCTTAAACCCTGTCTCGCCTGTATTGTCCGTTACTAAATTTGTACAAAAAAAGGAGGATTTCCTCCTCGTTGATCGTTCGAGTGGTTCCTGTACTATTTACTCTCTCAATTTCTCCGTTTCCAATTTCTTCTCTTTTTTTCAGTTAGATTTTCTTCTTCGTCATTCTCCTTAAAACGTTCCGTTTCAGCAATTGTCCTTTTTCACGTGTTTCTTTCTAACTGTACGCCCGTAATCAGAGAATTGCATTGACTACTATTTTCTTCTGAACAATTTCAATACCTGTTGCAATGAGTTTAGACAAAGGTGAAGGTACTGTAAAAACTGCCAACCTTGCGGATGAGAAAAATGATGTCTCTGGAATGGACAAGCCAAATGCCAATGACAAATCTCTTCCCCGACGAATGTCAGGTCTTTCGTTAAGCACCTTGTCAACCAGCCCAGGCATTTACAGAACTGGAAGCAGTAGCAGTCTTATGAACAAGACGACAGGCAATCCTCGGACCGGAAAGTCTCGATGGACACGCAGAAACTCGCGTACAGAATTCGATACTCGTAAGCGTCAGATTGGCCGTGTAAAGAATGTTCCCATCGGCAGTTGTCTACTCCATCTTTCACTTGAAAACAAACAAAAAGATGCTTTGCTTCATCAGCTTTCTGTTGAACCATCCAACAAAAAAGATTTAACCATACTGGGAGCTAAGGTTAAAGAACTTTCCCAATTGCTGAGCTCGACAAAGCTCAAATTCGAGTTTCATGAGATTTTGTTTATTACTAATGAAGGCGAGAGCGCCATATCTGCCATGGTCCAACTTGTGAGGCTTCTCACTCAGCGGACCCAACCTCTATCGGACGTTAACGAGAAATCTGCTCCCAAGTTTTCCATTGGCGCTGCCAATGGAAATCACCAGCAAGAAAAGCAAGAAACCGAGGAGGGAAAAAAGCCGCAGTCTACATGTACCATATACCTTGAAAAGTCTCTCTTCATGCACCCTGCCATCACGAGTTTACCACACGGACGTATCCAATTTTGGACACAGGAACTGTGTGCCAACAATCCAAATATGTTTGACTGCGTGATTACGGTAGGCGATGACAGCACCGCATTGCGTGCAAGTTGGCTTTTCCAGGAAGTTGTTCCCCCGGTCATTTCCTTTTCGGTAGCAAAGCACGGTTTCCTTACCATGTTCGATGCAAAGGACTATATGAAAGTGATTACTCGCGTCTTCGACTCCGGCTTCACCGTCAACCTAAGAATGCGTTTTGAGTGTACGCTAATGAAATATTCGGCAGACACAAACAGCCATATGCAGGCGGGTCAATGGTCAGTGCTGAACGAACTTGTTGTTGACCGGGGTCCAAATCCGTTTATGACCTCGCTTGAACTGTTTGGTGATGAAGAGCACATTACGAGTGTGCAAGCCGATGGTTTGTGTATATCAACGCCGAGCGGCTCCACTGCATATTCACTTGCCGCTGGCGGTTCTTTGTGTCATCCCGGAATTCCTTGTGTGCTCATTAGTCCTATTTGCCCACATACGCTTTCTTTCCGGCCTCTCGTGCTTCCGGATAGTCTTATTCTTCGCATTCTTGTGCCTATTGATGCAAGAAGCACAGCTTGGTGTGCATTCGACGGCCGCAACAGAACCGAGCTTTCCCAAGGCGATTATATCCAAGTTAGCGCATCACCGTATCCATTTCCATCCGTCCACACGTCCAAGTACACAGCAGATTGGTTCTACGCCTTGCGGAGGTCACTCAATTGGAATGATCGAAGTAAAAGGCAACACGACACACACCGAACTCCGTCTACCGTGTCTACGTTTTCGGAAGTATTCAAGAATGGCAAGTAAAACGGTACACGCCAAAGGAGTCAATAACGGGGCAACTTGTTATCGCAGAAAGTTGAGTCTTCTCATTTGTTCTCACTTTGATAGGTTGTATACTCTTACATGAAAACACATCTCACCAAAACTACCATGATCCGACAATTGCTTATCCACACCTTGGACCATAAAGGGTCTCAACAAAACAGCTTTTTGTTTTGGGCCCATTAATCATGTCTTGTCTCACCCTTCCAGCTAATAAAAAATGTCTCCTAAATCACATGTATTAATAAACAAACGAAAGAAACAAGAAGAAGAGAAATTAAAAAAAAAAAAGGACTTATAAACAGGAGATGACGAACAGCTGTCGCGTAGAGGAGAACGATTGTTTAAAGTCACTCAACCATTGTAATTGAGTAGCTGTAATTTGCGATAATGCAGACGTACGAATCCCCTATCGTTGTAAATTGTACTATTAGGATAAAAGAGATTTCATACGGGAGCAAACCGCTAAATAATAAGAGACAGAGCACTTATGATTCCAAACAGTCATTGTACATCCGTACAATGTCTGGTGAAATATTTTGCTGATGCGTGTACCTCCTGTGATCGAGTGCCAAGTTCAAGTGAATCAGCTGGCGGCAGTCCTCACAATACACGAGTCTGATTGTTGCCAATCGCATGTGGAGTTTTTTACTGACAACGGCCGCAGCTGTATCACGAGCAATTGGATAAAGCGTAATTGCTGTGGGCATTGGATCACCAGGAGGCATGATTGGACCTGGCACCATGGTCGAGTGCTCATACATACCAAGCGGTGGTTTCAAGTCGGGAGCGGCAGTAGCTCCGTACAAGTCGGCAGTGCCATCCGTGCCATGAACGGAATTTGCGCCGGGAGGAGGAGGAGCACTATAATACGGAGTTTGTTTTTGAAAAGACGAAGCTGGGCTGTCGGGCGGAGAATGTTTCATGACCGGTGCCTGAGCGGTAACATTCGGACCCGCCAAAGACATGTCAGCACTGGTACTGGTGCCGGCACCAGTACCGGACACAGAGTGCACGGGAGTTGAAACAGCGGGAACATTAGAAAGGGAAGCAGAAGAATTTGCTGTTGAAGAGGGAGCAGGAGCAGCCGTGCTGAACAGAGGGAAAGTCGTAGGCATAGGAGGAAAGGAAGACAAACGGGGAGACACCGTAGCAGCCGCTGACGAGTGAGGTTCGTTCGTCAAGACCTTGCCGTTCGTTAGACATCCCGGAGCGGCACCATTCACAGGATTCAACGCGGCAATGTTGGGATAGTGGGACTGAGACGGAGAGGTCATTTCAGCGAGATGCCGTGAACCATCATTAGCGACACCAGAGGCCGGGTCGTAGGCCAAGAAGCTGGGACAATGCTTAGCATGGGAGGCGAAGTTTACCGGACGTCGCCAATTTTGGCGTCCACACGCACAACGAAAGCGACCATTGGCACTGCGTTTCCAAGTGATCCTGCGGTCCCCAGCGATGACGACCGTTTCCAGTTGGTGGTAAGTACGTTTGTGGTTCGTAAGACCCGACTGCTTAGCAAAGACCAAGTCGCATTTGTCGCACGGGAACTTAAGTTTGGGTTCAGCAGGTTTGGATTCATCAGTGTCACTTCCACTGGCACCAGGCCTGGTGGGGGGCTCGTTTAAGGACTCCAGGGTGTGAATACAAGGCGACAAACGTTGTTGGTTCAGCGAGGTCACAATGGAGATGAGAGAGCACAGGGGAGGATACAGGTGTAGCAAAAGAACGTGGCGAGATAAGATAAGTTAAGATAAGATATCGTGGCGAAGGGAGGCATTTAGAAGTGGGATGCGATTGTGGCTCTCTTAGCGCGAAATGTTGATAATGTATGGGGAGAGATGCGGAAGCAGCTATTCCGCCGTTGATGTTGATGTTTACAACGATGAAGGCTAATGTGGTCTGCAGAGCTCGTTTGTGGTTCGGTGGTTCATTGTTAACAATTCTGTCGCCGATTGCGGGTGACGGAACTCTCACTTGGCCAGTGCATTTATTGTCGTATCAGATGAAATAAGGTTTAGCTGAAATTGTTTTTTACTGGTGGAACGGCGAAAAAATATATACTTTCAACAAGAGAAAAAGACTGGGATTGCCTATTGGCGAAGTGGTTTTCTTACTTTCCCGCACGCTGCTTTCCATGTGTTCTTTTAGTTTTGTACTTTGGTTATAAAACTTGCAGCTTATTATATACTAAGCAATAATGAGCGAATCGGCTGGTTTGTAGATAAGATAAAAGCAAAAATCTAAGCGAAGAAATTATCTGATCCTCGTTATCTCGTGAGCGAGCAGTTCTCTCGCAGTGATGAAGGATGCACAAACAAGACTTTCATTTACTGAGTTTCTTTTTCCCTGCTGAACATCTTTTCCGTACTGCATTTTTGTGACGGATCACAATTTTTGGTGGAGAGGTTTTGGTGGAGCATTTGTTTAAGTGGTTGTTTGTTGGAGTCGAACCCAAGACACTGCGGAATGCGGAATGCGGAATGCCTTGATGGGCATGTAAGATAGAGAGAGAGAGAAAGAAATAAAAGAGACAGAGTTACTATTAGTAGGCGGTTCGGTGTCGATGCTCGCGTTGTTAAAGCATGACGGGCTATTGCTTGTTAAGAGCATGGTGTTTCATTACGGTTCTCCATCGCATGTTGGTAAATGCGTGTCTGTAATTTGGTGTTTATTGGTTACTACTGTGAACAGAGTCGGATTTCATTCTATTGAATAAACACAGTGGAAATTAGTTCTTAATACAGTCCCATCCCATTTATAGCTATAACAGCTGGTTCCTTCGAGCAGACGCGTGAAGTTGCACTTCTGGAAGTGGATTACTGAAATGGATCTACGGTCACCTTCTGCGACAGTATAATTATTTCCCAATACATTGGATACATTTGAAGTTCGCATCCCTCTCCGAAAGCATCAAAAAACAAGCGAACCTTAACGTGAATAAAGTTTGGTGTAGCATTTCGTGTGGTTTTTTCCCACAGACTTTGGCGAACAGACCACCACAGTTTGCAAGTCGCACTCCCAACTCTGCAGTCCACGTTCTTAACCACCGTATTGTACACTTCTGCCTTTTTACTGACCGATTCCAACTCTTTCATCCAACACCACTTCCACCCCGCCTGCAGTATCACGTGCGCACTCAAAAACTTTATTCTAACCACCATAACCACCACCACCACTACCACCGGACACACCGCGAACATTGACGCTTGCTCCTCCACACACTATGACTCGCACGACTTCGGGTCCCATGCGGACAAGGAAAAACCGCACCCATTCGGAAACGCCGTACAAAAGGTCCGGTACGGCTAAACGTTCAAAATCGCTTTTGGAGCGGGCAAAAGCGTGGATTAATTCTTGGAGACATGGTGACCATGCAGACGAAAACGATGGCCGTAACGAAAACGTCGATAGCTCAGAGACTTTTGATGACGATGTAGAAAGTGAAAACGAAAACGAAGACTCGAAGAATGACTCTTCGAGTGTCTCTTCCAATGTTGCTGACACAACTTCGACCAGCATTGATAATAGCGGAGTCTTGACGGCCTCTGTTAATGGCTCGGCAGGTGCGAATATTGCACTTGCCCGGTTTTTCTCTCAAAAAGGAGCAGCACCTCTTAATGAGATGGAAATGGAGGGAGTAATGAGTCTTTTGAAAAAAACCGCTCCAACGACTGGCACAACGACTTCGTTGGCTTCAGGTGCTGCTGCCTCCACAGCTTCACCATCTGCACTTCAACGGACTCCCGTGTTTCGTTACACCAAACAGCCCGGCTCGGCTGAACGAGTCGGTGTTGCAGGCACTGTCGAGAACGCTGCCCCTTGGTCTGCCTTCCGTTCCACCTTCTCTCCTGCTCCCGCAGCAACAGCAGTTGCTGCTGCCGGTGACTCACTTCTTCCGGCGAAGCGGTTGAGCTTCTACGGTCCCACGCTGTCAACTCCCTTCCGCAAGCGTACACACCGCAAGAGACATTCTCTTGCTCCGGCCTCCCTTGCTCGGTCCCCCCTGGTCTCTGGGACAGTTGCTTCTAATGAGATGGAAGAAAGCGCCTCCAAGCGCTCTCGTCGTCGTTATTCCGACGTTCCGACAACTACCGCGATTTCACCAGAGCCAGCATCGCCTGCTCGTTTTGCATTCAGTACTTCCAAGACGGAGCAACCTGCAGCAGCCAAAACACCCAGCAAAACAGCTGCTAGCTTAATGAGTTTCCTTGACGAAACTGATAAAAAGGCTGCCGCCAGTGACGTCGGTAAAATCGCTACTGGACGCGAGACGAAATCCCGTCCCAGTATCTTGAATCCCTATGCTCGTGATGGTGTGGTCGGCCATCGGGCTGCGAAGAGGGCCGAGAAGATATCAAAGCCCACGGAAGGAGTACCAAAAACTCTCCAAAACAAGGAACTGAAGACGTCTTCAATTGAGGTCAAGGAATCCACAACATCGACCGTGAAAACGTTTGTTCCTAAAGTTGATTTGTCCAAGGTACCCAAACCGATTCCTCAGACGTCTACTAAAACTGAGGCTGTTTCAACATCCGCAGCTGATCATACACCCGTTTTTAAATTTACCGCTCCCAACGCACAAACATCTTCGGCACCCGCGCCCGCCGCTGCCCCTAGTACTGGCGGCTTCTCTTTCGGTTTTGCGGAGAAGCAGAACAAACCAGCAGGCGGCTTTTCTTTTCAATTGGCTCCCAAGCCTGAGGCGCCAAATGCTGTATCGAAGACTGATGCTGAAAAGCCCAAGGTGACCTCTTCTGGTTTCGTATTCCAACCTCCTGCTGCTACGACTTCTATACCCTCAACGACGACGTCTACGAAGCCTTCTGCCCCTTCCGTTCCCGCAGCCAGTACCGGCTTTCGTTTTGATGGTGGTAAGATAATTGCCCCAGCCGTTAAGGTTGCAGAGAAAAAAGAGCCAACCAAACCGGCAGAAGAACAGTCAAAGACCGCGCAACCCGTCCAGCCTATTGCTACTCCACATGTAGCTCCTACTCCTGCAGCAAAAGCCAGTGCAGCTCCTGTCACGAGCCTTCCCACATTTCCTTTTACCATTCTTTCAAAGTCAACAGACACTTCATCCGAAGCTGCCAACGCCTTGTCCGCCGCTGACCTTCCCACGTTTAACTTTTCCGTCGTTCCTAAGGCAGAGGTTCAGGTGAAACAACCAGAGGCCGCGGCTATTTCCAAGGTGGGCACTTCTGTCTCCACTCCCGCTTCTACACCCTCTGTGGTTTCGGCCGCACCTGTAGCACCCGTAGCACCTCCGGCCACTGGTTTTGACTGGGCTGCTGCTGGTCTGAAAATGCCAACTTCGGCCCCAGGTTCTTGGACCTGCAATGTTTGTATGATTACAAACAAACCCGAGGCGACCAAATGTGCCGCCTGCGAAACTGATCGTCCTTAACTTGCAAGGGGATAGGCTGAGTGCACTCTGTTATAATAAACAACTTTACGATGGTTTAGTAGCTATTTTGTCATTGCGATGGAAGCGAGAAAATAGAAAGTACTGTTTTGCTACGAAGTTGACATCTCTTTAAAAAAAAAAAAGAATGGAAGAATGTGTATGGTGCTCGTGTTAATACATTTTGTTCATTTCTACGATGCTGTTTATTGTTGGACAAAAGGGTTGGGAATCTCCTCGCTTCCGTCCATCGGCGCCAACAAAACCAACGTTGTACCTCTAACAACAACTAATCCCAATTTTCTCGTCTCATCAAGTACCCGTCCGTCTTCCGGATCGCGCAGATTTTCTTCAACGTCGTCTAGTACCAAATTCATCAATTGATCATAGCCTTTCAGGACACCGGAAATTTGACGCCCACCAGTAAGTTTGGCTTGAATACGTTGGTCTTGGTAGCGGGATAAATCTAAGATGGATTCCTTTCGAGGACGTTCGCTGTTGACACTGTTAGCACAAAGTAATAAAGAACGACGGCTGCATACGTAGGTTGGCTGGAACCACCAGGTCCAGGTCGTTTTTGATTATAAGACATTGTGAACGTAAACAAAGACAGGTACTGACTGGAACCTGCTAAAACGTGAAGACACTCGAGTCTTGAGTAGCAATTCTTTTGGTGGTGAGAGATTTGAGTTTGCGGGGCTGCTGAATTAGTGTGCACGTTATCCACGCGCTTAATCGTAGCAAATGAACAGCAATTTCAAAAAATTAAACTTTCGCTTATAATTACGCCGTAAAACAGAATTTTGGCTAGTAGAAAACCGGTAAGAAGCAGTTCACTGTCTTGCACGTTCGATATTGTTTCACAATACCAGGCCAGGATAACTAAAAGTGTTCTGAAGACCCAATTTATTAGTGCGCCTATGGAAAAGTGGATGTTTCAATGAACGTGACGAATACTGTTGAATACAGCCGACACGCTTGCAAACATACTTGTATTACTTTTATTAATTATCGTATCTTTTGAGGTCGTTAAATCTCCAAGCGCGTTTATGCTGAGCATACGACTCAGCCAATTCTTCTTTTTCATTCATCAGTTCGTGGCATCATCTTCCTCTTCTTCGCTGTCGTCCTCTTCGTCTGCGAACTCGACGACAACGTTGCCATTGGGATAAATGTACTTGTTGCTTTCGATGACAGTCGAAGGATCAAGAAGAACACGAGGCATGAGGGTGTACACTCTGCAAGAATGTTCGTAGGGGTACGTCTTCACGTTGAAGTTTCGTAAATACTCTTCGTCCTCATCAACGGAGGCTTGAGCATCTGTCTCCTTATAATAATAGGCATCTGCATAATCATACAATTCACGAATAAGAGCACTTTTAGAAAACACGCGAATGACACGGTTGCCGTCCGGAAGTCGAATGGAGATTCGAGCCGTATCCGAAGCGGACGGAGTCGCAGGTTCTATCCATTGTGAACGAATGTAAGACCGAAAAGCTCTATCCTTTGCTTCCGTCTCGCGTTTTTGACGCTGCATAGCAAGCTCACGCTCACGTTGCAAGCGCGCTTGAGTTTGGCGTTTACGATCAGCCGCAAGCGATTCATTGTATGCACGGTCTTGTTCTGCACGAAGCTCACGTGCTGCGTTTTGTTCGGCAAGAGAGTTGTGCAAACGCTCCAAAGGAGGCAAGTAACGAACAAAAGCATTTGTGATCGTAGTCATCAAGGACTCGGCACTAAGCACCCCGGACATAGAGGCTGTAACAAGTAAATCGGAATGTCGAGGAGAATAGATGGTCAAGACGGCGGCAGGGAAATGTCCACAGCCAAATTGACACGCTGCAAAGTATGCTTCCTCCTCACAAACATCGCCGGCCCAACAAATAATCTTGTGTCGCAGTAAAAACGTATGCAATTCAGGGTTCATTAGTACTTTGCTCGCGAACACGTCTGCACTTTCATGCTCTGAAGAGGTGAACAGAAGCAAAGCAATTCCATATTCCTTTTTCGCTTGGACAAGTGCCTCCTTGTAGCCGCCATTGTCGTAAAGCTTAATATGAGCCGTGCCGTATTGTTCCTCTAAGCGCTGGATAAACGCATTGGATGCGTCTGCAGGACTAGTGATACGTTTCTTCTGTTGCAAAAACGGCAGGAAGTTATTGACGAGAGGCACCCGGGAAAGAAAAGCAAATAGCCGTTGCATCCCGGAAACAAAAAGAGAAAATAGAGTTTGTAGAACACCAAATCGGAAGGTTTTAGAGCTTGTTTTGTTGTCCTTTGGTCGCTCAGACGTTGAAGAAATCGTTTCAATGGCTCTCTACACACTGTTAGTACAAATAGTCCTTTAAACCGTTGGAATGAGCGAGAGAATTTTCAAACAAACTCGTAATGGAGCTCAAAAACATCCATCTCAATTTCTTCGCTTCATAACTCGTTGCACTGCTCGAATAATTGAGCACATTGTTACGTACCTGAACGTCCCAGTCGCAACTGGATAGTAGTGCTTCCGCAGTGTCGTCCGGAACTTCACAGACCCGCTGTAATTCCCGTATTGCACTTTCGTGAGTTTGTAATGACATTCTGGCGAAAAGCCTCGCGTAGTTAGCAGACGGTGCGTTGCTCTTGTACTGGTTGTCTATATGTATGGTATCTTTAGTAGCTTTCACCACCACCTCGGGCAGTTTCTTTGCAATACATGATTATCGGGCTTTTTCTCGCTGAAACAGATTAGAAGGAAAGTTTTTTAACTTTTAATTGCCCTCGTCTAAGTTGTGCGGGTGTAAATGAGCAATTTTTTGCCTTTTTAAATCATTTTTTTGAAAATAATCAACTCTTGGTAGATTGACGTTTCTTGAAGTTTTCCGTAACATTCCTGACATATTCGTTCACATATTTTGCAGGGTGTGACCTGCTTTAACCAAATACGGCCTTGTTTCCTTGAATAATCGTATCCTTCATTCCTCCAATTGGATATATTCAACCAAAAAAAAAAAAAATCAATATGACAACGCTGGGTCTACCCACGCAGAGCCCGGTAGTTCCGGGTGATGAAGACAGCAACGATTTTATGTGGATGTTTCTGATGTGGATAACTAGCATCGCAATTGCTTTGATGCTTGTTTCACTCATGGGTTCGCTTATTTACTACCTAGGTCGAAGACGTATCTTTCTTCGGCACGCTATACCTGGTCAGCTGGACGAAGAGCTAAATGTCGGTACCGATGGTTCTGGCTTGGAAATGTTGAGTGACGCTGACAAGGAACTTTATTATCGTACAAAAGATTTTGAAATGAATAATGCGTATGACTACACCAGCGCTGATGTGAGCCTTGCGCAGTATTTCCAGGTGAAGGAAAAAGGCCTAAATGCTTGGCATTTCAACCCAAATCCGGACTATGGATGTATTGTTACGAACAAAACTGAACTGGACTTCACAGGTACTGAAGAAAGCTGCGTTACAACGAACCTGCCAATTCCTAAAGCAAACCAAACCTATTACTTCGAAGCAAAAATTATTGAACTGCCGAGAAACACGCTGATTTCAATTGGTGCTGCAACTAAGCCTTATCCCCCTTTTAGAATGCCTGGTTGGAGCAGTTGGTCTGCAGGGTATGTATCCAACGGAACTTTTCGTCTCAATCAACCGCTCTTTGGCAGCGATTCGGTTCCTAAGTATGAACAAGGTGACATTATAGGTGTGGGCTACAAGCCGCAAAATGCTAAGCTTTTCTTCACTCGAAACGGACAGCGTTGCTACGAAGTCACTTGCACAACTCGAAACCTGTATCCGGTAATCGGGTCAAAGGGAGCGTGTGAAGTTCATGTAAACTTGGGACAATACGGTTATGTTTACCTTGAAGGAAATGTTAAGAAATGGCAGTTTGCCCCTCAAGTTGCAAGCCTTCCAGCACCTCCTTCTTATGATGCTGATCAACCTTCTGTACAAATTGGTTTTACCGACAGTTCGTCTCAACGCACTTTGCGTCCACACCATCATAGCCAACGTTCTCAGTCTATTGACAGATTACAGAATAGCTATAGCACAGACATGATGTCTTCGACAACATCTTACTGGACGGCATCCGTACCACTTAGTTCGTTCCATGACGAATCTAGTACCGTCCATTAGTCGCCAACAAACCAGAGCTCTTTCACATGCGGCTGTGTTTTCCTTCTTTCCCCATCTTAATCGTTATGATTTTTTCAACTTGAACGAATTGGTCAGCAGTTAACGCTGTTCGCCTTTCAGTTCTCATATGTCTTTATGCCTGTTAATAATAAACATAATTACTAATGAAAAATTCAGTCATGTCGCTGTATCATTATTATCTTATATTACATTAAAATTAAGTTAAATTCATTAAGTACGTCCAGCGTATAAATATAAATTTGCAAAAGAAATGAAATAACTCTCGTAAAATAAACTGCACGCATCCTTAAAGCTTAATTACTTCGAGCCTCAATGACATACTTTTTGAGGATCTCTAAAAGAGTTTCGTTCTTCAACGGCTTTATAATGTAATCGTCCATACCCACTTGAAAACAAGCATCACCAACAGAATCTTTCAAGTCTGCTGTGAGCGCTATTATGGGAAGATGGCCAGCATCACGCTTCTGCTTTTCATATTTTCGAATCCGCCGGGCAACTTCCAGACCGCTCATTTTTGGCATGTTATGGTCCAGAAACGCAAGACTATAATAACCCGGAGGGTGTTCAAGAATCATTCGAACAGCAATTTCCCCATCAAGGGCAGCTTCGGCTTTCATTCCCAAACGACTTGCTTGTTTTCCAAGTGTCATTTGTGAGATTACATTATCGTCAGCAACAAGAATTACTTTGTCCTTCAGCTTGTCAAAATCGAAAGGCTTGGAAGTAGAAGTAACCAGATGTGTGTCAATAATGTTCTGTATCGTCTCATATGGCTTTTTTGACAAGAAATTTAATAAAGCAGTGCAAAAGCATTCCTCGGTTACTGGTAACTGCAGAGCAAAAAAAGTAGAGTGTCCCGCTGGATTATCCTTTAAAAACTCATCAGTTTTTTGATGTTCTTCAGACTGCAATCCATTTATTAGTAGAAAGAGGACTCTAATTTCTTTAAAATGAGTCCTAAAAAAGCGAACGGAATGCACTATTTCTTTGTAATTAAGCACGTCCATTATTACAAGAAGTGGACCACGACTCACTTTCAAAGACAGTAACGATTTTTCGAACACTTCAAGATTACGTGACGATAATTCGTGTAATTTGTCTTTAAGAAGTATACGATCAAAAAACGTTGGACTATCAAAGAAGCGACCTCTGATAGTTGTCATGTTTTTGAAAAACTTTTTCAAGGCAGTTTGAGCGTCACTTGTTTTTCTTGATAAAATTGCCAGGCGTTGACTGTTCAACAGTTTTAGAGACACATCAAAGGAAAAGGAAAAGAACTCTTTCTCCTCATTAACGGAAACGTTAAGGTTTTTCGACATAATCTTACACAGGCGTAAACATATTGACATTCCAAGTGTAGTACTGTCATTCACTTTAGGTGATTCGTCAGAAGGGTTCAGTAAACCTTCAATAAGGCGCTCACGTTCATATGCCTTTTCAAGTGGTCTAGTGTCAGAAATTGTAAACCGAACAACCGCAGTATCCTCTTGATTTTTGTGATGAAGTGTTTTTGTTAGATCACAATACACATGAACATAGCCCTCAACGGTGGCACTAACAGAGTTCTCGATGATTGTTTTGAGTACTTGAGCAATTTTTGTGCTGTCGCCCGCAACAAATGATGGTAATTGAGGATCAATAAAGATAGCAAAGAAAATCTTCTTGGCCATAACAGCTATTATAAAAATGGAGAGCAAAGACTTTTTTTATCAAATTGTCAATAGAGAATTCAAGATTCGTCTCCAATATGACTTTTCCGGCCTCTAGTTTAGTAAAGTTAAGCAAATCATTTATAATTTGAAGTAGCATTTCACAACTATCCTTAGCAGTAGCCACAATATCCCTTTGCTCATCGTCTAAGTTGGTTTCTGCAAGAAGAGAAAGCATACCGTAGAACCCGGAAAACGGAGTACGAAGTTCGTGTGAAATGTTAGCGAGAAAGTTAGCTCGGAGCTGCATTACTTTGAATGCGCTAGCTCGAGCCTGCTTTTGGTCGTGTATGTCAACAGCCGCAAGAAGAATTTCGTTGTTCACCTCACAATCATGCAGCGGATTCGCAGACATTAAATTCCAACGATACTTCTTAGATTTTGTTAAGAATCTAACTTCAATGATCGGAGGAGATTGACAATCCTTATGTATTTGTAAGATTAGCTTCTTTACCTTTGGTAAATCCTCTGGATGTATTAGGACTTTCATAAAATCAGGCCGGGTATCATCAAAATTTGGACAATACTCATACCAAAACAATCCAAGAGGTTTAACAATGATGTTCTCCTGAACAACACCCTTTGCCAGCAAACAGGGCATTGAATTGATGAAATTTTTATAATTTGCTTTTGAAGCCTGCACAAGCTCAAGAGCCTGCTTTTGTGAAGCAATTATTTCCATGTTCATTGCAGTTGCCTTATCAAATTTCTTAAACAACGATACATTGACAATAGCAAAACTCACTTGTGAGGCCAGTATTGACATAACCGATAAATGACGGGTTTGAAACGCATTGGGATGGTTTTGCAAGCATAAGAGCGCCACTGGCTTCTTTTTTTGGTAGACAGGAGTAATTACTAAACTTCTTCCCATGGGGTAAGCCTTCGTCCATGCTTCAACTCCAAAGTTATAGTCAGCTTCAACATTATTCGTGAACAGTGATTGCCGAGAATGCACGGCATACTTAAGTAAGCGAGAAGGTAAATAATTTTGGGTTTCTGTAACAGGAAAAGCTGGATCAAAAACTTCACAGTGATCGGCTGTACGATGGGCAACTAATTCAAAACGAAAGTCATCAATCACAATAATAGATGCGGCATCACAGCATGAATTCTCCATCATGATAGCCGTAATCTTTCTCAGCAAGCTTTCCCAATTTAGCTCACTTGCGATAACCTGACTGGACTTTAACACAGAAGTTAAATCCATTATATCCAAAGTTGTAAGCATGTTCTCCAATTGCCATGCTGGCTCGTTACTATCACCCTCTTCTGGAATTGGCGGGCTATACCACAGAGATTCTGGTTCCTCTGGCGAATCAATATCAGTGCGAAGAAAAGACTGAGAGAAATGTGATGATTCTGACGATTGAGTAGCCTTGTCCAAAGAAGGACGTAAGTTGGTAATCTTAAGAATATTTTGATAACGGTTCTTCAATATCTCACATTTCGGGAAGAATGACAATTCCGAGAAAATATTAAGAGCTGCTTGGATATAATGGGAACATGACACCCATCTTCCAGACTTGGAATATATATCACAAAGCTGCTCGTGTGCAAATGCAGCAAATAACGGCACTTCGTTTTGCTCTGAGAAAGTCAAAATCTTTTCAAAATAGACAGCAGCATCAACTTTGCGATCCAACGTTTTAAAGTAGTAAGCCTTTATGAAAATGACAGTTGCATAAAGCAAACAGCGATTGTTTAAATTCTCTTCCTTCATTTTTAGTAAGAAATTCAGAGAAGAGAAGGCACGCGACGCCTTTTCTTTCGCAGACTCTCCCGAGACTGACAATATTCCATGCGCTCCAACTGCAAGCATCATGGATGTAAATAGTAGAGGAGAATGATAAATCAACACTGAATGTTGCTTTATGTACCAGTTGCCAAGTTCAAGTGTTCCTAGCCAATTCTCTTGAAGAACCAAATTCAACATATAAAAACTGTACCACCATATACCATACAGGCGAAAATTAGGACCATACGGTAGATTCATAGTTGTTAAATGCGTATTCAGTGGTAAATTGTCAAACGCTTCTTGTGACTCTTTCAGTGTATTATAACCAGAAGTACATAGTACCAAGCGAATAATTGGAGCAATAAAAGAGGCATGTTTGGCATCCGCATCCCAAGTGGAAATTTCTTTTAGATAGTCATCACAATAGGTTAAAAATTCGCTACGGGAAGAAGAGTACAAAAACTGGACCCACAGCATTTCCATATACGAATAAGAAAGAAAAACCCGCTCTCCAGATGCAATACACAAGTTCATAACCTCTTTGCTTGAATAGTCTTCGGCACCGCGAGGTAAGAATACGTTTCCAAGAAATGCTTTGAAAAGGTGTTCACCCCTTGCTTTCGAACGCCTTGTTCCGTATTTTTTATTAAATGTACGTCCGATGTTAGCAAGTTGAAGCATGTCCTCCCAAGAACCAGCAGTCTTCGCAGTAAATATCGCAATAACAATCATACAATATCCGGTGTACTGCGTGGGGCCATATTCGAAGAAGACATCACTAACACATCTAGTACAAATGACCTGTTCCTCTCTTGGGAGCCAAAGTGATGCAGTGATAGCTTCAAAAAGGAAAGCGGACACATTCATTATAGATGAATCGGTAATCAAATCTTCAGGCTGAATTTGTTCTATTGCTTGCGTGGATAAAAATCGTGATACCATCCACTTAAATTCTGTGTCAACATCAAAATCTGTTAAAAAGGTTAACGGGACATCAAACCGTTTGATGTTTTCAAAACAGTAATTGTATGATTCAACTGGCTTTCGTTGCTCAAATAGCATCCGACATTTAAACATATAGATAGGAATCTTTTGGTCGTAACTAAATGGAAGATTCTCTAACTGACCAAAAAGCAAGTCTGTCTCTTCAAAATCTTCAAAGAACCAAAGAAGTTCAGAGACTTGAGCGAACACCGATAGTGCCCTGCCCCTAGAATTTTTATCAAAAGCGTTCAAATCATTAAATGTTAAAAACTGCAAACATTTTTTTGAAAGGTAGACTGCCCTGGTGCTCTCCCAATTCAGTTGTGACTTTTGAGCCTCATGGCTTAAGATCTCACTATAACAAAGCCTATTGGGATCATCTTTAAGCAAGTCAATTGCCCGAACGATATAGGAAGAAACATCAAGATTATCCATATACTGCGAATCATTGAGACAATGCCTCGACATCGAGGCAAACATTAATTTGCGAAGCTCTTTAGGAATGAAAGAGACTACCGACTCTATATTTGACACATGAGAAAATCTGTACATGTCATCTTTTTCAGTTTCGTAAATTAGTCCATCCCGCAGTAGTGGGAAAATTGATTGCTTGTCAATGTCAGCTCGATACTCTGGTATATTGCTATCGTGCGCAAGTTGGCGCACCAGGTTGAAGAAAAAATAATCCCCCAACATAGCAGCCCAAGAGAGAAGGATCTTTTGCATATCATCAAGTCGGTTGAACTTGCGAAGGAATAATTGGAGATTATCTTCTTCGTACGTCTCCTTATTGATCTGTTGCAGGAGTTCAAAGTCAATACACCACTCGTTTACCATCCAGCTGAACTTCAAAATTCCCCGTTCATAACATTCTGTTGTGATGTTTCGTATTTTGATAGGAACACCCATGCTTTTATGATACACATAAGAAACGAGCGGAGCAATATAGTCAAGGTTTTTGTGCACGACGACCTTTAAAAACTCAGCGACAACTTGATATGACAATGGGTTCAATTGTAATTCAAGCACATTTGCAGACTGAATCTTTTCCAAGTTTTTTAGAATGTAAATGTAATCTGAATGCAACGTCATAATCAAACATACAGGCACTTTTAAATCGATTATGCGTTTCAGAAACTCAAGAGAAGATTCATCAGCAAATTGAAGATTCTCAAGGACAAGCGCTACAGGCCTTATTTTTGAGAATATGCGGAAGAATTCTGTCATAACATGTAGGAAACGTGCTCTTGAAGTACCGCTTCGAAGAGAGTTGTGAACAGAAGCCCAAACATTGGAAAAAGGTCCCTCATCAGCATCATGTGGGTTACTATCAGACGAAAATGGGTCTGAAATAGACATATCTGTGGACGGGATGAAATCAAGGTTCGAAAAGCCGGAGAAGGCATCGTCCTTTTTTAAAAAGTCAAGTTCTTCCCAAAAAACGCCCTTCAATTCAGGCACCAACCGGAAGAAAATGCATAAAGCATCAAAATGAGAGAAAAGACGCTCCTTTATGCATTTGCAGAAAAACGAGACACATTTCTCATCTTCTGTCAACAGTTGTCGAATGATGGACGAGACAGCAACCAAAATTGCGGAATAAGGAGCATACTGAGAAGCCGTGAACTCGGAGATAGCCATAAGAGCCTGTTTGCGACTATACAATTGTCGAACTAGGTTCGATTTTCCGATTCCGGTTTCACCAATAATAAACAGACTTACCGAAGAAAAGTCATCAGGGTCCTCCAAAAGTACGTTCCAACTTGGGTTCGAAGACAGCTGCTCTTTTAAGGAGGATACCTCTTGTAGAGACACACCGTCAGCCGAAAAAGAACCGTCGGACATGGCTTCATTTTGAACCTTTGCTGATTGCGCAGCATAGTTCAGATGCATAACAGAGATGGCCTGTTCTAGCACAGCTTCTCTTCCAAATGTAACAGAGGGGAGGTAAAAAATGTAAGTTGAATCATGTGTAGCAAGCTGAAAATCCGAAAGGTCGGGGTCATTGTTTTCAAAGGAATCTCTGCATTTCTGCAGGTCATAAATAAGACCAGCAAACGACAGATACCGATCATCAGGCCGTTTCTGGGTCATTTTTGCAAGAATCTTAATTAAAAGAGGGGGGACATTATACTTTTCTAAGTCGTCATAAGGCAAAGGTTCGGTTATAACGGCACGAATTAACTTTACAGAATTGCCAGTGTAGGGAAACGTCCCAGTCAGCAGCACGAACAAAACAATGCCAAACGAATAAATGTCGGTTCGGTAATCGACGGTATCGAATGTGCGGCCGGTCTGTTCCGGACTGATGAAAGGAAGCCATGAATTCGTATCGGCTGAATGCCCTGAACTAGACCAAGAAAACATGTACAGACAATCCTGAAAAGAGTTCTTCCCCTGACCGATAGTGCTAACTCTGACATCGCGTCGATCGGGCGAAGTGCAGAAGGACCAGATGTTCAATTCTCCATGCACAAAGCCGTGGAAGTGCATAAAGTTCAGGCATTTCGCAGCTTTAATGGCAAATTCAAAAAAGAGGGCTATGTCTTTTTGAAAATACGAGTATTCATCCATGGAGACGAAACGGTACCCGTAGTCCTCGTAGACAGCAACAGCTAGTTCGAGAGTGCTGAGGACACAGAATTCAATGGGCAGTAGGACTATGTTCCCCCCGCCCGAAGTCCTGTACAGATCCATAAAACAGCAGTATTCATGTTCGAGGTACTGAATCTGGAATGTAAATTTGATAATAATAGGGCGATTGGAAGCAAGTTCTACTCCTTTGTAGAGCAGAAATTCAGAGAGAAAGCTCTGGAAGTGTCGGAAGGGACGCTTTTCAAGCTTGTAACTGTTGAGTAGGGAGAATGCAAGAGCAACAGCGTCCTCGAGACTACGACGATATCGCATGCTGAATGGCATTACTTAGAGGACCGTGTTTAAAGCCTCAGACGTGTTTTTAAATAAATAATGTAGCAACAAAAATTAAAAAAAAAGGAAATGCTATCGTTCCAATTACTAAAATCTTAAGAACGAGCAATCACAAACCGTTTTGGCATGAACAGAAGTAACGAAGCATTGAATTTCCTCTCAGATCAATGTTTATTTTTTCACAGGTTCCGACGTTTATACATTTTCATATACAAACTTGTTCTGCTCTCTCTAGATAACAGGGAAAGAATTATTTGCCTCTGTAAGCCCTCGCTTGTGCTAAATCTTCTTCCTACAGGTGGAGGCTAACAGCGACTACGCGAAGCCGAGGGCAACGTGGTGGTGGGGAAATAGAGAGGCGTTAGCACACTCGTTAAACAAAGCTAAGGAGGAGCGAGGGAACTGGTGCGCAACTCACTAACATGCTTAACGAAGCATACGACACAAACCATTGCCACACTAACCAGCCTAACGATCCCGCTCCATCGCACTCGACCGCACTAATCACCTTACCGCACCTTACGGTTCTCCAACGCACTCTTCCCTCCAGCGACCTTCTCGTGTTCCAACCGCATAGGCATGCATGGACTACAGAAAAACTAAGGCTTCCCTAACCCGCGCTTGGGAATGCTTAGAAGCGCAAGGGAGTGAAGAACCAGGCAGACTTGCCGGATTGGTACTTCTCCTCGAAGGTCTTCTTAATGGTCTTTTTGGCATCCTCGCGTTGAGAGGGCTCCTTGAAGGTCTCAGCAGAGACAAGACCCTTCAAGTTCTCAAGCTCGAGAGCGTAACGAGTAGGCATCAAGTGGTTGTAGTTGACGACCTTGATGAAAGGCTTGACCTTGGAACGCTTGGCGACACGCTTAGCACCCATAGAGCGAGTGACCTTCAAAGGGTAGCGCTCGACACCAGCAACGATGGCATGGCCGAAGGGGTGAGTCTTAGAGCCGTGGTCGACGTTTTGAAGAACAACAACCTTCTTACCGGCGAAACGTCCACGGGTGACCAATGCAACCTTTCCTGGCTTGAGAATCTTGACCATTTTGACGCAGACTTCCTTGCTGGGTTGGTGTAGGAGACAGTAGCGTATGTATGCGAGGTTCTGTACACTGTGACTGCTTCTTGTAGTGAGAGCCAGTGAGGACGAGCGTGCACTAGCGAGATGGTGCATAGCGAGTATTAGCGAGGTCTAGTGGAGTAACGCGGTGCACACTGTAATGCGACGCGACGTAAACAAACGAAGCGTAATACAGTGTAGACGTGAACTGAACACTCGAGCAGAATTGTGATCATTTCTGTTTGTTTCCTTCTTACCACGACAATGACGCAGAAGCAAAAACAGAACCTCGATTGGACACCAGTGCTGGTTTGTGAAATCGTTACCAAAGACTCCTTGGCTAACGCTTCTATGTGAAGACGGGTGGTACAGCTGCTCTAGTTACAGGTTTGTCCCAGTGTATGTGATGTTTCAGGGTTTGCTGAACGGTCTAGAAAGCTTGGTATGTGAGGAATGGGGAACGAATTGAACATGCTTCGTATACCGGTACTCTTCATGCTCATCAACAAGTTTAGGTCTACCCATTCTCAACCATTGTTACTAGAATTCAGTCGGAATCGTCCTTTTATGCCGTAGGTGGCTTCCGAAACCTGTACAGAGGTGTCAGCAGTGTTATTCTCTGCACAATTCCTTCGGGTAAGTGGGGAAAGGAAAGAGACGGATTTTGGGAAGGTTTCTGAACAGAACTGACCGACATAGCCTCTGTGTTTTTTGTTGTGTACGAGCATCTCAAACGCATTCAGCGTCCTGGGACCAGAAACCATCTTGTGTCATCTGCAATTGCTGAACTGGCATCGTGTGCCATTCTTGCACCGGCAGAATATGTGCGTCAGCAGGTGCAGACAACTGCATTGGCGCCATCCAAAGCACTAAAGAAGCTGTTCAGTAGCAGGAGATCGCTCTGGCGTTCGTTCGTCGGCATGTCGGCAAGAAATGTCCCGCTGACGAGTTTCCAATTCACCTTGTACGAGAACATCAAGACCCGTTTTTCCTCAGAGCACACATCTTTCGCCGCTGTAAAAGGAGCAGCTCTCAGTGCAGCCATCACGGCCGCTGTTTCTACGCCGCTCGATGTGATCAAGACGTATATGAACCTCAACTCGTATTCCTACTGGGAGGCATTGTGCGCGATTTTCCGAACACAGGGACTCCTCGGCTTTTGCAAGGGAGTCTCGGTTCGTGTTCTCTCTGCTTCTGTGGGATTCTCTATTTACCTCGGCGTCTACGACTACCTAACTGGGCATCTGAGTTTTAGAGAGAGATCGGACGATTCGTCATGAGCATGACCGACGACTTCGCTTGTTTAATTGCTCGCATGAGCCGTCCCCCCTTCCTCTCCCACCTCTACCCTTCACTTCTCTTTCCTTCCATACAGCACGCGACGTCCCTGAGTGCTGTAATTCGATGCACTGCAGACGCTTGCGCTTGAACCTGTCGTCAAGCCGGCAGCACAACGACACATAGTGACGTGTGTCTCGCAGTGACGCAGCTGCAACTTAACCCTATACTGTTCTTCCACCGGTCTCGTCCAATTGAAGATTGTCGTCGCCTGCTGCTACAGTTTTGCCTGTTTCAGCAATCGCTCTGCAACCCACATGGCCCCCGCCATGCGACACATTTTATCGCTCGAGCACGCAAGAGTGCACTAAACCCGTTAATGCGCTGCAGCGCTCCGCAGCGCGACTCCGCGGAACCCAAGTGGGCTGTTTTTTAGCATGGACCAGTCTGTGATTCGATAAATTCTCGTCTGTCGTGCGTTTGCGGCAAATTTGCACGTTTTTCACCGCTTTATACGGCCTCAATCGCCTCTCCCTCGCGCCTTTGCTTTTCATCCTGTTTCGGAATACCCCTAAACAACCACCATACCCTTACCCAACAGGCAACACCTCTACTGCTTGAACCGCCACGTATCCTTCCTAGCCTTTACGAATATCTGGATAATGAGTGACTCGCCTACTCCTGATACGAAAGCTGCCGAAAAGGGCAAAAAACTGACTGGGAGCACCAAGTAAGTGACTTAATGTGTGAATTCCTGACTAACAGTGGTGCAGGAGTACTTGGTTGGTACGTTAGAAGACCCAATTGGCTGATTACTGACTTTTTGTGTGAAAGTCGTTTCTGAAGAGCATTGCTACATTGTAAGTTGAAGACTATACGGGATTTATAGGAGTTTTCGGGGCAAAGATCCGCTTAAGGCGGAGTCTATGGAAATTATACGATTTGCGGTATTGATCCACTTTCCCAGAGAGTGAGAGAAGAGAGAGAAAGATTGACCCAAAGCCCATGGTTACGAGAAACCCGCTAACAAGAGTGTCTGAACAGTACTGGAGACTTATCCTCGTTAACGGCTCCCTCATTCATATTATCCAGCACTTCATTAATCGAATATACTGCGTATTGGGTATGGTAACGATGTATGAGGCCGCACACACGTCTAACAGTGCCTAGGCTGAGCATCCCCAGTTGTTTATTTCGTTGCCGAATGGAAAGACTGCCTTGGAGCGTCATGTTTTGGTCACCAAATGGTTTGCAAGCACCTTGAAAAATCAGTATGCTGGAAGAAATGAACGTGTATGTACCAACAATTTATTTGCATTTTGGGGCCAGCTATTAGCCGCTGTTCCCAAAACTTATTCATTAACTTGCCTGATTTAACTAACACGTTTCTTCTTTAGTATGGCACTGAAAAGAAGCCGTTAAATCCTATTCTCGGAGAGGAATTCATCGGAAAATGGGCTACACAATGTGGTGACACACGTCTGGTCGCTGAGCAGGTTTCTCATCATCCTCCCATCTCGGCGTATTGCATCTATAATAAGAAATGCGGAATTCGTCTTGAGGGCTACAATGGCAACAAGAGTAGCTTCACTGGCCCTCACATCCATGTGAGACAAACCGGACATGCTCGCTTGACGCTGGAAAATCTTAATGAGGTATACTACATTACGTTTCCTATGGTCGTTTTGGAAGGTCTTTGGTATGGTGCACCGTACATCGAATTATCCAAGAAATCGTACATATTTTCAAATACCGGCTACATGTCTACCATTGAATACTCCGGACGTGGCTATTTCACTGGAAAGCGTAATACGTTCAAAGCTTCTATTTCCGAGCTGGGCCGTAAAACCGAGCCATTGTACCAGATCAATGGTTCTTGGACTGGCCAACTGTACATTAAAGACTGTTCATTGGGCAAGGAAGCTGAGCCTGAACTGTTTCTCGACTGCAAAAACTTCAAACCCATCAATATTCAGGTTGCGCCTATTGAGGAGCAGTCTGATTTAGAGTCGCGCAAAATCTGGCACGATGTTGCTGTAGCCTTGGATTCGGGCGATTATTCTACTGCTAGTCGTGAGAAGTCTGTGATTGAAGAACGTCAGCGTGCACTGAGAAAGCAAGAAAAGGCAAACGAAGAACCGTGGAAGACAAGATATTTCAATTGGTGTTCTGAGGATAGAGAATTTGCCAGCCTCTCTTCCAAGTGTCTGAAGCATCCGTTTATTGAAGGTTACTGGCAATTCACTGACGCTGAGAGCAACTAGTTTTTTTTTTTTTTTTTGTGAAAGAATGCTTGTCATTCTTCGGTGTCTGCAGTACTTTCAACGACACTGTGTACCATAACGGTAGAAGGAAGTCGAAGTTTTGTGGCGTTAAATTGCTTTTTGATGAAAAACGGAAATGCTTCCTCCTTGTTGACTTTCACATTACTTTGCTTCCAAACGTCTTTTTCGTTTTCCTGTTTTTGTTTTCACCCTATCCTAAACTCAATTTGTTCACGGTACACGATTCGACTTTAGACTAACTTTGTGTGTACGTACACGTTTACGTACAGGGCTGTTCGCCAAAGAATCCAAGTCTTCTCATCTTCGGTCTTGCTTTCCACTCGCCAACCGATGCCTCCCTACTGTTTGACTTGTTATTTCCATGTTTCGGGCTTATGGTCAGTGTTGGACTTGAGTGGTTCGCACGAGAATTTATCGTTGTACTTTATTACGAGTAACTTTTTGATTGCTGTTCTAGGTGATGAATAGTTTATGCTTGTAACGTTGAGAAGCCTATTTCATCTCAGAATTTTGAGAATATATGTAACTAACTACCTTACTATGAAATACTTTTCTACTTAAATTTATATGACAGCGTGCGGGTGTATTAGGAAAAGTGTAGAGGCACGATTGTTGGTAATTAATTATAGTGGTTTCGTTAATAAGTACTAGAACTACGTAGTGAATATTGGCTACTCCTACGTTACCACTGTTGGACGGGGGGTTTGCTCTTCTTGGGCATCACATAACGAGGTTAGTGGATCAGTTTCGAACCCATTTTCCCTAACAACATGCCAAAAAAACGTTTCTATCGTAAACTAGGACGTAAATACTCTCACCGTAAGGCTCTTCTGAGAAACTTAGTGTATGCAGTAATAGAATGTCTCGTCGGTTTTTTGTTTCATCGCACTAACACGGATAGAACTTCATTGGTACAACATGAGAACATTTTAACGACATGGGCAAAAGCAAAAGAGGCTCAAAAACAAGCGGAAAAACTTATAACAATTGCGAAGAAAAACGGGCGGGACCACGAAGCGTGGATAAAGGCGTCTAATCTAGTCTTCCAACCAAAAACGACGCTTACAAAAGTGTTTGACGAGCTCGCACCTCGGTTTCAAGAACGACCAGGTGGATACACACGCGTCCTTCGGATGCCTCCGCGGTTTGGAGACAATGCTCCTCAAGGAGTTCTTGAGTTTGTCGATGGACCGGGGGACAGTCGTTTCTATATGACAGCTAAGATTATCGGTATTTGCCAGGCACGAGGGAAAGCATTGACTGAAGTCACAGAGCTGAACAAGCGGCGAGTCCTTGCCTTCCGAAAAGGAGGCGAAGAAGAGTTTCAGCGACTCGTTGAATGTGCTCGACAGGAAGAGCTGCAACGAGTACAAGCCGACCAAGAGTTAGAGAACTGTATTCGTGAAGGCCGTGTGCCTCCAAAGGACTGGAAACTCGGCGACCCGATTCCACGACCCACATACGTCTCATAAGTTTCTGTGCCGCCCGTGAAGGCACGACGTCCGAGCTCCACTGTACCACTACTCCCACTGCCCTGCCTCTCCTGGTTCCTCATGTTTATTACTCTCACTTTTTACTCTTTCTTGTCTTCAAACCCCCCACATTTGCCCCCATTTGACCGCTCTCTCGCTCCCCACACGCCCACATCACGATCCAAATTAAGGTTAAGGTTATGTATGACGTAGGTGACAGAGTATATATAGGATGGAGACCGCACCCGCTCTCCTCTCCTCTGCAGAACACATCTTAACGTTAGTCAGGCAGTGAGAAACTAAAATGCACGAAAGAACTGATGATTACTAAACTGAACAAAGACAATTGCGTATCAATTGAAACTCTCAATCTTTAATTGACTGCCGGGTGTGTACTTCTTTCCTTTTTTTTTGTTGTAAGTTTGTCAGTATTTATGAAACTTGAGCTCTGTAAACGATGACAAAACATGTGATGAAATTGAAAACCAGAAAAGTGAAAAAGTTTCCCGTGGGCGTTTAAAACTCGAACTAAAAAAGTGAATTGCTGTCGCCGGAATCGCGTTCCAATTCATTCTGGTTGCCGTGGTTTCACCTATTGTATCTATAATATCTGTGGTGTATGGCGCTTCGTTTGATACGACTAGCGAGTCGTTGTTCAGTAACTGATCGGGTATCTCATCAGGTTATCAGTGTCGGGTACGTGGGATACCATCGGTTGTATGGACAGTCGTCTCTCTTCAGTAAGGTTCTGGGGCTTCTCGATTTATAGGTACCTAACTCCCTGTGTAAACCTATATTTAGCAAAGAGAAGTTAGAAGAGCAGCCGCCTTGCGACGAAAATGAGCGGGTTAATGTTTCGTTTTCCGTTTCGCCGATTTGTGGCGACTATGCCCGATAAAACCAAGTACATTGCAAAGTCTGGTACATACCCAAAGGGATTTTTAATTAATGGCGTTTCATCAGGCGTAAAAGCCAAAGGAGCATTGGATTTGACCATGCTCGTTTCGGAAAAGCCCTGTAATGCCGCTGCCGTTTTCACGAAGAACGCTTTCCAGGCGGCCCCTGTTCGTGTATCCCGGGAAACGTTGCAACAAACGAAAGGTCAGGGCATTCAATGTCTTGTGGTGAACAGTGGATGTGCCAATGCCGTAACTGGTAGTGGTGGTGTACAAGATGCACGTCTTATTACAGCTCTTGCTGATAAAGCCGTTCTTGGTCGAGGAGATGGCGGCTTGCCCTCGACGTTGGTCATGTCTACAGGAGTCATTGGTCAACGGTTGAAGATGGACAAGATCAGTTCGGGTGTGATGAAAGCAATTGAAGGATTGGGTTCAAGCCATGAGCACTGGATGCGGGGTGCCAAGGCCATTTGCACAACCGATACGTTCCCCAAGGTTGTGTCTCAGGAGTTCAGTGTGAACGGACAGACCTACCGGATTGCCGGTCTTGCGAAAGGTGCGGGTATGATTAACCCAAATCTGGCTACCTTGCTTGGATTTTTTGCTACGGACGCCCCTGTTGCAGTTGAAGCTGTGCAACAAATTCTGCGTGAAGCAGTGGACAAAAGCTTTAACGCAATCAGCATTGACGGTGACACAAGTACAAACGATACAATTGCCTTCTTGGCCAACGGTGCTTCTGGTGGTCCGGAGATTGACGTCTCCTCACCTGCCTACGAAGAATTGAAACAGTCTGTTACTGGTATTGCTCAGAAGCTGTCTCAACTTGTTGTTCGAGACGGTGAGGGCGCGACAAAGTTTGTCACGATTCGTGTCCGCGGAGCTGCTACAGAGGCTGATGCCAAACTGGTTGCAGCTACGATCAGTAACTCTGCTCTTGTAAAGACAGCATTTTTTGGCGAAGATGCTAATTGGGGCCGCATTCTCTGTGCTATTGGTTATTCTGGTGCCATTGTCAACCCTAAGGCTACGTCTGTGAGTTTCGTACCTGCAGACCAAACGGAGTCGCTGCGTCTGCTTGTGTTGGGAGAACCCCAGAATGTGGATGAGGAACGTGCTAGCGAAATCTTGAGTCATGACGAGTTTGGTCTCGATGTTGATTTGGGCAGCGGAAACCACGAAACAGTTTCTTGGACTTGCGACTTTTCCTACGAGTACGTTCGCATCAACGCCGATTATCGCAGTTGAGAAGGGAGCGTCTGTGATGATGAAAAAACGAGTCTTGTCATGAGCGAATGATTCATATATACAACAAACTTTGTTTTCAAGCGGAACGTTTATGTATATCTCTCCCGTGTTTCCTGAACCCTTTTACTTGGACTTGCACATGTCGTTTCTGCTCTCCTGCTGCACAAAAGTGACCTTTACTACGTACTTGTGTTACAAAAGGAAAAAAATGGAATTTATTGTTAAAAGCTAAAGCTTGGATGAGAGGGTGAGCGAGCGTATGTGTAGAGTGAAAGGGTGTAAAAGGGTAACACAGGGTCCGTTGCCGAGTTCATTCGTTGGTATACCAACTTACTCGGGAGGTTCCTGCAAGGGCAGCTCTGTCGAGGTAGCCAAGTTTGCGTCGTGGTCGAAGTCGTCGTGATCATGATCATCATTAGAAGCAGGCGCTGTTGCCGTGGCAGAAGCTGTTGACCGAGTAGCTGTGGCAGCTGTTGACGAAGAAGAGGTAGAAGAAAGGTTGGGTTCGTTGTTTGTGCTGCTACTGCTGTCGTTTGCGGGTCCACGTTGGCGATCCGATGTTGATGCCGCTGCGTTGGGATCCACAGGAGCACGGCAGACAGCACATGTACCATTCACACGAAGCCAGGGCTTAATGCACTGCTCGTGGAAGTAGTGTTTGCATGGCAGCCGAACAACGTCGTCCCCAGTTTTAAAGTTTTCCAAGCACACCGTACACTCATATTCCTCGTCGACAAGGTTCTGAGGGACCTTCTCGACAGGGAGTTGTTCGATGACAGATTCGGGTGCAGGAGGAGGAGCATGTTGAGCTGAAGTCTGCTCCATAAGTTGTGAAATAATGTCGTCAAGACCACGAGCTCCCCAAACATAATCGCCAGGATTTCCAGCGAGATTAAACAGCTCACCGAATACGGTGGCCGGATTAAAACCTTGACCATTTGCTGGTTGTGCTCCCAGGGATCCAAAAATACGCTCAAGCGTTGTTCCTAGATCAGCAATAGGAATAGGTCCTTCAGCACCAGTACCATCCGTTCCTGGAGCAAGTGGAAAAGGAAGGTTAGAAGAGCTGATTTGTTGCATGGTTCCGTTAGGACCCATGGCGAATACAAAGCTCTGTGCTGTCGCAAACGGACGATTCGGTTGCTCCTCACGAGGGCCGTTTTGTTCACCGGCGTGAGTCTGACCTTCGCTGTTGTCGCCAGGAGCGGCGTTTGCAGCAGCTGTGTCCATGGCTCTGTCAGGAGATGATTCTGCTGTAGTGAATGCTGTTGAGGATTGCGGTGAGACGTCACCATGGGCAGCAGTAGGAGCAGTATTTGTATTTTCCGTCTGCATGTCTGTCGTTCCCTGCTGGGTCGGTGGAGCTCCGTCGGTTTCATTTTCGTTGCTTCTACCGAGTGCACCTCCAAATAGAGCTCGGAGAAAGCCTTGAGCTTGCTGTTGGAACGACTCAACGGGAATACTGTTGCTGCCTTCAGGGCCATTGTTGTGATCAAGAGTAGGGGCAGCAGTCTCTCCGTTTTGCGACTGAGTACCATTTTCACGTTCTTGTCCCTCACCGTTTCCAGGGGGAGGGAATGTGAATGTTTGTACAGATCCAGGACGCAAAAACTGGAAAAATGCCTGGAACGGATTTGGACCGGCCTGTTCGTCTCCTTCGCCGGGAACAAAGTTTCTGGGATCGTTTTCTGGCGTCGTATTGTTGTCGATCTATGAACAAAAGGTGTCAGCACTCCATTAATTTTTTACATACAACAGCTGCAAACAGCCCGACAGTTGTCACCGGTCTTAGGACATGCATGACAATACACCTCCTTCAAAGTTCTGCTGCGGTTTCTTACCATTTCAATAAAGTCACTGCCACATCGTGGACACGTTTCTCCTCCAGAATACTCATTGGAACATGCGTGACAATACCAAAGAGTGTTTTGCGATTCCATCGTGACCAACAAAATCCCGTTCGATTTATTCGCGTTCCAGTTGTCGTATCTTCCGCGGAACAAGGACGTGTTTTAGGCAAACGTGGAAATGGTTTGTATGTCTGACCGGAAGGTTTGTCAAGTGTGCGCCTACTGCAACCTCGGTGATGCTGCTTTGCGTTTGGGCGTAGTTGTTGAACTCACCACTCCGTAATAGTGCACTGTAGATCATCGTCGATTTGTACGGAAGCTTTGGGGATTTACATGGAAGCGGTGTGATCTGCGCAATCGATGCGAGTATGCAGATCAAGTTGCGTTTGGTTTTGTAGATCATTTACATTTGCTGTCGATCACTTGTCTCTCGCTTAATTAACCTTATGAAATATGATGTCACTGACTCCAAGAATCGCACACCCGCCATACAAGACACGCTCTTTTCCCTCTCTTTGAGCTTAAATGAAAACGCGCAACGCGTGAAAAAGTTTATTCATTAGTTACTAACAAATAACCTTCGAAACGGTTTGTAGGAGCCTCAACCGTTGTTTTGAGGTGGTACAAGTTGTGAAGAAAACAAAACCACAGCTCAAATCCAAAAGGAGCGTTCACCGAATTTGGGTTTTGGTGACGAGCACGAAGGAGAACGAAGAGACGAGAGACACGCGAACGATCGAGCGATGTGTTCAGATTAAAGGTGTATGTACATGACCGTGTCTCCCGCAACTTTCTTAATCTCGCGTCTACCATTCCCGGACCAATTGCAAAATTCGGTGAACCCAGCTGCTAATTAGCAAACCACAGGTAGCGGTTGCACACGCGACCATTCCAAGACCCAGGGCCGCGTCCGACTCGTGTTGACAAGCAACTTTTTCGTGCAGAGCACGAGCCTCTTTGTCGTTGGGATCATTGTTTAGGAGCGTTTCCGTGCAGTGCTCAGCATCCTCAAAGCGATTCATGTTCGCATATCCTTGTGCCATCTGATAAACGCAATCGCGATGACGCGCTGCATCAACGGTCATGCATTTCCTCAGCAAGCGGATTCCGTGCTCGATATCGGCAATGCACTTGGCAGAGACAAGAGACATTCCGTAGAGATACATAATATCGGCACTGGGATCAGGCAGTTCCGCCTCGAACTGGGCCGAGAGCGTCACAGTAGGCTTTGAGCTGGAAGAAGACATCGAGACGATGGAGAATGCTCTTTGCTGCTACCAATTCTTGCCGAGAAGGCTTTTGGTGGTAATCCTACAAACGTTACAATCAGTACAAGCTGTTTCCTTTGGACACAATGGTTGGTTGATGGCAGGTTTCTGGACAGTAAACGCGCTGCTTTTATACTTTCATTTAAAAAAAAGGTACGCGTCGTGGGATTCGAACCGGAAGCTCACATTCATGACGTAGGAAAGGCGTCACGCGTACAGTTCGTTAATGAAATAGTGTACACGTAAACAAAAGGCCGCGCGGTCAAGAAGCAGACGAAACGCAGAACCGTTTTCGCAATGACAGAATTCACGACATATCGCTATTTGCTACCGAGACCTTTGTCTATTTAGACGGCTCCCCCGCCCTCCTTCGAATAAAACAGATATTATTATTATTATTAAGATCTCGTGTACAAAAAGTGTACAAACTCGCACAAACAATCAATCAAACCAAATTATTTTTTTTGTTCGAATTCATTCATAGCTTACACTTCCTTCGAAACCTTGCAAGTCCAGTGACCGGTTTCGGAAGACAAAAGTGGAAGACTGGCTCCGAGACACCATCCAAGTTCCATTCCGTTGATCTTCTTGGCAGTGTGAAGCTCGCGACGGTTAGGAATATCGTAACCAGTGGCTAGCAGTGTAATCATGTAGTTCAAATCCAAACACCATTCTGGTTCATCCGTCAGTGCGTCGACAGCTCCAACAACGTTGGAGAAGAGCGACCATGCCTGAGGACCACGACACACCTGGTCGGCAAGATCCTTCATCTCTTCAATCGTGAAGGTGCTTGGCATGCCAATGTCGACCATTCGGTCGTAAAAGTAACTAATCAAGAAGATCTTGTCGTTCAAAAATGTTTCCCGGAAACGGGGTTGATGAACACCGTTGAAGGAACAAGGGAACAGCGAACAGTGCTCATCCTTGTTCAAAATTTTCTCCGTGTAAGCACGGCATTGCAAAGCTGCAGGGACGAAGGGAGGTCCGTGGAAAACAACGTCTTGTGCCAAAGTATCGTCGGAGGCCGGGGGGAGCGAAAGCGTAATGTTCGTGTCGACGGGCAAGCAAGGATGGAGCATCGAGTCGGGTTTCGGTTCCACATTGTAAGCATCGACAATCTCCTTATGCACAGCCTTGCGCGCTTCCTTCAAACCATAGCCCAAGTGAGAGTGCTGGTACAGTGTGTAACGGTCACCGTTGTAATCGAGAACGTAGCGATGGTCACCCTCAGCAAGCGTTTCGGAAGGGCTCGAGTACTTTGGCTCAAACACAACTTGTGTCGAAGCACCACCGAGATCCATTACGGCGACAGTGGAATGGAAGGGCTTGACGTTCAGGTTGCCAAGAAGATAGTTGATGGTGATCCAGGCGTATACGCCCTCCATCGAACCGTCCATAATCTCGACACCGCCTTTCTCAACCACTGGGAAAGGATAGTCTCGTTCCAAGTGCTGATGAACTTTGTCGAGAATGGCCTTGGCCTTCGCCGGGCCAGTAAGACGCAGACCAGCAGTGGCCTTGACAGCAATAGGAGAGCACGACTGGTACTCTTTGGGAACATGTTCCATTGCGTAGTCCAACAACTCGTCCAACGAGCGAGCACCAGCATCCGGATCATCGGCATACGATGACAAACCGGGCTCGGACATCTTGAAGAATTCATCATCGAGTACGGGGGAGGGATTACAGTTGTTGAACTTGTATACATGAACACGGGAACCCGTGGAACCCGCATCAATCATGACCACGTACTGAAACACACTCTTGCTTTCATCGTACGCGACTGTGCACGAGGTGAGAAGTTCACTTGTGCTCTTTTCATTTGCGTCTGTCTGACTAGACTCAGTAGTGGACTCGTCGACGGTACTGGTCAAGTCTTGCTGCGTCCATAAGTCTGTTTTGTCCAGAGACGCGAAATTAGAGGAAGAGTTTAATTGAGGAACATGAAACCATAGTACAAGAAAAAGAGCAGCGGCAACTACTGTGAATAGAAGAGCCCTAGGACGCGCCATGGCTAAAACAAAAAGGAGATGTAGCGATAAAACGCCGACCACTTACAGGTTCGCCGAAGGATTTGAAAGAGTGAACAAACTACTGCAAGAAGCAATTGACGGGTGCAAGTCGAAAATAGGTGCAGGAATTACAAAGATTAGTCGATTTACGAGAAGAGAACGGCTCGTAAACAGCTCAATGGAAAGAGAGACTGGGCTAGGCGGACTGGCGTTGTAGTTGGTAGAGGACAAGTTATGTGAAGGCGAAAGCCGAATTAAGGTCACCGCCACGTCGTTGCAGATCACACGTGGCAATGTCACGTGAAACTTTAAATGCTAAGAGCCGAATATCAGTATTCGATGGATTTAATTGTGAGAAACGAAAACAGCAATAATCGGCGCAGGTGATGAAAATGAACGAGACCGTAGTGATGCCCATTCCCAACTGTATCTTCGCCGCATACTAGCCAATTCTCTCAATCACGCTATCCGTCTTGTCTCTCTTCCGGCTCCCACTCCCGTTTGGTAGCACATTCATCATATTCACATTTAACTAGCATTCTTCATAGCACGGAGCTTAGCCATAGTATCGACACGGTTGTTGGTTTTCGTAGCAGCCCGAACGTCAGCGTTACTCAACTGAAAGAATGGGTTGAACTTCTTCTCGTCGCCAATGGTGAATTGGCCGGTGGTAGACTCGTGAGACTTACAAAACTCAACGAGTTTCGTCAGTGCGGGTGTGCTAAACACCTTGGAGGCAAACGCCGCATTTGACTTGGTGTATTCATGACCGGGGTACGTGACGGTGTCGTCAGGAAGTGAGCCAAGCACAGTGTTCAAAGCATGATCCATCTCATCCGCTTCTCCCTCGAAGAAACGACCACAGCCGGCGGTGAAGAGGGTGTCTCCCGTGAACACAGCACGCTTCTCGGGCGAGTCTACATAGTAACAGATGCTGTCTCGAGTGTGGCAAGGAGTGTGCAGAGCGGTAACCTTCACATCTCCAATCTGAATAACCTCATGGTCCTTGGGAACATGTGACACTTGGCTTACGTTTTGTCCGCCGTAAACCGTAAGGTTCGGGAATTGCTTCAGCAGCTCACGGTTTCCACCGGCATGGTCTGAATGATGATGGGTGGTAATGATGGCCTTGAGATCAATCTCTTTGTTGGCAATGGCATTCTTAAGAATTGGAATAACGCTGGACATGGTTAGTAAGCAAATTTCCAAATGGCTCTACACGGTTTCGTGTGTTGTTCTGTAAATAGCATACGAGGAGGGCTCGGCAGGGTCGACGATGGCTGCAGCCTTGGTTTTATCGCAGGTGAGAAGGTAAGCATAGTTGTCGCCCGAGCCTTTCCACATCCAAATGGGTTTTATGTGAAAGGACGACATGGCTTTTTGGCAAAGATTTGTACAATATCTGACGGTATACAACACACTGGGCAACGGTACAAGCTCAAGGTCACCAGGAAGAAAATACTCCTAACTCCTTGACTAAGTTGGTGGTAGTTGAGAGGACGGTGCAGATCAAATTATACCACACAAGCCCAGCCGCCCATTAAATTGTGTTGCTAGAGCGATCTGGTAAACGGCGGCGAAAATCATCTTACCAGACATAACGTAAACACTCGTTCGAGCTGGCGTCGTAATTATTAGACCAGTTTGACCAGTTCGTCACCATGAACAACAACAGCAACAACTGAGCCGGGAACCAACAAAAAGAAAAGATATGTCTTAGGATTTAGCAATTTGTGTGCACGGGAAATCCAAAAAGAAGAAGAAAAAAAACGATTTTTTACCAAAAAGGACATTTGTAAAGGTGTATACGGACAAAACAATGCAAAGAGTGTGGGTTGGATTGAGCGTAGGAAGCACAATGAAAAGGTCTTCTCTGAGTAACATGCATCAAAGAAGCCCTTTTTTTTTGTAGATGGTATGAAAAGACAAAGACCGAGTTGCTACTCCTTTACCGCAGACGTGAGCGTTGAACTTGAGCCATGATTGCTTCCGTTAAAGAGGAGGAAGGCTTTAAGGAGCTTTGTGATGCTGTGTACGGGAGTGTTGCCTGAAGGGAACGTGTATGGAAACGACGAATGGATTTGTCGGCATCCAAAAGTGCTTTCGCTTCGTTTACCTTGCTAGCAACAAAGGGACTTCCTCCACGGTCAGGGTGATTGGACAACATGATGCGTCTGTGAGAGTCTTTAATTTTTTGACGTGATAAGGAACGTTCATTCAAAGCCAGAATTTGGACGGCTTCGTGACGCGACATTTTAGATTCAAAACCACCTTTAATGAAACCCTTTACCGGAGCCAATCCCCTGTACTTTCTAAAGGAGTCAAGACCAATTTTTCCCTAACTTATTAGCTGTCGGTTACTACAGGAAAAGCAATCCTTTTAATCCACATACAACGACGGCCAGAGACGCGACTCCCAATCCAAGAATAACAGAACTAGTCTAGTTCGTTTTGTTAGCATCGTAAATACCGCATGCACATACCATTTTAGGGCAGAATCCAGCGAATGGTTGAAAAAGAGTTTGTGTAATGGCGAAGGACAGAACGCTAGGCGCGTCCCTGGCGAGCTTATTCTGTTGTGGGGGCGGTGGGGTCTAAGAGGGGGGCATGTGGGTGATGCTGAATACAAGAATGACATTAATGGATGAGAATGCATACCTATGAATGGGCAGCAGTAGTTTTGGTGTATCGTTTTGTTTCATTAAGGTAATTCTATATTCCGAAATCGTTTCGCTAATTAAAGTGTCACCGTCGCAATTGGCCGAGTGCCTGTTGAACAAATCGACTTTCAGGCGCTTCCTGCAACCGATCAAGCATGTCCTTTAGAAGATTCGTATTTTTTGCCTTCGTAGCTTCTTCACTTGCGTGTTTGACATCACCGACAAGCATCCACATTTCAGCACGCTCCTCCGCTGAGACCTCCGTGCACCGAGGAATGTATTTGGCAGCTTCCTTCTTGTTTCCTGCTGCATAGATCTCATAAAAGAAAGCCTTAAACCCAATTGGTGATTTGCGGAGGGAGGCCGCCCATTGCTCTAATTGCACCCAGTCACGGATTGCCAGTAGTGCCCGAAGTTTCAACCATGCAAATCGCTTTTCAGGAATCTGAAACTCGCTTTTCACTTTAAGCGCGCGTTGCTCTTGATTCATTTCAATTAATTTGAAAACAAAGGCACTCACAGTCAACCCGATAAATTGTTCCTGATACAAGTTCTCGCATTCTTCCTCCAGACGATACAGACGGATTTGCTCATCAAGACACTAAAGTCGTTAGCACGGCGGACGAGCATGACAGGTGCAGTTTGCTAAACTCAAACTCAACACATACAGTTCCCTCAACAGTAAACAGCTTATTATCGTGACAAAGCTTTGAAGCCACCTTGAGCTTTGTAAGCTTCTGATTAAATTCCTAAAAAGAGTTAGCATCTCATTTCTTTTTCAAAAAACCTCACCTTTTGCAGAAAAGCGTCTTCCATAGCAAGATTAATGATGCCCTTTTTGTCGTCATCCTGATAATAATAGTCGTGCAGTTTGTCACGCTCATTAACAGAAGCGTATGATTTAAACACGTCTGCTGCTGTGGGATACTTGTTTAGCATTCGGAAGAAATCTGCAATGGAAACCTGGCGTCGAACACGTAAAAGCACATATAATACTAAATGGGGACAAGGGTGAGTCTGTGAACATCGATATAGCGTTTAGCTTTTGCCGGTGTACTTACTGACGTTGTAATCGAATGTCTCCACTGCACGCTCGAGCGCTTGTTCATAAGCATTCATGTCTAGTAAAAGCATCACTTGATGTCTTGCCAGAGGTTCATGACTGAGTAACTAAATATGGTGAGCGAAGAATTAAAATGATGCCACATACCTTGGTAGAGAGAACAATTCGACCTTCTTCATAGGCAGTTCTTGCCAGACTCTCATAAGAAATATATTCGCAAGATGAAAGACGATTGACGATTGCATCGAGCATCACTTCCTCTGGCTCATGTGAGGATTTAATGTACCTTTGAGCCCAGACCAAGTAAACCCAATCACACGGTGCCTTCATCCAACGGGATATATGAACAGCCAGAGCGTAATGGCCACGAGCGGCTAATTTATCGGTTACAGCCTCTAGGCCAATACTTGCGTATTCGCAAGCAGTAATGTAAATAGCTATATCCGGTTTCCGAAGAGCATTAAGAACACGAAGGTCCTGACAAACCTGTACGTAGTTTTGGCGATCATAGTTCGCACAGTTTTCTACGCCAAGGTATGCAGCCTCCAGGAGCGCATTCTGCCATTCAACACTATGTTCGTCGACAGCAGCATCCACACAATCTTTCACAGCATCCTCAAGTTGTTTGCCTAATTGTAGAAGTAATGCTTCGCCATGAATGTTTTTCTGCTTAAGCAGCTGAGACGCTTCAATTAACTTTGCACCGGGACTTGTGGATCCCACGCGAAATAGTTTAAAAAGTGAGTCGGGAACTTTCCGTACGAGCTCTGTTCGAGATTGAGATATTAGCCGAAGACCGTCAAGTTCAGATATTGCAAATGGTGTTTCTTCAAGCAAGAACGGCACCGATCCTCCAAAAGGACCAACAAGAGTCAAGAGGTTGTAATGAATTAAAGCGATGGAATCGTTGCCGCACCATAAAAGTTGTCGAAGAGAACCAGAAGCCAGAACATCAGGCAGTTTGTGCGCAACTAGTTGTTTGTACATACCAGTGCTAAACGCATATACAGTTTCCGTTGAAGTATAAGCAGCCACATAATGATTATTAGGCGACACGGCCAAGGCAATTATGTCTCCATCAGTATCCACTCCGAAGGTTTGATACGCTTGCTCGTCAATCACTATAAAGCGACCTTCGTTGTACAACAGGATATCCATTTGTTGGTCCATTGATTGTGAAGGCATGAGTTCCCATAATGGAAGCTTCACCTGCGCAAAATCTTGCGTGTCATCATGGTACAGCACTTTCCGTCTTGGTTCAGAGTAATTTGTAATAGATAGAAATATGCCGCCGTTTAATCGAGCAACGAAACCGGAAGGCCAAAACTTGCACTCTGACAAACCCTTGTTTTCCGCTTCCTTTCCAAGTGAGAACTGATGAAAATCACCCTGCATATCGTAGACGCGTGCAAAACCATTACGAGAAACGATGACCAACTTTTCATCCTTGGTCCAACCAAGTCCAACAACAGAAACCTTGTCCCACTAAGACCAGTTAGTAGATGTTCTTCCTAGACTAGAGGACTGCCATTCTCTGTTGTCGTACCGTAATCTTCGTCAAGAGTTTTCCACTTTGTGAGAATATGTAAATGGAGTACAACTCAACCTTCTCTATATTCATATAACTTTTCAAATTCGTCTCATCCTTTGTTATAGCTGTCCGTCGTTAGCATTCGACGTACAACGTAATAGAGCACATGAGTCGTGAAGTAATAAAATAACAATAAAAGCATACCAATTGCTCCGCCGTTAGGAGAAACAGCGGTCATCAACTCCGTTGGATCAATTCCATCCCATTGAAGTGTATAGAGAGGAGTCTTAACTGTGTCAACAATGTGTTGTTTCTGTTTCTGATATGTACCTTGTGATAAAATGCATCATGCAATTGCTCCCATTCTGGACGAAATGTTACAAGTCTATCCATAAAAAACATCCATTACAAACCTATTACAGAATACAAACGACTCATATTTGTTTAAATCGTCATAAAAAACGAGGAAAATGGGGTTCTCAAGGATGGTAGTAGGCAGCTAGGTAGCTAGTTCATCATGGGAGAAAGGATGCTCAGAAACATGAATTGAAGCTTGATACATTGAAAAGACCACCGATGGATCTGCTTTTAGAGGTAAATTGTTCTTCGTACTATCCTCCCACGTTGCGGTCCTGCTGCTTATATCATCATTTGTATTCCTTCTCATTACAAAACTACAGACACTAGTCTATCAATTTTTACATTTTTCAGCACCCAAAGGGCTACGTTGTGCACTATAATGCACTTGCGTCGCTACCGGGGTTGTGATTGCTGGGAAGCCAGAGAACTAGCTGCGAGCCAGCGGTAGCTAGCTGTAAATAGCGAGGATTGAACTTAACAATGGAAGGCTTCACTGCTGATTGTGATTCGATGTACGACTCTGGCGTAATCATCTTTTTGCGATGAGATGAGGACATGTGTTTGAGATTCCAAATGTTGAGTCTCCGGTCACCGACGGTGCCGATAACATAAGGGTCTTGAGGAGTGAAACAAACGTTTCCACACCAGCTAGTACTGGGATCTACATAGTCCGGAGGGTTTTCAAGCCGGACAATGATGTCTCCAGTGTATGCGTCTAGTACATAATGAAGCGAGGTTTTCGTAGCTAGTAAAATGAACTTGCCATCATTTGAAAACTCAATATGCCGCCATTCCGGCATCCGAGGAGGAAACGAAAAGCGGGAGAGGTATCTGTCATCGGTAATGGTAAAGGTGGAAAAGGGTTCCTTGTCGTAGTTTCGCACATCATACAGATAAATTGTTGAAAGCTCATAACAAGCGACGGCGAACACTAAGCCAGTGGGATCGTATGCAATAATGCCCGTACCAGGCAGTGACAAAGAGCCCAGTGCCCCTGAGCCCCTCTGTAAGTCCCAGAGTTTGACGGTTTTGTCGAGTCCAGTGGAAAGGAACTGGTCTTCCACCGGTGACAATTGGATATCAGTAACGGTAGCCTTGTGGCCACTAAACATCGAGATGTAAGTGTCATCATGTGTTGAAAAGTAACGTATACTGTGGTCTGAACGAGGACTCGAATGAAGCAAATTGTTTGAATGATGTGTAAATTTTGCAACCGAGACTCCGTGATTTTTACACGAAATCTTCGTTGGAGGTGCACCAGACTTTAAGCACTGGTAAATGTGCATAGTACCATCTGTGTCGCATCCTGTAACGAGCAATTCACCCGTGTCATTATAGTCTACACATGAAATTGTTGATTGGAGTGAGTTGTCACGCAAAATTTGGGATGGACGAAACGAGGACAGAACAGGAGTTTCCATCCTGGTTTATACACGCGTTGATTGTTAAAACACGCTGTAAGAAGCAACACAGAGGCGAAAGTGACCGGGTTTTGTTTTGTGAATCTTCTCGTAGGTAGTACTAACTTGGGAGAATTAAGGTTACGAAACGCGACAAGACACGCGACGCGAATTGTATTAAAGTTGAAATGAAAAACGCGACGCGAAAATAAACACAGAAACACAGAAACACAAAAAGGCCATTGCTGCAAAAACAGTAACAATGGAATAGGAACATAAGCGCAACATATAGATATGTCTAAAACGAATGTGTGATGTTGTATTTTATTCCTGTAAGACACTCTTTTTCGCCGTTTTGTCTTCTTCCCATAAAGGTAGTTTTTATGAACAAGCAAAAGAGATTATGATTAAGTCAGTAGCACAACATTACGAGCAGGACAAAATGCTACAAGAAAGGACATAATGTAAGCACAGACAAATGCTAGCGAAGTTTAGTCAGGCATTGCTGCCAAATAGCAACCAGCAAAGTTCGCAGGGTTCGTAGGGATGGATTTGAATCCAAACAAAAAGGGAGTTGTTACGACAGGCGCCATGAGTTGTGAGGTGCGAGGTTTATAAGTGCGGAGGATTGACAAGAGATAACGTGTGCGCGGTTTCGTGTGCACACGGTGCATGCCCATGTAGTCAGCTCACTTCCATATCTCTTGAGAATTATAGAGAGCAGAGTCGTATGGATAGGAAGACATTCCCATGTTTGACTGTGGCGAACCACGAGCGGATGCAGATGTAGAATTTGGCATGGTAGCAGCCGACGTGCCTGTTGCACTGTGAAGTGGCATGCGCCATTTGTCTGCAACAAAAGCGTTTTGTGTGGTTGAAGGGAACGCTGAGCTGGGACGACTTGGGAGGTTGTTTGAGTTGGTAGTGTTAAATCCAGCGCTCAAGCTGGAGGCAGCAAACGCCGTTGCTGCTGCCGTTCCTACCGAGGATTGGGGTTTGGGAGCCGCATAAAGAGACAAAATGGAAGACTTGAGGTCATTTTGCTTGTTAGAGGCGGGCGGTGCCGAAGCAGAAGGCATGATGGTATGCGATGCAGTAGTATGAAGTCCCTTGCCAGTGTTTGTGGTTTCAAAACCATGTTTCGTATCACGCACAGAAGAAGTCTCAAGCAAGGCAGAAGTAGCCGGACGTGCGGACGGGATTGGAACGAGCGGGGCCTGTGAGAGCCTGGTAGATAAGTTTGGGCGAATGCTGCTCAGAGGAGAAACGTTTGCAACTTCTTCCTCTGGCACATTCAAAGTGGTGGGGTCAGGAACAACGGGACTAAGTGCCCATTTTTTAAATTCGTACTTTGTACGAATAAAGGAAGCAATTTTACTATGAGGATTGTCTTAGTATTGAGTGGATGTAGTGGAATCGGCGAGTCCAAAAGGTCGGAAAGCAGCGAAGCTCTCTCCGTTCCAAAGAAATACATACCTGTCAGAGGGCACATGACCATCAGAGAGTTTTGCTTCCCAGTATCTAGACAGATGTTAGAGAGGAATTAGAGAGAGCGAGATGGAGAGAGGGAGAGAGCAAGGGGCGTTCATCGACCTATGAACTGAGAGAGAGAAATGTCAGGCAGGTCACAGAGAACATTCATAGGCACCTCCTGTCATATTTGGTCTGTGTCATTCCTATTCATTCCTATCCATCCCAGTCCAGGCTAGTTCGGTGCAGTCCGGTCCATCCGTCTCTCGTTTCTTCTTTGTCCACCTCGCTTGTCATCACTATACTCACTTGTTGGCTCGGGCATTGCCCCATCTTTTGATCTGTGCGGTTTGTTCGTCCGTCCAAGAATCCAAATCCACCGATTTCACTATTTCTGTCAGCAAACCAGGCACCAATATCGACTTTTGTACGAACCCCGGCTGATGTGGACACCAAGACTGCGGTGAATTCCCGAGCAACTGTTGCTTGTTAACACAATTATTACTATAGAAACAGAAAAATCACAGAAATTACGCGTGCGCGTCCTACCGAATACAAATAAAAACGCCCAAGTTCCAGCTGGCCCAACGCGGTTGTTCATTGCTTTTGCAATCAGCACACTGTTTGTTGCAAGGCTGCCGAAGCAGAGATTTCAGAACCTGTGCATTCTTCTCAGCATTGGACTTGGAATGGGCAGCAGACATTGGGACGAAGCGTTGCGTTGCTTGCTTTTGGTAAAAGTGGTTTCGCTAGAGAGCAGGGGGAAATGCAGAGAAATGGGAGCAGGTACGATTCGAACGAGGGGTGGTGGTTAGCGAGGCGTTATACGACTGGACTACGAGATGGAGAGGGTAGGGGGTACGCGGGGGAGAGCGGAGGGGGTGAGCGGAGAAGGATATCGGGAGGAGGACTAGAGTATGGGAATATGCTGGGTACGAGGAAGGGTAGTAGTTATTATTGAAGGTACTCACAGAACTCTTATAGACTAATATAACTCATAGGATTCATTGACACAGTTTTGCTACAGTAAAGAACCATTTTTTGTCCCAGTGGTTCGGTTCGAGCATATACATTATCATTTGTAGCCTACAATTTACAATTAAAGAATGTCCGAGACGACGAAAAAGAAATTAGCAAAAAAGATGGGCGAGGAACATGCGTCCCTAGAACCACCTTCATGACACAAACACCAGCAGCGTTTCTAAGGGAAGAGTTGTGGTTGAACTAAGCGCGTCGTTTGCTTATTTTTTCATCGTGCTTGCCAGGGTGCAATTTTGGGCACGGAAAAGGAAACGAAATGAAAACGGGAAGCGAGGGGTTGGTTACAAAGCCGATCAATCACTGACGAGGTCGTTCATGTCATCCTCATCATTTCCTTCTTCCTTTCCCTCTTCATTCTCGTCGTCATTGGCATTCTCACGGAACGTGAGGTGTCGCTCATAAAACTCGAGCATCTGGGAATTCGTTAGCAAAAGGACACACGCGAACAAATTCATACCTTTTGAGGACATTTTTTGTTCGTGATGCGACTGTCGTGGTGAGAGATAGCACCGTTTTTCCTACATTGAATGTTAGCATTGTGAGGACGGGACGGAAAAACAGCACTTTGTGAGCCTAAAAAAGCGCAGTTCCCCGTCTGCAAAGCTGCCATTGTGCATACCATGTAAGGTAAATCTGGAGCGAGCCATCGTTGCGGCGCTCGATGGTGTCAATACTACTAATTAGGTCTTCCCATGAGTCCATCGCCTCCAACTTGTCCAAACTAAGTTGTTCGTCTGTAGGCAGCTCTGGTGCTTCATCCTCCTCTCCGCTTTCGATAGCCTCAACGGTTTTGCTCTCGCGTCTCTTTGATTTGCGAGTGGACTTTGTTTTCTTCGTTGTCACTTCCGCAGTGTCTGATTCTTGGCCTAAACCGATTAGTATGTGAGATACGGCGGGAAATGAATTTTGAACAGTGCACGCAGCACTGCACTTAAAGTTCCATACTTTCAACTTCCTCCTTTTCTTCCTCCTCAGCCTCAAATTCAGTGTCCTCCTCCTCTTCAGAGACGGCCTTTTTACGGGGTCTGCCGGGACGACGCTTAGTAGCGGTTTTTTCAGCGCTCTTTGCGGCGGCACGAGACTTTTTAGAAACGGGAACATCCTCTTCGTCCGAGGGTTCAATGTCAGCATCAGCTTGTTTTGCGGTTGAGCGGGTGGCCGTGCCCTCGTCGCCAGAGGCAGCCTTTGAAGCCGTACGCTGGCTCGTACGGCGACTTTTTGGTGCAGGTTGTTCGGCGGCATCACTGTCAGTTTTTCTGGTCGTCCGTTTTCTCGTGCGTTTCTCAGGACGACCACCGTGTTCGGCCCAGTAGTTCTCGATGAGCTCCTTGCAACCACTGTTCGTGTGAGTATATGTGTGTGGGAAATGTAAAGAAAGGCGAGAGGAATTTCCTTCGTTTCTTTGAACTCGAAAACAGGTTCTCTCCCTTCGTTGTCATCAAACTTACGTGCAATCGGCTTCTGAGCTCCACGTGTTATCTTCGGGCTTGTCGTAGCCCTCCCATTTCAACAGATACCAAAACACACCTCTCTGTCACAGTAATTAGTATGATGTTTGACGTTGAACAAGGGTCCAACGAGAGGATTGCCCTGAACAAGATGCAAAGACGGACACGAATCGGCGTATAAACATGTCTCAACACGACGACGTCCGCTTTAAGCCACCAGGACCCTCTTTTCGCACACTCACCTTTACACGGTGATCCAAAATCTTTTCGACGACGTATTCCTCTTCACCTTCGTCGTTGTCGTTTGAATCTTCCGATTCAGCGTCCTTGTTCTCGGCGTTTTCGTCATCAGGTGCGTTGTCCTTGGGCTCTTTCTCATCATCAAGCTCGTGGTCAGAGATTTTTTCGTAAACTTCTGAATCCGAGGACGAGGCCTCCTGGTCTTGGTTTTTCTTGCTTCCGGAGAGGCTAGATCGCGTTCCGGAAGACCGTTTATACGTTCTCGTAGTGTTTCCCATTGCAACGTGCGCAGAATGTCTGTGCAGGTGCTGCTTGAACTGTCGTAGGTGTGTTTCGATGCCGCCGAGTGTGCAAGTGGTACACGCAAGGCTGGTTATGGAATACGTCATAGCAAAGCTTAAAAACGCGTAAACAAATAAGGTCTTAATGAAAAACGCTGCGCGGTGGAAGAGGGAGCAAGTGAAGAAATTCTGTCTTTTGTTTGAATGAACATCATTTCAATCCACACTTTCTGTTTCTAAACAGTATGCGAGAGTGAACTCGCACTGAAAAGGTGAGGAAGCGGATATAGTGTTTTATTTATTATTATTATTATTTTTATTATTATTTTTTATTTTTATTTTTATTTTATTATTTTTAATTTTAGTATTATTATTATTATTTTTTATTTTATTTTTATTTTCAGTATCATTATTATTTTTCCTTTTAGACAGTTTCTATTCGTTCGTTTCTCATGTTAATTCGCCATATTCTCATAAAAACAAAATTAATAGCTGTCCTTTTTTCCGAGTTTGCCTTATTGGTTGTTGTTGTGAACTCATTTCTCTTCTTTTCATGGACCAAATAAACAAAAAAATCCAGAAAAATCAGAGAAAAATCAATATCACATCCTGATACGCAACAAACGGTGGTTTAACCGATTTAACCCTCGGACATTTCTATTTCGTTCCGCTTCCCGTATCCCACTTCCCACTTCTCCCTTACTACCTTTGTTCCATACTCTCTCCCTCTCTTTAGTAAGAATGACTCATTACACCCGGCGGAAGAAAGTCGTCGGCTACAGCACCCCGAGGATGAATTGCTAAAGGAGAGAAACCTACCCTCCGTACGTCCGCACGTCTCAACTGTCTCTACGAGACATCACTGATTGTGCCACATTTCGCATGACGACGACGGTCGCGAACTGCTACAATTCGTCGCCGTAGCAGGCGTCTACGACGTCTGGATCCTCTCGTTTTCCCGTCCAAATCACGTCGTTCTTCCTGCAATTCATTCGGCAGTTCCCTTCGTTCCTGCCCCACAGTCTTCCTCCACATTCTTGTCGCCAACTGCCGACACCTACCCCACATTCCCCCACTGCACCCCACAACTGCGACCGCGAGGAAGCCAGACATGAGGTGGGGATATTCAGAAATTGCCGTCAACGAAGCTTCCGTTCACCGTCTTCTCTAATCCGAGCTCACCCTAAAAAACAAAATATACACTCTTTTCGTCCACGTAAGACGTCAAGGACCTCGATTTTTGAGCTCTACGTGTTCTTATACACCCAATTCGCTTTTTTCCGGGAAAAAACGACCGCTGTCAAGGATCAGTGGCCAGCGACAAAAAAAGTCGCCGATTTCTCCACCCGTATACACGATTCGTCTCGAAGATTATCGTAACTAGGTTTAAAGGGCATCCATCCTTTTCCTCCTTGTGCCTTCCCAATTCACGCGCCTGTTTGTTGTTTAAAGCCTCGATTGCAGGAGTTCGTCTGCTTTCACGAGCTTTATCTTCCCCGTCCACACTCACACTCTTGCAACACTCTTCGAATAAGACTTAGTGTCCGTTCTTCCTTTTAGCGATTGTATGTGCTCGTTACAAATTTTGCAGATTAACGAGCAATGTCTTCAAAAGATGCAGGACGCCGGACAAAGTCATTTACGAGAACTGTGGCAAGTCGTTACTCATTGTTCCAGCTTTGTAGCCGCAGGTTACCGACTTGAAAATGCCCTGTGGCGCTTGTGGAACTCTGAGGCTTCATTACTGCTACAGAGAAAATCTCTCAAAACGGATCCAAGTTCAACTGCTTCCAGCAATGGCCAACGTACTTCCTCCCACTGTTCAGATACTCCTATGGATTCTCGTAGCATCCATCAGCACTCCTTTAACAAATTCATGGCCTTTTACGGCACTTTGGACGACGACGGCTCAGAACATTCACTGGCGTTTCCTAAAAAGCAACTCAACTTCTCCCTCCACAAAAATGCTTCTCCTCTGCGCAAAGACTCCAAAGGTCTGCTTTCTCAAGATGCGCTCGAAAAGAGCGTAGTGCCTTCCAAGAGTCGCATACCGTCTAAATCTTCAGCACCCCCAGCAACCATTGTCCCTTCCAACCATCAACAACATTCGGCACCCAAACGTCCTTCAGCATCTACGGCTCAAATGGAATCTCTCAATTCCTCCGTCAAGAAGGATGTTTGTAGTAGCAGTGTTCTTCCAAACGGTCGTATACATTTGAGTCGCCGCAAGACTGGACCTGCTGTTGCTTCGCAGTCGAGCGTCAAGGGAAACGCCAATGCTGGCTCTCTTCCACGTCGTTCTTCCAACGTGAGCCTTTCAGCGGGCAGACGTCAAGCTGCTCGTACACGCTCCTCTCACAACATTCGCCCTGCTCGTAGCAACTCCCCACAGAAGCATAACACACCGCCCGCAATTGTTCTGGAACCAAATGAAGTTATTTGCGGCTTTGAAGCTTCTGCATTCACTCGACCAAACAGTCATCTACCAAGGCTTCGTCCGTTAACACCTTTGGTCCCGACCAAATCTTCCATGGCCAGGCTTACGGAAAGAAGGCCAACGTCTAAGCAGGGTGCTACTTTAGCCGTGCCCACTCATTCTTCCTCTCCAGACAAGAAGCTGTCACACGTATCCGAACAACCTACTGTCAGCACGAATGGCCATCAGAAATGCGTACCTCCCGGTCATGAAGACGTTCCGCATAAAGGCATGTTCTACTTTCAGAACAGTGTTTCGGATGATGATGTTTCTGGGCATTCGCAATCTGTCGCACAAGATGCGAATACTGTCGACAACGTGGGTAATCCTAATGGCTTACGTGCTCACGAAACAAAGTCTCGTAATAAACAGTCTACAGACGCACCAAATGCTGCGCGCACTTCCGACAATGATGACGAATGGTCTTCTGACAGTGACAGTTTCGAGCCACATGTTTTCAGAAAAATAGATTCATCTCTCGAACGTCCAAGTCTACATTCACATAAAAGCATTCTCTCCGAACTACTAGGCTCTCACTCATACAAAGGCAGCAACGTTAAGCTTCCAGCTGAATTTAATGAAACAGAAATTAATATGGAAGACGATGCCGTTGCATCGTCTGACGATGAAGCTGATTTCGACAAGGATTTCCCTGCGATCCCGATGGTATCTAAACGTTCCTTTAATATTCAACACGAGACTTCGCCCGAAGCCGTACGTCGTCAAATGCTATCAACCGAGCTGTCTGAGAGTTTGAAACAGAGCCTGCTTTGGGACAAACAACAGAAGAAGAAGACCAGTTCCGCTTTCTTGAGTCGGCATCTCACAAGCGAAGTACCTCAACCTCAGGAGTTTACGGATTTCAATGGAAACCAAGTCTCGTCCATGAAATCGTTTTTTCAAGGAGACCCAGCATCCGTTTGGTAGAAGAATCGGACCTACAATGAACAAGCACAGTATTTCTTTTTAAACCGGTTTGTTGCTCGTTCATCTTTAAATTTCAAATTCATCTCTGCATCCGTCTCCCTTCCATTCTCATGCGTCTCCGATTTATGTTTCCCGATTTTTTTCCCATTACCATTTAACGTTCCCTTTCTTTAATGCAATGATGTTTTCCATTTCCTGTCAGTGACAATTTCTCTCGTCTTTATAGCTGCTAAGACAAAAAGTTTTGATTTGAATATTCTTCTTCTGCAAGAAGGCAATATAAAAACGAAGAAGGAGGGTTGTTTCACATTTTTTGTAACCAAAAATCATTTAAAAAAGATAATTTAACATTGTAAGTAATGAAAACCCAATTTTAATTTTTTTTCTATACCTAAATAATAGTAAGAAAATAGTATGTTTGAAAAAAACAATTTTCAACACATTTAGTGATAAATATGACCTTTCACAAGAAGCATTAGGAGATGCTTTTCGTCTGTAAACAATTCTCCTCTTCCCAATAACAAGCAATTCCTTAACATTTGTTGCAATTTCATTTTTTGCCTTCAGTACCAACAACTGGACTTGCCTTTCGCCTACCACATTTTCTTCATTTTCGACCAAAATGACAACAAAATGTATGGAATTCCAGGAAAACTACGTGTTCTAACTAAATCTAGCGACGTTGTCGAAAAAAATTGGCGATTTGTTTGATGTTCGCCCTACTGGTTTGTAATGGAAATTCTGCCAGCATGAATTGCTAACCTTGGCTGCAGAAAAGGACCCTGAAAGCTTGGACACGGCCTTTTCAGACGGAGAGTCATCGTCAGAAGAACAGAATAACGCTGGTACCGAGCATTATGTTGATGTTGGGTATGTCAAATGAGTGATATGGAATCGACATGAACGGATCGCTTTGGGAAGGTCAATTTCGTTGATAATTAGACTCGTTTGTGTCATGTACTGCACCAGAAGCTAACTATAATTTAGTCCTAGTGCTCTGAGACAAAAACAAGCACCTGCCTTGGACCCCAAATTCAAAGCCAAAAAAGTTTCACGTAAGGACGTGTTCAAAGATGAGAAAGAGGATAATGAAGAGGACGGTGAAAGTGAGGAGGGTCAGTCTGATGAGTCCGAAGACGAATTGGAGGAGGAATCTGTCAACTCTTTTAGCGAAAGCGAAGAGGCTTCTGAAGCAGAAGAAGAATCCGAGGTGGATTCTGAGTCAGAACCCGAGTCAGAATCCGAATCTACCGGCGACTCTACTATGGACAAGGTAAAAAAGCTACTCGAAAGCAAGCAGGAAGACCTCTCTCTTCAGCTGAAAGCGTCTGCCGTGGAGAACGTCAAAAAGGGAAAAGCATTAAAAGAGCAAATTCGTTTGTACAACCGGCTGCTTGACTCTCGAATTCGTCTGCAAAAGGGTTTTCTGGCCATTCGAAACGTTGATGTTACCAATGAAGACTCGAAACAGGAAACTGCAGATGCCAGAAGTGCCATCGTGAACATGTTACACACAACGATGAAGCTTCGCCGACAAATGCTGGAGGGTTGTGACGTCGATACATCAGCTTTGCGCAAACGCAAGTTTGATGCCGTAGACACCGATACTGTACTTGACAACATTCGTGCCCTGGACAGCAGTGCTTCCGATTGGAAGAATGAAGTACTGACCAAATGGTACAATCGCACCCAGCTTTCACAGAATGCAGGCAGCGGCAACAAGTTTAAAGCTTTGAACCAAGATGCCGTTACACAAATTGATCAAGCCATGCTGCGGAAAGACGAACTGGTCCAACGCACACGCATCGATCGTTCAGGACCTACGGTCAGCTCAGAACCAAACACAGAAATATTCGACGACACCGATTTCTACCAGTCGCTACTTCGCGACCTAATTAACTCTCGTATGGCTGATTCGACGACCGCCGAAGGTGTTCGTTGGGTGGCTACAAAGCGTCAAAAACAAAAGAAAGAAAACGTCGATACTAAGGCTAGCAAGGGTCGTAAGCTGCGATACCACGTTCATGAAAAGATTCGCAATGTATGTGAATTGAAGATTAGAGGGATGACAAAGAAGCCGAATGCGGGTCTTCAATGTCGCCGTTTATTATCTGTTCTTTATTCTTTTGCTAACTATACTAGTTTATGGTACCCATTGAGACTGGTTCATGGACCGACGAACAGAAGGAGTAAGTAATTGGCGCTTTTGAAGTGTACATCGGGTTTCATATTCGTTCCCATTACATGTTACCGCCTCAAGACACATTACATATCTTACTAACACAAACTTAGCGACCTGTTCAACAGTCTTTTGGGACAACAGGTGTTCTTAACAGAGCAGCCCGCAACGAATGAGGGTCTTGAGCAACAACAAGGTCAAGAGGAAGTTCTTGTTGATGCTGGCTTTAAGCTTTTTGGATAATTGGGTTTTATTAGATTTCTGTATATGCAATGTATGGTTTTGGTGTAATAGATAGGAGGACTCTGCAAGAGCTGGAAAGTAGGGCAATCGGAGGTGCCGACTTAGTCTTAGGATTTCAGCGTAATTTCTTGTAATTCAGAAGTCTGTTTGCGACCAAAGTTAATGACCGACTTTGACATTTAAAGCAGCTAGCTTCCTCCTGTTCGGCCAGCACTTCCTGCCTCGCCTTACCTCGACAAACCTCCTACTCCACCACCAGTTCACGCGACGCGTTTGTTTACGTCCATGCGACTGAACAAGTCCTGATTTGAAAATGGAGGCTTCCATTTCATACCTAAACTTGAGAGACTTCTCTAAAGTCCTGCTTGCGTTGTCAAAAATTGATGATGCTGTGCACTGGCAGATGAAACGGAATCAGGTTCGTCGTCCGTTGCAAAACCAAAGAGAGCTAACCAGGTGCTGGATGAACAGATTACATTGGCTGCATTGAATTCTTCAAAATCAGGATTTGCTACAGCCTGCTTGAGACAGGGTTTCTTCGAAAAGTATGTTTTCCGACCCGATCCTCTGCAGTTGACTGGTTTCGCCAACGAAACTATAGAGATTAAGACGCAGCTGCGACCTTTATTGGCCATCTTCAAAAACAAACTCTTTGAGTCCTCATCCCATCCTGCGAATGCCGTGGCTGCGAGCGTAGACGATGACACTGCCATGAAACGAAATGTTACTGTTGAACAAGCCAGTTTCAAGTTGGTGACCGGAAGACACAACTGCAATCTGACGGTAAAGTTGAGCTGTAAACATGGTACGCAGGAAGGATAACGAAACAGCACACACAGCTTCGTCTGTTCTAACTGGACACCATTAAATAGGTATAGTAAAAACGTTTCGCATCTCGTACGAACAGATCGAATCACCGCATGCCATGTTTGACAAGGCCAATTGTCACAATACATGGACAATCAATTCCAAAGTGCTTCGAGACTTAATCGAACATTTTGGACAGCGAACAGAGGAGCTGTACTTGGAAGCAGCAAATGATCGACTCCTGTTAACAAGTTTCACGGAAGAAGTGGTCCACAATAATGGTATGGTGCACAGCTCCACACACAACCTTTATGTTAACTCTGCTACGTGACAGACGTTCTAAAACAACCCACTCAAACAAGTGTGTCTATTGATGGCAAGGAATTCGAACATGTAGCACTCACTCAAGGTGTACCTATTGCCATGTCACTTCGGGAGTTTCGCGTATGTCACAGATTGTTTGACTCCGCTTCAAAGAGCTAACAAACCCGCTTAGGCAGCCGTAAGCTTGGCAGACGCACTCGGCGTAGACATTAATGCTTACTACAGCACCCCAAACAACCCGGCTCTGTTTGAAATCGTCAAAGGACCACAACAAGATGTTGTTGTGCAAATCATCGAGGCGACAATTGCTCCGCCAGACGTTAACTCAAAGGCAACCGCAGCAGCGGGAGCACCTACGGGCACAGGAGCACGCTGGTATCGTTCAGCGAGAACAGATGGCGTGTTGCAACAAGCAGCCACTTCAAGACTAACTTCCATGCTGTCAGTCCCGAGTCCTGCCAGACCCGAACTGAATGCCATAACAGCAGCAGCAGCAGAGCCTTTAGCAGCCGCCGACACCTCAATCACCTCTGCAGATATAGACGCTATGCCGGTGGAACCAGAGGCGAGTGTTAGTTGGCGTTCACAGGTATGTTTCAATGCTCCGCTCTTACGTACGTTTCCCTGCTAACATAACTCACCGGAGGAACAGTCCGACAACGCCGCTGAACCGCTATTTCAGTCTATTCTGTTCACCAATTCCGAGCAGCAGGGTTCAAACGACGAAAACAGAGGGAGCCAAGGCGGTGGTTCCATCTCTTACTACGTCGACGAAATGCCGAACGAAGAGGAACTTGAGGCATTCGCAGACGACATTGACCAAGACGAGGAGTTTGGGCCCACCCAGAGGCAAGACCTGCAAATTCACGGAATCTTCAGTCAAAGCACTCAACGATAAGAGAGCAAGAGCCAGAACAGCAGTAGTAATAGTTGTTAACGATTCAATTTCAAGTTTAACAGCGGGAGACGAAGCAAAACCATCAGTGTAAACAATTCACGGGTTCAAGAACAGTTTCAACACGAATTTCAGTTCCAAGTTTTAGTTACCGTCCCAGTCTGCTCAACGAAAATACACCACTGTGTTTGTAACCGAAAAAACCCAGAACCCATTACTAAAAAATCATACAGCCTAATGTACATGACTAAACCCCGAAACCAAACAGAAAGACAAGAGAAGACGGACAGGAAGCGAAGACACACTGCTACGGGCAGCGGCAAGGCAAAAGGGAACAATGATCAGGATGATGGACGATCGAACGGAAGAAGTACTGTAAACGTCGCTTGTGGAGACGGAGCGCCAAAAAAGAAAAAACGCGATCAACGAGAAGGGATATCTATGCCTGTTCCTTGATCAAGTCGTTGATGGCTTCAGCGCAAAAACCAGTGCGAGGAGCCTCAACGAGATGCTTAGCCTTACGCTCGATGATAGAACGCTTGGTAGCCGTCAATTTGAAAGGTCGCAAGAAAGTGTTAATTTGTTTGAAATGAGATCCAAGGTTAAAGATTTCGTGAATCACATCCTCCAAAGACACGACGTCAAACTTGCCAAGGGCCTCTTCAACGATAGCGTTGTCGGAAAGAGCAACGTTCTTTCCTCCAACCTTTCCGTAGCCGTGCTTGTAAATCAGCTCACGAACAGACTTAAGACTGGGAGTTCCGTAAACAACGTATGGCTCGACAATTTTGAGCATCTTAACCATGGACTCGTTGTTGCGAACGAACACACCGGTGTCAATCTTTGTCAGGCGAAGCAAGGCCAAGACCTTACGAGCCCGAAGAGGAATGTTGGACGCAATACCAACCCGAGCCACAAACAAAAGCTTGGCGGATGCATCTCCGAGGGAGGAAGCGGGCTTGTGCTTCAAACGGTTAAGACGACGCTTTTCGCATTGTTTCGTCTTGACGTCTTTCATAAAGGATTCCAGGCGCTTGAAGGTAACCTTACGCTTCTTCAGCTGAAGCTGTTGGAGTTAGCATAATTCGTACAAATCATAAGTAAGTTCGAGCCGTAAACAACTTGTAGTCAACCGAATGCGAATCAGCCGAAAGATGGTGATTTTGGAGCAGCATTGTCGAAACTAGCTATCCAAAGGAAAAAAGCTTCATCCTCTCCGCATATCGAGAAAACAAGCAAGGTTGTCCACGACCAGAAAACAGCTCAACACATACCTCCTTACGAGCTTTCGCCTCGGCCACACGCTCCTGGCGCTTTTGCTCATTGACCTTTCTTTTCTTTAACAAAGTCTCGGGCGCGACGGCACCGTCGTTTGCATTTTGCTCCACTGCAGTTGTCATTTGCAAAGGACACTGAGCTGGCAGGGGGAGGGCGAGCTATTTATACCCCGGGGTGTGTGACTGCTTTTTCTGCAAGTAGTGGGGTCGTGTGGGAGAGTGGGAGTGTGGGTAAAAACGGGGGCCATGTGTGGAGGCCGGTTGCATTAGAAGAGAGGAGGGAAGGGAATGGATGAAGGAAGAGGGGAGTGACGGAGTGAGTGAGGCGTGGCAAATGTCGTAGGCGAGTTGTGCGAATTGAGATCGCTGGGTCACTGCGTTTGACGGACAGCAGTGCTCGGCCTGCCCGGTCCCAACACTGGTTCAAGCTCAAGCCATCTGGAAGGGGGACGAAAGACCGCTGGGAGGGCTGCTGTCAGAGGAGGTTTTGGGCGAAGGAGGCATTTCTGAGTGTTGTTGGAGGGCCAAAAGTGTGCCGTAGGAAAGCTTTGCGTGTTGTAGGAGCTGGAGCTTCCCGAGGTAGTCGAGCAGAGCATCGAACTTGGCGAACCATTGGGTGATTTGGTCGTCTGAATTGATCGTAAAAAGTGGTGTCGTAGTACTAGTAGCAGTACTGGTACTGGTAGTAGAGAAGGGGTTTGCTAAAGAGGTCGTAGTCATCATCGTAGTAGTCGTAGTCATAGTCGTCGTGGTCATTGCAGTAGTTGTCATGTCGGGTGCCCTGTCCAATTCCAACTGAATCGATTGGTCGGGGCTCGTCGTTCGCACATCCGTCTGGGACTCGGGAGCCGTAGAGATCATGTCTGTATGATGGTCATCTATATCCTCGAAGCTCCGGTCACCGTCACTCGAGGAGGCAGTCGTCAGTGATTGCATCTCCTCAGTTAAAGCGACGAGTTTTTCCTCTCGCGCTCTCAGAGCCGAATGCAGCTCGACGTTCTGTGATCCCGTGCTCGTCTCAATCTTGAGCTGGTCTGCAATCCAGCCCAGCAGCTCTTTTGCCTTGCCAAATCCTCGGTGGTACTGCTGGATCAGCGACGACTGAGGACCACCAATCACCGGCACAATCAGGCGCTCAGGCTTCTTTTTCTTCCGTCTCCTCTCACATTCTTCTGCAGACTGCATCTCAATGTATTTCGCGTTCTCTAGACTGTGCAAACCTAGGTTATTTCCAGGTTTCTGTATATTCGGTGAAATGACGTTGGGGACAAGTCGCGTTCGCGAAAAGCTTCATAGACTTAAGCTCGCGAAGCTTTTCGCTTATGCATACGCGACATCACGTGAAAACTTTAAAGTCCGATGACCACCTTGAAAACAGCCCCACAGCGTCGCCTCGCACCCCGCAGGGGCCAACCCGCAAAAAGCCCCACATATGCACCCCACATGACAAGAGCCTCCACACACCCCACCACAACCCCATCCTCCCCACTCATCCCACATTCCTCCACACGCAGCTGCTCTGCTGATGGATCCATTAAGAGTTCTACTTCTTCTTGGCCTCGGCCTCCTCAGCGCGCTTCTTGGCGAAAGCAGCACGGGCACCGGCGTAGCGAGCGTAGGCACGCTCGTTGCTCAAGGTAGCAAAAGCACCAAAGGACTTGGCCTCCTCAGAGATGGCCTTGGCCTCCTCGACGGGCTCAGCGGCGATGGGAACAACAGCGTCAACAGCAACTTGTTCGGCACCAGAAACGTCCTTGGCATCACCAGCCTTGGGCTTGCCGGCCTTGCGGGGGAAGACGATCAAGTGAGCCATGTAGGCCTTGAGACGCTCAACGTTACGTTGGAGAGACTCCTCAGAGCGGTTGCGACGACGGTGGTCGACGGGAATACCGACGGTAGGAGCGTAACGGCGGGGGATACCAGCAGCCTTGAGCTCCTCCAAAGTGAAACCACGGCCAGCACGGATCTTCATGTTGTAACGGACCGTGGGGGGCTTCACAGCAGGACGGAGAGCCTCCACAGGGCGGGGAGCAACACGAGCAGCCTTTTCTTGGCGAGCACGACGGCGACGGAGCTTACGACCGGGTTGGTTGAACCAGGTCTTCACATAGCGCTGCCAGTGCTTGTGGAAGTGCGCGTTAGGCAACTGTCCTTTAACGTGGATTGCCATCTTGGTGCAGGTGAGGTAGAGGATAAGTTGTGGTGGATGGGAGTTGTGGTGTCAACCCTCACACCGAAACTTGTGACTGCGTTTTTCTCGGCTTTTCATCGAAACAAACGCCTGCACACAACCATCCACGAGCCATCCATCATCATGCCGTCTGTTCAGTGCTTTGGCAAGAAGTGCAACGCCACCGCTGTGGCCCACTGCAAGGCCGGTAAGGGCCTCATCAAGGTCAACGGTGCCCCTCTCTCCCTCGTCCAGCCCGAGATTCTTCGCATGAAGGTCTACGAGCCCGTCTTGGTTGCTGGTGCCGACAAGTTCGCCAACGTCGACGTCCGCGTCCGCGTCTCTGGTGGTGGTCACGTCTCCCAAATCTATGCCATCCGTCAGGCTATTGCCAAGGCCATCGTCGCCTACTACCAAAAGTTCGTCGACGAACACTCCAAGGCTGAGATCAAGAAGGCCCTCGTTGCCTACGACCGTACTTTGTTGGTCGCTGATCCCCGTCGCATGGAGCCCAAGAAGTTCGGTGGTAAGGGTGCTCGTGCTCGCCAACAAAAGTCCTACCGTTAGAAATTTATATTCTGTGGACGGCGAAGTCAAGTGTGTTGTTGTTATGTGGTGTGGAGGTAGTGTATAAGGTAGAACGGGAGGCTCTGGTGTAGCTTGTTGGAGGGCGGGAAGTGTGTCCTACTGCTCCGCCGTGGTTAAGAGTCGGCGTGCAGTTGTCAGCCTTCGATGGGGACTCAGCTGTCGTACGGATCATTTTTGGTTTATTCTTCGGGGATATCGTCGAGGGCGCCCTCGAGGTCGGGGGAAGCAGGAGCAGGAACGGCACTAGACTCTGTGGCAGCGGCACTGGCGGCAGCAGAACCCTCAGACGAAGTAGCAGCAGTAGTGGCAGAAGCGACAGTCGTTTTGGTTTCCACTGCAGCGTCTGCAGTCGCACTGACGTCCTTTGTGGATTCCTCAGAGGCCTGTTGTTCTCCCGCAGGCTCCTCGGCCGTTTCTTTTTCACCGGCTTGATCGTCCTCAACATTGGCAAGCCGCAGCTCAATAGCTCCAATCGCCTCCTCGTCTTCCTGGCCACGCATACGCCGTCTTTTAAGAGTACTGCGGGCAAACAATGGGCTGTACAGGGCGTCGGTAGCATTGCGGTTGAAGACAATACACACGTCTTCGAATCCAGAAGCGTTGACGTGCATGGAAGCATCAAAGTTGCGAGACCGGGTGAATGTGAAGGGAGCTTCGTCAGCGTCTGCACCGGCTTCTTCGGGATGGTAAATTTTACGCTTCATGCGTTCGGCTGTGTCATCGTTCGGGAGGAAGTAGGACAAGTACTCTTCTCCGTTCGAGGACGAGGGCATGAAAAGGGCCACTTCGTGACGAGACGATAATTGGTTGCTGGTTTGCGTAGCCTGTGTTGCATTCACCGAGTGAGAGCGTTCCGTCAGGTCATCTGCCACACGGACAAGAATGTGCTGCAGCGATTGCTCGATGAGCTCCTCATTTGGCAGCAGGTTCCACGTGTTCACAGCATGGACATTTGGTTTCGTAGGGTGCTTCAGCGACTCAATAGGCTGCTGTACGGCAGCAAACGTCTCATCAATCGCCTTCAACTGGCGATCCACATCACGAAGTTCTCTGCCACGGTGTTCTGCAAGTGCCTTGCCAGTCGGGGCGACATTCCGTAAACTGCCCGAACTAGAGGATGCAGAACGTGGAATCATGGACGAAATATACTCCGTCCGACGCAGGAACGGCACATCAATCTGAGACGATCCAGAACCGCCTGCAATTTTTAATAACACTCGATCTTTGGGGTCCAGACGCGTAACCGACTGGTTTGCCAGCATGGCACTCGAATCACCTTCAAAAGCACCCATTACACTGCTCAAATCAAGTGGCATGCCCATTTCAGGCTCCAGACCAAAATCAATCGCTTTTTCTTGTGCAAGGTTCGAAACAAAACTGGGATCTGCATACTGTCGAACAGGGTTTGGAATGTCCACGAGACGTGGAGGAAACGGCGGTGGAGGGAGAGGATTATGGTATTTGACACGCAGAATATAGTCCTGCCGTCTGATCGACTACAATTAGTTAGTAACAAGCGCTATTCTTCGAGAATTCGACAGTACCATGTTGAGAGGTGTTTGGGAGAGGGATGGTGCATCAGTCGCGCGTCGCGCCAATACCGGCGTCTCCACAGGTAACATGATTGTTACCTTTCATGACGTGAAGCGCAACGGCAGTTCGAGACAAGCGGGAAAAACTATGCACAACCAAGTGCACTGCATTACGGAATAAGCTTGTTACGGGGGCACCCAGTGTCCCTCATTACCGTCCAAGTTGTATCCTCCATACACCCGTATTCGTTCTCACCGTTCTCAAAATAAGGTTTCAGCTGAGAGCGCTTCAATTTATGATTGGGCAACACACCAGTAATCTATTGGCTGAAAGTTGTTCGCGTAAAACATGCTTAATTGCACACAAGACTGTGATTGGCGTGCAGTTGCACGTGGTCTCCACCAAAAACTCCACCAAAACCTTAAGAACAACGCGCTCGTCATGCCCATACGAGCTAAATCGCAGTCGGAGGCCGTACAGCGGTATTGACCCTTGGCACCGCCGACCGGCATCTGCGCACTGCACAACTCCGTTTGCAACTGAACCGGCACAGATATGCCACCTAAACGAAAGCACAGCGAGGTGGAGGAGAATGTCACCTTCAAATTCACGCAATTTGGCATTGTTCCTCCAATCAATCAAAAAAACTTTTCTACGTACGTGCTGGGTGTCCGATCGTGCAATTCACTGACATGAAATAGAGAATACATGAAACGAGACCACCAGATGTTAATTTGGCGGGATGAAGTTCACGAGAAGAATCACAAAGAGACCGAAAGCGAGGCCGCCAGCGTTGTTGACAAGGAAGAACGACGAGATGAGGACGAGGATGAGGAAGAAAATGCAGCGGTATGTTCAGAAGCAACAAATGGAGTGACGGTGTTGTTATTGATATGTTTGAAAACGAGGATGAGTTCCTTACTCTCAACATAATCATTCGAACTCGCTCTCCCTTGTTGATCTTCTCTATCCTTATGGCACTGGCTTTCTAACACCGGTAAGAAAAATGCTACAACAGTTGTAATTCATATCGGTTCAAGAAATCTTCGACTCGGGTTCGCCGTCGATGGAGCCCCGAAAGTTGTACCCATGGTTGTTGCAAGAAGATTTCGCCCTGCTAGACGGCATCCACGGCACGCTCCCAAGGAGCAGACAACAAAAGACGAATCCGGAAATATAGTCTTCGACAAAGAGGTACGTAACGGATGGACATGCTTTTCGTCTTCCTTCTCTATTCCTTTTTCCTTTTGGCAACTCAACTCACACACATTTGTCGACATAGTTTGAGTCCAATCTAGCGCTACTCACTACTGAATTCCGGAAGCGACTCAAAATGCAAAAAAAGCGGTTTATGACGAATGGTCTGGAGTTGGTTCACGCTTACAACGAAACGTCGAAGCCGGAAGTCATTGCCGAACATGACGATCCAAATCCGGTGCAATGGATCGAGCCTACAAAAGATGTATACGTTGGTGATGAGGTAAGTTTGGTGAAATTTGCTGTCGCGGAGGCTTTCGACGTGTTTACAGCAATTCATAAAACCTTCATTCGTGATAGCTAATTCTCTTTTTAGGCACTTCGTCTTGCCTCTAACGATTACACGCTTCTTTGGCCCATTCAACATGGACTGTTCAATGAAGCAGATTACGATTCTCCGCAACAACTGCTGGCAGATTTGCTGGAGATTTTCCGGTATGCAATGACCAAGGTACTTGAGGTGCCCGAAACTTCGCTGCCACAATACTCTGCCATCTTTATTGTACCAGACCTATACGATCGCGTGTATGTACAAGAGGTGATCACACTACTGCTTCATGAATTACACTTTGGTCGACTATCTGTGGTGCAGGAGTCACTCTGCACATCGTTTGGTGCAGGCATGTCAACAGCGTGCATCGTTGATGTTGGTGCCCAACGCACATCAGTCAGCTGCGTGGACGAGGGCGTTGTAATTGCCAATTCACGAATAAACCTGCACTACGGAGGAGATGACTTGACTATACTTTTAATGAAGCTTCTGACTCGCAACCAGTTCCCGCTGCCGCAACTTGACCTCTCACGACCTTCGGACTGGAGTATGGCGGAATCAATTAAGACACAGTACTGCACAGTCAATGAGGCCAACTGCACCGTGCAGTTGTGCGAGGCTTATGTGCGTGAGATGCACGAACCGCCGCGAAAACTGTCGTTCAAGGTGCTGGACGAGACAATGATGACGCCCATGGGTTACTTCCGACCCGATATATTTGAAAGTGAAAACAAACTTGTTGGGCGACACACACTGTTTGCCCAATCCGTCGATTTATACGATGGTCAGCCAAACAATCCCGAAAGCCTTGCTGAAACAACTCTGCTGCAAGTTAGCAAACCCATTGAAGCTCCGCGATCGCTTTCTGAGACCGACAGTTCAAAGGCGCAGCCGCCAACCTCTGTCCGGGATGTTCGTAATCGGCCTCGGATTGTTAACTGTGGTACGCTGGATGCCCCGGAATTCGTGTCTGAACGACTTGTGTACCCGTTAGACGATGCGGTGAACCAAAGTATCTTCAATGCATGTGACGGCAACCTGAACGACGATCACGCCAAAGAGCTTTATTCCAGCATCCTTGTTGTTGGGGGTGGGGGGCATTTGCCTGGATTTGGACGATTGCTGGAAGAGCGTTTGAAGTCAAAACGTGCAAATATCCCCGGTATAGCCGTCATTCCTCCTCCCCGTCAAAAAGATGGACGAGACCTTTCCTGGAGAGGAGGCTGTATCTACAATCGTATAAAGATAAACTCGGAATTCTGGATTAAGGAACGCGACTGGATGACCCTTGGATTGCGTGTGCTACAATACAAAACACTTGGTTATTTCTGGTCTGGATAACCACGAATTTGTGCTGACGAAACGGAAAGAACATACATTATTGCAGACACCGAACGAGACAATTCTTCGTATTCCTGCTTTAACGCGACTCTCCATTTGTGGTCCCGTTGTTTTTCATTCGACAAATCTTGCCCCCCAGTTCAACCCGCCCATGCGTCCTATTGTTCCTTTTGTTCGTATTGCTTCTAGAAATCTCTCGCCGATGTCATTCGTCTTCTGCTAACTTCTGTCGGGCACTTCTTGTTCTGTTTTTTTGTCAATTTCCCCACATTATCCCACATTATCCCACATGTGTGGTACCCACTTTCTTCCCTTACTCCACATCCACATCCGCTTACCAGCTATCCCACTCTTCTCGCCCCCACGTTCCCTTTCTGTCTTCCGTTTAACAAGAGCGAAAATCGGCACCGTTCTTTGCAGTGCAAGACGAAGCAGATACGCAGGAGCAGCAATATGCACCACACAGAGCATAATTCGCAGCCCGCAAAGGGTGTGCAGCAGAAGCTGCAGAGCAGCAACTCTGCAGCAAAAAAGCTCGGAAAAAATGACGTTAGAACTGCCTCCACTTCGACCCAGCAAGTTCGAGTGTTGAACTGGATGAAGTTTATTGCTGTATTTCTGGGTGCGTTCACGAGTGTTGCTTGGTATAAATTGGGTGGTTTTGAAGGAATTTTTGGTTCTGGTAAAAAGACTTCGCATTTCCTGCAAAAATTGCAGCAGGTTGAGGATCAGGGTATTTGGTCTTCATTGTCTTCAATACTTTGGCCCTCCTCTTCAAATTCTCTCGACATAAACGGAACAAACTTGGTGCCGTTAACATTCGAGGACCCTATCCGGTACCGCAACAAGGGAAATCAACAACTTACCGTGAGCGGCAGAAACGGTATCGTGGCTGCAGAGGCTGAGGAGTGTTCTCAGGTTGGTGTGGATATTCTTCGCGAGGGAGGAAATGCTGTTGATGCAGCTATTGCTGCAGGCATTTGCATCGGTGCCGTGAACTCGTTCAGTAGCGGTATTGGCGGTGGTGGATTCATGTTGGTTCGTCTTCCCAATGGCACATCTACGACATTCAATTTCCGTGAAAAGGCTCCGGCTGCTGCCCATAAGGACATGTTCAAGAACGATCCTCTTGCAGCTCAAATCGGCGGTTTATCCGTGGCTGTTCCAGGCGAATTGGCTGGTTACGAGAGTGCATGGCGCATGTATGGCTCCTTGCCTTGGCGGAAACTGTTTGAACCAACGATTAAGCTTATGCGTGACGGAATGCCAATGCCTGTCGAGTTGGCTAGTCGTATTCGTTGGCCACAGTTTGAATACTTCAAGACCGATCCAGTTTGGGGCAAAGTGTTCGCACCCAAGGGACGTTTTCTGCGTGCCGGTGAACGCTTTACACGTCCTGAGCTGGCTTATACATTGGAAGAGGTTGCTACACACGGTATCGACACTTTTTACCGCGGCGATATAGCTCGTCAACTGGTAAACTTTGTACAGAAAAACGGCGGTATTTTGACTATGGAAGACATGGCCAATTACACTGTACGTATCGAGGAGCCATTGCGTGCATCGTTTGATGGCCGTGAGGTGCTTACCTGTGGACGTCCGTGCAGCGGCGAAGCTCTTGTTCTGGGCTTAAACGTTCTCGACCGCATGGATCTTTCAGTGGGCGAAGGCATTTTACATGCTGACGACCCAATGACTGACGTGGGTGTTCATCGTCTTATCGAGACAATGAAATGGATTTCTGCCGGTCGCACTATTTTGGGTGATCCTCTGGACATTGACAATTCCGCTCTTGTCAACCATATTCTCTCGAGCGAGTATGCCGACAGTGTGCGTGCTAACATTTCCGATGAACGCACGTACGACTACACGCACTACAACGCCATATACGATGTCCCAGATCAGCACGGAACAACACATCTGTCTGTCATCGACAAAGACGGTATGGCTGTTGCTCTTACGGCAACCATCAATCTCATGTTTGGATCGCAGCTTATGGAACCGAAGACGGGAATTGTGTTGAACGATCACATGGACGACTTTTCTCTTCCTGGTGTCGTTAACTTTTTCGGTCTTAGTCCATCGCCCTTTAACTTCATTGCACCCGGTAAACGCCCTCAAAGTTCCGCCGCTCCTACTATTGTCGTCAACAATGGCGATGTTGAAATGGTTTTAGGTGCTAGCGGAGGAAGCCGCATTTCCACAGCTGTTTTGGACACACTTGTGAAGAAGTATCGTTGGAACCGTTCTCTGCGTGACTCTGTTGAGTCTCCTCGTTACCATCACCAATTATTGCCCAGTATTGTATATATCGACGAAACGGTGGAGCCTGAAGTGGTGAAAGTTCTTGAGAAGTTTGGACATGTTGTCGACTATGTGCCTGTACAATTTCCCTTCAGTGAAATACAAGCTGTTTACAGGGAAGAAGGGATGTTGTATGGTATCAGTGATAGTCGAAAACAAGCCGTAGCTGCTGCTTTTTAACCTGTCTTTTGGCCAAAAAAAAAAAATAACCCGCCTGAGGAAGAGTGCTTGTCATTCATCTCTTCGGCATGTATTACGTGCGTATGGTTACATGTCATACTTCTTCCTCTACTTTAAGGCACTCGGCAAGAAAGGGCGGCACTCCTGATCTTGGGCTCTTCTCATTGATTTCTTGTCGTTTGTCCCCCCTTCTTTTTGGGAGAATTGTCTCGCATAATTTCACCGGACACTTAAAGAGATCGATGTGTGTTGGATACCTTAATCCACATCTCGCCCGCTATTTCTCCAACTTGTTTTATCTTGCACCTTCGATTCATCATATCCTCTGGCACCACCCGTTCTTTATAAACCCCTATTTATCGGCTTGTCTCTTCCGTTTACTCCTCTGATGCGTAGGCAACGCTTTAGCTGTGGCACTTGGTGCAAGGCCAAGTTTCTGTATCTATTACTGAAATGGGTGTTGTCACGAATGTAAAGGTAACTCTTCAATCCTTACTGTTTACATTTTCCGCACCCGTCCACTAGTTATCGTTCCCTTCATTAGAGGTGCCATCAATTGGACTCTCAAAAAAAAAGTACCCTTCCAAAAGAACAGGCGTCTCTTTTGGCTACTATAGTAAATACTTATGAACATTTTTTTAGACATCGACGTGCACAATTTGGATACTCTGATGACTGAGATTCAGTCGCCATTTTGTGTATCGAGTTAACACTCAATTAAAACTCAATTAGTAGTTGAAATGAGCAGGTGAGAAGTTTTTTCCTGTACTTGCAAAACAGCGTACGGGCCCCTCGCACTGCACCCTACGACAATACACCATGTTTCTTTTCATTGAACATTGCTATATCATTGTTTTTTAAATTCATTTCAAGCACATTCGCTTACAAAACGTGGAAACCTTAGACTAATTAAACTCATAACGTGCAAACACAACCACCAAGCCTTCCTGTTGCAAACACGAAACGCCCTGCTAAACGTATCTGTTGCACACAGCAGACTCAACCACGCAGCCTTGTTTTTCGCATGCTTATAGCTCTTGTTGTTCATCATGGAGAATAGGCGTTCCAGTTTTGCCGTACGTCGTTTTTTTGTCCCGGAACAATTTCCAGCGGTTCTTGTTTACTAACTTTGACAAGTCTCGCCTACCCCAATCGACAAAGTCAATGTCGCCCAATCGACCTGCTCTCCGTGATACTTCCATGTCGAGTATTCCACCTCCCACAATTCGAGCAGGAATTCCAGCTCCAAGGGTTACAAAGCCGCGGATATCACTGTCAACGCTTTCGTCGGATCCTCAGCAGCTGAAATCCAACTACCAAAGTTCTAAAATGCCTCCTCCCACCGTTTCTGCAGCACATCATCCTTCGCCTGTGGGCGGAGGAAGCATCATTGTTGGCAAAACGAGGCCTTCTTCACAATCGGCATTTGCTCCTCCTTCAGCTACTCGTCCAAAGCTGTCTATGTCTCGTCCTTCCTCATCTTCCTCTTCCGGTACTGGATATCGAAGCGTAAGTGTCGGTTCTCGCACTCCTCCGTCACGTCCTCCTAGTACAACATCTTGTCGACAACCGTCTACGTTTTTTGAACGTGTTGGCCGTCATAGTTTGGGATCTGCGGCTGCATTGCCTTCGTTCTTGGCTTCCAATCATACAAATGCAAGTTCAAGCAATACAAATCTTGCTTTATACCCAGAGGCCTACGACCTTGAATCACCTACTACTCCACTTGCGTCCGCTGCAGCATTGTCAGAAACAGAAGCTCGCCTTAGAGCCATGGAAGAAATGTACACTCAGCTTTCTCAGCAGATCGCCAAGCAGCAAGAACGAGACAGTCCGCCAAGTAATGATTCATCAATGTCAACAACATCTAGCAATATCTTACAGCAACAAATTGACATGCTGCAATCGTCTTTGCTTTCCGAGAGGAAACGGTTTGAAGAACTGCAGGCCCGGTCGACAGCACTCATTACTGAAAAGGCAGAGAGTGATGCACAACAAATTATTCTGAAAAAGCAAATTGAAAGTCTCTTGCAGGATCTCGAGAACACACGTACTGACTTTTCCATGAAACGTTCCGTCGTTGAACAAAACCATCAAAAAGAGTGTGAACAACGAGATGCTGCACACGCTGAAGCCATGGAGCGACTTCGTCGTGAACATGAACTGAATTGCATTCAGCTTGAACAAAAAGCAGAATTAGAACGACAAAGAATTCAGCAACAGCACCTTGCAGATGTGGAACGAATTCAGCAAGAAGCGAATAACCATATCTCACAGGTGAAGCTGCAGCAGTATAACCAGACGCATGAGCTGCAGGCAGAACACGAACAAATGACCCTCAAGCATCGTCAGCTGCAAGCAGCACACGAGCAGGCATTGAAAGATTTAGAAGTACAGAAAAAGGTGAACGCTGATCTTCAGAACGTTATCACCGAGCAAAAGTCTTCTCTCCTCGCTTTTGAATCGGAAATTCGAGCCGTTCGAGGAAAGGTTACCGAACTTGAAACGGCCAACCAAAAGCTTCGTGATCGTGTAGACGAGCTGCAGTCCCTGCTGCAAAACAATGAGCAGCAACGAGATGGGTTGGTAGAAAAGCTTCTTCGTGAAGAGACACTACGCCGTCAAATGCACAACACGATTCAAGAGCTTAAAGGCAATATCCGTGTGTTCTGCCGTTTACGTCCTGCTCAACCCCAAGAGTTGGAGGCTGATGGAAAGATTGCGAGCATTACCTTCCCGCGCGACAATGCGGATGACATGCAGTCTCTCGAGATTGTCACCGATGGACCAACATCTTCGTTGGGTGGAAACAATAGTCGACGCTACCCATTTACCTTTGACCGTGTTTTCCCTCCTGAGACTACGAACGAGGAAGTATTTACCGAGCTTTCGCAGCTTATTCAGAGTGCCATGGACGGTTACAATGTATGCATCTTCGCGTATGGTCAGACGGGTTCAGGAAAGACGTACACGATGTCGTCGAGAGACGGAATGATTCCTCGGGCTGTTCGAATGATTTACTCCAAAGCAACTAATTTGCAGGAACGAGGATGGATGTACGAGATGCATGGTCAGTTCCTTGAAATCTACAACGAAACCATTAACGATCTCCTCGATGAATCCACGGGAGAGGACGCTGAAAAGAAACGCTATGAAATTTATCACGACACGAAAGAGGGCCGCACCATGGTTACCAATTTAACGACGGAAGTGCTTGATTCTCCAGAACGTGTTTCTTCACTATTGGAACGCTCCTCGCGGAACCGTTCTGTTGCCAGCACGAACGCGAACGAACGCTCTTCGCGTTCGCATTCTGTTTTTATGCTCCATTTGCATGGAGAGAATGCCATGACGGGAGAATCATGTCGGGGAACACTCAACTTGATTGATCTTGCTGGTTCGGAACGCTTGGCGCACAGCCAAAGTTCGGGAGAGCGTTTGAAGGAAACGCAGGCCATTAACAAAAGTCTTAGCAGTTTGGGTGATGTGATTCACGCACTGGGCAGTGGCCGCGAGGGCGTCCATGTTCCGTATCGTAATTCTAAGTTGACTAATTTGCTTCAATACTCTTTAGGAGGCAACAGCAAAACTCTTATGTTTGTGAACATTTCGCCCTTGCAACAGCACGTTTCAGAGACTTTGTGTAGTCTGCGTTTTGCAACCAAGGTCAACAACACACAGATTGGTACTGCTCGTCGAGTAAGTCGTTAATAGGGGAAAAGATGTATCTGATTGCGAGACTTGCTTGCGTCTTGTCTTCCCTTCAAAAACTCTTATATCCTCGATCCGGGCTTTTGCTATCCCACATTCGGCGCAACTGTCCGTAACTGTGTATTACCTTCTTGTCTTTCTTCAACCTATGTTTATGTCACCCCCTTTTACCTCTCTCTTTCTCTCTCTATCTCTCTCACACTTTCACTTTCTCCCTGTTTCGTCTCTTTCCCTAAACGCCTCCGAGATTCCCACTGTCTGTGCCCTGTCTCTCACAGAATCTAGTCATTTGAACCTAAAGCTCTGGCTGGCTTCGGATCTTCTTCCGCTGTCCTTGACGACATGTTCCAATGACATTGTGACACATAGACAAAAACTTTATACAAACACATTCACTCTCTCACATGCTTACAAGCGCATATACACGCACATACACGCATTCCCTTCTTCCTTTTCCTTCCCTCTCTCTTCTCGCTTGTGCACCGACGATACTCAATTCCTCTATTCGTGTACGGAGAATACCCTTTTTATTGATATGTTTATGATCGCGCTGACCAAACGAGTATGAACCGCCAACCCATTTTGGTCAATTCCGTTTTGTTCGAACGCAATCTCGTTTTTTCTCCCTCAGCAGCTGCCGTCTTAACTCGTTCTTCTGCGCTCGCTTATGGCCACGTGTCTGCTACTGCTGCTTCGCTTATGGTCTCGTTCGCTTGCTCGCTAATACTCCTTATTCGGCTTATCCTAGATCATCTTGCAGCTGCTGCCAGCAATGGCTGATAGCAAGGGCAATGTCATCATGTGGGGATGTGGGGGCCGGACTAGAAGTTTCTCGACACTACACGACTCGATGTACTTAACCTTTACCAACCACGGATTTTTTACCTTCCTTACCCACCTTCTGCCGATCTTTCGAATAAGTCGTCTGTACGTTAATTTGAGACAATTCGTCTTAATTTCAGTTTAATTCTGACCAGAAAGTTGCTGGAATTGTGAAGAACGCGAAGAAACAAAAAAACGCGAAAAAAGTTGGAAAACAAGCGTGAAAACGTGAAAACGGTGTAAAAATGTTTATGTCTAAATTCTGCCGCGCTATGCGAGGCCCTGCACGCCTCCGTAGCTTGAATGTTGGAAGCATTCTTGTTCAACGGAGTCTTTTCGCTGCTCGTTGGAACTCTACTGCCGCTGCTGGCAATGGAAAAGTAAATGGACCCGTGATTGGTATTGATCTCGGTACCACCACATCCTGTGTTGCTATTATGGAAGGTCAAACTCCCAAGGTCATTGCCAACGCCGAGGGTACCCGTACGACTCCCTCTGTCGTCGCATTCTCGAAGGATGGTGAGCGTTTGGTCGGTGTCCCCGCCAAGCGTCAGGCTGTCGTGAACCCTGAAAACACATTCTTTGCTACCAAGCGTCTTATCGGTCGTCGTTTCAAGGATGCCGAGGTCCAACGTGATATCAAGGAGGTTCCCTACAAGATCGTCGAGCACAGCAATGGTGATGCCTGGCTCGAGGCTCGTGGACAGCGTTACTCTCCCTCTCAAATTGGTGGTTTCATCTTGAACAAGATGCGTGAGACTGCCCAAGACTACTTGGGTAAGGAGGTTAAGAACGCTGTCGTTACCGTCCCTGCCTACTTCAACGACTCTCAACGTCAAGCCACCAAGGCCGCTGGTGCTATTGCCGGTCTTAACGTTCTCCGTGTGGTGAACGAGCCTACCGCTGCCGCTCTGGCTTACGGTTTGGACAAAAAGGACGATGCTGTGATTGCAGTTTTCGATCTCGGTGGTGGTACCTTCGATATCTCCATTTTGGAGCTCAACGGAGGTGTTTTCGAGGTAAAGAGTACCAATGGTGACACTCACTTGGGTGGTGAAGACTTTGACATCGCCATTGTTCGTCACATCGTCGATTCTTTCCAAAAGTCCGATGGCATTGATTTGTCCAAGGACAGAATGGCCATTCAACGTATCCGTGAGGCTGCCGAGAAGGCCAAATGTGAGCTTTCCAGCACCGTCAATACCGAAATCAACCTTCCCTTCATTACTGCTGACGCTTCTGGTCCTAAGCACATTAACATGAAGCTTTCTCGTTCTCAATTCGAGAAGCTTGTTGATAACCTTGTCAAGCGCACGGCTGAGCCCTGCAAGCGTGCCCTCAAGGATGCCAACTTGAACACTTCCGAAGTCAACGAGGTTATTCTCGTTGGTGGTATGACTCGTATGCCCAAGGTCTTGGAGAATGTGAAGGCTCTCTTTGGCCGTGATCCCGCCAAGTCCGTTAACCCTGATGAGGCCGTCGCTATTGGTGCCGCTATCCAAGGTGGTGTCTTGGCTGGTCATGTCAAGGACCTTGTTTTGCTTGATGTTACTCCCCTTTCTCTTGGTATCGAGACTCTCGGTGGTGTGTTTACTCGCTTGATCAACCGTAACACTACTATTCCCACCCGCAAATCTCAAATCTTCTCTACTGCCGCTAACGGCCAAACCGCCGTCGAAATCCGTGTGTTCCAAGGTGAGCGTGAGCTTGTCCGCGACAACAAGTTGATTGGCAACTTCCAACTCACCGGTATTCCCCCTGCCCCCAAGGGTGTCCCTCAAATTGAAGTTTCCTTCGACGTTGATGCCGATGGTATTATCAACGTTTCCGCTCGTGACAAGGCTACCAACAAGGACTCCTCCATCACCGTTGCTGGCTCTTCTGGTTTGACGGAGAACGAGATTGAGAACATGGTTGCCGATGCTGAGAAGTACCGTGCTGCCGATATCGCTCGCAAGGCCGTTATTGAGAGTGGTAACCGTGCTGAGTCTGTGTGCACTGACACTGAGTCTTCCTTGAACGAGTTCCAGGCTCAACTCGACAAGGAGGAGTCTGAGAAGATCCGTGGTCTTATTACTGAGCTCCGCGAGGTTGTTGGTAAGGTCAACGCTGGTGATGAGGGTATCACTTCTGAGGACATTACCAAGAAGATTGATGAGCTTCAACAGGCTTCTCTCAAGCTTTTCGAGCAAGTTTACAAGAAGCGCGCTGAACAAGAGAACAAGGACGATTCCTCTTCTTCGTCTTCTCCCGAGGAGAACAAGTAAATGGAGTCGTTTTGATGCTTCTTCCCAAAATTAGTGTACTGTTTTTGTCCCTGCATGTTTTTATGGATACTATTTACACAATAAGAACTGTTGTCAATGAGTAAACTACCGAGGGGAACGCCGTTATAGAGTAATTATTGTGTGTTCGCAACGTCCTGTTTATTTCTGCATGTACATGAGCGACGTACCGTTTGTGCACTTTTTATCATATCTAACCGAAAACGTTAGTCAACTTAAGCATCATTCTAAACTCACCACCAAAATCTTATCTTAAAACAAGTTAAAGACCATTACTCAACGATAGAACCAATTGGCAACTCGTCATGTCGTCTCAGAAGCGGCTGTTGCGGACACAAATCCGTAAGGTACTGAGTGCGATTTCGTCGCAGTCAATCGACCTACAGTGTATGCATTTAAAATCCTGTTTCTGCAAATACGACATCATTTACTAATTATGTGTATTCAGCGAATCTTGTCTGTCAGCGTGTTTTGCAGATGCCGGAATGGAAGCAAAGTAAAAACATTTGTCTGTATCTGAACATGCCGAAGGCGGAATTGCGGACAAACACGCTACTTTCGGCGGCGTTTGAACAAGGTTTGTGTCAAACTTCATATTCATTCTTATTTGGTCTTCTAACGGTAATGATGATCAGGAAAACGAGTGTTTATTCCAAAATGTTTGGGACCACATTACATGGAAATGTTCGAGTTGGAGTCTCCAAACATTCAATTGCTTCCAAAAAACAATTGGGGTATACCTGAACCTGCGGGAGACACAGCCAAAGTTATGGAAAACGGTATTCACTGCGACCTGATTATTGTCCCGGCGCTTGCTTTTGACACGGCATTCGCGAGACTAGGACACGGAAAAGGCTTTTACGATGCCTTTCTCCGTCGATACTCGACTTGGTGCACGGAGAAGTCAATTCAGTATCCACTACACAAGGGTAAGTTCGTCGCTTTTGTTCCGTGCAAGTGCTGATCAGTTAGTTGGTATTTGCCTACAAGAGCAATGGTTAAGTTCTCGAGTCATCCCAATTGAGCCTACAGGATGTTTCCATTGGCACAGTTGTCGTACCCTACTGCGGTCCTTCGACAAACCACCTTCTGTCTCCACGTCGGAGCCGAAGAAACAGGCGAGTGCCAATCCAAAAGTGTGTCCGTCACCAAATTAAGCATTCAGTGTGGTTTAGGTTTCATGGGTTGGAGAGTCTGTTTACCTTCTTTTACGTTCTCATTAATTGCACCCATTCCGTGTGGTTACTGAGTTTGTTTCCCCCTTTTCTTTTATTCTTCATCTCTACTTTTTCTATTAGCGACCATGCAATTTTTATCGTATGCAACTGTTTCATTCGCTTTTAGAATTGAATAGTTCGTTTTGGTTTTCCATAGGGCAAGTTTTTATTCCGGTCTCCCTCTTTTTCGCGACAGTTTCTAGTTTATATTTCATTTCAATTCATTAAATCTATATTACAGATTATAATCTAAGATGCCTTTTCAAAAAAGAAGTTAGAAGCCTAAGTTCTAAAAACGCACTAATTCATATCGAGAAGTGAAAGTTGCATCGCGAGACGAATTTGCTCCTCTTCATCCAAGTCCATGTAATTCTCGGGAACAATGGGCGGACTCGATGCAGTAACGGAAGTTGGAGTTTCTAAAATGGGTGCGGAAGACTCTTGTGTTGAGTTTCCTGGGGCATTTTCTGCAGTAGTTTCTTCTGCAAGAATTGTTTGCATCTCTTGTGCCTGTAATTCTTGTCGCTCTGCTTCTTCTCGAGAGAGCATGGTTGCATACGCCAGTAACTCTTCATCACTCAAACCAACGAGACCTGCTCCCAGAAGCTGTTGAGCTTGTTCTTTTGCTTCAAGTCGCTCTCTGCGTTCTTGAGCAACTTGGTCCAACCCCATTAAAATTTCACGTTCCAACTCATTTTTCGAGTATTCTGCTCCCCCTCGTTGCATTGGAAGCGAAGGCGGAATGTTGGCTGAGCGTGGGTTTACAGTTCGTGGACGACGAATAACAAGCTGTTTCGGCATTGTGTATGCCCAGGATTTTACATGCTTGCCCATTGAGATAGCACCCTTAGGACTCAAAGAATCCGAATCAATGGAAATGCACAAAATGGGCTCACGGCGCGCTGGATTCCGTGCATTTGCTATGGTTCGCAGCAGTGTTCCAGTTACCGTGTCAAAGATACCACAAAAGCCACTTCCGGCACCGGCAACAAGAACCGCATTGTTGAGTGCCAGGCATGTTACGGGAGTATTACGGGAGACTTCCATCGTTTTTAAGAAACCACGACGAGACGAGGATGCCTGTGAGTTGATCAAATAAGCCCGTCCCGCATCATCACCTACGGCCACCAGCCGTGCATTTTCACCCGGACAAAAGTTCTTTGGCTCGCGTTCGTTTGCATCAATAACCATATACGTTGGTTTTCCCTGACACTCATATAGAACACGACTCTCTAAGGGAGTAGAAGAAGATATAGCAAGCTCGTCCTGCGTGTCATAAGAGAAGCGTTCAATGCAGTTAAGCGGTGCACCCGTGGTAACAAATGCACATTTGTTACTGCAATCAACACACAGCATCGGAAGTGGTTCGTCAGCTTCATTGAGTTGACAGACACGAAGCGCAATGAGTCTTGGCTTCACTAGCGGTGTCAATATGCTAGGTCCTTCTACAATGTAAAGAGCGTAGAAACCTTTGCTGTAATTATACACATCAAACATTAGTAGTCTGCGTCGTGAATTGTAGTTAACGCTGACAATTTGTGATGAATCAAAACGAAAAGATTGCAAACATACTCCCGTGCGAGCGTCCCAGCACCGTACGCAACCATCATCTCCACCTGTAACTATACCAATTTGACCGAGAGGAGGCAAGTCGCCACGAACGACATCGATGCAGCTGACAGCATCCTCGTGTTTTTCGCTGAAGGCTCTAAATTTCCGTTGATTTGCGACTGCTCGTGTCATTATAATCGCACCAACTTGACCATTCAAAAAGCCGAAGCCCATGAGCTGCCGTCCAAGCATCATTTTGCTGACTGTATGTGTCGTGGAAAGTTCGCCTGAACCGCAATGAAGCAATCCCCGTTCAACTTTTCCAGTTTTTGGGTCAGAAATGGAGACGCAACCAGTCATTAAATTCCCCGTAAACAAGCGGTTAGAGCCAAAATCACAGTAGATGTGTGTCATTTGTCCTACACGAGAATCGTATTGCATCGTCTGGCCTTTTCCGCGCTTGTACGCTATTTGGAGAGCCATACGAAGAATGTACTCCTGCCTCCAAGTTCCATTACCAACGGGACTAAAATACTGATTTTGATCGCCACTAAAATGATACTGGAAAGCTGTTCTCCAGCTTACATCTTTTGACAATAATGAATACCACGCTGAACAACACTGTTTTGCCGATACCAGAGAGTTGACGTCCAAAAACGAAAAAATAACCATCAATATTTCTACGTTTGCTTGTTAGAACGTCGTGATTGAGTGTTTCACGTACCATGAGGTAAATCCTGAACCGTTAACGGACGCTTCTGGTGAGTGTTGGGAGAATTCATTATAGTGAGTTGGGGAGAAGGGCCAGTCGCTACCGTGCAGCCCAAAATCAAGTATTTTCTAATTGATAAAGTCAAGCTAAGACGCTGAAAGCGGGATTGGAGCAACCGTCTGCCAAACCCCACTTCGGCCGAAGTGGGGAATATGTGGGATATGTGGAGGCTCATGGTGGTGACTTTTCCTTGGGGTATTATTCTTGGTGGTGAGTTTGTCAACGCATTTAAATGGAGGAGGCCTATAGACAGTGCATGAGACAATAGCTAGTAAAGAGAAGAATGCCGTGTAAATCTTGTAGAGGAAAAGTTAATGTGTAAAGTGTCCATTTCAGCGGTTTCATTTGCAAGTTTAATATTGTTCAGTTGATAGCTTCTTGAAAAATTGACCACCGTTTCATGAGTTTATATCACGACTCGTAAGATACGTATACACACCTGTGTGAAGGAAAGCGAAATCCGTTGATACCCAAAACTATAAACCTATATATCCCAAAAAAGTAGTACACTGAAAGACATCTTGTTTGTGCTGGTCCCACACACATAGAAGCAAGCATCACCTCTCGTGCTATTACCGACACTAGCACTTTTTCGTTTGTCGGGAAGATGAGAAAGAGAAATGTGCTCATCTATCAAAGTACGTATTGCCGAAATTCCCTGTTAGACGAGTTACCCATTCTCGCATTTACTCTTCGTCTTCGTCATCGTCATCGACTTCGCCTTCGAACTCGTCGACTTCTTCGGCACCCTCCTCTTGCATCTTGCGCTGATTTTCGCGGTAACGCTCAAGCTCCTTGGCCTGCTTTTTGTTGAATCCCGATGCTTCTGCAAGCAGATCAAGGGCTTCGAGCTTCTCCATAGCCATAACGTCTTCCCATTTCGGCACGGGTCCCTCAAACTTGAGAACCTTGGCAAAGAAGTGAACAATGCACTCGACATCACGGTCAAAGTAATACTTGGCATCGGCGTGGCTTGTGGAAACCATCTGAGGAAAGTCGATGATAATAGGCTCACCACTTTCATAAACCAGGATGTTAAATTCGTTGAAGTCACCATGAATGAGTCCATGACGAGCAAGACGAACAATGAGACCCATGAGCTTGGTATAAAGGGCTTCTGGATCAAGCACCTTTTCAATTGCACGCAACGGGAAAGCATCCACAAGATCCATAATGATACAATGACGCGAATAGTCAATCGGTGTGGGAACAGGGAATCCATGCTCATGAAGAATCTTCATAAAAGCAAATTCTTTTGCGGCAGCAAGACGCGAGAGGTACATCCAAGAACCAGTCTTTCTGTTGCGCAAGTAGTCCCGGTTATTCTTCACACTACGAAAGCAAATACGACCGAGACGATGTATTTTGAGAATATACTGTTTTCCCTTCTGGTCACTCACGACGTAAACGTCGGATTCCTTTCCAACACCGATTTGGTTGCCCACGGCATACACACTGGCACGCTTGGTGAGGGCTTTTAATGCCAAGTAATCATAGCCAGCGTATGTCAGCCGGTACCCATCATAGTTGGATTTAGGCATTCTGGCAATCAACTTTGTCATGTTTAAGACAGAGAGAGATTTCGTACAGGAACCGCCCCGAAGCTTAGCCAACTGAGTAATCATGCTCGAAGGCACGACTTCATGGTTTCTGCTACCCATCTCCACCTAAGTAACATTAGTACTTGCTCAAACTTGTTTCACAGCATCGCTAACATAGGTTTTGTTCGTTGAACGTTTAGTTGCCCTATATTACAGCGATTTGTTGCTATTCGTAACCATTCCACCATCACATACTGCAGTAAGAGTACGAAAATCCTCTGGAGAGAGGTATCTCATAGCTTTTATATTCAGATTGACCATTTTGTCTGTCTGCGGTGTTTGGGGGAAGACAGAAGGATTTCAATGTTCAGTAACAGGAAAGATAGAAAGAGAAAAAAAAAACAATCCGTGGTAACGAAGAGACCTGGAACAAAGTGAGACGTGTCAAAAATTACTTTCTGTGATGCTTGGGTGGGAAGAATTGTGAAGGTTCCTAGGAAAAAAAAAGCAAAAACCTAAACGACAGTGAGGAAAAGAGCAGAGACAGGTCGTTTTAATTCTTATAGCAATGAGATGCTCTATTACCTCAACTAATATACAAATTCATCGTTTTCCTGACTATTTTTCAGTTTTCACTTTTCACTTTTCAATTAACCGAAACCTTATTTTAAGGTTCATACAAGGTTTGTTTAAGCGAGAAGTAAATTTGACTCAGGTCATGTGCATTATTCTTCACCAATCACACAGCCGCACCCCATCCCTTTTCCCTCTCCACAAACCCCTTTACCTTAATCCCCACAAATTCGTATCGATTATCTAATCGGCTTCTCAGTGGTTGCGGCCACACTAAAACTACGTATTTTCGCCTCCGCGACAAAGTGGGCTGACAAAGTCACAGCATAAATCATGCCAGAACCGACACTGTCAGGCAACAATCCCACCAAATTTGACTCATTCAGGCGCTCTATTTGTGCGTCCTAGTGAGCCCTTGTGACCTAAAGTACTTCGTCTCTGAATAGCCAGTAGAATCCCCGCAAGGTAGATTCCGGTGCCCGTGCGAGTCCTCCAGACCAGGCACTTTTGTAGCCAAATCTGCACCGTAATTGCCGGGTTTTCACGCGTCTCTCTCACACGGAAGCAATTGATCAATTCTGGCAGGCATTGGTCGCTGTTCCGGTAGCCTTGAGCCCGATTACCGTCTCATAGTATTTCTGTTGCCAATCGAGTAATTAGCTCGAGCATCGCTCACACACTCCAATGGTTCAAATCAATCGTGTACGCATGAAAGAGGTCAAGAAGGTCGCTGAGACGCTGTTCCTCGCGTTTCAGAACGAACCCTTCTTCGATTACTTGCTGAGTCCAACTTCATGGAAGAGTGCCAAATCTTTAACGAAGTTCCGTCGGGATTTCTTTGATTATATTGCATACGCATTCATCATGAGTGGAACCGTCTACGAAATCGACGGTTTTAAAGGTGTTGCTCTTTGGGCTGGCCCCGGACAAGATCCTTACTCGACTTATACCGTCCTTCGCAGCGGTTTATGGCGCTGTGTGTACCGAGTACCCAAGGAAGTGGTATGTCGATACACGGACGAGTACCTGTCAAAGACGTGTGATGCCCGTGAACGTCTGATGGGAAAGAAAAAGCATTGGTATTTGTGCTTCTTGGCTGTTCGTCCCGAGCATCAAAAGAGGGGGCTATCTCGTCCGCTTTTGGATGAGGTTCATCGCTTATGCGACAAGAAGAAGCAGCAGATCTACTTAGAGTGCAACCAGAGTACCAATCGTTCTTACTATGAACATCTGGGTTACTCGCTGAACGAAATGCTCCAGTTTGACAACAACGGCTCGCCGATATCACTAGCGGTAATGAGTCGAGAGGCTCATTAAAAGCAGATGTCATCGGTGCCATTGGCGCCTCGGCACTTTGTATTTGTATATGGCCTATTGCCCATGCGTGTATTCTGCATGCGGCCCCGTGTAACACCCGACTCTTGCTCGTTGAAACAACGAGTAAGAGTCAAAAAAAATTGGTCACGACAAAATACCCGGATGCATATGCTCCGGATCTTTATAATTTTATACCTGTAATTAGTTTAATTGTAATTCATACTTTTCAACTTGTAGCAAAATGAAGATTGGATATGTTCACAACTCGTCACAAATCAACACCGTTCAAACACCGTGTACAATCTGGGAAGGCTTGTCACTTGGAAAATTTTCCGCTCATCCATAAGTCGTTTGCTGCAAAGAAGACGCCGCTTAAACTCTGGAAAGAGTATTTCTTCAAGCAATTGGACTATCCGTTCCACTTCGTCCGACTTGGCGTTTTCCGAGTCAAGCTTAACAGGCACATAGAAGCGGGCAATTGCTTTCAGTATGCCCGCAAAACATGCTTTTTCTTCGAGCCATTCAATTTTGTGAGGGGCAAGATCGGCCAAAAGCCAGGGGAGCTTTTCAAGGAACGGTGAGTACTCCGCATGCAGCATTGGTATAGATTCTAATTGGCCTTCTGGACTAATTGTTAATTGGAAATATTCGCTTAACATTTCGCGTCGAGCCAGCAGCAATCGCTCCGTTTTTTCCAGAAGTTCAGATTTGTTTTTTGTTTCTCCATCGACTTCGTCCTGCTCCGGTAGTCCGAGCTCAAGTAAAGTGCGTACCGAAATGCTGGGCTCAAGCTTTATGCATCCAAAATTACAAAATTCAGATAGCCCTATTTGATAAAAAAGCTCAAAAGAAAGCGACAGGTAGTCAACTAGAAAAAGACCAATATTGTACTGGATAACGCACAAACCGCGTTCGGGACATACAAGCCCCACATACTTGTGTTCCGTGAGAATGTTCGTAGTAAGTACATGCATTGATTGCAGTACCTCTTCTCGAAGCTCAAGTATACTTTTGTAGTTTACTTCTGTGCGATAGACTTTGTCTTCTGATTGTAATAAGTTTGACCTTGAAAGTGATTTGCTCGCAACAGGCGTAGGAGATGCCTCGTAATCGGTGGCTTCAGATGCTGGCCCGCAAGCTGGGGTCTTCTGGCTCGAAGTTGGCGTGTGTCGATTCATAAGCGTCTTTATACTTTGCTCTCGTGGGTCAGTGCGCACCATGTGATGCTCGTACACTGTATGACTCGGTCGCCCTTGTCGATTGCTTTCCGGTGTCTTAAGCATTGTTGTCGTTGAAGGAAGAACGGTTTGAACATGATAGCTTCTTCGTGCATCCTCGTTTTCGAGAACCTTTGAAAGATGAGACCGAAGCAAGTCTGCTATTTCCTGGTCGTGAAGGAAATGCACAACACGTTTTGAAGGATGTACGTTTACATCCACTTGTGATTCCGGAATGTTTAGTGAAAGATACAGAAAAGGACTAGCACCTTTGGGAAGAAATTCGCTGTAAACTTCCTCAAGATTTTTTCTTAAATCCGTCGATTCAACAAGTCGGTTGTTAATGAACAGCAGAAAAACGGTTTTTTTGGATGCGTAATTTGCATTACTGACAAGACCTTGCGCAGAAAACCCTTCTAACAATGAACCTCCATATACTTCGAATGGAAGCAAGTTCTTTGCTAAGTTTGAGCCATAAACCTGTCGAATACGGTCGATTCGACGAAAACGAGAAGAAAGGGACAGTGTGGCAGCACTATCTCCAAACTTTTTACACGAGAATGACACACTCTCGTTATGAATGGCATATTTTTGTATGAGTAACAAAATTCGACGAAACTCTTCTGCGCCATTTTTTAATGCAACCTTTCGACTTGGGACGTTGTAGAACAAGTCTTCGACAGACACAACTGTTCCTTGCTTTCCTGCACAAGGTTGGGGGGCCGATGATCCATGTCCAGTAGCAGGTGCTAGTTTTCCATCAATGTAAAATGCACTTTTTATGAAGATTAGCTTAAACTAATACTCGAAAAAACAACGAGTTCAAAACACACCGCCAACCATGAACTGCATCCTTTCTTTTGGTTGTCACAGTCAGTCTTGAAATGTGACTTATACTGGCTAGTGCTTCACCACGAAAGCCAAACGTCTTAACGGAGGAAAGATCTTCAAATTTGGTAATTTTTGACGTGCTAAATCTCTGACAAAGCAATGGTAAATCGTCATTCTTTCAAGACATTAGTTAGCAACAGAACATGTTATTTACTGAAACGGATTAGCCGCCTTGACACATACATATATACCAGTTCCATTATCAGAGATTTGTAGTAATTTTAAGCCTCCCTCCTTTAGAAGGACATCAATAATTGTGCTTTCAGAGTCTAGTGAATTTTCAATCAATTCTTTAACTGCATTTTCCGGACGTTCAATAATCTAATACAAAGGAGCAGTTAGTTATTGTCTAATGCATTCAGAAAATCTTTGTGAGCTTCTTAACGTCTATTTCACGCGTACCTCTCCGGCAGCAATCTTGTTGACAACAGCTTCGCCTAACGGACGAATTCGTCGCGCGCTCGAGCTGTCAGACATTAGGACTTTACATGAATTTTGTACACACAGAGAACGTGCAAGGTTTTTTTAATAAGCAGACACAGCTTACTGTAGCAGGTTTCTGTGGCATCTGTCAGGCGCGGCAGGCGGAGAGCGCGGGTTTCCCGCGGCCTTACCGGGACTTGAGCGAGGTCGTTCATGCCTAGCAGAAACGCTCAACCAGAACGCAATTGAGGAATGGGACGTGCAAAAGGGAGTAAACGAAACCAGCACAGACACAGGTTGAATCCTCTTCAGAAAACAGCAACAAATTCACAAGAGATTGTGCTGGAGGGCAAGGAAACGGCCATTCCTGTCTTGGAAAAAGTAGGTTAAATCAATTCAAAGTTTTGTCGAAATTACCGATACAAGTAGCGGAAAAACAGTGACTAACCTGTTTAGTTGAGCTCTTCTGAAGCAAAGGAACGTTCCTGGTCTGCTAGTGCCATTTCCAACTTGATTTTGGGCGATTCGGAGACTCGACTTTTGTTACTAAAGAATGGACTGGTGAAAAAATTGCTTGAGAGACTTACAGATGACTCTATTGAGGTTGTCATTGAGGTCACTGGCGCTATCCGTAACCTTGCAGTCGAAGATGGTTACGACGTTTGTATGGATATGTATCGAAAGAACATTCTGTCTCCTTTAAAAACTTGGATGGCAAAGGTACTTAACATTAGCGATAAATTATTGTCCACTCAACTAATATGTTCTTAGATCGCTAGTCATTTGGAAGGAATGACTAATGGCAAGACCCCGGAAGGTCAAGAGGAAGCTGCGTACCAAAGTTGTCTGTTCGCGGTAACCGAGAACATCTGCGCTGTTCTTCTTAATTTAGGTGAAACCACAACCGAGGTAATGACTGCTTTGAACAACAATGGGGTTCTTCCTTTCTTGTTTCAACTTGCTGTCCATGGATCGTTGATTCCAGAACAAGTTCAAGAAATTGTTCTACAAGCCCTTTGCACTCTTCTTGATGACAATCTCGCTGGCATAAAAGAATTTGTTTCTTCCTCCAATGTTGACATTGCTAATGTTTTGTCCGTTATTGGAGAGTATATCTCCAAGGACTTACCTACATTACAAGCATATTCCATCGGCGTTTTGTTTCAGTTTTATGAGGCAAAGCAACTTGACAAGAAACTGGAATCTCAATTGCAGGTTGTTCCCGCTCTCGACAATTTGCCCACTGTTGCATTGCCTAAGTTGGGTCAACTTTTACAGGATGGAAAACAATTTCTTCGTTCATTGACCACGAAAGCATTTGAAAACGAAAAGACTTTAGCAGATTACAGAATTGCTTTGACCGTTCCCGTGGTTCTTGAGATTCTTGCTTCCATTGCATCTTTGTTGCAAAGCCTTGCAGACGGTCAAGTTTCTGATGAAGATGAAATGGACCCAGAAGTTGCAGCGACCGAGGCTATTGAAGAGTTGGACAATTTGGTTGGTGACGACGAAGCAGCTGACGATGTTGACATGGATTCTGAAGTGCCTGCGAAACAATCGGTCCAGGTTGCTTCTGAGCCTATTGTATTCATGTTGCAAAATATTATGCCTATTCTCCTTGATCTTTTGGAACCCTTTGAACCCGCTGTTGCGTCTGTTATTCCCGATAGAGAGAAAGGTTTTCTTGATGTTGTCCATGAGAGAAGTTTGGAGTGTCTGAACAATATCGCTTGGTCCTGTAACGGTATCATTAGCGAGGATTCTCCATCCATTGGGCAATGGCGTTCCCAAGCTCAAATCATTCTGGCTTGGGTGTCTAAGATAGTCGGTCCTCAGTTTGAGGCTTCGCCTTCTAGTTTCTTGACTTTGTGTAGCGTATTACTTGCTGCTAGTAAAGTCTATAGTGGAAACGCTATTCCCTTCACACCTGACCAGGTTGATGTACTTATTCAATTTGCCGCACGTCTTAACGATTTCCAAGCACAATCACGTCTTGTCGGGGCTCTTGGTGCGCTGGCTAAGTTTGAAGGTGATATTGCTTTCAACAGCAAGATCGGCGATCTTCTCATGTCTTGTTTAACAAATGATAACCCTCAACCTGATGTTGCTGTTGAGGCACTGTACGCTATCTTTGATGTTTACGGTGACAAGGTGTATGCTTACGATACACCTGTTTTTGTTCAAAAGAATTACCTGGCCGCCCTTCAACAGGCAGTTCCTGCTCTCACTAAAATGACAAAACGTATTGATCGTAAGCGTTGTTACAATGCCCGCATGCGGGCTGAAGAGGCTATGCAAAATCTTCATGCGTTCATTGATTACAAAATCAACGAGTACAAATAGGCATGGTGCATTGGCAAAGAAAAATTCCCGAAAGGATTTAAGTGATTGGTACTGTACAAGCGGTTATACTTGACGTTTAAAGTCCAAACACAAGCGATTTCTTGTTTACAACTATTCTCACAAATTATTATTTGCTGTTTTTTGGAAAGAGATAGAATTGTGGAACGGTAGCATCCACACCGGTAGTATTTTTAATAATAGAACGATAGTTGCAAGGAAACAACGTCGTGATTTTCTACAAAAATTTGGAATCTACTGATCCTTACCGTAAATGAACATTTGCCGTATCAATACTTCGTTACTACATTAAGGTTGCCCAAGCAACATTTCACTGATGTAAGGAGCAATGGAAGGGTTCACCGTACTGATGTTAATGACACGACGTTCAATCACTGTGAACAGAATTCGGCCCTGCTTTGAACGAACTAAATTCCGAAGAACGAGGGTTGCTGTTAAGGCCGTTCCTGTGGCATCACCCCGCTCGTCCACGGCCGTCTGCAGTAAAGGAACTCTAAAGTCTTTTGTGGCACTCGTTTGCCTTCCAAAGATAGAAGGTAATAAGTCTTTTGACGGAGGCGGAGGAAGGTGAGTTAGCATGTGAGCAACTATACCTGCAGCAATCGCTCTACCAGCAACACCGTTAGACGGGAGTCTACTGTAATTGCAATTTGCCCACTGACAAGTAGTCGGTACGGTTGGCATAGAAGCAATGTGTTGCTGAACGTGGGCATATAATGCTGAGGGACCAGCAAGTTGAGCACCACAAATGGGACCATTTGTATGCTTCCATAAGCAGGTTTCAAAACGCTCTCCTTGTAATGAAAGTGGTACTCGTCGCCGCCTAATTCCGTTAATCACATACTCTACTGGTTGCTTTGGGGTAGCAACAGTCATTGCACGGGCATTGGGAAATGCATGACTAGAAACCTTGATGAAATCAGCCGGGCTAATTCCCATCTGAGAAGAGCCTTGTATCTTCTCCATATTGGAACAATACAATTGCCAGATGTCAGTCTGCAAAACACAGTCTTTTGGATTTGCATCAAAACACATTCGCATCCATCTGATGCACCGTTCTGGTTCTTGGACAGAGAGCAATTGCTGTAATTCGGAAAGGGGTAGGCCGACGTACCCAGTATTTTCGCTTGACGCGTTCAGAGTTGGAAGGTGAATGGCCATATAACGTTCCTGTGCTTGGAAAAGCATAAGACGTATTAAGTGTTCAACAAGCGTCCAAACATCTGATCGTCTTAGTAACGCTTGGGTGTTAGATCTGTATGTTGTGTACTGATATAATAAATCCAATGTTGCACCAATTACTTCCTCGTCCTCGGTTGCAGTCAACATTATTACACGGCCGATCGCCTCATCATCAATGTCTTGCAGCAAACGATTGTTGTCATCATTCAACGCCAAGCGGGCCAGGGTCCGAAGTGCCGCAATTAGTATAGACCGATCTTGGGATTTAAGGAGCCTGCAAAGTGTTTTGTAAAGCTCATTTTTTTCGCTGGTGATACTGATGTAGGATGCTTCGAGTTCGGCAATATCTAAAATGTACTGTAACAGTTCTGTACATTTCACTTCTAAAGCACAGCGTACACCCAACTCCAATATGTCAGCAACATGAGAAGAAAGTGCCACGTGTTGAGCATTTTCCAAATTGAGTACCGCGTTTCGAAGAACAAGAGCAGCGGCAAGTGCTCGGTCGAGATGCTCATAGTATGTATCCTCATGTTGATAATAATGTAAACGAGTGATTTGTTGCCGTAAACCTTCCATCAGACATTCTGCTAGTCCAGGGAGACGTTTTAATTTGAACTCTTGACTACGTTCAAAAGAAATTTTGATCAAGTGCCCCAGTGCCCAATCTACTTCATCGGGAAAATTGGACTTCATGGCTAGCGAAACACGGACAAGCAGAGGTGGGCCGGGAAGGCCCATTCCTAACTTGGGAGTAGCAGCCGCCGGCGGTTGTGTAAGCTTATTTAACGTGGAGGGAAGGGGTAAGGCTCGGATTTGGGCAGTGGGTAGAGTTGAGCTTGCAAAGTACATGTTGTTTGGAAGTAATGTGTCAAAGGGTGTTGACGACTTTTTTTGATTATTCGAAGTTTCGGTGTCATTTTCGTAGAAACTTCGAATAGATGGCAGATTGTGCATTGAAGCGGCTGGAGGGTTCACTTCATTTGTGTCTTTAATAGTAAACGCAATGGCGTCTTTTGCCTCCGCAACCGGTTTTTCTTCAAGAGCTTTTATCCGATCAACAATATGATCTCTAAGTTGGTTGTTAAAACATTGAACATAATCGAATAAATGTTACAAACCTGTAGTTTGAGTTCTCTAGCAAGTCCACGTGTGGTGGTGTCAAATCCCATTTATCTTTTAATTCCCAAGCACTACAGTGTTAACAAGACATTATCATCAAAGTTTCCGCATTTGTTTTAGTGAGAGTATACATAGCTCACCGGTAACTGGAAACCCTTTAAGACTTACATTAGGTAATGAAAGTAAATTGAGGCTAATTTTCTTCCAACATTCGGCCCAGGGAGATCAAGCGACTGTGCTATATTTTTCCATTGCTCATTTCCAGATTTACAAACTTCATCGTACCCACCTAATTCACTGACTTTTCGGTATAGAGTACACAAGCAAACTGGACGACCGGCTATGCTCACATCATAACTCAGAGGAACTCTAATCGGTAGGTTAGCCGATGCAAAACGAAACAACAAAATAAAATACTCCACAATTTACGCAACAACGATTCAACAACACCGGACAACATACCTTCGTTCAGCTAAGAAAGTAAAAAGTGAAGCAAGAAACCGACTTTTGGTTGATAAATGTGGCAGCTCCGAGGACGCGAGATCTTCTTTAAAGAACGAAGTGTTTTGCATAGCAAATCAAAATCTGTGCGCGTTGTTTTTGTCTCTTAATTATGATGTTTTAACGACGATTGTGCATTCTTCGTTAACGCGTTCGTGCTTGGTGGAGCACTGTGCTTAACCTTGGTGGTGAGCGTGGATGATAATTGTGGTAGTATTTTGGTGGTGAGAATGTGGGTTTCATCCACGCAAAAAAAAATAGAGACTGCAAGGACGCAAGAGAATTTGTTAACTTTTATGCCTGTTTTGTTTTATAAAGTGGTTACTTTTAAGAGTCGTTCAATTTAAATTTGGTACACTTTTATCTGAAATTTTTCTTTTCGAGCGATTTTGAGTTGGGTTTTGTTTTTCAAAAGGGTATCAGTCTTCAACAGTGAACTAAAACGTCAACCTCTCTGTAGTGTGTAACTCATTGTATCCATTACTATGGATCCTATATATCAGCCATTAGAAGACAATGAAGGGTCTTCCCAGAATATGGCTCTCGAATTGATGCAACAGTCGGAAATGCTGGATGCTAATCAAGTCAATGCAGTGTATGCAGAGAAAATAAGACACAAGCCGCTTTTATTGATTCCAAGTATGGCTAATAAGGGATCACAAGCCTCATCTCGAGATGAGTCTTCTTCTTCAAAGAAAAAACAGAAAGGTCGATTGTCCCACGCCGAACGACGTAGACTGGGATTGACACAAATACCGAAGAAAATGGACTATCAAAAACTCTTACAACTGCATAAACTTTGGCTGGGTTATGTACAAGAGGCGTTCACAAAAGCCTATGGAGAAGCACTGTTGACGAAGTTACTCAAAGCAGAGTATCAAGGTGCTATCCTTCGAGTACAAAGAAGTAAATGCCCTTCAAAGGTTGGCATTGAGGGAATTTGTGTTCTTGAAACAAAGAATACTTTTGTCTTAGTAACTGAGGAAAACCGTGTCCTTCGTAAGTCTATTGATATTGATACGCTACTGTTTGCTAACTACTTTCTCTAGGTATTTCAAAACATGATTGTATTTTTGAGTTGGGATTCGAATTGGATGGAAAGAAACATCTCTTTGAGTTGCATAGTAGGCAAGTTGTTAACCGGCCAGCCGATCGCTCAAGCAAACGATACAAAATCCTCGGTTCCCTTGATCTTTAGGTGATGGAGAACGAATTGTACTACTGTTAAATTTCGTTGTTTATATAAAAGCTGACTTTGTATGACTGCTCTCGTCTACTAAGGTATCGTTTGAGTTAAAGATGCAGCTAATTACGATTGTAAGTTAAGCTTCATTTTGCGGTCAAACAAAATCTCGCGCAACACTTTTGAAATCATTGAAGGCGAGAGCAAGTTTACTTTGTTACTGTGCACCGGTCTTTTCTTTTGGTACGATAGTGCAGACACACCCGAAAAATCATCACCATCAAGGAGTTTCTTACGACCAAAACCAAGACTGTTTTAAGTTATCTTATTGCTTAAGCTACGATTTAAGATACATTTTTGTTTTTGGCATAGCATACCCAAGAGGTGACAATGTTACCTCACCCCGACTAGACTACCACATCGGCAACAGAACAAAAAGAGCCTCCAGCGATGGATTGGATGGATGAAGATGCAATATTTAATTTGGAGGAACCAGATGAAAATGAAAAGGATTATGATGAACTTTGTCGGTGCTGGATAAACGAAAAAATGGCTCCAGAAATTCTGCCTTTTGCTACAGACGTCGTGGGACGTGTAATGGAACGTATACGTGCTCAGCTGGAGTCTCTTGAAGAGATTCTTGAAACTGAAAACACTACAGATTACAGAAGTGTCCTTATTCAAAATGAACTAGAACGGGTAAAATTTGTTGTTCGCGTGTATCTACGGTGTAGAATCGCTAAAATCGACAAATTCGCCCAATACATTCAAAGTCACCCTCATGTACTTGCGTTGCTGTCCTCTTCAGAAAGGCAGTATTTGCTAAGACACCAACAAATCGTTCATCGATTTTATGTAAATTCGTTTCTTCGAGATTTGCCTCCAAAAATGACAAAACTTGATGATACAGTCGGAAATATATCCATGGTCGTGGAACCGGATGTAGACAGAACGGTGTTTTGTCTAGTTAACTCAACCGTTGAGGAAAGTGTAAGAGTTGCAGAGGATGAGTATGTCAATCTAGATAAGGGAAGCATTTTATTATTGCGGTATTCCGCAATAGCTCCCTTTGTACAGCAGGGAATCGTTTCCCTTATTTAATAGATTAAATATTCCTGTTCACTTTAATATAAACTGAATAGGAATGATCAAAGACGTTGGGTGTTATGTTACGCTAGCAAATGACAAAAACTTATTGGTGACTCTCGTCACCCGCAAAAATAGTATAGAGTGGATTTTGAGTGCCAACTGAGAAAGTAAGATTAGCACTCGCAAACCCCTCTGGACCTAGCAGTTGCAGCCGTTCAATAATATCGTCCAGCAAGATTGCTCGGCCGACAGCAGAGCCTTCTCCCGTTTCATGATCTACATGCATGATATGTACGTGAAAATGATAGTACGAGGGCGGATCTATGAGTTATTAGTAAAGGTGGAAATGAGGTCGCTAGTGCACTTACAGTGAACAAACAATTTCAACTGAGAGGCTTCCACCGGGAAAATTGTAGGGATTTTTTTGAGTACACTCTCGCGTAAATTACGAAGCATGCCAAGGTGTTTCGGTTTCAGATCTCGAATAGAAGCAATCTCATGTGAATGAGAAATAGCCATGACATTAAACGCCAGCATGTTTTGTCGGTCCCATTTCCTACGTTATGTTAATACGATGTTAAAGTCCGAAGCAAAGTGAATATTCTCCTCAACGAAAACTTACAAATCAGGTAAAATGATATAACCGTTCTCACGGTCAGGGTCTTCAAGCACAATACGGTCTGATTCTGCTTTGTGGTCGAGAATATTGTGAACCCATTGAATCTGAGAACCTCTCTGAGTGAGAATGAAAGGTTGTGTTAGCCGTTCGTACATATCGGGTGTCTCAACAATCATTCTTTTTGGTTGTGTAGAATACTTTTTGATATGCTACAATGTGTTAGCAACGTTAAAAAATTGAGTTGTAATAAATGTTCGGTCAGTTAACTTTGCAATACCGAAGCTTACACCTTTTCTCTTTATCAAACTGAAGGTCAAACTTTTAGGTTTCTGCTGTTTAACTTACATTTTCAGAAGCAGGCCATATAAGCGTTGTCTTAATGGACGGTAACGTTTCCAAGCTTTGTTGGAAAGTATTTAGATACCAATGGAAAACGTCGTTGTTTTGGATGAGTTTTCCATCAAGAATGTAATCAGTAATATGGTTCAGATCAATTCGTTCTAAATCAAACGCCGTTTTTTCTAAAATAAGAATCGCAAGCTGATCCTGAATGCAACCAAGTATATTGATGGACTTCGACTTGGTATCAATATTCAAGATGCGTTGAAACTTTAGTTCTTTAACGCGTTGGAGCAGTTCTTCTTTTGCCAAATTAGAAGTCATTTTCGCCAAACAGCACAAAACTTTCTTTTGATATTGTTCGTTACGGCAGTCTCGTTCTGCAAGCTACTTTTACAATTGGTTAGAATAAATGTAATCTACAAGGCATGGCGCTCTCCAAACAACATCCATCTGTTCATTTGATTTCGGTGTACGCGTAATTTTGGCTGATGGGTCTGACTTACCAAAAATTTGTTTTTGTTAACAAAATCACTAAGAATAGTTCAAAAATGGTAATGTACGATACACAATAAACACCAAATCTTTTGTCTTCTCCGTTAAAAGATCTTTTTTGATGCAAGTGAGCAAATTTACTTTCGATGTACTTACTGTATGCCGCAGTGAACACTTCTTCAGCTCCATTGTGTATCAACAACGATTTACAAACTCAAAACAAATAGTAGAAATTTATATTGCGAGAGCATTATAATGCTGTTTTTTCTTCCGTATCTGCTGCTATTTGGTTTCTGCCAGGCTCAAAAGAGTGAATCAGCAGCCTACAAGGTACGTTTAATATCGTTTATATTTATAAAACAAATTGTCCTTTAAGTTTCTTATTTAGAAAACAGAATTTTAACTTCTTTCAAGCGGACTGCAGTTCCTGCCATTCTTTCGGAACAGTTTACAAAAGACGATTTATCTTCATGGAGGGATAGTTGGTTAGAAGCAAGCGATGCTAATTACGCTGGATCTTGGATGCTCAAGGCATTGCCAAAACCGAGTTTGAAGAATGAGTTCGGCCTCGTTACAACGAAGCCCGCAACTTCTCATATCCTGTACAATAATTTCGAGCGAACGGTAAAGATACCAAGTGAAACAATTCCAATTGTTCTTTCATTCCAAGTTCGCCCAATGAAGGAATGGACTTGTGGACATTCTTTCGTTAAGGTTCTTAGTACTCCATACGAAGGAAACACTGAACCTGAGTACTCCATTCTTTTCGGTCCTAAGAAATGCGGCCTTATTGATCGTGTTGAATTCATTATTCATCCTCCCGATGTCCCCTACATTTACGTATTGAGAAATCCTCCTGTAACTGATATGAACACTTCCATGACTTCCGTCTACACTGCTATCTTGTACAATGGTTCCTACGAAATCCGCGTGAACGGAGAAATAAAAGCAAAAGGTGATATCCAAAAGGACTTTGACCGTACACCTCTCTCCCCCAAAGCAAGAAAACTTTATAATACCGATACAATAACGCCTCCGTACGCCCTCATCCCGCATAAATTATCAGCCGTCAGTTTAAACGTTTGGAATCAGAACAAGGATGTATATGTAAACAATATCTTTGTCAGTCTTAACGTTAAGGATGCTGAAGATTTTGTCAACCAAACTTACGTCGTTAAACATCTTTTAGAATCTCAAAACAAGACAGAAGGCACACCTATTTACGAGTTGCTCTTCATTCTCCTTAAAGACAGTATGGAAAAGCTGTTTGAGCTTTTGCGGTATGTAAAGGTTCACTATATGTATATTTGGAGCGAACCCCTATACGACAAATTCCAGCATTGGTCAAGTAATCATCCATCTATGGTTCAGTACTTGCCTACAGTCATCTTTGGTTCTTTGATTGTTTTATGCCTGGGAACTGCAATGCTTCGTTAAATAACCACCTTTGCCATACAATGACCTTCTATCGCAGTACGCGATGATAAAGCACAGCGTAAATTTACTTTTATATACAATCTTTGGCCATGCATTTATGAGTGCTGGGGATCTTTTTCTAGATTACACGAAACATAAAAGGTATCAAAGCAATTTGATACGTTCATAGTCTTTGGAAATAAAACAAACCAACTGCTATCAAAATGATTGATATTATACATTAGAGAAATATGTAATCTCCCCTTGTTATATTCTGTAACGTAAGTAACCAAGCAAGTCATTCTACTATTCTTCATGAACCTCTTCCCTGAAACCATGTTACAGCAATGCCTTTCGGTGAAAAAACTCGTTTGTTCTCCAATTTTTAATTCATGTTCTACTATTTTGATGCGAATTTCTGCATATTCAACCAATTCTGCAAGCAATCCTGATGAATTTTCATTCGGTGGATTACGGATATCAACTCTGGTAAATGCAGCTGAAAAGTCGCAGAAAGAGGTCCTTAAAAAGAAAACGGCAGAACAGGAAAAGCAGAAAAGACTATCATTAAAAAGCAAGCCGAAAAACGCACTGAACCAAGGCCGCTCGAATTATCCCAATAAGACATCACAAAATCAAGTTCGTTTACCACATCGACGTCCCACATCGACAACATTTGGAGCAGGAAAAGACAATACTTTGAGTACTACAAAAGTCGCTACGCTAACGGCTTTCCCGAACACTCACTTGAAATTAGACATTTGGGGAACAGAAGATGAAGCAACAAAAAATGAGTCAATTTCCAACTTAGCTAAGGAGTTTTACGAAAGAAAGAATATGCATAAGCAAGTACACGATGAGTTTCTGCGTCAAAAACCCAGATCCAAACTCCGTAAGTCTACACTTTCTATCAACCATCCATTCTCCAATTTACGGAATCGTCAGCGAACTAGGAACGGTGATGAGGAGGAACGAATTTTCGTTACACAAAACATGTTAGCCCCATACCGTATCCCGTCGCTTAACAGGGAAATTCTTCGCCATAATTCCCTATGGACACCTGCGACTCCTTTAGGTCAAATTCATATGATAGAAGCGCTTCAACGATTGGAAGCAATGAACACTTCGGTAAGCCCCTCGGCAAGCGCCAAAAGGCCTATTAAGGCATCATGAATGTTTGTATAAGCTTCTTCATTTATGGCTTCTTAATTCGACTCTCACATTCCATCTCACCACGAGCAAACTTGAATCATAAAGTGAGAAGCAAATAACATAACCGGTCCCTTTTTGGCCATCAGTACTAGTACCAACATTTGTGAATACACAAACTTTATTATACTTGAGATCTGTTTGCAGCTATTTTCTTACCCGTCATTTTTTTAAGAACATGTCGTATTTGTTGAAAAAAGCACAGAAAAACATTTTGGACGTAACAGAGAATTCAGAAGATGCCTCTACGAAGAAAGGCTATGAACTTGCTGTTGATGAGAAGCTTGAGAACTGGTCGCTTTATTTTGAGGAAGAAGTTAATATCTCTACGGATGCCGGTACGATTCATGGATTTTATACCGCACCAAAAAAAGATGGCTGCCTGTTCGTTTTACAACATGGGGCGGGTTCTAGTGCAATGTCTTTTGCTCCTGTTGCCCGCGAATTAGCCAAAATGAGCGACAATCAAGTGGGAGTTTTGTCCGTGGATTTACGAGGCCATGGCGAAACGGCTTTAACTCCTAATACAGATTACTCATTGAGTACATTAACGAACGATCTTGTCCATGCACTGCAATTTATTAAGGAACGTCTTATGCCGGGAACTCAGATGTTTCTTGTCGGTCATAGCCTAGGTGGTGCCGTCTGTGCAACATTGACATACGAACGGCTTGTTCCCGGTATTAACGGCCTTGCTGTTCTTGATGTTGTCGAAGGGTCAGCTATCGAAGCTCTTGCACATATGCAGCAATACTTGAGTACACGTCCCAAGAAGTTCAGATCGATCAAGGATGCCATTACCTGGCACCTGAAAACTCTGACCATTCGCAACAGCAATTCGGCCAATGCAACTGTTCCATCGTTGTTACAAAAGAACAGCGATAACATGTATGTTTGGCGTACGGATTTGCTTGCTACATACCCGTATTGGTCAGAATGGTTCACCGGATTAAGTGACAAATTCTTGGGTACTCGAGGCGGCAGATTGCTTGTTCTAGCTGGAACAGATCGTCTTGACAAGAAGCTAACAATTGGACAAATGCAAGGAAAGTACCAGCTGGAAGTTTTGCCTGAGACCGGTCACTTTTTACATGAAGATGCACCTGGAATGATCTCTGATTTACTCATTCACTTTTGGCATCGTAACCAGCCATTGAAGCTTCCTCCTAAAGTTGGTCAATCTCGTTTAACAGCATAATGTTGTTTTTAGCGAATTATCCTTTGGACATACCCTAGGTTTTACCACTCCCCTATACCAAGGAATCCATCACTCAACTGCCAACAAGCACCATTGTCAGAAGAAACGCCCTTTTTATGATTTAAAACATTATTTGACGTTGGAATAGTCCTCATAAGTACAGTTTTCTTCATTGTAGTGTGTTCTACCTTTATGGAGTTGCATTTCTTATAATTTTTATTACAAACAAATTACATCCTTGGACGTACGAATTAATGAACCATGTCTTCTGTTATTACACAAACACAAGAACTATCTTCGTATAGCCCGTTTCTGTACCCAGATTTTGCTCAACACAACCCGAGACTACAGCTACATACTCGAAATGTATCATTTGATATTACTCGTAACCAATTGCTTTTAATGCCTGAAAGCTTGCTAATAAGCTTATTTCCGCGAGGATTGATGCTGGATTTTGCTCTTCAGGAATCGGGAAATGCTGTTCCTCCGCTTGAGACTGCGGATTTTGACCCTGAACTCTTGTCTCACATATTGGACACGTACATCAATGCCTATGAAAAGGCTTCTCAGCATCCAGAGCTGCTCCCGATGCCACCTCCAGGCTTTCCTGGACGTTGCGGTATTATTTTTCTGCGTGAAGACATTGAATACTATGTACTAGAAGACGACTCTCCCTACACTGTTCGCAAATCCATACATCTTGACTTCGAAGGAAAACGTGCGGCAAAGCGGAGGATCGGAAACCTGCTTTTGCAAAAGAAACGAATCTTTGATGGTCTTATCGAAACCGGGGCAGAATCGGAGAACTCCACAGAAGCACATTTAGTACGTATGTTGTGTTACTGTGGTTTTACAACCAATCAAGAGTGGCAATACCGTATGCAAGAACAATCGAGAACATGTATTACTTCGGTGTCAATTGTTAATCTCGATTTTTCCGCCGATGAAGGTGACGAAAATGATCCTTCATACGTTCCTGTCTATCACAAACTGCTTCTTTTTTGGCGTAAACCTGCCCGTAAATGCTGGTGGACATCCAAATTACGCACAGAGGTGAAGGGAGTTCCATGCAAATCCTGGGTTCGTCGTGTCTGGACGCTCGAGCTTTCAGTGTTCGGCGAGCCTGGCACCAAAGAACCCATGCACCTACAGCAGGATCCTATGGAATCTGAATCTAATTCAAGCTTCGAGACGCCATCCTCACAATCATTAACGTCCCTATCTACAGAGATGCAAGAACAGAGCTAATCCGTTGGTCGTCTACGGTCAAAGCGCATGACACGAAACTATGAATGGGTAGCGTTTATTCTTAATTTATGAGGTGGGTATGATTGGAAAGTGTTTATTAATTGAAAATGATTAGCATTATAAAACGTAACGAGCGATAGGAGGGCGGAAATGAATATCGGGAACTAGTATTTTGAAAAAGGATAACACCGGTTTGAACAGAAGGCATTGCAAGGTTTTGGTGCGAACTCATTGAATCTCAAGTTTTGTAATTCTGTAGTGTGTTAGTAATGTTTTAGGATTCAGATGGTTTCAGCAAGACTTACCGCAAGACTGTGTAGTCTTGCACATGGCGCAGGACTCGGTCATGACGATGTCTCCGTTTGTGTTTAACACGGACACTTTCCGCGCTCTTCGGTTTACCAATAACAACAGCTTCAATAGAAAAGTAATCAGGATCAATCCATGGTTTACCCTTCACCGTAAAGTCTCGCGAACCCAGCGACGAAACCTTGTCCAACTTCAATGTATCACCAACATTTACACCCTTCAAACGAAACGGTAAGGTTACTTGATCGCCTTTGGTAACAATAAAGTGACGATCGTAAATATGCACATCAGCGTAGTGTTCAGGTTGTTGTTTTATTGAGTCTAAGATCTCACGAGCTTTGTTGGCCTGAGCACGTTCACGAATAAGGTTCAAGGCAGAGCCGGCCTTGAAGAAACCAACTTGATCCTTACTCATAGTGTGGTTGCAAGGAATCTCAACCACGGAACCATCCTTCTTGGTGACAATCAACATTACGGGCTTGCTCAAATCTCCGTTCAGCAAATCGACGACACCCTTCGTAGAAACGATATCCTCGGCATCAATTTTGTCATAATCAGCCTCGTTGGCGAAAGTAAGAGGAAGAATGCCTTGCTTCTTCAAATTGGTCTCATGAATACGAGCAAACGATTTGGTCAAAATGATGCGTCCACCCATGGCGCGGGGTTGAAGAGCAGCATGCTCACGAGCGGAACCCTCACCATAGTTATGCTCGGCAACAACCAACCAAGGTTGGTCGGCCTTCTTCCACTTCCACATCAGTTCGGGAATGGTCATACCCTCGCCATTGTCATATGCACGGTTCACTTCTCCAGTAGCAGCATTGACAGCACCAATCAAGGTATTGTTGCAAATGTTGCTCAGGTGACCCTTGTACTTCAACCACTTACCGGCAGCAGAAATGTGATCAGTAGTACACTTACCCTTAACCTTCACAGCAACCTTGAGGTTCTCCATCTCACCACCAGGGTAAGCATCAAAAGGCTCAAGAACCTCTAAACGATCCGACTTGGGATCAATGGTGATTTGAGTAGAGGGAACGGGTTCAGGGTTAGCAGGAGGAATATAAGAAGTGTTACCGGCATCAAAACCAGCACTTGGCAACTCCTGTCCCTTGGGAGCTTGGAATTTGAAGGGCTTTCCCTCGGCATCCACAAGGGTATCCTTGGCTGGGTTAAATGCAAGGCTGTCGGAGAAAATCTTGGCTGCGACGACAACGGGACTCGTAAGGAAATTCATAGTGTTGCGGTTTCCGTCGTTACGAGCACGGAAGTTACGGTTGAAACTTGTCAAAATTGCATTGGGCTCACCGTCGGGAATGTTGTCATTGCGTTTCCACATACCAATGCAAGGACCACATGCGTTGGCCAACACAACTGCTCCAGCCTTTTGAAGCTTCTTGGTGAAGCCATCACGCTCGATGGTAGCACGAATTTGCTCACTACCGGGAGTAACAAAGAACGGAACCTTAGGCTTGAGACCAGCCTTTGTGGCTTGTTCAACCACATCAGTGACACGAGACATATCCTCGTAGGAAGAGTTTGTGCAAGAACCGATGAGACCAGCAGAAAGCTTTTTAGGCCAGCCGTTAGCTTCAACGGTCTCACCAAATTTACTGAGAGGGGTGTTCAAGTCAGGAGTGAATGGACCATTCAAAGAAGGTTCGATTTCAGACAGGTTAATTTCGACGACCTTGTCATAAACAGCTCCCTCATCAGCAGCAAGATATTGATGTTCTGCGTTGGCCTTGTCCGCAGCATCAGCAACAGGACCACGACGGGTAGCTACGAGGTAGCGACGCATAGAGTCTGTGTAAGGGAAAATGGAAGTAGTAGCGCCAACTTCAGCACCCATGTTACACACAGTAGCCATACCGGTACAGCTAAGGGAATCGACACCAGGGCCGAAGTATTCAATGATATGACCCGTACCACCACGCACAGTGAGTTTGCCAGCCAAATGAAGGATAAGGTCCTTGGGCGTAGCCCAGTCTTGGAGCTGGCCAGTGAGCTTAACACCAATGATCTTAGGAGCCTTAACTTCCCAAGGAGTTTGAGTCATAGCATCAACTGCATCAGCACCACCGACACCAATGGCAATCATACCAAGACCACCAGCGTTAGGAGTATGTGAGTCTGTACCCAACATCATACCACCAGGAGCGGCATAGTTCTCCAAAACAATTTGATGGATAATACCACTGCCAGGGCCCCAGAAGCGAATGCCGTACTTCTTAGCGGCACTCTCCAAAAAGTCAAAAATCTCCTTGTTGGTCTTGATACTAGGAGGAACATCCCGACGCTCACCACGTTCACCGACAATTAAGTGGTCACAGTGAATGCTGACGGGAAGAAGTGCACGATCCAGACCACAGGTCATGAATTGCAAAATTGCCATCTGAGCTGATGCGTCTTGCATGGCGACGCGATCAGGGTGCAACTTCAAATACACGTTTCCGCGGATTTGGGAAGTCGTAGAACCAACTAAACTCTCTTCAACGTTCGCTAAATGAGAGTAAAGTACCTTCTCAGCAAGCGTAAGCTTTTCGCCGGGAAGCACCTTACGAACATGCTCGAGTTGCTTTACCAACTTTGCATAGGGAGGTGTAACAGCAGCGGCAGCTTCTGCGGCTTGAGCGGAAAGAAACCGCTTTCCTTCAGCGAGTCTAAGACCGCGTTGCAGACCCTTCAAACTGTGTCGAATGTGACACTGGAACTTGGCCAACGTCGCCATTGTTTGTTGTGGAGGTTTGCTGAGGTTAGGAGCGGCAGCAAATAAAAGGAAAGATATATCAAAAGTTGACCGCAGCATTATTACCATATATTAACATTCAAAATTTACTAAATATTCTAATGTCTCTGATGGCTGTATATGAATGTACATTTTTTCTTCAAGATTGACACGGCGACGAATGAAATCGTTTGGAAACAAATCTCGAAGGTAAAGTGCAAGTCTTTTATAAATACATTCTTTGTAAATATAGTTTTTATATTCTACGTATTTAATTCATACGAGACGAAAGTATATTTTTTTCATGTATTTTTATTACTTTTGCTGTTTGCATAGCTTATTTCTGTTCCCGATCGCCTACCATTCCACCTGACAAAAACAAACAACTTGATAGTGCACCGCCGAAGCAATAACAACACGAAATACCGCTTTTCTTCCCATAACTCTCTTTTAAAATTACTGCGGCATATTGTGAATCGGGAATATCACTCAATTCTTTAACAATTGGCGTTGTTTTCTTGTCATTTTCACCGCAAATTAGAACGAACAAAAAATTAGATTGAAGAATTTCGGTTCTCAAAAATTAGCGATCGCAAAAGAGAGAATCGATTAGATAGAACTGCACACGATAGAACTGCGAGAAACAGTATAACTGCTTGACATTTAAGAATATGTGCGACGATAGACGAAACGAACCTTCGGCTATAGGATCAGGGTCCTACCTCTCCATGATGTCTCACAATTCATTTTGGTCGACTGACCTGGACGCATTAGAGGAACAGAAGCCTGTATTGCACGACGGTTCTTCTTCAAAAGGTTCAGGACATTTAGAAGGTGCTTTTGATTTAGAAGAATTTGGTGCAGTCGTTCCAACTGCATCGTCAAGTTCCACTAAACGAAGCAGTCAAATCCTGGATCACCTTAGTATACGGGGTCCAGGGTTAAGCGATGAAGCCGAAGCCGACGGTTGCAACACGCCTGAATTAAGTGAATCTTGCACCAGTACGAATATGCATGAGCCGGTCCCTGATTTTAGAGGAAGCGTTGTGATTCTTGATGATTCCTCGAATTGTCAACACCCGAAATCGATTACCAGGTGCAAGAAGTGGGCTGCAAGGCTACGAAAGATCTTACGCAAAGATAAACAACCATCATTGCCTTCTGTGCCGTCATCTTTTGCAGCTTCGGCAGCGCAATCAATGAACTCGTCTGCTAGTACGAGTACTGTTTTCCAGCGCTTACTGCCATCATCACTTAGAGGAACAAGTTGTTCTCGCACTCAAAAGAATCCAGTACATTCAGACCCGTCTTCTATGATTCACTCTTTAGATTCATTAAAGCCGTCATCGCGATCTTCGTCAAGGGTCGCCGACTCTAGAACGGCATGTTCTTCGTCTACCGACTTGATGGCAAAATCCATGCTAATGGATAAAATGGTTGAGGAGATGCTTCAACTTGATTCGGCGTATGACGCGACAGAAAGCGAAATGCTTGAGTCTGGTTGGAACAGTTTAGACGAGGTCCGGATGGTGCATCATAAACGTTTGCATGCATGGGCACACTGGCGAGAGCAGTTTAAACTGTTTGCCTGATGTTATGCTTCTTAAAAGTTTTATGTGGTCATGCGAGTACTTTGTTGCTTTTGTTTGTCTTTCTGCTTCTGTTGTTATGTCCGTTTGTTTTTATTTATTCCCTTTTATGTTGGAAATATTTGTCTGCAACGTTTCTTTTTCCGACCTGTATATCTAAAACATTTTCTTTCTTTGAACGTTTCCTGTTGTGCTGGACTTAGAGCACAAATTATATCTACTTCATCCTTTCTCTGTCTAAAAAACAAAGAACATACGCAAATACTCGATCTACGCTCTCTTTCCCTTTGTTCTCGATTTTGTTTCTCCTTTCCCAAGTCAAAGCTGCTAAAAATATCAAGAATGCTCTTACCACAAAAAACCAACCCCTTCTAAACAATGCCCCTCTTCCACTAACCGATACATCCCTCCCCTATTACACAGATTACTAGTACCATGCAACGGATCATTATTGTTGTACAGATGTTTCGTTAAAGCAACCAGCCCAACTGCGAATACAGACTGCTAAGGAACTACTGCTGCTAGTTGGCGGGCACCAGGGATACTGACCTTTTCGCGTCAAGGGAGACAGAAGCAATAAAACACCTGACAATGGTAGACCCACAAATATTCATCCGGTAAGCTGGTTCTAGTCTAAGATCTAGGCTTCTCCTTCTTCTCGTGGAAGAGAGCGGACAAACCGACACCAGCGACCTTGACGACCTTGAAACGGACACCAGGAATATCACCCTTAGCCTTGCCCTTACGACCGAAACCGGAAAGAAGGACCTCGTCGTTCTCATCGACAAAGTTCAAACAACCGTCATTGGGGACGAAAGCGGTACTAGCAGGGTCAGTAACGAGAACTAAACGATAGAAATGGAAACGGACAACCGGGAACGAACGCATTACCAATCCCGGTCATCCACTCCGTCGTTTTAACTTACACCTTCTTGCCGTTCTTGATCAATTGAACACGGACACACTTACGAATGGCAGAGTTAGGTTGCTTGGCCTCAACACCAATCTTCTCGACGACAATGCCCTTGGCGTGAGAGGAACCGCCAAAAGGAGAGGACTTGTAAGCGGTACCGAGAAGGCGCTTCTTGTAGTGAGCATCAGCCCAGCGCTCCTCACGGCGATGGTTGCGAAGCTTGCGAGCAGCGTTCAGACCAGCGGGTTTACCCATGATATGTGCAATGTCAAGGTAGTACTGTTTTGGTGGTTTACTGTTCAGACAACACTGTGACTGTCATTTTTTGCATAGGTTAGGGCAAGTGTTATATCGTTGAAGTGCGCAAATGTCTCACTATTCTGGTTTACACTATGTCTTGTGACTCAGTAAATTATTGCAATACTGAATTTGACAATTCGTGTCGTTGTTAATGATGGGTTTGAATGATTGCTCAATTGCAACAAAATTGTTGAACGAGAAAGACGCTCAACTTTTTTTTTCTTATTTATTCTTATTTTTTACAAAATTAATCATCTTTTCTACTGTAATTGCATTTTAAAATATAAATAAGAAAGAAAAAAAGATTAGTGCTACTCTTTATACAACACCTTTGTTCAAAAGTCGTAAGGGGCATTTACTTGATTACAGAATAGGTTGAATTGTTCATGTCTTTTCTCACTTTTTCGTATCAATAATCACTAATTTTTATTTCTAACTATTCCTTCGTTTGCACTTCGGTTTGTAGCATCCAATGTTTAAAGAAAGGCCCCTTCCTTCTCGTTTAAACTTAAACCGACGACTAAAGGTGGGAAGTGTTATTAAGGGAAGATTATAAAGTTCAAGTCAACAATTAATCTCGAGACCAATAACACACATCATTCAATTGAACAGCGATTCGTTTGTTTCTTACAACCTTAATAGAACAATTGCACGTTCTTTTACACGGTTACGGCTAAATTCTCTGCCTCCACCCTGTTGTCTTAGCTCAAACCTTTTGAAAAGCCATTACAGAGAAACAGCGTGTTTTCATCGAAGACGCTGCTTTAACTAAATCTAGTCGATATGGATATCCTTCAAAAGGGCTATAATGTTATTTTGGCACCTCCAAAGGTTCAACAGGCTGATGAAACAATCTCAAAACTTTGTGACCGTTTAGAACATGCTACACTGTTTGAAGACAGGAAGGCTGCAATTCTAGGGCTTAAAAGTTTTTCGAAATCTTTCAAAGAAGTACGTTCTGTAAAAGTATCTATTCAAGTAGAGTCATAATTACTAACTCGTCTTCGTAGCTTGTCGCAGCTCAAGGGCTTCGTGGCATTATTCAATCTTTGCAACGGGATAAAGAGGATGTAGAGATCTTACGAGCTTCACTTGAAACATGCTTAGTGCTGATGTCTAATGATGATGAGGACCAGCTTTCAGACACTGCCTTGTGGGTTGCCGATCAATTCATTCTTCAGCCAGACAATATCAACGAGCTGCTCGAAAACGTTCAAAGCAGAGACTTTTTCGTTCAGCTATACAGCATTGAAGTATTTTCGTGTGTACTAGTCTGTAGACCTGCTGAGCTCCAGGATATTCTTTTAAAGATTCCCGCAGCTATCGCTACACTGCTACGGCCACTTTCCGATTCACATGATGCGCTTCGTAATGCGACCCTGCACTTCTTCATAAAGCTCGTATCTCATTCTCCTAATCTTCAGAAAGTCGCCGCTTTTGAGAATGCGTTTGACTATGCATTCGACATTTATCAGGAGGAAGGTGGAATTATTGGCGGCATGATTTCTTTAGACTGTCTAAAATTCATTTCTCTTCTACTGGAGGAGAACTCTTCTAACCAAAACTACTTTCGCGAGATGAACTTGTTCCCCAAAATTGCCTACCATCTAAATCTCGAAACAATTAATGATTCCCTTAAACTTCCACGCTGTGCTGATAATGTTATTGCGCTTCTTAAAATCATTCGGTTATTGGCTCCTTTGTACTCTCTTTCCAGCCGCAGCAATCAACTACAATTCATGCGTTGCGGTGTTATTGATGTGGTTCTTCGACTGGCTTTTGGAACCACTACATTTCCTACTGATATTTGCGTTGAAGCTTGGACCTCTTTAGCACACATTGTTCACGCAAATGCTGATACCCAATTAGCCGTTTATCAAAATGGATACTTTACGGTTTACGATTTAGATGCTTTTAATGCTTTCCTCCATGTGATCTATGACAAACATTTAGAGGTCAATCATCGTTATGCGGCTGTTTTTTGTCTTCGTTCTCTAACAACTGAAAACGATGATCTGAAAAACTTATTTTTAGAGCAAACACTTAAGGCTTACGCAAATCATGACGACGGTCAAACAAATTTGTTGGAAACATATCTCAGTCTCGGCTTATTTGAGAATTCCAAGACCTATGAATGCTGGTTTACTAGCGTTATTCTTTCCTTGCTTATTTTCGACAGTCCGGAAAGAAAAAAGAAGTTATGTTCCGTTACCATCCATTGCGAGACTGACGAGGAAGAGGCTGTAACTTTTATACAAACACTATCAACCAAACTTATTGCTGTTCTTCGACACAATGATGCGTTACAAACCGCAGTTGGCTACCTAATGCTTTTGATACTTATGATGGCTAACGATGCTGATTGCGTGAATGACTTTTTATCTGAAGGCAGTGTTCTACAAATGCTCGTCGGAACATTAATTGATGAGTCATCTTCAGCTAACGCTACTATTCAGGGTTTAATTGCAACGTTACTTGCAGTTGTCTACTATTATTGCCCAGAAAACTCGCCGATCTCGAAGTCTAACATTTATGGCATTATAGATTCAATGGTAAAACGTGACATTTTTGTTCACAGACTGTTACGCCTACGACAATCTGAACAAATCAGAGATTTTGTATCTTTCGATCAAGATAATCATTGTACAACATTACTCTTTGACGACTTGTTTATCAATTTTTTTAAAGATAATTTTGAGAGAATCAAGAAAGCTATCGATACTGCTGCCACCGAGTTTCACGTTGAAATAGACGGCGTGAAAATTCATGATCTCCTGGACCATGCTAGGCAAGAATTAAGGGAACTTCGCGCAGAAAAAGAGTCGATGTATGAGGAAGTACAGAATTTGACCGAGAAGTGTGACTTATACAGAAAACAATCCGACGCAGTCAACAGTAAATTAGAGTCTCTTCAAACCGAGTCTAGCGAACAATTACAAGCCTATGCTTCTGAGTTGGAAGAACTGCGTAATTCGTTACACAAAGAGATTGTTGAGCATGAAGTAAACAAATCTACTGTGAAGAGCTTGGAAGACGAAATTCTTATACTTCGGAAAGGACATGAGGATGAGATTAAGGGCTTCACCGAGGAGAACATGTCGTTAAACGACATCGTAAAAGACTTGAAAACAAAGTTAACCACTACGGAACAATATTGTCGGGATGCAACAGCTAAAAATAAATCCATGGAGAAAGAACTGAAGGCTTTAGAAAAGCAAAATGAGAGGTATCGTCAGGACATCGAAACTACAAAGCAACTTTTGGAAAAGAGTAATGCAAAATTGAATGCTATCACTAAGCAACTTAACGATGAACTTCAAGAAAATGAAGAGCTGAAGAAGAAAAATATCTTCTTTGGACTTGCAATTGCAAGAGTTTACGGATACTTGTGAAAAGCAAAAAGCTAATTTGTCGAATCTGCAATTGCAATTCGCAGATAAGTCTAAGCAATGTTCTGCACTCGAAGAAACGTTAAAGAACAAAGAATTGGAATTAAGTTCATTGAAAGATACCACTAAAAATCAACAGAACGAACTCCGGCTCTCTAAGAAGAAGTACAAAGAAGCGACTGCAGCTGTTGATGAACTGAAAACCAAAAATACTGATAATTTGAAGAAGGAGGAAGCCCTTGAAAAACGGGTAAACGAACTTGAGGGTATTGTTGCTAAAAGAGAAGACGAGATGAACGATCTGAATACACAACTGGAAAACTTGAACGCTATGAAGAAAGAAAACTCGGAACTGAAGTTAAAGAATCTGGACCTTCAATCCGAATTAACTTCTGTAAAAGAACTGAAAGACGCTACGGAAAAAGAGAACAATGAACTCAGAAAGTCATCGTCTGTCGCCTCAAACCAAGAATCGGAGTTTGCTAAGTTGAAAACACGCATCCAGGAAATGGAAGCTGCACTTAAAGAGGCAGAAAATACTGCACAAGCTTTAACACAAGAGAAGGATAATCTTGAGCAAAAAGCCAAAGAATCGGACGAATCTTGGTTATTAATTCTCGAGGAGATGGAGAACAAGCGGAAACGGGACAGAGAAAGACTGAAGGAGTTGGGACAAGAAGTTTCAGAGGATGAAGACAGCGCCGAGGAAGACGATGAGGAGGCAAATGTCTAGTTAAATATTTCCACACCTAAGTTATTGGTATAATTCATTTCAGCATTTATTACATTCGTTGTAAGCTCATTCTTCGCTAACCCAGGATTGAGCTAAGTTCCAGTAGTGTTCTGCATTGCCCCTTTCTTTCAGGATCTCGACCGCCTCTGCATCAGAATGACTTGTTCTGAAGGACCAAAACTTGAAGAGTCGGTTACCAATTTGACCCTCCCAAAGAAGGATACATTTGTTTTGATTATAATCCAGCTCCTTTCCATCCGCTCCAACAAGTTTATGGTTTTGGGCAAGAATAGAATTTCGTGAAGTATCAGTCCAGTTTATACGATCGAGCATCAATTTTTTGAACTTTTTAACAGCCTTCAGTCCCCCTTCTACGACTACAAGATTAAGGTCGGGATGCAAAAGACAAATGCCTGTTAAACCCAGCTGTTTCGCATTCAGATCGATTTTTAGTCTGTGGGGCCTGTGTGCAAGATAATCAATTCTATCAAGTTAGCATTCGTTTTAACCATTGATTTGACTTTTTAAAAGTGTTACGTACCGGAACACCAAGCTGTATAAGCCACGAGCAGCATCCTCCTCAAGTTTTCGAGCGGCTTTCTCGGCTCGCTCTTCATCTGTAAGTTTGCGCTCCTCGTTCTGTTGTTCATGCTTTAAACGACGTTCCTCGATTTGACGTCGCACTTGGGCTTCCACTTTAGTTGGATCTTTTATAGCTTCATTACCAAGCACTTTCATCAAGTTCGACAGTTTTACCTTGGGAGGCTCTGGAGGTTCCAAACCTAATAACTGTCGATCTTGTTTTTCTTTTCGAGCTTCCGCTCGAGTTTGTCGACGTATTTTCTTTTGCTCCTGTAAACAATGTTAGTAATGCCTAGTCACATATTCGACATAATCGCTCAACTTACCTTTTTAGTTAAGTAAATGGCTTTCTTGGTAGTGCCTTCCGCAACCTCTCGTTTTATTGGTATGGGTATTTGAATAAGATCATTTATCGTGTGTGATATATTTTCATAACCTCCTTCTATTGCAGTTTCATATGCAGTATTTTCCGATAAAAAAGATAAATCCCACCATTCTACCAAAGGCGGTTCTTCCTGCTGCGTAGCTTTCTCCGCAACTGTGAGCCCTTTTGCAAGACCCGTTTTTTTTGACTGCAATTCAATTTTCTTTTTGAGCTCTTCGAGCCTTGCTCGACGACGCAGAGCTTCCGCTTCTTGTATATGTTTTCCATGCTCAGTGAATTGCAATTGTCTTGAGCGTCTAGTTCTTTTCACAACTTGCGCTCGAGGATCAAAGAAGCCATCATCAACTCGAGTTGGTGGTGCTTCTAGCACTAAACCATGCCGAGTGGTTTGGTTTGAAGGGACCTTTTTAGACTTTTCTGTTGTGATGGTAGAAGCTGACTCTTTTTTGCTTTCTCCACGACTTCCCTTTGTGGATGACAATCCAAGATTCGTGTCTAAAAGAGCGGGATGGATACCAACATTTAATCCACCTTTTTGTTTCTTGTCATTGTCATTATTTTCTGGCTGTAATGTGCTGATTCCCTTAAGTCGCTCAGTCGTTCGTCTCTTTAAGTCTGCAATTCGATCCTGAATACTGTTATTTGTCGTTGGAATCGTCGATTTACCGGTAAGTTCTTTTTCCGACATTGTTTTAAGACGATTCTTCAGTTCTTCCCTTTTTCTCCGTACATTTTCCAACTATCGTTTTGTTAGCCTATTGTTCTTATAAACCACTTAACTGAATTACCATCACAGAATTTGAGGATGTGCTCCGTTTTGCTTCATGTTGTTCTTGTAAGTTCTCCTCGCGGAAACGTTTTCTTTGATTATCCATTAAAAGAGCAATTGAAACGTTTAAATGCACATACTAATGTTACGTCCTATATTACAAAAGTTAACCTTTCCAAGGAGAATCGAGGCCACCACCAAAAAATAAGAAGAGAATACAGAATCAATAAGTTAAGGGAATTACTTAGTAATAAAGTTGTTTCATGTGAACGTCAAAACTAAACGGTCTGAAACCAATGATTTTTTCAATGTTCTTTGCTACGTGGTTGATATTTGTTACTTGTAGTTATAAATTCATTTATTGAAATTGACAAAAAAACATAATTCTTCAAAGTCACATTTCCAATCCCCCCGTGTAATCTCATTTCTCATTTCATTGAAGACCATTTATTAACGGTTTCATATCAATTTTGCTGATCAGATCCAGCCAGGCTCAGATCGGATTTATACTCACCACTGCCTCAGAACCAACCATTACGTTAAGTGCAACAATATCCTTTCAAGAGCTCTTTAAAAAGGTGTTTTAGATTCAAGTATCATGGGTAATAAGTTAATTTTTTTGGGTACTGGTACCTCATCAAATATTCCGGTAATCTGCTGTTTAGTAGCAAAACCCCCAACATGTAATGTTTGTTTGGCAGCAGTTACTGAAGAAGGAAAGAAAAATAGAAGACGTAACACTAGTGTGATAGTTCAATTGGATTCCGAAAACGGTGAAAGACCCAAGACAATTCTTATTGATTGTGGAAAAAATTTCTATGAAGCTGCCCTTAATGTCTTTCCTAAAAATGGTCTCAGTGAGATAGATGCTGTTTTGTTGACGCACCCACACGCCGATGCTATAAACGGATTGGATGATTTGAGAGGTATCTGCTTAACTAATTACATTTATTTGAAGTCTGTTGGTAACTAACATATTTAGGCTGGACTATGAATGGCCCACAGAGCACTCTGCATATCTATTTGACACAGGAAACGTATGATACAATTGCAAGAGCAGCTCCGTACATGGTTGATGCTTCCAAAGCTACAGGAGGTGGTGATGTACCTGCTTTTACTTTCCATATTTTCTCACCCGAGAACCCTTTCAATCTTCTTACTTGTAATAACGTTCAGGTTACACCCCTCCCTGTTCATCATGGTTCGTACTTTGGTGAGCAAAAATCAAAACCATTTTGGTGTATGGGATTCCGTATTTGCAACTTGTCGTACATTTCCGATACCAACTTTATTCCTCCTAGCACAAAAAGTTTGATGGAGGGATCAAAAGTTGTGGTACTGGATGCTCTTCGTTCGTTCCCACATGCTTCCCACTTCTCATTTGACCAAGCTCATGAGTTTGTAGAGTCTATGGAGAAGAAACCAAAGAAGGTTTTCATACTGGGTTCTGTCATCGTACAGAACACTCTGATATGGAGCGTGCATTTGCCAACTTAGAGCCTCCAACGAAACCTGCCTATGATGGATTGGTTGTTGAGCTTTAGAAAGAAGTGGTCTTCGTCTTCATTAAGATTTCCATGTAGTCTCATCTTAACTCAAACGTTTTACATATGTGCTTAATAGTTAAACCTTAAAGTTATTATTGTAATCATAAAATTGACAGTCAGAAAGAAAATCTTCGTACCGTGTTGAAAATTGGTTCAGCAAATATTGATTGCAACTATGTCGGCTGTAGTGGGTATAGCTTCTTTTTCACTACTAAACAATTATTTAACCCGAATTGTTTCAATTGATTTTCGGCCTAGCAGTGATGGAAAGGTTTATGAAAAAAAAATATGTAATACCGAGCGTTTAAATTAGCAATTAGTTTAATAAGTTCAATATTCCTAATTTCATTAGCATTGCAGGTTCATAAGCTTGTCCTTATCTTGGTTACTTGCTTTAGAAGCCTACAATTAGATAGGAAAGTTGCCATATAACTAGTATTCCACATTTAGCTTTGCTGTTTCTTCTATTTCTATACAATTACTTGTATAATTGTTTTCTTCAGACAGTTTTTTTTTTTTTTTTTGTTTATTATTATTATTGGTATATTTCTATGGCAGCATGAACGAGTTTATAATTACTTTTGCTTAGAAGCGCCATTCATTCTTACAGTTAGCAGACAAAGAAGCCCAATACCAGATATAATTGTACCAACAATCCAATTCATTCGGTATGCTTTTCCCATTTTATCCAGCAATTGACTTCTTTCATCTTGGGGGAAAGTATTAATTTGTTCATAAGACATATTCGACAGTGTATTGGCATTTTTTCCAAGCAGAGCTGCCAAAGTTTGTGAATAAACGACTTTTCCAACGATTACGCCAACGCTGCCACCTATGCTTCTAACAAACATAACAACCGAAGTAACAATCGCCATCACATGCACGGGCGTTGACGCCTGTGCTGCGAGAAGAGGGGGCAGAAACAGACATCCAGAGCCGATTGGATAGATTATACTAAGTGCAATAATCTTGCCGACGGAACTTGAGTAATTTAGATCCGTCAGTGCCCCCATACCGGCAGTCATAAATAACCACCCAATATACATAGGAATCATAAAGTTATTTGTTTTCTTAATAAACATACCTGTAAGAAAAGAGAATAAGGATACTAAAAACGCTGGAGCAATAATGTGAATGCCGGAAAATATGGGGGTGTCGCCTTTAACATTCTGATAGAACTCTGGTAGGTAATAATCGAAAAGCATATAATTGTAATTATGCAAGAAGACTGTGAATAACAACGCACATTTTGACAGACTATCAAACATGAACGTTGGAAGAATCTGATTTCTAGTAGTTTTGGTCTCACAGAAAGCACACACTATAAGCAAAATAACTCCAACTATGATGTAGACAAGCACATTCACGCGAACCCAGTCGTTATTTGTCGCACCAATGGAGAGCCCAAGTAATATGAGCACACTTCCAACAATGCACGTAGTAAGCCCAATAAAATCAAATGTCACCAGAAAGTGTCGGAACGTTGTTCGATCATGAACAGGGACATTAAGAAAGAATACAAGAATTGCTATAGAGATTCCTCCGGTAGGTAAATTAATGAAAAATATCCAACGCCAAGTTGTGCCTTGACATATAATGCCTCCTAAAAGCGGGCCGATGACTGAAGCGATCCCCCATACTGAAGCGATGAATGACGTGTAAAATGACCGATTTGCAAGCGAGGTAATATCAGAAATAACAATAAAACACAGCGACGTTATTCCGCCTGCTCCGACACCTTGAACAGCTCGACATATGACGAGCATGATCATAGAATTACTGGCGCCGCAAAGTGCACTGCCTAAAAGAAAGCACAAGATGCTACTGTACAACACGACTTTTCGACCAAGCATGTCTGAGGCAACACCAAGAAGGGGAAGGACAGCAGTCAATGCGAGTGTATATGCTGAGCCAATCCAAGAATAATCGACCTTGCCCGACAAGTCGTGCATAATGGTTGGGACAGCAGTGGTAACAATGGTACTGTCTAAAGCTGACAGAAACGTAGTCAGCAATATTCCGGTCATGACGACTGGCATGTTATTTTTAGGAATTTCATTTTCTTGGCTTATACTTTCTTTAATATCGCCTGACTGGTTTTCGAGATCAAGAACTGTTGATTTGCAAACTTCTGTAGCAGAAGTGTTGTCACACAAAATTCCATGTTGTCGGTTCATAGACATGCTATTTTCCGAAGAAAACGATATAGCGGAAGCGTTCATTTTCCAGCCAAGGGCGATGGATCAGTAATTGGGTTTCAATAGATATATGTATAAAAGCAAAATAAAGGAGCAGGTGCTTCTGCTATAAAAGTTGTACACTTAAAATGAAACACACCTTTGTGTTATACTGAAAAGAGCTTAAGATAATCGATTATGTTAGTAACAAGAAGAATACGAATGGAAAAACCGTAAACCCTATATGTGAACTTTGGTGCTTTTACGTTGATTGACGTTACTTGACTTGCACACTGTCTTAATTGAAGTAAGAAAAATAATTGTGCACACAAGGTGATTTCTTTTCTGTCATTCTAAACAGTCTCGCATATTGATTCCTAGACGGTAAGCGAAGGTGCCGAAGCTTAGTCATATTCTCTCTTCCAATCATGTTGTAGACTCCGACCGCTTACAGTTATTAATAAATTTTAACTCGTCGCCCGTTAAACAGAGCCGAATGTTTAATTTATGTATCCTATTAGATTATTCATCGCCAACTTTATACTATAAAGCTGAACGCGCCGAACATGTGCGATGAAATGAGAAATACGATACGCATCTTCTAATTGTTAGGCTCGAGGAAAACTTATAAGATTTGGATTGCAAATAGAGTGAACTTTTAGTGAGAATGATTTCAGGTATACAAATAAGGAGAACAGTTTAGTTACGAAACGAAGCTGGACTTGAAGAAATTACCTTTTTCGAGTTGCTTCAAGGGCTAACCTAATTTAGATAGCTTTTTCTCGATGACTCATTCATTTACAATAAGGAACGACTTTATACGGCATGGTATAAATTTATTTCGTTATTCTACTTAGCGTGTAAATTTGTTAACTTTATATACTGTCTGTAAACAACAAAGTTATGGATAATACACACACATCGACGTTGCCTATTTGATATATCATGTATGCTTGAGGTCTTAACTAAGTTAACTGAAAAATTTCTCTTGCTCAGCTATAATGAAACTGATTAATTAGATTTGTTTTGCTTTGTCCTTACTAAAACTTTCTTCTTACAATATAAGAAATTACATTATTACAATTTTGCATTTATTTAAGATTGTGCTTGTACAAGACGTTTAATGCATGATCTTATCTGATATTATTAGTCGATCAAATTCTTGGTCAATAATTGGATAGTTTATTATTCATGCGAAGTTTAGTATCAACAGTTTGTGAGTGTGTTTCAGCCATTACCATTATGTCATCAACAGTTGGCTTTTCGGCTTTATAAATTCCTCTGCGATTCACGTTTGGCGTTCGTAATTATTCTTATTTCAATAACAGTTTTCACCGAATTTCAACGAGAGTCACTATGTCCGAGCGGTTAAGGAGTTAGACTTGAACTCGTTCAGGCATCTAATGGGCTATGCCCGCGCAGGTTCAAGTCCTGCTGGTGACGAAGCTCTTTTACTTCGCATTCTTCTATAATTTTTTGCGATGAAAAATAAGCCTTAGTTAAATTGTTTAATTTTAGTGAAAGGTTCTAACCCTCCGCGTGGGTTTATTCGTGTATCAAAATCATGGAAACAATAATTCTGCAAGGACCTTCTATTTGATTTATGAATCCATTCAATAATAATGACTGGAGCAATAATGTGAATGCCGGAAATATGGGGGTGTCGCCTTTAACATTCTGATAGAACTCCGGTAGGTAATAATCGAAAAGCATATAGTTGTAATTATGCAAGAAGACTGTGAATAACAACGCACATTTTGACAAACTATCAAACATGAATGTTGGAAGAATCTGGTTTCTAGTAGTTTTAGCTTCACAGAAAGCACACACTATAAGCAAAACAACTCCAACTATGATGTAGACAAGCACATTCACGCGAACCCAGTCGTTATTTGTCGCACCAATGGAGAGCCCAAGTAATATGAGCACACTTCCAACAATGCACGTAGTAAGCCCAATAAAATCAAATGTCACCAGAAAGTGTCGGAACGTTGTTCGATCATGAACAGGGACATTAAGAAAGAATACAAGAATTGCTATAGAGATTCCTCCGGTAGGTAAATTAATGAAAAATATCCAACGCCAAGTTGTGCCTTGACATATAATGCCTCCTAAAAGCGGGCCGATGACTGAAGCGATCCCCCATACTGAAGCGATGAATGACGTGTAAAATGACCGATTTGCAAGCGAGGTAATATCAGAAATAACAATAAAACACAGCGACGTTATTCCGCCTGCTTCCGACGCCTTGAACAGCTCGACATATGACGAGCATGATCATAGAATTACTGGCACCGCAAAGTGCACTGCCTAAAAGAAAGCACAAGATGCTTACTGTACAACACGACTTTTCGACCAAGCATGTCTGAGGCAACACCAAGAAGGGGAAGGACAGAAATTAATGCGAGTGTATAGTTGACCAATCCAAGAATAATCGCCTTGCCCGCCCCTCCGTGCATAATGGTTGGGACAGCAGCGGTAACAATGGTACTGTCTAAAGCTGACAGAAACGTAGTCATCAATATTCCGGTCATGACGACTGGCATGTTCTTTTTTAGGAATCTCATTTTCTTGGCTTATACTTTCTTTAATATCGCCTGACTGGCTTCGAGATCAAGAACTGTTGATTTGCAAACTTCTGTAGCAGAAGTGTTGTCACACAAAATTCCATGTTGTCGGTTCATAGACATGCTATTTTCCGAAGAAAACGATATAGCGGAAGCGTTCATTTTCCAGCCAAGGGCGATGGATCAGTAATTGGGTTTCAATAGATATATGTATAAAAGCAAAATAAAGGAGCAGGTGCTTCTGCTATAAAAGTTGTACACTTAAAATGAAACACACCTTTGTGTTATACTGAAAAGAGCTTAAGATAATCGATTATGTTAGTAACAAGAAGAATACGAATGGAAAAACCGTAAACCCTATATGTGAACTTTGGTGCTTTTACGTTGATTGACGTTACTTGACTTGCACACTGTCTTAATTGAAGTAAGAAAAATAATTGTGCACACAAGGTGATTTCTTTTCTGTCATTCTAAACAGTCTCGCATATTGATTCCTAGACGGTAAGCGAAGGTGCCGAAGCTTAGTCATATTCTCTCTTCCAATCATGTTGTAGACTCCGACCGCTTACAGTTATTAATAAATTTTAACTCGTCGCCCGTTAAACAGAGCCGAATGTTTAATTTATGTATCCTATTAGATTATTCATCGCCAACTTTATACTATAAAGCTGAACGCGCCGAACATGTGCGATGAAATGAGAAATACGATACGCATCTTCTAATTGTTAGGCTCGAGGAAAACTTATAAGATTTGGATTGCAAATAGAGTGAACTTTTAGTGAGAATGATTTCAGGTATACAAATAAGGAGAACAGTTTAGTTACGAAACGAAGCTGGACTTGAAGAAATTACCTTTTTCGAGTTGCTTCAAGGGCTAACCTAATTTAGATAGCTTTTTCTCGATGACTCATTCATTTACAATAAGGAACGACTTTATACGGCATGGTATAAATTTATTTCGTTATTCTACTTAGCGTGTAAATTTGTTAACTTTATATACTGTCTGTAAACAACAAAGTTATGGATAATACACACACATCGACGTTGCCTATTTGATATATCATGTATGCTTGAGGTCTTAACTAAGTTAACTGAAAAATTTCTCTTGCTCAGCTATAATGAAACTGATTAATTAGATTTGTTTTGCTTTGTCCTTACTAAAACTTTCTTCTTACAATATAAGAAATTACATTATTACAATTTTGCATTTATTTAAGATTGTGCTTGTACAAGACGTTTAATGCATGATCTTATCTGATATTATTAGTCGATCAAATTCTTGGTCAATAATTGGATAGTTTATTATTCATGCGAAGTTTAGTATCAACAGTTTGTGAGTGTGTTTCAGCCATTACCATTATGTCATCAACAGTTGGCTTTTCGGCTTTATAAATTCCTCTGCGATTCACGTTTGGCGTTCGTAATTATTCTTAATTCAATAACAGTTTTCACCGAATTTCAACGAGAGTCACTATGTCCGAGCGGTTAAGGAGTTAGACTTGAACTCGTTCAGGTATCTAATGGGCTATGCCCGCGCAGGTTCAAGTCCTGCTGGTGACGAAGCTCTTTTACTTCGCATTCTTCTATTATTTTTTGCGATGAAAAATAAGCCTTAGTTAAATTGTTTAATTTTAGTGAAAGGTTCTAACCCTCCGCGTGGGTTTATTCGTGTATCAAAATCATGGAAACAATAATTCTGCAAGGACCTTCTATTTGATTAATAAATCCATTCAATAATAATTAATTATCATCATAGTTAATTTTTCTTTCCGTTTGAACCCAGTATTAAGGTTTTCGCGAGTTTGATTAAGGTTTCGGCCCTGCAAATAAGCGAACAACAAAAATCTAATCTCTGCTGTATGTATCAAAATTACGTAGACCGGTTTAACAGGCAATTTAAGAATACTAATAAGAATACTAATAAACTTATGCCTAAACGTCGCAATTCATTGGTGATTTGTTCATTTAGTTAGTTTGTCTTTTACCGTGGTTTTCGCTAACACATATTAATAAAGCTAAGCGAACCTCAAGCAACAATTACTTCAATTTATGATTACGTTATTAATTAGATTTGACGAGTTAACGAAGACCCGTGCAAATGTAAAAGGGATACGACATAATGAATTTGTTGACAACAACTCTCTACTCAAAGTTATAAAAAATTTGTTTAGTAAGATCTTCTTTAATTTACTTTACTGAGAATATTATAGTAGCTCTCAATAATTAGTACTCATTTTTTTTAATTAGACTTTTTTATAGTATCATGGCTTATTGTTTACTGAATTTAGTAGTAAATAGTACCTGATATAGTCGCTACTTTGTTACTGCAAGCAATTCCACAAGAAAGAAGTAAATAATAACGCCTTTGCCAAATAATTCTGTTATTATAATACCATACTGGGTCAGTAACTCTAAACTTTCCCGTCGATCTATTGTCTTCAAGCAAATTCTTAGAATATTATTAATTCATTTTTATTTGGAATGCCTAATGAAACAAACTTAAACAGTTTATTCTTAAGCATATGGCGTCGTTGTTCTTGTGTAACAGTTCTTTTATTAGAAAATATTCATACTGGTAGAATGTGATCTGACAAACTTGTACACCTTGGGCTTTCAACGCAATGCTCGGATGCCTCAAATTATCAGTACATTGCTTGCTATTGTTTGATAACACTGGCGTGTCTGTTTAAGAAACACTAAAATGCTTTACTCGTAGTCATTTAGTTGGAAACCTAATTTAGCGAGACACGACAATTCCCTAAGCGACGAAAGAAAAAAGAAAAGAAACTGAACGCAGCAACAAAAACGAGAATAATGCAGCGAGCGAGGTTCGAACTCGCGCGTTTATCAACAGCAGAGTTTCCATCGACCGTTCAGTCAACTTAAATCTGCCCCCTTAGACCACTCGGGCATCGCTGCTTCGGATGCTCAGTGTGGTTCAGGCGACATTCTACAATTGAATGCTGTGTGTCAATAGACTATTACCTTTGAGAGTGTCTAACTGTGCAGCTGCACAGTGTGGACGATCTTTAGTTGCTACTAGCCTTTTTGAACTTTGCTTGGTCGCGGTGCTAAGAAGTTATTCTATATCTCAATTATTTGTTTGAGGAAATTAGTCGTCACTCTCACCTAAATTTCCATAGTGGAAAGAGGTTCTGTGTTGATGCCCAAGACATCAGCTATTGTTCCATTACCTCCCATTTACCGACTTTGTTGCAGAATCGTTTGCTGGAACCCAAGTTTCCACAGGAGAAGGAGTAGTGTGTGTAAAGTTTAAACGAATGTTCTTTAGAATCTAACGGTTTCAAGGTTTATCTCATAATATTAGTAGTTGAACATCATTATTGCCGACAATTTCGGCTCGTTTCCTTTTTGTTTGCTTCAATCTTTATGATCCAAGCGAGAAATAAATTGATTCGGATTATTGGGGAAAAGTTTCTTCTTTTCTTCCGTCTCGAATAGAGCATAATTATAAACGATCAATGTACCAAAACGAAATACTAGTGTAATAAAACACAAGTCAATAACAGTGGACTCATGACTAATTGACTACTCTTACAAATGACTCGTATATTCCTCCTTTAGCTAAATGATATGGTACTTTCTTCTCGTTCTTCTCGTCTTTTTTATGAATGTACGAAATGAGTTCTGAAATGGTTGCGATGTTACATTTTCGCCTTTACAATCAAATTTATACGTCATTTGCATATGTTAATTCTTGCCTTGCTTCTTATAGTATCTCATGACGTCTCTTTTTCTTCCAAGTTTTGCATAACATAATCTAGTAAAGCCAATGTGCAACGATTATTGCATGTCAATTACCAGAGACTGGTTGTTGAAATCAATCTTCTAAAACTAGACTAAATACTAATGATATAGCTTCACGTTAAGTATACACTCTACGGGAAGTTAAGTGTGAAGGTTCAAAAACTTGCCTGTAGTTTAAACTTGCAAAGGCAGTACACAAATCCCAGAGTGTGAGGGCTCAATGACATTAGAACTAGTACATTCGTAGCTGAAAAGAAACCTAGCTCAATTACTATCAAACAACATTATTATAAAAAAAAATCAATGATGACTGTCCGACCAGTACTTTGTTATTTGCTACTTTTCAGCTTCAAGTGAACGTTATGTAATTAATTTGCTGTGACACAAATGTGTTTGTATAATCTCATCCTTATCGTCAATGACCGTAATCACTTAGAATTACAAGAATAACTAACTGTATGCACCAAGCGAAATCTGGATTTACACGATTTGTCAATACTAGTAGGTAGTGAGGCTTGAATCTTACTTAAATGTCTTCACACAGTTTGGGGATGTCACTTTGGTTGGTATTACAGCTCTCAGTATCGAAGACAGAGGCTTACTGACACACAGCATTCAATTGTAGAATGTCGCCTGAACCACACTGAGCATCCGAAGCAGCGATGCCCGAGTGGTCTAAGGGGGCAGATTTAAGTTGACTGAACGGTCGATGGAAACTCTGCTGTTGATAAACGCGCGAGTTCGAACCTCGCTCGCTGCATTATTCTCGTTTTTGTTGCTGCTTTCAGTTTCTTTGCTTTTTCTTTCGTCGCTTAGGGAATTGTCGTGTCTCGCTAAATTAGGTTTCCAACTAAATGACTACGAGTAAAGTATTTTAGTCTTTCTTAAACAGACACACTAGTTTTATCAAACAATAGCAAGCAGTAATGACAAGTTCCGTGGTATTGACTGCCTATTGTAGCAATTACGCTATGAACTATCTTATATTACAAGTTCTCTAAATTTTAACGTTGTGATATCTCAACTCGTTGAGAAAAAAGAAATGAATGCAAGGAACATGTTTAGGCCGCTAGTTTAGTTCAAAACCTAGGACATCCGAGGTCCCATTTTTCATGTTTAATCAAAATAGAAATATCGTACATTAGGTTCGCTAGATACAAACCTTAAAACACTACCAACAGAAATCTAAAAAAAAAGGTTAAATTGCTGAACAAAATTTTGGCGAACGGTCAGTACTAACTTGAAATGGTATTTGTAATAGTTTTTAGGCTTTAAAATGTATTGGTGACTGTAATAACTATAAACAATTGGATTCTATTTCTCGCTTAATCGCATGGCCGAAACCTTATATTGGAATCGCGAAAACCCAAATCTTAAAAAATCCATAAAATGAAAAGTAAAATACTAACTGAATTCTGGTTAGCTTCATGAGTAAATGTAATAGTTAGTTTAATACAGTATTATTTTCTGCTGCTCAATTCACCAACTTTCCCGATTGTGTCTTAAGCGAGGGTTTAGATCATTTCACTAAAACTAGACAAAATAAACGCTGTTGTGTTTCGCTTTTAAAAAAGACGAAAAAGCTGCGCAACAAAAGAGCTTCGTCACCAGCAGGACTTGAACCTGCGCGGGCATAGCCCATTAGATACCTGAACGAATTCAAGTCTAACTCCTTAACCGCTCGGACATAGTGACTCTCGTTGAAATTTGGTGGGATTTGACATTAATAACTTTGGTTTAAGAGATTAGTTCGTAATTGGTGATGAAACCGCTCACACAACCCTGTTAACAAGGCCACTTAAATAAACCTTGAATTGCATAATGCGAAATTAGGAAAAGTAATGAGCTAATTGTTCAACGGCTTTTTAGCAACTGAACTAATAAGCATTTATATTATTATTTAATTGATCGTATCTTACTAATTGTAGTTGCCTATTAACGAATCACAAGATTCCAATAAAGCAGAAGTTCCAGTATTCGCAATTAATGGAACTGTTTAGAGAGAAACACTCTGATCAATGTTTCTCTTTTGTTCAATCAGACAGAAGTTTGCCGTTGGTTTGGCTGCTTGGTTGCCAAGACTTCAAAAGTACATGGAGTTCATGGCATATGCTCGATGGCTCCATGACACAGTACTAGATTTGTGCATTTGCGAACTTCTCAATGCAAAGTCTAAAGTCAAAACTGTTCATTTGTATAATTAGAACATTTTTAATTATTATCAGCAATTGGTTCTGAATCGCGGTTCTATCATTCTGTATCGTGTCACTTATTAAAGTATATATGGGGGACAACGTTGCTGTTAACTAATTAATACGTTTTGTTCATTTGACTGAAAAAGTAACAGTTGGCTTGCAAAATAATAGAATTATGAATATCAAGCACAATGCAATACAAATAATGTAACTGTTTATTAAGGGTATGCCCATGATCTTCTAATACTATTTCAACGAATTTGAACAAACACTGTAAGTAGATATATCCACGACTTCTTTATGAAATAATGCCCATTTTTGTCAACGCTTGGTAATTCCGTTATGGAGAGTGTAGCTAGTTATTTCATCTTCCAACATACACTCACATTGTCCATTCATCTTTTGCTGCTCCTAATAGCTCATTTTACCCATATTTTCCTCATATCGGAAACAAACCACACGCTGTTCGTTTGCCTCTCCAATTACCTCAACTTCCTTCTCAACGGAGTAAAATCTTCGTTCACTGAGGTTTAAGTACAAAAACTTGTCGTCTTATTGTATCGTTACTTATTAGAGCTCGTTTTTCACAATGAGCTTCTATCTAAATGAAGAACAAACAATTTCTGGTAAATGTTTGGATGTTCTTGATAAATTGGAAACACTCATTCAGGGTACACGTACCTGTTTAAATAATGGTTCGAAAAAGGCATAAGACAAATCTATTTCATTACTAATTGTGTTCTTAATAGATCCCAGCAATTCTCGAACACTGCTTCAATCATGTACTGAAAAAGTAACAGAGCTACAAACATCTATGGAGCAGATTGAGAAGAAATACAACTCAAAACTGAATAAGCTCTCTAAGGAGTTTGAGAAGGTACAGATGCTCGCGTTTTAGAAGTTTTTGCTAAACCGGATTTTTTCATGCTTGTATTAACAATTACAGAAATGCCCTAATGCTTTGGACAAGGTAATTGAAACGAATGGTGTCCATGTTTATTTACCTATGCTTCTTGCTGATCATTACGTTCGGATTGGAGATATGGAATTGGCCAAAGCGGTCAAAGGTGTAAATTTTAACGACTGGGATGATTATCAGTCTGCGGAATACTCCGAGGCTTGTAAACTTTTAAACCTTATTATGGAACGCTTTAGTCTATTTGATCTGAAACCTGCTATTGAGTGGGCCAAAGATAACCATGATATCCTTATGGAAAGGGGAAGCAATTTGACACTTTTATTACACAAGTTTGAGTGTCTTCATATCCTCATGGAAACAAGGGATCCTGTTCGATGCATGCAGTACTGTCGTAAAAATCTGACCAACTTACAGGGAGCAGACTTGTCAGGTAAGACACAATTAAACGTCTAAAAATATGTACTAACACTTATACTATTAGAGTTACAAAGCCTATTTATGTCTTTTCTGCTCGTTCCAAAAAGTCCCAACGTATCTGACGACATGTCATCACTTCAGGAGTATATAGGCGAACTGGATTGGGACAGATTAAAAGATACATTTACTTCTGAATACTGTAAGATAAATGGTCTCCCAGTGGAGTCACCGCTACAAACTGTACTCGACGTTGGCACTTTCGCATTGACAGCATACATTAAGTTTTCTAAAATATCGTCGAAAAACTTTCAGCCTTTGAACGATGGTTTAACGATGCCTATGGACATCGACCTTCCAGAAAAGTACCGCTATCACAGCTTATTCATTTGTCCCGTTAGTAAACAGCAATCTACGGCTGACAATCCACCTATGTTGCTTGCTTGTGGTCATGCCATATCAAAGAACAGTATGTTACACTTGACTCAAAATAGTCATCGCAAGTGTAAATGCCCCTACTGTCCAATAGAGACGAATCCTTCAGATGCAATGCAACTATATTTTTGAAGAAGTTTTGTATTTTTCCCCTAGTGTTGCAGTGTTATTTTACGGTTAATGATAGCTTTATGAGATTTATGATTCACGTTCAACAATTTTGTATTGGCTTTATTTTGCATTCACCAATACATGTGTGAGAGCAGTTATATTGAAAAACTTTTATTACCTGTTGCTTTGTAAATAGGCTATAATTTAATAGTTTAATTCAAGTAATTTTTTTTAACACGGCAGGTCCTCATTCTCTGTGCATTTTACAGTATCGACATGCAAAAACGTACCAAAGACAGCTCAGACGGAAGAAAACTCAACAAACGCGTAAGCAATGAATACACAAAGTTCATTTGAGTTCTTTTGTCTGTAATTTGCTTACAATTAAATAGTTCAAATATCAGCGTCATGGCATTGAGAGAAATGAAACCGGCATCTTGGTGACAGCTCCGCGTGGAAAGGAAAGAGCATGCATTAATGAAATTATGGATGTTTTAGAGCAGGTAAGCCCGTTTATGTCTTTCACTAATGGATTTCCAAATACTAATCGTTATAGACTGTAAATACCTTGTGGCCAAATGCATTCGAAGCCGCCGCTTCCAATTCTCAGGACGGAGAAGATCAGAATGAAGTAGAAGAAGATTTGGAGAAGGCAATTGCCCGCGAACTTGATGACATGAAGAAAAAACCTACTGAAAAAAAAGAACTACTTACTCCTATCATGCTAGATATTCAATGTGGTAAGAGTATGAAATTACTCACATCCGCTAACCTGTCTAAGTGTTCTTCGTGAAAACCAGGGCCCCCATTGATCCAGTTAAGCTGGTCGAAAGTATTTGTGAGCAAGGAAAGCATAAGAAAATGACACGGTTCACCCAGCGTTTAACTCCTATTACGAAAACGACTGGCGCTACTTTTGAGGACTTAGAGTCGTTAGCTGAAACAATTCTCGCACCGCATTTTTCGGGCGAAGAGAATGCCGGAAAGGTTTGATTATCGTGAGCGTTGTTGACAGTATAAAACTAACGGAAGCAGAAATTTGCCATTCAAGCTGATTATCGGAACCACAATACGCTCCCAAAAGTTGATGTTATTCGTTCCGTTGCAAAAGCTGTTGGTCCCGGCCATCACGTTGACCTAAAAAATTATGATACCTTAATTTTGGTGCAAGTGGTAAAGGTATGTTTTTACAACAAGTCAAGTAATCATGCTAATGGGAATCATGTAGAACATTATTGGAATGAGTGTTGTACAAAAGTATAGAGAGCTCAAGCGGTTTAACTTGAATGAGCTGTACCAGATTGCGGACACCGAAGGAAACGCACAAGAGAAAAGTACAGCAAGCAAATCAGTAGAGGACAACACAGATGCTAAAAAGGATGAACCAGAGAAGAAAACTGAAGAGACCGTCGATGTTCAGAAAACAACCGAAACGGAAACTCTCTCTGCCTAATGGTGACACTCATGACATACTTGGGGATTAAGTGAATTAATTTGTATCTGAGACACCAAGTTTGTAAGATCCTTCACAATTGGTCTACACAATAAGCTTTTCTCGGTGTTCTCGTTTAAACACAAGAGCAGTTGACTGCGGATTTCTGACAACTTTTTCGCATGTTCTTCATCAAGTATTGGTTTCGATTGTAATTCTTTTTGCAAATTGTCTCGCATTTTATCAATCTCCGAGTTTAGTGTTGGCGAATCCTTGAAATCTGGTATTTTTTGTTGCATTTTTTCACCCTTTTCCTGTTCGACCCTTTGCATCTCATGCAGAACTTTGGCCTGCCGTTCCTGCAGAGTAATAAGTTCTTGTTTTACGCGTTTTTGAACATAAGCTTCAACATCCAGATTTCGGGTTGTATCGGTTTCCGTTGTGTTTTGAATATGGTTTATAAATTGTTCAGAAAATTCAGTAGGAATACGAAGCACAAATTCTGGCCTTGAATTCGTTGCTCCCATGTCTGTAAACTAGATAGATTGAGTAAGACTGTGTGAAATTCCTATTTTGTTTGAAAATTGTTTTGTTTATTTTAACTTGAGCGGTTTGGGTGCAGAGGTTGACATGACGTAGAAAAGCATATAAAACAGAAAAATGTGATATTCTGAACATTTAAGCTCCTCTGTATAACAGAATACAGAATGAACAAAATGGCTATCATATTTATTAATTTATTAAAAAAAGACCTTGGTCATTAAATTTGATGGGGAAAAAAAATACTGCACGGAAAGGTACATCAATTAGTACTAGCAATAAGTAATGAGTAGAAACTAATAATCCAACATAACAAGCGCGAATCCAAAAAAAAAGAGGAATTTAAACGAAAATAAAAAACGAAACAATCATAAAAGGGAGAGAAATTAAAGAAACCCGAAACTATAAATACCAACAAACCTTATAGACAAATTTGTAAATGAAAAGAAAGAGCAATTGGGAGTATACAATTGAGTAAACATGAAGATGTTTATCGGCACGTCTTTTTTTTTTTTTTGGTAAGCATCCTAAACAGATCACCTCAAGGAGTCGTTATTATACGGAAAGTTACACTCTTCACGAGACAGTGGTTTTCGATAAAACTGCATTTGCACTTTGTTTAGTTTGCGAATCCTGTGAACACCGAAAATGCCCGTAAAAATAGCCATACTGCAAATCGCAACAGAAGAAATCACAAAAGCGCAGGGAGATTCTTCATAACCATTTACGAGATTCATACCGAATAAACCTGCGAAGACAGCTGCCAAACCTGTACTCATGGTGAGCACGGACAACTTTAGATCGTAGATCATTAACGCATTTCGATTCGCATCCAGGACGATGTTACACACCTCCTCGGTATGTTTTATACTGCTGCTCAAACTATCAGCTCGTTGAACAATTTCCTCCACTTGCTTATAGTAAGTTTCCAACAGTAGCTCAACCTCTTCATGCTTGTGCATGGGCCTTGATTTCCCGTTTTTTAATTTTTCAGTCAGATACATTCCCGCTAAGTCTTCATCCTGTTCCAAAGTCTCATCCAATGTGTTGCGAATCATCGTCGCGCGTTTTTTAAATTCAGACAAGCGTTTGGAATATCGTAAAAGAGCTCGAAGACGATCATGCCTGATGTCTAACTCAAAATCCGAGAGCAGATTCGAAACAAGTGTTTGTAAAGTCATCATTTCGGTGTCTAAGGTTGCGACGACACTCACAAGAATAGCTTCCAAAGCTCTCATTTCATATGGTAAAGACCCAAAATCACTAGAACTTTTTCTCAACCGACCCTCGAGCTCATAAATAAAGCGCGAATGCATTTGTGTGCTTGTACTTCCATACACATCAAAAAGCAAAACCGTGTCGGCTTTAATAATTGCTCGTACGTGTAACAGGTTTATAAGGATACAGCTTGAACGTACCAATATTACTGGTACAATGGAAGAGACACCTGTATCTAATTTTCTGAGATCACGAGGAAGAAGACTATGCTGACGGCACAAATCCATTTTTTTAAAATCAGCAGACACAACGCTCACATTTCCTTTGCTGTCAAACTGCGTACAGTTAACAAGTAATCGATTTTTCTTATGACTTGAATGCAAAGGTTGATTAATTGGCGCATTTAAGGAAACCTCTGTTGAATCACGTCTTGGTTCATTTGGTTGAAAAACACGCTGAGGCGGAGCATGATTCAACAACGAACGGATTTGTTTAATTCTTGTCCGAGTACTTGATTTTAAAGGTTGCAGTGCTCGTAATGAAAAGAACGACCTTTTTGCTAATTTTGAGAACGCGCTAACTCCGAGACACCGAAACATAATTATAATGAGCAAGTGAGGGATCCTTACCACTCGTGATGCGAGCTTTCAGCTAGTGTTGTAACGAAATGACTGAGTACTTCAGATATTGGACCTGAAAGAAAACGGATGTTTAAACAATAATCTAAAGGGAAACTGATGATAATAAGAGAAAAATGAAAGAAATTATGATGACTCCGAGAGACTTTCAATTCTCTTTTTTTTTTTAGGAAGTCGAATAGTTCGAGTCAAAACAGCGGCATATCCAAATCCGAGTTACTAACTTAATGGTCGAACAAAAGCAGTCCTATAAAATCGTCACTCTAGGAATAGCATATTTCTGGAATCAACCCCAGTGCTATCTTTCTTCTTTTGTATTTTAAGAGTCGCTCGTTAAAAGGTACGTGGAGACTGTGCAGAAAAAAACATGAAAACTATATATTACAACTCCTGTGAATTTGACTGGCGATATTTAAGTAATGTTTGTATAATTAAGCTAAATCACATTGCTTTCAAGCAACTTAAGAATTAGTTCGAGTTTTCATAATATTGTAGAGCCAGATTCACGTAAACGAACTATGTATACTTCGTTCGCATCTGGATACACAAATAAAACAAAAACAATGTTGCTTTTGTCCATACATTATTGCCTTAATAACAATTACTCTATTACAGACTAATCCAAACCTTGAATTTCAAAAAAAGAAAAAAAAAAAAAAAAGATTAATTACCCAATGAAGATCATTCCAAAAGTACATGAAAACACTTAAACAGGCGCTTAGAAGCGCTTGTGCCTTTACTCGCCCCAATGCATATATTTTTCAATAACAAAAGAGAAAGCAGCAAAACCAAGACCTCCTGTGAATGCAGCTTTTGGACCAGCACGCATGGCAAGTGCGCCACCTGTGACAAAACCCGCTCCAATGGCATTGTACATGTCCGTTTTAGCTCGATAAGATTCAAAACAACACTCAGCTCCCGAGTAGACCAGACCAACGAGACCAAAATTTTTACCCGTTGAAATGGATCTCCGAGTCATGTCCTTGAATTGAATACGGATCTGCTCCTTGAATGCTTTCTGGTAAATTTCATGTGATGTAGACTGAATATCCAAAGACGACATGAATAATCCAAATATGCCACCTAGACCAAAACCCATTACACCCGACATGGCACTCTTAAAGACACAGCTTTCCGTCATCCGACCGATGACTCTGACAATTTTTGCTTGTTGAATCGCAGCCTTTTCTTCGTCTGTCAAAGAAGCAGCATTCGGCTGAGGTTGATTAAGCCCATTGGGCATTAAGCCAGGAAGGGACATTTTTTGACAGACTTTTTCTTTCTGTGCTTAAAGACGGAATTCAATACCGGGTTTTAAAAAGAAATCAAAGTAGCAGGTACAGAATAAGTTTTTTTGCCCTAAACTTCCCAGAATAAGTTTAGCTCACACTTGAGCTATGACTGAATAGTATAGAGGGGCACAGAAAGAATGTGAAGAACAAGTAAGTACAAACCTGCAGGTGTACGTTTTGCTGTTTTGCTTTTACATCAAAAGTTTTCATCCATCACACACCATCAAATCCGGGTTCAGATAGAAAAACAGTTTTTCTGAAATCATCAAACAACAAAGCAAAAAGAAGAGCACAAATAAGAAAAACGCCAAAGAACACTACGTAGGAAGAAGCAGCGCTCTACAACGCTTAGTTCTGACACAATTGCTCATTTCATTCCTTACTGCTTTGCAGAGTGCTATGTCATAGCTGAGAAAAACAGTCACAGTGTAAAAGGCGAAACAAACGCGACACAGAGGCCTCAACCTTCCCCAAAAAACAACACCTGGTCAACATGTCTGCTGAATCCGCACAAGTTTCTGAGCTCCCCGCCGGTACCACTACCGTTGTTCGCGCCGAGAAGGCCCAAAAGCTTATCTCCAAGCTTAACCTCAAGCGCGTCGAGGGCATCACTCGTGTTGTCATGCGTCGTCCCAAGAACGTAAGTTGACGAATAGTAGCCTAGGAAGAAGGAACGTCGTACTAACAATGGTTTAGATCTTGCTTGTTGTCAACGACCCCATCGTTTACAAGAGCAGCAACAATGCTTACATTGTTCTTGGCCAAGTTACCGTTGAGGACATGAACGCTCAAGCCCGCGCCTTTGCTGCTGCCCAAAACGCTGCTAAGGACGGCGATGAGACTGAGGAGTCCAAGGCTGAGGAGACTGCTGAGGCTCCCGCTGCCGAGGAGAAGGCCGACGAGCCTGAGGAGGCTGTTGACGAGACTGGTGTCGACCCCAAGGACATTGACTTGGTCATGGCTCAAGCTAACGTCTCTCGTGCCAATGCCGTGAAGGCTTTGAAGGAGAACGACAGCGATGTTGTCAACGCTATCATGTCCTTGACCATGTAAGTAGAGTAATTTTTAATATTACGAATTGCATGCACCCATCAATCGGGTTCTCTCGATCGTTAATCATCCCAAACGTGTCGTCCTTATGTTGTTGCTCTTGTCGTCAGTGCAGTAGGGTGGAAGGGGAAGTGATCTGAGTTCCTTTACAGTGAATCCGTGTAGTATATATAGCAAGGAGACTGGTGAGCTTCTCAATAAATGTCCTTATTGAAAGCATATCGGGAACCCTTTTCAGAGAAAAATTGTACAGCAAAACAGTTGGCGTCACCGGTCCTTTAACCAACTGCCACAGTGAGTTTTCATGATTCTTTCTTTTCTTGCATGTTGGGATTGCTGCAATTACAGCAAGAAGAACATATACACAACTTGTAAAGCAGCTATAGAGAACAAAAAATATATGCGCCGAGTACGTTGATGAGAGGTAATGGTGGCATTGATAGCCATTGTAGACTCAGGGAGAACAGCATATTTGAGAGAACGCAGGAGGAAGAAAGCGGTCGACAAGTATGTGTATACAAATACGCTTACCGTCAGCCAAGTTGACCCAGCTAGCCGTGCAAACGTTGTGAGAATGAGGCCAACAAACTTGTAGCCATTGTAAGCAACCATATCTAGTACCTGGCTTTGACTCGAAATATTTAGCAAATAACAACCCAGCCGAGTAGCGAGAAACTCGAAAAGAACGATACCAAACGACTTGCTAGCCCGAATTCCAAACAGCTCTGGATGAAAATTACCCCGAATACCATTTAGGGCACATGTAAGGAGAATGTGAGTAGTAAATGCCATCAAAGGAATGTACATGTCTGGGGCGTTCACATCCTCGCTCGGTGGACAGTAACCTTCAGAGCTTCCACTAACCTCGGAGCGTCTCAGCACTCTGGCCCATGATCTGCGTCTCCAGGGGAAGAGAATGAGCATGAGCTTTTTTACGACGTACGAATTCGAAACGTCAAAGTAGTAATGCAAACTAGAGAACGAGAACCATCTGCCAAAATTCTTTTCCACATACTCCTGACCAGTGGTAACGGCCGTTCGACCCATTTGAAGGCCCATTTGAGCAGCTGCTGAATTGCTGAAAAAGCTCTGGCCCATCGTTGGAGGAAATCCAGCTTTCGCCCCTCCAACCGGCTGATTGTTAACAAAATGCTCATTTACCTGCATATTCATCATTGGAACAGCATGGGTTGGTTGAGGATGGTACAATTTCGGTGGCATTTGGCTCTGGCTGAGTATGGACGGGCGAGCGACGCGTCATGACCATAAGCTCTCAAGCAACATTACAGTCATAAATACCAAATATTCATACACAAGCACAGTGTATACATTCATAAATACTATGTTTTCTAAACTCTGATGTATAAAGATGAAGAAGTAGCTAGGCGATAAATTTAATATCTCAGTACTCTTGAACCTGCCCAAAACCAACATGCCAAAGAACAAGGGAAAAGGTGGTAAAAATCGTCGTCGTGGAAAGAACGAGAACGAGAATGAGAAGCGTGAATTGACTTACGCTGAGGAGGGTCAAATCTATGCCCAAGTTACCAAGATGCTTGGTAACGGTCGTGTTGAGGCTGCCTGTTTCGATGGTGTCAAGCGTTTAGGTCACATCCGCGGTAAACTGAGAAAAAAGGTTTGGATTAACCAAGGTGATATTATTCTTCTGTCTCTGCGTGAGTATCAAGACGAGAAGGGTGATGTTATTCTCAAGTACACCGCAGACGAGGCTCGTACTCTCAAGAACCAAGGTGAGCTTCCCGAGACCGCCAAGATCAACGAAACCGACACTTTTGGCGTTGAAGGCGATGAGGATCTTGACTTCGAGTTCGACGTCGATGCCATTTAAAACAAAAGTGCAATCGGGTTTTTTTTGCATGCTGGAATTCTTGTTTCTGTATATGTAAGCAACAATAGAGATTTCTTGTTCGGCTAGATTGCGCATGGACGCAAGCTGCAGGACATGCTTCTTCTATCTTTGCACAAACACCACCCTGTTATTCATAGAGCATGTTGCTTTCTCGCATGTTCAGAGGCTTTCATTGAATTAATGTGCTTTCTTCTGCGTGTGGTCTCAGGGGACGACGGTTTCTGTGTGCAAGCTGTACTGCGTACGCACGCTCTGCCTTTAGGACTGTTTCGGTCTTTTTCCTTAATGGCATGCGTTTCATCGGACCATAATGTCCGCTCCTATCCGAGAGTTTTGGTCAAGGAAGATTTGGGCCGCTCGTTTGTTGCGAAAGTTTTGGAAAAAAGTGAATGAACTAATTGATTTGGGTACGGAGAGTGATGTATGAGGGTTAGGTGTGGTACTTTGTTAAGGTAAACCGGTTTGAGGGGAGTGATGGGAGGAGGTCTCGAAACGGTTTTTGTGCCTTGTCGACCAGCGACATAAGGCTAATTTGTCTTCTTGCCTCGGAAGAATTGGGCAATCTGCCTCATCGCGACTCCAAAGGATTGTGCATGAGTGATATTGTTTGCAAGCCATTTGGGCAGTTTGGCTTGCGTGGAAGGTTTGTTGTACCTTTCATCAAGCAGTAAAATACAGGCGTAGTCGTCCTTATGTCGAATGGCTCTGCCGATACTTTGGTTAGCCGCTCGCATGCATGTGTTCTCGGCAAACTCATAATCCAGGTCGATGCCCTTCTCGGTTTTAGAAGACATTTTCTCTTTCACAAAAGACATCTTTGCTTGCCAACGAACATCCTGAGCATTGGGAAATGGCATGCCGACAACAGCTACACATCGCCCTAGTCGATCGGAAAAGTTTATGCCTTCGGAGAGTCGTCCATTAATGACACTTAGAAGAAGGCCACCTTTCCCAGCAGTGACAGATGCACAGTAGTCTTCAAAAACGCTTTTTTTACTTCCGTCGCCCGCTAAAGCCTCGCGCTCTTTATCTTCATAGAATATAGGCTTGCGTTTGCATAAGCGCAACCACAGATCAGACTTTTTCCAGCAGCTAATTGCCTCTGACAAATGTCGAAAGCTGCAAAAGAACACGACAACTCCGTCGGGGATTACTGCAGTAAGGTTCAACATAGTGCGACCTAAATCTTGAAGTGCATTCACATCGCCGCGATTTTTGTATGTGAAACGAAACGGTGTCCCGCCAGTGCCTTTTGACAATACCACAGTACATATGTTTGATTCGGGAACAATGTGACCGCATGAAAACTGCTTTACTCGGTCTAAAAATGAAGGAAATAGAAGCTGTGCAATTTCATCCATCGGAGACATTGTACCTCCTGCCAGTATTACAGAGCGCGCTTGCTCAGCCAAAGCAGCAATTTCATGCGACGGGTCGAGCAGCGCATACTCCAACACAGCTTTAGAATTATGACCTTGTACAGTTTCTTCCACCGACTCCATCCGGTAAAACAACCTGCCTTCGGGAGAAGGGTTGGCAATGGCAGTTAAAAATGTTGCAAGCTTCATTATTACTGGTGTACCTGTTGGAACTGCATGCCTACTATGATCGGCATCCTCAGCTTCCAAAGTATTTTTCACATGAAACGTATTTGCTTTACGAGCAATTTTGGACGCAGAGATATATTGTGTTAGGCGATGCAGGTTTATTTGGTCAGTACCATGAGCAATGAATAACGTTGCTGGGTCAATTGTACATGCTTCCTGTCCCGCAAGTCTTTCGAAAACATGAAGCAGTTCATCCACAATACGCAACAGCTGCTGAATGTGCATGCGATTAGGACCAGACAAACGCTTGGCGAAACGTTGCAGATAGCATTGCAGCTGCTTTTGACATAGCAACACTTCTGTTTGACTTACGGAGGCCGAAAGAATGGAACATATACTATCAATAACATTGTGTGCTTCATCCAGGATGCAAACGTTATCACGCAAAGAAATGCCAAGCGAATCGCGTGTAGACTGCTGCAATAACATGGCATAAGGGACAGCCACGATATGTGCTGGAGCAATGGCTTCGCGAATGCCGTAATACGGGCATGTCTGTGTCTGTTCACCCAATGTAATCATGTCTTCCATGTCCATCACTTCCGCCAGCACGGCATCGCGAAAGTCGTCAATGGGAGTTGTTGCCTGTAGAAATGGACAATTGCCTGAACTGTTAGTATGCTATGAGGAAGAATAACGAGCGGAGCGCCATAAATATACCTTGAATTTCAATGCACTTTTCATTTATCAATGCTGCGGAGCCGAGCCGTTTCACATTTTCGTTGATACATAAATTTTTTCGTGAAGCCAAAGAGATTGCACGAACAGGTGTCGTAAACGTAGTCATATCTAGTTTCCGCACCTCATCAAGGAATTGCTGAAGCTGTGAATGTGTTCGGGATGCAAAGTAAATCTATGGTTAGCATCAAGTTGGCTGATGAACTTGCATACCTTTTGCACTTGAGGAAGCGTACCGTCTGAAGGTTGCAGCAAACGAAGTAAACGGCTAACATCTTCGGTAAACATGTTTCCATCAGCAAAAGTGTCATCTTGCACTAAAAGGTCTTCCTCCAACGATGCTGATGATCGTTCTAACCCTGAGTCTTTTACAGAATTCTCCGTAGGACCTGGTCCTCTGCGGAAACGCTTCCTTCGAGAAAGCGATTGTTTCATACAACGTTCCTTCCGAATAGCCTCTAAACGAGTTTCAAGTTCTGCATGAGCTTGTTCCACTGTTTCTTTTTGTAAGCCGGCACCTTGGGAAATGACCCAGTCCGGCAAGCCATCGTCATCAGCATGAGTGTCTCCATGCTTCTTATCACTAACAGCAGTAGTCCCTGTTTGCAATTCTGTCTCTCCTTGTGAACACAGACCCATGCTTCCACGTTCATCTAGCCAAGTCAATGCTCCACACAACAAACTCAGACTCTTTCCTGTACCGGTTGGCGACTCAAAGATACCTATATTACCATTCTCGATAACGTCAAACAGCGTTTTCATAAAATCCAATTGGATGCTGTACGGAATGTATGGATGGTGGAATTTTTTTAAAGCATTTTGCTTACGAACAATGAGAGATTCATCTGAAGAAGCCAGAGGATGCAAGTCATTCGAGTCATTATCACTAACATTTTCCAAACTTCGTTTCGTCATTAAACAATCAAAAAATTAAAGAGGAAAAATTCCGATAGAAATAGCAGAAGAAACGGAAGAACAAAACCAAGGGACGAGGTCTGTATAGCCGTTACAGTTTTGTGCAAATGTCTCCGAAGCCAAAAGTTTTGCTTACTCGAAGAATAGTGAGAATTTGTGATACGTAAGGAAGCATAAGGCAGCGTAGTGTACTATTAAAAACTTTTGCGAAGAGCACTTCACTACTTTAAAATACGTTAAAGCTCGTAAAAGTACGTTAAGGTGCGTAATACCTCGGTAAACCGATGCACCTCATGTAGTACGGTAGAGGTTGTTCGCTCCATTAAACTGAGACAGCGATTCTCTTCCTGTCTAGTCCCCGCCCGAGTATGTCGAACGCGAGACGAAAAGCGTTACGGGACTTTTATCGTCTCCCGCCATTGGAAGAAAGACAGGACGAATCTTCGCGATCCTCGTCTTCTCATCCAGAGGATTCAAGTGCTGATACCGCCGAAACCGATCTGAGCCAATTTACCGAATTTAGCAACACAGAATTCGATGCTGAAGCTTACGTGAAAAAAATTGCCGAGACTGCCAGTCCTAAAGAGCTTTTCGATACGGAACGCTCTCTGTCTTCAGGTACGTACCAGAATGATTTAGTGAAATCCACTGGAGAGTGCACTATTTGCGATTAATGATGGGATTTACTGAAGTTGAAAACACGTTATACAAAATAACGCGTTCTTAATTATCGGTATTTTACATAACACAGTTTCTCGTTATCGGTGTTCTGGTTAATGCATTGCGCTGTAACGCATTATAAGCAACAAACACGTACAAAGCGATTGTACTAACAACAACCTGCTAGCAATTCGTCAGCTTTCTGGTGATCATAAGTCTTTGGTTTATAATCATTACACACATTTACTTCGTGCCAGTCGTGCAATTGAGCAGGTTCGTCCTATTTTGCGGTTTCTAGTCTTAAAATTTTGACTAACAAAGGGGCCTCGGCCTTTTAAACAGTTGTGCTCTGAAGTATCTGATTTACTACCTGAAGACAAGGACCCAGGGTCCTCGGGATCAGTCTCTGTGAAAGAGAAGGAATCGTCACAAAGTTTGTAGTATACCCGGTAGACGGTCTGAGCATCCGTTTCAAAAACTCTTGCAGTTGAGATTTGCTGTTGCAAGAGGTCAACATTTCCATTAGCTACTGTATAATAGGTCCTTGTAAGACTTGTGACTGGTACTGTTGTTTCTTTAGAAGATTTGCTTGTTTTGTGTCTTTTTGTCAACAACCATGTATAAACGGGTAATTGTCGCGACACGGAATTTCGAGTGCAAAGCTACGTTTAGTGCGGAGTCTCGAGGTTGGAGCTTGGAAAAACGCAGTAGTATGACTGCTTTGTATTCTGCTATTGAAGACCTCTGTCACTCGGAAACTGTACAAACGATACTTGTCGCTATGCCCGGTGCTATTCGTGTCGAACAGTCAAATGCATCGTTACTCGACGATGTACCCATCTACAGCGATTTATCTACGCCAAAGCCCCTTGATCCTGCAGCTGATGTTTTAAACGAGACAGATCAGGCTAACTATTTTCACAATCTTCAAAATTATTACCAAGAGCGCAATACAAATGCATCGTTGGAACCGGTTTGGCCCACGGCACCGTCGTGTTCGAGCTTGTCCGACAACCGCTGGATGGCTTACGCTGATAATATATTATGGGAAGTCCTGCATTATCGTTTGCCCATGGTGAACGGACCAGATGAGCACAAGTGGTGGAGAGCTTACAGAAAGATATCCCAGCTGTATGCAGACAAGATTGTTTCACTCTACAAGGAGGGTGATCTTGTCCTCATCAACGACTTTTACTTATTTCTCGTTCCGAAACTCGTCCGCACTAAACTTCCTAATGCCCACATCGGATTCTTTCTTCACGTTCCCTTCTGTACATCAGAGATCTTTCGTTCGTTGCCTCATAGAAGTGATGTTCTAAATGGAGTGTTAGCATCTAATGTGATTGCTTTTCAGACTGAATCCTCTGCTCGACATTTTATCAGCACTTGCCTAAACGTTCTTGGTCTGGAGACGACGGCAACGAGTGTCGACACTACGGAAGGTTCACGCGTCGCCATCGTGCATATGCCTGTCGGTATCAATGTTAGTCGCATGCGTGCTTTGTGCCAGACAGAATCCGTTCAATCCAAAATTTCCCAGCTTCGTGGCATATATGGCGACGAAGTTCGTTTACTCGTTGGTCGTGACCGACTTGATCGTGTGTGCGGCGTACTGCACAAACTTCGTGCGTTTCGTGAACTTCTCCGTCGCTATCCTGAATGGAGAAATCGCGTCGTGCTTGTTGAAATTACAAGCATTCCTAAAAATGGCGACGTTGGCGACATGAACGTAAAAGTCGAGGACCTGATAACGACTATAAATGGTGAATTTGGTTCACTCTACTTTTCTCCTGTTCATCACTTTCACCAATTGATTAAACAGGACGAATATGCCGCCATTTTGAGCACCGCAGATGTTGCATGTGTCTCTTCTATCCGAGATAGCATGAACACAATGGCATTGGAGTATGTTGCTTGTCAAAAAGAAAACAAAGGCACGCTCATTTTGAGTGAGTTTTCTGGTACGTCTGAAGTGTTATCTTCGGCATTGCTCGTCAATCCGTACGACTATGCGGGTTTCGCAAAGCAAATGCACTGCGCCCTTAGCATGTCTGAGCAGGAACGTGAACAGAGATACGCTTCACTATGGCAACAAGTCAGCACAAACACTTCCTCAGCATGGATAACGAATCTTATAGAAACTATTGGCAACCAAATCGTCGCCATGGATATTCACATAACTACACCTGCTCTTCAAACCTCACAGGTTCTCCCGCTTTACAGGAAAGCTAACAAACGGCTATTTCTACTTGATTACGATGGTACTCTTATCGCAAACACAAAGAATGTGCGCACACCTATTCCAACGGACAAGTTGTTGCGAACGTTAAAGCGTCTCGCAGCTAATCCCCGGAATATAGTCTGGGTACTGTCAGGACGGTCAAAGAAGTTCCTTGACGAATGGATGGGTGACATCTCTGAGCTGGGTTTATTGGCTGAACATGGAAGTTATGTACGTCCACCCCAGAGTTCTAAATGGCAAGATTTGACAGGTGATATGGATTTGTCATGGAAGGACAGTGTCCGCAATGTTTTGCAATACTTTACGGAGCGGACACAGGGATCCTCACTGGATGAAAAAAAGGCCTCACTGTTGTGGAATTTTGCAAACGCAAACACAAGCTATGGAAAGTTTCAGGCCCTTGAGTGTCAAACCAATTTGGAAGGTTTTCTCAGCAACAATCAGAACACTGAAGTCGTATCAAGCAAATACTCACTTGAGGTTCATCCCTCCATGCTTAATAAAGGTTCTGTTATTCAACGTATTTTGAATTGCTCGCCTAAAGATCTTCAATTCGTGTTCTGTGCAGGCGACGACAAGTCGGATGAAAACATGTTTGAAGCTATTCGTGATCGTTACCGGAATCGTCAGCAGAACAGCAAGAAACAAGATACCGAAGCTACCGCCACCAATCCTGCTTCCGTTTCAACTTTCTGTATCAGAATTGGTTACACGGACAAGCCAACGTTGGCCGACTATCATTTGCCCTCTGCTATGGATTTATTGCAAGCGCTAAAAGAACTATCTGGTTAATATGGCGGCAATTTGCGATCTTTCCTACTCAGCTATGTTACTTTTACCCCTCCTATGCTAAAGTAACGGTGAGCATTTCATGGATTTCTTAAAAATTTCTGTACATACGAATAAATTTTTCTGCTGTGATTTACCACTTGTTGTTATTTTTTTGGTCTGCTTTTCGTGAACCGGACAAACGAATGACCTAGTCAGCTAGCTTGGAAGCCTTTTCAGCCCAAATGTTACAATCAACGGCGGGCTTCCCCATGCGAACGTTTACATCGTTATGAGCTTCACATACCCAATGTGTTAGTTCCCTGCGACTGCCGACACGTGGTTCGTTTCCATCCTTGGCAATCCAAAGTCGCAAGTCTTCGGCACATGACCAGCATGGATAGAACCGAGAGAACGAGTGTAAAAAGTTGTACATCTCGGCTTGTTGTGCTGCTGATGGATTATGAGGATACGTCGCTGCCATAGCATGCAAAAATGTCCAAGTTGCCCGTCCCAGCTCTGCAACGTTAGGAAGCTGAGGAACAATTTTTGAAGAGTTGGTTATAACAGGAGGTTGCTGAATACGCTGTGAGTTTTCATTTGTGCTTGCAGCGGATTGTTTCTGTTGATGCGATCCGTTAGCTGCATTTGACGAAGTTGGAGATGTCATTTCGGCGGCCTGGTTTTGGAAAGCCGAGAAAATATTGCATGTTTTACATGGTTTACCGTTTTCATCGTACACGATTCCGGTTTCCTTGTCCCGATACCTTTTTTTTCTGAACCCAAACATTTTTATAATAATAGAAGTTGAATAAAAAGAACGTTAATTCTTAAAGAAATTTCTTGGTATGAATTTCTTTTCTTCTTCTAATGCGTGTATTGATCGTTTTCGTTGCTCTAGAAAACCTTCTCAACACCACCTCCAAAAGCAATGCCCAAATTCGACGGTGAGCAGAAAATCACACTGGATAAATTATACAACGGCAGTTAAAATTAGAGTGGGCAACGCGACGATGACTAAGCGAAATTACCAACCACAAAAAGAAATCAAAAAAATCCAATGAAATATAGATCGAGGGAGACCAACAATTACATTGTTGAACAATCGAATAGAATGATGGCAATCACGAAAATCTATACAAATACAGCATGAGGTTACGCGACTGTTCCTATGAGTTAATTCGCAAGCCCTCGCTAATGGGAGAAGGCCCTGTTATTTATGTTCGCAGTGAAATGAGTTAAGGTTATTTTCCTTTGTCCGAAACCCTGATTTGCGCGTATTTATAGAAACAAAGCTTAATTACAGGAAAGTGGAACGCTGTACTGACCAAAACTTCCTCATTGACGTCAAGATTCACTTGATATGTTTTATTTTGCAGACGCAATACAACCTCATGCGGGTTGTTAACCAATTATTGCCTTTGAACAAGAATTCTTGCTTCCGAAAGCATAGGAGTCCAGAAACCTAAATTCACATTTTCTGACGTCATTTGGATCACTTAAATAAAGGCCAATTGGCATTGGCATTTAGAGCTCTCGCACCGAGTATCTGAAACTTAAAATTTGTTTAACATATTAGAAGGATTATGAAACGTGATGGGCTGATACCTCGTTGTGTTAATAGAGAAGGAGGAAAGGGTCTTTAGTTAAACGAATTATCCATTTAAAAACACGCCTTAAAAACTTTAATTTAAAGACACTATAACCGATCAAAACCTTTCATTGATGAAAATGACCGCAGTCGTATTGACTCGTATTATTAAACAATTCATATAGTACTTCTTCATTTAGTTAGACGGGCCAAGCTCTACTACGCCAAAAAGGAATTGCGTCAACAAAAGTTTACGTCAAACAGAATACACGCATCCGACTAGCTGCTAAGAGTACAATCTTTAACTGTGGCATCGAAGATTACTGTACTAAACAAGTGGCATGCATTACAACTTTGCTTTTGTAACTACCACAGACTATTGAAGCAGAAATCGGCTTTGTCGCACTACAACACCAAAAAACAAAAGTGAGCAAAGAAACAACAACACTTTCTACGCTTTTAGTCATGGGAATTAAAGGTAAGTATAATGTATTTGTGCAGTTGTTGTACCTACGTACTCAATTTATTGCACTTTACTTTCTTTCTCGCAACCTTCGTCCTGTGAATATGTTATACTAACAGTCGTTAAGGACTCTCCCAGGTCATCGCAGACAATTGCCCGTCTGCCGTCAGACACAATGATATTAAGAACTATTTTGGCCGCAAAGTAGCTATTGATGCGTATGTGGTTACTCGACTTACAGAATCATACACTGTAAAAAAAAACCCAGTGTGTGCATGTAATTTCCATTTCCTAAGTACGTGAACTAACGATGTGACTAGTTCTATGAGTTTGTATCAGTTCCTTATTCAAGTGCGTGGTCAAGACGGCCAGCAATTAATGAATGATCAAGGAGAAACCACAAGTCACTTGATGGGCATGTTCTACCGGACACTACGCATGGTTGATAATGGACTCAAACCATGCTACGTTTTTGATGGTAAACCACCTACGCTCAAGTCGGGTGAGCTGGCAAAACGTGCATCTCGACAACAAAAAGCCCGTGAAGAACGCGAGGAAGCAAAGGAAGTCGGTACTGCGGAGATGGTTGATAAATTTGCCAAACGTACTGTCCGTGTCACTCGCCAACATAACGACGAGGCGAAAAAGCTGCTGGAGTTAATGGGTATCCCTTATGTCAACGCTCCATGCGAAGCCGAAGCTCAATGCGCAGCTTTGGCAAGAGCCGGAAAAGTATACGCCGCAGCTTCAGAAGATATGGACACAATGTGTTTCCAAGCGCCTATTCTGCTTCGACATCTGACGTTCAGTGAGCAACGTAAAGAACCCATTAGCGAGTACTCTTTTGAGAAAACCATCGAGGGATTAAACTTTACCATCGAGCAGTTTGTTGATCTTTGTATTCTTTTAGGCTGCGATTACTGCGATCCCATCCGTGGTGTGGGACCCGCTCGTGCTGTAGAACTTATTCGTCAACATGGAAATTTGGATAACTTTGTCAAAGACGCAGACAAGAAAAAGTTCCCCATTCCGGAAGATTGGCCTTACCAGGATGCCCGCCGACTGTTTTTGGAAGCAGAGGTTCAAGAGGCAAAAGACATCGAACTGAAATGGCGTGCTCCAGACGAGCAAGGAATCATCAAATTTCTCGTAGAGGAGAAAGGCTTTAACGAAGACCGTGTACGTGTCGGTATCAACCGTCTTGTAAAAGCCTCAAAAACGATTCCCCAAGGCCGACTTGACAGTTTCTTCAAAGTCCTGCCTTCAACGAAAAAGGAGAAAGAGAAGCCTAAAGCTGCTGCGAAGCGCAAACGAGACACAAAGTCCTCTGCACCTAAAAAGAAGCGTTGATTCTCGAGAAATTCACTTGGAATTTTTATGTATAAAGATTACTATCATGATCTTGTCATTACTCTACAATGCTGCTTGCATTATCGTCTAGACGAAAGTGTACTATGCAACGGAAAACAAATGGACTACAAGTGATCCAGAAATCCGGGTGTTACTGATCAACTTGTATCCGTAAGATGAGAAAAATGCTTGCAATCCGGGGATACTGCGGAATAGTGCTGCAATCGGAATCTAAACCAGTTCAATCTCACCAAGTTGGGTAATTTCTTCAGACTCGGATGCGTTCATAATACTAAGGAACATATTCCAAAAAAGAGACACAATGCTTGAGAATGGCAGTTGATATTGCAAAGGCATGAACCAAAAGTTCACAGCTTGAACGAATGGCCAAACAGAGTAATTGGCCTGTACGATATCGTTAGCAAGAACCTGGGTGCTGGTATGAAACGTGCACACAAGCACGAAGACAAAAATTAAATCAATCACTGTCCGGCTGACCACAAGGCATACATACCTTTAAAGTTGGCAAAAGGACATTTTGCAAACGACGTTTTGCCTCTCGGAGAGTGTTACCCTCAGTGAGTGTCATCCAAGTGTAAAATGCACTTAGACCAAACGGAGCAAAAACTATTTGATCCAAAAGGACACGAGAAACAACGTTCCCAACACCCTTACTCACAGGAAGCTTTTGGGCTAAAAAGCGAAGCCATCGAAACTAAAATACCTGTTAAAATGTTGTCCGTGGAACACTTCTGTGACAACAATCGTTTACCTGAATGGGTGAAATTGCAAAACCTATATTGCGACGAAGAAAGTTAGCAACTGGTGAGCAGCCTCTGCGTTCTAATAACACTTACCAAACCCGACAAACTGAAGTACTCGACGTATGCTCGGCAGCTCTGGATGAGCACGAAGCTAAACCAATTGTTAGCAAACATTGCTCGTTCTCCCTACTCCTCAAACAACACGACCAACAACACCTGCCAATGTACCCACCTTCTCACCGCCTAAACCGGTAATAGCGTTTTTACGAGCGCGATAAATGGTCAGTCCCTGAGCAAGGCCGTCGGAAATGCCTGCAAGGGTTGCTGCCGTGAAACACATGGTCAGCACCGGCGACCTTTGGTACCATTGATTATAACGAGCAGAAAACGATCGAAACATAGAGTGGAAAGGGAAGAGGGAGCTGCTGCTGCTTTATGAAGCAACAATACTCACATTGAAGATTGCAGCAGCTCACCAACGCACGACTCGCGTCAGACACGAGACAAGTGATAACCACACACCATTACCGAAGCATCACTCAACATCATGCACAACATCACGTCACTCAGAAAACACTCGGACTTCAAAGACTCTTGTTGACTATGACATCACCGAAAACCACTATCTATCAGGCACCGAATGAAGGCCATACGACATCCGAGCCATTGCCGGAAAAGCATCTTCACCAGATCCACAAAACCAATCACCTCTGCAATGTTAGCCGACGAACAATCAAGTCGATGAGGAACAAGGAAACAGCAACTGAAAGCCTAGCCAAGCGGAAATCATGTTCAGAGAGTTAAAAAACTTCGCATACTCGTCAAAGTATATACTACGAGTGAGCTGGGTTTACGAAGGAGATTCATCAGGGTACATGATTCCACAAGCAAGCCCAACAGAGCCGACACCCTCAAAAATCGAAAACTTACCAATAGACGTTCAGAAGCAACGCTGCACTACCACAAGGCACTAGACGATTGAAGTAGGCAGAGCTGCTTGACGGTCTTTTCCAAGTGGGAGGAGGCCACTATTTATGTCAGAAAATTTCGGTTTTGAAGTGTGACGGCTGTTTTCACCCCCACCCCTAAACACTAACACGCTTCGGGAAATCTTGCAGAATTAGGGCAAAACTGGTCAATTTACGTCATTGAAAAACACGTTAATCAAACTTAATCTTTGTTCCTTGCGGCTTGACGATGGCTGCCGTAGCACGTGCAGCTCTGGCCAAAGCTGCTCCTGGGCGAATAGAACGAGGATCGACCTTACGAGAGCGTTTGACAGGACGTTCGTAAGAGTCGGCTTCACCGGAACCAGTTTCGTCGGCTCCATCACCGTAGTCTCCGGAATTGTTCGTTCGAGCGGCACGCGCGGGACGAACACGCTTCGAACGGTCTTGACCATACTCAAGGCGCCACGTGTCGTGACTCATGGCCATGGCACGCTGAGCTGTTTCAACATCAAAAAAGTCTACAAAGCCGAAACCCTTGCACTTGCCGGTATCCTCGAACGTCATTAAGCGAACACGACGGATGCGACCAGCATCGCCAAAGTACTCGCTTAAAGTTTCTTTTGTCGCGTCAAAGGGGAGGTTACCGACGAACAGTGTGCTGGATGGCGGGTTCGCCGGACGTGCGGCGATCTTTTCGGTTTTAGACACGGTGACCTTGTCGGGCCGGCCGGTGTAGTCGGTGCTGGATTTGATGAGAACGTTACGGCCGTTCAAGGCGTGTTCCGAACACGCGAGAGCTAAACCCAACGACTCCTCCGAGTCAAAGTCGACGTAAGCGAAACCGCGATTCTGGTTTTTGCGAATTTTGTTCATCGGCATGTGAACACGAACAATCTGTTCGGCTTGCAGTCCATTGCCTCCTTGTTCTGCCGCAATTGCTGCCGTCTCCCGAACAAAAAACTCTTTGAGGATGTCCACAGTCGTGAGGAAACTAAGATTACCGATCCAGATGCCGAACTTAGTCGCCGGTTTGTTCGGAGCAGAAGAACCTTTAGGCCCCTTTTCGGCGTCTTCATCGGTGTCTTTCTCACCGAGCTTTTTCTCCAGCCGGCGAAGACGTTTCGCTTCCTTCTTTTTGGCCTCTTTGAGAGCTTCCTCAGTCCAGTTGCCGTCTTTATCAATCTTTCCAGCTTTTCTCAGCTTGCGTCGAAGCTTCCGAGAAGGCGGCACTGGTTGTGATACATCAATCTCCAACAATTCCTCCTCGTCGCCCTTCGAGTGTTTGGAGGATGCGTGGTGCTTGGACTTGTGATGCTTCGAGTCCTTCGACACCTTGTTCTCGGTGTCTGACGGCGCATCCTCAGCATTTTGTGGAAGCTCATTGTCCGAAACCGACTCCTTCCTACTACGGCTGGAGTCGTCGTCCTCAGCGTGCTCGCTGTGATCCTTGCTCATGGCTTTGGCGAAGAATGTGAAAACGAAGCGCTAAGGAAGCAGGATTCGGTGTGATGCGATGCAGTTCGTTAAACTTTTTTAGGTAATTTATTGATGGATGTGTTAAAGAACAATTGAGATTAGTAATGAGATCGCTACATAAATTACGGAGCATGGAGACGACTCCACTATTCAAATTTACCGAGCTGTATGATAACTGTAAACCGGATTTATCAAACCTCATTCGTTCGCACTATTTCATTTAACGAACACCCTCCAGCACTAAACGCTTGAGGCGTTGAGGAGAGGACTACCCTACTGAGCAGACGGGTCTGGCAGGATTCCTTAGTAAACCACCATGACTGAAGGACCCCCCTCTTACGAATCTCACTTCACCTTGGAACTCGGTCTCCACCGTGAACTTCGCGGAAAACGCGTCGTTCTGGCGTCTGGTTCTCCTAGAAGAAAGGAAATTATGGCCCAAATGGTAAGTGTACGGTGGGTTCAGGAAGATCGACGCGTCTGCTGCTGAGATGATCTACATGCACACGTGATCGACAATAATGATCTTCGGTCTCAGTATGAACATTGTCAATTCGGAGACACTGTGCTTGTGTTTTCATTGGATTGATGTTCCCAATGTCGAGATTTTTGGCTTACTAACATCTACTTTTTTTTAGGGGTTCCCCGAAGTTGAAGTATGCGTTTCCGGGTTCGAAGAGAACCTTGACAAGAATAGCATGACGCCTTGGGAGTATGTCTCTCAGACATCTGCGAAAAAGGCTATGGCTGTTTACGAAAAACTGTCGGAGGATGAGGAAGCACCTGAGATGGTTATTGCCGCCGATACAATTCTCGTCCTTGGTCATGAAGTTATCGAGAAGCCTTGCGACGAGAAACAGCACTTTGCAATGCTGAAGCGTCTTCGTGACTCTAACACTCCTCATCGTGTCTTCACAGCAATCACTGTGATTGCCCCTATGGATGTCCCCATTCATCCGGGTTATGTTATGAAGAGTCACTTGGAAGAGACTCGGGTTAAGTTTGACCCAGAACTTACTGACGACTTTCTTCAGGCTTACGTTCGTTGCGGAGAAGGTTTAGACAAAGCAGGAGGATATGGCATTCAGGTAGGCAAACGTCGTCGGATGGGACTCATTAAAACACCCAAGCATTTCTATGCTTGCTTTCAATTTCACGAATACACTAACACACGTAGGGAAAAGGAGCTCTTTTAATTGAATCTATTCAGGGAGACTACAACAATATCGTTGGTCTTCCCGTCCGCGCTACCTTTAAATTGATGGAGGATGCTTTAAACGAAAGCACTGATCACGGCTATTAAGTTTCAGCAATAAAACCCAGTCAGGGCTGTGTCGCTGTGCTCTTGCCGAAATGCTCGTCGTGTCATGTGTTTACATCTTTACTCCTAGCAATTGCTTCTTAAGCATGGAAAAATCTCAATAGGGCAAATTGAATCGTTCGCGGTTTTTCATGTCATTACGGAAATACTGTATAGAGCACTAGTCACCAGCAACTGATACGGGCGTCTCGATTGTGCTGCAAGGTACATATTGACAACCTACTACTTGTTGTTTAAAAGACCTTTTTTTTGGAGCTCAGCCTTCAATTGAACGGCAAAGTCGTCATCACCAACGTCTTCATCATCCCAATTGTTTTCCCATAAGGTATCATCATTTGTTGCAAGTTCTGCGTCTTTCATATGCCAGTCTACATTTCATCGTTAGTACATGTGCATTACACCGTAAATGAAATATTTTAACACGTACTTTCCATGGCAAAGTCTTCAAATTCATCATCGTCTTCCAAATCTATAATGTAACGTTAGCACCCCTTCCCGTCATATCTTTTCTTCTACGTACTCTCAAGGCTAGGCAAAGCCGTTCTCGACATTTTTGTTAGTATTTTTTGAGATTTGCGAGTGTGGAAAAAGAAAGGTGCCCTGTATCGAACATACTTCGTCCTTCTAACGCGTTTGGTGTAGACCTTTTGGTGGTGAGTTTTTAACTCTTAAGCAACGCTCAAGGGGCACAAAAGCGAAGAGACTAGTGCCCTTTCCCCACAAACTCTAATTATCTAAATGCATTATACAGCCTTTATTTAGTCAAGAGAAAGAATAGAATTAGACACAGTTCTCATGGTTAATTAAAAAAGAAGTTTAAATTTTTCGTCTAAATGTGTATTATTGATAAAAAGTTAGTCGGTCCTGAAAGGTATATGAGATTTTGTTCGGAAAGGTTGTACAGCCTTGCACGTCGAAGCAATAAAAAAGAACTCGTAGTCAAATAACTACAGACGGTCAAAAGTGTATAGAATGATAAAGAAGAGGTCCAAAGCCTGCATGCGATTGTATCAAAAATCAGTGAAAACGAAACGAAGCATAATGGCAACGCGGATGATGGGTTCTCATATACGAAGGAGAGGGGAATGCGTATCAGTATAATAATCCATTTTCGATAACAGAGAAGCACTTACTTCCCCATCTTTTTGTACATGCTAATAAGGTTTTTATGACCAACGTCCTCTTTGGGCCAAAAGTAACAAACAAACTTCCAAAGATCATGTGTCATCCCCTCTCGTTTGTCAGTGGGTGTATCTGCGACTAGCTTGTCAATGTGCTTTCCAATTGAAGTGAGGCAGTCGGCCAGTAATTTAACCAGCTGGCCGCGTTCCAGATTCCTCGAGTCGCGTTTCAAGCTCTTAAGATACTTGCGGACAGGATGCATGAGTTGCTTACAGCGTAAACGTGTTCGTTGATCCAAATGGTCAGGTGCATTTGATGAACGGGTTGAATCATTCGTTTTTGTATCATGCTCAGGCGTATTATGACGAGAACTAGCGACAGATGTCCGTCTGTCAGCACGAGAATCAACAGATGGACTGCGAGATGATCCTTCCGAACGATTCAACTGGCGATGAAGATTCGACCTGCTCGTCTGTCGGCGATTGTGGGGCATTTTAGGACGATCATTGGCAATTTGTTGAGATTCACGGAATGCAGTCAAAAGATACTCACCACGTCTAACCAAATGAACGGCGGAAGGCGCATGTTTCTCATTGGAGTCTTGAGACTTTACATCATCCAAAAAGAGTTTGTCTTTGAGTCCAAGCTCGGGATCATTGCGAATACTCTGCCAAGAACCAAATCCGTATTTGCATATACCAGCAAGCAGCATGGAATCTTCCACTTCGCTCCATTTGCAGGACCAGCCATGAACAGCACGTAGAGGTGCTTTGATGCGAAAAGAAGAGAGATTGTTCAAATCAACAGCTTGGTATAAAAATTCCAAATCTCGAAGACGTTGGATAAGTGTTTCAGCATTAATATTCTTAACGCCTTTAAAAGAAATAAGAATAGCCTTTCTAGCAGGTTTTCCATTTTTTTCGCCGGATGAAGACTCACTTTCGGCAATAGCCTTTTTACACGATGCTTCTAAGTCGGCAGAAATCTTTTTAATGACATTGGCGTCTTGGGTGGTGAGATCGGCATCTTTAACGATTTCATCGTAGCGGTCTTCAATACGACCATATTTGATCATCGCTCTGTAAAGCATCCGTATTTCCTTCTCCATAAGCAGTTCGTCCTTAATCAAACGTTTTCTGCTTGGCTTGGAAATCTTCTCAATAGTTTTGTCTTCACGTAAATCCAAAGTAGATGTTCTCTCACGCCGACTTGAAAGCTCCGCTTCCTGCTTACGACGTTCTTCTTCCTGTTGTTGTCGTTCCTCTTCCTCAATCTTCGCTCGTTCCTCAGCAGGAATAATGTCGTCCCATGAAACATTAGCTTTATAGTCTGTAACTTCAAACTGTTTTAAGAACTCCTCACCTCCCATACTGGCTCCACCGACATCATTGGAAGTGTCGTGATCTTCGGCATGCTCCAGAATTTCATCCAAATTAAGATCCTCCAGCTTCTTCTGGTTATCATTGTTCTTAAACATATTCGAAGCACCAAATTTCAAAATTGCACTGAGTTCTTCTGCCGAAAATTTATCGCTCTTTGAGTTTTTTCGTTTGTCTGTAACGCCAAGAGATATGATTGCGTACTCAAGAATCATTTTCCGCCGCGCCCGCTCCAAAACGTCCTCCTCAATTGTGTCTTTCGACAAAAATCTGTAAACCATGACATGGTTCTTTTGTCCGATACGATGCGCACGAGCCATAGCTTGAAGATCAGCTTGCGGATTCCAATCAGAATCGAAAATAATGACTGTGTCAGCTGTCATAAGATTGATACCCAGACCACCAGCTCTAGTAGACAGTAAGAATACAAAATCTGGACTGTTTGGTGCATTAAAATGATCGATAGAGATTCGACGAGTAGCTGCAGGCACAGTACCATCAAGTCGTTGGAAGGGATAGCCACGCAAGGACATATAATCACCAAGGATATCAAGCATGCGAACCATCTGACTGAAGATCAACACTCTGTGTCCATCACGATGCAAACGTGTAAGTAGCTTATCCAGTAAGACCATTTTTCCACTATTCATAATGAGACCTTTAAGCAATTCTTCGCGTTTACCTTCACCGCCAGTCTTCTTTAACCATGTTTCCTCAACTCCTGGAAATAGATAAGGGTGGTTGCTCGCTTTCTTCAACTCCATAACAATATTCAGCAGAGAAAGTTGGCTTCCATTTGATGTGCTTTGCGATAAAACACGATAATTTCTCGTTAAAATGTTTTTGTACCAGTAAGTCTGGGAGTCAGATAACTCTACTCGCAAAATACGTTCAGATTTGGATGGCAATGATTTCTCAACATCCTTTTTCAACCGCCGAAGAATATAGGGTTGAAGGTGTTGCTGAAGGTTACGAATGTAGGACTCTTGTTCCTCATCAGGCGCTTCAAAATTAATCTCTTCACGAATCTGGAACTTGCCAGGCATCAAAAAGTCCACTAAAGCGGCCAGCTCTTTAATGTTATTCTGAAGTGGTGTACCTGTAATGAGCAAGCGGTTTGCATTTTTGAATTGAGAAAGTGTTTCGTAGAGAGAGGATTCACTGTTTTTTAGACGATGGGCCTCATCAATAGCCATGTATTGCCATTTTATATTGTTAAGACTGGCTCTGTCTTTAAGAACATATTCATACGTGGTAAGCAGCACGTTAAATTTCAGCTTTTGTGTCCGCTCATCGTAAAATTCATGTTCTTGAATCATCTGCCGAGACTTTGCATTTCCCAGATAACTAATGCAATTCATGTCAGGAGCCCATGCAGCCAATGTTTCTTGCCAGGCAGGAACTGTTGAGAGCGGAACTACAACAAGGAATGGGCCATGTTGTCTTAATGAATGAGCCAAATAGGAAAGGAATGCGACAGTTTGTACGGTTTTACCAAGACCCATTTCATCTGCTAAGATACCGTTTTCGTTTTTATGCCAGAGATAAGCCATCCAATTAACACCAGTCAATTGGAAATCACGGAGCTCACCACCGGAAATGTATGACGGTTGTTGTTCTAGCTTCCGATAAGTAGGTCTCGAATTTCCGTAATTTGTTCCCCGTGCTGGACTTAACGCACTGTTAACGCGTTTTTGGTACTCCTCAATTTCATCTTGTGCAACCCGAGAAATAAGCTCCTCTGTTTCCCAAGTACAAGCATCATAAAATAGTTGCTTCCATTTCACCAAGAATATGCGATTGCGATTTTCATCAAAATCTTCTGCGACTATACGATCCACAGATTTGTGTTCTTCGTAAGCCTCTTTCTTTCTTTCGCGTTCAATATCCATAGCCTCGATATCCTCGCGGGTGGTTGTTGGATCAGAGCGAATTTCTTTGTCAAGAATAATGTTTGTCTTCGTATAGTTGTCAATTTTTTTCACGCCTTTGGTTTCCGACATGTCTTCGCGGGTTTCCCAAGTACAGTGAAGATACGACTTGTCTTGCCATTTAATTAGAAACTCAAAGTCATTTTTGGCATCAGAACCATCAGCACCAGCTTTCAATCGGTGATCAAGAACAAGATCAATTGCAGGAGCATTTTCAACTTCTTCTGTGACATATTCGTAGGATTCATACTCTTCTTCATCCTCCAAATCCTCAAAGTAGGCGTCTTCATTATAGTTAATTCCGCCAGAATTACGAGAGGAAAACCGAATCTCGTCGTTCCGGTAGGACACCTCAACATTGCGTTTTCTTTTCTTTGGAGTCCCGCCATAAGAGCTGGCATCACTATTTGAGTCTTCTTCACCACTACTAAAAGGTTCTTCCTCTTCTTCGTAATCGTATGAAGTTGCCTTCTTTGACTGACGATTACGCCTACGTTTGGAAGAATTGGTAACGGAATCGCTATCATCGTCAGAGCTGTACGATTGCACGTACGCACCAGGCTGACTACGCGTTCGTCCCTAATACTGGTTACTGTTTTGCACAGAAAATGCTGCCATGGTACGTACTGATCTTCTTAGACCATACAACTCGGGATCTAAATACTCTGGGTCATGAGGTTTTCTTCTCACCGAATGTGCATCCTCACTTAAATCATCCGACGCGTCGTCCATAGACGCAACGCTTTCATTCATAGGCAGAATTGAGTTATGTAGATTCTGAACTTGGGAAGTGGCCGTTAAGGCTTCAGAACTCATAACGACTACTGTTGTCAGCAAAAGTAAGAAAAAAACAATATCCCCATCCTCTTTATTCTCGGAAGACCCTTGTTCGCTGATCCATAGCTGGTTTGAAATGACTTTCTCCCTCACTGTTTACGAAACGAAACTGCAAGAACGACATTGATACAGCTTATTTCTCAAGAAAAAAATGTCAGTAATCAGCTGGATTGAAAACACGACAGGATCTTTTCCATTTCATCTAAATCACAGAATACAATGGCCTTAAATGTGCACACAAGACAAAAGTTTTACGTTCATGTAGAATAGAATAGACTAATGAACAAACAAGGAAACGACAGGTTTAACATGAAACGAAAAAAAAAACGGCATCACTAAAGAAGTGCAGAGAACATAATAATGGTAAACAGAGAGAGAAGAAAGAAATAGGTTTTTTGAGGAAGCAGGTTCAGCAACAAGAATTTTTCCAAATGCGCGGTGAAAAGACACCGGAAAGCAGAATAGAATAAGTAAAGAGATAACTTACACGTTTATTCAACCGCAAAGATCGTTTGCCAGACTGTTGGCGTGCTCAGAATGGCTTTTTTACAGAATCGATATTTTTTTGTGGCTGGAAGAGGTCAGGTGAAGCAAGGCAAAAGGGAGTAGGACAAATACAACGGTTTACTGAATGGGGGAGAAGGATATGAGACGGAAAAAACAATCTATTCATTATCATCAAGTAAAGAAATCATCATTTTCTTAACGAATCTCTCCTTCTTCGCTCGATTCTGCGTCTTCCGCCGGAACAGGAGGGCCGGCAGACGCAGAAGAGACCAACGGTGCAGCAGGAGACGCTGGAGAAGCAGAGACTCTCAGGCGAGAACGTTTCGCGAGGCTACCTTCATACTCGAAATCTGAAGGACGGGAGCGGGTGCCTTCACGGCGACCATAATCACGATCTACATACATAGGACCATTAGCATCCCACTCATCACCATAGTACGCACGCCTTGAGCGTGATGGCTTCTCCGAAGCCTCGTAACGTTCACGCATCCGGCGAATGTACTTTTCAAAAGCTGCTATCCGGTGTTCTTCGGAAGAAAGTGCAGTAAACTCAGGCAACGACGCTAATTTGGAGCGCACCTGTGCATAAGTGGCATCCAAAGGAATCGGTGGCTCAATGTATTTGATGGCACTGCGTAGATTGTCAATTTTACGACGAAGTCGACGCTCATCGTTTCGTTTTTCATCGGCCTTCCGTAAAATAGCCTTTTTTCGCAAAAGAGTAATAATATCCTCCAATGTTTCTGGCGAAAGAGCACTTACTTTTTCAATTTTTGTGTTCCGCAACACCCGGTCGACGGTAGAAGCAATATCCATGGTTTCAGAAACAGCAATGTGAAGTTCATCTAAGGCATCCTGTACGTCGTTTTTGTGAGTATGGTATGTTTCTTCAAGTGAGACAATGGTATCCCAAAAAAAGTCCAACGGAGTGGAACCAGATTGACCCAGCATGTTTTGGTAACGAGAATCATTGCTAAAGAGTGGGTAAACCTCTTTCCACTTGCTGTTCATAGTAATTTTACGTTGAGTAACGAGCTCGGAGAGAAGCTTTTTAAACGCGTCTCGATTGCGACGTTCGTTGCGAGATCGCTCTTGTTTGGCACGTTGTTTTTCCGAAATGTAGGCACGTTCAAGACGTTTAACATGAGTTTCAAAGGCAGACAGGGCATCTAATTTGTTAAGATGTTGCAGTTTAGGGTTGTCTCTAAAGAGAGAATTTGTATTGAACAGTTCTTGGGCATCCTTCCATTTTGTGTATGGGTCAGTAACCGTTCGACGGAGCAAGAGGGTAAATTCAGCAAGGGCTTCCTCTTCTTGGTGTTTTTTAAGCTGAAGCTCGGCGTCTTGCAGACGCTTTTTGTATTCGAAAAATAAAACTTGACGTTCAGTATCATCCTTCGCAGCTAGGAACGCGGGATGATTGGCCATGGTAGCTTTGATTGTGCGCCACAACGTGTATGGCTTCATCTGAGCATCATGTTCAAGCATATCGTAGAATTGTTTCCTCAGAGAAGCCACACGATTATTTTCCCGTTCCGTTTCGTCAGCAACGCAGTTCGAAATAAAGGTGAGAAAGGCCCGCTTTCTCTCCCACGGATCTTTGATTACGTAGTATTCATTTTCTGTGCAAAGTTCTTGCACAGCACGTTCCCATGTCCAATCTGAAGAAACATGAGATCGCTCGAGCAGCCGAAAGAAGGCCATCTCTGCAGCCTCATACGTGTCATACTCCTCATGCTTACCGGAGTCATGACGTTTAGGCTTTTTTTCTCTTGGTGCAGTAGTCGCTGGATGAGTACCGTCCCCTCTTGGAACAGTGGTTTTTGTTTTTGCTGGAGAAGATGTAGCACCTAGTCGCGGTCCATTAGGTACAGCAGCAGCTTGAGTGGATACTCGAGCAACTGCAGGTGTTGTTGAAGTGGTGGAGAGTTTTGAAGTTGCTGCAGAGACGTGATTTTCCCGTGAACCAGCATTAACCGGTAATCTTTTTTCAGGTGGAGCTTCGTGTTGTTCGTCCAACAGGGCTCTGTACTCATCCGGAATTTCCCACACAGACTGTTTTGTATCGACGTTGTACCAGTACTTTCGTCCTTCGGCCGTCACATATTCCTTCCAAGAAAGTTTAGAAAGTTTTTTTTCTAGAGGATCCATCAATTCTTCTGGCTTTTCCCAGACACTTTCCTGTGTCTGGGAATTGTAGTAATAAACACGTCCATCATCTGTCTTAACTTGTTGCCAGTTCGAACCCTCATTACTAGGTGTTTCAGCTTCAGCCTGGGCGCCCGAACGGGCTTCTTCCATCTTTACATCCTCTGTTTCCGATGATTGCCATGGCGGCACAAACATGATGGACGTTGGTGGAGTAGTCTTGCGCTATTGCTCCCGAAAAGAGTTTGGTGGGATACTGTACCATATTGCGTTGCAGTGCAGCAACGGAGATTACTGTACTTCTAAGCATCTCCGTAATGAGAATTGTGTGTCTCACAAACACCCTGTAATGTTAGTATAAGGGCGTCTAGTGCAGCCTAAGGAATTTTTTTGCGACTCCTTAGATTGATATGTAGCGCTCTGCTTAGGTGAAATATTCTTGAGACGTTTTCCAGAGGAGGAAGAACAGTCGCAGGAAGATTGTACAGCAGAAAAAATGGTCAAGGTTGCGGCATTTGTGTGTGGTGTCGCTAGTAGCGGCAAAAGTACGTTTTGCGGTGCTTTAATTCGTTATATGCGAGGCATTGGTCGTCGATGTCATCTTGTGAACTTGGATCCTGCAGCAGAGAACTTTGAATGGGAGCCTACAGTTGACATTCGTGATTTGATTACGCTGGAAGATGTTATGGAGGAAATGGGTTATGGACCAAACGGTGGATTGATTTACTGCTTCGAATTTTTGATGGAGAACTTGGACTGGTTGATTGAGGAAATTGGGGATTATGACGAGGATTACCTGATTTTCGATATGCCCGGACAGATTGAGCTGTACACTCATGTCCCCATTCTCCCGTCACTTATTCAGCAATTGAATGTGAGCTTAAACTTTCGTCCTTGCGCTATATACCTGTTGGAAAGCCAGTTCATTGTGGACAGGACAAAATTCTTTGCCGGTGTGTTGAGTGCTATGAGTGCAATGATCATGCTTGAAATTCCTCACATCAACTTGCTTAGTAAAGTGGACCTGCTTCGAAACAACACGAACCTCTCGCGTGCAGACTTCAAAAGATTCCTAAACATCGATCCACTATTGCTCGTAGGCGAGGTGAATGCGAAAACAAATCCTCGTTTCCACGAGCTGAATCAAAGCATTGTACAATTGGTAAGGGCGGATGTTGGCACACAAGCTTATAGTGCGTGTGCAGATTGTTTGAGAACAGAGAGTGCTAACGACTTGTGACACAGATTGACGACTTCAACATGGTCAACTTTCTCCCACTGGAAAGTGGCAACGAAGAAAGCGTAAAACGAGTCCTTAGCTACATCGATGATGCTACACAATGGTATGAGGACCAAGAACCAAAGGAGCCTCATGACTCGGCCGATGAAGACGATGACGAAGAATAAAAAGGGGACAATAAAATGGTTTTTAGGTAATGTGAATGCACCGAGAGAAGCACAGTAAGAAAGTCATGGGAAGACCCATTACAGCTCTCTCGAATATGAAATAGTGATGCACGTTCGTATTCTTCTTGGTGGACCCTGTTTATTGTTTTATCTTTGATTTCGCATATCATACTGCAGATCACTGTCGATCACCTATTCGTGTGGTCGATCAGACCTAAACCCTCAACAAAGAACGAAGTACATAATCTTTGATCCATGGGTCAATTATGCTCGACACCGAAGAAACATTCCAAAAATGATGGTGGAAGAGCAGCTTCACCGGTTCCTCGACGGATAGAAAAGCCACAATTGCAATCGAACAGAAACACACCAAAGCTTCAAACACCAGCGAAAGCAGCTACCCGACCAAGTGGAGGGAGAAAGCTGGGAGCATTATCTCCATCAACATCGCCTTCATCGCAAGCATTGTCGCCTCAAGAAGCAGCCTGGCTTTCAGCGGAGGTAAGTTGAATGAAGAACATTACTCAGAAAATGAATCCTAACAGAATAATATCCTTAGAAACGTCAAGAAACACAAAAGAAATCGCAAAAGGCTCTTGGAAAACAATTAGATAAAGAGAGATCCAAGAGTACACGAGCACATCTCGCTGACATGGCCCGCGAACGTGAACAAGAACAAGCTCGTATGGTGTGGGATTAGTGCGTTTATTGAATTCTGTCGTTTCGAATGCATTAGAAGCCGTCTGTTGCTGAATGCAGCTTCTTGAGGATGTCAGTGATTCAGTTCCTTATACAGTGATAATTGGAGTGCCTGTGTTACAACCGCACTAAATCAACTGCGAAGGGCACTGACAACGTCCCTCCAGTGCACCTCAATAACTTCAACGGGGGATATGGACGACAGCGATGGATCGTTAGGAGGGACGTATGTTTGGTCATTCGCATCCGCCCGCAACAGCTGTAATGGCGAATACCGCCGAGACATGGCCGACCAAGAGTACCGCGCGAAAAAGAGGTTGCCATTGTTAAACACGCTTGGTGCTTCTTGCCGTTGGTCACGAGAAGGAGGACCTTGTTGGTCCTCCTGGTCCGTCGTTAGGTCGTCCGTCCTCTCCTTTGCTCGATTGTTCACAGCAGCCAGCAGAACAAGAATGAGGAACTGTAGCAGCCAAAGTACCACATTTAACTTCAGCATATCCATAATTGAAGATGCCGCTTGCTCGCCAACAAAATTGACGATCATTCCTCCATACAGATAACCATCAGAGCGTTCAAACGGTATGGGTGGACCGTAGATCCATATACTGAGCAAAGTAATGGCAATAATTGTGTAGAATGTGAACACGGGCAAAAGATAGATAATTGCGCTTTGTGCGGAATTTTTTAAATAGTTGCAGGCTTTTAAGAGTAGCTGAATTAGACAGGTGTTAGTGATTAAGTACAGGAAGCGCGTATTCTGGAAGATGGACAACTGACACATACCCATTGATAGAAGCATTTGAGCACAAAGCTAAAAAAGAGAAGACTAGGAAGTTAGCAAGAAAATGAATGACGAGAATACTAAGGAAACACAATTGATGAAGATGCTTTTGTTGTTGCATCAGATATCAATTCGCTTCATAATTTCTCTTACTCTTTGTTGTACTGAATAAATATAAGAACGAAGCAGATGAGATTGAGCGACTGCAACATTTCAACAAGCTCCCTTCTCGTATGTATCCGGACAATTTCCATCATTTTTAGAACGTTTGAATACGGTTATTAGAAGCGTATGCTGGTAACAGCGTGAGGCGAGAGGATCCTTGAATGTAGAAGTATATTGATACCGACAAGCGGGAAGAAAACAAGGCAATTCAATCATACAAATTCGAGAGAAGTACTGATCACAACGCAGTATGCTTCGACCTGTATTTAAACCCCTATAATAGAAAAGGTTATCAATTCATGGGACATGGAAAAGTGTTCCACGTTTAAAAATGTTCCACAATCCTGGCAACTGTTACTTAACAGAGGAACTTTGTGGAGGATTACTAAAAATTTGAGTAGAATAGTTACAATTGCAAGTTGCAATGGAAGACAGGAAGACGGAGCAATATTGCCCACAAGCACTCAGGATCCACGATGTGTTGGCTTCACAGTATTCTCGCGCAGATCTTTTAAATTAAGGTTCCCCCAACAAGAAAGATCGTCGATCATTATGAAATTATGTACACCACCAAAAAGGATCAGCGCCAGTACACCATTCAGACCAAGGAAAACCGTCGTAGCAAGGAAATTGAGGCATCAGCAACTGTATTGCTCGCCGTTCAAACATTTCCGTGCTCAGAGAAATCACAATTTTTTTGTCGTCCAAACTTTTTCCTCTTGGTTTCTGAATTCGTGTTTTAGGATTCATTGTTCATATAAAGTTCAGTAACATTGATTTGCGTATTTTTTTTTTTTTATTTCTTTGTTACTGCTATTTCTTTCCTTGTATGAGTAGTAGAACATTTTTCCAATATGTCTTCCATGAATCAGACAAACGGTGCAGATGCGTATGAGTATAGGTACAATGGATCAGAAATCAACGTTGACGATCTCAATGCGGCGCATACTGCATCTGGGGACAAAAATGAGTCTCTTACTAGACTTCTGAAACATATTCAGGGCATAAAAAGTATGTATATTTTTATTTCCTTGTCAAAGGAAAGGCAAAAAACACAGAACAATATTTTGTGTTTCTAACTCTTGTGTTCTCCCACAGTGTTCTGTGTGATTGTCTTTATTGTGCTATATGCTAACAGTTCCTTCTAGTTGATCGAAACGTTCAAGACATATTAACGAAATATGCCAACGAGCCACCAAGTCTGATCCTTCACATTCATAACTATCACTTTCGTTTTGAACAGCAGGATGGTGCATTTACTTATAACGGACCAGTAAAATCTATCTTACACTACTTACGCATGGAGCTTATTCCACCAGATTGCATTGAGGTGTTTCAAACGGCCAATATACACTTTTACGACGGCTGCTTGATTATTAGAGTTATTGACCATAGAACACCTAATCAACCTGCCCCACCCACAAATGCTGCTGGTACTACTGCTTCTTCAACAGCGCCGGGATCCGTACCGTCGACTCCGAATACAGCAACCGCACCTAGCACTGTTCTTTCCGGATCAACAGCTGGACCTTCTGCTGCTGCTGCTGCTGCTGCCGTAGAACCACCAAATGAACAGGCAAAAGTGTATCACACAGTTCTGCAACCGTCAGCTGAAACCTTATGGCAAGACCTTTGCCTTATCAGCGAGGTATTTGGCAATTATTTAACGGACGAAGCGTTGTTAGAGATAGAGTCTAAGATCCTTTTGGCATCAGAGCCTCCATTGTTGTTGGCACCGGCCACTTCGCCATATCAAATGCACCGAATTTTTGAACAGTTGGCTCAAAAGTTACCGCCGCCGTATCCTGAACCTCGGCATACGACGAATGAGATGGCTGCTGAAGAAGCAGAACGTGTTGAGAAGGAGAATCTTCTGTTGCTTATGGACGATCAACAGCATCACGATTTTAATCCAACGTTCCAGAGACTTCAATTCATCGAAAACGTTCGACGGAAAAGAGCACTTATGCAACAGCGCCAACAACAGCAGCAACAACAACAGACTCAACGTACCGCCCAGCAAAAACCCGGTTCCCGACCACTGGCGCCAGGAGCTGCGGGAAAAGGCGCGTCACCGCCAGTTTCTTCGCAGCAACAGCAGCCGCACTTTGTCGGTCCCTCATCAGTTGCAGCAGGTCGCCGACAAGCAAGCCCGTCAATAAAAAGCGAAACAATGGACGCTGCACAGGCTCGTCAGATGGCGGCTCTGTACCAACAACAACAAAACCAGTATATGAAAACCATGCAAGCTCAAGCAGTACATCCTTCTTCTTCTCGGCAGAGTATGTCACCGCCTGCTGCGAGTAATTACATGTCCTCCCGAAATGCCCCTACATCCTATGGAAACAATAAATACCCTCGCCGTTAATGTTTTTCATGTGTATGACACTGTCACATCCCTCAAAAGTATATTTTCTACTATTTTATTTTTGTGTTTTCAATTGCATGCACTGCTTATAAACCGGTAATAGCAAAAAAAAAAAAAAACGGAAATTAAGCGGAAAAAAAACACAAGGGATATTCAAAAAAATCTTCTCTCTCGTTATAGTTACTTTTTTGTGTATAAAGATGTATATTCTTACTATGGGACGGCTTTTTTTTGTTATAAATACTGGCTGTATGAACCTGCAACAAACCAGCAACCACAACATTTGTGGTCTCCAATAAGCAGTTGCTGGGCATCCTGGTCCTTTTGCGAATTGGTATGTTTAAGTGCGAAGAAAAAAGAACGAGACACTGTGTTTCCTTCCTGCAAGTTTGTGATGATATAATTTGCGATTGAGAGACAAACGCTTCGGATCCTCGCCTGGTTCCACATGGGCTTTGTCAATATGCGACAGATTATTTACTGAACTTTCAGTGAGAGACACATTGTTATTCATCCTTTGTTTTTGTAAGGACAATTCTTCTAACTGTATTAGTGATTTCTTCGATGAACAGTCTCAATTTGCAGGGACCAATTTTGTATTTGGCTAGGTATGATTGAGTTTATCTTGGTATTGGAACTTCATGTGATGAGTTATTTGCTTATGAATTTGTGATTACACTTTTATTCACCAAGATCGCTGAATGAAGTTTCAAGCTCGAGAAATGTTTACCGTTTTGTATATGGGTTACTAACAGCGTTAGATGGTAGTATAATTTGCTTGTAATTTAATGACACGAATTTGATGTACTTTGTTGTGAGTAAATGGTGGTTATGAATGAGGAAACTGTTCGCTGAGTTGTACGGTTTGCATGTTATGTGATTTGATGGGTTGTGTAGTGCTAGATGAAGCTTTTTTGGTTCATATGGCTGTTGCCTTACACTGGATGGTAAGTGGAAAAGAATGCGGTCAGTTCTTTCCGTCTGTCTTTCGTCTATCTTTTGGAGAATCCTTTCTATTTAAATAACAAAAAATCAAACAGAGATGCGAAACTGAGGGTGTCTATAATCGCTCCCAACTCCATCTTTAATCCATATCAATATCCGTTTCAATTTTTTCCATGTCGACAAGGCGTTCGCCTCTAGCAGTACGGCCTTTTTCGACGACATGATTCACGCCAATTTCACATTCACGAAGCTTGGACTTTGCTCCGACGGTCACACCAGAAGCAACGATGCAGCTCTCAAGACGGACATTGTCACCAACAACAATGTTGTCCATCAGAATTGAATTGCTCAACACGACACCGTTTCCAATAGTGCAGTTACGGCCGATAACTGAGCGCTTTACGTTGCTTCGGTCTCCAATAGAAGTACCCTCATTGACCATGCAGTCAGAACCGACGACAGCACGCTTAGACACGTTGGCATCCACGATTTTGGGTTCGGGAGCTGTTTTTGCAACCTAGTGTTAAGTTAGTATTTGCGCTACATTCACCCGCATTTGTCAGTAAACACTTACAATACGGTTGATCTCAAAGTAGTTGGGCAAATTGTTAGCTCGAAGGGAAACACAAGCGCCCTTTTCAGGAATAAAAACATTAACCTTCAAATTCCGCGCATTAGGCTTGTCATTCTCTTTCTCATCCACGAGGACTGTAGCGTGCACTGTGTTAGTCATAACAGTAGAGTAAAAAAATAAAAGAAAAAGAAAAACATACACTTTGTCACACCCTTTCTTTCAGCAAGAGAGTGTTGATTTTGTGCTTTGACAAGCAAAGGCAAGAGATCACCACGGAGTGATGAAAGCTCTTCATTTTCTTTAAGCAGATCCAGAACCCAGTGTCTGAACACGTAGATATGAGTATCGGCAAGAGCAGTAGTTAATGTGATACGAGGATGCTTCCACAACAAAGACATGCGAAATGAGACGTCAGAATCGATGTCAGCGGAACTCTTGTTATAAAGTAACTGACTTGATGATTCCTCCAAGCCAACAATCAGTTTTTCGTCGATTTCTTTGGTGAGAGACGTGACATACTCGTGCTTTGGTACATGACTAAACAAAGCTAAAGCATCTGGGTTGTTTAAACGGTAAGAGTCAAGCAATTGATATGGAGGAACATCAGTGATACTGTCACAACTAAGACACAGAAAATCGGTCTGGTCGCACGTTAGTTTAGAGATTCACAACAAATTACCAGGCGATTTAAAAGCACTATTTCAAATGTCGTACCTTGATTAAATGGGCGATGGAACGAAGAACATCAGCGGTTCCCAAGGAGTCATTGGCACAGGAAGGAGCCTCGACGTGGATGCGAAGATGACCCTCATACCCAGAACGGAGCCAAGCATTAATGTGAGCCTGTGCTTCTTCCATACAGACCAAAATTACAGAACTGAACCCGGCAACTTCGAGCCATTGAAGAGGATAGTGGAGCATAGGCTTGTTACCAATAGGCAACAAAGCTTTTGGTAGCACATCATCACCCGTTAATGGATATAAACTATACATAATGAAACCATTAGTAGCTGTAACAAAAAATCACTGCGACTGGTGAACTAAATCTTCACAATTAAAAACAGCAGTCAAACAACAACACGGTTTCAAATACCGGCAGACAGTCCATAAACGAATGTATAGTCGACAACGAAATGCTTACCTGTTACCATAACCAGCAAAAACAACAGCCTGAAACTCTGTTGGAATAGAGTTGAACACACCCGAGCGCGCCCTGCCACCAGAGCTTGCAGTTAAATTGGCGGCATTATTAGAAAGAGGTGATTTCACGGCTTCATAAAGCACAGACATATTTGGTAAATGCTTGGGGAGCCAAACGTGAATTCTTGTTACTCTGGTGTACTGACGCTGTAACAAGGTGTCAAGTGGGGGAGCATGTGGGGGAGAAGAGGAAGAAGAAGGATGGGTTTAGGTTGGACATTATAAAACAGTAGAGCAAAGGATGTTAAGCAAAGTATTATTATGCAAGAGGAAAGGTAATTGTCTGGGTTTGGAGAAAGATGAACTGTGTAAGACTATTCCCCTTATTTTTTTTATTTTTTTTTTCTGTAAGACTATAATTTAATATATTATAATTTAATTTGTGTATTTATGTATTTTCTTTTTTGTGAATATGTGAAGCTTTCACAAGACTAAATTAAAGTTTAATAAGTGATCGAAATGAGCCATGGTTTGCTGAGACGAAAATAATATTGTTTTCGTAGTTAAAATGGGCCCTCAAGGCATAAAACCATTGTCGCTCTTTTCCATCGGGACACTTACGAACTACGCATCTGAACCGAGGACACCGTTGATCTTAATAGTCGACCTTTTAAATCCAAAAGTTCGTTGTGCAAATCTTTTCATTATGTACAAAAAATTATTAACAGAATGAGATCGACAACAAGAAAAAGAATGTAGTCTCGTACCCTCAATGCAGAGAAAATAATGTGAACCGGGGTAAAAGTACAGTAAACAAATCATAACGAAGAAACAAGAGTAGAATGACAGGAAAACAATATGTGCGATCCCACGCAACATAAAGAAAATTAAACAGGGCACATTAGTTTCGGCCAATCGAAACATTTAGTGCATGAGTTGCCGATAAATAAGGAACTAAAATGTTATGTTGGCAAGACAGCCCAGCTGGATAGGCAAACTACCACTTCTTATAGCCAAATGTTGTATTAGTAGCGACTTTGTGATAGGGAACACTCTTCCAGTCGTAAGTATTTTTGTAGACAGTGTTGCCCCACCACTTAAGAGTTCCTCCTGGATATGTGACACACAGAAAGATGATGACGGTTGCAACAGCAACACCTGAATCCATAGCAGCAGCCAAAACATAATTGTAACGGCGCCACCATGCAAAGGCACGACGGCGGATAACATAATTGAAAATGAAACCAACAATAGCCCATGACGAGTAATTAATACCCGTGGCAGGAGGAATGTTACCAGGGCCGGTAAAGAACACGGGGGCATTGAGCTTGCCCAACCACGATTTGGGGAAGCGCTTGCGAAGAGCGTACGTAAGGAAAGGTGCAGCAGCACCAAGGGGGAAGAAAAACAAAAGAGGGAAATATGGGTGACCCTTATTAAACATTTTTGCGGGGCCTATAGCACCCCAAATGAGAGAAGCGTTGTAAATAGAACGGCCATTAGGACAGGTAAAGCCATTAGGTTGAGAAGAGCTGCAAATGTCGGGAATGTGGAAGCGCATCCATTCTTGAACACCGACTTGTGTCAGTGCACCAAGCAAAGTTGCATAGATCTGAACGAAAAACAGCGTGCGTGGAGGAATCTTCATGTACTGAGCAAGCTTCAGATCACGGGAGAATTCAAGACCTTGACGCATAGGAATGAAACCGTACAACTTGACCATCAAGTTCGGCATGGGCTTTCCAGGAAGCATGTAACCAGCAACCATTTCAGTAATGATGTTCAAACCGACATGTTGATTGGTAATTCCTTCCAGCACGCCTTGAGGAACGAAATTGACAATAAAAATAAGCAGACCGACGATAAAGGCCCACACAGGAGTCTGGGTGTTATAGTAACGAATGGTGAAAATAGACAAACCGAACATTACGATGAACAGAACACCATACCACCACTGTGGTGCTTCCGGGTAACGGCGCATCAACTTGCGGTGGATACATTCGTGCGTACCGCGCTCATTGCGCAAACGCTTCCAAATGTCCTTTCCATTGTAAAGCAAGCAGTGCGTGAAAATAGCCGTAACGGCGGCAAAGTTCAGTGCCGTGGACATACTGTACGACATGGGCATGTAAAGCGGCGAATAATTCTTGTAGGCAGTCTCATTGAGTGAAAGGTCCTTAGTAAGCACACGACTCGCATTGTACTTTGTTCCGGTATTGTCAAATGTCGTTGATGAGAGCATCGGAAGATAGTTGGAAAACCAAACGCCCTTGTAGTAAAGGATGGGAACGACAATCCAGAAAATGATTACGACTGAGGCAAACGTATTGCAAATAACCCACCAAGGAGAGGCAAGAGGATTGCTGTTGTAAACGACCTGTTGCCAGTCAAAGGTCACGGGAAGAATACCCAAACCAGAGTTATATCCAAACAGCTGGTTGACAACACGGCTCTTGGGCCAAATCCAACACAAAAATGTGAAATATGAAAGCGCAGTGAAGATGAAACCAGGGAACCAGTAAAAGATAAAGGCAGCCACCATAACATAAGTGAAGAACCGATAACGAGTAATGGTCCAACCGTTAGCAGGCTTCAGTTTGGTGCCGTTTGCATCGACACCATCACCGTGCAGGGTACGGAACAGCATAGTACTCACAAGTGTCTGCGGCCAAATCATGGCTGCAGGATACACAATCCAGCGACGAGTAAGGCCAGCAAAACCATAGCCGAGGGCTTGGGAAGTAAAAATGAGAAGAATCTTGTAGCCCCAAGAAAATTCAAGGTTGTAGAAAGACGTTTGAGCACTGAGAATGTTGGTGCCATAAGCAATTGCGGAAGTCAGAGACACAGCGATAGTCACTGTAGCATGTTCCTTCACATTGAAGGGCGCTGGGTTCAATTGGAAGGCATACTTGCCGTAACCAATGCGCCAATTGGGTAACATGTCGAGAAGCTTACCAACGGGGTATAAAATAAGTTGTGCAACAATGAAGTTGATGGACAACGAGGGGTATCTGAGTACGAAGAACTGGTTCACACCAGCAAAAACAATGACGAAAATCGTGGTCAAGACCCATGTTCGCCAAGTGTTTACGGGAAGTGTATTGTCATCGTAGGGAAGTACAGCGGCGCGAACTTCGGGATAGATGGAGTCCTCGACGCCAGCGGCATTTTCATCGTCAACGGTCTTTGACTCTTCGGCATCCGAATCTACAGACTCTTCGTCAGATTCGACAGAAACAGCACGGATATGAACTCCATTCTTTTTCGCGTCTCCCGACGACGTAGCGCCGAGCACGGGCGAATTGTCCTCTCTAAACGAGGATTCAGCAATGCCAGTTTCGTCGTTGCTCGTCTCGTGCTGCGAAATGCTGGACGTGTTTGTATGTGACCCAAGATCGGTTGTTGTTGTTTCTGTAGGATCTTTCGAGGGCATCGTGACGTAGCCTTGCCTAGCAGAGTTTAAGAAATATTAAGATTGGGGGTAGCAATTGTGTTCCCGTGATATCTCTTAACACCCGGGTCCAAATTGTGGGGAAAAAATATAAGTACAGAACGGAGAAGTTCAAAGGATTACACCGAAACGGGTGTACCAAGAAGGCAGTAAACGAGAGAGGACTCGCACAGGAAACGTGGAGACGAATTGCAGCACTAATGAACGGGAACTAACAATTCTGTGTGCAAGTTTGTTGTAAAGGAGCAGAAAAGTATTCAAAATATAAGAAGCAAATTTTCAATCTGAATTTTCGTTTTGCCAATAAAGGCAATGAATTGCGTGCACGTCTTGTACACAGGACCAATCTCTGTGCTCGATGGCGACTTGAGACCAAAGGGACAGATCACTGACGAATAAGAAGACGCCTAGGCAACCAAAATTTTTTAACTTTTGTTGTGACAGGCTCGTAACGAAATTAGATCAGATATGACACTAAACGGTTCGATTCGTTATGCAATAGATGGCGCGATACTGTGGTGACGGTTAACACGTGTGGACGATGAGTAGGACACACACCGCGTGCAGTGAAGGGAATAATAAAAAACAGTCAAACAAGAATTCGCAATTGCCTTTTAAGTATGGGTCTTGATAGGCAAAAAGACTTGCATGAAAGAAATCTTTGTCGATAAAGCAAGCAATATCTTCAAAATAGCACTGTCACTGTGGGAAGATGATAAGACACTAAGATCATAAAAAGTTTCGCGTTTGACCGGTTTTAATGGCGCGTCATACGACGTCAGCGTCTGTTGCCTTTAGTTCCTCCACATGTATCCTAATCAAGTCATAAACAGTCCCATAAACGACCGTGCAATCGCTAAACAGTAGTCACTCTTGTTGATTTGTCGGAAATTCCGGGGAGCCGTGGTGTAACAATTCATTGGTGTATCAGAAGCAACCAGAGAGAAGACATGTTGGCTTTACGTCGTACAGATCCAGAGAAGGATACGCGAATGTGAGAGCACCTGTGTTGTTCAAAATTTTCTCGGCTTAATGCCGCGGCCTAGAGGAGTCAGCCCAATGCTTTCGTATACTCCATAGCAAGAATTATGCAAGATTATGTGCGCAACAGCTTTATATAAGCACTAGACACGTGACGTATTTTATTGTTCAGTGCTTGCTATATGACGACACGCGTTCGATGCATACGGAGAATGTTCAACCGTGGAATAGAAATCAGAATTTGTCAGAAGGAAAAATGTAGAGAATACGAGTAAATATTCTTAGAGTATTTGTAGTTGGCATCCGTACTTCAGTAGGGAACAATTAGCAGGAATTTTAAAGACAAGTTGCCTTGTTTTTAGCACATTAAGGTTATTTACTATCTGTAGAAGCGACGTTCTAGGGTTTCCGACATGAAAGAGCTTACGCGGGATTTTTTTCGTTTAGATTGGGTTTTGTCGGAGACTAGCGTGGTCAATTTACAGTGACAAGCGCTGAAGTATGCGAACACCTTATTTGAGATTAGTAATGCTTAAATGGTTGTCACTATAAGGTTCGGGCATTTGGGGCATTTATGGTTAGAACCGCCTTTTCGGATCTACATCGAGACCATCCACATTATGTTCCAGACTTATCAAAAGAATCGAGTTTCATTGTGCAAGGTTTGTGTATTTAATAGGGATTCAGCACAAAAGCTTCGTGTTCTTGACCAAAAAAGCGCTAACACAGGTAACCCCTAGACATAACCCCCTTCCTGCCATTGACGGTGTAAATACTAATTCAAATAGTTGTGGCGTATGACATTATTAAAGTACTAAAATTCTTGAGGTTGTTAAGTAAACATGCTGAGACAGAGCAATGTGGTTTGTCATCTTTATGTTGAAGTTAACAGAGGAACATTGCGTCGCCTAGGTGTATTTGGGGATAGCAATCTTAATGTACGTAAGGATACTTTTTTTTCGTAGAGTATTTTTAAATTTAATTGTTCCATTTAGTCGACTATTGTCTTTTTAATAGTAATAATATATATATATATATATATATTTTTAAATTTTTATTCTTATTTTATTTTATTTCATTTTACTTTAGTGATATATAACAGTTAGAAAATCCCATCAAACTGACCCCAACCGGTTTATATTATGCAAGTTTAGCGCGACCCATTATTTTAGTTAGTCTGAAATGCGTTTCTGGCTTGCAGTCTGAGCATTTTGATGAATCATTGCAGAAGAATGCGCAAAACAGTTTACATTCTAAATAACATTAATTCGGCATTTTTTAATGAGAGTAAGATAAGCCCATTGATGACAGAAATCTGTTCCACTTGAAGATTTATATTTTACGCAACCAAACAACATAGCGCCATAATTGCAGTAATTTATCAATAATTAAGTCCAAGTACGGTTAAAATAAACAAAATCTTATTTATAATTGATTTGCCTTTCACTATACTTAAATCGCTTAATATTCATTTATCTGTCGCGTCGCTGAAACTATAAATTACGATAGTACATTGATTGGCCAGATCGTTATGCCAGCTCCATAAAGATGTATTATCATGCATTAAATACAACTTGCGAGTTAATAACAAGTTAGAACAAACTTTAAAAATGACATGTGAAAGAAAACTCCGCTTTACTGGAAGAAAAATGAAAAAACTAAACGACACATGAAAAAAAAAAGAAAACCCTATTATAGAAGCATAACATGATCTAACACTCAGAACTAAATTACAAAATCATTCCAATTTTTATTCTCGAACGGGTATCGACATATATGGCAAACCGGCACATATCAAATATTGCCTCCGCGGATCAAAGCCGCTCACTTTTCACCTCCAAATCCGCACTGCCGAAACAGGCGAATTGAAACTTGGCTCCGCGAACAGCCATTCGTTATTCAGTCAATCTAGAACATAAGGCCCATCTTTCGCCTCTTTGCAAATGCTCTTGGCGGAGTAAATACCCGCGGCAACGTTTACAGATCCGCGGCTATATTCCGCCTATATAAAACACCAACACCCGGCACGAAGTTGCCCAACGCATATCACACTCGTGATTGCTGTTCGCGTGAACCTTCCAAAACCAAAACTTTTTCTCTTCTGACCAGTGACGAGGCTTGTCCAGCAACGTAAGTTAGACCCGAGCATTGGTACATCGGTGCAATGAGCCGCGGCTACTCCAGGTTCGACTGCCGTGAAGGAAGCGAATGATTGAATGATGATTTTCCTTTTCTTTTAGATGCTAGACTTCTGATTTAGCAGTTTGATGTGATGGAACTTTCTGACAATTATTTGAACTTTCTTCAGCTCATGTGTTCGAAGTATCACGCTGTTTGAACAGCTTTTTGAATGATTCTAACAAGAGTAACAGATGTGTGGCATCTTAGGTTTAATGCTTGCCGACCCAAAGGGTCATGCCTGTCCTGAATTGTACGAGGGCCTTTATAGTTTGCAGCATCGTGGACAAGATGCTGCTGGTATTGTCACCGCTGGAAAGCGTGGCCGTTTCTACCAGTGCAAAGGCAACGGCATGGTTTCTGATGTTTTCAGTCAACCCCAACTTCGTAACTTGGTCGGTCGCATGGGCGTTGCCCACGTTCGTTACCCTACTGCGGGAAGCTGTGCCAATTCTGAGGCTCAACCTTTCTACGTCAACTCTCCTTACGGTTTAGTCTTGGCCCATAACGGCAATATCATCAACGGTGAGGAGCTGAAGCACTTCCTTGACGTGGAGGCTCACCGTCACGTCAATACTGGTTCGGATTCTGAGCTCTTGCTTAACATTTTTGCCAACGAGCTTCAGCGTTTGGATAAATTCCGTCTTGCAGAGGACGACATTTTTGAGGCGCTTCGCGGTGTGTACGACCGCGTTAATGGAGGATACGCCTGTGTCGCTATGATTGCTGGTTTTGGAATTCTCGGTTTCCGCGATCCTAACGGTATCCGTCCTCTTGTTATTGGTGAACGCGACACCCCTTTTGGCAAGGATTACATGTTTGCCAGCGAGAGTGTTGTTTTCAACCAATTCGGCTACCGTAAGTTCCGCGATGTCGCTCCTGGTGAGTGCATCTTTATTCGTCAGGCAAACCGTGAAGACATGCTTGACGGTAACACTGGACCTCAAATGTTTTGCAAGCAAATTGTTCCTTGCAAGCGTTTCACCCCTGATATCTTTGAGTATGTGTACTTTGCTCGTCCTGATTCCGTAATCGATGGCTTGTCTGTATACCAGTCGCGCCTGAACATGGGTAAGACTCTTGCACAAACAATCATTGACCGTTTTGGTCCCGACTACAAGAGCAAGATTGATGCCGTTATTCCAGTTCCCGACTCTGCCCGAACCAGTGCACTTCAACTTGCCCAGTCGGCCGATTTGCCATATGTTGAGGCGTTTATTAAGAACCGCTATATTGGCAGAACCTTCATTATGCCAGGTCAGCAAATCCGTCGCAAGTCTGTTCGTCGGAAGTTGAATGTTCAACCCCAGGAATTCAATGGAAAGAACGTTTTGCTTGTTGATGATAGTATCGTGCGTGGTACGACGTCCAAGGAAATTGTGCAAATGGCTCGTGAATCCGGTGCACGTAACGTGTACCTTGCCAGCTGTGCCCCCATGATTACGCACCCTCATATCTACGGCATCGATTTGGCTGACTGCAAGGATCTTGTCGCTTACGGCAAGACAGAGGAAGAAGTTGCCGCAGTCATCAAAGCTGATGGTGTAATTTACCAAAAATTGGAAGATCTTATCGCGTCGTGCAGTACCGACAAGTTGAAAAACTTCGAAGTCGGCCTGTTTACCGGTGTGTACACAACCGGGGCCTCGTCCGAGTACCTCGTGCACTTGGAGCGTCTTCGTGTTGCTAACCAACGTGCACGGAGGAACAGTTTTGCCGAGGACGAGGAGCGTGATGTTCCTGAGGACGTTGCAATGATTAACGTTTCGTCCGACTAAGCACTAGATACCAAGCATCCTGGGTGGTGGATGGTTCTTGATGTTAATGCGTAACGGCAATACCAAGTGTCGCCCAGTTTTGTCGTGGTGTTTGTCTTTTTTTTTACCATGAGTCCGTTTAGACCCCTAGTCTTTTTTGTTACAATCCCCTCCTTTTGTACCGCAGTAAAAATGATACGTTGTTAATAGCTAAAGCAGAGTGAGCGAGCCTATCTTCTAGCCTTTTTGGCAAGTTTAATTTTTTTTCTTTGCACTGGTGCGGTCGTTTAGTGCAGCATCCTTGTAGTTAGATGTGTGTGTGGTTTTCTGGTCCTGGTCTGGCACTTGTTCCACAGGCGTATTGCTACTTCCTTCCCATTAAGTTAACCAGACTTGAAGAGGAGGAATGCAATGTTCCCTAAGTAGAAATAGATGAAATGCCGCGACTCTAAGCAATGTTAGTGTCTAATGGTTGTATGGACAAAGGGATAGCAGACGTACCATGTGTAACAAAAGAGCCAAAGTTACGGCCAACAATACAATGCCAAGTAGGGGAATACCGTTTGTCGAATTCTCGCTTAATGAACGTAGCGATATCCTAACCGAACAGTTAGATCAATAAGACACGAAAGCGAGGCTCTCAGCTCACTAAGCGAAGGGGGTGTGTCCAGTCAGAACGCCTCAATGATATTTGTTGAAGCAAGTTCACAACGGCTTAAAAGCAAGCGCACAGAGTTTGCCTAAACGTACCTTTTCGACGGGGAACTTCTCGATGGCTTGAAGAGCTGGGAAATGTTAATGACGTGACTTTGCTGTGTTTCCCGTTCCCTTACCTGTCCGCACAGCATCCTGCTGCATTTCCTCGGACTAACACTGTGTTAGTAAACATAGAGTTCATAACATTAGACACCAGACAAAATCAGCATACCATGTCTACAGACTTGATGACCGCAGTCAGGTTTCCATGAGATTTGAGATGACCGGAGAAGCTGGCGCTGATGTCGTCAAAGCTCTCTGGTTTCGTATCCGACATGACTCTTTTCACTTTTTGCTACTGTGATCAAACCAGGGTGAGAGCTCGGTCGAAGGTTTACTCGTACACATAGCGAATTGTAACGAGATACTGTAACTCGTTTTAAGAAAATCGTTAAGTTCCATTAAACTGGATTTATGAACCTCATTAGCATACCGTATATAGAATAACGGGTTCACACTACACATCACTAAAATTTCTTAATTATCTTTAAATTGTTAATTTCCCCCCACACGTGAGCTTCTGATCACCTGCTGACCCCAACAGCGTACAGGGGCCATAAAGTTTCTGTGCCCCCCTACTTTCTATCCCACCTCCCAGGGTCCTCCCGCCCCACCACTTTGCATCATTCAGGGCTGGTGGGGGTGTGGAAACCACTACTTGCAAGCTCCATTGCCTCTAGACACCTGCAACATCGCCTAGTTTCACCCTATATTCGCGTTGTTTCGACGTGAAAACTTCTAAATAGCCTGCTAGAACGCGGAACTACACCTGGCTCGCTTTTTTTCGCTTTGATTTTGACCAAAAAGAGCTCTTTTTTAAGTCTGACCCCTAAGTCGCTGACTTTTTGCATGTTTGCACATAATTTGACAGCGATTTCGTGCAATTGAAACACTCCTCACGCCTACTTCTCTTTTGGGAACGAAAACTCCGCTCTTCCTATCCAAAATCATAGTTTCATCTCGTTATTCTTCACGTTCTTCACGGTTTCTTCCGCCCCTCTATTTTTTCTGTTTATCTTAATTATTCTGTATTCTCCTTTTTGTTCCGTTGTTCTCTGTTTTTTTCTTGTTTGGATCGCTTTTCTTAGTGGATCGGATTCCTTTTTTTTTTCGTTTCTAAAGTACTTTCGCCGAGGATGGTCGTGGAAGGTGATGCGTATCTCGGGAGCCTTGCTTCATTCATTCATTCGAATGAGCCTCGGTTGGCCAGACTGTCAGCTCAATCAAACTCGCTGTTCAGCACTCCGTTGCAACTACAATTGACTCCTCATCACCTTTACTACCTACTGTCATCGTTTGAAGAAATAGGAGTGGACGTAGGCCGTCTGGATGTTCGTATGCGAACACTACGCGATGACTCACCCCAGAATTATGAGTCGTTTCTCAATTCACAATGCTCTCATAATCAACCGGTTGATACGGACTCTATGAGTATGCGAAGTGTGGCAACAATGAACAGCATTGTCTCATCCATCGCCTCGTTTTGGTCGTTGCTTGCCTTTTCCGGCGGCACGCAGGAAGAGCGGAAACGCGCAAAACGCTTGCACAACCTGCGTTACTTATACTCCTGTTTCACCATCCTGCCTGCACTCCGTCTGTCTCCGAACAAAAAGGCACTTCCAATTGCCGGTTTTGAGGAATTTCCTTTCGACACTGCCGTTCCCCTTGGCATTTTTAAAAATTTGTCGCGGCTAGACATAGTCGACTACGACCCTCGGCGTTTTTTAGGTTGGGACTTTTTGTCGCAAACGTTAAAGTATTTGAACTTGCGTCAATGTGAGGTGCATGATTTGGACTTAGTGCTTGTTGACCTGGTCCTCGATGATGCTGATGGGTTTCGCTATCGCTCATGCTCTTCGAGAACCGGTGCACAGGCGAATAGTCCAAACGGTTCGCCGAACACGAATGCCGACTCGGACAATGACCAGCAATCGCCTCTTGCCGCTCGTCGTCGTACGGGTAATATCTCTACACCCACTAGCCCGACAAAAACATTTCAAACGCATGTGCGGAAGCGTTCCTGCTCCATGGATGGAGGCAAATACACACACACGAAATCGCACAGCACCCGCCCACGCGCTCCATCCAGCCTCAGTACTTCTTCGCGCCGTCGCTACTTTTCTTCCTCTTCTTCTCTCCGAAACCTTGCAACGACTACTTCTCGACACACCGATTTACCGAAGCACGCGTGGAAGCAGTTGCTGTACTTGCGGTGCTCTGAAAGTCACCTAACTTCGCTCACGTCGTCCACGCTTTTGCAATTGACTTCCCTTGTCTCTCTTGATTTAAGTCATAACCAATTCACTAGCATACCTGAGTCTCTCGTTTCACTACCTAATCTCCGTTCTCTTAATATGGCCCACAACCGTATTACCTCATGTACAAATCTCCTTTATCATCGTCTTCCCTCCCTTGAATACCTTATTCTTTGTGGCAACCAAATGACAGGGTTGTCTGGTCTTGAAACGCTGACGACCTTGCGTAAGTTGGATGTCCGTGACAACTGTCTCACCGACCCTGCCGAGTTGCGACGACTCACCGGATTGTCGTCGTTGCAAGATGTGTATTTCACACCCAATCCATTTACCCGCACACACACCTCTCACCGTGTCTCCATTTTCAACTATTTCCGCGAATCACCCACCGCCAACGAAGTGCTGCTTGACGGCAGAAGTCCCAGCATGTTGGAAAAAATGTACCTCATCGACAAAGTTCAACCCATCGCCGATGACACCATTCCCGAACCAGTAGCGACACCAGCAAACGACACCAACACTCCAGTCAAGACGGGCGACGCCGTAATGTATCCATCCAATCCTAGCCACTCGTCCGTCCGTCTCAAGAAGTTTGGACGTTCTCGAGTCATTGAACTTTCGTCTCCTTGCTCGTGCACTGGTGTTGACATAACACTCACTAACCGTCAACTGTGTATGACAGTTGACGACGCATCCATTGATCCAGATGATCCTGCCCTCTCGCCCACCGTGGGCGAATCGTACCGACACAAACTCGAAGCCTTGCGCCAGTCAGCAGGTTCGCAATGGCTTCAAGCGTTGGCGAACGAAAACGCGCAACGCACTAGTGGTGAAGCCGCCAACGAAGCATTCATTGTGAAGTAACAGCCTCTTTTTGTTTTCACGTATTACCGACTCTTCTTCGTTGCTCTTCATCTCAATGGCTCTACCGACGCCGCAAAATGCCCAACCTTTTCCTGTTCTTTTGTTTTTTCTCTCTGCAAACGCGAAACGCGCGTTTGCATGCGCACACAATTGTCGGTCTTATTTATGATTCGTCGATATTTCGCAAAATCGACCACATACCTTTCTTTCAGCTGAATCGCTTAAAATAAGCTTATTTATATCTACGTAAGACGCGCCATGCAAGTTCGCAACAGTCAAGCAGGTCTCGTCAGCATGTCGTCATCCCAACACGTCAGACTGCTGGTGGGATCGGTGGAGCGACCGAACTGCGCATTCTATGTCACGAAATGATGTCCTTAGCTTCCCGACAATTTCTAATTTACGATTGTGTTGTTTATGATACTGAATGAATCCGTTCTTTTTTTTCTGTAAAACGCCGTTTTTCGCATTGCATTTTTTTTTGGCGTTCTGGCGGCCGATCACCGAAACCAACTGTCCACTCGTGTCTACCACTTTCTTTCCGCGACTCGTTCCTGATTGGCCGATTTTGTCGCTTCTTGCCTCTCACATTTTCTAGCTTAATCGCTTTATTCTTCTGGATGCTTCAGCACCCCACTTTTATTTGTTCCATACATTCCAAACTCTTCCACAGGGTTAGGGTATGGAATGTTCGAGTTACACGATGCAAAAGTATTAAAAGCGTGCCATGCCCCCCGCCAGGACCACAGCTCAATTCAAAAAACAATTTCGACTTTTATTTAAGCGAAACAAAGGCGTGCGCGTCTTGAAAACCACAGCAACAACACTTCTTGTTTATTTGTTCTTTTGTAACTTAACTTTTTAATTCCCTTACGAACACAACACATTCATCCATCTATAAAAAATGGCCACTGAGACTTTCAAGTTTGAGGCTGAGATCAGCCAATTGATGTCTTTGATCATCAACACTGTCTACTCTAACAAGGAGATTTTCCTTCGTGAGTTGATTTCCAACGCTTCTGATGCTATTGACAAGATTCGTTACCAGAGTCTTTCTGAGCCCTCCGTCTTGGACGCTGAGAAGGACCTTTACATCCGTATCACTCCCGACAAGGAGAACAAGATCCTTTCCATCCGTGATACTGGTATTGGTATGACCAAGAATGACCTTATCAACAACCTCGGTGTGATCGCCAAGTCTGGTACCAAGCAATTCATGGAGGCTGCTGCCTCTGGTGCCGATATCTCTATGATCGGTCAATTCGGTGTCGGTTTCTACTCTGCTTACCTCGTTGCCGACAAGGTCCAAGTTGTTTCTAAGCACAACGATGACGAGCAATACATCTGGGAGTCCTCCGCCGGTGGCAGCTTCACCGTTACTCGTGATGAGAGCGGTTACGACTTGAAGCGTGGTACTGAGATTCGTCTTTTCATGAAGGAGGACCAACTCGAGTACCTCGAGGAGAAGCGCATCAAGGATGTCATCAAGAAGCACAGTGAGTTCATCTCTTACCCCATCCAATTGGTTGTCACCCGTGAGGTCGAGAAGGAGGTCCCCGTTGAGGAGGGTGAGGAGAAGTCCGAGGAGGCTTCTGAGGACAAGTCTACCAAGATTGAGGAGGTTGAGGACGAGTCTGAGAAGAAGGACGAGGAGAAGAAGACCAAGAAGGTGAAGGAGACTAAGACTGAGACTGAGGAGCTTAACAAGACCAAGCCCATTTGGACTCGTAACCCCTCTGAGGTCACCAAGGAGGAGTACGCCGCCTTCTACAAGTCCTTGACCAACGACTGGGAGGACCACTTGGCCGTCAAGCACTTCAGTGTTGAGGGTCAACTTGAGTTCCGTGCTATCTTGTTCGTTCCCCGCCGTGCTCCCATGGATCTCTTCGAGGCCAAGCGCAAGAAGAACAACATCAAGCTTTACGTCCGTCGTGTCTTCATTACTGACGACTGCGAGGAGCTTATTCCCGAGTGGTTGGGCTTCATCAAGGGTGTGGTCGACTCTGAGGACCTTCCCTTGAACCTTTCTCGTGAGATGCTTCAACAAAACAAGATTATGAAGGTCATCCGCAAGAACCTTGTTCGTCGTTGCCTCGACATGTTCAACGAGATTGCCGAGGACAAGGAGAACTTCAAGACCTTCTACGATGCTTTCAGCAAGAACTTGAAGTTGGGTATCCATGAGGATGCTGCCAACCGTCAAAACTTGGCTAAGCTTCTTCGTTACAACTCTCTTAACTCCCCTGATGATGTTATTAGCTTCGAGGACTACATCACTAAGATGCCCGAGCACCAAAAGAACATCTACTTCATCACTGGTGAGTCCAAGCAAGCCGTTGAGCACTCTCCCTTCTTGGAGATCTTCCGCGAGAAGAAGTTCGATGTCTTGTTCATGGTTGACCCCATTGACGAGTACGCTGTCACTCAACTCCGTGAGTTTGAGGGCAAGAAGCTCGTCAACATCACCAAGGACGGTCTTGAGCTTGAGGAGACCGATGAGGAGAAGGCCGCTCGCGAGAAGCTCGAGAAGGAGTATGAGGAGTTCGCTAAGCAACTCAAGACCATCTTGGGTGACCGTGTCGAGAAGGTTATCGTTTCCAACAAGATCGTCGGCTCCCCTTGCTTGTTGACCACCGGTCAATACGGTTGGTCCGCCAACATGGAGCGTATCATGAAGGCTCAAGCTCTTCGTGACACCACCATGAGCAGCTACATGGCCAGCAAGAAGATTCTCGAGATTAACCCCAAGTCTCGTATTATCTCTGAGTTGAAGAACAAGGTTGAGGCTAACGGTGTCGAGGACCGTTCCGTCAAGGATCTTACTAACGTTCTTTTCGAGACTGCTCTCCTGTCTTCCGGTTTCTCTCTTGATGACCCTAATGCCTATGCTAACCGCATCAACCGTCTTATTGCCATTGGTCTCAGTGTTGACGAGGAGGAGGAGGCTGCTCCCGCTGCTGAGGCTACTGAGGCTGCCACTGAGGAGCCCGTTGTCGAGAGCAAGATGGAGGAGGTTGACTAAGCAATTTAGTCAAGCATCCTTTCCACGTTTGTTAACGATCGTTTATGAGCACTTGGACTCGGTAAAAATGCTCGTTTCTGTGGAATATGAGCGGATATCAAAAATAGTCAACTTTGCATATGTAGAATTTAGGAATTGATAAAGTTTGTTTCGTGGTTAAAAAGGGATTGGTGTACGGTTTATTTGTTTGGGAATGGGTTATGCGAACAGTCGTTTAAGAGGTGGCATAAGTGCATGTGTTTTCTTTTGAAGGTAATGGAGTCGTATGGTGCTTTCATTTTGTTGTTGTCTTGTGTGAATATATGTCTCTGTGTGCCTGTTTGACATCACAAATTTAATTAAGCTATACATTAGTTTTCCTTTGTTCCAGCTATGGCATTAACAAATTTCTCATAATAAAATGTTCCATGATTCGTGTAAGGACGAATGACATCCTCCAACTCAGAACCTTTAATATCAGATCCAGAACGACTTAGAGCCTCTTCAAAGGAGCGTAGACTCATTTTTCCGCTCTGTGTATCCTCAATTGTGTAAAAGGCTTCCATAAGATCTGCACGAGGTGAAATCTTACAAAGCATAGAACCTATGGCAGTGAGGAAAGATGCCAGATTAATTGGAGGATTGACCTCGGACAGCATTTGATCCAGCGCTTCGTCAGATGCGTCTTGATTCAGAGAAGTCAACATGGATTTCAAGTCGTCACGGTCTACAACACCATCACCATCTTTATCCAGTAATGCAAATGCTTCCTTCAACTCCTGAATCTGTGAGGTTGTTAATTGAGAAAATGTTCCCGAGTTAATTCGTTTTGAAGTGACGAGTTTAGACGGTAAGCTTTTAGGGAGACGTTTGTTTTTTGAAGTCATGGGTCCAATGTATGTAAAAAAACGTGTACCACTGGAAGAAGATAAACGTGATACGGTAACTGGGATGTGTTCGTTACCTTCAGCACTGTAGTTGCTTGTTAGAGAGCCATACCCGAGAAGATTACCACCACCAAAGCCACTACGGGTTTCGCTACACCAACCACCAAGTTGGCCAGTGTTCTAAGTCAATATAGGCAGGAGTTGTTGTTGTAGTAAAGCCAAAAACCGGACCAAAAAAATCAGTTACAATTTGAACTAAATCCGTGGGATTTGCAAAGACCTCGCAAAAGGATTTTCCATGTTCCGAGCGTTCAGACGATTACGGTGGAATTCCACATACACTTTTGGGGTCCTTTATCTCATTCTAGGTGGTGAGGCATCAAGCTTGGTTCAAGCGAGGCAGGCGCATGAAGAAATGATGCAGTCCTATGATCTCAGAATTTACGAATTAGAGAAGCGTATTAAAACAGCACAATTAAACGGGAAGGATTAAACAAATAGACGTTCTAATCAAGAGTTTCAAGTATGTCTTTTTGCTGTTCTGGTGTCAGAACAGCTAAAGGTGTAGGCTGCTGAGCTAGTGTTTGTTGCGCTCGCAAATGTTTTAAGACGATTTCGGCAAATGTCCGTGTAATCGTTTTTGCAGCCTGAAGCTTAAATGCCTTTTCGTAAAAAATAAGAGCGTTCTTGTAAAGGATTTGTGAAGAATTTCGTGCGACGTCCAAAGGTATTACTGCACGACGAAGCTCTAAATCACCACGCGAAATCCAAATACGTGTGTGATTGGGATCAAGTACGCTTGCTTCCTGGAGCGCTTTTCCAGCGGCGCTTAAAGAGTTCCAAGCATTAGCTACTCCGGAAGCCGAATTGTCTATTTGGAGCAACGCATCGGCGAACCCACGCAGGGCGTCAGCCTTGTCGCAAAGCAACTGTACACGAGCAGAACGCAGTTTTTGTTGTGAACTAGCAACAAGCGGGTTTGACGTCTGTGTAACAGGCACTTTTTCTAGTTCTTGGTCATACCATTGCAAAAAAGTTGAGAAATCTGAGATTGGAATTTTGCCCTTCGTTAATAACCATTGCCGTTTTGCAAGTTCCCATTCAAACAACACATTTCCGTCTTGTAAATGAGGTAATAATTGCTCGATTTTTGTGGACAACTCTCTATAGTCATCTTCAGTCAACCAGTCGCTATCGCAGACTAAGCTGGCCAAGTGAAAAATTAAAACAATAATGTCTTCACGCGCCTGCCTATACGATTCATCATCTTCTGTAGAAGTGGCTTCATTGCCTTGATTCGCTAGTACGAGTTCAAGACACTGATGCGAAACCCGTAATGCATCGGTTAAAAATGAACGTGCGTCTGTGGTGTTTCCTCGCTCCTGTTGGATTTCCCCAAGCATAGAATACGTTTGTGCCATATTAAATAAACAGTCCGTATCGTTAGCTTTGATGGTCAAGGCTTGTGTTGCAAGTTGTAACGCAGTTAACAGAAAAGTCACTGCGTTACTATATAATGGATCACAGTGAATAACAATGTGTAGATATACTCGAGCCTGGTTGTAAAGTGCATCTGCATCATTTGGCTGCTTCTGTAAGCATGTTCCATATGCAGCTATAGCTTTTTCATAAAACCTCAAACACTCGTATGGTTAGTCAAATAAATTGGAGTAAAATATACTGGACATTGTAAATTTACCTTTTCTGGGTTAAGTCTCCATCGGTCACCACTTTCTTCTAGTTCAATTGCACTTTCAAAAAAATCGAGCGCCGTTTCTGGTTGTGATTTTTTAACTTTTTGATTAGAACGTTGTGATTTAGATAAACGAAGACTGCGTAATCTTTGACTTGTCGACATGGAAAAGGTTTTCTCAAATTTAACTATTCCACCGTAAGTAATAAAAAATAAAAAATAAAAAAAAAAATAAAAAAAAAATAGAATAATATCGCTATGTATGAGTGTTTTTGAAAAATCCAAAAAAAAAAAAATAAAATAAAATGAAATTCCCGAATTCAATGGAATAAATTCAAATTACTCTTAAAAGTAGGCGCCAAATGTTCCACGCACGTCCACAACTGAAATTTCAACAAAAGTTGTTAGTGGCGTTTTTCAACACCAAAAAGACTAAATACTGAACGACGGTGTTGCTAACAGAAGCGCTGTAACAGCGAAGCACCAAACACAGTAACATTCTTTTGCCTACTGAAAAAGAAAAAAAACAAAAACAAAAAAATGACTGTTGAGAACAATCTTCCTAAAGTTTCTGTGCTGTTTGTTTGTCTGGGAAATTACTGCAGAAGTCCTATGGCTCATGCTGTGTTTCAAGAGGAAGTTAGAAAACAGGGATTAGAACACTTATTTGATACCATTGATAGTGCAGGCACGGGTCACTGGCATGTAGGTTCCACTCCAGATTCTCGGACGATGCAAACTCTGCATAGCCATGGAGTTAAGTTTCATCACATTGGTCGTAAACTGAGAAAAATTGACTTTGACCAATTCGACTATATTTTTGGCATGGATCATAGTAACATTCGAAACATTGAGAAGGTTCGGCCAAAGGATTCTAAAGCTAGGGTTTTACTTTTTGGAGAATATCGAAGCCCTGGTGTTCAACGCATTGTCGACGATCCTTACTATGGCGGCGACCAAGGTTTTGAAATCTGCTATCAACAATTGATAGACTTTAGTAAGAACTTCTTGGAGTCACTGAAATAGAAAGTCGGAAAAACGAATTTGACGATTTTTTTGGATAAATCAAGTGGAATGCTAAGATTCAATTGCAACAAATTAACATGATACCATTAGGTATGGCTTTTTTCTTGTTTATCCTCGTTCTCTGTGCACCAATTCATTGGAATTGTGCTACAAAACTGTCGGTTGTAATAAACAAGACCTCTGCTTGTTTCAATGGGATATTGACCTCGTTCCACCAAGTGTACACCAGCAATGTAAATTCGGTGATCGTCAACGTCCAATGATCGTATTACATGACAATGAAGAAGATGTAAGGTGTGGGCAAGGCAAGGGATACCATTCTCATTGCGCTTCGTTTTAAGACGCAGAAAGCGATCGCGTTCAGTTTCGCTCGTGACGATGGACGATGTGGAGGGACCGCCACCTACGTCAGATTCCAAACGTCTCTGTTTTGTCGCATCACGAGCGCGTTGAGGAGAAGTCTCATGTCTGTTTGATGCTTTTGGGGTTATTTGGCTGGGCTTTGACAGCAATTGAGCCCATTGTGCATGCGTAATTTGGCAACCCGAAAGCGTGTGCGCCACCAGTTGCTTGGAATAGTCAATTGCACTGGCCGTATGCGAGGGGAGTCTAACGTTGAAGGAAACGACGGGCTCTGAGGAGGAAAGAGATACGGCGCAAAATGATGACACAGTCATGCCGCTCGTTCGGCCGTTGGAGTCTACGCTGGTAACAATCACAACAGGTTGTGGATACCGCTGCATTGCCGCTCGAAAATCATTCTGAATAGAGGACGACGAATAGCAACACTGGATGCGGAAAGTTTTCAATCGGCCAGCGTCGACACCAGGAGCCGACGTTCTAATGGCATTGTCAAGAAAACATGACCACTTAGGCAATTGAAGCCTTCGAAAAGCACGGCTTATTCCAATGGGGAGCCCGCTCATTCAATCCGTCTAGATAAAGTTAATGGGAACTCCGAGCAGTGTCGCTGACGAAGCTCATTCCGCTGCAATTTCCTGGCGTAGTGTTCAGAGCACCTAGTGTAAACATACATGAGACACCGTGATACTAAGCAACTAAAAGGAAATTCCATACTCCCACAACGCCTTCCCGCCGTATCATTCAAACACAACAGCCCCCCTATTCATCTGCAGCTGAAAGAAAGAGCTTTGCGTGAATGATTCAACTAAAACCCCACATCTTTTACCCCTTCGGCAGAATCCCCTAACGCAACAAAAAATTCAGCAACCAAAAAAAACTCCAAAATTGCAGTGCAGAAAGCACCTACCAAAAAGTCTATCTAAGCAAACACTAACAGATAGGCACCAAGACGCTCGGGAGTCGTTGGAACCGCTCCTCCTTTAAACACAGAAACTACCTCATATATACCTGTGATAACGCGTACGTCATGGTGATGTCGCGGCCGTATCGCACTTTTGTTGAACCCCTCTTTAACAAAAATGGACAAAAAAACCTTAATAAAAAACGCGTGCTTTGCTTATCGTGCAGAAAAAGCAATCCATTTGTCGCTGGTAGTGGACAGAGAAGAAAATGCGGCTAATTATATGTGTCACTTGGTGTAGCTCAATCGGGCATACGTCCGTGGCAATTAACCGGCTTTTATCCTTTGGCTGGCTCGTCTCTGCAGGCGCACTCGCTGAAGTCGGCCTGAGGCAGCGGGCCACGTGCTTAGATATCAAAGACTTTATCGCAGTTCACAACCTGCGGAAGGCCAGCCAATGAGAGACTAGCGCGCGGTTGTGCGGAAAGGACACTGGGCACTCAATGGACAATGACGACATTATTTGGTCGCATCGTTACCACGTTATCTCCCGAACGTTGAGCTCGTCTAATTTTGTAGTATGGAGAACTCCTGTTTTGACGTGCTCAATTACACTACTCAGCTGTTATGAAGAATAAAATAATTAAGGGATATTTGGACTAAACAGGGTGCTCATGTTTATGTAAATTAGATGTCATTGGACAATAGCTACAGAAACCCGCTGTAGCACCGGTGTGTATATCTCGTGGTCGTTACCAAGGAAGAAGCTAGTCAGGGGATCGCGGGATAAACTTGCGAACAATGCGGAAGCCAATAGCGAGTTGTAAAGATATTGACGAGACGCCGAGGCGGCATTTGCCGCAACGGCAAATCGAACGGCAAAAGTCGACCTTCGGTAGTGGGAATACTCGACAGTCGCTAAGAGAGTGTTATTCTCTGTTTTCCTTGACGCGGAATTAGCCACTACGTGTATTTTAAGATTCGTAGTGTCCCAGACACCCTAACCTAGACGACGGTTATACGTCATTGTCGCCCCAGAATTTCACCACCATCAAAAAATATAAACCAATAAAATACGTTTCCGAGGCAGAAATACTGCTAACGACAAACTGTTTCGAGAAATCAACCAATAAGCTGCTTTAGCGAACTAATTTTCTCGGCAGTTCTAGACCCCATTCTCGAATACGCGTTATGCTGGAATGTCCCAAGATCAGCGGCCTCGTACGCTCCCTACACTTCGGATAGAACGACTGCTCTGCGGATCAAGATACATGGCTGGGCGGCTCGATACCGGACCGCCAAGGTATAAGTACCGAGGAATTTCCCTCGTAGCATATAGCCTCTCTCATTAAGAAGATACAGACATCGAATTGCCTAATAAAAGTATCTAGGAGTCCCTGAAGTTAAGGTCTCAAGGACGACAGAACTTGTAATTCAACTCGGTCTAATCTTTCAATTTGTCCACATTGAACATTTTTTAATTCCCAGTGAACCAACTGGTTTCTCCTTTACTGGTTTCCTCTCCTTTTGAGAGTCTGTCCACACTTCTGTGCATTTAATAATTGCTCTATCAAACACGAAATTGTCGTTGACATTCGTGTAATTTGTGTGTGATTTTATTTCAGAAAGACCGATTTTTCGTCTCTCTGACAGTCATTTTATCTATCGAATTTCCCTAATAGACGCGTCTTGAACCTTCTAGGATTCAGCTCGTGTTCGCACCATTTAATACTTGTTCTCATTTTTATTGACAACAAGGTTTCCCCTTAAAGAATTTCTTGTGTTCTATTTTTGAAACACCATTCCCAAAGCATAATTTGTCAGCATAATGTCTTCTGCTGCCTACGAAAAGGGTCCCGAGGAAGGTGAGGAGTACGTCCAAGCTCCCACTGCTCCTGCTTCCCAACCTGCACCTCCCGCCGCTCATGGTGACGATGAACCCGATGAGGACATCGACGCTTTGATTGAGGACTTGTTCTCTGAGGACGTCCAAGAGGAAGCTGAAGATGATGATAAGGCCCCTGCCGCTGGTGAGGCCAAGCCAGTTCCCGAAGAACTTCTTCAAACCGACATCAACCAAGGTTTGGATGCCGGTGAGGTTGAGGCTCGTCGTAAGAAGTATGGTCTTAACCAAATGAACGAAGAGGTCGAGAACCCCTTCATCAAGTTCATGATGTTCTTCGTCGGTCCCATTCAATTCGTTATGGAAGCCGCTGCTTGTTTGGCCGCTGGTCTTCAAGATTGGGTCGATTTCGGTGTTATTTGCGCTCTTCTGTTGCTTAACGCAGTTGTCGGTTTCGTCCAAGAGTTCCAAGCTGGTTCTATTGTCGACGAGCTGAAGAAGACTCTTGCTCTTAAGGCTACTCTTGTTCGTAGCGGTCAACTCGTTGACGTTGAGGCCAACGAGGTCGTTCCTGGTGATATTCTTCGTCTTGAAGAAGGTGTTATTATTCCCGCTGATGGTCGTATCGTTTCTCCTGATGCTCTTATCCAAATTGACCAATCCGCCATTACTGGTGAGTCTTTGGCTGTCGAAAAGCATTACGGTGACCCGACTTTTGCTTCTTCTGGTGTCAAGCGTGGTGAGGGTTTCATGGTTGTTACTGCTACTGGTGACTCTACTTTCGTTGGTCGTGCTGCTTCCTTGGTCAATGCTGCTGCCGGTGGCACTGGTCATTTCACAGAGGTTTTGAACGGTATCGGTACTGTTCTTTTGGTTCTTGTGCTGTTCACCCTTTTCTGTATCTACACTGCTGCTTTCTACCGTTCCGTTGGTATTGTCAAGATTTTGGAATACACTTTGGCTATTACTATTATTGGTGTCCCCGTCGGTCTTCCCGCCGTCGTTACCACTACTATGGCTGTCGGTGCTGCTTACTTGGCTGAGAAGAAGGCCATTGTCCAAAAGCTTTCCGCTATTGAGTCTCTTGCTGGTGTCGAGGTTCTTTGCTCTGACAAGACTGGTACTTTGACCAAGAACAAGCTTTCTTTGGGTGAGCCCTTCACTGTTTCTGGTGTTTCTGGTGATGAATTGGTTTTGACTGCCTGTTTGGCCGCTTCTCGTAAGCGCAAGGGTTTGGATGCCATTGACAAGGCTTTCCTTAAGGCTTTGAAGAACTACCCCGGTCCCAAGAGTATGCTTTCCAAGTACAAGATTATCCAATTCCAACCTTTCGACCCCGTCTCTAAGAAGGTTACTGCTTACGTTGAAGGTCCCGATGGTCGTCGCTGCATTTGTGTCAAGGGTGCTCCTCTCTGGGTTTTGAAGACTGTTGAGGAGGACCATCCTATTCCCGAAGAGGTTCTTACTGCTTACAAGGACAAGGTCGGTGATCTTGCTTCCCGTGGTTACCGTTCCCTTGGTGTCGCTCGCAAGTTTGATGGTCAACACTGGGAGATTCTCGGTATTATGCCCTGTTCTGATCCTCCTCGTCACGATACTGCTAAGACTATCAACGAAGCTATGCACTTGGGTCTCCGTGTTAAGATGCTTACTGGTGATGCTGTCGATATTGCTAAGGAAACTGCTCGTCAATTGGGAATGGGTTCTAACATTTACAACGCTGAACGTCTTGGTCTTACTGGTGGCGGTGACATGCCTGGTTCTGAAGTTTACGATTTCGTTGAGGCTGCTGATGGTTTCGGTGAGGTGTTCCCTCAACATAAGTATGCTGTCGTCGATATTCTTCAACAACGTGGTTACTTGGTTGCTATGACTGGTGATGGTGTTAACGATGCTCCTTCCTTGAAGAAGGCCGATACTGGTATTGCTGTCGAAGGTGCCACTGATGCTGCTCGTTCTGCTGCCGATATTGTCTTCCTTGCTCCTGGTCTTTCTGCCATTATTGATGCTTTGAAGACTTCTCGTCAAATTTTCCATCGTATGTACTCCTACGTTGTTTACCGTATTGCTCTTTCTCTTCACTTGGAAATCTTCTTGGGTCTCTGGATTATCATTCAAAACCGTCTTCTTAACTTGGAACTTATTGTCTTCATTGCCATTTTCGCTGATGTTGCTACCTTGGCTATTGCTTACGATAATGCCCCTTACTCTATGAAGCCCGTAAAGTGGAACCTTCCTCGTCTGTGGGGTCTTTCTACTGTCGTCGGTATTGTTTTGGCTATCGGTACCTGGATTACCAACACCACTATGATTGCTCAAGGTCAAAACCGTGGTATCGTTCAACACTTCGGTGTTCAAGACGAGGTCTTGTTCTTGGAAATCTCCCTTACTGAGAACTGGTTGATTTTCATTACCCGTTGCAACGGTCCTTTCTGGTCTTCTCTTCCCTCTTGGCAATTGTCTGGTGCTGTCTTGATCGTCGATATTCTTTCTACTATCTTCTGTATCTTCGGTTGGTTCAAGGGTGGTCACCAAACTTCTATTGTTGCCGTTATCCGTATCTGGATGTACTCTTTCGGTATCTTCTGTATTATGGCCGGTATTTACTACATCCTTTCCGAGTCCGCTTCCTTTGATCGTATGATGAACGGAGAGCCTCGTCATCCTCCTAAGGATCCCCGTAGCATTGAGGATCTTGTTGTTGCTCTTCAACGTACTTCGACTCGTCACGAGAAGGAAGTGTAATTTAATCTGCACGGATATATAATAGCTTCTTGTTAAACGTTTATTTTATTCACATGTTATAGACCTTGTCACTAATATCAATCAATGGATTTTTGCCTACATCTTTTTAGGGTGTCGTAGCATTAAGTTCTTTCAATAGTCGGTGTGTTGTGTGCTGTCCCTGAAATGGTGCCTTTTTATGTGCCTTTATTCTCTCCGTTTGTTAAGATGGCTAGCTATTTTGGTAAATGAGTGAATTGGTTCTGCTTTTACCAACCACCATGGACGAGTTGGAAAAGGAGGAATTTGATCTCTACGAAGTGTTAGACCTTAATCGAGATGCTGACGCTTCATTAATTCGTCGAGCGTATCGTAAAAAGGCACTTTTATATCATCCCGACCGTATTCGTGAGGAAGATAAGAAATTGGAAGCGCGTCATAATTTTGAGCGTGTTGCCCTAGCATATAGTATACTCAGTGATGACAAGAAGAGAAAACGCTACGATGAAACGGGTTCGCTGAACTTAGATGACACTGAGTTCGACTGGAAAGAATGGCTCGATGAGCAGTATGGAGGCATTGTATCCATGGAGAAAGTTGAAGAGTTTAAAAAGTCATACCAGCATTCGGAAGAAGAGCGTGAAGATGTTCTTCAAGCTTACGTTGACGCTAAAGGTTCAATTGATGGAATTATTGAACAGGTAATGTGTAGCTCTGTCGAAGACGAACCACGATTTCGTGAAATTATTGAAGAAGCTATCAATGAAGGAAAGCTCAAAAGATACAAAGCATTTAAAGCTTCAAAATCAGAAGCGAAGCGTCGGAAAAGAAAGGCTAAAAAAGAAGCTGAAGAAGCTGAAGAGCTTGCTCGTGAGTTAGGCCTTAACAAGAAAACCGGATCAGAGGATTCTTTGGCTGCAATGATTCGTGCACGTAGCAGTCAACGAATGGAAAATATGATTAGTAATTTGGAAGCCAAATATTCAAAGCCAAAGCGTTCAAAAAAGGCCTGATATTGGTTAGTTGGATTACTGAATTTACTTAATGACTATAACGATGTTGATATCCAATTGATTGTCTGGCACTCTGAGAGAACAATACCGTGTAGCGCATAGTTAAAATAACCGCCGGAGAGCTAACATGTACTCGTTGTCTGAAGACGGCTATCGTCTTAGGAGACAAAAATCGACCCCGACAGGATTTGCACCCGCGATCTTTGGTGAACTCGAGACTCCCTAAGGAGTGGTCTCTACCGGAAACCAATGCCTTGCTTCTAGGCCACGAGGCCGCTTGTTATAAGTTTGTAATTTTAGTTATAATTATTGTTAAGTTCTTATATTAATATATATGAAGCATTCTGCTACTAAAGTTATTGTCAGGCGTTAAAAGAGTGTGCAAATATATGCTTAAACGTGGCTGACTTTTCTAAACCCTTTTAAGAGCGTTAAATATTGTTCTGTATTTTAGGCAACGATTTTGTTATAATCTTACAAATACAATCTTTTGAAGTCTTGGTCGCAGAATCGGTTATAAAATTCTGTAACATATTTACTTACTTTCCTCGTTCGTACATAGGGGTAATATACGTTTTTCATGCGAGAAGTTATTTAGTACATTTTCTGATTAGTACTATTGCTATAATAAAACTCTACGAAAATATAGTGTAAGAGAGAAATGCTGTTTAAAAATACATTGTTCATTACTTTTAAGTAAAGAACGTAGAAGCGTTTTTTTTGAAGTTAGAATATTAATGAAGAAGGGTTTGTATTGTAAAAATGCCTAAGCAAGAGGAATATTTTAACTTAGCAATGTTAGAGGGGAAAATAGCGTAAACTTAAATCCCGCGTTCATTTCCTGTAAATGGATCATGAACCCATTTGCCTTTAATCCCAGCTAGATTCTGTAACGAAGTCATGCAAGATTTATTAAACTTTACATATATCTATGCAAGCATTGATATTACTATGTAGTGACAGCGCTTTTTACAGACTTTTTGACTCTTCCTTAAGATAATTATGAGGTTGTCATACTTTTGCTCAGTGGTATACCATCTTAATGAAAAAAATAACTTGATGATAAAGTAGTAGAAGAACTCGTAAACATATTTTCATCCAATGATTGCTACTCTAATAAGTGTGTATGTTATATTTAAGTCACTTTGTACGTAGTAATCAGCAACTGTTTTAGATTCCATTAAAAAAAAAGAGATTTCATGTAGCTTATTATTCTTTTGAAAAACGAATTTATTAAGTGATGTAAAAGTTAATTTCACTGCACCATTCACGATAGAAGGAAATTACAGTCAAAGAATACAACGTGTTATTGCAAAGACATATATGGAACGAAGAAATGGCAACTGTTCTATTTAACTTATGGTAAAACCTTGAGAACGTGTACGTGCCCGGTTGTTGAATTCTCGTCGGGAAAGTGATCGTTTAAGGAGACGCATCTCTAAGAAAGCTTCGCTGCTTGGAAGTTTGTCCTAGCTTTAATAATGAACAAACAAAATTTAGAAATCCAGGTATCGCTTTTTAAATGAACGACCATTCAAACCTTGCTTACAAAAATGATTATTAGTGACAAGCATTAAGCACAGAAACATTATATGATGAGCACATGATTCATTAATAGATTATCATTATAACATAGTAATACAGATCATAACAAGGGACGTAAAATTAACACCATCATGAAAGGAGAGATTAAGTAGTACCGTTGCGTATCAATGAGACAATAAGCAAAGAAGACTTGTACCAATGTAATTAATGACAAATTAACTGGTCAATAATTGATCCTTAAACTTTCCCATCAAGTTAAAAATGGTTGATGACAAGAATGAAATTTGGCAGAAGAAAAACTCTTTAGAGTTGGATATTAAACGCATTGAAAATGGCAGGATCATCATCAATTCTCAATACACGCGCTTTCCAGGAGGCACGGGCTTTACCTCATTTTCATCGAGTGTTTTACTCGTAACATTACGATACTTTATAGTTACTGGAGCACCAGACTCCTTTTGCCAAGTTAGAGTATGTTTCATCCAATGCTCATCATCACGCTCAGGATAATCCTCACGAGCATGAGCACCACGAGATTCCCTTCTGTTCAAAGCTGCAGTGGCGGTTTGAACAGCACAGGTCAGTAAGTTTCGAAGCTCAAGTGTTTCGATCAAGTCGGTGTTCCATATTAAGCTACGATCGCGAATACCAAGATCGTTTAAAGAATTATCCACGTTCTGGATATTTTTGACACCCGCTTGTAACGTGTCTTCCGTGCGAAAGACAGAAACATCTCTTTGCATACTCTTTTGCATGTCCAGGCGAATGACACTTGTGTGTTTCGGTCCTGTCGAAGTACGTATTTTATCAAGAATTTCCAAAGATTTAAGACCAGCATCCGGTTGCAGCGGTTTGTGCGGAGTATTAGGCTCCAGTGTTTCTTTTATATGTAATGCACAAGCCCGACCAAAGACGACAATGTCCAACAGCGAGTTTGCACCCAGACGATTACCACCATGCACTGAAACACAGGCAGCTTCACCAGCAGCGTACAGTCCCGGAACAACTTTGTCATGTCCATTATCATCTACAGTGAGCACTTCACCAGTGAAACGAGTAGGAATGCCTCCCATATTATAGTGAACAGTTGGAAGAACAGGAATCGGTTCCTTGGTAACATCAACTCCGGCAAATATAGCGGCTGTCTCGACTATACCGGGAAGCCGTTCTCGGATAACTTCATGAGGCAAATGAGAAAGTTGAAGATATAAATGATCCTTCTCAGGACCAACCCCTCTACCCTCGCGGATCTCAATCGTCATAGAACGTGAAACGACATCTCTGGAAGCAAGATCTTTGGCAGTCGGTGCATAACGCTCCATGAAACGTTCGCCATTTGAGTTCAACAAATAACCGCCCTCACCTCGACATCCCTCAGTAATCAAACACCCGGCACCATAGATACCTGTAGGATGAAACTGCACAAATTCCAGATCTTGTAGCGGCAAACCTGCTCGAGAAACCATGGCATTGCCGTCGCCGGTACAAGTATGTGCTGAAGTACATGAGAAATAAGCACGCCCATAGCCGCCAGTAGCTAAAACAGTTTTATGTGCACGAAAGCGATGAATAGTACCGTCTTCTAGATTCATAGCAATTACACCTCTACAAGTGCCATTCTCCATTAGAAGATCCATAGCAAAATATTCAATGAAAAAATTCGTGTTGTGACGCAAAGACTGTCCATACAATGTATGAAGGATGGAATGGCCAGTACGATCGGCGACAGCTGCACAACGGTAAGCTTGTCCACCCTTTCCATATTCAAGAGACTGTCCACCAAATGCTCTTTGGTATATTTTGCCATCTTTGGTACGAGAGAATGGCACGCCAAAATGTTCTAATTCCAAAACAGTTTTGGGCGCTTCTTTAGTCATGTAATGAATTGCATCCTGATCGCCAAGCCAGTCGGAACCTTTCACGGTGTCGTAAAAGTGCCAGCGCCAGTCGTCCTTTCCCATGTTCCCTAATGCTGCGTTTATACCACCTTGGGCAGCGACAGTATGTGAGCGTGTCGGGAATAACTTTGTGATACAGGCAGTATTGAAACCTGCCTCTGCAAGACCACTAATAGCATATACCTGTCAGTAATGACTAAGTAGTTTTATATTTCGTCAGCAATAACGTACAAGGCAGCACGAAGACCAGCACCTCCGGCACCAACTACAATAGCATCGTATGTATGATCAATCAGTGGGTATTTAACTGAGGATGGTGTATTTGCTTGTTGGGCTCGTAACGGCTATATACAGATTTATGTTAATAAACATTCGCGCTATAATAACCGCAACTTCAATCCAATTCCTCATACCTGTGTGTGAACAATTCTATTCAATATAGTGCTGCTTGAAAATGACCGTAAGCAACAATGAGAACCGTTTTTTGACCCGAATTCACATAAACGAAGCATTGTATGGGTCTTGGGGGAGTGCGGCTTCTTGGTCGCATGGTCCTTTCTGGCTAGGTTATGCGAGGATAAGCGTGATTTAAGCGAATTAAACGAAATTTGCGATTCGGTAACGCCTGAAGCCGAAACGCGTTAAATGAAAAAGCTTATTCATATTGGAATGTACCAGACGCGACACAGCTTTACGAAATTAACAAAAATGCTTCTACCATATAGCAACGTTACACACGGTGAGTGGATTTGAAATTCCAACAGAATTGACGTTACTGTTGATGTCAACGATTTGTCTTGATGCGATACTATCCTCTTTCCATAATCGTCACACTAAGAATCGTGAAATCTGCAAAAGGAAACCGAGCAATTGAAGACTTCTATTTTCACCAGTATATAGGGTACTTCTTTATTGTGAGCAAACTCGTAGACGATACCGTTACACAACTTGGTGTGAAAATCACCATTTCCTTCTTTACCGTACACGACGAACCTTATCTATATACTCTCTTTCCATTATATAGGCTCATGTCAAAATTTCATTCTTTTGGTCACATTACTAATAATGTTTTAAATATAAAACGGTTTTTTACTCACAATAGTAAGAATATACCGGTATATTTGTCAGCGTCTTTTCAAAAGAAGAATACAAAGGTTTCAACACCAGTTACCTTAGAACACCCAGACTCTGGAGAGGTATGCTACTACTAAGTCTTCTCGGTGGACGGTTACGCTAAACATCGTTACAGGATGCCTTCCTTTGTGTTAAGAAGCCAAATTACAGTCTTGCTGCTGTGTTTGACGGTGTCGGTATGACAATGCAGTTTGGACTTTGGTACGCAATTGTCACTAACATATCTCAGGCGGCTGGGCCAGTAAAGGAATTGATCCTTCAAAATTTAGTTGGGGACTGTGTAAACAGCTTGAGCAACTTGTATCTAGCAAACAATCCCTTATGAAAAACCCTACCGAGTTATTGACCTCGGCATTTAACGCATTGAAGAAAAGTAAGACAGTGGTTGCAGGATCATCTACTGCTTGCATCGCAACATATGAAGAGGAAACCTGCAAGCTGCGGACATTGAAGTAAGTTGACTGTTTGTGTGGAGGATATCTGTACATTGATAGCTAACAAGGTCACTTTCTAGTCTTGGAGATTCAGGTTACATGCTCATTCGAAATGGACTTGTGGAGTACATTTCTCCACCTCAAACTGTTCAGTTCAATACGCCATTTCAACTCTCGATATATCCAACTGCCCAACCTTATGAAGATCCCATGCAACCCCGTGTAGGACAAAAAAATACACACAATATCCTTCAGAATGATGTAGTTATTGTTGCTACGGATGGTCTTTTCGATAACATGGAAGCTGAGGACTGTGCCAACATTGTTCGTCAGCTCATTTCTTCTCCAAGCCAAGACCCGCAGAGCTTGGCTGATAAAATAGTGAAGACGATTTGTCAACAAGCAGTCTCGAATTCTCGCGATGAAGTCTGGTTGTCTCCATTCGCTCGGGCTGCGCAGACAGTAGGTTATCGGTATACTGGGGGAAAAGTAGATGATACGACTGTCCTGTGCATGCTATTTCAGTAATAAAAATACTACGGTCTATTTTATTTTTCGCATTATTTAAAGATCTTCTGGTCCGAACGAGTCTGGCAGTAGCTAAATTGTGTGTTAATGGTATTTCTTTGGATAGCATTTGTCTGATACTTACATCCTTAATGGAAGCCTTTGTATATGTTCCATCCAATTCGAACATATAAATATCAAGTGTTTTTGAAAACTCTCGAATCCTATACCATATACATCAGTAATAATCCAACTATAGAGTTATCTACTCATACATTTGACGACAAATGCCACAAGGACTCACTCTTCCTTTGTGACACATGACACCCAAGGCCATAAATTTGTTGTGTCCGGAAGTCTAGCTGGTAAGCATACAATAACAAATTGCATCCTTACAATGGCTTTCACTATGGCAGTTCGTTCGGCACATATACCGACACTGTATGAGGCATTCTCGACTACGAAACCCGACTGTTAGCTTCAAGCAGAAAAAAACAAAAACACCAAACCGGCCACTAGCAACGGCTAACAACAACAGTATTACCATTTGCTCCCTGTATAACTGTTTTTTTGTCATCACAGAGAAGGGCTGCACCGACGGCAAAATTACTATATGGACAATATGCACGGGAAACAGCTTCCTTCGTCTGCTTAAAGAGCTCGTTAACAAGCTTGGAGTTCATCTTTTTCTAAGCGTATTCTCTCTTCCTTTGTTTAAAAGAAATATGGAACAGTTCCAACATATCATTTTCCCGATAATTAACTACGGAAGATTCCCGGAGATGCCGCGGTAGACAAAGAATAAAGAAAACCAGCCCTGATACAGTTTTTTAGATACGATAGAGCACAGAAGACAAAGCTCTAGTGATCATTAAGCAACTTGTTACGCTTCTCGCGACGCTTCCGGCGATCAATGACCTTTTGGTGCAACTTTTCGCGCAATTGGGCGACACGTTCCTTCTCAGCCTTGGCAATTCGACGGCTGCGGATTTTTTCAGCTTTCTCCTGTTACCGTGTTAGTGATCAGACACAAATAGTAAACTGTTCAGAAGCGACTGTACCTGTCTCCGTGCTTGAGCTTCTTCTTTTAAAGCTTGTTCACGAGCTTTAATCTCCTCCATGCGACGTTTTTGCTCCATACGTTCCTCAAAAGAAGAGCGTTGTGCTTTGGAAAGACCAGTCCGCTTCATGGGCTTCTTTTCCATTTTCCTGAGGGCAAACTGTTAATCAAAAGTTTTATATAATACTATTATTCAGCGCCATCTTCCTTACCATGGTTTACCTAAGTTCATGTTAGCAAAATCGTCAACACAGGAATCAGTCCTTACCGGAAACACGATTGATTGACATTTTTTATTAATGCAAACTCTTACCGTAATCTGGTAAATGGGACACTCGTTTTTCCTTCACAGTCCCGGAGAAAGAATTCTAAACGCCGAAAAATTCGCTGGCCACCGGAAAAAAGTTCACCGAAAACGGTAAAAATTTGACGGCGAATTCGAGGTTCCGGTGTCTTGTGTCGGTCAACTTATCGGTAACTTTGGCTTCTGACGAGAATAATAGAAAACACTCATTTGTCTTTACGAGAGGCAGAAACGTGTCTTTTCACTGGAACGGCACTATCACTATAACTCGTCTTTAATTGACTGAATTGTCTCATCAATTTTGCGACTTAAATTGTCCAAGCTGCCAAGCGGTCAGTAACAATGTATACCATTTCCCAAGTATGTATACCTCTGTCGTAAAGATTCTCGTTCGGAAGAATAGTCCCGCTCCTGGTTCTCTAATTGTTGGATCTGGTACAGCTTTACAGTCTATGTGTCAATCATGTTAGCCTTCCATAAGCATCTCATCTACTTTGATTGTTCTAAACACGCACATCCATCAATCGCTGTTTCTCCAAGGATTGCAATTCATCAACCAAGTTTTTAATTTCTTGATTCGTTTGTTGCTGAGCGTCACGAATATCGCGAGACGCTTCGTTAAACCCCTCCGTTACAAGCTGAGTTATTATACCCATTTGTTCCAATCCAATTTTTTGATTCTGAAACGCTTGTATTGCACTACAAGTTAGACTTACTTAAGAAGCGACATCACAAAAATCCATGTCACCTACTCTTTTAACTCATGAAACAACTGAACGCGTGTTTCTTGGGCTTTCAAAATTTTCTCTCCTGCTTCCATCGTTTTTTGAAGAAGCTTGCAGCAAATAATTGAAGAGAGCCACACAAACACTGCATACCAACACATTGCCTGTAGACCCACGAACCGATACCCAAGGCGACAAACATCGCACCGTAACACAGCTCACTACTCACATAACTACGATCCAACACACTTAACTACAAAAAAGGGTCTGTCTTCGTCAAGCATTTTATTCGCTAAATGGGCATACCAGTTTACTCCTCAACGACGGTGGTCTCCATCTTAGGGTTGGCAACCTCAACGGCCTGAACGTAAGTGTAGAGGGCCTTGTCGTCCTCATCACTACGCTTACGAGACAAACGAAGACGGAGACGGTGAGGAACGCTCTTGATGCCACGCTTCCAAACCTCCTTGTTCAATTGGGGGTCAACACGAACATCCTTGGTTTGCTGGGAGCTTGTTAGTTACTGTTCCGTACATCATCGACATGTATATCTTTCACATACCATGTGCTTTTGGGCAAAAGCAACAATTTCCTTGATGGCACGAGGAGCACGCTTTTTGAAGGAGACTCCGTGGAGTCTCTTGTGCAAGTGAATCGTGTAGTCACGAGTAACGACTTGGTTAATTGCACTCTTCTTGGTGTTCGCCATTAGGTGAGTGTTTGTCTCCAGACAAACCCATCTAGTGCAAAACCTGATGTGTATTGTGTTTGGGCAGTCACATTGAAAATAGGGTAGGGCTCGCTTCAAAAATAAAGTTAATCTAAGCTTAGAGCTTAGATATGCTGCGAGTTGCTTAATAGAAGAAATAGGAAAAGGAATAAATGAGTTTCTTTTCGGTCTCATATTGCTGTTGGGTTTTGTAATTTGAATAACTATGAGTTTTACTAGAAACCAAAGCGGAATGCATATATATATAGAATTAGATCTTATAGAAGCGAAATAATAGAGGAGTGCATTATTTTATGAACAAAATTTAGTAAGTACATAAAAAGAAGCTGGTCACTGGATCATTGGAAGGAATAAGACGATTCTTGTTGGTGGCTCTTCTTAATAGTGCAGTAGCAGTGGTAAGAACTTTATGCTTCTGGTTAAAAGTTATGGTCCCGAATAAGCTCTCTTAATATCTGTTATGTTAATAAATTTTATAAGTAGTACGCGACATACAATACTATTTTGGTTTTCATCCCTTGTAACCCGGTAATAATAATCACAGTAAGATTCGGTATTCATCAGACGAATAAAACGCTCGTCATGAGTAATGACAATTAGTTGGAAGTTTCGTTGTCTTCTTCGGAACTCGACGATTCTCGCCAAGCTTTGAGCAAGACTACATATATTTTCATCGTCCAAATTGGTAGTCGGCTCGTCGAGAGCTAATATTCCACAATTGATACCAAAACATTCAGCTAATGCTAAGCGAATGATGATGCATGCAAGAACTTTTTGACCTGCACTACAACGTCCACGCATGTCTAGTTCTGCGTCTCCTTTGACCATACAAACCTAAATGAAATTAGTGTAAGTCAGCGGTATAACAAACATACACGATAGTTATACGACCGATTTCCCTTTGTTTCATTGTCAGACCGAATAAGAATTGTGTCGATGTCCGTTCCACAATATGTCTGTTTCCATGCTTCGTCGATGATTCGGTTAACCTCGTTCATTTTGAGAGAGTGAAATTGCATAATCGCATTGTCGAGGGCACGACCATATTTTCCTAGATCCTCGTTGGCTTTATCAAGAGTTTTCGTTTTAATGAGCTGTCTACGATACCTTTCTTTGGCATCTTTATAGTCAATTTGTAGTTCTCGAGTATTATGTGCAATTTGGCCCTCTAGCTGTCTGCATTCTCCAAGAAAGCCAGCACGTTTGGCATTCAATTGTCCGTACTTTTCTTTCAAATTTTGCGAATTGAGCATAAAGTTTTCTCTGTCGACGTTTTGAAGTTCTTTTTTGAGCTGCTGGAGCCTACTCATTGACTGGCTAAGTTGTTGCTTCAGACGACGATATCGAAGATTGTCAGCAATGTTTCTTTCGTTATCTTTTAAATTGTGCAGTTTCTTTTCAAACTCTGCCCTTTCATTGGTTTTCTCTTGAATCTTCTCTTCGAAATTCTTAATTTGTGAAGACGTTTGCTCACAGTTTTCCTCAGCCGTTTTCAATGCATCGGCGGATGTGTCATTTTTTATCGCAACCATGAGAGACTGTAATTTTGTATACTGTTCTCTTGCAATACGGAGCTTTTCACTAAAGCAGTTTAACTCATCTTGAGCTTCATTTTTTAGTGAGTTCAATTGCTTGTCCAATTCTTGCATTTCTTCGTCATTGGAGCTCAACTTTTTGTTAATGTTTTGTACCGCAATTTCACCTTCTTCAAGGTTCGACTTATTGTCATTAAGATTCATTTGTATATTTTGTTTTTCACGAAGTCTTAATTTTGTCTCTCTTAGCATCATGGAATCCTCTGATTTTTTAGACTCGAGTGACACAAGTTGCTTTTTAGCATCTTCAAAAGCATTCTCAAATACCCGATACTCTTCCCTCTTCTGAGAAGTCTGAGTTTCTAAGTCCTTAAGTTTCTCTTGTAAAGACTCAATAGTCTCGGCTGTTCCTGTGTTCGAAAGCGTCGTTTCCAGTTCACGTATGCTTTCCCCAGTTGTTAGAGCTTCATCGCGCATTCGGTCAACGTTGGACATTTTCGACGAGAGTGCCGTAAGCTTTTGAAGTTTTTCTTTTTCTAGTTCGAGTGAAGCTTGTTTCTCCTTATGCTTCTTACTTACACTAGAGAAATCATCTTCGAGTTCAGCGATTTCCTTCTTCGCTTTTTCTAAATCACTAGAAAGCGCGATATACCGTTCCTGAATTGGTAGTAATGACCGCAGTTGGTTTAACGTAGTTTCAAGTTGTGTTAGTTCTTTTTCGAGATCTTGTGCCTTTGAAGGGATCGTTAAAACCATTGAATTGCAATACTTAGTAAACTCTTTTCGTTCAGAATCATCAAGTCCACGACGACAAAGTTGACATGCATGTTTCTCATCAGAAACTTTAATAGCGCGCTCATAAAAGAGAACGCCAAATTGAAGTGAATGAAGATCCTTTCTTTGCTCTTCTATTTGAGCTTCAATTTCCTCAATTTCAGAAGATAGTTGATCAGGATTTCCCGTTGAGCTTTTTAACTGTGCATCAAATTCCTCAAGTTGTTCAGCAATAGATTCATTCCTCTCATATGCAAGAGTTAACTTTAAATTAAGTTCTGTGCTTTCTTTCGAAACTCTTTGCTCTTCTAAAGTAAGTTTATCCACGTTGGCGGAGAGCGTTTTTAGAGAACTTGCAAGGTCAATTGTTTCTGAAGTTACCTTTTCGCGAGTGATTTCCGTGTACTCAGCAATTAGTTCGTCAAATAGAGATTGCTTTTGTTCCATTAACTTGAGTTTTCTAGAGCGCAGCATAGATAATTTTGCTCTGTCATTCGCCTGCGAGGCGGCTTTATGTACCAACTCCACTGTATTCTGGTATGATTCATTTAGTTCGCGTAACTCTTGCTTCATTGCAGTCAACTTTGATTCCCAATCACTTTTAACATACTCACTTCTGTAAGACGAAAGAGCGGTTTCTGCATCTGCAATACTAACTTCCAAAGCAGAGATATCTTCAAAGTTACCCTCAAATTCAGAAAGCCGCTTTTTTAAAGAATTTATATTGTTTTCGAACACAGCCATACGTTTCTTGTTTTGCTGGCGCTCTTGCATCAAGAAACTCTTCTGTGCTCGGATATTTTCAATTTTTGATGAAATTTGACTTATCCCATGCTCATTTTTTTGTTTTATTGACTTCCATTCGGCTTCAAGACTTTTAATTTTAAGAGAATGTGCTTCATACACGCCTTCAGAAGACTGAATATCATATCCATAAATACTTTTCAACTCCTTCATCAGCCGATCACGTTCCTGAAGTCGTTCTTCATGTAGCTTAACTTCAGCGCGAGCTTGACCAACAATAGCTAAGAAGCTGGAATTCTTTTGACGAGTAATTTGTAACTGTGAGTTTAGGGAATTTATCTCGTTCTCCGAACGTTGATACCATTCCATTTCTCCTTCAACTTTTTCAGAGTAATGACAGGGACAAATCTTCCAACTCCTCATCCGTTTCTTCATAGAAAACCATATTCTTAGCTAAATCAGATAACGTCTCATTAACCAATTCGTTTTCACGCTCAAGTTTATTTATTTCGGCAATGGTTTGTTCGTACTTTTCTGTATGTTGAAAAAGTTCATCTTGCTCCTTGGCGACTTCAACTAATTCTTCATCTAATAAGTCAACTTCTGCCTTTAGTGCAGCAACCTTTTTTTGGTTTTCATGAAGTATGTCCTCGATCTTTTCAGCTCGTTCCTTGTCTGACTTGAAGTGAGCGAGTGTCGCGTTATCAACCTTTATTTGATTCGTTTGATCCTTTCGCAAAACCTTAATCTGATCCAAAGCTTTTGCATACCGCATGGACTCAAAAATTTCGTCAAAACGTTTCTTTAGAGTAGCGGGTTCACTTAATGGCCAAAAGCTTTCTTCTTGATGACAAAATATCACATAGTCTAATAAGGCGCGCGTTACACCGAGACTCAAGGGAACTTGTTGGTCCAATTCTGCACAACGATTACTAACTGTAGATCGTTCACCATTCTTCGTAACTAGCAACTGACCATCTAACGTCTTCATTTGACGGGTTGTTCTTTTCATGGTCAATTGCAGTGACCGAGTACATATCATACGAACGCCATTCGTGTTTTGGAAAGCTAATTTGACTTGAGCAAGTACTTCTTTTTCACCGCAAAATTTTGGATCATGAATAAAAGCACCGCCTTTGCTATTAGGAGGTAGAATGCCAGTTGTAGCATATTTTAAACATTCAATAATTGTCTGCTTGTTAGTACTCCTGTGCCAATCATAATACTTACCGTTTTACCAGCACCGTTATGTCCAACAATAAGAGTTAAAGGGGCATAAAATTGAATTGTTTCACGCGAAGTATTATCGAATGAGCGTATGCCCATAATGGACATTTTATCGATACAAGACATTTCAACGAACGTCGTTCTCAACGAATAGGTACAATAAGAACGTGGATTTTCAACGGTGCCTTACAGGAAATAGCACAATTAAACAAAAACAAGAATCTTCAATATCGGCCAGGAATGTATAGCTATTAAGAGTAAATGAATTAAATGATATTAAAATGCCATAAGCCCTTAAATGAACAAATAAATTACCACAAAATTATTGATACAAGTAATAAATGTTGAGGTGTTGGCTTAAGTTGAACGTGTTGGCGCTTTCATTTAGTTGGGTGAAAGGAACACTCGGTCAGGTGTAAGAAACAATGGTTAGCAAGCATTTACTTTTTTAAGCTCGTTTAAGCCTTCTTACCTACTGAACATTGGTTACGTAAATTTTTTTTCATAAAACTAATCATCGCAAGATTAAAATTATCATTAAAAAAAGTCAATGGACAAAATGAAACTCAGACTAAGGAAGAAACAAATCCTTCTTAACATTCACCAACGAGTTCAGTGCATGTACTTTTGCACTTTTCACTTCACTGATAAGAATGATATGTTTTAAGAATGCCTCCAAGCTTGAAGATTTGGGGTTTCCTTCAATCTCTGGACGCGAGTTAGTTAGTAATGTGATAAAAACAAAGATTACACATACCCAAAAGACACCTATTCACACGGTCAGCAAGAGCTTCTCTTGTTTCGTGTGAGAGACAATAGGCTACGGATCCATTTTCTGTGTCACTGCAAGCAAGTAAGCCCACACAGTCACCTAAAAACTTTTGGTCTTCCGTTGACAATGTGCCTGAAAACTCGGCCACCAGCTCTTGTGCTGCTTCAACAAGTGGCTGCAATTGAGCGGGCGACTGTTCCGTTGCGCTATTGCCATTTTTGCTTGTTGACAGTTCTTCATGATTTCCGTAAAGGTCCAAGTACTGTGCACATTTTAAACAAAAAGCCAAGTCTGGGTTCTTTGTAAAACATCCAGGGTAACGGAGATTGATTTTTTTCACTGCCCTACTTGCCGTTCCTTCCAGAATGCTATCTTGTATGTCTAATAAAACAGTTAGTGTATAATTTTCAAAGGCGTGATTTCCTGTTATTCCCTTTGTCACATACCTCTCCGTAGGAGCGCTGATTTTATTGAACCGTTTTTTTGAGAGAGTGCCTGGAATGTTTGGACGAAGCCATTGTGTCGTAAATAATTAAGTACAAGATTACGCACATTTATATCGGGCCTTGGATTCTCCTCTGGAGTAGAGTTTTCTTCCGATATAACTTCAAACATTTCCTTTTTCTTCCGTGCAACATACTCATCAATGTTGAAATAAAACGGACTCTCTCCAAAATTAACAGTAACATGTTCACCTTCTGATTTAAGTCCAACACAGGGATACAATTGGCCGTTGACATGACGGTGAGCAATGCCCAAAGAGACCCCATTCTTTGTGTAGAAAACGGTTTTATCAACTCTGTCAACACAGCAGCCGATTACATCGCCAGTAGTGAAAGCAGAGCCATAGTTGCCTCCTCGGTCTGCGCAACTAAATACAGTTCCATCGACTCCGTGGTAACCCCAACTTGCAGAAGACCAACCAGGTAGACGACCTGTTTCCATGCCTTCTGTACAAACTCCAATACATATGCATCCTTCTTTTCCGCGAGAAAGTACTTCAATTTCAAAGTAATAAATTCCTGCTTGCGAAGGAATTGGATGGTTTGCGAGAACCGTTGCTGAATCATGTTCTGTTCCCGAACCTGGACCTAATTCTTGTTAGATATAAAAAAAAACTGTCAGAATTCTTCCCAAACAAGCAACACTACCCATAAATCGAAGTTCTCTCTCATCGTTAATAGACTCAACCAATTCAGAAGACTCGATGATATTCCACCTGCTCGGCAATGGGTCGGGAATAAGAACGGCCATCATTGAATCTCTGTAATAATCATCACCTTCAACATCAAATGTGTTTATTGTTCTCGGGTCTTTTTGCGAGCATACAGCGCCATAATTTGTATTTCGCAGGTACGATGGAATTGGAAATTCCGTTTCTTTAAAATCTCGTCAGAAACATGCATAACTTGCAAAAAATAGGACAAATAACATACCCTTTGCGTTTGTTCTAGCCATAACTATAATACAAGACGAAAATCCGTCCTTCTAAGCTTGAACAAAGGCCAATTTCGTTTGTAACTAATGAGTGGTAATGAACGAACTACTAGATGTAAACAACGAAGATATCAACACGTCTGAAACTGGATTTACTATTTGTATTCTCGAAATGATAAAAACAAGTGATGAAAAAGCACTCAATTACACAAATGACAATCCCAAGAACAGACCCGCTCTACTAATTTTTACCCAATGTCCCACTTGTAACCTTTTTCATCAACAAATAAAATGTATGCACTAAAGAATACAAGCGTAAATATGTAAGGTTCATGTAGGCGGAGACAGCACATGAGCATTTAAAACACTAGCAAATTTGGAGTAAAAAGTTTCGCAGAAATTTACCTAAGAACGAGTTTGGCTTTGAGGAAGGAAAAGCAAACCAGCACATAGGATTACACATAAAACACGAAGTTGTTTGCTACAAGATTAGACAAATTCGCGTCGTATTACCAGACGTCTCCATACCGTTGTTCACGTGTTAAGAACAACCTACTGTGTCTGCTCATCAGGCAAAGTAATAGGAAACCAGTATTTGCCATGTTGACATGCTGAATGACAACTTAACGAAAGCATTGTCCGCCCAAAGGAACAACTGAAAAGGAAAAGACAATCATAACTCGTGTTGCATTACGGAAGAGTACAACAGAAGTAACCTGAGAATCTGATGCGATTGCAGATTTTTTTTTAGATTTCATCAATCTCTTTGTAGCGTTGCATTAACAAGCGTTTGTACTCAACAGGATCCTTGCTCCAAAGTTCAGCGGCTCTGATTCTCAGTTAATACGTTTTCAACAACAAGTACAGTTCAATTACATACTGAGCGTTCAAAGGAGAAGCGTTGTTAGGCTCACCCAACAAACTTTGAAGAGATAAAAGAATAGTCTGAACATTATAAACTGCAGACCACTTGTCTTTCAAAATATCCAAGCAGATATTACCGCTCATATCAACATTAGGATGCCACATAGGAGAAGTAAATACAATTGTGGGCGCTGTATAAGGGTAGTTTGGAGGGAAAGTCATAGAAATTTTGAATTTTAAGCCTTCGTAGTACTGATAAAAGTTAGTAACGGTAGCACAGGCATAGACTGCTGTTAAACAGGTATGAAAGAACATTGAGCATTCAAAAACTACTCTTCCAATTGTCTTTTTCTTTCAACACATTGCATTGAAGTAGGAGCTTATTTGATTGCAATTATCGTTTTCTGACTTGACATACCGTATCAGCAGGACCAACAATGGTGCCAGCCCAATGCAGAAGATTGGAATCCGAATCAGGAAAAGCGCTAATTCCAGGAATGTTGGACATCTTTAACATGTGTGAGAGACAGATCGAGTAAAACACAAACTATCACAAAGAAACCAGACCGTAAACAGTGACAACGGCTTTATTTCATCACTCAAAGAACCCGTACCATTAAACTCATCAATTCACTGCGAAGACTGCTCTTGTTAACAATTGCGAACGGAGAAATAAGCTTTAGGCAATGAAATAGTTATACCGTTTAGTAACACTGTGTCCATCTACAGGCATAGCATTCTTCGACATGTTCTTGGCGTTTGCTTCGTAATCTGGGCTTTGGTTTTGCATATCTGAGTCCATTGGCTCTGGAATTGTGGGATTGGGATTCGGTGAGTTTGCTCGGGAGAGAGAGGAGAGTTTCATGAAAGCCAGAAACAATAAGTAAACACAACAAACAAATCCGTAACAGGATGCAACGCTGAAATTTCAGAATTATTCACAATGATAATCCTTGTAACGTATTAAGCTGGTGCTGTCGACTACTTTGCCAAATTCTAATGAGTTTGTACATTTGTCTTTCACCGCCAGCAGGAACAACCCTGCAGACAGCACAGAAACGTGCTATTCCATTACTCGATTCGTCTTCTCGTACGGAACCTTTTCGAGAGTGTAGATCGAGTTGATTGGAGCTATATTTTTGGTATTTTTGTGATTGACAAATACTGTTATAGTTTGTCTTGATACATACACATACATTCATTTTTTAAAGCTCTATACTTTATTAATACATACGTACATACATACATACAGGTTTTCAGTACTGGGCAAAGGTCTATTCAAGTATACTGTCTTTCCATCCAAAACCTCTCTTATAATAGTCACTGCTCTCACATTTTGTATGTCTACGATTGAAGGGTTTCCCTACCAAATTGGACGGGAGCTCGGCGAGGGTGCTTTTGCTTCGTACGTAACAACAACTTGTTGATATAATTATATTATATGATTTCTAACTCATATTTAGTGTCCGCGCTTGCTTTGATGATAAGGCACGGGTTTTCGCCGTCAAACTAGTGAACAAAAACTATGTTGCTCAGAAAATGAATATGAGTGTCTGGACTCGTCGGATCACTAGTGAGATTCAGTTGCACAAAATCTGTAACAACCATAAAAACATTATTCACTTTTACGCTTCAGGAGATTCACCAACTTGGCGCTGGATTGTATTGGAATACGCACAAGGAGGCGACCTTTTCGATAAGATTGAGCCAGATGTCGGCGTGGATGAAGACGTTGCACAGTTTTACTTTGCTCAGTTGATGGATGGTATAAAATTTATGCATTCCAAGGGTGTCGCACATCGCGACTTAAAGCCAGAAAACTTATTGCTAGACTTCAATGGAAATCTAAAAATTTCAGACTTTGGGTTTGCCGCTCTGTTTTCCTACAAAGGAAAAACACGTCTACTCAATAGTGCAGTGGGAAGCCCTCCTTATGCGGCTCCCGAGATTTTGGGACAATATGACGGTGCCAAGGTGGATGTCTGGTCATGTGGCATTATCCTGTTTGCCTTATTACTTGGCACGACACCCTGGGATGCAGCTTACGACAATAGCGAGGAATACGTGTTTTTCAGAGACTGCAATGAACGTCCCTCCTACCATCCTTGGAACCAACTTAGTCCTGGCGCTTACTGTATGCATTTAGGGCTGTTCTCTCTGTTTCATTGAACTAACCCAACAGCACTTATTATGGGAATGCTAAGACACAATCCTCAAAAAAGATACTCGGTACAGCGCGTACTCCAACATCCATGGCTCCACACAAATATCTCGTTCCGGTCATCAAGTGGTGCTTGCTCAGATCCAATTGCTCTCGCTTCGAGGTTAATGCTGAAGCTAAGAATAGATCTGAACGTTTCTGCGATACCCACGGAAACAACGAAAACGTAAGTACTAATTAGTCTACACTAACAAATTACTAACTTTTTTTAGAAGAATAGAAGACAATGCGGCAACCTCTATGACTCAACCGCCCGCTCGTATAGAAGACTCTTTACTAGACTCTCGGAACGAATACAGTACTCTCTCACAACCTGTCATGGATTCCACCGTATTTACAGCGACAAACATTGACACTGATCCAGCATTAAGTCAATTCTGTGATACTACAGAGTTTTTGGAAAGCTTAGTACGTTACGGTTATGTCCTGAATTACCTATCTCTAACGTTGCGATAGACTCAAAAGGCCAAACGTTTTGAAGACATTTGTCCACCAGAGCGTATGACTCGCTTTTATTCACGCTCTTCGGAAACTGTAATCTTGCAACATCTCTACGATTGTATGCGAAAACTCGCTGTTTCTGTCACTTCGAAAAAGGAGACTAAACAAACCGTACTATACATTCGTTTACACGATAAACGCAAATGTCAGCTTCAAGGAGAAATTACTATTCAATCCATCGCGCAAGGCTTGAAACTAATTAATTTCAACAAACGATTTGGAGATCCGTTAGAATGGAGAAAATTCTTTAAGGTATGAAATGGTCACGATTCTTGTTCACTAACCGTGCAGATTGTTGCAAGTTCCATGGGTAAATCCATCGTCTTGACATACTAATATAAAAATGCTAGAGCCACAACTTTATCCGTATTTTGTAACGACCCTGAGTGTTAAAAGAGTGTTCTTACCATAACGATTGTGATGAGTAAGGGGTATCCAAGGATCCTGTTCCGTATAAAAGTTGTGCTTGTCAGTAGGTAGCATTTATCTCTCAACAATGCGAACACCAGATAGGCAACATTAGCTGTTCTTAGCCGCTCGCTTGAGTCTTTTTTGTTGTTTTGCCCAACGTAAACCACATGCATTGCACAGCATTTTTGGACCTGTGGGTCCTTTCCGCCATTCTGGTGACTCCGAAGTGCCACATTCCATACAAATGAGCTGCTTTTGTGATCGACCCTTCACCTTTCTTAGATTGCGATGTAGCTTTTCGTTCACAGAATGCAAATCCACTTTATCGTTAACAGTTCCAATGTTTCGATTTGCTTTAAACGACTCGTGCACGTTGGAATGCGTTTGCACAGAAGAAGCACTAACAGGTGCTTGAGCCGAATCGTTAGGCCGCTGTAAAACATTGCTCGGTGCAAACTCAGACGCGTAATCCCCTGTAAAGCCTTGCTGATTAAGAGTTTCATAGTTATCAAATTCGACATTAGCCAGCACTTCAGAGGGTAACGAAGAGGTAGACTGCTTTGAAGCAAGATTTATGGGCGTAGTTTCCCCACTGATCGACAAAGCAGAAATTTGTCGAAGCAAATGAAACTTTTTAAGCTTTAGATCCAAAAATGAATCCAATAGTTTCATCTTCTCCGCCGGCAAACTCCTTGCAACCAAAAAAAGGCATTTTGTTACTCCAGTTGACTGCTGACCAGGCAATGTAGGTAATTCAATGTCACTTACTTTTCCAACACTCTCAACAGTTTGAGGTTCCCCACGTTGATTGCGTATGCGATACACAAGTTGAAATGGAGTATCTGGATCCCCAAAGCTTTCGTTAAAAGCTTCATTGAAACTATCATAAATGATTAGTACGCATTCACATCCAAACTTTAAACATACAGCGAAAGATCTTCCTGGAAGATGTACTCGGTTATACTATGACCAACGAGTCTTGAGGAAGGATAACCAAGAAAATCGGAAAACGCATCATTCGCTTGCAAAATAAGACCCGACGAGGAAAGAACGTGAAGAAAATCGGAAACTTTACTTACGAGTACCTAGAGGAACGATCAGTAAATTAATCCTAATGCTTAAAGCATGTAATTCTGCCGCACAAGCAGTCGTTTCCACATTTCGGCTGAAACAAAACAAAACGTTTCACTCCCATTCCCTCTTTCAGCGAGCAGATTGCAATGAAATTTACCCCTTGCGACAAGAACTTGTCCATTTTTTGGCCATGAGAAAGACAGCTAATTGTTGAAATTCACTTTCACACCAGTCAAGAGGTGACCAAGGAGTCAGTGGAAATCGGGAGTAGCAACATAACACATTGCGACATTCGAGCCAATGATAAAATGCTACCTGACACAAACATCTCGACCTCCTGTACAAGCTAGAATCTGAAGGGGTCCACTTTTAGGTACGTGCAAACGAACTTAATACTGCATGACAACTACCGACCGAAAACGAGTACGGTATTACTCAACAGTTTAAGACAGTTGCGTGTACTTTAAGCGAAACAACACTCCTTAAGACTCACGCCGCTTAAAAAGGTACAGACGAAAGCATCATCCAATACATACGTACAGCCTCTCCAAGTCCACAGATCGGTTACAGCAAGGATAGGTTCGCGTTTAAGAACAAAACGCGGAAACAGTCACTTGTTTTTCCAGAAATCGACCGCGCATATTATACACACAACGAGCGCACATCACAGGATGTCACCGACCACGAGGTTTTAAAGACTCCACACGCGAAGCGTCCGTCGGGACGCAGTTAAAGGTAATATGCAGTTCGTAATTGAGAATAAAAACGATAAGGATAACGTTTGTAAAGGAGGGGGGGGAAAGACCGACAACGCGTTTGTTTTTAATGGTTTCAGGTTAACGGTTTCAGCTCAAGTCGAACGTAGGTAAAAGGAGACAATAACATGCGTCAAAGCAGGGAAGGGCAAGGCTGTGATGCAAGGGTATTTCAACTGTCATTCGAGGTTTGTCGAGGTTACGGGATGAGAACGTTTAGCGTTTCGTAACAAGTCTGAAATGTAAGTAAGACAAAACGCACCGCCGGACTACGTCCCAAGCAGAAACGCCTGTCTGTACCGCTGAATTACGGCTCTTTTGTTAAAGGATTGAAGGTTTAAACAGGTTGCTAATAAAAGCAAAACGAGCAAAACGGTCCGACCCAGCACTTAACTTACCTGCATCCAATTTCGTCGTCGCAAAAAAAAGTTTGAAGGACGAGCAAGACTATGTTCTGAGGAAGAGGACTCATTAGAATGATGAGTCACCGGAAGGTTTGCAGAAGGAAAGAAAGCCGAAAACAACGACTGCGAACGTCCTCCAAAACACTGTTGAGGAAGGTCCTCGTCGGTATTCGCGGCACCCTGAGTATCAACAAAAAACGGAAACCCCGACACAGACTCAGTTGTTCGACCAGACGACGTAGAGTATGCGCTGTCGGCGGTGTCACTAACGCCGGCTACAGTCGACAGAGCATCACACAATGCATTCGATGCTGTCATCGAAGTCGGGGAAATCGTCGGTAGGCCACCGGAATCGACAAGCGTGTCACTGGCGAGAGACAACGGAGCCACGTCATTCGCATTCACTTCGAACATCGCTGAAGTTGCAGGGAAGGAAATTCCGTTGTCTGTAGGTAACTCGCTGCGCAACAGTGCGGACGCCGGCTCAGACAACAAGCCTTCGCCCAACGGATCGATAAGTGCATTGCTTTGCAGCTGTTTGGGAAGATCTGTAACAAGTGATGAGTTTCCAGCCATGCCCGCTACGGTTGGATTCAGAGGAGCTGATTCACTACCGGAAGCCACTGTATTGACAGTTTCGAGCATGCCTTGCTCTACGGCATCGAGAAAAGGGTCTTCACTCGGCGGAAGAATGTCAGTCGAAGCATCAGCAGTGCTCACAAAAGTTTCGCTTTGGTCGAGCAAAGGATTAACAGATGAGTTTGCATTGGAAGACGGCATACCACACCTTGAGGATTAAAGATTTCGTTGACGAACAAACCCAATCAACAGAACTCAGCAGCAGCCGACGTAGACACACACACACACACAAAATACCCTCCGAAAACGAACAGATCCTGCCCAAAGAGTCTAAAAAGAACACAAATGAAAGCAGGATCAACCACTTTGACAAATGCAAAAAGTCCGGCACAGACCGCGTAGAAAAAGAAAAACAGTCAAAAACCCAACTCCAAAAATCAAAGTAGTCGGAAATTTCAAGCCCAACTCTTAGCCACAGGACATGCAACAGCTAAGAGCGTCTATATGTTTCAGCACACCTGTGTCTGTAACTCGAAAACACAAGAAAACCGACAGTTTGTAGAAAGTCAGGCACCGCCAGCCGTTCGAACAAAATTGAGGCGTTACAGAGTGACGGCGTAATTCGTAATGGCCACGATAATAAACGCGGATGAGAATGAAAAATCAAGCACTGATACTTTGGGATACAGTGGACTGGGTGTCAGGGGTAAGATCACTTGACGTGTCTGGCTCGGCGGACCCTTTTGTGCGTCAAGAACAATCACAATGCCGAGCCGAGTAAGGTTAGCGCATTCCCGTTTAGAGACCCTCTATCAAGTAAGATGTTGACACATGATCGCCATTACCGAATTCGGTGTGGAATATCGTTGGCCGACATGCGAGAAGTCTGGTGTAAATCACACCGTTGTGACGTTTGGCCGTTTCGTACGGTGCACTTTTCTGCAGTGCGTTGGTCATGTGTTACCTGCTCCAGTAATAGTGGCAATAGGGACGAGTGGCAAAAAGAACGGTCGCTTACAATAAGTGGAAACGACACATACAAGTCAGTCGTGTTTCTCGTTTCCTGAAACTGCTTTCGGAAGAAAGACTTAATGGCAGCGTCGTTTCTGGCATCCGCTAGAAAAGAGTGGCAACCTGTGGACCAAACAACCCCCCTAACTACCTCTAATTCCATCTGCTATAATTACACGGGCATGATTGGCCACGGTTGCCTGCTAACAACAACCTTCGAAAAGGTGTTTTCGAAGATTATTGACGCCGTAGGTCTCGCACAGACGCGTGATTGCGAGTGACTAAAAACACTGTACAATGTGAAAAGGTTTTGCTGTTGATTTTGATGTCTTCATGAGAATGAGAGAAAAAAGGAAAAGAAAAGAGAGAAAAGAAATTTGAAAAAAAAAATAAAAAGAAATTTGAAAATCCAAAAGAACTCACGAGACTGCAACACCCTGACCTCCAGAAGAAGGGCATAGTGCGTTGCATGCTCACGGTTCCCATCTACATCTGTTGCATTGTCTGTGCGATCTGTTTTGTGTATTATTTGTCCTGTCAGCAAAGGGTGAGGTAGGCGGACTGGTAAGCTATATACCTGGTGGGAAAACAGATGACGTATAAGCAATCGTCTTGTGACGTATGGCGTTTGAGCAAATACCGAGAATCTTAGAAGTAGGCCAGTCATTGCGGCGCATGATCGGCTGTTCTACGACCAATGATAGCATAGCATGTTCCGAAACGTCATAGTATGATTGGATTCGGGATTAGTAGTGGCCTTCTGTTACCGAAAATACATACTCAAACGAATCACAGGCGAATAAGCGATGAGTATAATTGAGCTTATATCTTCGTTAAAGCAAAAAAGGCCAGATTGTCGCGCTTAAGCGACGTCACAGGACTTTAGGATCTCGGCGAAAGTTGAACGATGCGGGGGAGTGAATCGTCTAGCACCTTCCTCAGGGGCCCAGTTCAAAAACGCAGTGTTCGTGGCAAATACGGTTGTAAGGTAATTGGAAGTGTCATCTAGAGACTTCTTAACATATTGAACCCTGTGAAATTACAGATCTTTGCGCACTTTTGTATCTATCGTACGAGCAGGCTGCTGTGTGTACCATCTTCATCGCGAATATATGCTGCGGCACACCTGTGCGGCAATGATCCACACCCGCCACTTACGTGCAGCATGATTGGCCAGAGATAAACTCAAAAAACGAGAATGTTCCGTGGATCAGCACCTGGAACATAGGCAATTTACGTCATACGAACCCCACCCCCACCATTCATCCACAACCCCACACTATCGAATGAAAACAATATACCATAGACAAAACAGAGAACGCGGCCTAGAAGCCCATGAGGAGAGTAATGAATCCCTTCAAGTGGCGGCGAGCTCGCAGGTAGGGACTTCGTGAAGGTCATGAAACAGACTTGCAGCTCCAGCGTGCAGAGAAACACGCTTAATGCCGCACTTTTTCACGCACAAGTACCCCCACATAGCATTGCGTGGGATAGGAACTGAGCGAGTGGGTTGTGAACAGGCGTCGTCTACTCCTTAATAACAGCGAGGAGTTCGTGGTCACGGAACAAAGTGAACTCTTCCTCGCCCACCTTAATGTTGCTACCACCGTAGGCTGGAAGAAGAACACGGTCGCCGGGAGCGACGTGAGGAGCAACTTGCTTGCCTTCTTGGTTGAGGCCACCCTTACCGACGGAAACGACGCGTCCCTCGGAAAGACGTTCAACACTCTTCTCGGGCAAAAGAACACCGGCAGCAGTCTTGGCCTCAGCCTTCAGGCGTTGGACGAGAATACGGTCCAAGAGAGGAACAATGTTCTTGACGTTCTTCAAAGTGGTAGCCATGGCGTACGTGCGTGTATGTGTGTTTAAGTAAGTACAAAGTGGGGAAAAACTTTTACTTGCAAGAGAGCTCTCGCCGTGGTCGCACTAACCGTGGTGTTTTGTACGCCAGCGAGTTCATCTGGAAAATTCGATACACGAAGATAGCGCGGGATAGCGAGGGGGAGCGTGCTGGGAGATCGACAAAGAGTGCGTAAGGTTTAGCGGGTGAAGAACACGTGAAGTTGGTGAGGCTGAACGAAGGCAGCGAGTGACAGTCGCACCGAAGTCAAGAGCGGTCACCCGTAATAAAAAATTGTGTGTTGTTGAACAGCAAATGAAAACACTCTCAGTGTTTTATGAAGAGGATGCGATGTTAAGAAGGCATAAATGTTGGTTTCTCTTTGCTCCCACCATTTCCCAGCTCTCCGCGAGCATTGTCTTTGCTTTGTCGCGATGTCATTACAAAAGCTTATTTCAATGACATCACGTTTGGCCAATGAACAGAGCGAGGGTTGGTGTGGACTACGTAATTAGATTGAACGAGCGTGACTACTAATTATGCGGGTGGGGTAAGCCGAAAGGTATAAAGTTCGCTATGAGATGGGGATGTGAAACGCGAGTGTGGATATGAGACGGCGGCTATGACGCTTTGAAAAAGACGTTGGTTTTCGGGAAGGAATTGTGTTGTATGTGTTCGTAGTTAACCAATCCCAAACAAGTGTGTGCGCTTTCGAGATAGTTCTCACACAATTCTTTGTGTAGTACCATTCGAGTTGTTGTCAATATCATTAGGCAGAAGATCAGCAAACAGGCAAGCATGTTCCTGACCCGACATTGTTATTGCATGAACAATGCAAGCACTGCTGTTCTTCGGAGCACAAACACCAGTTTGCTCGTAAAACCCGCTAAATGTCTCTGTGGGGACTTTAGGGGCTATCCCTCAGAAAACATAGCACTACGATATGCGAGTTGCCCTTGGCGGGACCTTGATGCGATGGCCACGACTAATGACTTGATAAAGACTGAACTGTTTCATCAAGACAAGCAAAGGTCAAATTACTAACTAAGCTAAAGGATGGCGATGTACCAATTGCCATCGTTAAAGAAAAGGCCTGCGCTGATACGGCCAGCGTGCTCCAGGGTATTGATTAGCAAATGGCTTATGTTCAATGCATTTGCTTTTTGCCAAAGAATTATTACGCGCTTTCGGTCGCAAAAGTTGCGGACCAGTTCAGCACGTGCGATACTTTTGCGATTTACGCGAAGCGGCCGATAATTAATGGGCACAGGCTACGAGAACAAAACTCGAAAGTGTAGGGACGAGTCGGCGCGCATGGAGCAAGATCCAGTCTCGCTTACGAGGATTGGATTAACCTTCGTTTAATCATTTCTGATCTCATTCAGAATTAACCGGCTTCGTTTCGCTTCTTATTACACGTGGAAAGGTTGCATTGACAAATCAAATAGATTAGCCCAGACATAGGCCGCCAACGTTTCCTGAAGCTTGGTAACTTTTTACTGAGTTGTTGCGGCCTATGCCTGGGTTCATCTTTACAGAATTGGCTTTTTTTCGGTAAAGAATGTCTAGGAAAGCCGCTTGACAGCGCTTCTTGACCCTTGCAGACCCTTGCAGACCCTTTCTGTTACTGGTTGGACGATCCCAAATTTCTCCACTTCGCAAGATTCACCACTACTACACCATGCTATGAAGTAAGAATGGGAGAGACCCTTATTCCGAGCAGGGATTCATCAGCAACCACGAACAAGAATGATTCATGCTCAACTAGCAGAGTCGCCTGCTGTTCCGGTAAGGCTTAGTTCCACGAAATGTGGGGCTTTGGATTTTGTACTTTCCGTGTTGCTTTGGCGGGCATCATGGTACCACAGCTTATCAGTGCTCTTCTTCACCTGGTTGCTTATTCTGTTTCCGAAGTATACGATTGCATGCACCGTGCCTACTTTTTTCTTTTGGCTGTGTAATGCACGGGTTATCAGCATCTTTGACACTACGACTGAACATGAAGAAACGTCGGTAGCTCCTCAAGATTCAAACGCCACGGACGAAGGCGACAGCGTTACAATTGCAAAGAGTGCGAATGTCCGTGGATTGAATACAGTTTCTGGAGATAGTGAGGAAAAAAATTCCGCGTCTTCTTCCGCTACGAACATTCTGGATTCGCCAACAGCTTTGTACTCGAGACGTCCTTTCGCAAGGCCAACCTTCGTGCCCCCAAATCCGTTTTCCGCCGTTTCGGCTCTTACATCTTTGAGCCAGTCAATTCAACAAAAAACAGAGACTCCTTCTGAACCAGTAGTTACAGAGAAATCCAACGATCTGACATTGCTTGAGGGTTATCTTTTGCCCCTTCGACGTCTGCGCAAGTATGCTCAAACGTCTCAAACCTCCTTCTTCCGATGGATGCCTATGTTAAGCGTTCCGTTAATCTTAATTTTGCGTTTACAGACTGTCCTTCTACTTATCAGTACGTTGCTGCTTGCTTGGCACAGTCCTCCACTCCAGTATGGTATTCAGGCGCTCCGCCGTATGATCATTGTGAGTACATTTGTTGATACCGTTGTGCTTGGTCGAGCATCGCAAGATGTTGTATCTCCGGGGAGTGCAGTGTCCGAGAAAAACCGCTTGTCTCCTGTAGACGCTCAATCCGTTTCCATCGGTGTTGACAACAAAACCGTTGAGAGTCAGTCGAACCGCCCATTTGACGGAAAGAGTGCTTTCAGCCAGACCGATAACATTTCTGAAGGTGAAATTGGAAAGATTTGCATCGTTGAACATCAACGCAGATGGGTTGGCGGCGGATGGTTGAACACATTGTTACCCACTGATTACCCCAACTTTACCAATGAAACAGAATCTAGTTCTACTAGTGAGCCTGCTGCTCAACTACTTCCTGCAGATGGTATTGCTTGGATTGATGAGCAATGGACATTTCAACCGTGGACATACACAGACAACTTATGGAGACAACCTTGGCCTGAGCCTTACATGCTAGCCTTTACTCGTCGCAGAAAGTGGACTCGTCGATACCGGCGAAGCCCTGCCGCCAATAAAGGAACCGGCATGGACGCCAAATGAGCACAGATTTCGTGAAGCTCTTCTTTCCATTTGTGTGTGTGTGTGTGTTTTTTTTCTCTCTCGACCCTCTTTTCTTTTTCATTTACATTGCGACAGCTGCTTACTGTCACTGCGAACACTATCACGTTTGCTAAAAATTAATTCATTTTCATGTGCAAGCGCAAACCATCAGTTGCAATATCTTTTAAGACATTGAATTCAAGTGAGGTTCTGCTGATTCTTATGACATTTTCGTTTTCATGACCTACTCAAGTTGTGACTTTCTTGAAGCCGCACTCAACATTGTTGAATGAAGTCTTTAACTCTTAGGACTCGTTCTCCTTACTCATCCACGACACTAAGCGTCAGTATGGCAGATGTCCCATATGCAACTCTTTCTAACGAAGCCGACGAAGTATCCACTAACTTCCATTTGATTAGTCAAAATTGAACTGTTAGACTTATGGACATTTGATGCTCGTTTTCAACTTTATTATCACGCAACCATTTACATTTTCACTAATTATTACCATTGAAGCTTTTCATTGAACACATTGCAACAAGAAGCAAGCTAAAACCGAATTGTGTCTACCATTTGATCTGACCGAAATTTACGCGGCGCCAACATCCAGACAACTTACTAAATAATTAATAGTTTTCAATCATAAAGCTTATTAATATATAAATACACGAACTTGTCCTGCTGGGTTTCTCAACTCTCATCATTGCCTCTTTTTTCACGCAGAATGTAAACAAAATCAGGACCTATATATTTCATTTCATCAAAGCATACAGAAAAAAATTACGAATCGTTGTACATGTATAAACACCACTTGTCTGAGATAACTCATTCAAAAGCATGTCGAGCATCACCGGGGAGGAGAGTAAACAGCAACGGATAACTACAACAGCCCGGTATGCATGACTGTGTGTATGTATTTATAGACACGACATAAGTCGAATCTTGGAAGGGTAGAAGGAGTAGTTAGTTGAATAGGCCGATTGGTGTTCACAGAACTGCCTATTCGAAGATCATAAAAAGGGGGAACAAACACGGGTGCGTGTTTCGAGAACGGAAGAAAAGTAAAAGGAGAAAAAGAAAAAAGAAGTAATTGAAGGGTGAAGGCATACTGTTTCTTTGATCGGTTGCGAACAAATTTGTTGCACCGACATGCTAATGCCAAAGAGAAGCTTCTGAGCGAGAGCGATGAATCCGAGCGTTTTGAGGAGGAATGGGAAGAGGAAGAGAAGGGACAGCAGGCGTTGGTAATGGAGGGGCGGGCCGATCGCTCGTAGATGCATGTTCGGGCTCCGGAGTCGTGGGTCGAGTTGCTGTTTCGTAGTCGGGAAGACCGTCAAGGGGCAGTACGCTAGAACAACTCGAATTTACAGCTTCGCCATATGTGGGTACCTTTGTTAATTCATGCAAATCCATATAGGAGGATGGACGATTGAAAGCCGCTCCATTTGTACTAACACTTCCGTAAGGGCTTTGGGCGTAGGGATCTACACTCTCAATACGCATTTGCTGAAAATTCGTAGTCAGCACCGAAGACACACTACCGGCTCTTGACCGTGAAGTGTGCTTGGAAAGCAAGTAATTAATGTTAGTCGTTTGCGATGCTGAACCTGCTTCAGAAGAGGACCAATCGGGAGGGAGACGGGGAGAATGCTCACTGACATGGGCGTTCTCACTAACACCGGGTCGTGGGGAAGACGGCACCTTATCTGAGGAAAAACCACCAAATATTGGAGTGTTTGGTGACATGGAGCTTGTAAGAGCGGCTAGATTAGGCCGCTCTGTCTCAAATGAATTCCTCCGACTGGTCGCAGGGGTGGTAAAAGTACTGGGAAGCGGAGTGCATGGGAAGGGAATACCGTCCCAGAGCACATCAAAGATGTGACGTTCATAGCTCGGGAGGGTATTTTCTGTTACGTACTCTTGAACGTTGCCGGTGAAGACACCTTCTACAGGAGTCACGCCGAACAGAACGGGCGATATCACGAGCGTTATGGGGAGCGAAGTGCGTAGCTCTGAGACGTGGCCGTCTGGGTTGACAAGGGAAATGGCAATGCGTAGCTTGTGGCGCACACGTATACAATTTAAATCACAGTCCTGTGTGCAATCTGTCAGGGAATCAGGGACTTTGACATACACAACGTCTTTCCAACATTCATCAACAAGCTGGACGCTGGGCCGTGTGCAGCGTGCGAGAACACGCTTGGAGTCTTTGCGAGCGGGGCCCGAGTAAGCGGTAGGCGACATGAACAACGAGCGATACTCTTTCAAAGTAACTGTAATTTTTCCTACATCCAAGCCCTTCAATAAAGGATAAAGGATGACGCTAACAGGAATCTCGGAGCCGACAGCCCAAATTTTGGAAGGAATGCTTGTCTCATAGTTCACTTTGGACGGCCATATGTCACTGACGCTGACGGTGTGAAGAAGATCAAGGTTGTTGGGTGGAATGGTACGCACAATGCGAAAGGGAAGACGCGTCTCAATGTTGGCCGTGTTGTATGCTGCCCGTTCTAAAGATGCCGTCAACGAATAGACGATGTAGCAATTGGAAATGCCTTCGATAGACTCCTGCAAGTCGGGGGGAAGTGTGTATTCGAAGGGATACTCGTAGTTACCCTTGCCAATTGTCTTTACGCCATCTCCAAACGGCAAAAAGGACCAGCGCTTCTCGAGCAGCTGTTTGGATTGTCGACGAGTACGTGAATTGCCGGGTCGGGTTTCTTCGTTCCAACTACACATAGAAAATTGCCGTTAGTAAAGAAAATCGGGTATCGTTAACATACGAAACAAAAGAGCGGCCATCAAGCCGAAGCACAAGACTTCTAGCTTCGAAAGACTCGCGAACAGATAACACAACCACGCCCGTCAAGGCAACCGGGGTGTCAACTGACTCGCCATACAAAACAATTACGTTTGCTTCAGCATGAAACAGTCTGAATGGTTAGTAGAAGAGAAGATTGAAAAGGGAACGAGAGAGGCAGAGAGTGAGTGAGAGAGAGTGTGTGTGTGTGTGTGATGAGAACAGAGGGAAACGAAAAAGGGAATCTCAAAGACAACGTTGCAGGAATGAAACGGACCGGATATATCACAAGCTTCTAAACTCATTATATCACCAGCACCATCCCGTCAATCGTCAATCGTCCAAGTTAAAACATGTAGATCTTTCTTCAAACCCTGTCAACCTTAATTGGATTTTCACTTTCCAGCAATTGCTTCTCGTAGATCGAAAAATCGTTCAAGACAACCAAAAAAGCATAAACAAGCGTTATCTGATACCGTGAGAAACCGTAATTTCTGTAATTCGCTGTAAAGCTCCTATAATTCCACAAAATTTTCTCTGATGTCCTCGTTGGTCTCCGTTTCCCTCCTGGATTTCATATTTTCCATTTCCGTGGTTTTAACCACTTCTGCTGGTCTTCTCAATGAACATACCGAACTTCAAACAAGCTGATGGGATTGCTTGAACGTTTAGTTAGCGAGAGCTTGCTCATTCATAACAAGAGGCTCTAATGAACAGACGTGCTGTGCGAGCCTTAGAGCAGTTTTAGGATAAGAAAAGGAACAAATAGCCGAAATGGCAGCTGCGTGCGTGTGTCGTTAATGGATCGTTGCAGAAGGGAAAGAATGACGACGGGCCGAGTGAAATGCGGAACGGATTTTAGCGGGGCGCCAGCGGCAATTGACGCGGAAGCGAGAATTTTAATTCGGTCCCGCAAACCTTATCGGCCCATGCGACCGGCGGGGCGCAGGGATAAGTAAAGGTACCCGAAGAGAAGTTGCGAGAGCAGGACGAAGATGCGACGACGATCAGAGCCTTCGTTCATTTCCTTTCTCTTAACCGATAACTTCCGATTAAGATATAACTATTACCCACGGAGTCGGTAGATATGACTTACATTTAAAGTAGGCAAATTGACGAAAAACGAATCGATGGGTTATAAGTTATGAGTAGCGAGTTAAGGAATTACAAGTTATCCCTTTGTATAGCAGTTACATTAGCATCGATGAGCTTCATACTAAATTGGTAAACGAGGGAGAGCTATATAAGTGTTTATATATATAAGCGTCTATATAAATAAATATAAATGTGTCCTGGGTTAGGCATGGGAATCTGTTCAAATTTCATAGTAACTACTCTTCAAGCATGTACAGAGTTGCAGGGTTTAGAGCTTGTAGACGGCAATGATTCAATGAAGATCAAATGAAGATCATTGTGTTCTCGGGACGTTCTAAGTTAGTTTCATTTCTAATTGTGATGCGCAGCTAGGGGGTCTCGTTAGTCGGACGCCTATGAATTCGTAGAACAGGGCTCGCAACAAGCGACAAAGAGTATCGATTTCGCAAGCTGTACGACGACGGTTGTTTGATCAGCATGAAACTGCGGAACCTCTGTGACTTGAAGGCGAGAAGAATGTTACTACGGACCTGCTTGATAGATCAGTTTCATAAAGTCACTCTATAGACGTTAAGAAAAGTGAGTCAAAAGTTATTTACTAAACATTTGTTTGATTTGTCGTGCTTGATGGACCTTCATAAGGCGGCGGTGGATCAAGCTTTTTATTGACTTTCTTCTTACTGGCAGGATGGGGCATGAATGACATGAAATATAATTGAATAGACCAGGAACCCAAGATACATGAACCTGAAACTAGCAAAAGCAACAAAAAATCGGTGTGCTTCCTCAATAACCGTGACCATAGAAAGTTTGACAAAGAGAGAAACAATAAAATAATTGATGGAATCCGAATTGCCATAGACTTTTTGTGTGCGCGTTTAAAACGTTGCCCAAGTGCAGGGTATGGAATCTCAATTGAAGAAGAGCGAATGAAACATCACAGTGGCTAGTACTGCAGTTAAATTTTAGCATGGTAATACACAGTTTAGTAATTTAACTGCATGTTTCTTGTTCTTGTTCAATTGACAATGGGATTACATATTAGTTATACACTTTTTCTCGCTTTATGATTATTACTTATATCGAGTGCACTTTATAGACCAGTGAAATTTAGACAGACGAAAGTTATGCCCTTGAACCGAACACAAGTGTAATGTTTTCACCGTTCAAAGTTGGGTTGCTAGAGGATGTGCTATTATTCTGACGGGCTTCCACAGGAAAAAAATATGCATCAAAAAAAACCAAGAAGTAAATATCCCAAAAAGAAAACAGGTTAGTTCGTAAGAATAAGTATCTAAACCTAAACACCATACAAGATAAATATAAGGCGTAAATAATCCAGACCCCGTTATATAGCTTAAGCGACTATTTAAAGCATTCAGTATTAGATAGTCGTCGTTATGGTTTTCCTCCACGTGTTCAATACTGGTAGACTTAGCCGTGGTAGATGTTTCTTCATATTGAGGCAATTCGTATTCCGTCTTGTTATATTTTTTTAAACGTTCTTCTAGGTTCGCCATGCTAAAAAATACTACTGCTTCGCAAACGAATTGAACAAAACCCGTTAACAGTGAGCATATAATGTAACATTTTTGGAGCACCAAAGACTCGGGATACTTTCTTAAGAGCGCCGACCAAAGAAAATTCGATAGCGACAGGGGAAGCAGTACCGAAGTTGTTAACAGCCTGAGCCACTTACGATAAAAAAGACATTTTGTTAGTTCCCTTTGAACATCCAGAGTAATTGAACTGGGGTGGGTACTTGATGTTTCCATTGGCACCGACACTTGTTTGATTTTTTTTTTGTCAAAGATTCACAGTTGCCTGGTAAAGTAGCACTGGCCAGTCTCGCAAAAGCCTGCGCGTTCTTTTCACAAAACGCCGGTGTAGCAAACAAAGGGTTATAACCATAGCCGTTGGCAGCGAAAAAAAAGTGGCAATTCGTCATTCTTACTCAAAATACCGTAGTATCAGAGAAGTGTATGCCAATACCTGAGACATTAATTTTATTTCTGCTTCCATTCACAGATCATGTCGCAAGATCGTTTAGTGGAACCCGAATTGCCATAGACCTTTTGTGTGCGCGTTTAAAACGTTGCTCAAGTGCAGGGTATGGAATCTCAATTGAAGAAGAGCGAATGAAACATCAAGTGGCTAGTATTGCAGTTAAATTTTAGCATGGTAATACACAGTTTAGTAATTTAACTGCATGTTTCTTGTTCTTGTTCAATTGACAATGGGATTACATATTAGTTATACACTTTTTCTCGCTTTATGATTATTCCTTATATCGAGTGCACTTTACAGACCAGTGAAATTTAGACAGACGAAAGTTATGCCCATGAACCGAACACAAGTGTAATGTTTTCACCGTTCAAAGTTGGGTTGCTAGAGGATGTGCTATTATTCTGACGGGCTTCCACAGGAAAAAAATATGCATCAAAAAAAACCAAGAAGTAAATATCCCAAAAAGAAAACAGGTTAGTTCGTAAGAATAAGTATCTAAAACTAAACACCATACAAGATAAATATAAGGCGTAAATAATCCAGACCCCGTTATAAAGTATAAGCGACTATGTAAAGCATTCAGTAATAGATAGTCGTCGTTATGGTATTCCTCCACGTGTTCAATACTGGTAGACTTAGCCGCGGTAGATGTTTCTTCATATTGAGGCAATTCGTATTCCGTCTTGTTATAATTTTTTAAACGATTGTCTAATTTCATCATGATCACAAGTACTACTGCTTCGCAAACGAATTGAACAAAACCCATTAACAGTGAGCATATATTGAAACATTTTTGGAGCACCAAAGACTCGGGATACTTTCTTAAGAGCGCCGACCAAAGAAAGTTTGATAGCGACAGGGGAAGCAGTACCGAAGTTGTTAACAGCCTGAGCCACTTACGATAAAAAAGACATTTTGTTAATTCCCTTTGAACATCCAGAGTAACTGAAGTAGGATGGGTACTTGATGTTTCCATTGGCACCGACACTAGTTTTTTTTTTTAATTTTTTTATTTTTTTGTCAAAGATTCACAATTGCCTGGTAAAGTAGCACTGGCAGTCTCGCAAAAGCCTGCTGTATTCTAATTAATAGATTTTTGAGCGTTCTTTTCACAAAACGCCGGTGTAGCAAACAAAGGGTTATAACCATAGCCGTTGGCAGCGAAAAAAAAGTGGCAATTCGTCATTCTTACTCAAAATACCGTGGAATCAAAGAAGTGTATGCCAACAATACCTGAGACATTAATTTTATTTCTGCTTCCATTCACAGATCATGTCGCAAGATCGTTTGTTGGAACCCGAATTGCACCGGAAAAGGAGCGACGTGCAAGAAAACCAAGACGACCGTTCTTCAGTAGCTGTCACTATTAATCATCGCCTTTTTATTGTGGCATCGATTTCAATATTTGCATTATTTGTTTATGCATTCGGTTTTCTTCCGTGCTGCTTGGATATTGAGCAAGACTCAAGGGTATCTTGTTTTTATTATTTTGGAATACTAAGTTCATTGATCGCATTGTCCTCTGTCATAATTATTTGGAGTGTCAAAATACCAGAGTGAACACTGGAGTACTGGAGTGATAGGACAAATGTCAACAGCAGACCGATGACAAATCGTTTGAAAAACAGGAATAGTTCACATAATTTTGAAGCAAAAACAGAAAAAGATGCCCCAAGTTGGTAACCCTTTTTAGAATGCACGACAACCGAGTACTTGAAAACGCTGTGATATTACATTGTGAAGAATTTAGTTAAGTCCAATTTTTATTTCTACATGTGTTGTCCATATGATCTATAATATTCTCTTTCTTTTCTGTAAAGTAACAGACATAGTTGTCAATTGCCAATATCTACTTCAAGATATAAACAGTTTTGGTATAGCCCCTTCTCGTAGTTACTAAAGCTTTGTTACATTACTATTAATTGAATGCTAGCTTCGGAGCCGTTCCGCTCACAGATTACATAATAGTATTAATTAGCTGATTTTCTTTTATCAATACTAGTTCCAATGCAACTGTCTGTCTGTAATGACTGAGTTTATATTTGTCTTTGAGTACAAGACAGGAAACATTGCGCGAAGTGTTTTGTTTTTTAATTCATCAATGTCGTGGTTTCTCGCAACGGTAAACAGTTACGAATGTGTTTCGCAATAGGAGTTGGTGAAACTTTACGGCTTTTAAGCACTTTTCGACCGTAGTTGTTATGAATGAATGGCTAATAAATAGGAATGTGGGTAAAAATTGCTACTCTACTTAGTTGTATTGAAGAAGCCGACTTTTCCAGTAATGGTCTTGCAATGACTTAGAGTTAACATTAGAGAGCAATATTTATTCTTTTAAAGTTCAGTATAAGAACTATCAATGCTACGCGGCTTACACGGACATTCAAGTTTTAGATGATTAATGAGTTCTTGAATGTCAGAACAGTCGATAATAATTTCACTCAAGTCTGTCCGTCTTTTGTCAGAATCCTCGACTGCATTTATGTCTTTCGGATCGGCATTATCATTTCTTTTAGTCGAATGTTTCACAATGCCTGCAGCGTCCAAAAAGTTATAACCCGATTCAACTGCGCGGCCTGCAAAACCGCCGATAAAACCTATGGCAACGTTTTTTAAGATAAAATCAATACAAAGGGGTACTGAAGCTGTGTTCGATGTGCAGGCGATATCAAATGCGTTTGCACCAGTATAACCGAATATTGTGCACACTGAAAAGATTAAACCTTCAGTTATTACGAGTTCAGGAATAGCCTGAACCACATTAGAAAATATAAGAATACTGAATATAAATCTCGTTATTGTTATAGGCTTCATTTGAATTTGCTTTGGGTTTAATAGTCGACATTGTGAAGCAGGATACTACGCATTTATGCCCAAATGAAAAACAACGTGAAACAAAGCGCTGCAACTTGTTGATGCAGCACATATTTGTTCAAAGAAATAAACGAAAATGATATCATGTCGCATCCACGATCAATCTATGAGAACAAAGAAACAATGAGTACTACTGTTCCACTGATTAAAGTATTTTAGCCCCGTCTTAATAACAAGAAGACGGTTTCATTGTTGTAATTCTCGTTTCTTTGTGCTAATTCAGGGCCACACATCACAAAGCGGCAACAAACACAAGTGCTCCATGTGAATTTTGCAACTAAGCGAAGTTTCTAAAAAAAGAGCAGGCCTGGCTATAAAGAAGGCCTCTTATAATACGATCTACTCGGTAGCTTATGACACAATCAAGTTAATTGTTAAGCGATCTACGTACTTCACAAGTGCCCCCAGAATATGCCTATTCACTCAAAATTCTATCTTTCAACCCCGTTTATTCCTTCACTAGTATTGGAACAACTGTTCTGCAAAAATGCATAGTCTAGTTTGTATAGCTAATACTATCTTAAGTCGTAATCTATAGTTCGTTCGTATCAATGGGATACTCTGTACTTCAATTTCCAGTCAGGCTTAACGGACGGCAGTCCTTCCAATTGCGCAGCTTCTGTTTTACCATTACCGTTTTTACGAATGCATTGTTTTAAGTATTAATTTCCTCGGCTAGATAAACCTTGTTTAGATAAGTTGCTGAAATTTTTGGTGGTGAGTTTGCGAGAAGTCCACCCGCGAAATATTTATGATCCACCCCTTGAACCTTATGCCAGCTCTGTCGCATATTTAATTAAAACGCGCAACACGTAAACAAATGCCTGCGGCGGGATATTATGTTACAGTTGAAAGTGTTAGATTTCGTATTAAAAATTAACTTTTATTTCGTGCACAACTGAATTCCTACAGAAAACGGTGATACAGCATGCCAATAGTCGAACTATCCAATCTGACTTAAGTTCACATAAAATCTACATGGAACTCTCTAGTTGCAATTTAATTTCCAACGGTACTCCTTTAATGTTAAAGAGTGAAATAATTTGAAATGGCAGCACTTGCCACATTTTACGCACTAATTACCTAAGGTAACAAATTGAGCCTTTTATTTTATTATACCGGTTGAGTGTTAACAGCCCCGCTTCAAGAACTCAGGACAGGTTCCAAATAGTTTCTGTGAAAGTGCCCGGTGCTGTACACTTTGTGGTTGTGAATCTTTGACAAAAAAATAAAAAAAATCAAACAAGTGTCGGTGCCAATGGAAACATCAAGTACCTATCCTACTTCAATTACTCTGGATGTTCAAAGGGAATTAACAAAATGTCTTTTTTATCGTAAGTGGCTCAGGCTGTTAACAACTTCGGTACTGCTTCCCCTGTCGCTATCGAATTTTCTTTGGTCGGCGCTCTTAAGAAAGTATCCCGAGTCTTTGGTGCTCCAAAAATGTTACATTATATGCTCACTGTTAATGGGTTTTGTTCAATTCATTTGCGAAGCAGTAGTATTTTTTAGCACGGCGAATTTAGACGATCGTTTAAAAATATACAACAAGACGGAATACGAATTGCCTCAATATGAAGAAACATCTACCACGGCTAAGTCTACCAGTATTGAACACGTGGAGGAAAACCATAACGACGACTATCTAATACTGAATGCTTTACTACATCGCTTATGCTATTTAACGATGTCTGGATGTTATACGCCTTTTTTTTATCTTGTATGGTGTTTAAATTCAGATAATTATTCTTACGAACTAACCTGTTTTCTTTTTGGGATAATTACTTCTTGTTTTTTTTTGATGCGTATTTTTTTCCTGTGGAATCCCGTCAGAGTAATAACACATCCTTTGGTAATCCAACTTTGAACGGTGAAAACATTACACTTGTGTTCGGTTCAAGGGCATAACTTTCGTCTGTCTAAATTTCACTGGTCTATAAAGTGCACTCGATATAAGTAATAATCATAAAGCGAGAAAAAGTGTATAACTAATATGTAATCCCATTGTCAATTGAACAAGAACAAGAAACATGCAGTTAAATTACTAAACTGTGTATTACCATGCTAAAATTTAACTGCAGTACTAGCCACTGTGATGTTTCATTCGCTCTTCTTCAATTGAGATTCCATACCCTGCACTTGGGCAACGTTTTAAACGCGCACACAAAAAGTCTATGGCAATTCGGATTCCACTAAACGATTCTTCGACATGATCTGTGAATGGAAGCAGAAATAATATTAATGTCTCAGGTATCGACATACACTTCTTTGATACTACGGTACTTTGAGTAAGAATGACGAATTGCCACTTTTTCGCTGCCAACGGCTATAGTTACAGCCTTTTGTCTGTTACACCGGCGTTTTGTGAAAAGAACGCGCAGGCTTTTGCGAGACTGGCCAGTGCTACTTTACCAGGCAATTGTGAATCTTTGACAAAAAAAAAATCAAACAAGTGTCGGTGCCAATGGAAACATCAAGTACCCACCCCAGTTCAGAGATAATCGATACAATTCGCTTGTTCAATAAGATATAGTAAAAATAAATCAAGTATTTGGTCAGCTATTTCTCTTCATTTACCTACTTGTTATACTCTAATTTATTACTTGCATTGGGTTTTGTTTCACACATAAGTTTTATCCTTTCTTACTAGTTCATTTGGTATGACTACATGGTTTAGGTTCATCATTGATGCACAACAGTCTTAGTCTTAGGGTTTAGTCTTAATTTCCCATCGAAACAATGATCATCGTCTTACCCACGGTTTTTAGTTAGTTTAGGGAAATTATCTGGTGGTTCAATGGAATGGCAAAGGTACCAATTCGTAAGTGTTATTCACAATAATCGAATTAACATGGGTAATATGAATCTAGTTCTGTTTTACATATTGCTTCCTATGAAACAACATGCAAGAAAATGATAATGGAAAGTTATTCCTTCTATACTTTGTGCATCAATGAAACTGACTTTCTAACTTTTTGATTCCTGTCCGTAATTCCCATGCTGCCACACCAATTCTTTCATCTTCCTCGTAAACAACTTTCATTATCTATGGCGTTTCTACATCACTACTTTATTTCCCGATGGATAGCCGAACAACCGGATTGACTGGAAGGAAGGGCTGTTGCTTGAGCGAGAACAAAGGTCTCCCTGCGAGTAATGCCGAAAACGATAAGCTCGCCAATGTCTTGTCCGATTAAAGGATCGAAACCTTCATAAAACTTATCGATAATAGCCTTGTCGCCGTGTGTAATAACCGTGGCGAATTCTGTATCGACCATTCCCGGGTCAATCTCCATCACACGAATGCGAGTATCAATGGTTTCCTGTCGCACAGCAGAGGTGAACATGCTCACAGCTGCCTTGGTGCAGCAGTAGACAGAACCAGCAGGAAAAGCCTCATGAGCAGCGATACTGCTGACGTTAACAATATCACCATGACCGCCGTTTTTGTAGAAGATGCGGATAACGGCCCTCGTCATTGCAATGAGACCAACAACATTTGTGTTAATCATCGTCATAGTCTCTTGCAAGTCCAAATCGCGAACAGAGTTAAGACCCAAAGCAAGACCAGCATTGTTGATAAGCACATCAACATTGGCAAACTCTTCGGGAAGAGAAGCAATTGTAGACTCTACCTCTCCAACGTTTGATACGTCGAGTTTCAAGGGAAGAACCTTAACGCCTTCATATTTTGATTCCAATTCGGCCTTCAGTTCCTCAAGAACAGCGACGCGACGAGCGGCTAAAATCAATTTGGCTTTGCCTGTCTTGGCAATTTCAATGGCAGTAGCCTTACCAATACCGGCGGATGCACCGGTGATCAAAATGGTTTTTCCATCCAATCTGCTCATTGTGACGAATTTGTGTTAAGCAGCGAGAAACAATAACAGAGAAATTGAGAGAGGTAATTCAGGTAATGCGACAACCAAATTACAATAACTTTGGAAGCAGATATTTGTTGAGTACGTGATACAATAAGGATTTATATAACTGTAATGCTAGCAAAACAACCCATTTTTATATTAACGAAGGAAAATTAATTATTAGTAAGCCAGCACATTGGCGATTTTGCTTAATCAGCATTGGTTTTTAACGGAACAAGTGTATACTCTTCCTTTTACTAATCAATAATGATGACTAAACACAGGTAGAAAATGTATAATAAAACGAGGAAAAATAAGGAAAGATAAATAAAATAAAATAAATAAATATATATATATAAAACAAACGAAAATGAACAACAGAAACGAACAACAGAAACGAACAACAGAAACTAGTAATTACACCACTTATCAGTATAACCAAAATGTGTGTATGGGTTTATTGAAGATAATTGCTACATATAATTCATGTAGCGAGTTCACTGAGTAAACATCGACGACACTCATAGTTAGAAGCTGAACGGAGTTGAGCAGGCAAGTTCGTTGTCGCCTTCGCATCCCTCGTCCCTTGTCCACTGCTCGCTCGTGTCTCGGTGCCCTAGGAAGCTAATTCTGGATACACTTTTCCAAACGACAACATCCCAAGCCTTTTGTCCGCAACACCCCGCGGAATCCCGTCTTACATTATTAACAAAGAATGAATTACTATATACAAAAGTGGTCTGAACATGGATGGACAAGGAAATGCGAAGGAATTCGGGACGAATGAAACAGGCGTAACGAAAAAAAAAAATGGTGCGTAAAGCGGTTAGGAAAGGCAGGGAGATACAGCGGAAAAATGACAAGAGGAGGATTAGAAATGACAGTAGCAATGCGCTGAAAGCATGGTTCTTGAAGGGGGGTGGAGGTCGAATGGCCGACGACAAAGAGCGAGTGATGAAGGGAGACGACGATCCATGCTACTACGGCAGACCATCACTGACCACCTCTTTGTATGGATCTTCGCCTGCCTTGTCAGTCACTCCTTGCTCGTCTGTCTCTCCCAGCCCTAATCCTTGTCCACACGGAAGGGAAATCGACCCAAAAGGTATAGCTGTACAAATACACCAGTGGAACAGAAAAGCGACTCAATGGTCATCCGCGGAATAAAACGACTGGCGATGTTCTGAGACAAACTCTCGACTCGAATGGCCTGCGGCGTGAGCGTGGCCACGCGAGACAAGACGCTCTGGTCATCGAATATGAGGTGAGCCTCCCACATGGGCAGCCCGTCCTCATCGCGCTTGTTCATATTTCGCCAGCGGATGCCACACTTCTCGGGCAGCAGCAGATGCGTCTCCGACAAAATGGTCCAGCAGTCCGGTTTCACTGTCAGCGTCCAGTGCGACTTGTATCGCAGGGGCGGGTTATTCAGCGTGAATCCAAACTCGCGGTGACTGCCCCGCCGGGGTCGGAGGATCGACGCGAGCGTAAAATTACCGTAGTCGCTGTTGTAGTACAGCAGCAGCTGATTCGACGTGAAGATGCACTTTTTGTAGTATACGTCATAGACCGGCTCGGCATGCGTTGTCGTCCGCTTGACCTGGGCCAGCAGCTCTTTCGAGCCGAAGCCCGAAAGTGCGAGCAGCGACTTGACGGCCGGGAACGCCAACGAAAACGTCACGGTCTCTCCGGTTCCCGACGGCGGATCTTCCTGTGCGTGCGGTGTCGTCGGACACGCCGCCGGAACAACAGGCGGCCGCTCCGACACGCTCATCGCGTGCAGCGAACGGGACCGTCTCAGTGCGTCCGGGTGGTCCTTGTCTGCTGGCAGCCTGGCCGTGGGGTGCCGAAAGGGGGGTTGGTTCTGAGTCAACGACGTGGTGGTGGTAGAAGTGGGGGACAGCGGGGTGTTCGTCGGACGGAGTGGGGTCACTGGGGGCAAGTGGGTTGGTTGGGGGCTAGTGGGAGAAGGTGGAGTCCAGTGGGTGTTGTGTGGGATAATGGGGGCCGCGTGTGGCACAACGACTCAAGTTTGGCTTGCGGGAGCAGACGAGTATTCGTTGGCTCTGTATGGCTCGATTGCTTGCGTAAGCGCTCTAATCAGCTGGCTGTTAATAGTCAATTTGTGCGGATGAACGGCAAGCATACGTGTTGACGGCGAGATGAGGCCAAAATTTATCTGCGGCCAGTTCGCTTTCAGATGAACCCGTGGAGTCCCGGAATCGCCGAGGACCTCGCTACGTTGAGTAGCGATGATTTCAAAGCTGCTGACGTCAACGCGACTGGCGCTTATTGTACAGGCACACGCACCCTATCGACGCAATGGCAACGTTTGACTGGCTGCTGTGCTCGGGTCACTGCTGATGACCGCTCGCGTAAGAGGCGCGATGATTGGTGGTGGCAGGGGGAAGAAAGTGGGGTGCGTAAGTGGTGGGAACGGGGCAGCTACAGCCGCACAACGTGCTGACAGTAACGTACTCGGGTGAATATCCAGGCCAAGGCCCGTGATCAGTATCAGAATTGGCGCCGGTGACGCGACGAACCAAACCGGATTCGTTGATCGCTGGGGAAAAACTCGACCGTGGCGACGACGACGACGACAGCGACTCAGTGGGGTCGATATCTCGGCGAATGAAGACCAAGGATTCGATGAATCAACTTGCTGAATCTACGCTTGGTGAGTGTGGGAGTTTGCAGTAACAAAAGGTCCAAGCGGGACGGGACTAGGCAGGACCCGGCTGTTCTTTATAACGGAGTCAGGTTAACCGAGTGGAACGACATGGCCTCGAGTTGCATGCTTTTTCTTTGACCTCGTTCCTCATATCACGTCGTTTTGCTGCCACCGGACGATTGCGACGAGTTTTCGCGTTCACGTGCGAATGCATGACGTAGATGCGACGAATTTTGGTTGGCCAGAGGCGCCCCTTGCCACCAATAGCGCTCGGAGTTTTTTTGAGACTGATTAAGGTTTTATGGCGTAAGGGTGACGTGAGGGAGAACGACGAGGACAGGGGACCGTGCTGTGCGGTGGGGGAAGGCGTGGTGGAGTGGGAACGCGGTGGAGGAGGGTGGGAGAAGTGGTGGAGGACGAGTGGGGCTCGCGGGGGTGTGCACAATTGGGGGGGTACGTATTCTATTACGGGGGTATGTGGGGTACAACTAACGAAAGCAGCAGCATGGGGAAGCACTGGAACAGAGGAGCAGCGTGATGGTACTGCACAGCTGTAGGCGCGCACTGCATCGTGCACGGCATGCAGCGAGGTGAATTGCTTGGCGGCCGCCTTTCCTGCGATGCGCGACGCCTAATACACCTCGATGACAAAACGACGGTCCTCCTTCCATTGCTCAATGACCTTGCGAGTGTCAACGGGCTCGGAGCTGGAGCTTTGGATCACCTCTTCCAGCACGCTGGTGATCTCGGGAAGAGGCCAGGTAGGACCACAGAGGTAGAAGGAGCCGCCTTCGTCAATAAGAGCCTTCTTCAGCAAGGCCTTCGTGGAACGCATCACATCTTGGATGTAGATCTTGTACGGTTGGTCACGACTGAAAGCCTGGCCGATGTGCGTCAACAAGCCAGCGGCATGGTAGGCCTCCCAGTCTTCACCGTACAGATACTCCTCGCGCTGCGTACGAGAACCGAGGTAGAGAATGACATCGCCAGACGCAATGCCCTGAGACCACTGCCACTCCTTGTACTGCAAGAAGGCACGGAAGGGAGCGAGACCGGTACCGAGACCGGCCATGACAATGGGCTTCTTGGGCGAGTCGGGCAACTTCATCACGGAAGGCTTGACGGCCACGCAAACGGTGTCGCCGATTTGCAGCTGCGACAAGTAGTGCGAGCATTGACCGTAGCGGTCGCGACCCATAGGATCCGTCCATCCAACAACGACAACCAGCAAATGGATGGCGTCCTTGTGCTTGCGCTGACTCGACGAGATGGAGTACTCGCGACGTTTCAGCACAGGGACATGGCGGGCCAGGTCGACAGCCGTCATCTTGGCGCTCTTGAACTCAAGCAACAAGTCGGCATACGTAAGCATGTCCACCTCGGAACGGCGCTGCAAGTCGGCAGCACCGGCAGGGCTGATAAGCACCTCGAGTTGGCGCTTCTCCTTCGGGTCTGCAGCGTATTCTGCCATTGTTTGGTAGAACTGCTTCGTGGGCTTACCGAAGATGTCGAGAGTGTGAGACAGGGCTTGGAAAACAGTGTTGCTTTCCCAGTTTCCGGGGTGAGTCAGGGAAGGAACATAGATGACTTCGTTGGCCTTCAAGCCGTAGTCTGCAATGAACTTTTCCACGTTGGCCTTGTTGTTCACACCATACACACCCAAAGCCTCACCGATGTCGTATGTCAAGCCAGACTCGCCAATGTCAAACTCGATGTGGAAAATGTTACGGTTGTAGTCTCTGGGCGTCAGACGCTTGTTCGACTTCACACGCACAGTACAGATCTTGGCCGGGGCATTGGGGCGAGGCAGTTCTTGTTGTCCGTAGGCCTCCTTGAAAATCAATTGCTTGGCCACGGTGTTCAAGTTGCCAGACTGGGGCAGGACTTCCTCCTCTAATTCCTTTACCGTGTTGGCCTCGAACGAGTTCTCCTTCGCAGACGTGGGGAGCTCGTCCTCGGGCAACTGCAGCTCCTTGAGAACGTCGGGATTTAACTTGACAGGTTCTGCCTGGCCCTCAAGATCCTTCACAACGGCATCAAACTCATCGGCATCCCAACCAAGAGTTGCAAAGTTCTTCTTCAGAGAGGGCACACTCGTGCTGTCGGCACCGTTCCTTTTCAACTGAACAAAGTAAGCAGCCAACAAGACCAGGTTCAGTGCGTGAGTCTGCTCGTTGGGGTTTGCGAACACGAGGCGAATGTCCTTTTCGACAACATCCTTCACAAACACAGCAGGGAGCTTCTTTGCGGCATCGGCGGGGTTGACGGCGGTGTAGACAATGCACAAGGAGCGATCGGCCACATTGGCGAGGACGCGGACGTGATTGGCAATTTTTTCGGAGGTAAGAATAGTTACATCGGCCTTGGGCTCTTCGTCCGTCAAGCCTGGCAGCTTTGCGGAAGACTTGGAGACTTGCACGTTTGACACACGGAGACCGAGGAATAATTGGTTGTCGTAAAGGGTGCGGTAAACGACGTTTTGCTCGACATCGCGAGAGGCATGAACCAAGGCAAGAGCGTTGGCCAAAGACTCCACAGAGTCCTCCTCCCAGATGCGGAAAGTGGTCTCAACAAGCGAGGAAGCGGAAACAGCACTGAGCTCGCTAGAAAGATCAAGTTCGGCAGCCAACACAGATTCACTGATGCCGTCGACGTCAGAGTAGCGAGCTTCGACTACCTGCACTTTGGGCAAAGCAGAGGCAGCAGTGGCAAACACGACGGAGAAGAACGTCGAGTGCGTGTCGAGGGCTGTGAGTTTGGTTTGAGAAGCGACCACAAGCTTTTTGCAGGTCTTGGGAATCACACGTGCAAATGATTCTTCAATAACAGGGAAAACACGGATGGCGGCGACACCAACGTTGGAAGTGCGAGAGGCAAGAGCACGGGCTTTTTGGAGCTCTTTGCTACCAAAGGCGACAATCACCTGGGTAGCAGTGGCAGGGCCGTAGTACTCGACAGGAGCGTACTTGGTGCCAAAGTGCTTGTTCACGTGTTCCAAAGCAGCAATGGCGTTGGCGGTAACGCCCTCAGCAGGGACGAACGAATGGAAGCACTCGACCGTCTTGGAGGCACTCACAGAAGCCTCGTTGGGAACGAACGTCGTGGTGAGTGTATCGTATTCGTAAGCATGGACCACGGGACCAGCCTTAGCAGCCAAAGTACTGGCTAATGAAATGTGGGCAGCGTCCTCAAGGGCGAAAGAGCTGATAGTAGCAAAGTCACTCGTGTAAGCAAAGTCAAGGAGCGAGGCGTTGTCGACGTGGAACTCGTTGGCCTCGTAAGAAAGTGCGGCGACGTGCAACACGAGAGGTTTGCTTCCCGAGTACAAACGGTGAGTGTACGACAGCATGGGACGCAACAGAGGCAAACAAGAAGAGGCCGTCAACAATGAGTACACACCGGAAGATGACACAGCGCTGGTGTACGAACCCAAAAGGAAACCAGCAGCGCCCGAACGAGTCTCGACACCGTGGAACTCAACTTGCTCAGCAAAGCCATTCTTTTGACCACTTTCGTACCACTGCTTCAGGTAACGGTCAAGAGGGACATGTTCAGCATACGAGAAAATACGGCCGGAAAGAGTGTAGACAATTTGTTCAATTGCCTTGTGAACGGCAGCAAAGTTGTTGGAGGTAACTTCCTTGGTCATGATGTTGTTTCAGGACTAAATGAAAAAGTAGGGAGAATAAAGGATGCGTGTTTTTGTTTCAATTAAAGTCAATCAAACGCAATGAGAGAATGTAGGTATTGTCAAAAAGACAAATTTCAATGCTTTTAGTGAATAACAAAAAAAAATTCCAAATAATTTTTTTTGTTAATTCGTTTTCCGTTGCACCTGTAATCCAAGAAAAGATGAAAAGTCTATGTACGGCTTTTCTTTTATTTTTAGTTTGGGAAGGTGCTAAAAAGAAGGAATTGCTGCGTTAATGCGTTCTGGACACGATCTTCCCCATATATATTCTTCTTATACAAAGACGAAATCTGACAGGGTAGCCGACTTCGCAATTCTTACGCGATTTCCTGCAATTTCGCATAACAATGCCACTAGTCCAACCGCATTGGTGGTGATGTGGAGATGTGGAGACGTGGGTAATGTGGGGGTTCACCCACCCACCGGTATCCCTATACCATATAGACCCGCGTGTATTGGGCGAAGCAGGAAAAACGCGTTTTTCGTTAGACAAGAAGTCTGATTGTAGTGACGAATGAGTGCGTTTGAGTTAAAAAATGTGATAGTCGCATCCTGCAATTGTAGTCCCGTAGACAGTGCATGTCAAGTTGAATAAAAATGTTTCAGTTTGAAGAGATCCGTACTATATATAACCAAAGTGTTTCATATGTAGCTTTCCGACAATTGCTGTTGTTCTTGCGCTCATTCGGGTTGGTGAAGGTAGACAGTCTCCCAACCTATTTGTTTACAAGTTTGTTTGTAAACAAACTCTCTGGTAAACACTCATAAATCAAGTAATGTAATGCGATACCAATTCCCTATACCAACAATCACAAGTTGACGACATGGTTTTGATTGATGGTGTCAAGTATTCGTGGTATGTGTTAGCTATCAGCTTCAAGAACCGCTTCTAATAGCGAACTCGCAGTTGGAAATGTATCCGAGGACATCGAGCAAGCAAGTGCAAACATCTATACAGTGAGCTGTTCGAGGTCCGCAGAAAGGGAAGACCCATGGGTCAATGGTAAGTGAAGAAATGTTGGAAATGAAGAGATTTGTGTTTGTAACCGTTTCCTAAATACAGTCCTGCGTGTCGCGAAATTCGTCGATTGTGTCAACTTCAGTCAAAATGCATCTGCGGCGAATTGTTGGGAATGGAGGACGATGCTGCCTATGCCCAGGTTACACACCTGGCAGAAAAGGATCCACTTGTCCTTGAACTTGTCAACATGGTGCTACATTATGGCGCTTATGATGTTCTCGTGAAGGATCGACTTGCAGAGTTTAACCAGAAACATGGTGCTCTTTTGGGACAGGGGGCCACGAAACCTACCATAACTGCCGAGTTAACTGAGGCACCAAAGGAAGAGGAACAGACTACAATGGAAAAACCTGTTTTGAGTGACATTAGGGAACGCGAAATTCATTCGGAGAACACGATTGCCAATGTGATGGACGAAGAGAGAAAGAAATCAAAAATACTCAAAACACAATCCCACGATCCAAATGACATCGAAAACATTGCACAAGAAGATGATCTTTCAAAGGAGAATAGCATCGCGCCGAATACCAGTTTGATCGCAAAAAAGAACTTGGCTTAATAAGCAAATAAAAATGTTGGAAAAAGGAAAATGTGGATAGTCTGTTTCAAAAAAAAAGAGCATACATGAAGCATACAGTTTTGAGTGTTAACTTCACTCACGGTTATGAAGACTTTCCACGAACTTTTGTGTCGCTGACTTTGGTTTTGCGTAAAAGTGGACTGTTATTACCACTAGCAAAATCATCCTCTTCATAGAGACGTTGACGCATCCGACTAGCGGCAGAAGATGGAACTGCTAAGGCAGACAACGGAAGCGCTTTTTTCGATGGAGATGCCCCAGCAGGTGTAGCAGATGCAATGAGACTGGAATACTTGGACGAGGCTGTTGATCCCGGAGTCTTCGCTTCGCCTGTATCTTCTAAACCGGTATACGTATTAGGGTCACGAGGGCGTTCGCGTCCCTTGTCGTCGCGCAGGTACAGAATAATCTGTTCGTCGGGAAGATTCAAAATGTTGTCCTGGGCGTTACTTTCTAGCATACACAGGCGAATTAAATACTCCAGTAATGTAAGAGAGTACTGACGTTTCACTGTCACTTTTGCTGTTGGCTTTGGTCGTTCGGGTGTCATGATTGGTTCGCCCATGAGTTGTCGAAGCATCAATTCATCATCGTTAAGTGGTTTGCGCTGTTCTTCAGGTTCGGGTGAGGCAGACAATTCAGGATCAGCATGTTGGTCAGACATGAGTACTTCAATGGCTATCCACGAGGCATATGAAGAACCGTCGTCCTCGTCTGGTATCTTTGAAACGCGTCGGCTCACAGATGAGTCGGATTGGATAATGTATTTTAGTAGTAGCACGGGAGAAGAAACGTTGTCGAGACGCAGAATCTTTCCGGACAAGCTGTAGAATAAAGACTGAATATTATACAGTGGGATACGGATTTTTAATGCCTTCTCATCATCATCATGATACATACCATCGTCGAAAGACTGATCAAGACACAGTTCGTACGCAAGCATCCGCTCCTCAAACTTCTGAGACGAAGAAGTCACTCTGCGTATGTACGCATGGCCAAGTGGCATAGACTCTTTCCACAACACTGTATCTTTTGACAGGTATTTGCTATTTGCATGTCCTTCAAAAATGGTGTAAAGTTTTATATTAAACTTTGGCCCAAGGAGACATGGTTCGCCGTTGAACTTGAGATTGCATTTTCGCATGTATGAATTTGCCAATAGCAAATTAGAAAAGCTCGTTGTTTGAGGGAGCGACGAGGATATAGACACACCAGACGTTGTAAGTGAAAGATTTAGAAGAGGAATTGCATCCTGAATACATAAAAGAAGTGTTTCTATCTCACGTAAAACGGTAGCTGTAGTACGTTTTTCCGTCGTTGGTTTGTCTTCTTCCATTGCAAAGGCACCCGAGATCGTTTGAATGAAATGTGTGATGTCCGAACGCAACGTTTCTACAAGTTCTCGAGTGCTTGCGAAGCTTGGGTTTCCCGTAGCAGAACTAAAAATGTGTTAATGAGGTGTCTGGAGCCATAACAGACAAGATTGTAACAATGAGCATGCATACATTATTTCGATTAGCTCGATAGCGGGTGTCACGACACGAATAATCTCCAACAGCTTTGCCTTTTCATTTTCCAAGGAAGCCCTGTGATCCGTCGGGACTTTCTAGAAGTAAGTTAGTAAATGTTGAGTAAAAAGTAGCTTTTACCTTTATGTATGAGCTCACTTGTTGAATGGCAAGTTTGCTGGCAAATGAAATACTGCGTTTGATTGCAAACGTTGTTGCGAAGGTTGCTGCATGAGAGGCCACATGAAGCAATTCATCCATATGGGCAAAATGATATTAGATACAAAGAGAGACGTGAGGATAAATACGGTAAACCGATACCAAAAAAACAACAGAAACAACTCAGAATTAGTAATTATGTTTTTTTCAATCACTAATCGGATCCACAATATAATCTTCTCACGTATATAGAATAGGCGTAACCCGAAATTGCTCGTATTAGCTCCAAAACTCCACTTTTTTCACAGAATAGAAGTGAATTGTTCTCAGTCTCTTAATTCCCGTGCAAAATCAATAATCTCCACTGTTTTTAGCCTCCTGTTCTGAGAATTCGTCAATTCAAATGTTGGGAAAGGATTCAAGGTACAGGCGGTAGACGCGTCTCGGTTTGTCGCAAACGCTGCTACGTCATGCTCTGTCACGTGCTCGTTTACTCAAGCGTATATTGTGATTGGATAAAACACCATTTCACGTGTCTCGCTAACTTGCACGTGCGTTCCTTTTTTCACCACCACAAAAACCACAATTCTTTCACAAATCGTAACGATTCCTTTTCCCAGCACCACCTGTTTGGGACGAATCTGACACAATGGCTAGCCAAAACAAGCAGAATGAAGTTGACGAAAAGTTGGCCAAGCAGACTTCCAAATTAAACATGTCTGCTAAGGCTCCTTCTTTCTCTCCATCGGCTTCTTCGTTTACGCCGTCGGCACCTGTTTTTACTCCTTCTTTCCAAAGTACGTAGTTAGTCTGTAAATTCTGTTTATAAGTAAGAGGCTAACGTAATTCTTTTAGGAGCTCCTGCTGCGAATGCTGGTTACACTGGAGGCGTTCCCTCTGGCTACAGTCAATATGTCCAGGGTGGAAACGGATATCAAGCTGGTGGCTACCAACAATTCTATCAGCAACCCGGCTCTGGTGTTTCTGAGAACAGAACTCGTGTGGCCGATTTCTCGAAAAAGAAGTCTTTCGTGCCTCCTAAGCCAGCTCTTCCTAAAGGAAAGGTTCTTTCCATTGGCGGCGGTGCCAAGGCCGGTAAACCTGTAACTATCTCTATCGGTGGTAAGGCTGCTGCTCCTGCTGCCAAGGAAGCTGCTACTAAGCCTGTTGCCGAAGCTGCTTCCAAGACGGCTTCCGAGACTGCTCCTGCTAAGCCGGAGGTTAAGGAGACTGCCGCTCCTAAGGAAGCTGCTACGCCTGTAAAGGAGACTCCCAAGGCCTCTTCTTCCCCCAAGTCTGCTGCTGAAACCGCCGCTCCCTCCAAGCCCTCAAAGAAGGCAGAGCCCGTGGAGACTGCTCCTGCTGAGAATTTGCAAGAGGAAGTTGACAGTGAAGTTCTCCAGGAAATGTACGGTAAGGAGCATGTCAACATTGTCTTCATTGGACACGTCGATGCCGGTAAATCCACCTTGGGCGGTAACATTCTTTATCTCACTGGTATGGTCGATAAGCGTACTATGGAGAAGATTGAGAAGGAAGCCAAGGATGCCGGTAAGGAAAGTTGGTATCTTTCTTGGGCTTTGGACATGACCGCCGAGGAGCGTGAAAAGGGTAAGACAGTCGAAGTTGGTCGTGGTTACTTCGAGACTGAGCACCGTCGTTTCAGTCTGTTGGATGCTCCCGGTCATAAGGGTTATGTCACCAACATGATTAACGGTGCTTCTCAAGCTGATATCGGTGTCTTGGTTATTTCTGCTCGTAAGGGTGAGTTTGAAGCCGGTTTCGAGCGTGGTGGTCAAACCCGTGAGCACGCCGTTTTGGCTCGTACTCAAGGTATTAACCATCTTGTCGTTGTCATCAACAAGATGGACGAGCCTAGTGTGAAATGGTCCGAGGAGCGGTACAAGGAGTGTGTCGACAAGCTTAGTGTTTTCTTGCGCCGTGTTGCCGGTTACAACCCCAAGACGGACATTATGTTCATGCCCGTTTCGGCCTACACCGGTCAAAACGTAAAGGACCGTGTTCCGGCTTCTATTTGCAAGTGGTACAACGGCCCTTCTTTGCTCGAGTACCTTGATACGATGAACCGTCTGGAGCGTAAGGTAAACGCTCCCTTCATCATGCCCATTGCTTCGAAGTACAAGGATCTGGGTACCATTTTGGAAGGAAAAATCGAGGCTGGTTCCGTGAAGAAGAATGCTCAAGTGATTGTTATGCCCACCCGTGAGCCTCTCGAGGTCACGGGTATTTACGACGAAGCTGACAACGAGTTGCCTTCTTCCATTTGTGGTGACCAGGTGCGTCTCAAGGTGAAGGGTGATGACTCGGACATTCAAGCCGGTTACGTCTTGACCTCGGCTAAGAACCCTGTGCATGCTACTACTCGCTTTGTTGCACAAATTGCCATCTTGGAGCTTCAGTCTCTCTTGACTACAGGTTACACTTGTATCATGCACATTCACACTGCTGTTGAGGAGGTGTCATTCTCCAAGCTTCTTCACAAATTGAACAAGACGAACCAACGTAGTAAGAAGCCTCCATTGTTCGCGACAAAGGGTATGAAAATTATTGCAGAACTTGAGACTCAAACTCCCGTTTGTATGGAGAAGTTCGAGGACTACCCCTACATGGGTCGTTTCACTCTCCGTGATCAAGGTACTACTGTTGCCGTCGGTAAAGTCATTGAAATCTTGGATTAGGTTTCTTCATAGTCGAATTTTGAAGCGTGTTTCTTTAGGTATTGAACGAAGTTTGAATTGTAGGGTGTGAAATATGATTGTGTGAAACAGGTTTTGTTCGGTTTCGTCAACGGAAGAAGAGTTACGTGTTTAATGCTGACAACGGCGTATCTCATTGCTTAATTATGAACGGAATTGTATATTTTCGACCTTCGCTTAATTCCGAGGGGTTTCCGGGGAAGCACCGGCATGATGGTGAGCCGCACCTCGGGCTAAACCAACTGTGTCAGTCAGACAACGCACACTTGGATATACCCATTGCGTTCGTTTTCACTTCGAAACTACTTTGAAAACTTACCAGAACGTGTAGTTTTTGTAATTATTAGTGGTATTTCTGGCGTGTTCATGCACGGAGAGCGTATTTCCATAGACAAACATGAGTCTCATAGAAATTCAGAAAGAACGTATGTAACTCTGTTAAGACACGCTCTGACCTTGGACAGTGTTTTTAAAGAAGATTAATTCTGTTGTTCCAGACAAGGTATGAATTAGTACACAGACGAATCTTAGTGTGTCTGTATTTGTTGCTTCTGTATCTCGGGGGATAGTAGTCCCATGACAGCAAGAACGTGGCATGAATGGGGTTATCGGTCGTTAGCATGCTGTGGACAACGTATTTCCCTTGTTGTTCATTGAGCTACAATGATTTTTTCTGTATGTTCAACATTCAACTAACAGTTTGCAGTGGAAAACGCTTGTCGTAGACAGACGAACGGCCGCAATTATCAATCACCTGTTCTCTATTCATTCATTACTGGAAAAGAAGATCACTGCTATTGAAATCCTAGAGAATGTCCGCACTCCAAACTCATCTTTTGACGTTTTGTACATATTAGAAGCACGAGATGAGCTCATTGATTGTATATTAAAAGATGATATGCATCCTAAAAAATATCCAGGCATTTACGTGTCTTTTGTGAACGAGGCAGAACGACGTTTTTTTGACAAACTCCAAAACTCATCTGTTGCGGATCGTTTGAAATGCGTTGACATCCTTCACTTGAACTTCATGGCGGTTGAGAAACAGGTTTTTGAGGTTCGTGATCGCTTCAGCAGCATGCGTCTTTATCATCCGTCTTGCAGTACCTTAGTACGACAAGAACTGTCTGATACAGCGAAAGATATATTGTCTGTTTGTTTGTCCCTGCGCATTCTCCCCACCATTCGTTGCTACTATCCGAAAGATGCACGTCATGACTCCAAGACTATGTCTTTCCTGCTGGCGCGAATGCTACAGGATCATATTGTCGAGTATCTTAGAGAACATCCTGACTACCTGTATTCGTCTACGAAGACGGTTTGTTTTATTGCTGATAGATCATTAGATACGTTCAGTCCGTTCCTTCATGAATTCACATACCAAGCCATGGTGCACGACTTACTAAAGTCAAAGAATGGCAAGTATGAGTTTACCATTGAAGGACCTAATGGCAAGGAAACTTGCGAAGGATCGCTTTCCGACGATGACCCCATCTACTGTTCTATCCGTCATCTTCATATGCGTGATGCGATTGAAAAGCTGATGGTTGACTTTAATAAGTTTTGCCAGGAACACACATTGTTTATCGACAAGTCGCATGCAACTTCTCTGAATGATATGAGAACCATGCTTGCTGATTTGTCAGAGTTTCAGGAAACTCGTGACGCCTTTTCTCTTCACCTGTCTCTGGCCCAAGATTGTATGAGTATGTTTGATAAAAAGAAACTGGCTGCGGTGGCATCTATTGAACAGGATCTCGCTACTGGACGTGATACAGAAGGAAAGACGCCACGTTCCGTTCTCCAAGCCATGGTTCCCTTACTTGACGAACCGTTCATGAGTGCGGAAGACAAGACTCGTTTGCTTGCCTTGTACATTATGTTCAGAGATGGAGTCATTTCTCAGGATTTTGATCGATTAATTCGACATGCAAACATTCCCGGACGCTACGTTACATTCTTACGCAATTTGGAACATCTGGGTGCGCGTATAATAAAAAGCAATCTCTCGGAGAAGAGTTTAAAGCGGAAGCACACAGCTGTTTACACCGAAGCAAATGAGACTACATACGAACTCTCAAGATTTATTCCACGGCTGAAGCAGGTTGTTCAAGAACTGCTTGAAGACAAATTGGATGAAGATTTGTTCCCTATTATTTATACACCCGAAACTGGTAACGGAAGACTGGGTCGTAACGGTCCTACTACATTACGCAGTTCAAGACCTTCTTGGACGCGTGCACGCACACAAGTACATACAACCCAACGGGATAACTGTTTGGTATTCATTGCGGGAGGCCTTACGTACAGTGAGGTGCGTTCTTGTTATGAACTTTCAGACAGTTTTGAGAAGAATGTTTATATTGGAAGCACGATGTGTCGTACACCGTGCGAATGGATGGATTTCTTCTCGCGTATTACATTACCCAAGGAAGAAGTACGTTTGTTTGATGAGCAAACCAAGAACATTCCTTGTTTGCAAGCACCCATAGCCGAGTCACCAGTTTCATCACCATTGGGTTTAGAAGTTAGCAGAAAACCTTTGCCAGCGTCTCGCCCATTCGACTCTTTAGAATCATCTTCAAAACCCAAGACAAAGGAAGAGAAGAAGCGTGAAAAGAAGAAGGAGAAAGAAAGGGAGAAGAAGGAGAAGGAGAAGAGTAAGGGCAAGCACAAGAAACTTGATTTCTTCTCTAGCAGCAAAGACAAATCCAAGTCAGATGGACACAAGAAGAAACACTTTGGGGTATTTTAATTATTCTCCGCTAATGCATCGCAATGCTCTTAACACTGACGATTTAATTCACGAGTCCAGTAAACCTGATACCCAACACATCTCATACACATACTTATATATACATACATACAAACATAATCTCATTTAAAAAATGGAAGAGAAAAAAAAGAGAGAGAGAGAGAGAAAGAGGAGGCCGAGGCGCGGGTATCATCAGGCGGGGAACAGGCATGCAACACGCATTATGTGTGCGAAGGGACAGTTTTGAATTGTGTGGTGCACTGTATGCGTAAAGATTCACTCAACGACGACGTTTTGCTTATTGATCTTGTAAGACGCTCTTGAACTGTGTTCAAAGTTAGTAGAAAGATACGAAGAAATCAAGGTAACACCGGAAGCCGTTAGAAACGGTGACACGTACGTGGTTTTCGTCAATGGTTGTGTAAATGATGCCTTCTTGCATCAAAAACTCCGTCACGGCATTGACATCAATACCGGGACCAACAGCCTGAGTTAATTGACGAAGGTGAACGCCTTCGTTAGTTTCAGGAGCATTATGAATGGCATGCATAACGGCGAGCTGAGCTGGTGTCAGTGAATATTCAGCAAGTTTTTGTTCGAGAGAGTCCCCGACAGCACCCGTGCCGTTTGCACCATAGCTAGTAGTGCCTGCGGCACCGGCTTGCTCGATAGAACCAGCTGGTGGTTTCCGGGTGAAGTAAAGATGGACTGCAATGGTCTCAAGAATGTGAAAGTGAACCTCGTTAGGATCCTTAATGGTTCGGATGTGTTGGGACGCAATATAAATTTTCTCTGAAAACACCTTGATACTACCGTACACACGAACATATGTATCAGTACTCAAATCCGACATGCCCTCAACATGCTCCCAATGACGGACCTCAATAAGACCAGTTCCATCTTCCACCTGGTATGTGGTGTTTGTTGTTTGGGCATGAATGTTTCTTAAGACACCCACAATCGTAATCTGGCCAACTTCAACACCGTCAATCTTGAAGTCTGCGTCTGCATGAACTTGAGTAGCGTCCAAAATTTGCTTAATCGTCACGGGACGTAGTTTATTTCCTGCTCCTTGTTGCTGAACGTGTCAGTAAAGTCTCATAGCACCAATAAAAAAAAAAGACTGCTTTAAAACCACAGTCAATTTCACGAATAACTCATACACGGTCGACACTGGGTTGACTAGCACCGTCATATTCACCAAACCCTCCAGCACCCATTCCTGGAGAAAAGGTCGCATTAAAGTTATTGAACCCTTGCTTTCCATAAGCATCGTAAGCCATTTTCGTAGGTCTTTTAGAAGCAGAGAGACAGTTGTTGCTGTTTTATGATGGGACCCAGAAGTCTTTGGGTCTTGTCGACTTTGTGTGTTGTGGTGGTGAGTTATTCGAGGGGAAACGTAGTTACGGCCACACAAAAAAAAAACTGGAAGGTGCGAATAACAATGAGGTACATGAAAAGGAGATGCGGTTAGCCCTTGGGAGCAGCCTGTTTTGTCTCTTTCAGCGTGTATTTTGTGAATTGCGATTTAATTGAAGTTGGTAAATATAAAAATTAAAGTATTTGTTAAGCGAGCGCTAAGTGCACATTGATGATTAGTTACAGAGTTCTACATGTACTGCTAGTTCTTACTAGTAACTAACTCGGTATGTGTAGATTGGTTTACGTAGTCAAGTCATTTCTTACGATTTTTATAGAACTCATTAACCCAAACAATATCATGTAAAAAAACAAGTTTTCATTATACACTTAGACTGTTGCGACAATTTATCCATCCATTCTTCCGTATGACAGGAAATGTTTCGCTTTTCGCTTCCTAGTACTCAAATGTCAAACAAGACAATTTCCGTGGTGCCACCACAACGTACTTGTGAACAACTTACTACATCCATTGGTTTTGCTTCTGCAATGTATTTTATTATTACATGAATAATATACTCAGTAATGTGATTCGGGGGGGGGGGGGAGAAAACGCGCTTGCCTGTAACAATAACTACTTAAAGCAATGTTATGTAACGAGTGTAAGTCCATGAACAATGCAGAAGTGTACACTTTAAACCTTTTGAGGCGTCAGAGCAAGAGGACATGAGCTCTCATCGACAGAAAGTTCAATCTTCACTTAGTCATCAGTTCATGTTAATCGTCCCATTCTGTTAGACGTATGTTCTATATGTCATACAGATACCTAGTCATTCTTTGATTTTAACTTAAACTGTTATTTCGTAATAAGAGGGAAAAAAAGAAGAAAAATCGCAAGCTGCGAGAAAAAATATGTAAAAAGGAAGGGACGATAAGTTAACAAATAGAACAGAAATAGGACGAGATGATGTTCACAGGCAAGAGCGAGTGTTATATAAAAAGAACATTCATAAATTGGGGAGGGGGTAAACGGAGTGGGGAAAACCTGAATTTGGAAAGGAGGGCGTGGACCCGTTGCCTGCGGGTCTCACAATACACTTCGCTTTTTAACGTACGCCTTCTCGTAATGAAAAGGAATATGCATACGAAAAGCTCTGTGACGAAAGGAGTACGGAAAAGGGGAAACGAGATGTGTTGGAAGGAGAGACGAGAGTTGAAGAAACAATTGTATCTTGGCAAACAAGCTCTAGTTTCCTTGATGAGGAGAGCACGAGAAGTGCAACAGGGGGAAAATGGGACAATGAGGACGGAGGAAGGGAACGACAAGAGCCGGATAAAAAAAACGGCATAGCACATAAAACGAATCTAGGCACAGACAAACCACACCATCGGTCTAGCTTAAATGCACAACACATAAAAACACAATTCAGTTTCGTTCAGAGTTTATCGAGTGCCGTCGTTGTCGACGCTTGTCGATGATGTGTTGAGTTTTGCTCCATACAAACCAGATAAAGTCACAAAGGAGCAAAAAAAGGGTGACACAGTTGTCCGAGAAAACTGCTACAAAGGCAAAGTTCTTGCACGCGCCAACGCATTGATTGCGTCTAGTGAGGACGGCAATCATTTGAAGCTGAGGCAAGAGCCACATAATGCTGAAAACGACTGGATATGCAAAGAGAAACTTTGACTGACGGAGGATGTCGCGTCGATGCTGGTATAAAGGGTCGTGATGATAGTAGTCACCGAGCAGTTCGGGATTTGTATAACCTGCCGATGGATTAACAGAAATATCTGCTTCAATAGCAGCCATGGATACAGACGAAGAAGAGCTGACCCCTTGGTACGTAGCCGACGATCCAGTGTTGCCGGAAGGCGACGAACTCTCGTTGTTTTGCAGTTGATCCTCAAGACTCCGGTCGAACTGTTCGAGTGCCGTGATGTGTTGGTTTGTATCGCGTTTAAAGCGCCGGATGCTTTTGCGGATGGAAAGGAACATACAGGTGTGGATGATAAGGATAAAGAGACTTAAACAGTAGTCAATAGACCAATTAAAACCAAACATCCAACGCACGGGCCGTAAAGGAAGAAAACATCTGTATTGTGTTAGAATGGAGCAGGGTGGGAAGGAAATCACACATACCTCGTTTGAAGGTTAACATAAGTGTTCGTTCGGTTTACGAACGTTAGACCTCCAAGGCCAAAGGGAAGAATGAAGGAGAGCGCAAATACCCACCAACGGTACGGATAGAGGCCGATGTTGTTCGACGTGATATTCTTTTTCGAAAGTACCACAAGCGCATTGTGAAGGACCACGATGAAAATCCAATAGTCTGTCATGCGCACGAACACAAAGAGGAAGAACCCAATGGTGAAGCAACGCCATTTGGGAACAAAATATAGCAGATGATTAATGGTTATACTCGGGTGTATAATCTGCACTATGGAGCGAAAAAACAGCGTGGTGAAAAGCGCTATAAGGATGTGATCCCTAAAGTACCGTTCGCGCTGTCGTACCCGATAGACAACTGTGCCGAAGCTAAACAAGACGGACACAGAGGACGCAACAATAACCATGATACGTAAGTTTTTCAACTCACGCAGGCTGAGAACCAGGATATCACCGGTGTATGTAGGGTCGTAAGACATTGCATGCGTACCGGTGAGCAGAATTCATTATTCCCAGCAAATTGGGTTGCACTGACAGAGAAGCAAGCAAGCGTGCGGCAAGACGTATTTAAACAATCGTCGCAAATGAAACCACACAAATAAAACAACTGTAGGAGCACCGTCTCTCACAAACCGGTGAAGACGCACGACAAAACGGAAAACGTCGGCCCTTCAATAAGACAAAACGAACAGTCCTAACGTCGCCGCCGAAAACACGCGGCCACCGTGACAAAACAATCACCGACCGGCGTGTGTTGTCTCTAGAAACTGTCGTAACAACCAAGTTCTAGTCCACAAAGCAGTGGTGTCGGCTTTTGAGCTCTCGCACAAAAGCGCTAAGCGTCGATACGGCACCGTTCCACGTGTCAAACGGTCAGTAGCAGAAAGACACCAAAAGGGACTATGTATGTCCGTCACTCGTTTTTCTGTTCTCTCTAGGACTGGGACAGTCGAGCAGGAAGAAGTGAACGATGCGCCAGGAACGTGGAGGACACACTGAACAAACGAAAAAAGAATCAGACGGCGTTACCGTTAGTCACAATTTGTACGGCGACGCGTTGACGTTTGCCTTACATAAGGTTTGTGGTGATTCCCAAACAACGAGTGGGGTAGTCGGTGGAGCAGACAAGCGCGTCATATCAGTGATCGCTGACAGGACGGAAGCAACAATGAGGACCGCCAGCATAAAGAACGCATTAAGAAAAGTGCGTGTCGCACTAGAACTGCCGAGCAGCAAACAAATCACAGCCAGTCAGACTTCGTGCCGACATAGTGGTCCATGTGAAGACATAGGAGTAACCCCGCTCGGACCCCTTCAGCAACTGTTCTTGGGCGGCCGCCTGCCCAAAAATGGACACACGTCATACATACGCAATAGCAATCCTCGCTAGTTTCAATTCCGCGAACAGCCCCCTGGGAGGAGCCGCGGAGTGAAAAAGCGGGGTGGAAGGTCGCAGAAGGTTGATCAGCAGATTGCAAACTGCGTATCACGCAATGTCCGAGGACCGAGGAGTCCTCGTGCAAGTTTATAGGCGCGGAGAAGCGGCGCGATTGGCCACAGCGGGGTCAAGAATGCGGGGCTCAGAAGAACACAGAGAGAATTGTGTTCGCTGCAGCGTGTAAACGGGGATACAGAAGGGCCGTTAAATTTTTTTGCGTGCCACGCTGTACTGCAGTGGAGCACGCCAAAGCACCCTAATCCTCCCTAGGACGCATCGATAACCCGCTCAAGCTCCGTGCACAGTCGGACAAAGCAAGGGTCACGCAGATATAGCTGCAGCTTTTCACGCAGCGGACGATTGCCGGTGTCATCAGGGACCCCTGAAACGACCGCAGGGGATGAAATGGGAGGAGACGGAAGGGTAGGTAGTCGAAACGACTTCTGCATAAGCGGAGTGCAGGGTACGAGAGCAGGTGCAGTGGTTGGAAGATCGCGTTGTGACGGTGCAGCAGTGTCCAACTGAGACGATAACGACGACGGGAAAGCGGAAACCGAGGACGCCGGATGAACGGTTGTGTGCTCAGAAACGTCGACTGTGTCGGACGCAGGAACGAGCGAGTGGCAGCTCGCCATTCGGGCGCGTTTTGCGTCGGAGACGCAAGCAGCGTATTGCCGATGACCGGTACAGAGGGCTGCGAAGCGAGCACACGCGTCTGGCTCAACGGTGGTGTGGCATTCGCCGTGCTTGAAGCGCGTTTTTGCGAGTTCGACGCGGGTCTGGCTTCCTTGAAGCCAAGTCCGAGACTCTCGAGTTCTAGTTTGACGTTTAAGTAAATGACATCACTGGGAAAGCGCAATTGAAACCGCTTCAAAACCTTTTGCTGTGTTAGCGTGTCGATGTGTTGCGACCGCCGAATCGTATCGAGCGTTAGCGAGCGAAGAAGCGACGATGCGAAGTTAAAGTTATGCCCGACGCGTCGCGTTCGCCTTTCCGACAGTTCGCGTCGCAAAAAGCCGATGCGACGCGACCGCGACGAATATGCTTGTTGCGTACCCCATTGCTTAACGCCTTAAAATTAATGCATGGTGCTTCGAGCCAGCAGTACTAGACAGGGTTCTCCGGTGTTGGGGTTCTGTTTGTGCCATAAAATCAAACAGGTTAAGACTTTGCTGGGACGTTAGCTACGCAATTCGAGAAACACAGTCGTACGAGGAGCAGGTCGCCGCGTCGGACCTGCAAGAGTCCAGATGTGATGGAAAGTGTGTGAGTTGCGTCGCTGAAGTGGGACCAGGACAATGGTGCTGCACTGTTTCCAGACACAACGTTTGCAACTGAGTATTGGCTACAGGATAAACAGGCATCGAGGCAGACAGGAACTGACAATGGGGGGGGAGCCCTCTATATATGCTTAGTCAACGCGTGACGTCACGCGTTGGGTAGAGGCTTGTGGGGTAGGGAGCGTGAGGTGGGGAGGCAGTTCTTATACTTCAGCAGCAGCAGCAGTAGTAGTAGTAGGCAATTGCCTAAAACAAAGTGCAGATGGGGACGAGATGGTGAGGAGGGGAGCTGTAGAACTGTGTGGTGGCCGTGTAGTCGTTGTGTAGCACTTGTGTAGCACTCGTGGTGGTTGACAGTAACATAAACAAGGGGAGGGCGACGCAACGCCTCACTGTGGAGGAGCGCCTCGGCTGTTCTTGCTATAAATCGTGTCTAGTGTCTCCAGCACAAAGTCAGAGTTAGGAGGTCGATAGAGTTTGTCCGTAGGACCCTGAAGAATGCGTCGATGTCGGTTCGATAGGCTTTGCTCTTTTGTTCCGACGTGGTCGAAAACGAAGTTACGAAAACCGAGAAAGGGGGCAAGCAGCACTAAGTCAACTAGCGGAACTATTGAGTAAATTGGAGGAGGGGATTGAATGGATTGTCACCGTATGTACAAACGGATCAATTGATTAGCAAGGGAGTGGTTGGAAAGTTTCGGAGCGAGGGACTCGTATCTCGGAAGCCGAGTGTTTCTCTGTGAACAATTGCTGCAGCATGTCATTTGTGTTCACCTTTATGACTATGACTATGACTAGTTTCATTTATTCGTACAACCAATGAAAGAGGTTCTAAAAGCACTCGGCTACAGGCAATGTGAATGGACGGCCAAAGGTTTGAATTGGTGTGAGAGTAATTCAGCTTCAATACGTTTCTGAGAATTCAGCTTCAATACACTTCTAATTCCTCCCCACACCGTCCATACAATTCGTCTTCTTAGGAAGTACGGACATCGTATCGATTACAGTCGTAGTGGAAGTAGCATCTAGGGTTTATTTCGTAGTCAGACAGTAAAGAATTCCACAATGTATTCTTCTTCCAGCTGTCAAATCACCAACTGCATCACCTCTCCAGCTCATTTCACCGAGCGGAACTTTCAATCGGTGTTTTTGTGAACGATCTGCTCGTGTTCGCTCCCTCCTCCTTCTTCAGCTTCCTCACCCCTTGTCGCTTTTTCTTCCTCGACCCGCTACTTTTCCTTCCTTCTCCCCGTCCTCCTCATTCCCTGCTAGTATCACGTATTCCCACGCTGAGTCTCGTTCGGACTCACTAAACCATCTGTTTCCCTAAATTCTGCTTTTTTTCGCTTCCTCCATCTCCCGTCATGTCTTTCCAAAAAGAACTCGAAGTAGCCATTTCGGCAGTGCGTCGTGCCAGTTTCCTTACTGAAAAAGTCTTCAATGAGCTCGTTCAGCTCAGACAAAAGCACCAGAGTGGAGCAATTATCAAGAGCGACCAGTCGCCTGTAACGGTCGGCGACTTTGGCGCGCAGGCTGTGATTGCCGCGTTGTTGCACGATGCTTTTCCTCAGGACCCCATCGTTGGTGAGGAGAGTGCTGATTTCTTGCGTTCGAACGACGAGGTTTGCAACCAGGTCTGGTCTCTGGTCCAGGAGTCTACGAAACGCGCTTCCGAGTTCCCTGAGCTCGGTCGCATCGCGTCGAAGGAAGATATGTGCAACGCTATCGACCGCGGTTCCTATGTTGGAGGTCCCACCGGCCGTATGTGGTCCATTGATCCGATCGACGGCACAAAGGGTTTCCTTCGTGGCGATCAGTATGCGATCTGCCTCTCGCTGATCCAAGACGGTGTCCCTGTCGTCGGTGCGATTGGCTGCCCGAATCTGTACTGGGATGTCCCTGCGACTGCCGACGGCCGCCGCGGTCTTGTTATGGCTGCTGTTCGCAGCAGAGGCTGCTACCAGTACGAATTGCACAAGGACGGTTACGAGGGAGAGCGCGTTCAAATGCGTCCCGTCACTCGCTCCTCCGACGCTAAGTTCTGCGAAGGTGTCGAGCCCGGCCACTCTATGCAAGATACACAAGAACAGATTGCTCGCGAGCTCGGTATCACACTTGAGGCCACGCGTATGGATTCACAAGCCAAGTATGCCAGCCTTGCTCGCGGTGACGGCGACATCTATCTCCGTCTCCCTCGAAGCATGAAGTTTGAGGAGAAAATCTGGGACCATGCTGGAGGCTCTCTGCTTGTTCAAGAAGCCGGCGGCATTGTCGGCGACATGTTTGGCAAGCCTCTTGACTTTGGTCGTGGCCGTACCCTCAACCACAACCACGGCGTCATTGCTGCTGCCAAGGGCATCTACGAGCAAGTTATTGCCGCTACCAAAAAGGTCACCGGCAATGATCCCCAATTTGCTTTGTAGAAGAGGACTCATCGTGTCGGCTCGTTGTCGCCTCTTGCGCGGCTTGCGACAGTTATCTAGGATATGATTGGATGAAACGCGACACTTCTGTCGCAAAATGAAACTTAAAATTTTGCTATTGCTAACTAGCTAGTCAAGACTTCCTGCTAAATGCTGCACGTGGAATTGCGTGAAAGCAAGGAACGTGGATACTTCTGCACGTGTGTTGCCTACCAAGTTGTCTTGTAATGAATAGAGACGGTATCTAGCTAAAGAAACTCATGGCGTGTTGATTTGCTAAGCGAAAACCTTATTTTCTTGTAAGACAAATAAGCTTTTAAGTGCCGACGCGCCTTCGCTTAATTCAACTTCATTCGCGACTTGTGTTCCTCCCTCTCCCAAACACATTGTCAAATGGATAGTGAGTGCAACCGGTTTCTGTTGGAGCTGGACAACGTTCCAACTCATTTAGTACGCGCTTACGAATATGAAGTGCAAAAATCAGCGACCTTGTTTAATCCATGGAGCGCGGAACGCGTTTTGGAGCGATTGGCGACGTATCGCAACAAATGGAGCTTTCCAGAGGACGGACGACTTTCAGACCTGCTATGTAGCATGCACGGATGGACTTGTTCATCGCCAAACACGCTATTTTGTCGTTGGTGCGAAACGACTCGAGACGAGGCATATCTCTTAAGCACTATTGACCCAGAAGCACTACAAATTAATCACGAAAAGGTTTCCCCTCGACAACCCTCTCCTTCTTTAAAGAACATACACGCGTCTTCGTGTCCGTGGGCCGAAACATGCTGTGCAAGCAATGTTCTTCGGATTTATATACCTCTTGAACTTGCTCAATTACCAACTCGTTTTGAATCGTTTACAATGGAACGGGTAAATATTAGCGCTGTGAACGAAGCAGATGATTTATTTTGTGAGCAATTGTCTCACAAACTATCGCTTCACAAAGGTTTGGGTTGGCAGCAGCGTTTGATACTTGCCGTATTCGGCTGGAAACAAATCGCGACACGAGGCGATACAGACCAAGTTCTTGAATGCACCAAATGTCTTCGTCGGCTGGGTACGTGGAACTTCCGGGATCAACCACTCAACGTTATTTCTTGTCACAAATCGTATTGCCCCTACATTGCCGAAGAACACGATGGATTAAAAACTTGGCAGGTCCTGCTCGCCATTTATGGTTGCCGTCTGCAAATTCCTCTGCTGCTGGCGGAAAACGGAAAGGACGAAGAAACAAACGAGATGGAAGACGAAATTATAGATTATGGGGATGACAAAAACGAAGCGATGATGGAACGTTCGCTTATTGAGGGTGCGAATACTCTTCTTTCAGAGATTCCTACAGGAGAACTGTTTCTTCATCGCTGAGATCATTTCAAGAGTTGTAACTTATTCAGTCTTACTGACAAATCTTTCACAAGCGCGTCCATGTCGGAACCATGGGCACCGCCCTCCGCTGGTGTGTGAACTCTTGATAAGTCCAGCCGGCTGAGGCCCTCCAAGATGGTGTTCTGAAAACGAAATACATCACGTCTTTGATGTTGAATGGCGTCGCGTACCTGCCGCGACCGGGGGTACAGAAATTTGCGATCAACGGTGTCCGGTCCGCCTTCGTCTTCCAAAGCTTCAAACTGTGACTGGGCCCGCTGAATGAGGATCTTCTGTTGAGTTCGACTTGTGGGTGTACCCAAGTCGAAAAGCTGGTCGGCCGTCTTAGTAATACGATGGCCCAATCGGTGTCGGATCATCATTTCTGATAAATTTGAATCCGTTGGTGATGGATGATATCGCGAAGATAGACTCGTTTTTGTCGCCATGTCTGTGTTTGCTACGGATGCGGCATCATCCACTCCAGTTCTGTTGCCAGCTACATTCGTCTTTCCAGGTGTACCGTGATGGAGAATGCCTGCCGCCGTTGTCGTTACCGGCGTTGATGTTGGTAATTTCCTGGACGAACTTACAGCCACAGACGCTCCCTTTGTCGCGCCTGTCGTCGTTCCAGTTTCTCCTGTGGACAGTCCTTGAGTCCCTTCAACTGGGGGTGCAGTTGCTGTGGAGGCTGCTGCCGGCTCGGCTTCCGTTTTCGTTGTAATTGGTGCAGTTGCCGTTGATAAAGCCCCTGCATCTGAGTTTGCCTTGGTCACCGTCTTCTTGCCTTGTGTGGTTGAAGGCTGATTTGCTGTGCTTGCAGAAGCCGCTGTTCCTGTTGTGGAAATAGAATCAGCACGGCGAGAACGGTGTTCGACTGTACCACTAGATGTATGAACCCGATGTAGAGTTGGTCGACCCGATGTTTTGTTCATCTCTGACAATTGGACACTTGAAACGGGCCGTGAAGTCTCCTGTGCCTTCGATATCAACGGCGTCATTTTACCGAGACGATTTAAACGCGAATGACTTCCTACACGTCGCATTCTGCTATGAACAACAAAACTGCGTCTCCGCTCTTTCGTCGATTTTGAGCCAGTCCCATCTCCACCTCCTTCCGTACTAATTGTGGACGTGGATGTCTTTCTACTTAACGTTGGTTGCTCCATGCAGGGCAATTCAGCATCATGCCGCATTCACGACTGGTGGTGGAATCTTGGGCTTCGCTAAAGCTCCGTAAATGCTTTAACAGCGTCGTCAAGTGCATTTTATCATGGTGGTGGTGGTGAAAATATGCCCCCACATTTTCCCACACGCAGCACTCACCACCAAAAATGCTCCACCAAATTCGTGTTTTGACCGGTGCTTGTGATGTCCTAGCATTGGAAACTTGCTGAAGGAAAACGAAGCAGAATTTGATAAAGACAAAGAAGGTGCCAACAGTTTTTTAAGCGAACTGCAGTATTAAAAGTTTGCTCATAACTCGACTTTTTCTTTTTTTCTTCATCAGTCAATTGGTATAATCTCGTTTCCTCGTTTTCTCTTTTTCTTTCTCCATCATATTCCGGGATTAAACTAGTTCACTGAGAGAAAGTTATTTGTTGGTTGGACTATTCTTTCTATCTCTAATTATCCTCAATTTCTAAGTGTGTTTCACCACCATGTCCTTCCATTCGAAAATCTCGGCTCAAAGTCTACGATTGATGAGAAGTTTAAGAAATCTACGACTTGGAATTTGTGTGCAGGCGAGATTGTTTTCGCGAGCGGCTCCTTTGTTTCGGCCTCCAAGTTCCACTGTTGCTGGGACAATAATGAAGGGCTTGTCAATTCATAAAAATGAGCCAGACCCTGTTGCAAAAGAAGATAATGAGTATCCAGACTGGTTGTGGACGCTACTGGATGAAACGAAGCCTGTTTTGGAACCAACGGAAATCTGGAAGCAGCCGCCTTCTGTTCACCGGCGTGCCCGGAAACAAAGTATTCGCATGGAAAATTTGCGTCGGAAGACTTAAATCCTGTCATTCATCTTCTATCTTCTGCTTAAGAAAGCCTTTTTCGTCGCTTGTCTATACAAATTTTCGCTACTTTTTTCGCTGTTTTCACGTTCTACACCACACCAGGAAATATCGGCAGAGTATGTCGTCAAAATTGGTTTTAAATGAAATTGAGCAGAAGGTTATTAATCTGCTGAAAAAGACCGCTGATTATGTGGAAAAGACGAAATCCCTTACGTCTCTTGAAGTTCGTCTCGCCGGTGGTTGGGTGCGCGACAAGTTGCTCGGATGTCAAAGCAATGATATAGATGTCACTTTAAAAGATATCAGCGGGCAAGACTTTGCCTTGGCTATTGTTGAATTTGTCCGTTCGCAAGAAGCTACGACACTTGTACCGGCAGACTCAGTGTTAGGGAAGCTTGTGACAAATCCCGAACAAAGTCAGCATCTTGAGACAGCTACTATGGGACTGTACGGTTTAGACATTGATTTTGTAAGCCTCAGAGCCGAAACTTATCCGGATTCGAGTCGTATACCAGTGGTGACTCCAGGCACAGTGTTAACCGATGCTTTGCGTCGTGACTTTACCGTTAATTCGCTTTTCTACAATGTTCGTACCGACGAAATTGAGGACATTACAGGACGTGGACTAAAGGATTTGGCTTCCAGATCGCTTGTCACTCCTGTTGATGCTGTTGCTTCTTTCATTGACGATCCATTACGTATCTTGCGTGGCATTCGTTTCGCTTCTCGTTTTAATTTTACCTTGCACGATACCTTTTTTAATGCTATTAGACACCCCAAAGTTTTGGTATGTTTTATACACAGCCCTTTGATATTGTTTTAACTAACTCATGGAAGGACGTATTCTTTATAAAGTTGAGCAAAGAGCGGATTGGCGAAGAACTCAGTAAAATGCTAAACTGTATGTATTTGTATATGTTATTATTATTATTATTCTAACGTGTCTAGCAACAAATCCGGAAGTGGCAGTTGGAATGCTCTACGATACTGGCATTGCTGCTCTTATCCTTGATGAATTTACGCCGGAACAATATAAACAAGTCCAGCGTGCTTTGGTTGCAGCACGTCAAGCAGTTAATTATTTCTCGGACGCCTCTACGCAGCCAAGTCCTCTTTCTTCTACCGGTGATTTCGTGGTTTGGTTATTTGCTACCCTCGTTCCTTGGCGCAACGAAAAAATGCTGGAAAAGAAGAAGGAAGTTTACGTGCCAACTAAAACTTCTCGTGATCGGTTGAAGCTTCCCAATCCTGTTGTGATTCCGCTTAGTCAGTCTTTTGCATTTGCAAAATCATTCGATAAACTCGCACACCAACCTGAATCCCTAAGCCGCGTCACCATCGGCAATTTCATTAGAGAAGTTGGTTCTAACTGGCACGTTGCTCTTGCTTGTGCATATGTTTGGAGCGCTGTGGAACGGTCAGATGAGCCCATGCACAAGACGTTCGAAAACTTCGAAACCCTTTTACAGCGAGTCTATGACTACAATCTGCAAGATGCTTATTCTTGGAAACCAATTCTTAATGTACGCCATTGCAAAACCTTACGGTTATTCACTTCTTAAATATTGGGTTTTTGATTACTAACGAAGGATAAACAGGGAAAACAAATTACGCAACAGTTGCATGTAAAACCAGGACCTGATGTGAAAAGTGCCATAGAAAAGGTTCTGGAATGGCAATTTGAGCACCCTGGTGGAGAAGTGGATGACTGCATTCGTGAACTTTCACAAATGAGTGTTAAGGATAAAAATTGAAGGTGTTGACTGTTTCATCAATTACTGGCCGTCCATCCTTTTTTTGTTGTGTTTGCGGAATGTTGAAGTAAGTAGAGTTAACTGATAATGAAATGGAATACTGGTGTTCATAACGATAACGCAGCGCCTACGGATTTGAGTTTACCAGTCGCGAACAGGCTCTTTATATTCATACTCCGTTGTTTCTGGGATAACACTGGTGCATTTTGGGTAGCAGTAATTTAAGGTTACTGAGCAACGAGTCCCTTCCAAGTCATCGCTGAAGTATCTTGTTCCACAAGCAGAGCATTGCAAGTTTAATTGATCAAACTCATCAATAATGTCTCGACCTGTGCGACTTGGATAATTGTCATTTTCGCATCTGTAGATGGCTGTGCACCAATGCGAAGCATAAGACGTATAGCCGTGGTATATCAGAGATGCATTATATTGCATGTAAGCATTGGGGCATGCTCTAGATTCCCCACGTAACATTGGACAAAGGAATGAACCTTTACAGTCATTCGGTGCGACGGAGTTATCATAGCCTAAGAAGTTAAACATGCCCCGCTTTGCAATTGATGACATAGACGAAGAGTCCGTATGAACCGAGGAACCACTATCTGGCAACGGACTTGCTTGCAAAAACGGAAGAAAAGGAAGCCAAGAAAAGAGGGATAGTTTCAGTAGCATTGCAAAGAGAGTGATTTCTTTGGATGGTAAATTCGTGTACCGGGATGAATTTATAGTCTTAAGTGACTTAAGGCTCACCGAAGAAAGCCTTTTAAACATTTAACAGTCGATTTCGTGATTTGTTTACATGAGCCATTTCACATTACCGACGTCTCCAATCGTCTTCATCCTCAGAGGCACTTTCCTCGACATTCATGAGAGCGTCAACGTTGGTTATATTCGTCTCATCGTTAACGGCATTAAGAGTATTATCTTTTGGTCGAAAGTTTTTGAGTTTTTCTAAACGATCTCGGAGCGTAGTCATATAAGACTCTTCTTCATAAAAAAGATCTAGGTCGTGAATTGTGTCATCGGGTTCTTGTTTATTCATAGATGGTGTTGAATATTCATTATTTGAATCGAGTAGTTTTTCTTCTTTTAGTTGACGTATTAGTTCATTCTCCCGTTGTGCTAGATCTTTAGCTTCAGTTTGTTTAGATGTAACTTCTGCTATATCTTTCTCAAAGTTCGACCACTCTTCGTCTATCGCGGTATTGTTACCGGTACTGGTTTTGTCGAAAAAATCAACTGGGAGTATAGGTGTACCTTTATCTTCTTCTCGAAGAGAATGATCTTCCGTTTTATCTTTTAATAACGGTTCATTTTGGTTTTTGTCTCTTGGCGCTTCTGTTTCTTGTTTTTTTACGCGTTTTGGAGTAGCCGATTGAAAACGATCAGCGCGTTTTCGAGTATTTGTTCCATTTCTCTGTAATCGAGCCTGTTTCAATAGTTCTCTTGCAGAAGACATATTTTTAGAACAGGAATGAAGCTGCAGAACTCACCAAATAGTGATTCTATAGAAATTATACTCTCTAGGGCGGCGACTAAATTTGGCGACTCACTGAAGGCGCGTCCCGACACAACAAAACCTTTCAAGAACAAAACACTCTAATTGTGCATTCTTGGGATCGAAAAACCGTTAAAAACATTTTCTGTAACAAAAGAACTCCCCATAATTAGTTTGTGCGTCTTTTTGACGACAGAAATGGGTAAGTTAGAACGAGAGCTAAATAGAAAAGGCGTTGAACAACATTAAAGATCTAACACGAAACAGATGATATTGATTTCAGTATAAACGACTTTCCTATCAATAACAACGTTGATGTCTTGTTCAGTCATTCAGAGTTTAATGATCAATTGGGCCAAAACATTCCCAAACGCGAAAACAACCCGTCATCGTATTCAGGCGACGTAACCAGATGCATCTGTGGTTCCGCTACGGACAATGGTGAAACCTTTGTTCAATGTGATGGCTGTGACAATTGGCAGCACGCTAGCTGCATGGGCTTAAAAAGTGATGCTCTTCCTGAAAAATACTACTGTGAATTATGTCGACCAGACCTTCATCCAGAGCTCGTATATAGGCAAAAGCAGTATCAACAGGTCGACATTTTGCCTCAAGAAACTACCTCTGACAGTCTCGTGAACGAGTTTTTAAATACCGAGCAGCTTGTTGATGATAATAGCCGTAAAAGGAAAGCAAACGATTTTACTCCTGAGGGGACAATGTTTCCATTAGGCATCGCACCGGTTAATACAGTTGCTGATCCTGTCCCCTCTATTCCAGATTCGATACAGGTATTCGCTCCAACACAAACAGATCTACCGGTTCCTCCCCCTCCCTCTGTTTCTGATATGACTTCTCAAGACATTGTACAGAATAGTGATACTTTACCCTCGTACGTCAACAATAAACGAAGCAAGTCAAATCCAAAACCAACATCGACATCTGCGCCAACTCCTGCTATGGATCGAGATTTGCAGGAGTTTACAAACATTGAAGAAATACCAAACAAGGTCCGGCAGAGTGTTGCTAAAGCATGGCTATCAGCACTGAAGTCGATGGTAGAAAAATGCAAAACGGAGAGTGCGAATCTCAAATTCCCCGATTTAGTCGAATTTGCTCTCCAGTTGGAGCGTACAATGTTTATTGAATTATCTTACAAAATTGACGGAAACGCAATTCCTAATAAGGCGTATCGAGACAAATTCCGGAATATTAAATTCAATTTGACGGATGATAGGAATCCGCATTTACGTGCTAGTTTATTCAAAGGTGAGATTACACCTGTGCAACTTGTGCACATGACGAGCGAGGAAATGGCAAATCCTGACCTTAAAGTTTTTGCTGAACAAATCCGTCAACAAAGCACAGAAAATACCATTTTAAAAGAACACCATATTCCAAAACCAAGAAAATATGAGGATGGGGAAACTGAAGGTGATAAAGATTTAAAGGAGGAGATGTCACCGGCCAAAAGTGGAACACAGAAACGGTCAGAACAACCATACGAACCTAGTCGTGTAGGTTCCCCAGAATCAGAAAGCCAACAAAAAGAAAATATCTCCTCGGAAGGCTCGCGCTCTGACGGACAGTCTGCTGCAGACTCTTCAAAGGAGGGAAACTCTCGCGATGCATCTTCGCAGCCCCTCACTCCTAAGGTTTCACACAAGGAAACACTCGCAACTGTGAATCCGGCGGACCTCGTTGAAATCGACGACCCTAACATTGCAGACATTTTGTCTGATGATGGCTCCACACAAACACCTCCTTATTCTCCAACGGATCACAGTCCTTTGTTTTTGAATGAAAATGCTATTTGGGAAGGCCGCATAAAAATGGCTTCTGTGGCAGAGTTTCCCGCAAAAGGAATTCAGGTTGCTGGCTCACTCATGGATTCCACACTTACGAATGAAATATTATCCTCTACTGCTTCACTTGATGGGCGCATTAGCATGGAATCTACTCTAAAATATCTTCAGGCCCTACAGCATAGTCCTTCGAAAGACATTCTTGCTATGGTGTTCCTTCCTACGAATTCAGACACACATGGCTTTGACACGTTGTTTGATTACTTTCTGAAACGCAATCGCTACGGGGTACTACGTTCAAAGTCTCCAAAAGTTAAGGACGCATATATTGTTCCACTTATGCCAAGTCCCGGTAAGCCTCCCGAAATCCTCAAATACCTCCCTAATTCCTCTTTTCCTGCGGACTTTAAAGAGCGTGTACTGCTTGGTCTATTCATTATCAACAAAACTAATACCGTGCCTGTCACACGAGATGGGAATTTTGGAAAAGATACAGGTGCTTCTTCTGTTTCTCAGCAAAACACTCCGTCCGTAGCACCCAAAGCCTTCAATAATCCCCCTTCTCTAGTACCCACTGGCACGTCAATTACTTCGGATTCCAGTTCCTCTTCTCATGTCTCTGATGTGATGACTCTGTTTACACCGGCAGATTGTCATTTTTTAAAAATGCTATTAGAAACAGATCAACAAATCAGGGCCAATCCATCACTGGCGTTTAATCCTAGTTTCTTACAAAAATTAGTAGCTGAACATATTAAGTTGGCTCATTACCCGCAGTTATCCTAAAGCCTGTGTTACTATAGTATGAATGAGCTTCATTAGTGTTATTCATATGCTCCTATCATGAAGGTTTCGGTCGTTTCGGGAAAAGGCCGTTAGCCATTGGATAAATGGAATTACTATATATTCTAATGAAATGATTCTAAAATACAGTTTTTTTCTCTTTTTATTTGCGATAAATTGTTTTTACGCTATAGAAGAGGTTTAGCGCGTAGTGAATTTCATTTAGTGTCGCGTCTTGACGCGTTCTTTTTTTAAGCTTTTATGACGCGGGGATAGTCTTTTTGATGAAGGACGCGTCGAGTTACTTTTGTCCTTAGCCAATGTCAGAAACGAATATTAACGACACAACTGCGAAGCCGCAGGAAGAAATTTCTTCATCTACAGATATTCTGGCCAATGTCGAGGAGAAATCCTCAATTCCGGTAGAACCATTGGAACCGGTACACGTCGAAGACGAAAATAATGTTCCCGTACCCCCGAAGGATACGCCTGTAATGAACACTCCAGAACCTAAAGCTTTACATAAGTTACCCGATCAGCAGCTGTTCACGCCTCCCATTTCACGAAAACGTCTTCGCGATGTAAAATCGACACTTTTTAAACCATTCAAGAGCCCTGTTATGAAACTACCGTTAACTCCTCAGAACCAAAACACACAATCACCATGTGCACATGAAACACCAATTTCTGCCTCCGAGGAGCTTTCGTCCTCTTCGGATTTACTGTCATCTTCTCCCTCGAAGGCAAGCTTTGTTAGGAAGAAACGCGTAAAGCGATCGTTCCAATCACCCATAGCATCCCTAAAAAGCTCCAGCGATCCGGAATTGGTCGCTTTGCTTTCCCATCGATTACGTGTTGAAAAGGAGGTAAAAACGCTCCAGGATGATTTAAACACGGCCGAAGCTGCTTTTAAAGTTGAGACGAAAGACGAGGACGATGATCTTATAGTCCTCATTCATCGTTGGCGCGCTGCCGCGCAGCAAGCAGCGGATGTTCTGTTTCACCCTATGGCAGAACGAATTGCAAATGCTGGAGGAGTTACTCGATGTGTTCGACTTCAACAGGATGGTCAGGAATACGTTTCGGAAGAAAAAACGAAGTATACAATGGGCATGTTCCTTCAACAATTCGGCGTTCCTTATGAACTTATTGGATACGATCCAGAAGAAGACGATTGGACAACGACTTAGCTTTCAGGGAAGGCTTTTCTTTTTTTATGATTTATGACCACTAACGAAACGAAATATGAGTCCGGTACACGACTTGTTTCGAAGAAAAAAAATAGTTTTTATATATGTCTGCTCATCTCGCTACATTAGCACGTTCGCAATATTGCTACATACGCGTACACACACCTCCTATACATTCGTTTTAATTGACAACGTTAATTCCTTGTTATTAAAAAAAAAAGGAAACATGAATTGAAAGAACTGGAAAAGATTGTAACTCGTTTACATACATCACAATTTCTAAACGAGACACGAACTGTTCATCGAGAAGGCTCTTTTTCCTTAGAGCTCTTCGCGTTCATTACGACGACTATAGTTAGCTTTCACACTAACGATGGATTTCTTCCTGCGATGGGAAATATTTCAGCTCGCTTAATGGCCAAGCTGTTTATAAGGATAAAAGAATGATTGCTGCTTAATGCGCAGCAACTTGGTTACGTCTCGCACGACGAGCGAGTCTGTCTTCTCTCAGTCTTTGACGATTCCGTAAATGTTGACGGGTGAAAAAACCACCAACAATAAGTACAATGATTGTCACCACTATGGTTTCGACAAGTCGACGGTCAACGTAGTCAAAGCCGTTATACATGATATCGTCCTCTTTCATGTCTTGCTTTTTTTCCGTAGTGGTAAAGGTAGGACTCGAAGTCGAGACTCCGGCAGTCGTGACAGACTCTTGGGAGGAATTGCTGGAAGATGCTCGAACCGACGAAGGCAGAAAACAGACTTTCGCCGGGAGCAATTTAATGTTGCAGAGCGGTGCCTGAATCCGTTCTTGCACCCGGCGGAAGGCATTGTTCAATAGACGACATACCATTTCGTATGATTCTGCGTAACTACTTTTCAAAATAGACAGACGCAACAACGACCACGTACTCATGAGTTCTGCCCGTTTGTCGCTCTTCAGCATAAGATCATAGTGCCGTTTGGCCAATTCAAAATCCTTAGGTACACCAAGACCCTTCTCATGCATCCAACCAAGTCGCCAATGAACAAAAGCAGACTCCCCGAGTTGCAGAGCTGCTTCGTAATATGTCATGGCGGTCTGGGCGTCCACTTGTGTGCCTAATCCTTGACGATAAAAGTCACCAACTTTGACGATGGAGTCACGATGGTATTGACCAGCTGCGCGAGAGTAGAAAAGCAATGCCGTCTTCAAGCGGGCATCATTTGCGACTGCGTTTTCATCGTAAAGTTCGGGAAGTGTGCGAAGGAGGGAGACATCGGGGTCGTACTTCTGAGCAACTTGAACTTGTGCGTTTCGATTACCCATTTCAGCAGCAAAACGCGACGACAACGTGTCGCTGTTGAAATCAAATAAGTGAAACATTATCTCGGCAAACTCTTTGTAGAGCCTGACGGAAACACTAATGTCACTCTGTTCAAAAAGATGAGCAAGATAGTAGCCAGCTTCAATATCATGAGCGTTATAAACAGATTGCAAATGGGACAATGCCATTTCCCGTTTGCCGTTTGCATATTCGAATTTGCCAAGTTCTCGGTAAGCAGAAATAGCACCCAATCTTTTGACAGCTTCAACGTGGCCGACGGTAAAGGTTTCTTTGGCTTGGAGATATCGAAGGACAGCTTTTTCGGCAGATTCCAGATACTCACGGGCAAGAGCCTCGTTCTTCGTCACCCCGAGTCCATGAAGAAGCATGTATGCGAGACCGCTAATGCACTCGTAATTCTTCAATTGTTTTCCCTTGGTAAACCATGCCCACGCCAGTTCGTAGTCGGGATCTCCACCGTCCAAACCGATCAAGGCAAGACGGCCCAAACGGAAGGCGGTGCTGCCAACGTACATGCGTTGTTCATCGTCGTAGTCCCGGAAGCGTCGGGACTGCACGGTTTGTGCCGTCTCCTTGCTGACTTTCATGCTGCTTGGCAGATACTCATCGACAATTTGACGGTAAATAGTCAGTGCCTGTGGCAAGTCCTGAGGTATATCTCTCAGACCGGTTTCGTGCAATTCAGCCAAGCTGTACTTGGAGGGAAGATCAGAGCCTCGAGTAGCTGCATACTCCCAAACATAAACTACGTCTCTCAGACGATGAACATTCTGGACCATTTTCAAGTGATACAGATCGGGATCGTGGCCTCTGTTTCCCTCATGGCCAAGCGGTTGCACGAAGGGTAGTGCTTGGTCTGCTAAGTATCGGTACAGTTCAAGTGCTTTCGACTGGTTCTGAGCACAGTGGATGCCAGCGTGATGCTGATACGCCAGCACGAATATAGCAAGCGGATGGTGTTTCCGGGCAGCAGCTTCTAGATGAATACGAGCTAAGACTGGGTTGTATGGAATTGCCGTGCGGAATGCTTCTTCGTAACCAAACAACTGGAGTGCTCCTAAGACGAAATGGGCGTGAGCATCTCCACTATTTGCATCATTTTGTAGATTGATCAAGTCTTCTGATGTTACAGTAGCAGCAAAGTCTTTGAGGAATATGCTTATGTCATTTCGTGATCCAATTTCGGTCGGCGATACTGTGTTTTTCATATCATCATCATTCTGAGCTCTAGCTCCGCGTACAGGGCATATGCATTGCGAACATAGTAAGAGAAGAGCCACAAAAACCGGAATACACCTGTTCAGCAGCGACATCTTCCTTAGTAGCCGGTTCAGCCTGGGCGCGCCCAAGGACTGCTGTACGGTAGTGCTGTGCATGGCGGTGTACAGCACTGGACTGTATTAAATGTCTTTAGTGAACTTGGTGGTGCTGCACGATACTACAAGATACTCTAGTGAAACGCATTGCAAAGCAATGCGTTTCACTACGTCTCTCTATCTCGTTTACCAACACACTTCCCCTCCCTAATGCTCGCTCCCTCTCCTTCCGCCGCGCATCTTAACTTGCCCTCTACCCTCACCCATATCATGTCAAATTCAATTGTCGTAAGTAGAGAATTGCTCTTAACAGAAACTAACGCGTCAGGGAGAGGTTTACCAGCATGTGATACTGGACGTTATCGCCAATTCGCGAAACGATTTCGAGGAGAATGGAGTCGAAGAAGCTACGTTGCAAGAATTGCAGTCGGTACGTGATGAGGCCCGGAACACAAAGACTAATGCAGTAGTTGTGGCAAAGCAAGCTTGTAGCTACAAATGTCGCGAGTTTTCCATGGGCTCAGGCTCCTGTAGCGCCGTTTTCGCTGGGTCAACTGTTCGACCCTGTGAATGGTATAAAACCAGAGGCTCTGGAAGCAGCTGCTGTGGCAGCTGCTGCTTCAGGAGCGTCTCCTGTTCTTGGAAACATTGCAGCTATCCGTGCTGCTCAGCAGATGGATGCTTTTGTCCAACAGCAGCAGCAGCAACAGCAACAAGCTAGTCGAACAAGTGCTCCTTCGTACTATACGTCAACTCCGTCGTCGTTGTCTGTTCACCGTACGCCTTCTGCTGCTCCTCAAAACAACGCCGCCGCCGCTGCTGCTGCTGCTGCTGCCGCACAGAGTAATGTGAATATGGCAAATGGAATGGTCACGTATCCTTCTTACAGTGCTTCGGCGCTACAATTACCCGGCCAGAATTCGTTGGCGTCCACTGGTGCGTTTTCGAACTCGTCGTCCCTTCCTGCTCAAGCAGATTCTAATAATGTCTTTAATGGTCTCCTTCTTCCCGGGCAAGATTCACCCAAACCACCTTCTCAACAGACGTTTCCTAATCTCCCGCCGCCGTCTCCAGACACGAAGCCAGTCCCACCCGCGTACACCACGCCTGCAAGTGGTGCTCGCGATGAATCTGCCTCGAAACAACAGCAACCTGCTGCTGTGGGTTCCGATGGAAAAAGCTCCTCAGCCGACGAGCCTTCGAGCACCCACATTCCTCAAACAGACGGGCCCTCTGTTGAAGCGGAGGAGGAGGAGGAGGCAGTTGTTGAACCAACAGCTGCACAGAAAGCAGACGCTGAAATTTACTCGATTTTGGCTAAAAACCGTGTCCTTCAAATTGATGGCACCGCCGACGACGAGGATGATGCCGATGGAAAGGGTGGTGCGGCTTCCGATACGCCGTCTGATGAAGCTATCAACTCTGATTTAGACGATCCCGATTCCGACGATGCTCCGGAAACTGAAGAAGGCTCTGACATTGGTCAGGCCATCGTTTTGTGCTTGTACGATAAGGTCAACCGCAACAAAAACAAGTGGAAGTGTGTGCTTAAGGATGGAATTGTCGGTGTCAATGGCAAGGACTACTTATTTTTCAAGGCGAACGGTGAATTCGAATGGATTTGAAGCAAATGGTGATTTGAATGGATTTAATGACCTGATTATTCTGTATGTGAAGCTGCATTGTGCGACTTTTCTCTAAACATTATGGATCTCAAAAAATAAGAGGAGCAGAAGATTTTGTTTTTGTTTATGCGCGAGCTTTGGTTTCCCGTGCACGAAAAGTTCTATCGAATCCGGCTACCATCCCTCTCTGTTTGTCCACCGCCTTCTCTCCCACATTCTCTTTCCGCTTATAGCGCGCTTCCTGTTTGTTCTCTTCCCCCTCTTCCCCTACGGTATAGCCGTCCTGAACCCTTTCTTGAAAATGTATTAGCGCTTTTCGTTTACGAAGAACAATTGTTTGTATAGATCATTTGTTTGGTTATGAGATGTGCATGTGCGTGTGTTCATTAAACAATTTCATTCTGCCGTAATCTATTAGTATAATTAAGTGAGGGAGCTGGATTCGTGTTCTGCGTGGCACATAGCCAAGACACAGTGGTGATACATGAGAGTACAAGACCAAAAAGTTAGCAGGATACGGCGGGTCGTAGACATGAAACAAAAAGGAAACAGATTAAAACAGCGAGCGGGGGAAGGCTTTTCAAAACGGGCGGAAAAGTAAAGAATGTGGGTGGGTGTGTACAGATGCAAAAAGAGCGTATGAAGACGGGTGTTCGGGTCACACTGCTTAACCTTGAGGCGCTGTTGTAGAGACGGTCGTGGAACGTTCTTGGGCTTGTGAAGGTTTTTCGGACGAAGACCCTTCCCTCCGAGGAGAACTGCTTTGTGCGACTGATTCCGACGAAACCGTTTGCTCAACAAACAACGGTTTGTCGAGCCCTAGCGTCGACGGGTTGAGACGGTCCTGAAACAACAGTCCAACAGTCTCAAGCCACGTTTTACGTTTTTTTATGAGGGCTTTTATGCCTGCGAGTGAGTTCATAGCAGCGAGGCTATTTTTATCAACAACGACACGCTTTTTCTTGGCCTTAAGTGAGCGATTCCGCTTCATATAAGCTTGTTCAATCTGTTTGTCGAGATCAAATAAAACGGTTGTGAATTCCTGAAATGCCATTTCATGCGGCAACAAATCCAGAATGGCTTTTTTCCGCTGTTTATTATGCTCGGCAACATGCTTTAGCTGTTCCTGAAGATCCCGTAGTGTGGCACACACTTCATCATCTTTCCGGCGGGTCCAGTCTACATCTTCCTCGTAAAGCATGTTTAGGTTCCTTAGCCGCTGCTTCAAATAGTCTTCGAAACGCGAAAAGCTCATATCGGTGAACGGCGTCTCTTCGTTTTCCGCCGCCTCTGCTTGTTCAGAGGATGGTTGTTCGTCGTCTTTCGTAGAAGAGGGATCTGGAGAGTTTTCGGAAACGACGTTTGCTTCGGTTTTTGACGTGGAAGGTGACTCAAGCTTGTCCGAGGTAAGGATTGATGCATCATCATCAGAGTCAGCAACGTCGGCTGGTTGTTGGATAAGAGCTGAAAGCAGACGTTCGGTCAACGGGCCACAGCTGATGTCCTCCGTGTGTAGGTTGCTTTCTTGTATGCTCGAAGCGAAGCCGTGAGGAGCTACCGACAAGCTCTGCCGCATGGGAGCAGCGTAAAAGTTGGCAACGTCTTCCTCTTCAGCCCATACGTCGTAGTAGTGTGGACCTAAGGGCGGAATAACAAATGCAGACTGGATGTCGGGTTCTTCACGCAGAAAGTTCATGTCATCCTCTGTAAAAGCGCGAAAGTATTGCTCCAAAGCGCCGTAGTATGTAGAGATGGCAACCTGGTTAGACGGTTTGCTGTAGGAAAAGTCGGCCGTAGCTGGCTCTCCGGCAACGAGATTCAGTAAATCATCATGGGGGAAAGAAGCGACAGCAAGTAAACGTTTCTTTTCTTCATCACTTTCTGTAGTGAGTAATTTTGTTTCCAGGCAGCCGGTAAACAAGTCTTCTGCCGTTTTGGCGTTGGCGTTATCGTCAACATCCTTTTCCCTCACCGGCAAATCAAGCGCAGTTTCTGTTTTCCCCAACTCTTGTGCCGAGACGCCATCATGTGCTGGCTCTTCGACTTTCAGTTTCTTCGGTTTTGGACCCTCCTCCGTCTCATCTGACACGAAATCTTTGGTGGCAATTTCGGTGGTACTGCCGTTCACCAAACCAAGATCCTCCTCCGTCTTCACGATGGAAACGTCGGTGGCATCCTTTGAGTTTGTTGCAGACGAATCGGCTTCGGCTGTGCGTTTCTCGAGTAATCGTTTCAAACGCTCGCACTCCTTTTTAAATAGCGATTTCCGTCGGAATTCAAAGTCGTGTAGATTTTGTAGTTCTGACAACAGCTTCCATAGTGTAGAAACATCTGGGACACTACCGGCCGATGGCGTGTCACTAAATTTTTTTAAACTCTCATAAGCCGAAAGATCTTCCACCTCAGTTATCACCACAGGCTCCTTTTCAGATGTGTTTTTCGTCTCATCTGCTGACATTTCAAAAGTACATTTGGCTCCAATACCTGTAGTGGCTGTACGTCTGCCACCAGTAACTTTTTTGTTGTTTTTTCCTTGCTCGTGTGAAGTCGTATGGTGGTGACCGACTACACGGTGGTCACGACAATTCTACATTTTTAGCAGCACAAAAAAAAACATTCACGAACGGGGATGCACGCAGATACAGTAAATATGTGTGTCATTAAAGTGCTGCAGTCTGTGGCTCTCTATTGAATGGAATATGTAGTTTTTTTTGCGTTGGTAATTATGGGTGAACGGTCACATTAGTAAGCAGGTAATAATACAACAACTTAGAGACAAAGAATATCGGGGGTGTATAAATAAGGTAGTTTAAAGGAGATTAAAGCTGTAGACGTCCTTTTTCTGGACTCGTTGGGGCATACTACAGACGTTCTCGAGGTCTTCCTTTGCTTTGAGGGCATTTCTTGATCTCTCAGTTCCCTTGTGCTTTTCTAGAAGAAACACCGATTTGCATCTCAGCTCGGTGTGTTTATGAAATGAATTTGTAGTGTTTTTGAAGAACTGGTGACCCAATGAAAGATTTTAGCATACTCTCAATTGACTTTTTTTGATAAGTAAAAACAACTTTTCAGTGTAACATTTTCGCCATGCTGACCATGTGTGCACTATTTGAGCTTGACGGTGTTTATTTTAAGTTTTAACTTCGCTTAATGCACTGAAACGATCATGACGAGTGTTGGATTGTCGTACAATTGGAGCAGTTATAGTTTTCGTTTGCAGTTTGAGAGACTTGCTCAATTGATACTTTATTCAATGCATTTCTCTGGATTCTATTACGTTGTCAACAATGTACAAAAGATTTAAATTTTCGATGGAAAAAACAAAAGTAAATTTATTAAATTGAATAATAAAATAAGATAAATAAATAAATAATGTAAAATAAAATAAAATAAAAACAATAAAACTGGAGAGAAAAACACTTCGTCACAGTTTGTAGGTGTTTAAATATATTACCAAATTAGCTGTTTGTTTTCTTTAACCAATTGTTTTTTAGTCATACATTACTATTATTGCCTTTTTACTTGCTTCACCGTACTAACTGCTGCTTTTTATTTCATGCTACATGGTATATTATATAGCAATTAACCTCGAGTTTCAAGTCTCAATCAGCTCATTTATCTATATTTTACATTATTTTATTTTAATTAATTAATTAATTAATGAATTGTTTTTTTTTTTTTTTTTTTTTTTTTTCATCCTCTTCCCCTCCTTCCCCCATCATTCCGCTGCGTACCGCCGTATCTCGTTATATCAAATTTTAGCACAGCGGTCACAGAAACCCCTCTGTCGCCCAACCAACCTCACAACGTCTAGGCGGCTGGTCACTAACCTTAAGCGCAAACTCATCCACCCTTAACCAAACTTCGTGTCGAACTGGTTTCGATTTCCTTTAACCTTGTTGGACTGAGCAGGTCGCAGTAACACTCGTTCACTTTCTTCGGTTCACGCATTCAGCAACTTTGTGCTGTTTCCTCGCGTTCTCTTAATTTTATTTTTTCACCAAACGTTAATTTCGTGTTTTTCGGAAAAAATGGTTTCTGCCGACAAAAATTCACAGACGGTATGGTTTAAGTCTTTACACCGGTGTCAACAACATCTATTTGGCTTTGTTAGCGTCTCAGGACGATAGTCTGGTTTCGTGTTTGTTTTTCACTATCTGAATGACCTCCCTACCAATGGTGTTCCCGTGTTTCTCCTTTTTCCTTTATACTAACGACAATCTCTTAGCTAGCTAATGCTATCGATAAACTTGGCGAGGCGTTCAACGCTGCCGTTGAAGCTTGCAACGAGCTTAAGCGGTCGCTTCCGCAAATTTTGGCTGAAAAATTGCCCGTGCAGTCTCCTCGTGGCAAGGGAACCCCTAGAAAGCAAACAAAGAAGGTGATTGAAGAGCACATCCCTTCTGACGAGGCTTCCGACGAGGAAGACGATATGACTTTGAAGGAGGCTGTCGCTGCGAAGGCTAAGGGTCTTCGTGAGGCAGCAGCAGCGGCAGCAGCGGCTGCCGCCTCCTCTACCGCTGGAAAGCGGAAAGCGAGGGACCCTAACCAACCCAAGCGTCCCCCTTCCGCTTACATTTTGTATCAGAAGGTTCAGCGACCTATCGTTCGCGAGAGCCTGGGTGAGAAGGGAAACGACGTCAAGGAGGTGAACAAGGCCTGCCACGAAAAGTGGGACAGCCTGTCTGAGGAGGAGAAGAAGCCTTTTGAAGAAGAGGCCGCTAAACTTCGCTCGGAGTACGAGAAGAACATGGTCACCTTCGAGGCAAACAAGGAGAAGGAACAGGAACAGGGAGCTGAAACTGTTCCCACCGAAAACAAAGAGGAGCACACAGCTGCCGAGACGGAAAAACCAGAGGCAAACGATAGTTCTTCTAGCTCTCCTTCTTCTTCCCAGGAGGAGTCTGCTACTGCTCCCGCTGCACCCGAAAAGCCCGAGAGTGCCAGTGCTCCCGCTACTCCTCGCGGTAAAAAGTCCAACGAGTCCGCACGTGAGAGAAAGCGCAAGCACAAGAAGAACGCTGCCACCGCTAACGCTACACCTGCTGCTTCTCCAGCTGTTGGCAAGAACGAACCTCGTGACAAGAAGAAGAGACGTAAAAGTGAGCCTCATTCGAACAAGACGAAATAAGCTACACTTCCCATCTGTACACTAATACCGACTGATCCATAAGTCTCATCTTCACGAGTTGTACACACACATACGGTGGTTCCGCCATCCCATGGTTCCATCTTTCACCACTCACAACTGATGTGCTGTAGACATAAATCGAATTCAACAAGGACCGAACACTTTTGGTAGCTAATAGCAATATACAGTTTTTGATATAAGCAATCGGGGCACGCCCATATACCGTTTCTTTACTGGGTTCCTCCTACAACCTTACAAATCAAAGATAACCTTAATTTATCTATCTAATCTAAGCGAAACACTATTTTATTAGAGTCTCCTCTCTCGCCATCAAACCATCCGAGACAACGTTACGCCGCAGATGACGTCGTGAAAAAAAAATTACACGTCCTCGTAAAACTCGATAAATAACTTTGTTGAATAGTTTTGGGCACACATGTTCATGTATACAGATCTCGTATAACACGAACAAATCTCTATCACAGGCTCAACGCCGCTGGCTGGTAGTGTGGAGTGTGAGGAAGGGCGCTACCACCTAAAAATTTAGGAACTGCCACCGACGTCGAAATCTTTGCAACTCACACAGGATGAGCGGGATACAGGTATAAACTCGTTTTTTTCAGTCAAAAGCTAACCAAAAGTTCACGCCCTCTTCCGTTCCGTTGCGGTATGCTGTTTTTTTTTGGGTTTAGGTTAACATTTGGACAGTCGGGTGGAAGAGGTTCAGTTTGGTATCTTGTCACCCGAGGAAATTCGTTCTATGAGTGTTGCGAAGATTGAAGTATGCTGGAACATTGTTTTGTTCGAATGTACAGAAGTCTAACGTCTTCAGTTTCCTGAGACAATGGATGAAACTGGACTTCGTCCAAGAGTTGCAGGTCTCTTGGATCCTCGTCTAGGCACCATCGGTATGTTACCTTGGACGACTTTCATGCAGTTTACTCTGCTGTCAGGAGCTGTTTTGGGATTGCTTTCTTTTGTTCTCGTTTTGTTGCAACGGTTTTTTAACAGTTTTATTTAGATCGTCAGTTTAAGTGTCAAACCTGCGGCGAGACCATGGCTGAATGTCCTGGTCATTTTGGTATGCATTTTTGCTGCTTGCAGACACGGTCAAATGTATCGGTTACTAACTCACTACTCGCTAGGTCACATTGAATTGGCAAAACCTGTATTTCACATTGGGTTTTTGACAAAAATCAAAAAAATTTTAGAATGTGTTTGCTGGAACTGCGGCAAACTTAAAATCGATCCCTCCAACCCCAAGTTTGCCGAGACACAAAGATTCAGAGATCCAAAAAATAGGCTGAACGCCATTTGGAATATCTGTAAAGCAAAAATGGTTTGTGAGACAGGCGTGTCTGCGGGATCAGATGCGTTTGATCCAAACCGTGTCGGAGGAGAATTAGGCCACGGCGGATGCGGTAACGCCCAGCCTACTATTCGAAAGGAGGGTCTCAAACTTTGGGGCTCATGGAAAAAAGGAAAGGACGACTCTGATCTGCCTGAAAAACGTCTTCTTAATCCACTTGAAGTGCACACCATCTTCAAGCACATCAGTTCTGAAGACCTTGTGTATATGGGACTTAACGAGCAGTACGCCCGTCCTGACTGGATGATCATTACAGTGTTGCCTGTTCCTCCGCCCAGTGTCAGACCCAGTATTTCTGTCGACGGCTCTAGTCGTGGTGAAGATGATCTTACGCATAAACTTTCTGATATCATAAAAGCAAACGCCAATGTTCGTCGCTGTGAGCAAGAGGGTGCGCCTGCACACATTGTTTCCGAGTATGAGCAGTTATTGCAGTTCCATGTAGCTACTTATATGGACAATGAGATTGCGGGTCAGCCCCAAGCTCTCCAAAAATCCGGAAGACCGTTGAAGTCCATTCGTGCCCGTCTTAAGGGTAAGGAGGGTCGTCTTCGTGGTAACCTTATGGGCAAGCGTGTTGACTTTTCAGCCCGTACCGTTATCACTGGTGATCCTAACTTATCGTTGGATGAGCTTGGTGTCCCACGAACCATTGCAAAAACCCTCACATATCCTGAAACTGTTACGCCTTATAATATTTACCAACTACAGGAGCTGGTCCGCAACGGCCCTGATGAGCACCCTGGTGCGAAGTACATTATTCGTGATACTGGTGAACGTATTGATCTCCGTTATCACAAGCGTGCCGGCGATATTCCTCTGCGTTACGGCTGGCGCGTTGAACGACACATTCGCGATGGAGATGTTGTCATCTTCAACCGTCAGCCTTCGCTGCATAAGATGAGTATGATGGGTCACAGAATTCGTGTCATGCCCTATTCAACTTTTCGACTGAATTTATCCGTCACTTCCCCATACAATGCTGATTTTGACGGTGATGAAATGAACATGCACGTTCCACAATCTGAAGAAACGAGAGCGGAGATTCAGGAAATTGCTATGGTCCCAAGACAGATTGTTTCTCCTCAATCAAACAAGCCTGTTATGGGTATCGTGCAAGATACACTTGCTGGTGTGCGCAAGTTCTCTCTGCGCGATAATTTCCTTTCCCGCGACGTTGTTATGAATATTATGCTTTGGGTGCCCAACTGGGACGGAGTGGTGCCTCCTCCTGTTATTTTGAAACCGAAGCCCCTTTGGACTGGTAAACAGATTTTGAGTCTTGTCATTCCTAAAGGTATTAACCTCACCCGTGATGATGATAAACAAACATATATAAACCCGAATGATAAGGGTATGCTTATTGAAAATGGCGATATCGTTTATGGTGTCGTCGACAAAAAAACAGTGGGTGCTTCCCAGGGTGGTTTAGTCCATACTATCTGGAAAGAAAAAGGCCCCGAAGTCTGCAAATCCTTCTTTAACGGTATTCAACGTGTTGTCAACTTTTGGTTGCTGCATAACGGCTTCAGCATTGGTATTGGTGACACCATTGCTGATCTTGCAACTATGAAGGATATCACAAGAACCGTCAAGGATGCCAGACGCCAAGTTACAGAGTGTATTAAGGATGCTCAACAAAACCGTCTCAAACCCGAACCCGGTATGACTCTTCGTGAGACTTTTGAAGCTAAGGTTTCTCGAATTCTTAACCAAGCTCGTGATAATGCAGGTCGTTCTGCTGAGCACAGTTTGAAGGATTCGAATAATGTTAAACAAATGGTCGCTTCTGGTTCAAAGGGTTCTTTCATTAACATTTCTCAAATGTCTGCTTGTGTCGGTCAACAGATTGTCGAAGGTAAACGTATTCCTTTCGGATTTAAATACAGGACACTTCCTCACTTCCCCAAGGATGATGATTCTCCAGAGTCTCGTGGTTTCATTGAAAATTCATACCTTCGGGGCTTAACTCCTCAGGAGTTCTTCTTCCATGCTATGGCTGGTCGTGAAGGTTTGATCGATACTGCCGTTAAGACAGCCGAAACTGGTTACATTCAACGTCGTTTGGTGAAAGCTATGGAGGATGTTATGGTTCGTTATGATGGAACTGTCCGAAATGCCATGGGCGATATTGTCCAGTTTGCTTACGGAGAGGATGGACTTGATGCTACAATTGTTGAGTACCAAGTCTTCGATGCACTTCGTCTCTCCAATGTTGACTTTGAAAAGAAATATAGAATTGATCTTGTGGAAGATAAAAAAATATGTCTTCACATGGAGAATTCTATTGAAGGCGACGTTGCTATGCAAGAATTGCTTGATGAGGAGTACTCTCAACTTCTTACGGACCGTGAGTTGTGCAGAGGTTTTATCTTCCCTAATGGCGAAGCTCGCTGGCCGCAGCCTGTTAATGTTCACAGAATCATTCAAAATTCTGTGCAGATCTTCCATCTCGACAGCAAGAAACCAACAGATTTGTTACCCAGTGACATTATCTACGGTGTTCGCAACTTGATCAGCAAACTTAGTGTCTTCCGTGGTGATGATCGTATTACCAAGGAAATCCAGGAAAACGCTACTCTTCTGTTCCAAATTCTTCTTCGGTCGAAACTTGCTACGAAGAGAGTTGTTATGGAGTATCACCTGAACAAGATTGCATTTGAGTGGATCATTGGTGAGATTGAAGCTAGATTCCAACAATGTCAAGTTAATCCTGGCGAAATGGTCGGTACTTTAGCTGCTCAATCCATCGGTGAACCTGCTACTCAAATGACTTTGAACACATTCCATTATGCCGGTGTGTCTTCAAAGAACGTTACTTTGGGTGTTCCTCGGTTGAAAGAAATTCTTAACGTTGCCAAAAACATTAAAACTCCGTCCTTGACGATCTATTTGCTTCCAGAAATTGCATCTAACATGGATCTTGCTAAGAATGTCCAAACACAAATTGAGCACACGACCCTGAAGACTGTCACATCTGCTACGGAGATTCACTATGATCCCGATCCCCAGAACACCGTTATTGATGAGGATAGAGACTTTGTCGAGGCATTCTTTGCTATTCCTGATGAAGAAGTTGAAGAAAACCTTTACAAACAATCACCTTGGCTTCTTCGTCTTGAGTTAGACCGTGCCAAGATGTTGGACAAAAAGCTTAGTATGAGTGACGTTGCTGGAAAGATTGCTGAGAGCTTTGAGCGCGATCTTTTCACTATCTGGTCCGAAGACAATGCGGAGAAGCTTATTATTCGTTGTCGTATTATTCGTGACGATGATAAGAAGGCGGATGAAGATGATGGTCTCATTGAGGAAGACATCTTCCTCAAAACTATTGAGGGCCATATGCTTGAGAGCATTAGTCTTCGTGGTGTCCCGAACATTACGCGTGTTTATATGATGGAACACAAGATTGTTCATCAAAACGACGACGGTGTTTTTGTTCGTGATGATGAGTGGGTTCTTGAGACAGATGGTATTAACCTGGCTGAATCTATGGCTGTTGAGGGTGTCGATCCTTCTCGCACATACTCCAACTCATTCGTTGAAGTTTTGCAAGTCCTTGGTATCGAAGCTACCCGCTCGGCCTTATTAAAGGAGTTGAGAAACGTTATTGAATTCGATGGTTCGTATGTCAATTACCGTCATTTGGCTTTGCTTTGCGACGTTATGACTTCTAGAGGTCATTTGATGGCTATTACTCGACACGGTATTAACCGTGCTGAAACTGGTGCTTTGATGAGATGTTCGTTCGAAGAAACAGTTGAAATTTTAATGGATGCCGCTGCCAGTGGTGAAAAGGATGGCTGCCGTGGTGTCTCTGAAAACATTATGTTGGGTCAGTTGGCTCCTATGGGTACTGGCTCTTTTGATGTCTTCCTCGATCAAGATCTTCTCTTGAGCGAGGTTCCCAGTGCAGGAATGCCGACACTTGTTGGAACTGGCATGGGCAAGGCTATATTGCCGGAGGGTTCTGCTACTCCTTATGAGCGTTCGCCATTAGCTGACAGTGGATACATGGGTTCGCCTGACGATGCGGCATTCTCTCCTTTGATCCAAACAAGTCAAGACACGCATGACGACGACTATGGTATGATGGCTAGCCCGTACGGAGCGGACGCACGTTCTCCTGGCTACATGAGTCCGTTCAGCGGAGCATCCAGCCCAGGCTTCAGTCCATCTTCGCCTAGCTACAGTCCCTCATCACCTGCTTACTCGCCAACGAGTCCTTCGTACTCACCGACGAGCCCGTCGTATTCGCCCACAAGTCCCTCGTACTCGCCGACGAGTCCGTCCTATTCCCCCACGAGCCCTTCGTACTCACCGACCAGCCCTTCGTACTCTCCAACGAGTCCATCATACTCGCCCACCAGCCCTTCGTACTCTCCGACGAGTCCATCTTACTCTCCTACCAGTCCTTCGTACTCGCCCACGAGTCCCTCCTACTCACCAACGAGCCCATCATATTCGCCAACGAGTCCGTCGTATTCGCCCACGAGCCCGTCGTACTCGCCCACGAGTCCTTCATACTCCCCTACCAGCCCATCCTACTCACCAACGAGCCCGTCATATTCGCCTACGAGCCCGTCTTACTCACCAACAAGTCCATCGTACTCCCCGACGAGTCCTTCGTATTCTCCTGGTCATTCCGCACAAAACGCACAAGGACGCATGTCTCCACGGTCACCCGTGTATTCACCTACAAGTCCTTCTTATTCCCCAACCTCACCCAGTTACTCGCCGACGTCGCCTCGTTACTCACCAAACGAGCATTGAGGAAAACCATTTCGGATTACGTTAATGTGTTGATGGAGTCTCTGAAGACTTCTCTGATTGAGTTCATGGCATTCTATTTTTGAAGCACGTACCTGCCTACGTTGGATGTCTATGGGTCCGTAGCTTAATTAATTGAACGAATTATAAGGATGATAGATACAAAAATAGGAGATGTAACTGTTGACATGTTGATGTTAGGGGGGCGAACTAGGTTCCTTCTCTAGCAATGTAAAACTTGTACAGGACGTAGCTTGCTTGCTAGTAGCAATAAGTATAACGGACAAATAGCTGTACTTTACCTACTCACAACGAGTGCGGGTCGGACGCAAGAAAGTAAACAGAATAATCTGAAACCAAACACAATCCCTTATCTATGTTAGCGGTTCAAATCACGGCGAGTTCCCCTTTTCCGAAACCTTCGTAGTCGAGTGGTCTAGTTGTGAAACAACTTGCGTCTACAAACAATGCCGGCAACGTCCAAGTTCAAATCGCTCTCGGTCACATTAATCTCGCCAAACTCACCAGCAAGCGACACAGGTGCCACAGTCAGCGGTACCCTGAACCATCCAGACCCATACAGTCCCTACATACTGCCCGCCTGCGGCGACAGCTACCCTTAATGGAGATGGAGACATCAATTTCTTTATTCGACATTATAAAACTCCCTGAGGAGCCACACGGGTCTAAGGTTAGACGCGAGCGGCTAACCATGGGACAGACATAATCATCGCAGTTGAGTTTAAGCAACAACACCGCTGTTGTCAATGACAATGCGGGCACGGGTAGCACCGGAGTTGGAACCCAAAGACTCAACCTTCTTGACGACGTCCATACCTTGAACGACCTCACCGAAGACAACGTGCTTGCCGTCCAACCAGGAGGTGACGACGGTGGTGATGAAGAATTGGGAACCGTTGGTGTTGGGACCAGCGTTGGCCATGGACAACAAACCGGGCTTGTTGTGCTTCAAGACGAAGTTCTCATCGGGGAACTTGTGGCCGTAGATGGACTTTCCACCGGTACCGTCACCGCGGGTGAAGTCACCACCTTGGAGCATGAATTGGGGGATGACACGGTGGAAGGTAGAGTTGGCGTAGCCGAAACCCTTTTCGCCAGTGCAGAGAGCACGGAAGTTGGCGGCAGTCTTGGGGACAACGTCGTCAAAGAGCTTGAAAACGATGCGACCAAGGGGTTGGCCGTTAGCTAAAAACAAGTTAGACATTTGTTCGACAAACAACGACCAATGGACTGAACACTTCGTTCAGCAGCATTTCCTACACTTACCGCTCACGTCGAAATAGCAGTTGGACATGGTGAAGATGGTAGAGGGATAGTTTTCAGAAGCAGAATCGCGACGTTATATATTCACAAACAAAAACCGGGGTTTAAACAGTAAGCGTGTTTAAAAGATTTATAATTATCCGCACGCGAATAATTCCTGTTTAAAATGTATATGAATGCTGCAAAAGTGACCATTTTACGTCAGTCATTTTTGTTCTGGAAGCCAGGAGAAATTTCTTCGGTTAAATCAGTCCCCTCGGAGGATGTCGTTGAAAATGCGAAAACAAAAAACTGCGAAATAACACGAAATGAAAGTTGAATGTATTTGTAGTAGTCGCTTATGCCTAAAGATGGAGAGTCGGTTTGTAGAATGCATTATCAGCATATCAGGACATACACCAAAACAAAGTAGTCACGTGGATAGATAAAATAAGCTTAAAATAAACGAACCAATCAACCCATGTCGACGGTCGGGAACCCAAATAAGGTCAAATAAGGCCTCCGCAGGCGAAAAGGTGGAACAAAAAAAAAACAAATTCTAATTAGGCAGCAGCAGCTACAGTAGTCTCCTCCGTTTGCTCCGATTGCTCCGTTTGCTCCGGTTGTGCCTCGGGCTTCAGCTCGCCCGAGTCGTCTTGATTTTCAGCAGCAGCCTCCAGCGCTTCTGTCTCGCGACGAAGAGCAGTAAAGTCCCAGTTCTCTTCATCTGCAGTAGCGTCTGATTGTGTAATGGCGTCCTTGTTGCGCTCGAAGTACTCACGTCCAGTGAGAGCACTCTTGCCAACAGGCCGCGAGTCCTTCTCTTTGCCCTTCGCAGCCTCAGCTTCACGCTGAGCCAACCGTTTCTTCTTCCACTCGGCGAACACTTCCTCGGTAAGAGGAGTCTGCTTCTCTCCGAGCCGGTGACGCTCGATCTCAATGAATTCCTCGAGACTGATCTGGTTGCTCTTGTCGTCCTTGCCCTTTTTGCGGTCCTTCTGCAAGATGTAGCCCTGTGGGAGAGCGTGTCGATATATACAGGTGTCGTTACCGTTGGGACACTGCCACAGCCAGCCGTACTTGCCAGTCTCGGCGGCTTCCAAAAAGAACATGCAGACAATGTCCGTCCCCGTCCAGGGCCGCTTCTCTGGAGGCAGTTTGCTAGTATCATCACGAACGTCCCGGTACAAGTCAATGCGTTGAGACTCCTTCACATCCTCGAACCGAGTGATGTTGGCATTTTGAACAGGCTTCTTTTTGGGAACAGGCTTGAATAAAGCTGCCACCTCAGCCTTTGCTTGCTCTGCAGCGCGTTTCTCCTCCTCCCGGCGCTTTTGCAATGCCTCAGCACGCTTGTCTCTGCCAGAGTTCTTTGCGTTTTCCTCGATCTGACGGATTTTCGCCTGAACCTTGGTCGAGCGGTTTTTCTATACGCGTTAGTACACAGAAAATACACCGAAACAACAGGCTGCGCTGCGTCACGAAACCAGACGCGACCGGTGCAGCCGGGACAGAGAATCCAATGGGTAAAACTGCCTGACAGCGCCGTCCCGCGGCAACCGGGGCAGACTCACATTTTTTAGACCAAAGGTCGCATTTGCAGCTTTCTTCAGAGGGTCTTTCTTGGGTTTAGCTTCCTTTTTAGCGTTCTTCTTAGGAGGCATGGCTTGTAGAGGGCGAAGAGGCAGAGAGCGAAGCCAAAGCTTAAAAGCGTAGTGGCTACGTGGGGAGGAGTGATCTGCTGGCGATCCACGGCGGCGATCTCAGGCAAGAGTTGATCTGCATGTTGTGCACTGCACCGCACTACACTGCATCGCAGTGTAGTGCCACAGACTCCGTAAACACGCGTAGCCCCACGCAAAAGCAAATACCGCGTGCCAAGACAACTTAACGCAAATTACTGCACCCGTTCGCACCCGTACGCACCCGTCCGCACTCGTCCGCACTCGTCCGCGCTCCTTCGCGCCCCTGCGTGCCCGCGGGTTTAGCGCATCATTGCACGACTTTGACTGATTGGCCGTTTACTTAGCTACTATAGATTATCAGTACTCTCCAATGAAAAGTCACCACCGGTGATCGAGTATACCTGGCCTTGCATCGCTCAATGTAACCTGCGCACAACCAACCACTTTCTAAACCAAACCCACTCTCCGGAGGTTTCCAGCCTATTCTCCTCCAGAATCAGCCGGTTCTTGCTTCAGTCGAGCTTTTTGCTAAGTCTCGTCTACCGTACCGCAAGCGGTTTACGCACTTTACGGTCGGGCTCATCGTTGGATACAAAGCGTTGTATTCTCAGACTTTTCAAACGGTTTCCTGTGATCAGACACACTTAGTTGTTTCTTCGGACCATCTTTCCAGTCACTGTATGAATACGAAGCAGGATTCTTTGATAAATCTTAGACTTCAACATCCTTTGCATTCCGCGCACCGTTCCCAACTGCAGTCTCGTTTCGCTGTACCAGGCCTAGCTATGTTTGCCGCCTCTAACCCTACGTCTATTGCGATGGCGTCTAGTAACACTGGGTCAGTTCCGTTTCATCCTTACTCCCGTATTCAACACCGTCCCCGAGCTGGTCATCGCACCCATCTGTCTGCTTCCGGCCTTGTCCCTGTGCCCAATTCGTCAATGCCGGGAGTAGCAGGTGCGTCGAATGTGTCGTCCCAAGGCTCCTGCGTCGCCCCATCGCAACAGCGTACCCTCCATCCGGCTTACTACTGGCCTCAACGGTCTGCTGCAAAGCTCTCGAACAGCCGTGGCTCTTTCTTGGCCTCGGCCTTGTCTAACTCTTCTTCCTCGTCGTCGTCGTCGTCTGCCTCGAGCGTGAACAGCGCGATGCTTTCGTCCATGACGACTCTTCAACAACAACAGCCTGCCAACACTTACTTCCGCCCTAGCAGTGGTGCTACCGTCAACAACAATGGACGTGCCCCGGTCCAAGGACCGGTCCTTGTCGATGACCGTCGTTCCAGCGCCTCGTATGCGTTACGCAACGGCTCCAACAACGCGTCGTCCGGTTTTCCAGTAGCTCGCCGCGGTTCTGCTGCTTCTAACACCAACAACGTAACTGATCGCGCTACTCGCAACGCCGAACACAGCAGCGGCGACAATACTACTACTAGCAGCGGAGGCGGAATTGCTAGCAAGTTAGACTACAAAATGAGTGACATGGTCGAGTACATGTCAATCATGACATGCAAGCTTTATGCGCGCTTCCTCACTAACGCTAACATGTCTGCCTTAGCTGACTCCTTGCCATCTTTCGTTTTCAGCTTCCGCAAGTTTGTATTGCAAGTGTTAACTTCTACCAGATTGCCCTGCGCAACCTGCCTCTTGGCTTTGTCCTATCTCTCGAATCGTTTGGATTCCGTTTCCCAGGATCCGGCGATGGTTGCTCGTTGGACGCAAGAGAACCCTTCCTACCAGTTGTACGCCTTGTTGACTGTTGCCCTCGTTCTTGCCAACAAGTTCTTGGATGACAACACGTTCACCAACCAGTCCTGGTCTCAAGTTTCGGGTTTGCCTTGCTCCGTCGTCAACAAGCTCGAGAGAGAATGGCTTGCCAGTATCTCTTGGTCTCTGAACCCCTGATCCTCTTCACCAGGAAGCCTGGAAATGGTGGCGCGCCTCTTGGACTGTTTTCTGCAACTCCAACTCCTCGTCGTCTTCCCTCTTCGCACAAGGCGGCGAAGTATCGTCCCCATTCCGTTTCCGCAACTTCTCCTTCGTCTTCGACAACAACCCCCGCTGGTTTCCAATCGCACTCATGTGCTGATCCAAAGTACTACTACCCTCGTGCGTCTGATCAGTACTACCCAGTGTACTCTCGTTATGCCATTGTGCAGTAAACAGCATAGTGGCGATGCTGCGAGGCGTCGATTTCGTACGCCGTTATGCCCTTGGCAGGCGACTGCCTCCTGGGTTTGGGTGTCCAACACACCCATTGTTTCGCACTTGTTTAGCGTTTGTTTATCGGCAATTTTCTCTTTCTTCTCCATTTTACACACACTCTCTAGCTTTCGAAGCCGTCATGGTGCAGTGTCGCATTTCTACTTCACATTTATTCCGACTTTTTTTTAATGGCGCTTGAGTCATGTGGTGTAGGCTGTTCCACATACTTAGCGTCTATTTCAAATTTTTGAGTCTTTGTTTTTGTGTTCGTGTGCCTGCCGCCATGATGGTTTTCGCTTTGAGTTACTTCTTTATCCTTGCTTTTTACTCTGCTACTTTTTTTCACTCGAAAAACTAAAACCCAAAAAAAAGTGAAAATGAGAAAAGCCGCAAAAAAAGAAAAACTCTTTACAAAGTTAATGTATCTATCGTCTTTTTATTGGATACAACTTAATCATTAACAGCGTCTTAGAATTGGTCCGGTGGGTTTCCCTGCTTGCTATGTGGTTCTTACGTATCTTGTTGTACTGGTTTTCCTTCTTTTTTAGGTCTGATGATGCATGCTTGAGATGTAATTACGTCTCGCACATTTTCGTTTCCGGGCCGTCTCGTTCCCGAGATGGCCCGCTATCCTAAAGCTTTATCACGTCGAAAACCACTGCGAAGTCTGAGTCGGGTGTTTCAACGACGCCTTCATACATTGTGCTTGCGATTCATTCAAAGCGGGTGCTGGTACGTGCCCACTAGCACCCTCTTTGCGACGAGCATCAATATGACTCAGCGCTTCGAGTGGTTTACGTTTGGCGGTGATAATAGCATTTGAACGAAGTCTTGTCCATCATTATTACGTCTAGGTACGTACAAGTATTGTCTACTGGAATCGTTTCTTGGTCGCTGTTCAGTGAATAAAAAAACGTGTTAGCTGTACTCGTACTACAGGTGATTGTTTCTCACTTTTAGGTAGATGGTTTATTTTTGAAACCTCCAAAAGTTTCTGTTTTTTTCTCTTTCACTGTCTGTTCGCGTACCTGTTGCGCGGACGTTTTTTCCCTCTAGGTATATTGCGTTGGTTGTGCGCGTCGGTTACGTGACGACAAACCCTTGTTCAGGATGGGCCTCTGTTTAATTTTCCTTCGTTTTGAGTGAGGTTAGTATTTGACATTGCTACGTTTGCATCTTGATTACTGTTCCACAGCTGAACGACAATGCGCACGCGTACTAAAACGTCTTGTCTGTCTTGTTTTCTGTCCATGTGAGCAGCTCCGGACTTGCATGAAACGGCGTAGCATTATGCCCATGCTGCGAATGGCGACGACGTAACAGTGTTGCCATAGCCACCGCTGACAAATCTCTCACAAACCACTGAACGCCAAAGACACAACTAACTAACTGCCTAAACTGATACACGGTGATATATCAAGCCGTCACAGCTATCGTTCTTCTTCCGCGGGTGAACAACTATTTTAAACCTTTTATATTCGTTGGTGGGATGCGAGTGGGATAATGGTTTTGGTGGTGAGTTTTAATAGTCGGGGAAGGGTAGTGCAGGGTAGTGGTTGGCATCACTTGTAGGTTAATAACGCATTTTAGTGTGACTTAAGGAAATAGGAAGGAGACTCAGAACTCCCACTGGCGTTCGTATGCACCACCTAAGCAGAAGGGTTCATTAACGTGGGGTAGGTGTGGGTGTCGATGTCTTAGGGGTTCTGAGTGCTGGTAGGGTCCACGGGGTCCTTTCTCCAAGGCATATCTTCCCCTGGCTTCGCTTGTCCGTGTCATTGCCCCGCCTCGCTTATTCTCGCGTTCTTCGCTACGATCGCGTATCGCTTAAGTTCACCACCAAACTTCGGTCCACACTCCCAGCCTATTTTAAACAAAACCAACCACCTGTTCTCGCAAAGAATAAAAAATGTCAATGGAACTGGATCAGTCTCTGGATGCGATTATTGCTTCTAAGCCCAAAGGCGGCATTCGTAAGAGAAGACCTCGTCAAAACAAGCCTAAAACGCCAGCTGGAAAGCAGCAGACGACAAATGCCGTAGCCGCCATCAAAACCGTTATTTCGGAAGAATCAAAAATTATTGTGTCTAACCTGCCTACGGACGTGACCGAGGCTCAAATCAAGGACCTTTTTGTGCAGTCAATCGGCCCCTGCAAGCGCGTTTCGCTCGCATACGGTCCTAACGGTCGGTCAAAGGGTATTGCTACAGTGATTTTCTCGCGTCCTGGTGACGCATCTCGCGCGTTTGAGCAATACGACGGCCGTATGGTTGACGGAACGCGTAAACTGAGAGTCGAAATTATCCTGAATCCAGGCAAGCAGTTGAACTCCTTGGCTGCACGTGTTGCACCCTTAGCCAAGACAACGAAGGCAGACTCGAAGAAAAAGCAGGCCAGAAAGCCCGCCAACAACAACAGACGTCGTAGAGCACAACGTCCAAAGAAATCGGCTGAAGAGCTGGACAAGGAGATGGATGACTACTTTACCGGCGGTGAAGCTGCTGCTTCCACAAACACGGAAAACAAGGAGTAGAGCGCATGGTATCGTTTTCTTAGGCACTGACAATTCGAGCTGCTTTTTAGGCGTTTGTTGTTAGTTGTTGTTCGTTCGTTCACGTCTTCCTCGCACGCTATTTTCCCCCGAAACCTCAGGATTCCCTGCTCCGGGTCGTCAGTGCCTCTTCTTTGCGTCTTCTTCACTTGTCATTCTGTATCTCTGCTTACAATGTTTCTATTTTTTTTCTTCCTTTTCAAACTTGTCAGATTATTGCTTTGCGTGTCTGATTTGTGTACTGTGTGTAACTCGTTGTCACTTCGTAACTCTTTCTCTAAAGCAAAATCTCAATCATTGATATGCGTTCACACATCTTGGAATATATTAACATATTTGACGTTTAACTACTTTATGAAACCTAACAACACTCACTTACCTTTTGTACCGTTTGGACGGGGGACTTGCACATACATACACACCTACGGGCTGGCCCAAGGTGAAGAAAATGTCGATGCAGAGACGACGAAAACGGGACGAGTTAGCTTGGAAGTGAGTTTACTACTCGTGACAATCGTGCGGCAAATTGTCGAGAGGAGGAGTGCTTGCTTGACCGCACACAGTCGACTAAGAAACCGGCTTTTGTGAGCGAAAATGTTGCTACGTTGTTTGGGTTTCCCCCCGTCCGCTGTGCTAGGACACGAGTATATATAAAAAATCGTTTGCCTGATCTCAGTATGTTGAGTGGCTCTCTTGATTCTTTGGAGCGACAACTAGAAGCAGAGCCAGTAGTGAAAGATAAAACAGGTTTTCGCAACGTATACATACGCTCTGTTTGTCGTCAACCCATCAAACACGGTCTTCTCAATTTATAAATTCAAACGATGCTGCAGAACAGGCAAAGGAAAAAACCTCCGGAGGAAATGATGTTTTCGATCTACGGGAAAGGCAACTGGGCCAAGAGTTCACAGGCATCGGTTAAGTTTTGCCGTTTACCACCGAAATCAATCCTACCAAACTGAAAGTGCCGTATAGACCTACACTTTTGTAACTCAGTCCGCCGTTTGTCCATCTCCTCACCGCCATTCTGCACCGTGTAATTTCCCACAATTGTCTCTCGTTTTTTTTTTCAGACTCCTTTTCAATTCCCTTCCCGTCGTTCTTCCCATCCTTTCATTCCTCAGTTTTCCGTTCAGTACACTCCGTCAGTCGCTCTTGTTTAACTCTCTGGAGTGTCCTCTTGTATTGCACGCACACTCACTCGTTCCTTCTCGCGCCTTTTCTTCCCTGCAACCTTCCCAGTCCCGACAAAAAAATGCAAGATTCATCCTCAAAACCCGACCACATTCTCCTTTTCCCGATCCTTTCTTCAACCTACCAGCCCGCCCGCTAAGTCCAACCAGCCTTTTCCTCTCAATCCGCTTCACCATCAACCATCAACCTTTGATTGCCGCCGCTAAAATCAAACCTTCGCCTACGAAAGTGCTCTGCACTCGTATCGCTCTCACTAATGACCGTCTACGGCGTCTGAGCGCGTTTTAACGATAAATTTTTTCGGCGGTTAGCGCCCACGGGTGCACGTGCAGTAGGAATTGGCGTCTTTTAAACACGCCAGCCCTGGAGTTGCACAAATTAAATTCTTTTTGACGCACGCCCTACGCAGAATAGCTTCTCCCTTGTTTTTCCGATACTCGTTGGCCCAACATCTTCAGCTTTTTTCGCTGCATCTACGTTTCCCTTCTTCCACCGCCACGAATTCTGTTTTCGTCCAAAAACCAACAAAAAGGTGCATCTTCTTTCACGAATAGATTTCTGCAGACAAATTTGAAAGTAAGTTTGATCTGTGTGAAACGGTTAAATTGTGTTTTCTGAGTTTACCAACGTTGAACGTTTGGTTCAGTTTTGTGTGTTCTATATTGGGTTCTTTTTAAACTTGAACACATTTACTTGCTCTCCCTTTCCATTAGCTGGTTTTTTTGTTTGTGATTCGGAGTCAGGTTGGCGTTCTTCTTCTCTTTTTTTTTAAACTTCTTAAGGTTTTACCTACGTATACTGTAATCTGTTGTTTCGGTGTTTGTGACTGTACAAATTTCCTCTTACCTTTTTATTACTGCTATTGTCATCGTTTTCTGTTTTTCTCTCCTCTTACGTCTTCCCTTCTTATATCCTAGCGTCTTCGTTTCTCTCTCTACTAAAACATGCGGGACTATACGTGTGCTCAGGTAGCGGACTGGCTAAATGCCATCGGCTTGGAACAGTACCAGGAGTCGTTTGTCAAAAACAACATTTGCGGACGCCATCTGCCAATGCTCAATCGTAAGTATTTAAAATACCTTGGCGTGGATGTCCTTCACAATCGCCTCAAATTGCTGCGTGAAATTGAGCATCTGGAGTGGTCTACGAAGTTGCATGTTTTGCGGTTCATTGCTTGCAATGGACAGACTCGCGCAGTCCAAACTACTGCTAATCTGTATGAAGCTTTATGCCGCGCTCTCCGCAAATTTGGATTGCAGGACCCCGAAAAATGGGGCGTTTGTGTCACTCAGAGCAGTCGCCTGGTTCACCTGACGCAAGAAGATTTTGACGAGCTTTGTCGAGACCCTCGTCGTCCTGAACGCGAACGTCTCATACTTATAGACAAAAATTCCACCGCCCCATCTTTTGAAGATCTGCGTCGGTCTTGGGAAATTGAGGCTGCTCAGAATGTCGGTTCTTTACCGTCTGGCAAGGGAGGTGGCGGAGGAAATAGTCGCTCAGGATCGATGAAAACCAATTCCAAGCTTCCCTTCTACAACCTGGCCTCTCTTGGTTGTAGTTTCAGCGATTTGAAATTCGAACGCTCTGGTGCTGGTTTTGGGTCCGGCGGCGTCAAACCTTTTCCTCGCAACGAACGCCCTCCCAGTGAGCTCATTAGTTCTCGCATATCCGATTTCTTTCCCGATCATCAGCCTCAGCTACTGGAGAAAACGCTCTCTAATTCTTTTCGCAAAAGTGTACGTTCCATAAACCAGAGCATTTTTGAGTTTGGGAAGGAAATTAAACCCAAGCCTCAACGGCACAGGCGAATGTCATCTGTTAAACGGCCGCCATTGCCAACCGTGCCCGATTTCCCTTCACCCGTAGAGGTGAAGGAAGCCGTTTCGTCATCATCTACTCTTTCAGCACCCATTCCTGCATCCTCCTCGCCCTCTGATCGTAACTCTTCATCTGCCGATGTTCCCGTTGTATCTCCGGACCCACAGTCGCTGAAATTTCTCGAGTATGGTTCGCCCATGCCGTCGCCAACACTGACTGCCGGAAGCGACGACACTGTGGGAAATGAAGAAGACAACGACGAAAGTACGATCAAGTGGATTCGGGGTGCATTGATTGGGGCAGGATCTTTCGGTGAGGTGTATTTGGGAATGAATGCATTTAACGGTGAGTTAATGGCTGTTAAGCAGGTTCGGCTTAACAATAGTGACAGTCGTGCTCAAAACCGACAACGGGTTATGCTAGAGGCATTAAAAAGTGAGATCGTTTTATTAAAAAATCTCTCTCACAAACACATTGTCCAGTACCTGGGTTCAAATGTCACGGGTGACTGTTTGAACATTTTTCTAGAGTACGTACCTGGCGGTTCCGTTCACAGTTTGTTGGAAACGTATGGAAATTTTGAAGAGCCACTTGTGCGCAATTTGGTTCCCCAAATTCTCAGTGGACTTGAATATTTGCATTCTCGCGACATTATTCACCGTGATATTAAAGGTGCAAATATTCTCATTGATAACAAGGGTCAAATCAAAATTTCTGACTTTGGTATTTCGAAGAAGATTGAGGACAACATTCAGCAAACTGTGAACAACCGTTTTTCCTTCCAAGGATCTGCTTTTTGGATGGCTCCCGAAGTTGTTCAGCAGACCAAATATACCAAAAAAACTGATATCTGGTCGCTTGGTTGTTTAACCGTGGAAATGCTTACTGGTAAGCATCCGTATCCCAAGTGTAACCAGACGCAAGCCATTTTCCGAATAGGAAAACTCATTGCACCCGATATCCCTTCAACCATTTCTGCCGAAGCAAAAGATTTCTTGGCACAAACTTTTATTGTTGAGTATGAACGTCGTCCCAATGCGTCTGAGCTTCTTAAGCATCCCTTCGTCTGCAAATCCTCCCATTCTTCTTCCTCTTCTCTCTCGTCCGCTTCCTAATTGTGTTCAGCATTTTTTCCCCAAACCAACTAATCTCGTTCCCTGTTAATAATTTCTTACTTCACACACAGATTTAACAACAACTGTTGAAAATAATTTTACCCGCTTATGGTACTTGCCTCCATCTGTTGACATAAAAAGGCAAAAATCATTTCTGTGCTTTAAGCAGCTTTTTATCCTCCGCTTTTTGACATCTTGTTTATATCGTTTCTGAGAATGCTCAGAGGTTTTCATTTCGGCTCGTACCTAATTTACCCACTTGTAACGAATTATAATAAATACCAGCTTGTAATTTTCCGAATATCGCCGCTCAAGAACTTTTCAAAAAGTTACCCGTTACCCAAAACATGCATTCCATCGTTTCTCACAGTGTTACTGCAAACTAGCTCCATATACTACTACATACAAAATGAAGGACATAAAAACATGAATTAGTATCTCTGTGTTCCTTAGTACGCTTTCCTTTTCGTCGTCTTCTTTTCATCAAAGGGAATGAAGCTACTCAACAGAAAACGAGCAAGATGGGTTTCGTTAGTGGTAGTGACGAACGAAAGCCGAAACCCCGGGAGTTTGCAGGGAAACATATCATGAATATTTTCGATTTGTGGAAACAAAGGTAGAACGCCCTCGGGAAACCCGATGGTTATGTTCCCTGTAAGATCGCCAATGTTGTTGCACAGCCCGTTAAACTCCCTGACACGAGGGAGGACGAGTTGAGCCAAGACAGCAAGAAAGCTGTACATGTTTTCACCTTCTAAAACAACTTTAACACCAACAGGTGCCCCTTTTCTTAGTTTCCATACTGCGACGTCCTTCTTAGCATAAAGAATTTCAGGATGAACACCGGTAATAGACCGAAAAGCCATGACTGAGCTTAAAAGAACTTCTTTTTTCGCAATTGCCTCTTTAACCATAGTACTGAGTACTATGTTCTTAAGACGCGGCACATTCTTGTGTGTCAAGTTCGTTGGTAGTGGTAAAAGAGGTTTCTTATCGGGTAATGGTTTGGAGATCCGATTTTTATGGTATGGAGACGATCCATCCCAACGGTTATACCGATCAATAAAACCGCTATTTCTTTTACGAGGACTTATGTCCTCCTCGGTATGGCGATAATCCGCGACAAGAATGTCTGCATCAACCGTCTCATGAATAAAGTCTTCCAATGGAGAAGGACCCAATGGTGACGGTAAAAAGTCCGGAGATTCTGGATGCCAAATTGGAAGTGGTCGATTTTTTCCAAGAATTTGTTTCACAGTTACATACCGTATTTGTTGCCGAAAAAGTCGTGAACGAAACAACGAAAGACTAGAAACAAAGCGGCCATTAAGTGCACCGCGTCTCAGCATAATTGACAAACAGAACAATGCTCAAGAAAATGCAAGTAAAAGACTTCCGACACAATGAAATCGCCGTTCAGTACAAACGGCTCGTAAGACCATGTATTGGGGGTGGACAGAACCGTTGTTACTCGTGAGGAAGTAACAAAAAACTCAACACCAAAACATATGGTTCAAAGTTGCCTTTATGCACGAAGGCGGCCACGAATAGGTTTTAGTGGATGGAGTAATGAAACATTGGAAGACGTTAGGAGAACGGCACGACCACACGGTTCTCACACCTGGGCATCCAATGTTTGTTGGTACAATTGTTTCAACTAATTGAGTACCACCATCGTCTTAAGAGTTGGAAGCATGTATACGAAGAGCATTACGCAACATAGAAGATAACAAGGTGTGTTGATTTGAAGATTTTAGTGTCTCCACCAACGAAGTAGACGAATAGTCGGTCAGAGGATGAGATATGGGTGTACCAGCGTCCTCGCTTGGTGTAAGGTCATCATCATCTTCGTCTGAAGAGCTCGCAGAATCGGCCATAATAGGTCTGAATAGTACGTGCTCCCCGTCACTGAGACCACCATCCTCATTCTCTTCAACGCCGTTGGAATCACTCCGAGGAGATGGAGGCGACGTTACACGGGAAGGCAAAGAACTAACTGACCCGAAAGTAGGCGAACAAGAAATCGCCGGCGTTGAAACACGGAATTGCAGAGAGTGCATAGATCCACCAGTGGGCTGTGCACGGACTTCTGGCGCAGGTCCGACCAAACTATCAACCATGCGACCGAGCTGCAGAGAAGGCAGGACGCTGTCAGTCTGAAATGGATTGAGGCGTGATGGTGAAGTTGTAACAGACGAAGCATCCCCAGTTTGCAAAGCAGAGAAGTTCCAAGCAAACTCAGTCCCAATCCCATTAATGGGGGATGACGATCCATTAATAAGCGATGTCGAAGAAGTTTGTAACGAATTCCACGGTTGTGAAGGCACAGTCTTCAGAGGTGCACAAGTTGGCAGGTTAAGTACAGGGCCAGAGGCATTTGGATTAGCGCTCTCCATCACGACACCCTGAAGGAGTAAATACACAGCGTCCAAACATGTATCATATGAGCATTTGCTTATACTATTACCGTGGTGTTCACTCGGCCGGTAGTATGAAATGAGAACAGACGACAAAAACTCAATCTCGGCAGTCGAAGCCGAGGGATACGCTCCTAGTGGAAGTGGTTGACAAATAAATGGCAAAAGCAATGGCTCGCTTGCAGTAAAGAGCTTGACGGCGTTAGCTGTGGGTGGAGATCTACCGCTGTTTTCCCAGAAGAATGAAAGACGGTTGTGAAGCCGCTTAGCCTGACTAATAAGCTGCTTTGGGGCCCATTTTGGATGACGAGCCATAAAAGATAACAACAGCGCAATGGATGAAAGTAACCTGGAAAAGACCGGATTTTCTGACGTCTGCTCAGAAGAGGACTGGGCTGCGGCTGTGAGACTTTGCAAAGGAAGCTTCTCGTTGGCAACGTCCAATAGCGTCATGAAGAATGACAGAATGAATTGTTCCATGAAGGAAACTAGTTCAGGGGCCTTAGTAGACGTCTCACTCAAGTTTAGACCTGCCGTAGCGGAAGGTTCAGTGGAAAGCCGCAGAACTGCGATATTGCAAAAACTCATTGCCAGCAACTGCTTCTCAGGAAGTTGATGGTTGTTGAGCATACTACGTAACTGTCCCAAAAGACGATTAGGCTTTGGAGGCAGAGCGTCGTTCTCAGAGTTGCATTCATAATTTGCATGAAGTTTAAGAAATTGTTGTACCACAGAAGGTTCCTTTGTTTTACCCCGGTGCACCTCCTGCTTGGGAGCAGAGCTGTTAGTGACCTGGCTGTCACACTCACGAAGGAACTTCCGCAAAGCGAGACCTAGGTTGTCGTAAGCAGAGCTTACACCCGAGCGCACAAGCGACGTTGTGGCCGCATAGAAGTAAGCAACAGATTGCAGTACATTGGATTTTGGAGCGGAGGCAGCAATTAATCCAAGCTGATGGAAGTGAATGCCGACATCGGGCATCACGTAACCGGCCAGGCGATAAAACTCTACAGCAGCTCCATAATCGGGCTGCTTAGGAGATTTTGCCTGTGCGAGGTAACGACACAAGTCTCCGAGCGAGATAAGTGAGCGGTACACAGTCCATACGAGCTGATTTTTTTGCACGGTTGACGAATAAAACTGCTTTCGAGCAGAAATGGAAGCCGCGCATTTGGCAACGGACGAGTAAGTTCCCGTTTTCGTCGCCTTTTTGTTGTGAGCGAATGTGGATCCACGTTTTAGAGATACAGTTTTTCCCGCAGCAGTGGTACCATTTTCACCATTGTTATCACCGTCTCGCTTCAGCTGAAGCCATTCAAGTAAAGGTTGCAGTTCCTGCACTTCAAATGCCAGCACCATTTCACGAATAAGTTGCTGATAAAACTGGACACATTCGTCGAGATAACGGACGTGCAAAGCAATGCTCCGAGTAAATTGTTTTACAATTCCACGATTAGCCACTGCTGTATTTGCACCTGGGCTGCTTCTTCGACTTCCCGAACCGCGAACACGAGTAGCAGTCCGGGAAATGTTGTTACCATCACTTTTTTGCCAAACAAGCTTCTTCGTAAACACAACAAGGCGGTAATGAACTTTCCCCCATAACAGAGTCAGTAGCTCTTTTCTATTCGAGAATTCAAGATCCTCACGAATAATTTGTCCAAAATCCTTCGTAATTTTCTTGCTCAGGGCAAACAATTCGTCGAGATCATGCCCTTCCGAACTAACGGTTACGTCTTTTGACAACTGGGTGCCCTCGCGTTTTCCATCGCTACCGCTGGCGCCTTTTTCGACACCATTGCACGCGTTTTTTTCGCGATTGTGTCCTTGAATTAGCTCTTTTAAACGTTGCAGCTTCGTGACACCATCGCGATACAATTGTTCGTACAACTTATTCGAGACCGGTTCGTTACATGAAATGCCTCGGTTGCTCATAAGTCGCGTTCGATTTCGTCTTCAATCTGGAGATCCTTAAAGAACAAGCACACGTCTTCGTTCAGTCCCAGAGCAACAGTGGATTACAAATTGTGCGTTTTCCAAGGAGGAAAAGGTCGGATGTGTGGTTGTTGGTAGTTGGCAAGAACCGCGACCGGGCGGTACCTCCTCATCATCCTGTGGGGGTATCACCCACATACGAAGCGTGGGGGCACCCCACACTGCAGGGGTCCTCAAGTAACAGAAGCGAGGTAACAGGGTCGGCTTAAAGAACCCTAACCTAAACGAGCAAATAACAGTCACTTTGTCGTTTCAAAAAACACCTTCGATTTCCACAACATAGTCAACAGCCTTTCCGCAAAACAGCACAAATGGCCCGCTACGCTGCAGCTCCTGCTCTTGAGACCAAATCCGCTAAGGCTCGTGGTGAGTACCTTCGTACTCACTTCAAGAACTCTCGTGAAGTTGCCTTTACCTTGTCTGGCATGAAGTTGAAGAAGGCTCTCGTTTTCCTTCAAAACGTCAAGGATCACAAGCAGGCTGTTCCCTTCCGTCGCTTCAACGGTGGTGTCGGCCACTCTGCTCAAGGCAAGGAGTTTGGCGCTGTTCAAGCTCGCTGGCCCGTTAAGTCTTGCCAATTCTTCGAGGGTCTCTTGAAGAACGCTGAGGCCAACGCCGAGGCCAAGGGTTTGGACGTTGACAACTTGGTTGTTAAGCACATTCAAGTCAACCAGGCTCCCAAGCAACGTAGACGCACTTACCGTGCTCACGGTCGTATCACTCCTTACCTTAGCCACCCTGCTCACATTGAGGTTATTGTTGCTGAGGAGGAAGAGGCTGTCCCCAAGGCTGAGGAGAAGGCTGTCCGTATTTCCTTGAAGCAAGGTGCTAAGGCCCGTAACTTGGCTGCCCGCAAGGCTATCACTGCTTAAAATGAATACATGTATTCGCTGGCTTGAGACGCAGAGGAGGGGTGTGGGAGTTTTTTGCAAACAGGTAGCAGAGTAGTGAGAGTTTAAGTTTGAGGTTTCGCTCGTATTCGTGTAGTTTCAGTTTTAGGTAATCTGGTTTGGGTGTGGGTGGGCCTTTTCGAAAATGGTTAAAGGGGGGTAAGCATACAACAGTTACAAGGGTCTAAAAAATGTCATCGTCGATATCAGGCCAGCGGAACTCTTCGCCCGCTAGGTGAGCCCGACCAGCTTGTTCACGGATGTCCCAATATTCACCAGTGAACTCCCAATAATCTTCGCGAGTGACAGGGTGTTCGGACAATTGGAACCAGCGGGGCTTCCACTCAGCGAGGGTGCCTTCCTCACGAGCTTTGCGTTTTGAGCGCTGCTTTTCTTCAAGGCGATTCTTTTCGGTGGCAGCAAGATCGTATTGACCAAGCTCCATGGCACGTTGATCAGGACGGAACCGAGTGTCAGTAGGCGCCAACCAAGGCTTTAACGAATCCGGCAATGCATTTAGTGAAATGGCAAACGGAGTTAGGTTGAAAGGACGAGGAGGACGGTCGTGGGCTTGCCAAACGACTTCGGACTGGTTACTATCCAGCTTCCGTGCAACAAGTTTGTCGTTCCAATGACCAACCAGTGTATAAACCGGGGTGTCATCGGCGGTTTGTACAGTACCCTTCACTTCGTAAGCGTTCGTACCACGCCAACCACGAGGCTTAAAGTCCATCACGCAAACTTCGCCTGTGGTATGATTAATAATCTCCATCAAACCATAATTATCAATAGTAGGACTTCCCAGAACAATACCCACAACGGAAGATGTAATCTTTTTCCAGGTGTACAATTCGAACTGTCCAGAAGGGTTCTTCAATTCAAGATACCAGGTACCGAGAGGACGAATGTCGAAACTCTTACCGTAGAATTTAGACTTGACGTTCGACTCACCGTAATATCTCCAATAATCAGACTCAACAAAAGCAGCACCGATCGGTGGGTGGTGCGAAACTTGTTCAATAATGAACCGGTATTTGAGATCGGGACGGCAGTACTCGAACGTTTCACCCAAAAGTGGGTTGAAAGGTTTGGCGACACGAAGGAGGGTACTTGAATATTCACTCGCCGCAAATGCACCAACCAGCACGAGTCGACGTAAGGAATCGGGGCAAAGTGCAGCCATATTCAGTAACTCACTGTACTCCATGTCTTCAGCTACACGCTGAAGTAAGCTGGTAGGTTCATTGAAACTCACGGGCAATGTCATCTTTGTCATATCCTTTCCAATCATGCTCTTTAATATGTTCCACAAGCTTAACTTGGGTCTGTCATCCTTAAGGTTCAAGTTCGTACGAACAGGACCCTCGTAACCGTGGAAGGAAATGGTAACATCGCTTTTTGGGGTATGGACTACAGCTGCGGGTGGCTCCAAAACACGAAGATCCTTTACGCCCTTAACCACTGCTTCCTCGGGCGCAGCAACCGCAGGTTTATGAGCAGAAGGTGCTGCTTCAGTTGGGATGGAAGGTTGTGTTTCGTTAGCGACAGCCTCCATTACCTGAGATTCCGCAGCAACGTTTGCATCAAAAAAGACGTCCTTCGCTTGGCCTTCAAAGTCCTCTTCCTCAGATTCACTAGATGATACATCTTCTGCGTGGATTTCTTCCATCGCCATTTTGCTGATTGCTTTTTCGTCCTTTCTGCCTTCACCACGGTGTTCAGTGGCTTCAGTAAGCTCACGCAAGAGATGCTTGAGACGCTTTCGTTCCGACTCGGATTTGTGATAGCGTTCTTCTATTTGATCCTGCTCCTCAACGACCTTCTTTAAGTTTTCAGCCCACAAAGAGTTGACGGTCTTCTCTTTGTTGAGACGACGTTGGAAATAGCGTTCGCGGTCACGGTGCATTACAAGAACATCATGAAAGGAAGATTGAAGCAACCGAATTGAGTTGTTCAACGCATTCATAGATTCTGAGAGCTCTTCGTCTGACAACACAATCTTGTTCTTCAGAGAAGCTTCAATGAGACGGATCATTGTTTCAATCTGAAGTCGACCAATATTTGCGTTAAATGTCAAAGCGCTTTTGTGCGGCTCCTCGTCATTTTCGACATCAGAATACGCCAATGATTCATCGTCACGAAAAGACTGATCTGAAGTGGCTTCGATTTTACTTGTTGGTGCTGTAGCCTGAGTAGAGAAAGAAGCGACAGAACGTGTTTCGTCAGCAGCTTGATCCCCAGCCTGGATGGCGGCGGAGATGGCACAAATCCACTTGTGCGCTTCAACGGGTGAATTAGCCTTTACATTGTAGCGTTTCGATCCCTTTCCAATCACTTCGAAAACCAAAGGTTGTTTGGGGTCGTGATGGATACGGGCCATCTTTAAGTTCACCGAACCACGGCAAGCAATGTTCGTATCGTCTTGATTCTTGTAATATGACAAGACGCCATTTTTGAGAACGAACCACCTTAGTTTGTAGCCAGACTTGTAGTTTGTCCACTTTTTTAAGTAACCGCTCATATGTTTCACGGGAGGAGCTGTTGCTGTATCCGCACGCCTGCTTGATGCACCACGTTCACGGAAGAAAGTACGAATCCGATCATCTTTGGCATAGTCAATTGGAAGTTTGCCAAATTTGTCGCGGCGGTAGGGATCAGCTTGATGATTCAACAACCACTGAATCATCGTAACATTTTTGTTGCGGACGGCCGTGTGTAGAAAGGTTTGCCCCGTCTCCACATCAATCTCGTTTAAGTCAATTGCAGAATTAAACTGATTGTGACGCATCAAGTAATCCATAGTCTCCAAATCATCCTCTTTAAATGCGGTTTTGAACTCTCTGGCGGTTTCTTTAGTGTATGTTGCATAAAATCCTGTTGGTTAGCCGGAGCTCATCGAGATAAACCAGTTTCCAATGACGAACACCATTCCCCATTTTAACTCAACCAAAAACCCACCTTTCATAAAGTCAGCCAGTTGTTTCGTTTTGGCAACCTGGTACGCCTTTTTTTTGTTTCCGTCCAGCAGATTATAATTTACATCGGGGTGCAGCAAGAGGATCTCAACGATGTCCTGTCGTCCAGACATTGCCGCTAAATGTAGGGGCTGTTATACATGTTAGCATAAAATCGTGTAAAAGAAAAGAACCGAAGAAAAATTCGCCTCTGGTAAAACGAACTACCAAAACAACTCTCACAGTACATACAGTATTTCCATTTTTGTCATACGCGTTTACATCAACATTAAATGCAAAAAGGACATGTTTCATCATGGGTCCAGAAGCACATTGAATACCGAGAACAAACGCGTCGGTAGTTTCTTTACACGAACTGTTGCTCAACAATTGATCAACTTTTTCGAGATCATCTGTTTGGTATGCTTTTTAATGTTAGAGAAAACCTTCTGTGCGTGCGACATCGTCTGAGCAACTTTACCTTGAAGAAGCTCTAAGCGTTTTAATCCCTCTTTTACGTCTATGGCATTGTTAGTCATCCATTCGTGATATTAGACGACTGCATACCCTTCATAGAGGTTAACGAATCCTGTACTGAAGGGGAATCCCCCATTTTCGTTGTCTGTCAGTCTGTGAATGGAGGAAGTTTGGAGCAGCATCGTCGCCGACGGGTCCCCTAAACCTCTTTGACGTCATAGGGACGCGATTGGTGGTGAAGAACGGAAGAGTAAGACTGCGGGGATGCCGAGATTAACAATGTGGGGCGGAGGATCATAATCTGCGAAACTTTAAAGAATGCTGAAAATCCGGGGAAGGGCCTCCAACGGTAAATGGTAAACAAGAAACAGGACGATTTGGGACACGCGAACATAGTGACGAGACACCAATTGTTGGTGTTGGTCTCACGACTTTAACGTGTGTAACTTTTGTTTTATGATGGTCTTCGGAGTGAAAGGGGAAAACACTAATCAGCAGCTCTGGCTCTTTTTGTGCTTTCCTCAGACTCTGGGGTTAGTTTTCGCTTTTCGGCACCGCTGGCAGCTGGCTCTTTAGATGCCTCACGGACAGAATGTGTTTCTGGGTTGTCATGGTGTCGGGCTTCACGTCGCTCCTTTCGTTCATAATAGCTTTTTCGAATGTAGTAAGCCTCATGCAGAAGCTCCTCTTTAGTCACACCGTCTTCGATACTTTCGATGACACTACGAACCGTTGACCGATGGTTGCCGTTCTGCTTATCATCCCGGAAACGCATAAAACGCCACCGATTTTGTTCATCCAGGTAGCATTCTACAATGCGACCTTGAAGTGGTGTGTTGCTTTCCTTCAACTTCTCCCATTCCTCGTTTTCGAGGTACAAATCGGCAAAGTATGAGTACCGTTTACCGCCTTCCCATATAGAAAGCGGCATTTCCGGCATCGCCGAGTAATCTATATCTCCTGTGTCGAGTTTTGCCGTAAACCGCAGCTCAAGCAAGAAGTCCACGGTGTTGCTCTCGCGAGACTTCCACTTTAGCAGTGTTTCGTCTGTTCCCGTTACATAAGGGGTTTCAATGCAGGTAAAGATGAGTCCGTCACTTCCATGGTGCAACTTTGGAATGATCTCTCGGAACATCATCTCGATACCATGAGCTCGTTGCATCAGCTTAAATTCAACGTGAAAAGGCATAACTGCCAGCACCTTGGGCTTCGCCTTCACCAGTGTCCGCAGAGGCTTCTCAACAAATTCGCGATACACACCAAGGCGTCTGTCGAGTGGTCGGTTGGTGTATAAACGGCCGTTGCAAGCGAGGCAGTCGAACACAAGAAACTTGAGCTGTGACTTGCCTTGAATTGAGTCCATCACTAACTCTCCATCAATCAGTGTCTCTGTGTGCAGCCGACTGTCGTTTGGGTCGTTTGTAGTAGGGAACCACACCTTGGGAACGAGGTAGTAATCGTTTTTCCGGTCTATTAAGTACACAGCATATCGTTTTGGTGTAGCATGATGCATCGTCATGTACATTAAACATCGGATTCCATCACTTTTTTCACAAACATAGTAGTCGTGTTCCTTTACTGTTTGAAGGTGCTTTTTAGCAAATGAAACGGGTTGTGCTCCTGGAAAATTTAGCGACCGGAGTCCTAACAGCCGAGATACGCGTTCCCGTAAAATATTAGCATCTTTGTGAGGAATCTTACTTCCTGGAATGATTGCCGGTGGTGTAAGTTCCATTGCAACATTTAGTTTTGACTCTGACTGTACGGTACGAAGACAGCAAGACGGTCGCTGGAAGAGTGGTGGTGAGTGGGGGCATTTTTGGTGGTGAGTGGATAGTCTGGCCAAAGTGCAATGTGGGGGTAAACTGAGTCCACACAGTACACACTTTTCATTGAATAAGCTGTTCGTTCAGTACAGAGGAATGGGCTGCGTCGCTTCCTCTGTTACGAAATGTTGCTACATTCCTCGCCATCTACCACTCAAGATACTACTTATGCACCAATTGTACTTAGAATACTCATAACGAAATGTCATTAAGGTCGTTAAACAAACATGAAGGGGCATGACAAAAGACATAACAAGTGTCGAATGTTGAGAGTTGTAGAGTGTTGGAAACACCAGGGAGGGAAACATGACTGACAGAAAGAGAGAGAAAGAGAGAAAGAAAAAGAAAAATATGGTACAAAGAACGGAAACACAGAAAGGAAAAGGCAATAAAACTTGACCACACAAATGCAGAGAATTTAGCGTTGTTTCACTTGCGACATGATGCCTTGGGCTTCTGAAGATAAATAGCGTCGAATGCCTTCACACGAGCAGTTTTGATGGGCGAGCAGTTGATTCTTTAAGTTGAGAACCTCATCTTTCAGTTGGGAAACCAGGAGCTTAAGACTGCGGGACTGCTCCGATGCACTGCGTGCGGTAGCTTCAAGCTCTTGAGTCCATTGTTTTTTCTTTTGACGGCATTTAGAGGCCGCAATCCGGTTCCGTTCCAAAGCACGACGACGTTTCTCTTCAGGCGACTCATCAAGAGTAGATGTAGAAGAGCGTTTACGCGGACCAGGGGAAGTTTCGGATGGGCTGTAGGAAGAACGACGCTTCTCACCCATCTGAGTCGTCGGCATTTGAGAACGCAAACTGTTCATGTCAGCGGTAATTGTATGACGACGGGTGGGATCGAATGCATCTGCGGCTGCCTGGTCATTCCTCGCACCGGAACCCGCCAGAAAGTCTTCACTTCCTCGATGACAATATGCAGCGGAGGGAGGGACGAAAGAAGACGAATGACCATCCCGGTTCGAATCGTCATTTCGTCCATCTGAAGGCTGCTGCAAAGAGTTTACGTAGGGCGACGATAAACCGGACACAGGCAACGCACCCGATCTACCCAGCTCTAACGAAGGCGAGCCGGCTCCACCTCCAACATGACTTTCATTTTGCATGCGCTTAGGCGCTGCGGAGTCTATACCAACAGGCATTTTATATGCCGAAGCATTGTTGCCAGGCGAGACGAGCGAAATGTCGGACATACTAATAGTGCCGTCTAAAAGGCTGCCATTGTTGTTGCCAGCAGATTTCTTCATAGAGGACATGCGAAGCGGAAGGCCGCCATCACCGAAAAAGGCGGGATTGTTGCCAACATTTGAAGAAAAGTCAGAGGGACCAACGGTTGCTGTGTTGGCCCCAGCGTCATTAACCATGGCCGTCGGTTGAATCGAGCTTGCATCCGACACACCGCCTGCATTGAATGCTCCGTCATTTCCGCCGATGACAGCGTTTCCTGCTGATGACGAGTTGTAGGACATGTGGTAGTTCCGGACGCCCGGCAGCTGCGACTGTTGTTGCGAATCTTCCATTTTTACTGCTGAACTAGGATTGCGGCTGCCGACGTCGCGCGATCCGAGACCGTCGAAGCCCATATAAACTTGTGAGAATTCCATTGTGAAAGCAAATAATGTGTACAGTTATGTTTCAACGAGAACGGAATGCTGTTTGCGAAAACGCAATTCAAAAATTGAGCATCCAATGATTTAATTCCAAAACAAGTGAGTACACAGGAGAAACCGAAATGTTTAAATCTTGTTCTGTACGTAAACAAAAACAAGCAATTCCAGTCTTAAAGGTAAACAATCCCGCTAGGACTGATGTGGGATTAATGGGATGGTGTGGGGAAGTGGGGAAAGTGCTAAGAATAATACCCCGTAAGAGAAAGCAGTGGTAGTACCTAAAAGTGGGGGTTAAAAGGGCACGAAATCTAAACCGAGACCAAAAACTGAGGGGAACGCGACGCGGAGCGCGTTTTAATTTAACAAAGACAACCTTAAACCCACCGGGGAAACCAGGGCACGCGAAATAGTTCAGCAATCACCCTGACGCTGAAATGCGCGATAAAAAACAAATAAATCGCCGATACGGCTTATGTTCCTAAAGAATAACAATAAAGTCAACAATCGTTAAGATAAACAAGTGTTATACGCGCGATGTTCGGACAATGGTTGACCAACACGTGTAAGAAGACACTAAGATCAACGACGAAGAATGCGTCAGTCTTAACAAAGGAGTAGAGAAAACTTGATAAGTAGCGCCTACAATTACTAGACGGATACCCAGGAATAAACGAACACTTCACAGTTCTTCCGACACACGCTGATATAGGTGTGAACGAAAAATGACCGTGTTGAGCAAAAAGACCTAATATATGTGGTAAGAGGGAAAGGATCGGTGAGCTTGTGGCTACGCAATGCTTATTATAATGATTCTCTCCCTTTGTCCACGTCATATGCACGATATCCGTGGCACGTAAAGGGTCTATCATGGCCACACCTGGGGGTTGCGTCATGGGAGCTTTCAGATCCCGACAACCGAGAGTTGCCAAAAATCCACGAGTTTAATTGCCGAACAGCATGGCTACGTGTTCCGATACGCCTAATAAAATTTTTACAACCGAAATCCTTTGAAGCACTGAAAAAAAAAGCGCAGGATTGAGTGATTTCGCAGAAATCCGCACTCCTAAAGAAAGGGTGTGTGAATGTGGCGTCGCATAACTAGCGCCCGATCTGCATACAGCCATGTAGATCCATGCTGGCTGTATCGAGTTCAGACTATTGCCAACCAATCACAGACAAGGATGTGCAAGTAAACTCAAAATCCACTTCCCCTGAAAATGATAAAGAACTTCGGTCGATGCAGCCTAGACTCATGTCTCATTGGCTGGTTTCGCATTCGCGCGTATTATAGCTCCTTTTGATGTCATTTACCGAGACTTAAAATGACGTTCGAAAATCGCAGATGAGGAGTTGCGACATTTTGCTGCCGCGTGGGGAAGCGTATGCAAAGAGGGAAACAAAGGGATGGTGAGGGGATGCGGGATGATGCAGGCTAATTCGCGTAATATCCGAGAGTATTAAGCGAGTGCAAAAATAGGCGTTAATGAAAACGCGCTACGCGTCATAAACACAAACACGAAACGCGAAAAATCAAACGAAGAAAAAGGGCACTCGTTGTCCGTAGAATATGCACGTGGAAAAACGAATTGAAGTAAAAAATGATTGCAGATTAGCATCTGTTCTCGTTTCTGTTTTCGCGGTAGACACCTTATTATAGCTGTCTTGGTCTTTTACATACACCCACCGACAAATAACAGGTCTTGGGTTGTCTATGTGGAAACGCTGTATTACTCAACCGAAAACAGGTGTGAGGAGCTGGACTGCAGCATATCATGCGACCAGACGCGTTTTCGCACCAAAACCGCCTTTTCTTGATGCCCAGCTAAAGGCGTTTGAGGCTAGTAAACAATATTTACAAGCAAAAAGTGATCTACACAGGGCCGCTCTGGAAACGACCGTCCCCGGATCGGAACAATGGGAAAAACATAGTGTTTTGGCCAATTTGTATGACTACGGAATCCGAGAGCAGTTTTGGAATGGTGAGCTTGATATGTCACAGCCGGTTTTTCGATACCTGGCTCGCAAAAAATGGGAAGGCTACGACATGTTGCTGATTCAGCAGCGAATTGAGCAACATCGGGTCGTTCCCGACACTGTTGCTTCGTTCAAGCCTCGTGTTCAATTATTGCTGGGTTTTCCAAGTGACACAAAACAAAACCCAGTTGACCCCGGTGTTTTTCTTCCTAGTAAAACCACGGCACAGACACCTTGGATCAATGTCGTATCCTTTCATTCTCAGCCCATTCTCGCAACTATACTTATGCTAGACCCGGACGTGCCTAATTATGCAACAAACATGTTTGAAACATCGGTCCAATTTCTTGCAGTCAACGTGCCCTTGTCCCCGACACAACAAAAGGTCAATGTTGAAAGTGCAGCCGTGCTTCCCTACATGCCTCCCATTGTTCACAAAGGCGAAAATGCTCACCGGCTAGTTACTCTATGTTTCGAACAGAAGAATGGTCGTATCACAGTACCGGACAAAAATAACTCTCTTTTCGAACGCCAACCCTTTGACGTTCGTTCTTTTCAAAACAAACACGTCTTGGAGCCCATTGGAGCTCATATTTGGCGCAGCATCTACGATGAGAATACCGCATGTGTGCTTAAACAGCATCCACAGGTGAATGTATACAAGGATTTTGAGGTGAAACCAATACGATCGTAGTACACACATTCATGTTTTCTTCACATATTGTTTACGGTCCCCTTTCTCCCTATTACTCTCTCTCTCCAAAAACTCTTTTTTACAGCAAAATAATCATAATTCTTTTAAGGTTTATAGGAATGACAAAAAATTAACAAACAAAAAAGGTACACACGAATGTAGACCAGCAAAAAAAAGGAGGTCGTAGAGTAGAAAAGATAGTTAAAATCATAACAAATTTCATCTGCCCGACCCAAGGATGGAGCATAAACGGATGAAAGACATAAAAACACAAACGGACAAAAGAATTGCAGTAAGGAGTCTTCGGCTTGCACACGCAAAAACGTTTCTCTCATCAAGTGCATGATATATGCAAGATCATGTTTCTCGTGCACTAAGATAGCGGATAATCTTTGGGCAAACTTTCCTCCTGTACTGAATGCGAGGAATTTATCAAGGGTATTAAAGAAGGAAGGGTTTTCAAATGCGAAGCGCGATGAGTCAATACCTCCTCAGAACCAGGCATTAAAGGAGGCGTCATCCATAAAAAAGTCCGAGATTTTCAAAGGCGACGTGTTCTTATTTATTTCCGACATTTGATCTTCGGTCGCTAGGGTGGGTCCGTATGACTGATCTGTCGTGTCGAGGAAAGAGTGTGTAATATCTATCGGTGGAAGAGTCAATGGACTCGCAGTTTCTCTTGAAATGGACCCTACTGATGAGGAACTGTTCGAGCAAACAGGCGAGTGCAGTGAAACAGCTGGCGATACAGATGAGGGTCGAATTGGCAGTTTACGCATTGAACGTTTACGAAGTACGCCACGAATTGCATCCCTAGCGTCTGTGGGACGACGTTCACGTTGGGTTTGTTTCTCTGTTTGCGATAATACTTTTGTCATTAAGCCATCATCTCGTTTTCTTAAACGATTGTTACCAACGTCCAATTCTTCATAAACAATTTTTGCCAATCCCAATCGTCCTACGACGAAGGAAGCAGCAGTGATGCTTTTTGCGCCATCCAGAGTTTCATTGGAGGGCTTTAGGGTATCTGATGACTCGGTACATGATCTTTTACTTGACTGGAATAGTGAGCCGGGTTGAATTACTGCCTCGCCATTAGCCGTAGCTGTTAAGGAAGGCTCTGTGAATGGACACGCCGACATGGAATGAAACAAGAGGATGATATCTGAAACGTGTAAAACAAAAAAGATAGCAATGCAAGGAAATATAAGCAAGACAAAAAACAAAGAGGGTTCTTTTTTTAGAATTCTTGATCCTGGTGCTGTTTTCAATGGTGCATGAATATACGAACCAATATGATCAACGGGGTATTTGACTATAACAATTAAGTTGCAAGATTGCAACCTCAGAAGTTGTTTCTGCAATACTGTATGCTTTTGGAGAGACCTGTTTGTACACAAAGTCTCGTCCTGGATATAAAAATGATAAAAGACGGTGTAATAATTTCGAGTTTCCTGGCTCGAAAATAAGACCAAATATTGACACCTAGTAATTCAAAATTACAGTGAATTATAGAAAGAGTATACTGACTACGCTTAGTCGTGCCCAATTAGGTCCCGAAAGTCCTCCCTGAGATTTTGAAACCGAGAATCTCGTAAAAAAAGCAAATCAACTAGTATTCACTAGTTGTACGAAACTCGTATGCAACCAACGGTTTCGATACTGGGAAGAAATACTTCGTATAATCCAGTTCAGTCTCAGTAGTTCCGGGATTTTTGATTCCGGTAAGCGTTTGCCAGAGGGGATTTGAGAGGTTGGAGTTTTTGGTCTTTGAATTCGAATCTTGCTAGTACTCCCTCCGAGCTCGAAGCGAAAGCTCGGCTGTATTCCACCCAAACACAAACCAAAACTCATCAGTGCTAACGAACGTTTTGTCATAACACATGTTATTTGGAGGCAGCAGTGTTAATGTTGAATATAGCATTTGTTTACTTTGACTATTCTGGCGTTGTTGTTTATTTACGCGTCACCTAGTAACGCGGGTTTCATTTAGTTTGATACGCGTTGACACGTATAACACTTCCTAATTAGAGCAAACAACATAGGCTGCGAGTAAATGGAACGAATTCACATAGAATTGAGAGAGAATTCGTAAAAAATACATGTAGATTACGGAAAATGGGCGAGATGCACCAAAGATCAGATATTTAAGGAATTTTGTCTCGCTCGTATAACTTTTCTCATTTCACGTAATATTTGTGATAAAACACTTCTTTAAGAATTGTTCTTCTTATTTGGATGGGCGTTTCGTAAGGATTGCCGGCGTGTTTCTTCTTGAACTGTGGCAGAGTGTTCATCAAATGTGTCTTGTGCATAATCCTTCATGCCTTTAACCTTCTTTTTTATGGTTTTAGAAGTGTCAGACGCCTTCTCTTTAGTCTTTTCACCTGCAGCTTCGGCTGATTGTCCCGTTTTGCTTTGAACTTTGTGATACATATCTTTGGCTGTATCCATAGCACCCTTTCCCTTCTTCTTAGCTGCTTCGGTGAATTCCCGTGTTTTGCGTGAAGCCTCTTTCATGGCGTCTTTTGCTGTTTGTTTTTCGTCATTTGCTACAAAACCGGCTTGTTTAGAGTAGTCTTTGAGTTTCTCTTTTCCCTCTTTCATTTTCTCATTGACGGTCTTGTTCATTGACTTCGCTTTATCTGTTTTCAAAAGCGTTAACATTCTTTAAGGTACACGATTTATATGTCAACTTACCTTTAGCTTGACCCCATGTATCTTTGTTTTGTGTTCTTCTGAAACAAGTCGCAGAAAACTGGCGAAGATTGAATTGAAACGGTGCATCATGCAACTTCCTAAGACACGATCTGCTGATAAATAAGCGTGCTGCCATTTTCCCGAATTCCTTTTTATTATTCGCAATTTCTGAATATAAGAAACCAAATACTACAAGTGATACTAGTCGTTCGCCTTTTATTAACCGGCTTACATCACAATGAGAATTTGTTTACGAGTGATAGGAGGGTTATGACATTTTTGTTTACACTACTGGAGAATTGATTTGTTTACATCGCAAGTTGGCCCTTTTCTCGCGTCTGTTCGTGCTTGCTAATCCACACCAATTAATACCTGTTTACGGAATTATTCGTGTCAATCGTTATTTCTTGCTACCTTCTGCCCGTCTCCAGTTTGTGCCAGTGTATATTTGCATCCGCTCTGAAACGGTCATATATTCAGATTGGCTTGTTGCTCCCAGCACGGCCTAAAGCTCACAGGGAGTCCTGCAACAGGCTTGCCGCAAAGTTTGACTGCCCATGGGCTCTGGCTCCATGTTCTCGTTAGCTAGAGTTTTCTCTATCACGCGGGCTTGTCGCGATTCGATCGCTGAAAGGTTACAAAAGCTGCGTTCACGAGGAAATTCTTCTGCGCAAGAGAAACCGAACGGAGACGGTCATGAAAGAGAAAGCGATTCTGATTCCGGAAGACATAATAGCGACAGTAATGCCGCTAGTTTACACTCTTCAATAGAATCACAAAAGCATCGGTTGATATATGTGAACCAAGCACCTTCACATAACACACATAGCAAATTAGCAAAGTACCCAAGAAACAAGATACGTACAACTCGGTATACACCTCTTTCATTCCTTCCAAAGAATCTATACTACCAGTTTAAGAACGTTGCGAATATCTACTTTCTTTTTCTTATTATTCTTCAGGTTTGTACCCATACAATTACTTTCAACTAATATTGGTATAGTCATTTCCTCTCTTTGGTCCGAGACATCCCGGTCTTCCATGGATTCCACTTATCGTGATTCTTTCTATTACTGCAGTTAAAGACGGAATTGAAGATTATAGACGTTCCCGGCTTGATCGGAAATTCAACAATACGAAAACGTGTAAACTCGCAAAGTGGAACAATGTCAATATTACCCAAGAGTATGTTAACCCGTGGAGACGCTTGAAAAAGCTTACTACGAGGGCTATGAACAGAATATCAGACTCCTTTTCACATACAACACAGTCAACTTCAGCATCTCCAACCCAAACTTCAAGCAGAGCTAGTCACGAATACTCGACAACGCCATCTATTGTGAGTTCTGGAGGAAGTGCAGACTGGATAGCCTTAAGCAACTCTGCTCTTAATCAAGAATTCTCAGTTGTTCCGGTTTCTGTTGTCCCTAAAGGCGCAGCAGTTTTTTCAACTGTTTATTGGAAAGATATAAAAGTTGGTGATATTGTTCGCGTGAGAAACGATGAAGCTATACCAGCCGACATTTTATTGCTTAGTTCTGAGCGTTCTGATGGTACCTGTTATGTGGAGACAAAAAATCTTGATGGCGAGACAAATTTGAAGGACAAACATGCTTTACAGTCGACGAAGGGATGTCTGAAAGCTTCGGATTTTGAGGTCGCAAACTTTTGGATTGAATGTCAACCACCGCATGCAGATTTATACTCACTTTCCGGTTTTTTGAAGGCTCCTATATTTACTACTGCTGGAGTATCAGACTTAAGCAATGAGTCGCAATATTTCATCGAACCTATTGATATGTCAAATGTCTTGCTTTGTGGTTGTACTCTTAGAAATACCAAGTGGATATATGGGCTTGTACTTTACACTGGTTCTGAAACAAGAACGCAATTAAACCAAGGAAAAGTGCCTTCAAAAAGAAGTCGTGTTACGCGGGAACTTAATTTCACTGTAAGCTTGATATTGGAAAACAGCAAATCCTAACATATTTACAGGTCGTTTCTAATTTTGGCATTCTTTTCGGTCTTTGCATATTTGCAGGACTACTACGGACTATAGCTTGGCTTAAAAGTAATTCTGCAAGAATCTTTGAGTACACGAAGAATGCATATTCCGCTCCTACATTGGGTGTCATAAGTTTCTTCACATGTTTAATTCTCTTTCAGAATCTGGTGCCAATATCATTGTACATTTCTATTGAAGTTGTGAAAACGATTCAGTCGCTTTTCATTTTTAGTGATATTGAGATGTATGATGCCCTATTGGACTACCCTTGTACCCCAAAAACATGGAGCATATCGGATGACCTTGGTCAAGTCGAGTATATTTTCTCTGACAAAACAGGTACACTGACTCAAAATGTTATGCACTTTAAGAAGTGCACAATTAACGGAGTTCCTTATGGCGAAGCTTATAATGAAGCTATGCTTGGGAATAACAAAAGGCTAGGGATCCAGATGACCCATGATCCTGCTGCACTTATTGAGCAAGATCGCCAAGAAATGCTGCGAATTCTTCAACACAGTGGAAACGAAAACAAGGATGCCATCACATTTATTTCAAGCAAATTTGTAAGGGACCTTCAGTCGGATGAAGACGAAGAACAAAAAAATGCTTGCCTAGAGTTCTTCAAGTCTCTGGCTCTTTGTCATTCGGTTGTCACAGAAAGAGAAGGTAACATGATTATGTACAAGTCTCAATCACCGGACGAAGAAGCATTAGTTGGAACAGCTCGAGACTTCGGTGTTGTTCTCGTGAGCACGCAAAAGAACCGACTGATATTAAGCGTTCAGGGTGTTTTACAGCGATATCAATTGTTGGATATAATTCCCTTTTCTTCGGCAAGAAAAAGAATGAGTGTTATTATTCGACATCAAGGAAAAATCACTATGTACACGAAAGGTGCTGACAATGTTATTATTGGCCGACTTTCGGATGTGCAATCACCCGGTGTAGTTGAAAATACTATTGAACATTTAAAGCAATTTGCCTCTGAAGGATTTCGGACACTTTGTATTGCTAAAAAATCACTGGAGTTGGAAGATTACCTAAAATGGCGAGCGAAGTATCATGAAGCTTGTGCACTTCTCGAGGAACGGGAAACTGCTATCGAAAATGTTGCCAACGAAATTGAAATTAATCTGCGATTGATGGGTGGAACCGCAATTGAGGATAAACTACAGGAAAGTGTTCCGGAAACGATTGCGTTGTTGGCGCAGGCTGGAATAAAACTTTGGGTTCTTACGGGAGACAAAGTTGAAACTGCAATCAACATTGGCTACGCTTGTAATTTGTTGGACTCCGGGATGGACATGATTGTTCTGGATTCCAATACCGTTCAAGATTCAGGGCAAGCTCAAAGTGTGCTGTTAGGTTTGCTTCAGCAGAAACTTAGTCTTGAGGGTACGGAACAGGAATTTCAGCAGCTGAAACAGCAACGTACTATTCTTCGGGAAAAACTGGCTTTGATTGTAGAAGGTTCTGTTTTGGACTTCTTTCTGTCAAAACAGCTTCTACATACATTTCTGATTCTGTGTTGTAACTGCTGTACCGCTATCTGTTGCAGAGTTAGTCCTTCGCAAAAAGCAGCTATTGTTGCAGCAGTGAAAGGTGAGCTGGATGTCGTTACTCTTGCAATTGGAGATGGCGCGAACGATGTTGCAATGATCCAAGAAGCAGACGTTGGAGTTGGAATTGCCGGAAAAGAAGGTCGATCCGCGGCAATGTGTGCCGATTATGCGTTTGGACAATTTCGATTCCTCGGTCGTTTGCTTCTGGTACATGGCCGGTGGGACTATAAACGTATTTCTCAAATGATTGCCAGTTTTTTCTACAAGAATGTTGTCTGGACTTTTACTCTCTTTTGGTATCAATTATTTAATGAGTTTGACGGCAATTATATCTTCGACTACACATATGTAATGCTCTTCAATCTCGTTTTCACGTCACTTCCAGTCATTATAATCGGCTGCTTCGACCAGGACGTTGATGCGACTACCTCTTTAAGGTTTCCACAACTGTACAAGCGAGGAATACTACGTTTGGAGTGGACGCCGACTTACTTCTGGTATGTTAGTCCCAATTGGAAAGGTTTACTAATCTATGTAGGAGTTTCATGGTAGACGGATTCTATCAGTCTGCTGTTTGTTTTTTTCTCACATATCTTTCGTTTCGGACTGGCAGACCTGTGTCAACGACGGGGCGAAATGCTGACTCTATTGAAGATATGGGTGTCTTTATTTCGTCCCCAACTATATTTGTGATCAATACTTTTATTATGATGATTCAATATAGTTGGAACGTGGTTACAGTTGGGACTTGGTTTCTCAGTTTGTCTATTTTTGTGTTTTGGACTACGGTATACTCTGCCTCAGTTGGTTCAAATGCGTTCTACCATTCCGCTGAGAGAGCCGGTGGTACACTAACTTTTTGGGTTGGAACTTTGCTCACTGTTGTTTGTTGCCTTTTACCGCGGTTTTGTGCCATTTCTTACCAGAGGCTTTTTAAACCTCTTGATGTTGATATACTACGCGAGCAAAGATATAAAGACAAGAAAACACGGAACCGTGTGTATGAAACTGAAATTTTGGATGTTGAAAAGGATGTTGTTGCTGAATCTGAGCATGAAAGTGTCATATTTAGTCAAGCGGAGGAAACCATAGCTGGCTCTGATGCAGCATCTTTGGCGACATTCCTTAGTGATGTCCCGCCTTCTATCGTTCAGCAATTGGATGCGATTGAGAATGGTGAAGCTTCATCTACGGTTGTAGAAGACTGACATTTTTAGTTAGTGGGTCTTTTTTTCTTACTTTCTACTTTATAAAGTTTTTGATGTATTTAAGTAAGTTTAATGCATCTTCATTTATTCAATTGAGCAGTAGGAATGGCGTATACCTCTTGTTATTATTGCTAATGTTGTCGGTGCTAAAGTTTCTGGATTGCACGAAACAGGATATCGCATAACTGAGTTCTTGTTGATAATTCTGTTTCCGAACGCTGAATTACTGATTAACACAACGGTATGATGTAAATATGCGACGGAGGCGAGTCGGCTTTTTTTCGTGCGATAACTTTAAATACCAGTTGTTTAGAGGAATAAATAAGACGGAAAAGTAATTATAGATAAAACCTCTCGAGCTCTCGACTTCGTTTTTTCTTTCTATAAAGAAAGTAATTGGTCAAGTAGACGGTGGATTTTTATTGCGACAGTAATCAAAACTAAGTGAGAAACACACCGACACTAAAAAAGCACTAAGGCAGTAATTCCGTGGAACAGAGATGCGATCGAGGTGGAGGTAATGCAATAAGCACGCTAAAAGTCGATGTTTTACAATCGAAAAGATAATTCTGTAGTAATTACCACAGGGATATTATAATCGGTTTCTAAACTGAGTTCATCGAACGTAAACGATCATTATTATTCTGATAGTTCGCACCCATATTATCCGTGATGTAATTTATTAAAAGTAGTAAATGAAAGAATAAGTAAATAATAAAATAGTCCAACAAAAATGAAAAAGAAAAAGAAAAAAAGAAAGAGAAAACCAATAAAAAATTAAATAAAAAATTAATAAAATCAACCAGTAAGTATATATAATAAAATAAAAATAAACGGAAACATGCGCGTGCAGCAATTTCCCACACAGCCGTTCATTATCTCCAATCAGTATCATTCTAATGCATTTTGTTTTCCAGGCATTAATCTCGCTTACTATTAATTGCGTGGACACCATCTCCACCCCCGCGACCCCCACTACCACCATTAACGGTCTCTCCGGCCTCGTCCCCTCTACGACTACCGCCTTCGCGTCCGTAACAGCATCGTTCCTCTGTGAATCTGTTAGCGTGAGATGTCATGGCTCCTTCATCGTTACTAAACCAAAATGACAAAGTTACAATTCGAAAATATATACCAAAGTCTACTAACAAAATAATCGCTGCTTCCGTAGCCAGACTCTATATCGCATACCCCAAGTCAGACAGTTGGACGTATACTGGATTGTCTGGTGCCATCGTTCTGGTGTACGACAGCGTAGGAAAGTGTTGTTGGCTTAAATTAGTTGATCTGGTGGTATGGTGTTCATTTGCTTCTTCTTACCGGGGTCGCTCAGTAGACGTGATGTTGTATGGATGAAACTAACATATCTATTTAGAGTGATGGAGGCGTTCTATGGGATCAAGAAGTCTATGAGGGATTTGATTTCCACCAAGACAGAACCTTCTTTTACTCCTTTGAGATAGAGGGGTGCTTGGCTGCACTGAGTTTTGCAGACGAAGAAGAAGCATCAAAATTTCATCGAAAAATGGTCGACAAAGGCTACCATCCAGATGCTGTTGAGAATCCAGTACGCTCAATGTTCCGCCGTCGCAGCAGTAGAAGAAGCTCTTCTCAACGTTCTTCATCCTATAGCCAATCCAATGGTAACAGTTTAAGCATCAACACCACCAACAACAATAACGCCAATTTTGTGGACTCTTTAGAGCCCAGTCTGATCGATTCTCTTGCCCAAATGGGCATTACTCGCGAACAAATTTCCGAGAACGAAGACTTTATTCGCTCCTTCATGGCCGAAAATGGAATAACACCTCCCTCTGGTTCCACTTCAGCAGCCAATACTCCCGTAACTGCTCCATCAACACCGGCAGTCCCCCCACCGCCTATGCCGTCTGGCGCCGCTCCTGCGCTTCCACACGCTTCAGCACACGCTTCAGAAGCTCCTAAATATGCTGTCCCACCACCGCCTCCTCCAGGTGCAGCAGCAGCAGCACCCAACTTACCTCACTCGCCTCCTCGCGCGGAGATACACCACAGCAACAGAAGCAGCAGTACGAGTTCTGTACCCCCTCTACCGACAGCTGCAGCGTCGGTGCCAACTCCTCCCATCTCTGCTTCCAAAAGTACGGCCGGCCGTATGCAGCGTCGGGTACCTCCTCCACCCCCAGCACGCCGAAACCATGGTCGCAGCTTCAACAACGGTCCGGCCACGAGGTCCTCCTCGACTGGCAGCGGAGCACCACCGCCTCCTCCTCCTCCTCGTTCTGCTGCTTCTCGTGCTGTCCCTCCTCCGCCGCCCCCACGTTCCAGCGCAGCAGCGTCCCTTCACCAACGAGGCGTCCCCCCACCACCCCCCACCAAAGTACAGCGCTTTCCCTCCTGCACCTGCCGCTGCAGTGCCTTTACCGCCCACCTCTGCGGCACCCCCACTCCCCCCTGCCGCCTCGACGGCACCTCCACCTCCACCACTCCCGACCGCCTCCGCTCCACCTGCTCCCCCACTTCCCTCCGCTGCTGCTCCTAGTGTACCGTCTGCTCCCCACCGCCCCCCGCTGGGTGTCCCCCCACCTCCAGCAGCCCCGGCTTCCAAGTGGCAGCGCCAGCAGCAGCCGTACCTCCTGTGGATGGCGGTCGTGCAGACTTGATGGCTAGCATTCGTGCCAGTGGTGGTCTTAACATGCTGAAGAACAGAGTATGTGCGACACGATGTCAAACGACGCAAAACTTACTAACTCCATTTCAGCCGAAGAGCAGCTCCTCGCCTCCTAGAACTCAGACTTCCCCTCCGGCAAACGACAATTCCTCGCCGACGAATCTGATGGACGCGCTGGCAAACGCACTCAATCAGCGCAAGACCAAGGTCGCACAAAGCGGTAAGTCATTTTTGACAACGGGACCGGCCCAAACTCGGTCGCAATGGCTTGTCAACTGCTCGACGTGTTCGTGTACTAACATAGTTTCGCTCTACAGATGACGAGGACGACCATGACGATGAATGGGACTAAGTGTCCAATTTATTACTAGGATACATTGTTTTACGATTGCGCAAACAGCAACTAAGAGCTACATTGTTTTTGTACCCACTAGTTGGTGTTCGCGTTGCATTTTTGGCGTGTTGTTTACGTGTTGCAAGAAGCAGTCACAAATTGCCAACACAAACCCACACACAATGTACACCCTGCTTCCTCCACAACAAACCCTAAACAGGTCAAAAACTCAAAAAATGGATTCCGCCAAGTTGTCTAAATTGCAAGCCGGCGTTCGTATCGGTAAGTAGTTTTGTGGAACGGAACAGAGCGAAGAGGGACTGTCGTTTGCGTCCGTCCACTCGAGAAGCGTACAAAACCGCTAATACATTTGCATTAGGTGGTAAGGGTACTCCCCGTCGTAAGGTTAAGAAGCCTTCCAAGGCTGCTCTTAGTGCCGCCGATGAGAAGAAGGTCCAAACTTCTTTGAAGAAGTTGAACATGCAAGCTCTTGCCGGTATCCAAGAGGTCAACATGTTCAAGGAGGACGGCAACGTCATTAACTTCCAAGCTCCTACCGTTCATGCCTCTCTCCCCAACGAGACCGTTGCTATCTACGGTAAGCCCCAAGAGAAGTCTTTTGCCGAGATTCTCCCCGGTGTCTTGAACAATTTGGGTCCTGAGTCCCTTGCTGCCCTCCGCAAGATGGCTGAGCAATTGAAGGTCAGCGAGGGCAAGGCTGACGGCGAGGCCGGTAAGGATGCCGATGGTGACATTCCTGACCTTGTCGAGAAGTTTGATGAGCAAGACTAAAGAAACAAATAAATTATCGTCGAACGGCTACAAGGCTGTGGGTATCGTGTCGTGTCTGGAAAGTAAGGTTGCGTGGATTGCGGGGGTGCGACTAAGGAGACCAATGGTTGGCTCTGAAATTGTCGGCTTTTGTTTAAGGTTTCGCGTAAGCGAATTTTTATTTTCAGAGAAACGCCGAGAGTAAAGAGCATTCATTACCATTCGTTACCGTTCATTACCCGACATTGCTTGCTCGTAAAGCTATTGGTTTGCCTCTTGAAAGAAGGCGTTTACTTCCTTCCAGTCGATTGCGTCCCACCATCGACGGAGGTACTCGTGTTTTTTCGTCAACCCGTAGTCGGTCAAGTAGGCGTACTGCCATAGATTGACACACATAATTGGAGTAATGCTCGTTCCCAGTTTGGGTTGTGAAAACCAGTCATTCGCACCCCAGGAGACTGCACTAGAAGTGTTGTAGGAAAACAGTAACGAGAAGAAATGGGTTCGTTGCTCGTACACTAGCCACAGCCAGGCGTCCCCGAACACAGCTGTTCCTGCCCGAAGAAATTGATCTCTCAGCATGTCTATCGACCCAAAGGAGTAATTAATGTCCTCTTGCAGTGCAGGTGATGCCTCTGATGCATAGTTTGAGGGGGTTCCGGTGACTTCTGGTGCCTTAATGGTAGCAAAAAATCGCCGATTATTATACATTTGACTTGCACAACTGAATATTTTTGACTTTGATGCATCACCTACAGTGTTTTGCATCAGAAACAGAGGATTCCTGAGTTCCAAGTTGTTTTCATCGCAGTAACGATCAAGTATTCCTCGTAAATGAACATGGTAATCGTCGATGACGCGTAGTGCCCTGGACGACAAGAAGTTTTTGTAGCCAAGTGGAATCGCCGACTTGAACCGCTGATACACCTTCATGCAGACGATGAGCAGCCAGCACCGAAATGAAAGCGTGTAGCGCAAAACAAAACAATGCGATGCACAACCTTAAAATGCCTTATTTGAAATAACACAGTTTACTGCATCAGTAATAGATTTAACAAACTTGTGCACAGGACACCATTGCGCGTTCCACCACATTACGGCACACTAAACGGGCCGGGTCAAGTTGGCTTATCCCGGCACTGCAAACTTGCTCAGTCCGAATCACACGCTACCAGTCCGTATCCTTCAATTTAGCTACTTTGGGGCGTTTGTGGACATTTCTGGCTAATTAATTGGAAGCCCTTGACTGCTCTGTCTTAGGCATTTTGATTTCTGCTTCCAATCGCTATATTTGGCCGTTTTATACGATTTGTATGCGTGTTGTCGTCTCAATTGATCGAATACTGACACTGGTAAACTTGGTTTGGATTTTATGGGACCTTTGTGCTTCGTTGTCTACCATCTTGGTGCCCATTACTTTGCCAAGTAAATTCCCATCTTATTACAAAATTCACTCGGAAGTTGGACGATTCTCGACTCTGAACCATCGTTACTTCTTCTTCCCCCGCTTTCACGGTCATTCATTTTTCTCATAAACAATGAGTGAGGACCTTGTATCAGTTTCGTCTTGCGTAGAATCATTTCATTCCCTATCGCAATGCACAACATTACGCGAAATCACGAATAAGCTGACTGTTCTGTATAACCAATTAAAAACAAAAATCCCGCGGAAGCTTTTTCCGCAACTCTTCATCACCAACAATGGTTTCCAAATTCTCAGTAACGTTTTGGCCCGTCTAAATTCAGAGAATGACTTGTCTCTAGAAATCTTTGAAAAATGTCTTCGTATTCTCTCACTCGCAACTTCATACACTGTTCTCCGTTCTTGGCTCTTAGTTGAGCGACACGTCGAGTACTGGTTAGCGAATGCAATCGTCAAATTGCTACCGGGCGACGGTGCTCCTTTGAAGGGACACCATCAACGAAATACATCTCTAGATGCTCCGTACGCTTCATTGCTTGAAAAGCTTTCCACAAAAGTTTTAAATGCTCCCAAGGTTGATCAAAGTGCTCGAGATGCGAAAAGCGCTCTTTTACTTCGGAGAGTAAAGCTCTCGTCTGCCCTTATTTCCTTCGTTGTCAACGACTCTGACAACATTGCAGAAGCATTTACTAAAATTGTACCCGAGGACGTTCCCGCTAAAGATATTTATGCGTCTTTCCTGACGGCGCTTGTTGGAAAGCCTTTGTTTTTTCCTGATCTTCTTCCTTTAGTACTTGACATTCTCATAAATACGGAGCTGCTGCCTCCATTCGTAAACTTTTTGTGCGAGACACTCAAGCAGAGTGTCTTTAACCGTATTCAAATCGCTTCTTCTAGTGCCCTCGACTTTCTCATGGTCCTTCTCTTTCCGCAATCGGAAGAACCATTGGATGAGTCGCTGGCCAACCTTTTAATTGAGATTACTGAATTGTCTGCACGATATGGAGTTTCGAACAGCACCTTAACCCTCGTCCTTGAAGAGTACAAAAAGAATCCCAGGGTTTGGATACGCGAGTGGATTCAGAAAACCATGGACGCATGCCATCCTCCTTGCTTTTATTTAAATCCTAATTTGAAAGGTTATGCATCTGTGGATTATGTGCTCAACAACATAAAGCTTGACGACAACGGCTACACAATGTCTTTTTGGTTGAATGTGGATGACATTCCGCTTCCCCAATCTACTACATCTTGTTCCCCCATTACTCTTATATCTTTAGCGGATGTTACAAAGCAGTGCTTATTCCGAGTCGTGTACTTTGCGGACGACAGGACTATTCGTTTTCAATTCGGCGATAGTCTTCAAAATTCAGCAACTCACAAGTTGTACGACTCATCGCATTCTGTGTCGCAGAAGCATTCATTGAACTCATCCCTTTACGGGAATTGGCATCTCATCTCTTTTGTGCATGTTAAAACTTCGAACACTCTTGTATATTTTATTGATGGTCATGCTATTGAGTATAATCAATGTCCTTATCCCTTCTCCCCATCCATTTTACAGCCTTATTACATCTCCGTTGGTGCCAATCCAAAACAGCCAGAAACACAGTCGGATGCATTGAGTGATTCAATATCCAGATTCTCCATATCTAAGCAGTCTACTATGTCTGAAACCGATACCGCTCCAGATACAGTAAATATGTATCCCGAAATTTACCTCGGAATGGTACGAATGCATTCCTTGCCTTTATCATCCTCGCACATCGCTCTAATGTATGTACTTGGCCCTGGTTTTGCAGGTTCGTTCCGTGAAAATCTCGCGGATTACATGATCTATAGTGCCTCAACGTTTCTTAATCTTACATTTGGTGACAAGATCAATAGCTCAAATCGTGATTATCCGTCCGATTCGTTGGTATTTGTTTCCAATGCCAATGACTATGTGAATATAGGTGACGAAGGATTGCATAAACTATGCTCGCCGGATACCCTCAACGTGTTGGACAACTTGAAGTCACAGTTTTACTCTCGTATTTATCTTAATCGGGCCGCAACGTCCTATGATCACGTCTTTTCCGCAGCTCATTTGTCGTTTGGCGTTTCCTCTGGTATCATTCTACCATGCGTGTCTCAAAACATCATTGAGGCCGCTTACAATATTGGTGGAATATCTGTACTGTTGGATTTCGTTCGGTCGGCAACGGATGATGACAATCTCTTATTTAGCTTGGAACTGTTCTGTAAGGCTATCGATTCTGAATGGAGATTTGCCGAAGCTGCTGAACAAGGCCATGCTTATGAAATCCTTGCAAGCATACTTCGCTCAAAGTCGGACTCGTTGATAAATGAAAAGACCTTGTTGCTGATATCTCAATATTGTGGACTAAGTTTGGACCCTGTGCCAAGCGTCATTAAGAATCCACTCCTATTTCACACACTCTTTTTGGATTTTGAACTGTGGGCGAAGTCTTTAGACTTAGATGTTCGTCTGCAGCATCTTACTTTATTACTTTCGTTGACTGAGAATAATCCTTATGCGGCTTTCAATGTTAAACGTCTCTCAAAAATGCACTTACTGAAAAAACTACTGTTTTCTTTACGCAATTTCCTTTTCTCCGTGGAAACGTTACCGGTTCTAAAAATGGTCTTCCATTCCATATTTAAATACATGTTCACTACGGAAACAATACGAATGGTTGCAACCTTCGTCGTTTATTCCACACAGAACAGTAAACGTGTCCGTCGTGGCTCTAGAGCTTCCGATTTAACACAACGTCACCCGCTACGTGGTACTCGATTTACCATTAAGCAAGCTGGTCGTATGCTCTGTGAAAGTTTTATTGATTTCCTTACAAACTCAGAAAATGGTGCTGCATGCATTCGTCGCTTTTCGTCAATGATTACATCAATGTGGCTCCTGTTTCTTTTACGTGAACACGATACTAATTACTTTCTTTGTGGTCTGAAACTGTTTACTCAACTCATTCGTGTTATGGGTTTCGTTTACATTGCCAAACTTCAACAGAAGTTTTATGGTTTACGAATTCTTGGGAAGCAATTAGCAATGCACGTGAATGACGAGGAGACTTGGATTCTCCTTGTTAGTATGTTCTTGGGCTATGGGGTACATAAGATACAAAGGTCGTCGGAGAAGACTCTTAAAGAGAAGCTAAACGAATTGCTGTCAAGTGGACTTGAGGATGCGTATCCCGTTATGGAAGTCTTCAATTTATTAACACAATCTATAGAATATGTACTCAAGGATAATTTCAAGGTACTTGTAAATCCTGTCCCCTCTTGTATCGAGTACGCAACGTCCGTAACAGAATTCCTTCTTTCTCTACAAACTTCCTTTTTTCTTGATCCAACTCACAAAGCTCTCATGTTGGAGGAGTTTTACCGTTTGGTAATGCCGTACACATCTCTTTACTGTTATCTTTCTCCTGCTGATGAACTGGAACAAGTTAGAGATACATTAGAGAAAAGACTTCCAAGAACCACCTCTCTTAGTCTCCTCAGCGCAGGCATGACTGGTCATCATCGTCGTGTTTCGAGTAGTACTTTTGGCAAAAAGGTTCGATCATTGTCGACGTCCAAGATCAAGTATCTCAACTCTTTGGACAACTATTCAAAGCTCGAAGTCGCGCCTTCAAAAACATCGAGTTTTCTGAAAGGCTGTACTGACTTACGAAACACGATGGTTGATTTATTCCCGGAATGTCGTGTCTCAGAATTACTACGAAATGTAGACAATTTGTTACTGCGAATTTATTTGCAGGACATTTTCTGCTCCGCAGAATGTCAAAATTTCAATCCCATTCCCGGTATTTACCTCCAAGCACAAAGGCATCAAAGATTGTTTGTCACTGCAGTTTCAAAAGCTTTGTGCGATGAGATATTACAGGTAATCGAGAAACTCCCGGATCTCATGTTTAAGACCTGGGTGCTGTCGAACCTTTCTATTGTTTACTGGAGTTTGACTTGCTTATGGCACCAAGGGTATATAAACTCCAGCATATTCAACATAAGGGACTTCGGTGGACATCTGTTAGAGAAGTGGCATAACGAGAGTAAAATTCATGAAATCCCTAAGACTGTAACACAAATTATTGCAAGGTTACACGCATCATTCGTTCATTCTTATTTGCTGGCTTTTGTTCCACTCAAGGAAACTTCAGTAAACGAGCTTATGTCAATCCTAAAGCAACTTAAGTATTGGCAAAGCATATTTTTTCAGGCGTCTTTCTTTCAGCTGGGTTCTCTTGACTTGATTTGGTATGTACTTTATCAAATAGTCCTCTTAGATGTTCCTGAACTTCGTACTGAAGCAGTCGACGTATGGCGCATTTTCTACCTTCATTTCCACGCCAATGATTTTCTCAGCAATAGATTTAAGGACACCGACAGTTCACTGCAGCACGGCCTCTCCTCTGTTTTGGAAACAGATTCTCGACAGTTTCTTACCTGGTTTGATGAAAATAGAATCAATATCAGTAAGCATATGATGGCAGCTTACGAAGAGAATTGGCAAGATTTTGTGAAATCAGCAAACAAATCGAAACGTGACAAGACATCTGCCACCAATAACACTCGTTATTCCTTCATCAAACGGCTTATAGCTACAAGTGAACTTGAATCGCAAAAGACGTTTGAGACATCTGCGTCTATTGAGTCTTGGATGATGAATCTTTACGCGTTGGAATGCAGTCGGTTCCGGAAAATGTACCAGGATCAGTCTGACCAAGACGTGTTTATCCGAAATGCTCTTCAATCTATTGAGAATGAGTTAACTTTACGTTCATTCCTTTTTAAAAGCGACGACATTCTATGGGAACTTGATTGTACTGAGGGTGCAGAGCGCACGAGAAAACGTTTAATGCCCTGTTTATTACCAAAACTGAAGAGTGAGCCAAAGTCTAAACGCGCTAGTGGAAACGGACAAAAGTACAATGCACCGACTTCAGAGCCTGGCAAAAGCATAAAAGATGAACTTTCGCAAGCCAAGGGATTGATTGAAAATGCTAAGCCCGTTGACTTGGATGCAGATGAGAGTACAGCGGATAAAGACACTGAAGATCTTACTGAGGAAGAAGAGGAAAAGGATGACAAGAACCAGAGCGCTATGCACGTGCTCGTACATGGTGATCTTTTTGAAAAGGTTTTCAATGTTGGGCGTGTCGTAGGCCTGGATGCTGTCGAAGGCATTCTTGTACTGGGGAAGTTTTGCATATATCTCATGGACAGTTTCTTTTTCAGGTCCGACCATGAGATCGTTGATGTCAGAGATGATTCAGTTGCTAATGAGCGCGATCCTTTTTTGCGCTTATTACACGAACAAGACATAAACCATCGTCTTGCAGACGCAAGTACTGAGAGATCTGTGGCCAGTAACTGGCATTGGCTTTATGGTGAGTTAATCTCGGTGATGAAAAGATGTTTTCTTCTCCGTGATGTTGGCTTAGAATTGTTTTTCAAAGATGGAAGAAGCTTCCTAGTAATTTTACCGTCTATAAAAGCTCGGGATTCATTGCACCAAATGCTCCTCTCTCGTAATGAGAGAACAAGTGACGCGTTGACATTGAACAGTCCTCTTCCGAAGGAAGTTGGAAAAAAACATACAATGGTAGGAGCACTTGGCTCAAGACTTGTGAGTGCTTTTTCTATTGCCGCTACTCATCCAGCAACGAAACAGTGGGAGCGGCATGAGATATCTAACTTTCATTATTTGCAAATCGTTAATACTCTTGCCGGACGTACTTATAACGATCTAACACAGTACCCTGTTTTCCCGTGGGTTATTGCAGATTATGAAAGCGAGGAACTTGATTTCTCGGATCCTAAAACTTTTCGTGACTTAAGCAAGCCAATGGGTGCTCAAACTCCCGAGCGTAAAGAACAGTTTATGCAAAGGTATCAGATGATGCTTGGCTTAAATGATTCTCAACAAAAGCCTTTCCATTATGGTACTCATTACTCCTCTGCAATGATTGTAACGTCGTTTCTCATTCGCCTTCGCCCGTTTGTTGATGCCTATTTGGCTTTGCAAGGTGGTCAATTCGATCATGCAGATCGTTTGTTTTTCTCCATCAAACAAACTTGGGACTCTGCATCTAGGGATAACATGGCAGATGTTCGTGAACTGATTCCTGAGTTCTTCTACTTAAGTGAAATGTTCGTCAATTTGAATCATTTTGATTTCGGTGTCCGACAGAGCAATGGAATGGCGATTGACAACGTCGTACTTCCACCCTGGGCTAAAGGTGATCCCATGATCTTTGTTCAAAAGAACAGAGAAGCTTTAGAAAGTGATTATGTCAGTGCCCATTTGCATGAATGGATTGATCTCATATTTGGCTGTGATCAAAAGGGTCCGAGTGCCGTCAATAGGACCAACGTTTTTCATAATCTCTCATACCAGGGCTCCATTGATCTTGAGAACATCGACAATGAACTTGAACTTGCCGCTACTGTCGGTATTATTCATAATTTTGGACAGACTCCAAACCAAATATTCAAACGACCTCACCCTCCTCGTGGTCTCGATTTCACCGATCGTGCGACGGGAAACTTGATTTTCGGCCGTTTTGAGGACTCCACGGCAGCGCTAATTCAAAGTTACTCGCCAGTCTTTGAAATTACTGGTGCTGTTAATAGCATCTCTTATCAGCACGATGTGGATGAATTGCATGCTCTTCCCTATAATATTATACAAATAAGCCGAAACTTACTTCTTCGTTGGGGGCGCATTGACAATGCGATTGAGCTCATGCCTCTTCATTCTGAGAAACGCACGCAATTGTTTGAAGAGCTACATGTTAAACGCATTACTCATCTCCAGGCGTGTGATGAACGTAGCTTCATCACCGTTGCTAAGGATATGACCCTAAAGTGCTGGCTCATTTCGCATGCCAAGCCTACCACGCTTACCTTGAAATGCGTTCTTAGTGGTCACCAGTCTGAGATTACGGCGGTTTGTGTCTGCAAGACTTTTAGTATTATTGTCAGTGGTGACGAAACTGGACATTTAATCATATGGGACATGAACCGTTGTGAGTCTGTCAACAGTATGAGGATTGCAAAAGCTCCTATTCAGACAATTACGGTAAATCCTCGAAATGGAGATATCGCTATTACGCACGGTGTTTATTGCGTATTAATTTCCATTAACGGTGATAAGCTCATTGCTGATAGACTTACTCGTTCGTTTTCTGGAGAGAACGAGGCTGTCACGGCTACATGTTTTTATACTGGAGTTCATTCTGAATGGCTTCACCGAGAATTACTCGTAACTGGTCATGCAAATGGGGTCATCCGTATTTGGGAAAAGAAGCAGAAAGACAGAATCCTAATCGATACTGTTTCTCGCTTTGACAGTCTTAAAAAAACACCCAATTGGAGATATCAGTTGGTTCGTGAGTTTCAGCCGACCGTTGGAAATCGGCGTAGTCGGAAGCCGTTGTTCTCGAAGATCACTTGCGTGTACATGAATGGAAATGCACGCATGCTTTTTACCGGAGACGTTCAAGGCAGAGTATTTGCCTGGTCTTTACCTGATACTGGGTCTAGTGTGCACCTGGATCATTCAAATTCTGCTGAAACTTGTGTTCTTTGTGACACTCGTTTTTCTCTTATGGAATGGAGATGCCAATGTAGAGCCTGTGGCAACAGCAATATATGCAATGACTGTATTGTAACGCTGCCAAATTCGCATATTAAGGTTTGCCGTGAGTGTTCACGTCGTATTTCTTTTAATTACAAGAACTACTAAAGATGTCATGATTTTGTTTATGTTAGCGCACATTTACTGCAAGATAATATTCTTGACTTTGTTCAAACATGACTTTAATGATTAATTTATGTTTTCCAAATATCAATACAAATAGATAATATGTGATATTCATGACTATCTTCACTTAGAACATGCAAATTCTCGTTGACTGCGAACAGGATAATTGATGCTGAAAGGGCTTGTTATGCACCTACAGTGTTCGAACTCTTTTCTATGAGCGATAATTACCGGTTTCTTTACTAAAGTAGTATGCGAACAGCCATGATGACACAACATATAGAGACGTACTGTTAATTACTGTTAGTGTTACGAGCAACAAAACCAGGTATCATCGTCATTACTTACCGGACTTGCCCGATCACCAATTCGTGCACATTTCCAGAAAACGCCAAGCACTCTGTTTTCTTGCATTAGATGACCGTTATTTAATCAATCATAAATATAACTCACCCCTCTTTTCTTCTATTCAACAAAGCTGGAAATTGTCGGTGAACATAGGTGCATGTACAAATAGTCAAAAGAATCACAATCAACAAACTTTCGAAATTAAAGATTGCAGTCTAGAGGAAGACAATATTGTCAGCACCATAGAGTATATTAAAGACACGGAGAAGACTTACCATTTCGACAGGTTGGAGTTTTTAGCAAGTACAGGGGAAAAGAAGGAAAACGACGAATTCGCGATAATAAAGAAGGAATAAATACCTTTTTTTTATAGAGGCACAAAAGTGAATGTATCAAGTTACTAGAAATATAACAGCTTGAGAAATTGTGTCGTTTTTGAAGAAAAATAAAATCCACAAGTAAGCTTGAGGAAGGTGAAGAGTAAAAAGAAAATTCCAAAAAAATCAGTTGTTGTTTGAGCGAATCCTATTTACTGAACAAAACTAGTACATTTCTGAAGTATTGAAAAAACAGGCTTTATGGCATTCAAAACCAGGCTGTGTCGATAAAATGATATTACTTGCCAGTAACTCCCTTGGATGCGTCGTCAAGCTTGATAATGAGTGATTGAATCCAAGAAATAGTCTCTTTCCGCTGCTGACGGACCTTTTGATCACCATTGATGTCAATAGCGTCCAATTGAATAAGACGTCCAAGAAGCGTTTCTGACAAGCGTCTGTGTCCGTCTTCACGTTCTTCGTCAGACAATTTACCTGCCTCAGCAACATACTGTTCTACCAAAGGCAATATTTGTTCCTCAATTCCGTTCTTCATTGCTCTAACGGCCTTTTCTGCCGGAGAACTGTTGTCAACAACAAGTTCACAGGCATCTTTGTTACGAACTCCTTGCACAAAAACACTGCCGTCCTTCAAGATCTTTCCCTTGTGCATAAGGAGAATGTTACCGGGCTTCTTGAGACCAACAGCGTTACAAGCTTTACGGAGCAGCTTTCCCTTTGTGATTTTGTCCAAAGGTGGGTCACGAAGCGTCAAAGTAACGGTCTTTCCTTTATATTTGACGGTCAGTTGGCTTGGAGTCTCCGAGGACTCCGTCATTTCCACATTTTCCTGTTCCGGGTTTGTTTCCAGGACGGCCGTCTTTTCATTGAGCTTTTCAGAACTCGATGACTTAACCTTGGTAGAACGAGGACGTACGCTTTGAACAAGCAAATAAGCGACAGAAATACCAAAAATGGAGATCAAAGCTAACAATTCTTTTGAAATCCCAAACATTCTAGTAGTGATTTTTAGTTTGACAGCAGGAATTGAGGTGGCCGTAGAGAGAGACAAGAGGTGTGGAAAAATCGTTCTTAAATGGCCGAGAAACAGTATTTCAGGCACAAAGACGGGAACGATTGAATCAAATTGAGTAAAAAAGCCAGTTGAGCTTGTTGAAGAGAAGAGAAAAATGCGTTTAAACCGATCATTCTTCTCGTCAATCCAACTTTGGTTCAGGATCAATACAGAATGATTCCAGTAGTATTACATCGTATTTAGAATTCTTACACAACCCGTATTTGCTTACATATACTGTCGTTTGTTGAGTTAGACAAATTCAACGCGTCTATGCGCGCTACATGTATACTCTCAATTAAGCTCTTTCACGCGTGGTGTTTTTCATTTAGCGAACACATGTACATAAGGTTATGCCGATCCATCGATCAAGGGTCCAATAGGTTACATCCCTCTCCCGCTAAACTTAAATGCTCCACGTGTAAGTCTCTTAGGGGATGCGAGAGCGAAAACCGCAACCAGCCTTTCGCAGACTCTAGCGTCTACCGTCCGCACTGGTTCACTGTTACATCGATTGTTTCGTTCTTTTATGTCGACCTATGTCGGCTTTAAATAGAAATACGTCCACTCCCTCCTACTGGAGACTCAATCAGGTATGTTTGCTCTATTCAGCTGGAAAGGAGGAATTCTTCAATTTTATGGAATTGCTGCGTCAGAAACGGACTTTTAAAGAAGAATTGAACTTCTCACGGTTAAGTACGAAGAAAAGGCTCGAAGTGATGTAGTTTTATTGGGAAATCATGTCGTTATTCGCTGGTTTGTAAATGTTTAATTACACTTAAACAGAATCGCCTAAAGAAGAAGAATATGGGATGTCATAACCTAAATTAAATTTATGCATGCATGATTCTACGCCGTCGGAAAACATTTACGATTGAGTTTGTCCAATTGAAGCCATCGAACGAAGGTTTCAAGTGGAGAGTATGAAACGGTGCTAGTGAATATTGAGATACAGTTTTGTTTGACATATTCCTTCCCATGGTACCTTCCTCATGTTCTCTTTACTCTCCCAACTTCCCGGGTCCTTCCGTCATTAACGGCTTTCATTCTCTGTTCTTTTTTCTGTTCTCCGTGCTATGTCTACCTTCTCGGTTTCGTTTCTCCCTTTTCCTTTTCCTTTCCTTCCTTTTAACTTCCTTATCTCCCTAGTACTAACATCGTATAGAGTAATCCTGTTGTTTCGGAGCGACCTCGAACAACAAATGGTTCACTGGATGTGTTCTACGATGTGGAGGACCCACCTCAGAATGACGAACCTAGTGTCAGCGTGAGTACAGGTGATATATATACTAGCCCAGCATCGAGGCGTTCGATGCATGACCTTCCTAGTTCTTCACAGTCATTTATCGAACCTTCTCCCACCAAAGTTAGCCCGCGCTTAACGAAAACGCTCTCCACGTCACATTTACAGCGTCCAAAGACCGCAGGGCATGTAGGGTTGCACTCTCGTGGCTCAGTTCGTCGTCGTTCTGCAGGTGCTTCTTCAGCCGTTCCTCCCTCTCGTCAGTTCGGAAGCCCAGAATCTGACAAGGTGTCCCGTGCGCCGTCGTTGGAGAGTGACCATACTACTCGTGTGGTTTCTCCTCAAACATCGCCTTGCTCCTATTCGCGTCTCGCGAACGCCAGTAAGCGATCGCTCGAATCGCAAGAAGGAAGGAGCTATTCAACACTTCTCGACCGAAACCATCCAATGTCGCGTTCTAGGTTCACTGTGCATACAGAATCCATTTCGCCGTCCTTGCTGGACACGGCGATGTTGGATTCACGTCTAAATTTTACGATGGAACGGTTGGAGAGGTCTATATTTCAACTTTCCAAAAACACGATGAGAGCCGTCTCACATCTTGATAATGCACCACCCTCCGTGGCCCTTCCTTCTCTAAGCAAACGCACTGCATGGCCTCTTCCAGCTTCTGCTCCCATTACACCCGTCCCTCCTCGTCCCTCATCGGTACCTCAAAGTCGACCTAATACTACTTCTTCTAGTCCATATCCCACGGCATTCATGAAGAATGACTATGCGTTGGACAACAATGCTTCTTCCCAGGTGATCGCGGAAGAGCCCTCCAATCAAATTGACAGCCAGACACAAGCTACCGAACTAGACAATACAGCCGGTGCTCTTGAGAATAATGGTTCTTTGAATGACGCAGCCTCTAATGTTGCGGCCGACAGTAAACGAAACTCCAGACGGCTGTCTGCTATGGATCTTCCCGTGGCCGATGACTTTGGATCACCATTGAAACTTAAGGAGTTACCCGCTACTGTCGGAAGTAAGAGCTCGGTCAACAAGAATGGTAGTAACCAGCGGGCAGATATGGATAGCGAAATACGTTTATCTTTGAATGGTCCCCCTACCTTTGCTCCTGCTACTGCTACAAGTACTTTCCCCCCAGCAGTTACGAGAAAATCCTCTAAGCGTCATTACTCTGAAATCTCGTTTACCGGAGTGGAACAAGAAACACAAATCATGCCCATCGTTGAAGAGCCAAAGACAGAATTTGCGGAAAAGGTTCACTTACGCCAGGTCAGTACCTCGAATCGGTCTGAACACGCTCCGTCCGTCAATACTACTGTCTCCAATGTTCCCAATGTTCCTACCGTACCTTCTGCACACTCGTTTTCTACTGCATCACCCTCTGTTGCTCAACAACGCACACACCTTGCGCATTTGTCATCCGATTTGGCATTGCGTCCCATTGAATCCAACCTTCCTCCTCACGTAGTAAAGGACTATGCTACAAGACCTGCAGCAAAAGCTGCAGCTGAGCTGAAGGCTAATGCCGCTCAGAACAAACCCGTTAAAGAAAAAACGTCCCTCTCATCTAAGCTGTGTTGCGTCCTGATGTGAAAACTCCGTTGACGTGTCTGTGTGAAAGGGTTTTTTACTTGATTTTTTTCTTCCAATTCATCTTTTTGTTTGCCTACATCCAAGTCTTCGGTACTTGTGTTTGCTGTAGCTCTTTGAAACGAAAAGTGCCAGCAGTACTTTAATATCATTCATTTCTTACCTCTACAATCAATGTAAATATTTAAATGCAATATTCTAAACGATCAGGAAGGTGGGCTATGTAGAAACTATTTAGGTGCTTTGTTTTATGTTGCATGCCAGTGGGAGAAAAGCTCCCCTCATGTTGGGAAGTGTTTCATTGTTTGATAAGAATTGTTTCTTTATTTACCCGTTTGACGCGACGCGACAAAACGTGTCAAAACCCGAATCTGGTTACAAATTCACTCAACTTTAACAAACATCAATGTTGTAAGGCGAAGCGTAAAAATAAAAAATTTAAAAAATAAAACCAGTTTCCATTGACAGTTTACCCGATTATTTGAACTTACACCTGTCTCAGATCCATATGTGAAAGATAATTGTTTCTGACAGAATTGCAGAATGGATTTGACGGTGAATGAAAAGCCATATTCCTCAAACCTTTATTCTTCTACTTCTTTTCCCTCGTTCTGTTTTTGTCCGTGCTCCTTAGACGCGAGTCCGTCAGAACCGGAGAAATTGTTTGAGCAGTTAAAAGACTGTTTCTGGGACCATTTGTTTCCAGCTGAATGTATGAGCTATTGTCCTCAATGTCGGCAACTTAAATGTCCAAAGTGTGTTGAGGAATACATCAGTGAATACTATTGCGACAATTGTTCACAAAGCATGCCTGCTGTGGTCGCGAAGGTAATGAACGGAAAGTGCTCTCATTGCTACTGTTGTCCTAAGTGCATGGCCGCGACCAAGTACATGTACAGTAAGCAGTCAAAGGCCTATTACATTGCATGTCCTAAATGCAAATGGAACTCCCAAAGTCTGTGGACAAATGTCAAGTCATCATCCGACTTAGTCGCGTTGTTTCGTAAAAGCTATGACTCCTACGCAAATTCGTTTCAAGAAATACGCGAAAAAGTCATATCAGGTTCATATATGGACCTAATAAACGGGAAATCATCTCAGCGACAAGGTGATCCCGTGGTCTTATTACCGACAAATACCGATATTAGGTCAGCAGCAGATCGAATAATTCAGCTACAAGCGGCTTCCTTGCAGCAACAGCAAGGTCAGAACAGCAACAATGAAGATAAGGACAAATCACTAGACATTGTATTCCCAATGGCAAGTGTCCCGTGTTATTCCGACGCAGTAGTAAGCAATGTCGGGTTTACGGCTCAAAATAAGATGTTTACCGAAAGACAACTTCCGATTCCTGCTCCCTTAAAAGGAAAGCTCTCGCGGCGCTGTCAGAAGTGTTCAGAACAGCTCGATGAAACTTCCACTTTGTCAGATTTTCCAGAGTTACGTTTGATAACAGATGGTCCGGAGAAATTCGAACTTCCACGAATTGTGTTGCGCCCAGGTTTGATCGATGAAGCGACCGGCTTGGGCGGCCGAAAGAAGCAGCACATTTACGAAATGAAACTTGAAAATGTAATGGAGATCCCCATTGTTGTTCAATTGACGCTTCCAAGCAATTGCAGTCTTTCCACTTTTGAAAATATCACGCTAAGCTCAGATCAGGTTTTTCTAGCACCCTCAAACTACTACCTCTCAAACTCACCAGATCTATACGTTCATCCGAGGAGATATAATATAAAATATACGAGTTCTGCTTTGATACACATCTATAGCGACTGTGAGCTCATCTTCCGCGAGAATCCATTTTCCGTTTTTTTCCCTCTTCACATACAGTTATTTTCCTTTCCAAAATTGGCGCCATCTCTTATTAGTGGCGCTGGAAGCGATCAACTACTAATATCGGGAAATCTCGAGGCAAATCGATGCTTCGTTAATTACTGGCTCTATTTCACACTTTCACATTAACCACATATAACACACTATTACACAAGAACTGGTATAAGCGGTAAACCGAGCCTTAAATCCTGCGATTAGGACATCCAACTGCTTAATTTCGGGTTTTTAAGCCAGTCTTTGGTTTCCTTTGTATGCGGAAGCTGTTTTTTAGGAAATTTCTGAAGACCCTAGATTTGAGCTAAAAATTTCTGTTAGAGGAGCGACAGACTTGACAGACTTGTTATTTTGTGTAAACGTCATTTAGAGTCTTTCTGCAAGAGAACGTAAAAGAAATTGGAACTCGTGTATACACGTCTTTTTGAATTCCTAATTTGTTTTTATCTTCGATTTACACATGGATGGAACACCGAATGATATGATTTCCGCAGCATCTTCTTCTGACGCTGTGGGTGGTTCTTTAAAGACCGGTTCTGTGTCGGAGAAACCTCGAAGGATTCAACGGGCTTGCGATCTGTGTCGGAAAAGGAAAATCAGATGTGACGGTAAAATGCCATCGTGTACGAACTGTCTAAACCACAACGTTACCTGTGTATTTACTCCCCGTTCCAAACGAAAGGGTGGTCAACGACAACTGTACTTAAAGTCGTTGGTTTCAAGGCTCGAGCAAATGGAATCGGTGCTCAGAACTGCTGCTCCATCACTTTGGAAAGTACGTTCACCGGTGGCCATTCCTGCTAGTGAGCCTGACTTTAATAGCAGCATTGATGACGATTCAAACTTCGACGACTCTACTTCCGAGGACATTACTTCCCTGACTGAACGCATGGGTATGTTGTTGACGACGCCTGTTGGAGAACAGAAGTATTTTGGCGTTTCTTCAGCGCTCTCTATTCTTCAACACGCAGCAGAAAGTGCATCCTCCCTCGCCAAAAAGAAGTTGCTTGACGTTTTTACCATCTTCAACAAGGAGTTCGTCTCCAATGACTACTTGCCGAAGTTGTCTCAACGAGCGAATTTCCCTCCGCAAGATGTCGCGAAGATTTATATGGATCTCTTTTTCAGACACTATTCCTATATCCCACTTTATGACCAAAAATCTGTTTATGAGATGATCAGTAAGCCCCACTGGTGGGAGAATCCAGATGGCTCCATCAATGCTGTATCATATTGCCTGTACTTTACCATATTAGCACTTGGTTGTTTGGCTTCCTCGGATAAGGATCAATTCACTAAAGCTGACGCTTTTTTTGCTAATGTCATTGACAAACGAGGTGGCTTATTATTTTGTAATTCTTTGGATGCTCTGAAGCTTACCGCGCTTATTGTATTGTACTTTCATTGTACATGCCGAGTGAGTGCTGCATGGATCACGTTGGGGTATGCTATTCGTATTTCGCAAACGTTGGGTCTTCACCGTAATAGCTCTGTTTGGTCCATAGGACCGGACGATGTACAAGAGCGAGCGGTAATTTTTTGGAACATTTATATCCTTGATCGCATAATGGCAATGGTTACTGGCAAACCGTACTGCTTGCAGGATATAGACATTGATCAGGAAATCCCTTTCTTTTCCGTCTATGATTGCTGCGGTTTACGCGCTGTCCAGGAAGACAAACTCTCCTCTTTTAATTTTTATGAAGCGGTCTTGCAACTTGCAAGAATTAATGGACGTATACTCTCTGCTCTCTACTCTGCACAGGCTATGAAAGACACTAATGCTCAAATCAGTGAGCGCATTATAGACCTTGACAAACAGCTATGTCTTTGGAAGGTCAGACTTCCTCAGGAGTTTTGGTTGGACTATCATGCAACCGAAAAACCATTTTATTACAAAAGCTTACTCATTCTTTCTGGTTCGTTTTACAACGCACAAGTCTTGTTGCATCGACACAGCATAACGAAAAACCTCACTATCTCATGTTCTCATAGGCCCGAATCCGAGGCTACTGATTCGAAGGAAATTTGCTTCGCTGCTGCCAGAAAGATTGTGAAACTTCTGACGGAAATCGCTGACGGACATGTACCCTTACTAAAAGCACTTTTATACCAGGGGATGACTTCCATAATTGTCATATTCATTGGTATTGTTAAGAACCCTACAGCGGAAACTGTTGACAGCGACATCGCTTGGATCAAAAAAGTCAAAGATGTCTACCAACTCACAATGAAACACTTGCCAGTTAACACCCCTGTCACTGTTCTGAGGGCCCTTGATTCTTTGTACGCTACCGCCATTCTCGCTAAGGAAAAGGCAGCGCAAGAGGCTCAGGCGGGTTCAACCCCTTACATGCTTTCGCAAATAAGTACTGTTAATGGCGGCATGGTTGACGGATTCGATGCGCCTCAAGTTCCCAGAGTACCGCTGAATGGAAGGAAGCCGGTTTTTACCGACGATGCGATGTCCGCTAGTCCGCCATCAGCAATTCCTGGTAGTCAGGATCCTCAGGCGTTATTGAATGCATTTTCAATGATTGGGACAAATCCACCTACTCAAACTGAGCCATATATTCCTGGTGTGCAGTATGGAGGATGTGAATATCCACCCGTGGATTTTAATCCGGAGACTCCTGTGCGAAATGATTTATTTTCATTTCCTTTTGAAGAGGGAATGGAATTGAACTTTTCTGCAGCGAACGTTTTCAGTCCTACCATTATTGAAAATGAATTTTATAACGAACCTGTATATGAAGTCTGCCCGGGGGAAAACTACATGTCATAATCTTTGTTGCTCAACAAAGTGGGTCCATTAATCTTGTTGTTTATGCTTTAATTTTGTTTAACGTTTTTATTAGATACAATCTGGAATAGGTTTGATTGAATTGGTCTTGTTTATACATCGTCTATCTATGAACTAAATCGGTGAGTGCGAAGAGCTGACGCCTCTCCATGAGGCTGGAGTTGTTGGATTTTGAGATGCTTGGCATGGTATACGGCGTTGGCCGTAAATTTAGAAAGCCACTCTTCGGCTTCTTTGGTTGTTGCGTGGTCTTCACCAAGCTCTTCTTTGTAAATATCGTAAGCAATCCGAATGGCCTTCAGGGCATTACGGCTTTCATCGTTAAAAGCCATGGATTGTGCAAGCTGGAAATACAATGAGGCAGTATTCAGAGTGTTACCGAAGAATTTCTTCGACAAATCAACTGATGCTTGAAACCATTTTTGACTGTCGACGAAGTTGTTCATTCTCTGTACCATCACAGCAACGTTGTTGAACGAGGTAATCATATCGGGGTGTTCCGGTCCAAATATGCAGCGCCAGAGTTTCAAAGCGTGAACACAGAAAGCTAAGGCAATTGCAATGTTTCCGGACGAGAACTCGTACAGCGACAAGTTCATATAGCCAAGAATAGTTTCAGCCGAATCGAAACCAAGCACCCTTTCACAGACAAGAACTGCTTTTCTAGCAAGGTTGAGAGCCTGCTCTTTATCCTCCAATTGATAGAACAATAAAGCAACTTGACAATACGCCCTTGCAACCTCTGCGTGCAGAATTCCGTATATTTGCTCGTGAAGCATGAGCGATTCTGAAAGTAGACTCAAAGAAACATTCTTGTCTTTTTGCGCAATGCTTAGTTTGCAGGCGTCAAAAGCCTCACGCGCGAGTGTGCTGCAAGGTGTGCATGTCTTGATAAGGGGCAGAATGTTAAGAATATCGGTAGGGTAGAAAAGGACTGGCTCGAATGTCGTTTGGGAAGGTTTCTTCTTCGTGGCCTTCTTCTTCTTACTTTTCTTGTCTCCGGCAGTCGCAGGCTGTAAGGCTGCAGGAACGAAGGGCTCGCAGAAGTAGTCCCGACAAAGAAGTTGAATGCCCAATTTCAAGCAAATATTTCTTAGCAGTGGAGGACTCTTAACGAACTTTGCGGAATTGTGAATGCGGTAGCGGAAACGGGATGCAACATTTTGGGCAACCGACTCTTTAACTTGAGTGGGAGTTTGGAAACTTTCTGAAGGTATCTTTTGCAGATACTCTTTATAAACAGGACTGTCTTTAAAGGCTTCATCCTCTGAAAATATGCAACAAAGGAGGTATGCGACGGAGGAAGCGCGATTGTAAAAGCTGTGTTTAGCAATATTATTGCTAAACACATGCTTGACTGCACGGGCAAGCATTTCAAGCTCAGCCAGATACACGAGTGGATGATCGTTTCCGTATTGGCTTGCTGCCAATTCGGCTACCTTACCCAAATACCGCATGTTGATGCCTCGCTTGTGCATCATTCTTGCCAAAGCAATGCCATCAACGGGCATAGCGGATTCATCAGTGCAAACAGTTTTCACAAAAGATGGAATTATATCATTACGAAGCAACTCAGAAACGGCTTTAACAGCTTCTTCGTCCTTCTTTAAAGTTTGTTCATAATCCTTTGGAACTTTGTAATCCGAACGGAAAACATCGGGATTCAATGTGTAGTCAAAATCGTTTAGACTAATGTCAGGAATTTTTTCCAACTCATCCTTAGGAACCGACTCTTTAAGCTTTGCAGCTTTGGCTTCAGCGTAATTTTTCAGTTTGGTTTCCCAAATAGACTGAATAAGTTCGGGACGAAGGTAGGCAAGGGTATGGGGATAAGCGGGGAGCTTGCTGTCATCATTAGCTATTTCCTCCAAGAAACCAATGTCTAGGGGGAATAAACTGTACAAATCGAGCAAGTAAGAGCGACCGTCGGTTCCCTTCAGTCCCTTGGCATCCATACTCGTGAACATGGAAATTGTCTTGCCATCGTTTCCAACGACAGGATGCTTTTTTAAGTGAAGTATGGCAGAAACCTCCTTGAGCAGGGGATCGAGCTTCTTGTCAAATACGAACGTATCTTCACCATCCACTTTTCCATACACGACTTGCGTAGCACCTTCGTCTTGTTGGCGGAAAATACCGGGAATTAAGGTCTGTGCAACAATACGATGACCCGCGAAATCAATGAGGCAAGTGCCGAGTAACGAAATGGGACAACGGTCAGATTGAGTGAGCAGACGGATGTATGCGACGTCCTTTCCCACTGCATGCCGAGAAGCCTCGTTGCCGCCTGTTTTATCGAAGATGCCGATACTGTCCATGCCATAGGAGAAGAAAATGTTGTTGTGAATATACATTTGCGAGGCAAGCGGTTCTGTGGGATTCAGTGCAGGAACGTTCCCGTTTACGACTTCGATGGCACCGGCCATAGCACTTTCCGTAAACTCGTTCAGTGTCTTCTGCAACAAACGTTCACGAAGCACGCGCTCTTGCAAATTGGCGTAGGGCATTTCACGCACAGATTGAATTTCATCATTCCAGTCACGCAGATTGCTCTTGTTTTCCAAGAAGGGGTTACACACAATGGATTGCGTCCGAGTAATATCCGCAGTATAAACAGAATGTGTGTTAATCCACGTTGGTTGTTGGAGCACCTTACTGACCTGCAACTTAAGTGTTTGGTCTAATTCGCCTGAACTTTTCAGCAAATCAGCGAGACCCGCTTGGAACTTGGGGGAAAGGGAGGACAGTAAAGCAGACAGGGAATGGTGAAGCGCGTACTTTGGATTTGGTGAAGGATCGAACTTTGTGTTGGAGCTTTGGTTCACACAGTAGCCATCGTAGCGAGAGGTGATGTGGAATTGCTGACCTTCAAGGACGGTGACTCGAAGGTAAAACAAGTGACCCTGCAGGGCCCAGTATGGAGGGACGGGGTTCCATGCAGACAGGCCGAAATCCTGCAAACAGTCGATTTCCTCGGAGGCCTGTGCAGCATCCTCAAAAAGCTTCACGTAGTACTGCAACGATAACTGTTCGCCGGAAAAGTCTTTGAACTGTGCGTGCGAGGTGTTCCTCGAAGCATCAACATCACCGCACTGGTTGCGCACCAGCTGAGGATACACCGACATGAGGGCGCCGAGCTCTGCGTTGTGAGATTGTCGCGAGCAGCCTGAACGGATGTTGTCTAGGAGTCGAAACGCATGATACAGCGACTCACGCTCCGTGTAGTGGTCCAGAATGACGCGGAGGCTAATTTCCTTCACGGTTTCGCAGTCGATGGCCTCAGAGAGCTCCTGGAAAGGGTTCATGATGGTTCCATTGTACTCGAGACGGAAACAGGTATACAGACCGTTGTTCAATTCTATAACATGTTGACGAAGATCATTAAAGTTGTCATAAGGGGAAGCATACAGGCTCAAAGGAGCGACATCAGAACCAAAATCGACCGTGACCTTTATTTCATTCTCCAAGACGGTCGCTGCCGACGAAACCGCAGATTTGTTCTCCTTCTCTTCCTCGTGTTCTCCCTCAGTTTTTCTATCTAAAACAACGAGGTTAGCAGGAAATGTCACTGAAAAACATTATCTTGACAGTACGATCCGTGAAAAAAAAACAAGGGTCTTGTTGTACGTACTCTCTTCGTTCATTTAGCGTTTACGTGTGTTCCTAAGCAAAATCTAGAGATCCCGTACTAAATGAGATACTTTCTATGTCGCAAAAAGTTTTTGTTATAAGTAAATAAGAGTTTTCGTCAAGGAAGACCGTTTCAACAGGCAAAAAAGCAAGGATAGAACAAAAACACAGCGTTGACTTTTCGGGTGCGCAGCGCAAGCAGCGCGATACTTTGGCTCAGAGAACGAGCCAATGATGGAATTCCTCGGTTAGATCTAAACTTTATATGCGTAGGGTCTAGTATGCGACAAGACCGACTATAGAGAGAAAAGGTGGAGAACCGAAAACGAAAAAAGCAATTGCGCCTCTGGGTAGCGTTAGAAAACGTAAGTCCGACAAAGATGAGAACGATTGTGGGCGTGAAATGGGACAAGCTCGGCAGTGCTGTTAGGAATTATTCGTAAGCCAGAAGAGTGCCGACAAGGACAAAGGTTGAGGCAATCGAGGCAATCGAGGCAATCGAGGCAATCGAGAGAGACGAGAGGACAAGAGGACAAGAGAGACAATAGAGTGTGTGTGAATTGTAAAAGAAACGCGTCGGCAAAGACCGAGATTTCCCAGTTACTCTTGTTCTTGGTCCCCTGTTTCTCTTTTCCTTGTCGCTGCCTCCTGGCGAATCATCTCCTCGTCGCCCTCCCCCCTTAGCCCTCGCGAACCCCATCGTCTATTATCGTTCTAATAACATTCATTCGTTTCTCTATAGAATATGTGTGAATTGGGAAAGGAAAGAATCCCAAGCCAAGCTTCCTGTGTTATGAGTTCGCATGTCGTGCTTACTGCTCGGCAGAGGACCAAAACAGGTTCTCGAGTTCGGTGACTTTGACAAGAAGCTTACGAGTCACGTCCGAGTAAGGAAGGTTTTGGACTTGGTGAGCCATCTCTTCGACATACTTGAAGAAAGGACGGCCACCCCACCAATTGACAAAGTCGAGCTCCTGGAACGTCTTTTGGAAGATGGGAGAGGCAGCAGCCGTAGCAAAGGCACGGTGGTAGATGGCCTCGGTGATCCAGAACACGTAGAGCAGATCAGAAGCGGTGAGACCAGGGGTCTGGAAGACATCCTTGGTGACGAACTCGACGTACTTGCGGCAGTTGGGCGAGGAAAGGTGGTAGAAAGCAGAGGGGTCGGTCTTTACCATTTCATGAGGGTCGGTGGGGATTTTGGGAAGCTTGGGCATTTCAACACCGCGTTCCTTACACTTGGCCTCGAAATGAGCCATCTCAGGACCAAGAACAGCATAAGCGTGTTGAATAACCGCCATGGCCTCCTCAGGGATAATGGGGTCAGCCTCGGCTCTCACATAAAGCTGGGCGACAAAGTAAGCACCGGCTTGGACAAACAACCGGTCGTCAAAGAGCCACTTGTTGAAGCTGCTAGCGGCAAGCTTTCCTTGAGCAAGCTTTTGAATGAAGGTGGCGTTGTTGGAGCATGCCTCGACATGAGGAGCGATGTTGTAGCGCTTGTACAATTCAACAGAGTAGGCGTCCATGATAAAGAGGGAAGAAGAAGAGAAGAAGAAGTTGTAGTAAGTAAAAAGAGAGAGCGAGAGAGAAAAAAAAAATCAAAACCTGTGGTCAGATGCGACTGTTGTAGAACGAGTTGAACTGTTCTTCAATGAATGATGATGATGGGATGGGAGAAGCAGCTGGGTTTATATACACAGACAAATCGGCTGCTGGAAGCCGTTTTGAGAGCAACAAACTGTTGAAGTCATTGTTGAACATCCGAGCACTCGGGAACAAGAAAACGGTTTCCTGGATTTGCACATTTGTTCTGTAACCTTGCCATTCCACTCAGCGACACGTGAACGTGTTTGCGACACAGTTTGTGCATCAGCCGACCGGATTCAGGGATCCTCGCTGCAAGAGTCGTCAACAAGGTTCGGTTGCGCATTCCCCGCAGTCGATGGTGACATGTTTCCGAAACCATTGGTCGGTGACATTGCCTCATCTCAGGGATTTCCAGGGATGTCGCAGAAAGCCGACCGGGAAGGCGACAGCGAGTGCGATCGCACACGCGGGAGCAAGTTCGCTAGAAAAGTAATGACAGTGAAGTGAGAGTAAGTGAGAGGGGTTGAGCATGCAGGCTTGGATGATTGTGTTTGTGAGAGAGGAACGGCCCGTAGTTCAAGAGGACTAACGTTAATCTGTTGTATTGAATGATGCAAATAAAATCGTCAGCCGAAAGACTTCATTCAACGAGTTTCGGGCTCTAGGGTGGCAGTTTCATGGTTGTATTCCTTGCTTCCATTCGTATAGCTCGTTGCTTTCTCTTCACCTTGTACTTGTGCTATTTCTTTGTCTTCGTAGTAAACTCATTCCCGACACGACCCATCCCACAGACACTCCCTTAGAGTAAGGTTCGCTTAAAAAATAAACACTAAACACTAAATTACCCCACACAAACGACCCAATCAGAATTTGCCTTCTCATTCTCCCGTTCATTTCATGTACATCATATTCGCCTTAACACTCCACCATAGAATACTCGAGTCTGGCGGCTAAATGGTCGTCAAACTCAGACGTGTCGTCAGAACGAAGCGGTGTCGTTATCGTCTCAACGCTGCGATGTGGCCGTTCAGAATCGTCCAATACGCGCACCAGCTGCACTTCACATCCATCTTTCAAGTACAGTTCTAGTTTCCCCGTAGTGGGCAGCGAATAGCCTTCGTACACACATTTAATCAGCCAATTTTGTGGTCCCCTGTTCAGTTTCCATAGCGCGCTACAAAAGTCTCCGATCGTGTTTTTTGCGTCATCAAGGCCTAAAAGTTGCGTGTTTGCCCACTGTCTCAACGCGAAATCATCGCTACTTACTTTCAATCTCATGTTGGCGGTGAAAATGTCTGTGTGCCCCCACTACGGCGTTCCTGCTTCTTGGTCCCTACGCTCCGGCTGGCTCCAGTGAAGCAAACCCCCGTTTTCATGTGGGCAGATCGTGGGGGTTGTTTTCGTATCGAAGAGCGGATTTCTCGATACGTGTTCGTTACGCACATGGTGACGTAAACTCACCACCATACGGATTCAGATGGCTACTGCTGCTGGATGTCGGATAGGTTGGTACTGAGGGCGTTCCGGTGCCGTAGAATGGATTGCCGCCATACCTCACACGGTTTTTAAATGGTCTGTTGTATTGACTGTGTCACCGTATTACCGTACTGCCGTATTAGTTTCTCCTAAAACACATCCTAGCCTTTGGATCCCTTTTCGTTCGCCTTACACGCTACAACAAAGCTCCGCGACAATATTTACTTTGGAAAGTTACTTTGTGACCCTGCGAGTCGTTTTCGGTATCTACCGACCGGAAATTTAGTTTGTACATTTTTTTTCTTGTTCGTCGTGATTAGACACAACAAAAGCCAACAGCTCTCTGCAGCCGAATTTAGCTCCTGTGAAGTGAGTCGAGTGTTTTATTTTTGTGTGCTTCAAGTTTGACAAGTTCACACGATCGCCAGCGTTCATCGCCTTACCAAATTAATCGCTTAACTTTATTGAGTTCCTTTTTCTGTCCCCTGACGCGCCCTCTTTCTCCCCATGGCATTTCGTTATTTTCAGCTAGCGAAACGAGACGCCATCAATGTGCTAGACCCTGCCGTCCGTCCTAACCATGCCGGCGTTATTCCAGCACCCGTGTTTGGTCTCGACAGTCACTTGTCTCCTCACGTTGGCATCTTGCTGCCGTTGAACGGCTTCGACATGGAGCAAGTGTGCTTCGTATGGAGATCGTTGACGGACTCGGGTTTCATGGTCGAGTTTATTATTCCTCATGTGCCTCACGAAAACGATGACTCGGCGAATCTTACCCCCCAACCAAACCAAGATGTGCTCTCGGGTACGAAAGGTTTGTTAAAAGGACCTCCCAAGTCCGCTAAAGAAATCTACAGTGTCTTGTGCACACTCAACGAGTTTACGCATCCCAATGTGCTTCATTCGACTGGGTTCACACTAACCAAGTTTGATGTGCTCTTCATTACCGGTGGTGCTGGCCAGGGAGTGGAAGAAATGATTACCGATCCTTTGCTCCACTCTTTGCTTGTGCCATACCTTCGCTTGTGTTACCGCGAGAAACCCGATAACAATGCTGCGAAAGAGCCCAGCAAGATTGTGTGTGCCGTGTCGCAAGGCGTCCGTGCTATTTACGCGGCAGACCCCACAATTCAATTGAAGGCAACTACCATTCCCGTGTGGATGGAACGGTCCTCGCTACTGCTAGGCTTGCGGCCTATAAAAGCACCGTACACGGCTCCTTCACTGCCACAGGATCGTTACGTAGCCGGTCCGGTTGCGAAAAAGAAATTCATTTACGTTGATGAAAAGTACTACTGTGTCACAGGACGCTGTAATAACGACTCAATCATGCTCGCAAGAATGGTTGTTCGTTTGTACAAACAAGCACAGCGCGAATTGCAGCGTCACCTGAGACACCAGTCTGTTTCCAAGAAAACGGAGTCTCCGTCTTCCGACTAGCAACGTGAACGTTTTCTCTTAATGACTGCACAAGCGGGCTCTGTTTGCTTTCGCAATTGCTTCTTATGTTTCTTCATGTTTTCCCCTTTTTGTTCGCCTAAGCGCAGCATATGTCATAGTGTAGCTTATAGTGTATTACCCTTACTATATCCAAATATGGTTCTCACCACCACGAATGTAAAACCTGCCAACTACCAACCTACCGAAATCAACCGCGGGAAATTATATGGCTCAATTGCAGCATACACGGTGAGTTTTATCGGGTTCCGTGAGGACAATTGAATACATCTATTTCTGAGTTGACAAGTGAAATTTTTTCCGGCTCGATTTTGCCATTTTTTATTTCAATATAATATCTCATCGTGGTTGGCTTGTTTCAGCACGATTTTCAGAGTTTTTTCTCGCAGACGAGCACGTTAATATTTTGTCTAATTTTCTCTGCTTAAATCTTTGCGTGTGTCCTTAAATAGAAGCAACAGGATTTGTTATTGTCCCTTTGGTTGGTTGTGTTGAAAAAAAGAACACAGTTTAGAGTTATTTGAAAAAAAAAAAAAAAAAAACAAAGTTCGTTTGTGTGAGCGTATTGATTGATTCCTTGTTCCCCTTGTTTCATTCCCAACCTTTCTTGTTCCCTTCAGCCGTTCTGCTACTTCCTTTATTTCCCTTTATTTTCTCGAGTTTTCAAAGACATCGGGCCCTGCTTACATTCGTTTTCATTCTTCCTTCTCTCATTACTCCCGCAGAATCATAAAATGCCCAGCGTGATATCAGAAGCCTCCCAATTTCCCCCCGTAGGCCCAAACAGAGTTGCTTCACAGCAAGATGCCGATGTTTTTTCTGCTGTTGGAATTGGAGCCGACCTCAGTAGCTTTGGTGCTGATACTGAGCTCTTAAAACACATGTTCAGTGCCTTTGTCGGAAAAGCCTTGGACGACTACGCTCAAGGAAACCCGTCCGCCTACGAAGACATGTGCAGACAGTTTTCAGCAGCAGCCGACGCTGATGACGCGCCTTCCTCTTCTCAGCTGCAGAATCTGCTCATGGCTCTCACTCGAAATGTATCGAGGTTAGATTCCTCATGCAGTTCCTTAATATCGAGCATTTTAAGTACAAATTGGAGCATGCGTGATGATGCCTTTGTATCCTCGTACGTACGCTTCCTCGGAAACCTCTTGTCTGCTCAGTCGACGTACATGCCTCTGGTGATGACGATGATCGTTCAGCAGATGTGTTTCCAACCATCTAGTCAGTCTGTCCAATATGAACGAGCTCATTTAGCCTTGAAGTACGTACTTGACTTGGTCCCTCGCGCACATTCGCATTTGTATAATACAATTATCGAAGAGTTTCCATACAAGGACGAAAGCTTAACGGCTCAAATGACCTACATTTCAAATATTCTTTCCATTTGTGAATACGTGCCCTCAATCAAAGGGCATGTTATTCGTGCCATTATTGACAAACTTATCCAAGTAGATGTTGAGCTGCACACCGAGCTGGAGGATTTCGACGAAGAAGAAGACGATGATGATGATGAGGACGTCGATTCGGAGAGCGAGAAAAGTGCAAGCGACGACTTGCTTACCGCTTCCACTCTCTATGAACTGCATGAATCGGCAAATGGAGAGACAGCGATGGAGCCTATGTCGATGGACGTGCCCGAGACCTCCCCGAAGTTACTTGTGGAGCAGCTTGATCAACTTCTCTACATGCTATTTGCATATCTTGACTCAAACTTATCCCCCATCAACGTTGATCGTGAAATCGTCTACAATTATCTCATTAACTCTTTCGTCAGTACAGTGCTGAATACCTTCCAATCGCGCTACGTACAGTTCCTCATTTTCTGGGCCTCACAAAAAGATCCGGAATTCACGGATATTCTGTTGGGTGTCCTGACTGAGGTATGCTTGGATCCCTCAAAATCTTGCACAATAAGAATTAGTAGTGCGATGTACATCGGATCGTACGTCGCTAGAGCAAAGTCTTTAGATCCCCAAACTATTCGTGTAATGGTGAACATGCTCTGTCGTTGGATAGAGGCGTATCTTGACCAGTACGAAGATGACAAGTGTGAAGACTTGTTGTCTAAACACTCTGTGTGCTACGCCATTATACAGAGTGTCTTTTACATTTTTTGCTTCCGTTGGAAAGAGTTGAAACTTTCCAGTGAGAACGACAGTGTTGGAGACAAATTCGAATGGTTGCCTGGACTTGCTGTTCTTCAAAGAGCTGTTCTATCTCGTCTAAATCCTCTACGATTCTGTTCTACAAATGTTGTGCAGCAATTTGCCAAGGTTGCTAATCATCTCAATTTCCTGTATGTGTTCACAATTATTGAACACAACCGTAAAAGTACAATCCGTGAGGGTTTCGAAACTATAGATTGCTTTTTCCCCTTTGATCCACTTCGGTTACCCAAGGTGCTTACATTTGTTCAACCTTACTATAATGAGTGGAGGCCTATTCCCGGAATGGATGATGACGATGATGATGATTTGTCAGACGCATCGGACTCCGAGTAAGAAGTTTATGATTGTGCTGTTGATGTTTGATCATAAGCTTGGAAAACCAAAAAAAAAGCATGAGACCACAAACTACGGATTTTGGATTATAAAAAAGAAGAAAGCATATTAAGGATGGGTTAGGATAGGATTTTTGTAATAAACAAATTAAAAAGATACATGGCGAATTTGAAGTGGATGATCGAAAACTTTAAGTAGTGGAGTCTAAAGACATTCCACGGATACTAAATAAGTCGGAACGAGGAATACTTGCTAATAATTTAGGGCGAGGGATGCAACGTGTAATGCCCGTATTAAACTACCAAGCAAAACGTTAACTCATTCATTATTAATAACTACATGTAGTAAAAGTCATCAGGAGAAGGAAAAAACTAATTCACCTGTGTTTCATTAAGTGTGTTAACGCCGACCCATTCCCATACCCGAGTCCATTCGCCTTCAACCTCGGCTTCTCGTGTTCTTATTGTAGCCATAGAACCTAGCTTGTTGACTACTAAAGACCATAAACGATTTTCTAAGTGTTTAGACACACGCTTTTTTGACATAGGGCCTCCAGCATGAAACACGATGTCACGCAGTTCCATTAACGGAATGGCAGACTGTTGAACTTTTGAAGCTTGATAGCGCGCCTTATGTTGCTTCAACGCTTGCAAACAGAATGTTGCAATTCTTTCCGATTCTCGACGCAAGAAAAGAGTTTGCTGCACTTTATGCACAATAAGTAACGCAAGACTTGCAATAGTCAAAGCTGCCAAAATATATGTCTTATACGTCAACGCAGACAAGAATAGTTGCCGACGCACTCTAGTAAACCAAGGTATGGCGACCCAACTGCTGCTTTCAATAAGTTTTCCGTTCATTGATATCTCATCTGTCTGAAGTAATAAAGGTAGCGAAGCAGCAAAAAGGTCATTGAACTCGGAAACGGGTAAGCTAGGAACTTTACGTGAAAGCAGTAAGTCATAAAGGAAGGCAACGGAAAAGGCTGTTTTACAAGAAGGAGGTTTCGCAGTAACAACGGAAGGGACAACGATGTCAGCAGGAAGAACGGCTGTTTTGTTCTTCGCAATTGTTTCCGCGGATATTTTTTTGGTAAGTAAACGAGCGTTAAGTTTGCGTAATGTGTTAAGACACTCTTCGTAGAATACTTTTATATTCTGTTCGCGCACAGAATCATTCAAACATTGTTTTGAGGGCCAAATATGCAGCCGAGAATACCAAGGTTCGGAAAGAATGTATCCTGGTTTACACTCAACTTCAAGTCGAGAAAAGCATAAGGCATTCGGCGGACAAGGAATGCACATAGGCCCAATACCAAGAGATCGAAGAATGGTTGGAGCCTCTGAAGGAACGTTACAGAAGCCAGTTCGGTATACCTCTTCATGCCAGAGACCAAGAACAAAAACAAGAACGAGCAGTAAGGAAAGTGTCACAGTATTATAGGCAGTGATGCGCCAAAATTTCCGAAACAAGTAAACTATACCTTTTAAACCTGCCACCGCAAAATGGTATATTGTTACAGATCTGGTTCTTAAAGACAGTTCCGCTCTTTTCAAAAACCCTTTGGGCGAGTCTGACTTACGAACGTTTTTTTCCTTTTGAGTATTATCACGAGTAGCTGATTCTCTGATAAACGTTTTGAATAGCTCATCGTCATCATCATCGCCGGATTCTTCTTCGGTGATAGCTTCCTTTTCCTCTCCGTCCTCACGTCTAAATTGAACAGGATAGGATGCTTCCGAGGCGTTTCTCTTGACATTCGTGGAACCGGAAAGCAAAGGGGAAGAAGTCGGAGATTGCACTTTACCTTGAAAGGCAGGAGACGTGCGAATCATGGAAGTATCCATGTAACGACCACCAAATGGAAACGACTTCCGGTTACGCGTTACTGATCTCCTTGGTGTCTCGTGCTCTATTGGGCCCATGGACATTCTGTGTACCGGTTTCTTAATCGATACTGGTTCAGTGTCATTTGCGATAGTTCTTCTACGTGAATATGTGAATTGATGATCTGGCGGGGAAGAAGACCGTTGCTTTTGAAATATATTCGAGTCTCTGTCGTAGTTTTTCCTTACGTTAGCGACAGGAGATGATGCATTATCCGACAAATCTTCCTTGTTCATTGAGTTTGTCAAAGGACTGCTGGTAGAGTTGCTCGGTGAACTCGAATAGTAACGTAAATCAGTATCTGAATTTGATTCCTTACCATCCAAGCTTTCACTACCCTCATCACTGTCTTGATTGTACAATTGTGAGCGCAATTGCTGCACCAAATTAACAAAGTCGACCTTCTTGGCATTGTGTGGCAGAGAAATTCCATAAGATGAAAGAATTCGTTTTAGATCGATAACTCTTAACGTCGCCAAATTAAAATCAAGATCTTTCCAATCCATTTTTATCGATTATTTCATTATTATGCATCCGAATGTTGTTGGTAGAGGGCAGGTGCCGTTTTGTTGGTGTGGGTGCTGCGGTGTTGAAAGAATTGCCACCACAATACAACCTTACTGACCCGCCAAATCTGACTTCTCCTCTACCAACCACAACTGGCAATAAAAAATTCCATGGTTATTTTAGTAGTTGCTAGAGATAATTTATTAAAACATGCAAAAGTATATGGAACAGAAAGTGAAGCAGCCCTTCCGGAAAAGTCGTAAGGGCAATGATCATGGCTCCTGTGCTCAATTGAAAACGCCTTTAAGCAAGAACATGTGCACGAACAACAACAACGGTAACAATGTTCATTATAAGGATCGATTTGATGTGCGAGACAGCACTCAAAAAAAAAAATCCGGCCGTTCTTCAAGAAAATCGAGTCCCAATGGTCGTAACGAGTCTTCACCCAAGGGATCTAATCGTGTGAAGCCTGCAACGCTTCCAGAAAATGCGAAAAGTGTGAAGAAAGACAGCTCTGTCAACAATAAGCGTAGGAACTCCTACAACTCTTCAGACAATGGTTCGTCCTCTTCTTCCTCGGCTTCGGAGTCATCAGGATTGTACGCTGGTCCTACATTCCTTCATTCTCCCGCCGCTTCCAAGCTCCCTATTCCCGATTTTTTGAACGACGCTGGTGCTGTTTCTCAAGTCGGAGCTGTTCCCGCTTTTACAACTGTCACGACTCCTGAAAAACCCATGTGGAATTTATTCCCTACTCAAGCTTGTGGTTATCGTTCCATGCCGCCTACGCCGACAGAGTGTGGTTCGCAAGAAATATACTTCGGTGCGACGCAACAGTCTGCGTATGACGGCTTTTTTGAGGTAAAGTCCCAACCTTGCAACCCCCCTAGCCCTTTGGCCAATATGCACACTCCTATCCATTCTGAAGCTGTGAAAGGCAAACACAGCCATTCCACTACTACCTTGGAATTGCTCTTCCACCGTGACCGAGAGCAGCGTCTTTTTCGCTTGTTGCGTCAGGGAAGCGCTTAGATCGCTCGTTTATTTGTTTCTTTTTCTTGTGTTTTATTTTAAACCCTTCGGTGATATTGATTTCTTGACTGACTCCTGTGTCTGCACCGTATGTGTGCACTTATATGCTTGTACACCGTTACTCTTCGCTTGAAGGAAGTACACCCATATATCGTATTCTTCTGGTTTGCTTTGTTCGTTTTTGTTTTCGGTTCGGGGTTCAGTTGAATGGTCCCCGACATTGGTTTCTGGCTCCTTGAGATGTCCTCCTAATTTCCGCCTCTCCCCTCACCCTATGCGATAATGATTGGAATTGCTTGGCACTAAATCATATGTTTGTTGTTCCGATTTGTAATAGGTAACGGGTATGCTCTGCGTATTTCCTTGATATGATCATGGAAGTTGTTTCTCATAGGGGCACTTCTCTGTTCGGTGGCTCTGGCCTTGTTCCCTATGGTCACAGTTGTCTTTTCTCGTTTGTTTTCAGCTGCTTATTATTCTGTGCCCTCTAATTGCATTCATACGTACTCCTTATTGCCGATGCTTACGATCTGAATTGAACAATTGATTGGCTTTGTTTTTCTTTATTCGTCAAGAGAGTCTTTCGTTTTTATTTTCAAGAAAGTGCTCTGGCAGCTGTTTTGTTGAGGTTTCTCGTTCAACTTGTTCGTTGCTTTATTTTATGACCCGGTTTTTTTGGGTCTTTCTATTCTTCTCTCAACGGAGTGAGTCAAAAAGTCATGATCATCTTATGGTTTTGGTTCTTTGTTTTTCTCTGTTATTCTCCTCAGTCGGCGAGCTCTTGATTGTGCTTGCACTACTTTAACCGCCCTTAACTAAAAAGAGGAGAGCTCTATGCTTATATTATGCCATAGAGTAATTTCGGGTTGAGAGTGCGGGTTTCATTATTACCGTTTCTCCTACCTTACGCCTTTGGATTATGCAGTTCAACTTTAGCTTTTGCTGGCAAAAACTGGGCTGCTAAATATGATGCGTCTACGAAGTCTTCTGCTATGAAGGCTTTGCGTCGTTTCATTCCACCGAAATTATTAACCTTGCTTTTGTACCTACTTAATGTAGTCTGCGATGACAGGGTTATTTCTTCGTCATTGAAGCCAGCTGTTGACAAACCTCTAGATACTTCTGTGAAATGCTATATATGCGTGAAGTAAATAAGGCGTACGCATATGCACTAATACTGGTAATCTAATATGTTTGGCGACAGTTGACGCATTGATCTAATGTCTGACATTGGTCAATTGGCTTTCACGGGATACACTTGAGCTATACTCTTCTATGTTTGTGCTAGGGATGTGGTGTTCCTCACCGTACTGGCATCTTCGTTGAAGTATGTAGTAAATGATAGGTGCGTCTCTTATGCTTTATGGCCGTGTGGGAAATGGTAGGGATGTGTGATTAAAGGGTGTTTAAGGGTGGCTCGTAGTCCGACTTAAACTTAGAGAATGGGTCTTTAATAGTATTTATAGTGGGGTTGGTCTTCAAGTTTGCTACGTAGGGTCTTATTGCAGTTAGAACTAACCATGCCTTGTAATGAACAAGCTGCTTTTTATTATGGCTCTAAGACCAAACATAAAAGCGTAGTAGACCGCACGGGTTAACAGTTTTATAACGTATGTAATTTCTCTGTTAATTGTTTAACCTATTTGGTTGTTGGGATTCTCTTTTCTACGTACGGGTCGGACAATACTATTCTCTGGGGTTATTTTGTATTATAATACACCATATGCACACTGATACCCTATAAGAAAATGGCAAGTAGTAAGGTGGAATCTGTAAATTTTAACGGAGTTCAGTATCAATGGACTCAAACCCTACGCGAGGTTGATATTACGATAGATGTTCCAAACAACACTCGAGGAAAATGGCTTAAAGTTTGTATAAAGCCAAACTACATTGAAGCTGTTCTTCAACATCCTGAACCAAAAACTCTGTTAAGTGGAAGTTTATACAAAAATATAATTGTTGACGAAAGTACTTGGACGGTCGAGGAACAATGCAAACTTGTTATTCATCTTGAAAAATCAAATAAGATGGAATGGTGGTCATCTGTTATAAAAGGACATCCAGAAATTGATATATCTACAATTGAGCCCGACAATAGTAACTTGACGGACCTCGATCCAGATATGCGTGCTACCGTGGAGAAATTGATGACTGAACAAAGACAGAAACAGCAGCGTGAGCATTCAGCAAACCAGCAGAAGAAAAAGGTTTTGCAGGACTTTATAGAACAACATCCAGAATTGGATTTCTCAAAAGTAAAGAATTTGTAACGATTAAATATAATAGAACTACTACTTATAGCAGAAAGTGATCGCAACTCAACAGTAGGAACACACAGGATATGACCGGCAAGAACTCTGTTCGTACAAGTCTCGAACAACGAGAGAGACGTGGTTAAGAGTCATCCCTAACGAAGATGTGCCGTCGACTCCTATCCGCTAGCGGTAATTACTATCCTATATTTTTCCATAGTGAAGATGATTGATGCATAAAAACTCTTCGAACCACTCATGCGTGTGAAAGACATGACTACATAAACAAGGAACACATAAACTTCAAGAGCAGAGGAAATTAGTACGAAAGTTATGCAGGACGAAACGGGTTATTAGAGTTTCTCCAGTTCGCCTGACTAAACTGCTGAGAGGTTCTGCGAAGAGCAAACGGGTTGCTGGACTTTCTCGTCGTCGGTGGGGTTTGGATCAGGTTCGGAGTCGACCGTCTATTATAGGCATTGTTGTTAACGTTCGTTTGGAATGACATTGGTGAATAGCCAGGCGTGTTGTTTTGTGCAACCATCATCGGTTGCGGAGATGTGATCATCGGTGCCGGCGCTCCGGTGTACATGTTAGTTTGTATGTTGACCGGAGGTGGAGCTCCTGTAAGCATTGGCTGCTGAGGATACATTGGCATCACAGGTTGAACGAGAGGTTGTTGTTGTTGGATAGATGAAGGTGGAGGAGGAAAAGATGGGGAAACGGGTAAAGAAGGTGGTTGCTGCAAAGCGGGCTCTTGTTGACCGATGGTAGGAAAGAAAGGATTGGTCACATTCATTGATGGTTGCGGTTGCTGCATTTGCGGTTGCTGCATTTGTTGTTGCTGAATAGCGTAAGGATTAGCCATGTAACCTGGAGTACCAACAGGAGCAATAACTTTTTGAGGCATATATTCTGTGGACGCCGTCAGTTCTGACATTGGCGTCAATGGTTCAGCAAGCGCAGACTGAACATGCTGGTAGGATGAGTTCAAAAATGGGTTTAGGCGATCATCCTCCTCTTTTTTAGTATCCTTCAGCGAAGCACCGTTGTAAGCAGGGGCTGCTGCTTGAGGTTCGGGGACGGGAGGCTTCTTCCTGAAAGGTTTCTCTGGTGCCTCTGCACGAGGAGCGATGTTGGGAGGACGTTGTTTCGACTTGGACCGTTTCATGTCCATGTATTGTTGTCTGTTACTTTCAAAGTTGGGATCTTGCAGGTATTCCTCAAGCGAAGACGTCAGTCCCGTAGGAGCATGTTTGATATTGGGTACTTGAAGCCGAGTGACAAATTCCAACGACCGTGCAAAGCTAAGGAAGTGAATTACTGTCTCGGTTTGTGTGACAAAACATTTGTAAATTTTTAAAGCATGCTCAGCATCCACATAGCTCATTTCAAAGTAATGTTCAAGGACGTTAATCACACCGAGATTAACAGCCTTAAACAAACTTAACAAATCTGCAACTAATAAACGAAACGAGGTGATGGTAATATCGTTGTCGACTTCCTCTACCATGTACTCGCATTTTAAAAGTCGTCTCAATTGAGCCTGAATGCCTTCAACGTTTCGAAGCAAGCCTCGTTCAACAGTCAGTCCTTTCAGCTTAGCCTTTGGGCCATCACCTTGCCGAGCATAATCGCAGGACAATCTTGAGTACTGTTTTACACGCTCTTGGAGGTATTGACTGTAGTTATGGATATTTTCACCTTGAGTTGTCAGAGCAGTGGCTTTCAGAACTTCAAGTGAATGGTCACGACGAGTCAGACACTCGATCACAGCATTTGGAGCTCCATCACGAATGAGAATATGAAAGACAATCAGAGCCTTGAAGACAATCTACAGAGTTAGGACTTTCGTTTCGTTCATACAGGTCATTCTTAATGAAAAACATACAGTCCACGAATTATTCTTTAACCGTTCACATAGACAGTTAACAACACTTTCCAAAACAGGACCTCCTTGTTGAGTTGCTTTCAGTAGGTTTTCTACGTGTTTGCTTTTAGGAGCCGCAAGCTTTATCTTCGTTGCCTCTTAGGGAATTGTGAGCGAACTGAGTAAGCTAGGTATGTACATACTTTTAACCGACTTCTCATAAGTAGAAAACATAGTTCCTACCACAGTTTATGAGATAAAATGAGAGTTTTTGGACAAAAAGGGCCTGCAGACTTTTCACTTGGTGCTTTGCCCTCAGCAGGACCGAGGGATCCCAGGGTAGGTAAGTCTGGGAACCGCGGTTGTGCCGCGGAGTTTAGAGAAACACAGAACAAGTTTTACTTATTTCGTTTTTTATAATCTTTAGGAAGCTCTAGCTTATTTCCAAGGGAATGCATGCCTAATTTTCGTTTTCTGGCGGTTTCTTGTATTTTCATCAAAACCGATTTTTCAGTTGGATAGTAAGAAGAATTAGCACCTTCATAGACAACGGCAAGTCCTCTAGAGACAAGCTGAGGGCCAATGTCCCGTTTGAAAAAAAGCCACCGAATAGGATAGTACGTTACACCGCATACAGCACGGTTGTATTGATCACGATGCAATGGATACACTCGAACAGAACGATGCTCTAACTTTCTCGCGAGAAATTGTTTAGCTTCCAGTGAAAAAGGTTGACCCAGTTTTCCAAAATAACCTGACTCTGGAGCGTCAATTCCAGAAAGTCGAATGCTGAGGGTTTCATTTTTTAAAGCATTTCGATTAGATGGGACTTTTCTAAGCCAATGCCAACCTAGTAAACGGCCTCCAGGCGTGTGATAGAATCGGAAATTGTCTCCATCTCCAACAGAGGTTACATAACCATACAGGCTATTAAGTTTCGTAAGAGACTTCTGTTGCCCACGAAAAAATCTAGAGGATAAATCTTCAATGTCTTTTATTCTTCGAAACTTGCGATGGATGACTATTCCTGTTGAAATTGTCAATATGATATAGCTGAGATTCCGCAAGGATATGGAGTACTCGTTTCTTTGATTTTGCATCCTCGACAAAACATCGGTTTAAGTGATATCACGTCGAACTATCTTCAAATGAAGGATAGAATGTTTAATTCATATATTGTTGTAGTGAAATAAATGAAATAATCCTCCTTATACTTTAATTCATTGATTTTTATTAATGAAGGTAAGTATCTGATACGAAGAAAATCTATACTACCAAGTGATAAAAAGTTTATATGAAGATGGACCAGTAAGTAATGTGAGAACATTGATTTTTACAGTACTAACATACAATCAAATGCGACTATCATAAACCAAATGGGAGGTTTGTTATATTCAATGAAAATGGGAAAATGAATAGTAAATTAGTTTAGCGTAATTACGTCGGCTTGCGATCTGTGTTCAAATAAGTTTGAAAATAGTTTCGTATAGTATAGACGGTGTCCAACGTCACTTATGTTTGTTAAAATACTCGAGTAAGTGTATCGCACCGAACTCAGAAACTTTATGTACGAGACTGAAATTGTTTTAAGTAATTGTTTATACAACAATGACTGGTATAAGCAGCACATTCAGACTATGTGTTGCTCATGACACAGTTAATCTCTCATTAACCGATATATGATACTCGAAATGGCATGTGTTATACAAAATCCAGTCAGAGACGTTACAGAACATGTGTGTCAGAGAATCTCCCTCGCGTGTCTAGGATGCAGGAACGGCTGAAACCTTTTTTTTTTTCTTTTTGCATTATGCACAATTACTTCTTGTGCATATTTCACTTGTTGGTAAAACACAGCAGCTACCTCATTTATTACAATTCATCTCTTGTATTGATGTTTTACAGAGTCATCTCCAAATACATTTAAGACATGGCGGCATTTACTGGTCTTTGGTTTTGGACTTCTCTCGTAAGGTAGAACCTTTTGAACGAAGAGGAAGAAAGGCCACGGGATGTTTGTTAAAATGAGGCCATGCAGGGACACAAATCTAGAAGAGAATTAGATTCATGTTCTTGAAAAAACAAACTCAGAACTTACAAATAGCAGGATAATCGAAAGTAAACCGAAACAAATAAATACGTAGTTAGAATCTTGGGCAATTAGTCCACAGACAAAAGAAATTGCCTATATTCGGTGTTTATTAGTACATTCATAATAAAGCAGAAATTACGAAAAACATACACTGATTATTGGAATTCCATTGTTAAGTATGTTTCTACAGGCAATTTGGCCTTGAAAATCGATGATTCCCTTAAACCGATCAATTGTTATCATATTAAAGTCTTGGTATATTTTCCCGTGGAAGTTGCAGTTGACAAAGTGCATCGTATTAAGTGAGAGAGGTATTTTTCATTAACAATCTATATTTGTATAATAAACAAATGAAACTTGTCATTATTAGATATGTATTCACGTTGTATGAGTTACATATCGACTTAATAGGGCCTGTGAATTGATTTGGGTTTTGTCTTTTTGTTTCGGTAACATGTTGATGAGCTCCATTGCAGATTGGGAGCAAGGAGAGAAGGATAGATGGATACGCTGTTTAATGAAGAATAAATATGTGTATATAGTCCATTCATCTGGTAATGGTACAGAAATTTTCGAGTTGTTTCATTTTCATTTATATTCATATATGACGAACGGTTTATATTCAGTGATTTCAGTGGTATGCGGGTACATACATTTATTTTTTGACCTACTATAAAATACATTTTATTCCTTGCTTATGAGTTAGTTTGAAAAGGTATGTGAATGATTCAGTCGTTGTCATCGGTTAAGAAACAACTTCGTGTAGATATACATAATTTTTTAGAGCTAATAAATGTTTGGTAGTTGAAGGATTTCATGGTCTATAATGTTTTGTATGGAGTTGCATAATGAATTGCAAATTAAGAACGCGTTTGCCAAAATTAGTAGTATTTCGTTTAAAAAAACAAACTATTTACTAGACAGTTTTTTTTTGTAATCGTGTGTATCAAAAAAAGCTGCTGAAGTATTTGCTTATATTGAGCAGTTCTAAATAACACAAGATGTAAAGAAGTGTTATTTGTGCTAATTATGTGACCCAACCATATAACCCAAGACTTTTCTGACATATCCCTTTTCATATCTTTAAGTACTAACTTAGTAAATACTTGCACAGACTAAGTTCCAACCCTAAGACACGCTACCCGACTTGTTAACATACACTAGCCATTCATCATTACTAACTGTAGTTAAGACTTAGGCTTTTTTTCGGCCAAGGTAGACTACTACTTAGCCTTAGTAACGAATACATTAGATTCAAAAGTGTAAACAAACATATATTAAGTCTACATCCTCTAAACTTTTAACGGGATTTTTTGTTTAGTAAGGTTATTTTGCAAAGTGCTACAGTTGATAACTGGTTCAATGATGAGATCAACATGTATTCATCCTTTGAGTAAAGGGAACATTATACTGAAGTATCAAAAAAGTCCTTGTGTTTAGGCGCTTGACTTGGAACATTCGTATGAATCTAGTATTAATAATTAATTAAATCTGCTTTTAGAAAACAAGTGAGTTAACAAAAGGGTTTCTCAGCTAAAGAATTTCTGGACTTAAATGAGATTGACATCAACAGCACACAATTCTACCATTACTTTGCTAAATAATAAAACTTATCAATAACATGATTAAATACAACATTCATTAGTAATGTCTATTGTTTCCGGTAACTATTACCATTAATTCACAGGTTCAACTCAAATATCATATCCACATATCCCCTTTCATATAGCTATTGAACATAAACAAATCAAAAGTACCAGTAGCAAGATAGTATTTTTAGACAATTGATGCGCTTGAAGGTTAGGAATTTGATAGGATAACTATTTCTCCTATACAATAGATCCCATGTATACTAAGATTGATACTTTCATAGAATCGTTATTAGTTACAAAGCTTCCACTGTTAACAGGTCGAGGTTATATGTTAGTCAAAAATATTGACATTTATTTTCCTTAACATGATGTCCATAAACAGAAATGTTTTTTTTAAAAAACCTAGCCAACTACGAGTCATGAATTTCCAGGAGAATGCAAGAAATAAGCCTAACAAAACTTACATAAAAAGCACAGTTTGTATATCCGATCCAAAACCTTCGCCGGCTCCTTAAGAAAAAACCTCGTTCGACAAGCAAATGTTAGATAAATGATCCTATTAACTGAGTAACATTGGCAGATATTTTCATGATAATGCTTTTCCCTGCTTCAGAGCCAGCTTTTGCTTTTTTGTAAGTGGAGCCGCATTCTGTATATGGACTACATTGCGTCTCCGTTTCGCGACATCAGTCTCTGCCTGCCATATAGGGATGGCAATACTATCTGAGGTCTTTAATGTGATGTTGTCAATCGCGTACCACCCTTTGGCAATATATTTTTTTAACACAACATCCATGATAGCCAAAACGTTCTCGAGAACATGCTCAGTTGGTTGGGAAGCCAATCCACAAGCAACAATATGGCTTGTTCCTTCTGACAATTTGAAGTGGGTAGAATGAAAACACTTTGCAATTTGATGACGGATTGTATCTTTCTTCAAAGATATAGGAAGGAACTTTAACTTTTTCTGCTCTAAGACTTTTCCTAGCAATACAGTAGCGTCCTTAATGACTCTTTGATCAGCAAAAAAATATTTGTGCTCATTTCGAAGTTCACACTTTTCCTTTATCGTCTTATAACGTCGCTTAATACGCGGAATACTAAGAACTGTAGTAACGATTTCGTCCAACTTCTCTTTCTCCACTTGGTCCTGTATTTTCTGTTGGTTTTCCTTCACAATAAGGCAAACATTATCTAAAGGGACGATTCGATGTGGCAAAAAGCTTAACGGAATCTGTTAATAAAAAAACCCCAAAAAAGAGAACTGTAATTTCACTTACATTTTGCTGGGAACCTTAAGCTTTGCATTTGAAACGGGTTGAAACGTGTTGATTTGAATCCATAGTTTAGATTTACTGGCATCAACGTTTGAGCGTTTGCAATTCTCTGACAATGCTTTCAAAGCACTTTCAACTTGATGAAAGTCAACTTTATCGAGAGACTTTGAATTCTTTTTCTTTTTCGAAATAGGGACAGACATTTCAGAGCTTCAAGATGTCTTCCTTCAATTGAAAAGTATTGTTAATGTTTCGTTCTCAAAACCGATATAACCCTAAGACCCAAAAAAAGGAAGAAAAATCAATAATGAAAAAAAGAGAGATTGTCGGCCGATACAAACGCAAAGCTGCAGATGCAAATTGTTTTGACTGTGGCACGAACAGTATTTACGGGTAGGTTGGTTGTAACCAGTAATTGTGTGGCCGAATATGTACCCAAACTTACCACCAAAAAATCCCACCATTCGTGCGGGATGCGAGCAATGAGGGTTGTCGAAGATGGGTTGACGAAATTGATATGGAAGGAAGCTGGAAAATTTGTGAACGCTTAACACCAGTGTATGCAAACCTCTTAAAGAAGAAGCTGCCAATTTATCGTACACACACACGTTACGCTCTTAAGCGACTTCATTGAAGCTCTTTCAAGCCCTCAAACTTCATTTTCTCAAACATTTGAAAATGCATTAACTCGTGACGATGAAATGCAAGCTAGAAATTAACACGCACCTGAAGCAAGAGAACCGGAACGCCTAAGTAGCAAAACGTTCTGTACATGTTCTCAACGGTAAAGCTTGCAACATTAAGGAACAAAAGACAAACCCTTTTTGATACTCTTCTTCAAGTTCTGCAGGCAAGTTTCAAGCAGGCCCGTTTCGTAGTCATTAATAAGGCCGACGGGATGGATGTCCTCGGCTCCTTCTTTGCCCAAAGTAACCCGAGACGAAAAGAAATCGACACCCTGGTCCGTATAGAGAGGCGACTCAACATAGGCACATTCAGTAACGCCAACTTCACCAGAAAGTCCACGGAGAACGGCATTTGTCATCCGAGCTCCGGCATACGCCATGGACAAAGTAGCACTTCCGGCTCCAGCCTTGGCCTTAACAACTTCATCTCCACCAAATTGAATACGGTGTACGATCTCGTCACGTTCTTTTTCGCTCAGTTGGACGCCACTTTGTGAAAGCAAAGGCACAATAGTTGCGCCAGAATGTCCTCCGACAATGGGCACACGAATGGTTTCTGGCGAGGCTCCCTTGACCTGAGAAAGGAACTTGCTCGCTCGCACGCTGTCCAACGTAGTCACGCCGATAAGTTTCCGGGAGTCACGTACGCCGCCGGCAGCAAGCGCATTTTTCAGAACGGGCACCATCGAGTTGACAGGATTTGTGATCACAAGGTATATGGCATTAGGTGCCACCACAGCACAAGCCCTTCCAAGCTTGTGGATGATAGACGCGTTGATTGCAAACAAGTCGTCTCTAGTCATATTAGGTTTCCGAGGAACACCTGCTGATATGATCACCACGTTTGCGTCCTGGACCGAGCGCTCCAAACCGCCATTCTCAGTAGCGTATCCTTGTACATCGCTGGAGGTATCGATATGACTTAAATCGGCGGCGACGCCAGCGGCACCGTGAATGTCAAATAACGATAGTTTAGAGATGTAAGGATTCAGCTTCAGCAACAAAGACAATGGCTGTCCAATGCCACCGGCGGCACCCAGGACAGAAACTTTTAAAGGACGTGTGGTCGTAGTGCTATACAGTTTGCGAGTCAATGGACGACTGCAATTATACGAAAAAGGAAAAACCGTTCTTGTCGTTCTCAACATAATGACGATGATATAGACGTCAACACTCAGAAACACGACAGTACAATCAATAACAGCGAATTAGACAGAAACAAAGATCAACAACGTTTCGCTCTCAAACTTTGAAAACCTAAACCAACCAAGGACCCGAGTCGATATTAGTCAACGTTAAGAAATATGACCAGCGAGATGTTATAGAGAGAAAAAAGAACACTCCTGCGGAGCAATGTGTACACGGACTTAAAGACGCAGATTTTCCAAATAACCGTTAAATAAAACTAACGGTGTCTCTCGCTAAACCGCTGTTTTATAGTAAATGACGGCAACCCTGTGAATGGTCAAATTTTAGTTAAAATTAGTAATTGGTCGTATTCCAAATGCAAATTACTGCAATTTGAGCTACAAAATTAAGTGTAAACGACCAAGAATTATTGGCAATGGATGTTGGGAATTGTCAAGTTCGTGCTTGACCGGCCGCTTTAATACGCAGCTAAGGTATGACGTCGGCTTGCAAAAAGCATTATACAAAAACTTAATCTAAACAAACACAAAAGATGTTACGAATCGAAACGTTCGATTCTATTCTTATTGAGTGCATTATAATCATATACAATTGTTTCTTGCGCAGACGACGACCTAGAACACAGCAAGGCAGTGTAAACGGGCGCCGTGGGCACCACGTGTGCGCATAGGAGTAGTCTGTTACAGAAAATGACGCTACGTACAGCCATTAACATCACACGGCGACAAAGTCTAGGCGAGGGTACTAGCTAGGAAACATGGGAGGAAAATTGGTACAAGTAATTATTTACGGTCCAGAGCGCCTTACGCCCGGAATGGTAAACAAGAACTAACCCAAACATCGCACTCTACCCACTTTGCAGGTCGAGTTGTTCCGACCAGACAAAAGGGGGAGGGGACGGGGGTGGGGACTAAACCAAAGCGAAGAGATGTGCAGAAGGGAAGATACCGATCGGTACGGAAGTAGGGTGCGCAGAAACAAAAACAACAGGGTGCCTGTCCGTCGATACTTAGGAAACGTTCCATCCGGACCACCAATACACTCATCCACCCACCAATCCAACAGACCCACTCAACCTGCCCCTTGAGACAGGAAATGCGTTTCCCTACACCAGTAATGGGGATGACTAGAGGGGGGTTGGATAGGATAGATGAGGTTCTGCAAAACGGTAGATAGACGGCTTCAGTATGGCCCGGTTAGATAAAACACATTGCAATCACCTTTTGTGTGGCTTGCTTTTTCAGTTTCGTTTCCACCCAAATTGGTTTCATCGACCTTTCAGGTTCGGCTTTTTCCAGTTCCTCAAGGTCCCTCTCCATCCCTTCACTCATTGAGGCGACTCCTGATCGGAGAAGAAACAAAGAATGTGTCATCAACAGTTAGAATGCATGCGTGAGTAGATTTGTAAAAACATCGGCAAAATTGTTTGTGGCAACGTTGCATCTAAATATAAAGATTCAACAAAACACACTTCATGAAGTTGGTCATATAAACGGGCATTGTCACCATTCATACCGCTTCGTTCGTAGCTATGCTTACTCATGGCGGATAACTTCGGTGACAAACTCTCCCTTTTCGTTAACGGTGTGCTTCAGCATCTCAGGCATAGCACACTCCTTGTAGTCACCATCATCTGTGGGAATGTTGATGTTAAGACTCGTGGTACAGCTCGTAACAAACTCGGTGTCCAGCGATTGCTTGCTAACGAAGATGGATCCACCGTCACATTTGTCAATGACCACCATGGGGACCTTTTCCATAATTTGACATCCAAAATTGGCGCAGTTCGCAATATCCAAAGAAGCAACGAGAGTGTCGACAACAACGCTTGTGCGCTTGCAACGCGACATTGAGACGGCATTCAATTTGCCCTTAATGATAATGGTGCAGTTGTTGCAGTTGAAAATTTGAACAGTATGATTGAGCTCAACGTTTTCAAGGATAATGTTGTGGTTGTCCGTCTGGTTCTCAACGAACCACTTGGTGTTCTCCAACTCGAGACGAGGAGGTTTGCTGGGTGCAGGAGCGGGTGACTTCTTCACAGCATGAGAGCCGGGACTAGCGGGCTTAGGGGCGACAGGAGGAGGTTGCTTGCGAAGCTCAGGATTCTTATGGGTCATTTGGGACTTGTCAACCTTCCGAAGACCGGCCGTGATACCCTCGCCCTGGTTAATTTCAGCAAAAACAGCACCAAGATTAGGCTTGCTGGAAGCAGGCTTGGGTGTGGTATCATCATCCTTCTCCCAGTAGTTACCCGTAGGTGCAGGAGGAGGTGGAGGAGGGGGGACGGATGCAGAAGAAGCGGCAGAAGACGGAGCAGTACTATCTTCCAATTTCAAATCCTTAAGCTTAGTAGCCAAGTCCGCAGCAGAAGCATCCGTGCTCCATTGCAGTCCAGTCTTGAAGTGTTCCTTCACGTACACTTGCAACTCGCTCAAAAGCTTCAGGTATGAGCGGACCCACTCAACTTGCGTCTGATCCTTGTTCTTGACTTCCGTAAGAACACGGTTGGCATAGTACTGGGCAGAGTCCTTCATCTCACCCATAAAGCCAAGAGGAGCAGGTTCAACGGTGACCCAACCCAAAATGCTAATACCGTCCATTACCATTGACAGCTGGTTGAACTGAGGCGAGTTGCGATTCTCATCACGAATTTTGGTAACCCCGAGCAGCTCTTGCTGAACAGGCTTCAGCATTTCAGTGTACTCAGGAGAAGTGACGACAGGTTTCTTGCACAAAGAAGACAACTGCAGGATGTCACGAAGCTTTTGGAAGGCGCTGTCCACATGTTCAGACTAACGCGTGTTAGAGAAACACTCAGTCAATACAAATACAGCTGTACAGGCTGCAGTTTCTACGAAGAAGGATCCGTAAAATCCATATTCATCAGACATACCTGTTTTTCGATAAGTCCTCCAATTTTCTTGCTTAATTGCAAATAGGGAGTGAGATGAGTCTTGCAATACGCATCGTAATCAGAAACAGACTTGGGAAGTTGAGGTAAGTCGGCCTTTGGCTCAGTCTGTGCCTTTTCGGGAACTGGAGCAGCAACAGAAGCCTGCTTTGGGGTCGTGTCGGTCTCTGAAGGCTCTTCTTGTTGGCTGAGTGAAGAATCACGACCAATCTCGACAAGATCCTCCAAACGCGAGGTAGCAGCCTCGAGCCTGCATCGGAACTTATTAGCAACAGTCTAAATCCCCCAGACAAACATACCGCTTAAGAATTGTCGTAAAATTGTAACCGGTTTCACGAATATTGCTGAGATCAGCCATGGTCTGGGAGGTGAATGTGGCTCTAGAGAGTATATGGTAGAAGATAACCTGTTAGAGGCTTCCGGAAGCTCTCCACACCACCGGGTAACAAACGGGGGTAACAATGCCTGACAGAAGCGGTTCAATAGCGTTTAAGCTTCGCTTAAATTTCGCGCGAGAAGTTAATTTGTTCGGCAGTTAATCCAATGAGTCGGCGAAGCGCGAGTTTCTGATGTCATAACCTGGAGACACAGGAATTAAGCTTCCGATCGTCTGGCGCCATTCAAAATAGCAACGTAAACAAACAACCAGCCTGCCGATTGTAAACAAACGCAAACAAATTATGCAAAACAAAAGGCAAAAACTTGTTTCTTGTTGAGTAGTTTATCCGAAACTGCTCTGTATTTGCCGCAATAACAGCGGAAATTTGCATGTTTACGGGAGTGAACGGCACGAGATCGTCGTTCAGGAGCTCGATTAATTCATCTTAACGAACCTTTTGTGCAATTAGGCTGAACCTCGGAACTGAATCAACCACTCATACGCCAGCCGCGCAAAAGTTGGCATGGCGACGAGTGGCTGTGGAACATCCCTGCGCCGTTTAAAGGTGACCTTACGTCAGGTATGACGTAGAGTCCAGAATATAAGTAGCGCGAGCTTCCCCAGATGAGAGCATCAGAGAGTTACCAAGGAAACCTTTGTTCAGGAAAGTCTTTTTGTATTTATCTGGACCTAGTGACGCTCTTGTTACTGCGCAACAATACCATTTTACTAATTGGTAACTGAAAATTTCTCTGGTATTTTCAGATATAGCATTTTCCCATTACGAAGTACTCAAAATCCGTGTTTCGGTCATAGAATTTTTTGTCCCGTGTTTCATTTTTACGACAATCACTAGAACACAATGCGTTTCTTCGCCACTATCTTCCTCTTCATGAGCACTGTGTCTGCTCTCTCCATCCGTGATCTCTCTTGGGTTTTCGGCAAGAAGGAGAAGAGAATGACCAACTCTCTTGTTACTAGTGTTAAGACTGTCAAGAGCACTGCCTACTACAACATTTCTGAGGGTACTTTCTGTCACACCAATGGTGCCAATTTGTGTGTCTCCCCCGATGTCATTGCCATCTGTACCAACCACAGTACTGTGTTGCTGAACTGTCCTACCATTCTTGGTTACCCCTACGGTGTTGGTTCTGCCTGTGTTGAGACCTCTAACACTTACGGTTTGACCCGTGGTCTTTGTGTTACCGGTTCCTCCAACTTCACCACGAAGGCTAACGCCTCTAACTTTGAGAATGCCACTACTCTTGTCACTCGCGGTTCTCCCTTGAAGCAAGTTTCTTTGGAGTTCACCAACGTCATTCCCTCCAAGTCTGTTTACATCAGCCGCAGCTCTCTGACTGAATGGAGCTGCAACCAAACTCTTTGCAACAGCGAATACCCCTTCCTTGTCAACACTTGCTTCAACGGTACTCAATACCCCGTTAACTGCAACTCTGCTCTTCGTACTTCTTTCGGCGGTGCTGAATGCCGTAATGTTGGTTACAGAGGACAAGGTGTTTGTGTTTACACCAACAGCAGCCGCTCTGCTACTCGTTTGAATGAGACTGCCGTTAAGGATATGGCCTCTCGTGCTTTGTGGTAAGTAGTTTAGACACCACCCTTTGCTTCATTTTGGTTACTAGCTTGTTTCTTTACCTCTTTACCGTCTGACCGAATGCATGACATCGGGACGGTGTTACGCTCTTTCTGTGTCTTTTCTGTTCACCATGCATTTTCTTCCCTCTGCGCGACGTGCGTTATGGATTGTGCTCTGAGCTATCTGCATTTTCTTACGTTATAGCGTGCATTCTTAGTAACGGCGTTCGTTACGGCGGTTATGGTCGACCACTGACGGCACCAACTTCCACGCAAGAGCATCGTTCTTTACTATTTTATCAATGCAATTTGATTACATGACTCGTACTATTCTTTAAGTTGTGGACAGGGAACGGAGGATAGTCTCGACGGAGCAAGTGTTTGTTTTTAATGTGGGGATGCTTCATCGTATATTATGTGCGGTGTTGTATAGCTGAGAGATTGTTTCTTGAATTCCACTGGATATCCTTTCCAGAACTGTCTGCTTTTCAAGCTGAAGAGTGTCGAATCGTCGTTGTCGGATGTGTCCCTTAAGCAGTTCATGAATGCGTGCCAACGCCTCAGGGATGAGTGAATGAAGCAGCTGTTCCTTCACAATGCGGCATTCATGCAGTTGCATCCAGGACTTGACCGTCTCCATACGTTCACATCGGGCTGCATGGAGAAGTTGCTTTTTCTCTTGTACCTGCAGACTGGTCCGAATGTCGTTGAAGATGAGTATGAGAATCGTTGAGAACAGCTCCTCACACAGGCGGATGCATTTGGGCGATAAGAGAGTACTGATTGGGCTTTTCACACGAACAACTAGTTTTATAGAGGAGCAGGGTGAATCTTCAATAACGTTTTCTTCCGTAGTCGTGATAAGTAGAGAGACGAGTTTGTGTGCCGCGTTTTCGTTCATGATTCTATCAATAGAGTTGTTAATAGCTGTCTGTAACGACATTGCCAGTTGAAATTGTAAGTCGGAAGATGAGACATTGTGAGGGAGCAAAGTGTCTCGACAAACTGCACAGACATCACCATAGAACACTTCGTCAGAGAACAGGGCAATAGACTCAAACAGGAGGATGTTGTTTGAAATGCTAGATTGGGTATCTAAAGTGTTCAGCAAAACCATAGAGAGTGTGTCCGAATATTGCTGCAGGGGAAGAGCGAATCCGTATAGAAGGCAAAACGAAAGCGGGCAGAGATCTGCTGATGGGTACTGCAGGTTGACACGACAACTTCCTATGGTCGTCCTGTCCTGTACATGAATGCTGTCAATTTTGTGTACAAGATCGTCGAAATTTAAAGTAGGATGGTGAGAGATTTGTGGGATTGAAGAAGTAAATGTAGACGGATGTGTTGACGTTCCGTTCTCATTAGAATTGTTATGACCTGTTTGTCTTAAATCGTCAAAGAATATAGGATACTGACATTTGGGGAAGTCGGGCAAATCTTGTTGAACTGATATCCTTTTCATAAACCGTACACACTGAATTACATTCCGCAACGTTTCGTTGTAAGGCTTCAGAAAAGGCGGCAAGTCAATTTCGTCGTCGTGTTCATTGTGTAGTATTCTTCGGACCTGTTTAACAAAAAACTGAAAACAAAACTGAAAGCACTGTAAGCCAACATAATAATTATCGCTGTTTTCAGTGGCAGACGCGTAATCATACACAAATTCTAAGAAGGAAGTGCTTGAAGAGGAGAAATCTGCTGTTAAAGAATACGAGAGAAATTGAATAAAAGGTTTATGCTGCTGTAAAAAAATAGACAGACAGAGAGTGTAGAACTCGCCGTCAGCTCCCAGATTTAATGAAAGGACGTCTCGTTTGTACTGAAAAATTGCTTCAAGGATGAAAGCTTGGAAGGCGGAAGCAATCGTGGAACTTTGAACTCGTTGAGTACTTAACGCAGCCTGTGATTTCTTAACAAGTGAACCACAGTCTATACATTCATGACATATGCCCATAAATGAGGAAACAGTAAATCCACTTGTACAAAAAGGGTGTGAATAAAACGATTCACGATTTGGGTCCCATCGGAAAAAATCACTCTCATATCCTTGAATGAGTAAAAGCAATGCCTAGAAATGTTGAGTGTAAGTTATAAAAGCTTGAGACAGAGACCTTACCTTTTTAACAAAAAATAGTAGTAAACGAATGTATTTGTTACCGGGCTGTAGTTCATAAAGTTTTTGCGCCAGAGCGTCAAATAGTTCCGCCTCTGGCGAGGAGGATGTAAATAGAATGCTTGAGGGAACACTCGTAACGGTGTCTCCAGTATTAATGAACGATTCTTCTTCGTGAAGAAATTTGTCCTCTTCTGGACGAAGAAAGTGACCAGCCGGGCCGCAAGGGGTTTCATGAAGATGAACCGGTATGAGTTTACTGTGTTGACCCTTTTGCTGCTTCGCGCGAGAAATGCCGATTGCTAGAGCATCTTTCTTTAAATAGGAAGAATCGGCAGAATCAACTGCAATAACTGTCCCAGATACGTGTGTTGTTATTTCAAAGCTTTTGTATAGGGGTGTCACCAAGTCCTTTGGGATTGTGGTTTTTAAATGTTCTGCCAAAACCGTTCCCGGAACGCAAGGTCGAATCTCAAACTTTCGTTTCATGACTCGTAAAAATGTATACGAAATCGTTAATGGTGTATAATCAAAGACCAGGTTGTGATGCTATAAACTTTCCGATGAATTGTATGTAATCAACAGTAAAGAAAATTTGCGCGATAAAGACGCAACAATTGTAGTAAAGGAGAACTTAGAGGTGACTGAAGTGTAACACTCGGGAGTTTTATCGGTTCATGAAGAATAAACGAGCAGCACCTTACTAATGAATATAGGAACGAGAATTGATATTCGAGGGAAAAAATGAACACGAAACGAGAAACTTAAGAAAGAGGAAAGCAAAGCACGTTCCTGTCAGGGTTTGGACCCTTTGCGGGTTAAGCAAATATCGCAACTCAGCCTATACGAGTTTTCTGTTTTGTTGTTACGCCGATCCGTTCATATCTTTCAATTAAGCTATTATCTTAGCGATACATAATAGATACGGCTACATAAAGGTAGCTCAATATTTGGTAAACGAGGGAGAGCTATATAAGTGTTTATATATATAAGCGTCTATATAAATGAATATAAATGTGTCCTGGGTTAGGCATAGGAATCTGTTCAAATTTCATAGTAACTACTCTTCAAGCATGTACAGAGTTGCAGGGTTTAGAGCTTGTAGACGGCAATGATTCAATGAAGATCAAATGAAGATCATTGTGTTCTCGGGACGTTCTAAGTTAGTTTCATTTCTAATTGTGATGCGCAGCTAGGGGGTCTCGTTAGTCGGACGCCTATGAATTCGTAGAACAGGGCTCGCAACAAGCGACAAAGAGTATCGATTTCGCAAGCTGTACGACGACGGTTGTTTGATCAGCATGAAACTGCGGAACCTCTGTGACTTGAAGGCGAGAAGAATGTTACTACGGACCTGCTTGATAGATCAGTTTCATAAAGTCACTCTATAGACGTTAAGAAAAGTGAGTCAAAAGTTATTTACTAAACATTTGTTTGATTTGTCGTGCTTCATGGACTTTCATAAGGCGGCTGTGGATTAAGCTTTTTATTGACTTTCTTCTTACTGGCAGGATGGGGCATGAATGACATGAAATATAATTGAATAGACCAGGAACCCATGATACATGAACCTGAAACTAGCAAAAGCAACAAGAAATCGGTGTGCTTCCTCAATAACCGTGACCATAGAAAGTTTGACAAAGAGAGATACAATAAAATAATTGATGGAATCCGAATTGCCATAGACTTTTTGTGTGCGCGTTTAAAATGTTGCCCAAGTGCAGGGTATGGAATCTCAATTGAAGAAGAGCGAATGAAACATCACAGTGGCTAGTACTGCAGTTAAATTTTAGCATGGTAATACACAGTTTAGTAATTTAACTGCATGCTTCTTGTTCTTGTTCAATTGACAATGGGATTACATATTAGTATACACTTTTTCTCGCTTTATGATTATTCCTTATATCGAGTGCACTTTATAGACCAGTGAAATTTAGACAGACGAAAGTTATGCCCTTGAACCGAACACAAGTGTAATGTTTTCACCGTTCAAAGTTGGATTGCTAAAGGATGTGCTATTATTCTGACAGGATTCCACAGGAAAAAAATATGCATCAAAAAAAAACAAGAAGTAATTATCCCAAAAAGAAAACAGATTAGTTCGTAAGAATAATCATCAACTAAAATTATATACCACATAGAATATAAAGCAGGCACACAACATCCAGACCCCGTTATAGTGCATAAGCGATTATGTAAAGCATTCAGTAATAGATAGTCGTCGTTATGGTATTCCTCCACGTATTCAATACTGGTAGACTTAGCCGCGGTAGATGTTTCTTCATATTGAGGCAATTCGTATTCCGTCTTGTTATATTTTTTTAAACGTTCTTCTAATTTCGCCAAGCTCAAAAATACTACTATTTCGTAAACGAATTGAACAAAACCCATTAACAGTAAGCATATATTGAAACAATTTTGGAGCACCAAAGACTCGGGATACTTTCTTAAGAGCGCCGACCAAAGAAAATTCGATAGCGACAGGGGAAGCAGTACCGAAGTTGTTAACAGCCTGAGCCACTTACGATAAAAAAGACATTTTGTTAATTCCCTTTGAACATCCAGAGTAACTGAAGTAGGATGGGTACTTGATGTTTCCATTGGCACCGACACTAGTTGGATTTTTTTTATTTTTTTGTCAAAGATTCACAATTGCCTGGTAAAGTAGCACTAAGCAGTCTCGCAAAAGCCTGCGCGTTCTTTTCACAAAACGCCGGTGTAACAGACAAAAGGCTGTGACTATAGCCGTTGGCAGCGAAAAAGTGGCAATTCGTCATTCTTACTCAAAATACCGTAGTATCAGAGAAGTGTATGCCAACAATACCTGAGACAGTAATTTTATTTCTGCTTCCGTTCACAGATCATGTCGCAGCATCGTTTGTTGGAACCCGAATTGCCATAGACCTTTTGTGTGCGCGTTTAAAATGTTGCTCAAGTGCAGGGTATGGAATCTCAATTGAAGAAGAGCGAATGAAACATCAAGTGGCTAGTACTGCAGTTAAATTTTAGCATGGTAATACACAGTTTAGTAATTTAACTGCATGCTTCTTGTTCTCGTTCAATTGACAATGGGATTACATATTAGTTATACACTTTTTCTCGCTTTATGATTATTCCTTATATCGAGTGCACTTTATAGACCAGTGAAATTTAGACAGACGAAAGTTATGCCCATGAACCGAACACAAGTGTAATGTTTTCACCGTTCAAAGTTGGATTGCTAGAGGATGTGCTATTATTCTGACGGGATTCCACAGGAAAAAAATATGCATCAAAAGATACCAAGAAGTAAATATCCCAAAAAGAAAGCAGGTTAGTTCGTATGAATAATTATCATCTAAAATTATATACCACATAAAAAAAACAACAGGTATAAGAAACCCAAATATCGCTGAACGGCATAAGCGATTATGTAAAGCATTCAGTATTAGATAGTCGTCGTTATGGTATTCCTCCACGTGTTCAATACTGGTAGACTTAGCCGCGGTAGATGTTTCTTCATATTGAGGCAATTCGTATTCCGTCTTGTTGTATATTTTTAAACGATCTTCTAATTTCATCATGATCACAAGTACTACTGCTTCGCAAACGAATTGAACAAAACCCATTAACAGTGAGCATATAATGAAACATTTTTGGAGCACCAAAGACTCGGGATACTTTCTTAAGAGCGCCGACCAAAGAAAGTTTGATAGCGACAGGGGAAGCAGTACCGAAGTTGTTAACAGCCTGAGCCACTTACGATAAAAAAGACATTTTGTTAATTCCCTTTGAACATCCAGAGTAATTGAAGTAGGATGGGTACTTGATGTTTCCATTGGCACCGACACTAGTTTGATTTATTTTATTTTTTTGTCAAAGATTCACAACCACAAAGTGTACAGCACCGGGCACTTTCACAAAAACTATTTGGAGCCTGTTAACACTCAACCGGTATAATAAAATAAAAGGCTCAATTTGTTACCTTAGGTAATTAGTGCGCAAAATGTGGCAAGTGCTGCCATTTCAAATTATTTCACTCTTTAACATTAAAGGAGTACCGTTGGAAATTAAATTGCAACTAGAGAGATCTTATGTGAACTTAAGTCAGATTGGATAGTTCGACTATTGGCATGCTGTATCACCGTTTTCTGTAGGAATTCAGTTGTCCACGAAATAAAAGTTAATTTTTAATACGAAATCTAACACTTTCAACTGTAACATAATATCCCGCCGCAGGCATCTGTTTACGTGTTGCGCGTTTTAATTAAATATGCGACAGAGCTGGCATAAGGTTCAAGGGGTGGATCATAAATATTTCGCGGGTGGACTTCTCGCAAACTCACCACCAAAAATTTCAGCAACTTATCTAAACAAGGTTTATCTAGCCGAGGCAATTAATACTTAAAACAATGCATTCGTAAAAACGGTAATGGTAAAACAGAAGCTGCGCAAGTGGAAGGACTGCCGTCCGTTAAGCTTGACTGGAAATTGGAGTACAAAGTATCCCATTGATACGAACGAACTATGGATTACGACTTAAGATAGTATTAGCTATACAAACTAGACTATGCATTTTTGCAGAACAGTTGTTCCAATACTATTGAAGGAATAAACGGGGTTGAAAGATAGAAATTTGAGTGAATAGGCATAATCTGGGGGCACTTGTGAAGTACGTAGATCGCTTAACAATTAACTTGATTGTGTCATAAGCTACCGAGTAGATCGTATTACAAGAGGCCTTCTTTATAGCCAGGCCTGCTCTTTTTTTAGAAACTTCGCTTAGTTGCAAAATTCACATGGAGCACTTGTGTTTGTTGCCGCTTTGTGATGTGTGGCCCTGAATTAGCACAAAGAAACGATATTTATATTCAGTATTCTTATATTTTCGAATGTGGTTCAGGCCTTCAATATTATACCCTACGTAATAACTGAAAGTTTAATCTTTTCAGTGTGCATAATCTTCGATTATACTAGTCTAGGAGCATTTTATACCTCCTGCATGTCAAACATTTCAGGACCCGATTGTACTGATGTAATAGCGAAATACTTAGCCATAGGAATAATCGGCGGTTTTGCAGGCTTCGCAGCTGACTCGGGTTATAACTTTTTGGACGTTGCAGACATTGTGAAACATTCGACTAAAAGAAATGATAATGCCGATCCGAAAGACATTAATGCAGTCGAGGATTCTGACAAAAGACGGACAGACTCGAGTGAAATTATTATCGACTATTCTGACATTCAAGAACTCATTAATCATCTAAAACTTGAATGTCCATGTAAGCCGCGTAGCATTGATAGTTCTTATACTGAACTTTAAAAGAATAAATATTGCTCTCTAATGTTAACTCTAAGTCATTGCAAGACCATTACTGGAAAAGTCGGCTTCTTCAATACAACTAAGTAGAGTAGCAATTTTTACCCACATTCCTATTTATTAGCCATTCATTCATAACAACTACGGTCGAAAAGTGCTTAAAAACCGTAAAGTTTCACCAACTCCTATTGCGCAACACATTCGTAACTGTTTACCGTTGCGAGAAACCACGGCATTGATGAATTAAAAACAAAACACTTCGCGCAATGTTTCCTGTCTTGTACTCAAAGACAAATATAAACTCAGTCATTACAGACAGACAGTTGCATTGGAACTAGTATTGATAAAAGAAAATCAGCTAATTAATACTATTATGTAATCTGTGAGCGGAACGGCTCCGAAGCTAGCATTCAATTAATAGTAATGTAACAAAGCTTTAGTAACTACGAGAAGGGGCTATACCAAAACTGTTTATATCTTGAAGTAGATATTGGCAATTGACAACTATGTCTGTTACTTTACAGAAAAGAAAGAGAATATTATAGATCATATGGACAACACATGTAGAAATAAAAATTGGACTTAACTAAATTCTTCACAATGTAATATCACAGCGTTTTCAAGTACTCGGTTGTCGTGCATTCTAAAAAAGGGTTACCAACTTGGGGCATCTTTTTCTGTTTTTGCTTCAAAATTATGTGAACTATTCCTGTTTTTCAAACGATTTGTCATCGGTCTGCTGTTGACATTTGTCCTATCACTCCAGTACTCCAGTGTTCACTCTGGTATTTTGACACTCCAAATTATTATGACAGAGGACAATGCGATCAATGAACTTAGTATTCCAAAATAATAAAAACAAGATACCCTTGAGTCTTGCTCAATATCCAAGCAGCACGGAAGAAAACCGAATGCATAAACAAATAATGCAAATATTGAAATCGATGCCACAATAAAAAGGCGATGATTAATAGTGACAGCTACTGAAGAACGGTCGTCTTGGTTTTCTTGCACGTCGCTCCTTTTCCGGTGCAATTCGGGTTCCAACAAACGATTCTGCGACATGATCTGTGAATGGAAGCAGAAATAAAATTAATGTCTCAGGTATTGGCATACACTTCTCTGATACTACGGTATTTTGAGTAAGAATGACGAATTGCCACTTTTTTTTCGCTGCCAACGGCTATGGTTACAGCCTTTTGTCTGTTACACCGGCGTTTTGTGAAAAGAACGCTCAAAAATCTATTAATTAGAATACAGCAGGCTTTTGCGAGACTGCCCAGTGCTACTTTACCAGGCAACTGTGAATCTTTGACAAAAAAAAAATCAAACTAGTGTCGGTGCCAATGGAAACATCAAGTACCCATCCTACTTCAATTACTCTGGATGTTCAAAGGGAATTAACAAAATGTCTTTTTTATCGTAAGTGGCTCAGGCTGTTAACAACTTCGGTACTGCTTCCCCTGTCGCTATCAAACTTTCTTTGGTCGGCGCTCTTAAGAAAGTATCCCGAGTCTTTGGTGCTCCAAAAATGTTACATTATATGCTCACTGTTAACGGGTTTTGTTCAATTCGTTTGCGAAGCAGTAGTATTTTTTAGCATGGCGAAACTAGAAGAACGTTTAAAAAAATATAACAAGACGGAATACGAATTGCCTCAATATGAAGAAACATCTACCACGGCTAAGTCTACCAGTATTGAACACGTGGAGGAAAACCATAACGACGACTATCTAATACTGAATGCTTTAAATAGTCGCTTAAGCTATATAACGGGGTCTGGATTATTTACGCCTTATATTTATCTTGTATGGTGTTTAGGTTTAGATACTTATTCTTACGAACTAACCTGTTTTCTTTTTGGGATATTTACTTCTTGGCTTTTTTTGATGCATATTTTTTTCCTGTGGAAGCCCGTCAGAATAATAGCACATCCTCTAGCAACCCAACTTTGAACGGTGAAAACATTACACTTGTGTTCGGTTCAAGGGCATAACTTTCGTCTGTCTAAATTTCACTGGTCTATAAAGTGCACTCGATATAAGTAATAATCATAAAGCGAGAAAAAGTGTATACTAATATGTAATCCCATTGTCAATTGAACAAGAACAAGAAGCATGCAGTTAAATTACTAAACTGTGTATTACCGTGCTAAACACAATATACCAATGACTTGATGGAGGGTTTCCTTTGACAAGCTTCAGTCAGTCAATAGCTGCTATCCTTGAAAGGCAATGGATATTCCCCGTAGTTACAAGTAACTCTCGTTTCATAGACTGTTATTGCTAGTCTAAAGGGGATAGAGCGAGAGTGAAAGCTTCACAGAACGATACAACAAATTCCAAGACACAGCTTAGTAACATCTTATTGTTTATCTTACTTGTGAATTTGCTAAAATTTAACTGCAATACTAGCCACTGTGATGTTTCATTCGCTCTTCTTCAATTAAGCCAGTAATCACAATAACAATTGAGATTCCATACCCTGCACTTGAGCAACGTTTTTACGCGCACACAAAAGGTCTATGGCAATTCGGATTCCACTAAACGATCCTACGGCGTGATTAACGAAAGAAAGAAGAATAACAGCCAATATCAGAAGGTGTCGGCAGACACCTTCTGATGCTACGAAATTTTTACCATTGGGTGACGAATTGCCACTTTTTCTTTATTATTACTACCAATAACATATTGAGCCTTTTGTTTTCTACACCGCTGCTTTTGACAATAAAACCTTCTAATATTGTCTTGACACGAGGCAAGCTGCTACAGTAAGATCAATTGCTCTTTATATATCAGGAAATACGCCAAAACGAACGCTGACGTTAATGGATACATCAACGATATCGTCCATTCATGGTGTTCGCATCTACAGAGACAAAGCAACACTCTCTTTTGAACAGCTCAAACATTTCAGGTTGCTATCTATTGTTTTATTATTTCTCTCTTTGTTGAATTTTCTCTGGTCACTGTTATTTAAGTATTTTTCCGTGTCTCGGTTGCTTTTGCTAGTTTCAAATGTATGTTATCTAGGTTCCTGGTCCATTCATATCTATATTGTCACATTTACGCGTTTGTTTGAAGATGAAAAGAAAGTCAACGAGGAGCCTGATCAGCCGCCACCGCCTTACGAAGGTCCATCAAGCATGACAAATCAAACAATTGTTTAACAAATACTTTATGGCACGACTTTTGTGACCCTTAGAAAGTGACACACTGAGGGTTAGTCTATAAACAGGCTTCGTAGAATCATTCTTGCAGAGAAACTGAACAGGTCTTATAACTATCGTGACCCCTTAGATGTGCGTACGATTACGGATGAAACAAATTCAGAATGACCTGAGAAACATAGTGATTTTTTTTCTATTACTGGTACTTATATAAGACACTCCTTTTTTACATGAAACAACTGCACTACGAATAAACAACAAGACACCGTCAGATCCGTAGTTTAATTTACTCTATTCTTCCTTTAATCACATATATCGTTACCATGGGAAAGAAGATTCCTTAGTTGGAAGTTTAGAATTAAAAAAGGAAATAGAACGTGCATAAGTATGTTATTCTTAGAGTTGAATGAAACGCGTAAACTGGAAGACGGTATAAGAATGAACTGTTATTAGCACATTTAGGGAGATAAAAAGACGTTAACCATTAAATGGACACTCTCCCAAGATAATATAATGGATTGTTTAGGTAATATGAACACGCATGATTCACTACTAAAACCATTGAACACCATAGAGTTCTTTCAATTAAGACCCAAACTTATTAGTTCTGACATTTTGTATTTAATAATTGAAAAGGTCTATGTGAAGCAAAACCCAAGGATTGTTAAAACAATTTTTTTTTTTTTTTTTTTTTTTAATCAATATCAAACTCATCCAGCTGCAATAGGTGACAGGAAACTCGGTTTAAAGTAAGGGAAGTTCAGTATAAGTGCTCAATGACTGTAATGAAAGCGTTTATTCGACTTTCAGAGTTAAGGTTTTCGCATACTTTACCCTTAATAAACCAATGCGATAACCTGAAAGCAAGAATGAATGAAGTGTTTAATGCATCTGTGATGTTCAACGGCTTTTAATCATTGAACTTGAATAAGTTTATCATAGTAACTTATTCAACTGGAGCTTACTCAATTGTGAAAAATTACTAGATAGCACAAACTCAAGAGTTGAAGAAATACAGGGTTCTTCGGAGATGAATTATTTACTAAGAAGCAACGCGATTGATTTTTTCCTTATACTACTTTTTAAGCATACGTTTCGAATAACGCATCAATTGTATTAACTCAGTTACGAAAACTGAAATCCTGGAAGTTTTCCTGAAAAGGGATCACATTTTAGAGGTGGAAAAGAGACACATTAAACAATAACCAATTATACTAAGTACTTTTATAAGACGGACTACAGATATCGAAATTTCTTTTTGGTTTTACAACCTAAATTCAAACGCACCATGAAACACTGTAGCAGGGCCGTAAAACACATAGAATTGACCGCGATCATATACAGTGACACAAGAAGCAGTTAATTTGATATTAGATTACGTATTGTATAATATCGACATATCATTCATGATTTAAATCCTCCGATAACTGCACAAAAACGTGAACAGCTCTTTGCAATCACACAAAAAAAATATATGGTAATGGAACATCGGGGAGCCACATTAAAAAATCTTTTTCTTCTAGCTTTTCCTATACACACTCATTGTTGTATTTTTCCTATTTTTACTGTTACCCTTACTACTCATACTTGGCTCTGGCAAACCACCTAAAACGACGGAATCCAGTCATTTTAAACAATACCATGGCGAACAAGCTGCTGCGTGTTTTCCCAATTCTATTAGAAGCTCGTTCTGATCACAACTACGAGGGTTCGGAGTATGTTAAATACTTGGCAAACAAGATTCATTGTTTGCGGAAAAAACTAGGTATCACCCAAAAAGGCGGGAAAATAAAAGAAAGCAGTGATTTTAGGTATGTGCAATACTTTTAGGAACGAATGTGTTAATGTTTTATGATTAGCTATTACGAAATTTTGTTATTTAATGCTGATCGAGCACTGCATCAATTTTTCCTGTTGAAACCTGTTAATCGAAAACATGCTATCCGTCGGCTGAAACGTGCAATCATGATTGCTGATGCTCTGTGTTCCTTCGTTTCTTCAAATGCACCGGAAAACTTGAAGGAGACATTCGTTTTCGAAACTCAGACTTACGCAAGCTTTCTTCATGGATATCTGTGCTACGAAAAGAGTCAACTAGAATCGGCTAAGCTTTTCTTCTGCGAAACACGTATAGGTCTCCAAGTTGTACGTCTAAAGTTGGATGCTCCTGACTATATGAAACGCTTTTTAGGCGATTTGCAATCTAATCTGGACAATGACCTGCGTTATATCGTTCAAAAGCTCGACGAAGCTGACGCAGAAAACACACTCGATTACATCTCGTTGAAGGGCACGCCAGTCAGTTCTCCTGTACTTGAATTTGCTCGCAAGCATTGCCCCGACATGATTGCTTCCCAGAGCCAGCAAGACCACGAACTCGCTTCAGTGCGTACCATTCAGTGGAGAAATAACACAGTCTCTGTTCACAACTTTGACATTCTCATGGCATTATTCCGTGTCCAAGACGCTGAACGTGGACTAGCGGATGGCGATGAGCTACACGATGAACGTACGCTCTCAGCCTGGGCAAATGCCGAGACGATTGCGAAACGTGTACTCGACTCGACTTCCATTGAAGATGATGAAAAGGCGTTTCAAGAAGTGTCTATCTGCTATACGTACATTGCCTTTCACCATGTTCTCCAACGTATGCAACGTGACATGAAACTCTTAAAGACAACTGATGATGGACATTATTCCAGTCAATATAGAACTTTACAAGGTGTTTATGATGCTTTAATTAAGGTACGAGCAGAAGAAAAACCCCAAACATCAGTATGCTAATTATGTTTCTAGAACACCGAACAAGCAAAGACGCTGCCTGGTATCTCCAGGGATGTTAGTATGTCTATCCAATTAGATGCACAAATTGCAATCTTTAAGTGCAAACGCTGCCAAGTAATTGCTGATTCATACCAACAAGTGAACAAAGCAGTGAGTTTGGGTATGTGTGTCCGTGCTCTTGAACATCTTGAGCAAGTTCAAGATCTTCTTCGCGAACTTGATGAAGAACCACAAGCAATTGCATTCAATGTTGTTGCAGAATACAAAAAGGATAAGGAAACACTCGAAGAACGAGTGCTGCAACTGCAAAGCCTGGCAACTGTAGAAGCGTTTAGCCGGAGAAACACTCAGCTCTCGGTTACTGAAAGTATGAATACAGCTTACACCTTCCAAGCGACCGAGGATAACCAATCTCCAATCAATGTTACCAATTCCTCCGTTCGTCCTATCCCTATGAAACCCGTGTTTTTTGACCTTGCTGTTGCGTACTTGGGAAATCAAAAGGCATTCCATGGACCCGAATCGAGCAAGAAAGAACAGCAAGCCTCGAAACAGCCCGCCGAAGCACCAAAGAGCAAAGGTTTCTTTCGTAGTTTTTTGGGTCGTTTGGTATCTCAATAGGTGTGAAAATGCTTTGCTACATGAATGCGTATAAATGAAATGGAAAGAAGAGGGGAAGACGCACGAGAAAGAGTGAGCGTGTACAGTATTGCGTTGTAGAACAATAATTCACGACCTTTGTGAGAGCTATTATACAAGTATATCGTATAGTGGTTATGAACAAGGTTTTCCAGTTTTAAGTCACAAAGAGTTTTGTTTAAGAATCATCCATCATAATTGCTATAAATTCTTGCTCGTTAATTTCGCCGTCTTGGTCTAAGTCAAACTCCTCAATCATTGCCTCCAATTCCTGGTCATCAATGTTTTCGTTAAGCTCTTTTGCGACACGTCTTAGATTGCGAAGACTAATTTTTCCGGTTCCATCGTCATCAAACAGTTCAAAAGCCCTTTTAATTTCGTCTAATGGGTCTCTTTCTGCTATTTTTTCGCTCACTGTGGAAGGTGAATTTCGTCAGTAATATGCTCGACAATTAAAAACCTTCTAAACACACTTACTGACACGAATAAAGTCGTCCATTTGCAGTAGGCCCTTTCCCGTTTTATCAAAATCGCGAATTATTTTGAGAACTTCCGATTTCTGAGCTTCAAACCCCAACGCTCTCATAGCAGCTCTCAATTCATGATAATCAATTGCATGGTCCTTGTCAGAATCAAATAATTCGAACGCTTCTTTTATATCCTGGCGCTGCTCCTCTGATATTTCAACACGCGCTGCTGGATAAGCTGCCAGACGCGTAGCAGTCGGCGAAGACGCTCTTGACCGCCGTTTTATTCTCGAATTTGCGAACATGGTAAATACGTTCTTGGCTGGTACTCTCGTGTCGCAAAGGTAAACAAACGGTGTTTAGTCGGTGAATTATCGGGATTTACGGTCATTTGGAGCCCAAACATCAAACAAAGTTCACCGAATTATGCTCGGCATAACCTCAGATGGCGCATAAGTTCTCCGAGTAAATGTACAGAAATCACCGCCATAAACACCGTTCTGAAGGAGAAGTTCGGCAAACACTCGGTCAACTTTCTCTGCAATACCCGAACAGTGCAGGCGTGTGTAGAGGAAAAGGAGAAATGCTACTGCGTGTACGGCTAAAATCGCCTCTGATTCCGGTAAACATTTGGGTAAATACGAAGGAGTTTTCGAAAGACGAAAAATGCTTAACGACAAGTGACTTTGTAAAACAGTTCTTAAAATTCGTCTTCCAGTCTAATGATGTTCGAACGGCATTTGAGAAACAACCCTGTGATGAGTTTGTTCGAGGAAGAGTTTGTTATTTTCAAGTTGTGAAGGAAACATTTGCCATACCTGCTCATAGCGGGCTTCGCTATTTCTTGGATGATGGCGATTGTATCGAAATAGGAACATTCAGCCAGTATGAAACTTTACCGAAAGGTCTACACGTTATCGTTCTCGAAGACTTGAACGTTCAAGAACGGAATCTGTTCTTTCAGAAGATGTGGCCGGACATGCTAAGTCAAAGCCTACAGGCATCTGTTTCTTTACTTAGTAGAAAAAAACAAAAGCGAGATAGCGGCGTAGACTCCGAGTCGTCTGACTCGGACGCTTCTTCAGATTCATCTTCGTCTTCCACTTCTACAACTTTAAGCACCTCTTCTGCCTCAAGTTCCACCTCAAGCACATCTTCTGCTACTTCTGATGAGAGTTCGGATTCCGACTCATCCCCTTCTGAATACAACAGCACGACGGTCAGCTCAGTTGAAAAGACCGAATCCTCTATATCTAACGTGAAGCCGCCTGGAACAGGAAGTGCTGCTACTCGTGCCCGCAATGAACGACGCAAGAAGAAGCGACTTCTAAAGCGACTCTCCATGCAAGAGCAGGTATTGACGGAGACAACAGAACCACAAATGTCAACTGCATCGAACGAGTATAACGAAGAACTTTCTGCTAATCCAGAACCCAGTATCACTTTGTCTCCTACGTCTTTAACTCCTTCAACTTTAGTAACTCCTGTGCCTGAATCTATTCCACTTACACAAAAATATCCTCCTGGCTCGTTACTGCGTTTTACTGTTATGGATATGGACCCAAAGACATACACACCTCAACTTGTCCAAAAGTCTGGAAGGGTAATCCAAGCAGACGAATCACAGGTGAAGTTCCAGCTCACTATTGATAGTCGTTACAAAATTGAGTACGACGAATACGGTGAAATTATCCGTGGCAGGTTCGGTGACATACCTGACGAAGAACTTGTCGAAGGCATTGCTACTTATGAATGGTCTGTACTATCAGACATTGAGAAAATCCATTAAGACTTGTTCGGCTAACAGTCCTCAAAGGAGCTGTCAGCAGAAAAATAACACCCTAATTTACTCGATGTGTGATACCCCTCACTTTCTGAAGCTGTGTATTTTCTTTCTTCGTACAAGTTTGTAATACTATTTAAATGGAAAAAAAAGGACAACAACAAACAATATTCCTCTGTATTTCAATGAAAAGTGACTTTTTGATTTAGTGATCTTTCTGATGGTCTCAGTTGGTACAAAACCTTCTGCTGTTCTTATTCAAACTTGTTTTTCTGAAGCGACATTGTTTTGGTTCACCGTTTCACGTAGAGCGATCTTAGACAAGAAGACGAGAACGAACTGAGCTTGAACGTATGAATTCAACACGATTGGTCATCCTTACTACGATTTTTTTCATTACCGTAATCGTCTACTTTGGGAGACACGACCTGCACTCGCGAACCAACTGCCAAAAAACAAAATGGCAGAAGTCTTGGCAGATGAGCTGTACAAAGACAGAGTTCGTATTTTTCAGGAATATTTAGAACATGAACCGTCAGATAATAACGTTGTCGTGTACCGTGAAGCGATAATGCGCATGCTAAATACGGGAAAACGCAGACTAATCGTAAACCTTGACGAATTAAGAGATTATAACAAAGAACTTGCCGATGGGATCCTTTACAAGCCTATGGAGTATTGTGATGCCTTTAATGAAGCTTTAGAGACGGTCGTTTCGACTATGATGGATCCTATAGTACATGTTGAATTACAAGGAAAAAAGTTTTACATCGGCTACAGCGGTTCTTTTGGTGAGTTTCACGTTACACCACGGACAATTCGTGCAAATCACTTGAACAAAATGATTTCTCTTGAGGGTATTGTGACTCGTTGCTCTTTGGTTCGACCAAAAGTCATCAAGTCAGTACACTACTGTGAAGCAACCAAACGACATCACATTAAGCAATACGCCGATGCAACGATGAATGGAGGTCTTTCCTTTCAAAGTACGGTATATCCTACACAAGACGAAAACGGAAATCCTCTTTCCATCGAGTTTGGATACAGTACTTTTCAAGACCATCAAACTATTTCACTGCAGGAGATGCCTGAGCGTGCACCCCCCGGTCAGCTTCCTCGTTCCATTGACATCGTACTTGACGATGATTTGGTTGATACCGTGAAACCAGGAGATCGGGTTCATATTGTTGGTCAATATCGTTCTATGGGTGCAAAGAACACAAACAATACAAGTGCAACTTTTCGAACTCTTCTCCTGGCTAACAACGTTGTATTGTTGGGTACAAAATCAAGCCTTAGTGGGGACACCGGTGCAATTATGATCACTGATGCTGATGTCCGTAACATTAACAGACTCGCTAAAAAAAAGAATATATTCGAACTCCTGTCTACCAGTCTTGCACCTAGTATCTATGGTTACGAGTATATCAAACAAGCTATTCTATTGCTGCTTTTAGGCGGTACTGAAAAAAACCTCGAAAATGGTACACACATTCGTGGTGATATCAACATCCTGCTAGTGGGTGATCCTTCTACCGCAAAGTCCCAAATGTTGAGGTTTGTTTTAAATATCGCGCCGCTAGCAATAGCCACAACTGGTCGTGGATCTTCTGGCGTTGGTTTAACTGCTGCCGTCACCACTGATAAAGAAACTGGTGAGCGTAGATTGGAGGCCGGTGCAATGGTCCTTGCTGACCGTGGCGTCGTCTGTATCGACGAGTTTGCAAAATGAGTGATATTGATCGAGTTGCCATTCACGAAGTTATGGAACAACAAACCGTAACAATTGCGAAGGCTGGAATTCATACATCCTTGAATGCGCGTTGCAGTGTTTTGGCTGCAGCAAATCCCATTTATGGTCAATACGATACACGAAAGGATCCAACTCGAAATATCGCTCTCCCTGACTCAATGTTGTCGCGTTTTGATTTACTCTTTGTCGTCACCGACGACGTGGATGATGTGAAGGATCGAGCACTTAGCGAGCATGTACTTCGCATGCACAGATACACTCCTCCGGGAGTAGAGGAGGGTGTTCCTGTTCGTGATACTATCGGTAATGTTTTATCAGTGGGAGTAAATAGTGCAGCTGGCGTTGGTGCAACTGGTGCTGATGAACCTGAAAAAGAAACCCCCGTGTGGGAAACTTTCTCTTCTCTATTACATGCAAATGCACGGACGAAGAAAAAGGAAATCTTGAACATAGCATTTGTGCGTAAATACATTCAATACGCAAAAACTCGTATTCGCCCCGTGCTTTCCCAGCCCGCAGCAGACTTTATTGTGTCCACGTATAGTGCACTTCGAAACGATGAACTTCAGGGTAATCAAAGACGTACAAGTCCGCTTACGGCTCGTACTCTAGAGACCCTTATTCGTTTGAGTACCGCGCATGCTAAGGCAAGACTTAGCCTTTCTGTCGACGTTAAGGATGCTCGAGCCGCCGAAAAGATTTTACGGTATGCACTCTTCCGTGAAATTGTGAAGCCGGAATCAAAACGTAAGAAGCAACGTTTAGAAGCACAGAGTGCTTCGAGTTCTGAAGACGAAGAGGAAGCTGTTACGCAGCGTGATTCTTCGTATAGAGGCTCTCAGACCTCAACGGCTACTACACAGTCTACTCGAAAAACTCGTTCACAAACAGCCGCAACACCTATTGCTGGTTCTATATCTGCCCAGGCACCTTCGTCGGTGGATGTTGCAATGTCTGAAGCGAATGACTCTCTCGCTGCAACAGAAGGAGCAACCGTGTCTTCTGCCGAGAAAACAACACAGAATTCGTGGCCTTCTACTCATCTCTCTCTTGAAACAACGACAAAAGATTCTAACACAACCGAGTCACAAGAGAGAGTGAGCACGACCTCGCAAGCTAATGCGGAGCTTGATCATTTGCCCCGCGACAAAATGACTGTATTTACAGCTCGGCTTGCCGAGCTTACACGGACGGAATTGTTTGCTGAAGAGTGTGCATCGCTGGATGATTTAATACCCGCTATGAACAGGGCCTCCGATGTTCAGTTTACTCGTGAAGAAACCATTTCTGCCCTACGTGAAATGGATTCTCAAAACAAAATTATGTTTTCCGACAATGTTATCTATCGCATTTAATACCTCTACTATGTTTTTAACTCCAAAATATTTCCTTTCTATTTCCGGTTTCTTTCTCTTTACTGTTGTTTCTTATAACAACTTTTCTGTTTTCTGTACCTTACTCCGTTATTACGATTGCTTTCAGATACACCTTTTGAGTTTTTCTCACAAACACTTTACTGTTCTAACATACGAATTATTATTTACGTTAGCAGTTATAACTTTTAAAAGAGAGGATGTCCTCGCTCGGTGTTGCTCGTTCAGGGAAATCGATACTTTGAGCTCATTCCTCATCTTCGTCGTCTTCTTCTTCTTTCTTAAGGAATTTAGGCTTCACGTCTTTCCATTGCATCTATGAATTGATGGTTAGTAAGCTGTACACATTTCTCTTGTCAATAGTGTAAGAGGAAGAAAGTTTTTGCTTCTCGTTCATACCCCTGCGTTCGACTTCTCCCAAACTTTGTCTGTAATAACATCCAATCCACTGGACTGTGTTAGTAATGGTACATGACAACCTAGCTACATTTTTAAGAAAAAGGCCGAGGCGAACACTGTTGCGATAAATGTGGAGTTTCGCTTAAATAAAAGATTATAAAGTGAGCTGTTCTAAAACCGACAAACAGTTAGCAATTATATAATGACTTAACCTCTTACCATAATAGCTTGTAGTGAATTACCATTAACTTGGAACGAAACGTTTTTACCAAGGCTTATTATATTGTTTCGTACGTCATGTTGATGAATTCTATGTAACAAGTTTAAGGTTTGGCGCTCGATTAAGGTTTTAGTTACGCGAATACGGCATTTCGTTGTACCTGAATAAATTGAGGAAACTGAACCAAAAACGATAATTGAAGAATTGGAAAAGCTAATTAACTTATAAACTCGTCTTTTGTTATTTTCAAATTATGAACAAAAACGAAACTATCACCCTTTTTTTTTCCAGAGGAAGATAACCCAAAAAAAATAACCAAAAACTCTTTGTACGGAGCTCGATACTGGCCGAGCAAACGAAGCGGCCATTTTTTGCAAATAAACAGATGAAAAGAAAGAAAACGCCGATGTGACACATATAGATCAGACATAGCAAAATGCCACCAACAGTTTCTTAGGCTGAAGGGGACACCAGTTGAACGCCCAATTGCCCCAGTGGTTCACCCACTGCGAGACGAGATAGATCGCGGAACATACCTTCCATATCCACCTCAGTCGTTGAAGGCACGTCGAATAAATTGTGAATTTTATCACGAGTAAGACGCTTGTAAACCGCATGGTCAACTGTTTCCTCCGCTGCATCAGTAACACGAGACGTTGTAAGAGCGCTGGAAAAGTCACCCAGAACGGACCGAGCATCGGTAGAAAAGGCACTGGCAGACACCGCCCACTTTGCGATAGGACGACCGTATAAATGAATCACATAACGCGAATCAATTACAACGAAGGAATGGTGCGAATAAAGAAGAGCCTGAGGTTTCGATTTTATCACATGCATCGATACAATAACAGGTGAGGTGACACGGAATACAAGCAAACGAGAGTAGACTGAATTGGTATCAATAACGGCAAAAGTATCCGTGCCGGCAGTTTCCAACAAACCAGAAAATTTGGAATCCAGGGTCCAAGTAGCTTCACCAACAATCACATTCCATACGAGCAAACGTCGGTGTGCAACGACGACCAAGTATTCAGAACCCACAAAACGTGCATTCTCAATTTGACCACTAAAAGGAATGTTGAAACTGGAAACAGTCTCCAAGGAATCGGCGTCAACTAAATACACACGCGAGTCATGAGCATATGCAAGAAGCGAACCATCAGCGGAGCATGTCAGCGCACTCGAAAAGGGTCTAGGCCGCTTAGCTTCCTTCATCGCTATAGTATTGGCAAATGCCTTATTAGTGGTGCAAACCCAGGTATTTGCCTTTTTATTGAAACTCCAAAGCCTTAAGGAAGCATCCGTTCCCAGAGACACGAAGGCGAGTTTCGAGGGGAAAGTAATCAATTTCAGCACACGGTTTACCAAAGCCGTGAGGATCATCAACACGAGTTATAAGGCTGTAATTCTTTTGCAGAGCTATCGTAACGGGCCAAAATTTTAGGGACATCTGTTCCGACACCATGCTTTCGTCCTCGCCCACGGTGACCCAGGAGTCGACAGTAGCAATCCAAGTGCCGTCGTTGCTACAAGAAACCGCGTCACATTGCACCGTACCATTTTCAGCAATAGCTTGCATGGCACCTTTTGATGTGTTACCATAAGAGTAACGAGCAACTTCAAAACAATGAACCGTAGAGTCTGTATCCAGGCTGTATTGTTGAAGTATGGCACTGTGGCCATTAAAGAAAGAGGAGGAAAGGTACAAGAGATCGCCCGTAGGGTGGACAACAGAAAGATTCATAGTGACAGCCGCTGAGCTGGACGAGTTCATGGAAAAGCCGGTTTTACGAACAACTGAAGAAGGTGCCAGACCGCGAATGTGAACTTGCTTATTGAGATCGGCCGTTCCAATCACCTGAACGGAATTGTCACCCATGTACACAGCGTACTGCTGATTGTTAGGGGAAACTGCAATAGCGTGCAATGAAGAACCCAGGCGGGGCAAGTACTGGCGCTGGGCGGTTTCTAATTGCCAAAGAACCAAAACACCTTCACTACCACCGGACAGAAGATAATTGCCGTCCAATGCCCACGCAAGTCCACGGATGGGATTTGCATGCCAATGAAATACTCGCGGAGCGGCCAACTTAGGACGCTGGATGTTTTGATACACAATGACCTTACCCTCGGAATCGGAAACTGCAACTTTGTTTCCGAACAGTTGAACAAGCTCAGGGGTTTGGTTTGTAAAGGGGATCTCCTTCAAATCGAAACGAACCTGACGCTTCTTGCGCTGTCTAGGAAAGACAAGAAGGAGCTTATCATTCGTAGTGAGAGCGAGAATAGTAGCGTTTTCGTATTGTGTTGCTGAGAATGAATGAAAGCTTGGCACACCACAAACGAAAGCAGGCTGCAGAACGTCGACACCATTTTCGTTTGAAGCAGTCAATGCATACAAAGCAAACGACTCCGTGTTATTTTTCTCCGCCTTCGCCTCACATAACTCGGCACTTTGTGCTACAACGTAAAGCGTCGATCCTGCAAAATTTGCGGCATAAACTTGGGTAGAAAGGTCCATCGCACGCAAACAAGTAGAAGTAGACCAGTCATACACACAAATAAGACCGTTGTTAAACACAACAGAAAGCTCAAATTCATTGCTTGGTGACAGTAAGGAAGCCACCGGAGTGAGGCCTTCTTTTGCGCCTGGAAAGGCAATTTTGCTAATACACTCGCCGGTGACTAAAGAAAATACACCAGCGAAACGTTCATAAGTGACGATAATGAATCTACACATTCACGTTAGCGCTGAACACGTGTGGAAACTTTTAGAGCTACGAAACGCGGGCAAAGATAATTCAAATAATTAAACTCTCATAAAAACCGTATCCATGACCAGAAACGCGTTCAACAACACTAATCAAGTAAAATAGAGTCATGTTTCGCATTTCAATCTCGTCCCGTAATCACTTGTTCTGAATCACATACCTGCCATCGTTAGAAAAGACAGATGGAATGGAATTCTTTAGCAATCCACCCAATTGAGAGTGTCCCTCCCACAAGCATCGCTTCCTTTCGTCCGAGCACCCGAGAGGAGCTGTTTTGAGGTATCCTGGACCATTGCAGACAGCACCGCAAATTGGTAGAGGGATACCGGTGGTGAGGGTGCTGTACCGGTTATGGTGGAGGCCAGTGTGTGGGGGAGCCAGCTCCCCCACAACTCGCCCACTATTCACCACATACCCCCACAACGCGAACAGAAACAGCGCTGGTACGCGAAACCTTACCTGCCTTTTGCACACCACGGTCCTGGAATTTTTTTGTATTGAAGGAGGTGAAAACGAAAGATGATTATTCCTGTTCGCTGTTTTTCGTGTGGAAAGGTAAGTATAGTTGCAGGAATCGATGGAAGACGGTTTTAAAGTGATTTGCGCGATTCTTTGCGAAATAAAGCGCGTTCGCTTATGAGTCGGATTATTTGATGTCGAAGGTATCACAGATGCGTGTGTGATGTTTCTCGTACCCTTTATCTATTTTGTCTTCCTTCGTACTCTTCAGCAATTGCACTTATGTGTGATTTTGTTCACTTTTAACGCGTTTCGGTAGGTCATTGGTGACAAGTGGGACACATATTTGACACTCCTGCAAGAAGACAACACTGAGGGTGAAGCTCTTGACAAGTTGGGTCTGCAGCGCTACTGCTGCCGCCGTATGATTCTTACCCATGTTGATTTGATTGAGAAGTTGCTCTGCTACAACCGTAAGTCATTACACAAAGTTAAATTATTCGTGGATCATTTACTAACAACGTTTCAGCCCTCTCTAAGCAAAGAAACTTTTAAGTCGCCCAGCTAGCATCTTCTGGGAATGAACCGGTTCGGAGGTAGGGATGGCGGGTACGGTGGCGATGGAGTGGGTGGATGCTGGTGTAGTAATAACATGGGGCAGAGGGGCTGCAGTGGTGGGCGTCTTCTTACGGTGAGGAGCACCCGGTAGTAGGTAGTGACCCACGGAGCGTACTATACCCAACCTGTCAAGACCACTCGGAACCACAGGAAGAACCCAGGGTCACTAGAGTCCCGCACACCATTATCTCATCCAAAAACCCGCTACTACGACAACAGTTATACAGCGTAAATAGATTATCGTTACTATATATAAAACGGATAGGATGTGAGAGACGAGGCAGTTGAGATACCAACGCCTATTTTTTTGGTGTCTGTTGAAGAGTACAGTGGCGCCCACGCTCACTACATTTAAGCAGCAAGAGGAAGAGCAGAAGTCCACTCGATAACCTCCTTCTTCAAGGCGGCAAGCTCGGGGATGTTCTCACCCTCACCAAGAGCGGCCTTGAAGTCCTTCAACTTGTTGGCCTCCTTGGGAAGGCTCTTTTGGAGGTCGGCGGCAATGGTGAGAGCACGGTCGATGAAGTCAACAACACGGAGGAAGTCTTGCTCCTTGAAGCCACGAGTAGTCATGGCAGGGGTACCGACACGGATACCAGAGGGAGACAAAGCAGACTTGTCGGAGGGGAGAGTGTTCTTGTTGGTGACAACGTTGATGAGCTCAAGAACACGCTCAGCACGAGCACCATCAATACCGTGCTTGCTCTTGACGTTGACAAGAACCATGTGGCTGTCGGTACCGTCAGCGGCCAACTTGTAGCCGAGCTTCTTGAACTCGTTCTCGCAGGCCTTGGCGTTCTTCACGACTTGAGCTTGGTATGCCTTGTAGGCAGGAGTGTCGCATTGCTTCAAGGCAACAGCGAGAGCAGTGATGGTGTGGTTGTGGGGACCACCTTGGTGACCAGGGAAGACAGAGAAGTTAATCTTGTCCTCCAAGTCGTAGTAGACGGGGTTACCCTTCTTGTCATGCTTGCGGAGACCGCGGCGGAAGAAGATCATAGCACCACGGGGACCACGAAGAGACTTGTGAGTGGTGGTGGTGACAATGTCAGCGTACTCGAAGGGAGAGGGAATAACACCAGCGGAGACGAGACCGGAAATGTGAGCCATGTCAACCATGAGGTAGGCGTTGACACTGTCGGCGATCTCGCGCATGCGCTTGTAGTCGATCAAACGGCAGTAAGCAGAGGTACCAGCAACGAGAACCTTAGGGCGGAAGAGCTGAGCGTTCTTGGCCAAGGTGTCGTAGTCAATGATACCGGTCTCGGGGTCGACACGGTAGGGCATGGACTCGAAATAGGTAGAGACGGCACTGATCTTACGGGCATCGGTTTGGTAACCGTGGGACAAGTGACCACCCGAAGGAAGGTCAAGACCCATAAGACGGCTGTGAGGAGGCATGATAGCCTGGTAAACCTCCAAGTTGGCGGGGGAACCGGACAAGCACTGAACGTTAACGCCCCACTTGTCAGCAGTAACGTTGAAAGCCTTGAGGGCACGCTCTTGACACAAGGTCTCGATTTGATCGATGAATTGGTTACCACCGTAGTAACGGGCACCGGGGTAACCCTCAGAGTACTTGTTGCTCATGACACTTCCAAGAGCATCCATGACAGCACGAGAGGTAAAGTTCTCAGAAGCAATGAGGTTGATGGAGCTACGTTGACGTTGCTCCTCATTCTTCATGATCTCGGCGACCTTAGGGTCTTGCTCGGCCAAGGGAGTCAAAAAGAGTTGTTCGTTGGTAACAGACATTTTCCAAAAAAAAAGATAATTGAATGACCTGGTTTAGTCCTGTGATGCTGCTCGCTAAATAAAGGCTGCTATTTGGCCTAAAGAGGAGATGGGGGATGAAAAGGGGGTTATAATTTGTCGCAGAAGGCGGCGACGCTTCTGTCTTTTATAGTGATTTCTCAATAAACTGTGACTGTCAATTATGCGGTGTTCCGTTCGTGACTTGAGATACGCGAACGTTTATGACCAATCAGTATCGTTTTTCGTTGTTGCTGCAGTGATAGCCGAAACAGTCGCTTATGTATCCAATAAGTTAAGAGCAGATAAGCAGTGGTCGATAAGCCAGCAGAAGTTGCGGGTATTATGCAGCGTGCCAATTTTCCAGAAGCGATGGGATTGTTATTTCGTTTAGATTAGATAAAGCGCATGTTGGCGCATCACGGTGTACTTTATTTTATTAATAAAGTTATGGAAACGCGAAACTCGCGATTTGCAAACAAACGCGTTCAGTGGCATTTAAAACGGCATTTTATTTTGAACGAGAGAAGAAAGAAACGGACATGAGTATATCATAAACTTTTTTGCAAAATTGAGAAGGCTACAGCAGTTTACCAAGCCGCGCGAGGTGGTAATTGATGGTGTCCTTAGGAGGTCGTTGTTTAGCGGACTACGAAGATGGGTTAGTGATGGAAGAAGAGAGTAGTGTGTCTCCAATTAAGTTGTATCGCGTAGAAGACACTTCACCAAATACAATTACTAGACATACCTGTTTCTGCATGCACGCTTGCAAATTTATGGCCAATTGAGCACATTGTGGAGCGTCCGGCACTCCACCGTTGGTTTGCCAGCAACCCAACATCGCTGCCATTTGTTCAGCACATGGAATAGAGCTTTTCGTCTTCTTTGGACGAACTCTCAAACGCGAAAGGTTCTGTAACCGTGGAACGTGAACGACTTTACCAGACATGCTAAGGACAACGTTGCCTTTTCGTTAAGGGAAACACTTCCACCAGTGGTGGTGAGGATCGACACCACTGGTCATTGATCGCTTGAGGATCCGATGCAGATCATCGGTCAAGACGACCTCGTAAACACCGTAGAAGCTGACTAAACGAATCATAATACACGGTACATTAAAACGCTCGAAACTTCTATCTTCGTCTACACTTTTCTACGTTCTTTTCTCCTAATTATCCAATTTCCCCTTCACACTTTCCCTTCCTAATTTATCCAGCTCTGTCATGACTAGCATTAGAATTCGTTTAAAATGTGGACCTAAATCCGAAATTCTAAGTCTTCCGGCTGATTCAACAGCTGCAGCATTGTTTCATGAAATTAATCAACGGTTTTCCATACCAAGTGAGTGTGTTTCATTGAAAATTGGGTTTCCCCCGAAAGAAGTATCATTCACGAGCAATTCTGCCCTCATATCTTCACTTATATCGTCCGGCCAACAAGTGCTTGTTGAGGAGAAGTCAAAACCCAAAACAACCGAGTTTTCCGGTTTCCAGACGGCAGCTGCTTTGGAAAACCAGAGTAAACTTGGCACTCTTACGACACCGGCAACGAACGAGTACTCGCAATCGAGTACATCACCAGCACCAAATGCTAGTGACTCACTTTACCAAGCTCCTGCCCCTAACCCTAATGACCCTCCTTATGTGCAAACGCCTGAAGGCGACCTCGTCCTCCGTATTATGCCTGATGATAATTCGTGCCTGTTCCGTGCCTTGGCTACGCCCCTGGGCGTTCAGCCTTTCGATTTACGCAAAATTGTTGCAGAGACAATTCTTAGCGATCCCTTCACTTATTCGGAAGCTGTACTTGGAAAAGCTCCACAGAACTACGCAGCATGGATTCAAAAAGAATCCAGTTGGGGGGGATACATCGAGCTCTCAATCCTTTCTAAACACTTTGACGTCGAATTTTGTTCCGCAGATGTTCAAACAGGGCGTATCGACTCATACAATTCCAACCCGCTAACAGGTCAGCGTATTTGGATCATGTATTCGGGTATCCATTATGACTTGGCTGCTATCGCACCCATTCTTTGGGATACTTCGGCAGACATTATGTTCTTTGATTGTAAGAACACGGAAATGGAATCGTTTGTCAAGCAGCTGGCTGCTTTATTGCGCCAAAAGCATTACTACACAGACACTGGTTCCTTTTCTATCCGATGCAATACTTGCGGTACAGGCTTAAAGGGCGAGAAAGAAGCTTCTGCCCATGCTATGCAGACGGGTCATACACAATTTGGCGAGTTCTAAAGCCCATTAACTAATTAAAATAAAGCAGAACTAGACCCCTGGGCACCGCATACCTAATCAGCTTCTTTTCCATGCAAATATGGTATCTTTGTATTAATTACATACTCGACTTCATTGCTCTCTCTCCCAGCAGTGTGTGCTTCTTTGTAACCATCTATCGCGTTAAACACATCCAGTCTCATTTAAAAAAGATGGAGTGTTTCTTCGTTTTGTCGCTGCGGACTAAGTTTTCCAAACTTTGCTTCTGAGATTTCAGTTCGTTGCAACGATTAATCAGTGACTCCTCATATTCCTTATGTTTGGCTTCCAACTGTTTTTCTGTGTATGCCAACAAGTTCTCCTTTTCCTGTAGCTTATCTTGCACCGTTTGGCGCAGACTTCTTTCGACTCGTCCAAGTTCTGCTTTCATGTACTCTTCAACGAGCTTCTTTGAACTAAAGTAAAAGTTAGCATCATTGACCAAAATGAATAAATCGGCCATGTTCTTCGAACAACAAGCAGACTTTCCGCACCTGGTGTAAAAGCCGTTTGGTTGGCTTTTCAGCTTGTTGAGACGTTCTGTTCGAAGCGCATCATAAATGACTTTGTGCGTCTTCTCGATTAGCGCCTCTGCGTGTGTGTACAGCAAAAAGTTACGGAACGCACAGAAGTCGCTGTGTTGGGGATCATCAATGTTGATGACTCCCCATGGATACTCTCTTCCACGGATTGCGTTTTTACTGTCTGATTGCATTCCCTTGGTTGCACCTATGAGGGCAAAGGGCTCTGGCATGCCGTAATTAATACCTTCAATGCTCTTTCCTGGTTCATGGAAGAATTGGATGTGTTCGTGCTGCAGGTCTTTAATGATGTTACGTTTAAATCTGGCACACTCTTCTGGTGTGAGCATGTCTGCCTTTGCAATGACTGGAATAATGTTAACGAAGCGATCAATTCTTTTCATAACATAGAGCTCTAAAGGATCCAGCATGTGACCTGTAGGATTAATAAAGAATAAGCATCCGTGGATTCGAGTATCGACGATAGGCAATTGACGGCATGCCTTTATCTCATTCTCGAAATATGCATTCAAACGTTGGACGAGGATATTTGCGAGAGGTTTCCAGCTATTTAATATTGTTATCCGGCTTATCCTTTTGTGTTATGATTAACTTACCAATTACTATTATCGCACTTCTCACCAAATCCAGGAGTGTCCAGAATTGTTAAGTTAAAGTTAATGTCGCCATCCGTCATACGCAATCTATGTTGCATAAAATCACTTGTTTTAGCGGTTTTCTTTCCGGTTAAGCTTCCCTGAATAAGGGAATTCACGAAGGTTGTTTTACCCAAACTAGAACCGCCAACAACCAGTAAGTTCAAGGTTGTACCAAATTTAGAAGCGTATCGATAATATTGTTTTTTAAAACCATCAAAGCCCAATGGTTGTTCTGGTTTGCTGTGTTTCACGATCTTAGTGAGCTTCGACAGTTCAGTTGGAGAATTGGCATTGGATTCCTCGGGTTTCATCTCCTTTTCTTGTTTCACGGAATCTTTCGACTCTCCTTCAGTGTTACCGGTCTCCTGTTCAATCTGGGTTTGATCATTTACGCTCGTCATCGTTATGATGTTTGAACCTCGTGTTCAAAATGTCAATTCTTTCTTAAATGAGGGGCCTTACAAAGGATAAGAGAAGGCAATTTTCTCTTTTCAATAAAACGTCAGGGAGGTGCGTAATGGTTCTGGTCAAGTCTGTTGTATTTAGCAACTGGCATTTATTAAAACGTGTATTTTAATCGCTAAGGCTTTTCGCTTCTAATAATTGGAGATCTAGTCACATTAGTTCTTTGACGTTTATTCTATGAGCTATATGCTATAAAAATATGCATTTTTTTTGCGTACATTATCTGACAATGGTGATTTCACGGAAAGAGATTGAACATGTTATAGAAGGGATGCCTTAATTTCTTCCATTGCACTGTTCAATGTATCTTTTCCAAGTCTTTGTTTCATATGCAATTTAGTATTGCATTATTGTTGCGTTTTTTTTTTCCTTCTTTCAATTCGGTTATAAGTCAATTTGTAATTATTAAAATACCAAGTCTTATTCAAAAAAGCTGAAGGAGAAGCTCGCCATCCCAGGTATACAAACTGAGCATAAGTGGATTTACTGTCCTACCTTCATAACACAAAAATGAGTTGCAAAATTCCTGACTCATCATGAGGACATGACCACGCAACAAGAGAAATGGATTGGGAACGGTGAAACATTTAGTGGCTATTTTAGTTGTGTGTACCAAGCACAGATTTATTCTAACAGTGTACTATTATCGCCAGAGATAAAAACTCGAATGCGCCAGGAGACGCTTTCTTGAGCGATGCAACTACGGCTTGATCCGCGTCGTCCTAACTGGCTAACATCTGCAAGTCAAGACAGTGAAGAGGATGTCACATCAAATGATGGCAGCACAAAGCATTATGCATCTCTTTTACAACGACCGGCAATAGAACTCAATCCCCAGTTTTTCTTTCCGTCAAGAAATAAACCAAGGACAATAGGTAGAGCAAACTGTGTGATTCCAAGTATTAAAATTGAAGAAAATTCGGAACAACAAGAACAAGACGAAGATGAAAATTCATTCGTTAAAAGCATTCAGAGGAACCCATTTACAAAACACACTAATCCATTTAGGGATGATAATTCTGATAGTGCCGTTCAAAATGGGTTGCGACCGGGAATTCCTACACGCTCCGTTTCCTTCAATAATAAATTAGCATCCCAGCTTGAAGAAGAAGCTACTCGGAGACAACACTCAAGTAACAGCGAGGATGGAACATCATCACCAAGTTTTTTCAGACATAAACGTTTTCCTCTTAATCAGTCAGCCTTGAGTTTGGATTTGTCTTCGCGCAGACGCGATTCTGTAAAGGGGATTCTCAATCGCAAGCTTATATATCTCACCCATATCCAACGGAAGCATCGAAACGCCTAGTTAATTTGCGAGAACGGGCGCAGCAAAATTCTAAAGACTGGTCGTCCGAACAGCCGCATCAGGATAATGAAGCAGGTCTTGAAGAATCTAGTAGGAAAGGCTTTTTAGCTTGGATACTTAAATTGTTCGTGAGTCGTGACGCAAATGCATACATTGGACCCTTGGACGTGAGTATTAGCGGCCATCTGAAATTGCTTCCGAAAATTGTGAACAGTGTCCAGAAGGAAAAACAAAGTTTGGAGAAGGAACAGCCCCAACCGGAAAACGGAACTTATCGTGAACGTTTAAGTTATGCTTTCCATAAGTATGCACGTTCTGACCTTCATCGAAGTCGTTCTAAACTACGAATTACTGTTCATCCAGATCCTTATGAAAAGAGGCAGCTGTTTATAATTAAACTGTGCGAATCACTTATGCGATTTGGTACACCAAGTCACCGTATTGAAAAAAGTTTAAATACCGCTGCCAAAGTCTTAGATGTTGGTTGTAAATTTCTTTATTTTCCGGATTGTATGGTACTGTCGTTTACTAAACAGGAAACACATTCAGCAGATATAAACATCGTTCACGCTTCTACCATAACAGACTTAAACCGGATGGCTTTAGTTAATGAAGTGTACCGACGTGTGATATTTGATGAGCTGGGTGCAACAGAAGGTGCCGAGACTCTACAAAAAATCATATCCTTTCTTCCTCTCTACCGGTCTTGGCTGGTTGTGTTTATGCATGGACTTGCGAGTGCTTCTATTCTACCAGTCGCTTTCGGAGGAGGATGGATCGACACACCGGTTGGATTCTTTCTTGGTCTTATCTTGGGCTTCTTACGTGTTTATGTCGCTCCACGCTCATATATATTCAACAACCTTTTTGAAATTATTGTATCTATATTGACTACTTTTCTCGGTCGAGCGTTTGGTAGCATATATCGAGGAAGTACAGAGGTTTTCTGTTTTGCAGCTCTTACGGAGGGCGCTATTGTGCTCATCCTTCCTGGATATATTGTTTTCTGTGCAGTGCTGGAACTTCAATCAAAAAGCATTGTTGCTGGAGGGGTCCGATTGTTGTATGCTATTATATTTTCCTTGTTTCTAAGCTTTGGTATTACCATTGGTGCTGCTCTCTATGGTTGGATGGACAAAAAAGCAACTAATCAAAGTACATGTCCTTCTACGAGGGCTGTAAATCCCTTATATTACATTCTTTTGATTCCTATCTTCACAATGTGCTTGCTGATTGTTAATCAAGCACATCCCAGGCAATGGCCAATCCAAATGATAATTTCTTGTGTGGGATATCTCGTTAATTATTTCTCCTCTTTGCACTTTGGCACTAGTCAAATTTCAAATGCTATTGGTGCTTTTGCAATTGGATGTTTTGGGAATGTCTACTCACACTTTGGTAAAACAATGTCTTTTGCAGCTGTGCTTCCTGCAATATTTGTGCAAGTTCCTTCGGGTTTTGCTGCCCAGGGAGGCGTCAGTGCTGGATTGCAGACGGCAACGAACATTGTTAACCATAATACTACGACTAATACCACAGTTGTCACTGTTCAAGACAATCAAAACAGTTCACTTCAATTTGGTTTTACGATGGTTCAGATTGCAATAGGGATTGCCGTTGGTTTCTTTGCCAGTTCCATAACTATTTATCCATTTTTTGGTATAAATCAAAGCAAAGACGAAGAAGATTAAATTTGATATGCCCGCAACTGCTGTATTTTTATGATCTAGTCGTTGTTATCTAGTTAACCTGAAAAAGTGATGTATATTAATGAGTATCTAACGAAATGTGTATTAGGAAAAATGTTTCTGTTAATTGTTGAGTAGATAATTTTCAAGTATCACGGAGAAATATTTCTCAAATAACTATTTTAAAATAACAGTCTAGCTTGCTAAAGCACATACGTACGTTAACATAGAAAAAATGAAGGCTGACTCATGAAGAACTCGTGTTTTGTACTTAGAATCCAAATTTTTTTTTATACCAACTGCAGCGTCTGCAACTGGACACGACTATAGCATTGATCACTCCAAAAGTAAACCTTTAAAAATGCCTCCCAAACGCTCAAGAACAACTAAATCGACATCCGACCTCTCAAAAAAGCAGAAAAAAGATGAGCATGAATGGATGGTAGGTAAACGGATCGCAAATAGTCGTGAAGCAACAAGACTAATTACATTAATAGATAAATGATTCTACGAAAAAACGTGTTACTATTTCCCAATTTAAAGGAAAAGATTATGTTCACATAAGAGAATATTACGAAAAAGATGGAGAGTTTCGTCCAGGCGCTAAAGGAATCGCCCTCAACATTGACGAATGGAAACAATTTACGACATACGTAAACGAAGTGAATAAGGCTCTAGGTATTGAAGATTCAACAAGCACTGAAGATAACAAATCCGACACTTCAAAACAATCTGATCAGCCATCCGACTCTAAAATAAAAAGTGAGGAAAGAGTAGTTGAGTCTGAAGAAGAGAACGAAAATGGTAAGGATGATACACCAGAGGAATGAAGGCATTTGTTTGCTAGATATTGAACATCAAGAAACCAACTCTTAAAGTCGAGAGAGAATCGTTTGTTAAATTAGGCAATTTCTTGACAAAGATTGCGCTAAAAATGAATCTTTCTGCTTTGTCGTTTCTAATAGTTCATAAAACATATCCGGATCAGTACTGAAATCGTTCTCGTTTTCAAGCATCCCATGCCCACAAGTTGGACACTGCTCTGCCTGACCACAGAAAGCGTGGACAATGTGTTTGCAGGAGTAAGCAGAAAAGGAGTACTTCAACGGCGTTCCACAAATGTCGCAAAGTTTGTCTGCTTCTGTCATGTGCTCAATCTCTTCTTGGAGATGTTCGGTTTCCGCTTGTAATTTTTTAGTCGCAACTTCATTCTTAAGAATTGGTTAGTATTTCTTAATAAAAGATATGATTGATTGTCGTACTTCGTTAATAACTTCATTAAAATGTGAGATCCACTTTGTACAGAGAGACGTGACGTCGCACAATGAGAGAAAACTACATTTTTCGAGTACATGTATCACTTTGTCCAGTGATATTCTATACTCTGATAGACATCTCTCAGCCAAAGTAAGTATGACAGGTTTAGTTTCCTCGGTGATGACTGAAACAAGTTGCTCTAGTGTTGAAAGACTATCATCCGCTGATTGAATATCGTCCAATTTCAGGGTGCCGTAGTTTTCAAAATATTCAACAATAGTGTTTGGACTAGGAAGAGCATAATCAGTTTTTAAAGAAAGTGCTCGCATCGCTTTTGTCCATCCAATGCCTCGCATCAACAAACCAAAAGATGTGACATCTAGGGTTGAATTGTGATTTCGAATAACAGATACTGCTTGTTCTTCCAAACTTCTGTCCGGACTTTTGCAATACTGGATGATAAATGATTCTAGTAGTACATGATTGTAAAGACCTTCATAATCTTCTGTCATACTTTCGGAGCTCTTCAGTTTACGCAGAAGATCTAACAGATTATGTTTACGAAAGCAAAAGATTCGCTGTAAATCAACGAATGAAATGCTATCATCGGAGCAGTTGTGGGACTGAATAAATAACTGGCGGTTTGTAAGGAGTTTAAACAAGAAGTCGGAAAACGCATCTTCGGTGAGCTGAAGCAACGAGTAACCGTATTTCTTTATAATTTGAGCAATTACCAGGGGAGAGCAATGAACAAGATAATCAAAAAGTTGAGTGTACGATTCTTTTAACATTAATGTTTCAGCCATTAGCTTTGATAGATTATATGTAATGGCAAGAAGTTCCAGCTCCTGGTAAAGCTGAAACTCAAAGAGAATTGGGATCACGACGGCAGTAGAAGGAAACATTTTGTTGCTGATGTACTTTCTTAGCAAGTCCAACTCGTTCAGCTCAATTACTAAGTAGAGTAGCATTTTTATATCATCCTCTGTAGCACAATTCTTGCATAAAAGCTGTTCAAGATACCGAACTAATTCTGCTGATTGATTTTCGTGTAATAATGCATCGGCAATGTCAACAGAATTCGCCCTGGGTATGGCACAAATAAAATAATCAACCGCTTCAACAAACTTTTTCTCTTTTAGCTTTACTTGTCCGCATCTCAACGCAAAAGTTTGTAAGAGTCTTTTATCTTCCCGCAGGTAGTGCGCCAAAAAATATGCCAAATCCACTTGGTTATTGTCCGCCAGAGAATCATACACATCTTTGTGATTGCGTTTAATTGTTATTCTCAGTGTTTTTTGCTGGTCAACGGCAACAAAGGTACCTTTTCTTTGGGAAAGGAAACATGAAATAGTAGGCAAATGAGAGTCAAGCTTGATAAGCTTGTTTTCTATATCAAGTAGGAGTACTGACATTTCGTTGTTCGCTCCTTCTGTATCTGATTTTGAAGTTCCTAAAATATACACGTCTCCAAAACAAGTCCCGAGTTGTGTAATTGATACTGGAGTTTTGATACGGCCAGAAACCCTTCCAAAACAGTCTATAACGTAAAGAGACTCCTTATAACTCAGAATAAACTTATCTTTAGAAAATCGCGAGCAACAATTTAAACCGACCCCTTTGAATTCCAATGGTGAGAGTTTCAACGATGGGAGATGGAGAGAGTACGAGCTTGAAAAGGTAGTTACAATAGCTGTGATGTCTGTTGTAAGGAGAAAATTGGTTATTGGCTCGGTGATTTTTAAGAGAACTCTTTGCTGAGAACCTAAATCTTTCAAAAAATTTCCATATATTGCAATAAGTAATCCGTTAGAGAACCCACAAAATACAGTTCTGAGGTCATTTGAAACACACAAGACTGTTGCCGGGTGCGGCGGTTTAGATATATTGTGTATGGAATGTTCGTAAACGCATTTATAAGGGCGTGACTTTTTTCGATGCTCCAAGACAATCCGCCAGAACTGAAGAAGAACACGGCCATTATGATCGTTCTATAACAACAGTCAGTAACTGCAGTACAATGGAGAGCTTATAATTAACAGTACCCCGACGATAACAAGAATTCCCCCACTTTCAACAAACTTTAGTAACTGTATATCTCCATTTTCAATTGCAGTAAAAGAATACACAGCGTTCCACTCCTTATTGAATACAAATACTCTTCCCGACGAAGTTCCTAAGACGCTATAACAAGATCCATTTGCAGAAGTTGAGACACGACAATTCTAAGTGTGCCATTTAGTTAATATTCAAGAGCTTCCGTTTATTCTTCTTACTGTCAGTAATGTCGCTAGGTCTTGACTCTCAAATGGACGCCATTCATACAGAGATGCATTCTTCCACTATATAATATTAATACAATTGTGACGACGGAACTCCTGTACCTGTTTTAAATTTGTCAATTTGCTCTCCATACCAGGAGAACACGGTGTAAATGGAGACGGCTGTTAAGCAATTGCAAAGTACGTTGTGTAGGGCAGGCTTAATATGATGCGGTCCTCGCTGAACTAGCCTGACTTAATATACAGTGAAAAGGTAAAATTGGATGAATACAACAAAGCTCTCGATATTAACAATCTTAAAAAAAATTCTAACTATGCTTGCTATTATTATTTGTTATAGTTTATAAAGCTCTTTTCTACGAGTAATAAATGGCTACCTTTTGTAATTATTAAAACGAAGAGCATGACTTGTGAGGGAATAACACTCGAGAGCAGAATTGACGTTTGCTTATAAAGATGAACGAGCACGACTCTATTGTAATGTTAGTAATTGTTTAGACAGTTTATGAGAAATAAACTTATCTTTATGCAAAAAAAGAGAAAAAAAAAAAGAAAAAAAACTCTCATAAACTCATGCCCTGCTGCCGCACAAAAAGAGGATGCACGCTTAGTTGTGCAACGTGTAAATGCTTTCAAGCACCCAGTTAAGCGCGACAACACAGGTGTGCGAAAAGACAAGTAAACATACTTTGATCCGCAGATCCCCTTCACAAACACTCGTTCATCGGCACTCACTGAAATTGCTAACATCGTTCTTACACAATGATGAAAGCATCTAGTCGTGCGATGTTTAAAACACCGCATTTGATGAACGCCGGTTCAATCTTGAGCGGTTGGATCTATACATAGCATAAACCATACTGCCTTTGTTGGAGGGCTCCTTGGGTCAACATACCGGTTTTTGATTCAATCCCGTGTTTACCGTTGCAAGCAACGGACAAACAAAACAGGCACGGTCAAAGTACCGGCCAAAAAACCGATGCCTCGAGTAAAAAACTTGAGGGATGATTCAACTCCCAACGCGTAACCAACGAAAAGCTGGCACACTAAGGATACTCGGCCATTTAAGGAAGATGCCAACGGGCAAGTTGCACTCGAAAACACAAACAGCTCAACCGTAAGTTCAGTGCTTAGTCTTGAAACGCAAGAAGGCGCCGGCGACCTCCCTTAAACGCAAGGCACAAAAGAGAAACATTTCTGGACAATTCCCTGCATGGCGCAGATGCAGTCAAGGGCACACTGACCTGCCAAGAACACATTGCGATCTGTAGAGAACAAGGTACGCGAGCGTATTCTCCAGGTGCTTAAACGCCCCAGTTTTTCACACAGCTTGCTCGTCTACTTGGGCAAGCAATACTATGATGCAGCACAAAAGGAGAACGTCCTGCATCCGTTCATGCCATGAACGGTACAATCAGGATCGCAGCTTTTCGCTGCCCTGACTCGTTCTTACACAAGGAAAGCTACACTCGCGAGTACTTGGTGTGAACGATCTAACGAAACCGAGCAACTATACAGTCAATTGCCATTTTTCTGCTAAAAAAAGCAATGGACAAAATAAGTAAAGCTGCTCTAACCAGTACAGTCTCACGAACACGCTTAGAGAAAGTAGACTAACTCAAACGTGCACGCGATCCCATAAACGGGACAACAGTTCCATGGAAAGTGATGTAACAAGACACGACAAAATGCTCCATACAGAGAATAGTACCATTGTATTTCCTGTGCACCGATGAGATAGTCTAGGGTTAACGAAGAGAAAAAACTGAGGCACATTACAGAAACACAAAAAAAATTGTGCTCAGTAAAGAGAAAACGACGCGTCCAAAAGGTGCTCCGTCTTCCTCTGAACGCAATTCCATACAGAATACGCGTCCAGATGCACAGATCTCAAGTCAATTCCTCCGATTAAAGAAAGACCGTGAACTGCAAAAGAAAAGACAATAAAAGTAAACGTATTTATAGACCAAATCCATCTTAGATATCCACGACCTTTCGCAATCAAATTGCACAACCAAACTGCTCGTTTTTGTACCTCAGAACATGTTGGCACTGGTCAAGTTGTTCGCTGCAGTACCAGCGTGTATAACCCAGTTTAAGGCTTCGCTTAGATTGAAATTGTCGACTAAAACACTCGCTGGCGTTTAATCTCCCCCGAGGGTTAATGCTTAGTATAGTCGTTAAGATACTGGCTTTATTGTTATTAAGCTTATCGCTATCATTTATCAATGAGTGAACGGATTCTGTCAACAAGGCTGGGAGAAATAATCGCTATGAATTTCCAGCCTTAAACTTGTGCTTTATCCCTTCGTCGATATCCATTTCAGTGTCCAATCTTTTTTTAAGAAGTCAATTTAGCATCTTTAGTTCAGTTTTGGTAGCGATTCCCTTTTCTCCGCTACTCCTACCGTCAACAGGAATTTGAATCCTTCTGGATTGTTTTTTGGACCAAGTTTTGTTATTTTGTTTAAAGTCGCTACAATGAGGGGAAAATCGAAAACGAGTAAGTACGGTACGTAGATCTTGAACTGGGTTTCTTGATAGACTTTTGTACTGCTGTGGATTTTGAGGCTAATTCAGATGTCAATTTAGACTACTCTAAGAAACTGGTCGTCGTTGGAGACGGTGGTTGTGGTATGCACGTTCTCTCAGCATTCTTAAGCTTATACAATAGGAAAAACATGTCTCTTGACAGTCTTTTCTACCGGTGTCTTTCCAGAGGTAAATATTGGATGATTGGTGCTCAGTACTTCCATACAGGAGTATTATGCACATCTAAATGATTTAATTCGCAGGGTATCGCTAACTGTTACTGATTACAGCGTTACGTACCAACGGTTTTTGAGAATTACTTGACTACTATTCATTATGGGCCATACAATAAGGAAATTGAATTAGCTTTATGGGATACGGCTGGACAGGAAGAATACGACAGACTGCGGCCTCTTAGTTATCCTAACAGCAACATTATTCTTCTGTGTTTTGCCATTGACTGTCCTGCCAGTTTGAACAATATTACTGAGAAGGTTCGAGTTGCTTAAAGAGCATGATAATGTCTACTTTGCCATACACGAATACTAACATTTTTCAGTGGTACCCAGAGGTGCAGCATTTTTGTCCTAGGACCCCTTTACTTTTGGTTGGTCTCAAGTCGGATCTGAGGAAAAATCGAAATGCAACAGAGGTCTTGCGTACACAGGGGTTGACACCTGTCACATTCCAGCAGGTACGTGTTTTTGTGTGAATTTGTTTCTGTCGCCACGTCGCTAACTCTGTTACAGGCATCTGCTGTCGCAGCGTCGATCAGTGCTCCGTACATTGAATGTTCATCCAGAGAAAACATCGGAGTTCATGAAGTTTTTCAGCTTGCTGTCTCCTTGGCTATGAAAAAGACATTCTCTTTCTCAAAGAAAGGCTGTGTTCTCTTATAGACGAAGTAAGAAGACGAAAAAGAATGTGTGAAAGTTTCCTTCTGCAAACTGACCTCGCCATCGTTCCCTTCTTTTTCTTCCTTGTCCCATCGGGCATATTTTTTATTGTCTTAGGATGGCAGTACCCACATTGTGTTCACGAACTGCTTCTCTGTTTTTATTGTGAGCCCGCAAACTTCTATGTTTCCAATGGCTCTAATTCCTCCCTTTGAGCAGGTCTCAAATTCCACTCAGTTAAGGATGCACAGTTCACTGATACCCTACATCTTCATTTGTTTTCTACATACATCTTCATCATTTAACGTCGCTGTGTCAATCCTAGAAACTATTTTCCACTTTCATTCAACATATATGCACAATATCGTATAAAACTACATGCACGAGGCAAGCCATTGGACCGCAGGAAAATTCCGTCAGACTTTAAACGCGTTTCCATTATCATTCTCAACAGGAGGGTTCGTTACAGATTCGTGAAATGACATCCATAAGGATGCAACTTTGTCGAACTCTTTGCCAACCTGTTGTTCAAGGTTAGCCAACAAAAGCTTCTTAAACATCGTAATGCAATATCATACCCCATTTACACTTTCCAAATTTTTATTTAATACATCGAGAAGATTGACGATTTCATGCATATTCTTTATTTTAGTATTGTTAGCATCTGATTACTATGAATACCGTTATTTGTTGTATGTTGACATTCTAACTTACATTTGAAATTTGAAGTATAAGCTGCCTTCTTTTTCGTTCAAAAGTGCTTGATTCGTTGGTTAAATCGACTTCTGGTTCATCAATATTCATATTTGTGTCCATTTTTCAGTAATATTGGAAGCTAAAGATGTGTATTTAAGTATGTTGAAGATGAGGTCCAAATGTGAGCGAGTGCAAAAAATGGACTTGCCTCTAAGTGATGAGTTACAGAAAGAAAACCTTAAGGAATTGGTTATTTTAATGTGATGTTAACAAGCTATATAGTTGCTCATCAGTTTACTGGCAGAGAATGCGACTCTAAGATTTTTGGTTTTTATTTTAAAATACATGTTACGTTGAGACCAATATATAAGCAAAATAAAGATTGTATTATTAAACTTAAATTCACTAAACTCATGCACTCCTCATTAATCTCGTAAATATCTTAATTAGTCAATGTACCACATTCATTGAATCAAGTTGTGAAGCTTCAAGGTCCCTAGCACGACGAATACGTCTTTCAAGCAATTCATCTTCGACTAGGTCCTTTCGTTTAAGCTTCACATTGCAACCTACAACAGGACATATGCAACCGTTACCCATGAGTGACAAGATCGCTTCCTTTTCGTAGAAGTGTTGGCACTTTTTTGAGAGCATAGGATGTTCAATAGGTTGCAAAGTCAAAGGACAACGAACGTTCATTGTTGCTGCAGAGACAACAAGGTCGTCGTCCGAATCGTTTTCCTCGTCAGCTTGTCCTGCATCTCGGAAGAAGGTATGCATAGAAGGAAATTCAGCACCATCCAAATGTTGTTCTCTCCATATAGTTTTCCGGAATTCGATGTATTCACCTAGAGACCCAAACTTCTCAAATTCTGTTTTTTCTTCAAATGTTTTTTCTCTTTCTCTTATGAATTCTTCATACAGGGATACTACGTTAAGTTCCTTCAGTGTTTGTTAATAAATAGAATAATTCATGAGTATGTTGACAGGAATGTCTTGGCTAACCTGTTGAGTCCTGAGAACAGTAGACGTCTCTTTGGCAACATACTGTATTGCCTTTTTGTGGATTGATAGGTGTTCTTTTTTTACAAGAAGCTCTTTAATAGCTTCATCCAATTTGCTTAGTGACTACATTGTTAGAGAGGAATTTTGAAAAGCGCTAAAACGGAAACTAATTCTCGGAAGCGGAATGCTATGTAATTTCATGCTTGCTGATAACTGAAGGACGTGAAAATTACTCGTACTTACTTCTTGATCGTCTAGTTCAGCTGCCAGTGCTGCAGCTTTAATGATTTGATCAACAGTTCTCTGCAAACATTCTAGTTGTGTATTGAATGAGGCAATCTGAGATTCGTTTGGCTTAATAGTGCGTTCTAATTGTCGAATAGATGTTTCTAGCTCATTCGATGCCATATTGTGTACAATAGAAAGCCATAAATTAGATTGCGTTTAAAGTATATACGGCAAGAAAATTTCCTGTATAAAACAGAAGGTATCATTAAGCAATCCTCAATATCAAGATCAAATAGTATAACATGCTGATATAGGGAATAAATAACTATTAATAGCCTAAAAATTATTAAATGGCAGAACTAAAATTAAATTTAATTAAAAAAAGAAGGAAAAGAACAAATCTGTCAAACTTTCAACGACACCAGATTTAGATTGAGCATCTACCCATATTATATGCTTGCCATATACATACATATACATATATATATATATACAATACATAGTAATGCATACATCGACAAACTCATCATTACAAGATTGTTTACTGTCATGTACACATTCATGTACGGTACCAGAATATGAACAATACGAGATTTAGCATGTCAGTTGCATTAAAAGAACTAACGGTTTCGTATGCTTACTTCAGTACATGATTGAAACTTCTCAGGAGGATTAACAAGGCATATTAAAGCCCAGCAGCCAGTCTCCAGCTTTAAACGTGAAGATCAATATATGATTAGATTGACTCTTACACGATTATAGTCAATAAGAGTAAGCCTGCCAATCCTGCAGCAGACAAAAAACAAAAACGAAACAGAAAAACAGCAGCACTTACCAAAACCAGTGAACTAAAGGAAGAAGGAAGAAAATGGACTTCAAGAATATTGGAATGGTAAACATGTTCGATAGGTAAAAAAAATAAGAAACGAGGGAAAGAGAAAGAAAACAAGAGTGAACGAAAAAAAGAACAACTTAGTCATCTTTCAACCAAATTGATTCAATGAAACTGTGGTTAAGTATACCACTATGCAACATTTAAGAACAATCTTTAAAGAAGTCAAGAAAATGCAGAAAGCGAATGAGCTTAACAAACGAGTGACTGAAAAAAATAGAAAAGCTCATGCTTTAATGCAAACAAAGAAGGACGATGTAAAGGCAACTAAGTTTGTTTTTCAGTCACAGGCAATTCATCTTTGTCATTTTTGCGATGATTGTTGATTCCATGCAATTCACAGTATGCTTGTCCAACAGTAACATTTTTCCAAAAATGGGAAATAGAATAAAGTTCATCAAGACGATTCTGCTTCATGTACTTAGCTTTGACTAAACGGGCCTTGTCTTTCAGTTGAACCTGAGAGAAAACACTTAGTGGGCCATCATGACTCTTTTGAATATTTTGGATTTTAGACCAGCTACATCCATGTAAATGAATCATTTTAAACAATTCATCTTCTTGCGCTGCTGACCACCGTTGCCGTGTTTTTCGAGGTCTGCGGGCTCCCGTCATTTTTCGAGACTTTGACTGCTGAGGAGGTTCCATGCTACTCTCCATCACCATAGCCCTATTGCTGTAAGGGGCATTTCCGTCACGAACTGGCGGAAAATCGGACGCGTCATACATGGGAGTAGAAGAGTTATCGGCCTCGCTAAAACTGTGTTGCTCAGAATTATATAGAAACCAGGGTGAAGAGAGATCAGTGGTTGGACACGCATACTCATTAGTCTCTAGTAAATGTGAATCCGCGGTCGACGTCGGACTGACGAGATGCTGTATTTGACCAACAGCCCCCTGTTGAAGAAGCTTTAGCTGTTCGCGAAGGTGATCAATTTGCATCCGAATGCGCTCCTCACGTTGACTCAGTATACTTGAATCAGCGGCAATAGCATTTAACTGTTTCTGCAGCATGCCCAATATGCGCGGGTTAAAGCCTTCGTTGTATCTATTCAACGATCTTTCTGCCCCTATCACGTTTTTCGGTTTTTTAGTTGCGTTTGTTGGAGTCTCTGATATCTTGCGCTTTATTGTTGCCGAAGAATCGTTTGCACGATTCATAATGCGTTTTTGCAAATGCTCAATAAGTGCCCTTGTACTTGATAAGCGAGCAATTGCATGCTCTATTCGAGAATCCGGCAAGATAAGCCGGTTTGCAAACCTGAGCTTTTTAAAGTATTGAATCCCTTTTCTCACGAAAACATCATCATCGGCGGCCTTCACCCCGGCGTCATCTTTTAAGTCTAATAACGCGTCCTTCAATTGCTCTTCGCAACGTCGCGACTGCCAAAGACTTCCGCCCAACTCTTTCAAGTGATCCAGAGACCCAAATATGAGTGTTTCGATTAAGTCGAGAGGTCGTTTTCGATAAACGGGATAATGTTGTATGACACGAATGCATACATCAATAAATATATCGAACGTTTCCTGGAACAGATCCTCGTCATTCTCCAGTACGAGCATTGCATCGATAAGCATTGTGCGAAGAGCAATATAGATAAATGATTTGTCGAATAAGTCAATGATACCCGTACAGTATTGTAGCGAGCTCATAGATTCTTCATGTGCGTAGAGATCCGGAAACTCCTTGTCCCAACCTTTAAAGCATCGAAAAATCAATGTTCCACTGCTTAAGTTATAGATCTGACGGAGTTCCTCCATTAAGAGAAAGCCCTTTTGAATAAACAACTCCGTACCTTCCGCAGTAAGAGGTCGGTTTTGTCCCGGTAAACCTTCTACTGAACGGACTAAAGGAGCCGAGATGGAGTTTGCACGCATTGCAAGCAAATCCATATCTGTAAGCAAAGTTTTCATCTGTAGATTGTTTAAATCTCCAATCCGGGAGGGAGTCTCTGGAGGAGACGAATCATTAAGAACCATAGAATCTCTAGCCAACTGGCTTTCATTATCAGCAGCTGGGGCCTTCGGTGTAGAACTGTTTCTTATGTCCAAGCTGACACGTCTTGACGGATGATCAAGTGCTCCAGGAGTTTGCGAGGTTTGGCTTATTCCCTCGTGAAGAGAAGGCAAAGAGCTTTCCGATGTATTACCTTCATCATCTTCATAATCTATTAAATTGGCATCTACGAATTTTTCCTTCGCTTTTGTTCCGTAGAGATGTGTCGTTGAATTTGTGGCATTCTCCTTCATTTCGTGCTCTTTTGACGTTCGGTGATTTTCGTTCGAAACGGTGGCCATTATTCGTGTTTTCATAGCCAGGACCGTTCACTGATTATTTACAAACTTCTTAGATCCGGTTTACTTAAAAGGAAAAGGTGAAAAGGACAATTTTAGGTTCTGTTTATTATGGTGGGTGAAAAAGCAACCAGATCGTAGTTACACAACATTTGTACCAATCTCATACTGAGGTACAGAAGTTTTTGAATAAACCGCCGATCAAATCAAGAGAATTGGAGTCGGATATACAAGATCAGACGCTTAAGCGCTTTTGCGCGGGAAAGAATGGTACATTTTCAGTAACATATTGAAAAAAAAAAAAAAAAAATTCAAAAAATCGGAAAATTATATATAGATAGAATTTACCATTGAGACAAAAGCTACAAAATTTTTAAACAAAAAAGCCAAAGCGACAGGGTGACAAAAAATGTAATTAATTTTTAAGAATGAAGAGGAATGAACTGAATCGAAAAATGGACGGATAATTAATAGGTTTTGAACAGTAGAATTGATTTCGTTTAAAAAAGAATTGGCACCTTTTGGTAAAATCATGATCATGAACTAACTGATCAGAAAGACGGAACGGGTTCATCAGTTCGCAATCACTGCATAGACAGGCTCGGATGGTTGGGTGAAATAATCAGTAACTTGCAGCGTTCTCAACACTAATAAACATTGAGAAAGCATTTCGAAGAAGGAGCAGAAGAAAGACGGAATAGAACAGCAATGTTTTTAAGGGTAAGAGAGAATACAAAAGAAAAAAAAAAAACAAAAACGAATAAATGAAATGACAAAAGAGGCAATTTTTTCAGAAGCGTAAATATCAACAACAGGGACAATAACCAGCCAGAGACTTAGCCAAATCCAGATGCACTTTTGGTTTCTGTTTCCTTAAGTTCCGAGACAACCATTTCAATAAGTTGTTTGTAATATAACGTAGTACTCACATGAAACGGTAGGTGACTCTGCGTAACAAATAGACGAGGGAGCCGAGAACACATATGGGAGTATTGATTGAAAAGCTTGTGCATGGCATCCATGGACGGAAAAGCAGAAAATGCAAGATTGACTTCAAGGATAGGAATAAAGTTCCTACGCTCACAAAGACAAAAGATACCACGGGTTATGATAAGGTAGCCGGTATCACGAAGAAGAGGATTAATCTGTTTCAGCGGTCCCTTATAAAAACAAGCAAACGAATTGTCTGGTATGGCTTCCGACTCTTCAAATTTGAGGGCTTGTATGCGGAACAAAGTGTCAGAATCAGCTCTTCGGCTATTTGGTATGAGGAAATAGCCAAGTGACATATGAAGTTCGGTATGTTTCTTTTGAATACATCGCCAACAATTGATTTCACACATACCAAGTGCGTCAATCTTCATGACATTAATGGACCACGATGTCTGAAAAGGTGTTATAAGCTTTAATGTATCATTCCAAGCTTTCTTGAGAACATTATCCAAAGATTCCAGCTCCTTGACATAAGTTCGCACATCCAGTATTTCACCGTATGAATCGCACCAAACAAACACTACCCACCGTTGAAAAACGGTAGCATAAGTTACATGTAGTTCTTGATTACTCAAGTATACAGAAGGAACGTGGACTGGAAGCATCTGAAATTCTGGCTCATCGCTGATCGGCTTCAACAGCAAGTACGCTGGTTGTCGGAATTGCTGGGTACATGTCTTAATAAAACATCTGTCGTATATATTGAATAAAAAGTCTGTAAAGAATGTTGATGTAATTCCCATAAATAAATTATTTTGCTGGAACATTGAAAAAGGGAAACTTTGGAATGATACATCCCCTTCTCCACTTAGCTTTTGCTGTTTTTTAACACGAATATACTCTTCCTTGAGAATATTAAAAGCACCGCAAACATTTAAGAGTCGCAAACCTTGCTTTTCTCCCTCAAAGAATATAAGTATCATAACGTTTTTCGTTGGATGTTCCGTGGCTATACACGAACCAAGCTGTGTCCAAAAGCTTCGAATATTGACGCTCTTAAAACTTTCAAGCTCTTCTTCGCTTAGCAAACCAGAGTCGACAATTACCTGACCGTCAGGGTACTTTGACAACTTTAGTTCATTCATCTTACCAAAATTCATCAGCTCATACATAAACTTCAAATCCTGTATAAATTGTTCATAGCTGATTTTTTCCGAATAATTGCTAAAGTTTATAGATAATACACTCACTTCTTTTTGCCCGCTCATGGGTTCCAAGAGTAATTGAGTCCATTTTTTTAATGCGGAATCCTTTAAACTTAATGGTTCATTCTGAAGCCGCACCATAACACGTAAATGATCCCGTTTGAAATAACTGTAGTGAGAAACACCTGGATCTCGTGAACATAACTCATTACCGCGAATGAGACAGGGTGTTTCATAGCGAATCTTCTCCTGTCTGAAGAGGGCATGTAAAGACCGACTGGCAGCGGTCTGTATGTAAGGGAGATTGGCGATGTCACTTTCAGAGTGCGGCAGCGACTGGTTCACTTTCCAAAAAGGTAACATCGAGAACCAGAGGTCTTGAGTAACCAACTGTTCAATAATTTCCGAGTTAATATTAAATTTTTGATCTTCCATTTCCTGATCAATCAATTGTCTGCTGAACGCCTGTTGCGCAGTAAAGATTGCTTGAAATAGGAAAGCATACGAATCCCTCTCCGTTGTTTTTAACTCGATGTCAGGATTTGTCGGACATGATTCAAGATCTGTCTTATCCATATCCAATTCACAAGATGTGCAAGAGACTTCCTCTTCACTGTCGCTCGGAACAGTAAACGTGGGTTCCGCAAACTGTTCACTAACTGAGGGATCCAAGTGAATAACAGATTCACTGCTTACCTCATTGTACGGACACCAGTACTTTCCTCCTGCTGCATATTTTGCGTTTAGAGTTTTCATTTTTGGCGACAACGCTTCCCCTCGATAATTAGATGACATAAAAGAGAATTTCCCAGGGCTTGTTTCACGTAACGGAAAAGAGCTAGTCACTGAAGTTGATTTCTCTGATCCATAGTCGCCGCTATAATGTTCTGTTCGTGTCGTGCCCGTCGGACCAGACGGAACATTGAATTTACTCTGTGTCGAACGGTGGTTCATGTCTTCATTCTCAATTATGTCTTGCCAGTATGCGATTGGGGTTACCGTGTCCGCATTTGTTGGCGTATCAAAGTAATCAAAATCAGCGTCTGTGATATCTGGTTCAGTAACCAAATCAAAAAAGTTTTGGGTATCAGCAACCTCTGTTTTGTTTTCTAATGATTCTTTAAAGGTTACATGAGAGTTCGAAGGGACATTTAGAGGAACTGTTTCACTCGGTGTGTCCGGAACTTTTCCCAGGTTTATCTGTCGTTGAATTTCATGCGACATTTCCAACGACTCCAAAAACGGATCACCATCGCCTGTAGTATCGATGGGTGAGTCAGACTCTGCGATCATGCTTTTCAAAGCAAAGCATAAATCCAAAGGCCAAGAATATTCGTTCATCGATTGAGTTGATCTCAACCGAACCCAACGCACAGAAGGCGAAATAACAAGCCCCGAACATTTGGCTATGAGTGAAGCAACAAAGGGATTTGGCTTAGCAAACGGTGACTGTAAAAACGCCCGAATACCAAACGGGGCAAGTATCACTTCCTTCTGCTCACTCTCTTTCCAAGCATTTAGGCTTCCAATCTTATAAACACGATACTTAGAGGAACGGAAAAATGTGTAAAAGGTTCCATTCGGGATTACAGATGTACTTGGACAGATTAATGGATAACCGTTAATTGTCCAGAGTTGATTCTCGGAATGATGCCGTAATCGTAAGGGGATTAAATAGTCTGAAATGCTAATGAAGCCATAACTTCGGCAAGCTTCAAAAATAAGGAATTTATGGATGGCGAAAATGAAATGATTGAAAAGTTGAGCATCCGCATCATCATCAATGATTTTTTCGGTAAAAAAGAAGTGGGAAGTTTTTAAAAAGCCGTTATTTGTTTCGTGAATGCCGGCGATCGGCGTGTAAATGGATGCTTCATAATGTTTTTGGTCTTCTTGCCGAAGAAAAAAAGTATATACATTTTCGTCATTGATATAGTTTAATACCTTGTTTCCTTTTAGTCGTGACTCGAATTCTAGTAGCCGCTCAAGATCAATATCGTTTCCTGGAGACTCTATTACATAAACTTTGTAAAATACAACTTCCGGGAATTCCTACGTTCCACGAGTTAATATAACATAGCCACGTTACTCTTAATTCAATTTTCTTACTATAACGTCGTAGTTTAATAGCGCAATCCCATCTTTTACCATTCCCAATAGTATAGCAGGTGAAAGTGACTGACGGTTGGACTAATATATAAGTCCATAAAAAACAATAGCGTAATTACAGAAACCGGATATCGGTAGATGACCAACTGCTTCTATTTTTATACTGACTATGGCATTTGTTTTGGTTCGTAAAAGAAGGTTCCATTCTTAAAAGTTGAACTAGAATTACTGAAATTGAAAAAGATAAATACTGATGTCTTATAATAAGGTTAAAGAGTTCAAAAATAGAGCGTGTGCTATATTAAAACGAATAATAACGATTTATATTTATATTCTATACTAGGAATACTTAAAGAAAATGATATGTTAAAGGGAAACGCAGTTAGCATTTTTTGAGAATTTTTTAAGACAAGGAAAACGCAAGTCCCTATCGACAGTGTTTAGAAAACAAAACGACTAACGAAGTCTGCATTATCACTAGTAAACTGATGACACAAACAGAAACCTGTGCCATTATAGCCATCCACTTGACAAATGAATGTATATTGTAACCAAAATACTTCCCATAAAGAAGAAATGCTATGTATATATTTTTAAGATAACAGGACGAAGCAAATTTAGTCGCTTTCTTCAAACTCTTCACTGTCTTCGTCGTCGATGCTTTCATCGTCAGAGTCGACCAGAGCTCGTTCATCAAAATTTCCTCCGAATCCAAGATTCTTTGCTAAGGATTGCAGATCAGAAAGTAACTAAATACATTAGCATAATGTACTGCGAGATGCGTCAAAAATTTGGCATAGGCTCTGTTTCATGAAGCAGTCTGATACACAAATTTTTGAATAATTTCCCCACGAAAAAAACTTACAGTCTTGTCTTCTTTAAGACGTTTGCTCTTGTGTTCTTCTGTCTCTTCATCTTCAGAACTGTCACCCTGGCTCAATTCAGATTCGTCACTAAGGTCTGCAACCAGTTCGAGATCCTCCTTCGTGCCTCCGAGCTCTAACAATTCCTTCATAGATACATCAATCTTGGTTTTTTTTTGAGCGACTTTATCCGACTTTGCAGGTTGATTTTCTTTAGGTTTTTGAGGACCACTTTTCGCCGGTCTTTTCCGATCAACTTGTTTTTTGGAATCCTCCCTATTTATAGCCTCTTGTTTTTGTTTCGGTCCTTTATGTCCCTTCTTATCCGTGTGAGAATTTTGTTTCTCAAGTGATTTTTTTATATCATTTTTTAAATTGCTGAATAAAGAAGTGTCCATACTGGGCTGTTTTAAGCGATGGGAAGGTAATTGTAAAAGATTAATATCTTACAAAGGGGACAAAAATCCAAAAGTGTTAGTTGTAATTGTTTTACCGAAAAAAGAGAGTAATCAAGACAGAGTTGTCAAAAAGAACAAAAAAAGCAAAACCGTCACAAACTTCCTTTTTACCTTTCCTTAAACCGTAAAGAAGTCTGTTATGCGGTGAAAGAATGGCTGTATAACTCGATTTCTCAAGGTCAGCAAAGTCGACTGCCCCTACTAAGACCCTACCTAACCTTGACAAAACGATAATTCCGGGGTATTTTTTTTGATATACACTAAAAGAAAGAGAATTGAATTTCGTGATAATATTCTCCCTTTGGCTACAATGCAAAATTATAAGCCTGTGCTCTTTCTAAAAAAATTTTTGAGCAATTTCCCTCTTGTTAAACATGATGATCCTTATGAAAAACCACCATTGTCTGTAGAAACCGCTCCTATTCTATTTGTTGAAAACTGGAATAAGGATCCTGAATCTCCAGCTCGTGAAATTTACAGTCGCTTATGGCAGACATACATTCGTCTTACAAAACAGAAAATAACGGTGGTCAATGCCTCCTCACAGGCATCTCCAGACTCAATATTACCAATTCTACAAGTAAACGGCGAAAGACTTGTTTATAAATCCGGCCTCTTTGATCACTTTTTGGTCCATGGTTACCGGAATGAAACTATTACTCCTTGGTTGGACTTACTATCCGAGTCTGTAGAGCCTGCTATTCTTTACACAATGTTTCTTGATCAAGAAAACACAGAGTCTGTAAATAAGCGCTGGCTATACCCGACTTCCTGGCCTTTGAGTTACGTTCTCCAAAGCAGGAAATCACTTCAAATAAAACAACATCTTCTGGATAAAATGAAATCAATGAACGGTGAATATGTACGTTACACGGGAAACAGTACTTTTAAGCTAAATAGGGCTTTTCTTGTATTATACGAATCCTTCTTCATACGTTTCCTGTAGCATTTACTAACACAACACAGCTTTACGCCGAAGCCGCAGAAGCGTTCAGCCTTATGGCAGAAAAACTGGGAACCTCTACCTACTTCTTAGACGTTGAAGAACCATCATTCATGGACATCGCCATTTACGCCTATGGTTCCATCCTTCTTGAGCTGCCCTTACAAAACAGACAACTACAACAATCCCTGCAACGACACCCGAACCTGGTCTCACTCATTCATTCTGTGTCTGACGTCGCTGGATTTAGTCGACGGTAAGTGACGCTAACGACGCTTTTCAAACTTGCATAAGGCACTGAGATATAAGTGATGGTTGTTAATTTAAAAGAACCTTCCTAGTAGCAACTAATAGTAAATGCTGCGTACTTCAATACACGGAATTTGCTGATGCGCACGAGAATTGTCAGGTCGAAACGCAATAGATTGCCATTCCTTGGCAAGATCCCAAAGGTAAAAATCAATTTCAATTGCATTCAACGCATATTTCGGCATCCATTTGCGAATACATTCGACTGCCCAAATGCTGCAGCCTCGCATTTCCACCTCCATAACATCACCGTGAGCAATTTGTTCATGATTCCGCAAACGTCCTTCAAACTCCTCGCTGTAGTCAAGGCATTCAAGTTGCCACAAAATCTGTGGAACACGGTAGTCCGCAAACATGGTAACCGTGTCAATATCATCGAAACGACCCCAGTCTTTGCCTCCGAAACAAGCCCAAGTTTCTGCTACAAGAATCTGAGCTCTTTTGAGAATATAGCAATTCCGGTCGCGATAAACGGACGTGTCATTGAAATTAGGAAAGTCACGAAGCAAAAGAGTCAGCAGTCGTTGAGCCGAATGTGAGCATTGTTTGAGAAGGTTAGCATAACTCCCGTCATATTTTTCAACGAGAACTCGTCCGCCTTCACGAAGAACTTGGATACGTTCCTTGAGCATTGGCACGCTCTCGCTTGTTGCACTGGAAAACATCTCAGCAATGAGCCCATTTGGACAACGCTCAACATCCGCGTAGAACTTTGGATCTGTAATAGGAATACCACGCTCCAACATGCGGTTTACGGCTGCACAGAGACTCCAATAACCAGTGTACCTCTTGCCATGATACTCAATGGCGAATCTCTCTGGATGACTCCCTGTATCCTCTACGTCAGTCTTCGACCAGAAGGAGAAGTTTAACAAGTCAATAAAAAAAATCCTAACTCACAACACGTTAACCTTAAGAACACTAGACCCTGGGTGCAAACGCTGCAATCACACCCACCCCAGACTGCCTTTTTCCAAAAGACATAATCAAATGCATTACCAGTCTAAAGTAGATGTATCCTTGGTTTGCGGATGCAGCTCATGACTGTCCCAAGTTTCATATCGCTTCCCATGAGCGTCTATCTCAGCAACAATCGATGCTGCAACTCGCTTGCAACCATCCTCATTCACTCGAACATGAACGGCATTCTGAACATGTTTGTTAGCAAATGAAAGAGGACAACCGAGAACGCTCGACGATAGTCTCTTGATCATCAGCAATCAAGACATACACCTGCAATAAATTTTGAATCTTCCAGCACACAGATCATGAGGGTTCAGAGTAAAAAATTTTCAATCGATTTTAGGTGGAAGTGAATGGACCCTGCACACCGAAAACGATAGGAAACTCGGCTATTCGAACCGCTAGCTCATTCCACTATTGCATCCACTGCTCAGCAGCAGGTCAAATTTGCCTGCATGGTCCTATGCAACCCGGCAAACAACACAACGAGCAATTAGGCTGTTTAGTTGAGCTCGGTGATTTTAGCACCGGCTTCCTTCTCCTCAACCTTCTTCGTCTCAGCAGCAGGAGCGGCAGCGGTAGAAGCACCAGTAACGGCAGTGCGTTGGTTGTTGTTGTTACCAAACAAAGAAGGAACGGCAAAAGGACGAGCCAAGGAACCCTCAGCGGGCTTGCCGAAGAGGTGAATGGAAACCAAGTTGTTGGTGAGCACGGTGATCAAAGGCAAGATGGATTGGAGCACCAAGGGTTGAGAGTAGTGAAGGTACAAGTGCATGAAGGCCATAACCATGATACCGAAGATGGTGGACTTTCTGGCGCGACCAAGTTGCTCCAAATCGTAGTCCATAACGGTAGTGGCAACACTCTTGCCGGTCTTCTCACCGGAGAAGGGAATAGGAGGCTCCTCATAAACCAAGGGAGTACGGTCGTTCTTGGTCTCAATCTTGGACTTAATAATAGCGTAGATGCCAAAAATAACAGCATTGGAAACAACGTAAGCGGTACGAGCGTACATAACAACTTGAGGGTCCTCAAAGTCTAATTTCTTGGCATATTGCATAACGCCGAAAGCGGCAATCAAATTCAAAAGCTGTCATGTTAGTATATCTGCGGAAACCACGCGTATGAGACGCCAGCACGATGTTTTGGAAGCATTTGCGCCCCAAATGCCACATACCTGAGGGTTCATAATGGCTGTTTAATGTCGGGGAGTGGATGGTTCTGGGTAGGTTCTGGGAGAGCCAGTCGTGAGAAACATCCACCTAGACTGCCTTATTTGAATTAAGGTTATGCCGCGGAACCACCAAGTTATTCCCGCGGGACCGAATGCAAAACAATAAGACGATAATAGGCGAGCGAGGAGAAGCCGTGAGAAGGTTTTCGTTAAGAGAGGGATAATGATTCCATTGTAAGTCTCGATAGAAAGAACATTCTGGCGGTCGAGTTCGGTTGAGCTTAGTGGTTGATGGATATGGATTCATAAAGCATGGATTGTAAAGGAGAAAAGTTTGGTCATTCAATTTAGAAAGATGCTACGGACATAATTGGTGCCAATATGCAAAACTAGAAAGTTTAAAGTACATCTTTTTGTTCATGCAGTAAAAGTCAAAACGGGAGTTCATAACAAAATGGTGTTTCAATAGAGAAAGACACGTAAATGAGTTACACTGGAACATTACCGATGCTAATAAAGGTTAGAAGTGAGGAGATAGTAAGGCGAGAACGTACGAAAAGTGATTAACGAGCGGACATTCACCACCCTCAGGTAGGGGAAGACGAAATACAAGCAAGCTACCAGCTAGAGTAGCAACATTCACATACAGTCCATCGGCAGAGAAAGCCACAGCAGTGCGAACTCTAGGCCCGGGAATGTGTGCAAAAGCAAAATGCCGCCGAGGATCCCAGACACCGGTAAACGACTGCGGGAGATATCCACCGACGGCATTCACTAGTGATTTGGAACCGCGTCGTAAAAGACTGTGCTTAGATGGACTCGGTTCAGGCGCATCCAAACGGTATACATGCATCGTTTGTGAGTCAGAAGTGACAGCGAGAAAGTGTGACTTGGGATCGAAAGCTATGGAGTGGATTTGATTTGGTAAGGTCCCACGCCGGAACTGAAACAAACGCTCACCGGAGGGAATCGCAAAGATACGAATGATGCGTCCGTCTTCAGAAACGGTTGCCAACATAGTGCCAGTTGCGTTGAACTTCAGGAGACTCAGAGCGTTTTTATGAGCCTCAATAACACGAACAGGCTGACACTTGATGGCATCCCACAGAACAACGCGTCCTGAAACGTCTGAGCCAACGACACCGACGGAAGACCCACCGTTCGATCCCTCGTGCGTTGCAGTCTCCTTGTTCATGTCCGGATATACAAGGTAGCAGTTCTCTGAATCAGCAGACAAAGCACACACGCCTAATTAGAGCATATCAGTTAGCAATCGTGCGTCGAACGCAAGCAGCACAATATCCCCTCATACCAAAAGCATTATTGCAAGTCTCGATGGTGTAGAGCAGCATCATGTTGCTAATGTCATAAACGTAAATTTGTTCCTCCAGCACGGCAACAAGGCGTTTTCGATTTAGCTTCACGGCGAGAAGCTTTGTCGGAAAAGTTAATTCACAGATAGTTGTACTTCTCTAAAATCCGAGAACGTCAGACACACAGTTAAGTTCGTTTTAGCTAGAATTCCAAACTCACCTTGGTGTTCATAATTTCCAGTTTCCTGCTATTGCTTTCTGGTGTCTGTTTCACCAATGCTACAAGAGACGTGTTGAACAACATCTCAATAATCGTCGTTGCTTCCTGGGCTGTGCCGGACAGTTAGAGGCCAAAAACACGATTGAATGAGTTGCTACCTTTTTGAAAACATTTTCCGAAAGGATCGCAATTATAGATTTTGTATCCTTCACGCGTTCCAACAGCAAGTAAACTAAGTCGTTAGCGTTGAATTTGCGAGCAATTTCAAACCTGCAGTCCTGGTTATAGTTACAGCATAAAATATTGTCGTTTTGAGAGCGCATTGCTCAATTTCAGAGGCCAGAGTTCGTTTTTGAATGCGTAAAGAGTGTCGTGCTGGATTCAACGTAGCACACCTAACTGCCGGATATACGAAGAGGTGGGATCAGATAAGATTTAACACTATTAAACCTTAATTTTAAGGTGCTCGGTTAAACAAAGCTAAAACAATCGTGTTGGTAAAACAGAAAACAGATACATACATAAGAATCGGTAAATTATAATGAAGCTCTTATGCATAACCAGCAGCCACAATAATCATTTACGTGCATTCCCGTTTTATTGCTTAGCAAAAGATTAGTCTCCTAAAGCATGAAGAATAAAAAAATAAAAGAATAGAAGAAAAAAAAATAATGGAATGAAAACCAAAACAAAGAGCGCAAACTCAAAATCAACAATAAAAGAGAGAGAGTGGGAGATGCTGCAACAGAACTAGTCATCAGAGATTCTTAACACTTGAATCCATGTCGTTGCAAATGACTCTTCTTCATAACTCATTACTCGTCATCCTTTCCGTATCCAAAAGGATTTTGACTCTGCCATTTCCATGTGTCCTGGCAAAGTTGGTCAATGCTGCGGTGTGTCTTCCAACCCAATTCCTGGTTTGCACGGCCGGGGTTAGCAGTCAAGTTTACGACATCACCGTCACGACGAGCGACAACTTTGTATGGAAGGTTTCTTCCAACGGCCTTGGAGAAGGCGTTGAGCATTTGAAAAACGGTGGTTCCAGTGCCTGAACCAAGATTCCAAGCACGACAGTGCACCTCGTGAGCACGCAAATAACCCAAAGCAGCAACATGGGCCTCGGCCAAATCACAAACGTGGATGTAGTCACGAATGGGCGTTCCATCCACCGTCTCGTAGTCATCACCGAACACATTCAGATGCTCACGACGACCCACCGCAACTTGAGCAATGTAGGGAAGCAAGTTATTCGGAATTCCCAATGGATCTTCTCCGATAACACCGGATGGATGGGCACCCCCCGGATTAAAATAACGTAAAAGAGCAGAGTTCAACCGGGGCCAAGCAACGCTTTCGTCTTCGATAATATGCTCAATGAAGAGCTTTGTACGGCCATAAGGATTGGTGGCCTCACGAGGACACGACTCAGGAATGGGAATGGTGCCACCGGGACGTGTAGGGTCTCCGTAAACCGTGGCGGACGAGGAAAACACGAAGTTTCGAACGTCGTGTTTTTTCATACATTTTAGTAAATGAACAGTGCCCGTAATGTTGTTGTGATAATAGTCCAAAGGAATCTGGACAGATTCCCCGACTGCTTTTAATCCGGCAAAGTGGATGACACTGTTAATCTTGTGCTTTTGGAACACACCGTCCAGATCGTCAAGGTGTAACAAGTCGACCTTGTAGAATGCAACCGGCTTTCCAGTTAGTTTTTTTACACGACGAATCGACTCTTCCCGTGAGTTACAAAGGTTATCGACAACAACAACGTCGTAACCTTGTTCCAGCAAGACGACAACCTTTTTTTCGTTAGAGAGAAACTAGAAAACACTAAATTCCCACATACAGTATGAGAGCCGATGTAACCGGCACCTCCGGTTACCATCACACATTCGTTTTGTTGTTTCTAAGTGCCTGTTAGCCATGTACGTTGCCGTTTGTGTACCATTTTTGTGTTTTTAGTGTGCAATTGCTGCAGACTCAGTCGCGAAGCGTTTTGGCGAAGGGTAGAAGGCTGGTGGACATTTGCGAAATAAGGTTCGGATGATTTGCGGGGCATGAACCTAAATTGACGTAACGCATCCTCTCCTTTCCCAATACCGCTGCCTACGTAGACTCCCGTTTCCTGAAGAATTACGGATGTAAACAGCTATTATAACATCATTTGTGTGTTTTACCTTTTACAGGAGTTGTATTATGCAAGTGTTTCGTTTTTTTCCGGCCGAAAAGCTCATTTGTTTGCGAATATTGTGTATTAACAAGTTAACGGACCATTGCCTTGCGGGAAGCTGCTAGACGGTATACTACCGTGTACATATCATAATTTTTCTCCTTCGTCATGGATAGTCCCGCTCGTTCTGCTCGGTTTGCGCGAAGTCGACGCTCTTCTTCCAGCAGCTTGGAAAGCGAGACAATACTAGAGGCTGAACAAATCTATCAACAGCTGTCGCGCGAGAATGACTTTTACGCTTCGAGTCAGCGTCAGTCTGCCGCCTCCTCACCAAAAAATAGTGTTCAGAACTTTCCGTCTGAACCTATAACATCGCCAGAAAGAAAACCTTGGAAGTTCGACGGCACATCTCAGCACAGAAGTGCCGCGGATACTGCACCTGCTCAACGTACATACCCTGCTGAGAGTACGGCACTCGATGAGCGAGTCCCACACTCACCATTCCAAGTTTCCGTTGATGAAATTCAGCCTTCCACCCGTCCTTCTAAGTACCGTCCTCAACGTCGTTCTCATGTCTCTCATTCTCGCTCTCGCTCTCACTCTTCCCATCCCTCCCCTCCCTCACCCTCTCTCTCCTCTCGTCTTTTGCATTTCTTATTTAGTTTAGTTTTTTATGTTCGACTGGCGTGTCGATGGTCTCTTTCATTGATCTCTGTTCTTCGTTACTTGTTCGTTCGGTTTAAGATCGTGTACTTTATTGTTTTTTTCGTCACTAGTTCGGCGTTTTGTTTTGCGTTTCGTGAGTACATGCTCTACCGCAAGCTTCATGTCTCTGGGCCTCATGACAGCGAAGAGTTGTACGTACGTTTGCAACAATTGGAACAGCGGTTGCTCGTATCACATCCAAACATGCAGTCGTTGCAACTCTTCTTCAATGAACTACAAAAACGAGAACAGTTTACGGAATTGAATTACAAACGTGCAGATACGCTGTTTTCTCGCCTTTCTTCCGGCCTATCTTCTCTTCGCACAAACCTTTCCAAGCTGCCACAGGTTGATGAGTCTATGCGGTTTGTCGGCTGGATTTCTGCTCAACTGGAAACGCTGTCGGAGACCGACCAACTGCTGGGTGGCATGCAGGAATACCACGATTCTCATGTTCTGCCTCAGTATAACGCATTGCAGCCTCAGATTGCAAGGCTCGCACTCGATGTTTCGGAGGCACATCATTCAATGCAGGCGCTAAAAAAGGCAAACGATGAATTGTCGAACGCGTTGGAATTATCTCAGAACAACCGTGAGACTTCAATTTCTCTCTCTGATCTAGATTCCTTGGAAGAGGGTTTTCAGCGGATCAAGTCTATGGACGTAAACGAAGTAATGCCAGAGGTAGACAAACTCATTTCCAATTTTGCGCAGAAACTAGTTGCAGAAGCAACACCTGATCGAAAGTTGCTTGAATCTTTCTTGCAGGAAAACATTCAAGATCGGTTGGTCAACGATGTTAAGCGATCGACCACATACGCCTTTCTTCAAAAACCAGACGTAGAGACTTTGTTTCAACGTTTTTGGAAAGCTCGATCTAAACAAATTGACATTAGCTTATCACAAGCACCTATCCGCACTCAACAGGAGCTGCTTGAAGTATATCATCGATTACTAAAAGAACAATTGTTTAATCAAAGCGCAGAGTCCATCCTTGCTCCGGACTACGCACTAAAAACCATGGGTACCCGAATTGATTATTCGTTAACCCATCCAAAACCTCCGATCTCCGCCATACTAAAGCACCAACTTGGTCTCTTCTCAAACGGCATTCCTGAGCACTTGCTGACCAAAAGTGCACTAACGTACTGGTGTTTTCCAACTCAAAAAACCTCGAGAGTTGCTATATCCTTTCCCCGACCCGTTCCCGTTACTCGTCTTACCTTGTTCTATTCCCAAAAGAAGCCGTTGAAATCTCAAGTTACCCTTAAAGTTTATGGAGTCTTTCCTGATCTTCAGAAGTCCTCCCGCACAGTGCGATTGTTGCAGGGAATTAACACTCAACTCCATACAACAGGAGACTGACGGCTCATTTGTGTTGGCGACGGACGAGCAGCAACAAAAGAACTATACGGCTCTAGTTTTTGAGCGTTTCGTGGAAGAAGGTGAAGACGACATGACTAATTCAGCACTTAGCGGAGTAACTAATGGAGCGTCTAATCCTTTCTGTTTATATCACATAGGCATTTACGCCTGATAGATTACTGTAAATATTCTTTATAAGAAAAGTGTCGCACACCGCATTCTTTGAGAGCATTAAATTAAGATTTATTAAAGTTATTGTAGTACTAATTATGTCTGTAACTGGAACAACGGCTGTAGCGAAACACACATTCAATCCTTGAACAGTTGGACGAACCTAATAAGGCTGACAACCCCGCTGCGACTACCACCAGCGATACAAGAAGACTTATTACTAAGGATAAAAAAGAATCGAGACTCGCCGTGGCAATCGTTTTGCCAAACTACTCCGGTTGGCTACGGCATCAGCACCAAAGACCCCAATGGCTTAGTTCACTGCCTACTTGCTGGATATTGCTAATGGACACGCAATTGCCAAGCATGAACTACCATAATTTAACCATTATATTTCAACCAACCAGTGGTGTTGGTGTTTTCTGTTTTCAGCGTGCCTTGCGTCAGCACTGACCAAAAAACCCCAAGTCGTCCGTCATATGTAAACAACAGACAAGGATAAGGCCAGTACCAGACGAACAAACCATTCCTTAACATCATGTCAAAACAAGAACAAAATTTCCCACCGATAACGCCTCACGGGTAAGAATTTGACATAAAACAGACGCCAACGAAGAAACCATAGCTAATTACTCTGCAGTTCTCTCATTCTTGCCTGGCAAATTAAGGACAAAAAAGTTCTCGTGGTCGGAGGAGGATTTATTGCTGCAGGACGTGTTCTTCATGCACTAGATGCAGATGCCTTGGTAACAGTCGTCTGTCCTGAAAAAGGATTAAACGACGAAGTTCGTTGGCGTGTACAAAATAAAGAGGTCGTGTGGAAAGACAAAACTTTCACAGACGATGATTTGGAAGAGGACACAGCTATGGTTTTCACTGCCATTGATGACCCTGAGGCTTCCTCCCACATTTGCAAACTGTGCAGAAGCAAACGTATTCCCGTAATGTTGCCGATGTGCGTCAAGAATGCGACTTTTACTTCGGCTCAGAGGTTCGAGATGGTATGAACAACTTTGTCAAGCCAAAGCACACTTACTAATGCGCCTAGGTCCTTTGCAAATCATGGTAAGCACAAATGGAAACGGACCAAAGCTGGCAAACCTGATTAAGCAGCGAATTAAAGCGTCAATTCCAGACAATTGCGGATTAGCACTCCAGAAAGTAGGTCAATTACGTAGCCTGTTGCGTTCAAAGTTTCCCGATCCCAACTTGTCAAAAAAACGCATGCGTTGGATGAAATGTGTCAGCGAACACTGGTCATTTGACGAAATCGCATCCTTGGATGAAGACATGATGCAAGAACTCGTTGAAAACTTTCCCAACTTTGTCCCCACCTTTTCGATTCTAACTCATGCCGAAGACAAGCAGCAACCGATGCTTCAAAATATCATTTGGTATGGCACCCTCGTGGCCGGCGTGCTTTTCGCTGCAAGCCGATTCTTAACACCAAGATCCAACTAGACACATTCATAGCAAACTCTGCACGCATTCTCCCAAATGGAACGAATACCTTAGATAACAGACTTCTTTACCAACAATATTTTAGATTGCTGCCCATAACCATTATCATAAAATGCATTAGAATGATAATGAACACATAATGAAAACAATACAGACGAGCATGTGCCAGATCTGTTCGTAAGCGCGCACGAGGAACACTAATCTTCACTTCCAGCAAAACTAGAGAATCCCCTAAATGACTCTTGTTCGGTCTTTGAAAGAATTGAATTAACCGGCGTCAACACTGGCCGTTCCCGTGTAAATTCCACATCAAAGTTGTTGATATCATAAGCACCAGTTGTTCTTGGTTTATACGTTGGCTCGATTTGCTTTTTGAAGATCATGTCCCAGTCAACTCCACGGAAGAAAGGATGCTCCATGACATCCAAAGCATCGCGTGGACCTCCACCTAAACGTTTGTCGATGTCGCGGGTAAGTAGTTTCTGCATAATGTCCACGGCTTCACCCGGCATGTGAATGGGGAACATGGGTTCATCATTCAAAATAGCCTCAAAGATTTCCTCTTCGTCATCTCCCTTAAACGGAGATTGTCCGAGTATCATTTGATAGAGAAGGACACCAAAAGCCCACCAGTCTACAGCACGATTGTATTGCTGATCGAGTAGAATTTCTGGCGCCATGAATTCCGGTGTACCACAGAAGGTGCTGGTAAACTTTCCTTCAGTCATATTCTCCTTACACAAACCATAGTCTGCAATTTTAATATGACCGTCCGAACACAAAAGAATATTATCCAGTTTCAAGTCACGATAGATAATGTGGTTTTCGTGGAAGTATTTCAATCCCAAACAAACTTCGGCAGCATAGAATTGAGCACGCTTAAGACTGAATTGCTCCCGCTGGATGTGAAGCATAAGATCACCACCGTCAATATACTCCATAACAAAGTACACACGTGTTCCAGTTTGAAAGCTGGCAAACAAGTTTAGGAGGAAAGGATGCTTTTCCTTATTAGCGGTCATGAAGACACGTTTTTCCGACTTTAAGCTTTCCAATTCATTATTCTTCAAAATTGAGTCCTTCTTCAAAACCTTAATTGCATACAAACGCTTGTTATGCTTGTACTCGGCGAGCATAACCTTACCAAAGTTACCTTTACCAAGCACAGCCAAGAAGGTGAAATCGTCCAGACCAATACGGGGCTTTCCCTTTTTCGAAGCAATAGAGCTCGGAGAACTACACTGCTTTACGTCAGGAACTTCAGGCTTCAACAGGGTTTCAGCAATGGAAGGAGATGGCGAATGTGCAGGGATAGCTGGTCTTGGAGGAGGAGGTGCTTCTGGGAGCGACCCAGCAAGTTGCTGAGTTGCAAACAGTAAGCCCTGTGATATAGACGGTACACCGCCTGATTTTTTGCGGAACGAAAACGGAGTAGGTGACTTGATTTCCGGAGCCGCAGGCTTGGATACGCTTGCAGCACTTTTCATGACTCTCGATGTCAGCAGCTTTGTAGAGCGAATCTCGTTCAAGATGTGATTTGCCATATCATTGGACATTCCACATAAGTCTGGAATCAAACGAGAACAACGAATGTGACAAGTGATACCACATTCCTTACACTTGTAGCAATCCTTTTTCAAGAATGATATGAAATAACCGCAATGGCTACACCAGTTGGCACTGAAAGAATTATATGGCTCGAAGCGATGGGGAATATGATGCTTTAAACTTTCTCCGCCTTCGGGAGGGGCAGTAACAGAATGTGTCTTGGCAATACAACGGTTGATGGTTTTCATGAGACATCTTCTGTGACACGTATAACTACATTCAGCACACTGCAGACCGGAACCATCTTTCAAAAAGTCGGCGCAAACGGCACACCGCATAATTTGGTAGAATTGTCGCAGGACAAATGAATGTCCCAAGAAGTCCGAGATAACTTCTTCCTTGTTTTGACGAATGGCACCTTGGCGACCCAAACCATTATCAGAAATAACCTTGCTGTTTGGTACTTTCTTCGTGAACTCCAACGAAACACAGATTTGTCCAGCAGGTTCAAGTGATAACCAAACTTGCGACAGCAACTTTCTTGTTTTGTCCCCACCGGGAGCAGCTCCGGCATTAGACGCAACGTCTGTGGATACAGAGGCGTTCGTAGTCCGCGACGAAGAGTGTTTGAGTGGAAGCATGTCCGAATCGTTCATTTTCCAGTCAATTTCCGACAACTCCTGTAAGTTTCGCTTGCGTCTCGAATCATCCAAAATTAAAGCTGAGGGAACCCACAGCAAAGCAATAGGCAAACTTTTGTCCGGCTTTCTATCATAAACGACAACTTCGCATTCACGAGCTTTGTTCATTTCGAACACAAATGCTTCGTTCCAAGTGTCATGTTGGACGGTTCTTGACTTGCAGACAACTCGATTATCAACAACAATATTTAAAAATGTGTCGTGTGCGCCATGACTCTGCTCATTCGCATCTGTGTGATCAACGTTTTTAATGGCATGAATGGTTAACTTTACAGTACCGGTCAGAGGCTTGAACAAATTCTTTGCTATACTTGTCTCCGAAGCAGTCGAGTTGGGTTCATCAGACGGAATGTACAGTTCTTTGTACCGTTTCAATGCTGACTTCAATAATCTTGTTTTCTGAAGAATCTCTTCACGTTGGGCCGCTGCCTCTTCGTAATTTTTGCTTTCTTTTGAATAGAGGTTCACAATTTTGTCCACGCCAGCAAGACATTGTTCCTCGACAACAAGACGCATCTGGATAAACTTCATTTTCGTCATAATTATTTCCTCGTTCAACGGGGCCTTGCTAAGCAGGATATCGAATGCGGACTTTCCGTTTACAACCTTAGAACTCATTGAGGATGAAGACACACTCTTCTCATCGAAAGCTTTTTGAATACCGCGAAGCGATGGGGCATTTTTTTCAATCATTAAAGAATTAAGACGGTTCGTTAAATAGTCAATGTTACTAGAGGCCTCGCGTATTTTGTGCTCCAGTCTCTGTTTAACTTCTGAGTTACCAGTGGAATCAACCATGGCCTTTGCTCCTTGAATGAGAGACTTTTCTCTGTCTATTTTCTTTTGGACATCGTCAATGGCAGCTTCAATACTATACATCGCGACTAAATTTAGCAATGCTTAGGATAAAGAGAATTACAGGCAGAAACTGGCGATGAAAGCAAGTGATCACGAAAAAGCCGAGTATACGAAGGTAAAGAACGAGTTTTTGGAATCAAGATGTCCTAACAACAACACAGCACCTTTCTAGATTCTTATAGGTTAATGAATCCAAACTGTAATCAAAAAGGAAATGCTGTGCGATGAACAACCGTGAGAAATGAATGCTGTAGTTCGAAAACAACGAAGAAAGGCCGAAAAGCCTATTGTTTCGAATAAAATGCAATACAGAAAGTTGAACCGTAGCTTGCAAGATACAGCACAAACCAAACCGGAAATTCTGATGCAGAGTTGGTTACGTTGTTTGCTTCGTACGCAGTAACCCCCCCGAACATTCTCACCCAAAATTTAGGTTCGGTTAAGCGCCACGCGAGAAGAATAAGAAACATCGTTTAATGCATATACACCTTCAAAGTTAAAACCGAATACACAGAACTGCGTGGTTGTTAACTGTTCACAGAATGCAGCTAAAATTCATGTTTATTGTTGCATCGTCTTTGATGCTACATAACGCCGGTTGGTCTGTCTCCGTTTGGCCACTTCCAACCACAAATACTGAGTCTAAGCCGTTACAGAATCCTCCAGTTGAAGAATAACAAGATGGTTTATCACTACAAGAATAACAGCAGCAACCATCACAATCAGAACTTCTACAAGTATCAGCGTAAGTCTCGTGCCGCGACCATAATAGTGCCGTTACACTCGACTAACCTAATTAGTGGCTGATTTCCAAGCATCTTTTGATAAAGCACGGACGTTTGATGCGGAAGACGATCTCGCTTTTTGTCCTTCCCTTACTGAAGACGAGGTATGTACTCGTTTATGCCGAAACACTTCGTTTCCTGGTTAGTTTCCGCGATTTGCTCCTAACACGCGTTTAGATTCGCACTATTTACCAGTCAACAAACGTGTCGCCGGTTAGTAGCTCGCCCTCGATGTCTCCTTCGACACCCCATGTATATTTAAAGGGAAATCTCGGATTGCAGTACATGAACTATAACTATCAAAAGGGATCCGGCACCCACTTCAACAACAACAACGTTACTTCTGGTGTTGTTCGTCCTCGAAAGAATGCTGGAATTCCCATTGTTGATCCTGTTACTGGCAATCCTACCATCGTTCCCAATACCGTAAGCAACAAACAGCAACTCTGGTAGGTCAGATCTCCCGGAAGAGAATCGTACCTGCGTGCATTGTCGGCAGTATGAGTATACACCCTGTTGTATATGTTGTGTAATCCATACTGCCTTCTATTGCGAGTAGAATATTCGTTGGAACGACTGTTTGTGCTTTGACTGTACATTATCCCTTTTCACCCTTTATTTTATCTTTGAAGTTCTTGGTTTTTTCGTGGTTTCCTGGTCCTCCACTCCGCATGCACACGTTTTATGACCTTTATGTTTTCCTACGTTCACGTCTTCTTGTTTTGTTCTTTATTCTTATGTTTGAGCGACATTGATTGCCGTCGAGCATGCGCGTTAACACCTATATGATGACAAGTTTTGCAGCTTGAGCTACTTTTGGGGTTTTGCCTTCTGTGACTTTGAGACCTGCATCTTTTGTGCCATATTCCTTTTTAGCACAAATCGGTATTTCTATTTCCTGTTCCTTCGGTGTTTACCACATCTACTTTCCGTATGGTACACTCTCTTTCTCCTTGGCCTGGTGTTGTTATTTTTCTTCGTTCTTTCTTCTTGCATTTGCTTTCCGCACACCATACGTTAGACATTTGATTTGTTTTCGGCTTGTTCCTTGGTTCGTGAGCTTGCCGCGACATGACTTTTTTGTATTGACTAATAACCGTTGGCTTGCTCTTGCTGTTTGTCCTGCGACTTCACGTAACTTGACTCTGAACAGATTGTGTGAGAGTGCTGAGGAGAAACTTCAAGAGCAAAAGTCTCGACGGTTATGCAATCGTCCATTGCTATAAACCATTTTTGTTTAACAATTCTATTAATATTCAAATTCAAACACTTTTCTTTTCCGTAATTTCGTTTTTTGGTCTTGATGCCCAAGGTGTCAAAAAAGAACTGTCCGGAAGGGTGTACAAACTGGCTGAATTTCGCTATACGATTATGGAGGTCGGATGAGTGAAGAATGATGATCTAGCTTACTGAAAGAATTGGTGTAACGACTTCTTTTCGTCAGCATTCAAGTTTTGTTGAACAATGTCTCGGAAGTTGTGTGCATTAACGGCCCAACCCTGTTTGAAAAAGTCTGCCAAATACGTCTAAAAATTGTGTCAGTTAAAAGTTTGTAGAGCAAATTATGAAACCGGTAGGCTAATAATACCTGCAAGTCAAGATCCAAAATAATTTCCGTGTCATTAGAATCCTCCTCTATAGCATTTCCATCTTCGGCAAAAGCTTTCAAAGCTAAATGGCATGTCAGTAAGAAAAACAATAATAACAATCTGTGTGTTGCTCATACTCTCAAAATCAATATCTGCAGTGCCGTCCTCCCAATCATCTGCTCCATCGTCGGAAACTTCTTCAACAGCCAGATCCTTCTTCTCCAGTGATTGGTACTCTTGAGCTAAAAGTTGTACAATTTTAACAGCAGCTGACACAGCACTAAATTGTTCTGGATCTGTGAGTTATGTTTAGTAAAATGACCACAAGACGCGCACTATTAAACGACTTACGCTTCTTGGATTGAGAACGTGTTATGATACGGCTAGATTGTGAAACAAGCAAGTCTCCTTTCACCTGGATTTGATCCAGCATTGGTTGCTGAACACAGAAAACCTTAGCCAAAGCAGTTGCACTGGAATTTGTTAGAAAGCGTGGAAGGGACAAAAACTGTTGATTACGTACATAAAAGCAATATTCTTAAATCCACTGAACACAGAGAAGTTGTCGCACCAAACTCTCATGAGGATTTCGAGTGCAGTTCCATTAGCCGTTTGCATAGATGTCAAAAAGTTGACCATTCCTTCAGGGTCACGATGGATCAACTTTGCAAACACATAGATGATGCTCTAAATTTTAGGTCATTAGTATCATTTCAAATACTGCTTTTAGACGTACTTGGATAAACCTGGGTTGCTCTGCCCGAGACAAACGGTTGATACATGCAAGCAAAAGCGTCTCCATGTTAAGGGAGCTGCCTGCTTTATCGATGACTTGAACTACAATGGCACCAACTGAAACGCAAGCCGAATCATTTAAATTTGTGCACAAGAGCTTTTCCAAAATGGACAACACAATTTGCATGCCAGAAATTCCGTCTTTTTGTGCAGCGGAAACTTGAGCGGCATCCTTCTTAAGCAATTGCAGCATGGTTTCTTGAGAAAGCTGAACGACTTCATTGTCATCAATATGAGCCGTAATCATTTGTTCTAAGATGGGAAGTACCGTTATACAAAAGTTGGCCGGGAGAGGAGATGGTCCACCTCTAATCAAAGACAGCAAAAGTGCGCTACCAACATCGACTAGAAGTTCATCGTCGCTTTGAAGAAGCTGACCAACCTCGGGAAACGCAACGGAACATATTTGTTCGTAGTTGTTTGAAGCGCTGGTCAATTCCTCAAAAGTGTCTTCCAAAACTCCCAACACATAGGGATCTCCTGGACTTTTGGTGACGATTGAGAAAAGCATTGAAATTACAGGGATGTCAGTAGCCAATATAGCCTCGTAGTTTAACTTCAAAACAGCTGCCAAACATTCTACAAGAAGAATAAATACTTCGTCTGCCGCCTCCGTAAAAAACGGGATAATCGCCTGAACCAGGCCTGTTTGATACTGCTCCAAGCTTGGATCAGAAGAAGAAGAGCAAATTCGTTCCACTGTTTTTATGGCCGAAAACTTAACTAAGATGGATACATTAGGAGCAGTAAGTATGCCAATACAGACATTCAACAACTGGCCACAAGAAGGAAGTACTTCAGAGAAATGACCAAGCATAAGGACGATACGGGATGTGAGAAGGACGTGATCATTAGAACCTTGTAAGTGTGCTGTAAGAACATTAAACAGAGGATCTAAACCTTCATTCATTGAATCATCAGAATTAGCGTCAACGACACCACACGCATACAAAAGAGCTTCTTGAAGCTTCCAATCAACGTTTGCTTTAGAAAGAAGGTCGGCAGACGTTTCTCGTAAAAACTTTTGAATGGGCAATGAGGAATGCTCTTCCATAGAGCTTAAAACATCAACCGCAGCACCACGGACAGATTCATTAATCCAGTCAAATGTAAGTTCAATAGCAAGGTACTCATTCACATCATCTTCATAGACCTCAATGTCATGCTCGGACAAACGAGCGTACTGCAGTAATGTTTGGATACAAGTGAGATTGCCAGAAGACGCACCGTTTTGGAAGAACTGTTGAACAGCCTTGTTCTGGAAGGAGATACTGATGAACTGTAATAATTCAATGAGGTACTGAGACTCATAACCCGGCGCGAATTGTGAGTCTTCAATATCGTTGTTTTTCCCATCCAAGGCAATAGTGTATACGGGCAGTACACCGACGAGCATCCCCCATGCACCTTCAACGAAATGAAGCAAATAGGGAGTCAAACGTTTGGGGTACAGCTCACGAAGTGTTTTTAAGACTGAAGCAATCTTTCCTTTCAGAGCGAATAAACCTGCTCTTTCAGGCGACAAAACCTGCTCACCCGGATTTAATAAAGGTAATTGCATTTTTAGAAGTAACAACTCCATCCATGGAGGAAGCAGTTCACTCAAAAAAGTCTGTATAAGTTCAGGTTTGGCTTCCTGATACATTTCACTAAGTTCCAAGCATGAACCGAAAGCGGTGACAGCACGGACCTGAGTCTTTGCAACTTCATCAATGTTACTATCGAGTTTCAACAAGTTGAACAAGCGAGTAGCAATTTGAGGTGCGATAGCAAAAAACTGCTCCTCCATTAAACTTTCGTTCAAAAGCTCGTTGAGTACATCTAATGAAGAATGAATTAATGAGTTGTTCCCGCTGTCCATAAATTCAAGGATAATTGGTAAGATCGAAGGCCATTCATCAGGAAAGTCTACTGTTGCAATCCGAGCAATAGTATAAGCCAATGCCTTAACCAAGAGCGAGTTGTCCGTAGACTTTAAAAGATGAATGAGCCCATTACGGACTTGATTTTTAATTTGTTCATCCGGAGCAGGTCCTTGAAATTGTTCAAATAGAATTGACCAATGACGCAAAACGTATTGTTGAAGAAGCAAAATGGCAGCCTAAAACACGTGGTTAGTATCAAACTTTCACAACCGTTTAACAAGACAAATAAACAGCTTATGATCTTGTTGTCCTCTGTTTTCACTATCATCCTACCTGGCGAAGAGGAACTTCCGCATCGGAGCCAGCAGCTTCCAGTAATTGAAGAGGAAACTCTAGTTTGAAGAGTTAGTTTTTGGACTTCTGATACAGTCGTAATGTATTGAATATACAGTAGAATCCCGCTAGTTCTTGATAATGTTGTAGAACCGACACAGATGCCCGTCTCCACGCCGTTCCAGCTACACATCCGCAACGTACCTGGTGTGTTCTCGAGTTTCTTAATCTCCAATTCTACCTGGAGGCGTTCATTGGGGTCCACAGACTGAGTTGATCGCAATAGACCAAGCATAGTTCGAGAAGCGAAAGGCAAGCTGTCTTCCTTCCTCTCAACGATCCACCTGTAGGACTGATCGACACTAAGTCACTAAGTGTCGCGCTTAGATATAACTACATGTTACTTTAACAGGCTGTTAAACCATTTTAATACATTATCGTGATCTAAAGTTGGCTTTTATGATCTGATAAACAAATCGCTTAGATAACCACCATGTTTTCATGAACGAAGATTACTTACCTCTGTTTAGAGCACGCGCTCACAGGGAATAAAGAGACGCGAGCAGGAGACGGGACAAACACAGAAGCTAGGAAAGTTGGAGCTACATTGACAAACCATAACGAGGTTAACTAGTTGTTATTTTTATGCTCGATTTAGACGAACTAATTGAGAGAATCCAAAAGAAGGAGCTCATAGCCGAGGTCGTAATTGCAACACTATGCTCACTTGCCAAAGAGACTCTCGTCCAGGAGAGTAACACGGTCCAGCTTTCGACTCCAATAACAGTCGTTGGAGACATTCATGGGTTAGTAGCATTGCTTAGCATGGTGCAACATAACCAATAATCATAAGAACATTGTTATGCTGACAAGAGCGATCGTCACGCTAACAATTACACAGACAATTTGATGACTTGCTAGAGATTTTCAAAATCGGCGGCCCCTGCCCATACACCAATTATCTCTTTTTAGGTAAGAAGACAGCCATAGTGCGAAGTAAGCCGTGAGTGGATTGTTTTGACCCATGCAGATATAAAGAACAAAACAAGATTACAGTTCAATCTGTTCCTCCTCATGGCTTTTCTTTCAACCGAGTAATTCTAACTGAAGTAGGAGATTATGTCGACAGAGGCTTCTACAGTGTTGAAACAATTCTTCTTTTGATATGTTTAAAGCTCCGGTATCCTCAACGAATGACCTTGCTTCGAGGAAATCATGAGTCGAGAGGAGTCACGCAAACATATGGCTTCTATGCGGAATGTGTTAGGAAGTACGGAAATGCAAACGTTTGGCGTCACCTAACGGAGCTTTTTGACTACCTCACGCTTTCAGCAGTGATAGACGGCCGCCTTTTTTGCGTCCATGGAGGACTTTCACCAAGTATTCAACACGTAGATCAGATTCTTGTCATGAACCGGTTCCGCGAATTTCCACATGAGGGTCCTATGGCAGATTTAATGTGGTCGGATCCGGACCCCAGCATTCAAGAGTTCGCACTATCTCCTCGAGGAGCCGGCTATTCGTTCGGCGAACGCATAGTGGACAAATTTTTACATTCAAATAAGCTTGATCACATTTTGAGAGCACATCAGTTGTGCAGTGAGGGCTATCAAGTCCTTTTTGACGACAAATTGTCAACCATCTGGTCTGCACCAAACTACTGTTATCGATGTGCCAACTTGGCTAGCATCTTGCAGATTGAAACAGACCAAAGCCGGTTTTTTAATGTTTTTGATGCCGCTCCAAACCAACCGACTTTGGGTGAAATACTCAAATACCAACAGAGTATGGCTAGCAGTGTAAGTAGTGGCAGCTTGCACAAACTTTTACAGTTTGGCGTTCAATGCGATATTACAACAACTAACATGCATGTAGCAAAGTATCGCCGAGTATTTTTTGTAATTTGACCTGTTCAAAAGACAGGTTCGTATCTGTTCATATCCGTAACCTATACCCATTTTCTATGAGTCTTGCCATTTCAACGTTCCCATGAGAAGAGCATTGTTAGGAAACCGATGCTGAACCGGAGACAACACTGTCAACCGGTTCTTCGTATCGTCAACATCCGACACAAACACATAACCCAAAATGCATGAATCTAAAATAAGGTGCTCATCTTCGTCTGCACTCACACTGGACACGGCAAGAATGGAGTTTTGTAAAATGGTCATTGAGTCTGTGTGAATACGTTCCAAATGATTGTCTTGCATGAAATGGCCGCCAAGACCATCGCCAGAGTCTCCGTTTTCAACGGCAGCAGCGCTTGTACCGTCTTCTTCACCGTCACCACCCATTCCCAAGGGCAATACACTCGAACGCATTAGGTGGGCAGATGCTTCCAAAACACGGTACACAACCACCTCCTGTGCATCCAAAACAATAGACAGTGGTGATAAGGGCATGCGATAGTCACCATAAAAGTATTGCTTTACACAAGCTGCTTGCCAATGCTGGATCCACTCTGAACTGCGGTCAACACAGCCGCCACTTTTGGGTATTTTGAGCACCTTTAACCAGTGCGCATCGTTGTACTTGCGTTTTATAGCGCTGTAAAGACGCTCAGATCCAAGAACAAGACAAACGTTGACACGGAAGTCTGTCAGAATGGAATGTAGAATGTTGTAGCCCTTTTCAGAGTCCACCATGCCGGGTGTGTCGATGAGGAGGCCAGAGCGACGAGCATCATCGTTTTGTGACATACGGGAAGCAACTGTGATGGCAAGCCGTGACACGCAATTTTTGTAGAGCTTTGGATTATCCAATGCTTCGTCAAGACCGTAGCTGTAAACGAGGGGTGACTTTGCCTGAATCTGTGTTGGTCCTGTTGCCATACTCGAACCAAAACCGTCAGCATCCTGGATATCCAGCATGGTCGCTAAATGGAAGGCAGAGAATGAGCCAGGCAGGGCAAGCATAGATTGGGTTGGACTGAGATTGACACAGATGGGATGGTAAAATTGTTTGAGTGCATAGGCCTCAAGCGTTTTAAGCAGAGAGGTTTTCCCGGCATCTTTAGGACCAACGATGCAAACCCGCGGACCTAAAGAAGCCTCCGAATCTGGTGTAGCAGAAGAAAACTCGGCTTGTTTCCGTAACCCGTTCAAAGCGAAATGCAAGTTAAGGTAAGTAAGCATAGGTGTCTCTTCGGCAATATACTCGACCAATGGTTCTCCATCAAGCTGTAGAACACATCCATGCCACGTAAAAATAGCGGCTTTTTGGTAACGAAATTTGTAAGGAGGACCAACTGCCAGCTCAGTGCCGAAACATTCAGCAGTGCCGGAAAGCAGCTAAATTACAAAACTAGTCAGTAAAATGCTTCAGCAAAACAACAACCCCAGGATGGGTATTTACCTTTATTTCAATTTCCGGTTCATCGACTTCAAACCGCCATTCACACTCCTTGGCTATGGTAATTTCCCTCATTCGCGGAACGCGTTTGTGTACGTGTGCTCGGTGGGCAATTAATTGCTGTCCATGCTGATGTTGCAGTTTATGGTGGTGGAAAAATGGTGGTGACAAATAACGTTTTTAAAGTTTCGGTAACCCATGAAAGGGTCCTAATGAGTGTCGCAAAATTAAATCTACGCCATTCAAACGTCATACAAATGTTCGCTACCCCGTGGTATACTACCGGCACTCAAAACAGAGGCGACTGCGATGGCGGCTGAGCCGCCATCGGTATTCTGGCGTTGGTTCATTTCTGTTTCCTCTTTGACAATTAGCTGTTGTAAACACTAACTTCACAGGCTACTCCCAGATTTTCGTACTTTGTTTAGCAATGTCTATTAAGATTGATATACAGTTCCGCTTCAGAGGTTAACGTAGCGGAAATGACTCAAAGGATTACGCCGCAGTGATCGTATAGTGACGACATTGTTGTGTCATGCGGCTTTTAAAGTGGCCCAGTTTGCCACCAATTCATCTATATAAACAGTTGACCACGCAACAACCCACACGGAACACGTGTTTTAATTGACAACATCCCGTTACAATACATTTACATAATGTCTGAGAAGCAAACTTGTGACTGCAAGGGGGACGCGAAGCTTTGCAAATGCGCAGTCGACAAATGTGCGTGCAAGCAGGGTAACTCTTGTCGGGCTGAGAAAACCGATTCGCACGATTCCGACGGCAAATGAATCTCCGCAGATCCCCGGATTCTGAACAATAAGCTTCCGAGGGTCGACCCTCAAAGCGAAGATAGCTCTGATCCTCGCTCGTTAAATTCGCCGGAACCCTCTATCTATCGGGTTAGGCCTCCCTTCCGACTATGATTGGCCGCCATCTGGGCCCTTTGATGTTAAATAATAAAATTTAAGTTTACTCGGTATACACTAAAGCGGTTTAGTACACTCGTGTAAAGGGGTCTATTCGTACGTAACTGTAGTATTCATTTCTTCACATGGTTTGTGATACCGTCCGACATAACGCTTCCGCGGCGACACGCTGAGATCGCGTGGAAATTGGATTTCGCGGGGTGATCGGCTCCTGAGAGTGGGGGCAGTGAGTCGCCGCTTTTGCATCGACAACCGAGAGTTGATTGGTGGAGGGCTCAGTTGTGTCAAGTTTTGCATTTGAACTAGCAGGACGAGGTTCCAGGCGCAGACATTCGCATTCGTTAATAAATAAAGTTCCGCTCGTACCTTATTTCTGTAAGCGACGGCATAGCGTGTCAGTGACATCACGTCTTCGAGAAGTATTTAATACACACGCTTGCGCTCTGGTTGTTAGTTAATCCAAGCGAAGTCCGTCGTTGCTTCAATAGCTTCAGTAGTTTCGAAAAAATGGAGCCAATGACCGCAATCGGTTAAGTGATGAAACCGATCACAAGGAATCCCTAGGGTTCGTATGAGAGAAGTCAGAAAGGTCTCCGCATGTCATGCCTAGTACTCTTCCTCCTGACGAAGCTTCGGCCAGCAAGTCTGCTTAGTGTCGCAGCAGTCTTAGCATATGGCAGGCGTGTCCAATCGCTGAAACGGGTTTGATGCCACCTATTCAGACGTCATCACACTCGCTAAACTGCTGCTGGTCCCATTCGCTTTCGATCACCCCGTGCATGTGACGTCTAATCATCGCCGGAGATCATTCCTGACAACGTGAGACAACGTCACTCAGCCTTTTAACCCCACGCGTCCCCGCTTTAATTGATGCAGTGCTATTCGTCAGCGCTCGGCTTCGTGTTAGGTTCTTTGTTCGCAGCCATTTGGGAGGCGTATGGAATCTGATCGATGGTTATGACGTTACTCGTTCCCAAAAGAAGCACACCATAGCTCCATAGGCAAAAAAGCCGCTACTCCTTGGCTCCTTAGTTACGCGAGATCTGCTTGCAGCACACGTTTTTTTTCTCCGCAGAGAAACATCGGTTTCTATTTCTTCGTGGTTTTCGTATGCTTGCGGTGCCTTTCTCACCGGGAACTCGACTAACGATCCAATCGTTTTTTCTGAGTAATCAGCTGGTCTAGCACGGTTGAACGGGACCCGCGTTTTCTTTTGGTTGATCACTCGCTATCTCGGCTCGTTACACTGCGTTAGGTACTGGCGTCAAATATCGCCTTTTCTCGGAGCGGTCGCTAGGCTAAGGCACTTGCGAATTTAGCTAAAGTTGACTACTTCTCTTCAAATACCGCCTGCGTCCATGCAGGGCCGAATTGCTGAAGCTTGTACGAAGTGAGTATCTGATCCCCAAGGCCTCACCGGCGTTTGCATCTTTTCTCAGTGCCGACAGAGTACACGCTCATTTAAGTAAGCGTGCTAACGAATAGCCCGTTTTTCGTTCAAATTCTGATTGAACTTGCTGTAGCAGCTGCAGGCTACTACTGCTTTGACCACTGTTGCTGCTGACTGTCTTCAGCGTCTGTCTACATTTTCATGCGTCATCATTCTGCTTCGTTTGTATCTCTTGGTCCGTCTTTATCTCATTCTTTTCAGCGTATTTCTTGCTGCTCCTCCTTCTCTGGATATTGCCAAGCAACAAAGCCTTCTTTGTTCGTGACATCGTTTCCCCACTCTTTCATCGGACTGGCAACCGAATCCCTTCGACTATAGTCAGTCCTTTCTTTGTTTGATCCTTTTAGTCCCTTGCGTTGCTTTAGGAAAATTGCAGCCACGTATTCTCGTTTGTTTGTGCCTTGTGTGAAATACATAGACAAAAGTGACAGTATTTTCCTCGCACACAAAGGGCCTTGTGTGCTGCCAAATTTGCTATTGTTTTTTTTTGTTCCTTTAATACAAAGCGGATACGTATATAACTTGACGAGCTGTGCGTTTGCACTCGCCTTTTTCCCTTAATTACCTGTCTATTTTTTGTTCGGGTTCCCACGTACACGAGCGTACAGAAGCATTCCCTTCCTTTCTCGCCTCGCTTGCGTATATTCGCTACTCAATTTCTCTGTAAACGTACCTCCACACGTTTGCACCCTCTTCCTCTGTTGGTTTCTACTTTTTCATTGCCCCGGTCTTCTTTTTGTGTGTTTATTTTTCAAGCGGTCGCTTTCTGTTCAATAACCAAAAATGATGAAGATACGGCGTTCCTGGAAGGGGAACAATCGCCTCGTGGAAAAAGATCCTTTGGCCATTGAGCCTCCTAAAAAGGTTATCCGCGCCCTTTACGACTACCGGGCACGAGGTTCAGAAGAACTTTCCTTTTCAAAAGGTGATTTCTTTCATGTCATTGGACGTGAAGAAGATCAAGCCTGGTATGAAGTGTGCAATCCCGCAGTTGGTGCTCGTGGATATGTTCCCGTCAAGTATTTTGAAGAACTCGGGAAGACAGTCAACAACAGAGACAGTGATACCGTCTCTGCCATCGACTTTCCGGCAACAAGTCCTACTTCCAATGAAGCCACCTCTCCTTCAGGACATCGTCTTCAGCCATTGTTCGGAGTTGTATTGTACGACTTTTCAGCTGAAAGACCCGACGAGCTTACAGCGAAGGCTGGTGAAGCCATAATTGTTATTGCTCGTTCTAACCATGAATGGCTCGTCGCCAAACCCATTGGTCGTCTTGGCGGCCCAGGCTTGATTCCGATTTCGTATGTGGAATTGCGCGACATGAAAACTGGTGCTGTTCTTACAGACCAGGAAGGCAACGAGGCTAGTGTTGCCTCCCTTGTACCTCTAGTTGATGAGTGGAAACAAGCAGCCTCTAGCTACAAAAAGAGTAGTATTCCGTTGGGTCGTTTTGAAGATGATGACAGTGTGTCCTCAGCACCCGAAACGCCAACGAACATGACGAATTCCTCTGGTCACACATCGAGCGCCAGTAATGCTTTGCGTGAAAGTACCGAACTTGCATGCAATGACCGTTTGAGTACTGCCAGTAGTTGTGATCGGTCGTCCCGTCTTACTCGGGATTCGCGTATATCCCTTTCGAACGAACCTACAGTGTCAGGTGCCACTGTCGAATCGTTTGTTCATGCCAAGACTCAATACTGGTATCTGCTGCGTGCGGTAATGGACAATGGACAGCACCGCAACCTTTGTCGGTATTATGAAGACTTCTACAATCTGCAGCTCGCTTTGCTGGAGGCTTTCCCCGATGAAGCCGGACGCAGCGGTTCCAAGCGGGTTATTCCATACATGCCTGGTCCTGTCGACGAGGTGGACGATGTTGTTTCTGAACAACGTGCACTCGATTTGGACGTTTATGTGAAAGAGTTGTGTCGGTTGCCTGCTAATATATTATCGAGTTGGTTTGTTCGCCGGTTCTTCTTCCTCGAGCCCGGTGATGTCGGCGCTGATTATGCAACAAGCGTCGTTCCCAAGGTAGTCGCTAGACCCTTTATTACATATAACAACCAGTCACCTCCGTCACCTACTCGATTGAACACAGCTACAGGATCGCGTTCTAGTGCCAACGGGTCTATAAAGGTTAAGGTTCGTGCTGGCGAAGACTTGTTCGCATTTCGTTTGTCGAGTGGATGCTCGTATGACGACTTCTGTGATCGTCTTCGTAGGAAATTGGATCGCGATTGGACTACACTCCATTACCAGAAAGATAAAAATGAGCTGATGCCTTTGCAGAACGATCTTCAATTCCAGCTTGCGTGCACGTTAATAAATCCTTTGCTTGTGATTGTTGACGGCTTCATTTCGGAATAAGCGGTTTGCTTGTTTCATGAAATTCCCTCAATCTGTTTTATTCTAAAAGACTTGCCCAGAATAGGTTAAACGGCTTTGTCTTGAATATGCGCATTGAATATTCCCCTCCCTCTACTATTTATTGCTACTGGGTGTTCTCCATATAAAGTGTTGGTTGACACAACCAACGTCTTCGATTCAAGTTCTGGTTCCTTGATGGTCCATCAGCGTATACCACCGACACGGTAGGCGTGTGTATCTTCGTCAATGAAGGAAGGGGCTGGATTTGCTTTTGCTCTCTTTTGTCCAAAAAGTTGGATAAACCACACAATCACTCAAAGATGTTCTCACGTCGCACTGCTCTACCAGCGGATCGTTAAACCCGGGGGAATGAGTGAGCGTGTGATTGACGATGATCATGATGACGATTCACGCTAAACTGCTCCTATCGTTTTCCCTCCTTCCATCTATCTTTGTTCTCTTCTTTTTTGGCGTTTTATATAAACCTCTTTTTCCGTCCATTGTATTACGACCAACCTATGTGTGATTGAAAGACGTGACAATTCCCTGCGACAACGTATTATTCCCTCCAACTTAGTTCTTTTTCACTTTAGTTTTTTCGGTTCATTAATTTTAAAACATTACAATCATAAACATTATTCATTAACGTAATTTAGAGTAAAACTGAAGCACACGGGACTTTCTAAAACCAAAAACGAAACACGGATGAACGAGTGGAGCTGTCTAGGAGGCAAGCTCAGCAATGCGTTTTAAGATGAGCGATGCGCCCTCAGCGTCCAACCAAACATTGTGTCCCGCATTGGAAGCAATGTCCCACATCGTATGTTGGGTAAGCTTGCTAAGTCCGCGCTGATCAGCAGCCCAGCGCTTAAGACGCTTTATGTTTTTGCCGGATGAGATAACAGCGACGGGCAAGTCCTTTGGAAGTACCGAGGTGGCTGCTCGGAGTTCGTGAAGCGAGAACAAAGGACCCGTCAAAGACTCTTCCATCTTGTTCTTGATCCAGCGATCATTAATATAAGTAGCCTCACCAGCAATGCGGTCCAACCGACTCTTTCCGGTAAACAGCCAATACCACATGCGGCCCAGGCCAAGAGGTGAAAACACACCACGAACACCGACCCAGAACCGGTGAAGCATGCGGCCTGAATCTTTCAGTGTGTTTTCGTAGCCACTGTCAATTAAGACGAGACCCTTTACATCGTTAACGTGTCTCGCGGCAAAGATAGTCGAGTATACACCACCGACGCCATGCGCGACAACGACGTAGGGTCCGGGAACGTGAGCCTGCTCAAGAACCTCACTGAGAATGTCGGTCACCATGCCGGCAGACACAGGAGTTCCAACGTTGTCGGACCAACCCATTCCGGGGCGGTCCCAAACGCAGACACGAGTATCCTCAGGAACGTAAGACAAGTCGCCCAGGTTGTATCTGTCATCGAGAGGGACTGCCGAAGGGTTCCGGGAACCGTCTTTGTTTTGAGGGCCTTGCAATTGCATTAACCAGGCCTTAAGGGGGTGGACAGAGTACTCGCCGCCCTCAAGAAGAATTGTGGGGTAGTTGCTGGACTGATTGCCGAAACACTGCATGTGAATACGCGCCGAGTAGTCAGCAACGCTGTACAAGTGCCCTGGGACAGGAACCGCCGAGTCGTACCAGCGCAGCAACAAGCTCAGCGAAAGGAGGATGGTCACGACAGAAACAATGGCAGAACCCAGGGATGCAGCAGTCCAGTGAGACCACAAGCGCCAGGACCACCATCTAGGGCGCTCGCTCGAAAGTGCCTCATCGTAGTAACCGCTGTTCTTCATGAGCAAGAAATCAGCAGCAATGGCCCACAGAGCAACGATCAAAGCCCAGCTGCACCATAGGATTCCGCGCCATCCCTCGGTGTGACGGTAGGTGCCTGAGACCATCATGACAACCACGTCGACGGCCAGTAACACTGCAACGACCCTCTGCGTAAACCTCTCAGCAACAGAGGGTTCATACGAAGAAAGGAGCTGCAACAAAAGAATGCCCATGGAGAGCAAGTTGAAGCCGAGGGGCAGGAAACCAGGGGAGCGTGGGGTCAGCACCGGAATAGAGACGAATAAATTAACAACAAGTAGAATGTACACGATTAGTGTGATGGCCAACAACGTGAACGAGACACTGCGAATCCAGCGGAACAAGGGAGACTTGTCGTCATCACGGGTTGTTCCATCTGCACGGATGCCCAAGTATCTTGGGAGCAGCGAAGTACGCTCGTCCACTGGACTCTGAGTAGGAGAAACAGAAGCCATTACAGATATTATAATTAAGGGGAGAGAAAATGATCACTCTTGTAGATGTACAAGTGCGTAACGAACACGTGGAATGTTCTTAGCGTCAAAGCAATTGTTGAGAGACGCACGATCTTTTTTTCAAAACTCACACGACCAGTCTGGGTGAGTAAAGAGGAATGATGAATTAGTGAAAAGCCAAACCGAATGGCAAATTAAGACGGTAATTAAAATTAAAACTTTAGTGGAAAGAAGTGGGTGGATGATGTATTATGCGTGTGGATGAAAAGCCGGGAAAGGTATCCCAGTATAATCAAACAAACAGGCACTTTATAACTGTTGCCGGCCCTCAGGAAGAGCAGCCCATTTATGCAACCTGAGTCGCCTGAATGAAGTAGGTGTGTCGTCGGAGATGGCCTCGCATACCGCCCGTTGCCCGTGGCGAAGTTACATGGAAATGACCTGGCAACGCATCATGAATGCCGAGTTCGGGCTACTACATGGTTACGACAGCCTGCGTCGCGCGCGACAGCCGGAGCAATTTCTCGCTCTTATAACCTCAGGTAAACATTACAGAAAACTGACGTCATTTTAGCTGTTTTTGCACTTTAGCAGAATTAAGCTCAAGGTTATGGCCCCTTACCGACAGGGTGCGGAGACTGAGGAACGTGATTGGTGCCAAAAAAAGAAAGCCGTTCTAGAAGTTCACATGGCACACGATATTCTGTAAAAGTGACATCAGTTCTCGCGCGACTTTCGGAAAAAGAAACTAAGCGTCGCTTCCTTTGTAAGGTTTCTCGTTACGAAAACACGAGATAAAAGCTAGACGACAGAAGCTCATCGAATCACATCCTAGCCAGAGCCACCACCAACGAACCTACAACCACTCACTGAAGGATAACGGTAAGAAATGACATTGAGTCAGAGATCTTGCAACGACGCTAGCACTATGAGAGCCTGGTTAGCCTAAGGAGTCGCTCGGACACCCAGTACATGTGGGTGGTTGACGTATGGGAGCTGATGCTTGTTCCCTGCAGCAGCAGCTATCCCCAGACACTTCGGTGTAGAGTGTTGAATGGCATGCGCATCCACATGTGCACCCCACCAAAAACCTTCACCAGCCCGCACGAGGACACTCGGACGGCTCCCGTTTTCGCTTTTGCCCCACATACCCCACTCATCCCACTTGTGCTCTTCGTCTCTCGGCTGCTGCTCGCTCCGTCGCCTGTTAGTCGAAAGCCCGTTTCGCTCCCGGCTCTCGTTAGTTCTCGTGCTCGTTACGAGAGTCGTTGCCACACAAACGCCTTCCTCGGGAAGCGTCGTTGCGATGACCACCACCAGACTGTCTGCTAACCACCGCCATTTGCAGGATCTTTTTGCGCGAACCCAACGCTGCTTCTCGTAACGATGTCCCCTGACGAATTGGAGTACTCAAATCTGTTACCAATAGCAAATGTTGCTCGCATAATGAAGTCAGCGCTCCCTGAGAACGCCAAAATTTCAAAGGTAAAGTAACCGGGCAGAAAAGCCATGAGATTTCTGAACCCCAGGAGGGGAGGAAAAGCTTATGGCCATCAACTCGAAACGAGCCAATGCTGACGATGATAGGAAGCTAAAGACTGTGTTCAAGACTGCGTGAGTGAGTTTATTTCGTTTATCACTAGTGAAGGTACGCCTCGCCGGACAGATTGACGCAGAGGGGAAGCAGAGCTGGGCATCGAGGACGGCAAGTGATAGAGCAGGCTGAGAGGTGGTGTCTGTTGTTTGTTGTTGTTGTTGTTGTTTTATCGTTGACGGTAGTGCTTCAAACACTGACGACACCGACGACATTGACGATTCGTTCTCACTAGTTGGTGCCTCCCCTAGCTCAGCAGACCCTACTGCGTCTTCTTCGTTCATCTGTCGTTGTGTTCGCATTCGCATCCTCGCTAACTTAACTCAGCATCGGATCAATGCACTCAAGAAAAACGCAAGACGATTACTGGTGAGGATGTGTTGTTGGCTATGTCTACACTTGGCTTCGAAAACTACGCGGAGGTGCTTAAAATCTTTCTCACGAAGTATCGAGAACTGCAGCAGCAGTCTCGTCTTGCCGACTCCAAAGAGAGCCGCAAGAAGCCCCGGACAGAGGGACCCTAAGGAATAGACGGGGGCGGTTGTGAGCAAGCTACGGACGGTGACAGGAGAGATGCGGCCACCGTTCTAATTCTCTCCATCTCTAGTCTTCTTGCTCCTCCTCCACCTTGTCTCCCGCTCCTTGTGTCATTCTCGTCCGTCTCTTCTTGGTCCTTCGGGTGGTACCTTCTCGTCTTCATTGACTGCCTTGCTTCACCCCCGCGTTCCCCCACCGCCCCACCTTGCCTGCATGATCGACGTGCAGATCACATACGCGGGACAGCTGTTCTCTGATACGCTCTGAAGGTCGATCCCGTTGCAATGAGCTTTCCCCGTTGTACCTGTCCGTGTACTTTATCAACCATCCCCCGTTTCGTTTTTGTGTGCGTTCAGACGGTTTGTGTAGTTCTTTCTCTTTTATAGTTCCCCGTAGCGCTGTTGACGACAGCTGCACCGCAAGTTGTCTCCGGCACAGTCGTTTGCTTTTAACCTTGTTTTTATATAAAGTCGCAGCGCGGCGAGTGTTTTTTTCGTTTGACTATCTTGTTTCCCGCGCCATTTTGTATTCCTCCGTCCCTGTCCCATTCCGTCCGTCCGTCCCGTCCGTCTTCGCCTCGTGCGACAAGCTCTCTTCCTTCGCATGTCCCGTCTGGCCCACACGCTTGCCGTCGTCCAAGGGTTGACTCGTTCGAGTGCGCTCCACCTCAGTAACCTTGTTCCACCATGTTACGGACGACGCCGCCAGCACTCGCTTCCTCTACCACGCAGTCCAAATTCACCCATGTCTACGACGGAGACGCTCGAATGGCCTGCTAATAAGGTCCGGAGTACCTTTATCGACTACTTCAAGGAGCATGGACACACCTTTGTTCCTAGCTCCTCGGTTATCCCGTTTGAGGATCCAACGCTGTTGTTTGCCAATGCTGGTACGTGTGATTTAGCTTCCTTCGGCGTGTGTGCGCATATAAATGGATTTCTGACACGAATTCTGCAGGTATGAACCAGTACAAGCCCATTTTCCTTGGCACTGTTGACCCTTCGAGCTCTTTCGCCAAGCTGAAGCGTGCTTGCAACTCTCAAAAGTGCATTCGTGCCGGTGGAAAGCACAATGACTTGGAGGACGTGGGTAAGGACAACTACCATCACACCATGTTCGAAATGCTGGGTAACTGGTCTTTTGGCGACTACTTCAAGAAGGAGGCTATTCCTCTGGCTTGGAAATTGCTTACCGAGGTGTTCAAACTGAATCCTGACCAACTGTATGTGACGTACTTTGGTGGCCACGAGGAGAGTGGACTTGGTCCTGATTTGGAGGCCAAGAACATTTGGCTTGAAATGGGTATTCCCCCCGAGCGTGTGATCCCCGGTAACTTGAAGGACAACTTCTGGGAGATGGGTGAGCAGGGACCCTGCGGTCCCTGCTCTGAGATTCATTACGACCGTATTGGCGGCCGTAGCGTTCCTGAGCTTGTGAACCAGGACGATCCCAATGTATTGGAGATTTGGAACATTGTGTTCATGGAGTTCAACCGTGAAAAGGATGGTTCCCTGCGTCCTCTTCCCAACAAGCACATTGATACGGGTATGGGTTTTGAGCGTTTGGTTTCCGTTGTGCAAAACAAGTCGTCCAACTATGATACCGATCTGTTCGCTCCCTTGTTCCAAAAAATCCAAGAGCTTACTGGTGCTCGCCCTTACGAGGGCCGCATGGGCGAAGACGATGTGGATGGCATCGACACGGCCTACCGCGTTGTTGCTGACCATGTTCGTACCTTGACGTTTGCCATTAGCGACGGTGGTGTTCCCAACAACGAGGGACGCGGCTACGTGCTTCGTCGTATCTTGCGTCGTGGTGCTCGTTATGTGCGCAAAAAATTCAATACCCCCATTGGTGATTTCTTCTCTCGTCTTGCTCTTGTTGTCGCTGAGCAGATGGGTGAGTTCTTCCCCGAAGTTCGTTCCAAGCTTGAGGATGTGAAGGAGATTTTGGACGAGGAGGAGGAATCCTTCTCTCGTACTCTGGATCGCGGCGAGAAGATGTTTGAGCAATACGCTGCTGCTGCCCAGAAGACTGAGTCTAAGATGCTTAAGGGCATGGATGTCTGGCGTTTGTACGAGACATACGGTTTCCCCGTTGACTTGACTCACTTGATGGCCGAAGAAGCCGGTCTTAAGATTGACGTTGAGGGCTTCAACGCCGCTCAGGCTCATTCTAAGGAGATCAGTCGTCGTGCAGCCAAGGCTGGTGGTGACAGCGCTACCATGGTCACTTTGGATATTCACGCTCTTGGTGCCTTGGCTAAGATGCCCGAGGTGCCCAAGACCGATGACCATTTCAAGCACGAGTCTGGCACCATCAACGCCACCGTTAAGGCTCTGTACCATCCTAGTGGTTTCCAAACCTCTACCGAGAAGTTTGAGGCTGGTGAGAACATTGGCATCTTGCTCGACCGTACCAACTTTTACGCTGAGCAGGGTGGTCAAGAGTACGACACTGGTCGTATTACCATTGACGGCAAGCTTGAGTTCCGCGTGACGAATGTCCAAGTGTACGGTGGATATGTTCTCCATACTGGTTTCTGTGAGTATGGTTCCTTGAACGTCGGTGACGAGGTTATCTGTGAATACGACGAACTTCGTCGTCGTCCTTTAATGAATAACCACACCGTTACTCACATTCTTAACTTTGCCCTTCGTGAAGTTTTGGGTGAGGGTGTTGACCAACGTGGTTCTCTCGTTTCTCCCGAGAAGCTCCGTTTCGACTTTTCTCACAAGGCCGCCTTGAGCATCAAGGAGCTGGAACGTGTGGAGAACATTTGCAACCAGAAGATTGCTGAGAATCTTAGAGTTTACGCCAAGGAGCTTCCTCTTGCTATTAGCAAGGAAATTGCTGGTCTTCGTGCTGTTTTCGGCGAGGTGTATCCCGATCCCGTCCGTGTTGTCTGTGTCGGTGCAGACATTGATGAGATCATCAAGGATCCCAAGAATGAGCAATGGCGCCAATACAGTATTGAGTTCTGTGGTGGTACTCATCTTCCCAAGACTGGTGAAATCAAGGACTTTGTCATCCTTGAGGAAAGTGGTATTGCGAAGGGTATTCGTCGTATTGTTGCCGTGACTGCAGCCGATGCCAACCAAGTCTGCCGTATCGCCAACGAGTTTGACCAAAGACTTGACAGATTGGCTGCCATGCCTCATGGACCTGAAAAGGAAGCCGAGATTAAGCTGGTCACTGTCGACTTGTCTCAGCTTTCCGTGTCTGCTCTCCGCAAGCACGCTATGAAGGAGAAGTTCACTAAGATCACTAAGCAATTCCAAGATCAAGTCAAGGCTGCTAACGCCAAGGAGCAAAAGGATGCTGTTAAGGCCGTTGCTGACTACTTTGAAGAGCATCCTGAGTCTAAGTTCTTCGTTTCTAAGCTTAATGTTTCTCCGAACCCTAAGGTTCTCAACTTTGCCATCTCTTACGCAAAGAAGAACTTGGCTGGCAAGAGTCTGTATCTGTTGGCTTCGAACGGTGCCCAGCCGGACAAGGTTGCTCACGCCTGTTTGGTTTCTCAAGAGGCTTTACCTAAGGTGACCGCTCAAGAATGGTCTCAAAAGGTTTCTCACGTTGTCGGTGGCCGCTGTGGTGGTAAGAAGGATTCTTGCCAAGGTGTTGGTACCAATGCCGATAAGATTGACCAAGCTATTGAGGAAGCTATTGAGTTCTTCCAAGGCAAGCTTACTCTTTAACCGCGGGCTGGTTGATAAAAGGTTTACATAAATTTTCTTGTTTTAGTGTTGCATAAAATCTAGACATGGGCAATATAAAAGGACGATTTCCGAAGTACAAAAGTAACTGGAAGGAGTGTGTGTTTTGTGGGATAGTATGGAGCAATTGATTGTTTTACCAACCTTTTTTTTTACACCTCGTTCGGCACTCCCCATTTACAGATCCTTTTTTTGGTGGAACAGCCAGAAGGGAAATTCTAAGCGTTGTGTCGTTTTATGGCAGCATTAGTGAATTATAGTAGCTCGGATTCGGACACGGATGTGAGCTCTAATGAAATTGAAAATGCACCAAGTCGACCAAAGTTGAGCTTGCCGGAGGAATTCGAGAACAAATATAGAAGTATGTAAGCTTTTGAGGAACAGTAAATGCAATCTCGTTTTCGAAAGATTAACAAACGGTGTGCTATGTTTAGGTTCCCCGCGGTTACTAGATGACCCTGTGTTTCATCAAGGAAGAAAACGGACTTTCGCTCATGTTGAAGGGGCATGGACAACTCAATCATTCATAGAAGGTAGCGTTTCCGGCATCCTCTGAAGTATCATTGGCTTTGCTAATGTCTTACTAACTCCGTTAATAGTGAAGCTGACGCGATCACTGAGTAGTCAACTTCAGCAGATTCTAAAATCCGAAATTGCAATTGAAGAAAGAGATGACGGTACGCCAAAAAGCAATGATTGGGTACCTCTATTTTTTAGTGAGCTAGGTCTTGCTAAACCGCTTCATCTGACTCTTTCGTCTATGGATTGTTTGGATTATGAGAGTAAAGAATCCTTTCGCGTTCAGTGGAAACAAACCCTGTCCTCGGCTCATTTTCAGTAAGAGCTATCTCCTCTAGCGATTTGTGTGTCTGACTTATTGTAGACCGTTTTCAATTCAGCTTGGAAAGGTTTTGTACTTGGTTAACGAGCAACAAACACGAGGTTTTCTTGCATGGAGAATTCATTTCGATGAGCACCACTTGAAGCCACTGTGCCAGAAAATAAATGATCTTAATATTTCTTTCGGAATGCAACCATTACGACCAGTATGCTTATTACATCGAAGGCAACCTTTAGTGACTGACACCAAATAACTTGTAGGACTTTATTCCCCACATTTCCTTTTGCTGGCGAAAGACAAATCCCAAGGAATGCGAAGCATGGTCATCAGCAATATCACTTTATGAAGTCCCATCAAAATTCGATAATTTAGTATCTGCAATTGAGGATCTTCTCAAGTCGAACAACACAAATATACCCGTGAAATCTGTAAAACTGTCTACGGGTGGTTATTTGGACACCTTAGAACTGAAGGAACCATACTAACCCGTCGTCATTTTTCTTTTAAGATATGTGTTCAAGTGAGTTTTATATTCAGCGAGACATCGGATGCGCCGAAGAAAACAGCATTCGACGAATGCTTCTCCTACTATATATCCATTTAACGAAATCCGTCTCTGTTTTTTTTCAACACTTTCATTATTCATCTCTTTTTCCCAACTTGTCCAAAATTCGTTTAAAAAAGACGAAATTTTTTTTCTACAATCTTTCGCCTTCAATAAATACCCTGGCAGGGTTTCTCTTTAAAACGCGTAGTTTCTCCAGCGCAATTGCATTTTGTATATCATAGTAACCTGTACCCAGCATTTCCCCCATTGCTCGTTATGTCATACTCGCTTAGCACAACATGTATGACATCACGTTGTTTTCCAAGCGAGAATTCTACGAGCTGCAGACACCCCACGAGAGGCCTCCTAGCATCCGCCAACAACTCGCAAAAATTTTGTTGTTTCCTGTAGTTCTGCGCTGACAACTTCGGCAACAGGCGTGTAGCACTTACTAAGTCTAAAGGATTTTAATTTCATACAAGGCGTGTTGTAAAAATGGACGCTACGGCAACAACACGTCCGGTCTCTATTGCACGAGTTTGTATGTGGGAGAAAACGCGAGCTCAGGGCTTCCGGATGGTTGTAACTTGTTATTAACAGGTCGTAGATGCTCATGTAAACGAGGAAATGCCTAGAGAGTACTGGGACTATGAAAACCTGGAGGAAAAATACGGATACCAAGACAACTACGAGATTCTGAGAAAAGTCGGTCGCGGAAAGTACAGTGAAGTTTTTGAGGGCATCAACGTGCTCAACAACACGAAATGCATTATTAAGGTGTTGAAACCAGTGAAAAACAAGAAGATCAAGCGTGAATTAAAGATTCTGCAAAATTTGGCCGGTGGACCTAACATTATTTCCTTACTGGACATCGTCCGTGATCCAGAGGTGAGTCTAGTTGGGCAAGAGTATGGACGGAGGGGGTGAAAAGGGATTGAAAGGGATCCCCATTCACCTGTTCCCTCTATTTACGTCTCTCGATGTTTTCATACTACTTGTCGCGTTTTCGTCGTCACGAGCACTATTACTAACGCAGCCTAGAGTAAAACGCCTTCTCTAATTTTTGAGTATGTCGACAATTTAGATTTCCGTACGCTGTATCCTACTTTGACTGATTATGATATCCGTTACTACATGAATGAGCTGCTCAAGGCCCTGGACTTTTGTCACTCCCGCGGCATCATGCATCGTGATGTGAAGCCCCATAACGTTATGATTGATCATAGAAAGCGTCAGTTGCGGTTGATTGACTGGGGATTGGCCGAGTTTTACCATGCCGGCATGGAGTACAATGTACGTGTGGCTAGTCGCTACTTCAAGGGTCCAGAGTTGCTTGTCGACTTCCGGGAGTACGACTATTCTCTCGATATTTGGTCGTTCGGCGTTATGTTTGCGGCCATGATCTTTAAGAAGGACACGTTCTTCCGTGGTCGTGACAATTACGATCAACTTGTCAAGATTGCTAAGGTCCTTGGCACGGAGGAACTGTATGCGTATATCAAAAAGTACAACATCGTACTCGACCGTCACTACGATGACATTCTGGGCAACTACCCCAAACGAGACTGGACTTCGTTCCTCACTCGTGAGAATCGTGCTCTTGCCAACGATGAAGCTCTTGACTTACTTTCTCACCTGCTACGCTACGATCACCAGGAACGTTACACTTGTCGTGAAGCCATGGCGCATCCATACTTTCAAGCTTTGAAACAAACGTAAAAGCCCCCTTTGCTATGAAATGTTTCTTGGATGACGACAGCGACGACATAAAAGAAATTAATTACAGCTTGCAATTGCATGAACCGACTGCGTTTAGACACACTCTTTTTTGGCCCCGTGTCATAATGGGAATGGATAGGTTGGCAGATACCATTTTCGCTTGCATGTTCGTCCTTTTCTACAGACCCGCATACGTACATACTACCTTCGAGCTCCCTCGTTATGTTGCTTCCTACACGCATCGTCATCTGGCTTCATGATTTGAATGTGTGTGCGTACTATTGCAGATGATTACGGCGCAACCACAATACACGTACAAACTTACGCGTCGCACCGTTCATCTTTCCCTTACCGTTTGTTTTTCTCATTTTTACTCTCTTCATCGTGCGTGAACATTATACGGACAAAGCGTCTGCTTTGTTAATGTCATTATATTGATGATCGCCATTGTCTGTTGAGCTTTTAGTCTGTTCTCTATTACTCACGTACGCAAAACAGACAACTTTCCCACTAATCGCCTTAACGTCGAATGGTCGTATTTGCAGCTACTTGTTGTCTATAACTTGTTTCTTTGGACATGCTCAGGTTGAGTCAGGAATGCTGTCATGCGGGACGAAATAGTGCTAAGGAGCTTCGAGCGTGTTTCTACGTCCTCAATCGTCGTGCACCTTATGGCTTCCTCTAGTTTGTTTTTACTACGATTGGTGTTAGTGGTTACTTTAGACCAGTGTACCCCAATGCAAACAGCAGGCCTATAGCTTGCTTAAGTTGGTGTCGTACATGATGGTACATCTTTGCAGCGTAAGCTGCAGCTCTTCAAGAATAATTTTTTCTGTGGGCTCCAACTCGTCTTCGGTCATGGTGAAGGCAGGTGAAAAAGTGCGTAGGACTGTGTTGGAGGTTTGTGTATTATTGTATGCCTTGTTATCTTGTATTGCGCGTGTTGGCGTAGTACGTAAACCGTCTTAGTGCGGTATCTCTTCAACGTAGGAGTATGCTAAATAACCTTTAATAGTTATTGCAGTGACAGTCGAAGGACAGAAAACATAATCCTAACTTTTAGTAAATGTGGAAAGTCTCGTTATACATAATTACGCATTTTGTTTCAGTTGTTCAATTCTCCGCTGCGTCCCGCTAAGCTTGCCTACCGTACCCTATCGTAAACGTAAACAAAACACATTCCCCTTTCCGACCTCTAGATGCTCTTGGGCCACAAAAAACGTCAACTCCCAATTCGACCCATTCCCTCAGCAAACGTTACCACCCTCTTCACATACAACAAACAACAATGATTCGGAGACCACCAACTGCTATTCAAGTGACGGCTGAAGATGTGCTTGCCTACGATGATGAAAAGATGAAGGAGAAACGAAGTCTTGCTGGACACGGTGCCGAACATACAAGCCGTGCATCCAATGTCTCTAGCGAATTGACATCTTCATCTAAGCACGCCAGCAAGGAGTCACGGATAGGTATTAACAATGTGCTCCGGGGAGCTGGCAGTGGAAACTAGTACAAATGTGAAGGATCTACTACTCTCACTTCAAGGACAATGTCGAGTAGCCAAAGAGCAAAAGTCCGTGGTCGAGATGTATGTCTCATATGTACAGTTTACGAGATAACTCGTATTTTATGACCAATAAAATATCAACGTTAGATAACCACATTTGCTTGCGTCAGCGGGGAAAGAGAGTAGAGTCAGTAGAGCTGGTAGAGTTTGAAGTGAACAAACATTTAGCACACTGAATCGGTGTATGCCTTGAAACGAGGGCAACAGGTGTTTTGATAGTGAAAGCTTGTTAAGGAATAAGCGCAACGATACAATCATGCTACGCAAAACTCCCAACTTATGACACTTTAACAAGTACGGGCGCTGCACAATGACCCAATGGAGGACGTGCAAGTCCACCATTTTTCACCAGTGAACCGCCTGCATATTTGTTTTGTTTTTTTTTTAATTAGGTGTTTTTGAATGCTTGCACCCAAAGCTAGATGGGAATTAATTATCGAGTTATAGACACAAACCAGGTGGAAGCAAAAAGGAACACCAAAAGTAAGAGAACGAAAAAGAATGAACCGAGAGACCAAAAAATCAGAAACGAAACTTAGAGACAAAACAAAAGGACTCTACTTCTTCTCGGCCTGGGCGGCAACATGCTTGTCGTGGTCGTCAATATCAACAGCCTCCCAAGGATACATGATCCAGCAGTCTGGAGTGTTTTGACCAACAAAGTAGTAGCTGTCCAACAAATCTTTGCTCAACTCGGCATTCTTGGGCTTCAGCTTGTTGTGAACGACAAAGATACCGAATCTAGTTTGCTCGGTTTCACGGTTCAACTTCTTGGCCTGAGCTTCGACATCACGACGAAGCTCACGAACAGCATAATGAAGAGTGGTACGAGTGTCGTCGACCTCGTCGACAATAAGAACGTTCTTGCCCACCAAGTCGACCATACCAAGGGTACTGAAGTCGAGCCACTGGGTACGCTTGACCTCCACGCCTGGAACCTCTTCAGGTGCGTCAGAAACCAATTCCTCGTACAACGAAAGACCAATGGCTTGAATGGGAATGTTCTTTTGGCCGGGCATCTTCAAGAAAGTACGAAGGATACGGGCGGGGATGAAACCACCACCGCCAATGGCGATAATGACATCAGGACGGAAGCGAGCGAGAATCTCCTTGGCTTGCTCGCGGCACATCTTGTGCACATCGTTATAGCTAACATAAAGACGGTTGGGCTCCATAATGAAGTGATTCCAAGACAATTGGTCTTACAGTACCTGTGGGGGGAAATGAAGGGGTGTATGGTATTCAGAAGGTTGCGAAACAGTATTAGTCTTTTTTTACTAAGCAGCAGTCACAACTTTATGCCGGAAAAAGATAGCGTTGCAATTACGCGAAGAGTTACGTAGCATGACTGATAACGATTCTAGATACTGTTTTGTGCCTAATTTGAGCACTAAAAATGGATGCTTTAACCCCTCAAAAAGTGTAAATTCTCAGCGCTCAAATCAGACATGAGAAAGGCTCGTAATTCTGTGAGAATAAAGCATTGTGGGACATGAACGGACAAAATCGAGGGGGTCGCATACTCCCCCAGGAATATAAAAGCTGGAGTAGTGTTCAGGGGCTATTGAAATAAGCAGTGGTTAGTGCGGGTGTAAGCGAGAAATAGGGTTGCAAGGTTGTCGCACGAACGACAACAAGCGAAATGAAAACCGAAAGGCAAAAAATCAAAGTCATATCAACGAAAACAAGGAGTTCCCACTTATAGTCATGCAGAGAAACTCATTATGTACTTGAAAAGGTGCCAGGGTACTTCCGTCTTTCAGCCAGGCAGTAAGGGAGCTGTATACATTGTGTTCTTAGTGAAAGCAAAAATTTGGTTAATTAATTTAATAATAAAATAAAAAAAAAAACGAAAAAAAAAAAAATACTTTACAAGAAGGACTAGTTTTAGACAATATAATTCAATGATTAATACACCCTAAGTGTATTGTTTTAACTTTAAATAACGCTAAACAGAACAAAAAACTAGCGATTCCGCCCTCCTAGAATCTTTCAGAGGCTGTTTGACATATATTCAATGATTAATACACCCTAATGATGTTTTATTTAAATAACGCTACAGACAAAATTTGTCAAGCTCAAAAGCTCACATTGTCCATCCCCGAAACCCCCCTCTCGATGACTACTCGTACTTATATACTGCAGCTCAAAATTCATCTTTGTTACATACGACAGTCCATGTTTGTTTTCTTTCGCTCTTCCCCTCTCCAATAGCGGCCCGAGAATTCCTATCACCTTTCTAAACTGGCTAAATAAATGATGTTGCAATAGCGTAAAAGGCATTAGGTGCTAACTGTAGATGGCGCTTTCGTCCCCTCACTGTTTATGACTTCCTCTTTCTTAAGCGAACGTTAACCGAGGAACGAAGGCCGATGTGGTAGCTGTGTTTCGGCAGTGACATAATTTTGTCTTACCACGTTCTTTGATAGCCGACCAGCCATATATCATTGATAAGATATATCTTTCAAGGGTCTGGACACAAAAGGACGACAAAAAATTACACAGCCCAAAAGGTTATTGCGCCTTGTGCGCAATGGAGTCAAATCCAGATTCTGATGCCCGTGTTTTTCATTGATACATTCCATCATCTAGCCAACAAATCATCCTGCACGCTTAATTGCCGCATCCGTCCAAAACTTTCGCTCAATCAACTTGGGCCCCGCTTAAATTTTATCTTAGCGGAAGCACATGAGGCGCACTATGATCTCGTGAAAACCCAATCACAAAAGCTTAGAGACTTAATGCGTTAGCAGTTTCGTGTCAGAGTGAACCAGCGACACACCTGATGTGACTGAATATCGCCTTGATTGGTCATCTAATTGCCGGTAGACCCTCAATATGACGTGGCCATTCGGTCAGAAGGAACAACGCATAACACATCAGGTAACAGACTCCCGACACGTAAAAGGTAAATTCTCACAGGCATCTTCACTTGTCCAGTACACAACACATTTGGAATTTCTGTGCTGAGCAGATTTGCGTTTTCCTGACGATTTCTGGCTGAAATAGACCAGTTTTCGTTCTTGTTTGCACCGAAATCGCTCATTTTTGTCGCTTTTGTGTGCCAAGAGCTACGAGTACTTAAATTTATTTAAGGGTTGTATTCTAATATTTAAGCCCTGCTTTGTTCCCTCGGCTTGAAAGGCTAAATACTGCTAATTTTCGTTTGCAGTTTTTCACACTGCCTTTTCAATTGTCTTCTGCCAAAGACCCTATTGACAACTTTTGCAAATTTGTTGTAAGCAAATTCTAGCTAACGGTTCTGTTAGTGACTGTTCCTATTGTATCTTTAATTGAGTAAGACACACGTCTTGTCTCATTGTTTACTGTCACTCGTTCAATCTCGTTGGTTTCTTTCTGTCGTCTTCGTACGTCTTATTTCTTTTCTTTTTGTTTCTGCTTTAGTATTCTAAAGTCTAATCCGTGGTTTCTTTACGTGTTTTCGAAACGTCAACAGCTCATCAACTATGGCTATCTCTAGAAAACTTAAAATTTCGCTTCTTCTTGCGATTGACACTGTCTTTTTCTTCATTGAGTTGATTTCGGGTTACATGATCGATTCCCTGGCATTGATCGCTGACTCGTTCCACATGCTCAATGATATCGTCAGTCTTATCATTGCCTTGTGGGCTACTAGTCTTGCTCAAAGACGTGACCACAAGCCCAAATACACTTACGGTTGGCAACGCGCCGAAATCTTGGGTGCGCTGGTGAACGGTGTCTTCTTGGTTGCTCTGTGTTTGTCCATCTTCTTGGAGGCCATTCAACGTTTCATTACTCCCCCAGAGGTTACAAACCCCATGCTTATGCTTACGGTTGGTATCCTGGGATTCATTAGCAACATTGTTGGTATTGTTCTTTTCCACGACCATGCGGTCGGCCATCATGATCATGCCGACTCCTCGTTTCCCGAAGACGATATTGAGTCCGTGCTCCCTGCCACCGTTGTTAACCGCTGCCGCCGTTTGAGTGTCACTAGTGCTGACCTTGAGGGCGCCAATTTGTCTTCCGACCAACCTTCCGAAAGCTCTCCCCTGCTTAGTTATGTCAGCAACGATCACTCTTCTCACAAGCATACCCATTACCAAGGAACCAGTCAGGAGCCCACTTCAAGTATCTCTTCTGAGACTTCAAGCACTAAGAAGAAGCATAACCACAACCTGAACATGAGAGGTGTCTTCCTCCATGTCATGGGTGATGCGTTGGGCAACTTTGGTGTTATTTCTGCTGCTATTGTTATTCGTTACACCAACTGGTCTTGGCGCTACTACTTTGATCCCATGGTCAGTATTGTCCTTACGGGTATTATCCTTGCCTCTGCCATCCCCCTGTGTAAATCTGCTGCTCTGATTCTCTTGCAAGTTGCACCTCACAGTATCCGTATTGAAGATCTTCACAGACAGATCACTGCTCTCCCTGGTGTTGAGTCGTTGCACGAGCTTCATATTTGGCAGTTGTCGGACGTGAAGTTGATTGCGACCTTGCACGTCTGCGTGAATTTGTCCGAAGACAATGGTGAAGCCTACATGAAGCTGACCACTGACATTCGCAATGTTTTGCACATGTATGGTATTCACGATTGCACTATTCAACCCGAGTTTACGAATGTTGCTAGTCGCAAGCCTTCCTTAAACAAGGTTCCTGCTGACGAAGCTTGTCTTGTAACACAGTTCAGTGACTGTCGTGGCGAAGAATGCATCGACCACCAGTAAGCCTTCCGTATTGCTGATTTGGGACAAGCTGCGTGTGTGCATGTGTCTGTATTACTGTAGCCTTTGGAGCTCTCGTTTCCGTTAAACGGTTTGAGTGTCACCAGGGCAAGTTTGGTTGTCCGCTGGATCGGCATTCGCTTGACACATCACGTTTAGGTCGTTCTTGTTGACTGGCTTTGTTACAATTTCAATCGTATGCGAGTAGCTTCGTAACGTTTAAGAGTGAGAAAGCATTGTTTGCGTTTGGTAGGATATCTCGCATTCGGGACTGCTGAGCAGTGCAATTGCGAGTGGCGCTCGTATTCCCTGGTCGCTCTTTATATTTCTAATCAGCGTTTCGTCCTATGATTCTCTTCTTACATTCGGTGATATAGGTTTAGTTTAATAAGACTAACTGAATCGTGTTTGTGCAAATGCCGTAGGGTACATGACGGGCTTTAAATTTGGTTTTATTTGGTTGTGAATTTCGCTTTTATAACAAGTTTTGATAAATTTCGGATTGTCCTTCTGTATGAACCAAGGCTTGAAAATCAGTGCTTAGTAAAAGGTAATACTCCGTTTTACTAATAGAGAGTCTGTTTGCAGTATAATATACACTTATTCGTAAATTTCGTAATTGTCCAAATATAAGTTATACAAACAGGGTAAACATTCTACTGTAGTCATAAACAATTTCGCTTTCTAACTAACAATGTAGTTTCTTTTTTACGCTTTTAGATCCTTCGTAACTTTAATTTTTCATTAGTCTTAATATTCTTTTCCTGTTTCTTTCATTTTTATTTAAGTCTTTCTCGAACAGATATTTCATTCCTACTCCAAATCTTGTGTCGTTGCTTTCAGCAAATTCCTTTCCTTTGCCTACACCATTTCTTGTGCTGTGTGCTACTGCTGTGCGTCTTTGTACAACGCGTACGGACTTGAAATCCATCTTCCTCCACTTACTGACTCACCGACATAGTACCTTAGCTCTTTTGGCCTTCTTTGAATTCACAGCTCGGACCTCCTTGCCAGAGCAATTACCTCGGTAGTAGAAAAAACAACAGAGTAATTCCTACGTCTCATCCGTCTATAACAGAATTATCACTTGGACGACATTTGGAATACTCGTATATTACAATTCCATACACACGACACACTTCATTTCTGCATGTGCCACCGTTCGTAGCGAACTTTTGGTTTTGATGAAAGAATCACTACTCACTAGCATCAATTTTATGCATGGTCCTCCTCCTCATCACATGTCGGAACAAATGATGGATAATGGTGCACAAGCTCCAGACTTCAGGCGGCAAGGACCAGTCGTAAAAACAGAACCCGATGATATCGACATGCTAATGCCGAACCATACGGAAAGGTTAGATGAAGTGCCCAGTGCAAAAAACAAAGGCCTTACCCAAAACGGATCAGTTCACACAGAACTTTCGACCGATATCAGTATTTCTTTTCGAAAAGATGCCCTGCCGACAACTCCGGACTCCTCCTCCCAAGAAGACCAGGACAACTTTTTGAAAAAACTCTCAAACGAGTTGTTTGACAAGCCCTCGATATACTATGAGTTTCTCGAGATTGTCTACTCATACCTCGAAAATATGTACGCACTCCAGCTCGAACATCTGTTCTTAGCTTGATTCACCACCGTACCTCATTACTAACTTCCTTAGCATTGATTTTTTTGGTTTTCTTGAGCGAATTTACATACTTTTTAAAGAGTACCCTCACATCCTCATAGCTCTTAACACTCTCCTCCCCAAACAGTATGCCTTCAGCTACTCTCCTCTCGACCCTGAAAACATAGCTTTGCACACGCCGACAGGACGTGTTCATGCTTCTTCTTCTTCGTACTCAGGTACATACCCTGACCCGTTGTCAGATGTCCAAAGAGTCATCGCTTTCACGACACACTTGTGCCAGAAATTGCACAAGACACCCGAAAAAATCCATAGAATTCGTCAAGCACTTCAGCTTCTTCGCAATGGAAGTGTTTCTGCCGATTCGGTAACCAAGCAAATTCAAGCTCAACTTAAAGGCCACTCTCGATTGCAACAAGAGTTTTCCTACTTCCTTCCACATGCTCTCCTTTTTGCCGCTATTCCTCCTCCAGGCTCGCTACCATTGCGAGCAATCCGCTACTCTACTTACCATTCTCCTTTTATTCCCGCCTTGGTGCCTGGACCGTCCTATTCCGCTCTGTTAAACACGCCTAAAGAACCAGTCGACGACCTTGCTTTCTTCGGCCAGGTAACTGAATACTTAAAAAAACCAAATGTGTCCACTGAGTTCTTCAAACTACTAAATCTCTTCTCACAAAAAATTATCGACCGAGACGCTCTTCTCAATCATGTGTACGATTTTATCGGCATGAACACTGTTCTGTGGACTCGTTTCCTGGAAATCATGCAAACTAGTCCGCGTGAGTTTGAACAAAACTTCTATTCGCGTAATGACAGTTTCCCCAAAAGTGGTCCAAGCTATCGCTTACTACCTAAAAGTGAGCAAACAGTTGCTTGTAGCGGCAGAGATGAGCTGGCCTGGAGTGTATGTAATGATGCCTGGGTAAGCCATCCTACTTGGGCATCCGAAGAAGCTGGATTCATTGTGCAGCGAAAAACACCCTACGAAGAGACCATGACAAAGCTTGAAGAACAACGATATGAATTTGATCGGCATATCGAGGCAACAACATGGACGATTAATCTTTTAGAGCCCATCGCCGAACGGATAGAAAGTATGTCTGACAAGGAACGTGCCGAGATGAAATTGTCTCCAGGACTAGGTGGTAAAACTGTGAGCATCTACGAGAAAGTTGTGAAGTGGATTTACACGCCTGAACTTGGAAATGACATGATTAAAGGTTTATACGAGACACCTTCCATCGCCGTTCCTCTCGTATTAAATCGTGTAAAACAGAAAGATGAAGAATGGCGAGCGTTGCGGGACAGCCTTTCAGCAAGCTGGCGCGACATCGAGTATCAAAATTACGACAAGCACATGGACCCACAGAGCTTGTACTTTAAGTCGGCGGATAAAAAGTTAACAATGCCGAAGTTTCTCTTTATGTCAGCAGAAATGCAGGCTTTTGAGACCGCTAAAGCATATCCAGAACATGCTGAAGTTGCTTCACCTTTCTCGCACAAAATTGATGACGTTAATATTTTCCTGGATGTTTGCTACTTAGTATGCACGTACATTGTCTGTAATTCCCCGAGTGGATTACGAAAAGTTGAATACTTTTTCAAAGTCACTATCCCGGAAATTTTTGGTTTGGAGAAGCAGCTTTTGCACAAATGCTTGGAGCCGTTATTTGAAAAAGACGAATCAGAAAAAGATTCATGCGATCCAATTGCACCTAATCGTTCACGGAGGAAGCGTGCTTCTTCTCTAGAACAACTTACCGGTAATGCAAAAATACCAAAACTTGCTGAGCGACAAAGTCGATCGGCTACCGCGCAATTACGAGCACAAGAAAATGAGCGTGAACAAAACAAGGTTGTTGATGGCGAACCCGAAGTCATGTATCCAGATTTGATCATTGACGAAACGAAGCCGCTAGCTACACAGCTCCCGCTTTTCTCTTCCACTTACCAGTCTGAAGATTCAGACTCAGCGACGGCACAGGATATAAAGCAACCGAATGACAGTCCTGAGACACAACGAAACACGCCTGTTCTTCGGAGGCCCCGAGAAACATTTGGCGAGCCTGGGAAGGTGACAGAGTATTATGGACATTCCATTTTTTACTTATTCTTCCAATATCTGTTTATGTTATATGAGCGATTGAAGAAGTTAAAGTCATTTGAAGAAGATGTTAACCCCAGGCTGCACCAGTTACGACCAAGCTCCGTTGTTCTAGAAATGGGTATTTGGCGCAACAGAAAATCCGATCTGCCCCCTTTACCTGATGAAGGCTCTTATTATCGAAATACGGTTGTCATGACCATTCGTCTTCTCTGCGGAATAATTACACAAGCGCAATATGAGGACTACTTGCGATACTTTTATGGGTACAAGGCGTATGAACTTTACACTGCTGAGAAGCTTGTATGGTCCCTCTCAAAACAAGTGCATCACATTGTTGCCGACGGCAAGAACAAAAGCATCCTGTCTTTGTTTGAAATTCGGGGGAAACAACCAGACCTAAACGCGTTTACTGATATGATGTACCGCATGCAGGTAGACAAGGTCTTGGGTCAAGACGAATACGTCTTCAAAATAACATGGAATCACAAGTCCAAATACCTTGGGATGCGATACTTGCGAAAAACGGAATTATCTTCCAATGCGCCCTTCTTTCTTAACGAAGCTGCGTGCGACAAGTATTTCAAAAGCTACACGAGTGATGAAGTAACTAAAGAAATTTCGCTACGAAAGTTTCACTGTCCTTTTATTCCTCGCAACTTGAAACGCTCTATTCTGCCAAGTTTCAAATTGTACAAAGATGCTCATCACGAACAACTGCGTGGTTTTTCAGAAGACAAGAAAACCATCTCTTTATCAATAAATGCGAAAAACTACAGACTATCCTACTCTCATGCAAAGGAGGACGTCTTGCTACATAGCTCATGGTCATTCACTCATGCATCTCTGCAGTCAGACAAACCGTCTACCTTAACGAAAACAATTGTTGATCGTTCCCAACGTTGGAAAAACTGTTATTCCAGCTTACTTTCTGCCCTTCCGGGATCCCTTGAAACTCTAAGCTTTTAATTATGTACCCTGGACTTTATTAATTTAATGCTATTTGGCCTCGTTTCTCGTATATAGACTCATTGTACTTGGGCTCCTTTAACACTAGATTTTGTATAGTAAAAAAGCACTGCTATATTTCGTTTTTACATTTTAAATGCATTTAAATTTTTACAATAAATAAGAATGCATCTCTGTTTTATCTTTTACTTTAATTGAACCAATAAACCCAATAACCAGGACATATCCTGTTCAATAATGTTTGTTTTGATCCATGTAAACAAATGGATCATTGCCTAGACAACGACAATGTTTACACTGTTTGCGGCACCACCAAACTCCTGACAATAACAAATATCAAGCGATGGCTACGGCGGCCGTTAAGGAAACAAAAACCGCTATTACTCCGAAGAAGAAGACGAAGCCTTCACGTCTGTGTTTTACTCCGCCGGTCAACTTAAAAAACAACAAAAAGAACATTTACTATACCCGTTACGACTGTATTGGAGAGGTATGTTGACCGGCTGAAGCCCTCTCTCGCTCTTCTACGTGACAATGGTATACTGACTCTTTTATTAGGGTGGTTTTGCACGCTGTTTTCGTGTTAAGGACAACTATGGAAATGTCTATGCTGCCAAGGTAATTGCCAAACGATCTTTACAGAATGAGAAAACAAAACAAAAGGTAATTGCAGGCTTCTATCACTCGATTTCCGTGTTTGCTCACACGTCTACAGTTGTTCGGTGAAATTAAGGTCCATCAATCCATGAACCACCCAAACATTGTTGGTTTTGTTGATTGTTTTGAGGACTCAACAAATGTTTATCTTGTTCTTGAGTTGTGTGAACACCGTTCCTTAATGGATTTGTTGAGGAAACGGAAACATCTTACGGAACCCGAAGTCCGTTTCCTTATGTTGCAAATTCTCGGTGCCTTGAAGTACATGCACAAGAAGCGAGTTATTCATCGTGATTTAAAACTTGGTAACATAATGCTTGATGAAAGCAATAATGTCAAAATTGGAGATTTTGGTCTTGCTGCCTTGTTAGTTGATGACGAGGAACGAAAAATGACTATTTGTGGTACACCAAACTACATTGCACCGGAGATTCTCTTCAATTCCAAAGAGGGCCATTCTTTTGAAGTCGATCTTTGGAGTGCGGGCGTTGTGATGTTTGCCTTGCTTGTTGGAAAGCCTCCTTTCCAGGATAAAGAAGTGAAAACGATTTACAAAAAGATCAAGGCCAACTCGTACAAGTTTCCTCGAGGTCTTGAAATTTCGAATGAGGCCAAAGACCTTATTTCGTCTTTGCTTACTCAAGATCCTAGTACGCGGCCAAGCATTGATGCAATTGCCGACCATGCCTTCTTTCATACTGGCTATATGGCAGCCAGTTTACCAGACGAGGTCTTGGACCAAAAACCCACCTGGCCCACAAGCCAATCTTCACAAGCATTCCAACGCAATCTTGACTACGTGGCTACGGCTTCAGGAGTTGGTTTTGGTAAATCTGCTGGTATAGAACAACATAAACCTTATGCTTTGCAAAATGACCAAGACACAGACAAAGAACGAATTCTGCCAAGTGTCCTCAGTCCTCGTGATCGTGTTGTGCCGGTAATGAGAATTGGTGCTGAAGACCTGCCGGCGGCTGCGTACAGTAATGCTACTCACAAAGCCTCTTTAGCGGCGGCGGCACCTCGTCGAGACTATGCTGTTTCTCGGGTGACTGAGCTGCGTGAAGAAGCACTTGTATCGAAACTTAGCGAGCAGCGAATTAGTTCTTCAAAAACAACTGAAGCCATTGAATCCCAACGAATGTCAACCCACGAAGTAATTATTGACACAGCGAAACCTGCAGACAATGAGAAGTCCGTATGGATGAGTATTCGTAAGCTTGCTTTGCGTATTGGGATGGCTATTGAGACACGAGCGGCAACGAGCACTATTGATCCGCGGGCTGTTGAGCGTTGGCCTTCACTTTTCATTATCACGAAGTGGGTGGACTATTCAAATCGGTACGGTCTTGGTTACCAACTCTCCGATGAGTCAGTAGGTGTTCACTTTAACGACTCGTCGTCGCTTGTTCTTTCACCAGACGAATCTTATTTCGACTACATTGTCCACAAGCGCAATCTTCCTCTCAGACGCTTGTTATTTACGTCGACAAACATTCCTGACGCTCTTAAGAATAAGGTGTATTTGTTAAAACATTTCAAGAATTATATGGGTCAGAACTTGTCGCTTGCCAGTCAAGCCAAACACGCTGCATCCAACGGTGCAAAAGCGACACATATGGCTTTTATGCATAGTTATTTACGAACACGGCAGGCAATTTTATTCCGCCTGAGCAATGGCACCATTCAAGTATGTGTTTGCTTAAACTATTCTCTCCTTCTTACTAACTTGCTTATAGTACAATTTTACCGATCATGCAAAGTTGATCGTTTCCGGTGAAGGCACACATCTTGTTTTTCTCGATAAGGAAAAGAGACGTTTCCATCTTTCGATGGAGGAAGCTTGTTTTCATTCAGAAGAACTCAAAGCGAGGCTGCTGTATGCTCGCGAAACACTCGAACTCTGGGCCATGAAACTCCGTGGCGGCAATAGTCAAAAGGAAACGACGGACTAGACCGATCATGATTTTGTTCTACCCAAACTAATTTGGACACGTCAAACAGCCTAATTTCTCAACATTTTTTTTTCGCACTTTTTTATTAATTTCCCTTGCTCCTCTGCTTTTGTTCCGCACGTCTGATATACGTGGCGTGGACCACTATTCCCTCCCTGCTTTACAAAATTAAAAGGACATAGACAGACGTCAAGGACAAGCATTGTAATTTACTGCAGCAGCTTAAACTTTTGGATCCCTTTAAGCATTCCTTCCCGAAACTACCTAAAACCATTGATGATATACTCGACCCCTTTTATCCCTTCCTTTCAGTTTTTTAAACATATTCTAAATGAAAGTTATTTGATTACGAATGGTATTGCGAAGATAAATTGTATAATAAAAACGATGGTGCAAACATTGTTCCAGAGCATAAAAAATAGATGAGGAGTTTTAGTAGGTAAAGTTATTACGAAAGAGGTTTTCGACTACTATTGCACAACTCGTTCAATCTTTGCGAGTTCATTAAACCAAAGTCCACTTACTAATGACAAACGAGACTTGCCGGACTTAGGCTTTGCTACAAGGGTCCTGGAAGTGTATTCCTCTTGCCAATAAACCTTCAGGGTCCACTCATGATTTATTCAATGACTACGCTGGCGCATAACTATGTTCGTTGACATGTAGATTCGACTTATTGATCCTTAAAAGGACTTACTAAAAAAACAAACAGACAATGTATTCGATACATTCTAAGCAGGTTGCTCTCCTAACTTCATGCACATTACCAAACAAACTACCTTAGCATCTAAACTACACTTTCCATATCTAGTTCATATCATTTAATTCAAGACTCACTGACTACTCATATACACTAACAGCCGGTGACTACGGCAAATTTTCCGGCTTTCTAAAACTATCGTTGGTGGTCGAGTGGCTAAATCTTCACCACAAATTCGCCGCTTAATCCCCCACCTTTCCCGTTCGACTCCCTTACACACCCATTTATCTTCATCTTCCACTTATCGCCTGGTTCACGGCTATGGCCAAACATCTCCGTAACTCATCTAACCCTGTCATTTAACCTTGTCTTTCACAAAATGCTAGAAAAGCAAGTTTTATCGCTATACCTACGGGGCAGTACGTCTATATGCTGTAGAAATTGGCCGCTAATATCGTCTCTAGACCTCCAATTGGGGAAAACCGTGTTTACACCAGCTGTGTTTTCACGAACAATTGGTTCAGTTCAAACAAATTGGAGCTCTAAGCAGTTGCAATGGACTCAGAATATTGCATTGAGCTCAATGAAACCATACTTCCAGGGCTCTAAATGGTCTACACGTCGTTATGCTACAGAAACTAAGAGCCCAGAGACACAAGTCAAAAGTCCACCAGAGTCGAAAGAGGCTGTGGGAAAGCATGTTGAGAATACACCAGCAAAACCGTCGAAGAAATCCCTTTGGCAGCGTTTCAAGGGTGGTGTTATCCATTTCTGGGACGGCACAAAGCTTCTTGGTGCTGAAATCACGATTTCATCAAAGCTTGTTTACAAAATGGCAGTTGGTTACGAGTTGACTCGTCGAGAAAGCCGTCAATTGACGAGAACAGTGAAGGACATGGGTAGATTGCTTCCCTTCTCCATGTTCGTCATCATTCCATTCGCAGAATTATTGCTTCCCGTAGCTATTAAGTTCTTCCCGAACTTGCTTCCTAGTACTTACGAAGATCCTAAGGATAAACAGGCTAAGAAGGAGCGGCTTCGGAAGACTCGTTCAGAAGTGTCGAACTTTCTTCGTAAAACCATGAAGGCTGGAAAGTTTAGCATTTCTGATGAAACTCGTGAGTCAAAGGAGTTCAAGGACTTCTTTCACAAGGTGCGTTACAGCAAGGAAAAGCCTACTCGTGAAGAACTCATCAACGTCTGTAAGTTTTTCCACGACGACATTACTCTTGATAATTTGTCGCGGGCGCAACTTGTCGCCATGTGCCGCTATATGAACTTAGGAGCCTTTGGCACCGAGCCGATGCTTCGTTACAACCTTCGCTCAAGAATGCGTCAAATTTGCAAGGACGATCGTGCCATTTACATCGAGGGAATCACTTCGCTTTCCGTTCCCGAACTGTTAAATGCCTGTAACTCTCGAGGCATCCGCACTCACGGACAGTCTACGGCTTCATTGCGCGAAGAACTGAGTGTCTGGCTTGACATGCGTCTTGTCCACGGAATTCCTTCTGCCATTTTGATGCTTTCTAACGCCTTTTCGTATGGATTTGCTGAAGATACTTTTGAGTCTCGCTGGGATGCGTTGATGGATACGCTGGCCTCCCTTCCCGATGAGTTATACCACGAAACAGTTGTTGATATGCCCTCTCAAGATGTTTCAAACAAGCAGCGTCTCGAGGTCTTGCGCGAACAAGAAGAGCTTATTGAGGAAGAAGCTGAACATGAGACTAGTAATCCAGCCGACGCAAAGCGCCGTGCTGCCGACGACAAGGCGGATACGATTGTTCCCCCCAAGTCTGAAAAGTAATTGACTGGAGTCCGTTTTGTTCGCATCTTTTTCTTTCGTCAACCGTTTCTATTCCAAACCTTCCTTTTCGCATGTCGTCGTTGTTCATGTCCTCTTCTTTTTGGCTGTTTTGACCCGTATCAGGTAGAATTGTGTTTACCTAATTGTCTATATATCAAATGACTCTACTTTAGAACGAATACTATGTTTCGTGACTTTTTCGCACGCAAGTCACGAATTCTGTTTACATTCTTTTCCTCCATGTATTGCTTCCGTAAAGACCCTTGAGTGATGCTTCGTCTAAGTGTATGAAAACAGCTTCAATGAATATTTCGCTGTTTGGAATGTATATATATGAAACAAAAAATAATTAGATGATGCTTTTTACCCTTCCCGTTTTAAGATTGATTTTGCCGTTTTAATAGCCTCTAGAGGAACGCCAGCGAGGGCGGCCACTCGAAGGCCATGTGAATTTCTATTTACGCCTTTGCGCACTCGGTGATCAAACACAAATGTGTCGTCCTCGTTTACAATCAAGTCTGTACAATAACACTCGATTTCTTTTTCGTCCTTTACCAAGGTAGCCAGTTCGTGCGAATGAGTAGCGAACAACACTCTTGACTTATTGATGGTGCGCAAATGTTCTAAACATCCATAACCAATGGCGATACCTTCCTTCGTCGTAGTACCCCGTCCAACTTCATCCATAATTACGAATGATCGAGGTGTTGCATTCTTTAAGATAAATGCAGACTCCATCATCTCTTCCATAAATGTTGACTTGTGCTGAGACAAGTTATCGGCCGAACCAACTCGACTAAATATTTGATCAATCACACCAATTTCAGCAAAGGACGCAGGAACAAAGCTTCCCATTTGTGCTAGAATAGCTATAAGAGCGTTTTGTCTAAGGAACGTACTCTTTCCCGCCATATTTGGACCAGTTATAAGCCAAATTCTGGAGGGCTTACCCACATAACAATCATTTGCTGTGAATGATACCATTTTTTGTTGAAGAGCTTTCTCAACAATTGGATGTCGCCCTTGAATAACTTTGTGTACACAAGAATTATTCACAATTGGACGAACCCATTTTCCTTCTAAGGCCAAAGAAGCCAGTGAAGTGGAAATGTCCAATTCATTTAGTAGTTTAGCACTTTCGCGAATAGACGACATCTGTTTTAGTACATCAGTTTGCAAGTCCATGAGTGTTTGAGCTTCAAGCTGTGAGATTCGTGTTTTCGTTGCCTCAATTTCAAGGCCTAAACATGACCATGATGGGAGATGATAATTAGCCGTAGACAGAGTTGTGTTGAAAACAGTTGCGTCCTGAAAGGTCTTTACAAATTTTGATTTTAAAGCCTTGTTCTGTGACTTGATGTAAACAAAGTACATCTTTGATGGGCTTCTGCGTAAAGTAACATTATCACCGACGGTCGAAGTTATTTTTGATTGTAGCTTTTCAACTGCTTTATAAAGAGTTTTTAATTGTTCATGTTCCTTCAATAGTGCTGGAGATGTAGAGGGCTTGACTATCCAGATATCGGAAAGATTGTTCAGAAAAGCATTTTTTACAGACTCTAAAGAAGATTTTGATTTTCTGCTTTTTGTTTTTGGTACCGGAGCTGCAATGCTTGAATCCAATTCAAGATCTTCAACAACCTCGCCCTTTGCTTCTAAATCCTGTTCCTGGCGTTTGTACAGGGCCTCTTCGTCTATGGTGTTGCTAATCCTTTGGCAAAGGTCCTCGTGAGTATTCAAGGCCTCAGTCAAACGAACAAGAGACGGGTTGGTATTCATGGAACGTAACAATGTCTTTATTTCCATTGTCAAGTGGAAAGTTGAAGCTAAACCTAGGAAGTCTTGCGCACTTCCTCTTCCCAATACAGATCGTTGCAGCAGTCTTTCAGAATCACTGGTTTTCTTTAGCAATTCTGTAATTTGAATACGTGCAGAGGGATTCTGTACAAAAGCCTCAACTAAATCCAAGCGTTCGTTGATTACACGAACGTTTGTCGAAGGAGAACATAGTCTTTGAACAAGCAAACGTGCACCAGAATGCGTGACAGTTCGATTGATAGCATGAAGCAATGTTCCTTGAATACGGCCCTCCTGAAACGAATGGCGAATTTCCAAACTTCGCAAAGCACAAGCTCCTATGACCATGTTCTCCCGCGGAGAATATCGAATCGGATGTTGTATTGTAGTTTTAGAGTTCATCAGCCGATTGGAAACATACTGGAGTAAATGGGAGCCCGATTGAAGTTCCACGGGTTTTAAATCTTCTAAAAAATCAATACTAAGCGGACGGTCAAGAAACTTCCTCCATTGGTTTATTTCCCAGACTTCAGGGTCAGTATAAGAGAAATAGAGACCTTTGGTATTTACATCCGAGAACAATAGATCCCGAGCCTTCTCATCTTTAAAACGAGTGTCCAACAAAACCTCTCTCGGGGAAATTCGTTCAATGTCCCCGGCTAGCTCTTGCACGCTGGAGTCTTTCACGTAAAACTCACCCGTTGATAAGTCCAACCATGTTAGACCGACTAGAGTTTCGGGCTGAATATCCCCTAACGATTCATCTGTAGCGATAGACAAAATGAAATTGCTTTCTCCAGGGCTAATAAAACTCTCGTCAATTAATGTTCCCGGAGAGATTACTCGAGTTACAACCCGATTGTACAAGTTCGATGTAGAAAAATCATCTGGGGCCTTGGGAATCTCTTCACTAAGAGCGACACAAAGATTCATGTCTTGAACAAGTATTTTCAAATACCGATCAAGTTTCGCGGCAGGAAATCCTGCCATGGATACAGGCATAAGTGACGTTCTCCGTTGAGAAACCCGCAAATTCAACAGCGGTGCAACTTCCTCGGCTTGTTGAAAATACAACTCATAAAACCCACCGACTTTAGTAAGCAAAACGCAGTCTGGAAACCTCTCTTGCTGCAATCGGACTCCACGAAGAACTGGAGGAAGTGTCTTCGTTGGTTCGATTGGCTTTAGAGGGACACTATTGTTTTTCTTTAAAAGTCCATTGATTATAGTAGACTTTTGACGAACTTGCCCACAGTCCCATGTTCGCAAGTGCTGAGTTCGTAACCGACCTACTCGACAAACGAATGCCGTAATAGATTTAGCATGGCTCATGTCTATTACAGGGTGGTGGTACAGAAATCATTCCCGTCAATAATTACAAGAAAGAACCTTGACGCGAAATGAGAATTTGGAGAGGAAGCTCATTAAAGTACTCCATAAACAGCAATAGAAAAAGAATAAAAACTCCCAACAAAAAAGTACGGGTCGGACATTTTCGATTTCATAAGAACTAAATTAGTGAGAGAATGTTATCTAATTGGCACTCATAAACACTTTAACTCATGCATGGCAGCAATTCCTCCTGTGAATGATTTATATTAGATCAAAAGCAGCGTACTTATAAACAACTATTTTTGTTATTAATTATAGACGACCCAATGTGCACAAATAATATTAAAAAGTCAGTTGTCACGATAGTCTCAAGATTTCTGTGCTTTCGACTAACGCACTGACTTCAACGCAGATCCATTCATACACAAATGCAAGCGGACACTGAAACCAAAAGAAATACTTTTTGTGCTAGTCAACACCTAGGCAGCCCATAGAACTTTTTTAATAAAAATAATTAAGGGAAAATGGAAACAATGAAAGGGAACAGGAAAAAAAGAAACAAAATTGAGATGGAAAGTTGGCATCCGGTGAAAAAGGATTCTCTATACGGCACAACGACTCTATTTGTCCGTGTTGTCTTCTAATTGTGCACGCTTCAACTCCAATTCCGTAACCATTCTGTTGACATCTGCAAGGAAACGATTACGCAGGATAGGATTGGTAGCTTCGTCGGCATCACGTTTACGCTTTTGGATGGAGGATTCAAGCTCAGAGATAAACTCCCTAACCAGACGGTTCTGGCGTTTGTTCTCTCTTGTTTCATCGTCCGCTGAACAAAGTTAGTCACAAAGAAAATACATAAATAATAAAAGCAGCTCATCATACCATCATTATCATCTTCATCCTCCTCCTCTTCATCCTCATCGCTAGCAGACTCGTCGGCGGCTTGGTGCGTCTCCGCAGTGGTTTCACGAGTGGTACTTTGGTTAAGCTCCAACATGCCTTGTTCAATTTGGCCTGCAAGATCATCTTCGTCCATTCCGTCAAACAAGTCGGCTTGTGAAACACTCTCTTCACGCTCCGTAGTTTCACCACGGCGAAATTGGGTATTGTTGAATGACATGTCTTCTGAAAGCGCCATACTGCTCTCACGAGCCAGTTGAGCACTATCGATAAGTTCATGAATAGATGTTTCTGCTTGTTCATCCAAAGCAAGCAGACGATCCACTTCTGCCTCAACAGCTTCGATAGTCTACAAAAAGCTTATTAGCACAAGAACTGAAAGCATCGGCTCATCTCAAACGTACTCTGTTAGAAACACGTTTTCGAAAACGTTTCTGTCGAACCCAGTGCATCGGAGGCGTAACACCATGAGGATAAACATAGTCTTTCAGTTTCAACGGATCCATTGGCACATCATCTTCGTGCTCAATCCGTTTCTCAACAAGCAGCATCTGAGAGATATCGGCTGTCTTGAACACAACTTTTTTGTCATAACTCTTGCTGGACTCAATGATGCATGGCAAATCAACAAGCTTTGCCGCATACATGTGTCCATTAACATGAATCACAGCACGACGATTGTCTGACACAAAGTTGTTAGTAAGAAGAGCAACTGTAACAATAAGCTTACCCTTAAATTTGATCCATATGTCGGCACCACGACCGACTTCCCGATTCTCAATCGCCTTTCGAACATAATCGCAGTCTTCACCAGGAGGCATGCGGAGCATAATTTGTTCTTCGATATAAGGATCCTCTTCCCTGTCTGAAGCTTCTGAATCGTATCCCAGACCTGGCTCACGGGCCCTTTTCAAACGAATCTTCGTAGGACGCGGGTTCGAAGAGTCTCTAGCTGCTCTAATTCGAATTTTAGACACGCCAGAGCCATTAGCTTTTGGTGCTTTGATATGGATTTTTGGTTCTGCAGAGGGAGGAGGTCCAGCCTTGATTTTTAGTTTTACCATTGTAGAAGCCAGAAATACACAGTAACGAGAACACCCTTATTGCAAATGAAAATAATGCAAGTAATTAAGCAAATCCCTAATCCGTTCTTCCCAACAACCAGAGCACCCAGAGGGCAATATTATTACGGAGGAAAGTAATCGGTGAATGGCAAATGCGGCGAAGCCGTAACACAAATGGCCACAGCAATGGATAGTTCGGCCACGCTGTTTTACCCAAGGTGTTGGTTTCAGCCCAACTCGTGTGTTAGTATTGTGGTGGTGAGCGTTTGGTGGTTAGTCTCGTTAAGCTTCCTTGGAGTGTTTCGTGACACACTATACATCACTATCCGCAACTCCAAGTGGGCATTCTCGCCGGCGAACTGATGACTGCAACAGACTCTCATACGCCATCCTCGGTAGTCGGCTCGAAGAAACAACAAATACCATACTCCTTCGGTTTGGAGCATTTTGTGAGGGAAAGGTGGTCACATTTTAAAATCAAGTTACTGAGTTATCAACGTAGTTTGTGGTTTCTCCCCCTCGATTGAGCCTGACAATGTCAAGCTTAAAATCCTTCATTAAAGCGGTACGTGCTGCAAAGACAACAGCAGCGGAGACAAGTGCAATCCGGAAAGAGTCTGCAGCAATTCGTAAAAGTATACGCCAGGACACGAATGATCTGAAAACTCGTCGTCGAAATGTCGCGAAACTCATTTATTTATACCTTCTTGGTGAACCAACGCATTTTGGACAGATAGAGTGTTTGAAACTGGTTGCTAGTCCTCGGTTTAAAGACAAACGCGTGGGTTACCTTGGTGCGATGCTGTTGCTGGATGAAAACCAGGAGGTCCTGACTTTGTTAACGAATTCGTTACAAAACGACCTTAAGTCAACGAGTGAACACGTCGTCGGTCTTGCGTTAGCTACCTTTGGAAGCATTGCTAGTGAAGAGCTTGCACGCGACCTCTCCAATGACATTAATGAACTTATTCTTCGCGACAAAGTATCAATTCGCAAAAAAGCCATTCTTTGCGCCATGAAAGTTTGTCAAAAATTACCTGAGCTGACAGAACTTTACGTTGACCGCGTAATTCAACAGTTTTCTGTGCGCAGCCAAACTGTGCTACTCACATCTCTTTGCTTTGCTATTGATGTGTGTGAACGGGATCCATCGCACATCGAGGTATTCAAGAAACAGTACTCGTACATGCTTTTCCGCCTCAAACTCTTGTCTACGCCTGGTCATGCTGATGAAAACAACATCGGCAACATCGGCAATCCTTTTCTCCAAGTGAAGCTTTTGCGTTTCCTCGCGATCATGGCCAAGGGAGATCAGGCACTTTCCGATGAAATGGCGGAAATCCTAACCCATATTTGCACTGCCACCGACACATCAAGAAACGCCGGAGATGCCGTTCTCTACGAAGCTGTGCGAACGATCCTCGAAATTGAAGCGAGCAGCGGTTTACGGGTGCTGGGTGTCAATATCCTTGGCAAGTTTCTCAGCAACAGAGATAACAACACACGCTACGTCGCTCTCAATCTCCTCAAACGTGTGGTCGGCGTGGAAGAGCAAGCTGTTCAACGTCATCGTACTACTGTTATCGAGTGTCTTTATGATGCTGACATCTCCATTCAAAAGCGCGCCTTAGAATTTGCATCTTATCTTGTCAATGATACCAACGTTCGTTTTATGGTTAAGGAGTTGTTAGCATTTCTTGAGGTGGCACCTGTTGAATTGAAGGCGAAGACGACGGCCGAATTGAGCCAGGCTATTAGCACATTTGCTCCGAACAGAAGATGGCATTTTGACACGCTCTTGCAGGTCTTAAAAACAGCTGGAAACTTCGCTTCGGAAGATATAGTCTACCACTTTTTGCGTCTCATTGCCTCCGCACAAGACTTGCACGAGTATGCTGTATTTAAATTGTTCGCTGCGTTAAACAAAGACATTTCCCAGAATGCTCTGACTATTGCCGCTTTTTGGGTCATCGGAGAGTATGGCAATATGCTTCTCTCACCCAAGCTCCACATTGATGATCCCGACCTCCCATCACACATCACGGCCAAGGGCGTGATTGATTTGTACGAACAAGTTTTGCGGAGTACTGATCCCAAGAACACGACAATTATTCAATTTGGCTTGGTTGCTTTGGCAAAGTTGACCGCTCGTTTCCAAACGAGTACAGAACGTCAACGCATTGTGCGCATCATTTCTTCTTTCTCTGCTCACTTGAATGCTGACATTCAACAACGGGCTATCGAGTTTGAAGTTGCTATACGCGATAGCGGGCTCGACCATGTCGTTTTCGCAAATATGCCTGCCCCTCCTCCGCCCACTTCATACATATCCATGAACAGCGATGAACAACAGAAAAAGCATAACAGAACCAAGTCTGAAGTGCAAAAGACGGCCGATTTGCTCGACTTAATTGGCCTGAATGACACGACAAACAACACACCCGCCACTGTAGACAATGTGATGGTCGGCGATGCCTCACCCTCATTATCCATCAACACGTCTGTTCCTACTCCCTCGACTGATGCGAGAAAGAGCCATGTGAACGATATTCTCAGTCTCTTTGATACCGCATCCCCCTCCATAAACAGTGTTAATACAGGATCCGAGTTTGCCTCTCCAGCTCTTACTCCAAATACCACGTACTCAACTCCTTTCACTACCGCAGCATCGGCGGCAGCAGAACAGACGTACGCAGAATGTCCGGTTTACAATAAGCACGATCTGTCTGTTGTTCTTGTCCCTGCAAAAGACGCCTCTTCCAAGACTGCCAGCATCACTGTTCTTTTCCGTAACCTCAGCAGTACAGTTCAAATCGATCGGGTTCAGTTTGAGGCTGCTGTTCCAAAATCCCAGAAGCTTAGGATCCAACCGTTGAAATCCACAACCATTCCTCCTTCTGGTGAAATTTCTCAGCTTTTGCGTGTACAGGGTCCTGAAGGCGCCCGGGTCCGGTTACGTCTTCGTCTTGGCATTACCCGTCAAGGAATGCCGCCTATTTTAGAGCAATTGGACGTGAGCAATTTGCCGTTGGACCTGCTGAGCTAAAAGTGTACTGTAACACATTTTCATATCTGATACGTAACAGCATTAACAAACACCCAAACACGCCGACATCCCTTCCCCCCCTTCGTTCGGTGTTGACTACTTTCAACCTTAACACTCCTTATGAAGGCGTTCAGTGATATGCAAATAGATATTTGTAACGAATAAAGTAATCTTTCTTCCTTCCGTGCACATTTATACGGCTTGTTCTTGAGAAGCTTGTTTTTTCCGTTCTTCTATGGTCTGCCGAATGTAGTAAGCTTTTGCGTTTTGTGTTGCTGTCTCTAATGCAGTCATCCGTTCTTTCAAGTCGCGTTCCAAGTCCCACGTAGCTTTTTTTGGTCGAAGGGACGTTAAATCAAGCTCTTCTTCCGGAATTGCCTGCTGCTCTTCTAACACTTTTTGGGTTTCTTCTTCAATGTTGGCGGCCACCTTTTCCACCGTTTCCTCTCCTATCGTTGGTGGCTCCACAAATCCCATTTTGGGAGCCTGTGTAACAGGATCGTAATTCCTGAACTTTAACACCGACGAATTTGTTTCGTTTTCGTTATCATTTCCCTCATGGTTTTGCTGTTCCCGTTGAAGTTGATTGATTCGTCTAAGCTCAGCAAGTCTTTGTTTTCTGCTTTCTGAGGCTTCATTAAAAGTAGACATGTTTACAAAATTTCTACAGAGCGACAGGTAGTGTAACCAAGCAGCTCGTTACCGTCCACTTCAATCTGTAAGCCGAGTCAATGGTGGGCCTTCTTGGCGTTTTTGGTGGTAGTGTTTTGGTGGAGGAAAATAACATCTCACACTGAATTCTGTTATGTGATTTAATGCATTTTAATGCAGCGCACCGCACTGCTGCCACGGAACATCCGTGGAGGACCGGGGGCTCCCACTAACTATACGACCGCCCCCGAACGATTTTTACTCTCTCTTAGCCAACTACGTGCACCGGCAGTTGACGTATCTCTTTACTTTACTAAATTCAATATGCCTCAGAACGAGTATATTGAAGAGGCCATTCGCAAACATGGTCGTCGTTTCGACTATGAAGAGAAGAAGTGAGTTTCGGACGATGTTTTTTGTACTCAGTTCCTTCTGTTACTAACAACGCGTGAACAGACGTAAGAAGGCTGCTCGTGAGGTCCATGAGTCAAGTAAATATGCTCAAAAGGTCCGTGGTATCAAGGCCAAGTTGTACCAGGAGAAGAGACGGAAGGAGAAGATTCAAATGAAAAAGACGTATGTGGACAAGACGCGATTCATTCCGCTAACCGTGTCAGTATTAAGGAGCATGACGAGCGTAACACGACTCAACGTGGTTCTGAGCCCGAAGTCCAGGGTGCTGTCCCTACATATTTGTTGGATCGTGAGCAAGAATCTCAGGCAAAGATGCTTTCAAACGCTGTTAAGCAAAAACGTAAAGAAAAAGCCGCTAAATTCTCTGTGCCTCTTCCCCAAGTCCGTGGTGTGTCCGAGGAAGAAATGTTCAAGGTTGTTCGTACAGGCAAGAGCAAGAAGAATGCTTGGAAGCGTATGATCACGAAAGCAACATTTGTCGGTGATGGTTTTACTCGTCGTCCTGTTAAGTACGAACGGTTCATCCGGCCAATGGCTCTTCGTCAAAAGAAGGCCAACGTTACACATCGTGAGCTTGGTGTAACGATGCAGCTTCCTATTATCGGTGTCAAGAAGAATCCCCAGAGTCCCATGTACACTCAACTTGGTGTGTTGACGAAGGGTACCATTATTGAGGTCAACGTTAGTGAGTTGGGTCTTGTCACTGCTGGCGGTAAAGTTGTTTGGGGTAAATACGCCCAAGTAACGAACAACCCTGAGCTTGATGGCTGTGTCAATGCTCTTCTTCTCACTTAAAACGTCCTCATTCTGTCGGCCGTTGTGGCTCGCTCTATGGATACTTGTTTTGTGTTTGTTTATTGTTTTGGATGCACGTGCATATAGGGTTTACAACAGGAATGAAAAGAATGTAATTCAAAAGTGAGTGTGCATAAAAGTTAGTTGTCGGATTTAGAGAATGGTCAGGTAGGTTAGGTGAGTAGTTCTTTTTTAGAGACGGTGGTAATGGCACCCTGTTTGCGACCGCTTTGTTTTGTTTTGTTTCTGTTTTTTTTGTTTACCACGCGTCGCGTTTTTCATTTCGGCGTGTCGCAACTTATTGAATAACGTTTCCTTCTATGCGGATTTAAACTTACCAACTACCAAATGGCTACTGTGACACCAAACGTGTGGGTTGCTGCCAGTGATGGCAAGATTGACGTTGTGCTTGTACGTGAAAGCAGAATAATGCTGTTTTTAATGGAATTGCTGACAGTTTTTGCTTAGAAACACTTGGAAGCTGGCGTTTCTCCCAATGTGCTCGATGAAAACGGATACACTCCTATGCATGCAGCTGCGTCGTATGGTATGAAAACACACGCGTTGCGTATTTATTAATTTCATTCTAACGGGGTTTTTATGGAAAAGGCCACAAGGAGCTGCTGAAACTTTTGGTTGAACGCGGTGGAAATGTGAACGTTTGCGACAACGACGGAGAAACACCATTGTTTGTTTGTGAGACAGTCCCCATGGCACAGATGTTGGTTGAAGAACTGAACGCGGATCCATTGGTGAAGAATGCTGAAGGACTGGTTGCTGCCCAAGTTATTGAATCCAATGGTGAATTTCCCGATGTCGCCAGTTACTTGTACAAGGCCACAGGTATGCAGCCATCGAACCCACAAATGCCAGAAAACACGGAGATGAAGTATGCAAAGTTCATGACTCCAACCGAGATGGAAGGAATCGACGCTCAACCGCTGTTGGACGAGAACGCCAAGCAAGACATTCAACGTATTCTCGAGCTTGGTCAAAGCTCAGAAGAGACGGACGCTCAACTGCGTAAACTGCTTGAAAATGCTCTTTCTGGTCGGTTCGGACGAAACGTTCGTTCACGCGAAGAGTAAAAAAATTTGTAAGCAAGCAGTCAGCTCTCGTCTGTGCCGCATGTATTCGTTTGTTGTCAGTGAGAACGCCCGCAAATGAAAGAGTGACTAAGTCTAGAGCGTCGATCAGTCAATGATTTATATCTCCAGCTACAAAAACTTCATTTCATCTAGAATTGGTAAGGAAAACGTATTTTTTTTGTTGTCATTTCTGGGCCGAGGGGACCACAAAATTTCGTCGGGCCCTGGTGGCCTACTCCCACAACCACCCACAAAACCACTTCTCGTTGACGTACCTCACCCATGGCTGCAGGAAAAAGGAAGGCTACCGCGGCGACCGTCAAGAAACAGCTTCATCCCTCCAAGAAGCGCTCCAAGGACTCTACCGTGAAGTCCGTGGAGAGAGAGGAAAAGGAGGAACAGATGACTGTGGACGAAAACTCTGATGAAGAGGAAGAGGAAGATTCTTCTGCTGTCGAGTCCAGTGAAGAGGATGAAGATGAATTGGACCAAGATTCTGACTCTGGAGATGATGAAGAAGACGAAGAGGAGGAAAACGACGAAGATGAAGATGATGCCGAAGAAGTCGACGACGAATCCAAGCCGAAGACGAATTCCAAGGAAGCTCACGCACTTCAGAAAAAACTCATCAAGGAAAGAAAGGCAGCCAAGCCCTTTTCGGACGTTGTTGACCAATCCAAACGCCTTTGGGATAAAATTCGTAACAAAACGGGTATGAAAGCAGCAGAGCGCCGTCAACTTGTCGAAGAGCTGTTTGGCCTTATTCGTGAAAACGTAAAGGCTCTTGTGTTCAAACATGACATGTCTCGTGTGATTCAGACCTGCGTCAAGTACGGATCCAAGGCACAACGTGAAGCTATCTGTGAAGAACTGAAGGGTTGTCATGTTGAGCTGTGCAAGAGTCCTTATGGCAAATACCTTTCGGTCAAATTCTTCAAGTATGGTACGCCTGCTATGAAGGGAATGGTCTTGGGCGAATTGTACGGAAACGTCAACAAGCTTATTCGCCATCGCGAGGCAGCCTACGTGGTTGAAGATGCGTTCAGAGAGTACACAAACTTGCAACAGCAACACGCTCTCATCTCAGAATTTTACGGTCCTGAGTACCGTGTGTTCAAGGACGCATCACAGGACGTACACATTGACAAGTTGCTGAAGGAGAATCCCGACAAGCGTAACAGTATCATGCAAAACCTGTGGCAGACCATAGAGGGCAGTGTCCAGAAGGGATCCATTGGATTTACCATGGTGCATCGTGCCATGTTGGAGTATATGCAACATGCGTCTGAGAAGGAAGCTGACCAGTTGCTGCAGCTCGTGAAGGAGCAGGTGTATGAGTTTGTTCACACAAAGGATGGTTCTGAAACAGCCATGATGCTTTTTGCCGTTGCTACTGCTAAGGACCGAAAGGTGATGTGGAAGAGCATGCGTCCTTACCTGGTAGAGACGGCCAAGGACTCGTATGGTCACTTGGTAATCGTGGCCGGCCTTGACTGCACAGATGATACAGTGCTTACGGGAAAACTTGTGCAGGCAGAGTTCCAAGGAAAACTTTTCAAGCTGGGCATTGATCGTTACGCGCGCCGTGTTTTGTTGTATCCACTTGTTGGATGGAATGAGCCCCGGTATTTCAGCAAGCTGAACCGTGACTTTTTCGCCTCCTTGGCTCCCTTAAAGGAGAAAACGGCGAAGAAGGATGCTGATGTCCGTCGTGCCGAACTCAGATCGGCGTTTTCGCCTGCCCTTCTTGAGCTCGTTCGCAACACCGCTGGCGAGTTGATGGCCGAGACTCTGGGTTCGCAAGTACTTGTGGAGACTTTGCTTTATGCAGACGGCGACAAGGAAGCTGCTATAGATGCCGTTGTTTCTGCCTTTAGCTCTGATCCTGCCGAGGACACACATTTGATTCACATGGTGCACTGTTCTCGTGCGCTCAAGACACTCGTTCAAAATGGTCACTGGGATGCCAAGGCCCGTCAAGTGCGTCAGTCTGAATCTCAACTTCACATGGCCGAGAAGTTGAAGCCGGTTATGGAGAAACATCTGGAGTCTTGGGCGTGTGGCGATGGTGCGTTTGTCGTACTTGCCGTGTTGGAGGCTCTTTCCGACGACGACAAAGCATCTTTGCTGGCTGCACTGCGCAAACACAAGAAGGCTCTTAAGTCTTCATCAACGTTTAAGGGTACGCAACGTCTATTAGAACTACTGTAGGCGGCCCGCTACTGTACATCTTTTTGTTTTAAGGCACGTGTGTGTGTGTGTGCATCACACACACAAGTGTCACTAGGGTGTGGGATAAAAAATGACGCTTGTATAATGCTGAATTCTGCAAGCCTCGAGGACTGGAAAAATGAAAACGGTGAATGACAGCATGACAAGTTTGTCGTGCTGTTTCTACGACACGAGTGGCACCGAGAGTGGTGCCTCTGAGGGGGAAGTGTGTGGGTTTTGTGGGGTAGGGGCTATTTGTGTGCAGAAGGCGAGTTTGATTTGTTTCGTATTCTCTGTATCGAGCTGTATATGGCCCGTTCACTTAGTATCATTTGGCCCAGTGTGTGGGCATCTGGATTTGGGTTTTTGGTGGTTAGGTATGTGGGATCCATGTGGTGGGACATTTCTTATCCACATAACCCCACTTCTCTTCACCACCAAAACTCGCAGTCCACTGGAAGGAAAACAGCCATCCCTGTTTCTCTCCTCCACAACCCCCACCTCACCAAAAATCTGCCATGGCCGCCTCTTTGCTCGTTCTCATTTCCGGTTCAGGATCCAACCTGCAGGCGATCATTGATGCTACACAATCAGGCATACTCAAGGACAAGGCCGTGGTGAAACACGTCCTTTCGAACCGCAAAAAAGCGTTTGGTTTGGAACGTGCTGCTAAGGCCGGCATCCCCACGTCCGTCCACACGCTGTTGCCCTACAAAAAGGAGCATGGTGATGAAGAGGGAAGACGTCTTTTCGACGAGGAGTTGGGCCGTCAGTTGGTCGAGCATAACCCTTCGTTAATTGTTTGTGCCGGATGGATGCACATTTTGTCGCCTATTGTGCTGAACCAACTCTCCGCTCACAACATTCCCATCATCAATCTTCATCCTGCTCTGCCTAATGCCTTTAACGGAATCCATGCCATTGAGCGTGCTTACGAAGCGAGCCGTCAAGGCAAGATCAACGAGACAGGCTGTATGGTTCACTGGGTGATTGCTGAGGTTGACGGAGGCAAGCCCATTGCCATTCAACGCATTCCCATTACTCAAGACGACACTGTCGATTCTCTTGAGGCCAAGATCCATGCCGAGGAGCACAAGCTGCTTGTTCAGGCCATTCACGACATCGTTACCGGTGCCGTTCCTCGTCCTTAAGGATCGCTGCAGATCTTTTCTGAGTTTGTGGAGATCCACGTTGCAGATCATGTTTAAGCAGTGATCTTCACTACTCTCATTGCAGTCACCACCATTTTTGTTTACCCCCTCTCGTAGATGAATATAGCGAAATTTTGTGAGTGTTCTGGCGTCGCCGTAAGCATTTTAGCGATTGATAGCGATGCTTAACGAGTTAGTGGACCCCGAAGGGACGCGATGATTGGTGGCGTTTGGCCTTACTCAACTGCCGAACTATCATCTACGCCTCTGCCTACTTACACATACAGTCTTGTGTGACCACCACCAGTGGTCTGCACCCTCCACTTCAGTTGCCCCCATTATTTCGCCACATACTAAGTGGGGGACAGCAGCCATCCAAGAGTTAAGAAATATACCCGGCAAGACATCATTTTGACGGCATCAAGAAACGCTTGGTTATATAAAGGACGAGCAGGAATGAATACAAAACATCTGACTATAACGAACTACAACGATTCTGAGGGAGAATATTATCACAATTGCTTGTAGTCGCGTCTTGTAACAACAGCACAAAATGGACCGACAAAACTCACAACATCAACCAAGCTCTCGGAAAGACAACGAGTACGTTCGGCATTTGAACTTGACGGAGTCGTCTGTGGTAGAGGAGGACCCGCAATTGCAAGCGAAAAGCCATGAAAACGAGCAACACGAACGTGTCCTGGACGACTCGTTAATGCAGAACAAGCAAGTGCTTGACGAGGAATTCGCCCGCTTAACACCCGAGACAACCAATGAGAGTCTCAAGTGGAAGAAGGAATGAGCCGGACACTACGTTTACCGCTTGACCAGTCCCCAGTCTGACCCTCGCGGCGTCAGTGCGACGCGAGACTCCTTTTAATGAATGTATTTAATGAATGTGTGTACTTTAAGAAGTGGGATGGTGGGGGTTGTGTGGGGTGGCTGGTGTACTGCGTTAAAGAGTATAGCGCAGTCCAAACTAGTTCATAAACATTCCTTGCGTTATCGTGTGGCTCGGCCGTTCTCGCAACCTGTGTTAGTGCGAGACTCGTAGTAGTACAGTATTTTGTTTAATGCACTATAATGCAATTAAACGCATCTCGCTTCATTACCACACTATTTTGTTTATTGTACTCTATGGTACTGCACCGCAGAGTAAAGAGCTGTAGCGCGTCCCAACGCATCGAAGCTCCCCCTTCAACCTCGCGCAGGTCTACTGCTAAAGACCATCCTATTTAGCTGTAAAAAAGCCGGGAAAACAGCGAAATTCATGTTCACAAACCCATTCTTTCTAAAGAGACAGGTAATTTTGGTACCTTGCCGAAAACTCAGTTTTCGTGCGGACATTTTTGATGAAACGCGTTGCTGACTTGCTGCAGGGGACCCACATCTGGAAACGATGTTTAAGACAGTGTAATTTTATTCAATGGCACAAAAGGACACTCACAGTACAAAGTTTTTCGCCTCTTCGGCGGCTATACACGAATTCAGCATTTCCAACTAATTCCAACACTCTGAGACAGGACCTCGCGTTTCTGGAGGAAAGAGCAAATGCAGATCTGTATGACTCCTCTGAGCAGGCTCGTTTTTATGAACGGATTGTAGATATATACCCGGAGGCTGTGATTAAACGTTACGAAACAAAAGGTGTTGCGAGAGATGCCGATTGCGACCGGCTATATTCGCTCGCACTGCTGAAGAAGGCTCACAGTCTTGCACCTGAAAGCTTTCTTTCCAACACTGCTGCAGCAGTGAACTCTGCCGAAACATCGCCTCACTCCTACCGCTCATTGCCTTTTTCAAAGATGGCTGCTCCTTATGGGTCTGCTGCAGCTGCTACTACTGGAACCGCTTCCGCTAATCCCATTGACGGTACTGCCACGAACAACACACTGGGTTCTAACCCTGCACCAGCCAAAGGGCCCGTCTCAAGCGTGCTGCATTCGCAGTCGACACCTTCTCTTGCTATTCACACCTTGCCAGCGACCACTTTGCCCCTGGGTTCTGACAAAAAACATCCTCTATTTGTGGTGATGGACGAGTCTCGATTTGCCAAAGTCTTTCGTGTGGTTCGTTTTCTCGTCGGTGTGGGTTTTATTACCTATGTTGCCTTAGTCGGTATGAGCATTCTTGCCGAAACGTCTGGCGTTAATAATCTCATCGGGAACAACCCCGAGATTGAACCGGCCGAAGAACGGTCGGTGGACGTTCATTTCTCCGATGTGCAAGGTGTCGATGAGGCCAAGGAGGAATTAGAAGAAGTGGTAGAGTTCCTGCGCAATCCCACTGAGTTCACCCGTTTGGGTGGAAAACTTCCTCGAGGTATTCTTCTTACAGGCCCCCCGGGTACTGGTAAAACGATGCTGGCTCGGGCGGTAGCCGGCGAAGCTGGCGTGCCTTTCTTCTTTATGAGCGGCAGTCAGTTTGATGAAATGTTTGTTGGTGTGGGTGCTAAACGTGTTCGTGAGCTCTTTGCTACTGCTCGCAAGCATGCTCCTTCCATTATTTTTATTGATGAACTCGATGCCATTGGACAAAAACGTAATGCTCGCGATGCTGCACACATGCGTCAGACGCTGAACCAGCTTCTTGTCGACCTGGATGGTTTTTCAAAAGACGAAGATGCTGCGCATCCAGTCATTTTCATCGGTGCTACCAATTTCCCTGAGAGTCTGGATCCAGCACTTACACGTCCTGGTCGTTTCGACCGGCATGTCCATGTACCTTTGCCAGACGTACGTGGCCGAATGGCTATTTTGCGCCATCATACACAAAACGTGCCACTATCTGAAGATGTTGACCTCAGCGTCATTGCCCGTGGAACATCTGGATTTGCTGGTGCTGATTTGGCTAATCTCATCAACTTTGCTGCCATTCGTGCAAGCCGGCTACACTCTAGATATGTCGGAATGTCTGACATGGAGTGGTCAAAAGACAGAATAATTATGGGTGCAGAACGGAGAAGCGCCTTTATTACGCCCGAGTCCAAAATGATGACTGCTTACCACGAAGGTGGACATGCGCTGGTCGCTCTGTTTACACGCGGTGCTATGCGACCGTACAAGGCTACGATTATGCCGAGAGGCAGTAGCCTGGGCATGACCGTTTCATTGCCTGATATGGATAAAGACAGTTGGACTCGAGGCGAGTACATGGCCATGATGGATGTGGCTATGGGCGGAAGAGCTGCAGAAGAGTTGCTGTACGGAAGAGATAACACAACCTCTGGTGCCCACAATGACATAGAGAAGGCCACTCAAATTGCCCGTAAAATGGTAACTGAGTTTGGCATGTCTGATCGTGTGGGACCGGTGAGTTTGGAAACTGAGTTCAGTGATCTTTCACCAGCTACGAAAGCGGTAGTTGAGGCTGAAATCAAGTCTCTCTTGGAAGGGTCTTACGAACGTGCAATGCTGTTATTGAAAACTCATAAAAAAGAACTTGAAACGCTGGCACGAGCTCTCGTAGAATACGAGTTCCTCACAGCAGATGAAATGCAACGAGTCATGAAAGGTGAGGACCTCTCGCGGACGCCAATTGACTAACCATGTCTGCCCTCTTTCTTTTTCCCTACTAATGGCGCGGTGGCATTGTCCGCTATTAGAGTCTGCGTTTTTCTCTCTGTTACCGCGTTTCCTGTACTGGTTTATTTTGACGTTTTCTTTTTGGTAGAAATCGATGGGCAGGCGTCGATTAATTCACCAATGCAACCAATCTCTTTTACCGAATGACCTTCATTTTCCTTGATTTTTTTACTTACCTCTTTCAATTCCATCTCCCTCCCGCTACCGTGTTAAACTTTGTCTTGGAAAATTACTGCTGATGTATTAAGGGTAATAGAACTAAAGTGTTAAAAAAGTTGTACGTTGCTGTATAGACGTAAAGGATGTTGTTATGCGGACAGTACAAAAAACTGAAGACGAGATAAAGGGGGGTACAAGTGTGTATAATGCGTAAAAGAGTGATTTGTTAAATACGCTCGTACGGCGAATCTTGGATAAATTAGAAAATCACGTCCTCGTCAGAGTTTTCATCGCCGGAAAACTTGCTAGCAGATGTCAAAAGCGAAGACTCAAGGGCATCAGAGGGTGTCGAGACACCGCTATTAACATCAGAAGAACCATTCATTGCTTCGTTGGTATTACGACGAGCGCGAGCAGCAGCCTTAGCACGCTTATTGCGTCTTCTTCTAGCTGACTTGGAGACAGGTTTAGAGGTGGCAGCAGGAGTTTGAGAATTAGGGTCGTTTTCTTCAACGGCAGCTTCAGTTTGGGTAACAGTCGAAGGTGCTTCGTCAACCTTATTCTCGGCCTCCTCTTGACCCTCTACGGGTTGAGCTTCTTCAACGTGTTCAGGAGCGGTGACCTCCTCAGTCACTTCGTTCGCCGAAGGTGTTTCGGTAGCAATGGGTGCTTCTTCCTCCACAGGTGCCGTTTCTTCAACTTCCTCAGTTGTAACGGGAGCGGGTTCTTCAGCCTCGTCGGCTGCAATGGGAGCGGCTTCCTCAGTTTCCTCCTTTATGATAGGGGTGGTGGCTTCTTCAGCTGCCTCACCCGTAGCAGGAGCAGCTTCTTCAACTTGCTCTTCCTCGGCGGGAGCGGCTTCTTCAGCAGGAGCAACCTCCTTAACTTCCTCCTCCTCCTCCTCTGGAGTTACCTCAGTTGGTTCTTCAACCGCGGGAGTTTCTTCGACTTGTTCGGGTTCTTCGATTGCTTCCTCAACTGGTGCCGTCATGTCGGCTTCTTCCGCCGATGTTTCTTTTTCAGTTGTTTCTTCAACTGCGGGTGTAACCTCTTCAGGAACAGCCTCTTCAACTTGTTCTTCCTCAGGTGCACCCTCTTCAACTGCTTCCTCTGCGGGCGCGGTCTCCTCGGCTTGTTCTTCCTCAGGTGCAGGCTCCTCCTCCTCAGTTACCTCGTTAACTGCTTCTTCTGTGGGAGTAACTTCTTCTGCTTCCTCGGCTGTGATAGGAGTTTCTTCCTCAACTTGTTCTTCTTCGGCAGAATTCGCCTCTTCGGCGACAACGTCAACCGCAGGGGCTGTCTCTTCAAGCTGCTCTTCCTCCGCGGGTGCTACCTCTTCAACTGCTTCCTCCGCGGGTGCTGCCTCTTCAACTGCTTCCTCCGCGGGTGCTGCCTCTTCAACTGCTTCCTCTGCAGGAGCTGCCTCTTCAATTTCCTTGTTTTCAGAAATTGCCTCGGGAGTGTCCTCCTCTTGGTCTTCTTCTTCTCCTTCCTCTTCTTCTTCTTCTTCATCCTCATCTTCGTCGCCCTCTTCGTAGTCATCCTCATCTTCATCGACGGCCTCACTGTCCCCTTCGACAGTCATCTCAAGTGGCTCGGGAAGTTCCTCATCGTCGTCAATTTCTTCTTTCTTCTTAGAAGATATAGCGTTCATTTCGGCATCAGCCTTCTCCTTCACCTTTTGAACCTTCTTCAAACGCGTAAAGTCTTCACGTTCCATTTCTTCAAGTTCAGAGTCAATGTACTTGATGGTGTTCTCGAGACGAGGAATGATGATATGTTCAATTGAATTGACACGACGGTTGGTCATCTGCAGGACATCACCCAAGAGGACAAAAGCAGACTGGTAAGAAGCCAATTGCACCAGTGTTTCTACTGCCTTGGCAAAGACTTGACGAGCCTTTTGGATTTGCTGTCCACCACGACCCAAACCAGTCAATTGAAAGTCGTCAATGCTTTCATCAATGGACGTCTCGAATGTAGGCAAAAAGACACCACTAATGTTTTCTTGTTTTGACCGGACACGGAATCTGGCGTTTTTCACCGACTGTTGGATCTCGAAGTCGATATTGTTGCCCAAAACGAAGCCAACTTCGGCCATTGAGAAAGCAGCAACTTGCATAACACGACCCATTTTCTGCTTAGCCTAAAATAGATGTGTTAGTTAAGTAAATCCTTCCAAGAGCATTTTGCTTCCATAAACACAACCGTACCTGGTCAATGTTCTGTGTGATCTCACGGAAACGTTTTTTCAGAGCCTCAGACTTTCTCTTAAGCAACGAATGACCGGTTTGAGCTCCACGAAGACGTGTTTTCATCGCGGTGAGCGTCCTGCAAATAAGGTTAGTGATGCAAAACTCGTGCTGTAAGAGCATTTATCACCTACATTCTGGTGGGAAATACATTTTCCCTTTGTCCTGTAGACATATTCACGAAATAAGTTTAAGACAGTAGCCGCTAACGAGAGGAACAGCAAGTTCGTGTGTTTGGCAGGGAGAACGTGTGTTGGCGTGGTTTCCAAGAGAAACGACCTCGTTGGACTGTGATAGGGTTCAGTAAACAGCCCGAGGGGGATAGCGCTTAGACTTACGAGTGGGTCGCTTAATCTTTTAGCAGGCGGGGGAGCGACAGTGAAGAAGATAAGTGCAACATTTAGCAATATACAGAAATTTAGCAAGGCAAACGAGAGTACATGCCCTTAACTCTCGGCATGTAACATTAGATGGATGTTCTGTTTATGAATCACACATTTATTCTCCATAATTATTAACACCGGGATTTTTATTTTCGTATTCACGTCTTATATCAATTAGACATGAATGCTCGTCTAGAAGGATGACGATTTTCCATTTTGGTTTTAAAGAATCGGTTTTGCACACTTGCGTTGCTCCACGACACCAGAAGCGGTTTGCATGTGTTGGTAGCCGATTGGAAACATTTGTTCCCCAGTCTCACTTGACTGTGCAAAAATCACGCCCAAGTCATTACGAGCTGTGGAGAGAAAGTAAGAGGAGCCGTCTCCCAGCGAAATCTATTTGTTAGTATATGAGCAGGTGCTAAGGAAGAGCAAGTTTGAGAGGGGGTTGAGACGACCTCAGGATAGGAACGTACAGAAAAGAACACATCAGCCAAATGACAAACTAGAAGTCTTGCTATACTGTAACGAGTTCCTTCCCTTTACCCCTCTTTCGCCTTTATCTTTGCAACATACCACAAGAGCCCGAACAATGTCGCCAGGACGAAAAGATTGACGAACTTTGACTTTGTCTTTTTCTGTTGCCCGAATGTCTTGGACATGAATCACACCCTGGAATTCTTCTTTTGCACACACGTTGTCGACAACGGTCATTTTTATAGAGGCTTGACGAACACTGATCCGAGTAACTTGACCCAGAACGATGGAACCAACCTTTGGTAAAACAGGTTGCTCCACCTGCTCGTTTGTATGAGAGACAATGTGTTTTTCAGGGTCATAAACGCCGAGTCTCGTCGAAAGTAAATAGTCACCGCGAACAGCCGTTCCCTCGCCTCCCTTCACTCCTCTCGCAAGAACTTGACCCGGTACAACAACGACAGCGCTCATATTCTCCGGTTCACGCTGGACGGTTAACTCAAAACTGCAAAAGTCACCAGTATGCGTTATTCGAGTAGGTGGCTTGCTGCAACGTCCGGTCGAATTCACCGAGCAGTTGCCGAAGTTCGGACAACATCGGTCAACTGGTGGTGCTAACGTCATGGGAAGTGAAATGAAAACGCGATACGCGTCTGAGCGTAAACAAAACTGTAGCAGGCAATAAACCAGGAATTGCAAGCTGAAATCACAAAAAGAAGAATCTCAAAGAGTTAGAGGGGCACTAAGTAGGAGCGACTGGATAGTATTACCCAAACAGCGGGCGATATTGGGTTTTTAGTTGCAGGCTTTCATAAGAAAGTTGAGAGAGATATATTTTTTTTTTCGACTTCAATGGACAACATCATGTAACGGTTCGCCTCTCACTTTGCTCCATTCTATTTCATTGTCCAGTTGCTGGTCCACGAGTCCGACCATTGCTCTAAAGAAAGAATTAGTCATCTTTTAGAAAACAGAAACAGTCATAGTCGTTGTTTTAGACGTACACGTTTTCTCCACGAATAATATACAGTCCAAGAGGAATTACTTCTGTTTCTTGATCCCAACTAATGAGCCGTTCTTTGGAATTTGAAAGAATAAGATTTGTCGTTTGGTCGAAACCGCGTAACGAGCCTAAAACGCAACGTCCATCATTCGTGATTACTTCAACTTGTTCTGTATTGATCGTTTAGTAAGAGTTTTTGTAAGAATCATGCAGCTTACGCTCTACAAATTCGGCAAGACTCATGTTTGTGGTACTGTGTGAGGGTTGGTTGGTAGTGGAAGGAAAAGCAAATGAAACATGGTTGGATGGTGCAGAAACCGTGAGTGAGAAGGAAGGATACAAATGGGTTTCATAACATCGTATTTTTCGTTAAATTATTCATTAGTGTAAAGTGCGTCTCATAACAAATGGTGCTAATGCCGATGCCAATTCTATTAGCGATAATTAGAACAATTGCTCGTTCTAAGCACACTCTTAATACTTAAACAGAAACACGAATTGCAGAAATACTGCAAGGCATAGAATTATGTTGCTTTTTCAGCGAGACGAAGTATGTCATTAACAGAGACGACTCCATGTACGCTCGGGTCGCAAATCGCCTCAACAATTGCTGCACCGACACTTGCTGTAGGTAATGGGGGAGCAACAAGGGCATTGTCTACACCCGCTTTCGGTCCGAAAACAGCGTCTTTCAAGCCAGAAGTCATTTTAAAGAGTAGCGAAATGGGTTCAGAGATAGGTCGAGCGTGTCTGTCGTACATAAAGCTAGGACGAAGAAAAATGGAACGAAGGTTAGGAATGGACTGAATGCGCTGTTCGGCTCTGCGTTTCGAATTGACGTATTCTGGGTCAATGCCTGGAAAATAACCGTGGGTGGAAATGTAGCAATAAGTTGGAACATTATTCTGAGAGGCGAGAGCACCAAGTTTTACTGCCAAGTTTTCATTGATAGCCTTGAACAGTGATCCTTTCTGCGCTGGGGATTTTGTAGTCTTTTCGTTTTTCAGAGGATTGTTGTTATCCTTGCTCGGAAGGAAAGACGGAAAATTCTTAAGTGCACGTATTCCAGCACTAAATGGTTTCTTCAATATTTTCTTGTAATTATTTTCCATTAAGATGCCAATTGTATTTACCAAACAAGAAGAATCCTTGAGCAATGGCGTAAGAGCTTTCGTATCGTTTTGTACATCAATGGAATGCCAAGAAACGTGATTCGCCCAAGCGTCTTCTAAACCTTTCGTTTTACCGTGTCGAGACACAGCATGCACCTGCAAACCCTTCTGTACTGCAGCTCTACAAATTGCCTGGCCCAAAAGGCCTGTACCTCCAGCAACGACGATCTTCATAATTTGTTTCCGTTCGAGAAACAGATAAATCTAATACAAATGAAAGAACAATTGCAATATCTGTCACAATTACAGAATTCCCTTGACTGAGCCAAAAACGAGGGTCCTTCTGAGGAGTCGAACCCACCCACGTTTCGAGAGTCAGAATCCCGCGTGCTAACTGTTACACCATACAACCGTAATGAAATCGTAATTCGCTGGAATTCTGCTGGTGGACTACCTGGAGTTTATTTTCTTATTTTTTTTATAAGCGAAAAGGTAATCAAAGCTGTATAATAAAGACCACGGGATCAATGCAACATATTTAAAAAGATGAGGGCTCACGCTTAATTTTTTGTATTATGTCTTCATCCTTTGAAGAGTAGTGTTAATATGAAGGGAATTTATGAGAAATTAAGTTAAGCGAAACTTTAATCGCATAATTATTCGTCTGTTGTCAGATTGTGCGAATGAACAGAATACCGTATTTAGTCATAGAAACAACAATTTTATCCATGAAGCAGTAACGTGTCGATAAAAAGTATGTTTTTTCTTGAAAATCTAAATCTAAATTTAAATAAAAATAAAAATAAAAAACCGGCATTACGTTCAATGGTTGTTCATTCTAGTTACTGAACAGACAGAGTTCCTTGTAACGCGATACGGGGTACGGTTGCATTGTATTGATAATTCGATCACTAATAAAATACCATCTTCATTACGGTGCCGAAACCTAATTTGTACACACATTTTTTTTTTTTTTTTTTTTTTTACAACATTCTTCTGGAAGACGTATCCTCATCCGCATTAGAGTTCATCTTTCTGTAATACCTTCTTAAGCTAAACTTGTCTCAACGGGGTTGCTGTTGACAGCTTTGGCTCATCAAGGTTGCGCTAATTATAAACCTAAAACTTAGTTGCGATATTTGATGTACAGAACAGGTTTCTAGGCTAATGGAGTTTTTACGATAATTGAATTGACATTTTTAACTGATTGTGTCAATCGGTCACAGTCGCCGCTGTAATTGTTTTCCTAGTTTAAATTTCAATACATATTCCTTCAAGCAGCATAGTGGTCTAGTGACTTTGCTCAACCAATTTGAGTAATTGTAACACTTTATTAAAACAATTTATGATCATGTAGTATTCATTGAATTAAAAATAGTAATTACTTTTGTGATTCTTTAAGTATAAAGGAAGAAATATATATATATATACTTTTAACATCTTAGCCAATTCATAAGAGTCCAGATGCTATTAGAAAAAAGTCCCGGATAAGTTTGTCCAACGAATTAATACATTTATATTCTCTTACGTCTGACACAAGAGAGCACATACGTTCACTGGCTGAAACAAGGCACTAGTCTCCATCAATAAGGATGCTGGCTTGCCATACTTGTCTTTGATCGACTAAACAAATTATGATCTTCGACAAAGAAGTCCAAATAACTTTTCTTACTACTGGCTTCTTCTTTTTTCTTCATTTACTATTAAAACCTCTCTCCTCAACTCTAACCCAAGCATATTGTTCATTCACGGCACAATCTCTAGGCTCTGTAAACTCTGAGGCTTCATATATTATATCCACTACACAAGCAAATCCCACTATTTGACTCTCTCCATAGTCAGTAAGTCCCTCCCCTCGAATACCATATTGATTGATTACCTCATTCCTTGTTTTGCCATACTCCAAAACCCAAGTTGTTTATTTTTTCTAATCAACACGTTTTTTCTTGTTTGCTCTCTTCGCCTTCACCTTTGTTTCCGTTTTCTCTTCTGCACTTTCATCCTCGCTTTCGCTGCTGCTACTCTCACTATCGCTTTCGCTTTCTGACTGAGAGACGCGTTTCTGAGGTTTAGGAACGGCAGAAGTAAGAGCTTCCATTGCAACCATACATGTAACACGGTTGCCCTCGGGGACCTTGTGTTCTGCAACACATTCCCACTTATCGTTCCAAATTTTAACAATGCCATCAGAGCTGGCACTGACAAGATAGCCACAAGCTGCATACAGAGCCTTGACACTGGTCATTCTTGTTAGTACGGATACATTTGGGCATATGCACATACCGTTTTTGTTTGGTATCGAGTTGCTTCAAGAGTTCTCCATTGGAGGCATCAAGAATCGATATTTTACCGTCTCCCTGTCCAACAGCTATTTTATCCTTATAGAAACACATTGTGTTCAGCTGCGACTTAGACTTATAAGTATAAAGAGACTCAATGTTCTACAATCATTTCGTTAGCCAAACATCCAAGTAAAGCGCCATTCTCTTACAAAATTAAATGCTTCTACCGACGTCCGTGACATAACGATAAACGTTTCATCGTTCAAAAAGTCCACGAGTTCACCGGCTCGTTCGAGACCAACAACCTTGCTTCCTTTACCGCGAACAAGGTCCCAAAGACGCAGCTTTCCGTCTCCACCGACGGTCAAAGCGAGCTTTTCTGAGGGGTGGACTGCAATTCCAGTAATACCCTTGCTGGAAGACGATTTCAAGACATGGACCAGCAACCAAGAATCTCTTGACCACATAGTAATCTGTCCATTGTCGTGACAAGCCAGCAGATGCTTTTTTGTGAACCTCATATACCGAACACAAGCATTAGAGACGTCCGTAGGCACCGACACATCAGCAATTTGTATGTTTTTTGTGTGATCGTAAATTCTACCACAAACAGTTAGTTCTTCCGCACCTCAGCCACGAAAATCGTACTTGATAGTCTCGTCACCACTAGTAGAAGCCAAATGGATTCCGTCTACTGCAAGTGCAGTCAAACCCTTCTCGTGGGCTTCAAATAACCAAATCGGCTTTGATGTGTTTTTCTTAAGGTCAACGTCTACTCCATACAGCAGGCGTGTATACGTGCCCACGACAAAACGAAGCATGTCGAGTAAGTAAGACGAATTCGAGGCAGAAGGGTGAATAGCAGAAACCAGGTCTTGGTCCCGGTGAGTCGGGTTCACCGAGAACCCGGAGTACTTATCCGAAGACACCGATAATTTTTTGGAACATCGCCGAAACGATGCCGAAAAGTCACCCATGAGACCGCGCGAAGAAGCCGAGAACATTCCCGAAAAAAGAACGAAAGTTTACCGAATTTAACGCCAGCGGTTACAACACCCTGCCCATCGTCGCAATCAAGATATGCCCGCGCCCGGTGTTTAAACACCGATTAATTCGCCGACTTTTTCTGTTATCCCGGTGATCTCGGTGTCTCGACCGAGCCTATGCTCTACCACCGTTCACGTTGCCCGAAACCTTGTCCTTCACCAACTACTAAAGCAGCTTCATGCGCCATGGACGAAGAGCCAGCGCAAGCTCCTTCTTCGCGGATTCCCTCTCATTTCCCCAATAAGCAACCATCGATCCCTTCTCTAAAACCGTTGACAAATCTTCAATCGAGTTCGACGTCTTCGGGTGGTTCGTCGATGAAAACATGGCTGCCTCCCATTGATGCGAACTCCTCTTCATGGCTTTCACTGCAACAGCACCAGCAGACGCTTCGTCACTCTGGACTGCTTCCCGCGGTCGAATCCTCATTTGTAAATGGCCACCGTCGAAGTGCTAGTACGGGAATTGCTCTTCCTCCATCAAAACATGCTTCATCGCACTCTCTTAGCGGCATAGGAAACATCTCTGCAGCATCTCCATCACTTCAGGTGCCTTCATATAAGTCTTACTTTGAAAATGGTCCCTTTATGCCGTCAAATGGCTCGACAGCCAATTCACCGTCTTCGTATGTTGGTGCTGTCTCCTCTTCGTCCGGCATGGTGCTCTCACATCCTCCTTCCATATCCTCCGGCTCTCCTCAACAAGGCTCTGCTCCAAACGTCCCGATGAATTATTCTGGCGCCTCTAATGGGAGAAACTCTCTTTCATTTTCCAACTCACCTTCTGTTGGCGTCTCCAGACATGCTAAAAGTCATAGTATCGCGTCTCTCCCGAACCCATCGGGTTCTCCTATGTACCCTCCATCTCTCGTTCGTAACCAAAGAGGTTCTCGCAATTTTGATGCCCCATGGCGCCCTCCCAATTCTCAGAGCGGTGTATTCACTCCTCCTGCCAGCGCTTTCCGTCCTCCACACGCTGGTCATAGGCATCGTTGTTCAACAGGCAGTCTTATTGTGCCGAAGAGACCTGCGACTTCTTCTGCCACTTCGCCCGCGAATTCGCGAAAGAACCTCTTTACACCCTACCTTCCCCAGTCCTCTGTACCTGCTCTTATTGCTGAGCATCGTTTGGTCACTGGTGTGCTCACGGTTAGCAAGAAAAACAGATCCGATGCATTTGTTAGTGTAGACGGTTTGGATGCCGATGTGTTCATCTGTGGTTCAAAGGATCGTAACCGTGCGCTGGAGGGCGACGTGGTTGCAGTAGAACTGCTCGATGTAAATGAGGTTTGGGCTGGCAAACTTGAGAAAGAGGAAAACCGCCGCCGTAAAGATGGTTTGGCTAGTGCGAATGACGGTTCCATGAACTCTCCTTATTCCCCCAAAGCACAATCGGTTCCTCACCGTTCTGCTATTAAGGCTAAGGATGATGAGCAGGTTGAGGGTCAGACTTTATTTTTGTTGGATCAGAAACAGTTGGGTATCGACGAAAAGCCCTATCACGCAGGTCACATTGTTGCTGTTCTTCAACGTGCTCCTGGTCAGGTCTTTTCTGGTGTATTAGGTATTCTTCGTCCCAGCAGTGCTGCTACCAAAGAACGCCAAGTCAGCAACGGTAATGCAGCCCAGTCATCTGCTAACGAACGCCCCAAAATTGTTTGGTTCAAGCCTTCTGATAAGCGTGTACCTCTTATTGCTATTCCTACAGAACAGGCACCAGACGATTTCATTGAGCGTGACCATGAATACTCTCAACAATTGTTTCTTGCCTCCATCAAACGCTGGCCCGTCACTTCTCTTCACCCATTCGGTATGCTTGTTGGCCAATTGGGGCCCATGGGCTCCTTGAAGGCTCAAGTGGAAGCCTTGTTGCGCGATATGGGTGTTAATTGTGACCCCATTGAGAACTCGACTTCAGCAGCTGCGGCCATTGCTACCGCCAAAGAATTGAATCCTTCCATCGCCGAACGCTGTGACGAAGACATCTTTCTTCTTACTGTCGATGATGCGTTTGTCGAGCCCGAGTCCAAATCCGAAGCTTCGAAGACCAATGCATCAGACGACAAGCCCTACATCGCCTCGCCCGTTTCGTCGGCTTTCCATGTCCGCGAGACGGAAGAGGGATTCCATGTTGGTGTTCATGTTACTGATGTTTCTCGTGCTGTCGATCCAGGAACGGCTCTGGATCGTGAGCTTCAACGTCGTGGCAGTGCGGTTCATTTGTGTCAGCGGGTCCTTCCTCTATTCCCTCCAGAACTTTTGAAGTTCCTGTCGTTTAAAAAGGACACTGAAAGTCATGCCATCAGTGTTCTCTTAGACATTTCCCACACCGGAAGAGTCTTGAAAACAACCATTAAGCGAACGATAATTTGTCCCAAACATACCTATAGTATTAACGAGGCAGCTTCGTTGTTAGAAAAAGATGAACGCTTGCGTTTGATGAAGACAGTCTCGTTGAGCCTGCGCTCTTACTTCTTTGGCACGACACTTCCTCTAGACCGTGTATGTCGGTTGGCTACACGTTGGGATGAAGAAAATGTCTTCGTGAATGCTAGACACACCAATCTGTTTGAACCGAATAACATGGTTGTTATCCGGGACATGCTCGTTAATGCCGCCAACCGTGCAGTCGCCTCACAATTGGAGATGCATTTTAAGAAAAATGCACTTTTGCGTGTTCAAAGATTGCCCTCGCGGGAGAACTGCCGTTTGCTTCAGCGGATGGCTATCCAAATGGGTTCAGTTTTGGATATGTCATCTTCGAAGTCTGTGTTGCGTTCTTTGCTGCTGATTGAAGATCCTAATGTGCGCAACATTTTACAATTGTTTTACTACAAGGTCATGCCTCGTACAGTGTATGGTATTAGAGGTGTGATGGAAGCAAACATTCACGCTGCTATGCGTGGAATCTCTATGATGAGTCTCAATGAAGAACCTGTCGAAGAGGACAATGCACTGCTTACTCATTTTGCCGCTCCTTTGGAGCGATACGCAGACATCATTGTTCACTTCCAACTCGATCTCATGCTCAAGAATGAAAATATTCCAGAACGCCGTCTTCGTGTCTGGGCGCAAGCTTCCAACGAAGCTGGTCGACGCTTGTTGGTCAGTAAGTTTGCACAGGAGTCGAGTATTCATTTGCAACTGTTCAGCAAGTGGGACGCAAACAACGCGTGGTTTGATGGCATTGTTTGCTTTGTCTCGAACGCCTACTTTGACGTTTTCTTCCCCAAATTGGGCATGGAGAAGCGTGTTCATCTTGATCTTTTGGGTCTTTCCCAAGTTCGTTTCGATGACAACCAGTGCGTTTTGTCGCTGCAGGAGCAGAATGGTCATTGGCGCACTGTGAAGCTTTTGACCCCAGTGCGGGTGCGCTTGTTCGCATTGCTTTCAACGCCTCCCCTGATTAATGTAAAATCTGTTTCGTTTAATGTTTAAACCTGTTTTGGTTCATCTTCGGGCTCCAAGAGCAATCTTCTACAAGAGGTGTCGACTTGTTTCTGTGGAAGCGCGTCGACTTTGTTCGCGCATTGATTCAAGCGTGCGATTTTCATGTTGTACAGAGAATTGATTGCCTACACCTACGTCCATGCTTTCCTTTTCCCTTGCTTTGTGCTCACTATGCACTCATGATGTTCATCCATATAAACAAGCCAATATATTGTGACTCTTTGAGAAACGGTTTGACGCATCTGCTTTCATTCTTTCCGAGGCCGCCTTCATTATTACCAAAAAAAAAACAAGAAAAAGAAAAAAAAACAATAAAGCAAACAGAGTCCTCATCATTGCTCAATGAGTGGAGTATATCATTGACAGACACTGTATGCTCTTTACATGCTCTCGTTCATTGTCGTCCTCACGTCCACTGTTTTTTTCATACACTCACAAATCATTCCGCACATGCATGACTCAGTCTATGTTGACTGTGCGTTCGACACACGGTCTCCTTTCACTCGCTTTTCCTTGGTCGCTGTTGCCCGGGTACTGTTACATTCGGTGCAGTGCTTTTTGCCAGTATCATTCCTATCATTGTTTCACTCCCTTTTTGGGAACGCTACGTTCCAAGCGTTCGTCATTCCGTATATTTGCACCTGAAATTCTTTAATGGCGGTGACTCCCTGAGTTGCTGTTAATATTGTTGTATGTTTGAGTTATTGTTTGGAACTGTCGTTGATGGATATGCTTTTGGAGTTGCTATGACCTTTCTTGTTACCTTTTCTTCCATTTGTCGTTGGTTTTCCAACTAAAATACACATTTAAAAACGGCACCCTTCGTGTTCTATGCTCCAATGTTGCAGCTGTGACTTACACTCTTTAGTGTGGAATTCTTTTTATGGAAGCTTTCTGTTCTATATATTTTTTTTTACAGTTGTATCGCTAGAGCTACCTGTGTGTTGTCTTTTCATACTTTGTGGGATGGTAAAGATTGCTCACCTATTTTACGATTGTTTGATGCTGTTCATATACGCGACTAGCCGTTGCGGGTTTTGCAAGGGTTTTCTTATTGCGTAGATGAATGAATGCTGCTATGAACAAGAAGAAAAGGTCTAATATGTGCAGGAACTTGATGTATTTTCGAGGGCAAAAGCCAATAGGCAAGTTGTTTTTGTTCTTTTTCATTCCAGTTCGTTTGTTACTTGTTTCTTTTCTTTTTTTTTCTGCCGGGCGTTTCTCTTTCTAGACTATCAATGCATGGAAATGCTTCTTGTTTGTTTTTGGTAGTTTTGTTTTTTATTACTATTGTTCCTGTTGCCTGTAACTAGTTTTGTTTTTTGTTTTTTTTTTAGTTATGTAAGGAAGGGACGTGTGACACGCGTCCTTTGTTTGCGACGCGACTTAATGAAGACGCGTTTGGACGCGTGCAGACAACTTGCCTTTAGCCTACTACTACTACTATTACTACTACATACAGCATGGATAATACGTCCAAGGGAAAGACGATTCTACCGCTTAGTCGCGTGAAAAAGACGATTAAAATGGACAAGGACATTCATTCCTGCTCCAATGCATCTGTTCTTCTCATTTCATTAGCTACTGTAAGAACCATTCTCATTGACATTTCATTTGTCGCGTAATTGCTGTTCAAAACACGAACAAAATAGTAACTGTATGTAATAGGAAATGTTTCTTAAACGGTTTTCGCAAAAAGCATTCCAAATTACCAAAATTAACAAACGCCGTACCATACAGCAAAAAGACCTTGCAGATGCTGTTCGGAAAGACGATCAATTGGAGTTTCTTACGGATGTTATTCCCTCAAAAATGTAAAATGGAAACCACAAAGAGACGGGTTTCCTATGTGTTTTGTTGGTCGTTGCCATACATCAGCCGAAAATGGGAAGAAACATGTACAGCTTGTCTTACTGACCACCGTGATGCGTTTGGTCACAGATCTTTGAGTCCATTTGACATTACCGGGTCCTCAAACAAGAATTGGTTCATTTGCGGGATTTGTCAGCATAATGATAGCTACACCTCGTAGCTACGATGTCTTTACGTTAATATGGTGCGCTAGATACATACACCTACCTTTACACACACCAAAGTGCACCTATCCACCACCACTAAGAAACAGAATGCTTGCGTTTACCTACGAGGATAGCCGTCAAGTCGCTGAGAAGCTCGCAGAGATCGTCAAGAGCAGCAGTGCAGCCGCTATTGAGAAGAATGGTCGGTTTACAATCGCCTTGAGCGGTGGTAGTCTCCCAAAAATTTTGGCCCAGGGGCTTGCCCAGGTACAGGGCGTAGATTTTGCAAAGTGGTACGTACAGCAGAAAGATGTGACGGAGACAGGAGCATGGTTGTGTGACGTCGAGCTTCAGTGCAGTTTGTGATTGCTACAGGGACGATTGCCATCAACGAGTGTAAAAACGGTGACTCCGTCCGCCTCCAACTTTGTCAATGTAGTATACGCTATTAACACACTAACAGGGAAGTGTTTTTCGCTGACGAGCGTGTTGTCCCTCTTGACCACGAGGACTCGACGTTCCATGCGTGCCAGGAAGCGTTTTTCAGCAAGGTCGGTTTGAAGCGTGAACAAATCCACACGCTGAGCGAGGAGTTACTGAAAGAAAACGAAAAGGATGTCCAGAACTATGCCGACGAGTACGAGGGCCAATTGGTGCACACGTTTGCCAACGCCTCTACCATCAAGGTTCCCTCGTTCGACCTTATTGTTCTTGGCTGCGGACCTGATGGACACACCTGTTCACTCTTCCCCAACCATGAGCTGTTGAAGGAGGACGTTGCCTGGGTAGCACCCATTACCGACTCTCCCAAGCCTCCTAAAGAGCGTATCACGCTTACCTTGCCCGTTGTGACGCATGCTCACCAAATTGTGTTTGTCGCTACCGGTGCTGCTAAGAAAACCGTTATCAAGGAGATTCTCGAAGATGCCACCTCGACGCTTCCCAGCGCTCTCATCACACAGGCCGCCAAGGACCGTACCACCTGGCTCATGGACAATGCTGCTTCCGAGAATTTGAGCCGTGCTACTTTGGCTGATCACTTCTAAAGCAAACGAATACGGGCGGAGTGGACTGCTCGTCCTTGCGGGTGTCTGTGTACGCACTCGCCTTTGTCATTGCTTGCGAACCGCAAATTGCAAGCAATGCTTAGCTAATGTTAGGCGTTCTAATGAGGAATTGACATGATATAACCGACCCGACCTTTTTTGCTACGAGTGCTTCTCGCGGCGACTGCCTGATCTGCACTCCGCCTCGTTGCAAAAAATACGGCGATCCACGGGGCGCGTTATCTTACCGAGCGTGACGTAATGCGGTGCGTTCATCCATTTAACGGATTTTATCGAGCCTTTGCGAACCTTACCACGGTCCAAAATCGTACGCGTTATCTCTCGTTGGAGCTCACAATTTCTCCGAGCTGCTCGCAACGCTCGTTACCGCTTGTACCGCTTACCGCTGTACGCTCGTCGTCCCTTCTCCGTCAGCAGCCATGAATTACCAGCGCTTGGAAAAGCTCGGTAGGACCTGAACATTTTGTCTGTATACTGGAGCAGCTCACTAACTCGTGTAGGCGAAGGAACGTATGCGACCGTGTACCGTGGACGACACCTTCTTACGGGCGAAATTGTCGCAATTAAGGACATAAAGGTTGATCCTGAAGAAGGGACTCCCAGTACGGCAATTCGTGAAATTAGTTTGATGAAAGAATTGAAGCATCCGAACATTATGGAGCTGCTTGACGTTGTCCATCTGGAAAACAAGCTTATGCTCGTCTTTGAGTTCATGGAAAAAGACCTGAAAAAGTATATGGATGCGTACGGCGTCGATGGTGCACTTGCTCTTGGACAAGTGAAGAATTTCATCCACCAACTGCTCAAGGGTGTCGCCTTCTGTCACGAGAACCGCATCCTTCATCGTGATCTGAAGCCGCAGAACTTGCTGATTAACCATCGCGGTGAACTCAAGTTGGCAGACTTTGGTCTGGCTCGTTCGTTCGGCATCCCCGTCAACACGTTCTCGAACGAGGTTGTGACGCTTTGGTACCGGGCGCCTGACGTACTAATGGGCTCGCGGAACTACACAACGTCTATTGACATGTGGTCTGTGGGTTGTATCCTGGCCGAACTCATCACCGGCCGTCCCTTGTTTCCCGGTACAGACAACGAAGACCAGCTACTCAAAATCTTCCGTCTCATGGGCACCCCTACGGAGCAGACGTGGCCCGGTGTTTCTCGGTTGCCCGACTACAAGCCTACCTTCCCATTCTATCCCCCCCAGGACCTTGCCTCCATGTTTCCCGGTCTTGACGGTCTCGGTCTCGACTTGCTGCAGAGAATGCTGAGGATGCAGCCCGAACTACGCATCAGGTACGGACCTGCCAGTGGCTCGAAAACGAGTGAGCGGCATGCGCGACTTGCGCAACAGTGCTATGACATTGCTACTCCTGCTAACACTCTTCTTCGTCTAGTGCCCATAACGCCCTTAAGCACGCCTGGTTTGTGGGAGTGTAACGAGGTGCAACAGGACGCAACGAGGGTTACAGAGGTTTCTCGACTGCGCTGCGGGACTTTAACGAAAATTAATGAGATACAAGGAAGTGCGAAAAAGTGCGCTGTATATTTTTACTGTAACTGTGTGAGCTGTTTGATAGTGCGCAGCTGTATCTTAATAAACAATTGCGAGAATGCCTTTCAATGCTGTATCCGATATAACACGGTCTATCGCACCGCACTATATACCCTTCAGGCCTCCGCGCGCTCGCGTTCGCTCCCTCTCTCTCGCTCTCGTTCTTGCCTCTCAATTCTCCGCGACGAAAACCAGCAGCATGTCTGACACGCGAAGATTCAAGGCCACGGACTTGTTTGAGTTCAACAACATTAATCTCGACTCGTTGACGGAAACGGTATGAGTAGCCGAGCTCAGCACTACGCGTTTGCTAACTCTTCTAGTTCAACATTTCGTTTTACCTGAGCTACATGTCGAGATGGCCCAATCTGTGTGTAATGGTTAATGAAGACCGGCAGACGCCCGACCACCCCTCTCCTATGGGCTACATCATGGGCAAGAGCGAAGGAAAAGACAAGGACTGGCATACTCACGTTACCGCTATCACGGTCGCTCCAAGCTGTCGTCAACTAGGCATTGCTCGGAAACTCATGGACTACTTGGAGCGTGCGGGTGACGCTGACAAGGCATACTTCGTTGACTTGTTCGTCCGTCCTAGCAACCTGCTTGCCGTTAACATGTACAAGCGACTGGGCTATTCAGTGTACCGGCGTGTGCTGGGTTATTACAGCAACCCTCACGGTCCTGACGAGGACTCGTTCGACATGCGTAAGGCACTCTCTCGCGATGTAAACCAGCAAAGCATTCGTAAGAACGGTGAACAGTTTACCTGTAAACCAGAAGACACAATGTTTTAAGTAAAATAAGGTGCCGCCTTTTTGTCCAATCAACGGGCGCCAGAGGTGTGGGTGCGTCATGTGGGGTTTGTGGGATATACATGAGAGAGGCGAGACTCGAACTGCGGAGGAGAAAGAGGAGGAGGAGGGGTATGACAACACCAACCAACTGGGCCACCGAGACAGAGATGAAAACCCGGTAAGCGAAAGCAAATGTCGTACTTCCCTCTCAAAAACCCAAATGCTTCCCCATCACTCCCCTCACTTCACAGTCGTACTTGTCAAGACTTTATTCTATCTACAAGAAATGTTCTCCTCCAGCAGTTCGCGACCAGATGAATGAAATCAAAGGACCATCACGGAAAGAGGAACATTGCTCTTGGTTGATAATAAATTGATCTGTAGAACAAAGAATCTGCAGATCAGAGTGTGTCAACCTTTGTTTTAACAAGTTTCATACGGTTCAATTCCAATCCGTTTCAAATCCACACCCGCAAACACCTCACCCCATCATCACTGCCGTGTCGGCGACTTCAACCACAAAGGGAAACCACTTGTTGATCTTTAGAGCATATCTTGTTTTCCACGTGAAAACTGAATTTACTCTTGAGGAACTAAAGAGCGAGTTAGTATGAAATTCGTAAACAGCCATTCTCAGCAGGCACCGTCCATCAACGGACGACCGGTCCCGAGAAGCTTCACTTACTCTCAACATCACCGTTGTCGATCTCCTTTTGCAAGTCATGGGGGTTCTTGCCATCAACGGTGCAGCCAACGGAGAAGCAAGTTCCAAGAATCTCCTTGACAGTACCCGAGAGCTCCTTGGCGAGAGACTTGAAGCGCATAGTGCGAGCAATCTCGATAACCTCGTCAAGAGAAAGGTTGCCAGAGTGAATAATGTTCTTGTCCTTCTTGCGGTCACGAGCAGGCTCCTTAAGGGCCTTGATGACCAAGGAGGAGGCAGCAGGGACAACAGAGACCGTGGCCTGACGGTTTTGGATGGTCAACTTGACGGTGACACGAAGACCCTTCCAGTCCTTGGTAGCCTTGGCAATATCCTCACCGACCTTCTTGGGGGACAAACCCAAGGGACCAATCTTAGGAGCAAGGGTAGAACCACCGGCGACCTCACCACCGACGGCTCTCATGAGAAGGATTTTCACCTCACTGGGATCAAACTACAAGAAGACGGTTAGCATGCTGTACACAGGATGCAGAGTTGCTCTGTTGCACTTTACCTTAGGAGGCATCTTGGGTATGTGGCTGTAGGTAGGATGAGGGCACTGTTACTCTCTGAGTGTTGAGAGAAACAAAGGTAACAGTCACAAACCCTACCCTAGATATGTCTCGGTAAATGAACTCGCGTGCGTAAACAAACAAATTAAAAGACTAAATAACGTTTCGTGAGTGTTACCGCGCGTCGTAAATTTCCGCTGTTGACATAGATAAGTCGTAAATTATAAGCGCACTCGAATGCGAGATCGTAGGTTAGGGAGATTGTTTGTTCGTTGTTCGTTTTTTCCATGTTCGCATGCTGAGGATGCATAGACGAAAGCCGTAGAGCGTCTTCATAGTAATTCACAGCCAAATGCTCCAAGCCTAGTTGGTGGTATGCACGCGCCAGATTGTAGAGAGCTTCTTGTTTTTGTCCGGGACCTTCCAAACTTCGAATGTCATAATAGCGGTACAGAAAAGTAAAGCCCTGTACAATTTGATAGTGTCGGTTGTCTGTTTGCCGTTGCATAGCGCGATGAATGTATGCCAGACCGAGTGACAAGTTGATCATTGGATCTTCTGGTGAGGCAGCATATGCTCGACTGTAGTAATTTAGAGCTGGAATCCAGCTTCGGCCACCTGCCATAATATGACCGTACAATAGAAGTAGAAGAGGATCGTAAGAAACGGGCCGTGTAGCAAATCCGTCTTCATTTTTAGCCAGGGTGGCAGCTCCCTGGACATCCTGTTCGCCGACAAGCTGGTCCATTAACTTTATCAGACGAAGAAGAAATTTTTGATTAGCGCTGTCAACAAAGTAACGAGCATAATAATGACCAGAGCAAAGTACGGCAGACCATAGCCGGTATGAGTCTTGTCGAAACTGGAACGTATTGAATACCCATCGCAGAACGGACGATACCATACTAATGTCCTTGGCGTATATAGCACAAGCCAGCATATACCAATGCATGGCGACTCGTTTCATCGGGTCTTCGTCGAAAACGTTCGCGTACAGTGCAGCACGAAATACCTCATGTGCCTGCTTCATGCGATTCAACTTTGTTAAAACGATGGCGAATTCCATAAACAATTGGAACCAACGATCCAATCCATAGCCACGAAACTCTTTTTTTGTTTTCACTGATTCTGCATCCAATTCTTCGAGATGGGGCCATGCGAGGGAATCCTGCAAACGAGTGGCCATTCCTGCCAATTTTTCAGTCAAATTTCCATACTGTACATGTTGTTGGGCAAAGTTTGCACGGAACTTAATCTTTTTGTCGGGTGGGTAAAAGACTCTTGTATTTATAAACTCATCCACCAATTCGGAAACCGTTTCAATCCAGTTATTAATACTTTTTTGATCATTTTGAATCCGACCGTCATCAAGCATTTCAAGCTTACGAAACCGAAACGACGCCTGTTCGGCTCTCCACCTTTGAATTTGTTTTGTTTTCTCCATAGAGCGCGTCATCTCCAAACGTTTACGCCATGCGGAATTCTCAGGCGCGCTTTGGTTTGTAATGAGCGACGAAGACTGAGAAGCGTTCTCAGACACCTGCCGGGAGCTGCTGTCGCTAGATGAAATGCTGGGAGCCATTGCATTCCGCAACGCAATAATTTCTGTTACAATTTCGAGTGCAGCATCTCGGTCTTCGAGCAGCTCATATATTTCTGCGAGACGCACCATAGCATCAATGTTTCGATTATTGAGCATGAGTGTTACCAATAAACACTCTTCCGCACTTGTGTATTCCTTAAGTTCTTTGTAACAAATACCCATTGAGTAATACAGGCGCTCGTTGCAAGCGGGTTCAAACTTGTTGAGAATGAGATAATAACTTAACGCAAGATCGTACAAATCAACGCTGATAGCGGCTTCAGCGATTTCAAAAAGAATGAATACAGTTTCGGTGATGGGCAGCGATTTTAAAATATCAAAGTGCAGTGTTGCCTCTGCCAAGTCACCGATCTTCAAGCGTGCAATTCCTAATTTGGCACGAAGATTAAAAGGTAACACGAATGCGTTTTCGGGTTGCTCATACAAATTAGAGCTGGGGAATTTCCGTCGTTTTTCGTCAAGGTCCCACTCTCGATCATCATCAATTTCATCCCAATGCGTTTCCGTTTTTCGTCCACGGAGCCAACGGGCACCGCGTTTGATGAGGACAATCAATTCATGCCACTGTTCATCACTATACAATAACCCGGCATACGCATTCAATGAGGACCAATCAAACACGCCCTGTCCCACCGGTGGACTTGGGTAACGGTAGAAGTGATTCCAAGCAGCTTCGTAGAGTTTGATAGCTTCTCTTGGTTCTTTTAGTTCAATGTAAATTTCCGCGAGATGGTGCAACACAGAAGAATCGTGCGGCAAATAGTTTAGTAAATTTTGAAATCCTTCAATTGCTTTTTTGTAGCGTTCATGTTCTTGATTTAAGATGGCTCTATCCCATATGTATTCAATGAGTTTGTCGACCTCGGACGGTTTCGCTTGTATAGCATGGTTGTAACAATAATCTGCCTGTTCCCAAAAACCTAAGCTTTCACTGAGTCTTGCGCAGGTAGCCCAAAGCTCATGGTCCCGTGGCTTTAAATGAGCTGCCGCCATCCAGGCAATTAAGCATTTTTCAATATTAACCCTCTCGTTTCCCTTTTGCCGGTGACACTCTCCAAGCATCTTCCATGCAGCAATCATGTTATTGTCAATACGGACAATCTCCTCTGCGAGTCTCTGGGCTTCTTCAAAATTACCTTCTTGAGCGAAAGCATGGTTGGCACGACTGAGTAAACTCTGAACTTCCAGCGACGGAGGCATATCCACTCGACTTCGCCGGCCCCGTCCTTTTCTTTGAGATGATCTGAAGCCGGCAACTGCTTTGAGATCCTGCTCAAAGTCTTCCTCTATATTCCCAAAGACATCCTGCTGAAAAGAAGGACCATTCAGCGTCAACAGATCATTGTCGCTATCAGCGTAGTCTGACTCCTCGTCCGACCAAAGACCTTCCTCATGCAAAGAGGCCGCCGAGAAATCTATTGGTGTGTCATATCGGTCAGTTTCACTGAAACCTGTGCTTTGAACCGAGTCCAATTCCAAAAGTCCGTTTAAATTCGACGAGTTCTTTTCCATAACTGGCAAATTATTATCATCTACATCATTCGCCATGTTTTTTCGACGAAAACCCGCATAAATTCCTGTTACATGCAGGTGATTCGGGTTTGCAGTCAATGTACTGAACGGTAGGTTCTGTGGATAACGAGATAACCTAGGTTATTCATCAGGTTACGATGGTGGTGAATTTCGTAGGTGGGGATTTGGAAGGTGGATAATGAATCGATCTTTGGGTATAGAGAATTGTTTGTGTATAAAAGGGAAATGTATAAGACTTGAAAAAATACGGCGACTACTAATGTTAACAATTATATCTACTTTGACCTTGACGAGGACAAAAAAAAAACTTAAATGTTAAGAAATTCGGCACCTAGCCAGAATACCAAGCTAAGATAAGATATAGTTTCTTCTTTTGAGCGGCAAGTTTCCCCATTTAAATAAGCGACAATAAATGTTGACACTACCTTTCCTTCATTTACTCTAATCGTGTACTAATCATCTCGTTAATTTATATATTCACTTTATTGCTTCTCTTTACACCTCTCTTTTCGGAGATAATCGATATCCTTATTTTATCTCCACCAATAAAAACGCATGTATATATTTAGCCTAATAGGGTTGTTTCGATTGGCCCGTCGTGTCGGCTATTTTTGCGGCTTTTTCGGCAGAGGTCGCATTCTGTGTCCTATCTCCTCCATTCACAACTTCCTCAACACTCGGGTTAGAGTGGTAGTGGGAGGTTTGAGCTGCATTTTTTACTCGTCTTTAAACGTTTCTTAGCTTGACCTGGTGTCTCTGGAGAAATATTCGTTTCCGGTTCGTAGTATAACGTTCCGTTCTTGGTGTTCTGGTCGTAAGATACCGAGACTTTTGGTTTCTGGTCGACAAGTAATTTGTCTCTCTGTATTTCCTTTCCTGTGAGACAGCATCTTAGCGCATTTTATAAAAGATTCAGTTGACACAGTAACAAACTGTTCGCGATCTGTTGACTGTTTTCCTTCTGCGTTTCTTCGTGATTTACACCCAGCAAGATCCTATGCAAGCTTCTCGTCAGTGTCATTCCAACGAAGTGGTAAACAATCAGCTCCTTGCATGTGTACTCAATTTCAGACTCCAGACAAAAACTCCAATTTGTTGTCTTCAAATGTCCCTGCAGTACCGCATACCGACGTTCCTGTAACGCCTACTCCTGCTTCCAAAAGATCAGGCTCAGAAAAACGCATTTCCTACCAAGATCTAGCTGGCCTAGACTCTCGCGATATATCCAGCTCATGGCATTCGGCTGACGTTGAACGTTGGTTTCAGGTGCTGTCTAAACCACAAAGAGCTGTAGCTTTGTTGACACTGCTACAGTATATCCCCTCTCCTAATTGTCGCTCCATGCAAGCGTACATCGACAAACGGGCTCGTCAAGCCGAACTGGACACACAGCATCCAGCTGGTCTGGCTGCTGGCGATCAGTATTCAGTTCTCTCACCCACTTCTCTTTCTCCATCATACTCCTGGTGGAGCCCTGGAGGCTCGCCGTACAATAGCATTTACCGTGGGTTCCAACCAAGTGCATCGTCGCAGTCTCCTCGTCACTTAGGCAGTGCACAATACGGGAGACGGTCGTCTTCAACCTCGAATATCAGCACCGCTGCCTCTGCAGCTTTAAATGAAGCTCGCCGGTTAGGTGACCTTTCTCAGCGGTTTGCCAAAAATCTTCGCCTCAACAACACTGACCAAAAGAATTGAGACCATTGTCTTCTGTGATAATAGCAGAAAAAAGAGATGAGTACAACTCACTGGTTCTTCTGTTGTTGAACGTCTCAGATATACTTGTTACTTCGTATGGTTCGCTGATGCGACAAAAAAATAAAATAATAAAAAAAAGGCAGTTCATTTCGTTTACATGCTTATCGCTTTTGTAGAACAGCAGAATGGAAGTAGCAGCACCATACTTCGTATGAATTGCCATTTTTTTAAGGTTGTTTACAACGCGTCGCCATTTTCATTTCGAGTTCGCGTTTGTTATGACGTATGCAATATCGTTAACTGAGTTCTTCTTGGGATGTGAACTTTACCAGAACGTGCCCCATGCTGAAACTGCGTTTCGGCTTGTTTTCACTTCTTTCACGGAGCACATTACAGAAACCGATTCAGAATGCCTTTCCTCGGGCCATTGTCGCGGCGTTTTCGACGGAAGCTTCATCTGTTCCCATTGATGAAGGTGTCCAAGTCGGAAAACCAAAAGAATTAAATGTAAACTCTTTTACGGATGCTGAGTGTTGCTATCATATGGGCAATTTGCTAATTGGAGTTGTAGATTCGAAAATTTAAACCAATTACTCCGGGTTTGCGACATTTACGACAGTTGGTAAATGATCATTTATGGAAAAAAGGACCTCATCGCGCCTTGACTGTGACAAAGCGGAAGACAGGAGGTCGTAATCACACAGGAAAAATTACAATGCGGCACATCGGTGGTGGGCATAAGCAAAGAATCCGTCTCGTGGACTTCATACGGAAAAAGCCTGGCTCTCAACGGGTTTTACGGATAGAGTACGATCCAGGACGTAGTGCTCATATCGCACTCTTGGAACACTTCGAGACGAAAGAAAAAAGTTATATATTGGCATGTGAAGATTTACGGGCAGGCGATGTTGTTGAAAGTCTCACTCACTTGAAGAAACCAGCTTCCGGTGACAACATCATTCAAGGCCTTGACAATGGTCAATTTTTTGTCGAAAAAGTAAAGCGTGGAAACTGTTTACCTCTGTGGGCTATACCAACCGGTACAGCTATATATGGTATCAGCCTCGAACAAGGAGGCAAAGCAAAATTATGTCGATCAGCAGGCTCATATGGCCGCATCACTTCCATTTATGACGACAAATATCTCGTAGTTAAGCTACAAAGTGGTGAAGAACGGCGCGTGCTCCAGACCGCGAGTGCCACTATCGGTCGAGTAAGCAATATCAATTGGCAGCACCGGAAACTAGGTAAAGCAGGACGGTCCCGCTGGCTCGGTATTCGTCCTACCGTTCGTGGTATGGCAATGAACGCCTGTGATCATCCACACGGCGGCGGAGGCGGTAAGTCTATCGGTAACAAACCTCCTCAATCGCCTTGGGGTGTTCTAGCAAAGGGCTTTAGAACTCGGAAGGGAAGACATAAAAACAAAATGATTGTCAAAGGTCGCCCTAGAGGAAAAAAGAATAAGCGGTAGGAGTTAGACTCTTGACTCGTTTTCAAACATTCTTGTTATATCCCGTCTTTGGCTCCTTTGAAGGCAGCGAGTGCTATAAATTTTTTTTCCTTGACATGCAACGATATTCTACGGCATATTACGTCCGTCTACGTCTTCTTCTTCTAGATTTCTTGTCTCTGCTGATACGCTCTGCTAAACTCAAATCACTAACTTTGGGTCCTAAACGTGCGGCTAGTGATTTACCAGAGCCCTTATTACTGGTGTTGACAGAATTGGATTTGCCTTCGTTTTTCTGACGCTGATGTCTATAAAATCTCTTATTAGACTTCTCTTGTTCAATATGAGCTTCCACAAGCTTGACATACCTTCTTAATTCGGAATCCTCCCGCGGGTCTCCGTGCAAAAGATAATAACGGGAGTACACATGAGCGTTACTCACTTTTTTGTCCAAAGTCGTAGCCAGGCGAATGGAGAATACTTTTTGAAGAGAAGGATGCGGTTTCGTTTGGTAACCGCGTCTCTCGTCCATATCCTCAATACTTTCGTTTACCAAATGGAAGAGTGCTGAACGGCACACGTCGTCATCTGGATATACAAGATTACCTTAAAGGATGGTCATTATCATTACTGCTGGTTTCAATTTTACACCATACACTTATCATCATTCACCCATTCAAACACGCATTTCGGTTCAGAAAAGTACTCTGTGACAAACTCGGACACTTGATTTTGAGACAAATCGGTTAATCCGATTAGGTGCAATGCATTCCGTCTGATTTGAACTTCTTCAGTTGCTGGCTGGTCAAGCTCGTTTTTTGCTGTTCCTTCTACTTCAACATCGCCCATGACAACATTTTCATCCATATGCTCCTTAGTGGGAACAGATTCTGTTAACAAATTGTCCATATACAGCTCGTTCTGCACACTTTACTGCTGGTACTAATACCGCTATACTGGAAACAATGTTCGTGTCGGAGTTCTCGGTTAGTTTTCGGTGGCTTTATTTGCCGAAAGTCACCGACAATCACCGAATGCTAAATGAACGCGACGCGTCTCCTGTCCTCCATATTTACCAACCACATACAGAAACAGTTTCATGGGTAGATTAGTCAGACTTGAAGTGGAAAACTTCAAGTCGTACCGTGGATTTCAAGTAATTGGACCGTTCTACGACTTTACTTCCATTATTGGTCCAAATGGTGCAGGAAAATCCAATTTAATGGACGCGATTTCGTTTGTCGTTGGTATAAAATCGTCGCACTTGCGCTCGTCAAACTTAAAGGACTTAATCTATCGGGGAAGAATACTTTCTAGCCAGTCTCAAGAATCTTCGCAATTAGAGCAGTCACCTCAGTCTGCCTTTGTTAAACTAGTATTCGCGTTGGATGATGGACGTGAAGTTTCTTTCAAACGGTCAGTTTCTGCAGCTGGGGCCTCTGAATATAGCATTGATGGTCGTACAGTGAGTTTTTCGGAGTATACGAAAGCACTTGAGGAACAGAATATTCTTGTCAAGGCGCGCAATTTCCTGGTTTTTCAGGGTGATATTGAAGCAATTGCGGCACAATCGCCCGACGACTTGTGTCGTTTGATTGAGCAAATCAGTGGTTCTTTAGAGTACAAACGTGAATACGATGTGCTAAAAGAAAAGCAAGACCAAGCCGTTAGTCTTTCTGCACACACTTTCAACAAGAAACGTGGTGTTAATGCCGAACTTCGGCAATATCAAGATCAAAAAGCTGAGGCCGAGCTCTATGAAACGAAGAAGGTGCAGAAAAATGAAGCTGAACTAGTTTACACGCTGTGGAAATTATACCACATCGAGCAGGGCAGTCGCACAACTTTAAAACAGATTGATGGGTTGAAACGACAACTCTCAAAGGCAGTGAAGAACTGTGAGAGTCTACAATCAACACTCAACACTTTACGGAGCGATGAGGGAAATGTTCATCGCAAACTTCTAGCAATCGATCGCAAGATTCAAACAAAAAAAAACCAGGCCTTCTCGCACAGACCTGAAGTCCTCTCGTTAGCAGAGCGTTTGGCTCGAAGCTCCACGAATGTGAACAAATTGCGGATCAAACTCGAGGAAGTTGAAAAAGATCACGTCGCTCAGCAAAATACAGTTGCGCTTTTAAAAGACCAATTGCGAGCGCTTCAGATGGCCGAAGAACAGTTTCTTAATGAACTGAAAGAGTCCGAGAAATCTCGCGGTATTCAATTCACACCCCAACAAGAAGAGACGTACAATGTGCTTCGTCAAGAAGTTGACGCGAAGAATTCACTTCTTCTGCCGGAGGTGGAAGCCATGAATCGGCGCATTAAAAAGGATTCTCAACAGCTCGTATCTATTAGTGACAACATTAAAGGAATCCAATCTAAACTTCAAGGTTTAGATGAGCAAATTAATAGTCTTCAGGCTGAAAAGGAACTCCTTACCACGGACGTGAATGACAAGTTATCGGCTTTAGAGTCCAAGAAAGCCGAGCATTCTCAAAAACGTACAAAACTCGTCCAACTTACGCAGGAGGAAGCCATCCTTAACGAAAAATTGCAAGAATGCTTGAGAAAATTGTTGGAGGTAAACGCCATGTCTCATGAATCACGACGTGAAACAAAAAAGAGAGATGCTCTCTTTTCCTTAAAGCGTATTTATCCAGAAGTTAAAGGACGAGTTGTTGATCTCTGCAGACCCACTCAAAAGAAGTATGAAACAGCTATTGCAGCCGCGCTTGGACGGAATTTTGAGTCTATTGTTGTCGAATCGCACACAATTGCTAAAGAGTGTATCAATTACATTCGTGACCAGAGAGTTGGTGTAATGACGTTTTTGCCAATGGACACAATTGCGGCAAAGCCTACAAATCAGAACCTTCGTGGTGCTTACACAGGAGCCCGACTGGCAATTGATATAATCAACTATGAGTCGGTGTATGAACGTGTCATGGCGAGTGTCTTGGGAGACACTCTCATTTGCGATAACATGGACATTGCTCGAGACTTAGCTTATAGACGGCATGTCAACTCAAAAGTTATTACGTTGGAGGGCACGGTTATCCACAAAACGGGTTTAATTAGTGGTGGCACTTCTCGCAATAACAATCGTCATTGGAATGATCAAGAGGTTGAAACTCTCAAAAATACTCAAAATACTCTAATGGATAAGATTGCTCAGATTCATGACGAAAAGTCGAGTATTTCCACCCTTGAAAACGAGTCGATGCAATTACAGCACATGCAAACTCAACTTACTCTTGTGCGCGATAATCTCAGTTCCGTAAATCGTTCGTTAGACGACAAAAAGACAGAACGCGAGCATGTCGGCTCCCAATTAACCAGTCTTAAACCCAGGGAAGGACAATTACGCCAACAATTGGAGACTTCAAAAGCGCATCTTTCTGAGTTGGAGCGGAAGGTCGAAATGGTTGAGGATAATGTTTTCGCCAACTTTTGTGAGGAAGTTGGCATTTCCTCAATTCGGGAATACGACGATTACCGAACATCGTTTGCGCAGAAGTTTTCTGCTAGGAAACTGGAGTTTACGACACAAAAGTCGCTTGTACAAAATCAACTGAGTTTTGAGTCTCAAAGACTTAAAGAAACAGAGCAGCGTTTGCAAAAGCTGAAGGGTTATGTCGAGAAGGAAGAAACCGCTGCCGTGGAAATGAAAAAGCAAAAGGACTCCTTGGAGAATGTTATTGCTACGAGCGAAGCTGAGATGGAATTGCTTCGTGAGGATTACAATAAATTAAAGCAAGACAATGAAGAACTTTTGCAACGTGTTGCTTCCGAGCGCTCACTGCTAAGTAGTAAGGGAAGCGAACAAAATAAACTGTCTGCAAAAATAAATACCTTGAAAGCATCTATTGAACGTTGTCGTTCAGATTGGCAAGGTGTTTTGCGCAAGTGTAAATTGGACGATTTGCAGATACCGTTACTTCAAGGAAATCTTGATGTTGTTCCAATTGATGAGATACCAGTTTCGAACGAACCTTCGCAAACTCAGACCGACATGGACATCGATTCGGAAAATGGTAACCCTGTTGATAGGTATGGCATCGTTGTAAACTACGATGCGTTAGATGATGAGCTTCGCGAAGACGCTTCTGAAAGCATGGGTAACGTCTTAGAGGATAAGATTAAAGAGCTGGCGCAAGAGATTGAACAAATGTCACCAAACATGAAAGCGAATGATCGACTTGTAAGCACGGAGCAGCGTCTTGACGAACTAGATGATTTGTTCAACCAAGCACGGCAAGCTGCGAAGGAGACGAAGGAAAAGTTTAACACTGTGAAAAAGTTGCGGTTAGAGAAGTTTCTCACAGCTTTTAATCACATTTCTGAACAAATTGATCCCATTTATAAGGAATTGACAAAATCAAAGGCATTTCCCATGGGCGGTACCGCGTACTTAACCCTAGATGATACAGACGAGCCATACTTGGGCGGTGTTAAGTTCCACGCGATGCCACCTATGAAGCGTTTCCGAGATATGGAGCAGCTTTCTGGAGGTGAGAAAACAATTGCAGCAATGGCTTTGTTATTTGCTATTCATTCTTTCCAACCATCTCCCTTTTTCGTTTTGGATGAAGTTGATGCTGCTTTGGATCAAGCGAATGTTACACACATCGCAAATTATATTCGTGAACATGCGTCGCAAGGCTTCCAGTTTGTGGTTATTTCTCTTAAAAACCAACTATTCAGCAAGTCAGAGGCGTTGGTTGGTATTTATCGAGACCAAGTTCAGAACTCCTCTCGCACATTAACGCTTAATGTAAGTCCTCAACCGTTTGTGTACACGATTTCCGTTTACTAACCATTTAGTTGGATCAATATCCATTGTAATGATGAGTTTTTGTTCAGAAAAGATTGAATGAATTGTATTGTAATGTTATGTTAGCTAAATGAAATAAATACAGACATTGTATATATGTGTAATTCTGTTAGCGTAATAGTACGGGATTTCTTAATTACACTACTATTCTCTATAGGACGGTTCCTTCTGTTTCCGTTGCTAATATCTTAGCTTCCTAGAGTTCTGTTTAATAGTACTTTTATCTTTGTCCTCAACACCGGAGCCAGTCTTAGCGGGAAGTACCAGGAGCACAAGACCCAGATTGTTTATATGGGAGTTAAAGGGCTTTTAGGGCTCTTGAAGGACATTCAAAAACCCTCACATATCGAGGAATTCTCTGGGAAAACGCTAGGGGTAGATGCTTACGTTTGGTTGCATAAAGGTGTGTTTGCATGTGCTAAAGAGCTCGCATTCAACATTGAAACGGATAAATACATTCAGTATGCAATGCATAGAATCTCTATGCTAACCTATTACGGTGTTAAGCCATTTGTCGTGTTTGATGGAGGACCTTTGCCTAGTAAACTGGGTACTGAAGAGAAACGACGTGCTCGTCGTAAAGAAGCTCTCGAGTTAGGAAAAAAGCTGTGGAATGAAGGAAAGAGAAGTCAAGCAATGATGCATCTTTCACGCTCGATCGATGTTACTCCAGAAATGGCGAATAGATTTGCTATGACATTACGACAAAACAACATTCCATTTGTTGTAGCTCCGTACGAAGCTGATCCTCAGCTTGTGTACCTTGAAAAGACGGGTTTCATTGACGGTATCATCACTGAGGACTCGGATATGTTGATCTTTGGTGCTCGAACCGTGCTCTTTAAACTTGATAACTTTGGCAATTGCGATGTCGTACGTCGAGAAGATATTCCACGGCTTCCTAATATGAGTCTCCAAGGATTCAACGATCACATGCTGCGATACCTGGCTATTTTCTCGGGCTGTGACTACACAGACGGTATCGGGGGCATTGGACTTAAGAAGGCTATACGTTTCATCCAGCGTTTTCCTAAACCAGATGCTGCTATACGTGCTATGCGTGCAGAAAGGAGTCTGAATGTTCCCATAGACTTTGAACACACTTTCACTCTCGCTGATAAAGCGTTTCAGCATCAGCGTGTTTACTGTCCTCAGCAACAGCGGCTTGTTCATCTAAACGACGTTGTGGGAACGTTGGACGAAATTGAAGAAGCGTTCGTCGGTCTGCCTATTGATGAAGAAATAGCACGTCAGATCGCAATTGGTGAAATGAATCCTATTACTAAGGAGAAATTTGTTTCCTGCGAACCTTTGAAAGGAGAATCCAAGAAACGGAGATTTGTTGCAAAGACAGATATTGCAAATTACTTTCCTACTGCCAAACGTCCTCAGAAAACTGCAAGTCTTTCGGATGTTACAAATATCGCTCCTCAAAGATCACCCGAAATACTTGCTAGTGATGCTGGGCACAATCTGAAGAAACCAAAATCAATGAGTTCTGGTTCTCTTGGTACTAAAATCGCTACTGCGAAAGAAAATCCCGGAAAACCCACATCAGTATGTAGTCCTTACTTCACAGCCTTGCCAAATCATGAAGCCAAAAAAGAGAATGAAGCTATTAATGGTCAAACGATATCAACCCCCTCAAGTCATTCTCCTAGAAAAGCTACGACACAAGGGTCACCCTTAGATTTGACAGCAAAAACTGGAAGTACCACTTTATCTTCGCACGACAAAGAGACGGCCGTACTTTCAGCACCTTTACCTTCCATTGGCCAACCTGCAGATACCCAAGTCGAGTCAAATTCGGGTTCTGCGTCTCCGAAAGAATCGTCTGTTGAGTTTTGGAAGAAAGCCTTCTCCTATAAACAGAACGATAAATCGGGTAATCATACACCCCGTATGTCACCGCTCTCTCGCATTGGCGTACAAGCCTTGTCGAAGAGAAAGTCACTGTCTACTTCTCAATTACCGTACAAGAGTCCTTCTTTCACAAGTCCGTCTAGCTCAACGGATAAATCTCCTGGTATGCTCTCATTGCATCAATATAAGTTCCGCTAATTCTCGTTGTTTACGAGAATTCGATCATTCCCTCTTGCCTTTGTCGTTGCTTTTAAAAAAAGTTTCCTCGTTTTCTATATCCACCTTCGACGGCTTTATGAGCTGACGATATGCATTTTCGCAACCATCTCTTACATTCTCACGTTTTCTTTTCTCTGTTTTAATATTTATATGTGTGCATGCAATCATTCCCTTCATACCAGTACATATCATAACTTAGATACACAACATGTATAGGATTCATTTATTCAGTCATATGGGTTACTTGATTTATTTGTAATATTCAAGGAACCATCGTTTTAATAGAGTCGATGAACGCAGCGTCTTCAGGTGCGAGGGCAAAGTTGTTTAATCTTTCGATAAGTTTCTTGGCTTCTGTGAGCTCGCCCAATTGAATGAGCCAACAAAGAAGTAGTTTTTGTGCAAAGAACCCCTTATCCTGGAGAAGAATGTCTCGAAGCAGCTGTTGTTCCTGCTGGCTAAGCGGGAGAGCAATGATAGACTTACAAGCTTTTTTATTTTCAGAGGCAAGTACCTGACGGACCATCTCAGTCCACAGTTCTTGTGAGTTCTGAAACTTTCGCTGTGAATGGTTAGTGTGACAATGTTACAATTAGCTTTTAGATAAAAACATACCGCATTTTGGTAAGCACACACAAAATTCAATTGAGCTAATGAGAGAATATAAGTGCTTTGTTTTTGATATGTATCAAGGGGCGGACTAATCGTTTGTACGAAACGAACAGAAAGTCTGTATTGCTTTTGCTGATACAGTGTCTCCAAAATCTTATCAGCAAAGTTGGGAATGACAGACGGATGCAAGAAACAATTCAATGCGGACTAAAACATGGTTAGCGGAAACCGTTCTGCGGTGCAGATGAAGAAAATGGGTGAAGGTGAGACAAAAATAGAGAGAATTCTAATTGCGATTTCAAAATAAGTCAAGTACTTGCATTGACGGAACAGTAAACAGAGGAAAAAATCCCAAAATAAAAGCAAATATTCCTTTTTGGTCTCTCTTCAAGGCTCTAACCAACGTAAACATACCTCATAATTCATGTGATCCATCTCATAATATCCATCCATCAATGTGCGAAAGTTTTTAGGTAAAAGGACCTGTTCTGCGAATTCTTTGCTTTTGTTCCAGTCTTTGAGAATGTAATAGAAACAGCAATGTTGTTTTAGTTCGTCGGTACCGGACTCATCAATTTTCAAAAAGAGAGTTTTCAATTCATTCAAATCAGACGGCGGGAAATAAACAGCAGCATCCTGTATTCCAGCAATTACGGCTAATAAAACATCAAAAAACAAACACCGATCAACTTGTAATGAGCGTAGTTTTTGTACTCGTGCAACGAAATGCGATGAGTATGGAAAATCTTCTTTTCTAAGACTAAAAAGCTTAGAAAATCGCTGGAACTGCTCAGTGTTCATTATGTAAGACGAATGAACCCGGTATACCAAACAAACCCTGCTTGTCTACCTGTGATATCGTCGTTCAAAGAACTGGAAAAAGGAGGACCTCCTCAACACCTGCTCAGAACCAAACACCTCCCACCAGGAATGCTATGAGTCAAAGAGAAGACTCCGGGGAAGTTCGCGGTCCTCTTATTCCAGAGGCTATTATAGATGCGCCTAGTCAGCGGCTGTACGCAATTGCTGCTCTGGTTGCATTACAAGCGTACAAGCTCTATGACTTCGTACTATTTAACGCGTCAGGCGCGTCAGATGTTAAAAATACAACCTTCCTTTTAAAATGGATTCTTTTGGACGCTTCGTATTGCTATATTTTACCTTTATTCCGCATTCCTTGGCTTTCGTTTCAACCGTCAACAACTTTATTGCAGATCGCCTTGTTTGCGATTGTTGACGTCCTTCTCTGTTCAATTACAGGATTCAATTTTTCTTCTATTGCTTTGTTTCTGTATTCCTTCATAAACTCAAAAGAACTGACTTTGACAGACCAAAGAGTCAATCCTCAAGACATTATAAATAACTCTTCCCGTATTCTTGGCCAGTACACGGTTCATATTTTGCCTGAAAGTTCAGCCAAAATCAATCCTTATAATGAACATTATTGTCTTCCAAGTGTCGACGAATTTGGTGAGAAGAAAAAAAATACCGCACCTATCACAATCCCTATTCGGTTTAATTCTACGACACCTTATTTAATTGAGTATGCATTTGTGGATTTGGAAACGCTTGAGGAGAACCGCTATAACATTAGTGGCCGCGCCTTACGCCGTATATTAGACACTGCTGTTCGAGACAACAAAGATGGCCGGTTGTACACTGTTCAATTCAAGGCCCCAAAACGTGGCTTGTACCGTTTAACGCGAGTAATTGATAAATCAAAGTTGGCGGTCCGGATTTACCGTTCTGAAGCCGTGATTGTAACCTGTCCCCAGGCACGTTTACGACTCCCACAAGACAGTCAGACGAAAAATCAAAAGCAAAACCAAGTTCCGCGTTGTGTCGATGATGCAAATCATTTGCTGCTTGATGTTCAAGGCGTTGCGCCCTTAAAAATCCGTTACTCACGTTGGATTGGTAATGATGAAACAGTCAGCTCCATTGAGTCTGCTAAGCCAACTGGTTTTGATGCACCCGCAGAATTTCTTTCTGCGCCAGAGGAAATTTACTTCGGAAACAACGTTGACCTAAAATTTGCACAGTCATCGAATGTCGCGATATTTTTGAACACGACCTTGGCACTCCCTGGAGAATGGACGTACGGTATTCACAGCGTTACAGATGCCTTGGGTAATACAGTCTCATTTCCTGTTGAGGTTGCTTTGCAAGACAAGAAGCATGTCCCGAACTATCCCTTCATCTCCTCTGTCTATGTTTATGAAAGACCAACATTGCGGTTTGAAGGATGCTCTATGGAACACCCTGTAAAGCTACTTCCCGGGGGTGAAGCTAAACTCCGTGTATCGACAAATGTTCATCTGGAAAAAGACAAACAGATTCGTTTTCAATTGCTTAGATATCCATTGGGAACAGATTTAGAGTCTGCTGACAAGACACCCACGTTTTCTTCGTATGTTTCCCTCTATGATTTGCATAACGGTATCGCTGTGCACGAAGACGGTATCTATGTAATTGACAATGTCTCTACAGAGTTTTGCTCTGGCACGATATTGGCTCCTAGTCAATGTTTGGTGACCGTGCCACCAAAAGCCGAAGTTTCCGTGCACTTTGAGGAGATTGCGGACCAATGCGCCGGTTCAATCGGTGCTCGTGCAGAGTTAGAATTTGAAGGTGTACCACCTTTTGGTATTTCTTATCGTATGTCTCGGAACAAGGAACAATCACCTATCCAGTATGCACACATCGATCGAACTCGTTACCAGCTATATTTTACTCCCAAGGAAGCAGGCAAGTATCGCTATGTGATTTTGGGCCTGGAAGATACAAACTACGGCTATCGTGAATTGAAGGGTCCCGAGTTTACCAAGGAACAGACCGTTTTCCCTCTAGCTGATGCCTCTTTTGACAAAAACTCGCCTGATGATTTAACGAAGAACTGCTGTATCGGTGACAGCCTGGATATTCCAGTAACTTTGAGCGGCTCTGCTCCATGGAAACTTGAGTACGAAATACTTCGCGATAACAAGAGAGAAAAAGTGCATATATTGGAGTCTAATAATCCCAAATGTGTGATACATACACCCTCCTTAAAGTATGGTTCACAGTACACTGTTGCACTTGTCAGTGTTGAGGATGCTAATGGTTGCAAACGTTCTCTGAGAGAATCAGACGTAATCATTAATGTTCGAAGACAACGGCCGACTGCTTCGTTTTATCCACAGAACAAAAAGTTCAGCGTTGAGGATGTTGAAGGAACTGAGCTTCAAATTCCACTCAGATTGGTTGGTGAAGCACCATGGCAGTTGGAATATGAACGCGTTGGTACGGATGGTTCTGTTTCTAAACACATGACGACGCTGTACGACGCAAACAGCAACCTTAAGGTTAATGTTGCTGGTACGTATAAACTGATTTCCGTACGTGATAGTTCGTGCCCAGGATCCATTCCTTCTCCGGATCAAACGTTTGTCGTCTCTTGGTTGCCCAAACCCCTTCTTTCTCTTTCCAATGCTCCGAAAATTAACTCGACTACGGAGCTCGTTTATGAGCATCCCCACATCTGCGAAAATGCGAACAGTGCTTTTGACGTTTCTTTGGTTGGCACGCCCCCATTCCTGTTGCAGTACGAGAAGTACCTTGTTGACGAGAATGGAAAGATTCACCAGCGAGAACATCGTGAGCTTTCAACCATGCAAAACTTTGTTACTCTTAAGACTGACTCTGCGGCTGCAGGTACGTACTACTACGAGTTTGTATCTATTTCTGATTTGTTGTATACGGATGTGGGTGCATTCGCAAAAGATAATGACGGTAAATTAAAGACTGTAATTGTTAATCAATTTGTCAACAAGGCACCAAAGGCTGCCTTTACGGAGCCAGGAAAGGTGTACACGTTTTGTCTCAACACAAATGTGTCGCACCCTGACGCGCAAAAAATTCCCATTCGGCTTGATGGCCAGGGACCCTTCGACATAAGCTTTGAAATCAAGAACGAGCTTAGTGGCTCGGTGATGAAAACAGAAGTTCACAAAGTGGAAGGTCCTGTTCTCAACTTTACGTTTCCCCAAAAGCAACTTACACTTGGACGTCACAAGGTTCGCATACTGAAGGTTGTGGATGCGAACAAGTGTGCTTATCACGTTCCTCATAATGCACCTACTGTTACTGTCGGTGTTGCCGAACTTGCTTCCCTTACACCGTTAGACAGTCGCGAATACTACTGTGTTGGCGACCGGCTAGCATTTTCACTGCAAGGTATTCCACCCTTTAACGTGGAGTATAGCTTCCTTGACAAAAAACTCCAGGCAAGTACGCAAGGGCATAGCTTCTCGCGCATTGCCGAGACGCCTGGTAATTTCACCTTGCTCTCGATCGCAGACAAGGGTAGCCCGTGTCGTGCCGTCTTTAAAAAGCCAATCCATTACGAGATACACGATATTCCCACAGTTCGTATCAGTGACGGTCGCGAAGTTGTGGAAAATATTCACGAAGGTGATCGCGCCGAAATTTCATTCCAATTCACCGGCACACCTCCCTTTACGTTTACATACTCACGACACGCTCTGACGCGGAAAGGAACAGGCAAAGTCCTAGAAACACACACCGTTACCGGTATTGAGGAATACGAGTACAAAATCCTCAGCTCTATCGAGGGTGTCTACGTTGTGAATAGTGTTCAGGATCGTTACTGTCGGTTCCCGAGGAGCTCGACATTTAAAGGAAAATAATGAGTAATTAAATGGCTGTCTTTTTATGAACTAAATACAAACTGTTTCTACAATCGCGTCTCTTGGTGGACCTACCCTGGCTCTTCTGAGCATCCGTAGAATGCGTGAATTCCTCCGTGACGGGTATAGTACTCCATTTTTGGTGTAGTGTTTTTGGTGTAGGTTTTTCGTTCAGAGAAACATACGTCATCTTCGCAAGGGTTCATGGAATAGAGCGGTTTCCGCTGGATCGGAACTCGACTCTAGAAACTACTAGGGTCGGAAACAACATGCTTTACGTTTACATACATCAATAAAACAAGAATCACATGAGATAAATCAACGGAATTAACGTACAGAAACTAATTGAACTACATGCGTTGTAAATGTGTTGTCACTTAGACGAGGTAACAGTGCATGAGTCTAAATGCATCCGCTAACATATAAAAACGGAACACGCGCCACAAACCATTGAGCGTTCTGCATTCGAGAACTGTTGTTCACGGAGTCGCATCATTAACACATCCGTCATCCTATGAGAACAACAAAAGTCCCATGATGGGGCACTGCATGGTAACAAAGGTTGACTTGACGATCGCTTTGCGTCTTTTTATGCCCAAGAAAGTGCATATTCATGTAACCGCGTCATGTTTTAGCTTTGTCGCGATTTAAGACTAAAAGATTCTAGTGTGGAGTTGACTAATGAACGCGTTCTTAGTCATTCGTTTCGATTCGGTTTCTCCATGGAGAACTTATCCGCGAATGGTGATGTCATGCAGCAGCTCGATTTTCACCTTAGCCGTGAATTAAACTTTGGGGAAATACCGTGGGTTATCTGAATGACGTAATCCTGTGTCGGGAAAAGCGTTGCCGCAGAAGTAAGCATTTATCGTGCGGAAATCGACGGGAATCGCGTTAGGGCTGAGGATGAGGAGACATTCGCAGAATCTTCGGCTCTGGGTCTGGACAAGCCGGAAGTAGGAATAAAAGCCGGAGCCTTCGCGACAAGTTCCTTCGAGTGTCGGACTGACTGTTAACCTGTGAATCCCCTCTCTGCGTCCATCTTTTAACGTTCGCTCTTCTTGGAGAAACATTACTCTTTTGAATCTATTTCATACGCCTGTGCGTTGAATCTTGATTCACTTTAAACATATCTATTGCATATCATTCTTGTGAATTTGCAAGTTTTATCTTTCATTCATTTCCTTAAACTTTCAGGATAAAAAAACTAGGAACAATGATGTCTTTCGGAAAGTTCATCTTGTCTCTTCTGATGTTCTCTGGCGCTTTTGCCATGCAACCTCTCAGCGTGAAGGGCCGTAAGTTCTTCGTCAACGACACCCAGTTTTACTTGAAGGGTGTGGCCTACCAACCCAATGTTGAGGCCGAGAAGACCAACTTTGTCATTGATCCTCTTGCCGAGGCCAACAAGGACAACTGTACTCGTGATGCCAAGATTTTGTCTGATCTCGGTGCCAACTCTATCCGTGTTTATGCTGTCAACGCCAGCTTGAACCACGACAAGTGTATGCAAGCCTTCAGCAACCAAAGCATCTACGTTTTCCTTGATCTCGCAAACCCCAAAACTGCTATTGATCGTTCTTCCCCTACTTGGAACATCTACCAATATGCCAACTACACCAAGGTGATTGATGCCTTTGCCAAGTACAACAACACCGCTGGTTTCTTTGCCGGTAACGAGGTCGTCAACAACGCCTCCAACAGTGCTTCCATTGCCTATGTTCGTGCTGCCATCCGCGACAGCAAGTCTTACATCAAGGCCAATGTGAACCGCTCTATCCCCGTTGGTTATGCTGGTGCCGATATTCCCTACATTCGCACCAAGATTGCCAACTACTTGGCTTGCAATGCTACCAAGAGTGCCAACGACACCGACTCGGAGGCTGACTTCTTGGGTTATAACATCTACGAGTGGTGCGGTAAGTCTGACTATGTCACTTCTGGTTACAAGGACCGTACTGAGGAGCTCAAGAACTACACTGTTCCCTTGTTCTTCTCTGAGTTTGGCTGCAACCTTGTGAGACCCCGTTTGTTCACTGAGGTCGCTGCCCTCTATGGCTCCAACATGACTGATGTCTGGAGTGGTGGTATTGTCTACGAGTACACTCAAGAGACTAACGGCTACGGTCTCATCAACACTACTAGCTCTGGTGAAGTTGTCCTCACTGATGACTACAAGAACTTGAAGAAGCAATGGGCTGCCATTAAGCCTACCACTGTCAAGAAGTCTTCTTACAAGCCTTCTGGTACTGCTCCTGCTTGCCCTGCCGTGGCTTCTAACTGGGAGGTTACCTCCAAGGCCTTCCCTGTCACTCCCAACGCTACTGTCTGCAGCAACGCCGTTAAGAAGCTTACCCACTGCACTGCCAAGGGTTCTCCTGACGGTGAGACTATCTCTGACACTCTTAGTGAGCTTTGCTACTACGACAGCGACGCCTGCTCTAGCATCTCTTCTAACCCTGAGCAAGGTACTTATGGTAAGTACAGTGCTTGCAGTGGTGTTCAACAACTCTCCTTCGCTTTGGATGCCTACACCAGTGACCATGGTAACGATGCCTGCAGCTGGGGTGGTGTCGGTACTCTCGTCAAGAACTAGAGTAACGAGCATGTTTGCGCAATCGCTTTCGTTTTGTGAATAAAAGGGAGCTTTGCATTGTTTATGAATACGATGTCATTACCTGCATACTGCATTTGATCATTGAAATAAATTGTTGTTTATATCTGTGAGATGGATGGGGGTTAAGCTGTGGATTGGGAAGAGAGGGGTGAGGTACGAAGGCGAATCTAATTGTCATCGATGTTTTCTTCTTGCTTGCTGTTGTCTTCTGGAGCATCGAGTTTTAGTTCCAGATGTCGGCTAAGAGACAGACTGTTGTAAAATCGCCGCTCGTCTGTGTGAGGTGTTCGAAGCAAATAGTGCAAGAACAAAAGAGCAGTGTCGTATGCATCTTTACCGGCTTCATGGGAGGATCTGCGGTTCATGGCTTGACTCCAAGGGCCTGCATCCAAAGGCAGTTGTGAGTCAGAGGACTGTTTATCCTCTCCGGAACTGCTGCTGTCGCCAGTGTGAAGAGACATGCTGGATGTGTGAACAAGAGCAGCAAGAGTCTGCAGGTCTGCAGGACCGCCTGCGACGAAATCCGACAACAGAGGAGACCGTGTGTAAAGCAAGGCAGTGTCGTAGACACGGGTAAAGTGTTGTCGAACAGAAGATAGTAACTGTTTTGGGGGAATGATTGGGGGTCTTTCACTTTGCACTGATTGCAGAGATGGTGCTGCACAGAATGTGCATACCAAATACATCAAGTCAGCAAATCCATTGTGAAACACGAACGGAACTTTCAACTTCATGAGATGGTCCCACACTTTTCGACAACCGATATGCTCTTCCAAACAAGTGAGAATCCTTTCTTTTTTACGCGCAATTCTTTGCTGAGCTGGGTTGCCTGAGACGGCATTTTCGGTAGCAGAGGCCGAGTGCTCTTGTTTACGTACTTGTATGAATGTACGCTTAGAGATAGTGTGCAACTGAGGGAACTCGGTTTCCACAAGTTGATGAACGGCTTTTTGGATGTATCGGTTCGGTGCGTCAACGTTGCAAAAACTTGAGACAGGTGTCTTTTGGGCAAGCCAAGCTTGAATGTTTTTACGGGCAACTCGAACAGCTTGAGAAGCCGTTTCGTCAAGTGTCATGGGTTGTCCAATAGCTTTGTTCATCGCATCCACCTGGCTCCGAATGAACGTTTCCTCCATCTCCGTCACATATCTGACTCCATTAGCCAAATGGTTTGTGAAATCGAAACCATGGTTGAGTAAAAAGTCGATTGTCTGTGCATCGTATTGGCAACGGCGTGTACAACGCAGACAATCTGGAAGTGCCGGAGAGATGTCTATGGTGAAAGGGATACATTCTGCCTGAAGTTTGTTGGGCAATAGCCGAATACAGCACAATCCAAGTTGTATGACTGAAAATGTTTGTGCACTCGAACACAACCGGTTCATAATTTCATCACCAGCATCTGCTGCAGAACCGTCTCTGGACTCTCCCTTCGTCCTGTCTAGTCCTGAAAACTCACAATCAAATGCCACATAGTCGGCTTCGTCAAGACATTTTTGCAGTAGAGGAAATTGTTCCTTGAAGTTATTGGCATTTATATTCATGAGCACAGGGAGAATATAAGAAGGTCGTTTTTGTTTTATTAGAGACAAGTATTAATGTCGATGATGCAAAAAAACAAAAAAACTAATAGAATTACTAACGTTCGTACGGCTCCAAAAAACCAAACTTGACAGTATTTTTAAGGATTTATTTTACTTGCACTTTGTCCTTTGTTTTTTTTTTTTTTACTCTTCCGGTAGTGTTTTGTTTGTTTGTTTACTTTCATCGTTGTCATGGAAACAATGAAAGTAAACAAACCTTAGTTGTCTCGTTAAACTCTCCTGGAACCAACATCGAGCTCGGTCAGATTTTGCTGCTCGGCACATAGGAATGTCAGAATCAAAGCTCGTTGACTCGTTGAACCGGCTCTCGGTAAATAATGGGAGCACAGTTGCGTCTGGCAGACAGCAATTACTGCGTCTTGCTGTTTCCAACCAAATGCACGCAAACAACAATTCGTCGACCAGTGCAGACGCTTTGAGAGAACGCCAAGAAAGACACTACTCGCTTTCATCCGACGGAAACAACAACAGCAGTAAACCGTTGCGGAATTTTCATTTAGGAATGTTCGAAATTGGCAAACCTTTGGGAAAAGGAAAGTTTGGTCGCGTCTACTTGGCCAAGGAGAAGAAAACAGGCTATGTGGTCGCCTTGAAAACACTTCACAAGGAAGAATTGGTGCACTCAAAGGTGGAACGTCAAGTACGGCGCGAAATTGAAATTCAATCGAACTTGCGACACAAAAATATTCTTCGTCTGTTTGGTCACTTTCATGACGAGAAGAGAATCTTCTTAATTCTTGAATTTGCCGGCCGTGGAGAGTTGTACAAGCATCTCCGTCGCCAACAACGCTTTTCGGAGGAGTTGTCGGCAAAGTATATTTTCCAAATGGCTCAGGCGTTAGCCTACTTGCACAAGAAACACGTTATTCATCGAGACATCAAACCCGAAAACATCTTGTTGGGCATTGACGGCGAGATCAAGCTTTCCGATTTCGGTTGGAGTGTTCATGCACCTTCGAATCGCAGAACGACTTTGTGTGGAACGCTGGACTACCTGCCACCCGAAATGGTTGAAGGAAAGGAGCATGGTGCGAAGGTTGACTTGTGGTCGTTGGGTGTGCTTACATACGAGTTTCTCGTAGGCGCACCTCCCTTTGAAGACATATCTGGCCACAGTGCAACATACAGACGTATAGCCAAGGTAGATTTGAAGTTCCCAAGCTTCATCTCAGCCGAGGCAAAAGACTTAATCTCTCGGCTCTTACAACACAGTCCCGAGAAACGTTTGTCCCTGGACCAAGTCATGCGTCATCCTTGGATTCTTAAACATAAAAACAACTGGGACCGACCGGGTGTTGATCCCCAGTGAAGCAATGTACAGTGAATAACGGCTACTGCTTATGCAGTCGATTGTTCATTACACGCTGTCCAGTACGCTGGCGCACTTACATGCATACCCGCTTTCCTTTTCATTCCTTCCTTTATTTACCTGTCCTTGAAACTCCCCTGTACTTTCTCCTATCTCTTCAAACACTCATTGGTATGCCTATGCCTCCGTGAGTATTCAACTTCTTCATTGTCTCTCAATTTCCTTCCCCTTTCTTTCCTAACCGTTTTGTTTTTTATTCCTTTCTTCCCGACTACATCTTAATAAACTATATGAAACATGTTAGCAGACAACCCGGTCCGTGTTCTCCCTGCTCATCGTTTTCCCACTTACTCTTTTCGAATGGCCGTGTGTCTCGGAAACACGCTTCGAACACTTTGTTTACCACACGTTCGGCCTCTTCTTTGCTTGTACACTTTGGATTCGCCAGCACAGATTGCGTTGCTCTTCTTTTCACACACGCCTGGTGGTGTTTACTGAACGTTTTAATATTCCCCCCGGCCCACTCTTTGGTCCAACGGCACTCACCGCTTAAACTGCTGGCTCGAATTTCTGCACATGCATGATGCTCCAGATTAAGCCAATCAATTTGAAACTGCTTGTCGTCGTGCATATGAATCATTTCATGTGCCAATGTATTTTCTGCCATCTTTTTGTTGAACAAATGATTTGCACATAGTGTGATGCCTTCGTCAGGCGTATACCCGCCTGTTTGTTGTTCATCACATTGAACACACTGGACCATGTCTTTGACTACGTCTTTTCCTCCATTCAAGCGTTTAATTGCATCCGTCAAAAAAACACAAATAGGTGAATTCGATAGCAACAAGTCTCGGATCTTCTCACAGTCCATTGCTGGATTTCAGCATAAGAATTTGTGTGTCTTGTGTGGACAGTTTGGTGGTCACTTTTGGTGGAGTGTTTTAAAGCGGCTTAGAGCCGTGCGTTATCCAGGTTAACGTGTTCGTGCATATCACACGGTATATATTTTAAGACGGGATGCGATAGTCGCGCTGCAGCTCAGTAAATGAAAATTCAGTGGTCTCTCTACTACACAATCTACGACTAGCAAGCACAATGGATACACGCCCAGCTCTCACTTTCTGCTACCTGACTCGCCCCCACTCCCCACATCCCCCACCCTACCACCACCATCTCTGCACAGTGTTTGTTCATCCACCGCCGTCCTTCCAGTCCTTTTCGTACTCAAAAAAATGCGTCCTTTGACTCACGAGGAAACCAAGACCTTCTTTGAGAAGCTCGCCCAGTAGTACGTGGAGACTAGATTTTTAGAATGCCGAGTTTTCTTGCGACTAACCTTCTGTTAACAGTATCGGAAAAAATATCACCCACTTAATTGACCGTCCCGATGATCCTCATTGCTTCCGGTTACAGAAAGACCGTGTGTATTATGTCAGGTACGTGGATTGCTCCAGCTTGGTTAGAAGAAGTTCGTGACTGACAAATTCGTTTCAGTGAAAAAATTATGAAACTCGCGACCACCGTTGCTCGTCAGAGCTTGATGTCGTTGGGTGTCTGCTTTGGAAAGTTTACGAAGACCGGCAAGTTCCGTCTTCACATCACGTCGTTGGACTACATCGCCCAGTACGCTCGTTACAAAATTTGGGTTAAGCCCAACGGTGAAATGCCTTTCCTCTACGGAAACAACATTGTCAAAGCACACGTTGGTCGTATTACCGATGATACTCCTCAACATCAAGGTGTAGTCATTTACTCGATGAATGACACTCCCTTGGGATTCGGTGTCACAGCTCGTTCTACAGTGGAATTGAGACGTTTAGAGCCTACCGCCATTGTCGCTTTCCACCAGGCCGATGTGGGCGAGTATCTTCGTGACGAGGACACGCTGTTTTAAGAACAGAACAAAAAAGGACCAAGAGTGCGTTGAGTACTTGTGCTATAGGGAAACATGTTTTTTTTTGGGTTAACTTTGGACAAGAATGGGGGAAATGTTGGGAAAAGGGACGTAGGAGGGTGTGTGTTAAGTAAAAAGTTATGCAGAGCTCAAAGATGTTCAAGTATCTTGTAAAGTGAAACAACGTGGAACGGAGAATATGAAGAGTGCAATTTAAAAGGAGAACTTCTCAGTACCCTCAGCTCTTCAACGACGGAACCACGATTTTTTTGACTGTTCAGAGAATGATCATTTAGTAGGCAACACTTCCTTGCGTGTTTCGACTTTTGGTCTTCAGCTTTACGTTACGCCGGTCCTTCTTAGGAATCCATCTTTCCGGATCTGGCTTAGCGTTGGGCTTGAAGTTTTTGGGAACGGGCTTTTTGCGCTTGCGAATCTTCTTGGCTTCTGTATTGGTTGACGCAACAACATTCACAGCAGCACGCTTAATGCCTGCAACAGGAACACCCTTGTTTTCAATGGCATCGATATCCGTACCAGAAAGGAGGTCTTTTATGGGAAGCAAGTGCTGCTGTAAGGATGGAGCTACTGACATCCGCAAGTGGCTCTGAGCAGCCAATTGACATGCTACCAGCTCACTTGCTGGTCCCCGCCAAGCAATGAGATCATTCAGAGTAAGCAAACCCTGTTGAATGACTTCAGGTGAAGCCTTCTCGTCTACACAGACCAAAAGCTCACGAGGACATAAAAGTAACTTGGCTTCGCAATTGGGTTGAGAAGCCCAGTAGCGAGCGGCAGCATGCAAATGCGTGTAGTGGGGATTGTTTCGGTGAATGCGTGCTTCCAACGCATCACCAAGTCCGACGAGACCCGGGGCGTAACGCTTATCGAGAGAATTAGCAGCTTCAAGTGCGGAGAACAGGCGTCGTAACACAGCATATGCTCGCTTATAATTTTCAAAAGAAATGTAGTGTTGCACAAGTATAAGAGTAAGACCAATATCCGTAGGATGCTGCATGGACGACCGTATGAGGGTGTCGATGATCTTTTTTGGATCCGTGTAACGAAGACTAAACTTGTGCAATAACGTTTCGAAAAAAGCACTGTCGGCGATATTCTTTTTTGAGGTAGAGCGCACAGCACGATGCTTGTTTACAGCCATGTCCAGCAAGGCTAGGTTTCTTGTAAGCTGCACACTCTGGCTCGCAAGCAAGGAGGAGAAACACTTGGTAACCGAATTTTTGTGCATATTCTTGTAGGAAAGGTAAGGGTTTCCAATGTCAATACTGATCAAATTGTTTGCAAACAAGACTTTTTCAACAGTACTTAAAACGCTTTCATCTTCGATCTCTTTAGCAGTCTGAAGAGCTTTTTCGGTTTCACCCTTCTGCAAAAAGGCATACATAAGCTGAAGAAGGAAAGGATATATACTTGCTTTGTTGTCTTGACCCAATTCCTTTAAGCGGTCGATGTTTGCTTGCAAAAGCTCGATAGCGTTATCCCATTGACGAAGGTTTAAGTATCGAGTAGCTACATTGTACATAAAATCGTGATCCTCTTCGTTTGTCTCAAACGGGAGCTTCCAGCAATCAACTTGTGAAGCAGCAGCCAGCATGTTCACAGCAATATCAGAAACTTGGCTTGGTAACCGACGAATCATATCATCATAAATCTGAAGAGTTTTCGTAAAATCAGACTCCTTATAAGACTAAGAACACTGTTAGAATACACATAAGACTCCAACGCAGAAGTTAAACTCGCAAACGCGTCCAGTATTTATACAAACCTTTTGAGCGCGTAAATGATCGAGAAAATCTTGATCTTCAATGAAAGAGAAATCTTTTCCTAGTTGATAACAACAATACGCACGCTCATACAACGCATCCTGTGGTCCAAAACGCTTGTTGATGCTGTAAAGTGCTTCTTTGTACTTTTCCTCCTCAATAAGCTTTAAAACCGTGTCATAGGCATCTTTCGGCGTGGTTCCGAAGTTTAGACCATCCAGACGTTCAACGATCTTCTCAACGTCTGATAATTCTTCGTCCACGGACATTGGAAATGGATGCAACAGTTGTGTGGAGAGGACAACTACGCGTGTCTTGGTGGTACTGGACGTCCCATTAGGGTTACCATGTGGATATAATGAAAAACGCGACACGTAAACAAACACAAAAAAAAGAGAATTGAGTGCGCGTATGTGTTCGCTGTGTATATGGCATTTTGCCGTAGGTGCAGACAGATTTTGTTCTCTGGAGTTTAAAGCATGATAGTTACTAGTATCTACAGTACCTGCTGGGTCGTTTGTGTCTAAAGAAGAAGACAGAGCATAGTGAGGAGGAAAAGGTGCAAGAGTAAAGAGTAGGAGTAGGAGAAGAGGAGGAAAGACGAAAACGAAAGAAGAAATATAAGTCGTTCCCAGCGTTACGTGTATGTACTACGAAAACATGTTCGGCTTGTCATGTGATTGAGAACAATTAAACACAAATGCCAGATGCGTTTTGTGTTTCAGAAATTAAAGGTTCGCAAGTTCTCTGCTTTACGAGCTTGTTGTAAAACTCCTTACGCAGCTTGCACGATTCTTTGTTACAACCCGGACAACACATTAGAAACTGGGTGGAGAACCGTTCGTTTTTCTGCAAATGGCCGGCCACTAAGTCAGCCATACCTTTAATGAAGGAGGCATTGTCATTCAGACCCGGCATCCGACGGACGCCCGTCATTCCCAATGCCTTTGCTTCGGCTATGTACTCCTCTAACTCATGCAAGGTTTCGATATGGTCGGACGTAAAGGCGATGGGAACGAGGATGGCGTTCTTGTGGCCCTTCTTGGCCAACCAAGTCAACACATCCATCGTCTGCGGTGCCATCCAGCGAGTGGGACCGACCTGAGATTGCCAGGCATTGATGTATTTGTTTCTGAAACCAAGTTGTTGCATAACGGCGTAAGACGTGGCAGCCACTTCGTTGATGTACGAATCACCCTTGTTGATCTGAGTCATGGGAAGCGAATGTGCACTGAATACAATGATCGTGTCGTCTTGTTCATTTTTTGGGTACGTGTCTAAGATGGCTTGAATGCTTTCGGCGAAACCTTTGATTAAGCCGGGTTGTGTGGGCCAACGATCAATGATCGACCACGTGAAGTCGTTGGTCATATTTTTCTTTGTAAGCTGTACTCGAAGTTCGTTGAGTGAGCTACCGGTCGTCGTACAGGAGTACTGTGGATACTGTGTAAAAGCAACAGCTCGACGAACACCGGATGCTTTCATTCGGTCCAACACATCCTCCGTTAACGGGTTCGCATATCTAAACATTGGGAAAGGCAAATGGGGTGCTGTTTGCGGTGAAAGAGTATCGAGAATCTTGCACATTTCCTTGCCTTGAATTTCAGTCCATGGCAGAATAGGACTACGCCCCCCGATCATCTCGTAATTTTTGCGCACTTTTGGTGTACGCCTTCTAGCAATGAATCTTCCTAATTTTTGCTGGAATGGACCTAACGGAATAATATCACCATCTGTGAACAAGCGAGTAAGAAAAGGCTCAACCTACCCAGCTGTTAGGAATTGCTCAAAATGCAATGAAATGAATCACAAATTAGTGTTTGTCACCACTCAACGCACCTCGTCTAGTGAGCCTGGTCCTCCCATATTCATCATTACAATGGCCTATTAGGTTAGCTCTAATTCACACTAGCCGGAAGTAGCGGCTCCAAGCTGGAACAGAACACGTACAGTAGGTCCTTGTGAGTTTTTAGTAACAGTAGAAGCCATTGTTCTTCGCTGAACCCAAGCTGAATGACCAAGTTTTTTGAGCAAATTGTAACGAACAATTTCTCGCGGGGTTGAAAGAAACCGCGTAACGAGCAGCCGTCCGCAATTCACGGGAGCGAATCTAATCATCGTAGTTGTGCGGAGCATGACGACGGGCTTTGTTCGGATACACAAAGCGTATTACTTATTTTCGCTGTCCCGATCTCTTTCGTAGCTATCGCGGGAGGCAGGGGTTTCGGGTAGGCAACGGTTCTTTGGAGAGAATTACTCGGCAAAGAGAAATAGACTTGATTAGGTTGTTCGTTGGGTTTCAAGGAGTCTAACGAGGGTCTTATTGCTTAATTTGAAGAGTGGTGTATTAACAGGCCATTTTCTTTGTTTTCGTCAAAATGAAAAGTGAATGATGATACACTACCGAAATGTAGTACGAATAAAACGTACGGTTAGTAATTATAGGAGAGAATATGAATGGAAAGGAGGTTACGTTGTTGTTCACTCTTTGAATATTGATTAGTCTAGCTATTTATCAACTTGGTATGTATGTTCAACGAAAAAGATACACAAGGCATTATTACAAGGAAATAGGAGTTATCCACAAGACACAAGGAGAGAGAGATATATGTCAGGAAAGAGTGAACAAGATTTGCTAGAAAACAAAAAGGAAGTGCAATTGACGGAACCGAAAACCAAAGGAGAAAAAAAAAAGCTAAAGCACTGCTTAGCAAAATAACTTAAATAAAAATGTTACAAGGACAAAAAGCTTAGCCTTTAGCGAAACGAAAGGGGTGTCAAGGGGATTTGAGTCAAATCGATAGAGGTAAAGTTCGTTAAGGCTTTCTCTCCACTTGCAATTCTGCAATTTCAGTCTCGTTTAATGTACGCTCACCCACCGTAGCTGAAGTCACCTTACTTAGCGAGTCGTCTGGCAGGGATGCAGAGGCTTCAGAAATTGAACCCCGGTACATTCCAACCCCGTCTACTCCTTCGCCTTCGCGAAGCCAGGGCTTTTTGGCATCTTTAGTGGCATCGACAAAAATGTGGTACACACACAATCCAAATAAGACACAAACAAATGCAATTGGATATAACCAGTAAACATAGTAATGAAATACACGCAAACCGACAATCAAACTCCAAAAGTCAGAGGTGAGAATGGAGATGTTGTAAAAAGTAGCTGACGAAATGCGGAACATAATGGGAACTAATGTGTACAAGATGAACATAGCGAGTGTAAAGCCTGTGAGGTACCCGCCCATCTTTGGTGTCCAGTTAATGTGAAGCATTTGATTGCGGTTAAAGATGAAGGCTTGTGCCAAATTAATCAAAGAAGCCCAGAAACTAAGTTGTCCAACAACAACGTACAGCGGTTGTTTAGTCACAAAGAATTCTTCCAAAACGTTTGAAATACCGTAGAACGTAGCACCCAAAATCATGAAACCATCACCCAAGGCGGGGTTTGAAGCCTCGTAATTCTTGTTTGTTTTCAAGTCACTTACAACGAGTAATGCGAGACCGCCAAGACAAATGACAATGCCTGAAATTTGTGTCCAGTGGTAGCGGACTTTGAGAAAAATGAAGGAGAGGATGACGACGGCAACAGTAGCCCACGAGTCAAGCAAACTGGCACTCAGCATGTTTGTATATTGATATGCGAGAACAACAAAGTAATTACCCTGAACATCGACGAATCCCATAATTAAGAATTTCCATCCGTGGCAACGAACCATGCGGAAGTACTCTTTGAAACCCATGCGATAAATGGAGTAAGGCGTGTAAATTATTGTAAGCAAACAGTAGTTGAGTAAGGTTTGGAAAGCCGGAATATTAGCATCTTCTGCGATAAGTGTAGTAAATGTATTTGTAGCGGTAATCATTAGAGAAAGGATTTGACCTAGCATGAATGCGACCCAAAACCGTTTGCTTTTAGCGAACGCAAAAGCTTTGCCTTTTGTAACAAAAAACTGATTATTCATCAGTTTTGATTTTAAGCCTTTTGGTTCTTCATGAGGAGTGCCTTCCACTGCTCCGTAGGATGTTGTTTGTTCATTGTTGGGAGCTTCATTTGTGATTGCCCGAATATCTTCAGAAAACTCGTTTTTCTTTCCAGGAATCACTGGAGGGGTAGCTTCATTTCTTTCCATCCTGCAATTAAATCTAAATATTAATCTGGTATCAGGGTTTTATTAGAAAATGAATACGCCTAAAATGTGTAAACGCGTAGACTCAAAAAGGATGAAAGAGACCCGTAAAGTGCAATGGCTACAGGAATGTTACAAGCTGTATGGAAGAAACAGCGTTTATAACCTTAGCAGCACAGCTAAAGTAAATTATGTGTTCGGAATAATGTTGTTTTTCTGTTCTAGTGAGTACACATCCACCGCATGTAGTAGGCAACCAGGGGAGAGTAAAAAATAAAAATAAAAATAAAAAAAAATTAAAAGGATGGCAACCTTTCATTCTAACATAATATAAAAAAGATTAAATAATATAAGAATTAATAACACAGGGTTTAATTAAACAAACGTTGATAAATATGAATTCTGTAATTTATCAAGTATCACATTTTAGAAAAAAAAATTGAAAAAAATAAAAAATAAAAAAAAACAGAACACCTACTGTCTCGATATACAAATTATTAATAATGATAACTCTTTCATTCTGTTTCGTTGTGCGCTTTTGGATTCTCATTTAATAACACCGGTCTTATTAAAACTAACGAAAGTTGAAAATCGATAGTATGCGAATGGGAACTATTACGAAAGGAACATTGCAACTCAATATACTTTATGCATAATTTGTGCACTGTTGGATTCAATCTCGTTTGCTTCCTCAAATCACCGACCTCTCAAATGTTGAAAATGGCCACTTGATTGCAATATTCAGTTTATTCGCCACTTGATGCTACTGTTTATTTTACAAGACAATATTTTTCTCTCTCGTACTATACCAACTTGCTGCGGTCTTCCGTAGAGTTGCAAGTTTTTTTGGATAAACATTAATATCGTGCCGGCACGAACACTCAATTAACACGTCGTTTTATACCTACTCGGCTTTTGTTGGGTATCATTAAGCAATTCTTACAAAGTAGCATAATCAGTTGTTTCTGTGCGTACATTCGTGCGTAACATTGATTGGATTACCCGCTTGAGCCAATTTCATTAACAATTCTATTTAAGAGCTGGACCTCTCTCAAAGCAATCTTTACAGTCATAGGTCTTTCCATTAAGTCGGGACCTTTATACAAAGCCGCGGTCTATCCTTGTGTGGAGAAATTGAATCTCTTTTATCCTCGCCTTTGCTGTGAATTATTCTCTAATTGAGAATTGTAACTCCCGTTCCTTCTTCAAAAACATAAAAAAGAGCGCTATTGCATACCGTGCTCTTCTGTATATAACCAGGACCGGTGTTTTTTTATTTCGAAATTTGTGTTCAGAAAAAAACACAACATTTGTCCTTCTTTCGCCTGAATCATTCTTCTCTGCCCTTAAAGTTCCACTTAAGGAAGCCTGTGCCTTTTCAGAAAACTATTTTCCTCGACAACTTTGGTATTGTTTATTTGTTTACCAAGTGATCTATAAAGTTATTTACCTTTTGTCTTCAAACTCAACGAAAACATCTTACCAGAACACAACTAAAAGCTTCAGTTTTTGAATCTTTAAGTGTTCTCTGTTAAAACGTTTCATTCACCAGTTATTACAAATCATTCTGTTTAGAGAAGTTCATCACTCGTTTAGTGATTCATATCTTTTCCGGCACAATTTGATTTGTTCTTCTTCTTCGTCTCTACTGACAGTTTCCCTATTGTACCCTTTCTTTCGGGTAAGATCTTTTAATTGCCCCAACATTTTCTCTTGTCATTTCAAGCAAGTCAATTATGAATATGCAATTTTCCCAAATGATTCCTCAGCAACCATTTGACAACGGTGCTTCATTCAAAACTTCGCCATCAACTTTGGAAGCTATTTGGAAAAGCAAGCTCAATGAGCCTTTGTCTATTGGTTTGGATAACCCGGCGTCAAATGCCTTCTCAAATCCATCCAATCTCAACTTTCTTCGAAGAAAGTCTTCGACGAAACCTCCATTGATGGGCGGCATCGATTCCTCTACCGTGACATCTAATGCACCGGTCAGCAAGCCTATTGATGGCGGACTGTTCCGCAACAACTTTCACCTGCCGCAAGGATTGGATGAAGATTTAGAGGACGACGCCTTTTCTTGCTCTCTGCAAATGTTTCATCATTTCCCTAAGGATTTTGATGAACGAGAACTCTTCGGCATTTTCACGTTCTGTCCGGGTTTCAAGAAGGCACAACTGGTGCGAGAACACGGAGAACCAGTGGCTATTGCAACGTTCACCACACCTTCTTTAGCGGCAGCAGCTAAGCAGCAGCTACTAAAGTCACCGGTGTATTCGTTCACCATTGTCCAGTCGGACACAACGCCTGTTCGCTGCGACAACGTTGGTGCCCCCGGTCAACCGCCTGAACCAAGCGATGCTAGTCGAAGGCCAAGCTTTGCGAAACAGTTCCCATCAAGAGAGAAAGATGGAATCGCAGCACCACATCTCCTCAACACTGCAACAGGTCTTCAACGTTTTGAGAATGTTCCAAACGAGGTCCGTAATCCTGTCAGTTTGTCTGAGAACCCATCTGTGTTTCCTTATGCCTCCTCCGGAGGCTTGACGGGATCATCTTTGCTGCCCATCGACAGAGGCGTTTGGGGAAAGATGCCTATGGGTTCTCCTGATGATAATCAAAGAACAAGCGACTCTGAGTCCAGTTGGGACTCCTTCAAGCTTAACCAAACGTTCTCCGTTCAGAAATTATCTCCGTTTGTCACTGCACAGCATACTAATTTGGCGACGAAGATGCAGTCACCAACCTCAGCATTTCCTGTCCCTATGCACCTTTCCTCCGCTTCAGAAACGACGACGACCACATCTTACAGCCCTCCCCGCACCTCCGTATCTGCTACTAGCGATACGCAGGACAAGGTCGCGACATCTAAGCAATCATCAACTTCTCCTTCGCTTCGCAGCAATACCCACGTTCGAACGCATTCTGCTGATTACTCGAGCATTGCCGCACAAAATGCAAACGTGCCCAGTTTCGAGCCTGCATCCCGTCACTCTTCTTCACCCAAGAAGCCTGTCGTAATGCCCATGGTAAACACGAATCCTGCTGACCAGAATCCGCCCTGCAACACGCTCTACGTTGGCAACTTGGCCGCCAACACAAAGGAAGACGAACTGAGAGAACTGTTCTCTAGACAGAGAGGTTATCGCAGATTATGCTTCCGCACGAAAGGAATTAGTCCTATGTGTTTTGTCGAGTTTGAGGATGTCAAGTACGCAACTGCCGCCTTATTCGAGCTTCAAGGCGTTTGTTTGAGCAACAGTGTCAAGGGTGGAATTCGTCTTAGTTTCTCCAAGAACCCATTAGGCGTCCGCTCTAGTGCTGACAACGCAACTTCCGTTTTTGGTGCCAACTTAAACGCTGTATGTGTTGCCTCTCCTGCTGGTTTGGAACGAAAGTCCTCAAGCAACTTGAAGGCTGCATCAAATGCCAGTGCAGACAAACAGTCCCAGTCTTCGAGTGGATCCCGTACGCCAGAAGACGAAGTCAGTAAGGCTCGTCTTGAGGAGAGTGCCGACCTTTTTGGAAAGTAATCGCCTTTTTTTTTTTGTAATCATGTACACGCTGTTGTTGATGCGCATTAATGACTAATTTAATGAATGTTTTTTCGTCTATAAGTTTACAGTGGCACTTGTCCCGTCTGTTTAATAAAGGTGATAAATAATGTATGGCAAGGATAGTTGATTATGATGCGTTTTGTTTGATTTTCTTATTTTTCGAGTCTATCACCGCTTGCTGGCTCGAGCAGATTGTGTGGATGAACATGGCCGTGATGATGGTCCATCAATTCATCGTGTGAGCCTTTCAGCAAGCAGCTTGTAAATGATTGCGTCGGCCGTTTGGCGAAGGGTTTGCCGAAAACGACCAGAATGCGTTTCGAGAGGGAAGGAGCATCAACCGACATAGCCTTGTAACCGTAATAATAAAATACGTTACGTATCCAGTATCGGCCTAATGCTTCAGCGTTTTTTGAAACACATTGGAGACGGACCGCGCAGCATGTACCGTTGTTCCCAGAAAATTTGGCATCCACCTTTTGCAGAGGACAAGCAAGCACTTCAAAATTGTCGGAGTGGATTTGAATATTCTCCGAGGAGCTTTCACTGAAGTGTGTCTGAAGAATTTCGCAGACGAAGCGATCGAAGATTCGAACAAGCCCCATCAAATGACACCGTTTAATTTCTAACCGAATTTTATGAAGGAACGGCTCTGGAGGATGCACGTGCGGCTTGTGCTTGCTCGAGTTCATTGTGAATTGTTGAAATGAATGCTGTGAATCATGTAAATACACATCGGAATCGAGTCGATGAAACTGAGTCGAGTTTAATTGCAAAAAAGCAAAACAAAGTTCATCCTCCAGTGTAATCTCGTCAAACGCATTATTCTTTATAAATTGATCGTTTAAAAGACGGTTCCGTTTCCGGCTGCTCAAGGCTTTCTTCTTTGCCGGTTTTGTCGCCTGTATTTTTTCTGCAAAAGTCTTTATAGGGACAATTGAAGGACGAAATTGTTCTTCTACCGGGGGAATATTGCTGTGAACGACGCTGCGCAGGTTAATGCGACGGACAATTCCGAGACGAGGATCCATCTCTGACTTGTCGAACACATCTCTCGTATAGCGACTTTGTGGGGATGGAAGCAGGACCATTTTGTGAGTATGAGTTTCTTGAGTTTAAGTTCACAAAAACGAGTGTATTTAACAATGATCTTCTCGGAGTTCCCTGCTATAAACAGCGCGAGCCGTGCCGAACTGGTCAACTGCGAATTTTGCTTTCTGCGATATAACGTTCGGCAGCGAGTCGCAACATACCGCTAAAATACGCATTTAGGGTAATGTAACCGAGTTGTCAGTATCACTGGGTTTTAGGGATATTGTTAACTAGAAATCCCTTAGGATATTGAATTCGTAGTCATTTCGCCGAATGTGTAGTTTCAGTTCCCGCGCCAAATATGGAATAGTAAAACTCCAGCTTATAGTAAATCTCGTAGTATTCATGAATTAGCAAAAAATAAAATAAAAGAGCAACTAGTAAGGGCAAGAGTAATAATAATAAGAGAATAAGAGAATAATAGGAGTAGTAGTCATAGTAGTGGGAATGGTAATAGTAATAGTATAAGTGAGCACGAGCAAGTGTTAGCAGGGAAAAGGAACGATTGCTAGTAGTATTGAACCTCCATATAGCGTAATTGTTCCCAACTACCAACGGTCTTGTTCCATTCATTAAGCTCGGCGAGCCGGTTTTCAGAGTAGTAATTAACAAAACCATCACCAAGCAATTTCCGTGCCATGCTATTGGGCGCGCGAAATACTTCAATGGCTTCGCCAAGTGACTTTGGCATTTGAGTCAACCGTTCGACAGCGGCATCGAGCTTCTGTGGAGCAGAGAATGGACCAATCGGTGGGAATGGGATTTCGGCATTGGTTTCAATGCCATAATATCCAGCTGCGAGAATTGCCGCTAACACAAGGTGAGGTTGAGCATCTGCACCTGGGATTCTTATTTCAAGATGTGTGTCGCGCAACTCGCACAATGGCGGAGCAACTATACGAATAGCATTCTCGCTTGTCAGACCCCATGAAATACTTGTCAAATGTGAAGACTGCTCCCACAGTCTTTTGTAGGAATTGACCGTCGGTGCAAATATCAGCACAAGATCCCTGGCGGCCAGCAGTACTCCGGCCAAGAACTGCTCGGCTGGTGCCTGAAGCATTGCTGACTCTTCATACAAGTTATGATGTTTCTTCGCTAGTGCGGGAACAGGCACACTCTTAGGATTCTGAGAGAGATTGACTCGGACAAACCCGGAGCAACCTGGTAAACCGCTCAGTGGTTTAGCCATAAAGTTTGCATATAAACCGGCTCTCCTTCCATAGTTTGTTATAATAAACTTGGCCTTCATGGCTTCATCAGCCATTTCCATTGATTCTAATGGGATGAGAGTATACTCAAGGCCAGCGATTTCATGTTGTATGCAGCTATACGCAAACATGTTAACACACTTTTTCGTGACGGTAGTCCATTGATCCTTGAAGTCGGAAACGCGTGCCAATTCATAGCCCGCCATACCATAGGTGGAAGCTTGAAGTTTGGATATGCCTTGCTGTGGGGACACATCTTTCGCATTGCGAAAGTAATAGAAATTATAACTGAAGGCGACCTTCACTTCATTTTCAAATCTTTGGTATTTCTCATTAACAATACGAAGCAAAAAACGTGGGTCTTGTACTGAAGGCAATCCAGTTTCAAAGTCATAGAGATATAGTTTATAAATATCTAGACCCTTTTCAAAAAAACAGAATTTACGGTTACTAAGTTCTGCATAGAAACGTGGTTTCTTATTTCCCCGGTATATTACGATGGCATTTTTTAAAAGAAGGCCATTTTGTAATTGCAACTCTCGAATCATAGAATAAGCATTATAAGAAAAGTATGCATTATCATATACCTCCTCCCGTGAATATGCAGGTAGATCGAGGTGCGCTGCATTAGTAGCATACTCTTCATGAACTCGCCCTTCAACATCAAAAGATACGTAGACAGATACAGGATCTGGATTTGTGTAAACTAACATTTTCAGTTGGAGCCAAGTACTTAGCACCGACTAATTGTAGTAAAAAGCAACGAAATTGTCAACTTTATCACAAATGCAATAAAGGCGTGCAGATCCTCACAATTGAAACAATAGCTAAAATGCGACTCAATACATCGAGTATTTAGCTCCCGTCCCGTAACAGAAAATTCTGAAATCCGAACAACTATTCCAGTACTGCGATTTATATTAATAGCCGAAGACATTAATTATTGTTCAGAAGTTCATTTTAACAATTATAAAAGGGATAATGCTTAAAAACTCATAATGATCATAAGATTAAAACAAAATGCTCTGAGGAATGCAAATTCATTCATGGACTTTGAAATCGCATACCATAAAGAGACCGGTAAATCATGACAAATAGACGAGGGCCCCTTTGTGGTAGACAAAATAACACTAAGCGTGCGTAAAATAGATATTACCCAGCTATTTATTACTTCGCGGCGCGTTTAGCTTAGTAAAACAATTTCGTTCTTATTAGCAGTATACATATGTGCCAAAATTGATGTTTTAAATGAATGTCTCATGAGAAGATGTATCACTTAGCAAAAGAACTCTTCTGAAAATGAACACAAAACGGGTAAATTGAACGACATTATATTTTATTTACGCTCATTTTAAATCCTGTATTGTCGAGGATAATTCTTTAATTCAAGCCCCGGTACTGTTAGAGCTTTTATATTCCGTAGGAGTGTTCCCTAAGCCACGGACGGGGTTCGGCTTCATTGTAGAGACCGTATTTACGTAGTAGCATTTAACGAATAATGATTCGTATCACAATAACCTGTCATCTTTGAATAAGTTCCGAGAATAATATTAAAGGAAGAAAGTTCTATTGATTAAAACGATTAAATAAACGTAATCCTAATTTTAATATGTTACACAATCCCTACTATAGTGCTTTGATAATCCTGTTTCTTTTATAATCGATCTATTTAGCTCTTTTTCCGATTTTCGGATTACTAAATTTAGCGGCTAAACTCGCATATGCTGGCCGGAATCGGTATTTTACTGTTCCGTTATGATCAAAAACAGCGGCCTATTTGAATTCATGCCTTAAGTGTTTAGAGTAATTCGTTGAGTAATTACCCAGTGTGTATAGACACTAGCATGATGCCCCTCACTACTTGTGGTATCAATACTCTTATGCTGATACGTATGCTAGTATGATTCTTTAATTATCATTTGAGGATTCTGGCTCTTAGATTGTAATATTAAGCTGTTTAATTGTGCGCTGATCACAAGTACGACTAAAACATATATATTCCAAATCATGGTAATAATGGTGAGCATAACGGAACATATAATACGGGTTACTGCAACCTCTAAAAGAAATTGGTTAAACTCGAACACTAATTCAGCTAATAGATGCGATTAGCGATTTGTTTAAGACACAGTATTTTAGGGTCTTCGAGTTGTTCGTTCACTATAAGCACCATTTTGTTTCATGTTGTCGAGGAGATACAACATAAAAATCTACTAGTATAGAGTAACCAAGACTAAATCAAGTCGGTTGAATTAGTTCAATAAAAAATGTTAAGGAGTTTGTAATTAATAAGCAAATTTTAATAAAATATTATGTTAATTTAGAGCTCACTTCGAAGAGTATTCGTCATAGTGCAGTGAGAAATAGTAGTAACTTGTAAGAACATGCTCTGTATATTTTAATGACCCTTTTTTTTCCAAGTGCCGCGAAAACGAGTTTAAAATTCATCCTTTTAAACTCATGTAGTAATAAAACTATGCTTATTTAACCTTAGCTACTAAAGAATGGATTATTTAATTACTTGTCGTCCGTTCAACTAGTGAAACCGCTCTTCACGCTCTTCACGTCTTGACAAAAATAAGGGACATTAAAAATTGTCGTTTAGTCTTTAAAAGGTTCATATTTATGCAATGAAAGCCGTTTCTTTAAACCCCACAGGTCCTTGCGATGTCACACGACACTGCTTCTGTGGCTTTTGGTAAGGTTACTGAGGTTGCAATTATTGCGTCAAACGAATCATTCGTTTTAACGCTGTTGGGTAACCCATTGTGTAGCCGAAAATACATTTTTCTAGCGAATTACTGAGCATTCGATGTATCGTGTATTTAAAATAAGCGGCGCGTATTCTCATTTGCATGTTACAGCCGAATTCAACGAAACACCAACGTTCTTGAATTTCAAGCTTCCCCTTCTGTCTAAGACATCTTAACGAACAAAATACTGTCTCCAAACTGTACGGTTCTTCTCATATATAACATTACATTCCATCTTTTCAATAGCCGTCGCATTACATAAATAGAGTTTTCGCTACGAAAAACCTTGTTGACAAGGTTAGATGAGTCATGTTTGGCCCAACAAGCAACCAGTACCGCAATCGTCGTGACACGAGGAGGCTGATAGCAATGCGCGCCTCACTACGAGAAGAGAGTTCTCGTTTCTGGCAGTAATAAACCCACCAACTCAGAAGCCAGTTCACGACTCAAAATCATTAATTAGACACGACGTCAACAACAAAACCATTCGCAACTGCTACCACCTCATATGAACATCACTCTGCAACCCCACATCCCACCCATCCTACACAACTATTCCTTGGAGGGAAAGTATTAAACGAACAGAGAGTCTAAATAAAAGTAGTACGAGACAGTCAAATGCCACGTAGCTTAATAATGAATGTGGAGGATTCAATGTACACTCATCGTCGACCTCCAACTAAGCTGAAAATTAGCATTAGCTGTATGCTTATGCGAAAAGTATAATCAAATGAAAGGCAACAAGGGGCTAGCAAAACGTGTGACACGAACAAAAAGTGAAGAAAGTGACGAAAAAAAGAATACAGCAAAAAGAGCCATATCATCGACTTCGCAGCAAAACGAGGACTCCAAGCACTACTTGTTCGCGATGAATAATAATGATGAGACACCAACCTGATGTCCCACATAAGCACACACTCGCATCACGCAGCCACTTGCGCATCGGCGCAAGCAGAATACGTGCAGCAGCGATATGCTTTGTCGTCACATTAAAACGCCCTTTTCCGTTGACGCATCTAATCATAGATGGCGTCAGAGTAGACAAACATGCTCATACCAACGATAGGAGAACTTGTTTGGGTGAAAGCCAAAGTAGTGTCCTTGGAGGCAGCAACAATTTCATAAGAGTGAGCATGACCGGCACGAGGGCAAGCAACATTCATGCTGTAATGGCAACCAGCCATGGAGCAGTTGAAACGAGTAACCTCGTCCAAACGAGTAGGAGTGTTACGAGAAGTAGTACCGTCGGTGGGGTTGCCAGTCATGTTGTAGATGACAAATTGAGCAGTACCATTAGAGGGGCTGACCTCAAGAGGGAAGAGCTCTTGAGTCAAACGGATCTCGAAGGAGCAGCTAGTGTAGTAGAAAGAAGAGTCACCGAAAGGAAGGTTGTAGGTGTAGATGGTGGTACGGTTGGCACCGTTGGCGTTGGAGACGTAGGTACGGCCAGCACGGTCAGACTTGCTGGTGGTGTCCTGGTAGTTGAATTGACGAATAGCTTGGGGAGCAAGACGCTCAGACTTGGCAGGAACATCAGCAGACAGATCGCTGATAGACTCGATAGTGGGGACAAGTTGACGAACACCGTTAACGGTAGTGTTACGGTAAGTGGGAGTCCAGGTGGAGAGGTTCAAGGCAACGGCCTCGAAGTCCTCACAATCGCTACTCCGTCCAGCACCGGTGTAGACCTTGTTACCACAATAGATGAAGTTCTTCTTGGCGCGTTGGAGAGTGTAACCGTAGGAGTTGTACTTACCGTGAGCCTTGTTGGCAGTGTATTGGTCAACGGGCTTCTTCTGGGTGGTGTCAACACGGTTGGAACCGTCGTTGTGTTGCTTGATCCAGTAGTTGGTGTGGTTGGTGAAGGCAACCTCCTTGTTGTCGCCAGAGTAGGCAAAGGCACCACTGTTGCGCAAGTAGGTGTCCTCGTCAATGTAGAAGACACCAGGGGTGGTGGCATCACCGCTGGGACCAATGTAGACTTGACCAGAGGTGGGGGAAACGTACCAAGCATGCCAGTCGACATCGTAGACCTTGTTGGCATAACTGATGACACCGAAGGTTTGGTTAACACCGACACCGGCGGCGACAGAGTCAGCACGGCGCCAGAAAGGCACGGGGGCGGCCGAAACAGCGGTCGCGAGCATAGAAACTGCTCCAAGGAGAGAAGTGAAGTATTGCATGTTTTCGAGTAAAGATAAAATCGTTAAACACGAAAGTTCACGGTTTGACAGGATTAGATTCCTTAAAGAAAAATTTGTGATGGTGACTGTTGAGTTTGTTTACGGTGTGTAGTTAGAAAACTTGACACAACACACGTTCACAATGACACGGGAGTTTGCAACAATTACGTAGAATTGACAATGAACAGCGAGTTTTGAAAAACTGACTGTTAATGCAGGGGGAAATGTTCGTTCACGAAATTACACCGAGAGAAAATCGGGTTCAGAGAAAGTTGTTCGAGACGAATCAACAAGAAGTTATAAAGAGTTCGCAAAAGGGCTGATCCGAAAGACAAAGATGTGAAAAAATATCTTGTGTCTTGAATTACACTCAAAAGACCAGGTGTTAAGGGCTAAAGGAGCGGGTCAATTAGGCCAACCTCAAATGTTGCTTTTCTATGGATGCACGACGCTATTTTGCAAAAGAGACGTTGCGAGACGGGAATTTGTGGTTATATAGTATCGGGGGTGCGGATCGGGATCTTATTGGTGGTTTAACAGTCCGATTCGACGAGTAGAAGCGCGTGACGGTCGTCATAGGTTACTTCAGCCTTGGCAAATCATAACCCTACATTCCAGGTCGAGAGACAAGAAAGGATGACGTATTGTGCTCTACGTTATTAGAGATGCCGTTGCTCGCCGTCGCGGGAGCCAATCAGAGGCGGATGAGCGGCAGATAGCAAGTTCGGTCGCGGGGAGGAGGAAAGGGCTGCTTGCCGATCCGCCCGGATGGCCTGTGAATCTCTGAGCAGCCGCCAGCCGTGAACAGTTAGACTTGCCTCCAACGAAGCTACGCAAGTGCCGTAATGGTGGGACGCCGGACTGCATCGTCTCTCTGTCGCTTGTCCCGTTTTTCCTCATTCACTGCGGTCAATGGTTCTAGGGGCGGAAAGATAAGGATAGTCTAGATTGGCTGAAGCTAACTCATTGGCCGTCGCTCTGTTTTTTTAAGTTTACTCAGGGATGCGCTCGGACTCGCTAAAATCGAGATAGTGGGGAAGTGGGCACGTGTGGGGGTTTGCGACCGGAACATGTGTCATAGTGAAGGATTTGCATGTGTTAACTAGACTAAGGAAGGATTGGACAGGGACAATGCAGCTATGGATGGGTGAACAGACCCTAAGAACTACCAGCCCTTCTCGCACATGTAACCATGTTGCTACTGTAAAGTGCTGGCGAAGTCACGTTGCAGACGGCTGTCGGATGGCTTCAGTTCTCCTTCGCTTACATGATAATACGTCACCAAATATGCCAGAGCTCAAGACTAAGACTAATGTTGTCCACATCCCCCACGTATTTTCCTTCTCACACAGTAGAACAAAACGGCAAGTGGCCACGGGAAAAGGCACGGCCTGGACCTGCTGACGGGCCTTATCCGGGACACAATTAGTGTTTCGTCTGCCGATAAAAACTAGCGGACACGTGGCTCACAGTAATACGTAACATTGCAACGGGGTGTGAGAATTTTCCAGACTGTGCTGCAATTCGTTTAGACTCGTAGAAACACATTAAACTTCATTAAGCATCATAGCATCACAGTGCGGCTCGATAAGTGAGCCTACCGTTCCGTCCTGTGCACATCTGTACACTTCGGTAAATCCGTTACCGAAGTATAACGTGATTATTCGATCCGCTCAGAACTCGAGTGCACATTTGACCATTTTCTCACTGCACTTTACGTGTTTCGGGCACCTTCCTGATGTCATTATTTGGCGAGAAATGGGTGCTTTTCATTGGTCAGGATCCTCGCTTGCGTAACTTTTCGGTAGGCATGCATCAATCATACGTCATCTGACTCCACTGCCAGTTTTTATAGATATGCTGCGTTGGCTAACTTGTCCTCTCCCAACTGCCCACTCTGTCAGAACAAACGCTCTGTATTTAGTATTCAGACGTTTTCCACTTATAAATTAGTGTTTTCGACGGATTCACTTGTTGCAGCTTGTTTGACACAGTGAAGCTTTTCACGACTGTATGATTGTATGTCTCTGTGTAGATGGTTGTCGTAGATGTAGGTGTGGAGTTTCTCGTGTATTCCTGCGTTGACAATTTCCACAGTTCATTTGTTCGTTTTCCTGTCCGTACTGGTCGCTAACAGTCTCTTTTTTAGGCTATTTCATTTGATTGACGAATTCGTTTCATACTCGAACATTTCTTGATTTATTCACCCTTATTATTTCTCTAATTGTCAACACTAAAGTGTTTTTTACGATCACGTTCTAAAAATGTCTTCTTCTGAGCCAACCCACAACCCTTTCCAAGCTCCTAACCGAGTTGCCGAGGAGGAGCAAGTACTCGATAACTTGCACTCTGCCACCGATGCTGCTTCTGAAAAGTTGAACGACTTGCTCCATTCGGCTTCCGCCAACGTCGGCAAGACAACCCCTGCCACGTCTGCGCACGTTGATCCTGATTTCTTCTCCAACCTGGCTGGCTCCGGTAGCCATTCGGAGCCTAAGGCTGCCTCTGAGCAGGCTGGCGAAGGTTCTTGCCCCGTTGCTACCTCTTCCCACCATCCCGAGAAGCCGACGTCTGTGCTCGATGACAAATCCTACGTCGCCGTCGACAGCTCCGTCCCCGAGGGCACTACTTGCCCCGTTTCTAATTCCTCTGTGGAGAACGTAAAGTGTCCTGTTTCCGGCTCTGCTGGTAAGGCCGGTATCTGCCCCGCTAAGAATGTTCACGACAACAAGATGGACATTCCTGTTTCGGAGGAGGAGGCTAAGGAGAATGCTGGCAAGGCCTGCCCTTTCTCCAAGGCCACTGTTGATTCCCAACAAAAGGTTGCCTCATGCCCTGTTAACGTTTGTCAATCTGATGATAAAACTTGTCCCGTTGTTGACGCTGGTTGTCTCTTCGAGTACAAGCCTCTTACCGCTGAGCAAAAGCAATTCCAGGGTGCTTTCGTCGATGTGCTTTTGTGGAAGAACAAGTACTGCTCGATGTCCGTGCTCGCTGCCATTTTCACCGCCCTGTACTTGCCCTGCGTTTTGAGCATTCACCGCAATCTGTTCAACATTAGCAGCTGGATCTTTGGTGTTTCCGCCGTTGTTGAGTATGTCAGTCGCATCATTACTGGTGGTAAGTCTGGTGTCCTTGGCCGCTTCCGTAACAACCAATTCTTCACATTAAACAAGGGCTCCATCCATGCTTGTCTCGACTCCGTTATTGAGCCCGTGAACTGCATGCTGGTTGAGCTCCAACGTCTTTTCCTTGCTGAGAACCCCTGCAAGTCCGTTTCTGCCTTCTTCTTGGCTTGGTTCTACTACAGAATGTCGTTGTTGTTGTCTCTGAAAACCATTTTTGCCTTGTCGGTTATTGCCGCATTTTCCCTGCCCCCTTTCTACCAAGCTAACAAGCGTGTCATTGATGGTACTCTCAGTAACATCAAGTTCCAAATTGAGGAGTATACTTGCCAATTCCGCAAAACTGCCGAGTCCAAGGGCCGTGCTGCCTCCCAAAAAGTTGCTGATGCTCTCAACTTGCAAAAGAAGACTGCCTAAGCGCGTGATTAAACCATGTTGTGGTGCTCGTGTTTTGGGCGCATGGTAATGCTTTGGCGTTGTGCTAATGTTTGTGTGTACGAATATGAATCGCTTTTAACGATATAAATGGGCATTGGTGGAGTTTGGTGCAGCAATAGAGACTAGCAGTGAGTCAGTGTATTGAGAGCAGTTTCGTATGGTTTTTCCTGTTGTGGAGGGTTTGATTTTTTTCTAGGTTCATTGGATTGCTCTTCGCGTCTTCCCTTACACCTTCATCGTTTGGACTTTCACGGCAAATTGCGACAAACGTTGGTTGTTTGATTCTTATGAATCCAAATCGCTTTCTCATTACACCGAAGAAGCAACCGAAAAAGTCTAAGCGAATTTCGCCTTCGCGTTCTCGAGAATCGCCGAGTTTGGTAAAGGCTAAGGTTCTCCGTGACCAATTCATCAAACGGCATTCGTACATCGATGAGACTATTGACGATGATGAGCCCCAACAAACACCTTTGACGCCCTCGCCTACCATTGCGAAACGGAAACGTTTAGCGGACGAAGATGAAATTGTTGACGAGGGTGAAGATAATGAGAGTGACCACGTAACACCGAAGAGCGTTGATACCTTAAAAGTGTCGCCGAATATCAGTTCAAAGCTCGGTGCAGCCGAAACGTCTCCGGCTCCCGCCCGTTCTTCCAAAGTGCATGTTGTCGTGCCTATTTCAACGTCGCCATATTCAAAGGGAAAGAACGGACGCTCTCCAAAACTGCACCGGAACATATTCTTTGATGATACGAAGCGCGACTACTCATTAAATGAGCTTACGGTTTTGATAAAAAAGAAGCACTCTGGTCGTGCTCAGCATCAGTCACCATCCATGTTCTCCCTGAACGAATGTACAGTTTTAGACAGAATGGAAACTGGTTTGCTATTGGTGCGGCATACGGGAACGAATGTTTTGCACTTACTTACTCAAAAAACGGTTTCTCAAATTTCTCCAGAGTCGGAGTCTATCCCCTTGTCCCCTGCACTATGTTCTGTGCTATGTGAAGCGGAGCGAGAACATGAGGAACGGGTGTTTATTCACTAAACATTTGAGAAGATGACGAGATGTAATGAATTACGCAAGTATATTTGTTTTCATTTAAATGTTGCTACTACACATAGGTCTTAATAGAATAATGCTCATTTTGGGAGGAGGTAATATAGATTTTGGCACACATAATCAATTGCATTGTCACATGAGATAGCAACTTCTCAGCTTTTTCTGCATCGTACTATGTATACATGTACCTTACCGTTGAGTCAAGGTAGTATTATTGATTCTTAACTGCCAACTGCATCACACTATTACGACAGTTGATTTAAGTGTATATATTATAACAGTGTTTTCGACATTGTAAGTTTGCCAATTCTGTGTATGGTATGTGAACGTGCCAGCTGATGAGTTTGTTTCAAGTAAGGTAGTATATTGATTTGTTAATTCATATTCTTCAGTTTTCCATTTGCCGATTGTTGTTTTATTTCAGTCATTGTTAATAATTAAATAGTAGAGAAAACAATATGCATGTATTCCGTCATAAACAGTCATGGAGGAAGCAGAATAGCCACTCAGTTTTGGCTTACTAATAGTTATTCTTGTCCATATTTGTATAAAAATGTGTTGTCTTACTAGTATTCAAATATAAAAAACGATTGAATCGCGTACTCGAGAAATATCCGCTTCCTAAATTTTTATAATTAAGTTGTCGTATTATCGGAACTTCCCCTCTTGATTTCCCTGTTACTTCTCTTGCTGCTTTCAAATTAATCACGATGAGCAATTTGGACGGAAAGACTATTCTGATCACCGGTGCATCCGCCGGTATCGGTAAGGCTACTGCTATCGAGATTGCTAAGACGGGGAAAGCCAAGCTGATTTTGGCTGCTCGTCGTGTTGCTGTTGTTGAGGAACTAAAAGCCGAATTGGAATCAAAATATGAAGGAGTCAAGGTTCTTCCTTTGAAACTCGACGTATCAAATGTTGAAGAGGTAGAATCCACAATTGGTACTCTTCCAAAGGAATTTTCTCATATCGATGTGCTTATCAACAATGCTGGTCTTGCTTTGGGTCTTAATTATTTCCGTAATATGGATATGCAAGATGCTATAAAAGTTGTAAACACGAATATCATTGGTCTCATTGCAGTGACAAAGGCCGTTATTCGTATTTTCTACGAAAACGGTGGTCATGGAGACATTGTTAATGTTAGCAGTATTGCTGGTCATGAGCCTTATCCCACCGGTTCAGTCTACTGCTGCACCAAGGCAGCCGTGAGCATGTTCACCTCTACTTTGCGACAGGAAACCATCGATACTCGCATTCGTGTTATGGAGATTGACCCGGGAATGGTCGATACAGAATTCGCTACGGTTATTACACACGGCGACAAAGTTGCTGCTGATAAATTCTATGAGGGTTACGAAGCTCTAAAAGGAAAAGACATTGGCGAGCTTATTGTTTTCGGCATCACTCGCAGGGAGAACTTTGTTCTCGCCCAAGCGACAGCTCTTCCTTCCAGTCAATCTGGCTGTACGGCTATCCATCGGGAATCAAAGTAAGTGATGATAATACAATAGAGAGTGAATGTTGTTTACGAGGAAGATGAAAGAATTGGTGTAGCCGCATGGGAATTGCGGACAGGAATCAAGAAGTTGTATATTGATTCGGCCAATTTGGCAGCAAAGAGCTTCAGCCTAAAAAACCCATGTCGTCTATGAGGGATTACAATGAAGATTCTGGCGTCTGGGCTATTATAGCTGGCTTCATATACATTTTTTCCTCGAAGTCTGTTTATTTTCAATCAAATTGTTTCTCTCTGTTCCTTCGGCAAGGCCGATTAGAGCGCAACAATACCTGACCTTTCGAGAATACAAAAGGTCGCACCTCGAACTTCCCTTTGCGACTACGCGAAATCGAATTGAATGCCCCAAGCAATCGAGTCAAGCCTTAGAAGTAAACTTTCACGGTTCGAGGCCGGATATATTTAGATTGATTGAGGATTCTGGTTTGCTGGCTTCAAACAATGAATAACTTCTTCCTTTATCCTTTCAATAAACTTCGGTTAATACAACCTAATTGTTATGATGTGCGCAATATGTTATGAAAGTTATTCTTGAAAGAAACAAGTAGTGTTCAACAGATTATAGCCATTGAACTCTTGCACATTTATAATAACTATTTTATTGATAATATCTTTTGTTACTAATTCGTATTTGGAACTGCTGATAATTTTAGAGAAATAAAATCCAATAGATGTGCAAATGTAAAAGCAATAACTCGGAATTGCTTCCAAAGTAGTAAATGCTATCGAATGCTTAGTCATTTAATTTAGGAAACCAATCATCAAAAGAAATTGTAACTGAACCATTCAGAGAAATTCAGTATGAATTAGACACAAGATGTGAAAGTCAAAACCGAATTGAATCTTGCACTATTTAATGAATATTAAAGAGTTGTCAATAGAAATTGAATAAAATTAAACATACGAAACAATCAAAATTATGCTTAATAATAAAAAATTGAATTAAAAAGATTAATTAAAAAAATAAAAAATAAATAAAATCAATAAAAAAAAGATCTATATGTTAACATAACCCCTCAGCATAAGTAACAAAGTTAATTTATATCAGAGCTACAAGTTACTGGACAGTCTATATCTTAATACAATCTAAGATCCATGTCAACTCTATTTCTCTTAGTCGCCAAACCATTACCGTATGTGTAATGACCAACACCGAACCAACCCTATTCTCAATTAGAGACATCCAACAACAGCACATTGCAAAATTACGGAACTCGACAACGCACCCCAAAAGTCACCACGCAGCCCATCCTACTCATTTTCGCAAAACTGTAGGCGTCAAACTCAACCAAAGGTTGCTTTCGACAGACCAAACCAACCGCTGCTGCATCAAACGCTTGTTATGCCAAGCAACAAAATTCAACAATCACTCCTCAAAACCAAAACCAGTACACACCATACACCATCACACATCCTTTAAATAATTATCACCATCATAAATAAGTCTTTTTACTAAACTCCGAGTGAATCAACTTACTTCTTTTGGGCCTTTTGGGCAGCCTTGGTGACCTTGGCTTGACCAGGGGCAACCTTCTCGACAGCCTTGATGACACCGACAGCGACGGTTTGACGCATGTCACGGACGGCGAAACGACCAAGAGGAGCGTAGTCAGTGAAAGCCTCAACACACATGGGCTTGGAGGGAACCATCTTGGCGATGCAAGCGTCACCGGACTTGACGAACTTGGGGTGGTCCTCAATCTTCTTACCGGAACGACGGTCGATCTTCTCAATGAGCTCCTCGAACTTGCAAGCAATGTGGGCAGTGTGGCAATCCAAAACGGGAGCGTAACCGGAAGAGATTTGACCGGGGTGGTTCAAGACACCAGTCTCGACACGACCGACGGGGACTGTACCAATACCACCAACGTTACCACGGCGGATATCCTTGACGGAAACGTTCTTGACGTTGAAACCAACGTTGTCACCGGGAACACCAGCCTCGAGAGACTCGTGGTGCATCTCGACGGACTTAACTTCAGTGGTGACACCGGAGGGAGCGAAGGTGACGATCATACCGGGCTTGATAACACCAGTCTCGACACGACCGACGGGGACTGTACCAATACCACCGATCTTGTAGACATCTTGAAGGGGAAGACGGAGGGGCTTGTCAGTGGGACGTGCAGGGGGCTCAATGGCGTCAATGGCCTCCAACAAGGTCTTACCGGTGTAGGAACCGGACTTGGTCTCCTTGTTCCATCCCTTGTACCAGGGCATGTTGGTGGTAGGCTCAATCATGTTGTCACCTTGGAAACCAGAGATGGGGACGAAGGGAACAGTCTTGGGGTTGAAACCAACCTTCTTGATGAAGTTGGAAGTCTCCTTGACGATTTCCTCGAAACGGGCTTGGGACCAGCCAGTGGTGTCCATCTTGTTGACGGCAACAATGAGTTGCTTGACACCCAAGGTGTAGGCCAAAAGAGCGTGCTCACGGGTTTGACCATCCTTGGAGATACCGGCCTCGAACTCACCAGTGCCACCACCGATAATGAGGATAGCACAGTCAGCTTGGGAAGTACCGGTAATCATGTTCTTGATGAAATCACGATGGCCGGGGGCATCAATAACGGTGACGTTGTACTTGGGAGTCTCGAACTTCCAGAGGGCAATGTCAATGGTGATACCACGTTCACGCTCAGCCTTAAGCTTATCCAAAACCCAGGCGTACTTGAAGGAACCCTTACCGAGCTCGGCGGCCTCCTTCTCGAACTTCTCAATGGTACGCTTGTCGATACCACCGCACTTGTAAATCAAGTGACCAGTAGTGGTAGACTTACCAGAATCGACGTGACCGATGACGACGACGTTAATATGACCCTTTTCCTTTCCCATGTTGATTGTGTGTGTGTGTATGTGTGTGTATTAAAGCAAGATGTAGCGCTTGGCTCTCGGTGTTGCGGACGAATTAGTGGGGTGCAGATGGACCTCCATTTATACGATTGGCAAAAAGCAGTCACACCGTTGCCACAGCAACTTTCGAACAGGATCGCCGCTGTGAGCGCCAGATCGTATTCATTGTCATGCGGCGAGACGCACAAGTGGCCATTTTGGATGCTGCGTAGAACGTGAAGGAACAATTGGAGCGTGTGTTTTCCGTCGTGTCGTAAGCGTAGCGCCGGAGCCGGTCGTAACGCGTGACGCGCGTGAGATGCATTTCACGCGTCCTAATACCTTAATTACAACGCGGTTCGCGTAGACAAGCTTAATTGAATAAGCGAGAACCATAGTGACTAATGCAGAAATTCCAACGAAAACGTGTTGATTAGACGACTATACAATCAAGACCCTAGGACGTGACCCCCGGGACGCACTTTGTAGCTCCCTTATTTACAGAATAGCTCCTATTTCCACTCGCTTCGCCTACTCCCATACCCTCAGCTCCCTCACCCACCACACGACCCCCACGCTTCACATAGAAACAGTTCCATTTTCGTCGCGTCGAGCTGGCGACTGGCTCCGGCTACGAGAATCAACGTCCATGCGATGACTGACTGGCGGCTCGAGAAACGCGTAATCAGCCTGCAATTTGTGTCCCAACAGAGTCAACTGCGAGGCTTCGACTGCCTTTTGCGCCTGTTCTAACTCGGCGTATTCGAGCAACGCGTATCCCTTCACGTAGCCCGTTCGTCTGTCCAGGTTGAGATGCAGATTCCGCACAGGACCGAAGTCTAAAAACAAATCCTCCACTTGCTCCTCGGTCGTCTCCGGGTGGAGACCCGTAACGAGAATTGTGTAGCCCTCAATGGACTTTGCCGGGTTTCTCGAAGGAGTCGCTGACATTGGTGGTGGGACTGTGGAGAGGAAAGGCGACGGGAGACACGAAGTAACTGATATAGTGAAGCGTAAGGGGTGTGGTAAGTGCGAATTGCGTGTGCACTCAAGTACGAAATATTGCGATACGGTCCTGTCCCGTATTCTGCGGAATGATCCGTTAACCGGTTTAACGCAGTACTGCGTCTCTTCTCCGTATACCATTTACCGTGGTGGCAACCGCAGTTTCCTTCGCCCGTCCTACCCTGCTCGTCGTTGCGTCTCGTTATACGTCTTACCACACCGCAACACAGCCTTTATAGAAAAAGCAGTCACAAGGCTTCTTCCTCAACAAACCTGCTTCTCTCACCTGCGCAGAACAAACCAAAACGCACAAGTTCGTCATGGCTCAACGTGTTACCTACCGCCGTCGCCTTGCCTACAACACCCGTAGCAACAAGACCAGAGTCATTAAGACTCCTGGCAACAACCTCCGCTCCTTGCACATCAAGAAGCAAGGCAAGATCCCTCGTTGCGGTGACACCGGTGTCCCTTTGCAAGGTATCCCTGCTATGCGTCCTCGTGAGTTTGCTCGCCTCTCTCGCACCAAGAAGACCGTTCAACGTGCTTATGGTGGCTGCCTCAGCGCCAACGCTGTCAAGGACCGCATTGTCCGTGCCTTTTTGATTGAGGAGCAAAAGATTGTCAAGCAAAAGCTGAAGCAAATGGCTCAAAAGTAGGTACTAAAATGACAACCATGGTCGCTTGAACGTCACGCATTCTCGCGTCGTGACGAAGAGACGGCGCTTCGTTTAGGTACTCTGCTGTTCTGCAGCTCTTCAATGAGAGTCTTTTCGGGTTACATGTGGAATTATTTGGGGAGTTGAGTGAGGTTGTAGGATGTGTAGTGGATTTCGCGGCTGCTGTCGATGTAGGTTGTGCAGTTTGTTTGCTGTTCTTGGGGTTCTGTTTGTACGGTGTAGTTTTGTAGCCTGCCAGTCGCATACCCGCTCGTTGACCGTGATTATTCGTGCACACTGATTCGTATTTAGCCTGCTAACGCTGGTCGACAACTTGTTATATCTTTTGGACATAATGGGCAGGGGACAGAAGACGTCCTAGACAGTTTGGATGTGATGCAGGCGTAACAGAATAGATGGCCACAGCTGGCCCGGTACGGGTGAACAATTTGCGTTTTGGGAGACGAACGAAGGATGCAGAAGGCGCACTGACCCGCCTTGTTCTCTATTTTTGTGTCTTGTACACGCAATTGGCCTTGTCGATACCGATCCACCATCAAGGAAGGCACCCCTGTCGCGAGTATGGTGTCAACGATCTGTTGCAGAGTCGACATTGCATACGTTTGTAGTATATTCCCGTTGGCAAGCTCCTGGTACATGGACGCATCCGGAAACTGCGTCCCGGTAATGGAAAAACTTGCCAGGGCGTTTGTGTACGGGAGTATACCCGTGTATGAAAGGAACAGTTTTCCCAAACCGTATAGCGATTGAACAATTTCACCGGAACGTCGAATCCGTAACGAACGTGCCCGTTGTGAGCACAGTCTCAGCAGGCTTAACACTATCAGCCATCCGACAGACGTCTTCGTTTCCACCCGTTTGCGAAGAAGACCGTACAGCAAACCAATTTCCAGCAACTGTTGCAACAACGGGCTTGCATCTTTCATCCACCGACGAAACGAATCCACGAGAGTCCTTACAGCTAAAACGTCTTCGTTTGCCTGTGTTACCGCAAATAACCGATCCATGAGAAAAGATAGGAAATCAAGAGAATATACGACCGAACCAATGAGTAGAAATAAAAGCAAAAATAGGCAAAAATGAGCGTCTAATTAGAGGAAAAAAAGCCTTCAAGAACAAAAGAACTGTTATAAACAAAAAAAAAAGCCAGTTTACGTATGGACAAGACGATAAGTTACAGAAATCAGTAGTCGTTTTACAAAGACAACAGAAGTTACACGGAGTGTCCCAACAAAGCGAAAATAGCGCCTTCTTCACAATTATGTATGAAATCCACTGTCAAGCCCGTTAATAATCCCAGTTTATCGCGTAGTTTCGTTTTTTGCCATGATGAGCCAGTTTTGCTCTGGGTCTGACGCGTCGAGACGCGTCCGCATAACCTTATCTGTGACCGTAACCTTAATCAAGATGTATGACGTCAGATGAGCTAATGCGACGCGTTTGGGTCTAACCTTAAGCTGGTACAGGGGAAATTGAACTCACCGTTTCCCTAATACCCATCGATGCACCATGTCAATCATTGATGTACGAAACCGTTCAAGTACCTTCTTAGACCAAATATCTAACAACTACAGGGTTTTAAACAGCTGCTTAAGCACTCCAAATCCTCCAAAGATAGACCTAAGGGCGGCCAAGAATCTTCCTCAAAAACAAACAGCCGGGCCGTCTACGAGGAAATGGCTATCAGAATGGTCGCTGCTGAGGCTGAAAGTAGAGGAAAAATCCCACTTTACCCTGGCTTGGAGGGGTTTCAGCTGTTGGAGAAGCTAGGAGAGTACGTTACTGAGTTTTTGGTCCGAAAGCACATACTGACAATCTTGTAACAACAGTGGAGCTTTCAGTAATGTCTACAAAGCAATTTGTGCAAAAACACAAGCAAAGGTTGCGATTAAGGTTATTCGCAAGTACGAGATGACAGAAGCTCAGGTATGTTACTTCAGGGAAGGTTGAAAGGCAAGAAATGGGATATTTTTAAGCTTAATTGTTTCTTATGGATTCGAATGACGTTCTCTTTTTTTTGAAACTTTGCCAAACTAACGTATTATTCAGAGGGAAACCGTTTACAAAGAAGTCGCTATTATGAAACGTGTGAATCATGAAAACATTGTCTCTTTACAAGACTTCGTTGAGACAACCGACTACTATCATTTAATTATGGATCTCGTGGAGGGAGGCGAGCTGTTTCATCAAATTGTCCGACTTACTTTCTTTTCGGAGGACTTGGCTCGCCATATTATTGTTCAAGTTGCTGAAGCGATTCGGCATTTACACGATGAATGCGGAATTGTTCATCGGGATATCAAGCCTGAAAATTTGTTGTTTGACCCAATCGACTATGTGCCCACGGAGAACTACCAACCCCCTGCCCTTGAACCCTCAAAAGTTGACGAGGGCGTATTCCGACCCGGGATTGGGGGTGGAGGTATTGGTCGCATTCGGCTCGCTGATTTCGGGTTTAGCAAGGTGATTTGGAATTCAAAAACGTCTACGCCTTGCGGAACCGTCGGTTATGCTGCTCCCGAAATTGTTAAAGATGAACTGTATTCTAAGAACGTGGATATGTGGGCCCTTGGCTGCGTCTTACACACAATGCTTTGTGGCTTTCCGCCATTTTTTGACGAAGACATCCGAGTTCTAGCAACCAAAGTGGTAAACGGAGAGTTTACCTTTTTGTCTCCATGGTGGGATGACATTTCAGAGACGGCAAAGGATTTGGTGAGTAATCTGTTGACCGTAGACCCGATGGAGCGGTATGACATCCATCAGTTCTTACAGCATCCATGGATTAAGGGTGAATCGAAAATGCCCCAACAGATGCTCGCTGTTCCGTCCGAATACTCAAACTTCCAGAGTCTTCGTCGTCGTAGCGTCCCTTCCGTGCAGCCTATCGTGATTCCTAATCCTATCAACTCAAGCGACGAGCTTTCTCCCACCAACTCCGAACGTTCTTGTCGGTTTTCACGTTCTTTCGAATCGCGCACTCCTGACCTGTCCACATTGCACGAGGCTATGGGTGTTGCTTACGACATTCGTCGCATGAGCCATGCAGAGATGTCATCGCCCGTGCCAAGCATTTCCGTGCAAGAGGGAGGAGACGATACACCCCGTGTCACGACCCCGATACCCGTTCGAAGTCTTACAGCCAAGTTTATTGAGAAAGCCATGCTAAATTCTCCTCCATCAACATCATTTGAACTGGATCTGACCAGGTCACCTTTGTTTGGCCGCCGAACCAAACATACACAGGCTGCCGCCGCTGCTGCTGTTCCACAACAAACACCCGAGACGTTATGTTAGATAACGAGCGTGTTTGTATTCTTGCTTGTGTGAATTTATCAACCCAAGCAACGACGGAACGCTGGAAACGCAAACGGAGACACACTTGGTGAGCAGGCCTCCTCTTTTACTCCTTAATAATCGTGCCCGTTTGACAATCATGGATTTCTTAGAAGAAACCAATAGCTCTCTTTTGGCTTCTTTCAATTTCCGTCGCGTCCTCGCATTGATTCCCTCTTGTTTTCCCTCCTTTTGTTCCCCGCTTCTCCATGTTTGCGGCAATAACGGCATTGACACACACAAACAAATACATATTCACGCATGCTTTGAACCTTTTTGCATTTTTGCTTTTGAGTTTGAGCATAGCAACATGTCTGTGTGGACATGGTGTTTTGTAATTTTCCTTAACTCCTACCAGGTTTGATATTTATTCTTCTTTGGGATGGTAATCACTTACGTGAGCATATCCAATTGTCCATGATGGGTTTTGCAATACAGCATCTTCCCCCTTATTTCCTAATCCATTCGACGCAGCGGCCGGTGGCCTCATGTCCGGCCTTTCGTTTCGATTTCCCATGTTGCAATGGCTGATGCTTGTTTTTTGGAGAATGGTGCAGCGTCCGGAGCGCAGTATGCAAATTGCGCTTAGTCGACGGGAACCTTTAGAGCCCTCGGCTCGTCTGATTCATCCTGAGTGTGCATGCCTCCACTGTCTACAGTCCTTGACGTCTCGCCTGCTTTCCCCTTTTTTGTTGTATAGCCATTTTACAGCATGAGAGCTTGAGTTCTTTCATCACACACATCCATTTCTTTTCACAGTTCATCTTCCACCGATGTTTTCTTCTCATTTTCTCGATTTCACTTACTCATCAAACTTACTACACTCTTTTTAACTCTTTATTTTTCACATCAGTGGCGTGCCGAAAGCACACTGCTATATGATATAACATTCTGCGGTGGCATTACTTGTTTTTTTCTGTATTTCTCCGTCATGTAATTTTCTTTACCTGACTGTTCGTAACAAGTGTTTCTTCATTGTTCGGTCTTTTTTCTGTTTCTTTCTGTGTTCTATCCTTTCGCTATGATTGTCATCTGCACTGCTTTTCCCAGTCTCAATTACCGAATTTGTTTAAAACGTTCGCACAATTCATTCAAATTATTCCAACACTATGGAAGGCGACAAAAGTCGGTGAGAGGCGATCGGAAGGGCGAAGGTACATGTAAATTGCACGTATGGCGTAAACGTATAGTGCGAACTGTTGTTTGTACGGGAGAGGGAGCGAGAGAGGGAGAGAAAAAAGAGAGCATATGTAAAAGTAAAAAGAAGCTGGCGTCAAATGAAGTAAAATGCAAGCAGGTAGCTTATAGTATAACAACAGCCAAGTACCATTCAAGTCAAGCTGATTATTAGAATGAGACGTGAAACTCAAAAAAAATAGGGGAGACGCAGCGTTTACTAGTAGTGATCACGGGAAAGCTTCCTTTTCGACAGAATAACTTCGAACTCTCCATAATAAAGACTTTTAAGACCAAGTTCTATGCAGAGCGTTTGAGGGTCAAGAGAACGGAAGTAAGTCTTTTAAAACTCGTAAAAACATTGCACAGTTTAACTGTTTCATCAAAGTTCAACGGCTACCGAGTCCGTTCCCTTCTTAGTAAGTTCCATGAGAATCCATCTGCTGCTACGCCAAACAGAGGGAATAAGCTTCATCAAAATTGACTTCGTTGCCCAGCCAGTAAGGAAGAGAATAACAATGATGAATACATTGTAGCAGAAAGCCTCCTGAGGTGTGAATAAGTATGGTCCATATGTAACTTGGTAGCGGTAGTACTGAAGCTTCAACCAGCTCATAGGTCTCGGCTTGTACACGGGTGTGTAATCTTCTGGATGAATCTTCTTCGACATGTTGAACCGGGTTTCTTCTTATGTTCTAACCACAGTGCTCAGCAACTTGGTTTCGGTCAGGAGCCGCAGGATATCATCCTGTTCGTTGCGTTGTTACCCTTGGTGGTGAGACCCAAGTAACAAGTTGATCGTCCACGCAATAAAGTCATAAAAAATACAATTGTGCTGGATGTCTGCATTGAAGACATCCACAAATAGTTTTGTTGAATTGGGTCATTTATTCGCTTAATTTTGATGTAATTTTATGTGTTGCCGTAACGAATACATTTAAGGTCCCGCTACGTTATTCCCGGTCAGTATGAAGCATCTCTATGCCCTCGTAACCGCAGGAATTTCCCTGCTGTTATGGTTTTCTGTAGTGAAATGTGAATCTCTGTACATGACCAAGGAACGGAGGCTGCAGTTACGGTAAGAATTTGACGTTCAGTAGCCATACTCTCCATTTATCAAGAACTCACTTGCATCTGAATGAGAGTGGAGCTTTGCGGACCCTATGAGACACAAAAAAGAACACATACTGTGCTCTAGTTTTATTCGGAGTGTTATGATAGTGCTTTAACGTTTCTGTAACTAACTTACTCTTCAGTGACAATGTTCGTGAGATGTTCCATCATGGTTACGATGGTTATTTGACACATGCGTTTCCTGCAGACGAGTTGAAGCCCATCAGCTGCACTGGGGCTGGGCCAGATCGCTCTAACCCTGCTAATATTGGAATAAATGACTCCTGTGGTGATTACTTGTTGACGCTAATTGATGTTCTGGATACTCTTGTTGTCTTCAACGACAAGAATGGCTTTAGAGATGCTGTTTCTCGTGTCATAAAGCATCTGGATTTTGATAAAAACGTTAAAGTTCAAGTCTTTGAAGCAAATATACGTATACTCGGCGGACTTCTTTCAGCTCACATCTTTGCGAGCTCGGATGACTATGGATTTCGTGTACCGGACTACAATGGTGAGTTACTGTCACTTGCTGTTGACTTGGGTGAACGTTTGCTGAAGGCATTTCGTACACCCACTGCTATTCCTTATGCCCGTGTCAACTTGAAGTACGGAATACCATTCATGGAAACCCATGAAACATGCGCTGCTGGTGCTGGAAGCCTTGTATTAGAATTCTCCCTGCTGTCAAGTTTAACTGGCGATGAACGTTTTTCCGAGGCAGCCATTGGTGCATTTCAAGAAGTCTGGCGAAGACGTTCTCATATTAACCTTTTGGGAAACAGTATCGATATCAGCACGGGCAATTGGATATACCCAGTTGCAGGAGTCGGTGCCGGTATCGATAGCATGTACGAGTACGCTCTAAAGTCTTTCGTTTTACTTGGTAATATCGAGTTTTATGAAGTTTGGAAGCTCTCATTAAAGGCAATCATGCAGTACATGGCACCGGTGGATAACTTTTACCTACAGAATGTGTTTATTGCCAATGGTCACCGGGTCAACACATGGATCGATTCACTATCGGCTTACTTTCCTGGCTTGTTGGTCTTAAGTGGAGATGTTGAGCTTGCCCAAAGACAACATCTGTTTTTCTATGCTGTCTTCACTAAGTTTGGGCAATTGCCCGAGCGTTACGACTATATGACCCGTGAAATAGAACTTGATGGTTACCCATTACGCCCGGAATTCATTGAATCAACATACTACCTGTATCGTGCAACTGGCGATGACTTCTATCTTCGTGTGGGCGAACAAATAATCGAACAGCTGCAAAAGCTCCGAACATCATGTGGTTTTGCAACGCTAAGCTCTATTACCAAACAAACACTTTCTGACAGAATGGAGAGTTTCTTCCTTTCAGAAACGTTAAAGTACTTGTATTTGCTCTTTGACTTTGAAAATACATTTCACGCACTAAGCTCTAACTTTCTGTTCACAACCGAGGGGCACTTGTTCCCAGTATTATCCATAGACCACACGTCTTCTAATGCGGAACTGGGCTTTATGGACTTGAAATGTTCTTCTCATTCCGTAACGTATGATCCATTTGCTTCGGATTCTATCATTTCACGACCTGAGTATTATTATGTGTTTCATTTAGTAAACGCTACTGCACCAACATATCTGACAAGCGCTCCAAATGCTGTCTCAATGGCACCAACCTTTCTACAGGGCGTTGACTTCATCTATGCCCCCGGAGCGCCTTTCTCTGAAGATACTATTTTACGAACTAATAACGGAATTTTACTGTTTGATCTTAAAGGCATTAAAATTCGTCTTCTACAGTACGAAGCCGATTCTTACACCATTAGCAAAGGTATGATAAGGCTTAAGCAATTTTAGCTCATTTACTCCTATTCAGCAATCTAACCATTTCTAGTTGGGCCTTTTACACTACGGGATAATGAATCTGTGTTTATTGATGACCCAAGTTATGAAAAGTATGTTAAGCAAGGTTATCTAAAATTCAACGACTCGTTAATGTACCTCCACGAAGTTGCCTCCGAAAATCGAGAACCAGTTTCCATGTTGCATATGGGTAGTCCTCCCATACAACATATACCGTCGAGACTACAAGTTGTATATTTGGATGATGACTTATGTTCACGACCAAAGCAAAATCTGAGGCCTGCATATGCATACGTTGTGTCTAGCAATGAGTGTCAATGGACGCGCAAAGCAAAGAATGCGTATGGAGCCGGCCTTTTGGTTATCCACGACAGCACTAAAAACGAAAGTTTACAGCATACAGAAGCTGATGTGTTCGTACACAAAAATCCTTTTGAATGGGAACAAGAGGAAGATGATGAAGACGATGATGATACAGTCCTGCCGTTCATGAACTACTTTTTGAAAAGTCACATAGCACCCACCATTTACATCACTCAGGAAATAGACTGGTTGCAGGAAAACGCTTTCATCAGTCTCGAAGACAGCTGGACTGATTCAGCCGCCTTTTTCCAGGGCGTTCCCATCAGTAACATGTTCCTGAAAAAGCAAACCCGGTTTCATCTCAACGATGTGGAATTCTAAGAAACCGAACACTTATACACATGCACACATACTCAAACTCTTTCTCTCCCTCTCTTTTCTACCCAGGATGCGTACAATTGTTTGTATTTCCGCTGTTTAAATGCTCCAACATACAATACCCACACGAAACTGATTGATGGAGTTATTTTACAAAACTTTCCGAACCGTTTTTAAGCCCACTCGCTGCCCTCAGGAGCCTCAGCTTGGCCGTTCAAGAGGTTGTAAGTAGGAGCTTGGAGTCTGTCACGAGCCTTCAAGAAATCAAGCTCCATAAGGAAGACGTGTCCGAGCAACTTACCGTCGAGCTTCTCAATCAATTGATCGGCAGCCAAGGCAGTACCGCCAGTAGCGAGAATGTCATCGATGACGACAATACGCTGACCGGGCTTGATAGAGTCCTTTTGCATGGCGAAGCTGTCAGTCTCGTACTCCTTCTTGTATGAAACCTCAACGACCTCACCGGGAAGCTTGCTGGGCTTACGAACGGGGACGAAAGAGCAGCCAAGAGCAAGAGCCAAAGTAGGGGCGAACAAGAATCCGCGAGCCTCCAAACCGACAATTACGTCGACATTCTCAAACTTTTCCTTGATCAAAGAAACCAACGAGTCGATTAAGATCTGGAAAGCCTTGGGGTCTCTGAAGATGGGGAGAATCTAATGAACGTCAATTAGTATACATTACTTTTAAGGAAAGGAAAAGAAGAAAGAAATGTGAGAATGATGACGAGGATAAGGAGCAACCATAAATTCCTATCAACGAATAAAGCCACTAGATCTTCACAAACAACTCGTCTTCTTAAAGTCTATTTGTCTTCATTCATCTTATCGGAATTTATTCATCCGGCGTTGACGAGAATCATGTGGTCGCATCTTTTTTCTTGCACTAGGATGACTGCTTAAAATACAATTCTTTGACTCTGCCTGTGCCTTCTTTCAATCCTTCATTCCTTCCTGAACCATCTCATTCTTCTTTTCCAACTAGAAAACAACTTACATCCTCAAACAGAATTCCCTTCTTGGGGAAATCAGGGTACTGGGCGAGCTTAGAGCGCAGGTATTGAATATCGTTCGCAGACATTGTTTTTATATGTATTTCCTGTGTGAATCTTTCGAATTGCACTGGTTATACTACTTGGCTGTTTTTTTTCTACTATATATTTACTCTTCCGTATTTAAAAAAAGTTTCGGTTTCCCACAAAAAAGCAGTCCTGGGCCAGACCTATACCACGTTAAGGCTGGCGGCGATATCGCGGGGTCAAGTCGCATGTGGATAGTGAAAACTCGGGAGTAACTCAGTAGATAATGGGAAAAACGAAATATAAACCAATACATGTTTGAGACAAAATTACGGCGATTCTGACACATCCCTTTTTTACATATTTTTGCGCTTCGTTAACGGTTTGTATCATATTATTCTGCAAACGAACAATCATGCATAGAACGCGTGTAAAACAAAAGGGCGTCTATTTCCACGGTAGAATTGATTATGTAGAACACAAAATATACCGGTTTTCTCCTCTTTCTTTTCTGTTCGTAATTATTTGTTTACATTCAAGTATGCTTGACAACCGTTGCTATGTAAATAAAAGTGATCAGCCTTACGCAGCACGACCAGTGCGGCTGGGTTCAACCTTTACCAGCAACGTCTTAGCTAGCCATTGACCCGTTTTTTACGATTCTACGCCGCACCAGCGGCAGAAAACTGATGCTAGGTTAGCTTTGCATGTGTTCAGGACTGGCTATTACTGGACAAACTCGTCCTTCGCGTTGGTTTTTTACATTCTTTACCCTTTTTACTGTATCTGTCATAAATAAGCGTTTTCTAGTCTCGTGAAGGATACAGCAGCTAACAGTTGGATCGTTTTTACAGCGTATGCAAAAACTAGCCCTTGTTTATATCTAATTTTCGCGACTACTTCGCGTTTGATAATTATTGTCTTTTTACAGACTCCTTTTTGTTATTTTTAGTACCTTTTCTTCTTAATACTTGAGATGTGGTTCTCAATGTTCTCACGGAGACCAGCTTTGACGCCAGGCTCCGTTTTAATGGTGCTAAAATTTGTCGTATTCATTTTCATACTCGGATCCGTTGCATATCATTTGTTTCCTCTCTTCTACGGAATTACCGACCGCATACATCGGCGAGCAGATGACACATTCGTTCTTATGGCCGTCGCAGACCCCCAAATCGAAGGCAATCACAAGGTAGAGAGCCATAACTTTATTAAGGGAAAGTTCGACTTGTGGGGGAACGACCAGTTTCTGCGGCATTTGGTTTCAACATGCAAGTTCTGGGGCAAGCCTGATGCAGTCGTTACACTCGGCGACCTGGTGAGCTTCCAGTATCTGGACGACAAGGAGGCGGCTGATCGGAGTCGGCGTCTTCAACGCATCTTTGGTATTGACAACGAGTCCATGCACTCTCCCGACCACAAGCCACCCCTGCTAAGCATTGCAGGCAACCATGACATTGGTTATGGTCGAGAGTTGCATCCTAGGAAGCTAGAGCAGTGGGAGAAGTTTTACGGCCCACTCAATTGGGTTTGGCATGGCCGCACACGAGCAGGTACGAAGTTTCGCATCCTCGGTCTCAACAGCCAGGCACTGGACGATGTTGCATGGGACGAGGTGATGGAGGGAACCGAGTCTGTTGACACCGGTGACGATCCGTTGCACTCGACAACCAACACACTCAACACAGCCGTGCTCTCGTTCCAGCCGCTTTCTGACGCTGCACGAGAAACCTGGGACTTTGTTTTGCGTGCAGCAACTACCGATACCGATGTTGCCACGATCCTCGTCACTCACATTCCCCTGTACAAACCGGACGGGGTGTGTGTTGATGCACCGCTCGTACAAAGAGACTTCAACGGTCGCATTGTGACGCAGAATCATCTTTCCCAGACCACCACGCGCCATCTACTACGTCTGTTTCCCAATTTGATGACTGTATTGTCCGGCCACGATCACTGTGGGTGCGAATACAAGCATGTCAACGACCAGGGCGTCGTCATTCCTGAACACACCCTTCCAAGTGTTATGGGATACTTTGGTGGCAACATCGGTTTCCTTCGTTTGTCGTCTGAGTTTGTTCATAACGACCAGCACAGGGTGCCTCAGACTCGCCTCGACCTTGTGACCGCTGGTCCTTCGCACCTGTGGTGGGCCCTGATCTTCGGGACCACTATGATGCTCAGGGCATGCGTCCTGGGGAAGCTTGTTGAATTCTTTGTCAATTTCCGCCGCCGCTTTCGCCCAGAAACCGAAACAGAGAAGGACCTGCACTGAGAGTGCACTGCAACGATCAATGAAACCTCGTTATTTATTTTACCGCGAACCACAACAGATTGCGTTATACTTGCTTACGCGGATGACGCAAGCTTTCGCTAATTGCTTTTTCCGCAGTGCTGCGGGCTATGAATCTCTCCATTCGGACACGGGAAGAGTTGGCTGGTACTGACTTCTTTGAGTTTATTGTTACACGTCATAGCTCGGCACGATCGGCGTCTACCAGCTGCTCCTCACTGGGGTAATCGCGACTTACTATAAGAGGCCCCTGTTCCTCCCGTCGCAAACCCCAACCTTCTTTCGCGTCTGTAATCTCGAGCTGTGCGCGTCTCAATACAAGACACTTTACGTGGACAAATTTTATCATTGAAGCTCTTTAAAGAGTTGCTGGGATTTTTTATTTTTAAAAAAAAAAATCATAAAAATCATAAAAGTATTCCCGGAATTTTCTTAGAATTTTTTTCAATTTTCCCGGATTTTTACTGATTTTTTTGGTTTTCCTTTCGAATTTTTTTCAAAGTATCATCAACTCTTTCCGATTGTTCGTCTTTTCCTTGTTTTTCTCCTGTTTTTTTCGCTATTTTCCTCCATCTTTCTCGGATTATTTCTCCATTTACATTGTTAAGGCCCCCTCTTCACAGCATTTCAGGCATTTTCGTTGACATCTTTACGTTTACTTCCTGTTAAAACCTATTTTTTTGCTTCTCTATTGAAACATGCTTACCACTAAACTTTTCCTCGCTTTTTCTCTTCTCGGTATCGCGAACGCTCTTATGGTCTTGTCGCCTTCCTCCGGCAACACCTGGGTCGTTGGTAAGCCTCAGACGGTTGCCTGGTCTTCCGTCGACACGGATCCTACCTCGGTTCGTATTTTCCTCAGCAACATGGCTTCGTACCCCAATGTGAACATTGAGGTGACTACCGTAGAGGTTGAAGCCGGCAGTGCGGTTATCTCTACGAAGGATTTCCCTACTGGATCAGGTTTCCAAATTAACCTCGTGTCCACGTCTGACTTGAGCATTTATGCTCAGTCTGGACAGTTCAACCTAGTTGCTGATTCAAGCAGCAGCAGCACCAGCGGTGCCAGCTCAACTTCTGCTACTTCCACCTCTGGCGTGGTTGCCGTCGCTTCGACGACGTCGGAGACGAGCAGTAACACTGATGACTCTTCTTCGGCCTCCTCCACATCGACACTCGCCCTTATTGCTACAGGCTCTATTACCGAGTCTTCTGCTTCAGCATCCTCGACTGCTGCCAACGTGAACGGAGGCCGTGGAGACCTTGCTTCAGGTTCTAGTGCTTCTTCGGCCACACTCTCTATGGCCACAGTCACTACCTCCGGATCTGCAACCGCTAGTGCTAGTGGAAACGATACTACTGCTACTACTAGTCTCACCAACGGCGTCGCTTCCGCACCAGCTCGCAGCATGCTTTCCATCTTCGTGGGAGCTGCCCTTGCCTCTGGTTTGCTTTTCTTCCTGTAAACGCATATATTCGGGACGAAGCGCTCAACCGTCGTCAATGCGGTGTCGGGTCTTTGTCTCCTTGCAAAACGATGCAGGCACAATTGTTGCTGCTATGTTCTCCTCCATCTGCGCCCTCTTTGCCTGACATCCCTTCCGGGTGCCGACATTCATGAAGCTGCAAACGTTGCTTAAGCCGCTGCGCTGACTACTGCTCCTTTCTCTTGCAATTTATGTAATCTCTGGCATTCTTTAGCATATCCTTTCATTAATTCATAATTTTTGATTTCCCCCACATGCCTCATTGCTCTCTCTCCCCTAGCTCCTACTGTAGCCTGCTGCTCCCCCCCACTCGGCCTCCGCCGATCTCTACCACCAACTCCGTCTTGTGCCCCACCGCTACTGTGCTTCTACATGCATCGATGCCCGTTCAGCGGAATACTATGGAAACAAAAATGAAACTAGGAATTTGAGAATTGAGAAACACGAATGTGATCTGTACAATTACAAACGTTCTATGCAGCAAATTCGCTGTATTATTGACTATATTGTGATTTAGAGTTATTGCATGACGTACGCGGAAGACCGCACTTACCACCTTCCTCCCCGTCCTCTTGCATTCTACCAACAGCAAACACTTAATTAGCCTGAACCAGTTCCTTAGGAGCCTCGTTTTTGCGCCTTTGCAGTGTTTTTGTTTCAATTCTCTCTTTAAGAAGCAGGATTAAAAGTTTTTTGCAAAGAGCCGAATTCTTGTCTCTCTTTTTTTTCTACATTCACTGTTCCTTCTGTCCTTTTTTGTAACGATTTATTGACTTTTTGATTTACGATGCACAGCAAAACCACAGACAGTTTCGAAAACGAAAATAATGTCGATCTGTCCGGCGAACTGATTGATCCAGCCGAATTACGCTCGTACGGTGTGAACGGTCGAATTATTTATGCTCTCCGTCACCTGCCATTCAAGGCCTGTGTCCATGAAAATTCGCGCAAGTGGGAGTTCCGAGGCCGTCGTGGTGCTACTAGCATCTACTCAAGCATGAATTGGCTCGCGAACTCGACGTACTGGAAAACGGTGCTTGTCGCGTGGACAGGTGTTATTCCTACGATTGATGACGGCGAGAAAACAGGATCCTCTAATGAACAGCGATTTACCGATCGGCCAACGACGATTACTCCCAAAGACGTCGATAACTTTGAGCAATCATATAAAAACTGGGTCTCTGACAAGAAGACCGAGTACCATCCTATCTTTTTAAAGAGGAAATCCACTTCTGACGATGTTGTGTTATCGGAAGAAGTTTCGTGTCAGGCTCGCTGGCTTGCTTACGCGGAAAATGTAATTCGTCCCCTTATTCACTACAAATACTGGCAGGATACCGATAACGACGATGAAGAAGAACAATGGTGGAATGACTATGTGAAAATGAACTGGAGATATGCTGAGAAGCTTAGTGAGATTTATGAGCCGGGCGACTTTATTTTTGTCCAGGACTACTCTCTGTTCCTGGTGCCCCAATTCTTAAAGGAGCTTCGCAAAGATGCCATGATTGGTTTCTTCCATCACCATCCTTTCCCTAGTTCTGAGATTGCTCGTTGCTTCCCGAGACGCAAGGCCATTCTTCGGGGAGTTTTGGGAAGTACGTTCATTGGTTTTCAAGACTACTCATACGCCCGTCACTTCATTAGCTGCTGCGCTCGTGTACTGGGCCTCGAGACTGGACATGATTGGGTTTCACTCGAAGGCAATCGTGTCTCGATTCGTACTATCTCCGTCGGTATTGATGTTCCCCGTGTCATTCGCGCCAGCAGTGCACCCGCTGTAAACGAGCGTTTGGCGGAGCTTGACAAGCAATTTGGTTCCTTGAAGCTTATTGTTGGTCGTGATCGACTTGATGAGCTCTACGGTGTGCCTCAGAAGTTCCGTGCCTTCCAACGGTTCCTTCGAAACTATCCCGATTGGCGTGGAAAGGTTGTGTTGGTCCAGATTACCATCTCTTCTGCTTTTACACATCCCGAGCTTTCTGCTCGGATCAATCGGATTGCAAATGCTATTAACAGTGAATTTGGTACGGAACACTACACGCCTGTTATTCATTACCACGAGCAATTGGAGCCTTCGCATTATTATGCTCTGCTCCGTCGTGCAGATGCTGTCTTCATTAGCTCTATCCGTGAAGGCCTGAGCACACTCGCTCTGGACTATGTAGTATGCCAACGGGACCGTTTCGGCGTTGTTTTGCTTTCCGAGTTTACTGCTACCTCGTCCTTGTTGCACGACGTCCCTCTAATTAATCCATGGGACTACACGGAGTGTGCTGAGGTGATTAACAATTCGTTGAACATGCCGTTGGAGAAGCGTAAAATGGTTCACCGTGAATCCTACAAGCAGGTGACTACTCACACGATGCAAGCTTGGACATCCTCCATGATTCGTTCTCTTGCCAATAGAATAGCCAGCTCCAAATCTGTTCAACACATTCCCCTTCTCACCGATGGAACCGCTTTACCCGTTTTTAAACGCGCGAAGCAACGTTTGATTATGCTTGATTATGATGGAACTTTGACTCCCATTGTCAAGGATCCTAATGCCGCAGTTCCTTCTCCCAAATTGCTTGACAGCTTGCGTAAACTAGCTGCAGACAAGAGAAACCAAGTATGGATCATCTCTGGTCGTGATCAACAGTTTCTTCGCAAGTGGATGGACGATGTGAAGGGTCTTGGTCTTTCTGCTGAACATGGAAGTTTCTTGCGCCGCCCCCATAGTACCGAGTGGGTTAACTTAGCCGAATTGTTGGATATGTCTTGGAAGGAAGAAGTGAGACGTATCTTCCAATACTTCACTGATCGTACTCAAGGTTCTTCAATCGAGGAGAAGCGTTGTTCTATGACCTGGCATTACCGTAAGGCTGACCCAGAAAATGGTGCATTCCAGGCTCTCGAATGTCAGGCCTTGTTGGAAGATCTTGTCGTTTCCAAGTATGATGTGGAGATTATGGCAGGAAAGGCCAATATCGAAATTCGTCCTTCCAGTATTAACAAGGGTGGTATCGTAAAACAAATTATCGAAGACTACCCTGTGAATGCACGCCCTGGCTTCGTTTTCTGTGCTGGTGATGATAGAACCGACGAAGATATGTTCCGTTCTCTTCAGAAAAGTGATATTGACAAAAAGGCGATGTTTGCTGTCACCATTGGTTCAAGCAACAAGCTCTCGATTGCAGAATGGCATCTTCCCGAGCCTCAAAGTGTTATTGACCTGCTCGCCGACCTTGCAGCTACGGAGTAAGCAAGTATTTACGACTGCTACAAAGCAAGCATACATTTAAACATCGTTTTACGTGATGACGGTGCATGGTTTGCGAAACAGCGATTTACATGAATCCCTTGTTCTTTATCGTGCTCTACATTTCATCGCGAAAGATGGATGTGCTGCTGGATGAGGGTGCTTGATATGGGGTACCGCTTTAATTCACGAAACCAGTCCTTATGTTAAATGACCCCTCTATTGATGAGAGCGCATCTTCTTCCAGCTCTATGACATTCTCACGACAGGCTTTCCCTTCGTTCGCCGTTTCGTTCACGATCTTGACTCGGCTTGTGGATGTTGTATCTGTGTTACGAGTGCGACTCTCATCGCAGGACGACATGCATTACTGTATTAAATAGACAATGACTAAATGATCCTTAATCCCTTGAGCTCTGCTCTGCACAGAGTACAGTCTGTATGTAACACACGGCTTAAACGACGCCGTAAAGCTGCGACTGATGCATCGAAAAGGCCCAAATTCGAACAGATGAAGACCTCAGTAAAGGACTGGGCGACTTATGTACATATGTAGTAGTAATAGTAAAAGTAGTAGTAAAAAATAGTAGGACTGAATGCTGTGATTGTTCATGTGTTAAGTGTGTGCGTGCGTAAAGTAAAGTTATGAAGCCAGACGAGCAGCGGATCCATGGTAGGAATACGCGGGCATTTCCAAGGATTCCGTATCATCAGTAATAGGATTGCGGGGAGAAGAGGGAAGTTGAAGGGATGAGTTGTTAAGAGCACCGACAGTTGGCTGCGAAGGCGGAGGATCCTGCTCTTCATCGCCTTCAGGTGTAAGCCCAAGAACGGGCTCAGTCCTTTTTATGGGGGTTGCGCGTAATAACAGCGGTGATGGATTGATGCTGTTGGCAATAAATCCTAAGAAACGCTCTGCATACTCAGGAGGAGGAACGGAGGATATGTCGGATCGTGGATGACTCAGCCCTTTCCAAAAGTGTTCTACTCGTTTCACGTAATTGTACTGAGAAGATTAGTAAGAAAAAACGTTATGAGGGGAAGTAACCCAAGAAATTGTGACAAACCTTTGTAAGCAGATCAATAATACCAATGTAGAAAATGAAATTACCAGGCTGGTTGTTTTCATCGGTAGCACGAAAACCGCCATCATCACAATAAAACAAAAAATGTCTGCGCCTATAACATCGTTAGCATCTATAACCCGTATAAAGACAAGTGGTAAAGAAAACACACAAAATTAAATAGACATACTCCATGAACTGGTCGTCGGGGAGCCGGTAACATGAGCGATCAAGGGAGACAGGTCCAGTCGTGTTTACGGCTCGTCGCATCTCATGGGCAGTAGATTGAGTTTGTGGACCTGCAATTAAGGCATGGTGCGACATGTCCGGCTCATAGACGGACAAGATGCTGTCTCGAATGTTATCACGGTTACCACGGTTTAAGTCGTGGATTCCGATAAGCATACTGTAATCCATAATTCCAAGAGACGAAAGCAAATCTACGTCTGCTTTCATTTGTGCAAGTAAAAGTTGTCGTTTGAGAGGACCAAATTGAAGATGCATATTTCGATTGATCCAGTTGGTGTCCTTCATTGTTGCCGAAGGATTCTTCTTTGCAAGCTCTTCATCGAGCTCGCGGCCCAAAGTCGAGCCTTTTAGGTCGAACATTTGATGGATATCACGGTGCGGAGGGAAAAGATTATTCATCACAACAAAGTGGATCTTGCGACCAAAAGGAAGCTTAACGCGATGCAAGCCATAAAACTGCGAGATTAGAGTATTAGGATTGTTTTTTACGTGATTATAATAGTCTCGGAGAATATCACGCAGGAACTTATGTTCAGAATGATGAATGGTTTTAATGATGAAACGATAGTCGCGAGAAAAGTAAAAGAAAGAACCACTTTTACCGGGAGAGCCCAGCTCAGAAAGAATGTATTTACTGGTCAGCGAAACGAGATAATCGGCTGCATCGAGATGAAAGAGTTGACGAAGATGTCGAAAGACCCACGGAGCGTAATCTTTGAACTTGAAGTCATATTTTGCAGAAGGTGTCAGTTCGTTCCCCGTAATGTCAAACGTGAACTTGTGTTTGGCTGTAAAATCTGATGCTACAAGCTCACGATCAACTTTCGCTTGGCAACGAGATACACCAACTCGGATTCCGGTCAGCATGTTGTACGCGGTAACGTAATTTTCGTGACCTTCAGACACACGCGTGCCTACGAGCACGCAGTCATCGTCAAGCTCTTCAAGTCGCTTGCGCTGGTTGAGACGCCTTTGCTTAACCGCTTCTGCCCACCGAGCTGAATCTATGTCAGGCGGGATGCTGTGCCGTGCAGAGTCCATCGTGTCACCTGCTCTGGTGCCCGGAGCCTCTCCGTCCTGGGATACCAGTAAAGATGTTGAGTGTGTGGGTGACTCATAGAAATCGTTTGCACTTGTATTCGACATAGACGTAGAGGGGCTGCACATCTGATCCAGGTCATATGTACTCCGAGTAGCAGGATGGCGATCGCTCAATCCGTTCGGTGACGACTCAACGGTTCCGATCTGAATAGGGGAGATGGGATCAGTACTGGTACCATTCGTTAGACCTGTCGTTTGTAAACGAAGGGTAGAGTGATGACCGTTTATGCCAAGTGTAGCTCTGCTATTGACACTGCTGCCATCGATGCCACCATTGTTTACACGTCTGGCAGCACGTAGAGTTGTCCGTCTTTGCCTTGGCTGAAAGTCAATCGGTGCTGTCGATGTTGACGAACCTCCTTGCTGACTTTCTCGGTTTTCCGTTTCGTTACGATCATTATAGGAATGAGACTCGTTCAATGAGGTTATTTCCTTTTCCATTCCTTGTTTCAATGACCCATGAATGGATTAGATAACTGTCCGAAGCAGTGATTCTTGTTTGTACACAAAAAAGTTACTTTTCTTCTGAATGCCTCAAACGAGGCCGTTTTCCACCGTTCTTTTTTTCAGTTAAAGAGAATGAATAGACAAATTCAATTCTTCAAAAAATTCCACTGTAAATCCTCGTTTTTTAAGATTATAACGACAATTTTTGGGGGCTTTCAAAGGTGTAGTTGGCAGTAACTTACTGTGTTTATGGAGTAATGTGCGCCTACACTCCAGAACAGGCCAGGGGACCCTTGACGTTACGTGGTGGTGGGAGAGTCATTCTGACCACCACAGTCAAATCGGTCGGTGGGCTCTCAGGCTGCCTACGGTCGGCGCTACTGCTACCGTAGAAGCCAGGTTGCGGGTTCGGTACTGTTTTTTTTCCGGTAATCACAGTCGTGAATGTAGATAAATAAGACTCGCAGACCAGTTCAAGGATGCCTCAACGAGAGTGAGGCAGGTTGTAATAAGTCAACGAGGGTTTTGTGCCGCAGTCTCGTTCTTTACAAAAATAAGTTTAAGAGGCCTTGTAGTAAAATAAAACAAATGGACAAGAAACATTGATAGCGGTAACATAAAGACGACCAAAGTTGCGTTCGGGCGTGTATATTTTACTAAGCGAGTCGATTCTGCCGGAAAAACCGACTCGTTCTATGTCCCCTTAAAAAATAAATGATAACAGAAGAGCCGAAAGGCAGATGGAGGATAAAAGAGTCAGGAGTACCTTAATTTGTTCGTTTTATATAGTCGGTTTTCGCATTTTCTCCTTACCCAATCTTAATATGACAATACGGAACATTTCGAATGGCTGTTTCTTTCGTTGAAGGCCGTGAAATAGCGACAATGGTAAGGGGAAGCGTCATACTACCAAAGTTGGTAAATAATTGTACATGATCCAATAGTCTGGGGCACTGCTGAATGGGACAAATCTTCATTTTTGTTGCTTGCATACAAGAGTGCATCGACAAATAAAAACGAAAAAACGCATTGGTGATCGCTTGAAAAATTGAGAACTTAAACCAGAATAAGTCGCTATTCGGCACTAAGGAACCCGTCATAGACGAGGTTCCTCGTATACGATACCTTGAGACCTCTTGAAAATGACGACCAAACCTCCCCATGCATAAAATAGAACAGAAAGCAGCCATTACAATGGCAATCCTTGAATATCTCCTGCTTAGAAGTAAGCAAGAAAAGAGCGCGCAAGCTCACGCACAGGGTTTAGAAGGTATGTGGGCAGTCTTTCGTCTGGTAAAGCAATTCACTGACATAACTTTTCTCTTAGCTTTCGTGGAATATTTGGGCCATCTTCCGGGTTTGGAGACAAAAAAGCCACCTATATTTGTCTCTCTGGCATTTCTGAGTTATTGTTTTAACATTGAAGGCGAATTTCATGGTCGTGGAGAATCCAAGGAAGATGCGTCGAAACCAATTGCTTGTTTTTGGGACACAGACGTAATGAGTAATGCATTATTTCAGTTGAAAAATACAGAGCACTCTAGAAAGAAAAGAATTCTAAAGATACTGCGACACGATTTAGATGAAGACACGACAGTACGGCTCCGCTCGCTGGACAAGGAAGCCATGAGACTGTTTGCTTGGGCAAAAAGCGGTATATGCCGCTGGGTATGTACTCATTTGTTTGTCTGTTCGTCGAGTTATGTATTTGTGAGGATATTCGTGTCGTGAACGATGCTGCAATTTTTCGTTTGCATAACAGATACAGATAACTGCGTCCGGCGTCGTCGCCATTCAGCAAACTAACGTGCGGATACAGGTCCTTTTTTCTCTTACTGATAAGGAACGAGTAGACGAAGAAGCTGTTTTGGCGTTTCTCACCATGTGGATGATTGATGTCCCCAACGAGATCCAAACATTTAAACGGCTCCTCTCCTACGACTGGGACCACCGTCGCTCCAAAATCAAGACGTACAAGAAAAAAATACCGTGGTCAAAGGTTTACAGCGTCATCCAGCGTTACATCGCGTGCACTGAAGCGCAATGTAAACTAGTGAATCAGTTTCAGTTCAATGCCGATACTTTTCTGCAGGCAGTGGTAGAGGCGATAGAGCAAAACCAGAGGGTGTTATCTATCTTTTCGGGTAACGGGATATAGTTTTCAAGCATTGGAAACGACTGCTGGACAGACGAACGGAGAGATGCTTGTAACCTAATCTCAGAATCCTGAGTGTTTTAGCCATCATTTGCTGCGATGGCATCGGCAATTTCATAGAGTGTTTGTTTTACTTCAACGTCCGGCAATACCGACAGCACCTTCTTAGCGCGGTTCACCTCATCGTCAAGACGTATTTCTGTCTTGTCAGGGTTGGATTGTCGAAGTTGCATGGCTGTTCCCAGATGCAAACCATATTCAAAACATGCCTGGGATATGTGCTCGGACGCCCGGTTGAGTATGCTTGCACATAAACAAGCCTTTGCTGGTAGAAAGGCGGATTGCAGGCGGAGACGTCGTCGCTCAGACTCAATGGACATGGTGTCTCTGGTTTGGGGAAAGTTTCCTTCAATTAAGTTTGCAATGGCTGAAGCCATGAGTTCTGTAATGGAGTTGTCTTTCAAAGACGCTAGATCCACGGATGCTTTTCCCAATAAATAGTCGCCTACCAAAACTTTTAATTTCGTAATAGAATGCGCTTCCTTTGCGTGTTCTTGGACACTTTTGTGAATTGCATTAGCGGCATGAATTAGTTCCGTTATACGCGAAAGTTGCTTGTACCGCTGATATTGTTGCTTCGAAGGCGTCGCATCTAACGTAGAAGCGCGAGACATTAATAGAACAAGCAATGGGTGGAAAAAACGAGCATGTGATGTTGTGTATGGTTGTATAACAGTGTCGAGAAGTGGTTCCGAGTTCGTCCACTGTACCAATTGTGACCGAAGGTTTTCCATTTCCTCGGACAGCGTAGCTAGCAGATCAGAGTGGTATTTGGATTCCTGAGATACTACCCCGACGGCTCTCAATAAAACAGAGGACCATGTTGAACTGTTTCTGCCGAACCGAGGCATTAACCGAGCTGGTCGAACATATGTAAGCATTTGCGAACTGAAAAACACAGCACAGGTGAAAAATCTTCCGGCGAAATACGTTTACAGACAAGAGATCCTTTCAACAGTCTCGTTTAGTGTTACAGTACTGCGTCCAATGAACATAAAATGAGAAGGGAAACGAAAAAAAAGATTACAGATAGTAAAACACAGAGTTTTCAATGGAAGTTTGACATGAACAAGAACATATAAAAAGACACCTATTGCAATAAAATTGAATTAAAAAATCAACGTGAGAATGGGGGATGGTTGGTGAAGTTACTATGTCTCGATTCCGTAAACACAGCTCGGCAATTATTAAGGTTGCATAAAGTTCGCGTATGTCGGCGGCACCCGAGTTAGACTTTTCGCTTATTTGGTGGTGGGAAGCTTAATTCCATTTCATAAAGACTATAGTAGTAGCAATGGGAGAACAAGATTAAGACGAAGCATGTATTCATACAGAGAAGAGGCGTTCATTAAAGCAGAAGAGTCGTGACGGGGAACAGCTTAAAATCCCTTAGAGCGCATTATATTGCTGACAGCGCGCGACTGAAAGGTCAGCCAAGAGCCAATTTCGCGGCGTATGCTGTTTAGCGAAGCAGCATGGTCCATCCGGTGCGAGACAAAACGGTACGTGTCACCAAAGTCGGGCGAAGTATCACGAGTCATGTACAACTCAGAGAGACCGTAAATAGAGGCGACAGCCGCCCGCTTTGTGTACCACTGAAAATCATTTGAGCTGTCCTGGGCCAGAAATAGTATTTCGTTTGCCAGTAGACCAAGTGTCTTTAGCGAGTGCCTTATATTAAGAGGACGACTGCTTAAGGCAAGTATTGACGGAAGGTGCCTGTTTACGTCTCTGTTGGCATATAGACGGGCCCATAGCAACTCGATAATCCGTTCCTTCATCGACGGAATGGTACTTAAGTGAGGCTTGAGCTCATGGAGCGCCTTACGCTGCACATAGTGAAAGAAGTCAAACAAATCCAATCCTCCTCGGGGAAACAGAACAGCCGGTAGACTGGTATAACCAGAGTCCTGAGCACCACGGGCTAACGCTTCGTTGGTAAATCCAAGCTCTGGCACATGGTGAAGTGCATTCTGTAACAGTTCTTTCTTTTTTCCATAATACGGCTGCTCCATGTCGACAGCTTTGCTGTGATATTCATTGAACATGGGACATGCACCTTGAGAGCAACCAAATCGCCCTACACGCACTGAACATGCAGCAAATCGGCGGAATGAGCCATTCAAAAACATGAGCTTATAAAATTGGTCTTAACTAACCGAAAGAAGGGCGAAAAAGAGGATCCTTATCCGGAATAGAGCGATTTGCTTAAGGATGGAGAAGACGAGGGTTTAGATTAATTTAGGTTAATTAAGGTTTGAGGTATTTTTGGTGGTGAGTTTCGGTTTCTTTTACGTTGCTAGCTTCGAAACAAGGCATTCTTTGACTTCCGTTCGAATCCGGGTATGCTCCCTTTTCGCAGGCAGTCGCAAATCTTACCTTGTCAACAACACAAGAAGGAAGAAAACGTGAAAACACGTACGCGGGCCGTGTAACCCACAATATGTCATTTGCATCCATGGAGACACATATGTAAGTCAAAACCGTGCTGACGCCAGCAACTGGCGTTGGAAGACTATTGTTCGTGTTTGTTGATCTAACCGTGATTTAGTATTCTTCTCTTACAACAAGATGTACGTTACTTTGAGTACAACAGACGCGGGCAATTTTGCTTATTGAAACAGAACGATCCTAGATCTCGTGTTTGGAGTGACCATTGCAGCCTACAGTCTGCTATCGAGTGTAAGAACGCTATTGATATATAGACGCGTATACTGACGCGTCCTTAAAGATATCCTTGGCGTTTATATGTCGAGAAAAGGTATGTCAACAACAAATGGGAACAGTCATTACGTTATTCAAAGGTGGAGGCGCTTCCATTTGCGTGTTTTGTTGACTTTTTTTTTTGGTCGCTTATATTCATTGGAAGAACTTTATGCTCACCTACAGCAGATGTTACTCTCGAAACTCTAGACTTTGTTCAGTTCGCCGAGTTTTTTGACTCCATTTACGATTGTGTGCCGCTCGTTTACGATTCGCATTTCCGGGCATATGGTGAGTGACTCGAAATTTCTTTTAAAACATTCGCAACTAACAGACCACAGTTCCGTTTGAAAAAAAGTGGCTGCTTGCTCGAATTGATCAATATCTGAAGATTCCAGTGAAGGTGAGTTCGTGGCGCAAGCGAACTCTGACAACCACTGTTCCTGTCATTGATCTTCATTACCTTACTTGCTCCTCTACTAACAATTAAAAGCCCCCGTATGAGGAAGTATCTGCATAATAAGGTCTCCACCTTATTTTCTTGTATGTCTCACGAATAACGGAACTCTGAAAACTTATCTACCTTGCAGCAGACCTGGCAATTGCTCCTGGCGTGCTGTTTATTACTGAAACTCAGCACGCGACGCGTCGCGTCGCGTTCTGCATTTCGCTAAATAAGGTTACTCTAAAATTGCGCAACGCCGGTCGCTTGCGATAACATGTCTCGCTTCCTTCGGCTAATGCCCGCCAGCCCCGATAACGATATGTGACGTCACATAATCAATAATATATATATAAGAGAGCCTTCCACCCCTCTAGCCGTTCCCCAACAGCATTCTTTAAGAAATCTCGTAACATCTTTTGGTACACCGTTAAAAGTAGGACAAGAATTGCACTGCTTGGTATTGTACCAGTTTAATTTATTGTTCTTTCAATCAAAATGTTGAAGAAGTCATTTTTGCTGTTTTTGCTTTCTTCGACTGCTTTCGCCCACTATATTCCATCTTCCGGCGACAACCTTGCGGCTACTTCGCCCGATGCTGAGCATGAGTCTTTAGGACTGGAGAAGGCCAATGAGAATCGCGACGGCGTCGCCAATGCTTTCGGCAAATTTGTCCACGCTGGTTCCGATCTCTTGGATGCCGTGAAAACCGGATTTTTGGACACTTTCTCTAACGGAAAGCGCCCTTCTTTGGACGAGCTGAGTATTTCCCAAGAGAAGGACGTCCCTTCCGACGACGATGATGATGAGAAGGACGACGAGCCTGATCATAAGGACGAGAAGAAGGAAAAGGATGACAAGCATGGCCACAAGAAGGATAAGCTGAAGAAGAAGAAGCACCACAAGAGCAAGAACAAACATCACTCTAAGGAAAAACATCACAAGAAGGAGAAGGACGACCGTGAGCCTGAGCATCATGACAGACCTCCTATGGACTTTGAACATGAGCCCGAACATCACGACAGACCTCCCATGGATTTCGAGCATGGACCTAAGCGCCATGGGGAGCCTCCTGAGGACTTTGAGCGTAAGCCCGAGCACCACGGAAAGCCTCCTAAACACTTTGAGCCCGGACCCGATCACCATGACAGACCTCCCAAAGACTTTGAGCATGGACCTGAGCATCATGGTGAGCCTCCCAGAGATTTTGAGCGTAAGCCCGAGCACCGTGGTGAGCCTCCCAGAGATTTCGAGCGTAAGCCCGAGCACCATGGAAAGCCCCCTATGGATTTCGAGCACGAGCCCGAGCACCGTGACAGACCTCCTATGGATTTCGAGCATGGACCTGAGCACCACGACAGACCTCCCATGGACTTTGACCACGAGCCCGAACATCACGACAGACCTCCCATGGACTTCGAGCACGGACCCGAGCGCCATGGAGAGCCTCCCAGAGATTTTGAACGCAAGCCCGAGCACCACGGTAGACCTCCCAAAGACTTTGAGCATGGACCTGAGCATCATGGTGAGCCTCCCAGAGATTTTGAGCGTAAGCCTGAGCACCACGGAAAGCCCCCTAAGCATTTCGAGCCTGAGCGTGAGCACCACGGTGAGCCTCCCAGAGATTTTGAGCGTAAGCCCGAGCACCACGGAAAGCCCCCCAAGCACTTCGAGCCTGAGCGTGAGCACCGTGACAGACCTCCTAAGGACTTTGAGCACGATCGTGCACATCATGAGAAGCCCCCTAAGGAGTCTGAGCCCGAGCAACATGAGAAGCAACCAAAGGAGTCTAAGCCTGAGCAGGAGATTGATTTGCAAATCGTCGACAGTGAGCGTTTGAAGGGTTCTCCTGAGGATGTTATTGCTTTCCTGCGCGAGTTTGCCAAGTCGAATGACCGTGAGTATGCTGCCCTTCCAACTGAGGCAGGCGAACCCCACTCTGTGGATGACATTGATGACTCCGCTATGGCATATTTTGAGATGCTGAAGGCCGAAGCAGAGCAACTGGCCGAGGATGGCGACAGAGACAGTGTCTTTTTTGAGCAGCTCGATGCGTTCTTGAAGGATTTGTACCGTAAGCCTGAATTAAGTCCTAAAGACAATATTGCTGACCTTTTCGAGGAGTTCAACCAACTGATGGAGTTTCTGGCTCACAGTGAGTATATGACCGAGCAGGATTTAGCTCTTCTGGCTCAAACAATGGAAGATGAGATTGACAAGCTCACGTTTTCTGAAGACCTTGAAAAGAAAGTGATACCTGAGGATTCTAACAAGAACAGCCCCAAGGAGCAGCATCCCTTTATCGCCGAGAACAGTAACATGGAGGCCTTTCGTATGAATGCTTTCCCCGATTACACCCTTCGTATCCAGGAAAATGCTAACCCTGTTGAGCTTGGTATTGACAAAGTGAAGCAGATTACTGGTTACCTTGATGTTGATGACGACAAGCATTTCTTCTTCTGGTTCTTCGAGTCGCGTAATGACCCCGCTAACGACCCTGTTGTTCTTTGGCTGAATGGTGGACCCGGTTGCTCGTCTTTGACTGGTCTGTTTATGGAGTTGGGTCCATCCATGATTGACTTGGATACTGTTAAGCCTATTTACAACAACTTTAGCTGGAATGCCAACGCCTCCGTTATCTTCCTTGATCAGCCTATTAATGTTGGTTTCAGTACTGGTGACGATTCTGTAAGTGACACGCTTGCTGCTGGCAAGGACGTGTATGCCTTCCTCAACCTCTTCTTCACTAAGTATTCTCAATATGCCGACAAGGATTTCCACATTTCTGGTGAATCGTATGCTGGCCATTACATTCCCGCCTTCTCTCGGATGATCCTTGAGCATAACAAAGGTGCATCCGATGCATTTGTTGCTGCTGGCTACGAGGATACGAAGGTGAACATTAATTTGAAGAGTGCTTTGATTGGTAACGGCCTTACAGACCCTCTTGTTCAGTACAAGTACTACTCCAAGATGGCTTGCGAGAACTCTTATGGTCCCGTTCTCCCTCAAGAGGAGTGCGACAAGATGGACCGTAGCTATGGAACGTGCTCCAAGCTCATCAAGACGTGCTATGATACTGGCTTCACACCCTTCTGTGTTGGTGCCTCGATTTACTGCAACAACGCTATGATGGGTCCCTTCCAGAAGACTGGTCTCAACATTTATGACATCCGTGAAAAGTGTGATGACGAAGCAAGTCTCTGCTATCCCCAACTCAACGCAATTGAGGAGTACTTGAACCAAGCTGAGGTGCAACAGGCACTTGGTGTTGAGCCCACAGACTACAAGGGTTGCAACACGCAAATCAACATTGCATTCCTTTTCAAGGGTGACTGGATGCGCAGAGACTTCCGTGACGATGTTACGTTCCTCTTGGACTCTGGTTTCCCCGTTCTTATTTACGCTGGCGATGCTGACTTTATCTGCAACCACATGGGTAACGAAGCCTGGACCGATGAGCTGGACTGGTCGGGCCATTCTTCGTATGCTCCTTTGGAGTTGAAGCCTTGGAGTGTTTCGAACTCTACCGCTGGTTTGGGTAAGTCTTACAAGCAACTTACCTACCTTCGTGTCTTCGGTGCTGGTCACATGGTTCCCTTCAACCAACCCGAGGCTAGTCTTGCAATGCTCAACCAATGGTTGAGTGGTGAACTCGCTTTTTAAGCGATTTCCTTTTAGTTCCTCTTAATACTTGCTTCCTTTTCTTTGCTGTTTTCTCTTCTTTTACTGTTTCGTTGCGTCGTTCGGCGCAGAGCGCTCGTTCGTCAGCCATTGAGTCGTCTATACTCCGTTTTAGTTTAGTACATTAATGTTATTGCTGCGAACGCATGGAGGGAGAATTAGTCAGGAGTTGTGTATCATACTGCGAGCTTGGGTCTGGGGTATGGGGCCTGACGCAGTGGTCGCCGCGCATACACTTGCTGGGGTCTGCTTGGCTCTCGCTTCATGAATGAGATACTTCAGACTAAGGTAACAGCGTTGCGGTACTGTATCCCGGCTAACGAATCACAACGAGGACTATGTCTCCGCTTCACTACACCTCAGTAACCCGTGCTATCTGCCATACCGTAGCACGCAACACGAGTCTGTATTCTTTGATTCTTTTAACAAGTCAAAAAGTCTGATATCATTCATTACAAAAAAGGTCATTATAGCCTCATAAAAGTCGTTTAATCTTCATCCATGTGTTGCATAAATATGCGTTTGTGATGAGCTACACCGAGCTCAGTAAGAGCATCAATGTCGGCCTGCTCAAGTTTGAATTTTTCAAACTTCAAACACGTAGCCATGCGCTCACGCTTGCTCGAAGTTGTAATTGGCAACACGCCGAAAGACTTGCACCAATTGAGCAGGATTTCCGTGTCAGACACACCGTACTTCTTGGCTAATTCGCGGACTTTCTGAGCAGTAGGACCCTCAGAGTCACGAACTATCGGAGACAATGGTCCGTAACCTTCCACAATGATGTTGTTTTTCTTGCAGAAGTCCAAAATCGGTTTTGCAGCTTTGAAAACCTGAGGATGAAATTCAATTTGGTTGACACGAGGTTTGACGGCTGCAATGTGTAGCAATGGCTCTAAATCCTTAATACGGAAGTTAGAAACCCCGATTGCATGCACACGACCCTGTCCAAGCTCACTCTCGAGTTCCGACCAAGCTTTTTCAAATGACACATTCTTTTCGTAGAAGGGTAGAGGAGTGTGGAGAAGAAACAGGTCAAGATAATCAACACCAATGTTACGCAACGAGACTCCCAAGGCCTCGTGAATGTCGCCTATGTCATCAAACACTTTTGAAGTAATAAAAAGCTTTTCCCGAGGAATATCAATTTCTTTAAGAGCCATTCCCACTTCTTCCTCGTTACCGTACACTTGAGCACAGTCCAAATGACGGAAACCTGCTTCTACAGCAGTCTTTACAGACTCAATGACTTGAGGATTGAGGCCGGAATTTTTGTCCTTTTTGAACAATGCCGTACCGACGCCGTAAGCAGGATACGGAATTTCAGGTCCAAACGCAGCGATGAGCATAATGAATATAAATGTTGTTGGTAGAGGGTAGGAGGATGCAGAGCTGTCCAGAAAGGATATATCGGTGATGGCCGCTACGTAATGATGACATAAGCCCAACGAGGCAAGGATCGCTCAGGTCGGTGAGACTGTGTCTAGAGGATGTGGAATAACGGAACGCCGAAGACGGCGCGGATCTAGATGTGTAGAAGTGGTTTACTCCTTGACGTAACTGTTTTTCTCGGTGTCTGGGAGAAACGACAGTAGCACTTTCTTACTTAATGCTTAGCTTGGCATTAAGGTTTCCCCGTAATTGCTTGTATGAAGCTTAATGGAATTAAGCTTCATACAACGATTAAATGACATCATACAACACACAACGCGAAGCACTATTTATTGAAAAACATTACTACAGAAGAATGTATAGAGGCGTACAAGTATAGAAGAGAAGATAGAGAAGAAATAAAAGTAGTGTTCGCGAATAGAGAAAAGTAGAAACTCCTGAAGTGAACTCTCCCTTTTATTTTTTTTTAACAAAGCACGAAGTTGTACCTTTTCATTAAGCAATTTTGTCAAGAGCCTTAGTTGAAGTTAGTCTCGTGTTCAAAGGTGTCGCCAAACGTACTTCAATCATTATAACAGAGTTTCCGCGGATGGCGGCTGAGCCGATCGGTGCCTTTTCACCAGTGGATTTTTCTTCGTAAGCATCTTCGACAACAATGTTCAAAAAAATCTGTTGCCGATTAGCAAAAGCGAAAAAAGCCTTCTTCACTTCCGACTTGAAAGTTTGTTTCTCTGTATATCCACGTACATCGTATCCCCGTAAAACTCCGTAAACTTTTCGGGAACCATTCAACTGAACAAATACTTGTTTATCAAGATACTACAATAAAAAAAGGTTAAAAAATAGCACTTCTTACAGAATACGCTGGATTCCTTACCTTCTTCAAGTCAGGAGCCGCCGCTTTTGACATTTTGCTGTATTTTTCGAGTTTTGGTTTGGGAAGAGGTTGGACGCGTTTTCGGGCGCCATTTTGAAAAGTGCTAAAATTTAGCTTCTGTGGGGACTTCAACGTGATCACTTAAAATAGCTTAAAAGTGTTAAGAAATAAGCGTTGCGTATGTTTTATTAAGAATTATAGTACAAGCCGATAGAGCTTGATATTATCTAGTAACATTTAAATGTTTACTCTGTTCATAACGAAGGAAATTGCGGACACATGATGTTGCCAATACTGAGTTCCTTTTTCAGTTTTCACACAATAACTTTCCATTCCGGGTTCGGTCGGCGCCAAGAAAGTGCTGGGATACGAACGGCTTCATAGAACACGGGCTTCATTTTCTTAAGCGGATCGATGGTGCCACTCGTGGTGAGAATGATAAACTTCAGCTGGGCGCGCATAACTTTGAAGACATTAAATACGCGATAGCAAAAACGCTGCTTGCGGTTGTAAATCCCTTCTGTAGTTCGTACGGCCTCGGCTAAACGAAGAATAAGCTGATTGTATCGGTTTACGAGACTGGGCTGTTCTTCTTGGTATGCCTGCTGGACCTTCGGGTGTCGTATTACGCACATGATCATGCGGCCCAAACTAAATGCGGTTTGGTTTACGTGCTCATATAACAAGTAGTAGCGGTATCCAGTAAGATCGGTCGACTTCATTTTTTGTAACTTGCTGCGATGGAAGTAAACATCGGTGTATAGTGCAGCTAGCTGGTCGCGCACCCAGCACGGATGGAAATCAGGATGCGTCTCGAACATCTTGTCCACATATTGGGGGTCAGCAAACCCCTCGTCCAGGACTTCTTGCGCTACTTCAAGAATGCGTTCGTATACTTGAAGCAAATGGTACTTTACATATTCGTTGTGTGTTTTGAAACGACCATCTTTAGACTTGAAGAGTTTGTTCTTGAATGCGTTGCAAATGTTTGTCCAAGAGTATGCCATGACAACAGCGTAGAGAAATAGAAATTGTAAAGTGAACAATGCGGGATTAGATCGTGCGTATTAGGGTCGATGCGATGGTGATGCGTGTGCGAAGAAATGCTTAGATATCAGCACGAATTAAGACTTTCGATTTGTACAGCGGAATTCACCAAATGCGTAGTATAGGGAAAAGATGAGAACTCCATAGCATCACAGTCATATTTATAAGCTTGGTAGCGCGGAAGTGCTGTCATGTTTGAATAATTGACAAAAACCGGTGAGCCATTTTCCAGAAGAAATGTTCTCGAAAGTATACAAGGGACTTGGCGTACTTCGTAAACGTAAACAAAGGCAAGGGACGAGTGCGTACACGAGATTACAACGGTTGCTATTGGATTGCAACTGCACGATTCATCTAAATTGCGTCGTTCACGAAAATCATTTGTTGCGAAACTTTAAATGTATTAAGCGGGCGGCCCAAGACGTCACATGCGACATTTTCACCAAGAACGCGCATTGTTTTTGACGAACCAAGACACAGCAGCTGTTGTGGGAAAACGCCAAAAAGCCTTGTTGGTGTAAGACTCGAAGTACTGACAAAATGCAAAGGTCTCAAAAAAGACGGGAACCTGGTCCATTGCAAAAAATTCTTGCTGGTGTGACCGCTGGTGCATTTGAAGTGAGTATCACGTATCCTGCAGAATTCGCAAAGACGCGATTACAGCTGTACGAACGAGCAGAAGGGGCCGCAGCGAAGCTCCCGCCATTTGGATTGCAATGGTACCGAGGCTACACGTCACTATTCATTGGGAATGTGGTCAGAGCAGGATTTCGTTTTCTCGCGTTTGACGGTATTTTGAGATTGTTGAACCCACCAAATAGTCGACCAACAGGTCCACGAACCGTCGCTGCTGGCTTAGGTGCTGGAATCATTGAATCGGTATTTCTCATCACACCGTTTGAAGTCGTCAAAACCGCTGTAATTGATGACGGGAAACAAGTACCAAGCAAGCAACGACTTGGATCATTCATGCATGCCATTAAAACGATTTCCAGAGACGGGGGTCTAAAAGCATTGTATCGAGGTTTTGGACCCACAATTGTTCGCCAGGCAGGAAACTCTGCTATTCGGTTCAGCACATACACTGGTTTAAAGCAAGCTCTTCAAGGACATCTAACACCAGGTGAGAAGCTGAGTACCAAAACAACCATTTCCATTGGTTGCATCTCAGGTGCCGTTACCATTTTCTGCACACAACCCATTGATACGGTAAAAACTCGTATGCAATCGTGCAGTGCAAAATACAGATACAAAAACAGCATCCATTGCGCTTACAAACTGTACAAACAAGACGGGATTCGACAACTTTGGGCAGGAACGCTTCCACGACTTGTTCGGTTGACGCTGAGCGGAGGCATTGTCTTTGCAGTTTATGAAAAATGTGTTGATTTTTTTTAATGTGTTCAGCCTACACGCAACGGGTTAAGAAATAGTCCGGATGGTGTTTTAGTAGGTGCATTTCGTTCAAGGATGGCTTCAGTGGCGGTTTTATGGTTTCAAACCGCCATGCAAACATCGTGTTATTGGGTTAATCGCGGTTAAGTATATACAATGCAGAGACTGTTCTCATTAAACAAGTACTACCAAGCAAGCATTAGATGAAAGAGGAAAAAAGAAAAACGAGATAAACGATTGAAAGGACGAACGGGTGATACAAGGTTTACCAGTGGCTCAAATCCATAGACTAACCACTGAACATAACACTGCGGTGTGGAAGGGAGCGGGAAAGAAAGAACCAAAGGAGAATACTCAAGGAAACATAAGACGGACGGGGGAGAGGGTACTTAGCACATTAGCTGGTCATTTACAGCTCCTGACTGGGCTTGGTACGTCCTGATGTCTTGGGAAGCAAATGTTGGTGAATGTTAGGAACAACACCACCTTGGGCAATTGTGACATTGCCCAAGAGTTTGTTCAGCTCTTCGTCATTACGAATGGCGAGTTGAAGATGACGGGGAATGATACGAGTCTTCTTGTTATCACGAGCAGCATTACCGGCCAGCTCGAGAATTTCGGCAGCAAGGTACTCCAAAACAGCAGCCAAGTAGACGGGAGCACCAGCACCAACACGTTGAGCGTAATTTCCCTTACGAAGAAGACGATGGACACGACCGACGGGGAAGGCCAAACCAGCCTTGGCAGAACGAGATTGAGCGGACTTGGCGATAGCAGCCTTACCTCCAGATTTTCCTCCAGACATTATTAATGGGAATTAAAAGCTTAATGAGTTTTACACGATCGTTCAGCAACAATTGGGTGAGTTGTTGGTGGAAGGAGTGTTCGCTGCTATTTATTTATTTTCCGTGACAATTAGGGTTAGGGTTGTTGATGAATCATGGCGAAAGCAATCGCGAACCTTAAATAAATGGAACGCGTGTCGCGTCTAAGCGCGTCGGTCATTGATCGGACGCGACTATCGATGACGTGGGTTAAAGGGGTGGCAGGGGGTCAGGGTGAGGCAAGAAAGCAAGACGGTGGTGAATGCGTCGTAAGCTGCTGATGATACTGTCAATTTGAATATCGACTTGTTAATTTCGGCAGTATAGCAGAACTTGATTCTTCTGTTTTTTGTTTCTTTATTTTTCAGTATTAGATAGGAAATGAATTCACAGTGCGACAGCTGCATAATTGTATCTCCGTGTGAACTGCCGTAATCACTAATTTCATATTTAAGGGTCTGTTGAGGGGTTGCTAGCAAATTCGGGTTGTCGAGCAAATGAAACCAAAGTTGAATTCAAGTGCGTTCCTTGATTTGACTGTGTTAGTTGATACTTTTGTGCAGCTGGGAAGATGCATGCATATGATATACCTTTCCCACTTTGTGACAAATAGAAGAAAGGACATTGGCTCAAATTAAATATCAGTAAAAATAAATAAAATACATAAAAATAGAATGAAAAATACACGAAAATAGGATTAGAAAAAATAATCTTTAAGGTGAACGAATTTGTTAATGAAATTAAAATAAACTGGAATCAAATTTTTAAAATTTTGATTTAATAGAACAAAAAATATTGAAAAATATTAAAAAATTAAAAATAAAATTAAATTAGAAAATGCAGAAAAAAAAAAAGGGAAACAAACTTAATTCAGAGACAGTGTGCAGCTCACTCTGTCTTGCTTTTGGACAGCGTGAGTCTCAAAGATTCCTGCTCAGCAAGGTTCTTTCCTTCTACGGCTCCTACTCGCTTATTACTCTCGCTTAGCCGCCTAAATGTCGCCCCCACATACCCCCAGTATGACTGTTCTTCTGCTGGTGGTATTGTCTTCCTCTTCCGCCCACACCTACTTCTCCTCTACCAACCACTTTTGGCAGGAACACTGGTCAAGATGTCGGAAGTTTACGAAGGAGCTATTGGTATCGACTTGGGTACCACGTACTCTTGTGTGGCCGTCTGGGAGACCGCCAACGTTGAGATTATTCCCAACGACCAAGGTGCTCGTACTACCCCCTCTTTTGTCGCTTTCACCGACTCTGAGCGTCTCGTCGGTGATGCCGCTAAGAACCAAGCCGCTATGAACCCTCGTAACACTGTCTTCGACGCCAAGCGTCTTATCGGTCGCCGTTTCGACGACGCTGAGACCCAAAAGGATATCAAGCACTGGCCCTTCAAGGTCCTCGACAACAACGGTGTTCCCACCATTGAGGTCGAGTACTTGGGTGAGAAGAAGCAATTCACTCCCCAAGAGATCTCCGCTATGGTTTTGACCAAGATGAAGGAAATTGCTGAGGCCAAGTTGAACAAGAAGGTCGAGAAGGCTGTCATTACCGTCCCTGCCTACTTCTCTGACTCTCAACGTGCTGCTACCAAGGATGCTGGTGCCATTTCTGGTCTTAACGTCCTCCGTATCATCAACGAGCCCACTGCTGCCGCCATTGCCTACGGTTTGGACGCCAAGACCGAGGAGGCCAAGAACGTTTTGATTTTCGATCTTGGTGGTGGTACCTTCGATGTCTCCTTGTTGAAGATCCAAGGTGGTGTCTTCGAGGTTTTGGCTACCGCTGGTGACACTCACTTGGGTGGTGAAGATTTCGATGCTGCTCTTGTTGAGCACTTCATCCAAGAGTTCAAGCGCAAGAACAAGCTCGACATCTCTGAGGACCCCCGTGCCCTCCGTCGTCTCCGCTCCGCTTGTGAGCGTGCCAAGCGTGCCTTGTCCTCTGTCACTCAAACCACCATTGAGGTTGACTCTTTGTTCAACGGTGTTGACTTCTCTTCCAGCATCACCCGTGCCCGTTTCGAGGACATCAACGCTGCCACCTTCAAGAAGACCATTGACCCCGTCGCCAAGGTCCTGAAGGATGCTAAGGTCACCAAGGCCAACGTCCACGACATTGTCTTGGTCGGTGGTTCCACTCGTATTCCCAAGGTTCAAAAGCTCGTTTCCGACTTCTTTGACGGCCGTGCTCTTAACAAGTCCATCAACCCTGATGAGGCTGTTGCCTACGGTGCCGCTGTTCAAGCTGCCGTTTTGACCAACAAGGCTGACTCTGACAAGACTGCCGACCTTTTGTTGTTGGATGTCGTTCCCTTGTCTTTGGGTGTCGCCATGGAGGGCAACGTCTTCGGTGTTGTCTGCCCCCGTAACACTCCTATTCCCACCATCAAGAAGCGTACCTTCACCACTGTTGCCGACAACCAAACCACTGTCACCTTCCCCGTCTACCAAGGTGAGCGTGTCAACTGTGCTGAGAACGAGCCTCTTGGTGAGTTCCAACTCACTGGCATTCCCCCCATGCCCCGTGGCCAAGCCGAGCTTGAGGCCACCTTCGAGATCGATGTTAACGGTATCTTGAAGGTTACCGCTATGGAGAAGACCACTGGTCGCTCTGCTCACATTGAGATCACCAACTCTGTCGGTCACTTGTCTTCTACCAAGATCCAAGAGATGATTGAGAACGCTGAGAAGAACAAGCAACAAGACAAGGAGTTCGCCAAGAAGTTGGAGGCCAAGTCCCAATTGGAGGCCTACATCTCCAACATTGAGCAAACCATCTCCGAGCCCAACGTTATGATGAAGCTCAAGCGTGGTGACAAGGCCAAGATTGAGTCTCAACTCGCTGAGTGCATGTCTCAACTTGAGCTTGACGACGCCAACACTGATGCTTTGCGTAAGGCTGAGCTCCGTCTTAAGCGCTCTGTCCAAAAGGCTTTCGCTTCTATGCGTTAAAAGTTTCTTCTTTAATAGAGATATGTGATTCACAGTTTTGCTAGCTCAAATACTTGGAGTTTTGGTATACACATAAATTGTGAGGTTTGTTTAGGATTTAAAATGATTAAAGGTTGTCTTTACGATTGGGAGGGGTTTGAGGGAAGTGTGATGCGCTCTGCGGGCGAAAGCATTTCGTAAGTAGTTTTCATATTAGTAAGTTCGTTAGACATAGCAGTAGGGCTGCGATGGGTAATTGAAGTCTGGCATAAACGTTTCGGGTGCCTTGATAATTGACTGAGCCAGGTCCTTCGTCGCCTGCTCATTCCGCTCAGAAACTCGCTCCTGTCGCAGCTTTGATGTTCTCCATGATTCATGGCATCGTTTTACGAGCTGAAGAGTGTCTGCTTGATTCAAAAACTGGCCGTTTAAAGCGAAATGGTTTTTTGGCTTTCCATCCGGTACTTTGTAAATAGAGAACCATTTTTTAGTACTTTCGAGCAATCCCGGCATGTACCTCTTAGCATCTTGAATATCTAGTATGTTTAGTAATGACATTCATAGTTAACAAAGAACATGAAACCACAGTTGAACGACAACGTTCGTTAGCTTACCATTCATCTTCTCAGCTAGGGGATCTTGGGTATCAATGACAATAATTTTCCAATCGGTTTCTCCTTGATCAATGAGAGCCAATGCACCCAGCAGCTTAACTTGCTTGATTTGACCCGTTTTTCCTTTCGAGCCACCTATGTCGCAGACATCCAGAGGATCACCGTCTCCTACGAGGCCGGTGAATTGATCTCTTTCCTTTTGGTTTTCCCAACTTTGGGGAAAGACGCCATAATTCCATATGTAGCCATGGAATGGGAAACAGTTTGGAACGTATCTAATTTTATCATTCTTCATGTCATAACGTATTGGCTGAAGGGGATCATGGATAGCAATCTCACATTTTGCCTGCGTCCAACGGGGTATCTCAACAATCTGTACAATCATTAGAACATTGAACTATAGAGGGTGTGGAGTCCATTCTTAGTACCATGTTGAAAGTCTTCTCGTCCGAGGCAATAGGAACATCATGTAAATATGAAACAGGTTTCCCTTCCTTCATACAATAAACCCGGAATTCTGGCGTATGTAGCCTACCAATTGCTTTCAATTGGTATTTAAACAATGACCTGGCCAAGTTTGACATCTATGTATTATATTCGATCGTTAATTTACTGTCAGAGTCGTACAAACAAAAAACCGACTCGTAGAGGCAAAATAGTGGCGTCTTCGAAATGAACCTTGCGTTTGCGTAAGATACAGATCCAAGGTCGAAGAAGGCGTAAATGTATAACTAAAATTTGCTAAGTTGACCAAAATCTTTGAATCCGTTTTTATTACTGTTGTACCCCTGCATCCCAGACTTTGTGCAAAACAATATTTCTTCAATTCATCTATAAGAGTTTTTTCGAGCCTTAAATCAGTTTGCTGATGTACATACAACGTTCTTAAGGTATTTAATCGACATTTTATGTTGATTTGTCTGTTAATATTGACACTTGATTCAGTGACCCGTACATCATACATTCAAACCTTCCAAGCTTCTGTACGAAGTCTTAGGATTAATTATTAAACAAGCGTATTCATACCACGATTAACGGTCTTCTGTGTTTCACAATTCTGTCTTTTCTTTTTTATTATCATTTTCCCTTCCCTGACTTATAAAGTATGGCCATTAACGGCTTAGTCTGTCAAAGATGCCACTCATTCTTGAATGTCAAGACAAACGACAGCGAAGATTTATCAAAGTTGAAGTTACTGGCATCTCGGTATATCCAAGACAATGCTTATCCCTCAAGAAGAGACCATGAAGAGTCTGGTGAGACCTCGCCTTCTTCTGAAGCATTAGCTAAAACGGAGAAAGCAATGAAGGAAACCATTCAAGCCCGCATCAAGCAGGACAATTCTACAAATGGTGCCCTTACCCCAATTCTTGAGTCGTTCATTATGTTACCCAATGATGGAGAGGAACCTGAAGAGTTAGATGACACTGTTGCAAACAACCTTCTTAGTCGTAAGATGGAGATCTATAATTACATTTTTGATGTTTTGTCTGAGAAAACAAAAATTGAACACCCACTGTGCTCCGATTGTGCTGAACTTCTCACAGAGGAAATGGACAGACAGTTTGAGACAATGAAAGCTGAACAGGAGGTTTACACAGAATATCATAAGTTACTCTGTTCACGGACGGTGGATGACAATGCGTTGTTAGAGGCGAATGAGAAAATCCAAAAGGTATGTTTGTAACTTTCATTACTTCGTACTAATGTTGGCTCTAGATTCAGATAGAAATCGACGCGAAAGGAGCCGAAGTTGATGCCTTAAAGACAGAGGAGGAGAGCCTGTTACAACAGCTCAAGCAAGCAGAAGAAGAAGAAAGCCAACTCATTGAAGAAAATGCCGGTTTCTGGCAGGATTTCAATAATTCACAGCTCGAGTTAGCCAATCTCCAGCAGTCGAATGACAGTATCCACATGAGATTTGAAATGCTGTCAACCTCCATGGAGAATCTTCAAAAACTCAACATCTATAGTGACATATTCTACATCTCTCACTATGCAGAATCAGAAGATGATGGGTCCATTGCAACTATTAATGGACTGCGTCTCGGGAAGCTTCCTAGTCAGAGAGTACGTCTTAGCTGAAATGTCTGAACAAAGTCTAACAACACTACAGGTTTCATGGTCTGAAATTAATGCTGCCTGGGGAATGACTGTTCTTCTAATGCAGGTCTTAGCGGAAAAGCTACACTTTGTTTCTGAAAAGTTTGAATTAAAACCTTATGGCAGTCATTCCTACATATTAAAAAAGGAAGTAGATGCCTCTGGAAATATTAAGGCTGCTAAGTTGAATCTATTTTCTTCGGGTGAGCTAAAGCTTTTTATGCATCGGCGTTTTGATCAGGGCATGGTGGCATTTCTTGATTATATGAAACACATGGGTGAATTCTGTTCGCGAATTGACCCAGCAATGGAGCTTCCTTATGGAATTGAGCATGACAGGATTGGTGGGAAATGTATCCGTCTTGCTTTCAATCAAGACGAGACTTGGACAAAAGCATTGAAGTTTATGCTGACAAATGTAAAATTTATTGAAGCTTATGTTTCGTCACAAGACAAACAACAGCTTTTTTAAATGAATACGAAGAGGACGCACATCTGTTTATGAATGCCCAACGCAACTATTAACTTATTGTACAGACTATTAATTAACGAATGTAATAATATATATTAAGACAATTCATAGGTACTTGAGCCGTATTGTAATTCAATCGACATATCGAAAAAACGCATTTTGCTCTTATGTATATGTTACATTTGACAAACGTCCGACCCGTGCTATATTTTTTTCTTAACTGTACGCTTATAGGCCACTTGGACTGGACGTCTACCACCGTGAGCGAACTCTCTACCATCCTTCAACATGCCTAAAAAAGCGCTTGATTTGCGTATTCCGGCGCTCATTAAGAATGGTGTGCAAGTAAGTATTGCTTCTTGCAAATCTTTACTAAATTGTAGGTGAAACAACGGAGTTTTTTCGTGGTCGTCGGCGACAAGGCCAGAGATCAGGTTGTAAACTTGCATTGGCTTCTTTCTCAGTCAAAAGTAGCATCTAGACCAAGTGTCCTCTGGATGTACAAGAAGGACTTGTTGGGATTCACCAGGTTCGTTTTTTGATTAGGGGTATTACGGAAGACTAACCGTTCAGTCATCGCAAGAAGCGTGAAAATAAAATTAAAAAGGAAATCAAAAGAGGAATCCGTGATCCCAACACTGAAGACCCATTTGAATTGTTCTGTAGCATTACAAACATTCGTTACTGTTACTACAAAGAATCTGAGAAGATTCTCGGTACTACTTATGGAATGCTTGTTCTTCAGGATTTCGAAGCATTGACTCCCAACTTGCTTGCAAGAACAATTGAAACTGTTGAGGGAGGTGGTATTGTCGTGTTGCTGTTGAACAAAATGAATTCTTTGAAGCAACTGTATACCATGAGCATGGACATTCATTCTCGTTACAGAACAGAAGCACATAATGATGTTACTGCTCGTTTCAATGAGCGCTTCATTCTCTCTCTTGGCAAAAACCCTAATTGTCTTGTCGTAGACGACGAATTGAATGTTTTGCCCATTTCCGGAGGCAAAAATGTAAAAGCTTTACCTCCTGCACTTGAGGAAGAGGATCCGTCGAAGCAAAAAATATTAGAGCTGAAGGAGTCGTTAGAGGGTAACGAGTTGGCCAGCTCATTGGTTGGTATCACTAAGACGGTCGATCAAGCCAGAGCAATTCTCACTTTTATCGAGTCAATTGCTGAAAAGAGCCTGCGTGGTACAGTGTCTCTAACCGCTGGACGTGGTCGTGGTAAATCTGCCGCTTTGGGTTTGGCTATAGCCGCTGCTGTTGGTCATGGTTATTCCAACATCTTCATTACTTCTCCTTCGCCAGAAAACTTGAAGACTCTGTTTGAATTTGTCTTCAAGGGTTTCGATGCTTTAAAGTATGAAGAGCACATTGATTATGACATTATTCAATCCACGAATCCCGCCTTCAACAATGCCATTGTTCGCGTTAATATTTTCCGTGATCACCGCCAAACCATTCAGTACATTCGTCCTGAAGATGCTCATGTGTTAGGTCAGGCTGAACTTGTCATCATTGATGAGGCTGCTGCCATTCCCCTTCCTTTGGTTAAGAAGCTTATCGGTCCTTACCTTGTTTTCATGGCATCTACCATCAATGGTTATGAGGGTACCGGTCGTTCTTTGTCTTTGAAGCTCTTACAACAGCTTCGTGAGCAATCTCGGGCGTTTGTTGAAAAGTCCGGCAGTGAAGGCGCACCAGCTGGACTTGGCGGACGCAAATTGCGTGAAATTACCCTTGAAGAGCCCATTCGTTACGCTACAGGTGATCCAGTCGAGTCATGGCTTAACAAGCTTCTGTGTTTGGATGCCACGAGCGCTCCCAGCCGTTTGGCAAACCAAGGATTCCCTCACCCTTCTGAGTGTTCTCTTTACCGCGTTAGTCGGGACACTCTCTTTTCCTATCACCCTGTTTCGGAAGCATTCCTGCAACGTATGATGGCACTTTACGTCGCTAGTCACTATAAAAATTCGCCCAATGACCTGCAGTTGATGTCTGATGCTCCTGCCCATCAATTATATGTTTTACTCCCTCCTGTCAATCCTAAGAATCCTCAGCTCCCGGATCCTATTTGCGTTATTCAAATTGCGCTCGAAGGTGAGATCTCCCGCGAGTCCGTGTTGAACAGTTTAAGTCGTGGTCAAAGGGCCGGGGGTGATTTGATTCCTTGGCTTATTTCTCAGCAATTTCAAGACGAGAACTTTGCTTCTCTTGCGGGTGCACGAGTTGTCCGCATTGCGGTGGCCCCTGAGTACACTAAAATGGGTTATGGTACGCGAGCAATGGAGCTTCTTCACGACCATTTTGAGGGCAAGTTTATCAGCATGTCTGAAGACAATAAAAGAATTAAACTCCACGCCGACCGCGTGGACGATCACGATTTGGAGAGTAAGATTTTGCAAACAGAGAATCTTCAAGTTCGTGATCATCGCACTATGCCCCCTCTTCTTTTGAAGCTTTCTGAATTGCAGCCCGAGCCTCTCCATTACATGGGTGTTTCTTTCGGTATGACTTCTTCTCTTCTCAAATTCTGGAAGCGCGGCGGTTACTGTCCCCTCTACTTGCGTCAAACTGCCAATGATTTAACGGGAGAACACACTTGTGTTATGATACGTCCTTTGGAGGGACGGGAATCTGAATGGCTTGGCTATTTCTCACGTAACTTCTATCGTCGTTTCCTCAGCTTGTTGAGCTATCAATTCCGCGATTTTACTGCTATTACAGCATTGAGCATCTTGGATGCTTGCAACAACGGCACCAAGTTTGTTAAAAAGGAACCAGCAAAGTTAACTGAGTCTGAAGTTTCCACACTCTTTGAAACGTATGACATGAAGCGTTTGGAGGCCTATGCCAGTAATCTTTTGGATTACCACGTAATTGTTGACTTGTTGCCATGTGTTGCAGAGTTATACTTTAAAGATCGGTTTGCCGATACTGTGAAACTTTCTCCAGTGCAACAGTCTGTCTTGCTTGCTCTTGGTCTGCAGAGGAAGAACGTAGATGATTTGGAGAAGGAATTTAAATTGCCCTCCAATCAAGTTCTTGCTCTTCTCATTAAGTTGTTGCGCAAGGTGGTCAACCATCTTGATTCTGTCGAGGAGCAGGCCATTGAAGCAGAGATGAACGACTCATCTGCTCAACAAAAGCCAGAAAGCAAGGTGCCTGAATTCAAGCCTTTGCAACAAAATCTTGATGAGGAGCTCGAAGAAGGTGCAGATGAAGCTCTTTTGCAGCTTAGAGAAAAGCAGCGTGAACTGATTAATGCTGTCGACCTCGAAAAGTACTCCATTCGTGGAGATGAGAAACAGTGGTCTGCTGCTGAGAAGCAAATCAACAAAACCAGCGGCAAAGGTGCAACTGTCGTGAGCGTAAAGGGAGAAAAGCGCACAAAAGATCGTTCTGAAGGAACTAAGGATCGTGATTCAAAGCGCAGCTCTCATAAAAAGTTAAAGAAGTCTAGAAAGTAGGATGGTAGTTGTGGGTTATTGATTATTGCATTTCGTTTTTTTGGACTTTTGGATAGAAATATTTACAGTATTTCCACTGTGCTAATAGCCATTCCTTTAGTGGTTCTTGTTTTTCTGTAATTGACTTTGTTTAAATTTAAATTGTAATTGTGTCCTATAGAGTTATGGTTCAATGAATATGAAAACACATCTTTTCAAAGTTGCTCTGGGCAATGTTGTGCCTCCTTTGTTGGGATTTTATTACTTGATCTTCTATGTAAGAAATTCTTAGACTTACCAAATGCCAGGTGCATGAAGGACACTTCGCTAACAAATTAAAAATAAAGGCGCGTAATTATGGCAATTGATAGAGGAACAGATTTTGATCCTATTGTAATTCCTAGCTCTTCTCCATTTTACGAAAGGAAAGGCGTCAAAGGCAATTATGAAGTTCCGAATTCACCTGGTCATTCTTCTGTAATTGAAAATTCATCTCCTTTAAATGAAAACTTAGATGTCTTTATACAACGCATACCTAAAAAAGGTCATGTCTTGGCCTCAAAATCATTAAATACTACTGACGTTACTCATAAAAAACGAAATAGTTTTAACTGGGATAATTGCGATAAAGAAGAGAGCTACGAGATTCTCGACTTAACTGACGGTTCAACTAACAATCTTATTCAAGATGCATTAAAGAAGCAGAATGTTGTCTCCAACAGATCGAAGAAACTTGAGGATTTGGAATCTCGTTTCAAACATATCCCAAAAACTATCATCCAAGAAACATTAGAAAGTGTTCAATGGAATTCGAATGTTGCCATTCACAAGCTTACATTCTACAAACCTAAAAAAACAACTCCTTTAAAAACATCTGAAGCAGACATCTCCGTCGAAGACGTTTCAGAAACTCATATCCAAAGACCCAGTCGCCGAAAGCGTAGACGGAGGATTGCAACTTCTGATGATGATGAGGAAGAAGAAGAGGAAGAAGAGAAAAGTTCAATGCCTGCCAAGGTATCTCGTGCTAGTTCAAAACAGAACAATGTCAGTGTTCCTTCATCGAGTGAACAAAGTGAAGCCTCCGGCGTCGATGAAACGGTTGAAGAAGAGTCTGAATTTGATAAAAAGGTGCTCCACTTTCTTAATGCATGTAGTATTCAGGAACTCCTGGATCTGTCTGGTCTTCCACGAGAAGTCATCGAAAGTTTTATTGTGAAGCGACCGTTCAGTACTTTGGAACACGCAAGAAATGCAGAGAAAAAGAAAGCAAGAGGCAGACCATCTAAGCGTTCTGGGCCGAAAATTGGCCGACGCGTCGTGAATCGAACGTTTGAAGTGATGCTTAGCTTTGAGGCCGTTGACTCTTTAATTGCAAAGTGTGATCATTACAGTTCGTTAATTTCAAATACATTAAGAGGATGGCACACGGTCATGGATGAAGAAAAAATTGATTCTTTTCTCGAAAATCAAGAACGTATTGATTACAACTTCCGTGAAGAACAACCAGAACTTTTGGCGCCCAATATAATCCTAAAGCGTTACCAAGTAATCGGCGTGAATTGGTTAAACTTGATGTACCAGGAAAAACTTTCAGGCATTTTAGCGGACGAGATGGGTAAGCTAACTCATTGTAAATGTTTTAACGTATGAAATAGGTTTGGGAAAAACGTGTCAAGTAATTGCTTTTCTTGCACTTCTGAAAGAACAAGGCATCCATGGTCCGCACTTAATTGTGGTTCCTGCTTCCACAGTAGACAATTGGCTTCGAGAATTTCAGAAGTTCAGTCCTTCTCTTCATGTTGAGCAATATGGAGGATCTCAGGCTGAACGTATGGAGAAGCGATATTACCTAGTCGAGACACAGTACGACGTCCTCGTTACAACATATCAGCTTGCATCAAGCAGTAAGCAAGATCGTTCTTTTTTACGGCACCAAAAATTTAATGTATTTCAGTTGAGAGTCGATGATATTTCCTATGCTAACTCTTTTAGGTTTGTGTTTTTGATGAAGGACATTACCTAAAGAATCGTTTATCGGAAAGATACAAGCAGTTAATGAGTATTCCTGCTATCTTTCGACTATTGATCACAGGAACCCCACTGCAAAACAATTTGAATGAATTGATGGTATGTTCAATGTCCGGATCACATGCTTACGCTCCAGTCTTTGCTTGCCTTTATCTTACCAAATGTCTTTGACAATAATATGCAAGGACTCGATCTCATTTACAAAATAAAACCAGCCGCGGACGCATCACTCGAGCGTGCAGTGATGTCTCAAGAAAGAATTTCACGTGCTAAGACTATGATGAATCCATTTGTTCTTCGTAGAAGAAAAGCAGATGTATTCAGTGAACTTCCGGAGAAATCACGTTTTGTTGAAAAGTGTGAAATGGTCTCCACCCAGAAAAAGGTTTACCAAGCGATACTGGATTCACGCAACAATCCAGAGTCAAGTAGAGACAACATACTTATGCAACTTCGAAAAGCTGCTAATCACCATCTACTGTTGCGCTTTCACTATAACGATTCGCTTCTTCGGCGCATGGCGAAACAAATCATGAGGGTATTTTAGACAGCTAACGCGCGATTCAAACACGACACATTACTAAAACTTTACTATAGGAAGACGTGTATGCTGACGCAAACGAGCAATACATATTCGAGGACATGCAGGTCATGTCTGATTTCGAGCTGCACCAGCTTTGTGTTCGTTTCCCTTCAATAAAAAGGTTTGCTTTAGAAGGGACACCTTGGATGCAGACAGCCAAGGTTCTGCGGTTACAAAAGTTGCTAAACGAGTTCAAAAAGGATGATCGTATACTTGTGTTTAGTCAGTTTACACAAGTACTTGATATCCTCGAGTTTGCCTTAAAATCCATGGATGTCAAGTACCTACGCATGGATGGCAGCACACCGGTTGAAACTCGTCAGGGTCTTATTGACATGTTCTCAACAAAACCAAAATACAAGTTGTTTCTTTTGTCCACAAAAGCAGGTGGTTTTGGTATTAATCTTACAGCTGCTAATGTGGTCATTATGTACGATTGTTCCTTCAACCCGTTTGATGATTTACAAGCGGAAGACAGAGCTCATAGAGTTGGGCAAACACGACCAGTATCCATTTACAGACTGGTGACGGAAAATACCATAGACGTATGTGTTGTCTTTTTGAAAGACTGATTAAAAGGAGCATTTACTAACAATCGTTGAACAGGAAAACATACAAAAACTTGCATTCGCTAAACTTGCGTTAGAGTCTAGCATGGTCACCAATACCGAAGAAATCCAAAAAGAGCTCTGCAAAGAAATCTTCGATACCGGTGACAAAAATAAATAGTTTGAGCTAACGAATACACACAACCTATACAATTGCCATTGAGTAATTTTATGCCGACATTGTTAAAACTGTGAGTTTATTAGACACTAAAGAACGGACTCGGTATTTAATGGTGATAAAAACAAAACGACCTGCAGCGTAAACCATTCACTTTCATGGAACACCAGTCAGCAACGCTTGTCGTAGAAATCAAAAGAAAAACAATTATATGAAAATGAGAAAGAACAGTCATGAAACCTGAAGACAGTGCGACGACACAGGACAAAACAATGTAACAGCACAGAACGTCCTTAAACCAGCAACGGGGGAAGTGATTGTCAAGCGCCGCACGCCTTATCTGCTCATTAACTCTATGGACAGGGAAAGAGGATTACACCTTTTTAGCAACAATGTACGGACACCTCCCGAAGCATCCGTGCTTTTTTCATTCCTTCCACTCATCAACTCTGTGTCAAATTTTAGATAGCAGCTGGAGTAACGCTGGTACCGCTGCTGCCACCGGCGGTTTCGGGAAGAGCTGGAGCAATGGGTCTGTTGCTTTCGGCAAAGACACGAGTCAAAGCGATACCGGCACCCTCGATTACGGCCAGAACACAGGCACAGCCAATAGCACCATTTCTCGTGGCTCTCCAACCACCACGAACGGCTAAAGCACCACCGGTAAAGAAACCAGCAATGATGGCATTCCAAGGATCTTCCTTACGGCGAACACCCTTGACAGCACAGTCAAATGTACTGAAGAGACCACCCCAAACACCGAAGTTACCTCCTAAAACAGGAGCACGGGCCTTGGCAGCTGCAATTGCTGAGAATCGTTTTTCACCCTAAGTTCGTTAGTATGATTCGGAAATGAAGAAAGCAGAACGGGAATTGAGTAACGGGGACATGCTCGGAAGGAAGAGGAACACACGTAAAACAGCTCTCTTTAGACTACAGCGTGACCACTAATGCAAGACCATAAGAAAACTTGGAACTTTTTCTCTGGTATCAGAAAAAAGTCCCAAATTCATCTCATGGAACCATTTCAAGCGCCAAAACGTGCTTTTTTATATCCAAACAAACAAGAAACACAATATACACCCAACTTCGGCGAGCTGCCGTTCTCTTTTTTTTTTTTTTTTTGCTTACCGGTGGACTATTTCTCCAACCTTTAATGGAATGCCAGATGGCACCACCGATGGCACCCATGGTGAAAGCACCGCCAAAATCATTCAGAATAACATAAGGACATGGATCCCGCGAGTGATCTGCCTGCGACATGTTGCACTGTCAAATGAAGGAAGTGAGGCCTGCACTGTTCAGAATCTGGTGGTGGTCTTTAGCTGTTGTATCAGTGGGATCAGCTAGGTGGGATGCGTCGACCGAAGTGGGATACTGCCGAAATTGGTGGTGATAACAGGTGGGATGCGATGGGGGTTAGTGGGATATTTGCGGGGGTGTCTTTTACAAAAATGCTATGTTATAGACAGGGAAATGGCAGTAATAACTAGAGTAACAGAATCACAGAAATACAATTGTAGTGTCGAATGTTACACTTGGATCCCTCCCTTGTTCTTGTTCTTGTTCTTTGGTTGATTAGACTGTTTCAGAATTTTATTTACATACTCGATGCTGTTCTGTTTGTGAAGATGGTCGTTACAGGTATTTCGCTTGATAAATAAAACTGATGAATCAACGTTTCACTGGCAAATTAATTTCCTCGGCAGCATCTACAAAACTCAAATCTTCAGGCAGGTTATGAGGCAGACCCTCCTTGTCAAGGAATGCATCATTGTAAAGTTTGGATGAGTGACGATGGCCGGGATCACAGAAAATAGTAACGATTCGGTGACCGGGTCCCAGCTTCTTGGCAATCTTTACTGCGGCAACACAGTTCAAAGCAGAAGAACTGCCAACGAAAAGACCATCGTTGTGCACTAACCAACGGGACATTTGCACGGCCTGTGCATCTGTAATGCGATAAGCCCAATCAATCAATGGTTCAGCGATGGAGAAGTTGCGTGTCATTCTGTTCAATCCAATACCTTCCACAATCGTATCCACTTGTTTACGACGACGTGTACCTTCCTTTTCACGGATATCAAACATAACGCCATTGACAATCTTGTTGTACAGACCACTTCCTGGTGGATCAGACAGGCAGACAAGGATATTACGGTTCTTTTCTTTGAGGAATCGAGACGTTCCAGCAATTGTACCACCCGTGCCAGAACCAGTAACAAAAGCATCGACTCTTCCTGCACACTGGCGCCAGATTTCGGGACCTGTCGTCTCGTAGTGAGCACGCCAGTTGGCAAGGTTTTCGAATTGGTTAGCAAAGTAACCTTTGTTGGGCGTGTTCACATCATCTGTCAACTCCTTTGCCTTGTCACGGGCAATATTGACAAAGTTCTTACGATCCATAATGGGAGCCGGGGGAACACGATGAACATCTGCGCCCAACATGGAGAGCATGTCACTTTTCTCCTGGGCCTGATCGTTTGGCATGTAAATACGTGTTTCATAGCCCAGAGAACGACCGAGCATGGCAAATGAAATGCCTGTTGAACCTGATGTTCCTTCAAAAACCACATCACCCTGTTTCGGCCGTAGCAATCCACGCTCTTCTGCGTCCTTCAGTATAAAAAGAGCAACACGATCCTTAGCAGAGTTCCCCGGGTTCAAGTGTTCTGCCTTGGCAAGAATATCACAGCCTGTGGCCTCTGACAAACTCTTGATTCGTACTAATTTGGTATTGCCAATCAAACCCTCGACACCGTTTACGATGTCTTCTTCGTCCACATCATCCTTCTTGTGTGTGCTTATGTGTTTCTTTGGACGGATTCGAGATACAATTGCCCAAACGCAGCAACCCGTAAGTGCACCGTAAACAAATCCTTGTACGAAGTGTTTCGCTTGCAACGGCATGCTGACAATATGAAGGACGTTTTATCGGTCCCAAAAAGACGTTATAAACGTGTTAGTGTACCCAAAAACGAGAATTTCACTGACAGTTTCTAAACTGTCTTTCTGTAAGTATAAACAAGCGAGGGCGAAAATTTAAGAAGCAAATTGAGGAAGTCAAACGCTTCATTTGAATGGTCAATCTTTAGTAAGAGGGAGAGAGGACAACGGTAATTCTAGACAGGTAGTCAAAATAAAGCATTTATTTGTATCACAATGGTTTGAAAGTTGTGAGAATGAGCCGAGTAGAGCGGGAAAGGATTCATACAGGCGAAACGAAAACGAATCAAAGCACCACCTGATGCATAGATCACCCTACACATTGAATCGTTTATATGTGTTGTCGAGATTTTAAAGAAAACACTGTTTAAAAGTCAAAATGCTAGACCAAAACAGTACATTGCACTTAACCGTACATTCTGAATTCATCCCATAGTTGTTCATATAATTAATTTTAATAAAGGCATTGCTTGTTTCATATATGGTTTTTTTTTTTTATAAGATTGTAGGAAACCTCCATTTTTAAACCAGTGTTTAGTCATTAGGCATCATTTAAAACAAAAAAGTCAAGACCCATACATTGTGATTAGCCTGAAATTCATCTGCAACTCCTTTAGTAAACCAAAGTAGTACTATAATATTGATTTGGATATGCAGTTTAAAGCGGTGTTCATTTAAGGAGCCAAACGAACGAGCTCATACTCCTTGTCGATACTTTCACGACGGAAGGAGAAGCGGTCATGAAGACGGAACTTTCCACCTTGCCAGAATTCAATTTCCAAGGGCACAATACGGATGCCACCCCAAAACTCGGGCACAGGAACAGGCTTTACCTCGTCCTCACCAAACTTTTTCGTATACTCGGCAACTCTATCCTCAAGCTCCTTTCTGTCCTTAATTACGTCTGACTGAGGAGAAGCCCAGGCACCGATTCTTGAACCACGAGGACGAGTCTGGAAATACTCATTTGACTCTTCACGAGTCAGGTACTCAATTGCACCTTCCACACGCACTTGACGCTGCAGAGGCTCCCACCAGAACGACAATGAAGCATGGGGGTTTGTCTTTAAGTCCTTGGCTTTCTTAGATGTGCCCAAATTGGTGAACACGACAAATCCACGATGATCCAGTTCCTTCAGCAGAACGAGTCGAGAAGAGACTCTGCCAGATGGTAAACGAGCTGTAGACAAGGTTGTTGATTCTGGAGCCTTAATATCCTGGTTCTGAACCGCATCACGGAACCATTCGTTAAACAGCAGCAAAGGGTCCTTGTTAACCAGGTCTTCTCTATGAAGACTTCCTCTAGTGTATTGATATCTCTCCGGTGCAAAAATCAGTTTTTCCTTAGTATCCTTTGACATTTCGTAAATTGGGTTTTTGAAAGGTAAGATGTGATGGAAACGGGTCTTATAAGCAAAGATACTAATCAACAAAATCAGAAGCTTCTAGCAGATAAAGATTATAAATATGGAAACTCCACATTATTCGAGATGTTTGTTATTTATAGAGTATCTTTTCAATGTTTTACAAAAGGAAAAGGCTCGGAGCCGCAATTGAATAAAATCACATTTCGAGTTTCTTTTAACATTCTTACTGCAGAAACTCGGCACGCCATGCTTATTCATTTGCAGAAAAAAGGACACCTATTGAGGTTAAAGGGAAGAATATGATTGAATGCATTCAAAACTAAAAACAGAATGGACCAGGTAAAAAAAGAGCGACCCTTCATTACAAAGATAGATAATAATAATGAGATATAAATAAGGTTTTATATTATTCCCTAATTCGATTGTACTGCTGCCTTGGTGTATTAGGCTTTCTTTCCTTGCCATGGAATACTCCAGCGGCAGCAGAGTTCGGGGAACCTTGCTTTTTATGAGAGGGGGAATGTTTGGTAAAAAGAGGATTGTTGTGTTGAAGATATGTATCAACTAGAGACGAAATCTTGTTAACAACAGGTCCCGGGTAACGTTTCCGTTTGAGTTGAGAGACAACTTCAAGCGCTTCCATCGCCTTGTCAAAGTATAAATATGCACGCACCATGTTTTCATACGTGCTTGGTTCTTTGCGCGTCGTTCCACGTGTTTCTAAAAGATCAAAGTAAAACCTAGCCCTTTCCAAATTGCCGACTTTGGAAAACCCCTTAATAAGAGCATTCACAATGTATGCATTCAGTTTGACACCAAATTTCTCCATGTCCTTGACAACGCTAATCGCGTTGTCTAGTTGCTCGTTTTCAACCAATGACTCGATTTGTGATTGGAAAAAATTGGCATCCAACACGAGTTCCTTCGCACGAGCCTTCTCAAGCGCTTCGTTATAGCACTCCGTAGCTGCCTTGATATCAGAAAGTACAATACCCTGGATGTGAATGCAGGCAGAGTAATGCATAGCAAGTACGGGGGTATTCAAACGACGCATCAGTTCAAAAATAGTCCCAACAGATGCGATGTCAATCGGCTTCAAAGTGCCATAGGCGTCCATGAGCAACTTGAACGTATGAGAAGAAGGTTTAATCCCAGCAATACAAAGTCTGTTATGGTATTGCAAAGCCTTGGCTCTGCTAAACATTGTTTGTACCTCGAACTGAATCATTGTGTTGTAAGGAGCAACACGAGGTTGATAGTTGGGCTGCTTCTCCATCTCTATGAACATGTTTTCAGCAAGTCGCTCATCGCCAACACGACAAGCAGCATTGATAACTGTTCCATAGGTGACGCTCGTTGGAACCAAACCACGGTCCTTCATTTCGTGAAAAAGTTTCATGCACTCTACCGTTCGCCTAGCCCGACCCAGCTTAGACAGAACAGCATTGTAAAGAAAGACAGAGGGCCGAACGTTGGAAACTTTTGTTTCCTCAAAAATTGCCAATGCCGTCGAGGCATCATCAGTATCACCTTTCCGGGATGAGTTGTTAATGAGATGGGCAAAAGTCGATGCACGCGGTACGTAACCAAGTTCACGCATCTCTTGACGATAAGTGTTACTCATATGGAAATCACGAGCAATTGAAGAAGCGAGGACCATGCTATCCAGCACAAGAGCCAAGAACCAATTCGCTTTCTCAAGGCTACTCGATTTCATAAGCCGAAACAAGGCCTTTGTGTGTTGGAACACTTTCTGAACTGCATCAAACCGTTTGTTTTTACTCAAAACAGAAATCAACAATGGATACACCTCAGGATGCAGATACGTGCCGGTTTCCATTAGCTTTCCGAAATTGAACAGCAACATATTAATGTCCACCTGTTGAAAAGGAGAGTTGGTTAACATTTTCAGAATGGCCGAGTTTGCTTCTTGATTAACAACATCCAAACCATCAACATCATGGCACACCTGCGAGATATCTGCAAGAATTCTACCACCGCCCGAGTCCGTTGAGAAGCCTGTTGAAACTTCAGTAAATACAGCAGCCCTAACTTTCCTCACAAAGTCGTCATCTTTTTCAAGATAGCTAAGTGAACGAAAAACGATATAAACGTTGGTAAATGGCAAGGGGCGACCATGCTTCATGAAACACTCTAGTAACAAAAGCAAATCATTAACCAATCCATCCGAACCTTCTGTCTGAACCACAATGAATGCAGTGTATTCTAAACAAAATGCAAACATCCTTGGTGACAAAAAGCTAGAATAATCGGATTGTTTAGCAAGGTGGTATATTACTGTACGCAACAAGTGGACATTAAAGCTTAGTAATAAAAACCCTCGTTGTGTCTGTAGGATAGATAACAAATGAAGGCAAACATTAGGATCTTTACGTAGATTCGAGTCCAAGGCCTCCCAAAAATCGTTGAAGACACAAGGAATGAGCATAAACAAGTAAGCCGGAAATTGATTCGTATCAAAACGGTCACGCGGATCCACATGCTTCCGCAACAAGCGAAGGGCGACAGCCAAATGTCCAGACGATATTAAGGCCTTGTACACATTGGCAAATGTGTGATTTGTCCATGAAGACACTGAGCGGATTAGTGGAGGAGCATGCAAACGCAAAACATCAACTCGTTGTTCCACAGCTAACAATTCCAAGTATCGCAAGAGCGCAACATATTGGCCCGAAAATTTGGCCAATGAGTAAGTTCGCACAAACACTATAGCAAAATCAACATCCCCATTCGAACAAGCGGAGGAGAGAATATCGTCCAAAACATTCGCAGTGACGACGAACTTTGGCGACCGCTCTAAGGCCTTAAGCCATGAGAAGGCTTCCTTATAGCAGCCTTTCTTTGCTAAATGTGACAAGAACAACATAGACAATTCCACGGGAATTAAACCAACACCATGGCCGGTAAGAATCGTTTCCATAACAGACACGGCATCACTAATGCAATCATTGTAAAAGTAAGCTTCTAACAAAGCTTTTAGAACACCGACGCTAGCATTGGGATGTGTAAACATTCGGTTAGCGAGATTAAACCGATGCATCAGCTGAATACACTTTTCGAGCTTTCCCAATTTTCCAAAACACTGGATTAAAACAGGGACAAGAGTTGACGAAGATTCCGAGCTGAAAACATTTGGTTTAAGATTTTCCATGAGGAAAGTGAGTTGAACATCGGCACCATAAGTGCAAACAGTGCTCAACATTTGGTTGTAAAATGACGAGCTGTACGAAATGTTCTCAGCACTCATGATGCTTGAGGTATAAATAAATACTGCTGTTTCCAAAGGGATTTCAGAGCGCAAGCTAGTGATCTTCGACTGAAGATCTTGGGTAACACATTTTGCGCTGTACTTGACTCTGCTCTCTAAGGATTCAATCTCCTTAGTGACATAATCCGCACGACGACAAAGAGCTAGAATAATACTTTCGTAGGAAAGTACGTCTGGCTCCAATCCAACCTTCAGCATGTCCATATACACTCCCAACAAATTTTGAATGGCAGACGAGGAGGCATGTGCGTTTTCATCATTTGCCATAATGCTAAGCACAGTGTTATAAACATTAAGATCAAATGTTAAACCATCTTCCACAGCTTTGCTGTAAAGATCGAATACGTGAATCGTGAGACGACCTTTTACAAGTCTATGCAAGAGAGAAAGAAATTCGTTGTTGTTAGAAAACGCATAATTCATCTTCGAAAATTCGCCGGTTTCGACAAGTTTTTGAATCGGACTGCCAGAACTCGAACCATGGTAGAAAGAACCCAAATTTGAGCTTTCTTCCTGATCCTGCAAAACAGAAAGTGCAGACATGGGTCCAGCATTGAACTGCAAATTATCATAACTATGCTTTAAAGAAGCTAGTTGAGAACCTCCATAACCCAGCGAAGGAGCTCGAGGAAGATCCTCGTATGTCGAAAAGACTGGCGTTAAGGGAGTGCTGCTTTGACCGTAAAGCATTTGATTGAACCCAGAACCCAGAGCTGGGATTGGTGACGGAGCTTCGTCACTTTTCAACGAAGGTCTAGAATAGCCTCCTCCATTGAGAAATGGCGAGTTCACGTATTCAAGTAAAGAGTTTTTTTTGGAAGCCATTGTTGATATAGCCGGACAGGAAGTATTAAGATGGGTGATTGTGAAAAGAAAACGTAAGGGAAATAATAAAGGGAAAAGAAAATAGATAAACCAGAATCCAAAGACGACACACCAAGTTCCAAAACCGAAGTACCCGTGTAGAGAGAGAGAGAGAGAGTGAGTGAGTGAGTGAGCGAAAGAAAGGGAGAAAAAAGAGAGTCTACTGATATAGTAAACTCATGAGCTGAGTGTTACAGAGCTTTCCTAACGAATTAGCAAACCAAAATGCAAATTGTATCCAAGGAAAAGCCTTATGCCGTGAAATTAAGAAGTCGAAACCCACTGACCACAGTCTAATTCGAGTGGTAATGTTGCAATTTCCACCTCACTCTATTTACAGCCTTATTGAGAAACAGTCCCCCGTTATGGAACGTTTCTTGCTTTTTTTTGTTTTTTTTTGTCTTCTTTATTCGCTTCTTTGCCTTTCACTTTGCGGCAAAAAAACAGACCTTCCCGACACTGAAATGACACGTTACCGAGTAAAAGTACGAAGTTATAACTATCTCCAGCAGCTTATCTCGGCCTTCAAAACTTCAGTGGTTAATTTAAAGGGATAATATTCCTACCCTTTACGAAGAAAGACAACTCCTTATCGCAAACTTGGTCCAAACTACTTAACCTGAAACCAAGAGCGGAACCAACAGATCAAGCTGAAAACTAATCAAATAATGATCTAACAGCTGTTTAAGTAACAGAATTCGCACAAAATCGAGAGGAATTCGATCTTGTATGTTACTCGAAGCCGCTTGTTGTTGGTTGGTAAAAGCTGGGACACCACGCACCCTCCGAAGCTTATTATACTCTGAGATCCTTACTAATACACGTCACGTGTCGGTTAAAAAATAAGCTTACTTAGGAATACCGGTTAGAACGACGTACGGGAAATGGAGAAGATGGAACAGAAAACAAGAACAGAGTACAAAGCACAAAACGAATTGATCTGTTAGCCTAAATTTCAAGAAATCTTTGGGAAAAGAATGGTACAGCTGAGAGGTGGGAGTGGAAAATGAAAAGTACCATGAAAGATTCCCTCACAAGCGTCTCGGATTGTTCGTTTTTTCATTAATTCTTCTTAATGCAAACAATTTCTCTTTTTACTATCTTTTTTTTCGATTAATTCATAACGTCCAACCGTGCATTTCTCTGCCGCTATTTGTTTCGACGCGTCGCGTGTTACGCGACATCATTTAACCTTAATACATCAAGAGCCGACAGGAACAAGACTTACCTTCTCCGATCCTGACCGTTCGTCCTAACCGTTCTCACTCTTTTTCAAATTCACTGAACGACCCTTACTTGTCTTAGTTATATGTCGATTTGTTAAGAAGACAACTTGGTTGCAATGGTTCATGTTCAATTAGGTTTATTTTCGCAATTGCTAGCATACGCAGCTTTCGGTCTTTTTTTCCAAGGAACATATGCTTTGGAGAAGCCTTGGAAGGTTTGTCCACTTTTTGTTGATTTTTCCGGTCAATTGCAGCATGCTTTAGAACATTAAGACTAACTATTCAGGCATGCCCAAACTACAAGGTATTTTCGGAAAAAAGACACTTTCCAGCTGAAGGTAGGGTTGACTTCTTTTAAATCTTAGCTGACACTTCGTCCAGGTTCTTTAAAGTTGCCGTTGCAAAGACCTGTTCACGCTTGTAGAACATTCCACTCAGATGTTGTGGAAAACAAAATCCTTGAAGTGAAAGACGCACTTGGTGATACTGATTTGGCTCGTTTGTTCGAGAACTGTTTCCCCAACACCCTTGATACGACGATTCGTTGGCACTCGCCCGAGAAAGATGATCCGCAGACGCTGGTTATTACGGGCGACATTCCTGCAGAATGGTTGCGTGACTCTGCTCATCAGCTTGCACCTTACCATGCTTTGGCACCGAAGGACAAGCAACTGGCGATGCTGCTTCTAGGTGCCATCCAAACACAGTCTGAAATGATTATCCAATTTCCTTACTGCAATGCCTTCCAACCCCCCAAGAAAAGTTATATTCATGGCGAAGACAATGGCCAAAGCGACGTTGTTACCCCTTCGTACGATCCGCTGGTCGTCTTCGAATGTAAATACGAGCTCGATTCACTCGCTTCCTTCTTACGACTTTCCTACAAGTACTGGAAGGCTACTTCAGATAACCGTATATTTACCACAAAATGGCTTGCAGCCGTAGAAGTCATATATACGGTACTCGAACAGCAGTCCATTTCGACGTTCAATGAAGAAACCGGCCTGCCCAGAAACCCTGTCTACTCCTTCCGCAGAAGAACTGACGCGGGAACGGAAACCCTTGCACTGTCTGGACGAGGATTCCCTGTCCAAGGAAATGGCACACTTATCCGCAGTGCTTTTCGACCCTCAGATGACGCCTGCACGCTTCAATATCTCATTCCTTCAAACGCAATGATGGCCGTGGAACTGGGACATCTTCAGGAGATGCTCTCGGCTAATGGCAAGCATTCTCTTGCTCAAGCTGCACAGTCTTGGACGAAGAAAATCCGCGAAGGCATTGAGAAGTATGGCATCGTCGAACATCCAGTGTTCGGACGTGTGTATGCCTACGAGGTAGATGCGTACGGAAGCGCAATCTTTATGGACGATGCTAATATCCCTTCGCTTTTGTCGCTCCCCTACTTGGGGTTCGTAGAGCGCGACGATTCTGTTTACCTCAACACACGCAAAATGGTTCTCTCCCCACAAGGAAACCCTTTCTTCCTGAAGGGCCGCCTGATTCAGGGCATCGGCGGTCCGCATGTGGGTCTGCGCAATGTATGGCCAATGAGTCTTATGATTCAAGCCATTACATCTGACAACGACACTGAAATTTCAGAACTGCTGAACATTATCAAGCGCTCTACCAATGGTCTTGGCCTTATGCACGAGACCGTCGACGTAAGCAACTTTTCTCTCTACACCCGGCCATGGTTCTCTTGGGCGAACTCTTTGTTTTCAGAGCTCATCATGGACCTGCTTGAGCGAAAGCCTCATCTTGTCAAGAAGAAGTCTGCCTAAGAACACTGAATGAAAGCTGCCGTAAGGAAACAGCGACCTGTTTTCCATTTCGTTGGTGCTACAGATGCTATTTCTAATGTGCTGACCCACAGTACTTTACAATATCGACAGATTGCCCTTGTAATTACTCACCAACGACAGTAAATAACCTCCTTAAGTCATCGTTTGACATCACTTTCGCTCAAAGTTCCGACTCCTTCTTTTTCACAATTGGCTACCCCTTGGCAAGAATTTTCCCCATTGACATCCAAGCGTTGGAGAGAATTACAATAAGGGCTATTTTTCCGTAAGAGCACTACTACAGACGCCCTGTAAGTTTGTCATGACTGTAGTAACGGACAAGGCATCCCGTTTGCTGCTCAAAGTCGAGGCCAAACAGCAATCCGCTGTGCACGAAAATGTTGCACACCTTCTTCCATGCCACATTGATTTCGACGGACAAGCGCCCGTAAATGAGTACTTTACGGTTGAACAAGATGAGGCTTGCAAAGAAAACGCTGTGGCCTATCTTCGCGGACGCGAGTTATGTGGAACAGAACTTGCATTGCCTCAAGGTTACCAAGGCTACCTGGTGCAGTCATCCTCAACGAAGCCGGAACCGGATGCTATGTCGACGAAGCGAGAACAGGGCTCGGATGACGAAGAAGAGGAGCTTGTTCCTACATCACTTGCAGCCTCTCACATTTTCGATAAAGTCTTCTACTGGGAGCAAGACCTTCAACCGCAACTGAGCAAAGACAAATGGTATCGCGGAATTCAGGAATGGACCGTATTTGCCGAAAAGGTTTGTGAGCTTTCGTATCCCTGTGAATGTGAACTAACTAATTTTTAGCTTGCTGACTAAAGAACTGCACAAAGGGGTGATTTACATGTTCCGCCGTGAAATCCGTCTACTATATTAACAGCGGCTACCGCATTGTGTCTTGTGGACTTTCTTTCTTATGCAACTCGAATCCTTTGTTTTATTGAAATCGAAGAAAAGAGGTAAAGGAGCATGAGAAATGTTTCTTTCGAGAACACGTCTCTATACCATCTGTATATTACACTCTACGTTTCTTTTACTGTTTTATAGTTTTGCTGCGTTTACCTTACCAAGCCTACTTGGACGTTCTTGCCGTAGAGAACGCTCGTTCAGCTTATTTTCTCTTCTACTAAATGATACATATAGTCTTAAGGAATTACTACCTGAGTTACTTGTTCTGCCGGAGAACGGACGTCCGTCGCCAGCCAATGCATGCGAGTCCGTTCTCCGTACGTCCCCATCAATATATCCTCTGTAATGAATCTCTTCGTGTGTAACAGTCTTCCACATTCTTATTTATCCTATAGACCCCTTGGTTGTTATTTTGGTGAGCTGAAGTACGTTTTTCTCCATGCGATTCAACACTTCCCCACTACCATATCCCAAACACTTTGACTATGTTTTAAGAACTCTCAACACTCGCGAGAGAAGAGATACGTTTGTCTTTGTTTTTTACGAGTACTCGTTGATATAGATTCTCCTGTTTTTGAAAAGTTTTTTTCTTATTTTTTTCCGTTTTGAACTTTTTGTTATTTCCGCTTCCTTTTCTCTTAAGATCCGACTTCGACTCCTCTTTAATTGTGGATTTACCCTAATTGTTAGTATTGCTGCTACACAAACTGCTTCCTAATGTCCACGGCTTTGGGGTTTTCTGAAAAGAAACATGATAGAACACAAAGTCTTGGTCCGCCCCTCTCTCCCTTTATTAGCATAAACGACATCGATGAACTCACGAAATCAGCAGTCTCGACCGTCGTTTCCTCTGACATACGACCCCTAAGACCAGCTCCCAATCCTCCTACCTCCCGTCTCTGCAGAAAAGCCACCTGTAGTACGGGTGCGGCTTCTGCCTCGACATCTCCCAAATCCGCTTCTACCGACTATCACGTCCCCCTCGTGCACAAGAAGTCCACCTCCACTACATACAGCACCAAGTCCAGCTTCTTTAATCTCAGTAAAGATTCGGTTAACTTTTGCGAGACCGGAAGTCTCCGCAGCTCCCTGGAACGCCGACTCAGTCACCGAAAGTCATTGTCACATTTATCTGACATATTCAAGACCCTGAAGCAAAAACTACAGGTGAAGGGTCAGGAGCTGGAGAAGCAGCCCTCAAAAAGGATTTCCACGCCGTATAACTTTAAACATGTGGCTCATGTTGGATGCGATAAACAGTCCCATGGCTTTGCTAATATGCCAGCCGAGTGGACTCAGGCGGCCGTGCGAACTCAAAAGGGTTCAGCTCACCTTCGCAATCATAGCATCTCGCATCTTGCGCCTCATTTCAGAGCGCCTGCGACATTATGCGACGCTTCTCGCCGCACGCAACTTCCAGTGTTGCACTGTAATGATCGGAGCCCTCGCAAATGCATTAGTGGTAATGCGGAAGGCTGTGTAAGCGCCGATGTGCTGGACTTTATGCCCTCCATCAGAAAGGTCGAGGGAGCCTTGTCACGGTGTGCGTCGACAGTATCGACCCTGCAGTCAAACGGTAACGGCACGAACAGAAGTCTTTCGAAAGAAAAGATTCACACTCACACACGGCATCTGTCAATGATGAGCGACTCGACAAGCAGTCTCCGTGTCCAAGACATTGATCTCAAGCTTAACAGCTCATCGGAGAACAATCTGTCTTCGGTGACGCCGACACGAAGCCCGGTGAAACTTTCCAATCATCGCCCGCCGAAGTCGTTTTCTAGTTTACGATACACGCTTTCCGACACCGATCAGAAACACCTAATTGACCAGTTGTGCACGCAAAAAGATCCTTTGCTGCAGTACACCGACTTTGAGAAAATCAACCAGGGTGCGACTTCGGCAATGTACGTCGCGAAAAGCACTACCCAACACAAGCCTTACGCGATAAGACGCGTGTTCTACAAACGGAATCACGGTACGTCTCTGTTGAACGAGCTGCACGACTTGAGTACACTTTCTCATAAGAATCTTGTGAAGTATGTCGAGAGCTTTTGGTATGACAACGATATCTGGGTCGTGTTAGAACACATGAATGGAGGTACTTTGAAGAGCCTGCTTCGTAAGTGCGCGCTTCGGGAGCAGCAGATTGCAGCTATCTCGTACGAAGTCTGCTTGGGGCTTGCGTATCTGCATTCCAGAGGAATTATTCACCGCGACGTGAAGTCGGAAAACATTCTTCTCTCGTCAGATGGAAAAGTAAAGCTTGGTAATTTTGGATGTACAGCCCACAATGGAATGATGGATGTTTTGCATCAGACGGAATCGGATGGTTCGTATTGGTTGGCCCCAGAAGTCATCATGGGTGAGAAATACAACTCGAAGCTAGACGTCTGGAGTCTAGGAATTCTTGCCCTAGAGATGGCACATGGTTTGCCGCCTGAATTGTTTAACGATACAGCTCGGACGCTGAATTCGTCTTCGCAAACCGGCATTCAGTTCTTCCATACACCCGATTCTCTTTCTCAGGATTTCCGTGACTATGTTATAGCTACGCTGACTGTTGATGTGGCCGAACGCCCAACGGTTCTGCAGTTGCTGAAAGACTTTTCGTTCTTGCAGCAAAGAGAACCTCTCTCTTCCTTGAAACCCTATATTCAGATTAATATCCAGGATTCTTCTCCCGATTCCAACAAATACCCCTTTGACAGCGACTTGCGCTAATGATGCGTACATTTAATTGTTTTAATTTTCTCCTTTCCATTTCGCATGGGCACCACAGGTAATCCAATATCCTCTTCTTTTTCTGTTCATCGATACCACTACTATTACTATTTCCCCATATCTTTTCTGGCTTATGACTGAAACTTTTCCGATTGATTTGTTCTTCGCTCCCCTATTCGCCATCGCTTATGATCGTTTGTTCCCCCAGGCTTGTGTTTTTTGTGTGGTTTTCTTGTCTTTTTCGTTACTATTGTTCCCAAACTTAATACCTAATAACGCTATGCACAGGCAATGTGCTTCTATTCCTCCTGTTACTTTGCATAATATTTTCAAAGGATAAACTATTAATTATCATTATTACGTGAAGGCTGTCATTACGGACGTTTTAGAAGAAGAATGATAGAGAAGCTGGAACTTGTTTGTGAAGGTCTAGCTTGATCGTTGAGGCAATACAGGGCAGCACTCTGTGTTATTGAAGGGCCACAAACGGGAATTAAACACTTTAGCACGATGAACTTGAAACTTCCTCAGATGTGCTTGATGACGATGGTTTGACATCCCAATTGGGAGTCTGTCTCAATGACCATCTGTAATAGTTCAAAAGATCGTCCAGCTTTGAGTTTACCGTGTATCCTTCCGCCAGCAAAATGCTTGTATTTACCTGCTTTGCAACGATGTCTCTTTGGTTTTCATTTACTAGTGCCCTGAACTTTTCAGGAAGCTGTGTAAAGGGAAAGCATACCAGAGCCATTATGTCTTCGAGCTTGTTCATGTGACCCGTCCTTGTCAAGGGTACCAGATTTTCAGAAGCAAAGTCCAGTGTTTCTTGAAACATTTTCGTCAGTTCCTCCTCGTTTTCGGAAGTAATGTGAGGCCGTATTTTTTCCATGAGTTGGAGTCTCAGCAAAGAGAACATTAAATCTTCGTTTGTGTCTAAAATCTAAATAATTACAATGTTAGTATTCAACACAAAGCGAGAAGCACGGGAGATAAAACTCGTTCATTCATTCACCGTCGTCTTCCGTATTGTTCGAACCTCAGGGGACAAGTCGTTCAGCCCGTTAATTGCTGCTTCAATATTTCCTGTTTGAACATGCTTGCAGATTTCAACACGTTTCTGCATTCTGTCCGGAATATGCGTTGAGCAAAGGTTTGCTTCCTTAATAAAGCATCGTGCTGCTTCTTCTTCGCCTTCATGTACCAGGAAGTCGAAAACAAGGCTGTTCATTTCACTGAAGACTTCGTTAGTATCGGCCATTCTTCGTCCGTTTTTCCAACAATTGTTTCCTCCACTCAAACAACTATCACGCACCTCTTCTTCACATCCAAACAAGCTGACATATCCTGAATCAGCCGTTGTGTCAATTCGGCCAGGACGCCGTCTTCACCGTCAAATTCCTTGACAACAGTAGCCATCATTATCTCAAAAAAAAATCAAGAAAACAAGTATCTCAGTAAAGCCGTAGGAGTTTACAGTAGGAATGTCAAATTTTAAGTTCCCGGTTAACTGTTGTGCGATTGATCCATAGCTGCTTCTGTAAATATTGCGCTGGTGAGGGGATAGTGCAGAGCGAGGGGACACACTGCATCGCGCTGCGATGCGTAGAATTGCATAGTGTGGTGAAGCAGAGAGTGCATTTGTGTTTTGCGTAATGCGGTAAAGGAGACATTGTGTTATGCTGTAACAGTACACTAAATGACGCTTACCAAATATTTTCGGTCTCGTTAATTGTTTTAACACACTCGCCTCATTGCACGCTGCGTCGCGCTGCAATGCTACACCAAACTTGTAACCTACACATTTTACTCGATTTTACAGTGTTTTCTGTTTTGTTCCATTTCAGAATGATTAGACGTTGAATTGAATGAATTCCTCTGCCTTAACATCTTTTTTTATTGTCGGACTGGAGTTTTCGAACTGAAATTGTGTTTTTTTTGCGCTGAATAACACCTGTTTCGCACTCTTCTGTAATTACTGCTCAGATTACAATTCTTGGAATTCTTTTCGTTTTCAGCATAGTGATAAATATGAGTCAATTCTCCAGCAGTGATGAGGATGAAGATGAATGGCTGGAATTGGACTTAAACAAACCTCAAGTTCCTGCGGAAGAAGAAGAGGAGGCTGACGACTTGGAATATCTTTTTGGAGATGAAAAAGCTACGGATGCATTAACTGACCTTGATGCGAAGCCAAAGATTCACGTCAAACCAAAGCCTGATGAGCTTCAATTGACACTAGACCACACGAAGAATGTATCAAAGAAAAGAAATGTCCGGCGAATTACAGCTCGTGATAGGAAAATTAGATATCATACCCACCAAACGCATATTTTGTGTCTACTGTTCCATTTGTGTACACGGAATGCCTGGTGCTCACGTACTGAAGCAACGAAGAGTTTACTTAAACTGATTCCCAAACAATTGATTGATGCTCTGCATCCACCAGCGAAAAAGTCGCAGGCCCTTCGAAGCCGTTCATTTATACAGGCTGTTACGAACATCCGTGAAATCTGGAAGCGGACTTTTCGTATAACTAAACCTGGTCTAAAAAAGCCCGGCTACGGCAAACTTCAGAATGAGTTAGAGGGAACGGAGAATGTATCATTTGAAGCTTTTATAAAAGCAACAAAAAGCCTGGAAGGGAGCCGTGACTTGGGAGCTCAGTTACTTGCCAGTTTGTATCGCTGCGCTGGAGTAGACACACGACTTGTTTTCTCATTACAACCCTTGAGTTTCCGATTTGTTGGCTCATCGCGGGAAGGTGGTATGGCTCCAGATTCAGCTGGAACATCGTCTACATTGGAAACTGCTTTGTCGAATAATTCTCTCTTTGACAACTCATTCGCTGCTTTTCTCTCGGCTTCATCGCCGGAACAACCTGTGCAAAAGCGCCAACGTCTTCTCCGACCGTCTTTCTCACAAAGCCCATCTGTCTCCGCGTCTCCTAGTTCTGTCAGCGAGTCTGTACCGGAAATTCGTGACTCGCCAAAACCTGTTTTCTGGATAGAGGTTTTCAACAATGCACTACAAAAATGGTCGGCATTGGATGCATTTGGTGATGATGCTGTGGGTAAGGTTCGTGCATTTGCGCCGTCCACAAATGATTCTCTCAACTCGATGACCTATGTTTTCGCTGCAGATAGTGACGGATACTTGAAAGACGTAACTCGGAGGTATGTTCTTCACTTTTACAAAACATTTCAGTATCGTGTGGAATCAATTCCCGGTGGAACGGTCTGGCTTGAGAACGCGACAAAAAGGTTACGCCGACCGAATCGGTTGTATAGAGACAGAGATTCCATTGAAGATGGGGAGCTTATGCAGCGCGAACTGTCTGAAGGAATTCCTAAAAATATCCAAGACCTCAAAATTCACCCGCTTTTTGTGCTTGAGCGGTTTTTGAAAAAACATCAAATCATTCATCCAAAAAAATCGTGTGGACGTATCAATACAAAAAAGGGCACAGAATTGGTCTATCCGCGAAAGTATGTCCTGTCGGCGTATTCTTCCGAGCGCTGGTACATAAAAGGTTTTGTCATTAAACCTGGAGAGCAGCCAGTGAAATACGTGACGAAGAGACAAAAGGGCGAAGAGAAGCGGGTCGCTTTGTACACAGAAGAGCAGACAAAACGCTACACACCAATGCCTGTTGTTGCCAACAAAGTTCCCAAGAATGGTTATGGAAATATCGATCTCTTTCAACCCAGTATGCTACCATACGGTGCTTACCATTGTACGCATAAGTTTGCACTAAAAGCTGCGAAGATACTTGATATCGACTTTGCGAGAGCCGTTGTTGGGTTTGACTTTGAACGCGGCATGGGTAAACCAAGATATGCAGGCGTTGTTATCTCGAAGGCCTTCAAAGATGCATTAGAAGAGACTGCACACGAACTGTTACTCGACTACGAAGATGAAAAGCTATCGCAGACTCGCAAGACTGCACTCAAAAACTGGAAACGTTTATGCATGGGGCTGCGGATACGTGAGCGTGTGCTTAATGAATACAGCTAAGAAAGAATGCATTATTAGTTCGAAATTATAATTAAAATTAAATCGTCTTAGATAAAAGCTTTCAAAATTGCGAGGATGTTTATGCACTTAGTAGTATTCCTCCAAATTCTCAATTTTGAATAGGGGTGAAGATTGTAGGATGCTGCAATTCCAATCGGCGCTCTTCTCATAAGCAAGCTTAGGAAGAATTCCTGCGTTTCTGGATTTCTTATAGCTCCATTGAGCTGATGTTTCAGTGTCCCAGTTCCAGAAAAACCAACCCCAGGTCTTCTCAAATACCTCCATTTGCGAAAGAGCGTACATGTTCAAATACGTCTTGTAAGAAGGCGGGTAGTTTAACGGATCAGCATTCGGAATGTCACAGCTACAAGCACCTTCAACTGCACAACCCCCATTCGGGTATACTGCAGCAGAAAAGTTGCCTTCCCAACGAGTTCCTTCACCAACATCGTTCAAAAATTTTGCGCAATCCGTATCTGCAAGACTCCATTCACCGACAAAACTGGGCAAGAAAGCATTGTCTTCAAACTCCTTATCCCAGACATCGCACACAGCATGCAGTGTATCGATGTGAGACAAACGAAGCATGAAAGAATCGAATATAGTATAGCGATGAATGTCAATAACCATATTTGGATACCGAATTGGCGCGTAATTCTTCTCAATACTACCGACGCCCGTAAAACCATCACTAGCGACAATATAGCCAGAATAGCCTTGAGCTGTTATAGTTTTATAAGCTTCTTTGTGCCAATCAATAACCTTCTTGTTTTCAAGAACGAACATATTCGGCTCATTAACAATTCCATAAATGGTAACAATATTCTTGTAGCGTTCTTGTGCGAAGAATGTCGCAAGCATCTCATGAAGCTTAAGTGTAAGATCGGCATTCTTCTGTCCTAACTCTGATCCGTCAAGCCAATTGAGAACACCTAATGTTCCTCCGTGATTCCATGAATTCTGATTGCCTGGAACGGCGTGTAAATCCAAATTTACGCGTAGTCCATTTTCGCGAGCCCATTCGATCCCCCGTAGGAGATAGCGCCAACCAATTTGGAAGGGGTGTGTTTCGTTTGGTGACGAGAAAAGAATCCAATAAGGGAAAGGAATCCGTACGTGATCTAAACCTGCTTCCCGGATTTCCCGAAATGTGTCTTTTGTCACAAATGTATTGTAATGTGTTTCAATAACATTATTGACATCTTGGCCGAGGAATTGATGAAGTTCGGTTTCATCCGTAAGTTGATGAGTGCCATTACCATATTTTTCAAAGAAAGACGGAGTAATAAATGGCTCCATGGAAAGCCAACCGCCGAGATTCACTCCTCTAACGGGTTGACTACCATAAGGGAAAGGCGAATTAAGGGGCGGGACGCCAGGGTTAGCCCGAGTACAATCGTTATAGAAGCTGAACAGGCCCATTATGCTAAGTCCACCCACAGTTTCATTTGTGAAGGTTGTATTAAAATCATCAGTTGTAAGCCATGTACTAGCATCCAGATATGTTCCCCGTACATAATCAGGTATATCAACGGGCTCGGAAAAGTTGGCTTTTGGACTTGACACTTCGAGAACCTTTCCTTTCGACATATCAGTTGTGTCGTTTGTTGCATTATTATATTGTTGTCTTATTTTTGGAAGAATGGAACAAAAGACTATAGGAAAGAATATCGCAGAAAATAAGATGACGGTGAAGAGCGAAGAGAAGAAAGCAGTACAGATATCTCTTTTTCGAATTCGCTTGTAAAACGGTTTGGTTTCATCTTGGCTTATGTTATAAAAGCTGTTGGAGTCATCAGTAGACGAGTCCGCAGTTACTTTGTACATTTCTTGAGCTTGTCAGTGGGAGACTGTTTTTGGGATGAGAGACAACCGTTTGAACAGTTCTTTATTATAGTTAATGGCTCAAGCGGAACGGAAACCCATTGAGAAAAGTTACTGTAGCCAAGTGACTTTGTGAGCCATTATTTCATCCTAGCTTTGAACAAGTTCAGACTGGTTTAATTTGTTTTCCTTCTCATAAACAAGTTGTAAAATAGTCATCTTCTCTTGTTGAAGTTTTTCTTTTTCCGCGGCCCAGAAACGTTTAAAGGCAGCGGCCTCTTCGTCAACAGTTTCATAAAGTGCATCAATCTCCTCCCTTGATTCTTTGTAATCTTGCGCAGCAACATGGAGCTTACATCGTAGATTTTTGAGTTCTTCTTTTAGGACATTATATTGATCAATAGAAACATATGCCGGACCAGAAGAATGAGACGACCGTGAGGAATGACGTGTCAAGGTAGTACTTCCTAAATTTAGCTCGGGAATGTCGAGCAGACTTGAAGACATTAATACCTGAGTGTCCTCATCGGTACTGTATTCGTTCATTGCTGTGTCGACTCTGCTATTTGTCCTGTCCGCGGAATACACAGAAGAGCGGCAAGACGTATACATGGAAGAAACAACAGAACGAACATCGGAAGTGGAAGACAGGCTTATAGCGTGTGCTGGAACAGGAGGTGCATTAAAATCACCACTGGGTGCCGGACTTGGTTGTGTGATATGAAGATGTATATTGTTTGGCAAGCTCTTCGAGTCCCTTGGAAGCGGATTGTTAAGTTGATCCGCAAACCGAGACCGTGCTGAATGAAAATCTGTGTCCGAGGATACTTTTTTCGATAGACCTTTCCAAAGATAGGGTGTGGCTATAGAAATAAACTCGACAATGGGATACATTTTATGTACGCATTTACGAGGACATACAACTGCAGATATGGAGGCAAAGAACTGGATGTTTTCTTGGTAATCACCATCAAGTTTTTGGTACACTTCTTGAACCGTAGTAAAGAAAGCTTGAAGCAGGGAAAAGACTCCGGGAGGTAGCTCTTCAGTAAGAGTTTGAATGATTTCAACATTCCGACTGAAAAGGCTCTTGTTGTTTAAATCCAATGGCAAAGAGAGAAATTCGTTGCAAAGCTTTTCACTTAGCACATGTCCAGCATGAGCATGGGCTTTATCTTTAACAAAAAACAAGAAAGAACCGAAAAGTATTTTGACGGGTAAGTTCTGTAACAGCGCTTTGACGTTTTCTGAAGACTTGTCTACTTCTTCGCTAACTGCCATCATCTGGTCTTTTTCTGACTCTGAAAAATTCGCAAGAACATCTTGGATGTTCTTTCTAGCACCGAATGCATATCTATAAGCAGACAGCTTCTCCACAACTGTGGTACAGGAATCCATAATTCTTGAACTTTACGAAAAAACCAAAACTCGCATTAAAAAGATACAAAATTGCATACATCTAGTTCATGAGCACAATAGAAAACCGATTATGGAGAGTTTATATGTACAAATTATGGGAACTGTAGCTTTTTTCCTACTGAAAGAAGGAACGAGTCCGAGGCAGGGCATTAATAAGGAGGGACAGTGCTCAGAATACGCAGCAATTTCCCGCTGTGTAAAATCACCAATGCATTTATATTATTGAGAGTTGGGTGTTCTATCTTATACGATTGCTAGTAAGCTTGTCGAGAATTGAAATTATCGTTATTCGCAAATTCAGTTTGTAAAAGATTTCGAGGATATAGAAGTATTAGTTACATTCATTGTATTGTTTATGCAGAATGTCTCTGATTATGCTTTCTCAAATTGATAGCAAGCTTCTTAAACGAAATTGCTAATACTTGAATCGTTGCTCTATAAGAACCAAAAGAAATGGGATTTAAATAAGGAAAGAGAGATACCACAGCGTGTTTATTAGACCGAGAGAGGTACTATAATAAAACATGATTACTCTAAACGCTGTATGACTTTATAAACAACGTCGTATGCACCCAAGAAGATGGCACCTCCGCAACTGAGCCAACAAACTCGGGGTACGAGACCTCTCCAAAAGGCGGTGAAACCCTCATGCCTTAAGATTTCAGAAACTGTTTGAAAGTAAGTTTTTTCCTAAGATGTTGAGTTAGTACAAATTATGCCGACGAACAGCACATCGTAGTGAAGCCACTGAGAGCAGCCAGTTCAATCCTCCCGTGCGTTTAACGTACACCATGAGCGAGCATCATTCTTGTTTTGAGAACATCCATTGGGGTTGTTAATGCAGCTGCAACGCCGCCTGCGACAGAGCCATAAAGAGCAGCTTGGTAAGAAGGAGCCACATCGACCTTGTGTGAGTTACAGTATTGGGCCTTCAAGTATTCCCAAAGAGGGTACTGAATAAGAGTAAATGGTATCTCACGGGCAATAGTAATACTGAAACCAGAGTAAAGACTCTTCCAGCCTTGCGCGGAACTAATTACGGATTTGAACACATTCTTCGAACTCAATGATCCTGCTGAGGCTTGTGCTTTCTGTTTGATTACTTCGGTAGGAACGCGAACAGTGCATGCGACAATTTCACCAAGTGATGCCGATATCATATGAACAACTGGGTCGCTTAAGCCCAACTTGGACCTCGAGAGCTTTTTTTTAGAAGTCTCATAAGTCGTAAAGAATAAGGAAGCTAACAGCTGTCAGTCATTTTCAGTAATAGACGATAGGTTAAGTATTGTATAAATAAATACCTCCAGGAGCACTTCCAACAAAAATACTTCCAATTCCTCTGTAAAGGCCCTTAAACTTCCCGTTTTTTAAAAACCCGCCTTTTGCTTGCAATCGTGTTTTTAAGGTGTCAATAGGAAATAGTGAAAAATCCACTGCCAAACCGGCACAGATTCCAGCCTATACTAGTCAGAGTCAAATGGAAGAACGAGTACTCACACCTAGAGCCTCAATAAACGACATTTCTACGACTGGTTCTCCTTTTCCTCCAGATTTCCGCTGCCAATGTTCCTGCGTTCAGAGTGAAAAAGTAAGTGTCTTTTGGAATGAATGAAGCGGAATGAAGTTTCTATAAGATATGGTGGGATACTCTATTGGATGCATCCCTACATACAGTAATTGATCAACTCATACGCCCGGTCTCCTTGTTCACTTCATTGGGTTTGTCTTGGATTTTTCAAAAAACAAAAGTGACGACTAAGATCCTCTGTGTATTGTAAAACTTATCATAAAACAATCCGAAGGCTCTTTTAATACTCATGCGACAAAGACAAACTCGAAATTTGCTCATTGCCTTTTCATATAATCGTGTGAAACACAGCAAAAACTTAAGAAACTCCTAAGAAGCTCATGCTTACGGCAGACAATTTCTTTGTAAACTCATTACGGAGCTTTATTCCGTATCTTCGTAATGGAACTGCTGGTACGCATTACAGGTTTCATTCGTATTTTACTAACAAGAACAAGGAGTGGCCGTCTCAGGCGGGGTTGACAGTATGTGCCTTGTTCATTTGTTGAGAGAAACGATGCTTCAGTACTTGTGGCCAAAACGAATCCATGCATTCATTGTTGAGCATGGCCTTCGCAAAGAAAGTGCTGAAGACGCTGTGATCACCAGGCGAAGACTTCTCGACATGGGGATTCCCTCTACTATTTTACCATTAAATCACAAATGGGATCTCTCTAAGCAATCAAAGATCGAGACAATTGCTCGAGTATTACGCTATCGTACTTTGGCCAAAGCTTGTCTGCGACATAAAATTTATGGCTTATTTACGGCGCATCATCTTAATGATCAATACGAAACAATAGTAATGCGACTCCTACAGAGGAAACCAGGAACCTGGGGAGGATTGTGTGGCATTCGAAAAGTTGCTCCTCTTCCTGAGTCCGAAGACATTTATGGAGCGGATCAAATACTTCTTCTCAGGCCTTTTCTCTCTTACCCTAAAGCACGTTCCATATGAAGTTATATCTTTGCTAACAAATTAGACCCTGTTGAACGAGACTTGCATAAAAAAAAAAGTACAGTGGTGCGAAGACAAAAGCAATAAAGACATACAATTGACGGTTAGAAATGCTATTCGTGCTGTGGGTGTCGATACATTGGTGTCAACGGAAATAGCAAGCATATCGCAAACATTTCAAGAACTTGAAGACCATTCTCAGAAAAGTGTGCATTCATTATTAAAGCAGTGTTCTTGCCTATATTTTAAAGCGATTCATTCTTTTCAAATGCAGATACCATGTATAATTATGGACACAAGTAGTGATTTCATTAAAACAGAATTCCTTATGTACCTTATTGACATAATCACACCAAAAACAAAAAAGAAACGTCGCTCTATTGAAGGCATCAGCAAACGTCTGTGGAACAGTACAAAACCTTTGACGGCTGGCGGTTGCAGCTTTACCTTAACAAAAGATGACAATTGTTCTTCCTATATCCTATTCATTACGAGAGAACAATTTTCAAAACGAGACGCACAAAAGGCTACTTTTGTTCTAAAAAATGGCTCCACTATTCTCTGGGATAATCGCTTTTGGGTACAAGTGAAATACGATAGTGCTAAATCTTTTACTATTCGGCCGCTTAAAAGCGGTGACATTAAGCAAATACGGTATCTTTGTAACAACTTTCCGAATCTCTCCTGGGCTGCTTTTTCCAAAAGCGCTCCGGGGAAAACACGCTTCACGATGCCAGTGATAGTAAACAACTTCACTCAACAAATCAATTGTCTTCCGATCTCGAATGTCAAATGTTGTCAAGATGTTGAGGTCAGAATTGTACCTCGAAAGGAGCCGAACCTAGAATTGTTTGCTCATAGTCGGACATGAGCGTTTGTGATGAAATTTCAAAATGGCTCAAATTTATATTATATATAAAACGTATCGTATTGATCTTCTTGTTCTGTTTTCACACTGTTGGCTTGATTTCGTTAAATACGCTGATACATTATGGTTTGGCCTTTTACTGCCAAGAAGAAGAGGAAGCAAGCGAGCCAAAAACTGAAGAAGCTTCGCCATACACTTAGTCTAACAAGAATGGACGACTCATCGCAATTGCTGAAGCCGCTAACTTCTGATTTTGAGCCTCTTTCACTACCACCTTTGCCTTCTGTTGTCGATGATATGAACCAAGTAATGGATGATTTGTTCAGCGAAATGAATTACGACCCCGAGACAGATCCTTTTAGTGTTGTTTTGAGGGAATTACGTATCAAAGAAGCAGTTCCTGCATACACAAATGACTGTCCTCCATCTTACAAGGAGAACGCTTGAGTGCTATTTCACCCTGAACTCGTGTATCTACTAACATTTACAATATTTGGACTATTTTTTCTTATATAAACTTGATAAATAATCGGTGTTTACGCGTCACACACATAACCTGGCTTCCTTACTCTCGTTTGTGTGGTCTTTATCATGTCGAGATAGGATTAATGTTTGTTATTTTCGTATAATGCATTTAAGTATCATCTTGTATCATAAGGTAGCCAAAAGATGTGAGCCGGACATTATCAAGCATTAGCCATTCTCATGCTGTTGACATTCTCCCAGTTAATGCGTTGACGAGTCACTGGAAGTTGGCGGCGAAGTGTCTTAAACATTCCGTTGTTTAAGCCAGCAAGCTGAGAGTTGATGGATTTTTGTGCTTCATTTTCTACCTTCTCGAGAGCTTGTTCAAGTCCTGAATCATTTTCCACTGTCGAAGAAAAGTCTTTTGTAGAATCTAACCACACGTTTCCATCTTCATAATAATGGACACGAGCATAAACTGATCCCTTCAAAGTTTTTTCTTCAATGCTGTACGTCGCATTTAAACGCCAACTGCCGTTCCAGAAGTTGTTAGGATTGTATTTAGAGGCCACAAGCACAATATGAAGGACTTTTGGAGCGGTCTCATCCACGAACACCGAGTACGCAGGACCTGAGAGATAGTGTTTCTGTACAACAGCCTTCAACTGTGTGAGAATCTTCTCATCAATCTCAGGTTTCTCAGAGTAAGCTTCGATGTCTGAAGCGGTCTAAACAAAAAAGAGGTGTGAGCAGACGAGAGAAACAGGTAAGGTCACATACCATGTCATCCACAGATACAGAGAATGACTTTTGTTGCACTTGATCGTAATAACGGTTGTCTGGAAGTTTGCAATGACTCGACAAAACACAAGCGTGCGTCATCCCATCCTCCAACTTCAATGTGACAATTGAATTGTTTTGTTCATGATATGCGAGGATGTTTCGCTCAATTTCCACTTGATTGTCTAGGCCCAAGGCTTGAAGGTCTTGTCAATGTTAGCCAACAGAAATGTTTTTCTTAGATGATAAATGAACTGGAAGGTTAAGCCCTCACAGAACATGTCTTACTGTATCCTGAAACTTAAGAATCCACATAGGACACAGCGACCAAGCGAATTGATTGAGTTTTTTCGGCTTAACCATGTACGAGATCATTTATCACAAACAATCACGAACTCACCTTTCACGACCTCATTGACCTCCCCTGGAGGGGATTCACGAATTAAAGCATACAGCGACGAAGACATTGAAGGAAACAGTATATGCAAAGGGCAAGTTTGCTCGCGTCAATTCCGCATCTGGTCCATGCCTCCGCCCAAATAGATCCTTGGAGTTCGTTATATTTCGTTAAATGGTTTAATGGATACTAACACAATGTAGTGAGATGATGTCCTGCCTTACCAAGAGTAACTTAAAGTCAAAAACAAATAACATTGTTGTGAGCCTTCATAGTACATCGTATACCGTCATCTCATATGTTTTCCATCAAATCAATTCAGCTTTGTAGATACTTTAGCCGTAAATCAGGTGTTCTTCGTTATTGGCACAGTGCCCCGTACTTAACTCATTCAAAATTGCTTGAAGACAAATTAATTCGTCCTGTAGACCGTTCAAAAGAAACAGAAAAACTTCTTAGATCTCGTTTAGTTTACCAGTCGAGAAAACGAGGGATTCTGGAGACTGACTTAATTCTGTCAGGATTCGCCAAAGAGTATTTGTCCAAATACAATGTCGAATTGCTAAAGGAGTACGACAATTTACTAAATGAGGCAGACTGGGATATGTAAGCATACCATTGTTTAACAAGGAAGGGATATTTTTTTACTAACATGTAAAATCCAGATTGTACTGGTGCACCGGCGAGCGTCAAGCTCCAGAACATTGGTTGAACAGTCGTGTGCTGCGTGATCTGAAGGAGTATTTGTCGAGTAAGAACGGAGTTGTTCGTTTTATGCCTGAATTGTGAGGACGCAATTGATGTTTTAGCTGTCTTCGTTTGTATTCTTATGTAATGACCATGTACTATAATTTACGTGTGTGGAGAACCCGTTTTCCTCAATCATAGAATTGCACATTATTTCTTTCGTTTGCGATCACGATGGTTTCCTTTGCCAAATTGCATTTCGATATCAGTGATTTCTTTCGGAGCTGCTTCACTCAGATTTATGGGTTCGTCTTTGCCTACTAAAATACTGTCTTCGATTCTTATAGCAACGCCTTGGGCCCAGCGAGGCCAACGGTCGTCCATGGGAAAGTATACTCCTGGTTCTATGGTGATCTAGCAATCGTTAGTTGCGGAAGTTCACAAATTAATCGAAATAAAACACGTACCACTTGATTTTTCTTAATCGGCTCATAAGTGCTGATGGAAGAGCAGTCATGTATTTCCAGTCCAATATGATGTCCAACGGAATGTGGATACAGCACATTTTCAATTTCCTAGTGAACGAACGTTAGCTTGATATACTCACTTTGTTAAGGGCTTACGAAGTTGCTGGCATAAATGCCAATTTGCCGCAATTCTTCTCGTAAAAGGGAACTGCTATGGTTGTGAATTGCTGCTATAGACAATCGTTGGTTTTCAGTACACAGTTTTATACACTCTTTCTGAACATTCAAAACGGCTTGATAAATGTCCCTTTGTGATTCCGTAAATCGGCCATTTACAGGCCAAGTACGAGATATATCCGTTACATAGTTACCGTACTCTCCACCAGCATCAACGAGGACCATGTCTCCGTCCTTAAGGACGTTATTATTGACGGTGTAATGAATCGTTAACCCATTCTAAAACTAGTTAGAGCAGAAATATGGAATGGGTAGAAAGGTACTTACCAATCCTCCAGCTACAACAGGTACATAAGCAGAGCGTTCACAATTCCCAACACGAAACTCGTAATCAAGAGTAGCTGCGAGTTGGGTTTCGGTTGCAATCTGACCTCCATGGAACACGTTGGCATACGCTTCCCCACTGATTTGGCCAGCATGTTTCATGCAATGTATTTCTCCTGGTAGTTTTACACAGCGAAGCGGATGTAAAATCCGGCTGATGGGTTTCAGGCTACACGACTGTGATAAGTTTACGATAGCTTCTGCAATCGTTGGTGGCCGAATTCTGCATAGATCTCCGAATGTTGTTGAGCCCGTCATAGGAACATCTGCGTAAGCACATCTGTATTTTTTTGCTTTATTCTGCAAAACTTTTTGAAAATCATGGATGTTTAAGACCTGTTGAAAAGCTGTAAGTAAAGTTGAGTACGGGACTTGTTCACAAACCTCGTCAGCGCCAAACATATTTTCTGCAGCAGCAAGACCCGTTCTTGTACCCTCCCACTTTTCGGCAAATGCATCCTTTGGTCGAAGAAATAACGTATACCGGAAATTGTTGGCTTTGGATGAATCGGGTTCTGGAAATAGTTAGATAAAGATCAGCAGAATGTGTTTATCATACCAATAATAGCAGCACTGCTGGGTTCCAAACATCCTAGAAGTCAGAGGATGGACGATGGGGCTTTTGCTTACCGGTTAAATAGAAACTAAAGCATGAGTTTTGAGGTTTTTAAACAACAAGGGCAACGTACAAGTTAGGATCTTGGTGATACTCATAGCTTTGGAGAATTTACTGTTAACCTTAAACTTGAAAAATATTAAATAGAAAACTTACAATGCAGGTCCACACATATAGCTGACAAATTGTGAGTTAGCAATTGAACTTAACAAGATGTTCATACTTTACTGGGGCAGATGTGGTAACAATGAATTCATTTTTGTCAAGAGCTTTTGTTGCTCGTAATTGTCGAGCTTTGTACTCGTCTTTGGAGATACCTCTTGTCACTAACCATGTTAAATTTCATGCGGCAAGTATTAAAAACAATAAATCTTACATTCATTACTAGCAATTAAGTGAGGATGTGTTTCGTGAGTTGGTTGACCAAAAGTTGCATATTGTCGAAAGGAAGCGATGCAATTTCGATACACGCATTGGCCAGGCTTTTCAAGACGCTTTGAGGCCCGGAAAAATACGCGTTTAAGAAACATGAAAAGGTTAGAGGGGCACTGCAACCTCTCAAAACTGGCTTTCAAACAAGAGCTCGTATTGTTCTTAGATCAACCGTAAAGAGGGTATTTTGGTGGTGAGTTTTACGGGTTTTTATCCACGCAATTAAAAAGTATGAAGCAGGTAAGCTAGCTGTTTACAAAAAACGCCATGTAAAGTGGTTTATTTATTTGAATTCTTACAATTTAGTAGTAAGCATCTGTACCGTTTTCCAAAAATAAAAAGTAAAAATTAAATAATTCGAATCTATAACTTTTTAAACCAGCAGTAGAGATGATACACTCACCAGGCCCCTCTCGTTTGAAGATCCCTACAAAGAACAAGTGTATTTTCCTCGTTTTTGTCTTCTGATGTTGTGATTGTTTCATGACCATGTGTTTGAAAAAATGGGCAAACAATAGTCTTCATCACAGACAAAAAGAGGCGCTCGATGACACCTGAAAGCTGGTCACCGGTTTGTCGAAAGTCTGGATACTGATAACGAAAACGTTAGCTAATTTATCGTTGTGTAAAGTACTTACTGCGTTTACTTCCAGAAGAGAAACTGTTTGATCAGAGCTAATTAGCAAATCCACGCCAAATATCTCGAAAGCATTATCCAATGTCTGGTATGTGTTAGTTGAAAAGACTAATCATAAAGTAATTACCTGAAAGTGCAAAGACTGTGTAACAGCAGCAGCCTCAAATACTTCTCCAACAACTAGGAGGATCTTTTTAAATATATCATCCTTGTTGGGTACTTCCGAATCCCAAAAGGCTTGTACTGAGTGGGAACGGCCTGCTTCCTGAATGCAAGTATTCGTTAAGTGTGACAGTAAAACATTCGTGTCAGAAGTTGGTTTCACGTAATCGTTTTGGGCAAACAAGCAGAGCATTTCCTTATTCACGTAAACCTTCAGGGACCCGAATGCAACAACGTATGCACGTATATGAAACTTTTTGTTATTCAGCAACAAAGGAGCCTTGATGTATTTTTGAGCAATGAAGTTTCGGATTTGATTAATGACAATTTTTCCTAACTTTTTGTTACCGGTTGAGTCGTTCTCTTCTGTGTTTTCTTCATCCTCGCTTTCCTCATCGAAACTGTCGAAAATGGCCTGAAGCTCATCAATTGTAGAAAACAAGCGAATTCCTTGCGCCCTATCGCACATGCTCGGTTTTAAAATATACCAATCTCGTTCATTTGCTGGTCTAGCCTCATTCATCTCCAGTTCTTGTCGCAATTCGTAAGACTCCATTAAGGCATCATCAAGAAACTCGGCGTAATCCAGTTCTAAAGTAAAGGTTTCTGGAATAACTTTTTTTAAAATAGAGTCCGGATGTTTTGTTGTGTAAGAGAGAACGGAATGCCATAGATATTGTTTTCTAATCAATGCTTTTCGAATAACATAAGAACACAATAACGACGAGGAGTTAGCCAAAGCTGCATCAAAGTCTAAAAGTTCATATTGAGCCCACTGCAAGTCTGCATCCTTTCCATCAGATACAAATTGTGAACTTGGATAGTAGCGTTGAATTGCACTCTTTATTTTCGGTTCAACATAAGGATCTTGATAATCAAGATATACTTTTAACGACATTTCTTTAGATTTGAAGTCACCCTTCTATAATGAATATAAACAAAAATGCGAAGAAAAAATGTAGCACAAAGCCTCCGATACAAGAGGTTCTTGGTCAGAAAAAGAAAACAAAACAAAAAAAAAGAAGGAAAAAATCGCTAATACAGAACCTTTGCGACTGTTGATATGAAAATTATATAGGGAGTTAAGTAAGTTAAATTCACACAAGAGTTGAGCATAACTGATTTTAATATATATTTTAAACAACCAAATACGAAAAGTTACAAAAAAACAGCCAAGCATTTAATGAAAGTAGATAATTCAAAGTAACTAGAAATAATATACACCCGTCAAGCGAGCAGTAAGACATTAACATGACAAATGTGAATGGACAAATTAGAAAATCAAGGTCGCTGCCAAACTCTTATTCTACCACCTATACCAGCGATAATCATGCAGTCAGGTTGGAAGCAAATAGAAGTGACTGGGGCGTTATCAACTTTGTGAGCAGCTACCGGCGTGACAAGAGGAACAGTTGAGCAAGGAGGTAACTCATGTACGATTTCTTCTTCGGAACTACCGAAACCCAATCCCTGGTCCTCGCTTGAGTTGGTAATCATCGGTGTCAGCTCGTTTAACATACTTAATGAACTTGCCCTTGTATTCAGATTTAGTGAACGTCGGGTCATTGAGGATTTCGGTCTATGGATAGCGCCAACGCTGAAGTCCCAGAGTAATAGTTGACAATCCATACCCACGCTCGCAAAACGGTAACTGTCGCCGTCGCAACGCCATTCATCAAAAACGACGGCTTTTACAAATGATTTGTGTCCTTGTCCGCGAGCAAACAATTTCCGTGCAGGAAAAGACCACACGGAAATCAGATCGTCTTCACCGCCAGTGATGAGAAACTTTCCATCGGGAGACCATGCTACGCAGGAAAAGCCTCCATAGTAACTGGAAAATATATCTGAAATACGTTCTCGCAAATAATCAACAATAATAAGCTTTCCGTCACTAGTCACAACAGCAATGTGCTGACATTCTGGGCTAAATGATGCTGCGGTGATTTTTACATCTGGGATGGCATAGCAGGAAACTGGATTAAATTTTTTGTCATCAGTAGAATGCGTACTCTTGATAACCAAAAGTGACCTGGATAATCCTGATGAAATCTTCCGTCTCACTCTATCATTAACGACTAGGTGAACAGGTTGATCGGAGCGTTGTGTGTCATATATAGAAAGCCATCCATTTTTATGGACAGCTAAAAAGAGCGTCTCGTAACCCGGAACCCATTTAACAGTAACTATAGGCGAGTCATTAAAACATCCCTTAAACAAGTTAGTAAGAGGACTGTGGAAGAGCACTCTGGCAGAGTCAAAATGGGTTTGAAAACGTACCCCTTTATTTAATCGGATGTATTGCAAGTTTAAAGGATTGTACCAAACAATGTCTCCTGAATCAAGACCCACTACAAGATCCAATCGGAATGAGCTCTTAGAAAGCATGTTCAAGTCAAGACTAGTGGGCCTCGACTGGGCGAATGTTATCTGACATAAAAAATCGTTTGTTGTCGCCTTGCTGAGATCAACCCAGTAGAAGCTATTTTCAAAAATAGCAAAACCAAAAACATTACAATTTGTTTTAGAGGAAAGAAGCTTAAGGAAGTGGTCACTGAAGCACATGCTCCTTACAAATGTGCTGGACCGATTAGCGGATGAACGATGTGTTGAGCGATGAAGCTTTAAGTGATGAGACGAAGAGGTGGAATAGGAGCGTTTGTGAGAGCGAGTCAAGTCCAAAAGAACGGAAGGATATTCGTGGCTGTCATCAGCAGTAAATACACCGTTGTTTTTCTTAATGTTTGCAACGAAGTCTGGGTTCATGACCAGTTCATCGTAATTCATCCGTACAACAACTAGCTCAATCGGCCATGTGAAAAATGTGTGACCATTTGGGTCTAACGGATGCGCAACTAAATGATGCTGTTGTGGAGCTCGAAGAACGAGCTCATCACGTAAAACATACTCGCCCTCTCGCGAACTGAGAAAGAGTACAGGTTGAGCAATTCCCGAAGCCATGAAACAAGATTAAGGGGAATAGACTGACCTCAATAGACACATTCAAACAAGAAGAAGTCTACTTAGCACATTCAATTGCGTTTTCCATAAAATACGCGATGTAGGAAGAGTTATCAGATGCACTTAAATGCATATAACACGATTATGTCTATAAAAGTAATAGAATTAGCATAATAATACTTGAAAGATATCTTTTTCGCTTGTTTCAGTAACGTACAACATGTAATCCTAAATTACGCGTAAAAGAGGTTTTGGTTCCGGAATAGTCGCAAACCATGCGTAAGCTAGTATAAGCACTAACTAAGCATCATTGATAGCAGCACGTGCAAAGTGGGCATTGCTATCTAAGCGGATACATTAAGCTTAAACTTAAGCGACAAACGTAAAAGTGCGAGCGAATCGCTGGAAATAAAATGTATGATCTTCACTGTGTCTTAATGTGACTGATAATAAGTTATTACTATCATTTGCTTCAGTTAAGAATGATAGAGACTACTTTATAGTGTTTATACTGTAAATAATTCCAACGACTTTTAGATAAAGTTGAGAGTCGAACTTAATTTATTACAATTACAATTATTATTGTTATTATTTTACTCATTTAAGTTACGGCTAGTTGAAATGAGAAAAAGTGATTGCAGTCTACGTAATCCAACTTTCCTAAAACATTTAACAGTTAATATCAATTTATCTATAAGTAAATCTCTCCGGTCGATAACAATTGACTTGTTTATTCATTCATTCGGAGTACATAGCCTTATAATTAACTTTGAATTAATGCACAAAAGTTTGGTCAATAAACCATTACCGTAATGATTCGTAACTCTACATGCAGAACTGATTAGAAAGCACTTCATTGTATATTAAGTACAGAAACAAAGTAATAATGCCTTAAATATATTCTACGGCAACTGTAACTAGGAAAACATTTATGAATCATGCTCATTGTACAACTGAATATCTCCTATAACCTTTCATTCTTTCCGCTTTAAAGTTCCACGTGGTTCTCGCTTATTATAAACACTAGTTTTCACTACTTCATACTATGACGTATGCAAACGCCAATCAAAAAAGAGCCGTCAAATAAGCTCAGAGACGCGTCAGGCAACGCCTGCCATCCACCTCGAAGGTTTTCTCGGGTAGTTTTGTATATTTACTGTAATAAAAGGAAACCAGACGGTCTAAAGATGTCTTCGTCGAGTGAGGATGAAGGAGGCGAGGCGACGGTGACAGTCCGTCGAGCTAGAAACGAGTTGGAGGAGAAGCGCGTGCGTTCCATCGCTACAAACGGTATCTTGAAGCAGTCTAAACGTCTTTCTTATGAGGTTTTCTGGCACCCTGCTTACCTTGGTGGTTTCTGTTTGGCGTATCTTGGACTTATTCGCGTCAGTGAATACTATGGAGGAAAAAGTATTCCCCGGATGATCGCTTTGTTATTCATTTGCAGTGCTGTCTTTCTGATGTTTATGGAAATTCCATGCCGTCGTTTGTATGAATCTTTGGCAAAGGAGTGTGATTCAGAGACGGGCTCACTAGCTCAACAAAATATGAAGCATTACTGGATTGCCTTCCTGGGTGAAGAGATTATTGGAATCATTGGTCTGTTGCCCGCAGGCGCACCAGGAGCGCTTCCAGAACTGCCTACCATCGTTCATTGGAATGTTGCTGTCAAACATGAGAAGTACGCCAACGACTTACTTACGGCTGCTCTGACTGAAGCTCGGGGGAAGCGTTACAAAAAGATTGCAGCCTACTTATTTTCGACCGATAAAAGGGTCCAAATTACACTTTTAAAGAAGGGATTTGTAGAGACCTCCCGTGTTGCGTTCCACTGGATGTCCTTTTTCGGGCTTCGCGAACTTGTTCTTGAGCGTCAACCCTAAGTCTCAACTTAACGGAATGCATGACATATACGGCCCTGAAGCACTTTAACTTAATCCTATATATGAGTAAAACAAAACTGTTTCTTGTGAGTCGCAATCTTCGTTGGTCGGTAGTGTGCCCTAAAGTTACGGATGTAAATTATGGAAGAAATGCAATTCCTCCTCTCAGTTCTAGCTAAACAAATTACACCTTATAAAGAAGAGATGTTACTCAACTATATTTTTTTTATTAAGTATTTGCCCCATGGGTGTAATTGGAACCCCATCGCAGATGGCGACCGCCTTTCGCTTGCTTGTGTAATAGAGTATATAATTCGGTTACTAATAGTCGCCCACACCTGCCGTCCACAATCATCCACAAAATACATTTCAAGAAAAATTGTTAGTTTTTTACTCATAGACGATTAGTGCTGTGGTTAAGAACACTTTTTATAAGTTCTTTCTCGTTTTTGAGCGTTTAATTACCTCCCGTCGAAGAGTCATATACCACTGCAGTATCAGCATTAAAACAGTCGAATATCTTTTTTTTTGAAAGCTAGAGGATATTAGGAACATAATTGTTTTATCCTGAATTGCCGATATTGTCTTATGAACCTCTCCTCAGCAAAAAGACGGTTTACTCGAAAATAGTCAAGGGAAACTTGAATAATTTAGAACAACAAACCAACAAAGCACTGAGGTTTCATATCTCAACAGAAACCGGTATAAAAGTCTCGTAACGGACGTTAAAACTAACAGTTTTTAAAAGTGATTATGAACACAAACGAACACGATATGGCTACAGAGCTGGATAACGATATGTTCTCAAATCCAGAAGACGAGAGCCATGATGTTTCTTACAGAAGTGCAGGGGCGCAATTGAATGGCAATGGCGATGATTTTGACATTCATGTAATTGATAGCGACGCACCTGCCCATGAACATATGACTTCCTCTGTTGACGACCACGATGAAGGTGTGTCAGATGAGGAGGAGGACGAAGAAGAAGAAGAAGAAGAAGAAGAAGACGAAGCAGTGGACGAAGATATGAGTGGTGAAGATGACCACAGGTATAACAACTATTACTCTGAGTCATATGAATCAGACGAATCAGAAGTAGATATGAGAAGGCAGTTGCGACGGGGCCAGTCTAATAATCCCACTCAAGACTCCTCTACTTTTCCTCTTGACGAATTTGAAAATAGCGTGCGTCGTTTTTTTACTTTCTCCCGACAAGAGGGGTCGCAGCTTGGATCGACCCTTGGCAGATTTGCTCCCTTTGGCAATTTACCCATACAATTTCGTCAAATTCTCATTGGTCTTACCGATGACTCAGATCCTTCCGCACAAATGGTCGCATTGCAGGAGCTTTCAGAAATATTGGTAATCAGTACAGAAGATATTTTACAAGGCTTATTCTCAGTGGAACCCTTCGTTCGTGAGTTTAACCATATTCTTGCAAATAGCTCTTCTATGGAATTAATGCTCATGTGTATGACATGCTTGTCTAATATGCTGGAAGCTTTTCCTTCCTCAATTGCCGTCGTTGCCAATAGTCCAATTGTCAGCACTCTGTGTGTCAAGATGTTCGATATGCAGTACATTGATATGACTGAACAAGCCCTCAACATCCTTCTCAGAATATCAGAAAAGTTTGGAGACCGCATCGTTACCAACCGTGGTTTACTAGCTGCACTCCAATACTTGGATTTCTTTTATACGGGCGTTCAGCGTGTAGCCATCTCCATGGCAGCCAATTGCTGCAAATTCTTACGCGAAAAAGATGTGGATCATGTGAAAGAAGCATATCCACATTTAATTACCGCGCTTCAAATGGCCGATACCACGGTCCGTGACAAGGCTTACGAGTGCGTGGAGAATATAATGATTGCTTTTGAGGACAATCATGATATAATGAAAAGTTTTGTGAACACGGATTTGATAAGCTCTATCGTCGCTTCACTCGAAACCTCCCAATTCTCCAAAATGCAAACAACCTCGCAACCTCGCCTTTTCAGTATTTTGACCTGCATTTGTTCTGTTTCGGAAAATTACGTGCAGCCTCTCTTGGAAATGCATTTGTCCGATATCATATACGAATTGCTATGTGGCATTCCACCCCCGGAATCGTTTTCGCATAATTCGATGGTTGCAATGCAAAGTTTGTTCCATTGTCCAAACGAGCTGATTAGCAATGTCCTCAGTCTCATCTGTTCTCTTCTTCAGAATTGTCCAGAAGTTAGTAAAACCGGAGAAAATAGTGCGGGAACGACAAATGCTTTGGTTCGTACTCTTCTCCCCGTCGTTATGGACATTTATTCAACCACAACTGATAAACACAATCGTGAACTAGCAGTTATTGCCGCTCTCCGAATGATTAATAGCGTTGACAATGAGTGTCTGCAAGCAACGGTTAAAAGTCTTCCTATCTCAGCTTTCTTGGCTTCCATTTTGACACTTAAATCAAAGGAATATGCTCTTTTAGAAAACGCGCTATTAATGGCTATTGCTTTGTTGGAGCGTATGCCGGAAATTTACAAAGATTTGTTTATAAGAGAGGGCGTTGTTCAAGAAGTCTCCTATATGAGCAGTGCACTGTCGGCAGAACTAAAAAAGCTGAGACGTGATTCCTCTGGTTCTTACGAAAATGTTTTTCAGCTTGGCATGTTACAGAAGTGGGAGAAGTCGTTTCTCTCCTTCTACAGAGATGACGAACTGGTTAATCCGACATTGGAAAAATTGACCAAATTTGCGAAGTCACTCGTATATGAAAATGATTATGAACGTGTATTCGCGCACCTGGTTGAAGTCTACGAACAACGACTTCCAGTGACAAGTTATGAATTACTTCAATCTGGACTTATCCCTTCTCTCCTTAAATTATTGTCAAAGGGATCTGTTAGCGTTGTCCGAAAATTCTTCCAAGCTTTCAACAAAGGTGACGAACATCATGTACTGGACTTTACTAGTGGGTCACTTTCACGGTTTATTACAAGCCTTCAAGAACTCCTTTCCAGAATTGAAAAGTTTGAGATTTCAATAATACCCACTAGTTCTCCTTCTCAAAACTTGGGATTCTTATCCAAGCAGTATAGACTAAAGCTTGTCCCCTCCCCTACTGTGAATGAGAGTCTTGGTTTACGATCTTTCATGGTTTCCATTAACGGTTTGGATTCGCTGTCTACGCTGGAGGATTACATGAAAGGAAAACTCTTCTCTAGAAGAACTCTTGAGAACCGCTTGTCTTCTCTTCATGAGGGCACGGCCACACCCATTGGAAATACATCGCTTACAAACCGTATTGCTAATGAGGAGGACTCTGCATCCAATCGTAGTCCAAGTGTTAATCATGATGCCTCTCCAACTGATTCACAGTCTAGCTCCTCGGATACGCACCTTTCTTTTTATTTTGACGGTAAGCCTGTGAACAAGAATTTCACCATCTTTAAAGTTATACTGGAATCATTGAAACCGAAAGGGAAATGTTCTATGGATGACGTTTTGAATGCGTGCATAACCCTCAATTACAACATTTGCACAAGTGCAGACGAACCAGAAGTTACGCCTACAGTAGAAGCCTTTCAATGTAACCCAGATCTCACCAATGTGCTTCAACTTCTAAAAACAATCTACGACTACCTCAGTGACCTGGAATCTGTTTTTCCAAGTCGGCATTTAATCGGTAGCTTAGAAAATCTTCTTACTGAATTCAACAATTGGAAACTTAGTGCCAAGCTGAATCGTCAACTTGAAGAACCTTTAATTGTGTTGCACCAATGTCTTCCTCGTTGGTGTTTACATATTGCATCTAATTATCCGTTTTTGTTTCCTTTTGAGACTAGGTATATTTTGCTTCAGTTTACGGCCTTTGGTATGGGGCGAGCTATAAATTACTGGCTTTCAGTTCATCCGGTACAAACAAATGACGAGAATTCAACTGTTCTACAGCTTGTCAAACTAAATCGTCAAAAGTTACGAATTTCAAGGAATCAGATTTTTGAGTATGCAAAACAAGTACTCTTTTCATTTGGCTCCTCTAAAAATATAATTGAAATTGAGTATGAAGATGAAGTCGGCTCTGGCCTTGGTCCCACACAAGAGTTTTACACTACGGTTTCCAGAGAATTTACCAGGAAGCATCATCATATGTGGAGGGATGACAATCAAACATCTAACTATGTTCATAGTGCTACAGGCCTCTTCCCCGCGCCAATGTCTCATGCAATCGGTGCAAACGAAAAAATCTGTTCACTCTTCAAGATGCTGGGCCAATTCATCGCGCGTTCACTTTATGACTCTCGTTTGATTAGCGTGCAATTAAATCCGTTAATCTTTGAAGAGACAATACCGTTAACTTTAAGTTCTGTCAGTAAAGTTGACAAGGAGCTTGGTAAATCTCTTCGTTTCCTTGAACGATTGCTTGCTCGACAACAAGCTGGATTCACTGCTGTGCCCACAGAGACAAAAATTGAGGATCTCTGCTTGGACTTTACACTTCCAGGCTATCCTTCTGTTGAATTGATACCAAATGGTAGAAATGTTCAAGTATCTCACAAAAATGCCAGCAAGTACATTTCTTCTATAATTGATTTTACCGTTGGAAAGGGAGTTCAGCTACAAATCCAGAATTTCCGAGAGGGCTTCAGTACAGTTTTCAACTACGAATCATTAAGAATTATTACGTCTCATGAATTATCTATGCTGTTTGGCAAAGTTGAAGAAGATTGGAGCTTCGAAACAATTGCAAAGTCAATTGTTGCTGACCATGGTTATAATATGGAGAATACTACAATTCATAATCTCATCGAGGTTATGAGCAACTTCTCTTTTTCTGAACAACGAGATTTCCTTCAATTTATCACTGGTAGCCGCAAGTTACCTATTGGTGGCTTTTCCAGTCTACATCCAGCTCTGACAGTTGTTCGGAAGCTGAATGAACCCCCCTACGTTCCTGATGACTACCTACCAAGTGTCATGACCTGTGTTAATTATCTCAAACTTCCGGAATATTCGTCCAAAGAGATTCTCAAACAAAAGCTAATGTTAGCCATGAAAGAGGGTCAAGGAAGCTTCCATTTATCTTAACAAGCATGACCGATGTTCAGTGAAGATTTTGATAATCCTAACTCATAGTTGAAAACGACCTTAATGAAAAATTCATGACCTTTATTAAAAGTTATCTACTATACTTACAATAATCTCGTATGTGTCAGTTGTCCATTGATGCATATCATCCGCGGAGGTCTTAAGTAGCAGTAGTGAATGTTTAGAATATTAAAGCTCAATCACTAAGATTTTACTAATAGTAATAATACCGGTCAAGCCTGACCTAAAAGAGGGTTTCAGAAGTTCATACTGGGTAATGTAGCATGAAAGAATATCTATAAGAAAAACAATGCATGAAAAATACTATCTCACACCCTTACGGGAATGAAACGCCTTTTTCTTAGAGGCGGAAGATGAAGATGATGATGATGCCTTGGACGAGCCCTCTCGTCTTTGTTCACCATAGGTATTATTGAGAATTTCAAGCTCACTCTTCACTCTATCACTAGAGAATTCTGAGGACTGTCTGCCATTTGAATCAGCATTCGGATCGCCCTTGTAGTTCTGCTTCGAAGAACCATTTCCAACAGCTTTCCTGCGAATACCCGGAGCAATAGATGCCGTGTTGGTTTTGGAAATCAAGTCGAGGTAGCTGTACATGAAGTTACTAAGAAGCACTTGCTGCAGCAATGGTCTCCGTGGATTAGATAACTTAATGTGAGAAAGTCTATAGATGGCTCGCTCAATATAGATAGGGAAACGCGACCAATTCTGCTGGTGGTTTGTACGATTATGAGGGGTCTTGAAGCTGCTGTTTTTAGGATTTTCTTTTTTCAATGGTTCATTAACTTTGCTTGAGTCCTTACGTTTGCCATTGCCGGAATAGGTGTATTTCTTAGGCTTTGGAACTGGAGGAGGAGTGGTCACATTTGAAGTGGGAGAGTTTTGCGAGCTTTTCTTTTTATTCCCAAATAATGAATTCAGAAAAGTGGCATCCTTATCCTTCTTGGTATAATGACCAGATTCTGAGGAAGAAGAAGATTCGGCGTTCTTACCCTTCTTCTTCGACTTATCTTTCTTTGCCTCCTTCTCCTCTTCCGAGGAAATGAAAAGACGACCCCATGACTTCTTTGGCTTCTTGCTGTCTAAGGGTTGTGTGATGGGTTGGGTCGTAGAAGATGGGGGGTTTGAGGAAGAAACTTGGTTTTTGATGCTGTGAGTGCCAACCGTATGGGTTAACACAGGGCGTTGGGGAATTGGAGGAGGTGTTCTAAGGGAAGCCCGCAGATTGGGTGAGCTATAAGACTTCGGTATCGTCGAAGAAGCCTGCTTCGGAGTTTCAGAAAGAGAGATGGGTTTAGGAACATCCTTCTTAACAATAGGCTGCGGGGCTATAATGGGTGCAGCCGGCTTGGAAGTTAACTCTTTTGGTTCCGGTTCGACTTCTTGAGTTGTCTGCTCAGCAGGCTTTGATAAGGGAGAAACATCCTTATGAGCTATTGTAGCGGGAGCAGCAGGATCGGTGGGTGTAGTGGCCTTCGTATCCCCAACTGTTCCTGAGGAGCTGGTAGCGCGTTGACTGGAGTTGGACGAAAGAAGTGAAGCCTTTCCACGGTGAACTGTACGAATAGAAGCGCCACTTCTTCTAATAGTAGTTCGGGATGAACGCTGAAGGAACTGGCTTGGAACCAAGAGTAGAGGTTGGTCTTCACCTGCACTTGAGTTGGCTCCCGTGTTTTGACCATTAGACAGTTCGGCAACAAGACTGCGCATGATGCTGGGATTACGGGCCAAGGTTTCCACGCGCTCAAGCTCACTAAGTTTTAATGAGCGTGAGCGTTCAACATTCTGTTCCTGAATAAAAGGGGCAGCATCATGATACGAAGAAGCACCTTCTTCTGGATTAATCTGATGAGACAGAAGAGACCGGCGACGCCGAAGAGTATTCGAACGCGCAGTAGGGTTCGGGGCAGATATCACAGCTTCAGAGTTCTTCAAATTAGAAACCTGGTTGTCCAAGAAGGACTTCCAGCCATTGGGATTAAGCTCGGGATGAAGACTTGCAGGAACCCAGAAAAGAGTAGAAGCATCATTGCTAGATTGAGGAGGCTGCATGGCCGCCTCTAACTCAACCGGCAGGTCAGGGTCAGGAATTGGGCTTCCTTCCAGTGACCGCCGCCATAACTGTTTGAGATTAGCACGTTCCATGTCTACCTCCTCCTCCGTCAGACTCTCTGGAACGGGAGCAATCGCCTCGGCAGTTGCTTCAGCTGTTGCTTCAGCTGTTGCCTCGGCAGGAGGAGCCACAGACTCCACGGCCTTAATCTCAGTCTCAAGAATGGGAGAAGCTAGGATGCTCGAGTCAGAAGTAGGTGACGGGGATGAATCTCGCGAAGCAGACCCACTCATACCCCTGTCCTCAACATCTTCGATAAAAGAGGATGATTCAACGGATGAAGCAGAAGATGAATCGGAAGAAGGAGGAAGAGGAGGAGGACTGCAAGGCAGAGGAGGGGTAGTGAGAGCCTCATGTGGATTGGAAAGCGCAGAGGGACTCATTTGTACGGCAGTTGTCGTTTGACAAGAGTAATTGCTCAACATCACGAACAAATAATCCGCACAAAGTCAAGGCAAAACCAAAAAAGTCCCTTATGGCAGTGTAAGGTTTAAATAATAGAGATGCAATGCAGTAGAAAAAGATAATAGCAGAGTAATGAGTTTCTTAAACAACACGAAGTAGGAAGCAGGTTTGAAGGAATGCGATCAGTTGTGAGGAGTAGAACAAAAGCGTTTCAGTTCTTACGGTGGAGGAATCAAATGCCTGGAATAGCAGCAAAATAGCCTTGAATTGTTTTAAAACACAAACTTGAGGCCGGGGAAGGCTGAAGAAGGGAATTAAACTCGCAGATTCGTAAACGCACGGATAGGCTCACGCGTACACAAACAAAAACAAACCGATTAAGGAGCTCTTTTAAGAGGTGAAGACGGTGGTAGTAGATGTGAAGATACTAGCTAGCAAAATCATTCAAAAAGCTGCTATCATAAGAACAAAAACGGCTAGTATCGTCGATTGCTTCACAGACGTCAATAAAGGGAGCTACAATGCACCGAGACGTGTAAACCTGGTAGAATACTCTTTTCAGGAAACACACACGTCCACACAGCTTCCGAAGGCAAGTCACGAACAACGCTGGGAATTCCCTACAGGAATACGTTTCGCTGCCGAACAAGCAGAATCGCTCTCCGTGTACAGTACTCCTGTGCTTATGATGAGAACTTTATAATTCTTAGACGCACAAAGGCACAGGATGTCGCAGAATGAACACAGACACTGTTGCAAATGGGTTGATGTTGCTCGCTGGTGGAGCGTTTCCGGCAAACGAATTAGGTCTTCCGCTTTCTGGTGGAGCGTAAATCAGTGGAGAAGGTTTACGGATCGTGCAGATCATTGTGGGGTGAACAGGCGATTGATCGGCTAAATTGGGGATTACGTAAACGAGAAGCGAACAGCAAACGAAGTTGGCGAGAGTAAATGTTTGCAATAAATAGGGCAATTTCAGTGAGATTAGGACATATGGAGAATGGAGGATCTTGAAAGAGTGTGCTGTATTTGTCCCTGGATCTCTATCTATATAGGTAGATGTGTTGTGTATTTTCATCTAGAATCCATTTGAAACTGTCGCTTCTTCGTTCGAACCTATGTCATCGCTTTTAAAGGTTATTTTATTGACTTATTAGTAGTGTGTGTGTGTGGTCTATTTCTTCAAGTAATTCCGGCCCACTTTTCTGTCATCATTTCACACCGTATTTCAGTGAGTTCATATACTTGTATTTTTTTTTAATCACATGTGCTTCTGTATTGTCGTAAGTATTCCTTTCAGTTTCCCCCGATTTTGTAGGGATTTTCAACTAAAAGCTACTCAAAGAACCGTTTTCATTTGCGGCAGTAGCGTGTACCTTATATTATTCTGTATCCAATAATAAGTGATAAGTCATATTTTGCGAAAAGTGCTTGATCGCATGATGACGTTTTACAGAACTTGTAGGCGACATTCCGTCTCAAAAAAAAAGCAGCAGCGTACCAATTCTCAATTCCAAGGCCACAGCTTAATCGGACCGACGGAAACGTTCTTATCATTTTAACAACTACGTTCAGTTCAATTCACTGCTAAACTTAATTCCCTGTATTTTAACTTTCTAATACCGCCGAAACAACCTTATTCCATTTACGCAAACACGAAAGCTTTGTAGCTCAAAAGTGTACTGTAAATGCGAATAAATACACATAGATACAATTTCGACAACACTCTTGTCACAACATGAAGTCTTCTGCAAAACACCTTTTCGGGAGAGCATACCGTGTTACGGTTTTTGGAGCCGGACTCGGCTCTCTGTATCTTGGTACTAATGCAGTGCTGGGGCGTCACCGTATGTTGAGTGAGTCCTCAGAAACTGATAATCCTCCAAAAAACTTTCCTATCCATTTGCAACACATGTCCACAGGCGAATTGCTCAAGGGGGCATTTATTTACGAGGTGTGCTCTCAAAGATGGCTAATCAACACATGCATTCATGCAATGCATTTATGTGACAAACTTCATCTCCCATTGCTATACACGACTGTTTGTCGTCATTCCTTCTTCCAGCATTTTTGTGGGGGCGAAACGATGGAGGCTGTCGCAAAGCGAATAGTCGAACTAAATCAAAACAGAGTCCTTGCGTGTCTTAATTACGCACGCGAAGTGAATCTTCCCAAAGACTTGGACGAAGATACCACTAGTCTCAATTCCCTATCACCAAACAAGCTGCCAGAACCCGTAAAGCAGCCAAGCAATGAAGAACAAATGCAGCTCACTCGGATAGCTGAAGATGCGCTACTGCAAAATAAGCGCACAATCATGCTCGCATCAAAACATCCTGGTTCCCTATATGCAGGCAAGTTCACGCCGTTTATTAATCCACTAGTACTCCAACGGTACGGTTCATTACTAAATCACGTTTCCGCAGATTCGGCGCCTAGCTTTATAGCTCATTTGAAGCATCCGGAGCTGACAGACTACGAGCGCTCGGAACTGTGTCGTTTCTGGAATTATGCGGAACAACTATGCACACTGGCCTGTGAAAACGAAGTGAAAGTTTTTGTTGATGCTGAACAAAGTAACTTTGAAGGCTGTATACATGCCTTAACACTCGACTTGATGCGACTACACAACAGAAAAAGAGCAATTGTTCACGACACTTTCCAAATGTATTTGAAGAAGTCACCGGAGTTTCTCCAGAGCGCTGTACAACTCGCCATCAAAGAAAAATGGTGCTTTGGTGTAAAGCTTGTCCGCGGTGCCTATCTGGAGTCGGAGCCGCGACATCTTATTTGGGATACAAAGGCCGAAACGGACAAGGCGTACGACAATGCCGTGAACTTCGTGTTCGAGGAAGCCGCCAAACACGCTCGAGGTGCGACGTTCAAAAACGAAAATCAGTTAACAAACGACGATGGAAAATGGGGCCTTATGATTGCTACGCACAACAAGACCTCGGTGTATGACACCATTAATAAAATAAGCTTGAGAGCAAATGATTTAAACCGAGTCACCATTTACCTTGCACAATTACTCGGAATGGCAGATGACATCACTTATGCAATTGCTCATCAAGACAGCCCACACTTTTATGTTGTCAAGTATGTTTGTTGGGGAAAGCTTGCTGAAGCCCTTCCGTATCTGGTACGGCGAGCCGAAGAAAACTCTAGCTCTCTTAACCGAGCAGTTGAAGAGCGATTTTATTATCGGGCAGAACTTTCCCGTCGCCTTAAGAGCGTCTTTAAGAGTTAACTACATCACCCAAAAAAATACTATTCTCATTATTATCACAGCTAGTTGGTTGTCTGTGTATCGCTGTATACCCGTATAAATCTCATCCATACCACCTCATTCTTGGTGTTTCCCCCACACCTCTTCCCTCTTCTCTATATTAAGGTTTTCGGTAATTACGGTTCACGCGCAACCGCGAACGCACTTGCGATTCATGCGACGCGTTGAGGCGCACATATTGGCAAGCAGACATACGTCATTGTTTGATTAAATAGGATGAATATATACATAAATATCTATGGAAATAAAATACATAAAAACTATAGACACAGCTCAAACATTGTCGACGAGAGAGAACCATTGTGTCGTAAAGAAGATAAGAAGCGCAGAAAACGAAGGAACACGACATGTGTCATACATGTCGGAGCACCATTCCAGGAGTACATATGTGGCAAAAAACAGCAGCTTTTTTCGTGTTTATTGCGTCACGCGTCAAAGAAAGCGGTCGATTTTGCACTTGATCAAGCGCGAACGCGACGCGTCGAAAAGTTATAAAAGGCAGGTCTGTCGCCTTTCTGCTCGCCGGTTTTTGCAATTTGCATGTACAGTGCCCTCCAAATGGGAGGGGTATCCCATTTGTGAACACCGACAAATGTTGGCTTGCCGAGAGCCGGTACAAGGCTCTTGGCGTATGAGCCATGATGCACACTGCACTGCGGATGCGTGTTGTCGTCTGTAGTGTCGGGCATTGGTGAACTCAACAAGGACTACGCCGTAGTCCTTTCTTGCATGCGAGTTCTTTGTGACTCGCGTTCAACGAAATCTCCGACGCCATGCCTTCATATGCGTCATGTCGTCGATGTATCCTACTCTGGGGTACTTCTGCAGTGCTAGATTAGCATTGAATATATTTTCATTTACATGCAGGTGACATGTAGATCGTATAGAACACGCTGGTGTGTACGAATGCGTCTGTAGCAAAGCAGCCTGTCAAAGCGTACACAAGTGGGAGAATGGGTAACTCGAACGGAGTGGCTTTTGCATGTACAATACGTACGTGTTCATACACACGCTTCACTTACCTTGTCGAAGAAACGAAACCACTTGTCTAGCGCGATCAGCTGTTTTTCTGAAAGACCATCCGTAACTGGCACACAATCTGTCTCAGCGAGACTCGTCTTAGCCAATGCGCGGCTGGAATCACGGCCTGTAAACACGGCGTATGGTTTCCCAGGGTTGTAAAGAGGATTGCCAGAGACGTCGAAGACAATCCCCTTAACAGCCACGTACGTTGGTGTCGAGGTCACGTTTGCACCGTAAAGACGAAGTTCTTCTGCGCTGAACTCTCTGTTCGTCGTCGACATGGTCGAACAGTTGAGAGGGAAAGAACGTGGAGTGGGTGGTAGCGTATTTCTGCTGCTCGCAAGTGAGTGGGAGTGTGTGTGGGAAACGAGATGAATTTATGTGGCGGACACTGCCGCAAGCCTCTTCCAACCAAAACTCATAGTTTCTGTTCTCAGACCCTGCGAAAGAAGAGCGTGTTGAAAAAAGTCATAAACCGCTCTGGTTGTTCCACTGTTCGTTCGCTAACACTCCCACAAAATGACTCACTCCCCGTCCTTTTTTCCATTTAAGGTTTACCCCGCAGTCACCTGGAAAGCGTCATCCCCACGCTGACCCGCGGCCTGCGACTGGAGGTGTCGCGTATTCTCACGCGAGTCGCCAGGTACCTGGAAATCGCAGTCGGCCACACCCTCAGCCCTCCACGTTGGCATCGTCTACAAGCTCACGCTCCGACGCGACCGTTTCTATTGCAAACATATGCAAATCACACACGCACTGTTGCTCGTCGAATGAATTCGATCGCGCGGCTCTCAAACGAAATTAACAAGGCCCTTCTCACGATCCCAGTCGAGAAACATGCAGGCGCCGCTTCCAAATATCGCCGTAGTTCACATGCAGCAGTTGACGAGGACTCTGTAAATGAATATGACCACAAACAAGACCACATCGACAGTGTCGAAGAGCGCTTGTCAAGTTCTGACCAGCGGCAGCAAACACTTCGACAACGTCAACTTCAAAACGAGGAGCGTCTGAATGAGGATGACAATCGTGATGGCTCAAATTTTGTACAACAACCTCGACCAGGACTCGTTCATCTCGTTTTTTACGGTGTCCGAATGCTGCTTCGTCGCCTATGCTCAATTATTGTGAGTCTTTGGCGCAGTTTTTTCCATCTTTTCGTTACGGATAACAACCGTCTCACTCCTATGAGCTTAGCTCGAGGTTTATTACGACTTCTCTTTCTTCCTGCTCTGCGTTCTCGCCGGCCGCGACGAGGACGTCAGCAATGGCGGAATGTTCCCCAGTCTTCAGCTCGACACGCCCATCGCCAACTGATGCCACTCTTTACTCATTACAGCGAAGACATGCTAGCTGCATCTACCGATGCCAGCTCAGGCACATCGACAGCAACAAATGCTGCCAGTGTCAATGTCCACATCAAGATCAATGACAGCGCCAGTGCAAGTGCTCGTTTGCATGAGCGGTTGGCGTCTGTCGCTTCACAGCAGCTCAAATCGCCAAACACTTCGTCTTCTGTGTCTGCGGCTGCATTTCCCTCTTTTCTACGTATCAAGGCAGACTTGCTGCCTCGCACATTACTGTTGCCAAAACCACCACGGAAAACACTCGTGCTCGACCTCGATGAAACACTCATTCACTCCGTCACTCGTGGCTCTCGTACCAGTTCGGGCCACCCCGTTGAAGTTCACATCCCCGGCCAACATCCCATTCTCTACTTCATTCACAAGCGTCCGCATCTTGACAAATTCCTAGCTAAAGTGTCGCAGTGGTACAGACTGGTTTTGTTCACCGCATCGGTCCAAGCATATGCAGACCCAATTGTCGATTACTTGGAGCGCGACCACAAGCTGTTTGATGCACGATATTATCGCCAACATTGCAATCTTGTGGACAGCACTTATGTCAAGGATATCAGCATATGCCGCACCCATCTCTCACGCATAATGATAATCGACAACTCCCCTTTCAGTTACAAGATGCACCAAGAGAACGCTATCCCTATTGAGGGTTGGATTAGCGATCCCTCTGACAACGACCTTTTGCACCTTCTGACCTTTCTCCATGCCATGCAATTTGTGCACGACGTCCGCTCGCTATTGCACCTACGAACCAAGTAAAAACAGCAACAATAGCGGCGGAAGATGAAACTTCAACCCACCTACTCAACCTTTATGCCATACCTGCCGCTACTATTACAGCTACTAAACCAGTAGACACCATCTCGCTCTCTGGCCCTCTCTCTTTCTCCCGAAATTAGTTTTTGTCCTTTCTGAAACACCCCGTTCTTAACCATTCCCTTTACGATCCATTTCATTGTCATTTTCTGCCCAAAAAAAAAACCCATTTTAGTGCATTGCACTCCTTGACGCAACCACGCGACGTTAATGAAACTTGATACTTTTGACAAGACCAGCCTTGATACCGCTTTGTTCGCCCATGTAACCATGTGTGGGTGCGCCCTTGAAAATGGCCTTCTTGCTTGCAAGCTTTTTCTTGGCCTTCTCGTAGCGCATGCGCTTTTTGAGACGAGGATTGCGGTTGATTTTGGCACGGAAGGGTGTAAGACCCTTGTTCTTTTCGATGTCCCGAGTAATGCCACGCTTCTCACCATCTTCGACCGATAACAACTCGGGATGCCGCATAGCACGCACAAGGTCGCGCTCTGAATCGTGCTCGGCCTTCTTGGTCTGTTTGGCTGCCCGTTTGTCTTTAGCGAGAGAGTCGTAAAATGCGAGTGCATCTTCATCCAGATCGGGACGCTCGGCGTTGATGGGCAGCTGCTCTTGCTCAGGATCCACATCATCCAAGTCTGCACCGTCCGTTTTGGTTACGACCACGCTCTGCGGCCTCACGCAGCAAACGCTGTTGACGCTCAAAACGACGCTCCTTGAAAGGAAGGTCTGTATCACCCGTTTGCTCTGCTTGAGCCCGCAATCTTTTGGCGGCCTTTTGATCAATCTGGCTAGCGTAGAAGCGCAGTGTCCGCTTGCGTTGTATTTTGTCCTCCGCATCCAATTCATCCAATTCGTCATTTTCACCAAAGTCATCGACCACCAAAGCATTCTTGCGTTTGCCTTTGGCTGCCTTTGCTTGACGGAACTTGGATTCAATAGACTCAGACGCATCAGAAGCGAATGAAGCATCAGATCCGGCCTCTTCTTCTTCGTCAAAAGCGTCCACTTCAACGCCTTCATCTTCTGCCTCGTCATCACTTTGAGGTTGCTCAATTTCGGCTTCCGCATCAAGCTCTTCTTCTTCGCTCTCCTCCTCTTCCTTAAGACCTTCAAAACGCTTCCAGGTTTCACGACAGCGAACCAAGTCAACCATGAGGGGATGACTCTTCACATCATCTTCTCCTGATTTAAGCAATGCAAAATAGAAAATAAGAGAAGCGACGTATGCACCCAAAGATGTGCACTGGGCTTCGAGAAGCCGTGACTCGGGAGCATCGTGTCTTTGCTGCTGCAGCTCATCCAAACGTGGTCGTAAGGTTTTAAGTTCTTGCGCAAACAGCTCAAATTCAGGATGCTTAACTTTGAGAATACGCTTCAGCTCAGAAACCGGAGTCTCAGGCGAGATGGATTGGCCAAGCTGTTCAATTGCAGCAACACTGTTATCGTCAATAGCTGCAGAGTCTTGGGAAGCAGCCTTGTCGTTCCAGCCGCTCAAGTCATCCATGGCATCCTCTTCAGACAAACGCTGCAGACGTTTCTTTTGTAAACGCAAAGCCTCGCGTTCTTCCATCTTCGTGTCGACTTCCTCATCTCCGGACGAGAATTCATCTGCCTCTGGCTCACCGTCCTCACCGCCATAGTACGCTTTGCGTGAATGACCCCAGCCTTGTTGATCAAACATTTCCTGTTCGTCTAACGGTTGTTTTTCATTGTCGCTGCTGTCGTCTGAGATAACGTCCTCTTCGTCGTCATCCGACGAAGTCTCCAAACCCATGACCTCTTCATCGCTAAATTCATGGGCAACAGCACTGCGCGAACCACGGCCAGCATTGTCATCGTCGAAAAGAATCTTGTCCTGTTTCGCGTAAAACTCGTCCTCCGACTCGGCGACGTCGTCGTACGTTTCGATGGCATCGACCTTTTGTTTCTCGTCAATCTCAAAGCTGGGTGCATCGCGCGACCCAGACTTGCTGGATCTCGACTTTTTCCTGGCCATGTTTGGTGTAGGCGTGTGTGTGTGGGAAGAGAAATTTGCCCTCAAGGCGAGCTGCGACAAAAATGGTGAAGGTCAAGTTTGGTGGTGGTTATGTGCCACCACAGTACGCTGTTGCTGAACGCATGAAGCGAAGTTACTTTCGAATCTATGAAGGTAAAATCTAAGACAGCCATTCCAAGAAGGAACTGTTACTATTCGAGTCGCTGACAGCAATTCTACAATGCGGGACACACATCATCCTCAACTCAAGCTTACTGGGCTGTCTTCTTGGTCAATTGGATGAGTTGAAGTGCACGCTCCACTCTTGCTAAAGCAGAGTCACACGTATGATCAGTTGGGAGCGGAAGCTCACGTTCGATCAACTGCTCCAATTGACCAACAAGTCGGCCATAAACGGTTGAATTGGTTACCAACGATGTCGTAGACTCAGCAATCCCTTGGTCATCACAAGCCATGTCCGTAACTCCCTCACCAGGCTCTGACGCATTCTGTTGCGGCGTTGCAGCCGGTACTTTTTCCTCCTCCTGTTTCAGTTGTTGCTCTCGCTGCTTCTCCTGTTTTTTTTCTGGCGAATCACAGAGGACGCAAAACTCTGGTTCGTTGCGAAGTCTCATCAACGGAGTCTTGGAGCATGTCGCACACACTGTGTCCAACAGCGTATAGCCTTTCAGCATGTATTGGCCCAGTTGTTTTGACACAATGTCCCAGTCAGTCATTTTTGGAGTGTTGGACTTGCCAAGTTGGTTACAGCCTTGGCCGTGGCGAGGAACGCCGAAACAAGCGAACGTTCCTCCAAGGACTGAATTGCAAGCACTTAAACGAATTTTGAGACTTTCCAACTTTACAACAAGCACTCACACACAAACACTCCCCTCCTTCATAGTCCTCTTCATAAATGAATTCACATTAGACAACTCTATTCTTTTAATAATCGCCAGACATGAGCTAACGAGGTTGAAACACACCTGTGTCTCGTGCACTCGAATGTGCTCAAGCTCTCGCCTGACGTTTGACCTGCTCAGCGGCCCACCGAGCAAGATCCTTGGTTTGTTGTGATGTGGACTTAGCTTTGCCAATGCTGATGAGTTGTTGTACCCAATCGGCGGCGAAGAACGATTTAAGCTCACCTTTGGGGAATGACTCAGCCAAATCGCCCAACAGACCAAGACCACCGCGCACAAGGCTCTCGCTGCTCTCGTTGTCAGCAGTGATAGTGCTCAATAAACCAAACATTCCATGGACATAAGGATGAATAGCATTCACATGGTGACCTGAGCGAACAGCTTGTGTGATACCGACGTAGGCCTCAACAATTCCCAACCGCAAGGCATCAACATAATCGAACATATCAAAACCAGCACCGGCAGGAACTTGTACTGCAGAAGCTTGTTGAAGCAGCAACATTACAGTCTCAAGATACTTTTCAAAGCCAGTGCCAATCGCCAAAGCAATGTCACTGAAGCATGAAAGAATAGCAGGCTTGACGTTGCGATCAAGCACAGTGCTTTGCAAGTCTTGAACCAAACGGCTCATAAAATCGTCGCAGTATGGGGCAATCTTCTCGTTCAGAGCACGAGCCAGATCGCCAACAAGACCAACAGCAACAGAACACAATTGGTACTCCTGTTCGTTACTCAAAGCCTCGCACAAGAATGGAACGAAAGACTGCGTGTATACCTCAAATTGGTCATCAAGAGCGTTCATAAGAGCACCTACAGCCAAGAAAACATCCTCATGCACAACAGATTGCTTAGGAGCCATTTGCATGGTCTGTAACAACAGGGTCATAATATGATCAGAAGAAGAACGAATCTCGATACCAAAACGACGAATAATGCTGGTCAGCGTGTTGCACAAGTTAGACTGCAGTTCCTCATGATTAGTGCGATCTTCAACACCGAGAAGTTGAGATTGCATTTGAAGAGCTCCCTCCAGGCGAGCAAGAATAATGTTAAGCACATTAGAGATCATGGGAAGTACACCATTAGAGCTGAAGGTAATAACTGTAGAAAGTGTTTCGTAAGCAGATGTGCGGGAGTTGTTTTCATTGCCCTTTTGCTCAGTGATGTGTAAAAGGGCGGCAATCATGGCTTCATAGAACGGAGTCATGAGCGATGTTTGCTGCGTGTCAGCAGGAGCAAAGTGACACACAAGATTCATAAGTGCCCAGCAGCAGTTGGCAACAATGCGAGGATTGTCGGCCAAACCAGAGAGCAAGGCGGAAACAAGGTTGGGAAGGTGGACTTCGGGAATAATGGCATCGGCGACAAAGCTGGAAATTTGGCCCAGCGCCCAAGCCGTGGTATCTTTAACATGCAAAACGGGATCGTTCATCATTTGAATGAGCACAGGCAGTGCTTGGTTGACAAGAGGCGTCATCATGGCAGGGTTCGGTCCCTCAAGCACCGAACCAAAGGCCATGACTGCAGCTTCACGTTGGTGCCAGTCAGCACTTTGAATGTTTTGTTCGACGAATGACAACACTGGGTTAACCATATCATCGCCCACAACTTGTGCAAACAATTGAAGACAAGTGGCAGCAGCCATAGAAATATTCCAGTCATCCTCATCGGCATCTTCGTCTTGCTTAGTAAGAAGCTGCAAGAGCACAGGCAAGACATCACCCAAAGCTGCTCTGGCAAAGTTGTGACATTTGCGAGTAGGCACTCCACCCAACTCTTCAGCTTCTTGCAACTCCAAATTAACATCGATTTCTTCTTCACACACGGTGCTCCAAAATTCGATAGCTTGAAGAGCAACTTGCTCATTCGCTTGGTACATGCCTTGTGTTGTCAACGCGAACAAAGCCTTCTCCATGTAGAAAGGCATATAGTCGTAGTACAAGTGCATGATCTTTACCAAACAGCCATAGGCAGCCACTTGAACCAAGGACTCAGTAGACTGGGTAGCTTCGCACACAACCTGCATGATGTAGTTGCGCTCAGCTTCATTGCCAAAGTTTGTCTTGACAAACTCCAGTGAGTCGTACAAAGCGCCAAGAGCAGCGATACGCACATTGGTATCGGGCTCCTCCTTACGAGCACCCGCCACAACAGCGGTCAAAATGGCATTCGACTGTGTGGCCAGCACGTCAGGCTGCACGGCTTCGCAAATGTAGCCAATGGCCTGAAGGGAATGTGTTTTCAGGGCAGCAGGCTGTCCTTCACCCAGGTTTTGGACAAGAGTCATCATAAGCTCCTGCCATTGGTTTGTGGCAAGCTCATAGGAAGCAATAGCTGCCACAAGCTGAGCTGCAGACTGTCCGGCCTGGTGTTCAGGAGCTGCAAGAGTCTTCAAGGAGCAGTTTTTGATCTCTTGCTTGATTTCAAACGAAAGAGCCTGCCACATCTGTTGGTATTCCATCTTTCGAGTAGCATCACGAGCTGTAATTGCATTTTTCAGTGCCAGACCAGCTGCCATACGGATGTAAGGCAGAGCATTCTCGTTCGCAAGTTCATACGCAAGAAGCGTCATATACTGTGCAAAATCCGTACGAGCAGCATTCTCCAGCTGTTGTTCGGCCTGTGTACGGACGTTTACGTCCGGAGACAACGTTTGAGCCAACAACTCACCGGCATTCATTCTTGCTTAAGGTAACTAATTCCGAGTACTCAAGTGAGTGTTTGTGTGAATTTTGTGTGTATGTATGTACGTAGGTATGTATATGAGAGATTAGTTTGAAGAAAGCGTCTTGATCCAGTTTTAAAACGCAAACGACGACTCCCTATATTTGCAACGTAACGTCGTCTTTTCTTCCTGTTCCAGTGGCTTTTCTTCACCGAAACTGTGCAAAATCGAGCCCCAAAGACAATCGAAACGAAAAAGAACTACGAGTCCACGAACACCTGTTTTTCAGCTGCGACGGCGGATGAAAGCTCTCGCAGAATCCAAAACCAAGAACTTGTTGACTTGACGTGCGGTGTCGTTGTTGGTTAAAGACAACTTTGGTTTGGCGTTGTTAGTGGTTTAAATAGTGGAGGGTGAAGCGGTGGTGGAGGATTAGGACGCGAAGTTGGTAGAAAAGTTTAGTCGTAAATGACCGAGAACGGAGTAGTAGACGCGTTAAAGGTTATTTTTAAATGGTTGATAAACGAAGAACGCGAACAACTCGCTAAAGAACGGAACAAATCGGACGCTTTTTGGGAGATTGCAGTTGTACAATCGTAGAGCAAGAAAGGCCGATGCAGTGTACGGGTGTGTACGGAATAGAGAGTACGGAACAAAGTTACATAACTAATATCTTTACACCGTCTACGACAGCGCGACCATCTTCTCTTTTCATATATGTTTATTTCTTGGTCAGATTACTAGAGGCACGCTTTTCCAAGTCGAGGAAAGCCATGCGAATTAAGTTTTTTAGCTGTGTATAGGTCAGTATGAGACGAATGAATGAATGGCGTGTGATCCAAGAGTCAGAACAAGAGCAGAAAACCATAAAACTAGTAAAGTTCTTCTCTCGTCATCAGTGAAATCTTACCTCTTTGTAGCTTACAAGGATCCTCGAGAATTCGTCCTCTAGAAACACATTTTCTTCTGTTCCGACGTCCAGCTGTGGGTTAGTTTCGTGCTTAACATCCGCTTAAGATCAACTTTACCTTATTAAGACAGGCTAACATGTGAGCATAGTCCATTGACTTAGTGCCGTCGGAATCCACACGTAACCGAGCAAGGTACTTGCGAAAGAGAATAATGGGATAGTACATACCCGACATCCCCCATGCCGTATCGTCTGCATGTTCAGGCCGATCGTCGAGAAACTCGAGTTTACACAAGAGCCGTAGAAGCCTGTCGTCTTCCAGATAACGGGCCATCAACGATTCGTAGTAGTCCTCAAGGCTACAGTTGGTTAGTAATGCTAAGAAGCGAAGGAGATAGCAAGCGGACAAAACGGAACCGAAATATTTAGTCGACTTACAGTAATGACCGTTCATAGTTTTCGAGAGAGTGCGGGAAAATGATTGGGACAAGCTTTCGCGCAGTAACCTTAGGATCATTCATCAACACCTGCAGCAGTTGTACGAAGCTTGCATCTGAAGTGGACAATGAAGTATATTGTTTCAAATACTCTTCCTTGTTCTCATCATTTACACCGTCAACTCCACAAGCGAGAGAAAGCAATAACAATCCAAGAGAGTGGAAGTCCTCACGCTGTCGTACGTGCACCGGAGTTCCATCATCACAAATCACATCTAACACTCCCATGCCAAAAATTGACAGCCTCATTTTCCCCGTCATCAGTACATTTTTTGGCGTGAGCAAACGGGCTGCCACTCCAACTGAATGAATACTGTACAAGGCTGAGACGAGTTGGCTAGCAAAGCACCACAGCACTTCATTCGTTGCTTGGAATGCTGTTGGGTGCATCAGCTGAGAGGATTTTTTACGGAAAACAGGGGAAGAAAAGAAAAGATCGTGCAGGGTTGGGCAGGCGGGGAAAAAATCATAAACAAAAACGATAGCTACTAAGTTAGTGAATGGAACCAAAAAGGAAGGAGGAAACAGCAAACTCAGTTGTGTCAATCCTGTAACTCATACACTTACACTGATCACTAAAGGCGCGAGTGGTAAAAGCTTCCTTCATTCGTAACACTGCGGGCGAGTCGACCTTCATCCAAGCAGTAACATTGGAGATGGACCGTTCTTGGGCCAGGCGAAAGTTTTGAAGACGAACAAAGATATATGATTTGCCGTCCGCGCCGTTCACACCCTTGTAGATATGGGTTGTATAGCCAAGGTTGGGTAAACAAGGCGTTATTGTCCGTCGTGGAACGAACGAGTGGTAGGTAAAGATTTGCTGAGGTAGCTGACTCGATTCCTGATACTGAAGAGCTTCCACGCGAGCCTGTCTGAACAACTTTTCAGGTTCATTGGCGACAAAAAAATTAAGTTTGTGTAATTGTCTTTTGTCAAGTCGATGAGAATACGGCGGGAACTGAGCGTAGATATGGCGCGTTAAATCAGTGGCATACACATCTGGACCACCCGCAGATACGTGTTGTGAAGAAAACGTGTCAACTCCTCTGGGCACTGAACCAGACCGATGCAAAACCGTAGGTGACGCACGAGGTATCTGCTTCGGTGAAGGTGACTTTTCGGAAACTGTAGTGCCCACGGCAGTCGTAGCATTAGAGATAGAAACAGCACCATTGCCCACTAAACTATTGCGTAACGAACCCGGTGACAGACGCTGCTGAGGGATTAACGTAGATGGCGACCGCATCGTACTTGCTAACGCTGGAGTACTGGCCGAAGCAATTTCAGAAGTCATCGACGGTCTGAATTCAGGAATGACCAGCTTCCGTGGAAGGACCAAATCGTCTGAAGACTTGCTTTTGTCTGCGGAAAACAAGGTCGACGAATACACTACATGACGAAAACGGTTAGTGAACAATACCTTTCACACTGAGCTAGTCAGAAAAACTGCAATTGTTTCATACGTTTTCCTTTCGGTACAAAGGCAGACGCTTTGGCCATCGTAGGAGAAAGGCTCTTCTTTGTCGGAGAAGAAGGTGTGAACGAAGGACTTGCAGCACTCAGTTTCGCTGTAGAACGGTTTCTACTAAGCGTAAACGTTTTCACTGATCCACGACCTGCATTTTGAGAGTCCTAATGTTGCGTTAGTCACTTTCATAGTGGCATATTTGTAAAAAAAACCGCGTCACATACAAGTTGACCAACGGAAGCTGTAGGTTTAGACCCCGTAGCAGCTTCTTGGTTTGCAGAAAAGCTATACAATGTGGAGGAGAGAAACGGTTTGCCAGAGGATGAGGAGAATTTCGAATCTACGAGTCAGTATATCGCTGCTTGACACAAACTTTGGAATCCAAGATTCCAAGACGACAGCTGGTCAATGGAACAATATAGGTATAAGGGATTCATCATGTACGAAATACTTACGTTTCTCACTCATTTTACGTGCATCTCTCAGGTGGACGAGTTGGCACTAGGTAAAGGGCACGTTCCCTAGGTACATTAGGACTAACACATGACGCAGGTTCAGCAGGAAAGTTGACGGAATTGCGGGATTAAACGTTATAATGGACTATTTTTCATTCAAAAAGAACTTTTATGTTTGTTTTCTTGAAATTTTATTGTATATAGACTACATTTAAAGCTGTTAGAAGTGAGTAATCACAAATTTTCTTATAAATGAGCCGTTTGAAAGCGTGATAAACTAGATTATGAATTGTATGACTGCTTAACCTTTTTAGACAGCGTTAAACGCCGCTTTTGTATCATTCATCCAGTACTATTTAAGAAATTCTTCTTTTTTGGCGTGGATAATTTGAACATAACGTCAAAGGTAACAGTGTTACCCTCGACCTGAAACGCTACACCATAAAAAAGGGAGCGAGAACGAAATTGTCATTGAAATGAAATATTAATAGTTGTCGTAATGGTTGAATATTTTTAGCAGAATTCGTTATGAATTTGATATCATGTAGTAGCAGAAAGTTTAGTTGAAGAACACAGTAGGCACCGTAAAATGAACGAGCGTTTTTGAAAGGATAGGGCCGTTCGAATAATGAAAATAAAGAAGTCTGAACATTATTGAAACCGTTGACCATCATCGATATGAATAACTCCTATCGCCATGTACTCTTCAGACCTGTACTTGTTCTTATTTAACTCAACTCGAAGCAGGCTTTTGACCCGCAGCGACAAAGATACTGAAGGTTTTAGCGTAAAGAGTTTCACCATTTGGTGCTATTTTCGTTTTGTCCTCAGTCTGTCCCGGAACTCGACAGTACCTCTTTTTCGGCACGTACATTTCCAATGAAATGTTACGGTGAACGCAGACATTCTGAAGACCGGCACGCTTAAGGGTGCTGATCATGAAGCTTGCAGAGAATCCGTTTTTATGGGCAACACCGGATTTTACTGCATCTTCATCCGTTTGTGCGTCATGAAAGCCGCCGGCACCTTCGGAATCAATATCTGCCACAAATAGCCAACCCAAAGGCTTCAGCGTCCGAGAGGATAACGTTGAGGCAACGCTCGCCGGGTCTTCCATGTGATGGAAAGCAAGAGAACATACGGTAATATCAAAATCATGTACATCTTCTGGCACTTGATCGGAGGTAAGAATATCTATCACTTTTGCTTGGACGTTTGGGTTTCCGGTAAACTTTGTCTTAAAGAATTCAACCATTTGAGGCGATATATCAATACCAAGAAGGGATTTACAGTGAGGAACTATGTTTCTACTGACAAGACCGGTTCCGCAAGCGAAATCCATAACTCGTAAATCCTTGTTTTTCCACAGGGGGGAGACATCAATTTCACCGCTGAATTGTATGTCGACATCCTCACTAGTATATACAACTGAATCATCGTTGCTTACAACATCTCCATCTTTCTGGTTTAGGACGTCAAATTTGAGAATGTTGTCTGCAATAACCTTAGTGAGAAAGCATTTCGCTGGATCATCGTAGACGAGAGCTTCCTTGGCAAAAAATTCAGTGTTTTTGGTCGCAAAAGAATCCATGAATATATGGCGGTAATAGTCAATCAAGCGTTTCGTCTTATATTTGAGTAACACTGCAAGCTTCCTTGTTGCCGATCTGAACGAAATCTGGTTCAGATGAAACTTGATCAGGCATACGTTTCTAATTGCACTAGTTCGTTGTAGATACCCTATTAGATAATGTGCTGTGAAAGTCCGCTCAAATTCTGAAATTCGTCTCACATAAAGATGAGGAAAACAGTAGGTTCTCTTGGTTGGAATGAACCGATCAATCCAATTATCAGCTGAATTTCACCAATGTTGTCTAGAATTACCAAATCAGTTGAAGTTACGGGTCGGACATAGTGCTTGGGAGATCAAAAATAGTAAAGTAACAACTATTCGTTAACTGCTCGTTCAGGTATAGTAATACATACGGCATCCGCACACCAATACAACGTACATCCCATCGATTACATTAAAAGAAACTACTCCAGTACCATACACCCTCTTCATACCCTCCTCATTGAATCAGGCTGCTTAAGAAAAGCATTGGCCTATGTCTATAAAGTCTATGCTATTAGAATGGCGCTCATAAGAGTTTCATAAACCCTAAACTCCTATCAAAAGCGCCAGAGGAGATTCTTGAACTGAACGACAGTCTCACAGTCTCTACAGTCCTTAACATTCCTTAAAGTTTGACTTATTTTACGGATTGTAGCGGATAGAAATTCGCCAAAACCCGTGGAGTGCAGAAGAATTGGTTCGACAATTCCTGGGCGTGGACCGAAAAAAGGGGCAACGAACGGGAGAATGATGAGTCAGTCAAGTTCGAAGATGATAAGACAACACACGCGAGTAAACTTGAAAAAGAAAGCAAATAAGCAGGGCCTTTCTCATGATGCCATGAAATTAGGAGACAAAAACTCACAAACATAAGCCCAAAACGAGTTGTTTTATGTCGCATGCCAATGGACAGAGCCAGCCAGCACACGCAGCCTATAACATTCGTGAATTAAGAAACAGCAAGACAGAAATGATGCGCTCCGAGTCTGGTAAAATGATTGCACAAAAGGAAATTGACCAAAACAGTGCTTTAAAGTACAAGGATTAATTGTTCAGCGAGAAACCGCCAAACAATTCCATTGGATTACAATTGTTAATATCCCCAAGGGTGCAATTTATGCCTTCTTGGGCTTTTTCTCGCCATCGACTCTGCGCTTGATAGCGTCAATCATCTTGTAGAGCCAATAAAGGTTCAGAAAGTTAAGAGACATGTTCGCAATTAAGAAGAAGACGCCAAGAATATAAGGTGTGCTTTTCACACGGCGGATGACTTCGACTAAAAAAAGGGTTAGTAAGTGGAAGCTTAATGCAGGGTGAGAGGACAATCGATGCAGAAACCAACCCTATAATGTACTTACGTGTTGTGTCATAAGCGGAGTACCAGCCGTAGACGATACGAACGAGGAAAAAGGTGAGCACCAGCATCAATCCGTTGATGAGCTGCAACTTGGAGCCAGTCCGGTCGGTTTTGTCAAGGAAATAATGTACATTTAGGAACGGCGTGCTTAACTCCCAAGAAAGGAAGGTTGGTGCAAAATACATAAGGAAGGGTCTGTAACTGAAACAAACAACAAACAAGGCAGCGAGCGCATGGACAACAAACCCAGGTCCCGTCAAGTAGACGTAGCGAATAGAGGTAAGAAGATCCCAAAGAAAGTAACCTCCAGCTGTTGCAATTACATCAGCAGTAAATTCGCTGTATCCAAAGATTTTGTCCGACCACGACCGGCGGTCGACGAACATCAATGATCCAACGACACAAAGAAAGATGCTCTGAACAGTACTGACGAAGTGAATGTCCCAATTAATACGCGTTTTTAGTGGCAAGCTAGGGTAATGTTTGCTCAGTCGGCTGGAAATCCTTGGAGACAGCATCATGACCAGCTGGTACACCAGTGCAGCGCCGATAAACACATGTGTATGGCGAGCGAGCTTAGACAAGTGTAATTTCGCAAATAAAGGCTCAAAGAAGGCCTCAAAGGCCTCTGGAGCTCTGGGGAACAGACCGCCGGACATGAAGACTGTGCTTGGGAGAGGGCAGGATCGCATATGGCAAATGTTCGGGATAATCCGCACGGAAATCAGATAAGATTGCAAGCACGCGTTAATTTTCTAGACTGTCATTTGTTCGTTGATATTTAAGCTTATTAAAATCAATACCAATAACGACTAGCGTCAGAATGCCGCTTTTTAAGGTTTCGCTTAGATAAGATACGAAAGTGCAACAACTCGAGTTGGTTCCTATTACTAAGCAATGCAAAAGAACTGTACGTATGAACAAAATAAACTATGATAGATTAGGGAAAATAAAACCGTTTCTTCTGCTCCTTTCGTTTTGCGGTACCGGGGCTTATGTGCATTTCTCGCAGAAGCACAACTAGCACGCGTATAATTTCGTTCGAGAAAGAATGTAAAGTGGGACAAATTAAGTTCGAGTAAGGGACCCAAAAGGAAAAAGCTCAAAGAATATTAACAATGTTCATTGCCCGGTCCCGTTGATTCTGACTAATACATTCGGCGATCCAGGTAATGTTCTACAACATGTTAGACTGTGAAGGGGTGAACGGCTGAAATCCCGGAAAAGAAACTTACACGAACTTCTTGCTCCTTGAGCTTAAGAAAAGAGTAGATAATGCCGTAATGGAACTTAAACAGTTAGTAGACTGCTGGAAATAAAGCTGCAAGCATTTCTTCCTGCGTTGGAGTCAAAGTCTCAGGCGTTCAAATACATATTATGGAACAAACCGACTAAGACTCGCACTTGCGCCATACCTGTTGCAAAAAGGAGAGCTTATTCAAGTGGGCTTGCATCTCGTAAAAGTGATCGTCTAAACTTTTGTCCGAGGTTTGATCAAAAAATCCGGTGTACTCCTTCACCAAAGATACTGCACTTTCGACATCGCCGATGTTGTCTGCTTTGGACAGGATGGCAGTGCCGTAGGGGTATAAACGGCCAATGGAAGGGTACAACTTTGAACGAAGATCCTTGTTCAACTCGGTGCCGAAAGAATTGATGGTAATGGTAATAGCACGGCAGTCGGCCTCAAATTCCAAAATAGGAAGCATAGTGTCAGCGGTTGCGCCGCCAAGCTTCTTACAAAACTCGTAAAAGTCCTCCAAGTATGCCTTGTACAGGGTGTTACGAATGATCTCAATATGAAGTTCATCCAAATCGTCAGCAGAAATACAATCCTTGAAGTAAGGAGCCAACGGCGTCTCGACAAGCACTAAACTGTACAACTCTTCAACATTGGTGGCTACACACAACGTTGGGAGTGTCTCAAACCAGCCCAGAGGATGGCAGCGCTCAAGCAATTCGTGCGTGTCGTGGCCATGAGCAGTACCCGAAATCATAAGCATGACATTGTCAATCATGTAAGCGTAGCTAATGTAATCCATAAACTTGGAAAGCTTTTCATCAGCCTGGGCACGAAGATACTCATATTCATCAATGAGTTTCTCGGTTGCCTGAGCTGCAATAATAGCACTGCTCAAACGAGCCTGGTTTGCCAAAAATCCACCGTAATCAGTGGCAGAAAGCTGCAAACGAAAGTCTTTTTTACGAGTATTAGTATCTCATCGCTTTATCTGTAGCTATAAACGTCACTTCGTACCATCCAGTGTTTCACATTGAGCCAAATTGGCATAAACGTGCTGCTTTAAAAGACCAGACTTGTAACCCCGAACCAGACCTTCTAAGTAGCCGCTGTTTGTGCTATACGACTGTTAGTTTGTACGAATTGATGCTGTTAATCATACTTAAACGTTAACGCTTCCATGGTAGATGTGGATGGTGGAGGGTTGGCCCAGGTCTGATAAGTTGAGAAGACCAAGAGGTGTGTAACGAAGGGCAGCAGTTGTTAGTTAGCTTTAAAAGGAAAACTTAATGGAATGTAGTCGAATATTTGTCTTATACGGAGAGGAGAATGATTCCCGCCATTCATCATATTTTTTGTTTTTGTCAAAAAAATGCAAATGCATTTCACGACATGTATGCCAGACGTATAGTAAGCCATCCCGATGGTAATGCTTTACGATTGACTAAATGATTTAAAATGCTCCAAAAATAACAATTTTTCTTTTCTTTAAATTCTCGCTCATGCTTGAGTCTTTCGAGTAGCAAGCCATTCTGCAGTTTTGTTCTTAGGAACGACAATAAGTTGAATAATTCCATCCATGACTACCACCTTGGGATGCTGAAGGACCTTGAGAATGGGCACGCGTTTACCAACTTTGACGAGTCCGCCTGTACTTGTTTGAATAAATGCATCCACAACATTAGGACGGTACTCCGCCGATGTGTCCCACTCAGCCGGTGTCTCAAACACCGTGTTTAAGAGATCCTGGGCAGTCGAATGCTCGGATAAAGCTGGAACGAAGTCTGACTGGGATTCCAAAGGATAGAGCAAAATTGTAGGGAAAAACAACTCACTAGAAGCATCTTCTGGCACTTCTAAATGAAGTTTGGCATCTCCCATGTCGGGTGACTCCTCTGAAGCAACAACTCTAATGGAACGTTGCTTTAAAGCATTGGTTAATGCATCCCGACGGAGCGCTTCGCTCTGCTCACGTCTAGCTTTTTCTGCAAGCAATTTTTCTTGTTGTTTCTTCTTTGTTATAAGCTCTTTTTCTAGTAGCACGATAGCAGGATCGTCAGCATTTCCACTTTTGCAAACATCCAAACATTTTTCCGCCTCATCCAGACGCTTTAAGACAATTAAAGCCTTAGCTGAGCGGTAATACGCCTTCACATGTTTTGGATCACGTTTCAGTACTTGTGCACAGTCGTCGAGCACCTTTCTATAATTTCCAAAAATTAAGTTGCAGCCAGCACGGTTAGAGTAACAGGCAATTTCAATGTCTGTATGACCGCATTTTTGAGCGATAGCTTTTGTGTAGTATTCAATGGCTTCCTTGTACTGTTTCTGCTTGAAACACTCGTTTCCATGTTCTCGGAAATTTTGAGCAATTTCGTGAGGCTCTCCTTCATAGGCCATTGCTTTCAGAGCTTCGAGCTCCAGGTTCTCCTCTGCCTCATCACCGGCTTCATCTAAACTTTGCATGAAGAAGGGGATTTTGTTTAGCTCGTCAAACATCTGTTCTGATGTTTTGTCCCTAGTAGGGACATCGGTTGCTTGTGCAACAGGAGTTGCTTCTGAAGGTTCAGACATGATGCTTTTTACACGTTCAAACGGATTATCAATTGCCGCAAACGACTTTTCTAAAGACCAAGGTGAATCGTAGATGGTAGAGTCAAGGTGAAGAAAACCATGGAATGAGTCAGCAGAGAATTAAGAAAAAAAAAGAACAAACGAGATTGAAAGGGAATAAAGTAGCATGGAAAGGTTGCACAGAGGGAGTCAATTGAGAGAAATTAAATGGATTTTGATGTAGCCTAATGAAGACGACAATTTGTAACAGAAGCAAGGAATGAGGAGCAAGATAGGATGCTTCAATGGTTTTAACCTTCAGCTAGTGCAACGATGGTCAGAAAAGGTGCTTTTTTCAAAGTGCTTCCTTCCGTTACTTCTTTTCATTTACCGTTCTCTTCTGGTTTGCTTGTCCTTTTTGTGTCTTTCCGAATCCCTATCGCTCCTATGACTTCTAAGTCCACTCTCTTTGTGAACCCATTTGTCGTGATTCGGAGGGCAAGAACTATCACTTAATTGTTCTCGCCGACGACTTTTGTAAGGAACGTCTGCTGGTCGAGAAAGACGCAGAGGATCACTGTGATCCATTACAGCATTTTCTCTCTCTTTGTGGCGCTCCAATATTCGAACTCTTCTTTGCTTCAGTTTGTACTCATTATGGGAGTCAACTCGCTGCAGGATGTTGTGCAAGAAACCCTTGTCCGTGCGTGATGGGGTTCTTTTCTTGTTAAGATATGCAGCTGCTCCACGAATACGATACTCGTTTTGCTTTTCTTGTGCATTTTTTGAAATAAGTTCGGCAACAAACGAATCAAGTTTTGAACGAGAAGAAGCAGGAGAGGAGGGAGATGTGGAAGAGGTAGAAGAAAAGGAAGACATGAGATACTGAGGAGGCTGAATAGAAAGTAAAACGTCTTATAGAGTATAGCAACCGTTGACCGAAAAAACAAAAGTGATAACTAATTCGTTATATGCTGAATGATAAAAGTACACGTGCACATCAAATCAAATAGAAACTTTAACTGATTCAACGCGTTTTTTCCCACATATATGGCATTCAATGGCACAGAAATCCCACGAAAAGTTATGTTCGCTGATAAATTAAAAGAAACCCAAGTCCGAATGTAACGTATTCGGTCAACGGATCATGAAGCACGTTAAACAGCTCAAGTATGTGTTACCAGCAAAAGAAATAGAGAATTCCGTCTCGATTATGAGTAATTGGAGTTTGGATGCTGGTTAGAGTGTGCGACGCGCGAGAGCGAGAACCGGGCCAAATAAGGTTACGGCATCCCATTAAACGGAGCTTACCCCCATCCACCACCCACCTCAAAACGGTACAAAACGCATACAGTTTTGTGAATATTTCTGTACCTATAGACGTGTTTTCTTAGAACACGTAACATGCCATGGATTCTAATCTCGAAGACGGACTGTCCGGCACGTTTCCGAGAAATCCACGGCCTTTAGATTTTCTAACTGGAGCTTTGGCGGCAAATACAACAAAATTGGACGAAAATGTTGAGCTTCAGTCACGGATAGAAGCTGTGCACAGTGGTCGGACGCGGAAACCACGCGTAAAATGGTCGGAGGAGGAAACAAATAATTTATTACAAGGATGTCGCGTCCATGGAGTCGGAAACTGGAAGAAGATACTCACAGATGAACGGTTTCATTTCAGCAATCGTTCTCCTAACGATCTGAAAGATCGATTCCGCACAATTTTTCCCGAAGAGTACCGAAAACTGTATCCAAATGCTAAGACTCATACAGGCCGGCAGCAAAAAATAGCATTAACGAGTGGTTTTTCAAAAAAGACTCGCAAAGAACGGCAACAGTTTACACCAGAAGAGGATGAGCGGCTGTTGGAAGGCTTTTTTCTTCACGGACCTTGCTGGACCAGGATTCGGAAGGATGCTTCGCTTGGTCTACAGACGCGTCGTAGTACAGACCTGCGGGATCGTTTCCGTAATGCATTTCCAGAACGATATGCAGCGGCAGGCTTCAAACTGAAGAACAATCGCAAACTAAAATCCCTTCAAACTGATTCTATGCTAGTGTCTAATGGTGCCAACGGACCAAGTTCCTCTTTAACCACCAGTGCTGCTGCTGCTGCAGTAGCGGCTGTTGCAAGTACAGCAGCGGCAACAGCTGGTTCATTTCTGCCACCCGCCGCTTCAACATCGACTGCTCCTTCGGCGAGTCCATCACCGGCAGCAGCTTCAGCCAGAGAATTATCTGGCGCCACTGCTACCGCTGCTACATTGAACGATGCTGATGAACTCGACCTGGGGTGGTCATCCCAGTCGCTTCCCTCCCAACTATTCCATTCGCAGCGCGTCTCAGACACCACAAACAATCTGCTTTTGGGGTCTCAAATGAACGATCCGTTTGCGTCCGCAACCCTTGGAACGTTTCATAATTACGAACAGATGTTCCCTCCGCCTCCTTCACATGTATCTGCTCTCACAGCACCTGCGAACACGCCTGGCGCAGCCCAGTCTCGATCCACTTCCGCTTACACTCTCCTTCAGCACACCCTTCCTGCACATCCCCCAGACTCTGCTGATGCTCTCGGTCTCACCGATTCGTCTCGAAATGCTTCCCGGCAAGGCTCACATCTTCATCTGTCTTCCGACAGTTCCCCGTGGGACGACCGAGACTGAGTGGGGGTGTGTGGGACAACGACGAACCGTCCACCTGAATCCCGCATATCCCACTGTATCCCACTTGAGTTATCCTCCTCCACATATCCCACTGTATCCCACTGTATCCCACATTACCATGCCATGTCATCTCAACAGGATTACGCAAAGCAGCGGACAAGTGTATTCTGGCGTGAATTTCTAAAGTCTACGCAGCCCAATCCACCAGGCAGTTCGGTTTCTGTATTTCTTGTGTGATTAACGAATTTTTTCTTAATCATTGTACTTAACTATTCTTGTCCTCTCATTCAGCTGGTCCCCCCCTCTTTTTTATGAATCTCATTGGCGTAACGTTTGCGAGAACGGCTAGTCGTAGGACGCCGTTTGTATTTTCTTTGCCAAGAACGGGGTTTTTGTCTGTATCTACTTTTCCGCGAAGATTATTCACCCAGGACGCCGTTCGTCCGGTCGATGCGCCCTTTTTACGTATGTGCGGTAGTTTAGGGATTGTTGTTCGAGTGGAAAGAGTGTATGAGGAGAAACTTTGCTAATTCCAGGCTGTTACATTCGTCCGTATCCCCGACCATCTTTCTGGAAACATCCTATATTGGCATTAAAGACGGTATGGAGAATTCTCGTGCGGGAGAAACTCGTTTCTCTTCGTAACCGTCTTCTTTTACGCCGTTCTCTTCCTGGTTATGCGTTTGCATGGAAATCACTGCCAGCGTTGGCTGAACAACTTCACTCAGCATTGAATACAGCAATCGCAAGGTATGTCACAGGCCCCATGTGCACATGATTTCCTTAGTCCGTGTTCCGTTTGCTGACATTCAATGAAACAGGCACGATCTGGACGCCATTGATAAAGTGTGTACGGTGACAGAGGCCCGGCAACTTAAGTCGCACTTGAAAGACTCACCTGTGTTTACATGGAAGCGAGAAGCGTGGGTGCAAAAGCCCAAACTGCTCGCAACGAACATCGCGCCCGTAAATTTCAGTGGAAATGAGTTCTTCATACAATGTGTTGTCCGTTTGCACTCGCGTCAAAGCGTCCAATTTGATTCGAGTCAGCCCAAGTCGGAAGATGAGTGCGTGGAGAACATAGTACTCCAACAAAAAACATGGGTTCAGCCGAGAGAATGGAAGATTTGGGGTTTCGTACCCTCATGCGAGTCCGATTCCGTGAAAATGAAGCTTCCTGATGGCCAGGTCGCTTACATTTCTCGTGAGAAGCTCTCTGTTCTCGCCGATGCAAAAGCAAGTGCTAATGTGGATGCCACTAATGCTGGTGCCGGTGCCCAATAATCTACAATGTAAGACAAAGCAATTTAGATGGCTTCCTTAATCCCTGCATTTGCGACCGTTATTCAAGTCATTTCCTATTCACTTGGTCTAAATAACTATTCCTAGCACAGTCTAGCGCAAGCCGGCACACGCAACTACGGAATCGTGTATATATACATATATATATGTATATATATTCACACATTTTTCCATTGCATTCTTTCCTTCACTTGTGTGCTCCTAATGTCTCTTTTTTATTGTTTATTACCTAAATCCTTAATCCCATCCTGCTTTTCTTTTCTTTTTTGGAATTTCTGAGTATGCGTAACATTTCCACGTGTACACTCAATTGAGCTTATCTTTCAAGCGACAACCTTAAATGCACGTGTAAGTGGTGAGGAGACACGTGTGTTACACGTGATCACTTGAAACGAGAATGCGCTGACGCTGGCACTTACCATAAACAAACACGCTACCATTGTGTCCATACGAGATTCTGTAAAACCGTCTTTCGAGTACGGCAGCAAGAAACAACGTACGAAGACGAGTAGTAGTTAAAAGAAAAAAGTTAACACATTTGAAACGTAGAATTACTCTGTTCTTAAGTGTGCGTGTTTTTTAGTCCTGTTGGAGACATAGACTTGTTTGTTTTCCTGTGCTGTCTTTGAGGGTTTCGTTTCGTTTCATTTCATCATTTCTTCTTCTTGTGTTTTTGCCCATCGTAGTCATGCTCTCTTCCAGCAGTGATGATGAATATTTTGGCAATTTAGCTGTCTATACGCCGCCTAAAAAGTCCCGTTATGTTTTGGACAACACGGTGCCGGACTCGATGTTTCGGAACAGAGTTCTCGTGATGTTACACCGGCTTAACGTGCCCAAGTGGAAGGGAATTCCGCCCGCACATTCAAACAAATTGATTATCAAACGTTTGTCTGGTGCCCTTACGAACGCAGTATACTTCGTGGCTCCGCCTGAGAACGTGGATGCACCGAAGCTTTTGCTGCGCATTTACGGACCGAATGCGAGTTTGTTTATCGACCGTACACACGAACTTGCCAATCTACGTCGTCTTGCTCGACACAAAATCGGCCCTTACTTGCTTGGAGAGTTTGCCAACGGTCGTTTTGAACAATGGTTAGACTCCATCACACTCACAAGAGACCTGGTCCGTGATCCAGTGCTGTCCATTTTTATTGCCAGACGTCTTTGTGAAATGCACTTTGCCGTCACCTTGAGTGAGCACGAATTGCACGAGCTACCAACTGTTTGGCATAACTGGTTCAAGTGGCTTCCTCCCGCACGTGAGGCTGTGAAAAAGTTGAGAAAGCCGCTGCCTACAATGACCGTAGAAGCGTTTGCTAGTTTGGAGCGTGACTTCGCTGCTTACTACCAATGGTACCTGCAGTGGTCAAGCGACAAGAAACAATGGCCCGTACTTAAGCTCGTTTTTTGTCACAACGACTCCCAGTATGGCAACATCCTCAAACGTACGGCGAGACGTCGTGCACTTCGTTCTCCCGCTGCTGCTCATCGTGTTCTTGTGCCCGTCGACTTTGAGTATGCTGGACCGAACCCTCGAGCCTTTGACATCGCCAACCACTTTGCAGAATGGATGGCTAATTACCATCATCCTACTCACAGCTACGCCATGGATTCTGGCAGTTTCCCCACTGTTGAGCGGCGCCAAGAGTTTTATCAGGCGTATGCCGAGCAGGACGCGGTGCTCAATCATAAGCTGACGCTTTATGATGCAGCCAAGTTGTCTACTGATCTTTCTCCCGAGCTTCGTGAGAGCATTGAAACTTACATGCAGCAATGTGAAGCAGCAATGCGTGCAATAATGCCTTCTGTTCACGCAACTTGGGCTCTTTGGGGCATTTTGCAACACATTGAAGACGAGAATGATGAATGGGTTGATGTGGTTGACGGCAGTGACACAGAAGAGCATGCAGCTGCTCCAGCGTCTACTGAAAATGCTCCCAAAGAGCACGTTCCGCCCATTGGTTCGTCTGACTTCAACTACTTGGGCTATTCAGACGCAAAGCTCAACCTGTTTTACCAGTGTTGTGCTTCCTTGGGTCTTGAGTCTCGAGGCCGTGATGAATTTCCATATAACGATATTTCGAAACAAAATGAGTAGAAGAAAAGCCTTGGTCCTCTCAGCTAATTCTTTGACTTCTTTTTTTTTTCTTTCATGCACAAGCTCCTTTTCTCACTCGTTTTGTCCTCTTCATTTTTAATTCCTTCCATCCGTTTGAATGAACTAATCATTATTCGAGACAAACTGTGTGTCATTGATTTCCAGTTTCAGTGCCAACAGGAATGAACGAACCCACCTTTCCATCATTGGAGCATTACTCAGTTTGTTCCTATTTACAAGATCGTATTGTGTTTTTTTTTATATATTCCCGTTTAGGAGAAGCATTTCCTCACCAAGCTCGGCTTTCTTACGAGTGCACCAAGACTACGGGAGAAGATAAGGACTCATCAGGTAGTCTCCATACACGCGCACACGTACGCATGTACAACGTCTCGTTTAGGCTTCTCCTTCACGCAATCACTCTTTCTTCACCTTCAAGGAATCAATCATCTCATCAACCGTGGATAGCAGGATGAATGAAATAGTAATCACACAAGCACTACGCTCTATGACACTTTTTAAAATATCACGGTTTATGTGTAACTCAAATTAAATATTCAATACCATACAGAAGACATAAACGGTAGATGGATCATGAGTCCACCTCATGATTATAAACGGGGGAAATTAACACGACAGGTACGCACAGTGTTCACTTACTGTTCGCGACGAAAACAACAGCAAACAAGCTTGGGCTTAACCGCCCTCACTTTGTTGCTTGTCGTCGTCAGTGTTTTCACTGTAGTGTCGGAGATGGCGCGGTAAAGAAGCGTCGGTCCGGCAATGAGGTATGCGGACAATCGATGGGACGGGACGAGGGGAACCAAATAAAAAAATGTAGAAAAAAGAAGAAAAAGAAAGCCAGTGAGAAACTTATGCACACAGAAGACAGAAGGGAACATAAACGAAAGAAGGCGCGTCGAACCAACACTCTCCAACGCCTTGTCGGGGTCGCCCACCTTGGAAAGGTGACAACGATGAAGTGGTAACATGTTTGTGTGTGTATGTGTGTTACGTGGAGGCAAACGTGTGCGCCGCAATGCAACATAACAAAAGGTAGGTTCATGTGTTGAGCATCGCTACATCGTATACGCAGGCCGTCCTGTGTGGTCCACAGAATTAGGACCGTTCATTCAGTATGAAGGCGCCGGGGTCATTGGTAAAGCACCCTGACCATAGTAAAAGAAGTTTCCCTGCATGCACATTTCCGGTGTAACGTAAGGATACATTGGACCCATGGACATATTTATAGGGCTGCCAACTGGCATACCGTTAGGGCCGACGCCCACAATTGTCGGAGGCATGAACTGTGCGGAAGGAGGGTACATGCCGTAGCAGCAGCCCGGCATTGACATAGGACCAGGGACGCTCCGGATTTGACGGAATTGAACGCGAATGGGCTTTTGTTGGAAAACAGGCTTGTTTTCAGAAGACACAGCACTCATTGCTGCTGCCTGCGTATCAAAGCGGACGAACGCGAATGCAGACTTGCGGCCCTGGTGAATTAGCTTGCAATCCACGACATTTCCAAACTTTGAGAAATGATCAATTAAAAGCTCACGAGAGCAATGTGTCGGGTCTAACTGACCAGCAAAAATAGAAAACGGATCAATCGTAGGCGGCATGGCTGGCGCGGGTGCGAACATTGGATGTGGGCCAGCTTGAGTGGGTGAAATCATTGCACCCGCAAGTACATTTTCCATGGGAGCGGGTGCATTAGGGACGGGCATGGGTGCTGATTGCGCAGGCATGCGAGGCGAGGATGAAGAACTGGAAACGTCCCGCTGCGTCGTCGGAACATGTGAGGAAGCAGGAGCAGACCCGACATTCGAAAGGTTGCCGGTGGACTTGTTTCTGTTAACAATTGCTTGTGGTGCAGGGGACTTTGAGAGCGAATCTGGGTGACTCGCACTGCGCTGCATGGCGGCATGCTTTACGTGGCCGTTGCTGGCGCCGTTTTCACCTTGCGGTGAAGAAGCAGACGAATTCTGTGCCCACTCGACCGACCATACGGAATGACGAAGGCTACTAAACGCTGAAATCGCATCGTCCCGGTATGCAAATCGAGCGAGAAACCCGGGTCTGTCTATGGTCGCAGTAAGCTCCTCAAGCTCGCCAAACGGTTGTAGCAGCGAGCGCACATCCTGCAGCTTTGGCTGAATAGTAGGGTGCGCAATCCAAATGGTTCTGTTCATCCTCGCTTGTTCTACGCGAATATAGCGACCGTCAAGAAGTGTGTTGTGAGCTTCGGCGAGCGCGCGAGAAGCGTCTTCTTGATTTTGGAATTGCACAAACGAATAAGGGCGCTGCAGCCAATCTTTAAGGACCTTAACGTGCAACAGTGGACCCCATCGTTTAAAGTGGTTTTCCACTGCTGTGGCCAGCTCTTGTTCGCTTCGGGCAGAATTTAAGCTCGCAACAAATAAGCAAGCAATGGGTCTTCCACGCTCGCGGCCGTGTTTAGAACCGTCGTGCGCATGAGAAAAGTTCTTTCCCGACACGCTGGAGCGGCCAGAAAACGAACTCGTGGCGCCCGTCTTGGCCGCGGTAGCAAATGAAGGAAGTGTTTGGACCGCAGATTTGTCATTCGGAGGTGTATTCAACGCCGATGTAGGCGGAGACGGGGAGGGTGTCGATGCCGGTGATATAGTTTGCATGGCAAAGGCTCTTTGTTCGAAGCGGCGAGTCTCGTCCAGTAAGTGTTCGTCACGAGGAGCAGAATTCGTGTGAGTTGTATTTGGGTTGGGCCGAATTCTTGATGTAAAGCCTTTAATGCACTTGGGCGGAGAAGGGAGGAGAAGGGGGATTTATATCTTTCCCAGACAAAGACAGGATAAACAAAGGAATCAAACAGGGGTCTCGTAACCGAAGATGTCCCTAACCAACATGTCGACTAGCGGAGAAGTGTGTCGCAAGACGATGACGTAGGTAGCCGAGTCACAGCAGAAGCGAGCAATGACGAAAGCCGCAATAAACAATAAAGCGCAGCCGAGGCGCTAGGCCGCACTCTTCCGCCACAATTCGCAAAAGAGGACCAATCCGCACAGCGGTGAGGAGTGCCTAATTACCACGTGCGCTATTTGGTAGACCCCTTAGAATGAAAGAGCAGTACACTGGCCGGGACAAAGAGTAGTGTCCGAGTTCACAGAGGCGGTGTAAGAGAAAAACTCGGTGGCTTCATAGACAAACGATTGCACGCGCGTAAATACGGGAAACAGAGCTGGAGAAGACGAGCCAATTCGGTGTCAGGATGGTGCCTTCTTGGAGGAAATACCATACGTAATCTACCGATGCGGATTTCCCCTAGGTTTCGGTCGGTTTTTTCTTGATAGCGAGGGAGATGCAGAGGAGGCATGCCCACTAACATCGTAGAGGGTGGCTGTTAGCATGACATGTGCGTTTAGACCCTGTGCAGGAACTTAATCCGAAACTAAAAGTTGCGTGGACAGTGACAGCACAGACGGGAATTCGCCAGCGAAAGTGCCCGCTTCTATTCATTTCGGCCACACGAGGACGAAGAGCTCGTAGGGATCTGCATCTCCATCACCACGTTTCATGGGACTTTAGACACAATCATGCAAAATAACATCCCCCGGAGCGAGCACGTGTAGAAGGGTCAGGTGCTAGCCCAAAGTGTATTCAGCAAACCAACACTATTCGAAGTCTTCGGGGTAGCCCACGGCTGAATCGGCAGGGTGTACGAGGGATGGTGAGACAATCTGCGTAAAGCATCAAGGATCTTGCTCGTGGGAGCTATTCGGAGAAGACCTAAGTCAATTCATTCGACTGGAAGTAACCGCAAATAACCTACTACACCGACGGCTGTGTTTGCGGACACAAGTGGCTTTGCAATTCTTCCAGAGCCTCAATGGGGGCCAAAAAGTCTACCAGCGTCGCACAAGAATATCCGCTCTCATTCTCGCGCGTCGGTTAATCCTCTAGTTTCCGGCTGGTTATGTTGGGGACTAAGATTTCGCGAACCATTCAAGCGAGACACCTAACCGTCGGTCCTACACACAGCCATTCGCTTTAGGGCCAGTGGACGGAAACCTGGAGAAACGGACATTTCGACACACCGTTGTTAGTGCTTCCTATGTGGGTTAGCCTCATCAATAACGATGCTGGCCATCTCTCTTAAGGAGGATTGGATCCACGTTCCAGAAAACACTGCCTCTAGTGGTGCAATTCTCCTACAAACGTCTTCCGTGCCGGTCTCGCATGCGAAGGCCAACGCGCGCAATTCACTCGCTACCGTAGACGTGAAACGAGCATTTGAAGACCCTAAACTTCTGAAACGAGATTTCTCGGTAACAGCAGAGTAGCCGATAAAAGCAACACGTGGACCGTTTCAGACCTGGTTTATGTTTTCGGCTTCCCATGGCTGTGTGATGAGGTGTGGGGTAGAGACGAATGTAAAGTTCAAGAATACTATGTTTCCATCCTCATTGGGTATCCAAAGCTATAGTAGCAGCAATCCACTGGACTGCACGCGTGAGCCTAATCAATAGCGCTAACTAACGCGCTACAGCGATAAAACAGCTTCATGGTGTTCAGTGGTGTATGTTGTGGGAGGATGCGAAATCGTTGCAGAGTTTATATTTAACCTCTATCTAAAGCGCATTACGCTCATAGACGGACGCGAATTTGCATCTGCAGGGTCTAATAGTTTCCCCCGAGGTGACTAGACACTTATCGCTGTATATTTACAACACGGGATCAGTGCTATATAAGAACTCAAGGTTCCTCTGCTTCCCGAGCTTCGCACTTCCCCGCAATGAAGCCTCATTGCAATGTGCCTCACAGAAAAGCTTATTCAATGATGTAACATTTTCACTCTTGAACAGAAGCCGCAATTTTGGTGCGATGAACGACGCAGCGTTGTCTGCTGCTCCTCCTCCTTTCACTCATACTCTTTCACTTGCCGTCTCTGTATGCTTACGGACGGGTTGTTTGACAAAGCAAGGAGCTGGTTTACGTCATCGATATTCTTGGTGTTGTGTTTTTGGCGCACTTTGATTGGTGGTGAACAAACTGCGAGGGCTCACCTAAACTGACGTGCGTATTTCGTCATGCCCCTGACTCAAAGCATAATTCTGCTAACGACTGCGACTTGCACACGCATCACACTTGTCCTCTTCCTCTACCATTTTTACCTGTTTCAGGTGAAAAAATTTCCCTAGAACAACCTAATTCACTTGTGTGTGCTGTTTCTATTCCCTAATTCTCATTCGGTAAGTTGGTGTGGTTAATTCTCGGTACAATTGCGATCCAAGCGGTGCTGCATGGAGCAGTTTTGTGCTCACAGGAGTTTTTCTGCTATGGGTGTTGGTGAACGGGGTAGGAGTCTAAGGAGTCGTGGTGCCTTCTCGGTATTTCTGCTGCATAGATAAGCTGCTAAGCGTTCCATCAACGGCAAGTTTATCCTGGAGATAAGTCGGTGATTCGACAAGATCTCTAGTTGTTAGGCTAGCGGGACATATGCGCGGTTAGAGCCGAAGCAGGTGTCGCAATTGTCCTATTGTTTCGTTGATGGATCACGAAGATAGTGGTCAACGCCGGTATGTCAGATATCGGGTTGAGCTTTATATTGTGCCGGTGTGCCTGAGGGATGTGCTTTCACGAGCGCACGACACTCTGTACATTTAGTGTTCATTTGTGGTCTTTCTTGCAGGGCGGGAATTCATATATATATTTCCACAACGCTCCTTCCTCTATTCATCTGCACCTACTGCATTTCAACTTTTTGAACACGCACCAGCGCAACCCAGTCATTATTAACCCAATTTTTCTTCTTTTTTGCTCCAGGCTCTAACATTTTTTGTTCAAGACATTTACGACATGTTATTATTATCTTTGCCTCGTTTTATGAATGCTACAAAAGCGGCCAGCTCCCGTCGGCTCGCATCATCATTGAAGTCCCAGAGGCTGCTATTTACTCGACTTCCTCAGAAGGCAACCGCTGTCCCGCTAAAGCAGCCTACGCCTGCCTTCTACTCCACCGCACATGCCTCACCTCTGAAGGAGCGTCTGGCACAGCTCATCCCGAAGAGAAGAGAGGAGGTGAAGAAATTCCGTGCTGAGCATGGTTCAGATGTGTTGGGCGAAGTTACATTAAATCAAATTTACGGCGGTGCTCGTGGTGTTCCTGCCCTGCTATGGGAGGGCTCTGTCCTCGATCCCAATGAGGGTATTCGGTTTCGCAACTTGACCGTAAAGGAGTGTCAAGAAAAACTCCCCTCCGCTACTCATGGCAAGCAACCTTTGCCCGAATCCATGTTTTGGTTGCTTGTTACGGGTGAAGTCCCCACTGCAAATGAGGTGCAAGCTTTGTCCGCAGAGTGGGCTGCTCGTGCTCAATTGCCCAAGTTTGTCGAAGACTTGATTGACAACTGCCCCAATACGCTTCACCCCATGGCACAACTTTCCCTTGCTATCACGGCTTTGGAAAATGATTCCGTGTTCAGCAAGGCTTATCATAGTGGTGTCAGCAAGGCAGATTACTGGCAGTTTACTTATGAAGACAGCATGGACTTGATTGCCAAGATTGTCCCTATTGCTGGTCGTATTTATCGCAACCTGTACCGTGATGGTGTGGTTGCCCCCATTCAACCTGACAAGGATTATGGTTACAACTTGGCCAACGTTCTCGGCTTCTCTAACAACGAGGAGTTTGTTGAGCTGCTTCGTTTGTACCTTAGTATTCACTCGGATCACGAGGGTGGTAACGTCTCTGCTCACACTGGTCATCTTGTTGGTTCCGCTCTTTCCTCGCCCTTCCTGTCGATGGCTGCCTCGTTAAATGGTCTTGCCGGTCCCCTGCACGGTCTGGCTAACCAAGAGGTTCTTGATTTCTTGTTGAAGATGAAGGAGTCAGTTGGTGATGATTATTCTGATGAAACTTTAGAGAAATATCTTTGGAACATCCTTGACAATGGCCAAATTGTTCCAGGTTATGGTCATGCAGTCTTGAGAAAGACGGATCCTCGTTACCTTGCTCAACGTGACTTCGCCTTGGAGCACCTTCCCGAAGATCCTATGTTCAAGCTTGTAAGCCGGCTATACGAGGTTGTTCCTCGTGTGCTTACCAAGCACGGTAAGACCAAGAACCCCTTCCCCAACGTTGATTCCCACTCTGGTGTCCTGTTACAATATTATGGTCTGAAGGAGCAAACGTTTTATACTGTACTATTCGGCATCTCACGTACACTGGGTGTTATGGCTCAACTCATCTGGGATCGCGCATTGGGCTTGCCAATTGAGCGTCCCAAGTCTTTCTCAACCGAGGTTTTGAAGAAACGCATTGAAAAGGCTTAACTTGTTCTGAATGATTATTGTTTATGTTTTCTAGTGAATGACAGGTTCATGCCTTTTTAACTCTTCAGTTTGTGTGTGTATGATTACATTTTGCTCGCTGCCATTCCTAGAGGATGAGCCCTTTCAACAGTAGCAGATTACGGACAACATCTCATAACAAGGTCACGCTAGTGCAAGGGCCACTACTTCACTGTAGCACCAAGAACAAAATCAAAAATCGACATGCGCAAACCTGCAAATTTTACAACATTGAGCTACGAAAATACTAGTTTCACTAAGGAATGTAACGCACACCTAGTCAGACGGTCAACATAAAGAAGGTTGGCATCCCGGCTTAATGGTGCATCAAATCACTCTTCACTCACGGTTATACCTGGCCTCATTTATTTTCAGCCTATCGTATGTGGATTCACAGGAGAAGAAACCCACGTAACGAGTACACGAGCCCCTAACTCCCCAAACATACGTCGCGAGCGACAGTTTGGTCTCTGAATGATGAATTCCCTTTTGTTTAACAAAAAATGGGCAGTCACTAAACCTAACCTAATAAGTCGGTCTCCTGGGTACCCATTGATTACAGTTTATCGCCAGAATGGGCGTGTCGTTATAGTCAAAGGATGAGGATAACGCAGTGTCCAAAGTAATTGTAGTAGATTTTTTACTTACAATCAAATTTATTAATAAGTTTTTCGCGAATTGTTCGAAATCTAATTCTTAGTCAAACTGAAGGGTTTCTGTTGTACTTATTGTCGTTTCTTTTACAGTGTACTTTTTTAACTTAATTTCTCTGTATAACTACGCGGGAAGCAATTTGAAGATTATTGAAGTTAGTTTCCTTCGAATATATATGTTCATGCAACAAACAGATAATAATTGAGTGGGTGTTGATTTAGACTAGCGCTGTTCTAGTACTAATTTATAAACGAAGATGAAAAGCATAGTTTATGCATTCATCGGCTTGTTCAGACTGACTGATTGGCTTTGCGGTACATTTCCACTAAAACGTGTTACGTACTAATATACATTTGACAAGCGTACTATATACATTTCTTGTTATGTCTGACCATTGCCAGAGACCATTATGCAATGTAAGTTTCATTCCAGCTGTAAGTGTACTCGTTGCCATCGTCTGAAAACCCATTTTCTTGCAGTAGTTCTAAAACTCACCCTGTCTTGCTTTTTAGTGTGATTGCTAGAATTATACTTATTGCCTCAACATTTGTTATTATTAGTTTAATACTTTTATTTTTGCCAAAGTTCTACTTTCCGTTTATCTCGATTGAGGATTTCAAGGCAGCTGATTGTGCGTCTTTAATGACTACATACTTTAAACTGCAAGGAGTGTTCAATGAGAAAATTAGGCATGGTATGATATGATATGGCACAAGAAAGGGAGTTGTAGAAGGATATGTACTAGATCCTCTATTTAGATAAGTATCGATAAATTCTTCCTTAAAGCGGGTGATATAGAGTAGAAGGATTGGCAAAATGTGCTAGTGATTGAACAAGACTAAACACTGAAAGTTTTGGAACGATGTGCAGAAGTAATGAGGCGGCTACAATGCTACAGCAGCAGTCGTAGTAGATAGCACCAAGGTAATAATCTATCTTAGGAACATTGAAGGATTGCTGCAACGACTTTCACGTCATAGAGCAAACTGACTTTTGTCATCAACTCCGAGTACTTCTGAACTTTGAGAGAGAGACAATCATTCAAATGATTAGTATCTTGAACTGAAAGCTAAACATTCGCTAGCATTTATTACTATTACGAAGCAATTCCAAGTCATTGCTTTTACATTTGTACATCTTGCAAAACTATTAGATTTTGTTTCTCTGAAGTTAACAAATATAACACATATGGATTAGTAAACAAAGATACTCTCAATTAAATAGTCAATGTAAATATGCTAAGCCCTAAGATTGAAAAAACCCGTTGAACCTTACTTAAATCTTTTGACAACTACTGATTTTCAAAACCTGTTGTGCATAACATATCATTTAGGTTTTATTAATCAACCGAAGCTTATTTAGAGAGGTCTAAAGAAAGAAGTGATTCATTGTTTGAAGCCTACGAACAAGAATCCTCAATCGAACTAAACATATTCGGCCTCGCACCACAACAAAATGTCTTAAGCAGCGATGCCCGAGTGGTCTAAGGGGGCAGATTTAAGTTGGCTGAAAGGTTAATGGAACTCTGCTGTTGATAAACGCGCGAGTTCGAACCTCGCTCGCTGCATTATTGTTCGTTTTTTGTTGCTGAAACTATTTCAGCATTTGTCGGGAATAAATTGAGACCATGTGTCTTCAACTTCAGCATGAGGACTTTCCTAAGCGCGGACATAGATATTTGATTGATACTTGTAAGCACTGTGTTTACTGCTATGACTTTAACATCATGCTTGAGACGAAATAAACAGTAGTTTTTTTTACTCTCATTCCAATATCAATACGCTTTCAACTAAAGTACCTCACGGACATAATATAAGAGTTAAGGTACTTTCAAATAGGGTTCTAAGGTTGTAAAAACAATTTGTAATATATTATACTATTGAACTTGTTGGAAACCTAAATCTTCAACGAGGTATCTCGTTTGAGTAAGCTGTGACAATGACACCTACGGGCCTATTCATATAAGCAATACCAACTTGTCTTTCCTCATTGAGTTGTTAAAAGTAACAAGTGTACCAAGTTATATACGTCAAGAAAATAACATCAGAATAACTGGTCAGTACAGAAGAAAAAGAATGAGGACTAGCGAACAAATTATACTAAGCCCCAAAGCACGACAAGGAATAGTAATTTCTGTTATACTAATGGGGTTAAGCTGCATAGTCTACCGTCTTTTATGTTGAGCACATCATTCTTTACCAGATCGTTTTTCAAATTAAACATATTCTTCTTAAAAAAAAATATGTGTTAAAATTAGGCTTGTCTCTTTTCGTATGTGTCTTGATCCAAGAAGTAGAATATTCATTCATACAGACCTTTTTGTATATTGCTCGCTTAGAAGAAAACCTTAATTGATGTTTACGAAAAGGAAATCTAAAAGACAACCCAAATCATTGTATAAACTTCCTATGAGCAGTGGATATTTACCACTCATCCAAAATGACTTTTTATATTAATTTTGTTGAATTCTGATAGCTAGAATTTATATTAGCTGGTACATGCAGATACTCGCTTGTTCGTAGAGCCGAAACCTTACTCAAAAATGCGAAAATTTGGATACTAAACTGTTAAAAAAAAATTAAAAACCATGGAACCAACAACTATACGTAATTATCTGTACATTACTTGCAATCCTGAATAGTTATTTACCGTTTTACACCTTTCAATTCTTCTGATGTTGATGCAACTTGAAAATGCAAGCCGAAAGACTAAGCATTTTTTACTAAAAGTAGTCAATATAGACTGCATCTCTCTAAAACAAAAAGCAATGGGACAGACAATCCCGTGTATCTCGTCACCAGCAGGACTTGAACCTGCGAGGGCATAGCCCATTAGATACCTGAACAAGTTCAAGTCTAACTCCTTAACCGCTCGGACATAGTGACATCGCCATATCTGGGATGGATCGAGGCTGAATATATTAAGTTCGATTGAGGATTACTGTTTGTTGGCTCCGTTTAACTATTCAATAAGCTTCGGTTAATAAAACCTAAATGTTATGTTATGCGCAATATGTTCTGAAAGTTATTGCTAAAAGAAACAAGTAGCGTTCAACGGATTGTAGCCATTGAACTCTTGCATATTTATATTACCTTTTCAATGAATGCTAGCGAATGCTTAGTCATTCAATTTAAGAGACTAATCAGTTGAATGATTGTTTCATTTCCAAGTTCAAAAGTACTCGGAGTCAATCACATAAATGTCTTTGCTCCGTAATAAGTAAGAAGGTTCCCGTGGCCAAGTTGGTAAAGGCCTCATGCTTATATGGTACACCTCTTACCAGGTATGCTACGTGAAAATCGCGAGTTCGATCCTCGCCGGGAGCATAGCTTTTTGTTTTGTTTGCATAAAACGGCTGTGCTGCATCGACATATGTGGGTGCATGGTTTTGGCCTCTTCTGCTGGTGATTGGGATGAAATAAAACAAAGCAAAACAAAACAAGCCAGCACCAAGTCTAGTATCTATGATGTGTCTGCTGCTCAAAGTATGTTATGTTGCCTCGTATACGTTATTTATTTACCACTAACTATGTTAGTGAGTAGTAACCATTTAGTACAACTGAATATGAACAAGAATTAACAAGTGGAACAAGTAGAGCAATGCTATATAATAGGCTAAGAAAGGCAACTTTCAAGCTGTAATGGCTCAGATGGAGAGACAGTTCCTTCGCCACCTGGTGGGGTGGTGTGCACGGGTTCGAGTCTCGCTGTTGATCCTCTGATTCCCCTACGGACTCCGGCGGGCAGCTGCCAGCAGCCGAGGGGATTAAACACGGGGCCACCGGCAGAGGTTGGCAACAACGCACGTCAACCCCGGGTCAGAGGCAGTGCGACAGCGATGGGATTCACTCGAGCCGCCCCAGTAGGGAAGGGGGTCTCCACATCTTTTTGCTGCTGTCACCGACGTTAAACGGTGGACAGCAAAGCGAGTGTTGCAAGCAGGTACGCACGATAAAAGTGGGAAAGTGTGTGTATATGTAGTAATAGTAAGTAACAGTAATTTCTGATAAACTGTATATAAAATATAACAAAGTGTAACGTTCAGGTCATGAAACCATTGGCTTTATGTCATGTACTTTTGGAATCTTGGCGACGAAGTAGCCAAACCAACGGCAAGCTTTCGCCTGATCAAACGGATGAACGGAAGAGAAGCAATGATCACATTGTTTCTCTCTAAACTATTCTTCTATCGGCACGTTCCGCAGAGCCTGGAACTTCGGTTTTATTGGAATCTTGTAATTCCTTAACAGAAAATTACGATTAGTAGGAGATTATTAATTAGACAATTAACATAAATACTTGTTAGTTCAATTGCCAAAAATCCGCGGAACACTACAGGCTCATTTCAACAGTTAACGCATTACTTTTCTCATTGTCGCATTTTACTATTTAAGGTTCAGTTAAACGAACCTTATTAACAAACTGAGTGAGTGGTTTTAATCACTGTTTGAAGCCAATTAAGAACTAATCTCTTGAATCAAAGACAATGGGGACCTCGAACTGTAACTGGTCAAAAGGCTTGCAGGTATACTATGAACTATAAAAAATAAATAGCATTGACCAATTGATATTCGACAAGTAGTGAATTATGTTTGGAAAAACTTTCTATAACTGTCGTGACTAGATATCTGAAGAAATAAATCAATAGAATTTGTATATCGTTTAACATGTAGATAGTCTTTCTGCATTTAATATATTTAATAAAAGTTATAACTTAAGTCTTGAAACCTTTATTTGAACAACTTCCTCAATTAAAAGTTATCGTTTATTTTAGTTGTAATTGGCAACTTACGCAATTGGGAAACACGGTAAGTACATAAACCAAATTAACATGCAGTACTCATGAGCCTTTTATCGTTGAACTTGAGGATAATTTAGCTAGAAATTCAATGCACCAATCTTGATTATTCAGAGATCACAGGTTTCCGAATGCGTAAAAAGTTTTGCTTTGCGAATCTTGTGAGAGAAGGAATTTTTTAAGAGAAAGATAATGCAATTAATGTTCTTTTATCGTTTAATGGTTCATAAGTAGTAGTTGTGTTGGTTACTTGTTCAAGAAGCCTACAATTAGATAGGAAAGTTGCCATATAACTAGTATTCCACATTTAGCTTTGCTGTTTCTTCTATTTCTATACAATTACTTGTATAATTGTTTTCTTCAGACAGTTTTTTTTTTTTTTTTTGTTTATTATTATTATTGGTATATTTCTATGGCAGCATGAACGAGTTTATAATTACTTTTGCTTAGAAGCGCCATTCATTCTTACAGTTAGCAGACAAAGAAGCCCAATACCAGATATAATTGTACCAACAATCCAATTCATTCGGTATGCTTTTCCCATTTTATCCAGCAATTGACTTCTTTCATCTTGGGGGAAAGTATTAATTTGTTCATAAGACATATTCGACAGTGTATTGGCATTTTTTCCAAGCAGAGCTGCCAAAGTTTGTGAATAAACGACTTTTCCAACGATTACGCCAACGCTGCCACCTATGCTTCTAACAAACATAACAACCGAAGTAACAATCGCCATCACATGCACGGGCGTTGACGCCTGTGCTGCGAGAAGAGGGGGCAGAAACAGACATCCAGAGCCGATTGGATAGATTATACTAAGTGCAATAATCTTGCCGACGGAACTTGAGTAATTTAGATCCGTCAGTGCCCCCATACCGGCAGTCATAAATAACCACCCAATATACATAGGAATCATAAAGTTATTTGTTTTCTTAATAAACATACCTGTAAGAAAAGAGAATAAGGATACTAAAAACGCTGGAGCAATAATGTGAATGCCGGAAATATGGGGGTGTCGCCTTTAACATTCTGATAGAACTCTGGTAGGTAATAATCGAAAAGCATATAATTGTAATTATGCAAGAAGACTGTGAATAACAACGCACATTTTGACAGACTATCAAACATGAACGTTGGAAGAATCTGATTTCTAGTAGTTTTGGTCTCACAGAAAGCACACACTATAAGCAAAATAACTCCAACTATGATGTAGACAAGCACATTCACGCGAACCCAGTCGTTATTTGTCGCACCAATGGAGAGCCCAAGTAATATGAGCACACTTCCAACAATGCACGTAGTAAGCCCAATAAAATCAAATGTCACCAGAAAGTGTCGGAACGTTGTTCGATCATGAACAGGGACATTAAGAAAGAATACAAGAATTGCTATAGAGATTCCTCCGGTAGGTAAATTAATGAAAAATATCCAACGCCAAGTTGTGCCTTGACATATAATGCCTCCTAAAAGCGGGCCGATGACTGAAGCGATCCCCCATACTGAAGCGATGAATGACGTGTAAAATGACCGATTTGCAAGCGAGGTAATATCAGAAATAACAATAAAACACAGCGACGTTATTCCGCCTGCTCCGACGCCTTGAACAGCTCGACATATGACGAGCATGATCATAGAATTACTGGCACCGCAAAGTGCACTGCCTAAAAGAAAGCACAAGATGCTACTGTACAACACGACTTTTCGACCAAGCATGTCAGAAGCAACACCAAGAAGGGGAAGGACGGCAGTCAATGCGAGCGTATATGCTGAGCCAATCCAAGAATAATCGACCTTGCCTGACAAGTCGTGCACAATGGTTGGGACAGCAGTGGTAACAATGGTACTGTCTAAAGCTGACAGAAACGTAGTCAGCAATATTCCGGTCATGACGACTGGCATGTTATTTTTAGGAATTTCATTTTCTTGGCTTATACTTTCTTTAATATCGCCTGACTGGTTTTCGAGATCAAGAACTGTTGATTTGCAAACTTCTGTAGCAGAAGTGTTGTCACACAAAATTCCATGTTGTCGTTTCATAGACATGCTATTTTCCGAAGAAAACGATATAGCGGAGGCGTTCATTTTCCAGCCAAGGGCGATGGATCAGTAATTGGGTTTCAATAGATATATGTATAAAAGCAAAATAAAGGAGCAGGTGCTTCTGCTATAAAAGTTGTACACTTAAAATGAAACACGCCTTTGTGTTATACTGAAAAGAGCTTAAGATAATCGATTTTGTTAGTAACAAGAAGAATACGAATGGAAAAACCGTAAACCCTATATGTGAACTTTGGTGCTTTTACGTTGATTGACGTTACTTGACTTGCACACTGTCTTAATTGAAGTAAGAAAAATAATTGTGCACACAAGGTGATTTCTTTTCTGTCATTCTAAACAGTCTCGCATATTGATTTCTAGACGGTAAGCGAAGGTGCCGAAGCTTAGTCATATTCTCTCTTCCAATCATTTTGTAGACTCCGACCGCTAACAGTTATTTTTAAATTTTAACTCGTCGCCCGTTAAACAGAGCCGAATGTTTAATTTAGGTATCCAATTAGATTATTCATCGCCAACTTTATACTATAAAGCTGAACGCGCCGAACATGTGCGATGAAATGAGAAATACGATACGCATCTTCTAATTGTTAGGCTCGAGGAAAACTTATAAGATTTGGATTGCAAATAGAGTGAACTTTTAGTGAGAATGATTTCAGGTATACAAATAAGGAGAACAGTTTAGTTACGAAACGAAGCTGGACTTGAAGAAATTACCTTTTTCGAGTTGCTTCAAGGGCTAACCTAATTTAGATAGCTTTTTCTCGATGACTCATTCATTTAAAATAAGGAACGACTTTATACGGCATGGTATAAATTTATTTCGTTATTCTACTTAGCGTGTAAATTTGTTAACTTTATATACTGTCTGTAAACAACAAAGTTATGGATAATACACACACATCGACGTTGCCTATTTTATATATCATGTACGTTTGAAGTCTTAACCAAGTTAACTGAAAAATTTATCTTGCTCAGCTATAATGAAACCGATTAATTAGATTTGTTTTGCTTTGTCCTTACTAAAACTTCCTTCTTACAATATAAGAAATTACATTAATACAATTTTGCTGTTACTAAAGAGTGTGCTTGTACAAGACGTTTAATGCATGATCTTATCTGATATTATTAGTCGATCAAATTCTTGGTCAATAATTGGATAGTTTATTATTCATGCGAAGTTTAGTATCAACAGTTTGTGAGTGTGTTTCAGCCATTACCATTATATCATCAACTGTTGGCTTTTTGGCTTTATAAATTCCTCTGCGATTCACGTTTGGCTTTAGTAATTATTCTTATATCAATGACAGTTTTCACCGAATTTCAACGAGAGTCACTATGTCCGAGCGGTTAAGGAGTTAGACTTGAATTCGTCCAGGTATCTAATGGGCTATGCCCGCGCAGGTTCAAGTCCTGCTGGTGACGAAGCTCTTTTACTTCGCATTCTTCTATTATTTTTTGCGATGAAAAATAAGCCTTAGTTAAATTGTTTAATTTTAGTGAAAGGTTCTAACCCTCCGCGTGGGTTTATTCGTGTATCAAAATCATGGAAACAATAATTCTGCAAGGACCTTCTAGTTGATTTATGAATCCATTCAATAATAATTAATTATCATCATAGTTAATTTTTCTTTCCGTTTGAACCCAATATTAGGTTTTCGCGAGTTTGATTAAGGTTTCGGCCCTGCAAATAAGTGAACAACAAAATTCAAAACTCTGCTGTATGTATCGAAATTACGTAGACTGGTTTAACAAGCAATTAAGACTATTAATAAACTTATGCCTAAACGTTGCAATTCATTGGTGATTTGTTCATTTAGTTAGTTTATCTTTTACCGTGGTTTTCGCTAACACACATTAATAAAGCTAAGCGAACCTCAAGCAACATAATTACTTCGATTTATGATTACGTTATTAATTAGATTTGACGAGTTAACGAAGACCCGTGCAAATGTAAAAGGGATACGACATAATGAATTTGTTGACAACAACTCTCTACTCAAAGTTATAAAAATTGTTTAGTAAGATCTTCTTTAATTTACTTTACTGAGAATATTATAGTAGCTCTCAATAATTAGTACTCATTTTTTTTTATTTAGACTTTTCTATAGTATCATGGCTTATTGTTTACTGAATTTAGTAGTGAATAGTACCTGATATAGTCGCTACTTTGTTACTGCAAGCAATCCAACAAGAAAGAAGTAAATAATAACGCTTTTGCCAAATAATTCTGTTATTATAATACTATACTGGGTGAGTAACTCTAAACTTTCCCGTCGATCTATTGTCTTCAAGCCAATTCTTAGAATATTATTAATTCGTTTTTATTTGGAATGAATAATGAAACAAGCTTAAACAGTTTATTCTTAAGCACGTGGCGTTTTTGTTCTTATGCAACTGTTCTTTTTATTAGAAAATATTCATATTATTAGAATGTGATCTGATAAACTTGTACACCTTGGGCTTTCAACGCAATGCTTGAGGCCTCGAGTTATCAGTACATTGCTTACTATTGTTTGATAACACTGGCGTGTCTGTTTAAGAAAGACTAAAATGCTTTACTCGTAGTCATTTAGTTGGAAACCTAATTTAGCGAGACACGACAATTCCCTAAGCGACGAAAGAAAAAGCAAAGAAAATGAACGCAGCAACAAAAACGAGAATAATGCAGCGAGCGAGGTTCGAACTCGCGCGTTTATCAACAGCAGAGTTTCCATCGACCGTTCAGTCAACTTAAATCTGCCCCCTTAGACCACTCGGGCATCGCTGCTTCAGATGCTCGGTGTAGTTCAGGCGACATTCTACAATTGAATGCTGTGTGTCAGTAAGCCTCTGTCTTCGATACTGAGAGCTGTAATACCAACCAAAGTGACATCCCCAAACTGTGTGAAGACATTTAAGTAAGATTCAAGCCTCACTACCTACTAGTATCGACAAATCGTGTAAATTCAGATTTCGCGTGGTGCATACAGTTAGTTATTCTTGTAATTCTAAGTAATTACGGTCATTGACGATAAGGATGAGATTATACAAACACATTTGTGTCACGGCATATTAATTACATAACGTTCACTTGAAGCTGAAAAGTAGCAAATAACAAAGTACTGGTCGGACAGTCATCATTGATTTTTTATAATAATGTTATTTGATAGTAATTGAGTAGGTATACTTACTAGGTTTCTTTTCAGCTACGAATGTACTAGTTCTAATGTCATTGAGCCCTTACACTCTGGGATTTGTGTACTGCCTTTGCAAGTTTAAACTACAGGCAAGTTTCTGAACCTTCACACTTAACTTCAAGTAGATTGTGTATTTTACGTGAAGCTATATTATTAGTATTTAGTCTAGTTTTAGAAGATTGATTTCAACAACCAGTCTCGGGTAATTGACATGCAATAATCGTTGCACATTGGCTTTACTAGATTATGTTATGCAAAACTTGGAAGAAAAAGAGACGTCATGAGATACTATAAGAAGCAAGGCAAGAATTAACATATGCAAATGACGTATAAATTTGATTGTAAAGGCGAAAATGTAACATCGCAACCATTTCAGAACTCATTTCGTACATTCATAAAAAAGACGAGAAGAACGAGAAGAAAGCACCATATTATTCAGCTAAAGGAGGAATATACGAGTCATTTGTGATACTAATTAATTAGTCATGAGCCGACTGTTATTGACTTGTGTTTTATTACACTAGTATTTCGTTTTGGTACATTGATCGTTTATAATTATGCTCTATTCGAGACGGAAGAAAAGAAGAAACTTTTCCCCAATAATCCGAATCAATTTATTTCTCGCTTGGATCATAAAGATTGAAGCAAACAAAAAGGAAACGAGCCGAAATTGTCGGCAATAATGATGTTCAACTACTAATATTATGAGATAAACCTTGAAACCGTTAGATTCTAAAGAACAATCGTTTAAACTTTACACACACTACTCCTTCTCCTGTGGAAACTTGGGTTCCAGCAAACGATTCTGCAACAAAGTCGGTAAATGGGAGGTAATGGAACAATAGCTGATGTCTTGGGCATCAACACAGAACCTCTTTCCACTATGGAAATTTAGGTGAGAGTGACGATTAATTTCCTCAAACAAATAATTGAGATATAGAATAACTTCTTAGCACCGCGACCAAGCAAAGTTCAAAAAGGCTAGTAGCAACTAAAGATCGTCCTCACTGTGCAGCTGCACAGTTAGACACTCTCAAAGGGAGTAGTCTACTGACACACAGCATTCAATTGCAGAAGAAGACGTCCCCTGAATCACATTGGGCATCTGAAGCAGCGATGCCCGAGTGGTCTAAGGGGGCAGATTTAAGTTGACTGAACGGTCGATGGAAACTCTGCTGTTGATAAACGCGCGAGTTCGAACCTCGCTCGCTGCATTATTCTCGTTTTTGTTGCTGCGTTCATTTTCTTTGCTTTTTCTTTCGTCGCTTAGGGAATTGTCGTGTCTCGCTAAATTAGGTTTCCAACTAAATGACTACGAGTAAAGCATTTTAGTCTTTCTTAAACAGACACGCCAGTGTTATCAAACAATATCAAGCAGTAATGACAAGTTCCGTGGTATTGACTGCCTATTGTAGCAATTGCGCTATAAACTATCTTATATTACAAGTTCTCTAAATTTTAACGTTGTGATATTCTAACTCATTGAGAAAAAGAAATGAATGCAAGGAATATGTTTAGGCCGCTAGTTTAGTTCAAAACCTAAGACATCCGAGATCCATTTTTCATGTTTATTCAAAACAGAAATATTGTACATTGGGTTCGCTAGACACAAACCTTAAAATACCTTTTACGGAAATCTAAAAAACAGGTCAAATTGCTTAACAAAATTTTAGCAAACGGTCAGTACTAACTTAAAATGATACTTGTAATTATTTTTAGGCTTTAAAATTAGTATTGGTGACTGTAATAACTATAAACAACTGGCTTTTATTTCTCGCTTAATCAAATGGCCGAAACCTTATATTAGAATCGCGAAAAACCAAATCCTAAAAAATCTATAAAATTAAAAAGTAATATTTTAACTGAACTCTGGCTAGCTTCATGAGTAAATGTAACAGTTACTTTAATACAATATTATTTTCTGCTGCTACAATTCACCAACTTTCCCAATTGTGTCTCAAGCGAGGGTTCAGATCATTTCACTAAAACTAGACAAAATAAACGCTGCTGTGTTTCGCTTTCAAAAAAGACGAAAAAGCTGCGCAACAAAAGAGCTTCGTCACCAGCAGGACTTGAACCTGCGCGGGCATAGCCCATTAGATGCCTGAACAAGTTCAAGTCTAACTCCTTAACCGCTCGGACATAGTGACTCTTATTAATTGTCACGGTCCGAAGCCAAATATGTTTAGTTCGATTGAGAATTCTTGTTCGTAAGCTTCAAACAATGAGTAACTTCTTTCTTTAAACCATTCCAAATCAGCTTCGGTTAATAAAACTTGAATATTATGTTATGCGCAGTGAGTTCTGAAAGTCACTGTTAAGAGAAACAGGTAGTTCAACGGATTATAGCCATTGAAATCTTGAATATTCATAATAACTATTCAATTGATAATATCTTTGGTTACTAATTTTACAGAAACAAAATCCAAAATTGGAAGTGTATTTGTAACGATTCGATAACCAGGTTCGCTTAACTGAACCTTTAACAGCGAAATGCGAGAATAGGAAACTTAGTAAGTTAACTGTTGAACGAGCTTATAATGTTCAACGGACTTTTAGCGATTGAACTTACAAGTATTTATAGTAGTTGTGCAAAAGATAGTATCTCTCTTAATGCATTTGATTGGTAGCAATCATATACTTTCGAAATGCGGAAGTTTCAGGCTTCATGAACTGCTTAAAGAGAAACAATGCGATCAATGTTTCTCTTTTGTTTGATCAACCGAGAACTAGCTGTTAGTTCGGCTGCTTGGTTACGATGACTCATGACAGTTGTGAGCATTTTCGACAAGACAATATATTCTCCGAGAATTTCCAAGACTCCTAACGTAAAGCTTAACAATAAGAAGTTGCATGTACTTAAAGTGAGAATTTGCGATATTAAATAACGTAAACATGGTTTTTAATTTCGGTGCACACTTTCGATAAAAAACAAAACACCGACTCTCCTTAATATATACAGATATGTCAAAAGACCCTCATACACAAGGCAAAATGAAATCACAGAATTCCTTTTAGTTCTTAGCAAGTTATTAATGATCTATTTCCCGCACATTTCTTAGTACTATACGAGAGGAAGTAGCCACACTAATAAGACACTGAAAGTACCCACGACGATTCTCTTTGAACAACCGCTGTTACAGTAAAGCAGAGCTTCCTAAAATTTGTGTAACCGACCCTTCCTTCACTTAGTTATAAAGCAGCAAAAAAAATAATGATCATATTATGCATGTTTTTCAACTTTGGCTCTTTAACGTAAATGATATTCCTTACTCATCCAGAAATAGAACCGCAATTGAATGGTTATGGAGCGTCCCAAAAACCAAAAATGATAGATATTTCCCGTTGTAATTCAACACAACAATTTAAGCGTGCTTGGGGGAAAGTTTGCTCTCATTTTCTAAATGTTCTTTAGACTTAGGTCCGTACCAGAAGTTGATAAAACGAGCACCCTGAGCACTTTGAGCAGCAGTGTTGAAAGCATGACAACACAAAAGAAGATAGTTTCTAGGGTAAACCATCCAAGCGTATCTCATGAAGACACAAGAGTATACAATCAAGGCACTGGTCATACGGCCCGAAATAAGATGAGGGTCCTTCTTCAAGTCATACAAAGCAGCGATAGGAATTCCAAAGTTCGACAAAGGTCCCCAAAAATGAGTACTCATCAAATACCGACGAAAATTGGGGCTTTTCACCCATTGGAAGAAGCGTCCAGTCACAGAAGCGCTGATTTTTTGACTTGCTTTTTCAGTTGCTTGATTCCTAAAAATTGTTAGTAAATACGTTTTCTATACATGTTCTCACTATTTCTTTCGTACATTTTTACAAAATATATTCTGTAACAAAGAGGAGAGGAAAAAACAAAAAACCAAGAGGTTCCGAGTGAAAGGAGATTTGAACCCTTAACAAGTTATTTCGTTTCACAGTCTCAAAGCGAGCCGTAACTTTTTTAGTATCACTTAGACATCAAGATGAGTATCTTAATTAAGCGAAGAGTCTAAACGAAAACGTGGTAACCTTATTGTATAAAAAACTCACCACCATCATTAGGTTACGTATTAACCCTAATACCCTGAAAATAACCTGAACCTTATTCTGGGATGCCGATGGCTCAGAAAGCTTGCCCAGTACGAACCCGGCAACCTCGCTGTTATCGCCTCAATTCATGTCGGATTTGCCTGATTCGAAGCTTAAAACGCTTGGAGTGCAAAAGTATTATTTTTGAAAGCAATCATGCTTGTTAGTGCCTTCATTAACACATAATACAGAGCAGGCGATCTCATTCGCCAAACAGATGTATGTTGCAGCAATCGCAGAAGGAAGTCTTTTAAGTGAATCCATCTGACGTGTTTAGAGTTTTGACAAACTTACTGTACTCATTGAACGATTACAACGTGAGAAAAACACACTAGACGTTTATGTGAAATCCGAATTAGAAACTTTATCAAACTCTTACAAGGTTTGTACTAAGAATTATGTTCATTTTGGAACAGTAAACACTGACAAGTTTTTAGGCCGGTTTGGAACGAGTGAACGATGGAAAATCAAAGTTACAGGAGCTACAAGACAATATTTCAGGCGTACGTATCACACAAGAACCATTCCAACGGGGAATACAGTTTGTATTAACAAGCTAGTTGGTTTCCCTGTGTAATAATGCAGGATCCATGGTGAACGAGTTTTCACTTATTAGCAAAATATCCCGAGTGTACCGAAACTGTACGGCAACTAAGCAGATGATAGAACAACTAGAAAAACTACAAGAAGAAACAGACCTGGTGGAAGATATGCTACAGTCAGATATTCACCAAGGAGATGATATGCCAAATTTGTTACGAGCTCATTTTATTCTTACCCGCTTACAGTCATTTCGAGACGAGGCAATGCAGCAGGCTGCAAAAGAAAACTCGATTGAACTGGACGAGACTCTTGAGCAATTATTCAGCAAGCTGAATGTTATTTCGGACAATTTTGACAGACTTGTCTTCAGTTTCTGCAGGAATTTTCTTGAGCTGCTCAGTGATGAACAAACACGCACTCTTATTAGTACCTTTAAGATTATTGAGGTAGAAGAGGCAGCTGATCGGAAGGCTCGAAACTTGATCGACGTCCGAAAGTCGACATATGCGGGTGCAGATTCCAGCTTATGGAACTTTCAAGGAAGCAGAAGAGAACTAAAAAATTTTCGTGAACGTGCCTTCGAGGAGATTGAGAACAGTATTCAAGAACGGTTCGACACTTGCTGGAATCAGTTGCAGGAACCAGATGCTTCTCTTAACCTGGAATGGGTAATTTCCGATCTAGATATGGCGAAGCAACTGGAGAAGCTTACTCCACCGGAATATCGTTTATTTTCGTTTGTGTTGTCTACTTACCACACCCTCTTGGACGAGTTTGTGCACAAGTGCATTAACGGTGACATGGCTGTTGTCATTTTGCTTTACCTTGTTGAATTCCAGGTAGCATACAGGGAGTATTTAAGGGATTCACATTATGTTTACATCGAAGAACTGGATCCACCCCTAGAAGATAGTGACGAAAGTGAACTTGCTCTTGAGGTTTCATCCGTACTTGTTAACAAGGTCAAGGAATGGGCCAAAAAGGTTTTCGACAAGGACGTGGATGAGTTCACCAGAAGACAGAATGAACCACAGAGTGATAACCAGCATAAGTACAGTCTCCCGGGTACAATTATTCTTTTTCAAATGATATCTCAACAGCTGAAATTACTGTCACCTTGTGAAAATGCAACCGTCTTTTTTAAGGTTGTGATGGGCGCGTTAGACATGCTTTTAACTTTGCAACAGAAATGGAAGGAGACACTACGTGCTGAGACGACAAAGCAAATGAATAATCCGCATTCAGTTGTTCCAGGATTACCGGAATACGCCGTTGCACTTTCAAATGACAGCTTAAAGTCATCGGGCTTTACGGAAAGTACATTTAAAAAGTACCACAACCTTATACCTGAGAATTTTAGAAGTGAGTTCCTTGAACGTCTTTCCAACGTGGAAGATGGTTATATTTACCTATCCGGTTCGTGTCTAAGTACTATCGTTGCTCTCATTGCCACTGATACAAAACATGCATTTTCTTTAGTTTTCCAAACTGCATGGTATGAGTCAAGTAATATCCCGATCGTTGTCAATACCTTTCGCGATTACCTTTCGGATTGTAAGGAACACTTGGTTTCCGGTCTTACAGAAAGCTTGGCAAAAGAGTCTATCAAGGGTTTTGTTGTGTGCTACATTCGCTGTCTTCTTAACAAAAACATTAAGCTACGCGGTGCAGAAACTATCGAACGCATCCGTGCCGATGTTTCGTGCGCACTACAAATGTTTTCCGATTATGCTTCAGACGTTAATGAACTGAAGCAAGAATTTGTATCAATCCAAAGTCTTCTCTTAGGAATGTTGGATGCTGACACGAATACGGTTGCTGACTACTATACAGACCTGAAGAATCTCTTCTGGGATGTTCCTATACAACTCGTGGAACTCGTACTCATCAACCGTTCCGACCTCGACCGCAATGAATGTCGCAAGATGATAGAGATCATTCGATACACCGATGCAAATATTCCGACACCTAAAAATGCAGAGGGTACCATCTATAAGAATGTTCTTTCAGACGGTCTTGCAGTTTTTGAATGATAGATGTAGTTATGTTTACGCTCTTAATATTAATCGCATTAGCTTAATTAGTGTTCGTATTTCAATGCGTCTCCTTTTATATTGTTGCTCAGAACAATAAGGTCTGTGCTATTACCAGCCGCTAGGATTTCATCAGTTCTGTTCCAATTCAAATGCCGGATTGCACTTGCTTCCTCTGTGGCATTTGGTTTATCAATAGCGGTGCTAATATATTCGCCCACCAGAGAAGCGTTTTTATATCTCCATATATGTAAATTTCCATGAAGATCGCCACTAGCCAAGTATCGACCATTATGGCTGAAGGACATTTTCGTAATAGCTGTCCGATTTCTTCGTAACCGGTACAGTAAATTTCTTGTAAAAGCGTTATACAGGCAGATACTGCCTGAGGAAGACACGGCGAACAGTGACGGTTCAGATGGACTCCATTGAATGCAGTCGATAGATGCTGGGAGCTTTATTGAAGAAATTAATTTAATCGTATAATCTGCGTCAATTGACCATAACTAGGTAATGTTAGCTTCAACGAAAAAAGAGACGTTTACCTTTATAGATGCATCGGCAGATGCTGTTAGTAGTAAACTTGCATAAGGCGAGTATTCAACGGATGAGATTGATCCCAAATGAGCGTAAGGAATCTGAAAGACCGGCGCTTCATTTTCAACTGTGTACAAAGTCAGATTTCCAATCGCATCAACAGTTACGAAGTGTTCGGCGTTTAACCACGCTAAATCAAGTATAGGTGCATTTTGTGGTTGCTGAACGGTATGTTTGACTAAACGTGCATAAGCGTCCCATAAAGTAAAGCTTCCATCTGCAAGACCTAAAAGGAGGAAAGTGTCCGTCGGACTCCAGCATGCACTTAAAATAGGAGCATCCTGACATTGAATAGTTGTGATAAGGGAGAAGCCATCGTTAAATAGTTGAACGAGACCGATGAAATAGGTACACGCGAGAAAAGTTCCACAATGGTTCCAATGTAACCCGGTTATGTCTTGACCGGTTTCAGACACGCTCATTTGAAAAGCGATATCATAAGCGGACTTGTCTTTTAGAGTAGGCGATAAATCAAATACACGAAGTTGTGAATCAGAGGAACCGATACACAACTTGTAAGGATCCTTGTAAGCCCATGCTGAGCAAGTAAAAGTCGCATTTACGGAAGGAAGAGATAGGAATGAATAACAGCGAAATGCTGCAACATCAATTAAAGCATTTTGATACGATAAGTCTTTGTCTAACCTTGTAGTGTCTGACGAGTCGACATGTTGTTCATCACTTTCCAGTTTTATAGATTGTGTAGCGTCCAGATCTGCATCCATGGGACTTGATACGTCGTTTTTCTTTGCACATACGTGCTGTTCTACTAAAGAGAAGGAAGATGTACATTGAGTAGCTTCAGTATCATCGGTTGTAGTTGCGTAATGCTGTTCCAGTTCCATATACTGTAAACCCTTTTGCAAAGCCCGTATCAATGCACCTGTGGGACAAGATTCATTCCATTTTCTGTCGGCCTGTTCAATTTTTGTTTCATAATCAAAAGCGTAAGCAGTATTATCGTAACCTCAAAAGTTGTTAGCCAAAAACTGAGAGAATAATTGATTGTTTTAACATACCAGACTCTTTTAAGTAGCGCCATACTACGTAGTTCACTTGTTCGGAGTCCATTTTATGGGCGTTATATCAACGAAGAAAAGATCACTACTTAATAGTGCATAGGAATACTGAGAGAAAGTTACCAATTAGTTAATTTCAAAAGAATCAATGCATTTCACACAAACACATGAAGTTTACAGTGAAATTGCTGATATAAAGGAATCCAAGATTTTCCACTTACCAACTGAAGTGTTGTCAACCAGTACGGAAAACCGAATACAAAAACCAAAAACAGAAACGGCAAAAGAACCTGTCCATACTCCGTTAGGATTTAATTAAAGCACATTAAAGTGTTGTTATAACTTGTACTTAGTGGCAGGTGGTATCTTTTGTTAAAAAAAAAGGAAAAGCTTTCTTTTACTCTATCCGAAGAATTATTATAAAGACATATTCATGCCAATTGCTGAGTTACCTCGATATTAGCCGAACAAGTCCTTTGTCTTTTTCTGTACTTCTTTTGTTTTACGAAATCATCGTTGATTCTTCGTGGTCTTGTTTTTTTTGTATATTGGGACAATTGTGAATGGTAACGTTCTTGCTAAACTGTTAAAGGAACTGCGATTACTATTCTAAAGTTCTCTTTTCTGGAAATTATTAAAAGATTCTTTTTTTTCCTGTTTATTTACAAGCTTTCGTTGGTGCCGTTTTTTTTTGTTAATAGGGTTTTTCAAATTCCGGCAAGATGAAAGAAGCTATTACCCACGTTTTTCTCTTTCTATTTGTTATTGGATTCTTTTTGCGGACATGTATTCATCTGTACTCTATGTTTACTCTGTACACAAGCTTTCATACCTACATGCTTCTCTGTGTTAACATGGTTCCTAAGTTTTTATACATGTTTCCTTGGACACTTTTGACATGCTGTTTTACGGAGAACAACGTTATTTTTTTTTCACTTTGCGTCGTTTTGTTAAAATTAGTTGGTCACCATATGGAGCATTTATGGTCGCAAAGAGACGTCGTACTGTTCTTGTACTCTCTTTCTCTTCTTCCAAACGTATTTACTCTCCTCACAAGTTACGTTGCACATGTCATTACAGATAATGATGCTATAATCACTAGTCCTATATATGGAAATGGAGCATTTATAATTGGACTCCTGATTGCTTGGGTCTATCTAAAGCCTGCACATCGCATATCCATTAGTCCGTCCCTGTCACTTCCTATCCAGTATGCTCCCTTTTTTTACTTGGCATTTGCTGTGGCGCATTGCGTGACGTTTTCTCAGTATTCCCGTCTTGTTCAGATAGTCTTTGGTTTTTTCTATGCCTGGTTCTACTTACTCATCTTACAGCCCGTCACGTTCGACTTGGGTATCCACTCAATCGAGCTTGGAAAAGGTTCACGCCGTCGCATCTCCTTTTATGACTTTCTCCCTCAACCAGTCCAATGTTTTTTAAAACGTACTGAGAATCGGATCAAGCATTTTCTTTTTGATGAAAGAAACAACGATAAAGGACTCACTGAAACCTTGCCATCCTTCAGTGTACCTAAAAAAGATCACCGTGCAGAAGCTGAGCGTCGCAGGTAATTCTTTTCTGTCTTAATGCTATATAACGGTATGAACTAACACTCTTTAGGACTGCTGCCCTTCATTCCTTGGTCAATTAAAACATCGCACGTATAATCATAGAGCTCTAAAATATCCGATTACAACTGTACGCATTGTTGATTTAGATTAAGTAACTTATAAACATATGAAAAAGCTGTTTCGCAAACAACGAATTAAAGTACGATAGAGTGCCGACTATAGCTAAGCGAACGTGTATATTCTATTAACCCTACCCTAAATATTGACTATATAAACCAACGGTGCAGAAAATTCTTCTCCTTAACAAAATGCATTCCATTAAGTTGGTTTGTCGGGGACGCCGAGTCCTATAATGGGACGAGTTCCACCCTTTAGACGAAGCAATTAGTCTGAGTGCATAGATTAAGATTCGTTCTTACTTCAGTCTTTGAAGTGAGAACAATGAAAAGGGCTTTACCTAACAGATATGCATTTTTCCGTGGCCAGTTTTGGTCTTCTTTCTTATGGAAAATTGTTTTTTTGTTTCTTTTTGCTGGTTTGGTCCACATGCCCAGGTAGTTTTGTAGCTTTTGTATGTAGCAAAGTCGTTAGTTCATCAAGTTTTTCCTGTAACTGTATGATGGGTTGGAGGGTTTTGTCAATTCTCGATAACGGTGCTTGAATTTGGCGGTAAAGTTTGGAAGGGATCGCTGAAGAGTTGCTCGAAAGTTCGTCATCGTCACTCTCATAGCAAATGTCTTCTAGTAGCTGCATTTGTTCTTCTTCACGAATTCTTTGTTTCCGAAGAACTGGATGTAACTGATTGTCATGTTAGTTTTTCGCCTCAAATACAATAAGCATCAAGGTGTTAACACATACCCGGTTACTTTTGTCCATGTAGCGTTCTTGATTTGCTTTCAAGTTTTCCGACATTTGTGACAGATTTTCTTGATCTGCCTTACGACAGTCGTATTCGTACTGCAACTCAAGCCGAAGTTTTTCGATGTGCTCAAGATCAGAGTATAGCTGTTGTTCCAATTGGTACTAGAATATGTTTAGTAACAGAAAGTAGAAGATAAAGCTTCCTGAATACTAACGAGCTCCATTTAGGTGTTTCGTAGATTCAATGAACGATATAGTAAGCCAAGACTAATCCTGGATTACAATAAGAAGTTGCTCCTTACATTAATGGTGCTCAGTTGAGTGAGCAAAGGTTGTTTTTTTGCCGGTTTTGGTACGGGAAGTGTAAGTAAGCCTTGTTCCATTTTCTCAAGCTTTGAAACAAGCCATGATTCCGCTGTTTCTTTTCTTGATTCAGATTGTATACTATGAAGAACGAGTCTAGACAGATATTAGTACGAGAGCAATGTGAGCAGCGGCAGAATCCAATTTCAATAGAAGAGTATGTATACCTGGAGCATGTTCGTAATATGAGAGCTACTTCTCGACGACGACCTTCACTTAATGGTTGCCAACTTTTTTGAATACGATCTTTTACAACGGAACGTGTACTTTTTTTTAGTCTCATAGAAGATGAGTAAGTTATGAATACAGAAAGACTACTGTAAACTTGTAGAAGCCTCAGTGAGAAGCTCTTCGCTTCTGTTTTCTCTATATGCCTTTATTATCTACTCTCATAGATTTTTTGGTGTAGCAAATTGTTACCTGCCTCAAGGTAACAAGCTGAAGTCCACGCAATTATTGACATGTCAAAAAAAAGACATGTGGACAAGCAATGAAAACGGCAGTTTGAAGAAATTGAGCTTGAAGCTTTACCTTCATTAAACTTGTTCTGTTGTCAAAAAACCCATTTTTCTCGTTGACACTACGGAGAAGTCGAATAATCGATATTCACCAAGTACAAAACAACATCTCGATATAAACGTTCTTTAAAATGAGAGAAGTTCGAATTGTTGTATGCGGTGACCAGGGTGTCGGGAAATCATCGCTCATAGCCGCCTTGGTGCAAGAGGACAACGTAACAAGTATTCCAAAGGTAAGAAACGTTTTCTCCGTTCATGCTATTAACTCTATGAAAGGTCTTTCCTGTAATTTCCATTCCTTCCGATCCAATAGTTAACGACGATGTTTCTCTCGTAATCGTAGATACTCAATGTACGCAAAACACAAGTTTCTCCTTCGCATGTGAATTAACATTATGTGAAATTAAGCTGACGCTGCGGAGCGAGAGTTGCTGGAAACAGCAATCAAAAAGGCGCATACCATTTGTCTTGTTTACTCTGACAATTACACTTATGAGCGTATTAGCATATTCTGGCTTCCGTATTTCAGATCCTTAGGTGTCAATGTATGTAAACTTGGCATTCTCTTTTACTAACACAACAAGGTTCCCGTCGTCTTGTGTGCCAACAAGTCTGAAGACATCGACAACAATCAGGGCCTTCAGCTTATTAATCATGAAATGGTACCCTTAATGAATGAGTACAAAGAAATTGAAGCTTGTATTCGATGTAGTGCCGCTGAAAGAATAAATGTGAACGAGGTATGCAGCAGACACAATCTCTGTGTAAAAACTTTGGATGCACTAACCTATATCAGCTGTTCTATGTATGCAGAAGCTGCGTAGTAACACCTATTACGCCGTTATGGGAAACGAAAGAACATGTATGACAAACCTTGTTTGCATTTATACTCATCAAATAGCGGATAAAATGTGCAGCTCGTGATGCCCTTAGTCGTATATTCTGTAAGTTGACCGCAAAAAAACTCTATTTACTAACATTTTTTAAGTTCTTCTCGACAAAAACAATGACAGTCTAGTAGGCGTGGATGAACTAAATGAGCTACAAAATCTTTGCTGCTCAAAAATGTTCACTCCGGACGAGAGCAAGGACATATTTGACTGTGTACGCGCCATCTGCCCGGAAGGCATCTTAGGTGACTCTTTAAACATAAATGGTTTCTTAGCGTACGTTTCTCACATGATTGAAAACGGAAAGCAAGAAAGCATTTGGGGAATCCTGAGAGCATTCCATTATACGGATAGCCTCAGTTTGGATGAAGGATATCTCTATCCCCTTCTTGATGTCTCTTCTGGTCAAAGCGTCGAACTTAGTCCTAAAGGTACGTTGCTTATTCACACTGCTCTCTTCTAATTGGGCTTCAGGTTATCGATTTCTGGTAGACTTGTTTTATCGTTTCGATAGGGATAACGATGGTGCTCTTAATACTAAGGAACTCGCTGCTTTATTCCGTTTCACACCGGGTTTGCCTGAAACTTGGATTCAATCACAATTCCCAAACTCAACCGCGCTGAACGAACATGGTTGTGTCACTTACAACGGTTGGTTGGCTCAATGGACAATGATGACTCTTTTTGATTATAAAACAACATTGGCGTACTTTGCTTATTTAGGTTTTGACTCAGGAACCCGACAATCGGTGCTTGAAGCCATAAAGGTGACGAAGTCCAGAAGTTTGCGTAACCGTAGGCAAATTAAGGTTGATAGAAACGTTTTCTTGTGCTTAGTCGTCGGTCAACGGGGATGTGGAAAGGTATGTTGTTCCTCACACTAAAACTTTTGTATGCATTCTACTAATTTGCTAATAACTATTAGACTTCGCTATTATCAAGTTTCATAAACAGTGACTATCGAGGATCTCTAACTCCTCCTCCAAGCACTGTGGTAAACAGCGTCGAGTTTCAAAGCAAGCAACGTTACCTTGTGGTAAGTATACCGTGTAATTGTTATGACCGTTCCATCTTAATTAGGCTGACATGTTTTGACTAGCTGAGCGAAGTTCAAGATACTGATTATGACGTTTTCTCTGATGTACGGACGTTAGATGCATGCGATGTTCTCTGCTTGCTTTATGACTCTTCAAACCCTAGTAGTTTTTCCTACATAGCGAATATTTTGGTGAGTTCCTAAACGCATTTGGTAAAAGAAACGAACTAATAGCTAACGTTGCAAAGGAATCATATCCACTTCTTAACAAAATTCCCTGTGTGATTGCAGCGACAAAAGCTGATTTGGATCGACAGCAACAGGTAAGAGTTTCTCGATAGCAGATTTTATAACTCACATGAAAGCGATATACCATTCAACCAGATGAGTATGCAAAACGGAGAGGCCTTTCTTCACCGACCCACATAAGTACTGCAGCTGCTTGGAATGCTCCAAAAGAATTCTTCATTCAGGTACGTCTCGACGAACATTCATTGCTTTAACCTTTTATTATTAGTTAGCAGAAGCAGCCCAACATCCAGCCTCGGCGATGCCAAATTCTACTGAGACCGAAGAAAACAATAACCGTTTCCGAATGATAACAGCTCTCACAGCTTTTGGAACATTGGTTTTAACTGTCAGTGGAAGCTTAATATGGAGAATTATGAAACAACGCGGCTCATCTTCAAATAGGTAGAATGAAGCCCAAAAAAAATCACGAATAAATACCAAATCTATTATTAAGTTGCCATTCTTCTATATGACTTAAATTAAAAACCCTAAGTATCCCAAGTTGCAGAAGCGAGTATAGAGATAGGCATCTCCAAACGTGGTAGATTCTGCATCAGTTTTGTCATAAAGCTCAACAGAGGAGTGAGGTATGTGAGGAGGACGTTTAATAGGTGAAAGCGGCATGCCACTAAGCTTGGCGTTGATTAACTTTAAGACAATGTAATCCCAATCTTCATGGTCTTCCCGACTAACAATATCCCTCCGTTTTTCGATACATTCGCGGATATAACCAAGTCCACGACGGGCCTCACTTTGCAAGCCAGGCACGTCAAAAACGCCTATCAAGACACAGGCGGCAAGACTAAAGAAGTGATGATTCAAAGGGGTTAGAGGAGTAGATGAAGATGGAAGTATTGTAGCCATTTTTAATGCAGGCTTAAGAACCGAAGCAGGCGGGGCTTGCCATGCGAGTTCCAAAAGAACTTTGACGTGGGTTACAGCAAGCGTTAGTAAGTTCATTTGTCCCCAGACAACATCCACGCTCTCTCTGAACGCGTCAATCTCTGAACGGATCTGCTCAGCAACAATAGGATCGTCGCGAGCAGAAAAGGTTGGTGATTGATATGCACTGGACAAATGACCAACAATAAGAGACAGCCGAACCAAGTGACTAGGGAAAGATCCCAATAATTTTTGATCCTGAAACGTCAAGCGAATCAACTGCTCAGGAATAAAGAGAGGAGAACAAGTAGACATCGAGTGCCAACGATCTAAAACAACCAGAACCCACCAAGCTCGGCGACAAAGTGCTTCTGAGCTATCAATATCCTCTGTGATTGACTTGAATGACAAATGTCCTTGCATATGAAGTCGCATATTACATGCAAGACCGACAGCAGCACCAAGCCACATACTTTGAGGCAAACCATTCTTGCCTGTAATGGTTGCTGGACCTCTTTGGTCGCTTTCTATAGCAAGCAATATCATGGTCTGAAGATGTAATATCCGATTGCTAAGCACTTGAACACTGGTACACAAGAGGTTTAACATTCCAATAGCCTTTGAAGGAGTATTATGAAACGAATGCCCCTGTGAGGAGAAGGGGGGTCTGTTCACTAGCGAATAAATTGCATGAAGACACGAAGACCGTAAATGAACAGGCGCATTCTCGAGTTCAGCACGGAGACGCGCCTTGCTGTGATGAAGAATGGGAAAGGTAGAATGAATTAGCAAGTAGTAACGATCAATGGCGGCCTCATCCCATTCCACATCTTCTTTATACAAATTCGCCAACTCTTGCAAGTGTGTTGTTTCGGAACCAGAAACAAGTGCCTTTTCACTAGCATTGTTATCAGTTCCCGACTTCAACTTCGATCCATCACGTTGACTCAGAGGTGAAAGAGAGTCATTCTGCTCAGAAGTAAGACCTCCAAGGTTTGGAATCCGACGTTCAGAATTCTTGGCCTCCGATTGCGAACCCAACAAAGAGTGTTTAAGGATTTCATCGGTAACAGGGTTGCCGGACTTTACCGGTTGCGGAAGAGGACTACTGTGAAGCGGTACTGGAGAGAGAATGGGGGCCGATGAGTCAAAAGAATTGATAGAAGGGAGAAGAGCGTGTTTAAACATAGGGGATGGTAAAGTGCTTAAGGGTAATTGCGCACTAGCAAACCCATTATCATCCAACACCTGTTTGTCGGTGACAGGTTGGGCAGCCAAAGTCCGCGGCGTGAGCGACCTCAATTGCTGATTCAGCTGCCGCTGTTGGGTAGAATCCATGGAAGACTGGTATGCACCAGGAGACGATGTTGGAAGCGGCATAAGACTGCTGGGCGGATTTGATGACTGCCGAAATGGATCCACAAGCGCAGACGAACGAATGGGAGGCGGGGCATACATAAGCGGTTGACTGGCGAGAACGGCAGCAGTAGGTAGAACAGGACTAGCGGTCAGCATCGGTTGTGGCTGCTGGACATCGGTAGATATGGAAGGGAAAACAGAGGACGTAGCGCTAGTAGTGGTAGAAGGGAAGGAAGGCCATTGAGGTTCAGATACCGGACGGTTCATTTGAGGGTAACCAGACATAGATGGAGGATTGTTCGGCGGAGTGTTCTGTCCCGAAAACATGTTGTTGGGAGCCATTGTGGTAGACGATTGCGTAGGAAAACCGCCGTCATTCTGGGCTTGCTCCTGAGAAACCTCTTCTAATGATATTTTTTGTTGCGGCTCTGTGTATGGTTTGGAAACTCGGGCATTTTTTGTCTTTGCTGATAGCTGACTGACCTTTCTGTTCTTGTCTGCAGCACGTCTCCGGTTTCCCTTTGAAGGACCACGCTTGAGAGGTATGTGTGTAAAGCTACATTGCATGTTATTGCGTACGCAATTAGCGCAGCCATTTCCAGAAGGGTCGGTCGAAAGATCACAACGAATCTTTTTGTGCCGACAACGATCACAAGCCCGGGAGACCTTCTTATGCTCTTTCGGAGGATGATCTCCATCACCAGAGGCCGATGATGGTTTTGCCGAAGCGGCGGCTGTCGGTAACGGGGTAAAGTGAGGAGGTACAGAAGTCATATTCTCCTTTAAAAATAGCTTGCTGTTGTTATTGTTGTTAGCGCCAGTTGGAAGATTCATGTTCACGAGAGGATAGACAGAAGTGTTAGCTTCCATTTCCAAAGTAAGAAGGGAAGAGACAAGAAATGCAGGAGCCTTAAGCTGAAGGAGGAGAAATGCAACACGCGGAGAACAAAAAGAAGAACGAAGGGAGACAATAAGGCGGGAGACACTCTAAGACTTCAGGAAAATCGCACGAGATCAAATAACCCACGAATGGAAAAGTGAGAACTAGGAAAAGACGAAAAGGAACAAGACGAGAATAGGACAAAACGTGGATTACAACTCACCGATAAAAACAATGCTCACGATGGAAATAAGCGCCTTGCGGTTATAAACTGATACCGGGCGTTTCGAAGAACAGGAAAATAAGGACAACGTAGATAGAAATGGCCCAGAATGAGCCAGGAGAACAACCAGTATGCGAACCAAAGATGAACAAAAAAAGGAGAGAGAAATAAAAACAATAGGAAAGGTAAAAAAAAACAAGGAATAAAAGAACAAGGAGAAAGAGATGTAGATAATGTGAGAAAGGATTGCAATGACTTGCAATAGCACTAGTAACCAAGGACGAAGGTCAATTAGCGAGGAATAAACAAACAAATGCAAATAAAATGCCGTTAATGGGTCACCAAATATGTTCAATCGAAGCAAGAATAAACCTGATTGCTGATGGACTACCGAAAAACCGTATTTTAATGGGAAGTAGGCGTAACGCCGGGTGTCAGAAGAACATGGACACTCGTTTTGGAAAACGGTTGCACACACTTGGTCGTATTAAAGTTTGACGGAGATGGCAAATGTAGGTGGAAACCGATATGCCGTCTGGACACAGTTACAAGAGAGTCTTGATGAGAAACAAGCAGCCAAATTGACCACTGTAGAACCGTTTGCAGCACAGAATTGTAGTTCTAGCAGAAAGCAAGAAGAGTCGGCGGATGTGATCTGCACAACAAGCGAGAAATAAAGACAATGCAGATCAGCGGGGTAGAGAAATGATCGACGTGATCGCCACCGATGCAAGGGGTAGGCAGCACAGATGTTGCAAGTGAGGGAGCGTTCGAATTGCGCAGTGCTCGGGCAATTTTTATCCGGAGAGGGAGAATTTGGTAGGAGGCCACACAGAGTCACCACTAATCGGGACCAGGGAAGGTGACGTGTGAGCGAGTTAGCGAACGAGCTAAATGAAAAAAGCACGCGCTCGCTTGTCACCGGAGGAAAACCGTTCTCGGAAGGAAAAACGAGCAAACACGGGAAAACCAGGCGCTCGGTTTGGCTTGATGGGAAACGGAATCCACAGGATTGCACTTGGATAGCACTGGGAAGGGAAACAACGATAACAGTTGAGCCGTGGCGAGTAGTGGTGGAGGAGGGATTAAGTGTATTTAACTAGCTTGCCTGTAAAAATTTCTCCGACAGTTATGATCCGTACGCGCTCGTAACGTTAACGTCATTCAATGAATGATTTTTTTCATTTGTCAGCTGAATAGGTTAGAGGAACATCGGCGAATGAAACGGCGTCGAGATAAGATTGACAAAACAAAGTCTCTCCACTCCTGAATGTATGCCTGCGCATAATTGCTACGACTTGAGCAAGCTAGCCAATCACAAAACGATGCGCGTGATCCCTGAATAGCCGACGAATCACTGAGGGATGTGCCTCCTTGTTCCGCATTAAGAATTCCGTGGGGTCGCCGATTTCTCCGAGCATCTATAAGCCGGCTGCATCTGTAGCGCCAAGGGGATGGGGAGCAGGATTGGTTGATTGTGCAAGCGAGATTGAGCTTCTGAAGTTTAATTCTCGGAACAACCCAAAGAAGGGTTTGAGCAGGCTGTTTCTGGATCCGAAGTAGACAGAAAACTGTGGGGTGCGGGGAATTTGCCCAGACAGAAGACTACTGATCTCAATGAACCAGAAGCTGCTCAACGCAGGGACGGACGGCTTGTTTCCTATCAATGTGCACCCACTCGCACTCTGGTCAACATCTCGTTGCTTAAGTAATATGACGTAAGACTAACAGGGAGAGAGGAAGCAGGCACCAGAGGCTGAGCGAGATCGGCAATTCAAAGAATGTGGGGCAAAGTGGGTGTCAGCGTGGGGCACAGAAATAAAACTGCGGAGGCTGTGGGGGCTAGTGGGCGGATGTGGGAGAAAACAGGCGAGTTGTGGAGGGCTAGTGGGCGGACCTGGGATACCGTGGGGGTGTGGAATCGAGCAGCGGAGGTGCTACCCGATACGCCCGCGGAAGATACGGGCGGTGTTTTGCGGCCGACATCGTCGACGGCCGCGCTGGGAAATTCACGAGACCAGACAGCACTGAATTCCGGGAGTCGGAACCTCGAAATCAGCGATCTCGCTCCCATTCACTGCAACTCACTAGCCAACCACGCATCATCGTCAGCAACATTCTCTCGCCCCCGCTTGCGCCCCACTTTCGACGTTCCCCTCCCTGACAAAAGTGGGCGATAGTGCCGCATAGCGTCATCTGCCCTTCTGCCGAGGTCTTAGAATATGCCGGCTTTGAGAGAAAGCCGCCAGTAGTCAGCCCGGCAGTTGTAAGCGAGATTTCCACATCGTACCATGCGACCGCGTCTGTCCTCTCGCTTGCCCGCACTGACGAACGGCCGATGACATCACGCATAGCTGTCGCAGAGGACAAAACGAGAAACACTGACGAGGACCATTCAATGTGCTGGAACGAATTGCATTATTTTACGCCAGGATCTGTGACTACAATCGAGACCGCCGGGCTTCCGGAAGTGCGAGCGGTAGTGGTTGAGTAGTTGAGTGTTGTCGGAATGCAGCTGCCTCTACTGTTGGCCGGACATACGTCATATTCCTCGTATCCAATAAACTTAGAATAGCAGTGCTAACAACGGTTCCCTATGACGCAGATACCAATGGCCAAAAGACACGATCCCGTACGCGTTTCACGGTATAAAATCCAGCAAATTCACCCAGAGGATCCTCACAATTGTCGAGAACACCACCGAGTTCCAGCAACTACTAACTACTACTACTACTAGTACCAACCACTCCACCATAAATTACTCGTACTCCTGAAGACAGAAGCGAACTTCCTTCTCGAAACACCAACCACCACTTTTAGACCAACAGTAACAAGAAGAAATCACAATGGACAAGATCAAGAGCTTCGCCAACAAGGCCTACGGTGCCTACCAAAACATGTCCAACAAGGACGATGATGACAACAAGAACTCTTACGGAGGAAACAACAACAACAACAACAGTTCGTACGGAAACCAACGACTCGTATGGAAGTAACAATAATGGATTCGTATGGAAACAACAATAACCGATTCATACGGAAACAGCAACAACAGCTCCTACGGAAACAACAACAATTCCTATGGCTCGAATAACAACTCTGGTGAGAACAAGAGTTTCTACGGATCCAACGACAACAACGATGACTCCTATGGAAACAAAAGAGTTCTTACAACAATGATTCCACTTATGGAAACAATAACGATACCTATGGTTCGAACAACAATGACACCTACGGATCCAATAATGATGATTCTTATGGCTCGAAGAAGAACGATAGCTACGGCAACAACAACTCTTCCTATGGAAATGACTCCACCTCCTACGGAAACGATTCCTATGGATCCAAAAAGAATGATACCTACGGTTCTAGCAACAATGACACCTATGGTTCTAACAACAACGACACCTACGGTTCTAAAAGAACGATTCCTATGGATCGAACGACAACGATACCTACGGTTCGAAGAAGAACGATTCCTATGGATTGAACAACAACGACACCTACGGTTCTAACAGCAATACCTATGGTTCTAACAACAACGACACCTATGGAAGCTCTAACAATGACTCTTATGGTACTTCTAGCTCTGGCAAGAAGAAGCACAACAAGAAGCATAACGAGAGCTCCAACACTTATGGTTCCAGCAACAACGATACCTACGGATCCAACAACAATGACACTTACGGATCCAACAACAACGATACCTATGGATCCAACAACGACTCGTACGGCTCTAAAAAGACTGATACCTATGGATCTAACAACAATGATACCTATGGTTCTAACAACAACGATACCTACGGTTCAAACGACAACGACACCTACGGTTCAAAGAAGAACGATTCCTATGGATCGAACAACAACGACACCTACGGCTCTAACAACAATGACACCTATGGAAGCTCTAACAATGACTCTTACGCTAGCTCTGGCAAGAAGAAGCATAATAAGAAGCACAATGAGAGCTCCAACACTTATGGTTCCAGCAACAACGATACCTACGGCTCCAACAACAATGACACCTACGGTACCAACAACGATTCTTATGGCTCCAAGAAGAATGATTCCTACAGTTCCAACAACAACGACTCCTATGGATCCAACAATGACACCTACGGATCTAAAAAGAATGATACATACGGCTCAAACAACGACTCGTACGGCTCTAACAACAACGATTCTTACGGCTCCAAGAAGAACGACTCGTACGGTAACAACAACTCTTCTTACGGTAACAGCAACAACGACTCTTACGGAAATGACTCGTATGGTTCCAAGAAAAACGATTCGTACGGTTCCAACAACGACTCTTACGGTAACAATAATAACTCTTCCTACGGAAATGATTCCTACGGCTCCAAGAAAAACGATTCCTATGGAAATAACAATTCCACTTCCTATGGAAACGATAACAACGACTCTTATGGTAACGACGACTTTTAAGGATCTTTCCTATTAATATAAATCAGGCACTTCAATGAATTTTGACACGTTTGTTAACGCGTTTTCTAAATTTTACGTTAGTAAAGACTCTTCTGCTGGCGGTGATGGACGTCAGGCTGGTGAGAATCGTGCTACAAACACGGATTCTGCTATTGGTCATGCCGCTGTAATGAAAGCAGCTACCAAGTTCTTCAAGCAGAACAACGCTAGTAGTAATGGCCAGAACAGTCAGGCCAGCCAAGCCAATTTCCTTAGCATGGTTGAGCAGGAGGCCCAAAGTCTTTTGAATAAGCAAAACGGCAATGGTAACGGTGGAAATAACTATCAGCAGCAGCAGTATCAGCAACAACCCCAGCAGCAGTATCAGCAGCAGCCTCAGCAACAATACCAACGGCCCCAACAACAGTCTCAACAGTATCAGCAGCAACCTCAACAGCAGTACCAACAGCAACAGCAGCAGTACCAACAGCAACAGTTCTCAGCAGCAATACCATCAGCAGCAACCTCAGCAGCAGTACCAACGGCCCCAACAACAGCCTCAACAGTATCAGCAGCAACCTCAACAGTTCCAACAGCAACAGCCTCAACAACAATACCAAACAGCAACAGCCCCAACAGTTCCAGCAACAAGGCAATGGTAATCAGAATGCTTCGTCCCAGTCAGCATCGTCCCAGTCGGCGATTCAACAGGCCCTTGCTCTGGGCAAAAACTTGTTCCAAAACAAGAAGCTGCTTGCTATGCTTGGAAAGGTCGGCTCTTCGAATTCCGGTTCTAATTCCAATTCTGGCTCTTCCTCTGGAGGAAACTTTCTGACCAATGCAATTGGTTCCAGTCTTCTGGGCGCTGTTACGCATTCTAACTCAAACTCGAACTCGAACTCGAACTCTAACTCTAACCAGTCTTCCGGTGGAAACGTGCTTACTAATGCTCTTGGTTCCGGCTTGTTGAGTTCCGTTACTGGCGCTTTTACCGGAAAGAACAATAACAACAGCAGCAATAACGGTAACAATGGAAACTATAACGGCAATAACAACTACAATAATGCCAACTACAACGGTAACAACAACTACAATGGAAATTATAACGGTAACAACAATAATAACAACGGCAACAACCAATCGTCTCAGTCAAGCTTGATCGGTCAGGCCGTCAAGATGTTTCTCAAGTAGGTTTCATTCTCTCGAGCAGCCCGTCCCGTTGTCTTTCTTCTTTTTGACCAGTCATTTTTGTCATCAACGTTACACTCATACTTGCATCTTTTGTCTAAACGCATCAACTTTCAATGTTGTTTCATTCTTTAATACTACTATCGTTATAAAATAAATGTACATACTATATTCTTGTTCCTTCTACTGCTTACTGCTGCTGCCCTTGTGGACGCGTCGCGAACTTCATTTATTGACACCCTCTTTGGTGGTGTATTACGTCATCACCCCCCTGCAACTGCGAAGAGCGTATCAGCATTAAGCTGACTGCACATAACGTGGATCAATGGTGGATAAGGGTACATAGCAAATCAGAGCCGCCGGAAAGCCCAGCGTCCGCACAACACGTTGAAACCTCACGGAGTACAACTTTTGCTTTAAACAATCATTTTGACGGGATACCAGCAGCATTTTTGAATTCTTCGTGTAATTTGGAATCATGACGTCTTTTTTCCGCTCTCAAAAACGGTTTTTGTCCTCTGCAACGAATCTCGTTCGTAATAATTGGACCCGTGAGGAAATCCGTGAAATTTATAAAAAACCGCTTCTGAATCTGGTTTACGACGCTGTATGTACAATCACACGGACAATGGATTAGGGAGAGGGTTCTGGGAGTACTGGACGCGTTTTGGAAGTACTATGGACTAGTTTCGCTGACAAAGTTGATTGTTTTAATTTACGCGTATTTCGCGTTTATTGACAAATGTTCAAGACGTTTCAAGTCAACTCCCGTAAATGCTCGTGTGCATGCCTTGACTGCTTCCTTTTGCCCTTTTGTGTTTCGTTTCATGTTCTTCTTTTATTAACCTTTCTATTTAGGCGACTGTTCATCGTCAATTTCACGATCCTTCTAAAATTCAGCAATGCACGCTTTTGTCTATTAAGACAGGTGGTTGTACTGAGGATTGCGGTTATTGTGCCCAATCTTCTCGCTACAGCACCGGTGTGAAGGCTACGCGTTTAATGAAGAAAGATGAGGTTTTAGAAAAAGCTAAGATCGCCAAGGCCAAGGGCAGTACACGGTTTTGTATGGGAAGCGCTTGGCGTGACTTGAATGGTCGTACTCGTACCTTCAAAAACATCTGTGATATCATTAAGGGTGTCCGTGAGTTGGACATGGAGGTCTGTGTCACTTTGGGAATGCTGAACGATCAGCAGGCGAAGGAGCTGAAAGAGGCCGGTTTGACTGCTTACAACCACAACGTGGACACCTCGCGTGAGTACTATTCCAAAATTATTACCACACGTACTTACGACGACCGCTTGAACACACTTGGCAGCCTTCGTCATGCAGGACTCAAAGTCTGCAGCGGTGGTATTTTGGGTTTGGGTGAGAAGGAGGAAGACCGCATTGGCCTCATCCACACTCTTTCAACCCTGCCTTTGCATCCCGAATCTGTGCCTATTAATGCACTCGTTCCCATCCCAGGAACACCCGTTGGTGATAAGGTGAAGAAGCCCGTGAGATTTACCGATCTTTTGCGTACAGTCGCCACGGCACGTATTTGCATGCCCAAGTCTATCATTCGTTTCTCTGCCGGTCGGATGCAGTACTCTGAGTCTGAGCAGGCATTCACTTTCCTTGCAGGTGCCAACTCTGTGTTTACCGGTGACAAGATGCTGACCACACCCGCTGTCACCTGGGACGAAGATTCGCAGCTTTTCCACAAGTGGGGTCTTGAGGGACTGAAGAGTTTTGAGTATGAAGACGGTTCTAGTGCACAAAACGAGGACAAGACATTCACTCTTCCTCCCAAGCAACGTTTGGTTGAACAGGAGAAGCAAGCCGAAGCCGTCGCAACTGCGTAGACATTCTGGCGTTATGTTGTTCGTCCCTCTTTGAATATTCTTGCTCTTTCTTATTCGGTTAGGTTTTTGTTTTGTATTTCAAATTTGTCCCTGTTATATTATTTTCAAGGATCATCATTCTTCGGTTCAGTTATTTGAGTACCAATGCATATCATAATGGTCTTCCCCAAAACGTACAACTTTATATCTTGTTCTTTTTTATTCCGTCTACGATAGAATCCCGGAAAAGTGCGTGACCTAATTCAAATCTATTCAATGAATTCACTGCCGGTTTTGCTTCACATTATTGTCACTTATCGGGAAACTGCATTTTTTGGTGGAGCACTTTTGGTGTGGTAATTTCCGCGTTTTGATTGGCTCTTTCGTTTACATTTGTTACCTTAAAGCTGTACAACGTTGTTTTTAAAGGTAACACCCCTTTACCCACACATTTTTCTGCTGCCTAGTTTTTGTGCTCAAGTTATGCAGCGAAAATACGCTGAACAGATGTTATTGAAGTTTTGCTCGTCATCTCTTTATAATGTTTGAATTTCAATTTAGTAATTTAGTAGGTCTTTTCTTGCTGTCGCGCAAGACTGGCCGACATCGTTACGTTGGCTGCAATTAAGAACCTCCCATAAACCACTGGCAAATGCTATGACTGTAGAACTTAGGAATTGGAAGAATGAATATGAAGTAAGCGATTTTTTTAGGTTCGTCTAGCTTACCAATTGAATAGGACCATTATTCGAAGTATTTGGACCCTTCCCTTGTGTTAGCAATCGTAAATGACACTGATGACAGGAATCTTGCGAAGGAGACCTTGGATGTATTAAAAAATGAGTCTCACTATGACACAAAGTTACATGAAAATGCACTCAGGTTGGAGACGTTGTTTCTAGATGAAATCGACGAGTACGAACGAGAATTTCAAAATATAGAATTGTCTTCGGATACTCCGAGTTCTCAACTTACGGAAGAACGAGAACTGGAGGAAAGGTACCTTGCTGAACTGTCTAGCGAACAAAATGGACCCGATGTCGAGATTGATGGCCAGGCATATGTTTTTGTTCGTTCCATGTTTCCCCAAATTGATCCAATTCATGTGAAGTTCATACTGAGGAAAACAAAAAACGACACCGAAGCTTGCTGTGAGGAACTGCTCAGCTTTGATTTGCTAAAAAACTCAGATATTGCGAATGCTACAGACGCAATATTTGTTAGTACTGTCCCCCGGAATACACGTTCCGGAAAACGAAAGAACAAACGGTCAGAGACAAGGAAACGCGAAAAAAAGCAGCTCCTAGAGCTTCTCGAGTCCGAAGTCCAGGATGGAGCGACAGCGACAACATCAGCTACGTCGCCTACTGCAAATAGTTCCTCTGAATCTCATTGGGATAAAAGCAATGCTACAGCTCACCTTGTTTCCAAAACTTTGAACGTGCCAACTTCGCGAGTATTGAGTACGTTTCATGCAAACAGTTCCTCTTTTCCGCGGGCTATTATGACTCTTCTTGAAACACACCCTCTCAGCAAATCAAACGTTGGAACAGCGAGTTCCGATGAAGCTATTGCTCTTTCTCAAAAAACAAAACTCCCAGTGGATCTCTGCAGCAGACTTCTTCAGTGCAGTACTTCTCCATTTGGTGCCCAACTTCTCGCGGGCATGCTAGCAGAGTATCGGTCTATACAAGTGCGCCAACAATTTGCTAATGAGGCCAATCAAAAAGCAGCCGTTGCCAAAGACAGTACAAACTACAAGGCCTCTGCTGGAGCATCTGAGACGGAGACGTCTTTACAGGCTAGGCTTTCACCGGAAGAATGTCTGCAAATGGCCGATGAGTACCGAGCTCGACGAAATGAGGCCTACCGCAATGCATCTCGTGCATACCGTGAAGGAAAGAGCCAGCATCTATTTGGTGGAGCCGCTACTTATTACTCAGAACAAGGTCGTGAGTATAATGAGAAGGCTGAAAAGTGGCATTCATATGCTTTAAAGAAAATATCGGATTGTGCAGAGCCTTATTTCCTTGACCTTCACGGTGTTACTGTCCCAGATGCCAAGGTAATTGTCCGGGAGGCACTCGCCGGCTGGTGGGCAAGAGAAGCTGGTCATTCGTTTGATACTATTCGTCCATACACTATTGTTACCGGTATAGGTAAACACAGTGGAGACTATGGTGCTCGTTTATTGCCTTCCGTGGTCCGTTTGCTCAAAAATGACAAGTGGAAGTTTGAAGTTCGGCATGGTGAAATCACTGTCTATTATGTTAACAAGCATGCTTGATAAGAGGTTTCAAAAGTTGTTTTGACTCGTCGCTTCGTGCACATATTTGTTGAACGTATGTTTCACTCCGTTTCTTTGCGTTTGGTCGTTCTCCTCGTTTTCGTTTTCTCTTTTTTTTTTGGTGTGTGTTTTTCTAATCTCATTATGTCTTGTTTTTGTCGGCTTTCTCTTTCCATTTTTGGAGTGTCTGTATGCATGAACATGCAGAAGATTTGTTTGCAGTAACCTTTGTTTTAATAATAGTTAACGTTTTAAGCTTACAATCGTACGACCTGTAGTCTTTTCAGTGGTAACGAATGAATGTCGTGGTTTTCTGTTTCAGATTTGTCGTTCAACTCTGGTTTACATACTTTCATTGAGCAACATATATGAAAAACAGTGTTAGTCTAAAGTTCGTTAAGAAAATCAATGCTCTTTTAAAGAGACTTGAGAAGAATGGGAAGAATCATAAAGGTCACGAGAGAGAGAACGCTCGAATGGAACCGTCAAGTTTCGTCCGGAACGCTCTAGTTTCTCATCTTTGAGCTCGTAAGCGGGAAAATAGGTTCCATCGGGCTTTCTCAATTCGGGATTAGGAGCAGTGTCCCGTTTTCCGCCAAGGGAAGTATAACCCTTGTCGTACAGTCTGCAGTACTTAACTTTTGTTTTGAGAATAAACTGTTTATAAGCTTAGTATGGAAGAACAAACATACTCAAAGGTAAAACTTACCTCCCAGACTTCGTGATATGACCAATCGAGTATGGGCTGGATCCGTGTAAATTGGGGCCATCCATGGTCAGTGGGTTCAAATGTTATGCGATGCATACCGTGAGGATCCAGTCGACGAATGCCAATAAATATTGCTTTTGTAGTCGGCGCCGTCTGCATAAACTTTCTAAATGCCTCCTTCATAGGATCGGTCAAGGCAACCACTTTTAAGTTGTATAACTTTTGGCATTCAAAGACAAAGTCGTCCATCTCCTGAAACTCATCTGTGGGTCTAACAAATACGAATGGGATTTTAGAGAGTATGGATTCAGATTCTTCGCCCGCATGTTTCCATACGACATAAACTAATAGTGCAAACAAGACTAGACAATCTTTGCCGCCGTTAAACGACATTGCAATGTTTGTTAGGCTTCGCAGTTAGTAATCCATTGAATAAGGACCGTAAGTCTCTTACCCAAATTTGTCTACAGCAGTTTGAATCGCATCTAAAGAGTACTCAACATGTTGAAACAAAAGTTCGTCGTAATTCGGGCTATTTTTTGAATTAAGAAAGTTCTGTATGTTGAGTCCAAGCTGCCGAATTGCCTCCATGAACGGCTCTAACTTATCTCAAGAAAGAATGAAACTATTCGTGAAATCGACACGAAATCAACCAAAAACGCGCTTCTCCTAGTAAAATTTCGCCGAAATGCGCAATTTCAGAAACTTCTGTACACTTTGCCGATTGTTTCCTTGAGTACTAACAAATATGTCAATGTTGACGAGATAGTTTGTAAGAATCAAGTAGTCGACGAAAAAAACAAAAATAAAAACAACATTCACCAGAAATCAGAACGACCTTCATCAATGAGACAGTTTCGTTCTTCACGGTTCAATATCTAATCTGGTATAACGGAGATTGTACATCTATTGAGTTCTCGAATTCCGACTACTTGTGAATCTTTAGAAGAATTTATTAATAATCATATACAGAAATGATATCTTTTCCATTACTATGCACTGAAAAACCGACTTAGATACACGTAAACGGATCAAATTTTAAAAAGAAAAACAAAAAATGGACGCAAAGAGAATGAATTGATCTGCGGTTTAGCACTCGACTATCGTCTTACAAAATGCATGTCTTTCCATAGAAGAAATAATACCTTTGCAACCCCGATAAGATACTGGCAATGAACCGTGTATATCTGCTGAAAGGCACGGACAGGTAGATAGATAAACAAAAACTGATCACAACTTCCACGGAGAAGACATCATCGATTGGCTTTAACAGAGTTATTGAAACAATCAGAAGAGAAGGGAGTAAGAATCAGCGTAATGGATGGCATATAAGGAAACAGCAGTGGGTGGTGGTCGTTAGAATAGTTAATACTTTTTACTTAAGGCTGAGCAGGCTGCTCAGATTCTGCTGGCGTTGGAAGCGAGTCGGCAGTTGTGGTTGGTGATTGCTGAATGACGGACTCTTTATCGCTGTTTTCTACATTTGACGTTTCTTTTAGTGTCGGAGAAGCGTCTGTGGATTCATTTGCGTCCTTTTTCGGTTCAGGCTCCTGTTTGTCCGGTATGCTCAAGCCTTCCTTCTCTAGTTGCTGTTGAGCAGAAGAGGTCGTTAAATCATTAACAGCAGTCTTATCATCATCAGTAGTCCGTGCATCCGGCGTCGCCTCTTGGGAAACCTCGGTATGCGCTTCAGTTTCTTCCTTTGGTATAGACTCAGCTGAGGAATTCTTCTCGTCTGCAACATTGTCGTTCGATTCCTCTTTAGACGCATCCTCATCTTCTGCGTGTGCATTGGCATCTGCATTGACATTGGATGAGTTTACTTCCTCGCTGGGCGTCATTTCATTTTCCTCTTCAGGAGGAGGGTTTGCTGCAGTGGCATCCGTGTTCAAAGTAGAGGCCGTTTCATTATTTTCAGTGGTAGGTTCATTCACCTCGTTTCCAACAGTAGTCTGAGGAATATCTGCTTCCAGCATATCTTGGACCAACTTCTCTCCCAACATTTCGCGGTCCTTATTCTCAGAACTGAGACTCATATCGAGAGCCAATTTTGTATTTGCGAGACGTTGGATGTATTCTTCAACAGTGTTTTTTGTTATTAGCCGAATCACAGTAACTTGCTTGGTCTGCCCAACACGATGAGCACGATCCTCTGCTTGTAGATCATCGAATGGATTGTATGAACAGTCGTACAGGATGACCACATTTGCGCATGCAAGATTAATGCCAAAGCCACCAGCCTTGGTTGACAAAAGAAAGACGGTAATATCAGTTTCACGATGAAACTGATCTATAATATCCTGCCTTGTTTCTACCTGAGTTGACCCATCTAAGCGAGTGTAGGTGATCTTCAGCGTGTCCAGCACTTGTTCCAAAATATCAATGACTTGTGTGAACTGGCTGAAAATCAGGATTCGATCTCCCTGTTCTTTCATTTTCGGGAGCAGTTTTTTGAGCACATCGATCTTTCCGGATTTCATCCAGGGATCATCCTTTAACATGTAAGGATGTAATGAAGGAAAGTTTCGACAGAGTTTGTGTAACTCAAAGTCTGACATGACTTCCATGTCTTCATAGATGTATTGTTCATTAGCATTTTTGTACTGCTCCTCAGTCATGATATCTTTTGCCATTTTTCTTATTATTTTGTCGGTGTATTTCTCCCTGAACAGAAGAGCATGATTCGCTGCCTTTCTAAGTTGCATTAGAATATGACCGGCAGGAGGTGTCTTGCTCTTATCTTCGGGCAAAGGAACGCCGTTCTTCTTCGCCTCCTTCTTCATGGTACGAAGATTGTTATAACGATCATAGATAGTTTTTTGCTCAGCAGACAGTTCACAATTCTCGATAATTTGAATTTTTGGTGACAAGTCATTTAGCACCTGCATTTTTCGACGACGAAGGACAAAAGGTGTCATCATCGTTTTGGCTCTGCTGATACGCTGTTTGGAAAGCAATGCTTGCTCAATGTCACCATCAGCAGTAGGCTTTGCTTTAAAGATTACATCCAAACCTTCCATGTTGTTGTCAAACATATTCGGAAGAATAAAGGCGAGAAGGGAAACAAGTTCTTTCAAGTTGTTTTGTAATGGTGTACCCGTAAGCAAAAGACGGAAGCTAGCATTGATATTCATCAAATGACGATAACGTTCCGACATTCTATTTTTTAAGTAATGACCCTCATCATATACACAGACATCGAACTTCTGGCGTTTCAAAAAAGCGCGATCCTCCTTGCTACTGGTAGCTAACTGATACGTGGTGACCAGCACATTGTATCCGGCTTCGTTTTCTTCAATTGCTTCACGAATTTCAGCACGTTCCTGCTGGTTACCGTAGTACGGTTCAACCTTAAGACTAGGACAAAACCGTGCCAATTCCCGAAGCCAATTTTCAAGTGTCGAAGACGGCACAACAACCAAATGGGGACCAACCCGCCCCGATTCGAGCAAGAGAGCAAAGAAGGATACCACTTGACATGTTTTTCCGAGACCCATCTCGTCGGCCAAAATGCCAGAAAGATTTTGCCGGTAAAGAAGGTTCAACCAGTTCATGCCAACAAGCTGGTACGACTTCAAAACGATGCCTTCACCCATGCATTTTGGCTGCACAGTAACGAACTTTGCGAAGCCGGAGGAGTTAACCGCCTCTGCAGGGTCCGTCGTTGCGTTAGAGGCATTCACGTCTGTAAGGTTCACCTCCCCAGAAGCATTGTTCAGCGACACACCCCAAGACTCCATACCTTGCGAAATCCGCCGACCCAAAGACTCACAGCGAGCAATGAGAGAGTCGATGGCGTAGTAGCCTTCCATTGTTTCCATACACGTATTGACGATTTTCTGTCCCAAGGGTTGTTTTTCACGACGCTTTCCGCGCTTTCCTGGCTTGCTAGGTACATCATCGGGATGCTTGATGACACATGCCTCAGCCAATGTCTGGAAGGGGCGGTGTTCGAGGAGAATTTTTGAATGATCCAAAGGACAGCTGGCAGTGTCGGAGAGCTCCTTTGCGGAACAGGTGTTGAGGAAATGCAGCACAGTGTTTTCCAAAGCAGAAGTATCACGAACGATTTCTGTTTCCGACTCCTCTTCCGAGTCGTAAAAATCATCGTCTTCACCCGTGCGCTTACTGGACTTGCGAAGAGTAATGTGTGTTTGAGGTGGGACATATTGAGCAGCGGCAGATGAGCCAGTAGCAGCAGCGGCGTTTGCCTGGTTCTGCATGTATCTGTCACGAATAGACCTCTTCTGCGACTGCACGGTTCGTTTTGAGCTTTCATACTGAGGATAAACCATGGCAGGCATTTGTGCGGCATTGGCCGACATTTGTGATGCTTGTTGTAACCGAGAAGAAACGTCGTAGCCAAGCAGTTTTTGGGATAAGATCGAGAGAGCCGTTACCTCGTTCCAGCTAGTTTGTGCCAGCACATTGATGACCAAGTGCGTGGAAGCTTGAGGGACGTGGTAGCGAATCCGCTGCACAGCTTTAATTATAGACTCTGGGAAGTGTGCTTCTAAAGAGCTCAAAGACCCTGCGCCAGGAGTAGGCTGCTGTTGCTGCTGTTGCGGCGGGGGAGGCTGCTGATGCTGTTGCATAGGCATTGCCTGTCGATAACCATACTGAGAATTGGCAACGCGAGTGTATGAAGGCATCGCCGACGCCATTTGGCCGTTGTACTGCATCATGTACGCGCTATTCATGGCTTGTTGCTGCATCCCGGCTGCCGACATCGATGGAGGCCCGGGTGACATGCCAGAAACGCCATTGTAAGCTCCATACGGCATTTGGACACGATCCATACCGGCCCGTTGTTGATATTCGTAAGGAGACGCCTGTTTTCCAGACATTTGGGCCTGTAACATTGACTGATATTGTTGTTGGTAGTACAACTGTTGCTGAGATGGTTGTCCAGAGTACGATTGTCCGTTCTGTAATTGCGGAACACGTCCGGCATTTTCTCCAGGCGACATATTCGAGGGAGACGAGCTCATATAACCCATTGTTTGTCCCATATTTGGCGAGTAAGAAACAGGCGCGCCTTGTTGATGGACTGCGTCATTTTCATCTGATAACTTGCGTTTCCTACTCGTAACCTCGTACGGAGAATTATAAGGTAACATTGTAAACACAAAGGAACAACCAAATGCACCTAATGTTCAACAATTAAAGCAATAATTGCACTTTTTCTTATGATGGCGGTTGCTCGCAGAAGCGCGAGCGTACGGTGCGCCCACGAGAATAGTGGATAGTGAGCTGCAGCGAGGAGTAGCGCACTGCAAGGAAATGCAAGCAGTCGCAGCGAGTTTCTATGGTAGTTCATAGAGTTCGGTACAGCACGTTAAAGCGTTTAACGCACTTTAACGAAATGGAACGCCGTTTACCGCAGCATTACCCTACACTACTCAGCCAGCATGCCGAGGAAGACGAAACTCGCCACTGGACCCAGACCCGACCCAGACCCTTTATTATAGACTCCAGCTATATCTCCCATCTCCTCTCTATTTCTCGCTATCCCGCGCTATTCGACGCACCGCACTCCACCGCACTCCAACGTGCCTTCCCACTGCTTCGCGTCTGTAACCCGCGTAGAGCTTCCTTCTGCAACACTTTAAGGATTACTGAACGATGGCTGTCTCCTCTTCCAACGGTGTCTCTGACAATTCTATTCCTCAGTATGTGCTCCTTTAAGACTTTACTGGCGCATTGGCCATCAATGGTCGCGTCTTCCCGCGAGTCGCGAGTGTTTTCGCCTTTTTCCGCTTCGAACTGTGACTAACTCTTTTGAACGACAGAAACGTTATTATTAAACTGTTTTCCTTCTCGATTGCTCTTTTTGCCGTGCCGTTGACCGCGTATTTTTGGAGTTTGAAGACATTGTTTCATGGTACGCTAATTGTGGCCGCTAAAACGCGTCAAACTAACTCTACTGTAAGGTGAAAACACGCTTTATGCAGGAATTGTTGCTGCTGTGGCTGTGAATGTGATTCTGCTTCTGTACATCATTGTCGCATTCAGAGAAGACTCTGCCAGCAGCAAAGAGACAGAAAAGAAGAAGCAGTAAGGCGGACGAGGTGAAACAAAGCGGACTGGTTGGACTCTTGATTACAATGAATGATACAACACGTCCTCTTTACGGCTTTTTGGCGACTTTTTGAACAACAACCATTACAAGTCTTCCTCTACCGTTTCGTCGTCCTCGAAACCACCTTCTGGAAAGAAAAACTGTGTTTCTGGACCAATTTACAGCGTCGTTCGTCTTTCCCAATCCAGTTTTCTGTTCTTGGCGGCTGGATCTTTTTCTTCAGTTCGTCTCACGCAGTCCACAACCTGGCCGATCCCACACACACAGAACATAACGACCATGTCGAATGCAAGTGAACAAGCCCGTCTTCGTCGTGAAAGACGTATGAAACTTATTCGTGAGGGCGGAAACGACAGACTGAACCGCATTCGGTCCAGTGTGGGTGCTGTTCCTCTCGAAAAAACTGCATTGCCAACTTCTGTCTCGAGTCGTGAATTGCCTACCACAGTGTCCCCTGGTGACTCGGAATTCACTCCTTCTGGCTCTCAGACGCCGTCTCTGAACCCTAATATGCCTGTCCGTGCCAGTGAGTTCAGTATTCCAACTCCCTCTGACAGTCCTGATCTTGCAAAACTTTTGAGTGCAATTTCACAGCCAAACAGCTCTACGACACCTGTCGGAAAGCAGAGCCTCGAAAAACCGTCACCTGCTGCGGCCGTGGAGGGAGAACAGGTTGATCCTAAGGTTGCTGAGCATCAGAAGCTTTGGAAGTACACTCACATGGTCGGTATTATCTCGGTCGTCGCTTACTGCTTCTTCTCCAAACTCGTATGTGCACCCCAGAGCATTCTAAACACTGTTTTTGTTTCTGTTTTGTTTCTGTTTTTGTTTCTGTTTACTGACACCCTGTAGTTCCTCCTCCCCTGGATCATAACTTTGGAAATTTTGCTTCTTTCTACCCAATTGGCTGTTGATCGTAACAAGCTGCCTCCCGCGTCCTTGTTGACTACTTTGGGTGCCCATCTCCCTGCACCGTACAACACACTCGTCTCCAAATACTCGAGTATCATGGGTCTTGTTACGCAAGTCGTCACCGATGCTTGTTTTACTATTGTTCTCTTAGGTTTCCTTTCTAGACTGTAGGCGGGTGGCACTCAATAGGTCTCAATAGATCTTAAACGAACAGTCTGTGTCAATGTCCTCGTGCGGTTGTTACGGTTGTTGCTGCTATTACTTTTATTACTACCATTACTACTACTAAACACCCATAGCATATATGAATCATTTACCCGCCAACCCACAGTGGCAGCCCAGACTGCCCCGCCGGCACGCAGTAAGCTTGTTTTGAGCTTAATACTTCATACGCTGTACACTGCCCGGCTACGTCATATCTTACATCATTCTGTTCCACGTGCGTCAAATCGCGTCCACGTGCTGTTTATGCCGAAAAGTGCGAAACCGCCACCAAGAGCAGCCCTGCTATCTGCGTTTCCTCCAATCACGGCGACGATAAACGAGCAGCAGGAATGGCCGCACACAACCGACTTCTTACCCAGTTGCATTCAACAGAACTCGTAAACGGCCGCAGCACTTTCTAAAGACTCTCCAGTAACGAATTCCTGTTCACGAGCCTCTCTCGCCCGCTTACCTGTAATTGAACAAGTTTCACACACATTACATTGGCTTTTCTTAACAAACTGCTGCTTTTGATCCTCTCTAATTCTTTTTTTTTGGGCTTTTTCGACTGATATTTGTTGTTTTGTTCATTTCTGCAATTTCTTCTGGTGTCGGTGAACGGTGTTGGAGTTGAATTGACATAGAATTAGTTGTAGTTGTCTTTTCTGTTGTGTTTAGAAGGATTCGTCTTTTTGGGGCTTGTCAATTCGTCTTTTTTTTTGTGCAATTGAACATATTCGTTGACTTTTCTGCCGTCGTTGTCCCTTCAAGATGGCCTCCTTCACGTCTTCTCCTACTTTCCAGGCAAACGAAACAGCGTCTAACGAAACGTTGACTACTGCTACTCTTGCCGGCCAGCCCAATGCTTCCCTTGCACATCCTCCTAATTACATGACCTTCAATAACCGTGGCTCCACTTGGAAGCGTGCAGACGTGGTCCAGTCGAAGCCACGGTTTCTGAGACGATTAAAGTATTATGTGCGTGTCCTGGACTGGTTGCCCAATTACTCGATGAAGAACTTTTTGTACGACACGACTGCTGGCTGCGCGACTGCCTGTCTGAGCATACCTATTGCTCTTTCTTACGCACAGAGCTTTCTTAATATCCCTCCCATATACGGCTTGATGGCCGCCATACTTCCTCCCATTGTCTACACGTTTTTCAGCGCCAGTCCCGTCTTGAGTGTCGGACCAGAGGCCGGTGTGTGTCTGTTAATTGGCGAAAACATTCATCAACGTATGTTGAGTGGAAAGCATCCGCCCGAGTACGCCATCCTCATCACCGGTTTGATTACAGGACTCATCGGTTGCGTCACCCTGTGCGCAGGCATCTTTCGCCTCGGCTTTCTTGACTCGCTCGTTTCACCCATCTTGTTGCTGGGTTGCATCCTCTCCGTCTCTACGGTCATTCTCATTAACCAGGGCGTGGCCATCTTGGGTCTGTCGGTGAAACCCGACGAGGTCTCAGACATCCCGATAAACAAACTGATGTATTTGCTGCGGAACCTCAAGAATGCTCACCCGGGAACCCTTGTCATTTCTATTTCTGCTCTTCTGTTCCTGACAACGTCTCGCTTAACGAAAAAAAGATTTGGAAGAAAGCATCCAGTATTGGGCCTGTTTCCAGACGCAGTTTTGCTGCTTATTACCGTCTCCTTCCTCAGCAAACACTTCCACTGGCATAAAAACTACGGTGTCCCCATTCTGGGTCAAGTGGGCGAAGAAATCGTCAAGCCGTCGCTTCCCCTTCCTGACGATCGCAAGCTAGACTTTGTAAAGCATTCCATTTCCACGGCCGTCACATGTTCTTTTCTTGCTTTCGTGGATACAGTGATTGCCGCTAAGGCGATTTCTCTTCAGACACATGATCTGGTTCGTTCAAATCGCGAGTTGGTCGCCCTTGGCTGCGCAAACATTGTCAACAGCATGTTTCGCGGCTTGCCAGTTGTGGGCGGCTACCTCCGCTCGAAGAACAACATCTTTTCTGGTGCGCGGACTCAGGTTTCCTCGGTAATGTGCTCGCTGTTTGTATTAATGGCTCTCCTGTTTTTCATGAGCGTCTTCTACTATGTCCCGAAATGTGTAATGGCTTCAATGGTTGTCAACGTTGGTATTTCCATGTTCTTTGATGCGTTTAGTGGTGTCTTCTCCTTGTTGAGATGTCGTGCATACAGAGACATTACGATTGTCGTTTCCATTGGTCTGCTTACCCTCCTGTTTGGACTTGAGACAGGCATTGTCTTGGGTATCGTGGTCACCACGTTTCAAGTTGTTAAACATGCCACTGCTTCTCGGATTCTATTTCTGTCTGGCGATGAAGAGGAAGGTGACCAATGCTTCGATTACAGTGGCAACGGACCGGATGTTGTCGATGACGACGTGTCAGCTTTAGAAGCGGCACCGTCGATTTCGGCCAATTCACAAGCACAGAAGCTTCCGCAAACGCTTATTGTCCGCATACCCGAGCCACTTTTCTTTGCAAACACCAGTCAACTGGAGGAGCGGTTAAACCGTTTGGAGAAATTTGGTCATCCCAGGGTACATCCTTCGGAGCGACCTTGGCGCAGAGAGCGGCAATTAGAGGCAATCGTTTTCGACCTAGTTGGTGTTTCCTACATTGACTCGAGCGCACTCATCTCTCTTCATCGAATCTTTGAGTCGTATATTGAACGAGACTGTAAAGTTTTACTGACGTCTGTGGACCCCAAGGTACTCAACCAGTTTGAACAGCAGGGCATTATAGCCCTTATTGGAGGCTATTCGTCTGTCTACCGGAGCGTCAAAGATTTTATTTCGATGACTGAACATTCCAATTTCGTATGATGTCCCGGGGTATTCCGTATTTGCTCCAATTTCCTTGTTCCACATCTCCTCGTTTCGCTTTCTCCCTCGCTCCTTTCATTCCAAACACTCTCTACATTGATATATACATATTTAGAAATTTGCCTAGACAAGACAAGCTAGGTATTTACTTAGCATGCAGACATTCTTGCTTCTTCATTTACTCATCTAACTAATACTTATTTACTTATGAATCACATCGTCAAGCTTTGTAACAGACACAATTGCCCACAGACCGCACGGTAAAAGCCGTAGACGCGCCTCTGTTTGTCTTCCCAGCGCCTCCACCCATTCGCAATAATTATTCGCCAATTGATTATTAATTTATTTAATAAATTACTCTTATTGCTAAGCTTCTCTAAGCTTCCTTCAATATAAGTGGTGACGTCACGGTTTTGTGGGGTAACCTTATTACCCCGGACAATTGAGTTCGCCGGGTCATGCGCTCCTATCTAAGCTGCTCTCCCAACCTGACCCAACCTGCCTTCTGCCAATCCCCAACCCAATTCTTCAATTGTACAACCTTCTTTACCCTCAGATTTTGTTTTTGGAACCATATACTTGTACTTACCCGTCATTCTTTGTGTATTTTCCCCCTCTCTACTTTGATAAATTATTAGATGAGTCACTAGCGGTTTTACTGGCTCCTACACCTGCTGTATCCAATTTAACGTTCAGCTATGATTTCCAAATCCACTCTACTTTCCCATGAAGTAAGTGCTTTCGATGCTGAAGGAGACTGTTTCACGGAATCGAGTATCTGCTCCCAGCCTCGAAGATTGAATGACGCTTGCCGTTCCGAGAGAAGTACGTATGGGCCTTTTTGCAAGGCTTTCCGGTTCGTACACGCGATTCTAACATAGATTAGCGCGATTGTTGTTGGTTTCCTTGCTTGAAAGCTTTTGTGGTACGCGTTTTTTGCTTCTCCAACGAGGGATTCACGTTTTGTGTGTGCAGTAACTAACAGTTACTTAACAGGAATCTATGAACCTGATGAAGGACATGCTCGGTCGATGTTCCGTTACATTACCGAGTCGTTGCGATCATCTGGTATCATCGAAAGGGAGGATGCCGATGAATTGAACGCCCTGCGGGCCGCATACAAGCGTGCCTTCCATGATTTGCTCTTCAAAGCGCACCAGCGCAGTATAACTGATGATGAGAACAAGGAACCAAAGTTTCTGCTCCCTGTGCGAAAGTCTTGCTCCGAAAACAATCTGCCTATAAGCATCACGAACTTTTCCGATGATTCTGTCGATGTCGAGGGCTCAGACAATAGACGGGAACTACCGCGTTCTAAATCGATGTTCTTCTCTGAACAATTGAAGCGCTTTTCCAGTAATACGTCCTTCCAAGATGCTTCGTCTAATTCATTCGATGATGCTTCGTCGTCTTCAGCTGCCTCGAATGTTTCCTTCGATCATTGGCTGTTTGGTCGTGCTTCTCGGTATGAAACCGACTTTGAGGAGTTGGAGATGTTAGGAAAAGGTGGTTTCGGTACGGTGTATAGGGTAAGTTGGTTTTCACATCGGGTGTTGTCGGTTACTGACAGTTCTTTCAGGCTAGAAACAAAATTGATGGTGCAGAATATGCACTTAAAAAAATAATTCTAAGTCTTCGTTCACTATCTCGCTTCGGTGTATTTCAAGAAGCGAGATCTCTGGCCCGAATGAATCATCCCAATGTTATCCGGTTCTACTCTTCTTGGGTCGAAGAGCTTTCGCGTCCTCCTGCTGCCGGTCGATCAAAAGCACAAGAATCGGAATCGGATAATTCTGCAAAGAATGGAGATAAGCAAGAATCCTCCAATTTGGCATTCGGATCAGAGGACGAACAAGAACTGATGTTCAATATGGATGATACCGAGTTTTCTTCCAACTCAAACCAACCCTTTCAGATTGTCTTTCAAGATGATTCTAACCCCCTTTCCCGTTCCGCTCTTGCCGAAAGTGAGGAAACAGAAAGCTTTCGTGTTCCCTCCCGAGTCCGCAATGTTCGTAAAGAGTATTATCCGTTTTCTACAGTGCCGACCTCCTTTCGTTTTGGAGGTAATGATAGCAATTCCTCTTCCCTTTCGAGTTCATGGGGAGCTGTTCGTGGAAATCCAATGACACGATCCACCCGCAGCCAGTCCTACAGGGAAGGGTGTCATGAAAATTGCTCCAGTCACACTGGTTCTTTTTGCCTTTTTATACAAATGGCTCTATGCAGTGAGTCTCTCGAGGATCACATTCGCCGTCGTAATCAGTATTACACTGGAGTTCTTCCACGTGAACTTCGCAAGTTATACTTGATGCTGTTTATGCGCGTCTTGGAAGGTGTTCGGTATTTGCATGATGTTATGCATACCGTCCATAGGGATTTAAAACCTCGAAATGTGTTTCTTGCTGAGAGCTCACTGGCCGAAGCCGGCTCCGTCAATCTTCCCTCTTTCCGCCAGGACAATGACAGAAACCCGATGAAGGACATGTATTATGTAATCCCAAAAATCGGCGATTTTGGCCTCGTTATGGAGGAAGATGGTGTTGATACGTCCAGTTCTGATGGATTTGTTGGGACCGGCACGTATGCGTCGCCCGAGATGCTTACAATGCGCTGTCGAGACTCGTGTTTTAGCTGGAAGACGGATGTTTATGCCTTAGGTGTGATATTGTTTGAGATCTTGTGGCCCTTCAATACTGCAATGGAGCGAGCATGCAGCATATCCGACTTGAAGAACGGCAGGCTTCCACCCGAATTCGTAAGATGTATGCCCCATGAGAGTGAGTTGATACGCTGTATGCTGGCATCTTCCTCTCGAAGACCACGAGTGAGTGAGCTTTTGCGCCATGAAGTATTTAATTCACTGAACATGGACGAGGTCGAGTTGTTTAGAGCCCAATTATTTGAGGCACAAACTCAAAATGAAGAACTTCGTCGACAGTTGGAAGCCCTCAAGTACTCTTCTGCATACGCCGATATTTAACGAGGGTCTTCTTCAGACAACATATATGATATCTCCACTCCCATACGGTGCTTGTTCCCGATGGTCTTTGCATTTTTTTTTATCTATTTCTCCCCATGCATTCGTTATTTGTTATGATCTCTCTCTTTCCTTTTTTATTTTTCATGTTACGATCCAAATTTATGAGGTATTTATGAACGGGTACAACTTGCTTCTTTTCCTTTTGCCTTTAGTATTATGACTTACGGGCAACATTCCTGATTGCTATGCATTTGTCAACGTGCTACATCAGATATATTTTCTTATCTCTGCTCGTTTTCGATTTGAACCTGTATGTGCGTTCACCTTTCATGTCTCATGTCACAAACAGAATTCCCCAACTTTTTTTTGTTACATATATATACTATTGTTTTACCTTTTGTCGGTGGCTAGACAGGCTGATTGTTCTTTATCGAAGGTTTGCTTATGTCTTTACGTTTTTGTTTTTTTTTTTTTCATTAGCAGTAGCCTGCGCGGATCGTCTTTGCAGCTGCTCATCGACCTGATCCTCTACAACCTATAAGGCTTGCTTGAATTCGTTTTATGTATCGTGAAACAGTCTCTATGCGACTTTAGAGCACTTACTTCTAGCATGATTATTACTATAGCAGATTTACCCTTCTTTATTTTGGAACAATGAATTGATTCCAATTTAACAGTGAGACAAAATATGTAGTAAAGGCCATCGTATTGTGTATCTGTTACTTATCTTGATAATTAATTGTCTTTTTGTTGGTTTACATGTATATTTGCTACACATTCTCTACGACAACCGGACAGGCATGGAAATTATCTGAGGTTTTTCGATATAAAACATTGTATTTAATGAGCACAATCGGTTGAATGAAAGCAGAAAGAGGCGTTTTTGCCATTCTCTGTTGTCATCACCGTATGAAACCTGGAAATCGCTTTGTTAGATAAAAGCTCAACGACTGTTGGTCCCTGATGCTCCCTGAAATGGGCCTCCTTTCTTACGGATTGTTTTCAATTAAGTTCTTTTGTCTACTGTAATGTGACTGGAGGGCTGATAGCTCCTTTGAGTCGATGAATGATGCAAATTAGCGTGTCATGACGCGCAGAATTTAAACAAAGGAAATGAGAATTTTCCTGAAGAATGACCTGGGTTTTTAAATTTAGTTATACTAAACTTTGCTCCTTTGTATTGCTATTACAATAATTACCACTTACTTCGTTTTCGTTTACGGAAAGGACGCAGATTGTTCATGGGCAAGTCAACTACAGACTTGATAATGAACGGTCTTTCAGTACATGGGCCATCTCAATCTTTGTCCCCAACTGTGTTTTCTACGGCTGATTGTCATTCGAAAATGCATTCCTCTCCATCGACGCTGTCAGTATTGAATAAACATTCGGTTTCTTCGTCCCCAAACAGCAGACATGATCTTTCACGCGCAAATGGGATGTCTTCAACATCATTTGTTGATGTTTCTCGGGCTGGAGCATATGCGTTTCCCGGACGTCTTAGCAAAAAAGAAGTCATACATCAAATAGAGAGCTGGATCACTGACGATGACCAAAGTCCTATTAAAAGAGAGCTTTCAGAAATGTTTACCAGGTCTTCCTCCGACACCGAGATATTAGACGAACTGTACAACATCGTTCTTGAGAATTCAGGCACTCGCAAGCATTCGATGCTGACGAACGAGGAAAGTCCAGAAAAGAAGATATCCTGTATTCAGTTTTATTTGATGAATCAGGAACCCTCTTCTTCCTTAGATTCTTCCCAATCAAACTTAAGAAGTATAGACAAAAATACGCCTTATTGGTATATACGTAAGCTCTCAGAAGGTAGTATGAAACCAAAAAATCTGGTATCTTTGTCAGTGGCTTTACGAACACAGTCAGTCTCGTGGGTTCGAGAGTTTGTCTCATTGAATGGACAAGACTTACTGACTCGGACGTTGGAAATCATTCATGGGAAAAAACAATTGAAGAAAGTGCACTTTGATATCGAGCTTGGTGCTTTGAAATGTCTGCGATGTATTATGAATGACAAGTGCGGCGTTACGAAGACACTTGAGAACCAGAATTCGGTGAATGCAATATGCAAATCACTTTTGTCACAAAAGCTAAGTATTACTAGGGTTGCAGCTGAACTACTTGTTTTCCTATGTTACTGGGAGCCACCAAACGGTGTTAGCAATGTACTCTCTGGCTTTGAGTCTGCCGGCTTTGCGATCCTAGACCGACAGGTTCCTTACCTGGAAATATGGATACAAAATTGGAATACAGCAGTGGAGAGCCGCGGCCGTTTAGGAAGTCTTGTCGGAGCAGGAGCTCAAGCCCGAGAAGAGGGTCTGCATTATGGGCATGCCGTCACTGATTGTTGCATTATCTATATGATGCTTATAAATGGTATCATTGATAATTGTATCGACCGAAAAGGCAGTCTTTCTTTCTATGAAAGTCTTATGGAAAATGGATTTCATGATCTATTGAAAAAGCTTGCATCTATGCATGATGTTTCGCTGAACAAGCAGTTAAAGAAGTTTTCTCATTTAAAACAGAAAATATTCACCAAATCCGTTGCTGTTTCCAAATGCAAAGATCCTCACCATCGAGCAGTTTCCATTGTCAATGCAGATTTGGCCGAGTTATTGGCAAAGCTTAATAACTCTATGAACAAGGAGGCATTCATTTCATTCTTTGCCAATCTCTTTCGTTTGATTCAGGAGAATAAAAATCCAGAAAGAATTATACAGCTGCTTGATTGTATTATTATCTGTATCAGCGGAGGAGACCGTGCTAATGAGGCGCCAATTTCCAAATTATACGACAGTCTCCGAAGTGAGGGTCTTGATAATTTACACAGCATTCGTGCTTCACTCAGACCACCGGAAATAAAATCCATACAAAGCTATTTACAACGCGTTAAATCTGAAGTTCAAGACTATCGTCAATCAAGAGCTGGCTCGTCTTCCAGCCCGGAGGTTAATCCTACGGATTCTTTAAATCAACCGAACTCCTTTGCTCCCAAGAATCGTACCAATGAGCTTTTGCTTTCTAGGGATGGTTCAGATCGCGTTGACTCGTCTTACTCAATTCAGTCGGAAGCAGAAAAACAACTTGAGAGAATTAAGACGGGATGTACACTTGCAGGTATACATCTTGATAGTTCAGCTGATGTGTCAAGCATTACAGAGGAAAATTATGAGCAAAACAATGATAATATGCTTAATGCATTTCGAAAACTCGATTCTTTGCAAAGTTTAGGTAACTTTGGATCAGTGCCTACTCGTTATACGAAGTCAAATTCTACCAAGTGCTTAGAATCACCTAGTGGACTACTAAGTACCTCTCTTGATAATGAGCAGGACAAAGTTGCTTCAGATTTTTTTTCGTCAAACGAAAATCATGATATGAAACCGGAGACTGCGAAGCTTACTCAGGAAGGCACATTATCAATAGACGAACGTCCTAGGGAGGGTGACTCTACCACCTGTTTTATAGAACCGGTAATGATAAAAGACGATGAGTCATTACTATCTAAGGCCAAGAAAATTGAATCGACCAATGGAAAATCTAACACCCTTGCAACGTTCAAACGGGAAACACCTATTCCTTTTGGTGAAGGTGTTGCACAAACGAGCATTGCTGTTGCGGAAATACCTATAAGTGAGTCTGCAAATGAACCGTTGGAATTGGAACCGAGTAATAGCACGGCGGATGTAACATTGGTGAACTGTGAACCAAATACTCATGCAGCGCCGCCTCCGCCGCCTCCTCCTCCTCCCCTCCCTGTATTGCATTCCAATGGATTTCAGCCGCTGGACGAGCGAGATTCAAGAGGTTGCTTAGCACCCGGTTCAACAACAGTTGAAGCGGAAGAATCTTTGATACCATTGCCGGATGACTACCCAGTGGAACTTCGTATTTCTACTGAAGTATCGAAGTCACCTCCGCCTCCTGTGTTGCCAGCACCAGTTGCGGATTCAGAGGAGAAACGTCGTTTAAAACAATTGCATTGGATACGTATAACATCACCTCAAGGTACTACTCTTTGGAATACAGTTGCAACAGCAGGAAAAGACATATGGGCAGAGCTCAGGGAGAAGGGATTTTTGGAGGACTTGCAGAAAGGGTTTTATATGCGCAATGTTAAATGTGTCTCAAAACCCAAAGCTACTAAACGAATTTATTTGCCAAATGAATTGCAAAAGGTCTTTGGAATTGTTTTTCACAAATTTTCCGCTCTTTCCCCTATTGACATTGCAAAAAAGTTCTATGAATGTGATAAAGAGTTGTTGGATTTGGTACCTTTCTTGAACGAAAGCAAGGTATTTCATCAAGACGCAGTAAGAAAGCAGCTTCGACCTTTTCAGACTGTTATTAAGCGAGCTGTTGATCCTCCGCGAAACTTTGAAAGAATAAACGAATTAGAACGTTGGGACCAACTCTATACGCTGCTCGTCGTTGATTCGGAAGAGTACTTTGTACATCGAATGAAGGCATTAGAGTTCAAGCTGGATCTTGAACAGACACACAGAGGACTTGTGCGTCAAATGCGTTATATTCGTATTGCATGCAGTGATGTGAGACTCAGCACTTCATTTAAAGGATTTCTTGGTTTCGTCTTATGTTTGGGTAATCATATGAATGACAGTTTAAAGCAGGCAACGGCATATCGTTTAGAGAGTCTCGAACGAATGGCAATGGTCAAGGATGAAAGAGACGGTTACTCACTATTGCACTTTGTTGAACGGTACATTAGGAAGCATTGTCCGGACACCGTTTCCTTTGAGAAAGAATTCCATCGCGTTCCAGTTGCTGCTAAGATGAATTTGGAACAAGTAGATCTTGAGGTCCAATCTTTCGTTAAGAGACTGACTGAAGTGAAAAGCGATCTCAGCACAGGAGCACTCTCGGGTCAGAGTTATTTGCATCCGGATGATCGTATTCGAGATTTCATTCTTCCATGGATGCCAACAGCAGAAGACCTCGTAAGCAAAATAAAGCAGGGCTTTGATAATATGAAGAAGGCTTTTGAGGATCTTCTTTGTTACTATGGCGAAATTGAAGAGAATGTCAACTTACGAAACCCATTCTTCGTTGTCCTTCATGATTTTTTGAAGAATTTGGAGAAGGCTAAAACGGAGAATTTGCGTCTAGAAGCGCTCCAGACGGAACGACAAGTGATGGAATCCCACAAAGAGACAACCAGGCCTGACATTTTGAAGGCTATAATGCAAGATGAAAAGAATTCAAACGAACCTACGATGGATGTTTTATTGGAAAAGCTAAAAACGGGTCTGTGCAACTCTAGCAGGTCCCCACAGACGAAAAAACAAGATTTAGAGAGGGGAACGGAAACTATGAATGGTAATAATCCACGCATTATGACAAACGAAAGTTTATTTGTCACGCAAAGGAAACGGTTCACTGTTGTTGAAACAGCACATGGCTTGCTCGACAGCTTGCTGGCAAGCGAAAGCGAGCAGAGTTTTAAAGAATGATATGAATTTCATGACCAAAAGCAGATAAGGTTTACAAGCCGCGAGAGCGCTTGAAGTAATCGGTGAAGACATTGATACCAACGTTCAGATGTTCTTTCACATCATCCCATGTAGCACGATTCTCCTGACCTCGATCGCCACGTAGCTTTCTGTCTTGTTGAAGCCAGTAAAGACACACTTCCAGCAGTCTGCTGTTGCCTTTTTGTGAAACGATGCTGGAATCTACCAGCTCGGAAATGGGACCGTAGTGAACTATTCTTCCTAAAGAGAGATGAACCAACTGTGTAGGCCAGTCACCAATACCATCAAAGATGTGAGTAGCGTATACGATAGTAGCGTTTCTCGATTGTGTTTCCTCTCTCAGGAATTCAAGCAAAGAGTATCTAGCCAAAACATCCAAATCGACAGTAACTTCATCAAGCAACAAGACCTCGAATGGACGAATTAGACCCATGCACAATTGGACTCTACGACGTTCTCCATCCGAAACTGCGTGCATTCTCCAACGAAGGTCGATGTCGAGCATCTTGATTAACTTGTCTCGACGTTCAGGATAGAGATCACCTCCAATAGAAGCAATCAGACGAACGACATCCATATCACGGTGAACAACTGGGTTCGTTACCCATTCTTTTTGTTGTTAGAGCCAAACACTGTGTTTAATGTTCATGCATACCAGTGCCTAAATAGATGATACCACTGTTCGTCTCTCTAAAGGGGTCACTGCCGTTAACTGTAATCTTTCCTGCGTTTGCAATGGTCTTTCCTGCTAACAGTTTCAACAGGGTCGATTTTCCTAGTCCGTTTTGTTAGCATTTGTGTTGAAAGTGTAATTCAATATTCTTAAAGCACATCCTCTTGAATCGTACCTGCACCATTTGCACCAACAAGAAGTGTTCTGGAGCCTTTTGGGAACTTGACAGAAACATCGTGCAGACTTAACGGAAGGTTTGGTGCAAAAGAGTATGATAAATGGTCCGTATGAACGCAAAGATCATTAGAGGACGAAGACATTGTTATAGTAGGTTAAGAGGAAAAAACCAAACGACCGCTCGGAACGTGAAAATTGACTAATTTTGTTTTTTACGGGATATCCAGTGCTACGGAAAAACGGAGTGACGTTACTTTGATAATGTCAAGCAACCAGTTTGAAACCAGCATCGTTTGTTTGCGAAAAGAAGATGTAAATGATCGGTTTTGGTGTGATATTCTCAACAACTAGGAGTTTTATCCCAATTGACTGTTTTGGGATTTTTAATCTTGGTCCTAAAAAGTCGTGGATCTAAGAGTGAGTGTGTTGCTTTAAGAGTTAACTATGAACTGGTCAAGGGGGTTGAGAGGACGGTGTTATGGGTGAATTGTTTGATGAAGTTTCATGCTAATGGAAATCGAGAATATTGTAGTAATGAGCTGCATCTAGTAGTCACTTTGGTGACTATAAACTTAATATAATAAAGGTTGAAGGGCTGCACTTTCATTGTATAAGGAGATGTTAGTAGTAGCTTGGACGCAGAAACGAATTGAGCGAATTCGTTAAAAGTCGATTTCAAAAACGCTGTACACTGATACTTAGAAAAGAACAAAACTAACAGAAAAGAAGCTCGGATTACTAATTGAAAGCTATACACTGAAGCTTGTTTACCCTAATCAATACAGTTTTGTATAAGAAGCAAGCTGCACTCATTAATGCAATTAATTCTATAACGGAACGGATAATCTTTATTATAACTTTGTTACTAAACAGAGAATAAAAAGTTTATGCGACCTATGTTTTTATCGAACTCTAATTTGTCTCTCAAAGTTGGAATTCACTCAATCAGTTCTAACAAGATTTCTCAATTTGAGAATCCTATTAAAAAACAGCCAAGGACCAATTTAATCCTAGCTTCAGGACACTGGAGATCCTTGACATACTAGAATTATCAAGGAAACGTTCAACATAATTTGACGCAGGCCCAGTCCGTTGGTCACATTCACATTTACCGTAAAAAATCCAATAAATTCGACAAAAACCAGAAAAATCAATGTTATCCTACTAACTCACTTAACGACCACACGGACATCTTAAGCCCGAAATAGAAGATGTTTTGCGACTCGTAAACAAACGTCGGTAAGAACATTCCTAGTAATGTCCTTCCAGACACCACCACTCCCACAGAAAAAACAACATTCTCAGCTACTGGCAGTCATTGATTTCCGTTTTTCGAACGTCTAACTGAGAAGTAATCAGTTTTTTACTCTGTTGAGTTTTTCAATTGAAAACTTTTGGCTACATGCCCTTTCGTACTGTGTTATTGCTTGGATAGGCAATGTTGAAAAACTCAGCTGAAGATAGAAGGGTTTCGTTCAATAATCCGGATAATCGATCTTCAGAACATTTGAACCGTGATGAAAGTGACAATACGCGTTTAAACCCGTTTCTTGCAAGTGATGACTTGGAAGATGTGTTGGGTGAAGATTTAGATGAACCAACTCCACATAGCTACAAGAGCAAGAATCCATTTCTGGATGATGAATTGGAGAGGCTACATTTGTCCACAGGTACTACTGGCCTTGGTTACGACCCAAAAGCAAGGTCGAGCTATACTGATGACATTCCCTTAGAAACATTAAGTCCCACGACACCGCGCCGTCCACTTTATCGCAACAGACGCTCTGCAGGTATACTTGTTACACTCCATTCCTGGGTGGATTACTGCCGTCGAGCACTCAAGAAAAACGAAGTTCCTGTAGAGAACTTGGGTCCTCGAGTCGTGTACATAAATGATCCAGACGCAAATGGGGTGCAAAAGTTCGCCTCTAACAAGGTATCGACTTCCAAATACAATATAGCCTCTTTCATCCCACTTTTTCTTGCCGAACAATTCTCAAAGTATGCCAACCTCTTCTTTTTGTTAACATCCATCATTCAACAAATCCCCGGCGTTACACCTACAAACCGTTATACTACTATCGGTCCTTTGGCTGTTGTATTGTTGGTCTCAGCCTTTAAGGAGGCAGTGGAAGATTTAAAGCGAAAGAATCAGGACAAGGATATGAACAATGCAAAGGCTTATGTGTTAGAAGGAACCACTTTTATTGACAAAAGATGGAGAGACATCCGTGTTGGAGACATTGTTCGTGTCACTTCCGAAACAAACTTCCCCGCTGATATCGTTTTGTTGGCTTCTTCTGAACCAGAAGGCTTGTGTTACATTGAGACTGCCAACCTTGATGGTGAAACAAATCTCAAGGTGAAACAAGCACATCCAGAAACCGCACACTTGGTGAAACCTGTTGAGGCTAGCCAATTGCAGGGTACTCTGCGTTCCGAACAGCCAAATAATAGTCTTTATACGTATGAGGCGACTCTTCGGCTCTCATCCATCGATCATGAAATTTCAATCTCACCAGATCAGTTATTATTGCGTGGTGCTCAATTACGGAATACTCCCTGGGTATTTGGCATTGTTGTATTCACTGGTCATGAAACAAAGCTTATGAAGAACGCTACCAAGTCACCAATGAAAAGAACTGCTGTTGAACAACGCGTCAATGTCCAGATTTTGTTTCTTTTCAGTGTTCTCATTTTTCTCGCTTTAGCCTCCTCATTGGGCTCCGTAATTACAAAAGCTACATACGGTTCCGCACTTTCATACTTGCGTCTCAACGTCGGGCGCGCCGGAAACTTTTTTTTGGAATTTCTAACTTTCTGGATTCTGTATTCAAACCTTGTTCCAATCTCACTGTTCGTTACTCTTGAAGTCGTTCGCTATTCGCAAGCACAGTTGATTGGAAGCGATTTGGATTTGTACCACGAAGAAACTGATACTCCTGCAGTATGCAGAACTTCTTCTTTGGTTGAAGAGTTAGGCCAAGTCGGTCATATCTTCAGTGACAAGACAGGTACACTAACTTGCAATCAGATGCAATTTCGACAGTGTTCAATCGCCGGTATCGCCTACGCAGATACTGTGCCTGAAGACAGATCAGCTTCTAACGAGGAACTCGATGCCGATATGTATATTTATAGCTTCAACGATCTGTTAAACAACTTGAAATCGTCAGCTGACAGTCAAGCTATTCACAACTTTATGTTAGTGCTTTCTATATGTCACACTGTTATTCCCGAAAGAAAAGGATCCAACACGACGAGTGAAGTTAAGTTTCAAGCCGCCTCCCCCGACGAGGGTGCCCTTGTTGAAGGTGCTGCGAAACTTGGTTATGAGTTTTTTTCAAGAAAACCTCGATCACTAAGCGTAAAAGTGCAGGGTGTGGAGCAGAATTTTGAATTGCTGAACATTTGCGAATTCAACTCAACACGAAAGAGAATGTCGGTAGTTTTTCGTTGCCCAGATAACAAAATTCGTCTTTACATCAAGGGCGCAGATACAGTTATTATGGACAGACTTTCGCCCACGGACAATCCACACGTCGAAAAGACGCTTCACCACTTGGAGGACTATGCTACGACTGGTTTACGTACGCTATGTATTGCGATGCGTGAGCTTGGAGAAAAGGAATACGAAGATTGGAATGCCACATATGAAGATGCAGCCACGAGCTTGGATAACAGAGCTCAAAAACTTTCTGACGCCGCCGAGCTTATTGAAAAGAATCTCACTCTTCTCGGAGCCACGGCTATTGAGGATCGACTTCAGGACGGTGTTCCCGAGACCATTTCTTCCTTGCAAACAGCGGGCATTAAGATGTGGGTCCTGACTGGCGATCGTCAAGAAACTGCAATTAATATCGGAATGAGCTGTAAACTGATTAATGAGGATATGAATTTGGTTATCATAAATGAATCCACGAAAGAGAAAACCACGGACAGTATTCTCCAGAAGCTTTCTGCCATTTACAGAGGACGCCAAAACACTGGCCAAATCGAGCCAATGGCTCTTGTTATTGACGGAAAGTCTCTTGAGTATGCTATGGAGAAGAATCTTGAACAACATTTTTACGAGCTTGCCTGCGAATGCAAAGCTGTAATTTGCTGTCGCGTATCTCCTTTACAGAAAGCTCTTGTCGTTCAACTCGTTAAAAGAAATTCAAGTGATATCCTTCTTGCCATTGGTGATGGTGCAAACGATGTCTCTATGATCCAAGCAGCCCATATTGGCGTTGGTATTAGTGGTATGGAAGGACTTCAAGCCGTTCGTAGCTCAGACTTTGCGATCGCTCAATTTCGGTATTTGCGCAAATTGCTCCTGGTTCATGGTTCATGGAGTTATCAAAGATTGAGCAAGCTTATTCTTTACTCATACTATAAGAACATCTCTCTTTACATGACTCAGTTTTGGTTTGCTTTCCAAAATGGTTTCTCTGGATCTGCGATTTACGAATCATGGTCCATTTCGCTTTACAACGTTCTCTTCACGGTACTTCCTCCCCTTGTGATTGGTATTTTTGACCAGTTTGTGAGCGCACCATTGTTGGATCGATACCCACAGCTTTACCATTTGGGACAAACGGGTTCCTTGTTCAATTCAAAGAACTTCTGTTCTTGGATTGCAAATGGATTCTATCATTCCCTTTTGCTTTTCTTCATGACGGAGGCCGTCTTCTTATTCGATGGACCAAACGCGAATGGTTACACATCTGGACATTGGGTTTGGGGCACAACACTTTACGGTGTTGTTCTCTTCACTGTTCTTGGTAAGGCAGCGTTAGCTACAAACATCTGGACAAAGTACACATACATTGCCATCCCAGGATCTTTCATTCTCTGGCTTGTGTTCCTGCCTATCTATTCTACTGTAGCGCCAGCAATTGGGTTCTCAAAAGAATATTATGGAATTATTCCTCACCTGTATGGAAATCTCAAGTTTTGGTTGGCACTGATACTTTTCCCTTTGACTGCATTACTTCGTGATCTAATTTGGAAATATTATACGAGAATGTATGCACCAGAGCAATATCACCATGTTCAGGAAATCCAAAAATACAATGTGGCTGATTACCGACCTCGTATGGAACAATTCCAAAAAGCAATCCGCAAAATCAGACAAATGCAGCGGATGCGCAAGCAACGTGGTTACGCCTTTTCCCAAGCAGATGAGGGTCAAGATCGTGTTGTTAGAGCATATGATACTACTAGAGACAGAGGTGCATATGGAGAAATGCGCTAGAACTCTGTATGTAACAACTGATTATGATTTCATTTTAACGAATTGATTTAAAGCATAATGAAGCATTCGTTCCCCCAAATCCAAGGCTGTTAGACAAAGCGACATTCACCTTTTTTTCCTGCGGGTTATTTGGAACATAGTTACACTGCAAGTGTTCAGGCAAGTCAGTCTTATTGAGGTTCAGAGTGGGCGGCATTACATTCTGTACAAGTTAGTAAACTTTAAGGAACTTTTTCGCATATCATCACATACATTATAAATGGAGAGAACTGTGAACACAGCTTCAACGGCGCCGGCAGCACCAAGTAAATGACCAGTGGCACCTTTTGTACTGGAAACGGCAAGCGAAGAAGGAAGCCGACCAACACCTGCTAACAGTCTGCAAATGGCACTGTTTTCAGCAGCATCACCAAGTTTTGTCGAAGTTGCGTGCGCGTTTATATAATCCAAGTTCTGCACAGATTGACCGCCTCGATCCATCGCGCGTTTCATTGCCAGGTATGCGGCATCACCGTTCGGGTTAGGAGCTGTAATATGGTAGGTGTCTGAAGACAAACCATATCCGACGAGCTCTGCATAGATTCTGGCGCCGCGTTTCTTCGCATGCTCAAGTTCTTCCAATACAACAGCGCCTGCTCCCTCGGCCATAACGAATCCACAGCGTTTCTCGTCAAAAGGACGTGATGATTCTGCTGGCCTATCATTAAACGCAGTGGCCAGACTCTTTGCTTTGGCAAATCCTGCCATGGAAAGTGGATGAACACTGGCCTCTGAACCTCCAGCAACAGCTACATTTGCATGGCCTAATTGTATGAATTGAAAAGCATCACCAATCGAGTGTGTTCCCGTAGCACAAGCCGTACTTGCTGTGTGATTGAAAGCTGTGAATCCATGCATTCTGGAGATATAACCCGCTGTCATGTTTAAAAGTGTCTTTGTAATGAGCTTTGGAGAAACCCTTCGAGCACCCTTTGTCATCATAATTTGCATCTGTTCCACGAGTTCGTCTACATTTCCAATACCGGCTCCGAAACATACACCCTATTGGTGAACATTTGTTAGCGATGAATTTCTAGGCAACAGGCAATATCTTTCCTTACATACCGTTTCATTCTTAGCATCGTCCGAAAGATGCCCGTCCCATCCAGCATCGCATAGGGCTTCTTCGGCCGCTTCAATCCCCATATGCGTGAAAATAGACATATCACGAGCAATCACAGAGTCAATTCTTCCGTACGTATTCCATTCACCGTCCTTTTCTCCCCGAGGAACAATGCCTGCAACTTTGCTTGGAACATCTTGGTACCGTTTGTCGGACGCTAACGAAATGATGCCTGATTTCCCCTCCAGCAATCGTGTCCAATTCACTGTTTTTCCATATCCTAAAGGCGTCAATAAGCCCACTCCAGTAATGGCAACACGTCTCATGTTCTGCTCTATATGAAGTCTCCTTGTAACCACAGGTTCGTACTGACAATGCTTAAAGACGTTATGTTAAACGGGCCGAGTGTCGTCTAAAGAATGAAACTTTTAATGCACTATCGTTAGGTGGTTTTTCTTCGTTTGGAAAATTTCTTTCTAATTCAGACGCTAATTCAATTAATAAGATGAACAATTTTTGAGTAAAAGCTTCTCAATCTGTATTCCGAACAACGCATGTGCAATTTTCTAAGCACCGTTGATACGATTTCACTTTTTAACGATGAGTAACGGTAGAATTTGTCTGTTCGTAGAGTTTGCAACAGATGTTGATTTAGCCTCGTAGACTTCCTGTAACAATTGCTGAAACAACCCTGTCTTATTTAAGGGAGGGAACTAATAACAAATAAGTGTTTCCGTTAATGAAATAAAGTACCACAGTTATAAACGAAAGCGGCTCTTTAATTTGCCTTCCACGCACCTCATCCTGATACGAGGGAAACAGAGAATATGCGTCTTTCCGGTAATGTAAGTACATTTTATCGACTAATTCTATTCATTAACCTGTTTTAAAGGAGAAACTGGCCGAAAAGGTCGCTTTAAGTGAACCGTTTTTGGAAGATAATTCCAATGCCGGAATGAGTCCATCGGTAAAGCCAGAAGCGCTTGAATTGCAATCATCAGTCGTGTTAGAGGATACACCTTTGTCCCATTCTATGTCGTTCTCTCGGAAGGTGCTTCCTCACATCTTGCACTTTCTGTTTTCCACTTATGTGTAAGTTAACATAAATTTACTACTGTGTAAACACGTCTCTAATACTCAATGTCTATCTAGTGGCTTTAACTGTACTGATTTTCAAAAAGCTAAAGATACTGCGTTCTCATATTCCGCTTCCGAAGTTGTTTTCCATTTTGGAAACAGTACTTTTCTACTCGGAATAGCCATTGACGCCCTTGTTGCTGCAGTAAGCTAGTCTAAAGCTCGATTCAAAAGCGCTAACACTGTGATATAGGCAGCATTTGAATGCATGGGTTTCCGTCGGTCTTCTTTTGTGAGTGCTCTGTGTTTGATCGTGTTTAATCTACTCCAATTCTTTTTCCATCGCTTCGTTGTATTCGCGGTTATTTTCCAATTACTTAGCGGAAGTATGTTTGAAGAACTTGAAGAGAGCTGCTCTGTGAGACTGTTTATTCCTTTCTGAACGTGCATTCTACTTGTGGCTCTCTATTCGTCTTCATCCCCAGGCTAACCTGTTTTTTTAGTCTTCTCCGGACAACTCTTGTTTAACTGTGCTGCTTCGACGTTTGAGCTTCATGCCACTGAGTTGAGTATCGGAGGAACCGTGTTCTGGCTCGGAGGTTTTGTTGCTGGATTCGGAGGTGGTTCTCTCTTTGGAAGCGCTATTGGCGGAAATAGTCGTCCTTTGAACTGGATCTATCTTCTTAAACTTGTTTGGATGTTACTTGTTGCCGTTTTGCTTCCCATGAGTTACGAAACCAGCAGCTCGTTCACGAGATTCTCCGTCGCTTCTTCAGCCAATATTAACAAACTTATTCAACGGGCTCGTCATAATCTGACCCAAGCTAAGTGTATGCTAAACTGATCGGGAATTCTACTATTTTTTGCTAACATACTTGCCGCATAGTTTTCTTTACCAACTGCAGAGATTTTGAGATTCTTACCATTGGTTATGTGCTCTTCTTTCCACTTTTGTGTCTTATGCAAATCGGCATCCAAACAGCTATGCTTCGTCTCTACAACAAATCTCGCATTTCTCCAATGGCAGCTTGCTGCTTCCTTGCAATAGGCGCATTATTCGCTTGGGCACTGTTTTTGCTTGACAGTGTGCAGGGACGCATGTTTCACAATCGTCTCGGTTCACTGAGAAACCATCTTCTTCCCATTGGAACTACTATTTATTTCTTTAGTATGTTGCATACACAAATAGTCACACACACACACATTCCTTTTTTTCATTGATACTAACCGACAGGTATGCTTTGGTATGGATTTACCAATACCAACTTGGCTATTACATCCATTCCTCCCGTGCCCAGCATGTTTGTTGGCTTGGGTGTTATCTTTATTTGGTCAGACAAGCTTCAATACCTCAACGAAAATTATGGTTCCGCTTGCTACAGTGCATTTGGTTTCCTGCAAGCATTCCAGTTTTTTGTTGGGTTCCTCATCACATTTATTGCACCTGTTGGTATGTTCAACAGTGAAATATTCGCCGGTTTATATATCGCTGTACTAACTTCATCACTAGCCGTTGACCTTATTGGTTGTCCTGTTATTGGAATGGTGTCCTGGTTGTTGTCTATTCCTGTAGGCGTTTCCTCCCTGGCGCTTCAACGTTTCCGTTATTTGGGAGCTTAAGCTTCGAGCATGTCATTACGCGCTAATCCATCCCTTCGTTTACTGCGCGTACGTCTTCTCTTTGCTAACTTGTCCTTTCTTCGTGCATTGACTTTCCCATTCCTCGCCCCTCATATCTTCGTTAACCATTCGTTAAATCTATGTTTGGACAAAAATAAAAATACATTACTCCTATCTTGCATCTAAGTCTTCTATACCGTAGTATTCCGTCAACAAGTCGGCTTCGGCTTTTCACATTGGACCTTGACTCCTCTCTAAAACGACGAGCAATTTTCGCCCAATATTTAAAAAGAGGGATTCATAAGTCGAAGAAGCATTTGTATTTGTTTAATTACTGTAAACAGTTTTGTCACAACGTTCATTACTGCGTGGAGTTTAGTCTACCCTTTTCTTCTCGCCGCTTGGAACTCACGAAAAATGACTGGAGTCTGGAAATGTGTAGGAATATTCGCAGCTGGCATCTTTTCAGGTGCTGCTTTGTTGAAAACGTTGGAAAGAGAACCCGGGAATGTTCCAGGAAGATTTGGTTTAACTCGTAGGGATGCCGAGAAACCCTTCGATTTTGACGTCGAAAAGTTTCTCGAGATGGGTGACCCTGGACCGATTCACGACAAACTTGTTCGTCATGGTTATATGTCTGTTTATGACAGAAGAACGCGTACCCCAGCTTATGTAAGAAACAGTGACTAAGTTGTGTTGAATTGATTTTCAATCAGTTACACGAAGTGAACGATGCGACATGCGGGTCACTCATAGACCTACTCATCAAAATCATTACATTACTAACCAAATACTAGACTGCTGAAACCATAACGAAAGAGTCTCTGGCTCAGCGTGATGGAAACAGAAAGTACAGTCGGTTCAAGGAAGATGAAGAGGTTCCCCAAATGTACAGAGCAAAACTTTCGGACTACTACAGAAGTGGTTACGATCGTGGCCATCAAGTGCCTGCTGCCGACTGTAAAACGAGTCAGACCGCTATGGATGAGACTTTTCTTTTGACAAACATGTGTCCTCAAGTCGGCGATGGATTCAATAGAAATTGTACGTTTCGCACCAACCTACTAAGCACACTAGATCAAACCTCGTACTAACGCTTTTGTTCACTACAGACTGGGCCTATTTTGAAGATTGGTGCCGTAAATTGACAAACAAATTTGACGAGGTGACTATCATTACCGGTCCCTTGTTCCTTCCAAAGAAAAACGGTGACGGCAAATGGGTCGTCTCCTACGAAATGGTCGGCAACCCTCCTAGTGTTGCCGTCCCTACTCACTTCTACAAGGTGGTCATTGGAACATCCAAATACTCTCGCACTGACAATGCAGCTGTCGGTGCGTTTGTGCTTCCCAACGCTGTTATTGATGACAATACGGCTCTCAGCACCTTTAAGGTGCCTGTAGAAGTGATTGAACGTTCAAGTGGCTTGGAGTTGCTTCATGGCTTGAACGCATCCACGAAGAAGGACATTTGCTCCCAGGTGAATTGCAGTCTGGATGTTGCCGCTTTCAAAGAGCATATTGACGCTAAGAAGAGAGCTGCCGCTACTGCTGCTGCTGATGCCAAGAAGTAGGTCGGAAGGTTTTGTTTAAATACAGAGAGAAAGTGCTATTTTCTCAGAACCGAGTTAGGGGAATTCACGTCTTTTTAATAAAACTTTCCCCCGCTTGCTACTTTACTTGCTCAATTAATACCATTATAACGCATCCATTCAATGTCAACGAATTTCATTCATATTTTTTCATATCAACGCAAGGCTTCTTGCTCACGCTTCATACGGGCAATGTAGGTTTTAGACACAACGTTCCAAGCGTCCATGTATCTCTCCATGCATTTAGAAACACAAGCCTAAAGAAGCCGCTTGTTAGCATCGGCTCTATGTGGATGATAAGCATTTTCGTTTACATACCTTGTCGGATTTATCAAAGGTAGAACCGGGCTTGGGAATACACAAGTCAAAGCAGTTGTCGTTAATTTTCTGAGTACATTAGTATGAGATGACAGAAGGCAGCTTTGAGTTAAGAGAGACTTAAAGTCTGTTTTCTCAAATCTCTACAGAACGAGCCCTACAACTCGTCCGTTGACTATTTTACGGTACTCACATTAATAAGTTCTCCAGCTTGTGCAACAGCAAGTTCTTGCTTTACTTGTTTCATAAAAAAAGCCTTCTTATCTTCGCTAGAAGCAGCAGCGTCCTTGTTTTTACTACCGAAAAGAGAACTCATGTTTTCTAGGATTTTTTCTTTCTAATTTGCTCTAATTACCAAGACAGTAGAGGGCAAGTGTACGGCAAATGTTAATTTCCGTTTATAGCACTTTTTTTGATTATGGTGTGGGAGTGTAGACTGTTTGCTGTGAAGCTGTTATAGGGTGGTATGTACGCAGAGTAGTAAACCAAAGGTCAGAAATTAAGAGTTGCTCTGTGTTGTAGATGCACTTTGAAATGGTTATGAGAATGCTGAAAAAGATGATTGAGTTGTCATTAGATATTCTCGTTGTGTAGTGTAATTTGAAAGAACTCAACTTGCTCAATTGTGCACATTTCAATGGTTCCATTGTATAAACAGATCCCCAACAAGGCTTTCATGAAACACAAGCAGTGCCAACGTAATAAATAGGCAAAAAAGAATGTCGGGAAGATGAGGAAGGTGTGGGAATCAAAAGAGTGAGTGCAGCGATTTCAGTTGGAAAGAAAGAATAAATATTACCTCCTTTCGAACGAAACCGCTTAGTCCAAATCGGTAAAGTAGAGCCAGATAAGACTGATACAAGACCAGAATATACCCCAGGCAGCATAGGCACTGAGGAGCATCAATGGAAGAAACTCCAATCTGTCTCCGAAAACGATTCTATGAACAATTCCATTGTAAATGAGAAGGGGAATAAAACCCGCCATGTAGGAAAGATTAACGCGCGTCAAAAGAAATTGTCTCTTCAATGGAACTGGGGCGGCACGGTTAAACTTGAGAAGAATAGCAACCCAAAGTCCAGTGTACAGATACTTTATGGGGGCTTCTGCTGGCGTAAAGAGCAGTGGGAACAGCGAGATGCATCCTGCGACTGCCAATGGTCTGAACGCCTCCAAGTATCGACGATCTTTTAAGGACAAGAGACCGAATGGCATAATGACAATCAAGATTGCCTTCTCATGAACGTGCCATCCAAACAAATAGCTCAACCAGCCGCACAGAGTCACTGCACCGACGAAATTACGCCAAGTGGGACGGAAGAAAAGTTTGATGAGGACAAGCGACTGGAAGAAAAGGGTTATAAGGAATGTCAAACGAGGAGTGATGTTCGGCAACACAGTGAACACAGTGTCACGCACTAAACCCCGCGTAGGGCCATTAAGAGCAGAGTTAACTGCATCTGGGAGTGAATAACCAAACCGAGGAAGGAAGAATGTCGCAACCCGGTCTGCAAATGCATACATAGCCCAAAAGTTAGGAGCCCAATAAGCATGACACAGACCTCTCGAGAACGGAAACAAGCGCTGGAACACCTGGGGCATTTGACCCATGTAGATCCAAGGACCAAATGCTAGTAAAAATATTCCAATAACTGTAGCGCCCAATTTGATCGAGTTTTTGAACTGGATGCGATAACCAGAAGGTGACAGGCAGTACGTTCTAAGCAAAAATACAAAGTATGCAGGTGCAACATACAGATAAATGTGCTTGAAACACAATAACGCGGCAAAGAGGGCAGCAGACTTTAGAAGTGTTTCACGTTTTTGAGCCAATACAAGTGACCACATGAGAATACCAAACAAAAAGCCATTGTATTGAAAATGTATGTGATCAATAATGAGTAGGGCTGGCGAGAGGAAGATGTCAATGGCAGCTAAAATCGCATTTGGTTGATCTCGAGCAGGCATGGAGCGGACATACGCACAGAGGGCATACAAAAGCACTAATTCCAGTACGATAACACTGCTGCGTTGGAAAACAATTGTGGAGGTTGAAACGTAGTTCAAGTTATATGGATCCAGCATTGCTTTATCAAATCCAAGCAGTCTTGCAATCCACGAAAGGGTAAATTCCAACCAAGCAAAGAAAGGAGGATAATCTAGCGTCCACTCCGATATATGAGAAGTGTACCATTCTTTTAAAGGCAAACTGTGGGTTATAGCAAGCCAGTTTCTGTGTACTTCAAAATCCGTTGACCGATAGCAAGGAAATAGCAGGATTTTTACAAAAGCGCTGGCAATTGCTGTATTATACAGCATCGACAACGTCGGCATTGTTTATAAAACGTACCAACTCTTCAATTTCCTGCAAACTACAGTTGAGTACCGACACCGGAGGAAGGCAGGAGGATGAGCATAGAAGGTCGTATGAAAAATGTGTTTCCAGCGTTTTCTGCTGTATGACAAAATACAGGTTCTTATCAATGAATTCAGCTGTCGTAACTTGAGCATGGAATACTCGGTTTCGATTTGTTTTGTAGTTACGATGAATTAGAAATATTTATTGAAACAGGCGTGGAACAGAAAATGAACAATTAAAAACATTTACAGGATGCAAAGTGAAACAAATACAAGAAGAGTTTAAAGCGGCAGCATACGAAAAATAGAGAAATTTTTTAAGCATTATAATATTCATTGGTAAAGTCATTGACGGAGGGGAATATTGAAAGGTATGTGCCTGAGACTGCTTATAAGAGATATAATGGAGTAGTTTTACACACTAATTGCACTTAGCTCATAAAGAATGTGTTTTTTTTTTTAACTTCAGTTCTTTGAGACATGAAATGTCTAAAGAAATTCAAGACCGGCTCCAAGTTGAAAACCCCTTCGGCCAAGATCCTTAACTGTAGTCATTAACGGAAGAGTGAAATTCAACTCAAAACGAGCGACGCCCGTAGCATAAATGAGACCAATTCCAGATGTGACGCATGGTTTTTGAATAATGTCTCGGAATGTCCGTAATGGTTGACGCTGGTCTAACATGCGTAACCCACCAGCATTTATAAAGAATTGCATCCGAAATGGTTTAGAAGGATTGACTCCAGGAACAGGGGATGTCAAGCTGGCCGAAGCTGCTAAGTATGCTGTTCCTCCGAGACAATCTTTTCCATCTTTAGGACCTATACGGCCCTCTGTAAATCCACGAAGGCTAGTAGGACCACCAAGGTAGAAGCGATCGCAAATGCCAATAGTCTCATTATCAAGATCGTGAATTGCACCGGCTCGTAAACCAACGGTTGCACATGAACTGTGAGAAACATTTAAGGGTATCGACAACTGGCTCCATATCTCATTCTTCACAAACTTGGCGTCACCAATGATAGGGCCCATACCGGCAAGTTCTAGCATGTACTTCAACAGACCGCCTTTTGTTGGCAAGGCGGGATTATCACGTTTGTCGAGTGTGTAGGAGTATGAAAATGCTTGTTTTAAGGAATCACCAGCAGCCAGTCGTATGGAAGGAGAGGCAGTATCGACAAGGTTTGTTACTTGGCGCCATGTGAGGGACTGTTTCAACTCGTGAAAGCCATTCCATGCATCCTTGTGTGTTATTGAAGCATTAACGTCTCTTGTCAAGATATCATGACTTGCGATAAGCTTGTTGTCACGAAGAACATTTATAGCATTTACACGAAAGTGGGTGTATGGATCAGCATTAATGGGTGTATCAAATGTTAAAGAAGCAAGCATACGATTTCGAGTACCATAAGAAAGATTGCCCTCAATAAATTCAGCACCGCCGAATGCGTTTCTCGCCAAGATATTGGCATACACATTTCCCTCTACATTACCAATATCAGTGCCAGTCTTCGCCAGCAATCTTGATTTTTCTTTTACAAGGATTGTAATGTCGATATCGTTTTCCCCAGCAATGGGGCCCGAGGCTCTGTCAATTAATAATTTAGCATCCTCATATATCCCAAATTCCATTAAACGTTCTGCAATCTGTTGAGCAGTTTCTAAGCTTTCTCCAAGAGGGATGCTCTTAATATTTCCCTTTTGTGCAAGTTTGTATGAGACAGCTTTCTCAAGAAAGCTTGGACGAGTTCTCGTAGCACCAACGACACGAATAGACGCAATTCCGAGTGGGAGTGTGCTGTTGTCATTTAGCTGTGATAAATAACATGTTAATAAATGTAAAATTCTTTAAATCAAATATCTTTTTTAGTAGCAGAAGGTCGTGCTAGACCTGTTGTTTTTGAACATTCATAGATATTACATACAATTTGAGCTAAATCTTCCATGGATAGTTTCAATTGTTCCGTATCTATTCCAGCAGGAGTGTTTTCCATCGTATCAGTTGGAGAAACACTCATTTTTTGTGAATTTATTGCTGCTTGTTCTGACTTGGTGAAGGAACATACTTCTTCGTACTTGCCAGGACTAAGACAAATTGGAGCATTTGGTCCTCATTTTGGTACGAAAGAATTGCAGGATCTGTCTCAATGACTTGTTTAAGCACATAGTTTATTAGCAGACTACGAGTTGTGTGAATTTGTATATAACGTTTGGTTTTCATTTTCAAAATTTAATTTATACAAGAAATAAGAGCCATCAAAATGAACGAGACTAAAGTGGAAGAACTAAAGAACCAGATAAAAATTATTGATGACATTTATACGAATGTAAGACTTGCATCCTCGTGCTACATAGTCACTAACAGGTTTCTTACTCTCAGCTCGATGATCTCCGAGTTCTATCTGCTTCGTTTATGAAATGTCTTCATCCAGAAAAGGGAGGAACAAGTACGTTTTAAATTGTTTATATTGTCTCGGTTCGAACTGTCACTGACAGTTTTTTAGGTCGTTTATTCGCAAAATATGCACAAGGAGCTCAGAAGAAGGCCGAAGAACTGACTCAAAGCATTAAAGACAATGCAGGTAAATATACTTGCTTGATTTATGTTGCTTTATCACTAACAATAGATCAGCTTTTTTCGAACGGGCTCGTCAATCGCCAAAGTTCAACTCATTTGACGGTGCAAACATGCTCTCTTCTCATAGAAAAAGATCGGAATTAATCCCAGAAAGTGCACAGAAACACACGGATGGCTCTAGTGTAGCAACTATCATTCCTCCATTTTCCTTAAATTTGGGATTAGACTCGATGAAACAATGGATGAACAAGATAGCTCAAGAACATCCAGAATCCATTACTTCTGTGGATTGGCCGAAAAGCAACATTGCTCGGGTCCAACTAAAAAATCATATAGAATTCCAGCTTTACGTTGAAATGGAAAAGTCCTGTGTCGTTGCCAGCTGTGTGTCTTCACAAACACAGCTTCTCTCTTGCTCACTTACAAAAGCATTGAAGGACTTCACGAAGGTGGATGACATTATGGTATGTATTAAACAAAGTACTGTGATCTTAAACTGACCTTTTTTTTAGCTCGTATTGCTCTCATACAATCAGCTCTACTCAACAACTTGTGACAAATGTCATAAGCTACTTTCCGCTCATCGGTTACAGTTTCCAATTAGAAAAGAAATCAAGGATGGCACTGTACATTCTTATCACTCAGGATGTATGTAATTTAATGATATTGATTCGTAACTACAAAGACTTAGTAGGCCAAGTTAGTAATTCAATGCTGCTATTTCCTTTCTACTGTCGCTTTTCTTTCTTTTTTTTTTTTTAAATAAATTCTTCACGACATCAAATTCACAACTAAGCTAATCATTTGTTAACCTTTCTTTCAGCAATGACATACATATAAACCTTTACTTTACACTCAATTTCACAAAATGACCTTCACAATTTCTTTTAAATAAAATACTTAACTCTACCGCACAAAAAGCTCTTTCCTTTCAACTTGTAACTACTGCTGAAATTCTTGGAACGGCAAGAAAGTAGAATGCTAATATCGAGAGCATTATTTCTTTACCGCGTACTTCCTAGAGTGAGCTGTTCTTTTATTACTTACAAACAGTTTCACCATTCTGCAGTTCAGTATAAGAAGCGATCGGGAAGAAAATCAAAATTTCCAAAGAATGGAACGTCTTCCCATTCCAAAAAACGAAAAGAGATTACTGAAATTACTTCAGAGCCTCAATTAGAACTTCTACAAGGAAAAAAATTCAAACAATATGGGTTTAACTCAGCTACCGAACTTGTAAAACAGGCTTCTAAGATATTCCACTCCTTTTTTGGAGAAAACGGAACTTGGTTGACGTCTCCGGTTTCAGATAAAGTAAATCTAGTACGTTTTTGTTCGTTCGTAAACGGATATGGTTTTTTCAACTTTGCTGAATTGACTTTTGATCCAAGCTTTACACAGGCGAAAGAACGGATTTTTGTGAAGTTCTTTAAGGATGTCAAAAGTTATAAGCTTTTGAACCAGCTACACAGCGGATTCTTAGAGCCTTTTGACAAAGTTCAGTTCTCGGCTTCTCGAGATTATCAAAAAGAAGTGCTCTCCTACTGTGCTTCCCAGCTACACACGCTCCCAAACATAGTGTACAGGCTTGTGGATAACCTGTATACTATTGAAATATACCTTCCGGAATACAGAGTTCGTACTATTGTCAAACTTGATACAAATTTCAATGATGCGGAAAAGTACGCATTTTATTTGTTTCTAAGACATGTTCAACTATCAACAAAAGCATCCATCGACTCGAAGTCTATCTTACGAGACTTTCGAAATCTCAACATGTCAAACGCTCGCGGATTCGTAGAATTCTACGCTACTAGCTTAAAGAAGGAAAGCAAAACCGTTAGCAGTTGCTTACATTCATCTCTACACAGCGCCAGTGTTGTCATCGATGGCTTTACATTTCCCTCTGTTCACGCTAGTAATCAAGACGCGGCTAACTCAATTGCCTATCTTTATGCTTCACAAGCGCTGAAAAATAAGCATCCAGATTTATGGGAATCTTACGCTTATGATTTGAGGAAAGGAAACGGGGTTGTGCTACAAAAAATACCTCCTGGAAAACACAGAACCTTTAAACAGTTGACTGAACAAGTCTCTTCATTGGCAGAAACTTTACTTTCGAAAGATCGGGATGCGGAAAGATACCATGCTCATTTTCTTTCAAAGGTTTCTTCAACTATTAATGAAGATGAGTCCTCAGTTGCAAGTCCAATATTGTCTTCCATTTCACTGGAGGAACAGAAGAAGCTTAATGCACAACGAAAAGAAGCACTCGAAGCTTATGATCAAAATGATGATATAAAGAGTTTGCGTGACGTTCGCAAAAGCTTGCCAATTTATGGTTTTGAACAAACATTACTTCGCGCCATTGAAGTAAACCCTGCTGTTATCGTGGTCGCAGATACTGGCAGCGGAAAAACTACTCAGCTTCCCCAAATGATTCTTGATGATTATATTCGAAGGGGGGAAGCCACAAAATGTAACATTATGTGTACGCAACCTCGCCGACTTTCAGCCGTCTCTGTTGCTGAGAGGGTAGCAAATGAACGAAATGAGTCACTTCGTAAATCAGTGGGTTACTTTGTTCGGTTTGAGAATCGGACACCGACAGCACCAGGCAGTATACTCTTTTGTACGACGGGTATTGCCCTTCGAAAACTCCAAGACTCTAATAGTGTATTAAGTTCGTACTCGCACATTATTTTGGACGAAGTTCATGAACGCTCTCTGCAAACGGATCTCTTACTAGCTATCTTAAAAACATCAATTGTTCAATTGATGCACGCTGGTCTTCCTTATCCAAAACTTATTTTAATGAGTGCGACAATTGATGCAAAACCATTCCAAGAGCACTTGTCCAACCTTTTCATTGACGGAAATTGTCCATTAATCAAGGTTCCCGGGCGCGCTTTTCCTGTTGAAAAGAACTATCTTGAAGATATTCTCCCAATGTTGCAATCACAGACCGACGAGTATAAGGAAGTTATGGAAGATAAATCAACTCGCAACTTCATTAATCACGAAAGTTCGTATATGAACAATGTAATAAAACCATCGAATTACCAACGCGGAGCATCTGTCTCGAACGAGGATGCTGAAAGCAATTTAAACATACATAGCCGTGTTCACGATGGTGAAGTGACCTTTGATTTCACCGACGAAGCAAAAGACATACCTTTTCGTTTGCTTGCCTCACTGCTTGGTTATTTATGCGCGAACGGTACTTTAGAGGGCTCTATTCTCGTCTTCCTTCCAGGTTTGGCAGAAATGACAAAACTACAGAGCATTCTTGTTCAAACAAAACCTTTTGGAATTGATGTTGAGGACTCAGAGAAGTATAAAATTTATATGCTTCACTCTTCATTAAAGCGTATGAACGAAGTTTTCTGCGTGGGCGAGAAAAATGTTCGAAGAATCATATTGGCAACTAACATAGCTGAAACGGGAATCACTATTCCAGATGTTGCTTATGTCGTTGACAGTTGTTTGCATCGTGAAAAAATGTATTGTCCTCATCGACGAGTATCTGCCCTGTTATGCCATAGCATCAGCAAGGCGAACATGCGCCAACGATGTGGAAGAGCCGGAAGAGTACAACCCGGCGAATATTATGCTCTTATAAGTGAAGCTCATGCGGATGCGCTTCCAGAATCCACAGTGCCAGAAATCCATCGTTCGGATCTTCAAGATGTTTGTCTGCAAGTGCTTTCAAGTACAAATTTTCCGTTGCAACAGCTTCTTAAGGAAACTCTGGAACCTCCATCTACTGCGGCTGTTAACGAAGCACTAGCTTTGCTCAAACGAACGGGAGCATTAACGAATTCTGTTGAACTGACACCACTTGGCAAACTTCTTGCTCACTTACCAATGGAACCGTCAATGGGAAAAATGATTATTTGTGCTGCGGTTTTCAAGTGTTTAGACCCTCTCTTATATCTGACAGCTGCTATGACTACTGGTGATGTATTCTTCACACCCATACGAGATCGTGAAACAGCACAAGCAAGAAGACGGCAATTCGATCGTGTATACCTCAGCGATCATCTAACAACTATTAACGCCATTGCTAAATATCGAAGTATTTTAATTACTGAGGGACGCAATAAAGCTTTTGACTTTGCACATGACAACTTCTTGAATGTGACGAAACTCAACAGTGCTTTACACATTGCTGAACAAATTCATCAAATTCTTGTCAAACTTAAACTTGTTCCGTACTCCTCAAATGATAGATCGAGCACTTTTATCGGTCACCCTTCAGCGAATGAGCATGCAGATTCACAAGAATTGATTCTCGCCCTTCTGAACATTGGGCTTCTCCCGAATTTGGCTATTACTCGGTACGGAAGATTTTTGCGAACTCCCACTGAACAAACGGCGATGGTTCATCGGAGCTCAATTGCTTTTGTTAAATCCAGTCACGGCGTTTATGCAAAACCCGACGAACCCATCACTCAGGGAAAAACATATTTGTATACAACCAAGTCAAGTAATTCCGATCAAGGTGTTGTATTCCTTCACAGCATTAGTCCAACCAGTCCTTTGATGCTTCTTCTTTTCGAAACCTTTCCTATACACTCTTTTGGTCCATGTATTACCTTCGACAATTGGTACACTGTATACTTCAATGAGGAAATCTTACTCAAGTGTTTGATGATCTCAAGCTTCATAAAAAAGGTATGTAATTTTGCTCTACAGACGTTTCTTTACTAACAAATACTTTTATAGTTTTTTATACGACTGTTCGAAAAGGTTAACTTGACGCTTTCCACTGGTGCTTCTCCAAGAAGGATGCTAATTTCTGATAATCATTGCAGCAATATTGCTGCCGGACTAAAGAATGTCGCACAGTCCGAGTACTCCCGCTATCGACTGTGGAAATAACTGACAAAAATACCACCTTGCTTATTGCAAGCTGTACGCCTGGTGTTCCTCAACACTTAAGAGTTATGTATGTAATGTAAATTAATGATAGTTTTATGAGCCACTCCATGTCTTTGATAACATTCAATAAAATACACAAGTTCAACTCAGACTTTTATGTGAATCCCCAGCATCATTGTATCTATTAAAAAACTTTTTCTCCATTTAAACTGTCTAAAACGAATGAATGCTTCACGGATCGCTTCATTACTACACATTTGCTAACAAAAAAACTCAATCCATGAACCCAGTGCAAGTGTGATAGAAAAAACCTCGTAACAAAACTAAGCGCTAGCTTTAGAGCTGGAGTTTGGATCCCTTTGAGAAGAGTTACCCTCGCTGTCATGATTACCGGCGTCATGATCTTGCTCCTCTAACAGCTCAAAAGAATTTGCGGTTGTTACCGGGGCCGAAGCTGCTGGAGCACGAGAGGTAGCTTCCCTCCGAAGGGAACTGCTTTGATTAGAAGACGACCGGTTGCCGCTTCCTCCACGCATCATTGAACTGAAGCTAGTGGGTCCATGTGAGCCGTGAGAGCCAGACTTAAGTCCTCTAATTCCTTGTCCCAGTCTAGCGTATCCATCCTTATTATTTGACCAGTCATTGTTTCCATAGTTGTTACCACGACGAGAGTGTGAATCGTTGCGGTTCATGTCACGACCATGACGGCTGTTAGCACGTTGGCTCTCTTGCAAAGCTCTCTTTCTTTCAGCTTCTTCATGAATTTCAGCAATAGTCTTAGGTCCCTTTTCAATTTCGTTCTTGATTCTCCATCCAGCCTTACGGGAATCGATAACATCCAAAATAATGAACTTAATACGAGAAGGAAGGTTCTCAACCTTAGTGATCATTTCCATTCTCTGAACATAAACATCCATAGCAGCGCGTCCCTTTTCGGTAGCATCAATGTTGGCACCGACAGTCATAAGAAGCTTGCAAAGACTTTCAACTTCTTCCTCTTCGGGATCAGTAACGTTACCAAGAAGTCTCTTGATACACTCGTGCATAATTTTCTCAGAAAGCATGCTAAGCTTGAACAGTTCACCAATGAAACGGACCAGACCCAAACCACGACGCTTAATAGCAGCGGCAACGTAATACTCATCAGACATAAGCTCAGCTTCGGCGACACCTCCACTGGGCAAGCTAGCCTTCCAACCGCGCTCGAAGTCCTCTTGACAACGACTGAGAAGGTATTTTCTGAACAAAAGTCCTCCACGAACAGGTTGGCTATTCTTGTCAAGAACGTTCTCATCAACAATGCCTTCATCCATGTTGTCCATCATCTTACGAGCCAAACGGGCATACATGTTAGAAAAGTTAGGCTCATCAGTAGCCTTTTCGAAAGTGAGTTGAATAACAGTCTTAAGGGTTTTACCATCCTTCTCCATACGAGATTGCATAGCAAACTCCAGGATTTGATCGGAAATCTTATCGAATTTTTCGAGGGTCATCTTGTTAAGGGCAGCCTTGACCTTACGTTGAATAACATCAAGAGGAATGAGCTCATTTTCAGTGGCTCTCTCCAAAACAGCCTTCTCAGCTTCTCTCTTAGGTTGCCAACGGTTGGCAGAAAGCTTAAGAGGAGCGACTTGTTCCAGGGGAATAGTCATCTCGGGTTCCTTACGGTCACCACGACGGGATCCACGTTGAGAACCACGGCGAGATCCATTCATACCTCCATGACCGTGTCCCATTCTGGAAGCACTCTTATAGTTGCTACCAGAACCGAAAGACATGTTCGAAGAACCGAAACCACGCTCGAGGGCAAGACGAGACATCGACTTGTGTTCCATATTAAAGCCAGCGTTACCGCCGTGAGAATGTGTGGAACCAGAACGAGAACCTTGACGACTAGAACCGAAACCGCGAGAACCCTTTTCAGTAAAAGCGTTTCCAATAGTTTCCTTCATCTTTTCGGTCCAATCAAGAGTAGGCTTGTCAGTGTAGTAATTCTGGAATTGCAAAAGGAAGGGAATGTCGTAGATGTATTTGCCGGGAATCTGTCCGATGGAAGAACTGGGAGGCTTAATGTTGGCGGGGTAAGAAATTTGAGTGAAGTCCTCAATATACTTCGCACTGGCAAGACATTTGATGGCAGCTTCAGATTGAGGACTGGAAGGGCGGGCAGTAGGGTCGAAACGGGAAGGAGACGAAGCGAGCAAGGTCTCACGAAGTCTCTTGCCTTCAGACAAAGGCGTTGTGCGAGGAGACTCCACAGGAGCACTGCTGCGGTCAGAATCTGTTTTAGGACTCTTGGTGACAGCAGCTTCGGCAGCACTAGCAGCTGTAGCAGCGGCAGTTTCAGACTTGGCCTTCTCCTCAGCTTCACGCTTAGCCTTCTCCTCGGCTTCGCGCTTGGCCTTCTCTTCAGCTTCAAGCTTGGCCTTCTCCTCGGCTTCAAGCTTAGCCTTTTCCTCAGCTTCACGTTTGGCCTTCTCCTCGGCTTCACGCTTGGCTTTCTCTTCAGCTTCACGCTTGGCTTGTTCTTCGGCCTCGCGCTTAGCCTTTTCTTCAGCTTCGCGCTTGGCTTGCTCCTCGGCTTCACGCTTAGCCTTCTCCTCAGCTTCACGTTTGGCCTTCTCCTCAGCTTCACGCTTGGCTTGTTCTTCGGCCTCACGCTTGGCCTTCTCCTCGGCCTCGCGCTTAGCTTGTTCTTCAGCCTCACGTCTTGCCTTCTCCTCAGCTTCGCGCTTGGCCTTCTCCTCAGCTTCACGCTTGGCTTGTTCCTCAGCTTCACGCTTGGCCTTCTCCTCGGCCTCACGCTTGGCTTTTTCCTCGGCAAGACGCTTAGCTTCGGCCTCCTTTTCTTGGATGCGTTGCTGAACAGCGATCTTAATGGCGTTCTTGCGTTGAGAAGCTTCTTCCTCGGTTAGTTGATGGCGAACAGGAGCAGCCTCGGGCTTTGCGTTCTGCTGATCGGCAGGCTTGTTCGACTTAACTTTTTGAGGGACAACAACTTCCGTATGAGTAACGGGGTTCACGATCTTGAGAGCGCTGCTCTTTTTCTGTTGCTTCACAATTGGAACAGAAGCAGAATGTGGGCTAGAGTTCATAGAGCCATTATTGCTGTTGTGCATGGGGTCAGAGACCTGCGAAGGAGTTCTTGTCATGGCTTGATAGGGCTGAGCGTAGGGGTTTTGAGGGAAAACTGGGTAGTACTGTCCGACATATCCGGGCTGAATCATGGGACTATACTGGACCATGTTGGGATCAATAATGTAGGGAGGTTGACCGTAGAGCTGGCCATACGAAGATTGTAAAGAGACAGGAATTTGCATAGAAGCACCGGCGGCAACACCCTGAGGAGCATTACGATGGTTCATAGAAGCGCGCGTATTAGATCCAAAAGAGGGATATGTCATCTGAGCATTACTGGAGCCACGACGATTCCGGTATTGGCCGCCATTGTTCTTGTGAGGGCCAGAGCCGTTGTTATAACCTCCGTATCCGTGAGGGTGGTAATTTGAGTGCTTGTTGTATGAGTTGTTGTTGTTGTTGTTGTAGTTACTGTTGCCATTGTTGCCGTTGTTGTTATAGCGGTCAAAGTGACGCCTGTCCGAGAATTGCCGAGGCTTGTCATAAGAGTTATGAGTGTTTTCGGCAGGAGCATTAGGTTTAGCAGCAGAAGCTGCAGGTGAGTCGGCCGTGGGAGCAGGTGCAGCTGCAGGTGCAGCTGCGGGCTCGACTGGAGCCCCGGCTTCCGTCTTAGGCTCGGGCTTTTCTTCTGGCTTGTCTTCTTGCTTATCTTTGGGGGCAGCAGGTGCAGGGGCAGGGGCAGGAGCAGCATTCGCACTCTTTGAAGCCATATTGGTGGGAACTGCCACGGGAATAGTGGCATTCTTTGTGATAGAACCGAACTGAATGGGAACGCTCGATACCGCAGGCTTTCTAGGAGCAGTCGTTTTGTGTGTGGGACCGGTCTGATGACTGCTCTTCTTCTCCGAAGCAGCGGGAGCTCCCTGTTGCTGTGATTGTCTTTCGGCCGTGTCATTCTTGCTGACAGGCGCCTTCTCTGTGTTTTTCTCGGCCTTTTCGACCTTCTCAACCTTTTTTACAGGCTTAGCAGCAGCCGCACCGCTTTTTGCAGGTGCGTTCTGGGCATTATTTTTGTTAGCCTGACTGCTAGCTAATGCACGGGCATAGCTGAACTTCTGAGTAGATGGCTGCTGTTTCGAAGCCATATTCAGTATACAAATGAATCAAAAAAAAAGACCACCGATATTCCTAAACGTGTTAGACGTACAATACTCTCAAGATAGCGCGAGAAATTAGACTTTTCACAATTTCTCCGAGTTCTACCTTGAAAAAAGAAAACCCAATATATAGATGAAAATACAGGACAATCACAAGCTTCAAAAGTGCAGATTAGTCCGTTTGGAGGCGAAAAAGCTCCAGAAATATGATTTCAGATTTTTCAAATGGGTGGAAGGGTGGTGGTGGTGGTCAAGCTAAAACAGGTGGTAGAGCTTGGGGTAATAGCAGGTACTGGACCTGCTGTGGTGGTGCGGTAGGTGTGGAGGGCGATGTGGTGGTCTACTGGGCAGCACTGATAGGAAAGCTGCTAGTAGTAAGCGGTACGCTGCCAAGAGTATTTGGCGGACCCGACGATATAGTGAGCAGGCTAATAAATAGGTGCTCAAAAATTGTACGTAGAACTGGAACTTTTAAGGCGCTCCGAGTACGTAACGAAGGAATAAGAACAATGTTTTAAAGACCGGGCGGTTCAAAACGCTGTTATGACGAAAACAGATCTGCTAACAAAATATGAAAGCGGAAACAACAGTAACGAGAAGAAACTCGACCTGCTGTAATAAGAGAAAAGTATTAATATACAAGCGAATCAACAAAAAGTGAATGCCTGGTCCGCTCAATTGCTCGAGTTAGACCGGTATCAGGAAACTGTTTTGTCTGTGTGAAACAAAAACAGCAAACAGTAGATGCACAAAGTCTTTGGAAGTAGGCGAAACTTGGGAATTCGCTGGATTACAAAGAATTAGTGGGAAGGTGAAGTTGCGAGTAGAAGGTCTGAACTATTTATATTTATTATTTACAAGTTGAGCCGTTTGTTTACTCTCGAGAAAGTGTAAACAAACAGCTTTCTAGCAAAGTTCATTGGCTAAGAAAGGACGCATATTGAGCTGCTTGACGCGGCTATATTGAGTCATTGTTTGCTAACGTTGAAGGAGAGAACGTGCAACAGGATTCAAGAGTAAAAAACAAACTCACGTCAATTTGCTTAAAAGACAAGAGACGTCACACCGGAAAGATACTGCAGACAGAAGAAGTGACCGGGTATCCTATTGATCTGCATCATGAATGAAGAACTTGCGATGCCCTCCGAGACAGACAGTGTAAAGCTGTATGTACTTGACACTTCCAAAATGTCTTACACCAAAGTATGTTCGTGCGTTGCCTGTACATGTGTGCGCATATGTGAGCCCACTGTCTCAATCGTCTTTATGTCTTGCAATTAACTAACGCTTCTGCTCCTTACAGTCAATGCAGTGCCTCCTGTCTCCGTCCATGTTTACTCCATCTGAGCGCGCTCGAATTGGAAGATTCTATTTTGCGAAGGATGCAATGCTGGCTATTGCGTCTATTTATATACAGAAGCGTGTCGTTTCAGAAGCCATTGGCTGCCCCATAAGCGAAGTGGGCTTGAGTAAAACTGCCTCTGGTCGGCCTTTCAGTGCCAAAGCAACAAGGGCAAGCTCGTACTTTGATTACAATGTTTCACATCATGGAAGCCTCGTTGTCTGCGTTTGCGGATGGCTTAATGGATTGAGAGGCACGCGAGAGACTGGGCCAGGAATTGGCGTTGACGTGATGCTTTGTGAACCGTTGTACGATGGACCGTGGATGGAGGACTTGCGAGATGCATTCCATCCCTCTGAATGGGAAACCATCCAGACTAGTCATAACCCAACCCAAACTCTGTTTATGATTTGGACATGCAAAGAAGCTGTCCTGAAAGCTACTGGCATTGGAATTGTTGTTGATTTAACAACGGTGCTTGTGCAAATATCGCAACCCGACCAGCTGGAAGACAGTCCACACAGTCTCCAGCAGACAGTCGCTGCAAGCGTGAATTTTCAAGGTCGAGAATGGTCAGTCACCATCGTTCAACTGAAACATACCACGGCAGCCGCTAAAAAAACGTACCTCCTGGCTTACACAATTCCTTCCAACTGTAGAAGCATCAATCCGCAGGTACACTATCTACAAGAGTTTCCCAAAGACCTGTTCATTGAGCCGAAAGAGCACAGTTAGAACAACAAAAAGGCCAAAGACATACTACCTTTGTCACAGCACTCATTTGTAACAGTGCAACATTTTAGTAAAGATATTCCCGGTCAAAATCCAATAATACACTCACCATCGTGGCCATCGATGTAAATGAACACTTTTAACATGCAACATGCCCATCATCTCATCGCATTTCGATATTCCTACACGCAATCCTGTTTCTGAACCCGGCGCTTGCTGACCCAAATTAAGGTTCAGCTGCCGCTATGTTTATTTACGTACTTGACCATCCACAACCAAATTCCAATTATCTTGAAAAAGGATGTCAGAGCGATTGCGGAGCATTATTTGGTATAGCATTGACATACAGGACTACAAAAATGCTATCTTTTTTGCAGAACGGCTGTATACGATGGAAGGATCGTTAGACAATTTGTGTCTTCTCGCTCATACCCATTTACTGCAGTTAAACTACGCAATGACATTTCAGCTGCTCGAGAAGCATGCTATAAATCCCATAAGTTGTTACACATTCGCAAAGGCCTGTCTTTACTTGGGAAAATACAAACAGGGAATATCGGCTTTGGAAATGACACAGGAGTCCTGGAGACGACTGCCACCACAGTGTATGCACTTACTTTAGCGGAAAGATGAACGTTAACAATGATTATAGTGGGTGATTCGACCGTTCGTCGCACTCGTCCCGACGCAGGAAGCATGTTCGAATTACTTGGTCACCTATACATGAAGTCTGGCATCGTGAAAAAAGCAGCAGAGTGTTTTGCAGAGGCACTAAGTGCAAATCCATATCTGTTCACAGCTTTCCAGAGCTTGGTTGCTATAGGTATGTTGTGTGCAAGTCATTTCCATTTCGAAACGACTCTAAGCAAAAGCGTATTAACTAACAAACGCTTTAGGTGTTCATATTAGTGTGGAAGAGATATTTACAAACATGCCTGCTTTTTCCATTCAAGAGTACTCTCCGTCAGAGACAACGACACCGACACCGTTGTTTGGAAAAGTACCTTCAGCAGCCAATACACCAACCAATCCTACATCTTCTTACGTCCCCAATATCTTTGCCGTTGGTAAAGGTTTTGAATACCTTCAAACACCTCAAAACAATTCTCTTAATACTGACCCAAGCAACAAATTCAGCACTCCAGTACCCTCTTTCTCGGCTGCTTTAAAACAAACACCTCTTTCTCGTGCGGGCACGAATGTTACACCAAATGATGCTTCTCGCTTTGATACGGGCACTCGAAAAACACCTGCCCTGTTTCAAGATTTGCGGAAAACCGTGATTCCTCCGCGACCTGTCAGTACAGCGACACTCACTGCTCCTGCGTCCTCTACTTCAGCGGCCGTCGTAACGTCGAAGAAGGCCATCCGTTCTGAACAGGCGGCACGACCAACCGATGAAGAGTATATCATTACTATACTGAAACTTATTGCACAAGGTTGTTACGCCCTGGCCCAGTATGATCTTCCGGAGGCGCTGAAATGCTTCCAGGCCCTTCCGCTCGCAGAACAAAACAGCTCCTTTATTCTTGCTAAGCTTGGTCTAGTTTATTTTGAGTTGGTACAGTACGACAAAGCTGTTTTCTACTTTGAAAAACTGCGTAGGGGTTACCCAGCTCGTATTGAGGACATGGAAGTGTATTCCACAGCGCTGTGGCATTTGCAGAAAAAGGTGGAGCTCTCGTATCTTGCGCACGAAGCACTTGAACTTCATCCATACGCTCCTCAGTCCTGGTGTATTTTGGCCAACTGTTTTTCGTTACAGCGCGAGCATTCGCAGGCTCTTAAATGCATTACTCGTGCTATTCAACTGGACAGCACGTTTGAATATGCGTACACGTTACAGGGTCACGAGTACTCAGCGAACGAAGAGTATGAAAAAGCAAAGACTTCGTTTCGTCGGGCAATCCGAATCAACATTCGTCACTATAACGCTTGGTATGGTATTGGAATGGTTTACCTGAAAACAGGGCGAAACGACCAAGCAGATTTTCACTTTAAAAAAGCTGCTGAAATTAACCCGCACAACTCTGTGCTTATGACATGTATTGGAATGATTTATGAACGTATGAAAAAGTTTACCTACGCACTCGAGTACTATCGACGAGCGTGTGTCCTTGATGAGAAGTCATCTTTGGCTCGGTTCAAAAAGGCCAAGGTTCTAGTGTCGTTGCGCGAATACAGTAAAGCGCTCGAAGAGTTGGAGGCTCTGAAAGTCCTTGCACCCGACGAGGCTAATGTGCACTTTCTTTTGGGCAAGTTGTACAAACGGATGAAGAAACGCTCACTCGCCATGCGACATCTCACTATCGCATGGAATTTGGATGGCAAGGCTAATCACATTATCAAAGAGTCAATTGAACATCTCGACGTACCTGAGGAGAATCTTTTAGGGGAGACCGGCGAAATTTATAAAAACCTCGACGAGTGAAAACAAAATGCTTTTTGATTAGCTCATTGCAGGAGTTTTTTCTTTTTATTTTTTTCAGAACCTTTACTTTAAAGCTTTGGAAAAACGTCAGCTCATTGATAGCGTCAACTCCTGTGAAATATGACCAAAATATAATCTACGAAACTACTAGCAAAAGTTTGTCATCCTCATCAATAGGCACGACGACTGCTCCTTCACGATTACTGCCCATTCCTTTTATCGGTCATTCGTCATTTAATTGGTACAAACCGTCTCCAGCATTCTTACTCACTTACGTTTTTTCATTCTCAACTCATCTTTTTATGACTGCTGCTTGTTCTCCTCCGCTATCGTTTTCCCTTCCGACTTCTTCTTGTGCTAACAACATGTTATGTCTTATTTTCCAAATGTCCGTCTAATCTCTTTCACACCCTTGGCGAGTTTCATTTCTCCTATTACTATTAATCCGCCTACTCAAACTTTTTCTACCCAGACAAAGCTCTATCCAGGGCAGAGTGTGGTGGTTCCACAGCCAGCCGGTGTCACCAGCTTCCACCACCACCAAAATTCTTAAATATCAAGCTCCGGGGCCCTGCAACTCCAAATCCAAAATCCTCTTGTACCGTCGGTAAACTTTTTTATTTAAAACAAGTCGTTCGTGAACTCGCTTGGGTTTCTGTTTGACAATGGTCGGTTGGAAAAAACTTATTCTTGCAGGCATCGCCGCCGTGGCAGGTGTCATTAGTCTTGACAAATATCGGCTGGTCCCTAGACAATTTCTTTCGTATCGTATCCGTACGTTTGTGAGTACCGGTACTTTACTTGTTGCTGCTGCTTATGGAACGGTTATGTCTGCTATTTGTCGTTGTTTTGGACGAGCCATCATGGGCCAATATTTGACTTCACGGATGTACTATTGGCTGGGAGGAACCATCCTCGGTATTAAAATTCGCGTTTTGAACCATGATATACTGAAGAAGAGAGCTCGTGCTGTGTTGATTGTTAACCACCAGAGCGAACTGGATATTATGGTAATTGGCAGAACGTTTACACCATACTGCTCTGTGATTGCCAAGAACTCACTCAGATACGTCCCCTTTTTAGGCTGGTTCATGATTCTCGCCGACGTTGTCTTCATCAATCGTGCTAAGCGTGGTGAAGCAATCAAGATTTTCGCCAATGCTGCCGAGCGTATGAAGCGTGAGGAAATTAAGACGTGGGTTTTTGCTGAAGGTACTCGCTCCTACGCGACGGAGCCCAAGATCCTCCCTCTTAAGAAGGGTGCTTTCCATTTGGCCTTGCAAGCAGATGCTCCTATTATTCCTATTGCCGTTCAAAACTACTCGCACATTTTCCACCCTCCTACCAAGCACATCCAGCCCGGTACCTTTACCATCAAGGTCCTTAATCCTATTTCGACCAAGGGAAAGACCACTGCTGATATTCCCGAGTTGATGGCTCAAACAACCAAGGCCATGAACGATGCCCTCGTCGAACTTGACAGCTACGGCAAGAACGTGAAGAAGGACAACTAAACTTAACTAAGACATGACGAAATAGAACCAGCATATGAAGAATCTGTGAGTGGGTGGTGGAATGGGAGGATGTATTTGTTGTGCGTGTGTGTGTATGTGTGCTTGTGTCTAATGGAGCTTTCGTTTTTGAACACAGCTTGGGACGAAACTGGCAGTTGTTTATGCTGTCGCTGTTGTCAGTTTGCGATATACTGTATTCGCAAAGCTCTCAAATAACATAGGATCCTTCCCAGCTTTCCAACGGAAGGTTAGGAAACTCCTGTGCTCCCTATAACCCAATTCCAATTCCAATTGAACGCAAACGCGTAGAACCGAGACAGGAGGACTGTTCACAAAGTTGCATACCGATGCCGATTCTTTCATACGTTTTCGACGAGCTTTTCTTGACCAAGTGTCATTGGCTGCGTTAATTACAGCATTAAACAAAAGCGAGTCAGTATGGCAGACGTCTTCTTCCCATTGCACCGATACTTTCCATTCATCCAGCAAAAGAGCTAACCGTTCTTTCACCAAGTTTGTTTCTTTTGACAGAGGGAAAAGGAAACGCAGCTTTGTGTTCCAAGGCAACAGCTTGTGAAGAGATCGCGAAACAGGTCGAGCTAATTCAGGAGGAGGCCGTTGGTCACAGAAACTCCACGCTATGATCCAGCGTTTGGTCTGTCCAGGAATCAACTCGTGCAAAGCGTAATTATTAACGGAGGATGCTCGTAGTTCAACGACAATACGCTCCACGGTAGACAATTTACCAAGCATGCATGTGTACCAGGTCAAGTGCGATTTGTGCTCCTGTCTCCGTCGCTCATCTTGCTGCAAACTCTCGCGCAGAATGCGCAAGACAAACTCTGTTTCACCGCCTTTAGTAACCATTTCGTTTGGGGCACCGGTGCACACAGCATACGGAGAGGTTAACTTTTGTGTAGTATTTTTAGCTTCTTCGATTGTAGCATAAAACGGTGGATTACACATAGTAAATGACAAGTTGCAACCATTAGCTTCAATTGTCTTGAATGGTAATAGTGCATCTTCAGGCGACCGTCTTTCCAACAACCAGATCCGATCCTCGAAACCATTTCGCCGAATATTGAAGGCGGCACGAACCAGTGATGTTTCATCGATGTCTATTGTCCAAGGTGCATGTCAGTTGAGTTTGACATATAAAGTTGCTTCCTTACCCGTCGCATAGAATATCCAATTTGTGTATGTGGCACATCCTAATAATGGATAAATGCAAGTAGCACCTGTTCCAATATCAAGACCAAAAACTGTTTCAGGAGCATGTTCGCAAGTAGAGCACAGTAGTTCATTTATGAACGTAATGTACATATGCCTTTCATTAGCCTTCCTGTTGGAGTCTCAAAATGACCGCTTTCTTACGGTAACTATCACATACCGGTTCACGACCTGCTTGTTATTAGCTCATTCACCGTATAGTAGAATGAATAACATACCATCGGACACAGACAATCACTTCCTAAATGCAGATCTAAATGAAAGTGACTCGACAGAATTGCCCTTGTCAAAGCTTGTAATGCGTTCATATCCCAAAAGTCAATTTTTCCATCCTTGACACTTTTGTTTCAACAGGTTAGCATTTAAAAACCACCAACCAATACATACAACGGCCGAAGTTCGTCGTTCTCGTCAGCCAGCGCCTTGAAGTTAACGTCCAAAGGCTTTGACATGCTCGTGTTTTATGAACTCGACAAAAAATTAACTTCCAAACAGAGCAGAGGGGCAGAGGAAGTAGAATAAAAACTGTTTCGTTTAATATACCCGTTTGACTGTTTTGATCACGTAACCATTTTTTACCACCTATCCCCCACACCGTGCAAAACAGCACTCTTCAGAAAAAATCGTTTTTTTCATTCCATCTGTTTAAGAACGTACCGAATTATGAGAATAAGAAGTGTTATACAATTGAGAGCGCAAAGAAGCAAAGAGATGCGGCGGAGTACGGCCGGCCCATTAACCTCAAAAAATAACTCATCTCACCTCCAAGCAGCGTCAGAGTTGGAACAGATGTTCGAGGCTAACTGATTTCAAGATAGCTAAACACATTAGAAAACATAGAAGGGATAATAGAATGAAATGTTTTAGTCACATCAAGTTGCGGGGTATCGTTCATCAAGCAAGATAAAACATGCAGTGGGTCGTTGCTTAAACAGAAATCAACAAGGTCATACCCTCAATGGGGCTAGCTTGCTCGAAGAAAGTCAAAGCAGAACCGTTGCTGGCGCCAGCAAGCTCGTAGGATACTCTCGTGAACGACTTGGGGCACACAACATCGGCCGTGTAGTCACAGCCACCATCAGTGCAGTTGAAGGAACCGATACGAGCAATACGTTGAGGAACCGAGTTGTAAGTGGTGGTGTCGTTGGGAGAACCAGTCAAGTTGTAAATGTCGAAAGAACCAGTACCGTTGGGACCGGAAACACCGAAGGGGAAACCATTCAAGTCGAAGTGAAGGTTAACCTGGCAGTCATCGCTGGTGTGAGCGGGGACATCGAAGGAGAGAATGCTGCTAACAAACTCGGTACCGTTGGAGTAAACGACAGCGGAGTATTGGGTAGTCGTGTTGTCGTTAGGGGTAGACGAGTTGAAGTTGCGAATGTCGTTGGGGAACAGACGGCCGACGTTGGTGACGAGGGGATCGTAAGTACAAGCGGGGAGAGCGGACGAAACAGTGGAAGAAGCAGCACCACTGGACACGGGAACAACCTCCAACACGCTGGTAACGGTAGCGGTTTCAGTAACGGTAACAACGGAAGTGTAACCGCCAGTGTGGACGGTCACAGTGCTGGCCGAAACAGTCTCCTCATAAGTGGAAGGATGCACAGTGACAGTTGTGAGGTGACCAGAGACGGTCGAAGTGATGGTAGTAGGCTTCAAGGTGACAGTAGTCGTGTAACCAGCAGCAGTAGAGGTAATGGTTGTGGGCTCAACATACACGTACGAAGTGGCAGGAGAAGCGGTGACGATGGTCACGACAGTAGAGCTGGCAGTAGAAGAAGCGAACTCAGACTTGGTAGAGGAAACTGGGGCCTCGGCCTTCAAGCCAATAGCCTCGAAACCAACACACTCGGGATTCTGAGTGGGAAGGGTCGTGTTGGTGCCGTTGACCAAGTCTTCATACAATTGCTTGCCATAGTAGACTTGGAAAGCCGTACCGTTGTACACGGGACAAGCGTAAGGAGAAGAACCGTTCAGCAACAGATAGTAACCAAGACTCGTAGGAGTGTTGGCAGTGAACGTTTCGGCGGGACTCGTCACGTTGTAACCAAAGAGCAACTCGCCCTTCTTACCAAGGAAGGCGGTCTTGCCGTCAAAGGTGAGGCTGCCGTCAGCAATCTCGAAAGTGCCAATGGCCGAGTTGTTGTAGGGGCTCAAGTAGACATCACCGTCGTCGGAGACGTAGAATCCATGGAGATGGACGTTTGGATTACCAGAACGGATGGTAAGCACACCAAAAGGAGTGCCGTCATTGAAACCAGTAACATTGGTAGTAGAGGAGGAAGACGTAGTAGAAGACGTAGTAGAGTTCACACGTCTCCAAAGAGGAGAAGCTTGGGCAGTGCCCAGAAGGCCCAGAAGACCAGAGGTCAAGAGAGAAGAGAACTTCATCTTGTAAAATGCAAAAGTGAGTGGTATGTGATGGAAGTGATAGACAGAAACGAAATCAAAGATTCACGCGTTTGAGATGAAGAAGTTTTGGTTCGACCTTTTTTAATGCAGTCAAAAAATGCTTAAAGATATCAATTGCACGCAAACAGTGCTGGAAGAATGAGTAATGCGCGAAAGGGTATGTGTTCGATGACGGATTTGTCGGTAGAAGGGTATGGATGAAAGTGTTTCGAGAAAAGTCGCTAGAACAACTCTCAAGAGAAATACCGTGTAGAGTACGGAGAACAGAAGACTTAGAACAGTAAAGTTGCTTTGTTGTTGGTGACAATTGCTGGCAAGAACTCTGTCTTTTATAGGGCGGAATGTCCATTATGTACTACATCATGATGATGAGACGCATACGTCGGGCCCGTGTTAGAATTACGAATAAAGTACCCAATTTGCATCTGTAGAAACATCGGCACACTTTCTCGCGTGAACTGTACCAGCACTATGATTGGCTGTTGCCCCCAAGTAGAACGACCTAGAACTGAATGTGCGAAAACCCTGGCCAATTACGAGTTGGATGGAAAACAGCCGAAAGTTACACTTTATAAAATCTCGCAAGTTTAAAACAAGCTGTGCTTACTAGGTAACATGTTTCCTAACATGAGGGAGCGATGACGGAAGTGAGAGGGACGGAAACGGCTGGAACCACCCGTAACGGGCGGGGCAAGAGCGGGAGAGGATGAAATCCGAGGATCTCGGCGTCTCTAGAACGGCCAAAGTTGCAGGTTACGCAACCGTTTATGCCGGTACGTCATTACAACGAGACGCGTAGCGTGTTTTAATGTTTCAGCTAGAAGGTTGCTGCAGCGACTCCCGTTGCTACGGATCAGACCCTGTCGCACCCAGTGGCAGAGCAGCGAACGCGGTTGGATAAATACAAGTGTTAGAGATTCTATGACGTAGACAAATCGCACAACAACGGCATTGGTAGACACCGTGCCCGAATGTGGAGAAGTGTGGGGTACATGGGGTATCGACGCGCGGAGCCGCATGGGCCTCCAAATTACCGACGGGGGCATGGGTGGACCCTACCTGGTATGGAATCATTACATGTCATTCATTGATGGCGCGGGAAGGAAGGATCAACAGGATGTGGGGAGGTGGGGGCATGAGTGCCCAGGTTGGTAGTAAACAGGTGGTAGTGGGTAGGCAGACGCGCAAGGCGAGAGAGACGCTGGTAAACATATCAGAGCACAGCGGCTTGTGCCCGTTGCAGTCGCCCCCGTTCGTTCGTCACCCCTAGTGGGCAATCATACGGCGCTCTCTCTCCTTGGCAAGCGTGTACAAGATACTGCCACTGAGAATGAAGAAGATACCGTAGATACGATTGCCGTACAAGTGTTCACCAAGACACACGACGGCGAGGAGGGTCTGCAGCACACCACGAGAGGCGACAGAGATCATGTAGGTGACAGGGGAGGTGACCTTGATCTGCGTAAACGTAGCGACGTTGAGCAAAAAGTTGGCGAGGGCGGAGGCAACAACGGCAAAGCCGAACTTGCCCAGCTGAAGCAAGTCAGCAGTAAGCAGAACAGACGAGAGCTCGTGGGAGAAGACGGAAACACACAGACAAAATACGGACATGTATGTGGAGAAGATGTAGATGAGGTCGAGCGTGGGGAATTCGTGCACATAATGCTTCACAGCGACAGTCTCGATGGCCGTAGTGAAAGAGCTCCAGACGCCAAGGAATACACCGATAAACGGCACACGTGTCTCGTAGTGAACGCCGGAGACGAAACCCAGCATAACGAGCGCACAGCCCACAAGGGGAAATGCATATGTCTTTTGACCAAGCAAGAAGTACGAGAGCAAGATAGTGAAAGGCAGCAGCAGACCACGGGAGATTTGGTAGAAGGAGACGGGAACATGAGCAAGACAGTAGGTCTTGCTTACAATGCCAAGAATCTTGACGAACACAAAATTACGCAATTGAAACACGGAACCAAGACCGAGTGTTTGTTTCTGGCGCGTCGAGTACGCCCAGAACAGCTTCAGGAGACCTGCGGAAAGCGCCGCTTGCAAACCGAGCATGCATAATGGTGCTGTCAGAATGTTGAGAGCGGACTTGTTGAGAATGGTTACGCAAATGGCGAGAACAATCTGCGTGGACACAGCAAAGAAGATGGTCGCTCGAGAAACGGGAGCAGGACCTGTGGTAGTGGGACCAACGGGTTCTATGGGTTCAAGATCCTCAGCTGGCTGCTCCAATGCAGTATCTTTTCCCCCAGCAAGGTCGTCATCTTTTTTCGTTGTTTCCAACAGCTCGTATTCCTCCTTCGACATACTGGCTCGAGAGAATGGGATTTAAAAACAGTGGGGAGTTGGGATAGGCTTACAGAAAGAAAAAAGAAAAGCGGTTTTGGCGAGAAAGAACACTCGTAAAGCTGGTGATGTACAGAAACAACCGGTTCAAGGCAAATAAAAGGCGTCACCAAACGACAAACACAATCGATTACACTGAAAATGAGCGAGAAACGCGAATTACAAAACAAGGCAAGGGAATGCTTGCGAAAAAGAGAATGAGTACAGAAGCAGCTTGACTACAGGCAAGCTGGGGTTTGGGAATGCGTTAACGTACAGCTGGATGCTCAATGAGCTCAGTCAGACCGAGAAGGAGATATGCTAAGGGCAGGTACGCTCAGACGTCGCTGGTCGCAAATAGGCTGCAGCGCGTGGACAGGGGAGATGTGGGATAAGTGGGGTGTAAATGGGGTTTGGTGGGATAGGTGGGGATTTTGGATGGGGGTCTGGAAGGCTGCGCCGAGCGAGCGGGGAACGGAGGAAGGTCGTCAAGTGTTTACGTATGTTGAGGGCTCGTATCTGATGAGAAAAGCCCGAAGGAGGCTCGACAGGGGTCATCATTTGTTTGTGGTGGTCGGAGGAGGTTGGTAGTGTCGGCGGCAATCGCGAACCAGCTAGAAGACAGACAGCAGATCTTCCTAACGCCTCGATTGAACCCCGCGCCCTGGCAAACTTTAAAACTTTAATTACAACTTTAAGCTACTATGAGCGGTCTTTCATTGGTAACGACGAATTAAGCTCGTTCTTTGCGACAAAAAGCCCCAGGGTTGCCCCGCAGAAATAGCAATTGTGCCGCAACGTATTTCACCTCTACGAAACTGTTTTTCTCTGCGGAAAAAGAAACCAGGCCAATTTGTAAGTGCAAGGGAAGACACACGCTGGACCCTTATCACCAAATTCTCTCACAAGCTGTGTCTCGCATGGCCCTCACCCCACCCGCTCGGATCATCGGATGCTTAGAAGACCATGCCCCACTTTCGGGAACGTGATCTGCTGCTGAAATTCCCGTGGGATTGCTAAAAAGCTTAATAATTGCGAGATCGAGGTGTGACGCAGTTGCGAATCCGGCCAACTACCGAGAGCTGCAGACGTAGCAGACATTACTAAACACCTGCTGGTCTGTAAGGGCTCCAATGACCTCCACAGGAACAACGCTTTTTCTCCGTCCCCGAGTCCCGCGAAGCCTCGTACCCGAGAGCTAGTTTTTTTCTGCGCTAATTTGGCTCGCGACCAACGATCTGCAAGCATTGCTAGTTACTTGCCGAGGGAAGTACCGGCGATTGTCACCTCTGCTCTCCAAGGAGCGTCACTATTCCTTGCCGAAAGCACGCCTACACCCCATCTTTAGCATGACGTAGAGCTCAGCAGCACGCTATTTCACAAGGCTTACAGAATTTGGGCCAATCACAAAATTAACCGCTCCCAACCATCTAGGCAAGTGGCGAGCGGAGGCACATTTCTCGCATCGAGCATGCCAGTTTGTACATTTTGCCTCTTATCCCTGATGTCATCGTCTAAAAGATAACTTTGATATGGGCGGTGCTGGCAATTTACCGATATCCGCGGCTTTAAGTGGTCGGCCATTTGACATCATGCACCACTGGTTGGCCGGTCCCGCAAAAGAAGGCGCGCACATAGTTAACGCAACTACGACGCGACGGTGATGCTGTTTCCTCTACGCGTTTCTAATATTTCAAAGCGTGGAACCGAGCTCGGCGTTTTTTCAGAGTAATTCTCGCGCTTGTCATTTGTACATGTCCTCCGTCGTCTGGTTGTAACCCTGCTGGCTATTTCTTTCCATTTTTTCCGTCATCTTCGTGTTTATACGTGTTTTTTCGCGTAAACCTTGTTTTCTGTTACTAAGATAACCGTACTCAGCCGTCACGAATCTGCTTGACCAATTTTAGCTCTCTACAACTGCTGTTTGGGCCTGCTGAACACACTTTAAGCTTGTCACATGTCGTGTTGAAGAACACGGTTAAGCTTCTCCACATTTCTCTCCTACTAGATTCTTGCTAGAACTCGCTCCGCGGCCTTCCCGGTGTTCCCGCGGTCTCTCCGGCACCCGTGTATAACCTACGACTCATAACAAACTCTCTGTTTGCCTGTGTCCCCCGTAAAACAGGCCATCTGTGCGTTCAATTGCTGTGACAAACGTCTTGGTAATCTGGACGGTCGGTTTTTTCCTCTCTCCGTCGCTTCCAAACGATACATTTTTGCGTTTGTGAACGCTAGCAGCTCGGCTTTTATATAGTCCGTTGTTTCTGACGTTTCGTTGTCTTTTACAGACCATCTGCTTGGACTTTGTTTGTGACTGACTCTACATTTGTTTGTTTAATTGTTTTTTTTTTCGGTTTTTCTTCTCTTTAACTTTTTCAAGTACTCTACATCCTCTCCTTCTCTCTTGGTCGGTTTTTGCTTAGACCAAATCGTTGTTCATTCAATTGCGACACTCTCTCCCCGTGTGGCTTGCCCTGTTTCGGATTCTGTTGTGCGTGCCCTGTGTACCTGCTGATCGCTTTCCTATAGACGAATCTCGTATTACCGTTTTTCAATTGCAGTTTCACACGAATTTGCGATTGCTCTAGGGCTAATTTCGAGTTCTCTCTGTCCTTATTTTGCTTCTTGAACAAGTTGCTGCAGTACCCCCCAAGTGTTCTTCTCTGTTTGATGTATTTACGGTCAAAGTTTTCTGTTTACAAAACTAGAAGTACTTTTCTTGCTTTGTATCGATATTGGAATTGCTCACGTGTACTTCACTTATCCGCCTGATTGTACTTTTTTGTGAGCTGAGCCATTTATTCATCAGACTGTTTGTGTACACAAAGGTCCCTTCGTTGCGCTTGCCTGTTGACGTTTTCATACGTATCACATCCGCGTGTTTGTACTACCATTCTTCTTTGGCTTTCTCTCGTCTCGCTTTTGCCAATCTTGGTGTGCAGTTCATTTACGAACTCGCAGACATACTATTGTTGCTTGAATCTCTATCGAGTGCTCGAGTGAAGCTTACAGCTTTTTTCCACCAGAAAAGTGTACTTCAGTGGTGCTTTTCTTGTTAATTATTCTGTTACGAACCTAAACTCCCCACACAGCTTCTACCTTCCCGTCTTCATGTTTTCACAATTTTCCCTTCGGTTTCTCAAGGGTCGCTCCGTCAAATACCTTCCCACAGTCGCATCGATTGTTCTGCAGCTGGGGTTGTTAATTGGCGTGATTATGTGGCTCAACTCGTTGCGGTTTTATAGTCCTTCAAAGTTAATCGAAACAAAAGACTACAACGATGTGGTAACGCGACATCTCAACGGGCTGCACTATATGTTTCTTTTGACCGCTGACAGGATGTTTCGCGGCATTGACCGTGTTGCGCTTGTGTCCGAGTACTGTTACTGCAGTGGCTCGAACTTTCTTTCCATTCTCGGGCAGCACGCGTTTCTTAAGCAAAACAACATTAAGAGCGTATATTCTACGTGCAACATGACAGTTGGTGATGTGGGTCCATTGTACAATTCACTTGCCCCTATCCATCCTTTGCGTTCTGCCATTGTCTTCTCAACTGGCGTTGACGAACCCTACTCATCTGTTTCAGCAAATTGGAATGTATATAATTTTCTGTTTAACGACACCCGTTACAAGATACGCTCCTTTCCCCTCGGCATGCACGAGGTTCATACGCAAGTGAAGACTCGTCTCTTCAATCGGATAAAACATCATCCAGATGCTGTCTTTTCGTTATATACACAGGAAACGCGTCAGCAGCACGATTCACTTATAGGCTTGATGTCTCCTGTGGAAGTGATGCCTCATCCATCCATTTTATTGCTCCCAGAATTGCGTGAGCTCAAGTTACCGAAACCAAATCTCGATGTTGCCATCGTGTTTGATATGCCATTCCTCGATCTTCCTGATTGGAACTATCTGAGCTTGAGTTACCTAAAGTACGAATTTCGTAGCTGGGATAAAATTCCGGCTCCAGGAAACATTCATGAACAAGCTATCGACTTGTACGATTACTCTATTCAAATGCTCTCGGGTGCTCGTTTTATTATCACAAATCTGTTTCAAGTACATCTTATGGCTTGCATGGCGAATATTCGGCACGTTTATGTTGCTTCGCCGCAGTCGTACGCATATTCGTACCATCAAGCCTGGCTGCAGCCTTTGGAGCAACCTGGCTTCATGACCACGGTGTCAGATGTGCGTACAGCTATCGAAGTTGTAGAGAATTGGACGACCTCTACATCATATTAACCAAAAATCGCACAGTCTTAACTCGTATCGTTCACTACAGTCTCGATCTCTTGAACCTTTCCATCTCTCCCTTACCGTTTGTCAACTAATTTTTTTGTCTTCATCTTGCTGTCTCGTCTTCCGATTGACTACTACTGGCATTTTCATTTCGCCTTTCCACTGGGATGTGGCAGGCATAATAAAAGACAATAGTTTTGTCATTCAATACGTTCCTACTGTGTCTCTCTGCTTAAGACGATGCCCTTTAGCCAAGAAGAAACGGGATTTCACAATGGAGACGCCAGTCGTTTATTCTTTCTGCAACTTTTTTGATCCACGAGATTATTGAATTCTCTTTTCAGGACAACTCTACACTCTTTTTATTTCCGCTTGTTCTATTGCTATTTAAGTTACGTTTCTTTTGCCTTTGCTAAGTACTTATGACAAGCCCTTTTGGTCCAGAAACTCCATTATCACACACAAATCCACACACACACACGCCCTCTTTATACACAAAGTCAACGGATCAAACTAGTTTCATTCGGTCGTTCGTTCATTCGTAAGTAAAATAACAAGTGAGGTATCACAAGATGCTGTTCGTAGTTGCGTAAATGTCCCGAGTCTCGACCCAAGAACGTATCTGTATGGTCTAGTAAGATGTTATGAAGAGAACGGTGGTACAGACTCATGAGTGCCTTTTTGTATAACGGATAAGTACATGCACCCAAGTTTGTAAAGGGCATCGTAATGCCGGCAATATAGTGTTGGCGTCCTAGGTGAGCAGAAGACTCGTTTGGTTATGCACCTTCCGCGCCCCACTCTTCTTCATACTTTTACCAATTCAATTTTTGTTACGACAAATGGCAAATAGTAAAGATTAGGCCTTTTTTTCTTGTGCCCTCTATTTGTTCTCGTAACTCCTTGATTTCATCAAAAATAACACGAATTTTATAGTCAAGAAGAGAGAAAAATAAGAAGAGAGTGTGTGTATGAGCGCGTGGGAGTGAATAAGAAAGAGAGAGAGAAAGGAAAGAAAAACGAGCCTAGGTGGAACGAGGACCCAACTTGTCCAAGGCACGAACGCCAAACTCCTCCCATTCGGCTTTAGAGACCCACATTTGATCGTTTTGAGCCATAATGTCGGCCAACACGGCACCTCCAATAAACACAGCATGCTTACGACGGGGAGCATCTTCAATCTTAACCTTAAAGTTGGAGAGGCGTGTCGGGTCGCCGTGCAACACACGCTCGAGCCAGAGCTGTTTGAGCTCCTTTTCCAACCGGGAAGGCAATCCGGCATACATACTGCTACCACCTGAAAGGACAATGGCGCGGTACAAATCCTTACGGACATCAACGTCGGCCGCTTGAATCGTGTTGAAAATGAACTCAGCAACACCGGGTTGTTCACTGCCAACCAGATGAGGTTGGAACAAACACTCGGGACATTCAAAACGTTCAGAACCAAGTTTGATAACACGACCATCAGGGAGTGTATATGAGCGCATGAGAACGGTGGTTTCCTCACTCAAACGATGATCCTGTTCAAGGTCATAACTGACATAACAGAGTTGTTCCTTGATTTGACGGACAGTCTCAAAGTCAGCTGTACGGTTGAAAGCGTAACCCTTACGAAGAAGCAAGTTGATAAGGTACCGGGTAGCGTCGCGGCCGGCAATGTCTAAACGGCCAACAAGATGGTTGAGAACGACACTCTCGTACACGGGGACAATGTGTGTAACACCGTCACCGGAGTCTACGACAACACCACTACTAAGACCTTGTGCGTACAGAGACAAAACGGCCTGAATGGCGACGTAAACACCGTCAAAGCCGTACCGTTCAAACATAGTCTCACACATCCGTTCACGGTTGGACGACGGATTCATGGGAGGTTCTGTGAGCAGGATTTTACGACCACGGGTGTCCACCTGCAATTTGTTTTGGAACGTATAATCCCAAAGATGTGTCATTTCCTCGAAATCGCGAATAATACCGTTTTCCATGGGATATTTAATCTGAAGAAGTGAACGGACGGCTTCTGCCTCATCACCAACCATAATGTCCTTGATTTCGACATTGTTCGTGCGCTCTTCAGCGCGCAAAATTGGTCTACCTACAATAGATGGGAATTGGTACCGCGGAGCATTGTCTTTAGCATAACCAACCTGCTGTTAGCATACGAGTTCCTGAGCAGCACCAACCAACCTTAACAAATCCTGTTCCGTTGTCCAGAACAATTGGGGTGTCCATGATGTGTTTGGGGGAGGGAGGGAGGACCGGAACAAGGTGCAGCTACTAGGCCCGCCTCGTAAGGGAATAGAGCGAGCTGGAAGGAGACTTAGTGTGCTCTAAGGGAACGCTAAGTGTGGTTAGTGTGGGTTAGCGGAGTGCGGTGGAGTCTTGAAGCGGTAAATATTGCAGAAGGCCGTTTGCATTGCATAAGCAAATTTTTTCTGCGATTCAATGAAACCATTTCAGATACTGTACGGGTCGATATCCTTAGAACTTATTGAAATCGCTAAGCTATTAAGGTTGTCGCAAACATTTGGCACGTGTAACTTTGGCGCAGTACACTGTTAGTTGATTGGTCCTGATTTACGGCTTTGGTCATAGATATTGACTTTAATTGTCGCATTGTTCCCATGTGCGCATTAAGGTATTCGCTTAATGCCGCTAAGCATCGCTATATAACTCACGGAATAAAGTCAGCTCTAACAACGTTTAGTACCCTTAGATAGACGATAGCGGCGCCTCCAAACTGTGTCGCATGCATTTCAAAGGAGCACACTTTAAAAGACTCATTCCTGCTTACTCTCATCTTAGCCTTCTCTACTAGTGCACCTCCCACCAATGTAAAAGCTGTGACAATCTCGCACCAAAACCATTCCCAACAAATTCTTCCACCGTGACTAACTCTGAGCTTTTTTTTTGTTCTATGTGTATTCCCATTGATCAGTCCTCGTTTCACCTTCCTAACCGTCTTATCAACTCTTGCCGATTGCTGTGGCATTCTTATCTCTAGTGAAGCGAAAAAAAAAGCGCATGTCAGTTCTCTTCCCGTGATCCCATAGTCAGCCCCACGTCACGAAAAACAGCTGTATTGCTTTGTCTAAAATACCCACAACTTTCCCTAATACGCCTTTACATCCCGCGTACTGTTTCATTTCTTGTTCCTCCACTCTTTGCCCACGCCGTTCTTGTATTCAAAATGGACACTTGATATTTTGGCGTTTTGCGCTCTTTTTTTTGATTGGTTGGTTGTGGTTTATCTCTATCGAATGGGAAGACGCTTAAAGCTCTTATTTTTTATCTTGCCGAAACGTGTGCGCTTATAGCTGTCTCTTTATTGGACACGTTGTCAACAGAGCAATCATCGTCGTTCGCTTATTTCGCTCCTTTCCGTCACCTTGTCTTATCAGCAGGCTCCACTCTAGCTGCACAGGGCCAGTAGGCCTTATCGTTGAAGGCTGCTGTGCTTTATCGCTATCGGCCTATGCAATGTGTCGAATTGAGCACTATCAATGACATTGCCACTAGCAACGGAATACGTTTTCTCAATAGCTGTCTTACTACTTAAGGCGGTACTTGTCCCGCGTTAGCAGATCAACGGCCTGGTCGCTAACAAAACTCTCTCTCTCTCTTTCCTTTTTCTCTTGAATTGACTACGTAGAATCGCGTCCTTCCGCTTAGTCCTCATACCATTAACAGACGTTTTGTTATCCAGCTGTTGCTGCTAAAAGTTTGTTGATCTTGTTTTTGCCTTTTTGGTTCTCTGTGACAACGTTTGACTGAGTTTGAGTTGAACTTCATTACTAATAATTCCCGACTGTTTTAAAGAAACTCGTTTTTGAAACGATATTTACTCTTTTTCTTTTTCAACTCTTTTTTGTGTGTCAATATGCTTCCTGGTTTTTTTCGTCATCTTTTGGTTCTCGTTTTAGCATTGCAAGCAAGCGCCTCTGCTAGTTTCAGGGTTGACCAAGAGAGCAAGGTTAAGTGTGCTGATCAATCCGCTTCAGAGGACTCCTTGGCTTCTATTCAAGTCGACATCACTGGCCTTATGCGTTCTGACTATGCCGTCATTGTTTACAAAAACACGTCTGAAAGCCCCGTTAAATACAACTCTGACGTTAATTACGGTACTTACCAGGTGACGGAGAATGCAGACAAGGTTCTCTTGAACCAGGTGTATGACCCCCTTGACAACATCAGTATTCGTGGATGGACTGTTCCTGTCTCTAGTTCCGGTCAATACTGTATTGGTACTCGTAACACGAAGCAATCCGACCGGAAGTACTACATTGATGTCACTATCAACGACAACTCTACCGTCAACGAGACGACCATTAACTATATGAGTGCAGCAAGTGGCATGCGTCCCTCTGTCTTCATCGCATTGGCTGTTGCTTTGTTCTCTGTGGTCGCCGTCCAATGCTAGACAAAAGCCTTTTTTCGTCGACTCACCGCATCATTTTCCCGTACGAACAAGCTATGGACAATACACATGCAATCCCTCGCTGCTCCTGTTTGCACTGTTCAAAAAGCCTTCTAACCTTCTATTCCCTTAATAATAGTCCTTCCCAACCCAACACTTTATGCAGCTAGACAGATAGTAAAGCAATTTTGTTAGTAGAAGAGGCGTGACGGGTGACATGGGGTTGTTAAGAATGGGCAGACTGCACTTCGTATTTTGGTTTTTATGTAAATCTTCTACTTTCGTCCAATTGTTTGTGACACTAGTTAATGTTCATCTTCGATCTAAGCGATACCTTAACGCGGTAAAATACAAAACAATGGGATGAAAGAAGATTCGAGTGCCCGACATTGGCCAATGGGAAAGTGGTCGAAGGCGGTAGGAATAATGTGCAGGTGCTAAGATTTACTAAGTGGGTATAAGAAGTGTGTGAATTGATGATAAGCGTATTTAGATATTGTCTCTTGTATATTCGTTGGAGAAAAGAGGCATTTCAAGAACGGCATTAAATATAGTTTTCGATATATGATACAGCAAACACAATGGGTTCATGTTGCGAAGACCACTGCTAAGAGTTATCCGTGTTTTAGTTCTTAGTGAAGAGAGAAGAATAACCGGAAATATAAATACACGCAAACGTTTCATATGACATGCTGACCTGATTTTCGAAACAATTTAAGTAAAGGCATATAAGTGAAGAATCAGGTCCTGTAATGTAAATTACTGCAGAAACGCCCGATTATTAGTATATAGCAAAAGGACATCGTGCACAATCTGAATATGATTCGGTGAACTTACAGGATTTATTAGTTTTCGCCAATTGTTAAGCTATTTAAATGCCACTTTCTCTATTAACAGCCTAACGAATAAATGACATTAATATTAATGAACTTATAGTAACCAAGTTGTTTTTGCCTTTCAGACAAGATGAATAGACTATTCATTACTCAGCCGTAGATGTATCGTTCCAAAAACTTATTAGTCTTCATTAAAACACTTATATTCTGTTATAGGAAAAACCGGCGGATGCAGCTACTAACTCTTTATTCAACTTTAAGACGTGGAAAACTGTTTCTACTTGTTTGTTCCATTACGAACTTGGGATAATGACACTTAAAAATGTAACCTATCGGTGTCAGTCCAACGATGATTGCCATCGGAATAAGGCAAATTACAATAGCAGTTAAAACCCGAGAAGTATCATTCTGGAGCCCTCCTATGTCGTCGGTACTAAACGATTTGCGAGTGCTAGATGATCCTTCATACTTAGGCAATTCATAATCCATCTGTAAACCTTTTTTTGCGCGCATTTCGATCCTTGTATCTTTACTAGTAATTAATACAAACTATTAATATTAACGGGACATGAAAGCACAAGCATGAATAGATACGTTTTTCAAGCACAGAAGACTCGGGTCACGTTCCAAAGAGTGCCGACCAAAGGAAGTTTGATAGCGACAAAAGGAGCTGTACCGCTTGCGAAGAGCTAAATACTTTGATAGTTCCTTTGGTACATCTTGTGGTTTCAAGGGAACAAGAGGTCTATCGTTTCTCGCACCACCGGCCCCCGTTTGCGTTTCTGCTGCCACTGCTGCCATATATTCAATACTAAATAGAATTAAGAAATCTCACCGTAACAGCAGAAAAGTGTGTATCGACGACACCTTAGATTTAAAAATAATTTACTTGCACGTACGGCCGTGCCGCAGAAACGTTTGTTAGAACCCGAGTTGCATGGTATAAAACACGATGTTCAGGAAAACCAGGATAATAACTCTTCAGGTTATGACACTGCCACTCTTTGTATTCAAGCATTAAGTGTTCTGTCTGTAATAATGGCATTGATATGCTGGCTTTTTTCCTTTGTTGTGCTACAGAAAATCCAAACAATCGAGGAACTGGGTTTCATACATGGGGAATCGTTTCCGTACCAATGATCTTGGTGCAGAGCATAATTTTAGGGATCGCCAATTGGTATGTACGAAAGTGAACATTGGAGTCCTAAGATGGATATCAATAGCAGCAGACCGATGATAAACAACTCACCAAGTTCTTCCTTTTACCTTTAACGAAATAGTGGTCCTTTTCCCTAATTTTCGGGCCTTCTCTTTTGAATAAACGCGCAATTTCTACAAACTCGAAAGCTGCGATGTTATAGTGTCGATTATTTTATTGACTCTAGATGAATGATTTCTTTTATGATGTCTGTTAATCATTCATAGTTCCCTTCTTTTTTCCTTTAAATTTGCATAGCATGACTTACTAGAGATATTGTATAGAATGTACTGGATGCTAATTACTTGGAGCCGGTTTACTGTAATTATTCTCGTTCATTAGACTAAATTTAAGTATAAAAATTGTTACTTTTCTGATGATAGTGACACCGATGCAGAATAAACATTCTACATGTGTTGAGCAGATTCTTCCCTTTGAGAACAATCCACATTTTGACAAACTAAAAGTCAATTTTTTAGAATTAAACTATAGCTTTAATCTGTAGCAGAATCTGGGGTTACACTAGGTGCATAATTTTGTTCTTTAAACTTGTCGTTCAGACTATTATCATCCTCAATAATTGGGGCCGATCGTTTTTTCAAGAGTTTAAGGATTGGGCTACAACCCAGGTCATACATGTAAAGCGTGAGTATCGTGTATTTATACCTGGTATTAATTACACAGAACAAAGCACTATAACAATTCTAAAACGCTTTGATTGCTATTAAGGTAATTAATGACAATATTATCATATATTATTCATGATCGAAGTCCAAGAACAAAGAAAATGAATAAATGTTTGTAGCCTTTCCTAATAGATAAACAATAAAACCAATTTCATTGTTGTCGTTCTAGCTTTTGTGCGAATACAGGGCTGCATGGCGCAGTGCACGACAGTAAAAACAACGAACAATGAATAATAAATGTACTTTTAGCTTTGCATCTAAGCGAGCTTCTGCTCTTTCACAATAAAGAAGTTTTAACAAGTAAGAAAGCAACATCTGGCTTTTTAAAAAAAGCATCCTTAAAGACTAAATATATTCTGCAGCCAATGACGAGATTAAACTATTTATTAAGCAAGTTACTGTATGTATCGGGTGTCCCCGAACACTGATTGTTTCCGTCCAAAATTTTTGTTTTCGGCAGTAATCTGTTCCTTTAGCAGTATATCGATTTCTGCAAATACTCGTCTAATTTGTATGATGAATACCTTATGTATTTGTGTTTATCAAAGTCAGCGTCTAAAGGACGGCGATAGTCCCTTCAATTGCGTTTTCTTTGTATTGCTGTAATCATTTTGACAATACATGATTCAGGTAATCTATCACCTCGTTTAGATAAACCTTGTCAAGATAAGGTTGTAAACTCCTTGGTGGTGAGTCTATAATATCCGTCTACACTTGACAAACCTAGCCTTTACACCTTTATCCACCACAGGCACTACCGCGCTTTGTTGCATGCTATATTGAAACGCGCAACACGTAAACAAAACATATGCGAACACACTCCCGCAGTATAGGATAAAACTGAAATTTAACGCATAGTTGTAAGTCTTAGACACCAACAGGAGAAAGTAGTACTCCTCCGATGAAAACTTTGCAACAGCATAGTCGATAGACGTACTAGCTGGATCCTTTATTCGTTCACAAAAGAGCATTAAAACCTAAATACTGCGTTTCATTTATTAAAGAACTGCTGTACCTCAGCACAGATTGTTTAATTGCAGGAACCAGGTTTATTTGACTCAGTAAGTCTGTATTCTCAAGCTCTTTTAAACTTCACATTTTTCCCTTTGGTAATGCGATCGTTAAAACCATTAAGAATATTCTTCATTTTATTTATTTAATTTTTCTGTAAGACATGATTCCATCGTTTGAATTGAATATATCGCTACTCTGAATGCAATTATACTTCCAATGATGCTCCTGCAAGATCGAACAGTAAAATACTATAAAATAGGGAAACAATTGCCCAGGTTTTTAACATTGGAGACTTGGCAAAGAGTGACAATTTGCGACTTTCTTATTTACTAACTGTCAACAATAGTCTCTTGAGCCTTTTGTTCATTGTACGGCTATTTTTGACAAGAGGAACTCGGGCTTCTCCAAACAGGAATAATTCACTCTCTATAATGACTTACTATTTATAATAAAGGAATTTATTAGAACCAATGTCCGTGTTTACAGACACGTCGGAGGTACTATTCATGCATGGAGTTCGTATCTACCGAGACAAAGAAGGAGAGCTCGATCTGCCGCCGCCTTATGAAGGTCCATCCACTATGAATAATCATACAACTGTCTATTGATGGAGTTTTGGTAAATTTATTGCAACATTATAAAAAGCAGCTTCATGAGCTCGGTCGATCCAGCAGCATTTGTATTAACATTCATTCTGTATATAAGTTAAAAAAGGTCTAAGATTACTATGGTGATCCTATAGTCATAGCTGTATTGCTTGTATAGTCAAGCTTTTTATTCAATCATTGCAGGGTCCGTTCTATATTGTATGAGGCACTCAACAAACGAGACCCCTCAGCTGCGCATCATAATTACAGAGGAACCTTACTCGGTTAATTAGACTTGTTATGAAACAATGTCATGATAAAACAACTACACTATGACAGACAACCAGACACCATTTATAAACAGTATACTTCCGTAAACGATGGTTTAAAACGAGAGGATGGATCAATGGATGTTTGTAACAATAGATTAACCGAGATTATTGGGGCATGTTTCATTGTTCTGTCATAATCAGCACGACGTACAGAAACACGGACTTCAATGTCGCAAATAATTGGGTATATCACCTTCTTGTTTTTTTCTCGGTGAACCCCGTACGCTTGCGGTGTTGCTTGCACTCGGCACTTTTCGTTTAACTTCTTTCGTTAACGGATCGCGTTAATCGATTCGTTCATTATAACCGGCCTGCACAAGTGCGAACTTTGTTTCCAGTATCTTTTTCAATGGCGATCCATGGACCGAAGAAGCAATCGCACATAAAACATAGTCAACTGTCGTAACATTTGGCAGAGATCTTGACTAAGGTCAGAAAATCATTCCTCAGCACGTAGAACCCTCTTACTATTATTATTTTGAATGAATTTCGTTCAATGAAGAGTGACAAGTCAAAAGCACTGCAGCTCAGCCGGCGATGTCTTGTTGTAGTCGGTGTACTTGTTGAAACTGTGTCGGAATGAACCATGTAATTCGTTCTTTCGTACATTTTCTTCGCAACCTTATTGGAGCAATTCCTTCCTGAAAATTCATCTCAGTCTAGATAACAACGCTGAGCGGGTCCATACACTCATAGTAGTATACGAGTGAAACCGCATTTTGTCAACGAAATCCGAGATTAATCATAGTGTAGCAAAGCTACTACAATACTCCAAACAATTGCTGTCCGGACAAACAAAATATTGTATAGTGGCACTGAGGCAGCATATCCTCAACTGAAAGTGAAACTCTTGAAACATTGAAGAAGCTGCGAAAGAGAGAACAAAAAAGGAGAAATAACGGAGCCCTTTATAGACAGAGTTTCCTTAAACTTCGTTTATGTAATTAACCATACTTCATCGTATAGCCCTACAGCAGTTCACTGTCAATGTTGCAAATGTACAGTAAAAGTCTAGGGTTTAGTGCATTCAAAGGTGAAACTATGCATTGTGTTCGCCTTCTTTATCTTATTTAGTGTGGTTTAAGGAAGAGTAAGGAATTTTAATGATAAGCGACACGACCTAATGCATTTCTTAAATATGCGTTGCTGGAAAACTCACCACCAATAATGAGATCCGCGTTAGTAAGGGGGGCTAGGTAAAGGAAGGGAGGAAGGAGGTTTATACGACATACTCCCGAAATTGGTTCTGGACATCGAGAGTTTCTACATTATTCCAAGTCAAGCTGGTTTTCTCTGGCGTCATTCGGAAAATGACCGCTCGTTGTGTAAACTGAATTTCATAGATTTCGTACAATTGTATTTTTTTTCAGTAGATACATCGCTTGGTCTTTGTCTATAATTCTTGTTTATAAAATGTAGATAAATGATATGTTTTTTCTTTTTTTTTGTACGAAAGACGAATGCATGGATAGAAGTAAACCTTTAAAAAACGCCTCCAACTTTTGAAGTTTAAAAAGCATATGTATCAGATACAAAAATTGGTTGCAAAATTGAGAAACCATTTGTCATGAGGGCGAATGTGGATTAATTAGAAAGGCTTATGCCAATACGTTTATACATTTGAACCGTAAAAATTAAGATGGACGGAAACCTGTTGCTGAAGTGCCTTCACCTAGAACATCCTTAGAGCTTACTTGAGTACTGTTCAAGAATGATAGCTATGACTTTGTTTATTGGGACTAGAGTCGTGTCGACCAGACCAAACCAGACCAGAAAAGGAATGAATGTGAAACTGTTTAGTATTGTACCGCACATTTTATGGCTCATGGAACACAAAATTAGTCGCGGAAAAATGTATACAACAAAACATCTTAAGAAATATGATACTCTGGGCAAACGAAACAATTAAATAATGGCTCGTCTTAGATTAAACAAGGACATTGGATACATTACTCATTAAGATGAATTTGGGGCATGATTGTAATGTGGACCAAGCTGCCATGAGAAGACTGGGAGGAAAGAGCTATAGAACATACACACCTATTGTACGAGATAGTTTGTTGATTTCATGCTCATTCAAGCCCAAGACTTCATTGAGAGTCCACATAAAAGGCGCATCATTAAATCAAGTAATTGGTGTTTTAGATGGATGCTGCATCAAGGTATTGTTAAAGCAGAGTAGGAAAGAATGTTATACATTGCTCTTGATAATAACTAGTCAAAAGTAAATAGCGTCTCGGACACTAATGCTCATATGACTCTTTTTCGCAAGAATTTACTTAGTCTAAGCGAACAAGCCGGTACAATTACAGGCATTATTACTGTTCCATAAAGTCCGCGAGCTACGAATGCAATCAAACGCGAAATGATAACTGCGTAACGAAACCAACACTAGTAGGCGAATAAAATACCTCACGGCGTGATGCAGATAATTAGAATAGTCAGAGCTTCTCCGTAATTAGGGAAACTAGATGAAAATGATCGGGTTAATGACTCCTTACACTCCTTAAGCTTTCATTTGCGAATGCGCTGACAGCCTGCTTAAGCGATATAGTCCCAAGTCAGAAATTGGAGAGTCCACAAGGCGTGCCCGAAACATGTTATCTACAAAAAAAGTATTTTTATGAATGTTTCGGTGACTTTAGAGATATTCGTTAATATATACTTTGTTTTATTACTGTAAACTAAATATTAGTCAGATAGTTATTCTAGTGGAGTAGGTGTGCATTCAAATATTTGTTAGCATTCATTACTATCTGTACCAGACACCACACAGTTTATTGCCGATTTTACAAAAGATGTAAGCTTGGAAGCGACAGTCTACCCTAGACACAAATAGTAACAATTGCAGGTCAACAGGTGATTTGAGAACGCACACAATTAGTATTACTTTTGGACTGCAGTCTAAGAGCTATATTTCTTCCTTCATATTAAATATTATAAACTCGAGAAGAATTTTGCGACATGTGTTGTACGCTTTTGGCGCACGCGGTTCCAGAGTACTTAGGTTGCTTAATAAACCGCACACTAATATCATGTCAATTGACTGGTACCCCTTGAAAAGTCATTTGAAAGTTCATTAATGCAGAGCTACAACTCATAATTTCACTCCAAGTTTTGATTTAGTCTCGAATTGAGTGGTTACGGTTGAACATTATAATATCTGATGAGTAAGGAGCTTTCAATTGACAAGAAAAGTGAATAAGTAACCTCGTTCATGCTTATTTAGGAAGTCATAGGATTTAAAGTAACGAGTGAGTACGTAAATACTCATTTAAATTATTTGACTGCTTGGGGATGCGACAAAAACTGTGCGTGGATGGGATACGCCGAATAATAGTTCCAGTTTTTCACTGTTAAAGTATGCTAAATATCATGCTTGCCGCTGCTAGTTTTGTTGTCTGCACAATCAATTATAGCATTTATGCAATATAAACGTTCAGAAAGGTAAGAAGTTGAGACAAGGAAATGCGGCACTATAGATTGTCATAAACCGATCAATCTCTTTCTTAATGTTGAAAATTGAGCATTGGAATTAAAATTTAAACACGAAAACTTAAATCGTTTATCACTCATGTATAAGCTGTTTCATTACAATTCTTGCTTGTTTGAAGCTATAATATCGTTGATTATTTAACGAAACAATTGAATCCTTTTTTTTTTTTAGCGAGAACTTAAACAGCTCGCGTTACCTTGGAAATACTTAACAAACAATTCAAGTTGATGAAAATCTACATATGAGAAAGAAATTCAACACGCCATTAAACTCTACCAAAGCACAACAAATTCCAAATTAATAGTTTCAAATAAAGCAAAAACAAAAAAAAAAAATAAATAAATAAATAAAAACAAAACCAAGTTACTATCTTTATGAATTGCTTCTTCGTAATACTTATTCATTGAATGAAAACACCAAAAAAAGGCTCTGCTTCTGTTGACAACAATTTTTCACCGACACTATAATGCGCAATCGACGCATTCATGGTCAAACAGTACTTAAATATCCAACTGAATACAAACTCACAACAGGGTTTGCCTGCCCAATTAAAATCTCCGCAGCACATGTACTCGTCCAGCTGGACCCTGATACTCCTTCTCCTTCTGTGATTATATTAACGTTGACATTCGCCCTTGAACCCCGTGGCCAGCCGATTTGTTCATCCCATTTTTCCGTTCTTTATTTCTCCACATGAGTATAATCCTTAAACTACAACTGAGTTTTCGCATCTTATGTTAGACGAAACTGACATCTCTATTACAAATCATTTCGTCAGGGGCCCTGTTTGAACCCTGGTAGCTTAAAATCTCGCGTACCAACTAGTTCACATCCTTGGTCTAGTAAGGTCCCTTGCATAGACCCCTTCAGCCCTTGTCAGTATTCAGGAAGTAACCCGTAGCTATAACAGACTATGCGACACTTCATGTCGGCAGCCGACACTATACCCCACAGCCGCCGAAACGAAAAAAAATGTAGTAGTAAAGCAAAAATTTAATATTCATTCAAAAAAAACAAAACCGAATCAATCATAACCATAATATAACTCCAGAGCAAATTTGATGCGAGATTTGTGCAAAAAAGTGCACAGACGTAAAAGGAACGCGCGTTTATCTTCAACCGGTTTTCGAAGAGCGTTTAAAGGGGTATCCAGTTTAACAAAAACGTTCAATATCAAAAGAACGCTTACTTGTAGGAAGCGAAACCAATTTGGTTGGTATCGTAGTTGATGGAAGTCAAGACCTTGCGGAAGAAAGGGTCACCAAGAATCATCTCGCCATTGCTGTCAAAGTAGGAGTTGGAGTAGAAGAGGGAGAAGCAGTAAACGTTACCGTAGTTAAGGGCGTAGTCGTTGAATGTAAAGGTGTAGCTCTTGCCGTTAATAGTGAAAGTAATGTCAGGACCAGAGCAAGTGGCCATCCGTTGTCCACTAGTAACACCAAGAAGTTTATTAATAGAAGCGGCAAGGTTGCTGCCAAGAACGAAGGCTGAGGTACCAGAATCGACAATGGCAGTGAGGGCGGTCGAGCTGACAGTGGTGCTGCCGACCTTGATGGAGTTCAATGTACTGCAGAAGTAGACGGAGCAGGTGTTGGGGGACCAGGAGAAGGCCGTACTGGCCAAGCTCGTGGGCACATCACCGAGAATAAGGGAGCTGGAGGAGACATCGTTTCTAAGGTTGAAGGTGGCAATGTGAGGATTGACGAGGTTTTCCTGGAAGATGTGGTAAAGGGGGGAGGTTCCAGACATGGCATAGTGAGACATGGCACCAATACCCATGACACCGCTGAAGCCATAGTTGGCATAGGTATCCATAGAAGCGGCAGAGGCTGCACCGAACTGCTGGTTGGTCAATTTAACCCCACCAATTGTAAGGGTATCCTGGTACACGGGGCCGGAGGAGCCACCAGTAATGTAACCGATGCTGTATGTGCTACCGGTGTTCTTGGAAGTAGAGGAAGCACTGGGGTTGTAGCGTTGAGGATCGTCAGAACCACAGTCGCCGCCGGTGCAACCAACAGCAGGAACCCACAAGTCGAAACTGCCTGTATCAATTTGGACAGTGAATTCCTGAGCAGGGGTACCAAGGCCAATGGTGACATAGTAAGCAAGGAACGTTGCGGGCCAGTCACCGACTCAGTAAAAGAGTATTACGCTTGGAAAACGTATTGTTGTTCAACGTAAGCCAGTAAGGGCTGACAGTCATGTTCGGACTGTAGTTTCCGTCTTCGTCCCAATGGGTGAATTGAGGAGGCATCTTCGTCAAAGGCAGCTCAAGAGCCTGAGCAACGCCCAAAAGACCAGTGGCAACGGTCAAAAAGATAGAGGTGAAGGAAGGCATACTACCGGAAAAGTATATGGGTATCAAGAAGAAGTTGAAAGTCGTAAAGTCAGACAAATGTGCGTCTGGGGGTATCAAAGTTAATGTGTTCGAAACAAAAAGGACAGCGAAGAGTGCAAAAACTCAAAGTGTTCTCAATAGATGAATCCGAACAAGAGGCAATGGAATTGTTGTCGATGTCGATGGTCAAAAGTGGGATTTTGCTCAAGTATTTATATTCTTTTGGAAGGGATATTATCAATTGAATGAGGATTAGTGTACGAATTGCAATCGGTCCATTACGGCAGAATACCCACGCAAAGGCAGCTGTTGTCCGATGTCGCGTGTACCATCAGCAAGGAGCAGCTGATGAAACAGCTACCGCAGAGTCGCAGCCGGAGCCTTGCGAAAACACGCGGCGCGCTATCGGCGCTTATTACGTCAAAAGGGGCCAACGAAAAGAAGCGAGAGGGGATGATTAGAGGAAAGGCATAATCGGTGTGCTAGCATTCAGGGGCTTCTCGTTCGCTGCAAATAGACGCAAACTACATTACCAATAAGCGACGTTGACGCTAGCGGGGAGAATGATCGGCGGCAGAGCAAACACAAAGAGGGGTCCGAGGAGATCGCCGGCTAGCCGGGAGCGGAAGCGAGGGAAACCGAATAAAATTACAGCAAAAACGATGGTGGGAATAACAAAACAAAGCAGCATCTGAACGCATCAGAACAGCCCTGTGAGTCGTTTCTCGTATCGTAATCCCCCGTACTCGCGGAAGCAGTCCGCACGTTTCAGGAGAGAGCAGTCGCATTCATATGACGTACGGCAGTGAGTTCTTGCACGTGGGGCCGATACTGAGTACCGAATGGCGTCAATCCCTGTCACAAACGAGCTTGACCGAAAACCCTGCAGGAGGGGTCAGGGGTCAAGGGGTCTCACGGGTGAACTACCTATGACGAGAAACAGCTGGCCCTGCATCCCCGAGCGAGCAAAAGAACTTGGGGCTACTCGTGCCGCACGTTCTTGGAGCTACTTTTCTTCGAACGAATTTCATGACAAAAAACTCAGCAGAAACAACAGACAATTCCTGTCTGGAGCAAAATTAGTTTCCCTCTTTCGTGGGACACGGCATGCATTGCCTATCTTCCAATTTCTTAACACTGCGATATACGTCATCATCACGTGGACCACTAGTTCTCACGTTAGCATGCCACTAGCTCAGGGATGAAATACAGTTGAACCTAATCCGACAAACCGAGCTGTCAGAGAGCTGCTGACGTCAAGCGAGAAAGCTTGAAGGGGGAGACCGCCCCAGGGCAGCCTAGGCTGCTGAGAGAGGACCCGCTTCGAGCGGGGAAAGGGTGTCTGTACACGCCAAGACGAAGGTGGGTGAAGTGGGTGAAGTGGGATAGAAGCGAGCAAGTGGGTTGTGTAGTGGGGGCACGTGCTGGACCCTGGACGGACGAATGGCCCACAGCGCCGGCTGCACACAAATTCGAGCGCAGCGTCTGAGAGCGATTGCGTCGACTACAGAACCGATAGAACGGACAAAGAGTGCGAATCCGTTTTAGGAACAATGATATTGCCACCAAATTCCATTTCTTTCAAAGGGATGCCCCTTCTCTAACTATGTAAAGCTTTCCCTAGTACACGTATTCACACACGCACTTGATGTCAAGGTCGTAGTGTGGCTGTTTCCCCGTCACGCTATAAGCGAAAGGGATGCCCACGTAGCTCTTAGAGCTAGCTCGATGCCGATCACTGCCCGAAAGCATATGACTTGGTAAGAGCTTTGGTGGTAGCGATTTCGTTTTCAACTCCTTCTACTAACTAATTCGTAAGTGGAACTTAAGTGGGATGTTGGTGGGATGATAATGGGGGCCCCCCTTGAACTCCACTACTACCACCACATGAAGGAGGATTTTCTGAGATTCGAACGAAGGGCTACCGCGCCTCCCTCGCTTCCCAAAGGGACCCACTCGCGAGTTCGACTCTCACATGTGGGTTTCCTCCTCGTGTTTCGGAGCCGTGCGTTCCGCGTTTCCTCGAGGTTGTCGGCACACGCTCGGCCCCTCCCGATCGTCCACACATGCCGACCTATGAGGTCTCAGGGATTTTCGCTAGTCAATGCATCCCGTGGGTAGATCCCAATAGGCATTTTTGTTCACGTACAACTCCGCTTTTCCAGGGTTAGGGTTAGAATAATGGTATATAAGGAGCAGCTGGCACCCGCTCTTCGGGTTTCTGCCTCGACTGCTTTTTATTCCCACTGCTTGCTTTGAAAGAAGAAGAGTTCGTGTGGTGACAACGACGAGGTAGATGTGACATTGGCTATGAGAGTTAATGTGTCGTAGTTAGGGAAACAAATCTGAAAGTTATGATTAAGAAAGGTTTATGAAACAAAATTGGGAGGGTACAGAGGAAAATGTCTAAAACGAAGCGAGCAGGCCATTAACCCTGAAACGCTCCTTTTGAGCGTACTTGAAAAGAAACTGAAATTGATTTGAACAGTTTTAAACTGCTACTCCAATCAGAGTACTCCTAACTGTTACAGCTTTCGGCTTCTTTCTTTGGTGGTCTTTCAATCCGCCCACGACAAAAAAAATCAGTTACTGACAACATCCCACTGCATTATGCGAACTTGTCTTTTTTCTCTCTATTCTATTTTTTGTTTGACAAATTGTGTCGTCCTGTGCTGCTCATTTGTCTTCCATTGGGCACCTTGCTTGCATTTTAACCCTAGTGTGGCGAATGAACAACAACACCATTAGTCAGGGAGTGCCGCTAAGCTGCGACAAGGTTTTACGCGGAGTTCCCGTTTTGGAACCATCTGAGATTAAAAATTGCGCAGCTTGAGGCCGTTACGCAAAGTCCGCCCTGAATTACGGGAATACTGCGATCGTTAGTGTGTATAAGAGCAAGTACTGCTGCCACGTTGAATACCAGTCACCGACAACTCTCTTTATTCTACTCTCTACTCTACATCTATGTCTTCTTTCGTTCGCAGCCTTCTTGTTGCCTGCCTTGTTGCCTTGGCCAGTGCTTCCACTCTTCCTTTTGGCTCCTACGATAACACTGACATCAAGACCTATCACTTGGGTTCTTTGAGTGATTATCACTCCCCTGAGAACTTCCTCGACAATGATTTCCCCGAGAGCTGTGAGTTGAAGCAGGTCCACATTCTTCAACGTCATGGTTCTCGCAACCCTACTGCCGGTACTAAGGCCGGTTCGGCCGGTGGTATCCAGGCTTTTGAGAACCGTCTTACCAACGGTACTATCAGCTTCAACTCCTCTATTTCTGACAACGCTTTCAACTTCGTTAGCTCCTGGGAGCCTATTATTCTCGAGAAGAATGCCGATCTCTTGTCTGACCGCGGTCGCTACCAGATGTTCGACCTCGGTGTGCAAAACTACTTGCGCTACACCGACCTCATTAACGACAAGGACTTCAAGTTCCAAGTTAACACTGCTGCCCAAGACCGTGTCGTCGAGTCTGCCGAGTGGTACATGAGTGGTATGCTTGGCCGCTCGTACGTCAACGAGACCACTTTCCAATATGTTCCTGAGGACTCCTCCGCCAGCATTAACACTCTTTCCGGTAACGATGACTGCAAGAACTACGAGAACTACAACTCTACCTCTTCTGCCGTCGTCAAGGCTTACCTGAAGAAGGCACTTGAGGCTCCTCGTAAGCGTCTTTCCGAGTACTTGGTTGATGGCCAAGAGTTCACCACTGACGATGTGGTCAACATGTTCTCTTTGTGTGCTTATGAGAACGCTCTTCAAGGTGAAAGCGACTTCTGTGACCTCTTCACCCCTACTGAGTTCCGTGCCTGGGAGTACTCGTACGACTTGAAGTTCAGCTACGAAAACGGTCCTTCCAACCCTTGGACTCAACCTGTTGGTGCTGCTTTTGCCAACAACATGGCCAACCAAATCCTCAAGCTTGTCAACGGTACCACTTCCGAGGATGACCAACAAATCTTCTTGGCCTTCACTCATGACAGCCACATCACCACTGTCGAGACTTCCTTGGGCTTCTTCCCTGATACCACTCCTTCCAAGCCCCTCGCTCCCAGCTTCAACTACTACAACCAGTCCTTGAAGACTTCCCAATACGTTCCCTTCGGTGGTAACCTCATTACGGAGGTCTTCAAGTGTGACGATGACAAGTTCTATGTTCGTCACCTCGTCAACCAACGCACCTTCCCTTTGACTGATTGCGGTAACGGACCCAGCGGTGTTTCTGACGGTCTTTGTGAGGTTAATGCCTACCTTAACTCTGACGCCCGTCGTGATGCCGTCTTCCACGGTATTGAGACATACAAGGAGACTTGCGGTACTGATGAGCCTGCCTTTGAGGCCATGTACTAAGCGGTTGAATGAGTTTTGATGACGTTTGTGCCTTTTTTTACTTATGCACAGCTCACCATGTGAGCAGGATACCATATACAATACCTATTGCAGTGTTCGTGCGACGTGCCAACTGTGCTGTTTCTCTCGTTACTTTGATACCTTTTTTTTAACTTTATAAATGCGGAAATGATAGAACTTTTTTCTCTAGAATCATTGGCGATGGCTGCGTGGACAAATGAAACGAGACCTCTGACGGTACAACAATCTGTTGGCTGCCTTAACTAAACTTCGAACGTCTGTGTGACGAATTGAGTCTCTCTCTACCTTGCCGCATTCGTATACATGATGAAACGTTGAAATAGCTGAAACTGGGCGCCTATTTTTAAGCATGGATTTATTATTCCGGCGTATCGCAACAAGCGAGCGTTTCTGAAACTCTTGTTTGTTATCAACAATTTGCTAATGAAACGCAGTGAAGCTGCATGGTTTATTATAAAATTCTACTTTTTTAAGCAGTTCTTCGGACTGAAATATGTCGTATACAAACTAATAGCACTTAAATCTAAAACGAAAAAAGAAACCCCGCCAGAACCAGCGAAGAAAAAGTCTCGATTTAGGTCATTTTTTTCTCGGAAAAAGAAGAAAACAAACCCAGTTATTGAAAAAAACATCAATGCCACAAACAATGTTCATGACCGAGAAACAACAATACAAGGAAAACAGCATCGGCAAACAACAAAATTACCACTCCAGCCGTCCGTCCCATAACAGCACAGAATCTCAACTGGATCGCGATCGTTTGCGGAGTCGGATATAATCTGGAAGACTGGTTACCCGGTACAAATACCAAGTTGCGATGCTCCTGTAGGGCGCACAGGCACATCCCAATTCATTTGTTTCCCGGAGACTTGGTAACTTGTCCATAGCGTACAAATACCGAAATCCGTCTCGGATTTTCAGGTCACCAGCAGGAAGAACGTCTAATCTTCCCATTCCAAAAATTAAGAGCATCTCCGCTGTCCACCGACCGATTCCGTGAATCTGAGAGAGTCTTTCAATTAACTCTTCGTTCACCATTTCATGTGCTGCATCCAACGACGGTATAAGTCCGGTTTCCACCCCTCGAGCAATTTCGCGGATGGTATCCGTTTTTCTACGGGAAAACCCACATGACTTTAACTGCTCCTGTTCGAGTGCCAGTATTTCTTCTGGCGTAGGAAATCCGCCTGTTGCACTTGCCTTGGCCACCAAACGATTAATAATGGCCTTTCCCGCCTTTGTCGTCAATTGTTGATATGCTACAGCACGGATGAGTGCCTCATAAGGCTGTCTCACTTTTTCTACCCGAAAACTCGTATGGCCGATAGCCTCAACAACACGTTTCCAATGCTCATCAATGGAAGCCAGATGTTCTTCGGCCTTTGCCAGCTGGTCTGCAGTAGGCTGCCCTGGATTTGTGATGTTTGCAGGACTATCTTGTGTAATCTCGACGTTGGTCTTCACGTCAACAGAGTCCGTGATTTTGCTGTTTAATGATAACTCTGTCCGCTCGTCAAGCGGTCTTTTAATTTGATTGTTTTGATTCATACACTCCAAAAGTTCGCTGTGAAACTCGTTTCCCCAATGTGAACTTCGTCTGCCTTATGTGGCCAAAATACTATCACTACCGTACAATTCCACGTTTCTGTCTTAACTACGTCGATAACCAACTATTGCATGACAGGTCTCTGACACCACACAAATCATGTAGTGGCTTTAATGCTGATGGACTCCATTGGTTTCTCCTTCGTCCAAAAAATAAATGGCACCAACTCAGGGATTTGTCGCTATAATTCTCTTCCCCTCATTAGTACGGATTTAAACAGCAATTGCTGCGAATTCTGCTTTCGCCGAACAGTTTTTCTTGTCGTGAACATAGCGGATCCTCTGTGCAATCGCATCTCTGGTGGCATTTTAGTGTCGGCATATGTCGCATCGCTTCTCGGTTAATAGCGCGAATTTTTTTAATTGGACAACTGGTCGCTCACAAGCGCGCCTAAAAGTCTTTGTCCTACTAAGGAACAACTGGAAATTACGGAGAAGCAAAACAGGTTGGCCTGAACCACTCAGAAACAAGAGTTTTCTGTTAACAAAGACGTTCACTTCATAACCATGTCAAAGCGCACACTCAACCATCAGTTGCGGTTTCACTTCTCCGCCGCCTGGAAATGATAGCGATTCATGACGTGACTAAACCGCGTTTGCCGCTTATTCATCACTCGCTTCTTAAAACGGAGTAAGAAAAATTGGACGTCTCACTTTCAGCGGATGCGTTACGTACTCATCAGTATGCGTTGATGTTTCTTGCCGTTTAAACCGCATTTTTAGGGCTGCAGTTTGGTTTTCTCTTCCCACTTACTTTGTGCTTAAGAGCTACTACTGGTTTTTTTAGACGGGTTCCGTTCCTTCACACAGTCTTCCCCCCTTTCTCCCTTATCCTACGAGAGACGAGCTTTTTTTTCGTGCTTCACGGACGGTAAAAAGTTCTTCAACATACTTCCGCTTGCTTGGATGTTATTTGAGTAGTACCTGGGCCTTCGTTCTTTTCTCGTTTGTCTTTAGGAAGGTACCTTTTTTTCGCCTTCTCCTCTTTAATCTAATACACTGGTTGTCACAGCCAGTTGTATATATATAGTCCTTTAATTTCTGTGCATCTTCAAAATGATCCCTACTCGCCGAATTAAACTTGCTTTATTCGCAGTTTTACTCGCTCTGTGCTTGTTTACACTTTCTGTCTACTTCTTCAATGGAAACGAATGGCTGCGGGCTTATAAAGCTTCCTTAAGCAGCAACGATGATGGAAGAATCGTGAATGGCTTCTATGTTGAGGAAGACAGTTCCTGGGGAAGCACTGGCACCAATGAAGACACTACGGTTGTTAGTATCACGCACAGCGAGCCTGGTATGACAACGTACTATCAACCAGTATACCGGCCGGATGATACTCAAGAACCAAAGTCTCACGAAATTGTCATTCTGTTGGCAAGCAACGGCAAAACTTCCGATAAGAAAGGTGGCCAAAATGTATTCTTGGAGTGTTTGAAAAACAGAATCATGTACGCCAAGGCTCACAATTATGCTTTCGAATATGTCAACGTGTCTACCTACGATGTTCCTCCCGTTTGGGCGAAAATGCCAGCTATTCTTGCAACTATGGACAAGTACCCTAATGCGAAGTGGGTCTGGTGCCTCGACCAAGATGCTCTTTTAATGAATCGCGGACTTTCCCTGCAGGACAACATTCTCAACCCGAAGGTTCTGCTGAAGAGCCTTCTCACCAATACTCCCTTCTCAAACGATATCGCATCCCTTGGTACTCCGGATAAGTACCGTATGTCAGACTTGGATAACATTGGACTTATCTTGTCTAAGGACCTGGAGGGGTTGAATGCTGGAAGCTTTTTCGTTCGCGCTACACCGCTTATGCGTATGTTCCTAGACATGTGGACAGAGCCCAGTTTTCGAACCAATGAAGTTGTCAAAAATGAACAAGAGCTCCTTGAGTATTTTGCAAAGCATCACCCAGAGTTAACTTCCCACGTTGGCTTGGTTTCGCCTAAAAAGATCAACTCGTTTGATGCTGCCGAGGAGTACATTCGTTACACAGAAGGTGACTTGGTTATTCACTTTGCCGGCTGTTGGGTTGAGAATCGTTGCGAGGAACTTTGGAATCGATATTATGACATGTCTCCCAAAGATGACGAGGTTCATCTCTAGATTCCGAGTCTTTGTTTGTTAATTTCCAATTGCTTGTCGCTAACGAATCACCATAATAAAAAGACAGCTAGAGTTAAACCTTTGCGGAATTGACGACCTGGTATCTGGTAGGGGACACTCGCATTTCCTGTTCACTGTATTTAATACACGAGAACTCGTGACAGTTTGACTGTATTCCTCTTCCTTTCGAACACAAAGTTTCACATGCAGCTGACTCGTAATTGTTCAAGAAGCGATAAGCAGTAACTGGGTCTCACCCAATTTCCTTCAGATTACTCCTGTTGTATTCTATTCGAAGCCACATGACATAATTCAATGGAGGTAATAATAAAAAGCTGCGAGATTAGTACTTGCAACATTTTAAACAAGTTCTTAAAGGTTCAGAGCCTGTCGTTTTCTTTCAAGTTTTCAATAATCATTTTTGGTTCTTACACGTTAGAGAGTTACAGGAATTGCTATATTTGCAGCTTCATTACAGAGCAAGTCTTATGACCGTTATAATGATGGCTTCTATCTATTTCTATGGAGGCTTACTCTGCAATCTGCATGGGTTACTTTCCTTTCTATATTACTAGTTCAGTTAAGATACTCTATTGATCCTTCTTTAAGCGAATATAGTTCTGAGAGAAAAATATAGATTGTTGGGCTACACGGAAATAGAATTATGATGTTTATCTGTGTATACTAGTAACTTCAGTTTGTAATCCAAGTTCTGTCGAGACCTAATTCACCGGGTCCAATCTAATAAACATCCTGACGCAGCCAACAAAGCTAATTTTTCGTGTTTTGAGGATCCAGAGTCCATATCCTCATTAATTATACGTAAAAGAAACTCACTGTTAGCTGTAAAGTGCGAATTTGAGTTGTTTTGCTCTTATTTCAAACGGCAATTTTAGCTTTGACATTTGACGGTTACGGTTTGGCTTACACACTGATTTGTCTGGTAAGTTTGAGTTGGGCGACAGATACGATTACCATTAAGACTGATTGTTCTTTATCTTATTGATTTGAGCGTATTCCATTCTTGTTTTTGTTTTTTTGGAAATACCAACTATCGTTGAAGTCGATAAATCCTGTGGATTCTTTATAACACTTATATTTTAATGCCGTGCGTGTCATTTTTGTTTGAACTGGCTAGATTCTTCAACTATGGACACGATATTGACACTTTCTTACTTTGTCATATTTTCAATGCTGGGTTATCTCACGCGTTCAGGAATTCAAGGTCTTAATACTTATCCGGGTGCTCCTTTTCATGGCTTAGTATGGGCCCAAGTGTGCGGTTGTGCGTTTATGGGATTCCTTCAAACAGAGAATGTCATGTTTCCTACGGACTCGACCAACAAACCGCTTTTACTTGCTTTGACTACTGGCTATTGCGGATCAGTAACAACATTCTCCTCTTGGATGCTCGAAATGTTTCTTGGTATGGGCAACATTGAGCCGTCTTACACGCGTGCAAAAGGTGATGGATTTCTGAGTCTTGTTTCTATCTTTTCCATTACGTTACTTATGGCCTTTGCCGCATTACTGTACGGAAAACGTGTGGGAAGTACTACACATCTTTGGACCATTAAGTCACATCGACTATTACGCCCATTCCCAGCTAAAACACACACCGCTGTCCGTATCTTTTTATCGTTATTGGCAGTCTGTTTTTATGTTGGTGCAGCATTGTATACAGCATTCAGCACGTCTTACGCACACCGGAAGTTCGGCTTTGGTCTTGTGTTTTCTCCTATTGGGGCACTATTGAGACTTTACCTTAGTTTATGGCTTAACAAAAGCTCAGCTTACTTGCCGTGGGGAACTTTTGCTGCTAATATTCTTGGAACACTTATTCTGTCAATCATGTTCATGATTCCGCGCATATGTCACGTAAGCGATATTTCTAGAAGTGTACTGTATGGTGTACAAAACGGTTTTTGTGGAGCCTTAACTACATTGTCAACCTTTTTAAACGAGTTACATAAGTTACCAGACAAAAAGGCTTATATTTATGGAGCATTATCCGTCTTCGTAGGTTACGCTCTTGTTCTAATCGTTGACGGATCAACTGCATGGGGCCATGGTTATACTGTTGAGTATCTTTAAGTAAACTGTTTGTCTTATTTTAAAATTGTTGGACCGGCTACTTGTCCACATGATACAACTTTTCAACAGCAACTGGTTTATGGTGTTAGAAATACTCTCTGCTCCATCCTAACCTATTTATTTAACTACCATTTCTTCATTTACGCTCCTTTTATACCTGGGTTCTTTTATATTTGCTACTAGACACAATGTCCCTATGAAGTATGGGGAAATTGCTACATTATCTTTCTATTAAGTTGAAGCATGAACATTTGCCAAAAACTGAAGTACAAGCTCTCTAATTCTGCTTCAAAATCACATTTACTGATTAACTATCTTACTTATCAATGAAGGTTACACTAATAAAAAGCTCTTCATCTTTGGCAACTGTACACTATAAAACCCCATAAACTAGTTCAAGAAACTTGAGTTTTGACAAAGAGTATAAAATGGTCAAAACCGATTTGCCGTACAAAATTTACTTGGCCGGTGATACGGTCTTTTGGCCAGATGCGCTTGAAAGATTCGGAAAGATGAAGGCTATTTGTCGAGAATACGGGCTTCATGGAGTGGCTCCATTTGACGGCCAGGCTGACGTTCAAGATTCAAGCCCTGGTTTTGAAACGAGCATGAAAATTGCTGCCATGGATCGAAGCCTTATGAATGAATGCGACGCTGGAGTTTTTTGTATAAATCCTTACCGTCGTGCTGCGGATATGGACCCAGGTACAGCTGTTGAATTGGGTTACATGGCTGCCCAGGGAAAGCCGCTCGCTGGATATACCGATGACGGTCGCCTTTACACAGAGAAGGTGAAGGATTACAGAGCTACAGCATGGAAAGATGAACTTGTGTTAAGAACTGCCAAGGGCGGAAGCGGTTCGTTTGAAGACGCAGACGGCATACTCGTTCACTCCGAAGGAATGTACCAAAACATCATGGTCGAAGGTTTCATTAGAATGTCTGGAAGCTCCGTCTTTGTTTCCAAAGATTCAATGGATGCCTTCCGCATGGCTATAGCGGACCTGAAGCGACTTTTAAGCGGACATAGTCAAGCCTCAAAGTAATAAACAAATATAGTAAAAGAGCATTGTATGAAGAAATGCGAAAAGGGAAACTGCTAACTACACCTGGGTAAGAAAACTACAACAAGACACGCTACAAACCAAAATCCAAGCTTAATTTGAAGCCTATTATAAAGATTATATTACTAATATTATACCCATCCTTGGAAAACTGTGAAAAACTCATTAATGAAACTAGTAGTTGTCAATACCACCGTTCTCTTGACCGAAGGGATAGAAGGACTTGTTGCAAGTCTTAGTGTAGGCATAGGCGGAAGTATCAAGCTTGTTTCCTTCGCCGTCGACGAAGTAGAAGTAGAAACCACCCAAACCATAACCGTTGGCAACAATGAGACGAACGGGAAGGTATTCACCATCCTTCAACTCACCAAGGTCCCACTCGCCCATACCAGTTTCGAAGGTAGTCTTACTCCACTTGGCATAAGCATCGTAGTTAGAGTTCGACCAGCCGCTGATGGCCTTGTCGCCGAACCAACCATAGAAGACATCATCGACGTTCTCAACGAAGAAAGAATACTTGTCATCCTTGGGAACTCTGAAGAAGAATTGGTAGATAAGAGCCTTGCAAGTACTCTTAATGGTTCCCATGGAACCATCAGGAGGATAGGAAGGAAGGTTGTAAGAAGAAGCCCATTGAGGAACGGATTGGTCGACGCTGAAGACACCACTGTACATAGGCTCGCTTTGATCGAGATCAGAAGAACCGAAGAAAGCGGGTCTGTCGAAGGCAGAAACATCAGTAACGGTTTGGTCACAGAACTTCTTCTTAGAGGGAAGAGTGTAGTTGTAGACAGCGTATTGAAGACCACGGACACCAGAGCAAACTGCAGTGGGAACGCTGATCTTAACAGTGTCAGTAGCAGATCCGGGAATAGTCTCAGTAGTACCGACACTGGCAGAGTAGTCAGTAACGGTGATAGTGGGATGAGCAGGAGTAGGAACGAGAACAACCACGGTGCCAGGAACAGAACCGCTAGCATCAATTGTAGTGGTGGAAGAAATGCTACCAGAGGTAAGAGTCTCGGTAGTCATTCCAGGGTTCGAAGGAACAATAACATCAACGGTGATGGTGCTTCCGTTAACGGGAAGAGTAGTAGTGTAACCGACATATCCGGAGGTCTTGGTCTCAGTCACTGTGGTAAGAGTCTCGGGAACGAAAACCTCGACGGTAGTAGTGCCATCGGTCACAGGGAGAGTGGTAGTGAAGGCAGTCGTACCGGAGGTGAAAGTCTCGGTAGTGGCAGGGAAAGTAGGAACGAAGACCTCAACGGTGGTGGTACCGTCGCTAACTGGGAGAGTAGTAGTGAAGCTAACAGAACCAGAAGTGAAAGTCTCGGTAGTGGCAGCGGGGGAAGTAGGGACACCGACCTCAACAGTGGCAGTGCTACCGTTGAGGGGGAGAGTAGAGGTGAAACCAACGGAACCGGTGGTAACAGTCTCAGTAACGGTCTTGATGATACCAGGAACGAAGACCTCAACGGTGGTAACGCTGTCAGTGACGGGAAGAGTAGTAGTGTAACCGACAGAGCCGGAAGTGATAGTCTCGGTAATAATGTCACCGGTAGGAACGAAAACCTCAACAGTAGCGGTGCTGCCGTTGACAGGGAGAGTAGTAGTGAAACCAACAGAACCGGAAGTGATAGTCTCAGTCACAACAGCGGGAGTGGGAACAACGACGTGAACCTTTTCGGTGCTGCCGCTGACGGGGAGAGTAGTGGTATATTGGACAGAGCCAATAGTAACGGTCTCAGTGATGGTTACAACGGTACCGGGGATGTAAACCTCAACGGTGGTAACGGTACCCTCGACAGGGAGAGTAGTCGTGGAAGCAACAGTACCGGAGGTGATGGTCTCAGTAACAACGTTACCGGTGGGAACGAAGACCTCGACAGTAGTGGTGCTGCCGTTGACGGGAAGAGTAGTAGTGAAACCAACAGAACCAGAGGTAATAGTCTCGGTGACAACAGCGGGAGTGGGAACAGAGGCAGAAGCACTGCTGCTAAGAACCGCAGTCGAGTGAACGAAGTCACCGGAAGTGGTCGTGTTGATATTGTGAAGGTTGGTGGGAATGACGATTTGAACAAGAGTAGAGTTGATCAAACCGGGAATGGGAACGGTAGTGGTGAATCCAACGCTACCAGTGGTAAGAGTCTCGGTAACAGCAGGGACAGAAGTAGAGACAGAGCTGGCGTCGCTGTAGGCACCAGTGGAAGGCTTGCCAACAGTGGTGGAAGCAACGACAGTGCTGTTGTCACCGTAAATGGTCTTGTAAACGACGCTGTTGGAAGGAACGGCGGTGTTACCAAGAGTAGTAGAAGCAACAACAGTGCTGTTGGGGCCGTAGATGGTCTTGTAAACAACAGTGTTCACGGGAGCAGACTCAGAAACAGAGCCGGTGCTGGAGGGAACAGGGCTGCCGACAACAGTGGAGGCGACAACAGTGCTGTTGGGACCGTAGATAGTCTTGTAGACAACAATGTTGGCAGGGGTAGACTCGGAAACGGAACCAGTGCTGGAGGCAGGAGTGTTACCGAGGGTAGTGGAAGCAACAACAGTGCTGTTGGGACCATAGATAGTCTTGTAAACAACGGTGTTCACGGGAGCAGACTCGGAAACAGAGCCGGTGCTAGAAGCGGGAACAGAGTTGCCAATAGTGGTGGAAGCAACGACGGTGCTGTTGGGGCCATAGATGGTCTTGTAGACAACAGTGTTGACGGGAGCAGACTCAGAAACAGAACCAGTGCTAGAAGCGGGAGTGTTACCGAGGGTAGTGGAAGCAACAACAGTGCTGTTGGGACCATAGATAGTCTTGTAAACAACGGTGTTCACGGGAGCAGACTCAGAAACGGAGCCGGTGCTGGAGGGAACAGGGCTGCCGACAACAGTGGAGGCGACAACAGTGCTGTTGGGGCCGTAGATGGTCTTGTAGACAACAGTGTTCACGGGAGCAGACTCAGAAACGGAGCCGGTGCTAGAGACGGGAACAGAGTTGCCAATAGTGGTGGAAGCAACAACAGTGCTGTTGTTACCGTAAATGGTCTTGTAGACCACGGTGTTGGAAGGGACTGCCTCAGAGCTGCCGGAGGCAGATCTGGTCACGCTGCTGGGAACGACAACGGTGCTGTTGGGGCCGTAGATAGTCTTGTAGACAATGCTACCGGAAGGAGTAGCCTCAGAATCGACACTCGAAGCGGAGCTGGTCAAGCCAGAAGGAACCACGACGGTGTTGTCGCCGCCGGTGAGGGTAGTCGTGTAAACGACATCGCTAGAGGAGACAACGACCTTGGTGACGACGGGTGCAGAGTTGGTCACGCTGGAGGAGGCAACGGGAACGTTGCTGTTGCCAGGGACAGAGGAGTAGACAACGCTGCCAGAGGGAACGGCACCAGAGCTAGCAGGAGCAGAGCCGGTCTCGGTAGTGGGGACGACGACTGTGCTGTCGCTGCCATAGATGGTCGTAGTGTAGACGGAAACGGAGCCCTTCTCGGCGGGAGTCTCGCTCGAGCGAGCAGGAGTAGGCTCAGAGACAGTGGTAGGAACAACTACAGTGGTGTTGTTTCCGTAGAAAGTGGAAGTGTAGACGAGGACGTTGGAAGAGACGCCGTCAGTGCCGGCAGAAGCAGGCTGGCTGACGGTGGTAGGGACAGTAGCAACAGTGGTGTCATTGCCGTAGAAGACGGTAGTGTAGACGGTACCCTTGTAAACGAAGGAGTCGGTGACAGCAGAAGGGCTGGCCACAGAGGTAGGGACGGTGACACTGTCGTTTCCGTAGACAGTGGTGGTGTAGTAGACATTGCTGTTGCTAATGGTCTCAGTGACAACGCTGCCGGAAGGCTGCTGGGTCAGAGTAACAGTCTTAGTAGTGGGGACCTTGACGATGACGACGTCAGTCTCGGTCGTGGTGGTGTAGACAGTACCCTCAGTGACCGTGACAGTAGGTTTAACGAACGTAGTGAGAGACGAAACTTGAGTCACCGTAGTCGTAACGACAGAAGCACTGCCATAGACATCGGTGGTGACGGTGACGGGGTAAGTAAAGGTCTCGGTGACGGGAACAACGGCTGTCTTGGTGACATAGATCACAGTGTAGACTCGACAACCGTTTGAGGAACCGTAGTGGTAACGGTGTAGACCGTCAAGGAGGGCACCTCAGTGACCGTGATGGTCTCGGTACCCAAAGTAGCAGTAGTAGGGGTCGTCCATGTCACCGTGGTGGGAACTTCGAAGGTGGTATAATAAGTCGAAGTGACAGTGACGGTAACAGGAGAGCCAGGAGAACCCGAGCCTTGTTCAGAGCTACCATTATCGCCGGGAACAGTTTGAGTTGTGGTGGTAGTGGTAGCGGAGCTGACAGGTGCAGATCCCTCGGTGGTAGAATCCGGGGTAACTGCGGGGTTGTAAACGTAAACTTGAGTTTCATAGCAGTTGCAGCTGGCGGCGTAGCTAGTGCTGGTGACGGTAGAGGGGACAGTGACGGTTTCGGTAACAACAGTAACAGTCTCTGTCTCGTACACAGTGCTGGCAGGGACGTTCTCGACGGTGGTGACGACAGAGGTCGATTCGGCGCATCCACAGGGCACAGTGTACACGCCAGGAGCGGTAAAGTACTTGGTAACAGTAACAGGAATAGTAGACGTTACCGCCGGAGCAGTGCACAACTCGGCAACAGTTTCATACTTGGTAAGAGTGGTCGCGACATGTTGAGTCTCAGTGACAGTGCATGCCGGAGTGTTGCGACGGTTTATCGTATTTTGGCGACGACCCCCATGCGGGGCAGCTGCGGAATTTCCCCACATAAGCAAGGTAACGAGCACGTTGCACAACGTGCTCGCTCTTGTAGAAAACGAGCGACTAAACACCATTATACCCAGGTGTCGTGAAAAGAGAGTGAAAGAGCAGTGACGAAAATGGCTGCGAGCGAGCTGCTTAAGAATGCTGGAGCCCGGCCGTCGAGGCGTCACGGATCTGTGCGAATGTGCATTTCGTTCGACTGGCCTAGCAACACCTCGGATATCGGTGCGAAATTCGTTAGCCAGGAAGATTCCGGATTAGCGACAGTTGGTTTGAGTTAGCGCGCATTTAGGTTTTTTAGCCGACAATTTCCGAGCGATCTTCGACTTTTACGCGACTAAACCAGTTTAAGTTACGAAAACTAGCGCATGGAATCAGCCCCCGCAAAACGCCTCGATAACAGTTCATGGTATATAGGCTGAACGTGACCATGTAACATGAAGCAGGCGTGCTGGTGTTCTGTGGGGCTGCAGCAGGGGGGACGCAAGCCACGAACATGCATGAGACGTTGTTCTGGTGACGGGACGAGCCGAGAGGTTCACGTCATCGTTTAAAGCTAATTGGTTTAGCGAACTGCCCCTCGATGTGGTGCGATGCTTAATTCTCCACAGGGTCTAGAGATGCGGGAAAATCTTCGGGTTCGCCGATCAATTCACGAGTTCGTTGAAGTGGAGGACAGAAGGATTGCGATTCTAAGAGTCGATGGACGGTATGCGTGCGTCGAGTAGAACCGGCTTTGTCGCGTTCATTTACTGGTGTGTCTGCATGACTGACGGTCTTCTCGGAAGCATTCCCGTAGCGAAAAACATGTTCTGAAGCTGTCCATCTTTGCGACGCCGTCACCTTACGTTGCGATCGTTCGCTGTTGCCTTCTTGTGGAATCGTGTTGCGCGGGAACAACGGGAAAGTTCGGGAAACGATTTAGTTTCCTCTGCACTTTCCATTTGTCCCCGTTCGTCTCTGTTTGTCCATGGCCTAGTCCATCTCCTCCAATGACGCTCCCGAATTCATCCGTCTTCTTGTTCTCTCGCTTCCGACTTGGCGGGGCGCCTTTTGGTTGGTCAATCTTAAAATAGAAACAGCACCTTAATCGCATTGGTGGTGCTTGCGACGCGAAAGCCGACAACCACTGAGAGTCTTGTTCGGATGGGAAAAGGTTTAACTAACTACTATCCATAGAAAGCAGAACCGACGCATGCAGAACGGTGCGCGTTAGTTGATAGAAGAAAAATGAATTGGTTTTTGAAGCGTTGGAATTTTTTGTCATGAAATAAATTCAATTAAACTTTGCTCAGAACGCGAGGGAATGCGTCATAGAAAGTGCGGGGCAGACGCAAGGGACATTTGCTTGCGGGATGAGCTAGTAACTAGTTGTGAGACAGAAATTGGATGAATGGGAGAATGAATTGTTATTTGGCTCAATTAACGAGAAGTACTCGGTAGATGGAAGAAGAAGTCCGTATCAGTCAATGCTGAGATGATGGAGAACTGTTCATTAAAAATGAAATCGACGCCAATGGAAACGCAGTATTGGAAGTGTTCCGTTAATGAGAATAGTGTTTTAATGCTTCATCATCTCAGCGACCGTCATGGCAATAAAGCACTAGCGGCGGTCGAGCGCAATACAAGCAAGACAGTCCCCGCCGCCGCTGCATGACCTTTGCGACTTGTCTCTGTAAGCGAAGTAGTTTACAATCCACTGAGTCCTGCTTCGACCCTTCTAAGGCCTAAGTCATTTTAGCACTCGCTAATAGAGCTACAAGCTCGCGACTGGCGGCTTACAGGAGTTCGCGTGACAATCGTTTGCAATGGCATTGGGTGGCCTGAAGAACAGGGGTTCGTTTCACGAGAAGGCTATGAACGAGCTGAGTCTCGCCATCAACAGAACAACGGGTATGGAAGTGAGGCTGTTTCATGTGACTAGCAAGTCGGCGGCGAAGCCAGTGATGTTAGTGGCTTTGTAGCTTACTAAGGAAACGGGTATCGTCATGAGAGCAACCGTTTTAGGTTGAGGGGAGTATGTCGACGGACGGGGTTCTGCTGTATGAGGGTTTATTGGCATTGAGTTTAGTTATGCCTGGCTACAGGTTTGGCATACTTTTATTCGTCAAGTGATAACTCGAACATGAAATTGTAACGAGAATTGGTTAGACGATAATCGGTAGGTGTGCCTTTCTTTGGCGGTAATTAGTTTCATTAATTTATTTGTTGTGTTCACGTTTATACGATGTGTGTAACTGAGAGCTCATTCGCGAATTGAGGGTAGTGATTATGTGAATTAGGTGAATTGAAAGGAGGGAGATATGTGTTGCATTGATAGTTGTTAAAATGGATTGTACCGAATTGAATAGAATTAAAGCATATAATATGTATTTTACAAATTAGTTAAGAGTGTCGATATGTTGTATGCATATGTAAATATAATTAATAAATAAAAATAGTAATAAAAAAAATAAATATAAAAAAATAAAATATAACAGTACAATTTACAGCAAAATTACAAATAAAATATCGCAGCAATCATTCTACATTCAGATAGTCCTTTGACAGAATGCACATAATTCTACGACTAAACTAAACTAATCTCGTCTTGACTGACCTTTACGTCCCACAACCCGTTTCCCTAAACCACTTACGGTACCTTTAGGCATTTAAAATTATATCCTTAAATAACGTTTGCGTAGCGATGTTAAACATTCTTATACTGATTAACGATTTTCACCATACATCGCTAAACCATTCCTTCAGAAACAAACAAAACAGTAATACGAATGACGGAAATTGTGCTCATGCATCTCGTAGACGAATAACGATGACTTCGATTCATCCAAATGAACCAACTTGAACCTCAACCATGCTCAACCGTCTTTAAGCCAGCCATCCAGCTTTGTCAATACTCGTAGCGTTTCCTTTTGTTCATAGCACCCTTTTACATAGAATGAATTAGCTATACATTCTTCCTATTACCCACTACTGCCTTCACCTGTCATTTATCTCGATCATGGAAACACAACTATTAGAACAAACACGTATGCTTTGAGATATCATTTCTATGTCTTCTAACAAAATCCTCAGTGAAAAGAATGCTCTCTGGGTTAGAAGAAAACAGACGCCAAAGAGCAGAATTGAGAAGACAAGTCCGGAAACAAATGGTCGTAACAAAAGAAATGCAGTCATTACAAGAAGCTGCTCTGTGTCGCATGACGGATATTAAAAATGAAAAATAAAAAAGATTAAAAAGGAATAAAAAATGAAAGAGTGACAAGTAAATGGAGCCGATAAGAAAGCAAAAAAAAAAGAGAGAGGATTCTCGACATCATCAAAAGGAACTTTCGATGCTTTATGAAAAACCTGAAGATCAACGGAAAAAGGAAAAGACAGGGACCATCGGGTCTGCACATGGGAGGGATTTCAGAACTGCGGAGCAAAACCGTTGTCTCCTTACGGGAGCGTCTCTTCGGTTTTTTCGGTGAAGGAGCCATCTGATGAATCAGACACAAACTTCATGTCAAACGTGCGGTCCACTCGAATAGTCAATTGTGTTCCCGAGGGTGGATTGGTGTTGTCTTTCATCGTTTGCAGCTTTTGAGCCGTGTGCGTGGCCCACAAACTTGATAATGGCAGCGAAATGATGAGAAGACACTGTGTCATCGAACTGAACCCATCGTATGTATGTGTAAAACTGTCAATAAGCGTAAATATGGCAGGCACAATGAGACACTGACAGCTCACAATGAAAATACACTGCATTGGCCCGAACGGGAACTGACCAATTTTGCGCCGGATGTATATGGCACGCATCAGTTTAAAAGAAAACACAGAGCTGTGGAAAATAATGCTTGCTGCAAATGTGATCTTTGCAATAAAGTATAGCCAGCTGTAGCCGACGATCTGTTTCATGTTGTAATTCTTTAGGAACAACTGGTATGCGATCTCCTGGCTCATGTCTGTGATCCAAAATGCCAATGTGACAACGGTGAAGATACAGCTGATTACAGTCGTGGTAATCATCGTTGGTCGATGTTGCGAACAAATAATACGAACCTGTAGCATCAAACTCATTTCTGCAATGAACAGGATAAAAGGTCCCAACAATAAGATGATGATGTTGAATGCGTGTACATATTGCCGAACTGCGGCAAATGCAAAACCGTATTGAACGGCAATACTGTAGTTGTTGCTTGCAAGGACAATTACCTCGAAGATGGCTCTTAGAGTCATCACCAAGTTTCCGGCAAAGTTGAAAATAAACACAGGTTTCTTGCGCTTCTCACTGCTAGAAAAGATACACATTAACACGAGAATGAAGCTTCCTAAGCCGACTTGTACTGCGACTGTCATTCCGGTCAACAGACGATTTCTTTCCATGGAATCAATTTCAGAGATTGGCAACTGGATAGTGCTGACAATTGTCTCTAGCGTGACAGTTTGGTTGAGAACCTCTGCTTGCTTTGGTGAACGGAACTCGTCCCACGAATACATAATGTTGCAATAGTAGAACACGAATTGTCAACTGGATGATGCTTCAGAGAATTGAAATGAAACAGGCTCAAAAAGAGACAGGATAAAATAGTAGTCTTTATTCCGACAAGGGATTTTCACTTTGACAGCCTCAACAGCCTCAATGGATTGTAGCTTCTTGGGCACCAATTACTGAAAATTGAATCAACGACCTACAGGACGATTCCTCAAATCTGCAATACACACAAGTATTCTTTGCAATGAATTGCTACTTTTGGGATTCTATGCGGCATCTCCCTGGCCTTTTATGCATTTCCGACTAATTTTCATATTGTCCCTTACTAATGGCCGACATTGTTTCAGGCCCATTATATCAAGCACAAAGCACCACATTGTATCGGGCATGGAGGAGGTAAATACTTAAGAGACTCGTAATATGTGAGCTTTGTTAACGTTTATAGTACGAGCATTACCGGGATTTGGCGTCGGAAGTTGCAAGAAAAAGGGCAAAGTATTTTGAAGAATCAAAAGCGGCCTACGAACGCGGAGACAAAGCCCAAGCACATGAGCTCAGTACACTGGGGAAACAATGCTCCGTTGAGCTGGAAAAATACAATCGCCAAGGTATGCAAAGGATGTGAGAGTGTGACGAGTGAAGTGCCGCAGGTGGATGAGACATACGTTTTTATGAAGAGATGACATGGAGAGCTACGAAGAAGACGTTGAGCTATGGGAATAGGCTCATTTCATTATGATGAGGGCTGTTAAACAATGTTGTTCACTTCATACCAATCACTGAAAACGCCTTTTCGTATATTTCAACCACTGTCTTTTATTCGTAAACAGATCGCAAAAACCTTACTCCTCGACACTCTCTGTTTCACTTATCACCGCTTCTAACGTAACAGCCGCTGCTGCAATATACCGCTACAAGAATACTCAGTGTCAGCCTGACGAGATTGACTTGCACGGCCTTTACGTGGACGAAGCAGTACAGGCAGTAGAACAACGCATCCAAAACTGCTACAAGTTTGGTTTCGACCACTTGCACATGTATGAAATGTTATCTCATATTGCTTTTCTTGTTAACCATCCAGTATCGTTGGTAAAGGCACACACAGTGCAAACCATGTAGAGAAGTTACGACCAGCTGTTCTCCAAAAACTGCAGGAACTTTCTCTTCGTTTTCAGTCTGAAGAAAATGCTGGTCGCATTCTCGTACACATCCCCGTTACCGTTCCCTCTGCACCTGTTTCTGTTCCTCCTCAAGTTCCTCAAGTACCTCAAGTACCAGTTGCAGCTGGAGCTGGAGCAGCTCCTGTTGCAGCTCAACAACAACAACAACAACAACCAGCAGGTACAGGTGCGGAGAATATTGCCGAGGAAGTTGTTTCTTGTTGTCTTCCCAGTCTCAAGTCGCTGTGTACAATTATGTAATTTCCCTTCCGGCAAGAGTACAAACTCGTACTCCTCACTCCTATATTGCATACATTTTTGGTAAACGTCTTTTCTAAAAAATCATTTCTGAAAGATCCAGAGTGCTTCAACGGGTTCGGCTTCTTTCTTTTTGTTTTGTATATATGTATATCCTATACAATAGTAGTCTAAAAGAAAAATAAAAAAAAAAGGTACTAGACCTATCCACATTTGTATAAACAAGTATCTTGAAAAATTAAATGTTGTTTTGTGAGTTCTTGCTTTTAAGTATCCCAGATTGAGGATTTCGTTTTTTTCCTTCCTTCTCTGCGTATTACTTAAATGAATACTTCCTCTCGTTCGAACAAACTGTTTTACAGATAAAAGAAAAATGCTACATCCTAAAAACTCTCATCCCTCCCTTCTCCACTTGACCTCGTAAATCATGGACGATCCCGTTTACCAACGGCGGGTAGCAATACTCAAGGGCAAGAGTGTCTTACTCTTGCTCAATATTACGCTGTTCTCATTGGGATTTCTCCCAAAGTGGGATTGGAAGTGTGCTGTCCTTGGTACTGCTGGTCCATGGTCAGTAGGTCCCAAGGTTTGGATAACACAACGGTATGGAAGCGTCGGAATTGTTCTTGTGGACACAATTGCTAATGGTTAAGCATGATTCAGTTTTTCTTGGATTTTGTTTCGTTGGCCGGGTGTTCCAATGAAGAATTCCAAATACAAAACACACTCTTTGGCATATCGACTTTTGCAAGACCAATTTGGTTTATGGAGTTACTGGCGACATTATTGTGGGTAAGTACCGGAGGAAGGGCAGTTTGGGTGAATGGGACTGACATATCGATCATTAGTTAGAGGAAGAACTTGCTCTTGCGGCCGTCTTGTATTTTGCTTGTTGTGTGCTGTCATGTCACGTTTTATTAAAATGGAATGGTTTGAAAAAGTTTAACTACTCTTACATGTTTATAGTTGAACTCCCATTCAAGGGACGACTCTGTTTCATGACCTTTATGTGTCTACTCTGTATGCAGGAAACAATTCCGCTCCTCGTACATATCCCTCTGCTGATGCACATGGTCATTTCTATAGGGCTTGCTTCCGTACTACTTTGTCTCTTGCTTTTGAACCAAGACTCTATGCTCATATTCCTGTATGGCATACACTTTTGCTGCCTGCTTTCCGGTCCTCGAAGCAGCCAGCTTCCTCTCTGTACTTTTATAAACGGTATCATTGGATGCGTGCTTCTTGCTTCCGCAATCTTTCACTTCGGAAAAGTAAGCCATTTGCTTTTCTATGTCTTCCTTAACTAACGCACATAGACGAGAAAATTGTTTCAACCCTTTGAAGAACAAGCCGATTATCATGAATACTGGTGAACGCCAGTTACGACACACGAATACATCTCATATTCCTAAAAAAAACGTGATTCATTCATCTAAAATTTGTCTCATTTTGTCGCGGACAAAAAATTGACATCTCGCGAGTTTTTTCATACTCTAAAACTTGTTAGTCTTTACTTGCCATCTGCACAGCATACCGTAATCCATGTGTTTACAGGCAAAACCTGGGCTGCTAAAGCGTCATCCAGCGTTTGTATGCCAAATTCCAAATCAGAATCCTTGGCAGATAGTTCCGTTATACTAGAGTTCGAGGTTAACAACGGTAAAACTTCCAGCTCGGACAATTCAAACCTTGCTTGTTTTGGCATCATTTGCTTATAAATATCGTCGTCAGACATGCGTTTAAGCTCTGTCACTTTGTCCATGGAAACCTTGATCTGTTGCCGTCCGTGTCTAATTGTATCCAGGCTCGTCTCCATCTTCCTCAACACGTCCAACAGTTCTGCTTCTTCCGCATCCATGCCCTGCTCTACTACTTCCAGTTTACGAGCGGTTCGTAATTCATTCAAACGATCTGCTTCTATAGACCGTCGTAGCCGTTCTGCCACATGTGGAACCTCAGCACTTACGGTTGAAGGGAGCAGGGTCTCGCCGAGGATTGTTGGAGAGCGAGACACGATTGATGAAGGCGATGCCGGTGGGATATCGTCCAACAAGTTTTGGAAAGAAGACGACGCAGATATGTTGTGTCGGGGGCTCTGTGACACTGAACTAGCAGACGAAGCGGTACTTCGATGGGGCTTCGGAGGAAGACTGGGAAATGGTTTCGCGGGAAGAGGCGGTGGTTCAGTTGGAGTGCGCGTTGCTTTCATCGCTAGAGACATAGGGACGCTGGCGTCTTTACTCTTCTCATTTGTTCGTATCTGTTTTCCTGGTTTTGGGGGCAAAATTGGAGGAGCCGATGGTCCAAATTGCTGGGGAGTTGTCAGAGATTCATGTTTCTTCTGTTCAATCCTTTCTTCAGGCTTTTTTGGAAGAGCAGGAGGAGCAGCACGAGTGGATGTTGGATGTATAGAGTGGGATATCTCGTCTCTGAGCGGTTGAATGATAGTAATTAAATCGAGTCTGTCGGACCAGTTCTGTAGACTGGGACACACAACAGGACATAAAGTGTTGTCAACCAGTGTGAACACTTTAGGTGGGTTCTTCGGGTAGTCCAATGGCAGCCGTAGAATCATATTCGGCCAAGTACCATATTGAACCAGATACCAAGGATACAGATGCTCTGACAAACCACCCTCAGGATAAAGCTTTTCAATATCGCTGCCAGGAGGACAAAGCTGTTTCTTAAATAGCGGTTCCTTTTCTAAGAAAGCATGAACCTCTTCGTCAATTGTGTTCCATTTGTGGGTTTCGTAATACTAAACATCGGTAATGTTAGAAGATCGTGAACACACCTTACAAACAGCGTAACACTCACTTTGTGCTGTAATTCCGGAGCCTTTTTAGGGACAATTGGAGGCGTCTGATACGGTAAAGACATGAGATTAAAGAATGAATACCAGGCCGTCTTGTTTCTGTCTTGCAGTGCGTCTCATTAGAAGGCGGTAACAGGAATAGCGAATACGGTGTAGCACGTTATGCAAGTTAGCGAAATACCTAGTAAAACTGTATAGCTTGCTGCACTTCTGTATTTTGATTAACGAAGCGGTTTAAGTCGGAACGAACTTCTTTGTACTGTGTAAAATAATTCTGCGTATCCTAAAAAATCGTTAAAGTATATAAGGCAGTACACAAAACTGCTTAAAGCTGCATTATTTTAACGCAGTGTAATGAACTGTACCGAGCATCCAATATTAGACATGGCGTGTCATCCGCAGACACAACTGGGGTAGTTTACTAGATGCACGGCTTACGCCGCTCACTGCCCACCAGTACGGTGGCACGTAAACGTCACATTACTTCACGATCAAGCACGGCCCGACAGAACGACACTTTAACTTTTATTAGACGAAAATCTTGATCGGCTCAATTGATCCGCGAACAAATCAAATGAGCCTGATACAGCGCATAGTCAGAGACAGTTCTAAGAAACCTTATTCATTTAACCTGAAATATTTTTATCTATCGGTGGTGTCTGTTGAGGAATTGCAATTCTTATATCCGCGGATTTTTGTGAGCTTCCGAGCAGAATCGCATTTGGTGAGATATGTCGGCGAGCATGACGAAGATATGATGTCATGAAAACTAAGCCTTCATGCGGCGATTTAAAGTATAAATAGCCTCGTCGCGTCCAGAAATACGCTTTACTGCAGAACTGTTACACAGAGTTGTCATTGTTGCAATTCAGCGAGCTTTCTCCTTTTTTTTAGTTTAAACGCGCCATATAATCCATTGGAACTGTGTGCTGGCACACTGAAGGATTTTCGGTACGGTTTTTGGCTGCTTTTGGTGATTTCGTCGCGTCGGTTTTTTATTCGTTTGGTCAACTTAAGCACGGAGCGTCTCTAAGCTTGTTCTTTTCTCGTGAATATGAAGGCATCTGCTCATCCTCCTCCTCCTCCACCGCCTCCTTCCATGTTTGAAGGTCCCTGGAACTGGGATTTCCACATGCACGGACCTGGTTTCCATGGTCCACCACCCCCACCTCCTCCACCCGGGCCTCATGGACCCCACCATTGTGGTCCGCCAGGTCACTGCTGGCCACCGTCGCCCCCACACCACCACCATGGTCCCCCTCCGTTTTGGGACTTCCCCCACCCCCCTCCACCTTGCCCACCTTGGGGATGGGGACCTCCACCCCATCATCATCATCCCCCATTCTGGCACCCCAAGTTCCCTCCAATGGGACCTCCGCCTCCGTTCCTCGGCCGCGGTCCTCCCGGAGGTCCTCACTTCAGAACGTGGGATGATGAGTTCGTGGCGTTTCGTCGTTCCGCGGCGGGACCCGGGCCTGGACCGGAAGTCGGTTTTTCGTTCTACAGCCGTGAAGACGGCGAGCCTGAGGGCGTAGACCGTGGTTTTGGAGAAGACCGCAACTATGGTCCGGAAGAGGGTGCGGAAGCTGAGCGTCCTGAGGAGCCGGAGCGGTTTGGACCGGGTGGTCGCTACTACGCCTACGGTGCTTGGGGTCGCATGCATCCTGAGGACTTTTCTCGTTTCGGTCGCGAATTTTTCGGTCCGTACAGGGACGTCGAGTGTCCCAGCGACGTTGACGATCGCGAGTTTGCTGTTGAAGAGTTGGACGAAGTGAACGACGAGCCTTCGGGCGAAAATGTGCAAGCCCGTGGCCGTCATCATCATCATCGTGGAGAAGGCCACAGACGTAGAGGCCGTGGCCATGGAAAAGTGCATCTTCCGTGCTCTCAACGCCGTGCGTGTGCCAAGGAAGCTCGTCGTGAGGCGATTGAACGACTTTCTGAGCGAGTGCGAGTGAGACTTTCAACGTCTTCCAGTGAACAAAACGAAGAGAAGACGGAGAGTGCTGACCAGCCTGCTGTCTCGCCTACTGAGAAGTGTGCAGGTTGTGAATGTCATTCGGAGAAAACAACTACTGAGGTTGAGAATGTTGCCCCGAAGCCTACGAAGGCTTTGGATGCATCCTCAAAGCCCGATACCTCATCAAAGGAACCCAAGAGTGCTTAGTGGCATTTGATCAAGTTATTCTTCTGGTTTTCTTGTGCAACCACAGTTGCTATTCCTATGTTGCAAGCTGCTGGTCGGTTTTGTGACCGCAGAACAGCTGGTCTGTTTTGTGTCTGTCGAACGATTGAGCTGGTCTCGATCGTGTACTAATAGCATTCATGCATAAGTTTTTATCTCAATGGTGAAGTTTGGGGAGCGGGTTTGTGATGGGGTTGAGGTGTTATTTCCAGTAGATCAAACAGACAGTATCTTTGCCAGGTTGAAGCATTGTTGCAGTACAAACCCTGAACCCTAAGACTATGGTTTGAATGCTTGGTCAGCAACCAACCTTTAAATTTCGGTACGACCAGAATTTATGGAGTCGTCACAAAGACGAAGATGAGTTGATTACTAGTATGGAAATGGATGCATCGTTTATTTTACTCTGACTTAAAATGAGCCAGTCAGTAACATGAAAGGAAATAATTAATTTTAACTGACACAAAACATTTTTTTCACCATCCAGTACTCTAATTACAGCATTAATTAGTTAATAAATGAATATATAGTATGATTTGAAGAAGAAGAAGATTAGTATGTCATAACATAATTCAAAAATAATTCAAACTTTTTTATTAACTTACTGCTACCGTATAAAGGGCGGATATAATTTGTGTAACATGAATTGTTGCACCGACATCCCCCCCAAGAAAGCAAACTTCAGATATAGTGTCTGTAGTATTATTACCAATCAAAAACTCGATACTCGTGTTCTAACCTTCCTCAAGGAATCAGCCCGATCCATTTGCTACAAGTATGTCTTACACTCAAAACTCAATTCGTTTTCAAGCCCAATGGATAAGATAAACCCAAAGATTCGAATGTCTTCACACTAGCATCAGACCAAGCTGCACACCCGTAGTGTGTTTCTTTATTCACAACCGGTCAATTTCGTATGCTACTACTACGGATCCAAGGGGGGGATGAAAAGACAGATGCGAGATTCCATTATCAGCCGAATCAATGTAGCACCACAGGAGGTAATGACACTGTCATCATTACTTGCAGTAGTCTTTGTATGAGGGGTGCGTGCACTGCCCCGAGAGGCCGTTCCTTGGGCCTTTAACAAAAGTACAGACTCTCACAGACCCCTCTGAATTCCTTCATCCCTTTGTGTCAGGGAGTCGAAACCCTTTTCACAAGTACGATGGAGAATTCATGTAGCTGTGATCACCGATCACCCCGCCGCTGCCTAGGTTTCTTTTATTTCTCGTAAGAACTGACACGTTCTTTATCGAATTTTACGCTCTGCATAGCCGACAACGTGATGCACTACATAATTTTGCGACAATTAGATTTGATTCATGTGCATGACTCGTGCCGATGCACAGCCGAACGATAACGTTCCGTTGAGGATTACGGAATCGCAATCACGACCATGGGTTTTCAACAAAACACCCTGCAAAGTATTGCAAATACATTGGCTGAATTGCCGATAAACGCTCCGTTTATTTGATAATTGCTATGTATTTTTCTTTTTGTCGCAACTGTAGGAAAATCCATTTTGCCGGGCGCTTCAAGCATCGTAGACAGAAGTGGCAAGCAGCGCCGATTACACCGGCTTGAGGAGACTCTAAGTACAAAGGAGGAATCGCGTTCACGAAGACAGCAGATTTATGTATCGCTTTTATTTCCTTACTGTGCCATGCTCTCTCCAGTACAAAAGTTCTGTTCGTTGCGCCCTTTTCGCCATCACTTCTCCTCCTTAATCCCCACACATATCTGTCGGCTTTTCGGGCACGTGTAGCAGGGGATACACGTGCGCCACGCAACATGCGGCACCGGTAATCTTCATATCTGTTTTATACAGGATTCTGTAATAACATAAAAGGCAGCGTATTTCCTTCTGCGCCTCTTAATAAATTTAGTCTTGTTCTCGTTCTCGTTCTTATTCTTTTGGTTTTTATTAATTCCTCTTTCGTTCCTCTTTCGGCTCCCCCCATCCTCTCCACTTTTTTGGTACCAACTTAACCCGTTTTTTTTTTTTTTTTGGTAGCTGAGGAGAATGTCTGTGCGAAACAGTTATGGGGATACAGAGATTATCGCCATTCAAACTTCCTCCGATGATACTGCGGTTCTGGGATCTACAGAGACCGCCAAAGACAAGAAAAGTCTTGATGTCGAACAAGTCGTCGTTTCGCTAAACGACGCATCGACCGACAAAAGTTCGCAACTTGCGAAAAAAGGCGACAAGAGTAGCCAATACTTTTTGGAGCCGACAGATGAGGAGCTCGCTAATTTGCCACGTGTGAGAAGTAACGTGTCGCTTAGCGCCTGGCTTGTTGTTATTGTCGAGCTGTGTGAAAGATTCGCGTATTATGGACTTACAGGACCGTTCCAGGATTACATGCAGTACGGCCCCAATGACTCTACGCGTGGAGCATTAAATCTCGGACAGAGCGGTGCGACGGGTCTGTCGAACTTTTTCACCTTTTGGTGCTATGTGACGCCAATTTTAGGTGCTATTTTGGCCGATCAGTACTGGGGTCGGTACAACACCATCCTAATTAGTGCAGTTGTGTACTTTATTGGCATTCTGATTCTCACATGCACGTCCTTGCCATCACTCATTCGGAAGGGGAAGTGTCTTGGCGGGTTCGTGGTGGCCCTCATCGTTATCGGACTGGGCACCGGAGGCATTAAATCGAACGTGTCGCCAATGGTAGCCGAGCAGGTTCCTCGTCATCCTCCATACGTGAAAGAAGACAGTGCGACAGGAAGGCGAGTCATCGTTGACCACACGGCGACGGTGTCGCATGTGTACATGGTGTTCTACTGGTGCATTAACGTAGGCTCCCTGTCGGTGATAGCGACAACAACGCTAGAGAGCAAACGCGGATTCGTATATGCCTTTCTTCTCTGTCTCTGCGTGTTTGTGCTGCCTATTTTTGTGCTCGTTGTAAGCAAGAAAAAGTACACGCATCGTCCGCCACAGGGCTCTGTCATTCTTCGGGCAATGCAAGCATTGTTTCTTGCGATGGAGAACAAATTCAGTCTGAAAGCCATACGCCCTTCCTTCCCCCAGACCCGTGGACATGCACATCTCAAGGAGAATTGGGACGATGTGTTCGTCGATGAACTAGCCCGCGCACTCCAGGCTTGCAAGACATTTTTGTTCTTCCCAATTTACTGGGTGTGTTATGGACAAATGACCAACAACCTGGTGTCGCAGGCCTCACGCATGCAGACCAACGGAGTCCCCAATGATTTACTTCAGGCATTCGACTCCATTGCACTCATCATTTTTATCCCCGTGTGCGATTCCCTGGTTTATCCAGTGTTGCGCAGGTTCCACATCCCATTCGGACCCATTGCACGCATAACAGCCGGCTTTTTCTTCGCTGCCGCCTCAATGATATACGCAGCGTGCATCCAGCACAAGATCTACAGTACTGGCCCATGCTACAAAACATTCACAGACAGCTGCTCGTACAACTACGTCAATGTCTGGCTCCAAATTCCCGCCTACGTGCTCATTGCCTTTTCGGAAATCTTTGCGAGCATCACTGGCCTTGAGTATGCGTATACAAAGGCACCTGTTTCTATGAAATCGTTTATCATGTCACTCTTTCTTTTCACGAACGCCTTCGGCTCCATCCTCTCCATCTGCATCTCCTCCACTGCTGTCGATCCAAAGCTTGTGGGAATGTACACCGGAATTGGCATCACAGCCTTCGTTACCGGTATCATTTTCTGGTTCTGCTTCCATCACTATGACCGACTCGAAGACTCTCTCAACGCTCTCGATTGCAAACGCGACCAGCTCGATCACAGCCAGCCAACGGACTGTGAAAAGCAAGCCGCTTCCCTCCCCGCACACTCCCTCGAACAAACCAATACCAACTAATCATACGAACGGCTCTCGACGTGCTCCGAGAAACGACGAAGGGAAAAAAGACACACCAGCATCCCTTTTGCTTCTGTGAAAATCTACTAGCCATTGCCGACGATCACCCATCCCAGTCTACGCACTTTCAAACGCCACGACGCCTCTACTGTACCTTATTGCCATTCCAATTTCCGCCAGTGTTGTTTCTCTGCAAACGCACTACGATAATTTAGCTCAGTTTAACTAATTTACCATTTTGCTTCTATATAAGCGTGCGCTCCAATCATTGTCATAATGAGCTCATCCGTCGCAAGTCGCAAAATAACTTCGGGAGCTCAGGGGTTCCGCTTTTTTTCCTGGGGAAGTGGGGTGTTTCTGAGCGAATAATACAGTGCACTGGCACATGACCTCACTTTCTTAACCATTCAAGCGCGACTGCGGAGAAAAGCTGCAACTATTTATCGGAGAAAGTCTGGGGTCCCCGTGGACAATTTCTTGCAGCCGACAGAATGAATATTTCATTTACAGTAGCAAGACCATTGCTTCCGTTCATTACCACATACTGATAAACTGGCTGGTTCCGTTGTTTACAGGGATGAGAAAGATCTTGAGTATCACACTTCTTCTGGACCCTTCTCGTCGGACCACTGAGAACAAGACATGCAGCTTCCGAAAGGCTGTCTCGTTACTTGAAACGAGGGGTCTTCTGATTACGTCCCCAGTCGCAACTCGCTTTCGTTTCGCAAAACTCCACCAATAGATGGCAGTTAATGATTTGCCACATAGTTAAATAGAGAATACTTCAATATGATTGGATGTCTGGATATCCTTTTAATGGGGTTTCCAAGAATAACCTGCAATCATAGTGATTTTGGCTTCGCGTGGCGCTTAAATTTCGTGGCAAGCGAGAAGTTCGTTTCGCATTCTTGAAATCGTCGCTTTCGATTAGGCTAATTAAGGGATAAAATTACCTTATTTCTTTTTCTTGACGAATAAGAATCTGTCGTCTTATAGACCCCTGCGATCCCTTCCACTATCAGCGGCGCGATCATTGTTACTTAGTCGCCACGAGATCGACCACAGGGCCTAATCAAGGGGTTCAACTGGTACATGTTCGGAGACTGCCAATTACGCCGAGAATGGAGGGGACTGAACATCCCTGAAGTGCCCTAATATAAAAGGGGACCCGTGTCCCCTGGCTCAGCACGCCGTACGACCCCTTGGATAATTTGAAGCTAGGACGACGCTAGTGTCCCATTAAGTTTCTCTAGCAACCTCTTAGCGTCCACCTTGACGTCACGTGAACATACTGACGGTCGTGTTTTGTCATTCTTTTTACTGTTTCTTGCTTTAGACTTCAAGGGTTTAAAGTTTATTTGTTAAGCGAGAAAGCTTCTCGCGTTTGCGAAATAACAAAACAGAAGCCGTTACTGTTTTTCTCTGCGCTCGTTTGGGATTGATTTACTGTTCAGTGTAAATTGGTTTCCTTGGTACTGCTATTTGAAAAAAGCGCGTTCTTTTGGTTTTTTTTGGCACCTGTTACTAAACGATTTTGTTTTGTTGCGTTCTTTGGCTGTCTACTAAGTTTCTGAAGTAGCAATTGTTAACAATGCTGTTCCAATCCTTTGCTCAGGGAGCTCTCTGTGCTCTTTTGGCTTCCTCTGCTCTTGCAGCTCCTGCCTTGCATCGCAAAGTTCGCGATGCTTGTGAACCTGTAACTGTTACTCAAAAAGCTACTGTCCACTTGACCAAGACGGTCTTTGTTACAGAAGCATGCTCCGCTAACGGCGGTTCTAATGGTGCAACCTCTACCGACGTTGCTTCGGTTTCCTTGCCCTCCGGTGTTACCGTTGGTCCTTCGGAAACAGCCGTTACAGGTTACACTACGTACCCTGTCACTGAGACCAGCACGGTGAGTGTCTATGAGCCTAGCTGCTCTTGTGTTACCGACTCCATTGTTACTAGCACTGCTACCCATACTTCGCCCACGGCTGTGTACGTTGTCAGTTCTAATGACTATACGACGGTAACTCGTACTACTTGCTACTTGACTGAGACCGAGACGGCTCACCATACCCCTGCTTCTGTCACCGAGTCTGCCGCTACCGGCGTCGTCTCTGGCAATGGCAATGGTCAAGAGAGTTCTGTCCTCACAATCACTGCTTCTAATGTTCCCGATGTCACTACTACTGTGACCACCGAGATTGTTTCTGGTACCACTGTCACGAAGACTCTTGCCTGCTCTGCAAACAATGGCGGCTGCTCTGCCATTGTCAGCACAACTGTGTATACTGAGACTTCTGCTGTTCCTACCACTATCGTCTCTACTGACACTGTTCGTGGTAGTGTCATCACCTCGACGGGCTATGTTTCTGTCCCCGTTACTGTTACGTCCACGGAGTTCAGCACGCTTCCGTCTGAAACGACCCTTCTCACAACTATTCCTTGCACTCCTACTACTGTTACCTATACCTACACAGTTCCCGGACGTGGTGCTCAAACAACCACTTCGGTCTTCACTGTGACTCAACCTTACACCGAAGTTGGTACTACCACGGTGACCGTTACTGAGGGAAACAGTGTATATACAACCACTGCTACCGTTTACAGTACCATTCCCGTTGTGACCACGTCCTATGTTCCTTCGACTACAACCGTAGTCTCTGAATCTGTCTATGTAACAACGACCACCGTTGGAGGTTCTGTGTCAGTCAGCACCGTTACTGTCCCCGTCACCTACACTGAGATAAAGACTCCCGGTACTACTGTGACAGTTCCTACCACTGCTGTTGTTCCTCCTTATGGTCTGAACACCACGACTTCTACTGTTTTCTATGGTAACAGCTCCGTTGTTTCCGTGACGAAAACTGCAACTGTCCCTGTGAATGGAACTACTGTTGTAAGCACTGTCTATGCGAACGGAACCACTTATGTTACCTCTGCTCCCGTTACTACTGTCACTGTAAACGGCACTACCTATACGAATGTTTCGACTCAAGTTAGTTCGGTTCCTGTCACCAGCATCTCTGCCAACGTTACAGCCTCCGTGAGCAGTATTCCTGCTACTAGCGCATTCGTGAACAGCAGCGTCCCTGTTAGCTCCGTTCCTGCTACAAGTGCTTTTGCCAACAGCAGTGCCCCTGTCTCCAGCATTCCTGCTACTAGCGCCTATGTAAACAGCAGTGTTCCTGTCTCCAGTGTCCCTGTCACTAGTGCCTTTGTGAACAGCAGCGCCCCTGCTAGCTCCGTTCCCGTTACCAGCGGCTATGTGAACAGCAGTGTTCCTGTTTCTAGCGTTCCCGTTACCAGCGGCTATGTGAACAGCAGTGTTCCTGTTTCTAGCGTTCCCGTTACAAGCGCCTACGTCAACAGCAGCGTTCCTGTCTCTAGTGTCCCTGTCACTAGCGCATTCGTGAACAGCAGTGTCCCTGCTAGCTCCGTTCCCGCTACCAGCGTCTATGTGAACAGCAGTGTCCCGGTGTCCAGCATTCCTGTCACCAGTGTTCCCGTCTCCAGCGGCTATGCTAACAGCAGTGCCCCTGTGTCCAGCATTCCCGTCACCAGTGTTCCTGTGAACAGCAGCGTCCCTTCTACTAGCGTTCCTGTGACCAGTGCCCCCGTTTCTAGTATTTACGCTAACAGCAGCGCCCCTGCTACCAGTGCTCCTCTGACCAGTGCACCCGTTTCTAGCGTTTATGCCAACAGTAGCGTTCCAGTGTCCAGCGTTCCTGTTACTAGCGTCCCCGTTAACAGCAGCGTTCCTGCCAGCTCGGTCCCTGCTACCAGTGTACCTGTAAGCAGCGCTCCCGTTTCTAGCGTCTACGCCAACAGCAGCGTTCCTGCTACTAGTGTCCCCGTTAGCAGCGCTCCTGCTTCCAGTGCTCCCGTGAACAGCAGCGTTCCTGCTACCAGTGTCCCCGTTACTAGCGCTCCCGCTTCCAGTGCTCCCGTGAACAGCAGCATTCCCGTTACTAGTATTCCCGTAAGCAGCGCTCCCGTTTCTAGCGTCTACGCCAACGGCAGCGTTCCTGCTACTAGTGTCCCCGTTACTAGCGCTCCTGCTTCCAGCGTCTATGCCAACAGCTCTGTTCCCGTTTCAAGCGTCCCTGTTAGCAGCTCGGTTCCCGCTACCAGTGTACCTGTAAGCAGCGCTCCTGTTTCCAGCGCCTACGCCAACAGCAGCGTCCCTGTCTCAAGCGTCCTTGTTAGCAGCTCTGTTCCCGCTACAAGTGTCCCCGTTAGCAGCGCTCCCGTGAACAGCAGCATTCCAGTCTCAAGCGTTCCTGCTACTAGTGTCCCCGCTACTAGCGCCCCTGCTTCCAGTGCTCCCGTGAACAGCAGCGTTCCTGCTACCAGTGTCCCCGTTACTAGCGCTCCCGCTTCCAGCGCTCCCGTGAACAGCAGCATTCCAGTCTCAAGCGTTCCCGTTACTAGCATTCCCGTAAGCAGCGCTCCTGCTTCTAGCGTCTATGCCAACAGTTCTGTTCCCGTTTCAAGCGTTTCTGTTAGCAGCTCGGTTCCCTTTACTAGCGCCCCTGCTTCCAGCGCTCCCGTCAACAGCAGCGTTCCTGTCTCAAGTGTCCCTGTTAGCAGCTCCATTCCCGCTACTAGTGCACCTGCTACCAGCATCTACGTCAACAGTTCTGTTCCAGTCTCAAGCGCCCCTGTGAGTAGCTCTGTTCCCGCTACTAGTGTCCCCGTTAGCAGCGCTCCTGTTTCCAGCGCCTACGCCAACAGCAGCGTCCCTGTCTCAAGCGTCCTTGTTAGCAGCTCCATTCCCGTTACTAGCGCCCCTGCTTCCAGTGCTCCCATGAACAGCAGCATTCCAGTCTCAAGCGTTCCTGCTACTAGTGTCCCCGTTAGCAGCGCTCCTGCTTCCAGCGTCTACGCCAACAGTTCTGTTCCCGTTTCGAGCGTTCCCGTTAGCAGCTCTGTTCCCGCTACTAGTGTCCCCGTTAGCAGCGCTCCCGTGAACAGCAGCGTTCCAGTCTCAAGCGTTCCCGTTACTAGCATTCCTATAAGCAGCGCCCCTGCTTCCAGCGTCTACGCCAATAGTTCTGTTCCCGTTTCGAGCGTTCCCGCTACCAGCGTCCCCGTCAGCAGTGCACCTGTTTCCAGCATTCCCGTAAGCAGCTCCGCTCCAGTTTCTAGTGCCCCCGTCTCGAGTGCTCCTTCGAACAGCTCTGTCCCTGTTTCCAGCGTGCCCGCTACTAGTGCTCCTGTAAGCAGCGCTCCCGTTAGCAGCTCTGTCATTGTTTCCAGTGCCCCTGCTACTAGCGCCCCTGTTTCCAGCGTCTACGCCAACAGCTCTGTTCTCGTTTCAAGCGCTCCTGCTACCAGCGTTCCCGTCAGCAGTGCACCTGTTTCCAGCATTCCCGTAAGCAGCTCCGCTCCAGTTTCTAGTGCCCCCGTCTCGAGTGCTCCTTCGAACAGCTCTGTCCCTGTTTCCAGCGTGCCCGCTACTAGTGCTCCTGTAAGCAGCGCTCCCGTTAGCAGCTCTGTCCCCGTTTCGAGCGTACCCGCTACTAGCGCTCCTGTAAGCAGCTCTGTCATTGTTTCCAGTGCCCCTGCTACTAGCGTTCCTGTTTCCAGCGTCTACGCCAACAGCTCTGTTCCCGTTTCAAGCGTCCCCGTCAGCAGTGCGTCCTCCAGTTCCATCTTAGTTCCTGACATGCCTGGTAATTTCGAACCCGTCACTACCAGCGAAGCTTTCAGCAGTTCTGCAACTTCGACTGTCGCGTCATCTACTGAAGCAAGCGCTTCTGAAGTATCTTCGACTTCCGTCTCTTACTTGATTCCTGACATCCCCGGTGATTTCGAACCCGTCACAACCAGCGAAGCTTTCAGCAGTTCTGCAACTTCGACTGTCGCGTCTTCTACTGAGACAAGCGCTTCTGAAGTATCTTCGACTTCCGTCTCTTACTTGATTCCTGACATTCCCGGTGATTTCGAACCTGTTACAACCAGTGAGTCTTTCAGTAGTTCTGCAACTTTGACTGCCGTATCCTCTACTGAGACAAGCATTTCCGAGACACCTTCGACTTCGTCTGATCCTGTCGAATCTTCTACTGAAGTGACCTCTTCTGAAGCTCCCTTGACTACTTCTTCCTTCTTTGAGTCTTCTTCTGAGTTGAGCTCTTCTGCGGTCCCTACTACCACATCCACGAGTGCTACTACTTCTACGGCTCCTTCTACGACCACTGGTACCTGTGTGATCGGTGCAACTGCAGTGGCTACTCCTCAGTGTGCATCTCAAAAGCAAGGCAACCCCTCTGGTATCGTTGAATTCGTCTCTGCAAAGAAGGTCTCCGATTCTCAGTACGATATCACATGGCACATGAAGGTCGACTCTGGTGACCGCGATATCTCTTCCAGTCTTTGGGAGTTAAAGGATATCGGTACTTCTCAAAAGGTTCTCTACAGCAACAACATCAGCCCTCCCGGTAAGGATCTTTCTCAGAACTGGTTTGACTTCTATTATGTTGACAGAGTTACTCCCCAAAGCTCTAACGGTAAGCTCTGTGCTTACATCCAATTCCAATATGACTACAAGGACGGAACCAACAGTTACGACTACCGCACTGGTTGTGACTCCGCTGCCGCTGGTGCTACCTACTGCTGGGACTCCTGTGTCGTCGAAGCCTAATGAATGACTTGTTTTTGTTTATAATACCAAATTATTAGACTGTATGTTGTTAGGTCAACCACAGTCAAAAACTTCATTTCTTGGAATTCGTTTCTCTCATTTCTGACTATCTTTCAAGACAGTGCTGGTTAAACTGTTATAATCTTATTGTTTTTTGTTCAAGTCAACAATAGTTTTTTAGTCCATTAAAAAGCCTTTAATAAATTAGGGTTTCTAATTTCCCATCTCATTTAATAAGTTAACATTTCCTGAATTGTACTTTAATATATACAAGAATTTTCGTCTTCAAGGGTTTGCTGCGAACTTGGAAAACAGTAATTCTGTAAGATAGATTTGGGTAAGACGAGATTTTTTACAGCGACATTTTCTTCAAAACTAGATATCTATTACAATTCATGCAGTGCGATGTTTCTAATGTGTTTCTCCAAAAGAAATGTAAGATTTGAATTGTCAGAACAGTCAAAGGTATATATGTATATGCTCCAAGTGAGAACGAATTCAATGTTTAGAGTGTGGTTTGCAAATTGTCGAACTCGATTACACAACATACTGAGACTTTTAATTTCAAGCACATGTTCATTATAATGTTATAGTAAGATAAATTTCTAAAAGGATAAACATTTTTCTATGATCACTTTGTTTGGGATTAATTTTAGATTCAATTACTCACATTTTTATACTGACTGCCGGTAGCAATAAGCGGCAACAACACTACTGTGCTATTTGAAACTATCAAGCGACATAATAACAGTTACTGAACTTATTTTGAAACCCTTAGTGAACTCATGAGCGGAACAAAATAGTGTTCATTTTAGTCAGTTGATTAGTCATAATAATGTTAAGCTTACGTAAAAGAATATCCGTCATTAAAGAGTTTTTGACAAGTATTTATAGAGCGCTGTTGTCACTTTGTTTGCCGTACAAATCCACATTACAGTTTAAACTGAAATTCGGTAAACGAAAATCATCAACATGCCAGTGCAATATCGTGTAGAGAAGATTCCCGCAGAGTTTGACGAAATTAAGCTTCAGCAATGCGAAATTCCGAAAGCCAAAGCTGGTTATGTAGTGATTAGTACGTGCAAACAACTCAGAGCCTAATCATTTTATACTAACGACGGCTTGATAGAACTGCAAGCTGCATCTACAAACTTCCGTGACATGGCCATCTTGAAAGGAATGTACCCACTTCCTCTCAAATTCCCAGTTGTTCCCGGTTCAGACGGAGCGGGTCATATTGTTGAAGTCGGTGAAGACGTAGAAAAATGGAAGGTATGCTCCCGAAACATACACTCACAACCAAATGACTAACGTGTTTTAAACAGGTTGGGGACTACGTCTCTTGCAATTTCTTCCCGTTCTATATTGATGGCAAGTCCATTCCAGAAAGAACATACAAAGCCTTGGGCGGCACGATGGATGGATGCTTCCAGGAATATGTTGCTGTTCCTGCAGTTGGCGTCGTCAAACTCCCTGAAAGTCTTAGCCCTATTCAAGCGAGTACCCTCCCATGTGCAGGACTGACCGCTTGGAATGCTCTTTTCGGCGATAAGTCAAAGGCGTTACAACCAGGACAAAATGTCTTGATTCAGGGAACGGGTGGTGTGTCCATTTTTGCTCTTCAGTTCGCTGTAGCTGCCGGTGCTAATGTTACGGTCACTTCATCGTCCAAAGAAAAACTTGAATTCGCTAAAAAATTAGGAGCTCGTCGCCTCATCAACTATCGCGAAACTCCTCAATGGGGCCAAAAAGCATTGGAACTTACAAACAACGAAGGTTATCATCACGTCGTTGAGGTCGGAGGAAAGAAAACTTTCAAACAATCGTTGCAATGTCTTGCTCCTGGAGGCGTCATTACCAGCATTGGTTTTATCGCCAGCGAAGGAGAGGAAGCCAATTTTGATGAATTCATCTCAATGCTTCTTCATAAAGGTGCAACGATCCGCGGCATTTTTGTGGGCAGCACAACACAGTACGAGGATATGCTGAAATGCATTGAAGCCAACGATATTAAGCCGGTTGTTGCCAAAGTTTTCCCACTTCAGGAATTGAAAGATGCATACGAATTCCAATGGCAACAAAAACATATCGGCAACATTGTCCTTAAAATTTCAGATTAGGAAGAGACAATTATGAATCATTGAATTTCACAACATAGTATCACAAGTTGACCCTGTAAATACTGTTTGATAGTTTCCTAAAAAAGTACTAGATCATTACGTTACATGTGTATATTACAAGCGGGGAGGTTTTCGAGCTTGCAGCAAATCTTCAATAGCTGAGGCAATACGGATTAGATGTGGTTCCTGCCAAGCACCACTGCTTAAAGCAATTCCGTATGGAATGTTTGTTGACGATATGCCAAAGGGAACAATCACAGCTGGATACCCAGACATAGCCAAAATGTGTGTTGATGGTCCGTGATGTGGAGGAAGAACAAGCGCATCCAGCATAATGTATTCTCCAGCATCTGAATCCCAATGTCTCAATGCATCGTCAATTCCCTCTTCTCTTGATATCCAATGTATGTATTTCAAAGCTTTTTCATAAACATCGTCCTTAACACCTTTTGCATTTGCTGCTTGTATTAATCCGTCCTGACCAGAAAGAAATTGAGGATGTGAATCCGGGAAACCGCCTTCCTCCTCATTATGTTCATAATTAAATAGAATAACGTCATCAAGCGATCGTACTTTTGAGCACTTCAATTCTTTTAAATACTTGTTGATGTTATTGTAGAAGTCAACCTTTACAACAGTAAACTCGGATTTCTCTGGTTCTCCGCGGACGCCTTGATGATCCCAATTCCACGAGGGCGGAAGGTCTTCTGCATGCTTCAGGTGCACGTCTGTGTACACCGTTGTTCCAGCTTGTCTAAGTGTTTCAATAAGCTTCGTTGCGTTAGTGAGATGCTCGTCCGGAAGACGTAACCACATATCGTCCCACAAAAAACCAAGACGCAGACCCTTTAGTGCACTCTTTCCCGACAAGTAAGAAGTGTATTTACATTTGCGTGGCGTTTTTCCAATAGACGCCAATGTGTACGGGTCCATCTCATCGACACCGACAATGGCATCCAAAGCGTAAACGGCATCTTTCATAGTACGGCCAAATGTTCCCACTGAATCAAGGTGTTCACTTTCTGGAACTACACCGGCACGAGAAGTTAGGCCCACAGTTGGTTTGATGCCAACAATAAAATTAAGTGCGGCAGGTGTTACAATACTGCCATCCGTTTCAGTACCAAGGGCTATAGTCGCCATGTCACAAGTCACAGCAGCCGCACTTCCTGAACTAGAACCGCCCGGGCATCCTCCTTTACAATAAGGATTGAGTGTCTGACCCGAACGAGCGGAGTATCCTTCCATAAAACGTGAAGAACGCATATCTGCCCATTCTGACATTGCAGCGTGTCCTAAAATGACTGCACCAGCATCTCGTAAAAGCTTTACCACATGTGCATCCCGTGGAACAACACTGCCGGCTAAGGATAAGGAGCCCGCCATAGTAGTATTAGCGTCAGCAGTAGCCATATTGTCCTTCACTACAACGGGAATAGAATGCATTGGACCGCGAACATGGCCATTTGCGCGCTCCTCGTCTAGTTGTTTAGCGATTTTGACTGCATCGGGGTTCACCTCTGCGAATGCTTTTACCCTTGAGTTTAGTTTCTCGATTTTTTCAAGATACTTTCTTGTCAATTGAACGGTAGTAATGGCACCAGTGTTCAGAAAGTGCTGCAATTCATCAATAGAGTATTGTTGCTCGTCATTGAACTGTTCCGTTTTAGACATGCTTAGTCAACACTTCTTCAATCCTGCATTGAAAAGAAGATGGTTTAAGCAAATAACCGTGTTCCTTCATTGTGATTTCACCGTGAAGTCACCAATGCACAAAAACCAGTACAGACAAACCAACGTTGATTCTAGAGTCTCTGAAGGATACCAATAGCCCAATGCATTGCCGGTCGTCGACTGCGTTCGTAATGAGAGGAACGTAGAAAGTATTAGACATACCAAGGCCAGTTCCAGAAAGCAATTTTCCGACAAAAGAGGACGTTCATACTCCTTCATATAATACATTAATTGTACACATCTTCTCGTAAATACTTAACTAAGGCAGTTTTGGCGAAAGCAGCAGCATTTGCCCATTGACAGACTTAGTATCAATCATCAGATAAAAATGCTTGTAATGTTTAAGGTTTATATCTACAACGTATCAAACAAACAGCAGCTGCAGCACATGAAACCTTAAAATAATTCCCTATAACGCGTTAAATTCCGTTATAAGTTACCACCAAAAAATGATCAACGCTTTTTTATGAATGAGAGCGCACCCTCGTGTGTACCAGCCATTTCAACGAGAAAGGTTTCCACTGCCTTCATAGAGTTGACCATTTCTTAAGCGATTAGCAGATTATATAACCCACGTACCGTCATTAAAAGCCGTCTCATACCTTCATCTTTTGCAATTTATTGAAGTCGTAGAAAATGGCAAAAGCAAAAAAAGTTCAGAAAAACAAGCGTATGACACAAACTTGAACGTCTTAAAACTAACTGTGTCTGTTACAGCACTTTTTCTTGGTTCACATGTTGTTGGAGGAAAAGTTGGAAAAACAAATGGTCAGAACTCTGTACGTACATCTGTCAGAAGGTTGTTGCTTTCTTTCTCGCATCATTTTGCCTTCTTCATTTTAAGACGTTGTACATTAACAAGCATAATCATTTAGCTTGCTGCCCGTATATCCGGAAACTCAAAAACCGATTCGAACAACAAACTCGTTAAGAATGAGCTCTATCAACGTTTAAACGTTCCTGCTGGACGAACGAATCGACGTTCGACACCCTCGTCGCCTAACGGCAGCACAAACAAGAATAAAATGAGTTTCAAAACTGCTGGCAGCTCCGTTTCTATCAAAGGTAGCGCCGGTCCTACTACAGTGGTCTTGGAGAATTTGGCTCCCGGCACGTCGTCGGACGACGTTGTGGCTACGGTGAATAGTTTTGGCGAGATTATGAATTGCCAAGTTAATGATTCCCAAGGAAAAGTGCGTGCTTTCGTCCGCTTTACTACACTTGCCAGTTGCAACAAGGTGGTCGAACAGTTTAACGGTATTACTGCAGATGGTATGTTTATAGAGGGTTGCCCGGCTACCACGAACACATTTGTTGTTTTCTTTTTCCCTTCATCGGTCAATTCGTTGCGTTCATGGCTCCATTACTAACAGTTTTACTAAGGCCACGTACTCTCTGTATACCTGAAACAATCTAATCGCAAAACAAAGGCACGCCGCAATTAAATCTGTAATGATGATATACCGTCGCATTAACGGCCAGTGCTGTTTATGAAGGGCAACAGGAAAATATGTCTTAGGGCTTTGTGTTTAAGTCAGCACAATGTCTTCGAAATAGGGCAAAAACAGAGGGATGTTTTTAGGCAATAGCTCTGGGTAATTCCGCTGAATGCATTCCACTATCAGACGAAAAAGCAATGAGTTACCCATTGCAGTAAGATGCAAGCCATCACAAAACAGCAACTCCGGTGTCGGATGCGTCTGACTCTCTTCATAAAAGTGAATTGCTACTGTGTCGTCACGAGCATTAGCAATTTTGTAAATTTCGTCAACAAATGGTTTTTGAACTCTCTCATAACTAATAAGCTTTGTCGAGATGGGCGGAGAAATAACAATCTTTTTTGAGGTAGGGAACGTATCCAGTAGCGCAGTGATATTGCTTCGAAACTCGTCCGGCGAAGTCAAGAATCCATTTGGTCCAACTTGACAATCATTTGCACCCAAAAAAACAATTAATAATTCCGTCTCCTGCGGATTGATGTGTAGCTCAGGAAAGTAACGTAAAACGTGTCTCGATGTGTATCCGGATAAGCCCCAGGCCTCGACCCGCAATCGTCTCTGATAGAAATTTGTTAATTCCGCACAATACCCTCCGGGTGTAAAGCCTTTCTGGGTAAAGGAATCACCCAAAATGACCAACTTCTTAATCATTATGAGATTTCCAGCACAAAGAAATGAAGAATAACTTGAAAACTGTTGCTGCAAAAACTAGCTTTATATACTTACAATTACCGGGGTCCAACGTGCCTCATAGACACTCGCAAAATAGTTAGTCGAAAAAAAGAGCCGATATAGTACGTATAGTCGCCCTGCCAAGGTCGTTACAAAAAGAAAAGTGATCTGTAAGGCTCAATTGTGTTCGTTTCAGGCTTTACCCAAGAACATTATGGTTACCCAAAATGAAAATCCTTGAAACAATTCGTTGGAATGATTTTTTAGCGGAAACAGAGACTCATGTACCATTCATTTACTGGAACCAGAGTGTATAGTTAGGTTTAGCTAAAAAAAAATAAAAGTTTTGAGAGCATGTCGGGAACACGATGAGAACACACATCGTAAGCATTTGCAAAGAGAGAACGGTTCCTATTTTACGTTGCTCTCACTTTCCGTAACATCATACTCCAGTCTATCTTCATACTTATTTATAAAGGAGGGAAAAAAAAATTGAATTAAGACAGCTCTAGTTGCAGAAAACTCTTAAACTAATTCAATGCATGGTATAAGAAGCCGTTAATCGATACGTTTATAAAGCAGGTTGGGGGGGGGAAAGAAATTTGACTTGCAGACTTTCAGGACAACTGAACGAATTCCGCGTCAAGAAACGTATGAGAGAGAAAAGCATGGGCCACTCAAGGACGTGGTCAAGAAACTTCAAAGATTTCCGAAGAAGAAAAACTCGCAGACCCTCCGTACAGACGGAGAATGGTGTGTGATCCCTGGGGTAGGCCATGAAATAATAATTATTCAATGAGGATACGATTATCCAGTCAATCATCAATCACTGGTCCATGGAGAGTTAAATGGCAACGATATTAAGTGCAGCCGTCAAGGCGAGACCAAAAGCCAACCACGTGAAAGCGCTGTTCTTTGATTTACCTGTACGATCATGATGCACTGCTTGGGGCAAGACAATGCGTAAGGAAAGAATTATCATCATACCTGCAGTTGCTGCAAAAATACATCCATACATACAACTGAAGAAACTTTCCGACAAACCATGTTGCGTATGCAAGACGAGAAATGCCAACAAAGCACCCAGAGGCATACTTGTTGTGGTAAGCGCTGAACCAACTAAGAATGAACGGAATCGCGAATGCCAGGCCAAGTACAAGGGGTAGGCAATGGTGAAACCTTCGAACAAGTTGTGAACAGACATCGCAAGAAATACAAGCATTCCAGCATCAGAAGACGACGTCATGAAAATAATAAATCCTTCAGGAAGCTTGTGGAGACTAATTGCAATGGCTGTTTGAAGACCAACGGTGAACATGCTTTTCTCGTGATCACTCCCACAGCTAGAACCAGAGAGAATACTCGGAGCCTGCTGGTCCGGATGATGACACTCGCACGCACAGGTAGCCATGCTGGCGTTTCCGTCCTCTACCATGAGTGGACGCCGTTCAGTACTATTGGCGTACTCTTGGTGATGAACGGCTACCGAAGATTGATGCGAGTGTGTCCGAGACCATGAGCCTACGGAGGTTTGAGTATCGTCATCCTCCTCGCCGTCTGAGTGTAGGGCACCGAAGGGAGACTTGTGGATGTAATGATGGACGACAGTATTAAAACCATTAAACAATACCATACCCAAAATGAACCAAACGCTACGAAGGAAACGGGCCTTCTTGTCGGTTATCCCTTCGATTTTTTCAAAGTATTCAAGAGCCTCTGGATATAAACTTCCCAGTGCACTGTAAAGCTGAAAAGTTAGCATTGAGTTCAATCAAAGTATGAGTGCGAAAAAAGAAGCAAGAAAGTGCATTGATGGACGCGGATGAGAAAGCAGAACACAACCTACGTGGACAATGGAACTTGTCGTGTGTCGTGCAGGCTTTAAATCATTGGCTCAGACCTATAGAGAAGTTCAAACGTCGAAAAGCAAAGAAAAGAGCCTCGTTACAAGACACATGAACACAAAAAACTCTTCTTAAAGGTGTTCTGTGCCAAGAGATAGCGCATCTGCATAGTTGCATCTCGTAGATCGTCTCCAATACCTTCTCATTGCCGGTCGATCATTTTTAAACGACAAAACACTCTTCTGCGAGGGAATTTCGCAATCAAGACGAATTCGAGCGATACTTAGCTCGAAACGAGACATACCAAGATTCCAGAACTCATTCCGAGACCACAGACAAGAGCCATGTCACTATTTGCGAGATCCAATGTGTCCGAGTTCGTCAATTTATTAACAATGACATCCAACCACACTGATGCTGCACCAAGGATGCAAAAGGCATTCGCAGCAAAGCTTAGGGCCCTGTTGGAGTTAGTTTGGTCACAAAAAACAAGGTAGATCATATAATTCTCACCATCCTTTACCGTTGCCCATGTTGCTCTGAGGGAGAAAGTTCGCAGCGCCAGCGATTTAAAGCGCAGGCTGTGCGCTATCTACCAAGTAGTTTCACGGGGTATCTCGCTTACATGACTGTATTCCTAATAACCGTATCAGATTAACGTAAGGTTTCAGGGATGAACTAAGATAAGAAACTCACCACCAAAAGTGCTACACCAAGAACGCCAGGACTTGCTTAGCAGTAGTCGCCCGCCCAGCTGTAACTTGTTTACCGCCCCACCATATTCTCTCCTTACCGGTCTGATAGCCTGCAAGACCAGACAGCTTCATCATGAATCCTGTTGCGCTCTTTTCGATAATATTTTACGCTTTCAGCAGCTTGTTCAAGCTTTCGTATGCCCAACCAGGCACTCGGAAGCTTAGTTCAATGACGTTGGAGAAACCGTACATTGACCATGGAATGCGTAACTTGTGGTGGGAATATGGCGGAAACACGGTCGTTGATAGAAAGAATGGTGTCTTGTTGACTCAAGACTTATCTGAACAACACGGTTGGATTTCGTCTCGCCTCCCTGCTCCTGCTCGCAGTTTTGTAATTGATTTCGAGGTCAAGATCCATGGATTGGGCACCACGGTCTACGGAGATGGAATGGGTATTTTCTTGACGGAAGAACGTGCAAAAACCGGACCTGTCTTTGGTTTCGCTGACGAGTTCACTGGCTATGGCATTTTCATTGACACGTACAATAACAACCGTCCCCGTACCGCTTTCCCCTACGTTATGGCTATGAAGGGCGATGGAAAGACAAAGTACGACGTTGAGAATGACGGCAAGGCCAACGAAATCGGTGGCTGCTCTGCTCGTCGTTTCCGTAACTCTCGTGTTGCTACCAAGGGCCGCATCACATACCGTAAGGACTTGAAGAAACTCAGTCTTGACTTGGCCTACCTTGAGAAGGATGTGTACGTTAGCTGCTTCGAGTTGGAGGATGTCGAATTGCCTCAAACAACTTTCCTTTCCTTCAGTGCCCACACTGGCGAAGTTAGCGATTACCACGAGGTGATTTCTGTTGTTACCCATGAGCTCACTGACGAAAATAAGGATGCTGCTGCCTCTCCTGCAGCCAACAGTCAGCCAGTTGTGGACACTCCCATCAACAATGCCCCCAAGGTCAAGGGCAGCTCTTGGAAGAAGCCTGTCATCCTCGTTCTTTTCTTCTTAATTCTCGTCTTTGGTTTTATGGCTTACCGCTCTTATACTCAGCAACGGATGCGTAGAACTTCCGTGCTCTAAAGGCTGCATGAAAACTATGTCTTGCTTAAGGAAAAAACGTATACACTACTGTCTTGTTGGTGCAACCTGAGAAGCGAACAGCTTCCTGTCATGATTTAATTGTCTTCCCTATGATCTTTAAAAATTGAAGCAAGCATGAAAAAAGAAAATACGCACTATGAACTACGAAAGCAGAGCTAGTATGACCTTTCGACCTTTGCAAGCGTTATTTTCATCCGTCTACGTCTTTCCATTTTAATGGGGAGTTTCAAAACGCTAGACAACAGTTTAATCAAACTAAGTATGCTTAATTCAACTAATTATAAAACGCATGGGGAGTTGTAACTTGCAACTACTCGCAATTTCTGTTCCACCGCTTGTTTTATTCATGCAGAATTCATGATACAGGGTAATATGGAGGGGAGCCGTTCGGTTGCTTCGCATACTGTGTCAATTCTTGCATTCGAAATCCTGTGTGTCTTCACTTTCTTCCATTTAATTAGAGTTCGCTTAATTTTGCCACGTGTAACACACGTTCGAACTTTAAACAAGGCTGACCTCACCACCATTCATTGCCGCTGCAAGTGTAAGTATACACGACTGTAATCCAGTCCCCACGTCGACACAAAAAAACCGCTCACATGGATGACAAGCAGGCGGTTCGCGGACCGACTTCTGAGGTCCTGCAGACCGCGGAAGACGCCACAAGTTCAGAAATCGTGGACGGAGATATTATTCAGCCGGTCTTGGAGACGAAAAATGCTTCTGAGGTTTCTGAATCTTCGGGTACAGAAGTAGTCGAGGGTGACAAACAAGAAATAAAAGAAATGGAACTGAACACTGCAGCGACTTCCAGTTCTGTAGAACAATCTTTGGTTGCTCAAAAGCCCTCCGAAGCTGTTGACGGTGTTACTGAAGACGAAGCTTCACCTGACTGTATCATTTGTTTGTCTGAAATTCCTGTATCACCGCCTTCCACCCCAATTGCCACCTTGGTTTGCGGTCATTTCTTCCATAATAATTGTCTTGAAACATGGTGCAATGTACGTCCTAATTGGTTTTGAATCGTTGTTTCTCGTTCGACATACTAATAGTTCTCCAGGTTGCAAACACTTGTCCCTTGTGCCGGGTAGTTTTTCACAAAGTTGATTTATACGAGTATAAAGGAGGTATGTAACACAAATAGGGGTCTTCTGCGTTGTGTTTGATTCATTAATTACGTTTTCAATCGCTAGATTGTTAAGTCGACCTTTTGAATTACACACATAGCAAAGAACAATTTACTATTTTATTACATAGAGGCATTAGTACTAACTTGTTGAAGGTCCATGGGTTCGAGCATATCCCGTCCAAGACAAAATTCAAGGCGTCTCAGAGGGTCCCGACCTTTCAGAAGTCAGATGCATTGTTTGTGGCCGAATGGATCAGGAAGATATGCTTATGCTGTGTGATGGTTGTGACGATGCTTATCACACGTTCTGCTTGGATATGACTTCGGTTCCCGTGCACGAATTTTACTGTCCCAACTGCATGCTTCTGAATGGCCGTCTGCAAGACTCTTCGCTGCTTCGCATGTCCAACATACTTGCTCGTTCAAACACTCGTCCTGCACGTGCTTCTCGGGTTTCGCTTACCCAGCAGCGGTTGTGGACGCGCGCTTGGAACGAACTTCGAAATCGAACTTGGCAGTTTTTGGATGCGGATTTAGCTTATCTTTCTTCTTTTCAAAATACAAGCTTCCAACGTTCCTCACCGGCTGATGAATGGATACGACGCCGCGTTGAGCAGACTTCTCGACGCTCTCGGCATACTGATGTAAATTCATCTAGAACGGCGGAAGGAGATTCTTCTGCAGAACCGTGCGCTCACATGAATCCGGAGGAGCAAAAAGCTTGGAGTGAGCTGGAGGTGCTTCGTCGGAATCCAGAGCAAGTTTCAGATGATGCTGAAAGAACATCGACAACTAGCCCCCGCTCCAAAAAAACTGAAGAACGATCAAATAAGCCGACACCGTTAGCATCAGCAGCCCCAACATCTTCTAACTCCTCGGTTACCAAATTAAAACGCCCCATTCACCGCGCATCAGATAGACGCGAGTCTGTTGCAAGCTCCTCAAGTGTTCAAACTTCTCCTCAGGCATCGCTACTAGGCTCATCGTCTGGTGGACCGTCTTTTCTCGCAAACTTGGTTAGTGATATTAAAAAGCCTACCGTTCCCGGCACACAACCTATCCTACAACTTAACGATATTCAAATACCAAGTCATCCGCCGGCACTATCTGACACATCCGCTTCTGCTTCTTCCTCGCCTTCTCCCCCTCCATTCACACCTCTGTTCTCTCATTTAGCGCCCAAGGCTTTACCGGTGATAGAAACACATCATGATGCTCACGATGTCGAAAGACAAACAACGTCCAATACAGAGATGACCAACACAACTCACTCATCTAAGCATTCGACTCGTTTACGACGCAAACTCCCTCTAGAAGTCAAATACGAAGTCGAGAAGATGGTGCGCGCAACACTTAAACCCATGTATCACGATGGTCAACTATCGAAAAAGCAGTTCGCCTCTTACAACAAACACATATCGCGATCACTTTACGATTCTTTGCTCGACGGAAGCCTTTCGTACGAGCTTTCTCAGAGGCACAGTTTACAGAACGCAGTTAAGGATAGAGTCAGGGAGGCCTTCAACAAAGGTCGCTGAAGGCAACGGGTGCGTAAATTGCAATCCTGCTGTTCCTTAGAATAGTGTGATATGCTTCATATGCGTATGTGTTACTTCCAAAAAAAAGTGTGCGTCGTGTCACGAATAACTCTTTTTTATTTTGTACAAGTAGTTTTGAACCATTAATATAACGTCTCATGAATTAACCAACGAGATTGGATTGTTTAAGTAATGCAGGTTGATATTCATCTTCTACGGGGAGGTCTTGGACGATGGAATGCCATTTTGGAAGTCTGCTGGGAGGCAGGCTTCTCCAGACCGACGGACGTTTTCAAGTCGTTTTCATCAATATCGTTAACGCTACCATACTCGATCTGTTTTGTCAGTAAGATTTGGAATTGAAACAAACCCAGACAGAAGCCCAAAAGAACGTTTGACCAGCAACAGCTTGTAATCTAAGTTCATACCTTTCCATCAACAGGGAAAAATTCCTTAACCGAGTCTAAAATACCTGCGCGGGAGGAGGAGTACAGCATGCGATTCTTAACAGTAGAAGTCATAGGACACACGTAAACAAACACTACATGCGGTTAGTTAAGTGCCTAAAGAGATGCCGCTTACCTATTTTATTCCCACCGGGAGCAGCTATAGTGTAAAAAGCATAACGTGGCTCGGATTCGCTGAAGTGAGATTTTAATTGAGAAGGTGGGATCTGAGATTTCTCAACCATTTGAATGACTTCGTTTGTGATTGACTAGACAAAGTTAGAGACCCTGCAAAAACTGTCACCCGAAATCTGTAAAGCATAAGCGACAATAGCCACTTGTGCCTGGCTACATTAGTGAACATACCAGCACAATGAGCGTGTGTTCAGGATCGTTCTTCAGTTGCGAAAGTGTATCAGATGCATCTTTTGACAAAGCCAAATGAACTCCCCGAGGTGCATGAGAATTGGGACGATGTTGGATAATCTGAATAGTTAGTATGACCACTACAACGTTTTAAGGACGCACCTCTTCCTTTGCAGTTGAGATTCTTTCACTTATAGCGGGAACGGGAGAAGAGCTATCCGAGGACAACTGTTTCAAATCCTCCTTTGAGGTAGCAAACAGTGTCTTCTGCACACGTTCCAAGGTAACGATATCAAGGATGGCCGAACGACTTGATGCAAAAAGCATTTTACGTCGGACATTTGCTTCATCTGGAACAAAAGAGACTAAGTGCAGTTTACTGGGGTCGGTTTCTGCACGAACAAAAATAAAGTATGGCTCGTCATTGGGCAAAATTGCTTCTAAAGACTGTACAACGGATCCATTTTGTGCATCGGAAGAAACGGTTTTGTAGACAGAAAAGTATTTTTCTGATAGTTAGCTCGAAGAAGGACAACGTTTTGAGAAATTTGACTGTGTCATTCTTCGTAGGCAAAGAAACAGAACCCGTGTGTTTCCATGAACATGAAATGAGCAAGCCCTCAGATTACGATGAACCACATTTCAATTGTCTCCTACATACCGTCCGTAATAGTGACTACAGCTGCACTAGTTGTAAACGGATGACTGTTATTTAGAAAGTCGGAAAAGCTGGAATGGGCTACACGGTTAATACCTCAGGAACAACACAAGACGTGGAAACACAACAAACCTTCCAATTGTAATTTGTTAGACATGATAGACGGGGAGGCTGCGTACACACCGACACGGTTGAGCCGCTACTAATGGAGAGGACACGGTACAGTTCACTATTCCGCCGTAGGTTGGAAACGAAAAAGCAAGTTCAGTCGCTGTTAAAATGCCTGGTTTTTTGTTCTATATGTACTGAAATAGCTATGAAATGTTCACTGGGCAGTGCTTTTCAATGAAGTGTATTGTTCAGCAAACCAGTCAATTCTACTCAACAGCGTCCCGAGCTTTGTTCAATTGCTAAAACTCAACACCTCACATGTCCTCCTTTCCTCCAAAATCAACGCAATGAATATCAAAGTATTGGGGTTGGTACTTATCTTTGTCGTTTGTTGCAGAATGAGGTCCAGTGACGAGTATTACTAATCGTTGAATCTCCACGCTCTGCACCCAAATCCTCAACCCTAATACGAAGTCTAAAACCCCATGACTCTACCGGCTGGACACACCACGAAAGGTGATACAGAAACTTACTCTACTTACGCACACACACATCCATCGACCAGCAATGAGGCATTTCGCTAGGCATGTTTTGGTGGTGAGTTTTAAAATAAGGTTGAAATAAAGTTCTCGCTTAGTCGCTTCTGTTTAAGCAAAAAACTACAAACGTTTTCAATGTTTTGCTTAGTCTATACATTCGCACAAAGGTTGACTGGGCAATTTCTGTAACTGGGTTGTGTCATGCAAGCGACTACCCGCAAGTTTCTACAAAGTATGCACCAGTCCCCTTCACTAACTGGCCCGCCAAAATTAGCCTTAAATTAGCCGAACAAGGGAGCTCCCTAGGAACGATTTGTATGTACTAGTAAACAGCCCTCATTATATACAAGCTGTCGTTAGATGGTCCGTTTCTTGACATCACATATGTTTCAGTTTCATGTCTGTGATGGCCCAAATCGTCGGTGACTAACTGTTGGTGAAAGCTCAAGGAACAGTATAGTACCACCAAGAAACATTCTTTCGTTATTACCTCAACGAAAGAAAAACAAAATTTGCCACGCGACTGTCTCGGACTCAGTTTTGTCATCCGGCTTGCGGCAGTCCATCTGTTGCACCCACGCCCCTTGTTGCTTTAATACTGAGATTGATCAGTGGAGTTGATCTCGACCCACGTAAGTAGAACGTGTGGCCCTGCTAGAACGCTCTTGTCCTTGAATACTGTGTGCCACTCTGCTGTGCACCTTTCAAATATACTCGTCGCACACATATGAATTACCCATTGGAAGTTCCCTCGAATGCGGACCGCTCCAGCGGTGTGGAAGTAATTGATGATGACAAGGAAAAAACGTGTGTAAGCGATGCAGAAATTTCAACGAAAACATTGGCTGCAGCCGTCTCGGCGGACTCGGTAGACGACCATTCGAGTAGAGGTATCCGAGGCCTTTTCAAATTACAGAAGGCAGAACTTGGCGAGGATACAGAGCCCAAGGACTCACGAACGGCAAGTTTAAAACCGCGTCATTTGCGTATGATCGCTCTTGGCAGTGGTATTGGCACCGGTCTCTTCATTGCTTCAGGTAATATCCTCAAGAGTGGTGGCCCTGGTAGTCTGCTCATTGGATACATTGTCATGGGTGCCATGGTGTGCTGCGTCGTTAATGCTCTTGGCGAAATGTGTTGCATGTTCCCAGGCAAATCGTCCTTCTCCTACTATACCCGGCGGTTCACGGACGAGGCAAGCTCGTTCACCCAAGGTGTGCTGTACTGCTGTACTGCGATAGTAATGTTTCCGGCAGAAATTACAGCCGCTGGTTTTGTTGCGCAACATTGGCAACAAGCACAAAAGTTCCCTACTGCCGGGTGGATGAGTGTGTTCTTTGCCTTCGTCGTTGTCATAGCGTGTACCGGTACTCGTGGATACGGCGAAACAGAGTTTCTTGCTTCCATGCTCAAGGTTGCTGCCGTAGTCATCTTCTTCTTCACAGCCATTATCATCAATTGCGGAGGCGCGCCCAAGGGTGGATACATAGGCCTTCGTTACTGGCACGATCCCGGTGCGTTCAATAACGGCTTTAAAGGTTTTTGCTCCGTCTTCATTACCGCTGCCTTTTCACTGGCAGGTGTGGAAATTATAGGCATTGCTGCAGGCCAAACAAAAAACCCACAGAAGGCCATTCCCGGAGCCTTGAAGAGGGTATTCTATCGCATCCTTGGTTTTTTTGTGATCACCCTGTTTATCGTTTCCTTGAATGTCGCATATAATGATTCGCGTTTGGGCACACAATCCGGTTTCCATAATGTTACATCACCGTTCATCCTTGCCATTCAAGACGGAGGCATTCGTGTGCTGCCAGACATAGTTAACGCTGTCATCCTCATCTCCATTCTGTCTGTCGCAAACACAAGCGTATTCATGGCGAGCAACACGATTTATGGAATGGCGCTTTCACACCAAGCCCCTCCCGTGTTTACATACGTGAACAAGCACGGCTTACCAGTTGTGGCCGTCGGCCTTTGCTTTGCGTTTGGTTTTCTCGCTTACGTTAACACGACCAAGGGAGGTGAAACGCTTTTCAGCTGGCTTACCAATATATCCGGAACAGCCTCGCTGCTCGTTTGGATCTCGCTGTCATACGCTCACATCCGCATGCGTCTAGCCATGCGGGTCCAAGGCGTTCCCGACGATATTATGCCATACCGTAATCGTTTCGGCATATGTGCTAGCGTCTTCGCCATCGTCATCAATTCCCTTGCTCTCATCGCACAAATTTGGATTGCCATTTGGCCGGTCGGCGGAGCCAAACCCTCTGCCAATTACTTTTTTGAGCAAGTCATTGGAATCCCCATCGGCATAGCAGCATGGTTTGGATGGCTTCTGTGTCGCCGTACCGGATTCCCTTCGTTGAAAGACATCGACTTAACCACTGGTCGCTACGACCAGGGCTCCGATTTTGATAGGGAAACCTTCAACGAGAAGCTTCATGGAGACAAACCCCAAACAATAAGAGGTCGCGTGTACGACTTCTTTTGCTAAAAAAAAAAAGGGCTCGTGCTGTCACAAACAACCAACAACTGCTCTCTTCCTCCTATATATGGACCTTTCCAGTTCCGTTAATCACCTCTTTTCCCCGAATGGCCGCCATCAAGCAATGGCTTTACGGCCCAAATGTACTACAACGCCATCTACGAAGGCAAATAAAAACTGAAACAGCGAACCTTTCCAACGAAAAAGCGCTGACGCCCCATTTAAGTAGTCCCCTCCATCGTTTTCTTCAATGTCACCCTTACAGACACCAACACATCAATACCTATACTTTTTGGGCTTCATACTAAGCAATACCTTTTATATATACTTCATCGGGGCGGAGATTTGTTCTATGTAATACGATTCGTGTGCGGACTTTATCTGGTCGGCAATAGATAGACCAGAACAAAAAGCCGCGTTGACATAAACAAAGCATAAAAAGAAACCGAGACAAAGCAATTCTTTCGTACAATAAAGAAATCATGTTTCGGACTTGATTGACGTTCTTTGTTTTATGGAAATAGCACAATTTGCGTAATAAAGCTGTGAGAACACAGTATCTGTCCAGGTCAGTAGAGCCGATCTCCCTCGGTGACAAAGTCGCAATGATAGGAAGTTTGCTAAGTATATTCATTCACCTGTTGCAATATACCCGTCCACTTATGAGGCTAAATTATGTCAATTTGTAATGATTGTTGTTGTAATGTTTCTATCGATACCATTAATTGAAATCAGAAAATAAAAATCAGAAATGAGACATTGAAACTTGATAGGTTAATAACAAGGTGTCAGGAGTATCAGCTCTGTTTTCATTAGAAAAAAGAACGTAGACATAGACTTGAATCTGCACTGGAATTTAATTAAAGACGGGTGTACCGGAGATTACGTATAACTGTTTCCATTTTCGTCTAGTAAGACAGAGTGTGCAGCGGAAAGGATCTCCGAGTCACAATCACGCTTCATATTTGTAAGCAGAGTACATAAGCAAGTTGAAGTAGCGAGAGACACGGTGAATGCTTGCTCATCTGGTCGTAGTATTGTGCCTGTTCTCACCCGTTACCAAGAATTCATGAACACCAGTACATTAACACTCTCTTATGAATGTTCCACTTGTTAGCAAACTATAGCCAGGTACCGTGCAGCTTTGCTACATGAAACAGAAGCACAATTCCGATCTTAAAATGCTTGTATACTGTTTTCCCGCCACTAATATGGTCGGCTTATGGCATAAATTATCGCTGGCGAAAACTTTAATGAGATTAGACTGCGGGGTGATGTAACCTCGGGTCCAACTCTTATCAAGTCTTCAGAATGACAGATCCGGATCGACTATTGTGAAACTTCCAGCTACGCTTTATGGTGACTACGAATAGATGAAATAGTTTCTTTTGTACTGAACAAGAAATATTAAAGATGAGTCTTAAAATCCATATTGATCGAGGAGGAACATTTACAGACGCTATTGCCACGTTCACCGACAAGTCCCGTGAACCAATTGCCATTAAACTTCTGTCAGAAGATCCTAGTAATTATAAAGATGCTCCGTTAGAAGCTATTCGGCAGATTTTGGAGAAAGCAACGGGAAAATTGTTTCCTCGAAATGAACCTCTCGATACCTCCTCCATTTATCATATTCGCTGTGGAACTACAGTAGCTACAAACGCTTTGCTCGAGCGAAAGGGTGAACGTTGTGCATTTATCACCACCAAAGGATTCAAAGATGCTTTAATAATCGGCACGCAAGCGAGACCTAATATTTTTGAGCTTGATATTAAACGCCCCGAAGTACTGTATTCTAAAGTGGTCGAAATCAATGAACGAGTAACGCTGGAGGATTTTGTCGAGGATCCTAGCAATACAAAAACAAAGATTGACGGTAATGACCCCGACTTGGTGATTGGAAGATCAGGAGAGGTTGTACGGATTTTAAAGCGCATCGACGAGAACGAAGTCCGTTTAGCTCTTAAAGGACTACGTGATGAAGGGTTTCAGAGCTTAGCCGTCTGTTTTGCTCACAGCTTCACTTATCCAGAACACGAAAACATTGTCGGACGAATTGCAAAGGAACTCGGTTTTGAACATGTTAGTCTTTCTGCCCAACTCATGCCTATGATTAAATTCGTTTCTCGTGCGAATTCTGCCACTGCGGATGCCTACCTTTCCCCCGTCGTACAAAAGTACATCTCTGGCTTTGCTGCTGGCCTTGAACATGGCATCGCTAAGAGTGACCGTTCCGGCACTGGTACTGGTTCCGGAACACGTTGTGAATTTATGCAAAGTGACGGAGGTCTTATTGACGTGAGCATGTTTTCTGGCCTTCGTGCAATCTTGTCTGGACCAGCTGGCGGCGTTGTCGGATATTCTCTTACTTCTTATGACGATCGAACTAAGATTCCCGTTATTGGTTTTGACATGGGTGGTACTTCTACAGATGTCTCTCGTTTCGGCGGTGAGTACGAGCTTGTCTTTGAAACAACTACCGCTGGCATAACTATACAATCCCCTCAGCTCGATATAAACACCGTTGCAGCCGGAGGAGGTTCTCGTCTTTTTTGGAAGAATGGTCTCTTCAATGTCGGTCCTGAAAGTGCAGGGGCACATCCTGGACCTGTATGCTATCGCAAAAATGGTTATCTGGCAGTAACAGATGCCAACCTTGTCTTGGGACGTTTACTCCCCGAGTCGTTTCCCAACATCTTTGGTCCCAATGAAAATGAACCGCTAGACTATGAGGCTGCATTTCACGCATTGTCCGAAGTAACGAAACAGGTGAATGCCGAAACTAATGCAAACATGACTGTGGACCAGGTCGCCTATGGTTTTATTAAAATAGCCAACGAATTAATGGCTCGTCCCATTCGAGCACTAACTGAAGCCAAGGGCCATGATGTATCCAAGCACCGTTTGGCATCGTTCGGAGGTGCTGGGGGTCAGCACTGCGTTGCTGTTGCTCAATCCTTAGGCATCCATCAAGTGCTCATTCACAAGTATAGCTCTATGCTTTCTGCTTATGGTATGGCGCTGGCTGATGTCATTGCAGAAGTTCAAAAACCAACTTCAGAAAAGTTGGAAAAGAATTCTATTCCCGTTTTCCAGCAGCAGTTTTCCGAACTTCAACAAGAAGCTCGCGGCACATTAAAGAAACAGGGATTTTCAGATGAGCAGATTGGCTATACTCTTTATCTTAACTGCAGGTACGAGGGTACCGAAAGTGCTATCATGATCCGAAAACCTAACGAGTCTTGGGATTTCTTGGGAGCATTTCTTGCTCAACATAAGCAAGAATATGGCTTCTTGTTTGAAGGACGTGATGTTGTAGTGGATGATTTACGTGTTCGCGCAACTGGAAAGAGTGAGTCCTTGGACGAGGAAAGCGTTGATTCACAATTAGAGAGTCTCAAATTCCATACTCTGAGCACTGACGCGGCCGACGAAATGCGATCCGTATATTTTGAGGGTGGTCGTCGAGAAACACCTGTCTATTACATGAAAAATCTACAAGCTGGCAGCAAGATAAACGGACCGTGTATGGTTGTTGACAACACGCAAACAATTGTCGTTCCCCCCAATTGCACTGTTTTGTCACTCAAAACTCACACTGTGATTAATGTTGAGAAAGAAAAGACGAATGAGCTTGCCATCGATGGAATAATTGATCCCATCTATCTTTCAATTTTTGGTTCTCGCTTCATGGCCGTCGCCGAACAAATGGGTTACACGTTACAGAAAACTAGTGTATCAACAAATGTGAAAGAGAGACTTGATTATTCATGTGCTATCTTCGACGCTGATGGCGGTCTTGTTGCAAATGCCCCACATTTGCCTGTACACTTGGGTTCTATGTCTACTTGTGTACGTACCCAAGCTGAACTGCATAAAGGGACTCTGAAACAAGGTGATGTTCTTGTAACTAACCATCCTTCTTACGGAGGAACACACCTCCCGGATATCACCACAATTACTCCGCATTTTCATAACGGTAAAATTGTTTTCTACGTTGCTTCAAGAGCTCACCATGCTGATATTGGTGGGCTTCTTCCAGGAAGTATGCCTCCCTCAAGTAAAGAACTTGCTGAAGAAGGAGCGCGCATTAAGAGTGACAAGGTTGTAATTGAAGGAAACTTTAACGAAAAGCGAATGATTGAGCTGTTGCAGGACGAGCCTGCAACAATTGAAGGGTGCTCGGGTACTAGATGCCTGACTCATAATTTAAATGACTTGAGAGCCCAAGTGGCGGCAAACCAAAAGGGTATCAACCTTATTGGATCTCTATTCGCGGAATATGGTGAGCCTGTTGTTCTTAAATACATGCGTGCTATTCAGGAAAATGCGGAAAACGCAGTACGACAATTGTTGATGAAGGTTAAGGAGCGTTTTAAGGGACAAGATTTGCACGCAGAAGATTTTATGGATGACGGAACAAGGATTGCTCTTCGTATCTCAATTGACGGCGAGACTGGAGATGCTGATTTTGATTTTACCGGTACTAGTGAAGAAGTGTATGGAAATACAAATGCGCCAATGGCCATTACATATAGTGCCATCATTTATGTTTTGCGCGCACTAATCTCTGAATCAATACCTTTAAATCAGGGTTGTTTGAAACCGGTCAAGGTACACATTCCCGAGAACAGTTTGCTGTGTCCTTCTGAAACAGCAGCTGTTGTCGGAGGTAACGTGTTGACTTCGCAGCGCATTACTGATGTTATTCTTCGTGCTTTCCAGGCATGTGCTGCTAGTCAAGGTGATATGAACAACCTTACTTTTGGTATTGGCGGCAAGGATCCCGAAACTGGAGAAGTGAAACCGGGTTTTGGGTACTACGAAACAATATGTGGAGGTTCGGGTGCCTGTAATGGCTCTGATGGCGTTTCTGGTGTGCATACACACATGACGAACACACGAATTACTGATTTGGAAGTCCTTGAGCGGCGATACCCCGTTATCTTGCACCAGTTCTCTCTCCGACCTAACTCTGGAGGCAAGGGTCAATGGATTGGTGGTGATGGAGTAATTCGAGACATTGAGTTTCGTATTCCCTTAATGGTTTCTATATTATCTGAACGACGAGTATACCATCCATACGGCCTCAAAGGTGGAGAACCGGCAGAGCGTGGAAAGAACATATGGTTGCGAAATCGGAAGCTTTCCAATGGCGAACTTTCTGTACGCCGTATAAATTTGGGAGGAAAAAACACTTGCAATATGATGCCTGGCGACCACTTTATCATTTACACTCCTGGAGGCGGTGGTTTTGGACCTGCAACTAAACGCAAGGAAAGTATGCAACAATCAGGTGGGGTTGATGCATGTCGTGCCAATGGAAGTATCAAAATTAGACAGGGAGCACAATTGACGAATTAGAGCTGCATCGAATCCTGTTTTCAACCACACGTTAGACAAACGTGTTTAAGAATAATATCCTAGGCTCTGTATTTTCAAAAATTACTGCCTACTGATGGTGTGAAATGTATGTTCGTCTGTTATTACTACTTGGGGAATGGATGCTATGATAAAAATAAAACGATGAACGGGTTAACAATTGAAATGGCTCTCATGCTTGAGATGAGTGTAATGTACCAGTGATTTAGTTTAGCGGAACGTGATAATACGGTGTTTATCACAAAAACATACTTACAAAACAATGGTATATCGCATTTTAAACATTGACACCTGTACGAGGTCTTACAAGTTGTAGTAATATTACATACCTGTTATTATTGATAGGATTATAATTCTTTGTTGAAGCACGTATTTATATAACCACCACGAATTGGCATACATTGAACTCACGATGTCATTTAGCGGAGGTTTGCATGCTGTAACATTTTCGTACGAAGTGATCTAACATATAGCTGGCGGGGTTCCTGGTAGTTTGAAGAAGATTCCTCCTGAACGCGGCAGTTTTCCCTTGGATCACTATGGTAAGGACTAGTTATTCGTTTTCTGTGAGTAGGGAAGAAGGTGTCTTGAAGTGTTCCCAGTAGTGAGTCTATATTACGACCAAAGAAAAGTTTTTGAGAATGATACCAACGGTAGAACATGTCTCAAAGATGCACCCTCAATCAAGTTGACAGATACTGCGTTCACTAAACACATGGATATCGTCTTCTCCTTTCTAAGACACCACGATGTTTTCTTACAAGTACTAACTATGAAGGGGAATGCAAGGAAGTGATGCAACGCTATTTGGCTTGCCTTAAAGCAAATAAGACTGAACAACAAAAATGTCGGCCATTGGCAAAAGAGTATCTTCAATGTCGTATGGACCGTGAGCTATTTGGAAAAGACGACATGAAGAATCTAGGTTTTAAGGATGAGACAGAGGAGACAAAAACTCCCTCACAACCAAACGACACGAATACCCAAGAGCAACAACAGAAGAATGATGACCATAAGTCAAATGAAACAAGTTCATAAAGTGCCGTAGTGGACATGGTTTAACGAATTACTAGTTTAGCTTTTCATTTTCTCTCAGTAAATTACATATCATTTTTACGCGTATGACAGACATGCCTTTTCAGTTACGACACTCTGCTTCATCATTAAATAGCCTACCTGCATTGCCATTGCATACTGTAAAACACGTTTATATATATCTTATCAAGGGTTCCACCTTTGTACCACTCAGACTTAATTTATTCGCTCCTTCCACCGGATAGCAAGGCTAGTGAACGCTTTAAGGGGGATATCTTATCATCGCTAATAATGTCTTAATAAAGTCCTTTAAGCCCTACAAAAAGGAGAATGAAGTTCGGTTGAAGACAAGGATCAGGTGGAGAGTCGTTACCAATGTATTTTTCGCTCCCTGTTTTGTCAGTAATGAAAGCGAGTATCGGACTTGTAAGGACTACTCCGATCTCTGCTTAGGATCTGTTAAACAAGTCTGGATTTTATATTACCGATAACGTCTATTTTTTTAAAGCAAGCTATTGATATCTTGTTATCCGAGATTTCACGGGTGTCTCGTCCATTCAAAATTCGTGGATAACGCTTATAAAAAAACATTACTTACGGTTTTGTCTCTGTTACCCTTGTATACCACTAAGTTCGTTAGAAGACGTTTCCGTTAAATTGCTGGAAGCACTCTACAATTACTCTACAAAGAGAATTTGGTAGCTTTAAGGAAGCTTCAGTGATAACCGTTTCTTTAAAGGGTTTTAGTCAAACCATTCATCTTCGCACAAGGGCTTTAAGGAGCACTGAGTCTGGTATTTTTCTAGCTATCCTAAATTACGAAAGATGCAAATTATCATTGTTGGTACTTTCGTCCATACTCCTTCCATAAGCAACTTGGAGATATTTGACGGGACAGTTGGTGTGAATAATGGCTTGATTGTCTTTTTAGAGCGTTCCACTATGGAGGAAACAGTACGCCAAGCCAAGCTCTTACCTGGAATGGCTGACTCAATGGTTTTGCGATTATCTCCACTCGAATTTGTGTGCCCGGGAATGATCGATACACACATACATGCTCCTCAGTACGCAAATTGTGGTTTGGGAATCGATCTGCCGCTGTTGGAATGGCTTGACAAATATACTTTTCCTCTCGAGAAATCAATGACAAAACTTGAGACAGCATTTCGTTCGTTTAGTCAAGTTGTTCACCGCACACTTGAACATGGAACTACGACTGCTAGCTATTTTTCTTCATTGCATGCACACTCATCTGCACTTCTTGCGGACTTATGTTACCATCACGGACAAAGAGCGTTTATCGGAAAATGCAATATGGACACCCTTGCTCCTGACGACTATCGGGAATGCTCTGCTGAGGCATCTGTTGACGCTACGCAAGACCTTATTCGGTTCATGTCTAAACTGGACCCTTCTCGGACGCTGGTTAGTCCTATAATTACCCCACGTTTTGCGCCTAGTTGTTCAGAACAGTTACTGTGTGAGTGTGCAGCATTGGCAAAAACGCATAATTTGCCGATACAGACACATGTTTCCGAAAACAAGGGCGAAGTTGACTTGGTCAAGCGAATGTTTCCTAACAATACGTCGTACACTGACGTGTACGATCAAGCTGGTCTGCTCACACCTCGGACTATTCTTGCGCATGCTGTGTATCTCACGTCGAACGAAGTCTCTACCATTGCAGCCCGTGGATCCGGTGTTTCTCATTGCCCGACAAGCAATGCTATCTTGTCGAGCGGACTTGCTAATGTTCGCTACATGCTCACTAATGGTGTGAAAGTTGGCCTGGGTACTGACGTTTCTGCCGGTTATTCGGTTAATATGCTTGACAGTATTCGACAAGCAGCCATGACTTCTCGCCAGTTGTCAGTGCTGCATAGCAATAATCAGATTGCTTTATCGCTAGCAGAGCTTTTTTTCATGGCAACGTTGGGCGGTGCGCAGTTACTTAATTTGGGAGACAGAATTGGTAGTTTTGCCCTAGGTAAGACTTGGGATGCATTACTTGTAGACGTTGGCGGATCCAATGCCGGTGCTACAATCGATGTTTTCGGAACAGAGACGAAGGAAGCACTGGTGAGCAAATGGGTCTTTGGCGGTGATGACCGGAATCTTCGACGAGTTTGGGTTAACGGCGTATGCGTTGCTGGAACAGATTTACTTTCTTCAAAGTGTGAAAAATGCGAGCATTGCTTACAACACACAAAAGCAATTGAAGTTCCGGTGACACGTACTGTCGCTGAGCAAGCTAGTGCTTTTGCTAAACCTGTCTCGACCACAGACAATGAAAAGGAGCAGATCTCGATCCAGTCGAAGGCTTAATTATGAACTTTATGAGAAATGAGCATAATACGTGTTTTCATTATTAAAATGTTAATGACATGCTTTATGATGTAGTCTTAAGACAAGTAAGCGATAGAAGAGAATCACTACTCAGTTGTAGGAATGCAGCTGGACCAACGGTGACGGATTCTTGTAGGTATAGTGTTATTATCCCTTCTGTTTTCCATCTTTTACTAAGGGTAACTCGACCAAAAAAATGTGAATAAAACTACAATAGATCTCGAAATAAGGAGGAATGATAGTGTCACTTAAAAATATACGAACAAAAGGTTCTAATGAAATTATAATGTTTTATTGCACTACACACTAATAAGAAGACACTCACTCGGGTTCAGACAACGACAACAAAACACAATCATACCTAAGGTGTATTCTTCGTGAAATTTAAACTTTTCATTGCAAATAAAAAAAAAAAAAAAAAAAAAGGTTTTTAACTTTCGCTTACATTAATTTGTCTACTATTTTATTGCCATTGAAAGAGCGAATCATCCGAAAACTCTGCAGCAGCACCTTCGGCTTATACGAACCCAGCCGCGATAAAGAACAAGTATTGAAATAAACGGTAGAACTCTTCTAGTAGCAAAAAACATCATTTCTGTTTCCCAGTACCATGTTTTCCCCCACATTCTACAATTTTGTCCAAACCTTCATTTTTCGCGCCTCCCGTGGGCTGCGCGCCGAAAAGAGCGCAAGTTGCGACAAATGCGAATTACTGACCAATCGCATGCGAACACAAAAAATTTTAGATATCCCATGATCAGCGCAAGCTTCGCCTTGCGAAATATCCTTAGTGGTCACCAGTGAGGCAAGGCATTGTTTTTTATGAGAAAATGGCCCTTGGTAGTTGATATTGGCTGGTCACGTATCTTGTTTCTCGTGACGAATACGTTGCAGACGAGGCTTTATACCAATGAAAATTTTGTTTCAACCTTGAGCAAGAAAGAGAAAAAACGAACGTCAAATCCGCCGCACTTAGATTAGACTTCCGTAAACAAAAGTCATTGACTGCTTTATCGGGTCTGTGGGATCAAGACATTGCTTGACGCATCGTTCCGCTAGCCCCTTTTTTGATACTCTGTCTTTTGTGAATGCCGTAATATTGTGTGCGAGTTTGTTACTTCTGAGTATGTCAATTCTGTTTACTACTAGAGACAACAGAAATTAGCACAGAAGGTATTCACAGCAGTACAAACGCATAACATTTTATTCTCCTATTTCTCAACGGTCAGTGATTGAGAATTTTCCTTTACATTGAAGCATTGTCTTAAGGTACACACACTATCTTGCTTCCGCTAGACACACACGATGACAAGGTCCACGGAATGTGATCAAAAGACCGAAGATGGTCCTGTTATTGTAGTGTCTGAGGCATCTGCGAAGGAAAAAATTTTAGTGGAAAAAGTTTCGTCTTGCGAAAGTGATGTGCCCATTGAAACAATCCGCTTGAAAAAGGGTGTTGAATACGAAAGTGAGAGCTCCGTAAAACGATTTTTTAACAGCTTCCGTCGTTCCGATGTGACTGATTCATTGGCTTTGCAGAGGAAGCTGAAGAGTCGCCATATTCAAATGATTGCCATCGGTAGTACCATTGGCACGGGTCTTTGGGTTGGAAGTGGTGATTCTTTCGCCAAGGGAGGTGCGGCGTCCGTTCTCATCAATTATATAATTGTCGGTACCATGATTCTGACGACTGTATACTCGCTGGGAGAATTAGCTGTAAACTATCCAGTTCCTGGCAGCTATCTTTCCCTCTCTAGCCAATTCGTTGATAGGTCTTGGAGCTTTGCTATGCACTGGAATTACATCTTTGGCAGTTTAGTAAGCACGCCGCTTGAAATCATTACAGCTTGCATGTGCTTAACATACTGGACAAGCATTAACAGTGGCATTTGGATCACTATTTTCATTGCGTTTTTTATGTTTATTAACATCTTCGGCGTCAAAGGTTACGGTGAAATTGAGTTTTTCTTGTCGTTCATCAAAGTGGTTTCTATAATCGGCTTCATCATTCTGGGAATTATTATCGACTGTGGCGGCATTCCTACGGATCATCGTGGATACATTGGCACTCGCATATTCGAGAGTGATGCGTTTATCCATGGCTTCCGTGGCTTCTGTGCTGTGTTTCTCAATGCGACGTACTCTTACTCTGGCACTGAGTGTGTCGGTCTTGCTGCTGCTGAGACAGAAGATCCGGCAAAGACTTTTCCAAAGGCAGTCAAACAGACGGTGTATCGCATTGCCTTGTTTTACATCGTAGCTCTGTTTATTGTGAGTCTTCTAATTAGCGGTAAAGACCCAAGACTCGTTACCCTTTCGGGAAACATGGCAAGTCCGTTCATTCTTGCTGTTGAGGATGCTGGAATTAAAGCATTGCCTTCTATTCTTAATGCAATTATCCTCATTTCCGTTTTGTCCGCAGCGAATGCCATCTTTTATACCGGCAGTAGAGCCATTCATTCTGCTGGTGTGAATGGCTATGGTCCTAAATGGTTTTCCTATGTTGACCGTTCTGGCAGACCTCTGGCTGCTCTTGCCTTGCTGTTTTTATTTTGCGGTTTAGCGTATCTCAGTGAAACAAACACAAATTACTCTATCTTCACATGGTTGATGGCTGTTTACGGCCTCGGAACACTCTTCAGCTGGGGCACAATTAACCTCGTGCACATCAGAATGAGACTTGCAATGAAGCGACAAGGTGTTTCAACAACGAACCTGATTTATGCATCTCCGTTCGGAATATACGGTTCCTATTACAGCTTAATTTGGGTAATATTAATGTTCATTGCTCAGCTGTATGTGGCCATTTTTCCGTTCGGAGGAAAGCCTAATGCTTCTTACTTCTTTCAGCAATACTTATCTATGCCAGTCATTATAATTATGTTCTTAGTGCACAAGCTTTGGACTAAAACTCCTTGGCTGAAACTTAAAAACATTGATCTGGATACGGGGCTTAATCAGTCATTTAACGTTCCATTCGAACAGCCTCAGGAGAAAACAAAAAACGAACAAGAAGGTTTTAAGCGAAACCTGTCTAGGTTTCTGGATTTTCTATGCTAAAAAGCGCGGTGATTCTGCGTATTTAGCATGGATTTGTATTTTTAGCAATTGCTTTCATTGGATCTTTGTGTCCTTTTGGTTTTTCAATGTTACATATGGTACCGGTTGTCTACGATTTTTCATCATAGCACGAGAAGAATATTTCTACCTCGTGTTTCTTGTTTATAATTATTATCCCCTTCTCTTTGACTAGTAATTCAACTTTCGAGTCTAATGAAACCAGTGTCTAAACAAAGTGTGTATGTGCTTTCTGCGAAGGTAGATGCGTTCAGTGTTCTGCATTGTATGAAGCGCGAGTCCTCAAGACGGAGTCTATGAGTTGGATTGTGTTGCGTGCACAAACGTTGAGAGGGCCTTTTCGCATATTGTTTTGAAATTAGTTTATGAATCTAAAATACAGCTCCTACACTGGTGCCTTGAATAAATCAAAATTTAAAGAAATTCGAGTTTGTCTACAGCAGTCGCAAACACGAAGGTGTTTTACTACAGAAATTACTGATATTGGGATACCTTCCATTTTCCCCACTGAGCATTGGTGACATCGTCTCTCTTCTCAAAACCAGAACTGTAGTATTTCGTTAAGCTCAATTCTTTATGACGTCTGAATAGATGATTATTTTATGTATGTCTTCCAACTAGTTGTCCTACGGTATAAAACTACCAAGTCTACGACGTGTTCACTTTTACTGCACGAGACAATTGCACCTCATGATTTCTTAAGAAAAAGTTTAAGATATTCCCTTCTCTGTTTCTCTCTCTATCTGGTTTTTCTGTTTTGTTGCGCGGTGTAGTGAGGTGCCAGCTGGTTCAAGAAATCTCTCTCCTCTTAGCACTCCTTTAGCAACTTTAACGTTGAAAATCTTACTGATTCCTCGATTTGTACAAGTTGGATGATGCAAATGAATTTTCCTTTCCTCCTACTTGTTCTTGCAGGCCTCACTTCTGCAACTACGGTAACGATTTCTTGCCAAGAAAACAAAGGTGCCGTGTTTCCTTACGGAACTGCATCTCTTGAAGAGAAAAGTTTCCAGTATACTTCGGATTTTCGAGCAACAGATGCTCTGAGCAAAGGAAATGATGTCCGTTGTGGCATGTACGATTACGATAAAAAGGTTTGGGCCGCTGGAACGGGTTACATACGTCCCAAGGTCGCTAAGGATGAAGGTCTCAACCAGGAAAGCATCTTGCTTTATGTTGAGGACGTGAATGATGAACAGGGAAATACACCTGAAGTCGTCCAGGCGACATACGGAATTACGAAGAACGAACAAGTGAAGGACAAGTCCACTCCAATTGTTAAAGTGAAAAACATTCCTCATGGTCCTTTACCCAATTTACAATACGCACAGCCATTAAACTATATTTCTACGAAGGGTTCGAAACAGAAAAGGGCACCAGTCAGATCGAAAAGTGCCGTTGCAAATAAAAGAAAAGCAGTGGAGAAGAAGCAACCAAACAAGAACCAACAACCTGCTACGGAGGACATTGATGAGGACGAAGAGGAGGAAGAAGTGGAAGAAAAAACGTTTTTCCAAAAATATGGTCTTTTCATCATTCCTATTGTCGTCCTGCTCTTCATTAACGGAGGTCAATCCACCCAAACACAAGGAAATGCTGCTCGTTAGAACAAAAACGATGTAGTAGAAAACGAGAAAGATAAAACCTAGTTGTTATTCGCTCGTTACTTGCTACGAGTAATTCGAACAGATATCCCATACACATATCCCCAATAACTCCACATCGTACTGAGTACAGAAAAGCGTTTCCCCCCCCTTTCCTCCCTTACACTCCTCACCAAGTCATTCATTAGTTTCATTAGGTCATTATCCATAAAGTCATTAACGGCACGAGGGCCAACGGTGCGAGTTTGCGAGTAAGGAATACTTCACAGAATCCAATACAGTGTCTTCATGTTCCATGGAATTCGCTAAACTCAATTTTGGGCCCTAAGATACTGGGCAATATCATACACAAAACGGAACTGTTTAAAGTTTTGGACCATCTTCATACGCTGGGAACGGAGTAGGTTGACGGTTTGAAAGACCACATCTTCCTCATCACGCACGACTGCACTATCAGGCAGTTGCTGAGAAGACAGGTGCATGAGGTGGTCAATGGCTATAAATGTGCCCGTTCGTCCCACACCTGCAGAACAGTGTACAATAAGAGGACCGTCCCGCTCAAACTGGTTCACAAGCCGAGTAAAATCAACCACACATTTCGTATCTTCTGGTGCTCCGTGATCCGGCCATGCGACGTAACAGATCTGGTACACACATTTCGGTGCACAATTATTACGCTTCATATAAAAAACATTCATAATGGCGTTCAAATCCGGAAGTTCAGTGTGCTCAAACAACTCGATGATGAAACCGCTTCTTGGGTCTATCATCAAAGGCTGGTCAATAGCAGTAGGCCAGTACTGTGTGCAGCGTTCCCGACCACCTTCGACAACGTTCGCTAGTTTAACGACTGTGCCAACCTTGTCTATGCTGAACCAAATCATTTCCCAAAAATCGAGCACCGTGGATTCTTTGGGGGCCTGACAGGCTATATAGCGATCGGTACCAAGTGTTATGTGAGAGGCGTTGATGTAGTCCGAAGTCGGGTCGCGAGATGGGATTTTTACACGAGTTCTATCGTAGGGAACAATATCCGCATAACGATTCCGACAAGCCAACTCCGAAGTCTTGCCAGACTCAATGCAGCTCCATTCGGATTGCTGGTCGTTCATTTGCGCCATGCGAAGCAGGTCCTGTTCCTCTAGCCGCTTGAACTTATAGTATATGGAGGCTGTATTCATGTCACTCAGCATGTCATCGGGAGGAGGAGTTGCGCGCTTCACAGAGCCCCAAGGATTGCTGACGCCGTCTTTGGGAAGGGCACAAATAAAATGCGAGGGAAGTTTTTTTTGTTGAGTACATTGCATTTTGTCTAGGTTCAATCGAAGGGGTGGCGGCTGTCTCCGCGAACTCAGCCGATGAGAAAAGGATGCTGGAGCAATGCTTCTCTTTTCTCTTTGCGCGGGTCTTTCACCGGTCTCGTGGGACTCGGCTGGAGCTCTTCTCGACATTTTCGGGTTGTTGAAAAGGGCTTTCACGTCGGGTGCAGACTTGTACTGATGGAGGCATTTTAAGGCTTTCACATTTTCCAAGCGCTTTGATTTGGCGGCAGCTGAACGGGGAGACTGTTGGGGATAGGAAAGTCTCGTTTTTAATGATGGCCGACTAGGTCGGGAAGGGGTGACATGGGTTTCGGATGCTGCAGGGAAATAACCAGACTGCTCCGACGAGGTTGAGTCGGAAGTAGCCAGGTTTGTGGATTTGTGGTCAAGGAGAATGGGGGCACTGAAGATGGAATCCACATCAGTTGCCTGTTTGTCGGAAAGGACGGTTTGCGTAGATGAAATGGAGAACGGTTTTGTAATAACTGATGCGAGACTGGACGAAGATGTGCAACCAGAGACATTACCACTGGGAACGGTGCTTGTTGGAGTGGACAACGACAACATAGTACCAAATTGAGACTCAAACAAGCTGCGCTCGCTTTCTGACGAAATCATTAATTCAGGTGCACATCTGTCCAGCGACTCAAAACCAGAATTCAGAATGTAAATGGGTTTTGTGTAACCGGCACGCACAAATTTTAAAGCTAATGCACGCAGTCTGGCGGCACCGGAGATACCGGCATCATAGATGAACAAAGCATCGCTGTCTTTCCAAGATTGTAATCGTTGACCGTCTGGGATGGAACTGAGAATATTCGAGATGCCAAACTTTGGACGACGCAACAAGGTGCTTGGAATAGAAACATTTACTGCGTGGCGGACATGTTTTTCTGAGTACTTGGACTGTAGTCTAATGTCAATCACCTCTGCCCACAAAGAGGGAGCACCGGGTCGTTTTTCTTGTCCGAATACGTTTTCCGAGTACTGTTGTAATCGGGACAAAAACTCCTCTGAAGGTACCGTAGCAATCGTATCCATAAATTCGATTGTCGTTTTCCTTCTATTTTTTTCTGTTTCTTTTTTTGTATCTCTTATAAGGATGAATTCCTTACGCTCAAAAAAGCTGCTAATGGAACTTTTTGGCCGATGTTGTGTGTACAAACAGAGGCTAGAGAAATAGTACGGTGTGTGTGACTCAGACACTCGAGTACACAGGTACGCAGGCACTTTCAGTACAAACGTGAAAGGAAAAAACTGTTTGCTCGTAGGCAAAAAATTCGTAAATACCAACAACGCTCAAGAGTTGTCGATGATGTAAACGGTGATGGAGGGCTGGACAAATGATGGAAGACCGCAGCCTAAGAGGTTCGATAAAATGACGAAAGGACAGGTGGAATCCACGAAGATGGAAGATGAAAGATTAAATGTTAAGTTCTCGACAGAGGTCGATGTGCCAGCAATACGAGTGTCACTAGCAACAAGAATTTATCTGGAACTTAATAGCCAATTCTTTGTTGTTGAATAGGTCAAGCAAGTGACGAAACCTGGTGGAACCGAGTTGCAAGTGTATTGTTATAAGACGAAGAACTCTAGAAATTTCGCTCAAAAGTCACTTCACTTTATAAAAAGATTTGACGGAACGCTAAAGAAACACGAAATAGCTTGACGGGATTAGCGGAACCGGAAAAACTTGCCAGAAACTAGTAAGAAAAAATATACGGCAGCAAAAGGTTGCTGTGTTCCTTTATTACGCGTTCAATAAAACACGAATTGTTTCTTAGTAAGTTCAATTTTAAGAGAGAATGTTTTTGCAGATGGCAGAAATTGGGCGCCGGGACGTGTCCATATAATCGGGCATTATGTCATCGATGACGTGTGGCGTTCGCCTTGCCGGCTTTACCTTTCGACCACGCTAGGGAATAATCGATGACGAAATGCAAATCCCTCTTTGATAACATTTGTGAATCCGGGGTTGTAAGCGAGCACGCGAATAAGAAGTGAAAGAGGAGAAGAGGCAGTGCAGCTCATAAAATCCGCCCGAGGGGGAGCCCCCCCCATTGGGGATGAATAGCCAAAGAGAGAGCACGTGGAAAAAACTGCGACAGAAAGAATAAAGAACACTGTGGTCGTCTGGCAGAAAACAAACAGAAGGAAAATACGAATACAATGTAAGTAGAATGCTGAGGTATTAGAGCATACGTACCAATTAGCTCGTTCGATTTCTTACTAAGGTTTGTCAAACAACCACGTATGTCTAGAGCAAAAAGTCCCGCTATGACGTATATGCGACAGCCTAGCCGAAAAAACAAAGATTCTGATTGGTTCCAGTTAAACAATTTAAGCGTGAGACTCAAAAGGTAAAGGGGAAATGATGTAAGAAGGAGAGGGTAAAGGGAGGGTAAAGACGAAGAAATGTTGACGCGAAAAAAGGAGTAATCCCTGCGACTACTCTTCATTTTTTTTGTTCGAGAAAGACGGACGCGAGGGATGAAGTGTGCGAAATTGCATGTCACATTCCGCATAGGATTTTCCAAGGCCGAATCCGAGGCCACTCCACACTGGCCATGAAGCCCCTGAATTCGTCAATCGTTAGCCTTTTGTCAAGGTGGAGAAAAGCGCGTTAGCGAGCGAATCAGAACAATTCTACCCGCACCACCACAAATTGGCCCGTTCGCAAATTGCAAACGTCATCGCCTCACTTACGTCGGAAGAGAAGAACAGAGCTCAAAACGCCCACCCCAAGGCCAATGCCTGATTTGACGAGCATATTGGACAGACAGACGTCCCACTATCGGTCAGCGAATGTGCGAAAATGGGACGAAATGTGGTGGTGAGGGGTTTTAGCACGGTGGGGTCCAATACAGAAGGGCATTGTATAAGCAATGTCGTTTACATTTTATGTGCTTGCTTGTTTACCCCCACTATTCCCCACCATCCCACTTAGCCCACTTTACGGTCTGTCTTACCTTGTAGTCCAACAGCTTCTCGCTGGGAACGGGTGTTTTTGTGGTCGTTTCGGGAGTTTCAGTCATTGCGAGCTCAAAGCACTGGTTCAATTGCTCAACGATGCAAAATACGAAAACAGACGGGATCGGGTTGTCGTGTATGTGCCTTGTGAGGGCAGTGATGTGATAGGGAGAGGAAAAGAGAGAACCGACCTTGCACGGACGTCGCTCGCAACTCGCTGGCTGGTTTCGGAGAGGGTCCTGTATGTGCTACGTGATGATGACGGCAGACACGAGACAGGTTAAAGCTGCGGGGCAGTCGTGGGCTGATTGTGGGGCAGCAAACGGTTTAGTGAGCTATAGCGAATCCCAGCGATGTAAGCGAAATTCAGAAATTAGTATAGATGCTAGTAAGTAGATGCGATTCGGTCATAGTTGTTTGTGTGTTCAGCGGTTCCCGTACATAAAAAGACATGTTCCGACAACGACAACAGTCATTCGGTCGGCTTGTACCGCGTTCGTAGACCACCACGGGTGGCAGGCCTGCTTGAGAGATTCATTAAGGTATGTTCTCAAGTGCGACAATTTATTCCTCGCAGCGAATAGACACACGCTCGAGTTCAAGGATGTAGAGATTTTCCTTTATCTTCTGAGAAGGTTCGTACGCACGTTCATAACGCCAGCCAATATTACTGTGACAATGGCAGCAAAGGATGCGACGGACGACGTAACGTCCCGTTCGCATTTCTTCCTTTTCCTTTCCTAAGGCGATTCCATTAAACAATTGTTCAAACAATGCAGCAGCCCCAAATGCCCCATAATAGTCTTTGCTTCGCAGATGAGCAAACAAAGCAACATGCGTATTGCAGGAATTGCAGACAAAAAACTTGCGAGAGAGATACGTTCGATAACTTCGACCCATGAGCGTGAAAGAATGAAATAAAGACGAGGAAATGAAGTCGAGAAAGGAAGGTGTAATTGTCTTGTGTGCGTGTGAGAGAGAGAGAGAGAGAGCAGAAGAAGAAGAAGAAGAAGAAGAGAAAAGATAAAGATAAAGCAATTGACGACAATGATTCCAAAAAAAAGCGACAGGAATATACGCTAAAACCGCCAAAAAAAAAAGCAGCAACTAAATCAAAGCTACGATAGGTAAATGCGTATAAGTGAACAATTGTAACAAAAAGTCGGCTGTACAAGTGCAATGGACAAATCGTATCCCAAAACGACTGGCGTTTTTTTTTTCTGGGAAGCAGTGCCTGCTTCGTTTCTTCGTTCAACCAGACCGAGCTTTCGAAAGTGGTTACTACAAAACTCTGCGACACTGGTGGTGTACGACGTTGCTCATGAAAGAAAGGAGGGAAATCCTTCCGCTTGTGGCGAATTGCTTTTGCGCGCACGATATCTGTCACCTGCTTACGCTAACCGGCATTTGTCTGCGACGGCGAGTTTTTGCGTACCGCTAAGGGCAGTGGCAGCAACCGCTACTTGCTATTACCGCTTTATAGCCGAAAGACTTCTTTGCCGAGGTATCTACCCCGCATTCTTGTTGCAACTACCCCACAATCTTAAAAGTCCTCGAAATATAGTTAAGGTTATAGAGGAAGGGTAAGGCGTAAACTTGCTTAAAGTTTATGAGTGACCGAACTAATTCGTCCCAAAACACAACACGTCGGGGCCTTGAAAACAGAAAAAAAGAGACAATTCCCCAAATAAAAGCGCAGATTTTTGGGCATCAGTGGATTCTATTTGCTCTGTTTATGCATCACGGTTGTCTCTAAAGTCAATTGTCAGATTTGCTCGTCTGGCTGGGCTAGCGAGCTTCATCCTTGTTTTCAAAAAAAAAAAAAACCCTGTTTTCATCTCATACATTCCCACTGTCCGTTTCATCCAAGGGGTAATTGGGAGGTCTGTATAAAATAGTTCTGCTGGAAATCCTGAAATTAGTCACTTCATATTCTTCTACAGACCAATTGAGTTTGACTCACAGTTTTTTCTTAGTACAGAAACATTTTTTCTTAAATCTCCAATTGCCTGTTTCTTTTAATTCCTCATTTTCTAGTATTCTCCTCTCATGAAATCCTTTCTTTCTAAAAAAAGCAAAAAAAGCTCGAGTTCGAAAGAATCTAAACATTATGACCATGGCCTCTTTCGCACAAGATTTCACAGAAAAAAGACTCACCGACCTGAAAACCCGACTCTAATTGTTACCGAGAGCACGGAGCCGTCGTCAGAGAACTCGCAAGCTTCTCGTGCTGAAATGGATGACCACATGCTGGCGTCGTTAGATGAACAGAAGTTACGAGAACCGACTTCGCCTATCTCGCCGTTGCGGAGTTCTCCCTCCTCATCTCGTTTCTCGAGTCGGTTTTCAAGTGCTTTGAAGCTTAGTTTACCAAGCAGTTGGCATCGACATGGTCGGGCTTCTTCGTTTCACGATGGAAATCGCAGGCGTAGAGCGGTGAGTGACACTCTTCCCGCACATGCTTCATATGCATCTACGCCCGTCAATCGTGCAAGCATCAGTTCCGCACGCACTAGCTCATCAAACGTTTCCCTACAACGCTCGCCCGTGGAAAGCGCTAGTGATTTTGGTACCCATTCCATGTCACACACGCGCATCCCCAGCGATCGTTCGTCCGGTAGTTTTGCGTCGCGAACATCGGCGGCGGATTCTGTTCATTCGAGCACAGATCACAATAAACTCGCTCCCGTCTCCTCTTCCTACTCGGCATCAAGCAATACGAGTGCCGAGGTTTCACGGCCTCAGTCGACACGGAGTTCCATCGGGCGTGCTTCTTTTGAAATAGATGTTTGCCGGCTTTCAGATTTCGAAAACCTAAAACCTTCCGAAGGCGAGTCGGCCAACGAGTTTTTGGAACGTGTGCAATCCATAGTACCTGCACGCTTCATTGCCGCTCTGCTTTCCACAAACAACAGCCCCCTTCACCAAATGTGTTTGCGGATGTTTTTCCAAAACTTCCGCTTTAATAATGAACCACTTGATATGTCACTGCGCAAGCTCCTTGCTATATGTTTGCTTCCGCGAGAAACACAACAAATTGACCGTGTGCTGAGTGCTTTTTCCGAACAGTACTACGAGTGCAATCCCAACCTGTACAATTCCGCTGATGAATGCTATATTCTCTCGTTTTCCCTTATGATACTTCACACAGATGCTTTTAATGTTAACAATCGCCGAAAAATGACCCGATCCGAATTCATAACAAACACAAATTTGCCCGATATTCTTCCGGAAATACTGGAATGCTTCTATGACAACATTGTATTTACCCCGTTCGTTCACCTAGAAGACGACACACCATTCAGTTCAAACTATGAGAGTAAAGAATCCGTCATCTCACAGCTCATAAGCGGAGCGTCTATTTCGAGCTTCGTGAAAAAACATTCGTTGCCCAAGGAATATAGTCACTTTGATCTATCACAGCAAACGAATGCAGTGAGCAATTACCGGCCAAATTTAAAAGCCATACTGGATGAAGTGTTAAACTGCACCATCTCAACGACCGGAACACAACAAGAGATAGAGTGTGCAACGCTTCACCAAGCGTTTCTCCAAGCACCGAGCATCCAAATCATTTCCTTGCGCTCGCAACCAAAAGCCTTCTCATGCCACTTTGCCCCCGATCCGGCGAACGAAAGCAGTGCGCCCGCCATCGTTCACGTAAAAGTGTTTAAAGTTGGCGTTCTATTGCAACGCGATTTGAAACGTAAAGACATCTTTGCGTCCTTTCGAGAATGGGGTTTGATGTTGACCAGTTCGCAACTCATGTTTTTCCGATCTGTGTCTAAATGTAACGAGCTGTTGGAACAACAGCGCAAGCATGATATGCTTGCTCGCGACACCGACAGTGCCTCACAACACTCTGATCCACTTATATTTGAACCCCCAGTAGAATCACTGAATGCGGACTATGTCGTGCCATTAAGCAACCTCATTGCATACACGGACAATTCGAACGGCAAGCGTGACCACTGTTTCAATGTGCTTCGCAACAAAAACGAACAGTTTGTACTGGCGGCGGAAAGCGACGAGGAAATGAACGATTGGATTTCACGACTAAACTATGTGAGTGCATTCGCTACCGCCGGCATCAACCTGCGTGGACCGTGCCCAAAGGGCGAGATGTCGCCGGTGGACAGCGTGTCAATGTCCATGTCTATGTCCATTGGTTCAATGGCATCGAGCGACACACAAGAAATTTTGGCAAGAGTGTCACACGAAGATGGAATGGAGTTATTAAGGTGCTCTAGCTATCGAACAAAAACGCTTCAGCAGCGGATAAAAAAACTAGAAGTTCAGCTGGCGGAGTGTGCCCGGGTGGAAACCGTCCAGCGTCGCAACACATACAATCTGACATGCATGATGCCTGTGCAGTCTCGTACGCGCAATCGCCTCATACATGCGGCCAGCAGCCTTGCACACCGGATGCATCAGCAGATGTTGCACAAGGCTCGACTTGAACGATACCTGTGTGTGCTGCGAGCGGACCTTGAGTTGGATCGTGAATTCATGGACTGTCTACACAACTTCTTTCCTGAGCGGAATTCGCTGCCGCCCGAGTCATCGTCACCCAACATTGCTGCTGCACACGACTATGCCAACCAATTGCGCCGTTCTCTTTCCACGCGGTCTCGTCTTCGCTGCAGCGTAGTTGAAGTCCCCATCATACGCAAGCCGACACCGCCATCGACATCGACATCAACAACTTCAAAGCCTTCGGCGGTAGCATCGACAACGTCCAACGCGCCGCCTGAGTCGTGCACTTCACAGACATCTGCCGCACCCACTGCTGCACCTTCTTCACCCTCACTCACCCGTCCCTCCACTCGTTAACACAGAAATCCCACTACGCAACCTCCGACACGAATTTGCGAACAAACGATGGACACTCCGTCGTCAGACCCACAAAAACTGTCAACACAACCGCAGACTACCGTAAAACTCGAGTCGCCTGAACCAAACAATGTGAAAATCGAATCGCCTTCCCCGCAACCCGAGCAGCAGCAGCAGCAGCAGCAGGAGGACCAAAAAATGGACGTCGATAAACCGGCCGTGAACGAAGAAGCCGTCCGTGGACGACGAATGATGGGAGCACTGCTGGGCACGTTGGGTCGAATTCAACGGGAAACCCAGGAAGAGCGGCAAAATTCAAGAATGCAGCGTCGGATGCAGTTGGAGCAGCGACTTGCTAAGCGTTTACAAGAAGAACGCCAGCAGCTCGAGGAGCAAGAACGAACCGAGCTTGAGCGAAAGAAACGAGAAGCAGCCGAAGAATTAGAGCTTGACCGAAGGGAGCTTCTTCGTCTCGTAGACGAACGTAAGGAGCAATTTCGTTTAACGCATACAAAGCCTCAGTTGTTTTACTGCGAATATCGAAGCTAAGCGATGACACGGCCCAAGAGCCACGGGCTCAAAGGCTCCTCCGTTGTATTCGACATTTTCATTGCTTGCTTCTAATTGCGCTTCTGATATTTGCGCTCGTCTGAGCGCCCTTTATCACATCTCCCCCATACTCGGAGCCCTCAGCTGCCCCCCAGTCTCACACCGTTTCACCGCCTAATCTCTAAGTCAGGTCTATCGCATCACGTTTCATCAGCGATGCCATCTGCCCCCACCACCTCCACCTCAACCATCTCAACTCGACTCAGCTAAACTCAACTCGAACAAAACACAAAGCGCACGAAATGAGTTTTGCACGCAGCATCCGCAGCGCCCGCTCGATGGGTCGCATGCTGCAAACGACGAGAAGCGTCGTCCCTGGATTCCGCACTGTTACAACTGCTGCCGCTACGACGTCGGGAGACGCCGCTGCAGTTCCTGAAGACGGTGACAAGCCTTTTACGGTTCGTGTTCATGACGATGCTTACGAAGCTTACAAGATGGACGTCCCCTCGTTGGACCTGGAAGTGACGAAGAACGAGCTTCTGAAGATGTACCAGGACATGGTTGCAGTTCGTCGTTTGGAGCTGGCCGCTGACGGTTTGTACAAGGCCAAGAAGATTCGTGGTTTCTGCCACTTGTCTGTTGGTCAAGAAGCCGTTGCCGTTGGTATGGAAAACGCCATTGAGCCTGAAGACAAGATCATCACTTCTTACCGTTGCCACGGTCTCGCCTACATGCGCGGTGTCGCTGTGCGTGCTATTATCGGCGAGCTTTTGGGTCGTGAAGTTGGTGTCTCTAAGGGTAAGGGTGGTTCCATGCATATGTTTGGTCCCAACTTCTACGGTGGTAACGGTATCGTCGGTGCTCAAGTGCCTTTGGGTGCTGGTTTGGCTTTTGCCCAAAAGTACATGAACAAGCCTAACGTTACGTTTGCCATGTATGGTGATGGTGCTGCCAACCAAGGTCAAGTGTTTGAGGCATTCAACATGGCCAAGCTTTGGGGCATCCCTGCCATCTTCACCTGTGAGAACAACAAGTACGGTATGGGTACCAGTGCCGAGCGTTCCTCTGCCATGACCGAGTACTACAAGCGTGGTCAGTATATCCCTGGTCTTCGCGTCAACGGTATGGACGTTTTGGCCGTTAAGCGCGCCTGCAAGTATCTTAAGGACTTTGCTCTCAAGAACCAAACTCCCTTGGTTGTTGAGTTCGTTACATACCGTTACGGTGGTCACTCCATGTCCGACCCCGGTACTACTTACCGTACCCGTGAGGAGATCCAAAAGGTCCGTGCTACCAAGGATCCTATCGAGGGTCTCAAGCGCCAAATCATGGAATGGGGTGTCGCTAACGCTAACGAACTGAAGAGTTTGGAAAAGAAGGTCCGTGCCTTCGTCGATGATGAAGTCGCTGCCGCTGAGGCTAGTCCCTTCCCCGAGGCTACTCGTGCCAACCTCTTTGCTGACATCTACGCCAAGGGCACTGAGCCCAAGTATTTCCGCGCTCGCACTGAGCTTGAGTAAGTTGCAATAATGTGTGAATGAGTAATTTTGAGTAGACTACTTCAAGGAGGGGGTGTGTGAGGAGTACTAGTGAAGAGCGGGCGGCCTTTTGATGGAGCGAAAGAGGTGAGTATAGCTACAACGTTAAAGAACACGTTATATATGTTTCATGCATCAACTCGTAAATTCTGGTACTACGAACGTAATTACTAGTTATCATAGTGGAACAGCATCACCTTCTTTCCATGGGCACCGATACTGTCCGTAAAGGGTTTGAGAAAGTCTGCAGGTTCAGCGTTTGCATCGACATCAACAAGATCAACGTCAGGAGAGTGCAATACATCTCTGCGGTAATACTCCTGCATCTGGATTACAAGATCACGGAACTTACTGGGCTGTTCATCCTTCCACTTCGTGAGCCAGAAGCCGTGGAAGCGAAGGTCCTTGAAAATAAGCAACGACACCGGAATGCCGAGTGGTTGACGAGACATTCCTCCGTATGTACTAATGGTTGCGCTGTTGGCAAGGTACTTTGACATCTCTGTCGCTGTACGACCGCTCACACAGTCAATACCCAACTTGGGTGGATTATTCTCAGTCCACTTGGGTACCAGTTTCTTCATCTCTGAACGCTGCATCAGCTCCTCATCAGTAATAACATATGTAGCACCCAACTGTCTCAAACGCTCCTTGAGACTTTCGGCATCCGGACGCGCACGGATGATGTTGATGCTGTTATAACCAAAGTGCCGGGCCAATTGCAAAATGTTCATGCCCACAACACTGTTTGCACCGGTCTGCATAAACCAGTCACCTGGTTGCAACTTGACTGCTGAGTGTAACAACATAAATGCCGTGCATGGATTGACGGTCAGCGAAGCGGCCTCTTGCACGTTATGAAACGCGTACTGATCTACGCGAATCAGGTTTTCGGGTTTCGTCGTTAAATGGGTGCGCCATGTGCCCAGGTTGGTCGTCGACATAACAGCCCATTGACCGGGCTCCCAACGATCACGAAGTGAACTGCCAACATCAATGACTTCGACAACACCTTCGTTACCCGCGACAGCTGAGGGTGTGTTAGGCGTAAGGTCTGTCGTCATCGATGGTCGGGATGGGTAGACGCCTTCAATTTGGTTGATGTCCGACGGATTGATGGGCGACGCTAGGAAACGAACAGTAAGCTCTTCAGGAGAGCAATGCTGTACAGGGTACTGTATACATCTCAGCACCTGCTTAGGATTTCCGTATTCGGAATATGCAATTGCTCGTCCAAGCATTTGACGGGCAATTCGTGTGGCACCAAATGCCATATTAGACGATGTGTTGCTGGTGTAGTGGGAAAACAAACAAACGAGAAACTTCTTTAGTGAAAACAAAAGAATTATCCCTTAATCTGTTTATACAGGTACGAAGAAGAAGAACGTTCGGAGCCTGTCTCGCACATTTTGAGCGTTCAGTATTACCAGAGTACACCGTGACAGTTATGACACGTTGATGTCAGCACCAACACGATAAACACACACGCATCATACGCCCCATGGGGACAAACTCGAAGAACTGCGCTGCAAAACACAGTCATCACTGAGCATCCGGACACGGTCAGAGCACGCACAACGGCGGCCAACCTTCGAGGAAAACTATGAACAAAAACCACCACCTATGCCTCCACATCACGAAACCTCACTGCAAATAATCCATACGACACAAACAAACACAACAAAAACAACCACGGGAGTTGCACACGCAACTCACCCTCATAGGCGCCAAAAAAATTTGCTAGTATTATCATACTAACGGTGACAACCTCAAAACTCACTCAACGCGTCCGCAAGCAAGAGGTGAGGCAATCGAGCAAGTAACACGTGCCTAAAACACGTGCAGAGAACTGTATACAGTAGATATTCTAACCTTGAGTACCCAAGCCAACTAGGGCCGAAACGTGTGCGACATGGCTCCTATATATAGTTTCGGAAGCGTACGCGTGTCGTCATGCTTACGTTAAGCGAAACGCGTCGGAGCCACATAGAGCGATAGGTTATCACGCTGTCGATCCTTTTTCGGAGAAACATTTGGCTTGCATTGCAAAATATTCCGAAGCGAGAGCCACTCAGACGCCGACTTCCGTTAAGCTTTCTCCGAATTGGCAGTCACAGAAGCAGAATTCGCACTGCGTTGCCTGACGTCATGCATTTTAGACAAAGAAAACAATTATTTGCAGAAACTAGTTCTTACTGTTCTAACGAAAGTCATTTCTTTCATTCTTCAATTCGTCCATGTATACTCATACAATGCTTTTTAGCGTGCGCAATGAAAGTTCCACAGCGTTCTACGAGCGCGCAATTCCACTCCACCAAGTATCCTGACGTCGCGCCCCTCTTCCCGAATGCCAATGAGTGGTCGACTCCGCAACCGAGGCGCCGCTGCCCCTGAGAGGTATCGCCATAGGCCATGGAGCGACCACTCACGGAAAATCTTCTAGACGGATCGTTGAGGGTGCCGGAGAGGGTATAAAAGGAGTCCCAGTCGACCCCAGTACAACATCAACCATCACTTCTTTTTGGTCTTTCATCTATTTACAACATGTCTACTACTACTACTGCCGCTGCTCCCAACCTTCTTGTCCTCACCCGTCACGGTGAGTCCGAGTGGAACAAGCTCAACCTTTTCACTGGCTGGAAGAACCCTGCTTTGACTGAGAACGGTATCAAGGAGGCCGAGATCGGTGGTCAACGCATGGCCAAGCGCGGTTTGAAGTTCGACATTGCCTTCACTTCTGCTCTTCAACGTGCTCAAAGCACCTGCAAGATCATGCTTAAGGAGGTTGGTCAACCTGACCTTCAAACCATCGCCAACGAGAAGTTGAACGAGCGTTTCTACGGTGACCTCCAAGGTCTTAACAAGGATGACGCCCGTAAGAAGTGGGGTCCCGAGCAAGTCCAAATCTGGCGCCGTTCTTACGATGTCCCCCCTCCCAACGGTGAGTCCTTGAAGGACACCGTTGCCCGTGTCCTTCCTTACTACAAGGAGACCATCCTCCCCCACATCCTCAAGGGTGAGAAGGTCTTCATTGCCGCTCACGGTAACTCCATGCGTGCTTTGATCAAGGAGCTCGAGGGTCTTTCCGGTGAGGAGATCGTCAAGCGCGAGCTTTCCACTGGTGTCCCCATTGTCTACCATTTGGACAAGGACGGCAAGTACGTCTCCAAGGAGATCCTTGACAACTAGATTGTTATGTGATGAACTAGATATTTAGAATGACAGACCCATTTGTCTATCACATTGTGTGGTGTAGTAGTAGTAGCAGTAGTGGTTTCGGTGTCTTCTTGGTGCTTTTGGTTGCAGTTTGGCTGAGTTGGGGTTTCTTGTCTTTGTTCCTTTTCTCGCGAGAGCCGTCTTCGTCTGTTAGGTCTGTCTTGTGTTGCAGCTGTTTGTGATTGGTTGCGCTGGGATTAGGTAATTGCTTGAGTTGTTTCTGGACGAATCTATAAGGGAGCCGATCAACCAGCGCGTCGGCCGATTTCGTCATTTATTGTGTCATCATTACGTAACGCGCATTATTTCCCGACAGATATATAAAGACCAGCGATCTGTCGCCTGAGCAGACTCGTCTTTAGCACACGTCTAGGGACTTGACTTTTTTTTTTGCTTGCAACCTTTTCTTCCACTCTTTTAGACGAAAGTCAGAGCTTCTGGTTCTCAATTCTTTTGATCTTCTTTTTTTCTTTTTTTTTTTTAGACGAAACATTTTTAACGACTACACGAAATGGCTTCTGTAAATGACTACTTTGAGAACGCCAAGACGACGTACTTTACTTTGAGATCGGGTGACAAGATCCCCGCTGTTGGATTGGGTACTTGGCAATCACCCACCAACGAGACTAAAGAGGCAGTCAAGTACGCTTTGCAGCACGGTTACCGTCACATCGATGCTGCCGCCATTTATGGTAACGAAGACGAGGTTGGTGACGGTATCAAGGAGAGTGGAATCCCTCGTGACCAAATCTGGGTCACATCTAAGCTCTGGTGCAATGCTCATGCTCCCGAGGCTGTCCCCAAGGCTTTGGAGAAGACCTTGCGTGAGCTGAAACTTGATTACCTTGACCTTTACCTCATCCACTGGCCTATTTCTTTGAAGACCGGCGATGACTTGGTTCCCAAGGACAAGGACGGCAACACCATCACTGTCGAAATTCCCCTCGAGGACACCTGGAAGGCTATGGAGGGTCTTGTGAAGTCCGGCAAGGTGAAGAACATTGGTATTTCCAATTTCAACAACGAAGAGTTGGATCGTATTTTGAAGGTTGCCGAGATTCCTCCTGCCGTCCACCAAATGGAAACTCATCCTTACTTGAAGCAGACGGAGTTCATTGAGAAGCACAAGAAGCTTGGCATTCACGTCACCGCTTACTCGCCTTTGGCCAACCAAAATGCTCTTTACGGCAATGCCGTTCCCAAGTTGATTGAGCACAAGACTCTTGTCGACATTGCCAAGACCAAGGGTGAGGGCGTCACTGGTGCCAACATTGCTATTTCTTGGGCAGTCAAGCGCGGTACTTCGGTTATTCCTAAGTCTGTTCATGCCAACAGAATTAAGAGCAACTTCCTCGTTGTTCCCTTGACTGATGACGAGATGAAGGCCATCGATAACATTGGTGTCAGCAAGCGTTTCAATTGGAGCAAAGTTTTCTGCAATGAGAATTGTTTCTACGGTCTTGAGGATGGTCCTCAGTAAACGCCTTCTGAGGAGTCACCTGGACTTGTAAATACATTTAGATAAGTCTGGGATTTTCTTTTAATGAAATCAATCTATGAGTATTAATTACTGAAGCGTGGGGACAGACAAGCGAGTTTGTAAGTAGGCGGTGTAGTGAAGAACCGGTATGCCTGACAATTTATATTGAATTAAAAATGCCCATTTCTATTTACAGTGTGCGAATCTATTAATTGGGGGAGTGGGTACAGTAGTTGCCAGCGTGTAAATTGTCCGGTTTAATTGTTAAACATTGGAGTGCCAAATTTTGACATCGTTCTCGCCATTGATCTTCTTGACAAGTTGCAAGAGGAATTCCAAGTCGTTCACAATCTCCTCAATGACTTGACATTCAGCGTAGTATGCCAGTGCACCATTGTATTCATCCAACAATGGTTCCGTTTTCTTGGCATTGATGAGATTGCTGTCGATCTTCTTCAGAGTATTCTCGGCCTCTTCGTCATACTCTCCGAAAGCAGTGTCGAAATCAGAAAATGAAAGGTCCGCAAGACCACCACGACCGCTATTCTGTTTATTGGAGGCTGATTGTTGTTGTGAATTGCTTTCAACCTTGCTCAACAAGTTCTTCAGAATCGCTTCACGTAGATTGAAGTGAGCATTCCGACAGGATGGGACAAAGTAAGGGACGGGTGCCTTTTGTGTAATACTGTGTGTAAGGATGTAAATGGTGAGAGCGATAGTCGCAATTAGATCCTTTCTATACAGTAGCACTTGTTCGACGATTTCATGGTAGAGTCCAAGATTAAAGTGTGAGCGGACTGTGTTAAGCACTAACAAGCGATTGCCTAATCGCTCAAGACGGCCGATTAAGCTAGCGAAAAGATGGATGGGAAAAGGACCCTTAAGTCGAAACTCCATACCGGTGAGTGCAAGCAGACTTCGCGCAGAACTTAGACTGCGCTGGATCCTCTGTTCAATTTGCTCACACAACTCTGGATCAGCGTAGTGACGATTTCCAAGCATGTTTTCCGAAAGCGTGCTGTAGAGCTCAAACAATTGCCTTGAGGCGTTACCGAGTTCATTGATAAGACGGCTGCGAGCAACGTAGGGGAAAATCAGTATATTCACGATGACAGCCATGGTAATGCCCACCATTACATCGAGAAAGCGTGTGACAGCCAAGACGAACGCGCTATGTGACGAACCTAAATAAGCACCATAGAGGATGGGTGGGAAAGTGATGCAAAATACGATAGATACACCGGCAAACTTGGATAGATACATCACATATGCAGCAGGCCACGCTGCGAGAAAATTAATGGCAGCAATAACGTAGCTCCACCCACGACTTATTTCCCATGTGACATAAGCAAAGACAGCGCCAATAAAGGTTCCGAGTGCACGGAAAAGTCCAACACGGAGTGTAGCGGAAACAGAAACTTCAAGGACGAAAAGCGTAGAGATCAGTGCCCATTGACCATTCCAGTCTTGATATTTGGCAGCTGTGCTTCCGTGAACTGCAACGATACTGAGCAACCCGATACCAATGGACATTTTAAGTGCATACTGGATATCCTTCGATTTCGCACACCAACGTGTTAATCGCCAAGCGCGAAAACGAAGAATGTAGAACCATTGGTACATTCTCCTCTTCCAATGTGGATCCCTTGAGTTGGTCGTTTTCCGTGTAATCATTTCCATGTCGTCGTAATCAGAGGATGTAACAGCATCATCGTCTTCTGCATCTTCTGCGGAATCCGGGTTGTGAAAAGGTGTCTCAAGCACAGGCAAAAATGCACCGCTGTAATTTAGATCACGGACACCCGTCGAGTAGAAAAACAATCTCTTTTTAGGTGCGCGTTGACTGCGCAGCGCATACAATTCAATGAGTAGCTTCCGAACCTCAATTGCTAGCTCTGAGAGATTGAATATGAAAAAGGCGCCAGAAAATAGTAAGTCATCAATCTCCATTGACGATTCTAAGCTATTTCCCTTTCCCAGACTTTTTGCTCTTATAACAAGTGCGACTCGAAGTGCTTCATGGACGCTCTTCTTTTGAACCAAGTTTGCGTTTGAAATGGATTCAATTAGAGTAGCCAGCTTTTCTTCTGTAACTGCTTCTCCACCTTCATTTGTATTGCACCATTTCAATGTCGACGATGCAATAGCGAGTCCTTTGTTCATGAAATCAGTAAGTGCCGCAATAGTTGGAGAGAATCGATCGAAAAACACGTCAATGCTTTCCTTCGCTTGAGAGTAATGAGCGCTATGCTGGACTGGAATATCGTTTTGAATGCGGTGCTGAGCCATAAAAAGGTCGTTTACAGGAGAAACAAATGGTGCAGGTTTGTCTGAATTGGTTGTACTCATGCGTTGAGGAATGTGCATGTTTAACTCTCGCCGAAATGCTCGCTGCAGTGAAAGACTCGAACTAATGCAGGAAGACAATTCAGTATACAGTTTCTCGTAATGTGAAAGGAAGTTTTGATACGCGGTCACAGGAAGATAGGAGTAGCTCACCTCAAACTTTGAGGCAGCAGCATTCGTACGAAAGGTGTCGAGCTTAGAGCGTAAACTTTTCAATAAGGATGCTGCCATGGCATCTAGCTCTTTTGAATTTGATGAACAGTGTTTCACATCGCTCATGAACACATCGACGCACTTGGCGCATTCGTTCAAATATTCCACGGCAGAACGAACAACGACATCGCTTGCAGTTTGAATGGGTGGTACACAGAAAGTTACAAGCAGAACAACACCCGCAGCTATCAATGAGGGATACGTAAGCGAATAATAAAAGGTATGAGGAACTGTAGTTCCAAAGGGATCCCCCAGCATTAAAAAGCAGTCCGTGAATATCCAGATGATGCAAGCAATGCGGTAACCATAGCGGCTTCGAACATAGGAGGCTGCACAGTTAGCATCGATAAATGAATAAAACAAGGCGAATCAGAGTGCATGTTAGTCTACTATATACTTACAGATAAACGATCCCATAGTAAGACCAATCGCGAGAAGGGGGGCTCCATTAGCACCATTCTTGTTGGCGGCAACCGCTAAAAACTTGAAGATTACTGCCCATATCAAGCCAACTGTTAGTCCTAAGAGTCCCTCATCTTGAAAAATGGGTTAGTACTTGTGTATAAGCACAGGCATTTCAGAGCGAAGTAACTTACACACGACGACAAGCTGATTACCAGCAGTTTGACGAATGGGAAAGAATAGGCAGTGTATAGTGACGATGAGAAAGGCATAAGGACCAATGATTTTGCTGAAAGGTTTAATGAGCACCAATATCTCGCAGATGAAAAGTGCAAGAACAGGCTTAAACAGCAGACGAGTAGTTTTGCGGGAAGGAACGAGTCTCGATAATCGATTTCTCAAGCCTAACACTGCTCTCATATTCTCAATGGATGAGCTCTATTAACCACGAACCAAAAATAAGAATTAAAATCCAAGAAAACAAAAAGACAAGAGGTAATAATGTTGAGATATTTACAAGGTATATGTTAACTTCAGTCCAGCAGATTAAAGGGTATTTTTCCTGAGTAAACAGGAAAAAGATTAAAGACTGTCTACTAGTAAAAGAAGCAGCGTTATTTAAGCGCAATTGAAAGCAGATCGCACAGGAAACAGGACATCCAAGTCGTGTTCACAGTGAATACAGATATTAAAGCATGAATAAGCACTCAATACAGGCCAAAGAGCCTTTTACGCTTTTCTTCTAGCAAATTGTTAAGGGTGGCTTTTAGGACCAAGAGGCAACAAGCCAAACGAAATCCATTCCTACAGGCAATTGTTAAATTTATCGCAAAAATATCATCTACTAATACACGATGTCATATTAGCGTGAATATACACGTAGTATGAGCTGTTTCTCGTACTATTTGGGTGTGTGTTTCGATGTCGCGTTTGGTGTCTTTAAACTACCATGATGGCTAAGGCGAACCTTCCCAGAACCAATACCACCTAAAAGACCAATTCCCTTTTTTCTCTTATATTTGTTTCCCAAACACTATTGTTTCGCTTGAGTGGTCGCATTGGTGTTCTAATGCTGGCAATTGTTCAAGGAATTGCTGTTGTATTTGACTAGGCTAATTAGGTTTATAACATTTAGGGGAAACAAACAAAATGACACTTGAAAACGATCAAATTCTGCTTGGAAGTGGTCCACAGGAGCAGTTCAACGAGGCTTCCATTATGCAAATGGCCCTCACCGGTAACTATAGTGATACCTCATTCACCGACGACGATGACTTTGGTGATGCCCTGGCAGAACAGCGTGACGATCCGGATAGGACAAGCGTTACGAGCAAACATGCACCAAAAGCAAACCCCCATTCACTCCCGCAAACTCCCCCGAAAGCTCGTGAAAGTCCGGAACCATTAAAGCTAAGCCAGCATAAGGAACAATTTCATGAACCTCCTAAACACAACCAGGACGAACAACATTCACAGCAAATGACTGGAAACAGATCCACACCAGTCTCCAGTACTGCTAATGACGATAGTTTTGGGCTCTACGAACTGGAAAGATTAAAGGAACTTGTTGACGAGTCATCTTCTTCCCTTTTGGGCTTGTCGGAAGATGATTCTCTCACACAGAGTCCCGTAGACAGCATTAGTACCAACCATTCAGCTCCCGTTATCCCTCCGAAGAACAAGTCGAGAAGACGTAAACCAAGAGGACAGCGAGCCAGCACTGGATCCGAGCCTATCCACGAAAGTGCATCTATGACGGAGAGGTCCTCGGAGACCGGCTCAATTGATGCCAAGTTTACTCAAACAAGCGATGTTGAAGTGACAAGAAAAGATAGTTGGAAGTCGGTCGCGGAGTCGTACTCTACTGCTGCCGCTGCCGCTGCTTCTGTTGCTGCCGCCAAGAACAAGTCAGCGGTTAGCTCAACGCAACCCCGTGAACACGTTGCTAGTGGGTCAATAAATTCTTTCACTTCGGTCGTGTCTACTCGGACCGAACTTCGCGAGGCTTTCTCTGATCATGAACACTATCGACAACAAGACGTCGTTCCTGAAGTTGCAAACGTGCATCGGTTAATTGAAGATAAAACAGTTTCTCCCATTCCTGAAACTTCTTCAACCGTTTCGGCCGTGGTAAACAGTCCGCCAGCTGTCAAGCCTGCGACTGAAGTTTTACCCGCAGCAGCGAGCCCTGAATCAAAAGAAACTTTTGATAAGAACCAAGATACGCTTTATGCTAATGAACAACAATCATCACCGGTGCGTCCTCGTTCTGTACCGTCGCTCGTTAACCAAGTTCCCGTGCATGATCTTTTCTCCCGACCCAAATCTACCCTTAATATTCAAAATGAAATCATGGAAATGGAGCGTATGTTCAACGAGCTTAAGGGAGCCACTCCGAAAAACGTTCGAACATCTACTCCCAACGCATTAAACAACAAGCCTCCTCTCCCTCCGCGAACGGAATTCATTCCTAACATCGTTGTTCATCCTGCCAGCGAAGCGAATTCAACTGCCCCTTCATCCAGCGGCGCGAATGATGTTTTCGTGCCCGAGCCAGTTACTGCTAAGAGCGCTGTGCCTGCGCTAGCAACACAAGAGGAAATCCAATCACCTACCTCTACTCACATCGCTGCAAATGCACACTTTGTCAGTGATCAAGAAATCGAATTTCCCATTCATCGCTTGCGCTGTGCATTCCTTTATGAATTTATAAAGAAGCAAGACAAAATGGAAATTTCCGTTCAGTACGCCTTACACGATATGCTCGAAAAGTCAAAGGTGCAATTAGCGAATGCTGATTTATTTGAATTACTGAAACAACTTCTGGATCGTCCCCTCGAAGTTCTTGTTAAGCAGTCAGAAGTTTTGGATTCCGTTTTGACTTCGCATACATCTCCGCACGTTCATACAGCTTTGTGGAGAATTATAAGAGGCTTGCTGAATTCGAGGAAAGATCTGCACTATCGTGCTCTTTCTACCGAAAAGTGTCCTTCGGATAAACAAATCTGTAAAGATTTAAGTCGCACATTTTCTGAAGAAACCCTTGGACGATTTGTGTCCAACACAATGAAACGTGGTAGTGCGAAAGAGGAGCCTCCTCACGCAGTGCTTCACCGTGTTCTGAAAGCATACGCAGTGCATGATCCTGCTGTTGGTTACACTCAAGGCATGTCTTGGATTGCAGGCACCCTGCTGCTATACCTACAGGAAGAGGAAGCTTTCCAAGCCTTTGTATTATTATTTGAAGAGTATGGATTACGTTCACTTTTCTCTCCTGGCATGAACGGTCTTAGTAGGTTGATGTACCAGTTTTCCCGGTTACTTGAGGACACCATGCCTCGTTTGGCCATTCATTTTTATCGTGAGCAACTGGATCCTTGCGCATACGCGTCAGAGTGGTTCCTCACTCTTTTCGCCTATCGCTTTCCTTTGGATTTGGCTGCCCATATATACGACCATGTTTTCGTGTATGGTCCCAATGTGCTTTTGTACTTTGCACTAGCATTACTAAAGCAGGAAGAGCGGCATTTGCTTAAACTCCGCGTTGCTCCTCTCGTTTCTTTTCTCAAAGAAGACATTTTTCAAAAGTTCCATGCCAACAGTCAGTATGGTTTGTTGTTAATGAAGTTGGTGAGAAGTTTCCCTCTCACAAACGAGCAAGTTAATTATTACGGTCGCCAATTTGACGATCAGTACAATATGGAATGCAAACTCCAGGAAGAACTTAGTGCATTGACGGAAGAGCACGAGCGGCTTAAAAGGCAAATGCAAGAACTTTCACATCGGAAAAAAGCACTGCAAACGGAGCACCGCCGAATGAGCTCTCTTTTCACACGGGAGGTCTTGGATATGAAACGCAATCTTGGTATTCAAGCCCATTTACGATCTGAGATTGAGCAACTGAAAGAGTCTTTCAAGAAGCAACAGCGTGATATTGAAGAAGAGTTTCGTGGGGGAATGGAGGCTGCCATTGCAGAAAACCTTGACATTATGGGCGTGAATCAACAACTTGAGGATAGTCTCTTTGAAAAGGAAAAGACTCTTGCAGAAGCCAAGGTTAACCTTGCTACTCTTGATGGCGACTATACCGTGGCTCTTCAAAAGTGGAGACGTCTTCAGAACACCGTTGCTTCTGATGTTTAAAGTGTTCCTGCGTATTGTTAAATACTTTTTCCATTTTCCAATACTTTGTTTCAGTTGTTTATTATTTTCAAACGACAAACCCCGTTTTTGGGGAACGAGAAACCAACCGTATTCTGTCATTAAAAGATGCATTATCATTCATATGGACATTCATCATTAATTTATTTATTAACGTTTCCTAAAAAAAAAATATTACCGCAAGTGCAGATGGAAGAATATTTTGTTTTAAGGTAATGCTTTAATATGTCTCATGAGTTTTATCAGCGTGAATAAAAGTACATTGTATGAATAGGGGTAAAACATTTAAAACAGACATTTCGACTTCTTCTCTAAGCAAGGACAAATGACTAAGCCTGCCAGGAATGTCATCAGAATCATTATAAGAAAATAAGAGTAACAGAAAGCGAGAAACAACTCGCTTAGATATAAAATACAGTGAGCCTCGCATACGCAAACAAAGTTGATGCGGGCTGACACAAAGTGAGGCTTAGCTCGGCATCAACAAGTAGTCTCCACGAGCAAACTTAGCTCTGCATGGAGGCCGACGAACATGGAGTCGCCTGTTGCTAAGTACCGACTTTGACGGCAATGGGAACGTAGCCCAACATTAAACAAACAAAGCAGACATACACATACCTCTGCAGAATACATTAGACAGGCCAGTGGATTTTGCACATGAAGCAAAAAACGACAACCTGCAGTTGTATGCTGCACAGAATTAACTATGAGCAAGCATTTAAAAACAAACAGGAAGCACAACTTAGCACAATTTAAAAAAATCACTGAAAGCAAGGTCTGCAAATGCAGAGGTTCGATGTCGTTAAATAACAAAACCCATGAGGGCAAGTATTCTCATATAGGACTGACCAAATAGTCAATACTAAACAAAAAAATAATAAAAAAAATAAAGAGGAGAGACAAATGTAATAAAAAACAAATTAAGATGTCGTCACGATCTTCGAGACTGGGAATTAAAAAGTTAAAGCGGTTCAAAAACACACGAGCAGGGAATGCGGAGGGCTGGAAACGAAAGACGCACAAGTCACTGCGGAATTTCCAATACGTAAGCCATTAGCGGTCCGCACACGATTTCGACGATTACTTCGCTGAAACGAAGCACCGGAGAATAAGGTGCTCGAGGAAGCGCATTAGTTTGGGAACGCAGGCAGACATGAACGGACAGGACATCTCACAAGAAGGGGTCATTGCTGTCGTGAGGAACGATAATGAATTGAAAGGGCGGTTTGGTTCAGCAACTAGACAAGAGACACATCACAAGGGAAATCTAGGACAAAAAGGCGGACAAGGATAGAGCATCAGGAAAGGGATGTTTGAGTTTGGTTTCGGAATGGCAAGATATATAATCGTTCATGCGCTCGCTTATGACAGGAAAGCAAATTCGAGAGAATCATCCTGACAAAGTCGTTCAACGACATCATAAACAAATTTGAATTGTGCAAAAGTCTGCACCATTTTCATGCGCTGCATGCGAATGTTGTTAATCAGCTCAAATACAAGATCTGAGCTTGAGCTCTGAGAACAGCTTGACTGCAGTTCAATGGTAGAACAACGAAGGAGAGAGTCGAGGACAATGAACGTCCCTGTTCTTCCGACACCTGCCGAACAATGAACAATTAGCGGTCCATTTTTAGGGAGATCGTTAACAAGCTTCAGACAACGAAGAACCGAAGAGATGTCCTCTGGGGAGCAACAATCAGACCAAGCATGATACTGAACATGGTTGATAGTCTTTTCAGACTGAGTTTCCACATCACGCAGAATTAAAACATGAAGTGTGCAACACGCCTCCGGAACCTCTGTGACCGACTTCGAGCGAATGACAAACCTCTCTGTGCGAATGGGCTCGCTGAGTTGCTTGCTGGGCCAGTAAGGCGCAGACATCTCGCGGCCACCTTCGCACAAACCGGCCAGCATGACGATGGTGCCCGAAGTGCCAACATTATCCCACACCATTAGCCAAAAGTCGTTCAACGTGCTCGACACTGGTGCCTGGCAGGCGATGTACTCATTTTTACGAGTTTTAATGTGAGAGGCATTAATATAGTCATCAGAATCAGAGGAGTCGGGGAGATGGACACGAGTCACGTTGTAAGGAACGATATCCGAGTAACGGTTCTTGGAGTAAGCGGCAGGCTTCATCGCATCAACGGTGCACCATTCAGAACCCTTGTCGGCGCTGTAAACAAACCGCTCGGATTCTAGCCGGTGCAAGGAATGAAACTTCCGGTACAGCGAGGAGCACGCTACATCGGTCATTTCGCCAGACTGTGTGAGCAGAGAAGGACTAGTAGCCAAGTTGGCACCAAAAGGATTGGAAGCCAGTTCGCTGCGTGGAAGTGGACAAAAGAACCCAGAAGGACGAGCAGTAAGACCCTGCAGCGATATACAGCAGGGTACGTCGGCAGATCTCCGTCTTTTCGACGAAGCATCAGCTGCAGCCGAAGACGGAGTAGTCGAAGTTGCCGCATTCTTGGGCTCACAAAACGAACCCACCGGCGAGTTGGCCGGCGACAGTACAGGACGGACAGCCGTCGGTTCCAGCTTTGTGTCGTCGATTAGCGCGGAGTAGTGAGACCGAATACACGCAAAACCGCCGTCAAAAATGCTCACAGAGCCAGAAAACGACTCGTTTTTGAATTTCTTGCCGAGAGACTCTGCAAGAGCAATGTTGCTGGCAGTCCACGAGGCCACACACAGATAAACATGCTCGAGATGCTGCCAGTCATCGAGCGGGTGTGACGAACCACGGGGATCAAAGGCCGTCTGCAGAATTTTTGAGACATTAAAGCGTGGGCGCTTGAGGAGAGTCGCGGGGACGGAAACATTGATGGAGCCGCACAAACGGCATTCACAGAATTCACTGAACGTGCGAAGATCAATGATAATTGAGTGCGAGTCGGGCTTGGTGCAGCACTCGACTATACTTTTCAAATCAGTGAGAGGGATGGTAAAGCTCGACTTGGGACAGCGGCTTTCGGATAGTGGGCCTACACAAGGACCAGAGGTAGGAAGCTTAAATCCAGAGACGGACACGAATGAAGGAACGACTGCTGGCACTAACGTCCGGCTTTTTCTGAGACTTTCATTGGGAAACGGGCCGGGACTTGTGTGACCAAACACAATGGGAGAAGCGGGCATCATCGCGTTAAAGTGTCCAGGAACCATGAATGAAGCGGACAGATGATGATATTAATGAGAAAGTGAGAGTGAGATAGATGGTCGTGGCAAGGACGGGAAAGATTGAAAGGAAGCAAAAAGGATCACTCAAAAGTGCTTTTTTAGTCTTCAGTGAGTGGATTAACAAAAAAAGGTGGAGGTGACGCGGATATAGATATAGGGATAGGCACAGACGCACAGATACAGAACAAAATAGGACGACAAACGCGTGTAAACAACGGGGTTCGCGCTCAGAATGAAGAAATAGACAAGCGTCTGTAGTCTAAAGGACGCAAATGGGTAAATGGGACAAAAATACGCGGGATAAAAAAAGCACACGTTGAGATACGAGCTGTTTCCACGTGGCAATAGAGCAAAACTTTACGGAACAGTAGTAGTTCGTAAAAAGACGTTTGAGTTCTTGCGTATGAATTGTCAAATCAAAAACAATGCCGGTGCAGATGCGTTTGTTATAGAGGTACGAGCAGAGAATGGGTCATGATCAGAGGGAAACACAAAATTAACGGTTCAAGGTTGGACTTTTTAAGTATGCCCAGACTGCAGCTGGAAAAAGTTAAGAGCGGTGGTAGACTACCTTTAAATAGGCCTGCACCACTTAAAGTTACGGTCTCACCCATCCCATGACGTGGGCCAATATTTCCCCGACAAAAAAAAAATAAAATTGTAACAATGAGCCAATCATCGCTTGAGCGATGGTATCAGGCCCATTGCTTGATCGAATCGACAGTCCGTATCGCTTAACAAGCATGTCGCAGCGGGGTATGACGTGGTGAAATGAAGAAGAAGGCGTTTTTCGCTGATGACGTGTATGAAAAGGGGAAGGTGTTGCAGGCAACGAGGGTTTGGGACACTCGTTGTTGCTGTGGTGTCAACAAACGGCGAGAGAAACAAGTCGTCAGCCGAATCTGGAAAACCGCGATAGGTCCAGCAGGCCTCAAGCGTGCATACAGGCTACTAATCCATTCAACCTAGGGCAACCTCGTATGCTTCTCAAGGCAGAGATGCAAATGATACTGTGTCAAAAATGCTAATATGTGATGTAATACTGACGAAAGGGCCCACATGAGTGTTTGCAAGCTTTGTGGATTTTGGTTGACGAGCAACGGGGGAAGGGATAAAACGACCACGTGCAGGAAAGAGTGTTCATAGGATGCATGAACTGCCGAAGCGAGCGGCGACACGTGAGTGCGTTGGCGCAGCTGTCGCAAAAATGTAACGATAAATTCCTAGTAGCCGACACGAAGGATAAAAGATCTCGGGCGTCTTTGCGGCATCCCAGCCAATCAGCGCGCTAATTGCAGTAATCGATGCCTACGTCATGGACTCCAACTGCCGAAGCATCCTATGTTTGCGACACCACCATGACGTAGGAAGCACAGAAGGGGACGTCGCTACGGGACAGGTTCGACGACCTTTCAGGGGACATGTGTAGCTGTTTGTGTGGATGAACAGACATGTTGTTGGGGGCAGTCCGGCAAGGGAGACCAATGGTCTGTGCGTGCAATAATGGTGCGGAAGGTTCCCTTTACAAGCGGATGAGCCTAAGTCTGGCCCTTTATGAAGCAACCACACGCGGAACTTGAATTGACTAGCTGGCGATGATTTAAAGAATTACGACGTTCATCTATAGGCTCGGAAAAATTGAACCGTTAAATAGTTTAGCTGCAACACCATGCAATGACATCAGTCCTACTCTTTAAAGATTCCTAGGCTCAAGTGGGGCAAGCGGGATGGGATAGTGGGGTATGTGGGTCAGGGCTAACAAGGTACAGCGAAAATACCTGGTCGATAGGAAGTTACGTAGGTGGAACTAGGCCAGGAAGAGAAATGCGGAACGGTTTGATTCGAGGAATTGCTGGACGGGATTTGATCTGTGGATGCTACAAGATGCCATTGCAGGGGCGGGAGTTGAAAATGCCAGTACTAGTTGCATCGGATATTTTATTACTAAGTAGATGAGAGGTGGTACGAAAATTTTGTTAGAGCAAGAAAGAGGGTCTGTGGAGAGGACGGAAGGACGGATAGAATAGAGGGAGTTGCGTGGAGAGAACATAAGGGGAATAAAGGGGAAAAACAGAAAACAAAAAAAAGGAGCAAACGAAAGAAAACGAAAAAAAAAAGAAAAGAAAAATCAGGAGGCTCGGTTCAGCTATTTTTTATTTTTATTTTTGATTTTTTATTAATTAATTAATTAATTAATTAATTTTTATTTACTTTTTTATCTATTTTTTATTATTCTCCTAGAATGAAAAGAGTCGTGTTAGAATTGACTACCAAAGTAGCATCTACTCATTCATCTTGTACGTTCACATAATATACTACACTCTCATATTTTTCTACCTTACAAACAAGCAGACGTTCTCTCCAAAACCATTTTATTTTTGTACCATAGCCTCTCGCTGCCGTGTTAATCGTTTAGTCGATTTCCACAAGAACATCATCTTCGTCCTCCTCAACGACGACGGGCTCTTCGTCACGGACAAGCATTTGTACCAATCTAGAGTAGCGTTAGTAATACCATCCAAACGTTCAGATGGACGTGTACACGCCGTCTGTGCTGCCACTTACTGATCACAAAGAGCACGAATGTCTTCGTCCTCAACGGCCAAATGCAGCTCACGGATGATAGGATACACCTTCCGAAGCCGCATGTGTTCACGACCCTCGCGAGTGGCTGTAAGGAGAATGAGCGACTCAACATGTGTCTTCATCACGAACAAGTCGGGCTCGCGTTTCTTGTCGTCGGGAAGCAACTGCAATTCGTCGAACATGCCATCCATATCCTCGTCGCTCAGCTCCTCCGGACCTGCCAGAGGAAGGAGGAGATAGGGCAACACGTTGATGCCGTCCTCGTCCATCAACGATGCATGGAAGGTTGTGTCAAAGCACACGTTTTTAATGGTCGCTGCGACACCAGTGCGACGAAGCACCGAAGCGTGATCGGTAAAGACAACAACTTTGCTAATGGGAATCACATCGTCGTATGCTTGAGCCTCTGTGAAGTACTTACGGCCACGCTCGAAACGAGTCAAGTCTGCAAACACATTTGCCAAGAAGTCGTAGTTTGCGTACTGGTTGATACCGTGGTTGCTACCTTTGACAAAACAGTCCATCAGTTGGTCTATGGCATTGCTGCTCAAAGAGTACTCACGCAAGGGAACCTTCATATCGAACATGTTCACAATGTCGTCTTCTTTGGTCAGATTGCAAAGCAGCATACAGCACAGATCCGCCAAGCCATGTTCTGGGTTGGTAATGATACCAAGTACTGTCTGCACGAACTCTGCATCAATTAAGTAACGTCGCACCTCGTGATTCTGCGACACGTTCACTAGTGCTGTAGCTGCCTGGCTAGCAATCTGGGGTTTGTCAACTAACAAAGCCTTCAACTGCTTCACCGGTCTGTAATCATCCTCCCGGAAGATGTCAAAATGCGGGTTCGTCCGCATGGTGAAAGGCAGCAAATGTTGCAAGGCCAACATGCGAACCTGAGGATTCTCATCATGCAAGAATCCGACCAACTAAATCGTCAGTAAGAGACACCATGCAAATGGACAGCTGAATAAATGGCTAACTGAACAAGACATTGTGAAGTAACATAGAAGGGGAAAAAAATAGTATCCAAAAAAAAAAAAAAAAAAAAAATAGTCAAGATCGAAGCATCCAGTATACAGACAAAATTCTGTCCGTTCATCACCACGACCAAAATGAAAACAGCAAACGAGCATTACATTACCAAAAGTCTCATGCCTCCAACCCTTCATATACAAACACAAAAAGGTGTTCTAGTCGTTCTCCATGTCCATTCCATACATACCTCCTTCAACTCAGACATTTTTGGACGACGCAGTATCGTATCGACCGAAATTTTTGGTGGTAATTTCGTTTTTCAATCTCAGTACCGGAAACGCTATAGAAGAACCACGAATCGTCGAGCAAGCAACAAAACGGTAAAAATGAAAGAGAATTGACTGACAGAGGGAACCAGCAATTTCAAACGAGGAAGAACGGACAACGACCACCTCCTCAGACAGAAAAGAATACGAAAAGCACACAACTACAAAGTACCACTGTTCCACCCACTTCACACCCATTCCATACCTAGAACAATTTGTTCCAAACACATAATATTTTTAATTATACAACTCATAAAATACCTTTCACGAAAACATCTCAAAAACCTGCAAAGTTAGCAAACGAATCCGGAGAATACATGTAAATCGATCATCAACTGAATGGTTCTCAGTAAAAAGGCAATATAGGTTATCCTCAACGAAATTCAGAACAGGTCTGTAATGTTTTATCATCATATGAACCACTCCGTAACAGTCGATTTCAACAAGCTCACATACCTTAATAACTCCAAAGACCGCAGCAGCGAACAAACAATCACCAAATGAACACCAAATGAAGACTATTCATTGCCGCTGCTGGCCTGCTGTTCTGGGCTGCAGCTTGCTGGTTTATATAGACAATCCGTGACTGCTACCACAACAAATACTCATAGGGTAGGGTTTCCCCACCAACATTTCCCCACCTCGCTATGTGGGGGCAAAGTAGAAGACGAGCAAACTTACCGGCTCGAAGTTGCCTACTACCAGCACTTGTTTGCGATTGTAATCCTTCCGAATTCAACGAAGGTTTCAGACGTGAACGCGTAAACTTATTGCTTCGACAGCGGGGAGTGCATTCGTCTGAAAGTTACGTAAAATGGCACCTAAAGGAGCCACAGTTGAGCAGCTTGAGTCTCAGACTGCAAAGCTGAAACTGGAGAATGTGAGTTTTTCGCTGCACGGGTCGTTTGTGGAAGACGGACAATTACCACAAACTGCTTGGGTTCAATGGTTGTGTGGAGAATGTAGTTTACTAACTGGTTGCAGACTACTAAGCGTGATACTCTTATTGACTGGGAAAACAAGTACCAAAAGAAATGGGAAGATGAGCACATTTTTGAGGTGAATGCTCCTTTGGAGGATATGTCCATGGATGAACTTCGTGAAAAGTACCCCAAATTTTTCGGAAACATGCCTTATCCCTACATGAACGGTGCTCTTCATCTTGGTCACGCTTTCACTTTGACCAAGGTCGAGTTCACCACCGCTTATGAGCGTCTTAAGGGCAAGCGCACCTTGTTCCCCATGGGTTTCCACTGCACCGGTATGCCCATTTGTGCCAGTGCTGACCGTTTGGCCCGCGAAATTGAGTTGTTCGGTAAGAACTTTGAGCTTCCCGCTGAGGAGGAGGAGGCCACTGCTACTCCTGAGCAAAAGAAGTCCCCCGTTGCCCACGAGGACGTGACCAAGCATGGTGGTAAGAAGAGTAAGCTTGCTGCTAAGACTGCTGCCGTCAAGTACCAATTCCAGATCATGCAGTCTTTGGGCATTCCTCGTGAAGAGATTCACAAGTTTGCCGACGCTAAGTACTGGCTTGAGTACTTCCCTCCTTTGTGCCGTCAAGACTGTACTAATTTCGGTTTGGGTATTGACTGGCGCCGTTCCTTCATCACAACTGACGCCAACCCTTACTACGACTCGTTTGTTCGCTGGCAAGTGAACAAGCTTCACGACTCGGGTAAGATCAAGTTCGGTGAACGTTACACCATCTACTCTGAGAAGGATGGTCAACCCTGTATGGACCATGACCGTAAGAGCGGTGAGGGTATCGGTCCCCAAGAGTACACTGGCATCAAAATGGAGGTCTGCGAGTTCCCCGAGGCCGCCAAGACTGACTTGGCTTCTGTCGACTTGAACGGAAAGAAGGTCTTCATGGTTGCTGCTACTTTGCGTCCCGAGACCATGTACGGTCAAACGAACTGCTACGTTGGTCCCAGCCTTACTTACGGCTTGTATGCTTCTAATATTCCCGATGAGTATTTCATCTGCACTCCTCGTGCCGCCAAGAACATGGCCTTCCAAAAGCTCTCTGCCGAGCGCGGTGTTGTCACCGAGCTTGCCCAATTGAAGGGTGAGCATTTGGTTGGTGCCTTGGTCAAGGCTCCCTACTCTGTGTACGACAAGGTTCGTGTTCTTCCCATGGAGACCGTGTTGGCCACCAAGGGCACTGGTGTTGTTACCTCTGTTCCCAGTGACTCTCCCGATGATTATGCAACTCTTGCCGATCTTCGTAAGAAGTGTGAATACTACCACTTGAACCCCGAGTGGTTGAAGAACGACCCTGTTGCCATCATCGAGACCAAGGCTTACGGAAAGATGTGTGCCGAAACTCTTTGCCAGAAACTCAAGATTCAAAGTCCTAAGGATGTTAAGCAATTGGCCCAAGCTAAGGAGCTTGCCTACAAGGAATGCTTCTACCAAGGTGTTATGATCATTGGTGAGTTCAGTGGTGACAAGGTCGAGGTTGCCAAGCCTAAGATTCGTGCCGATCTCATTGCCAAGGGTCTTGCGTTCGCTTACAATGAACCCGAGGGTCAAGTCATTAGTCGTAGTGGCGATGAGTGTGTTGTCGCACTTTGCGATCAATGGTTCTTGGACTACGGTGAGAAGAGCTGGAAGGAGCTTACTCTCAAGGCTCTTGACCGCTTGAACACCTTCTCTCCTGAGGTGCGTAACGGTTTCAGAAAGACCTTGGACTGGCTTTCTCAATGGGCCTGTGCTCGTTCTTACGGTTTGGGTACTCGTCTTCCCTGGGATCCTCAATTCCTTGTTGAGAGTTTGACTGACTCTACTATTTACATGGCCTATTACACCATTGCTCACTTGTTGCAAGGCAACCCCTACGGTAGTGCTCCCGGTCTCTTGAACATCAAGCCCGAGCAAATGACTCCTGCCGTTTGGGATTACGTCTTCTGCCAGAAGGCTAAGCCCACTGATTCCACTATTCCCGATGAGGCCTTGGAGCGCCTTGCACGTGAATTCCAATACTTCTATCCCTTTGACATTCGTGTCTCCGGTAAGGATCTTGTGCCTAACCATCTTACCTTCTGTCTGTACACTCATGCTGCCATCTTTGATGAGAAGTTCTGGCCCAAGGGTATCCGTGCCAACGGTCACTTGCTCATGAATGGTGAGAAGATGTCGAAGTCTACCGGTAACTTCATGACTTTGCATGAGGCTTGCAAGAAGTATGGTTCTGATGCTACCCGTGTTGCTCTCGCTGACGCTGGTGACACTGTTGACGACGCCAACTTTGAGGAGGCTACAGCAAATGCTGCTATTCTTCGTCTTTACACTCAAGAGGCTTGGTCTCGCGAGATGGTTGAGAAGAAGGATACTCTTCGTGACGGACCTTACAACTTCCATGACACTGTTTTCGACAACGAGCTCAACCAAATCATCGAGCTTACCGATGCTGCCTACAGTGTTACTGCCTTCAAGACTGCTTTGAAGCACGGTTTCTATGACCTCCAAAACGCTCGTGACTGGTACCGTGAGGTTACCGCTGACAAGCAAATGCACCGCGATCTTGTCCGTCGCTTCATGGAAGTTCAGACCTTGTTGATTGCTCCTATCGTTCCTCACTGGAGTGAGCACATCTGGAGCGCTGTCCTCGGTAACTCTGGCAGTGTTCGTCTTGCTCGTTTCCCCGAGCTCACCCATCCCGTCAACACTATGCTTACCAACTCTCTTGCTTACGTCCGCAACTTGACTCGTGTTATTCGTGAAGCAGAGGCTGCTCAACTGAAGCGTCAAAAGAAGGGCAAGGGCATGCTTTTCGACCCCAGCAAGCCTCGTCGCTTGACTGTTTACGTTGCTGAGAAGTTCCCTGAATGGCAAGCTCAGTATGTTAAGCTTATGCAACAACATTACAACGAGAAGGAGAACAAGTTTGCCGATAAGGCTATCATCGCTGGTGTGGAGAAGAAGGAGATGAAGCGTGCCATGCCCTTCATTCAACAGTTCAAGCAGACCCTCTTGAACCGTAGTGAGCATGTTACCGCTGAGTCTCTCTTCAGCCGCGAATTGGGCTTCAATGAGTTGACTGTCTTGAACGAGGTCAAGCCCTACTTGTTGCGCAGCGTTGGTATCAAGGAGCTGCGTGTTGTTCTCTTGAAGACTCCTGCTGACAATGCCACCCAATTCACCGGTGTTGTCGAGTCCGGCGAACAAGCTGGTGAGACTATTGATGTTGCTGCTAACTTCGCCAATGCTCTTCCCGGTCAACCTACGTTCTTGTTCGAGAATGTTTCTGCCTAGGCTTAAAAACACCTGGCTGGTTACTCCCACTTAAAATAAAGCATCAAGGACGTTAGGCATGTGCAAAATTACTTGTTTCCCGTACAAACAATAGATATCTTTTGGATTATAGCTAGAATGAAAATGAATGTACAATCAATTGCGGGATGGACGGCCGTAACAGGTGTACTACAGAATTAAACTTGCTATATATTACATATAGAGATACATTTTGTAAACTACTTATTCATTGCTTTGCTTGTTTTGTGTAGAGAGTAACCAGTCACTCATAGCCATTATAGCATAGCAATAACATTCATAAAGTCATGTCATGGGTTCCCGGCGGGTAAAACCGTACCCGTTTTTTGCTTGACCCAATTAACTGCTCCTAGAGGGAAGTGTATATCGTCGTCCATACTTACAACGGAATGGTACGTACGTCAAGACCAGCTTGCAGTTCCGACTTCGAAGGCATTTTACCACTAAGTAGAAGTTGGCTACTAGCAGTGACGGCCGGGTCCGTCATCATGCTAGCAACAGCGACAATTTTTTCGCCCTTTGCATAGAAGCATGTAAACTTATTGTCGGCAAAAGAACCTTGCAGAACGATATCGTCGTAACCAGCCGCAGAAGTATTGCCGCAATAACGTAATTGTTTTCCTTGTGCAGTCCAGAAGAAAGGCGTGAAAGACTTTGTAGTAAAGCTTGAAGTCTTTCCAAAAGCAATATGGTTGGCAGCTACGCGAGCAAGATTGCCGGCCACGTCCCAATGCTCAATTCGTGTGCGTGTTTTTCCGCCTCTTTCAACAGGCAAGTTCGAAAAGGGTGCGTGTGCAATGTCACCAACGGCATACACACCGGCGTCTTCAAGACCTAAAACCCGACAATGCTCATCTACAGCAATACCGCCATCCGATTCCAGCGGCACGGCATCACCTAAGTAAGAAAGATCGGGTTTCACACCAATGGCCAAGATAACGATGTCAGCAGGAAGCTTCGTGCCGTCCTTTAAAATAACAGCATCAACATTTTCGTTCGTGGGATCAGAGCGCTCAAACTCAGAGACACCGGCATTCATGTAAAAACGCACGCCGTTCTCCTCGTGCAAAGCACGAACGACATTGCCGACGCCGCGACCCATGGCCTTTTCGAACGGTACACTTTCCATGCCAATGACAGAGAGATTGTGATCCTTCAAGACAACGGAAAGCTCCAAACCAATGAAACTGCTGCCGACGATGACAATGTTTTTTCTACCAGCAGACTCTGGGAGTTCTGTGGTAGCGGCAGCAAGACGAGCCGCATCGTGTTGGGAACGTAACAGATACACATTGTTTGCATCAGCTCCTTCTATCGGGAGAGCACGGGGGACACCTCCTGTTGCTAAAATTACATAGTCATAAGACTGTTCGTCTCCTTGCTCTCCATAGTAAATGATTTTGTTTTTCACGTCGATTTTGTTCACCTCGCTGGAAAAGTGGAAGACGATATCCAAAGCTTCGTAGTGTTCCCTTTTTTGGAGACCGATTTTGTTCATGTCATGCATGAGGGATTTGGAGAGCTTTGGCCGGTCATAAGGAAGCACGGATTCTTTTGTGAAAACGGTAATGGCATCTGTATAACCATTTTCACGTAATGCCTCAATTGCAACAGCTGCGCCTTGTCCGCCGCCCACGATACAGACTTGGCGTTTTGTGGGTGTGCTAGTCCCAGGAGGCTTTTTGTACACTTCAGATGCTCTGTTTCTCCAACAACCTTCTGGTGTCAAAAGCGAGAGTCCATGTTGACCATCAGTGTCCGGTACATCAATCCAAAGCTCGCCTGCCGCCTTTTCTACAACAGGAAAACGGCGCAAGGCATTGAGTGCCGGTGAATCTTCAATGTCACCAGTCTCAATGTTATAAGCAGCACCGTGCCAGGGACATACAATCGAACCGTTACCATTTAGACAACCGTTGGCTAAAGGAGCACCGTAATCTAGCACACGCAATCATGTTAGTCGGGACCACTGCAATGAAAAGAAGCCGAGGCGACTGCCTAAAACATTCGTTTCAACAATTATTTGCCTCAATTCCTTTTCGTTCTCTCACTTACGACTACACTTGGAGCTCGTAGCGTAAAATTGGTCTTTGTGACGCAACAGCAGCACAGAAGCCGAGGTGCCTTCGACCTTGGCCTCCACTTTTGACCCATTCTGCGATACAGCAGCAGGGTCGAATGACAATTTGTACAGAGTCATGACGGGTTTGAATACCTGAAAACTGGGGACTCGAGAAAAACCAAAAAACCGTTTCCCGAAAGCTGGAAGAAGGCCGCTCCGGAAACAATTCCTGTTCAAATTGCGAAGAATATTGAAGTACGAAAGAAAATAAAAACGAGTGGATGAATGACCAGCGACAATCCCGAAAAACTGTCTCTGGCGAAATTAAAATTGTTGAAAATTAATGAATGAATTAGAACACGCGCAAAAACAACCCAGTGACGAAGTCCAGCGCCTCTCCTACCGAAGCAATTCCAACAGACGTCTCACAGTGAACAATTCCTCGAGGTGAACAAGCAAAAGAGGGCACACGAGGAGACTTATATAGTCGGCCGAAAACATGACGTAGGCAAGATGACATAGAGACAGTCGCGAGCCGAAAACGTGTAACCAATCACCAACAGGACAATTTACCAGCCATCCAATTGCAAGCCACACATACAAGTGAGAAAAAGAGAACTTTATGCTTTGTTAACTCACAGATGGGCCAGACCGCACCACCCTTCCCAATCACATCGTCTGAAGCAGCATGACCGCTACAGTCGATGAGAAGGGGAATTTACACGTCAGAATACACCAGCTGCCCTACACGACGGGACCGTCCAGAGGACGAGAAACCCGAGGTGTAAGAGATCATCGCTGAAGGGGGAGAAGAACAACCCAAAAGAGAGTCTGCCCTCTCCCTCCCGAAGAAAGTATTGTCTCACTCTTCGGGCAACGGTGCTTCCAATCATCATCCGTGTTGAGTTCTGTGGCTAGGTTAGGAAACCCAAGCCGGACGTATACTATAGAAATGATCCTATGGAGTATCGTCGATGGTTTTTCGTGGAGCGAGCTGTGTGCTTTTATAGTTTCAGTGAAGAGTTTATAGCAGTCACAATTCAGTGGCCGTTTATTCGTTGATATGGAGTGTGAATCGGCTTAATTCTCATTTGTTATTGTTAAAACGCACGTGGAAACCATCAAAGTTCCTATTCGACAACAGCAAACCAAGGTTGTAACGTTCGCTAAGACAGTCAATGAAATGAAAGACACAGACCCTAGACAAACGCAGTCAGAAACCCCTGAAACCTTACTCAAACTTTACCCAACTCTAAATTAACCTCGCCAATGGAAGGGCAAATCTTATCCTCATAAAAAAGTAAATATTTATTTGTCATATACATCATCCACAAACATTAACCAATTACCAGTAACAGATTACCAAAAGTCGTATCCGCTACTGTCAGCGCAACCAACCATCTCGACGGGTTGCTTCTACAAGTGCAAATCCCTGCACTCCAAAAAGGGCGGCATATTTCGCTAGTGGTACAAGCGTTGTTTGGGTTACATGAAAGAGTGTCTGTCTACTTGCAGACCTTGCCGTCAGCAACCTCGCGGCCGGCAATAGGCTTGTCCCAAGCCCAGGCATCCTCAATGAAAGCCTTGTCCTCGGGCTTGCTGGCGTCCAACTTGGTGAAGGTGTAGGACTCCCAGTCGGGGGCGACATCGAAGGCAGGGACGTGGTCTTGGCCCTTGATGACGAAGGCACCAGTGATGGTGTTGTCACCGTTCTCACCGATAACGACACAGCAACCGAAGATGAACTTGAGGGAAGCTTGGAGACGTTGGAAGAAACCACCGATGAGGTTGTTGGTCATGAAGACGGGTTGCTTCAAGTCGTCAGGGAAGGCATAGTCGATCTTCCAGACGGAGTAGTTCTCGGGGTCAAAGTGGTCAAAGAAGTAAGGAAGAGCCTCACCACGAGTGTCCTTGTTGGAGTAGACACGCTTGAACTCCTCAATGTTGAAGTTGCCGTTGGGCAAACCGGCCAAGGGGTGCTTGGGCTTGGGGGCGGCTTGCTCAGCAGCAGCAGGCTTGGGCTTCTCAGCGGCAGCCTTCTTTTGGGCCTTAGGCTTCTCAGCCTTGGGCTTCTCGACCTTGGGGACGGGAATAGAGGTGTCAACAATGGTCAACTCACCGTGGAGGGAGTCAAGACCAGTTTGGTAGTACATGGTGGTGAAGTAACGTTGGACGTTACCGTACTTGGCAAGCTCGGCCTTGGTGAAAACGGTGCGGAAAAGAGCGTTCAAAAAGGAAGCAACAAAGATGTCACCAATGGTAAGACGGTCGCCAGCGAGGTAAGTCTTGTCGGCAAGCTCCTTGTTGAGGAAGTCGAAGAGAGCAAAGGTTTGTTGCTTGCTCTCCTTCTCGGCAGCAGCGTTGTAAGGAAGGATACCGTGGCGGCCGAGCATCCATTGAGCGAAAGCACGGATGAGCTCGCTGTTGGCGAAAGAGGCCCATTGCAAGGCCTTGGCACGGGCCTTCTCGGTGGTACCCAAAATGGGAGCATTGGGGGCTTGGGAAGCGACTGTAAACGCGTTAGTAACAAGTTCATGCGAGAACTGAAGGGCAATAAGGGGCACAGAAGCGTTTGAGGATTCAGATTTACCATTCTCAACACTGTTTTTCAGACAGGGATAACTGTAGAAATAAATTCTCATCATTTTACCCTCGAACGCCTGCATGCACACCTCTCCTAATTCACTTACGGTAAATAGCAATGGCAATGGTCTCAGTCAAAGCAAAACCGTCGGCACCGAGGAAGGCGGGGGACTTTTGTTGAGGGAACTTGGCAGCGATATCCTCAGGGAATTGATGGGGGAAGACGTTAACAACGTCAACCTTGACACCACTCTTCTGAGCGGCGAGGACGACAGCGTCGACGCGGAAGGATCCTTGAATACCGTAGATAGTACCGAAAGACATGGTTGAAAGGATGCTGTGGATGGGACTCGGACTGCTGTGGAGGAGGAAGGCTTCCTTTTATATGCTTCGGAGAATAACCGAGATGAGCCGAATAACGCGGTCACACTTTCTAAGCGAATATAAGCGAGGTAACGATGGAGAGACTTGGCATGGGAGAAGTTTCAGGTGAGTCAGCCGCAGCAGGGCATGGGCCTGGAGGCGGTGAGCTGAGAGCTGGTCGCAAGTTGCTTACTAAGTGCGGTCAAAGCGGATTACTAGTCGAGCGAGATGTTTTGTTTCGTTGTAATTGTTTATTTTAATGAGTGTTAGTTGTTGTTTGCTAGTTGATAAATCGTTCATAAAACCGTTGATTTTTATTTAATTATTTTTTGAGCGAGAGTAAAAAGTGCATATTATTTATTTTTCTTTTTCTTTTACCATTATTTTTATTCATTAATTTTACTATATATTATTATATATTATTGTTATTATTATCTAATATTAATATTAATATTTTATATTTTATATTTTATTTCTTTTCTTCTTTTTATTTTTTATTTTTTATTTTCTATTTTCGCATACTATTTCGCCAACTTTCAGACGAAATAATTTGTCTCCAGGACTATTAGACATTTCACATTTTGTAGCTTCTAACATTCAATCTCATTCTCATTCTCTATTAACTTTTCATCTGTTTACTTCGAACGTTTCAGACCTCTTCAATTGTTTACAGTTTCAAGACAAACCTCTACTCTCCCCCACACCGCCCTCGCTCACTTATACCATTTCTCCTCCCAACAGCTTCCCCAGTAATACCCCCACCTTACCCCACTCCTCCACCGCGATTACTAAAGCCTTTCGGCTGTGGAAAGAAGCCCCGATGCGGGTGGAGGAGGTTTAATGAGAACTGCAAGATCATCGTTGCTCACGATTCGCACAGCCTTGTGGCAACAACAGCTTGGAACCATGGAGCATGCGATTTCGCACCTGCTTTCTGTTAGTACGTTGCCGCATCACTTACCTTTATAGCATTTAAAAAAGGATACGGATCTTGGAGATGCAAATTCGCTGCGGACGGGTGTGTTTTCAATGTAGCGGAGGAGTCGCACGGTTGCGGGTAATCTGTGTGTGTGTGTGTGTGTGTGTGTGTGTGTGTGTGTGTGTGTGTGTCTGTGTTTGTTGGTGTTTGTGAATATGATTAAATAGTGGTAATATATGGCTGGCTGGATTGCTCGAATTGGATACAAAATATCGAATGGACACGCGTTTCGGTAGGTCGTAACGGTTGCACAATATGTGTATTGAGAAGGAAGAAGGAGGACAGAAATCATAGCAGATCATATAGCACATGAAATCATAGCAGGTCATATAACACATTCAAAGAAACACCCTTTTTCCGTAGGTGTAAGTATTCTCGCCTAGAAAATCGGCAATCCAAACACGAAGAACGAAAGGCTTGGTTGTTGCGTGAAACCAATTTCCTCGTCAGTGCCGTTTTGGAAACAGCACGGGACGTGTTAGTGTGAGAGTTTATGTGCGCAATCGCAGGCTTTCTAATCGTACCGACGCTCACGTTCGGGACCTGCGCCTTCAGACCAACTAGAGGCACCGCCGTGACGAGCCACCGAACGGTCACCATATGAATCGCCTCCACGCATGGGAGAACGGTCATTGCGACGACGATCATAGTACGGACGCCGTCCACCACGAGGAGAACGATCACGATCTCCACGGTCTCGTCTGTCAGGACCATCACCGCGGTCTCCAGGACGGTAGGAGTTACGGTAGCGGTTGTAAGGACCGCCAGGGCCTCCACCGGGGGGTCCACGCATAGGACGACGGTAGCCCGAAGGACCACCCCGAGGACGGAAACCACCGCGGCGTTTTGAAGGTCCAAGATACTTACCTGGGGTAGGGGACCGAGGACGAGACCGGCGGGCACGCTCGACGCACAGGACGCGTCCGTAAAATTCTTGTCCGTTGAGAGCAGCAGTCGCAGCGTCTGCTTCCTCAACAGTTTCTAAGGAAACAAAACCAAAACCACGCGACTCCTTCGTGTAGGGCTCACGCATGATGCTGCAACGCGTAACTGTGCCGTGCTTGGCAAACATGTCTTCCAATTCGCGTTCTTCGATACGACTAGCAATGCCCGTGACAAACAGGTTCATACCCGGGTTATCGCTTTCCGCTTCTGTATCCCGTCTGCGATCGTCATCCCGTGTGCGTTCGAAACGCTCTCGCTCATCATTACGGGTTTCATCGGCAGTGGACTCTTCTCTGGGTGCAGCAGACGCCGAGTCAGGAGCAGCCTCAGACGACTGATTTTGCGTAGCGCCATTTTCTTCGGTATTTTGATTCGCTTGAGCCACCTCCGGTTGCTCTTTTTGTTCAGTTTCGTTGGTTGGTATTTGCTCAGCAACGTCAACCGCCATTCCTTCCGAGGAAGCAGCCGCTGCCGCTGCTTCAGCACTCGCAGAAACCGCAGTTGCACTCATTTCAGAAGGTACATCTGTGGGTAAACTTGGAGCAGCGACGGGTTCGACGACTGTACCGGCTTCGTTCAAACTTTCAGCCATTTTGTAGCTAATTTAGATAAACAGTACAAGTGTACCGTCCTTTTTTTGGAATAATTCACGCGCAATTGCAATGTTTTAAGGCGCGTCGGGTGCTGTGCCTAATAAGCGGTACGCGGTGTGCAGTTGAATGGTAATGGGAGAGGGCAGGTTCAAATTCTATCCCTCCACCACTTTAGATCTCTTGTTACCTGCTTCCCCAGACAAAGAGTTTGGGGTCACGGCGCATGAATCCTTAGGCAAAATCAATTACTAACGATGACGACACACGCCGATTTCCTAACCTTGATAAGCAACAAGGGTGCCCTGCCGTGATTGGTTGAAGCGGATCTAACGATACAATCTTATTCACCGTATCTCGACTTAGCGAGAGCTACCGTAACATACCGAGACTGGATGGTGGCCTACCACGAAGGAACACGAGGTAGCAAGCAAGTCGTGGCCTCTTCAGATCACTCTCACTGGGTGTCGCTCTCAATCAACCTGCTACTGCGTATACGTCCCGGACAGACGCGGTTCGAGAGCTTTCCCTCTCTATATATCCATAAGATTCCTTTGCATTCTTGTAACGCAGTTCTCACCTACTTAACACCATCTTATGGGAATCGCTAGTACGGCTGTGTGAACAATAAGATACTCAAACAGTTCAAGGATACATTATTTATTTGGAAATAGTCCACTAGATTGTACATTACCTGCATTTGATTCCTGCTCTTAATCCCCACAGTTTTTCCTTTTCTCTTCTCATTTTTTTTAAAACAAAACACGGTTTACATCTCTCCTTACGATCGTATTCCTTGTATTGTCTGTTTTTTTGAAAAAAATCTTTATCGATTTTACTTTCTCTGGTGCACACCTGTTATGCTTTTGTTATATTTTCTTTAACGTCTCTCATAAAACGATTCATTTTTTTTTGCTCGGATTCGAGATCACTCCCTTTTTGTTACTATTCCTATATATATTCTGCTGAAACCCGTATTTCAGCATCCCTCATCTCTTCTTTTTTAAAACACAAAAGCCGATACTTGGATCAATTGTTCTTTATCTTTGACTTGTTGCTCCTATTTCTATAAAACGAGTCTCTTTCATTTTGTCGCTTCCTTTTACTATGTCGCAGGAGAACAACGCTCGGGAAAAATCAGAACCCAACAACGTTGCCTTTCAAACAAACGCGAACAATACTCTTTCTGCCGAAAATGCTCAGCATCAACGATTTCCCAGCGTCATTTCTAACGAAGCGACGGCGGCTATTTCGGACGGCAATTCATCAGACACACAGTCTGCTGCCTCTGCGACTGACGAAAAAATCAATAATGCAAATACAGACCTTCGCCGTCTTACTACAATGGGTCGCTTCTATAAACGCTTCTCCCAGTATCCTACCGTCTGTCGATGGTTCGTTTACTGGTTGCCGTTAGCACTCATCTTCATGATTCCCATGGCTATTGGTGGCTCTTCTGCCGGACGCAATGCCCGTCTGGGTCATGTTCGGATTCTTTGGATATTCATGTGGGTCGAGGTCGCCTGGACTGGATATTGGATTTCATTACTCTGTGCCACTTTGCTCCCCAAATTTGTCGTTTTTTTCTTTGGCATTATATCCGTGTCCGCCGTTAAGTACACTACTGTTTTGAGCGCTGTGCGCATTCCCCTGTCATTTGTTTTCTCTTCCATCATCAACCTATGTACATTTCCATCCATTATGATTCATAAAACCGATCCTGCATCGTTTGCCAATACAACGACAGCAACTACTACAACTATAACAGCAAAACCCACCGCAACCTCCTCTTCCTCTGTAATTACATCCCTCGTCAACACCAATGTTGACAGTCATTCTCAAACTTGGATACGAGTCATTCAAAAATTCTTGGCGCGACGCTCATTGCTGCTGTGGTGCTCTTGCTCGAAAAGATTATTCTTCATCTAATTGCCTTCAACTACCATCGCATCCAGTACCAGTACCGCATTGCAGACAACAAGTCGCAAATCTCTGCGCTAATGCACATGCTTGAAGCTTCGAAAAAGGCACCGCACACTTCGTCGGTGAATGTTATGCAGCAAGATTACATTCTCGGTCTCAATCTAAACACCGGTAAGCGTGTCGTGAAGAAGAAGTCGCCCAAGTACAGAGCTCGTTATCTTCGCTGGAAGGCCAGAAAGATGGTGAGACGAACGGGTGATGTTGTTGCTTCCGCGTTTATGGAAATGGTTGGCACAGATCCGAAACCGAAGAATACACAGGAACAGATTGTCTTGGATTCCTTGTCTTCGCCGCGTCATCGTACGGCACTTATTCGACGGATCTGGTACTCCTTTACACCAAGTGAATATGACAGCGTGCACAAGGATACTCTGCTCAAATATCTAAGTCCCCTCGAAGCATTAAATGTGTTGGAATGGATGGACAAAAACTATGACAGTCAAGTTAGTTTCGAGGAATTCAGCGAATTTGTGCATGTGTTGGCAAGTGAGCGTTTCGCCATTCAGTCCTCGTTGCGCGATGTCGATGTTGCGTTGGCCAAACTTGACAAAGTTGGTCTTGCTATTGTTAGTGTGTTGGCATTTATGATTTACGTGTCATTTTTAGACACTTCTTTCGAGACTGTCATTACTGCAGTTGGTGCGTTTCTGTTAAGCATCTCGTTCGTGTTTAGCACCACTGCACAAGAGCTGCTTTCGTCGATTGTCTTTCTGTTTGGTAAACATCCGTTTGACATTTCGGATGTAGTGGTCATCAACAGCAACCGTTACGAAGTCATTAAGCTTTCGTTGCTGTACACCGTGTTTCGCACTACAAACGGAACTACTGTACAAGCTCCAAACTCTCTTTTGAACACGCTTTTCATCGAGAACATGCGCAGAAGCAAAGCTCAAAGTGAGTCCATATCTCTACAAATTCCCTTCATCACCGAATTTAAAACTCTCGAGAGGCTCAAGGAATTGTTGCTCAAGTTTGTCGGAGAAAACCTTTCGGATTATAAGCCGATGATAGACATTACGGTGGACGACTTTTCGACACTCACTTCAATGACGGTGAAAGTCATTTTTTACTACAAGTCGAATTGTCAAAACGTCGGTCTTCAGATATCGCGACGCAACAAGTTTATGTGTGCCTTGGCCATTGCCTCACGCCAACTGAAGCTGCCTGCAACTCTTATTCCTACTCCAGGTGCCGACGTGAAGCATCCTTTGAACGTGAACTTCCTCAATTCACCTCAACCAAATGTGGTTGTTACGGGACCAGACTCCTCTTCGTCCTCTTCCTCACAGTTATCGGGTACGCTTCACGAGTCACCAACTCCGGCAGCGGAAAGGGATACATCCCTACCTGCCAACGCAAATCCTGCTGGTTGGGCAATACCTGCCTTCACCACAGTTGCCAACCAAAACTTGGCACTTAACGCATACAACAACATCACGAGTGCCGTTCTGTCGAGTGAAAATAACAGCAACGACACAGATGCAGGAAATGACGATACTATACAAGACACAAGTACAACGACTGTTACCACTGAAGTTGTACAGGATGATGACCCTTCACAACAGATACCTTCTAACAGCTAGCATGCTGTGTACTGTTTTTAAGCCTGTTTTCACCTTCTACTCACTCCTGATAAACTGTTTATAACTATCATTTTTGTCCCAAAAGGCCGATCCACTTTCCTTCCCGGCAGCTTCACTTTCTCAATTTCCCTTCTTATCCACCTACACAGCACCTACACAGCCTAACTAACGCTAAGCTTTCCTCTGTGCCAACTCGCGTGCCCCGCATGATACTTCGTCGCACCGTTGCGAGAATTTGTGCAGTGCATTGCACTTCACAGAGGTAACACAAAAGACAGTCACATTTTAGAAAATATCAAAATACGAACTTAGCCATTTCTCTACCACCACCACCTGTCAGAATGGGAATTGCCAGAGACTCTAGACACAAGCGTTCTGCTACTGGTGCCAAGCGTGCTCAGTACCGCAAGAAGAGAAAATTCGAGTTGGGCCGTCAAGCCGCTAACACTCGTATTGGACCTAAGCGCATCCATGAGGTTCGTGTTCGTGGCGGTAACAAGAAGTTCCGTGCCCTCCGTCTGGACTCTGGTAACTTCTCTTGGGGCTCCGAGGGTGTCTCTAAGAAGACTCGTGTCATCCAAGTCAGCTACCACCCTTCCAACAACGAATTGGTCCGTACCAACACTTTGACCAAGTCCGCTGTTGTCCAAATTGATGCTGCTCCCTTCCGTGTGTGGTACGAGACTCACTACGGCATCGTCATGGGCTCCAAGGGTAAGAAGCCTACTGCCACCCCTACCCCCAAGTCCAAGCATGTTCAACGCAAGATTGCTGAGCGTGCTGGTGCCTCCAAGATTGACTCTGCTTTGGAGTCCCAATTTGCCGCTGGCCGCCTCTACGCTGTCATCTCTTCCCGTCCTGGCCAATCTGGTCGCTGTGATGGCTACATTCTTGAGGGTGAAGAGTTGGCTTTCTACCTTCGTCGTATGTCTGCCAAGAAGTAAATGTCTCTTTAGCCTGAATACAAAAAACCGCCTCTAAGGAGAACGTGTTGGTGCATATATGTGAGAGTGTGTCTTCGTAGCGTCGTGTGTGTTGCTTGCGATGGGGTTTTTGTATCGTATTTGTCGGTTTTGTTGGTATTGTTGCTGTTTCTGCTGGCCTGGTGGGTTGTGTCGCGTATGGGCGCGTTTCGTGTTTCATTTAACTTTAAATCGCCGATCTGCTCCGCGTGACGTCATGAAGCAGGACTATATAAACGGACGCGTCCCCAGTTTTTGTACGTACCGTCTCCCGTACGCCAATTGTTGCATTTGAACTGCTGTAAGTGTTTTAGACGGTAGTTTCTACTTCTACCGAATTTTTCGATTGGTGTACTCTCGGGTTTTTGAATTGTACTACTCAGAGTTAGATTTCATTTCTCGTTTGCTTAATTTTGGGTTTTTTTACTCGAGTAGAAAAAGATTCGCTCTTAAGTCTTATTTAGGGAATAGGATCGGCAAAATTGAAAGTGACACACTTGTCGGAACCGAAATTTACCGCAAAAACGCTCTGAAACGTATCTGGTAATCAACTGTTGACAGGGTTAATTTTTTTTACTGAATTGGTGATCAACAATCTGTTTTCTTGTACACAGAGTGTTATTGAAGAAGAATCACAAATACATACACACACACACTGCTCCCGTTATACACAAAATGGAAAGTGATTTAATTGCCCAGTTTTGTGCCATCACAAATTCTTCAGCAGAAAAGGCTCAGGAGTTTCTGATGGTTGCAGACGGCGATTTGTCGACGGCCGTTACACTGTTTTTTGAAAGCGGTGGAGTCACCGGCACAGAAGCTAGCGATGTATCGGCTGGTGCTTCCAGTTCTGCAGCTTCGACGAACGCTGACGCAGATTATGTTCGCGCGCCAATTGCGCCTACTAGAGAGGTGCTGGTTGATCCAGTGAGTGACTTCTCCAGTAACATTTTAAATGAAGCCATGCTTGGAGCTAGAGGAATTGCTTCGCCGCGCATGAACCGCAGACAGCGGCGACGCGTAGGTATATTCGATCAATCTCCATTCGCACGGCCTCCTTCGGACACGGGCACTGATGAAACGGATGACGATTCGCCTACGACTTCCAGGGCCTCGCGCCTTGCAAAGCTTTTCCGTCCTCCGTACGACATTATAACGGCGCTGCCTTTGGAATCCGCCAGAGCTCTTGCAGCTGACAAGCAAAAATGGTTACTAGTAAACCTCCAGACTTCCTCCTCCTTTGAATGCCAGGTCCTTAATCGCGACCTGTGGAAGAACGATTCTGTAAAGGCAGTTATCCGGGCTCACTTCATTTTCCTGCAGTATTTGGACGATGAGGAGCCTGGATTGGAGTTTAAGCGTTATTATCCCGTTGAGTCGACCCCTCATATTGCGATTTTGGATCCCAGAACGGGCGAACGGCTAAAAGCCTGGAACAAAGGCTTCACGCCCGCGGAACTCGTTGTTGCTTTGAATGACTTTCTTGAGCAATGTTCGTTCGATGAAAGCAACGGTCACAAGAATCCCTTGGGCCCTAAAGCAAAGAAGCCTGTTGAAGCCATGTCTGAGGAAGAACAATTGCACAAGGCAATCGCTGCTTCTTTGGGTGCCTCAGCCGGGTCTGAAGACGCTGTCATGAAGGACAACAACGAGGATGAGATAGAGGGAGATGAAGAGGAGGAGGAAGATGTTGTCGAACAAGTCCCGAATACAGTGAACAGCATCAACGTTTCGGACTTGCCCACGGATGAGCCTGCTGCTGGACCGGCCACGACTCGTATCCAAGTTCGCATGGCCAATGGCTCGCGCTTCATTCGCCGTTTCTTAAAAGCAGATCCTGTGCGCTACGTTTATGCGTTTGCTAAGCAGATGGCACCTGGTTCCGAGGGAAAGCCGTTTACTTTAACCTTTCAGCGCAAAAACCTCTGGGATTTGCGCGACAAAAACATTGAGGAAGCCGGTATCGGTAATGCTGCCCTTCAGCTGGAGTTTGAGTAGGCCAAGAGAGCCAGGAACCCGTTCTTGTTTTTCGCTTTAACAAATCTCTTGAAAAATACAGAGACGTTTCAACTTATGGTTGCAATCTGCATTCTTGTGTCTCTTTTGCACGGTTTTACGGCTTCTGGCCTTGTTTTTTTTTCCACATTTCGTTCAGCCTGTTTGCACTTCCATCCGCGCATGTACTCCACCTTCGCAACCCTTTTTCATTCTGTGCACTTGTCTGGCATAAACGGCTATTACACGCCGTAAGCAGCTGTAGACGAAGGCGTTATGGTCGTTAGCGAAAAAAAGAGTCAGTATTCTGACTTGGTGCTCATAGGTCAAGGCAGTTTTGGTTGTGTGTATCGGGCGTTTAGTACAGCAACGCTGCAATGGGTCGCACTAAAAGTTGTTGATTTGGACTCCACGTCCGATCAAGTGGATGACATTGTTCAGGAAATTCGATTTCTTATTGAGCTGCGTTCGCCGTACATTACACGCTACTATGAGTCATTCCTGGAGCAAGCAAAGCTCTGGATCACTATGGAGTATTGCGATGGAGGCAGTTGTGCAGACCTGTTGAAAATGGCAGGTGCTGTTCCGGAAGAAGCCATTGCGGATGTGATGAAGTCGGTGCTCCGCGCTTTGGCTTACCTGCACAAGCAGAGAAAGCTGCACCGTGACATCAAGGCAGCCAACATCCTGACGACTAGTGCTGGCGAAGTGAAACTTGCCGACTTTGGCGTATCAGGCCAACTAGCCGGTTTTCGGGGCGATGACAAGAACAATGATTTTGTCGGCACACCGTTTTGGATGGCACCGGAGGTGATCAAGCAAGTTGGTTACAACGAGAAGGCGGACATTTGGTCTTTAGGCATTACGGCCATTGAGTTAGCACTTGGTGAGCCTCCATATGCAGAGATTCATCCGATGAAGGTTCTGCTGCTCATTCCGAAACATAGTCCGCCCACGCTTCCCGAAGACCGTTTTTCCTCCGCATTCCGCGACTTTGTTTCCCGGTGTCTCCGTCGCAATCCCAATGATCGGGCCTCTGCAGAGGCACTGTTGAAACACAAGTTCCTGAAAAAGAGTAAAGACAACTCAGCGGTACGTGCACTAGTGTTCAGATATAAGTACTGGCAGCAACAGCAAAAACCGCAGGCCGCGGAAGATGCCAAACAGCAATCTGCGACTCCTGCAAAGGCTGCAGTGGAACAACCAAGCAGGGACGCTAGTCTCTGGGACTTTGGATCTACCAGAAGGACAAGACGTTGAGCGAGAGAAGGCGTACGAGCAGTGATTGATTGTCACGAGCCCGTAGCTGTTTCTTTCTCCTCTTCCTCTTCTTCTCCTTCTTCCTCTCTAACGCTTCCACTTTGTCCCGTTAAAACCAGACATTATTCTACTAGGCTAGTCTATTAGAGAATGCTTTCCTTGAGGCTGCTCTACTAGCCCGCCCTACTAAACTGTCTTCCCAAAATCTTTTTAGACTGTGTATTGTCGCGCTATTACTCTTGATGAGGAAATTATGAATGAACGTGTACGCAAAAGGCAAGTCGTCCGTGCAAGTCTAGTGCAACTAGTGCGAGACGACCAAAATGATTACGGGGAGAGAAAAGAGACGGGTGAGACCCGTCGAGTCGAAGAAAAGACGAGGCAGGTGAGAGACGGTATAGTGTCTCGACTTTTAATGAAAGGCTGATGAACACTCACTGCCTTTGAGACGGTCCGGGGGTGCTACTTCGCCGTTGGAGAGAAAAGAAAAGGCATGTGAACGTCGAACAACGGAAGCAAGGCGTCTGTCTGTTCGTCCAAGGCAACTAACTCCTCTCCATTAAGCAAAGTCACTGGCCTTTCCGCCAACAAGCAGACCGACAATGAGACCAAACAGACCGAGGACACTGCCGAAAATCTCGACGACCAGCACCTTGACGAACAACGAAGCGTCCTGTGCGTCAGCCAATGCTGCACTGCTGCCGGTGATACCGACACTGACACCGCAAATCAAATTGCACAAGCCAACAGTGATGCCGCCCCAGAACAAGGCAAATCCCGTGTAGTAGTTCTGCTTGGTGTACAGTTGACCAGCTTCACTCAAGTCAGCAAGTTTGGCAGAGAACACGATGGCGATAATGAGCGAGTAGATGGCAACGACCTCACAGAAAATGATGCTGATGAGGTTTTTCGTTTTGATTCTCGGTGCTTTAACAGCACCACCCAAAATAGAACTGCCACAAATAAAAATACCCCAAGCTGCGCCAATGACGCCGAATGCGATGCAGCTGGAAATGCCAAGCAGACCCCAGGTGTAGGGACTCGTCTCCAAGAGGAATCTGCCGAAATCAAAAAGTTCACCGGTGTTGTGGAAGAGCAGGTAGCTGCCAACAACAGCAGCCGCTGTCAGGGCAGTGTAAAACGTCGTCTTAAGAAGGGACATGGCTGTGGTAGAGCAAGTGCTGGTGGGCGTGTAGGCGAGGAGCGGCCTGCGAGACCAGTGGTGGGGGTGTTCAAGTGGGGTAGTGGGCTGAAAGTGGGGGTTTAAATGAGACGGCGTCAGAGAGAGTCCACCGGAGAAACGAGTTTGTTGTCTAAAGCAAACGAAACGGCAGCGATTGACGGGCGAATTGACGGGCGATTCGAGAGAATTTTCTATTGCTGGTTGGGCTGCGAAGGATGCCGTCTGGGGGTGGTGATGCTGCAGGGAGGGCGGCGTTCGAATCCCGGTGTGTGTAGTTATTTTTGGTGTTGTGAAATAGGGTTTTAAGCGAGTTTTTTACGTATTCGCTACGATAAGATAAATGGTTTTGAATCAGAAACAGAGAAACAAATGAAAACATTGATGGAGTTGGTGAGTGCTGTGCAATGATTTGGAAGACGTGGTTGAAGTGGATCAAACTGATGGTCAGGTGAAATTAATTAACGGGAAAAGGAGGATTGAAAAAAAGAAAAAAAAAATAAAATAAAGAAAATAAATAATAATAATAATAATTAATTAACAATAAATGATAAAATAAAATAAAAAAACTTAATGAATTAATTAATAAAAGTACGAAAACCAATTTAAAAGTCGGTTTCTCAGTAACTCTTGAATAACAGGTCATACAATTCGATATTTGTGTCCTTCCATTGCCGCTCATCAAAATCTCAGAGCTGACAAAGGCTTTCTGACACTTGCGACATTGCTATTTCGTAAATTAAGCTGCCACTAGCAATCTTATTCCAAAGTACGTTTACTAGTGTTGAGTCTTAGGGTTTGGATTCCATGCTTTAGACAACCTTTCTTTCAATGAACGAGGCATGAAATCCATCCATACTTTACGAACACTACAAAATTACTCAGAAATATACACACGTACACGTACACACACACCATTCTACTAACAATAGAGTTGGTTACGAATGACCGTTTGTCTTTATTGCTCGGAAAAGTTTATCTAAGCGAAATACCTTGTTCGGCTGAACCGCGTAAAAAAAAAACATTAAAATAAATGAAACACTGTTAACCTCTACAAAGGACGCGTATAGGACCGAAACGAACACTTTACAAGGTTGTATCCGTTCCATTCTTCCATAATTATCTAAGGCTTTCTACAATAACGGGGAAACGAACCCAATTTTCCTCACTAACAAAGATCGCACTATTTTAACCACAATCGTCCATTCGAACAAATTTCCATACTGTCTCTGTTAGCCACATCAAACCCACCTATGAATGTTTGTTTGCGACACCCACTGTTCGCATTCGTAAACCTTAGATAACTCTAAAATTCAACCGAAAAGTGTATGGCGTTTGAAATTTAAACCCTTTTCGTCGTAAAAAACGAACATTTCTTACATACGGAAAATGAATCAGCTGTCAAACTTGGTAATCCCATATCCAACATTGCCTTTGAAAACCGTCTTCAGCCTCAGCAAGACATACTCCGTTCTGGATTTCTCACACGCCTATTATCTTATCTTATCTGCATTTTAAGTCGAGATTTTAGCGACGCGCTTGCCAAAACCCCAAGAAGGGTCCCAGGTGGTTTTGTCGTCTTCCAACTACATTCTTTCGTGTTTTGGTTTGACGAGCGCAGATACGCGGAAAAACTACAAATTTTTGGCATGGAGAACGTCTCAAAGCGCAAGTCTCGGGGCTCTCTTGAGGTTACACATCACGGAAAACCAAAAGCTGTAAAACGTGAACCCAGTCCTCCTCAGGAAGGTGAAAACGGTACAGCCGAACCAGCGAAAATGGAACAGGACGATGAATTAGAAAGTCTGATGGCAAACCAAACAGCTGTGAATAGTTGGAAGAAGAGCGTAGTGCCGAAGACGGAGGAAAAACTTGTATTGACGAAGAGTCGACGAAAAAGGAAGACGAAAAAGACGGCGAGGCTGCTCATAGTGATGAAGAAAAGAACGCTGCAGTCGTGAAGAACAGCAGACCTCTTCCTGCTGGATCAGTGCATCGGGTAACTCCAAACATGGCCCCTATTGCTGCTCGTACTTTGGGTAGCCATGATACTACGACCCAACGTCTCATTGTTGTCCTTGACCAAGCTTGTCTTGAGATTTACAGAGTCGGAAAGTCAAAAGAAGCAAAGTACGAGCTGCTGAACTGTGACGATCATCAAGGTCTGCTTAAAAAGTTGAACAGAAGCATCGCCCAAGCTAGACCGGATATCACACATCAGTGTCTGCTCACGCTTCTTGACTCGCCGTTAAACAAGGCTGGTCGTTTACAAGTGTTCATCCATACGGCTAAGAAGGTTCTCATTGAAGTCAATCCATCCGTCCGTATCCCGCGTACGTTCAAACGTTTCTCTGGTTTGATGGTTCAGTTGCTGCACAAGCTCTCCATCCGCAGTGTTAACGGTAACGAGAAGCTCCTCAAGGTCATCAAGAATCCCGTCACTGATTACCTTCCTCCTGACTGCCGGAAAATCACACTTTCGTTTGACGCACCGACAATCTCTCCGCGCAAGTACCTCGACACCCTCAATACCAACCAGTCCATCTGCATCGCCGTCGGTGCCATGGCCCACGGTCCCGATGACTTTTCTGATGGTTGGGTGGATGAAAAGGTTAGTATCAGCGATTACCCTCTGAGTGCAAGTATCGCTTGTTCAAAATTCGTGCACTCAATGGAAGATTTTTTGGGAATTGTTTAATAAAACGGTTATTTTCTTGACACAAAGGGTGGTAAGTACGGAGGGGATTAAAGAGGGGTATCGAATTCACGGGAGTTCATGATGGTAAAACATCTGTATTTAATATTCTTTCCTTTTTTTTTGGAAACAACCGTTTCATAAAACTTCAAGCCTTTAACGTAGTTGGGACCTTTCCATTCACTAAACATCCAAAATTTATCCAAGAACCGAAAACCAGTGAGTAAGAGCACAGAAAGAAAGCAAAGGGAGACATCCACAAGCAGCATGTAGATATTTATAAAGAGAGAAAGCGTGTCAGAAAGAAAGAGAGAGAAAAAGAGAGAGGGTCGTAGGAAGGCTCATTCTGCAGCTTACTGCTTCATCTACTTCTTACGCTCGTTTCTCCACTTATAAACTTGCTTTCCAGAAGAAGTAGTCACTTTCCGACGACCACCCTTGCCTTGAAGAAGACGATGCACTTGCGTCTTTTCCTCAGCAAGCTTCAGCTTTTCATCACGCTGTTTACGTAACAGCAGTTCCTTAGCTGCTTTTTCCTTTTCTTTTTTGTACAGACGGCGTGAGAAAGCATCAATGGCCAGGTTGCCCTCCTCAAGCTGGTCAGCACGCAGCCGATTCTCCGTACGGTCTAACAGCTCTTCGTATGTGTTAAAGTGCTCTGCTGGATCGAATGTCCGAGCTTCGTCTTCCGTATCGACAAAAAGAGTGTGCTTACGACGTTCACCATCCATGCGCAACGCACCGACTGTATGCATCTGCGATTCCAGCTGCTCGATCTTTGATTGTTCAATTTCCCGGTGCATCCGAATCCAACCGGCATCTTGTGTCTTCAGAATTTTTATCGCGTCCATATTAATTGTCGAGTCTTCGCGTTCAGTGATAGGAACACCGTCCTTGGTTTTTTTATTAACCATTTCATAGTAGAACTCATCTGGGTTTCTTTCTAGAGCCTTTTCACGGAGTCTTTTCAGCTTCTTTTGCTTCGTTTTATAATCCTGAGCTCTCTGAAGATAATCCTTCTTCTTCTCAAGCAAACCGAACTTTTTACGTTCGTAGGGTTGAGAACGCTCCTTGTGATTGCGCCGTTGGACGGCATTTCTCATGGAAGACATGATGAATCCTGCGAATGGAGAGAAAACCCGTCTTGGTAGTTGGCAAGTTCATCCTGCTGTTTCTTAGACAAACTTTGGTGGTGAGGGTTTAGAGTTTGCACGCGAGAATGCAGATCTTTATGATCGACCGTCGATCATACCAAAACAATATGCACAGTCGGGCAGCAAAAAGGCCTGTTAGAATAAACAAAATTCTTCCGTACATATGAAAGCTTTTTCATTGCCTCTTTTACGAAGCTTACGTCACTATTCAGTGCGGTTTTTTGAGCTTAAATGAAACGCGAAACGCGTAACCTTAATTCAAAACATGAAACAGAAAAAAACAAAATTACGCACACAACTTGTTGCAAATCATGTTTCTAAACGGACTAACGCGTGTTTTTAATTCCAATTGTACAGCCTTCTGTTTTTCATATTCCATGAACATTCTGGTGTCACACCTACACACACCAAGCTACTAGGACCGACGTTGCATCCACTTCTTACTCAGAACCATATCGTCGCTACTAACGCTTTCGCCATGCAGGCAGAAGATTCGACGGAAAGTGTGACAAGTGGTGCAGAGTCTTTACGATTATCAAATGTCGTAAAGACTCGTGAAATGCTTCTGTCATTTACTGGCTCGAGCGAGAAAATACTCAACTATATCCGAGTTGTTGACTCTACCCATGGTTTGTTCCTCTTCATACTGCGTAAGATAGTCTTATTAACGAATTACAGAGTTCGACAATGAACTTATAGAGTGTATTTTGAAATTTTACGCGGAAACATTGCATCGTACTCTGCCGAGACGCGTTCGAGTTGCTATTGTACGCTCTTTAAAGCATCTCGTGAACTGTACTGCGCATACCGTAAAATGCCTTGCTTCTTTCATCATGAAAACAGTTGTTCGGGCAGAGAGGGCTCATTATCCTCCCGGTTTCTTACTTACCACGCTTTCTTGGCTTAATGACGTTGTAATGAGTACTTGCACTTCTGCAGAAGTTTGCGAGTCATTGGTAAAAAATTTATGCCCCATTCAGGCAAAACTGTTGTTCATGTGTCTGTCGTCTACGAAACACACTCTCGCAAACAGTGCTCTCCGTTCGACGCGCCGTTGCATTCGCTCACTTCTTCTCACAAATTCTAAGAACTACGAGTCATTTGTTGATAAGTTCTTCGAAGCTCTCTTGCCCACTCTGCCAATGCCCAACGGATTGGCGTTTGTGGGCGAGTTCTTGAGTTGCTGCTATTACTTCAAGTTATCCAAGGGCCCCTTGGAGGCTCTGGGAAAACACAAGCAGACCATTGCAACACTTCTTGTTAAGCAAGTGTTCGCTGCAAAGGGTATCATGCCAGTCGCACTGTATGCTGAATTCACTAGAGGCTATGGACTGGTGTCATCGTTGGATGATTTCTCAAGCCTCGTACTGCCTAGCCTTGAAAAAACATTGCTACGTTCTCCAGAGGTAGTATTTGCTGGCGTCATTACTCACCTAACTTCTGGTTTTGCAACTGCCGGCAAAGATTTGTCTTCTGTACTTCTTCAAAAAATAACACCTGCGTTCATTTCGGGTTTCAAAAGCTCAAATGCTACTACCCGTCAAAATGCATGTGCAACATTTACAGCATGCGCCAAACTTGCAAAGAATCAAGAAGTAGCGGATCACGCCGTTGAGGAGTTACTTAAGGTCCTCCGTACAGGAAAAGTTACCTCTCCCGACCAAAAAGAGTCGTACTTTTGGAGGCTCTTCTTCTCTCCCCCACTAATGTCTCCGCTCCTTACAAAAATTCACCGATCAGTTAATTCCCTTGTTCCAAAAGGAACAAGCTGAACCACTGAAGGTTTTGGGTGCTGTCTTGATGAAGAATCTTGAGACTGGCCTTCTGAACAATGTCCTTCCAGACGAAACCGTGCTTAAATCCTTACGCTCTTTCCTTAAAGATGCTCGTGCGCCAATCAGAGAATACTGGATTCTCTCAATCGCACGTTTGTTGTGGAACTTTGAGACATTTTCTGCGGCCCAAACTTCTGTGCTTGAATTGTTCCTTCATGAGCTCCTTGATCTTTGCAAAGAGGCACTGAAGAATCTTTCCAATGCTGCACAAAGTGGATCCATTATGGCTCCTTTTGTTTTATTGGCATTTGTTTTCTCTCATGTTCCTAAAACGGCACCTGAGGTTGCGGAGTCAGAGCAGTTCAAGCATATTCAAGCCTTCTTGAGAAACGCACTTAACCCCAAATCCAAGGAAATGCTGTTATTCACCCAGCGCAACATCAACAGACTTCTCGATGCCCAACAAAAACAGTGGGCCATAATCGCTGCCTGCATTTACATTACCGAGTTCGCGGAATCATTGGACAATTCTGCTTATGCGGATTTGTTTTATTGCCTTGTTTTCACTTTGCAAGCAAAGAGCAATGACAAGGAGTCCTGCTTTTCCGCTTTAAAAGAACTTTCTCGTACATGCCCTGAGGCTCGTGTTAAACTTTCTGAGCAAATGTGGGACTGGCGGTTATTAACTGAGAAGTTAAGAGAACAAAAGAAGGCTGAAGTCGTTTTTTACGAGAATTCCGTGTCTTACTTCTTCACTTTGTTGTCAGCTTTTACTTTAGACTACGAAGCAATGCAACCTTCAGACAAGCAGGCATATGATGAGTATCTGCTTGCTCTTCTTTTCCTTTCATATTATTATAAGTCGAAAATTGATTGGATTAGACTCTGTCAGAATGCAAAGCGTGACCCCTCTGCTTTGGTTTCATCGAACTTGGAGAAGTTATTTAGAAACTACGAGCTGGTATTGGCTGAATCTGGAAATGAACTTAAAACAAATGCGGTCATTTCTTCATTGGAAATGGTAGCTTTTGTTGCTCCGGACGACGCTATCCCTCACATCGTCAAGTTGTTCCGTTCGCAATTAGAGAACATTCGCTTTGACAATATTACTGATACCGACATTGCCATTTGGAAGACTCCCGAGGGTACTATGTATCATAATGTCTTGGAGAAGCAGACAAAACTGCAAAAGAATACAAAAGACTATGAAACGAAGAAGTGGGAAGCTGAGATGCGCGCCAACTTGGCCAAGAAAAAACCCGTGTCGTTGACAAAGGAGCAAAAGCAAGCTGTTGAAGAGCAACTTCGAGTTGAGGGTGATATTAGAAAGAAGGTTACGAACGTTGTTTCTTCCTTCACACACTCAATGTTTATCATTCGTAGTCTTGCTGCCAGTGTCCAATTGCGCCCAGATTTATGGATTGAAGACGCCATCAATTGTCTGCTTTTCGGCAACATTTATCAAGAAAGTCTTCGATTCTCTGGCACTTTGGCTTCAGAAACACTTTTGTGTTGTATCAAGGCGTCTTCCCTCGAAGAACGAATTGGTGAAGCCAATTTTGCATTAAAACTGCTCAAGTCTCTGTCTCAAGTTTTGGGCTACGAAAAATCTTTGGACAATTCTGCTGACCTTGTCACTAATGTTTTGCATAAACTTCGTTTCTGTATTGAAGTGCATGGTTTTTCTACACCCATGTTTGCTTGTGTTTTCCCCTTGCTTTACCGTTTGGTCCAAAAAGAATTTAATGCGAAGACAGAAGACGAACGCGACGAACAAATTCTGTTGGTTACCGAAACTTTGATTATGCAGGCTCCAACTGCACACGAACTCTATGCTATGCGTTGCAAGTACTTGGAGTCGTTGCTGCATCTTGTTGCTGCTGTACCGTCTCAGTATCATGAAGTTCGTGATGCAATGATTAGCTTCGCTCAAAGCATTTCTTCAGAATATACGGAAGAAGAACTGCAGCTTCTTCTTTCAAAAGTGTGTGCATCCGATTCTTCTTTGCGTACCGCTGTCCTTCAAACCCTGCAATGTCTTGATTTACACAGATTTGACTTCATCAAAGAGATTTTCTTGGAATTGTATGATGACACTGACGCAAATGCTTCTCTTGCTCATGACATTTCCAAATCGAATACTTTTGAAGCTGATGAATCATCACTTAAAGAGCTGTTACCATTCTTGGACAATGAGTCAGCTTATGTTCATGAAATTCTGGGTAAGGCTCTTTGTGATTTGATTGATGACTACGAAGAGTTTTCCACGTCTATTCCGAGGGAACTTATGAGTAATTATAGAGTAAAGGCTTTGCCAACTCCTCCGGAATATGATGAGTATGGAATTATTGTTAAAGATACAATCGGAAGGGATTTGGGACGTTCATCGCGCGAAGCAATTGCTACTTGCTTTGCTCATGTGGTGAAGGTTATGGCATCTAATATTCTTATTGAATTCCTGGAATTCCTTCTTACAGCTACGGAGGTTGACAGTCAGATTCCTGTTACTGATGTTTCCGTTACAGTAGCATCAACGATGCTTGAAGCAGGTAAAGTTGCTATTGAATTACACGGCAAGCACCAGGTTGAGTCTTTAATGAGCTTCTTTGAAGAGAGTCTTCAACGTGTTGATTCTTCCAGTTCTTTTGATGATCGTCTCCGTGAAGCCATGATTGTTCTCTTTGGTACTGTAGCTAAACATTTATCATCCTCGGATACCCGCCTTGTCGTTGTCATTGACAGTCTTATTGCAACTTTGTCCACGCCTAGTGAAAGCGTTCAACTGGCTGTAGCCAACTGCCTCCCTCCTCTAATCAAAAAGTACAGTGACAAGAATGAGGATTATATGAAGAAGTTAACTGAAACTCTTCTGTCCTCTTCATCCTTTGCTGAGAAGAAGGGTGCGGCATATGGACTTGCTGGTCTTACCAAGGGAGTTGGTATTAAAGCCTTTAAGGACTTTGGTATCATGGACACATTAAAGGAAGCACTTGAAGATAAGAAAAACAAGGATCGTCGCCAGGGTGCTCTATTCGCAATTGAGTCATTCTCTCATATCCTTGGAGTCTTTTTTGAACCTTATGTCCCCGAAATTATTCCCCTTCTTATTTCTACTTTCGGTGACAGTTCTACTGAAGTTCGTGATGCTACTTCTGATGCCGCTAAGGCCATTATGAGTCATCTCAGTGGTTATGGTGTGAAGCTTATTCTTCCTTCTCTCCTGGACGGTCTTAACGAATACAACTGGCGTTCCAAGTTTGCATCTGTTGAAATGTTGGGACTTATGTCCTACATGGCGCCTAAGCAGTTATCATACTCTCTGCCAACTATCATTCCTCGTCTGACAGATGTACTTACCGATTCTCATAACCAAGTTCGTAATGCTGCAAACAAGAGTCTTACAAGATTTGGCGATGTCATCTCTAACCCCGAGATTCAAACTCTCGTTCCCGTTCTTCTCAAGGCTTTAAGTGACCCTACCATACATACCGAGGAGGCTCTTAGTGCATTGGTAAAAACCCCTTTCGTTCATTACATCGACCCGCCCTCTCTTGCATTGGTTGTTCCTATTGTTTATTACGGTTTGAATGAAAGAGTTGCTGCCGTTAAGAAACAGTCAGCCAAGATTTTCGGTTTAATGGCCAGTCTCACTGATCCATCGGATCTTTCGGTTCACTTGGAGAAGTTAGTTCCTCGCCTGCGTGAAGTTTTGATCGACCCAGTACCAGACACTCGTGCTACAGCAGCCAAGGCTCTTGGTTCACTTGTTGAGAAATTGGGTGAGACCAATTTCCCTTCAATTATTCCCGAGTTATTATCCATCCTTAAGAGCGATGCTAGTGAGGTTGACCGACAAGGTGCTGCCCAAGGCCTGTCTGAGATTCTTGCTGGCCTTGGTCTCGCCCGTTTGGACGATGTGTTCCCTGATATCTTGGCTAACACATCCAACGGTAATCCCAGTATTCGTGAAAGTTTCATTTCTCTTCTTATTTACCTTCCCGCTACTTTCGGAGCAAGATTCCAGCCTTATCTCGCAAGAGCTATTCCTCCCATTCTTAACGGTCTTGCTGACGAATCCGATTTTGTTCAGTCGGCTTCTCTTCGTGCTGCTAGAATGATCATTAACAATTATGCTAGCAAATCCGTCGATCTTCTGTTGCCTGAACTTGAGAAGGGATTATTCGACAACTACTGGCGTATTCGTGTTTCTTCCGTTCAGTTGGTTGGTGACTTGATCTTTAAGCTTGCCGGTATCAACAAGAAATCCGTCGAAGAAGAACAGCAGGAAGAGGAAGAGAATGTTACCGCTAGTGATGTTAAGCGTAAGGCTCTTATTGAGGCCATCGGTAACGACCGTCATGACCGTATCATGTCTGCTCTGTTCATTGTTAGACAAGACGTTTCTGCTTTGGTTCGTGCTCCTGCCTCTCAAATTTGGAAGGCAGTTGTCGTTAATACTCCTCGTACGGTGAAGGAGATTATGCCAACTTTGACGTCTATGATTATTAGCAACCTCAACAGCAGTGGAAATGATAGACGTGTCATGTGTGTTAAGACTCTTGGTGAGTTGATCCGTAAGATTGGTTTCGACGTCATGGAACAATTGCTTCCCAGTTTGGAGAATGGCCGTTTGTCAACCAACCCTCAAGATCGCATTGGAGTTTGTATCGCTATTACCGAACTTATCAACAGCTGTGCTCCTGAGCAACTTGAAAATTATGCATCTACTATTACAAACGCTATTCGTGGTGCTTTGGTTGATAGTGATGCAAGTGTTCGTTCTGTTGCTGCTGAAGCCTTCGACTCCCTTCAAAATGCCATTGGCAACAAGGCTATTGATGAAGTCTTGCCCGAACTTCTTATTCTCCTGCAAAGTGATGAAAAGTCAGAATTTGCTCTTTCTGCTCTTCAAGAAATTATTACACGTCGCTCTACTTCCATCTTCCCCGTTCTTATTCCCACTTTGATTAAACAACCCATCTCCGCTTTCAATGCTCGTGCATTGGCTTCGCTGGCTACGGCTGCTGGCGCTACCCTGCTCCGCCGCCTTCCCTCTATTTTGACAGCTCTCATGGAGTCAACTTTTTCTGCTTCCGAAGGTGATTTGGAGGGATTGACCTCTGCCACAGATTCCATTATGGTCTCTGTTCAGGATCCCGAAGGCATCACTCAAATGATGGCTTACTTCACTAACTTGGCGACGAATGAGGACTATAGAAAGCGCGCATTTGCCTGTTCTCGCATGGCTGCCTACTTCAAGGATTCCAAGGTTGAATTGGGCAAGTTTTATGCCGAATGGGTTCGCGTCTTTATTGGTCTATACGAGGATCGCAGTGAGGACGTTGTTAAGGCTGCTCTTGCAGCTCAAACAGCACTCGTTGGTTCTCTGAGAAAAGATCAAATGGAGCCACTTGTTCTTCCTCTTTGCAAGGCATTGTCTGATGTTGGCGTTCCTGATACCGCTCTTCCTGCATTCCAATTGCCCCGTGCTATTAACTCTGTTCTTCCCATTTTACTACAAGGACTTATGTATGGTTCTACGGAGCAAAGAGAAAAGTCTGCCTTGGGTATTGCGGACATTGTTCGTCGTACGGAACCTACCGCTCTTCGTCCTTCGGTTACACAAATTACCGGTCCTCTTATTCGTATCATTGGCGAACGTTTCCCTACCGATGTTAAGTCTGCCATTTTGTTCACTTTGAACATCTTGCTTACCAAGATTCCTACTTTCTTACGTCCGTTCTTGCCTCAGCTTCAAAGAACTTTCGCTAAGTGCTTGGCTGATCCTTCGAGTGATGTTGTTCGTAACCGTGCTGCGGCAGCTCTCGGTACTTTGATTACATTACAGACTCGTGTTGATCCCTTGATCACTGAGCTCGTCAGCGGCTCTCGTAGTTCTGACGCAGGTGTACGCAAGGCCATGTTTAAGGCTTTGTTTGAAGTTGTCTCGAAATCTGGAAAGAACATGAGTGAAAACTCCATGAATTCTGTTGGTGATTTGTTAGAGGAAACCGAAGCTTCTGACATGACTGACGTTGTCAACATGGCGAAACTGTATGGCGCATGGTTTGCTAATTTACCTGATGCTCGTGCTAGTGAGTTTTTGGAGGACAAACTTTTCAGCGTTGAAGAAGATACAACACTTAGAGTTCTCATTTTGAATGCCGTTGTTCGTTTTGGTTTCGAAAAGATTATTTCTTCGGGCAGTGAGTCTGCCGTTGCCGAGTACATTTCTCGTTTGTGCGCTAACAGTGATCCTTTCATTTCTGAGAATGCTGTCAAGGCTGCCGGTAAGTACTTGTTGACTGAAATGAACCAAAATTTCAACGATGCAAAGCGTCTGATAGAAAGCCTGGCAGAGTGCATTCAAGCCCCTGTCAGTGGTTCCAACGACTGTAAGCGTTTGGCGTTGGTGGTTCTTCACACTGTTGCAAACTCCAACTTTGATGTGGTAAGAGCTCATTTGCCCACTCTTGTTCCTGCCGTTTTTGGTTGTGTTCGTGCTACTGTCATTCCTGTAAAGCTTGCAGCAGAGACGACTTTCCTCTCTCTTCTGCAATTACGCGAAAACGAGGCCTTTGCCGAGAAATTCATTTCTACTCTGCAAACTCCTCGGGCTCGCAGTATCTCAGATTATACTCGGCGGGTTGCCTTTAAATTGGCTGCTGCCGAACGTGATCGCATTGCTTCTGGAAGTGGTAGAATCCAAATCGAAGAAGCAGAAAACCTTGCGGAAATTAACGCAATTGGTGCTGATGATGGAATGTTCTCTCAACAAGACGCTTGAGAATTACGTTATTTAATATTTTCGAAGTACAGATAGACCTGCTTAGTGATTAAGAGGTCTCGTCGCTTTGGATTTTTGGTAGAGGTTTAAAGGGATCTTTACTAACATTAAAACAAAGTTAAAATTCATTAATCTAAATGAAAAAACTATCACATTCATTAATTTAGATGCGTATAATTATTGTTACCACAAATGGTGAAAGAGACGGGCGAACGTGTTCATTATGGAAAAGTAGAATCAAAATAAAAGTCGTAAAAAGTAGGCGACAACTTGGGTACAGTTGCCAAGGTTATCGTTAAGCATTATTATCATTGCTGTTTTCAAAAAGACCACTACGTACGGCTTTTTTTACCGGGTTTTCAACCTGGATCATACCGTTCTTTTCAAGTCTAAATAGTTGTTAGTAACCGCAACAGGAATACACGTATAGCTAATAATACCTTTGGAAGAGAACGAAAAGACGTTCAGCTTCTCGTTCTTTTTCCTCCATCGACATTTCCGGAACAGGTTTCTCGGACTCTGTACGACCGCCAGTGATTGGATTCACATTATCAGCGGTTGCAGTAGATAGACCAGAAAAGAGGGAGTCTTTGGACACAGTGGAGTCTGTTGGTTCCTGACATACGCGCAAAATGCCAGAAGCATAACCGAAGCCAATAGTGTCCGTTAAAACTTTCGCATTCTCTCTACAGAGACTGTAGTAAAGATGAGCTACCTGTTGGGGCATTTGTAAGAAGCAAGGAATAACCAGTAGTCGCAATAGCCGCGAGGGCAAGCCACTGCCAAAGGCGAGAGAGGCGGATCGGTCAGCTTCGGAAGGGAAAAGTCGAGATTCGAGTAACCGACATGTTTGAGTATCATTTACTTTAACGATGTTTTGTAACAAAGCTAAAAGCGGTGAAAGCCGAACTTCTAGTTCTTTAGCCGTTAAGAATACGGAAGCAAAATTCGGTACTTTGAAGGAAGCGTTTCCAGCCTCAAGGAGCTGGATGCCTTTTAAGGGTAGTAAGACATCCAAGGCTGTAAGAGCTATATCTGTGATTTGATAAAGAGAGGAGGAGGTTAAGTTTTGCAGAGGAAGCACCAGTAATGCATTGACGATGTGCCATGATGTGTTGCTTGTATAGGAAGGATCCCTTGTACCGGTTTCCTTCCATAGCTGTATTACAAAGGGTGAGAGTTGAGCTGTAGAGTAGCTCTTTGGAAGATCTTTTGAAGAACCGACAGCATATGCAAGCCGCAATAGCTCATCTAATACGGAAGCAGATACAGGCTCCGTTGACAAGTTATTTAACACAACTGTACCACCCAATGCTAACTGTAAACCAGGCTCTATTATTCGAAATGTCCAGGTTCGATCAAAATCATTTTCTCCAACGCATAACAGAAACAGCAATCTTAATAAGGCGATTTGACACGCACTGTTTAAGCACTAAGAACAATGTTAGTCGATGCGAACAAATTGAAAAGGCTTTTAATTAGCATACAAAGAAGGATTCCTCATCAAAAGCCGAATTTGAAAACAACGAAGCGATGCGCTGTGACATGGAAGGATTGTTTACAAGCACATTTACTATTAATCGAATCAACTCGAGTGAGTGTGCAGAGTTTCTCAATTTATCCACAGAAAATGCTCTTTCAGCAACCAACGTCCAATCCTAGAACATTGTTAGAACATCACAAGCCGTAGGAGTAGAGTAATGACCATACTAAAGCATTGGAAATCTTTTGACAAGCGTCCTTCTCCCGACTTTTCTTCCTTAAAAATTTCAAAGATACAGCAATTTCTATCAAATTGGCGGACAGCTCCCATGCTGTAGGTTTCAGTAAATCATTCAATTTGCTGCAAATAGTTGGAATAAACGATCCATTGTCGCGCTCACTAAACGAAAGCAAGTCAACGGTTGATTTGCTATCCGGCATATCGTATATTCTTTAACGTAGGAAAACAAAGGAGCAGCAAGACCGTTCTGGCACGTATTTCCCCTATAGCAACAGGCACTGAGAGTCCTCTTTTGCACACGTTGATTTCGTCGTATGGACATCGTAAAAACGAATAGCGAGTAATTGTGAATTTTAACGAACAAAAGATAGTTTTACAAAAAAGTGGAACCTGGCTCCTCAAGAGCAGTATAGAAGTCGAAGAGGAGTATGTTTGGGTGTGTTAGAAAGGATGTAGTAAACTTCTCTCAGGCAGCTGAAGTAGTGCATGCCCGTAAGGCTGAGACTGCCATCAGAATCTGTTATGTAGGTTAGTAATTGAAAAAGTGCAGTATGGATTAAACTCAGAACTTACCTCCAGTGATTGCTGGAGCTCTAATCGTTGTCTGCAAGTGGAAACCCAATCCTTTGTAAGCGCACGATGCCAAGGATCTAATTGCGAAAGTTCATAAACAGCCGCCTCTAAATTATTGGCATGTAAGGCACTGCGAGCACGGAGTAGGACTCCCGTCACACTGCTGTTTTTGCTGACTTGGTTTTCGATCACTGGCAACCGGAATAGCAGTGTGTGGAATAAATGAGACAGCAGTCCGGTGTTGGGTTGAACATGGACAGTGCGTGAAAGTTCATCACTTAAAACGTCAAATCGAGAATGAATCTCTGCTAGCGAAGGTATTCCGCCTCGAGAAAATGTGTTTTGAAGGATAGCAACCGATTTTTGAACCAAAGGATCGTTCCAGTGTAAGCCTGATATATACTTTAGAGCTTCGTGCTTAGAATGAACACTGTCGTTACTCAGTAAATCAATGGCAGTTGCAAGCTTGGCAGCTTGATCAAGCTGCTGTGCTCTCGCAACAGATGCAAAAGCTAACTGTTGCACCTTTTCCAAGCCTTCTTGGACCTGTTGAAGTTTGCCCAGTCTGCCTTGCCGCTCTGTTTCTACCATCATAGTGACCTTCATTGCATTCAAACGTTCCAGTTCGAGAGCTTGTTCGCGGAGTTCGTTCTGAAGCTTTTCCTCAAAGATATTCATACTTTTGGTGAGCTCCAGTTGAAGACGACTCTTGTACAGATTCTGTAGCCGCTCGCGCTCTTTATCAAAGCTTTTCGTCCACAGTTCATCATACTCGTGTTCTGCTTGTTCAAGTCGTTGTTTGTACGAAGCTTCACACTCTTCCTTTTTGACCTCAAGCAGCTCTTCCTGCGAAGCTTTTAGCAGTTGAAGTTCCTCCTCAAGCGCTTGTATACGAGAGCTTGTTTTTCCCAACTCTTCTTTGGTATCATTGAATTCTGCAACTTGTGCTTTGTTCAACGTTTCTACTACGGGAGGCATTCTCGTCACAGAAACACCCGTCTCAAGGTCACTTCCAATGTCAATCGCTGGCTGAACAAAGCTGTCTCCGGGAGGAACAAGATGTGTTAACTTGAAGTGGCGACTTTCTCCCTTCTCTTCCGTTTTGCCCATGTCCGCAAGCGTGTTAGCAATTTGCACAGATATAGACTCCTCTTCTTTTGCCTTCGCGGAAGGAGGGAGCGGAACGGTTCGAACAAGAACGAGACCAGCATTGAGATATTTTCGACCAAAGTCGGAATCTTCAATTGCACTCAATAAACGTTTTCCATAAGGAAAGTAGTTTGAAAAAAAATCATAGAAGTGTCTGTCCTTAAACGCATACCAAACACCGACACTGTATCCTGTGGCTCCAAGAATGATAGTCAACGAAATGATCTTTTTCCACCCAAAAGAACCTTTCTTACGACCAGAAGAAGCCGAATTTGATGTATGAGAAGGAGCTGTATAAGACGAACGTGAATTTGTAGAATTGAAACGTGTTTGTATGCTATAAACTGTACAATTGCAAAATTCGCCAAATCGACTCGGACGAAGGAGCTGAGAAACGGGCTACAGAGTTAGCGATTAAACAAGAACAATACGAACCCTTCGTTGAATGTTTAGACGCCAAACAGCGCCTTTATTGCAGGAAAAACGTGGCCGAATCATGAAATGGAAGTTGGTAAAGGATACGTCAGAGGGGTACTGCAACCGTACTTCCTGAGGGTAAGCTTTAGCAGAAGTAGCTTGGCTGTGACAATTAGGAGATGAGTTAGAGGAAACACAAAGCTCGTATCTGTAGTCGTTAATTACAGGAGAAACAGTATTACTTGGTAAAACAAAAAGTCGTTAGCAGTGCAACCGCCCAACTGTGCTAGCTCAGATGTTAGATATTAAATTAATTAAGCGCACTGACTAGAAGTAATTAAAGAAAGAGTATTCGGAATTTTAATAGAACAGCTAGTACACTCATGTCTAGGAATTATTAGCAAAGTAATAATTAAAAAAAGAAAAAGAGAGAAAAGAGTGGGAAACAGAATGAGGAGACCGGCTGAAAACAGCAAATCCTAGAACAAGAGAAAGACGACCAGAACAACCAGAACGACGAAAGAGAAAACGAGTTAGAGTTAATGTGTGTGTGTGTGCAAGAACCAACAGAAACGAGCAGACACTTCGTTTTGTTTGAATCTACGCAGTAATCTTGCGATTGCGAATGACAAGAGCCGACACTGTAGCGCAAAAGTACATCAGCGAACCAAAGGCAAACGCCAAACGAATACACACAAGAAGAGCATGAAGGATAACAGGTTGAAGTTCCTCAGAAATACGATGAATATAGGTAATGTCTTCCTTCAGATGATCAAGAAGAGGTTCAGCCGTGCTAGGGCCTAATTTCTTCATCAAAATCAGCGACAAGCCTGTTTGAATAATAGATGTGGAGACGGAAACACCCAGCACAGATCCAGTTGAGCGAAACAGGTATGAGGTTGCAATTGCACTAGCTTGACTTTCACAAGCGGCAGAGTGAATAATAGCAATCAGAGTTGTTGTCACACCCATGCCGTTACCAAAACCAGAGAGGAAAGGAGCAGTGTTGTACGACACTTCTGCCGGCTTATCACTAAACGTTGTCATAACCATCATGGCAACCCAACTAAGGGCATAGCTGCCAACAGTGATGTACTTGTAACGGCCGGTAATGTTGATGACGATACCACCCATGAGAGAACCAATACTCGAACCAACAATAAGTGGAATGAGACGGAAGCCCGACTTGGATGTGGACTCGTTCATGATTGCCTGAAAGTACAGCGGAAGGGTGTATGAGAGTGAAAGTTGACCCAAGAATTGAAAAAAGTTACTCAAGTACGAGGCAAGACATGTACGCTCGCTGAGCACGGGAATAGGTGCTAGAGGTTCTGCAGCATAAAATGCCTCGTTCAAGCCGAAAATAGCATAGAAAATGACGGAGCTTGCGAGCAACGAGAGGACTATTTTGTCTGACCAGGGATAAACGTTTCCGCCGAGAGTCAAAGCAGTGGTCAGCGTGCTTACACCTGCAACGAGTAGGGCAGTTCCTGACCAGTCAACACGACGGAACTTTTCGACAAAGCTTTCCTTGACCTGCTGGTGAGGCAGATGCAGACACACGGACACGGTGGTGAACGCAATCGCCAGCAATGGCACCTGGATGAAGAAACCAAGACGCCAGGTATAGCGATCAGCAAAGTATCCGCCTACTGGACCACCCAAACTAGAACCCGCGGCGAAGAAAACGTTCACGATGCCTTGGTATGTTCCACGTTCTTTCAGCGGAACCAGGTCACTCAGCAGAATCGTTACTGTCGAGCTCATTCCACCGCCTCCAATGCCAGCAAGAGCTCTAGCACAAATAAGATGGCCTAGTGATGGAGAAAGAGAGCAGTACAAGCAACCAAGACCAAAGATCGTGTACGCGGCCAGCAGACTCGTCTTACGGCCGTAGATATCGCAGAACCGACCAAACAAAGGTTGGAATGCCGTAGATGAGATCATGTATGAAGTCGATGTCCATGACACCTCGTTAAATTTGTTGAAATCAGCACCGATTTTGGGATACGTGGAAGAAACAATTGTGTTGTCCATAGCACCAAGAATTACGCCAAGTAGAAGGGCAGGGAGAATCTTGAGAATAGAAGTTGATGTCTGGCACTCGGTTTCAGAAACACTGTCATCATCGAAAACTACTGCATTTGGAGCGGGAAAATTGCTCGAAGCAAGACCGCCTTCAATCTCTTCAACAGGAACAATTGCTCCATGGTTACGAACGTTTTGTGTTGCAGGACTCTTCAAAAGTGGTTCCGAATCACTAGACGTCAACAGAGACGACTTGGACGCTTCTCGATTCATTCTACCCGCAATTTACACACAAACTACAGTACTCTCAGTTACTTCTCGACCACAAGCTGTGCAACTACGAGTTTGGGAAACGGCAAGTTCGTACAACTGATCGCAAAGTTTTTGACTTAGGCCCCCGCGTGGGGCTAAAAAAGCACGTGGAAATCGCGGCCGACAATTCAGAGTATATCCAAGACGTGGTATTGGCTAGAGGAAAGGAGAGAAGCGCTAGAAGGGAAAATAAGCAGGATAGGAAAAGGACAAGTTACAGGGCAGGACAGAACAGAATAAAACAGAATCTACGATTGTACAAGTCCTATCTACTTAAGGGACATGCCCTGAAGGAAAAAACTACATCTGTACCGCGGTACGCACTGTCAATGATAGTCTAATCGGTCCCAATTTTTCTTTGCAGGACTTAATGACAAAATTGTATTTTAAAGACTGAGAATTATTAGAGTTACTTTTGCTCGAATACCCAGTCGTTCAAGCCGTATCTGTTACGAGCAATCTCAACAGCCAAAAATTGGATACGAGGAACTGGTTCGTTAGTAAAGAAAGGAGAAAAACAGTAGAGGAGAGGATGGGATGAGTACACTCAGGTTCAAGGGAGCCGTAGATCACCTGTCAAAGCACTGTTGAGCATCCTTCCCACCGTTCCTTTGTGGCTTACCGAAAATTGTAGTGTCTTGCTCATACTCGTCAGTGTTTTTTATACGAAGAAGAGTACCGAAGTTGTAGTCGTCAATCTTCTTCTCATAACGCATCATGAAAGGACGCCAAACAGCCTTGCCCTTAGCGCTCTTCATTTCGTTTTCGTTCACGCTCTTGGCGTACTCGGGATTCTTGAACTCGGGGATCGTCTTCAACAAATCTTCAAAAATTTCGTCGTCCAACCTAAAACAGGCAGCAGGATTAGCTATACAGATTCTTAGCGTTCGGTGTAGTCACCTACTTGGTTAAACGAAGTTCAGATCCCTTTCTCAACTGCAAGAGGTTCCAGTAAATTTCTGCCCAGTTTCGTTAGACACACAACCATTCAGTAGCGAGGTAAGAAAAAATCCATACGAGCATGTTCAACAGCTTTTACAGCAAACTGTTCAATAAAGGAGTTAGAAAGAGCCCACGAAAACAAATACCAGCCTGGGGCTGCATTCGTCGAAGGAGAGAAAAATCCTTCAAAACTTCAATAAACATACTTGCATCTCAATCTAATAATTAGCAAATAATTTCATCACATAAGAACATACCTCAGCGGCATTTTCAGCCTTCTCTGCGTCGAACTTGGTAGACATTTTTTTTTAATTGTGCAGCTGGTTGTAGCTCGGAGGGAGGATGGAAGGGGAAAAAATGGGAAAAAATAGTAACAATACAAAAGAGCCACAGAAGGGTAACGAAACGAGAGACGGTAATCAACTGTCAATATAGAAAATGTCCGTGTTTTCGACTTTTTATTTTTTGGCACGGGAACGTCTTGGTTTCGTGGGACGAGAATTAGATCTGACTCGTCTTTTTTTGAAAAGTTTTGTATCAAGCTGTGTGATGAGAGGCTGTTGAGATGCACTACTAGCCACAGTTTGTTGTTGTTGTTGTTCGTCTTCAGATTCCTCCGAGTCGGAAGTTCGATTTGCCATCATTTGTCTGCGTCGTTCAATTCGCTTCTTAAGTTCCTCAGACAGTTCTGGCTCTTCTGACGCCGTAGAGTGCTCTTGTGATGCAATCGTTGGAGTTTCCGTGCCTATCGTACTTGTCGTACTCGCAGTTTTCTCCGAACTAGCTGTTTGGAAAGACGTCAAAGCAGCATGCAGCCGTTTACTCTTAAACTGATGATTAACCCGGGGAGCATGCACTGCTGTGGAAGGCGTCTGACCACTGAAAAACTGCGTCAGATTTGTTTGCGTTCCCTGGAACTGTTTTCGTGTCATGTCTTGAATCACCGGTACCAAAACTTGATCAGTCTTTGCTTGTGACCAACCAATAGTTGTCATGAGAAAGTCTCGCAGCTGATCCAAATCGGGAATTCCCCACTGGAACTCTTGTTTACTATCATCCACAGTCGGATTTAAGTAAGCTTCTTCAACAACTGGATCGGGGAAGTTTGTCGGCAACGAAATGCGTCCAACTAATTTGGAAAGGCGACGACGTACAGGCGTACCAAGGTCATTGACCAAGGGCGATCCTGATGCTATGCGCAAAAACCATCTTTTAAATTCAATCAATGGATTATCACCTGGAAATTCGCGTAGTATTTCCACCGCACTTACTGGGCCGACACTGGATAATCCTTCCGTATAATCACTGCCTAGAAGGTAGGCTAGCTGGATCAACTGCTTTCGGCCGATTGCGAAATCTCGCTCCATATCCGATGAAAGATACAGCTCGACAAACTTCGACTGATTGAACATGTTTCGATAGATACGGGTTCCGCCAAAGAGAAAGACATCAGAGTCATCAGTCACGACGCCATCAACTAGTTTTAATTCAAGTAGCTTAGCACATTGTGCCTCTGCTTCTTGGGGAGCAACAATATAAGGTAGTCCAAAATAGCGTAATAATTCTTGACATTCCCGGACCATTTCTTGGTTTACCTCATCTGCGTCCCTTGTTTCATTCTTTTTGCTTTGTCGAAGCTCATGTAACCGTGCTTCGAAATCCTGCTCATTCCAATCTTTATTCACCGGTACCGGTACCGGCGCTGGTGCATTGCTTTGCAACTTTTGGACGAATTGGTCGTAATCTTTTTCTTCGTCAGCCAAGTTTACTAATGTCTCTAGGTCTTCGTCATCCAAAAGTTCCTGTGTAATGCTAGTATCTGGTTCTTGATCATCTAGCTTAATGGGGACCGGTTTCACTGAAGGCTTTTCAGCCGCAATATCTTTTATCTGTGGTGACAAAGGCTCAACCTTCACGGGTTTAGCAGGCTCAGCAACACTTTCTTCTTTGGGGAGAGTAGTTTGTTCAGTAACCTTGACATCAATCGAGTCTGAGCTAACAGGCTCTTCCTTTATTTGTTGGGTTTGTGCGGTCTGTAAAACATTTTGTTTTCCATTTTGTTCCTCAGGCGATGTTACCTGTTTTGGAAGCTGAGGCGACAATTCAAATAATGTCTCAGTAGGAAGCGGTAGTTCCTTTTCTTCAACTACAGCAGTGTTCTCTTCAGTTTCTTGGGTCTGTGGAAAGGTCTGTCTAACATCTAAAACGAACGGTGAAGGTTCATCTTGGGTTATGGAGGATGCTGCTTGCTTTGGTACCGGCGACGACGACTCGAACAATGTCTCGACAGGAAAGTTCGTATCCCTTTCTTCGTCAGATTTTATTTTCTCACTTACATTTTCAGTTTTAGGAGACATTGGCGATGCAGCTATGTCTACGACCTGTGTCGCATTTTGTGCCAACTTTATTTCACTTGGTAAGTTCGGTTCCAGAATGCTAACGGCATCAATAGAAAGTTCTGAAGGAAGTTCATCTCCTTTATTGGTATTAGGATCTACCAATAAAGATGGAGAAGGGGGCCGTTCAGTTTTTTCAGTATCCTGCCTTGGTTTAAAAAACAATGACTTATCGAGCTCAAGTGGTTCGAAGGGTAGTCCTGAAACATCCTGAATTACTTCATTCGTAACATTACTAGGAGCTTCAAAAGCAGGCAATGCATCCAAGAATTCCGTCTCTTCTTCTTTCTCGGGCTTCTCATTTGAGTCGTCGGCTTCCTCTAAAATTGTCGGCAGAGTGGTTTCTTCTTGAGAGTTCTGTTTCTCATCAGTAGTCAATGACTGTTTCAATTCCATAAAATCATTGGCATTCAAGTTGAAAAGGGTTTTCTTTTTTGATGATTGGGTAGCAAAAGATTCCTCCATAGCTTTCTGTAGCATCAATTCCTCAATTTCGGCGTCATTCTCATAATCATTGTTTTGTTTCATACGAATCTCTCGAAGTTTTTGTGAGACGATTTCGCGAGGTTTTAGATGTTCAACCTTGTGTGGAATAGGTATATCTTCGAAGTCATCCTCATCGTCGACGTCAAATTCAGAATTTCCCAATTCGCTGCTCTGAGGCAGAACGACATTTTTATTTTCAGTTTTTTCAGCTTGATTTGAAATGACACCTAGAGCCCATCCGCCTTCCACACCGTCGTTTCGGACAAGAATGTACTCCCTATCACGCTCACTGGCAATACGTAAAGGTCCCTTTTTATTCATACCAGTAAAATCCATTAGCCGCTGTGTCAATTCATTGCGCTCTTTTAGGCGTTCAATCTGAAATTTAGAGAACTCCATACGATTAGGAAACATTTCAGAGAGCTGTTCTGTTGTAAGACCCATACGAAGTCGAGACCGTAGCCGGGCGGCATTCAGAATATTATATTTATCGGCATCTGACAACGACTTGAACATTTCTGAGTCAAAGTCTATATTGGCAAAATCGAACATGCTAATATCAATTTGAGCTCCGAACTGAGAAGCATAGTCTGCGAGCTCGGATTGCGACATGATTCGAGGGTCACTTTTACTGTTCAACTTGTCAAACGAGACACCCATTTCTGGTAGTTGGTAAGGATCTGCTTTAGCAAACTTTTGACTTTCTTGTACGGCAACCTTTACTGTTTCCACATCAATTGTCATGGAGGAAGGAGCTTGTATTGCTTTTGAGGTCAATGTAGTTCCCTTTTGAGGAGAGAGACGTGATTCGCGTTCTTGAAACGCACGTTTTCGCATTTGTAATGCAAGAATCTTGTTTGCTATACGAGTAGCATCCTCTCTGTGAGTAATTCGTCGAGCTTGACGTTTGCGAATTGTTTGTCTTTTCAGCATGGGAGCTCCTCCATCAAAGACAAATACCGGCTTGATACCAAAATACAAGAGTTTACATATTCTTCGAAAGAATCCAACTATATGGCTGTGTTTCATTTGTTCACCTTCCTTATCGCGGACGGCTTTCAAGAATTGGTAAATCCAAATAGATGCATCGATAGCCAAACGCTTGTTAGCCAATGTTTCGAGCTTTACTGGTCGGTTTACTGGTTCAAGAATGCTCCAGAGTCCAGTAACTCCCATTGTGGATAAAAAATCTTGGATGCGAAATTATTAAGGATTGAAGAGGAAGGCAAAAAAAGTTATTCGTAGACCAATCGAAACAATTATCTATACAATGCTTTTACAGCATAAACCACAGTTATTCATGTCGTTATAAACCTTTCTACACAACAGAATAGTACCAATTTGCTGCAAAAACGTCGATTTGCGGTTGGTTAAGGTTGCGATTATGCAACTGGCTTCCACCAACTTCTGCCTAGTAAGATTGCAGAATTCAATGTTATTTTGCAGAAAACTATGGATACTAGCTGTCTTCTTAACACTACATCTATGTAGATCTCAAACCATTTGTTCAAAGACCAAGATTTCACCGTTTAATGAACAAGATGACTCAATTTCCTGTGAGGCAATTCCTTATAGCTCGCTCCAGAGTATCTTCCAAATAACGGCAACAGTGAACAATTCTACGGGCACATTAGCTTCCGCATTGACCCGCGAAACGCGTACTGGAGCATTACTTTCTGAGGCTGTTAACGAAAGCATACAAAACACGACTCTCTCAACAACATCTCCTACATTGGGCGAGTCGGAAACAATCGGGACTCATTCTACTGAAACAGTAAATTCATCCTCTTCGTCAGAGAAGTCGACTGCGGCATCTCCAGTGCCTACTAAAGAAGCTAAGCGCTTTAATTTTGCTTCTACAGACTGTGCTGCTGCTATCCTCGAAGCAAATGCAGAGGCGAAAATGCCGTCTGCTATTCTTTCAGAAAATAGAGACAAGTACATGCTTATCAAGTGTTCTGTTGAACCTAAGTTTATGGTTATCGAATTATGTGATGACATATCCATCGATACCATTCAACTTGCCAACTATGAGTTCTTTTCTAGCACATTTAGAGATGTAAAGTTCAGTGTTAGCAGCACATATCCTCCCAAAGGATCTGGCTGGACGGATCTTGGAACGTTTACTGCTCGGAATGTCCGGACTCTGCAAAGCTTCCAAGTAGACTACCCAAAGATATGGGCAAAATATCTTAAAGTTGAGTTTCTTGATCATTATGGGTCTGAGTTTTATTGTCCGGTCAGTATAATTCGGGTTTATGGAAAGACTATGCTTGATGAATTTCGGGAGGAACGAAAAGCAGATGATGATGTGTTGGACAGTACAGAGAAAGAGCAAGCTGAAGCAGGTGCAGCAGAGGATGGGTCAGCTGTTTCTTCTGATGCCTCGCATCCAAATGCTACTATGCAAACAAATGGCAGTAAACGTGCTGCTTCTACTGGCACAGATATGAATTCAGCCGCAGAGGGATCGGAAAGCAAGAATGATGGAATGAATCAGAGTGTGGGAACACCGCAATCACAAATTTCTCATGTAACAAATGCTCACGAGGAAGCTTTGACAGCCACTCAATCTGAGCATTCTAGTGTTCTCTCTGGCAAACCGACCTTGGTGAATCAAAATGTGCATGCTACAAATCAGCAGGAAAGTATTTATCGGAACATGTACAAACGACTTTCTGTCTTAGAAGAGAAGACAAACCAACTGAAGGCACAATTGGCAAATTTAGAAAAGCTTACTGTTAGTCATTTCCAGGAAAGCAACTCTACCCTAATTCGTGTGGTAAGTATTCAGTCTCTATCGTTTAACTGTATCACTAACTTTCTCATTTAAGCGTGATGAGTACATATCGTTACTTGAGGTTTCGCTTTCAATTATCCATGCAAAGCAAGAACTTTATGATGCTGAGGGAGAAAGTCTGACGAAACGAGTGAACATGCTTGCTCAAGATGTATGTTTTAATGCTGAGTATTATTTGCAGCCTGCTAACCGAGTATAGTACCTCCTTCAAAAGCGATTGCTCGTTTTACAGTCGCTTCTCCTTATATCTATTATTGTTATACTTTCTTTCTGGAAATCACCCTTTGTTGACCGGTTTTTCCGTCGGGTTTCACGGGCCCGGCATGGCAATTCAAGTACAACCTGGTCGCCGTTTTCCGATAGAGCTGCTGCATCTGTGGAACCAGAGACCCCTGTAGATGAAATTGTTGGATCAAGCTCTCCAACCTTCCTGAAGCGTTTTCGGAACCGGAAGGTCGAATCTGTTTTATACCTGGATACCCAGCAAAATTCACTTTCTTCAAACGCTCGCTCGTCCAGTACAGAGCAGGTCTCTGTAAGTGGTCCTCCAAAACTACATGCACGTAGTTATACGGTTGCTTAACGAATGTAAAGGTTATTGTTTTTTTTTTTTTCTATACTAGAATAATATTATTAATGAGAAAATTTATAGTATAAGCTAGAACTAATGCTACGGTCATTTAATTACCTTCATAGTCTATTCCATATTCTTATAGCTATCATGCATCCAGTACTGGACTTCAGGTACTTGAGAGGATTATCAAGTTGAAATTAAAGTGGCAAGGATCACTGATGGAGAACGTGTCCTTTACCAAAATGACGGCAGAAGTAGTTACTCCTATTTGCAGCGGCATTGAATGCCATAAAGACGCTAAAAAGCTTCAATGCCCTAAATGCCTCAACCAGGGCCTTCATTCTTATTTTTGTGGTCAAGTATGTTATTGTTTATATAGCTGCATAGTAACACCTTTGTAGGAATGTTTTAAGAGAAGTTGGGTAAGGAAAAGTTGTTTAGAAGGAAGCAATTAGGGACAGTATCTGTCTTTTTTATCGATATTCGTGTTCTACGGGTTGTTCTTCTTTTTTTTTTATCAAGTTATATATGTTCAGTAACAGCAAAATCATGGCTGTTTAAACAAATGTACTGGCTACATTTAGGAGAGACAACACCTGTTATATTCTTTTGTCTGTTATATTTGTCCTTTGCTTCGTTTTTATACATACAATTCTCTGTGAGTTTATCCTAACATGTTTAGCCCATCCATAAGCAGCTTCACATTCCTCCACAGGCAAAGAAGAATGGTATGTTGTTTTTGCTGTAATCCCTATCGGTTCCAACGCTAACGATTCTGTTTCAGAGGACGGTACTTATGATCCGTTCCCAAACTTCTCCTACACGGGTTCTTTGCGTGCAGTATACCCACTCTCTCCCATGCGCAAGATCCCTGAACATATTCAAAAGCCCGACTATGCTGTTACTGGTACTTCACCCAGTGAGCAGTTGGAAGCTCGCAGTTTCAAGATCAAGCGACTCAATCCTCAAGAGATTGAAAGCATGCGGACAGTCTGCCGCTTGGGACGTGAGGTTTTGGACGCTGCTGCCGCTGCCGTTCGTCCTGGTGTTACTACGGATGAGCTGGATGCAATTGTGCATCAAGCTTGTATTGAGCGCGAGTGCTACCCTAGCCCTTTGAACTACTATCACTTTCCCAAGAGCGTCTGTACCTCTGTGAACGAAATTATTTGTCATGGTATTCCTGATAAGCGCCCTCTCCAAGACGGTGACATCGTCAACCTGGATGTCTCTGTTTTCCATAAGGGATTTCACGCTGACTTGAACGAAACTTACTACGTTGGTGACAAGGCCAAGGCTAATCCTAAGCTTGTTTGTCTCGTGGAAACGACCCGTGAAGCTTTAAACGCTGCTATCGCCGCAGTGAAGCCCGGAATGTTGTTCAAGGATATTGGTAACATCATTGAAAAGTACGCCAAATCGGTGAAGAGCCACGAATTGTCGGTCATCCGCACCTACTGTGGTCATGGTGTTAACCAACTCTTCCATTGTGCTCCTACCATTCCTCATTACGCGAAAAACAGATGTCCTGGTGTTATGCGTCCCGGTATGACATTTACCATTGAACCCATGCTCTCTCTTGGCAGTGCCCGAGACGTTTCTTGGCCCGATGATTGGACTGCAGCAACGCTTTCTGGTGATGCTTCTGCTCAATTTGAGCACACACTTTTGGTTACGGAAGACGGTTGTGAAGTTCTTACTGCTAGACTTCCCACTTCTCCCGGCGGACCTGCTCCCAAGAAGTAATTTCCAAATGATAAGAAATGCAAAAATTTTTATTAGAACTTGGTAACAATAAATATTTCTATGGGTGCAACCAGTAATCCGTAAATTTTGGATATGAAATGAATTTTTAGAGATGCTTGACTTGAATATAGCTCCTCACGGGATGGAATACGTCTAGGAACTCATATGTTCCTCCACGAGCGTTTCAAGGAATCGAGTTTCGCTGTCCTTGTCGGGTTCGACCTTGGAGAAAATGTCGCCGACAATGAGCAGTGCTTGTGCACGGTCCTTGCGCTTCTCTTTGGGTACAGTTTTGTCGTACAGTACCTTGTCGCAAACCTGCCGTAAGACATGCTGAATCTCAAAACGTGCACCTCTCCAACTAGCAGCAAGCACTTTTCCTGTCATGTTCTTTTGCAACTCAGCCATTTCGGCTTCCGTCATGTTTTCCTGCTCAGATTCCGCTTTAGCGATTGATTCGGCGGCTGTGTGTGCATCAAGGGCACTTCGAATCGTGTACCAAGTATCTTTGATCACAGTACCTTTTTCGCAAAGTGCACCCCAAATAGATCCAGCCATATAGTAACGCAGAGATCGTATAAAGTTGTTTGCTTTCTGTATGTAAATACCGCCAATAGCATGAAGCATCTCGGCACCGAAGGAGGCCATTTTCAGGTTCTCTGCTTCCAAGGTCATCTTCATTTTAAAGGCCTCAGTAACGCCCTCATCCTTGTCTGTCTCTGTCCACACAGACAACTTGTCTGTCAGGTAACGTGCAAGTTTCTCGATACGAACTTCCATTTCCTGATTCCGAGTTTCATCTTGTTGCTTTTGTAACACCTTTTTCGACTCCTCCGTGTCCTCAACTGCTCTCTTTGTTTTTTCATCTGCTTCATCGCCCATCATTTTTATCAATTCCTTCAACAAGGTGATCTCTCCAATGTAATCTTTGAACGATTCGCCTCCGAACAAGTTCTCAAAAAACAATTGAGCATCCTGGAATCCCATTTCCGGGACAGCACCTTCTTTTCCATATGTGTCATACTTCTTTCGAAGTTCTGGGTCGCCAAGAACCTGGTATGCTTCTCCAATCTTGAAATTCCGTGTCAGTCACCATCTGGATGAATCTTCACGAAGACATATTCATTAGCTTACCTTTTGGAATTGGGCTTTTGCCTCTTCTGGATTCTCTCTATTCTTGTCTGGATGATACTGGATGGCGAGTTTACTGTTATAATATATTAATTAAGAAATTCGACCTAAAATGAGAACATACCGATACGCTTTTTTGATTGTAAGCTCATCTGCATCAATTGCAACTCCTAAAATCTCATAGTATTCTTTATCAACAGTTGTAGTTGCCATGTTGTCCTTTTTGGCTCTAGGATGGACCAGAGCAAGTTACTAGCACGGTAGCAAATACGACTAAGAATTCGGAAGAGTGTATTCAGCTGTGATTTAAACGAGTTTAAATAAGTCTAAAATCTGCTTGATGATCATCAAATGTTTTAAAACGGAAGTTTCATATCAAAAAAGAAGATATCTCCGTTTGATACGGTACCTGATACAGAAAAGAAACAGTTTTCTAATTTTTTTTTTTAAGAATAAAAGTAATTTCAGCGTCTTTAGTCGTAATTATTTACGGAATCGTAAACGAATTGTATATCGTTTGTGCTTTTTTATGAATAAATTGAAAGCAATTGCTATTCGAATGCCTAGAAATAATTACTGTCATTATTTCTTTAGTATTGTAAACAGTACAGTTATGTAGCATGTAAAAGGAGGCTAGTAAAAGCTCTGTAAGCGGTATTGTCTCCCTTAGGCTTGCGATTTATATTGTATGATTGATACCGTACCATTCTGCAAGCTTTCTACTTTTCATCAATTAATTATGTCCAAGCGCAATGTGCAGGAATCATTTTTTCAACGTTTTGAAGCAGCAGTATAGGAATGAAGTTAGAAATAGTATGGTCTTTTATATCTTATTTTATATTTTTATATACATTAAAGCCAATTTTTAATTTATTTATCAAAAACGGTTCCATAATTATCAAGAAGCACACTCAAACAGAAAACCTTATTCTCCCTTTTATTACCTTTTCTTCCAGTACCAATCCATTCTGACATACCATGTTTTTCGTATAGCCGCTTCAGGTTTCACCTGAACCATTTCACCCAAAAAATATATACCATGTCTAGTCGAAGTGCAAAGTCTCAAGTGTAAGTTATAATACATGAATACATAATTAACTATGAATGAACAGTGACAAGGGAAAAGCTGTTGCTAAGAAGGATCCCATTCTCGATTTCGATGATGACAGTGAGGACGTGGATTTTTCCGATGACGGTTCAGAAAACAGCTACGACGATTCGGATTCTAGTATGGACGATGAGGAAACAGGGAATGAAAACTGTATGTAGTAAAGGGCTGCGCTTTTTTTCTGTAGAAACGTCTAACATGAAAAAAAAAACTTAGTGCAAGAAGATCTTGCTGCCATTGACCCAAGAAACATAACTTGCAGTACGAGAACTAGACGTAAAAAGATCGACTTTACAAAAGCCAAGGTTCCAGAAGACGAATTGATGGATGAGGATGATGAAGATGATGAGGACTATATTCCTCCTCAATGAAAACTGTGCAACAATGTCGGTTTTACCAAAAAAGGAGCACTGAAGTTGCTGCTCACCGGGGTGACTTTGTAATGCAATGGACATGCTCTAGTTGATTTGCAACTCTTTGGCCGAATTTGTTGCCGCGTAGTGAAACGACATGCTTCCCAAGTTGTTCTGCTATACGCTTTCGCTGAAGAACTGAACATGTTTGCAGCAAGTATTGTATAATGTAATTGCCGTACTGGTCGGATGCCACTGTTATTAATGGGATCCGAACTTTTTGTTGTCGAGCTGTCATTAGCTCTTCAATATATGATTCAACAAAGTTTTCCGGACCCGTGCGTAAAGCCTTTTCTATTACCTTTGATGCAAACTGATGTGTACTGTAACGAATACTGTTGCTTAACAAGAGTTTCCGTAGATATTCTTGTTCAACTTCGTTCCCATGCTCAACAATGTGCTGTATCACCCAGTTGCCCCATTGCCCGCAAAGGATAGCATCTGCTTGGAATAGTATTTCGGTTTTGCAAAGTGTCTGTGTGAGATGCAGTGTTAGTACTTCTTGATGTAAAAGGTCGACAATGTTTTTCCAGCTTGAATGCTTACCTCATCTTTTGATTCACAGTTTTCAAAAATGTTTTGAACAACAAGACTTCCCATCTCGCTCATGGCAATCTCTGCCCATTTTCCACGAAGGAGCACGTTCAGCTGTGACATGATGAACGAAGTATGTTCTGGCCAGCGCATGTCTAACAGCTTTTGCCATACATGGCACGAGTTGCGTCGCAAAATCGACGACTCTGCGTGCTGAATGAGTTCACGAATGACGGCTAAACGATGATCAGCGGACATAAAATCGAGTGCTCGTTGGACTACATGACAGCCAAATGCATGGGCAGACAGTTCGTGAATATGTCTGTAGATCACCAATGCAAATTCGTTCATCTGCTCCGGCGTACAATACTCAAAGCACTTTTGAACCAAAAAGTTGCCAAACCGATTGACTGCAAGGCTGTATGTGTAGGGTAATACAGATTGACTTATTTGATGGCATGTGTTTGCATTTTCAGACTTGAGTTTTAACTGAAGAAAAACGGATGCAAGTTGATCATTTTGAAAAATGATTCTTTCAATAAGTACCTAGAGCAAGTGTTAGCTACGGATTCTAATACGCTTTCTTGAATTGTCTCACCTTGTCTTCGTGGCTTCCGAACTTTTCATAAAGCTGTTTCGCCTTTGTCTTTACTCTCTGTCCGTGCGTCTTTGCTTCGTTTTGCCCTCTCCATGGCGTCTTGTGAACTGGACTTAAAGGCCTTAAGGAGTTGGCTGCTCCTTGCGAATGGGATGCGGCAATGTTGAGTTGATTCGAGTAATCGTGTCGAAGCAATAAGTCCATTGACAAGGGGGTCATGAGTGCTGACTGAAACCCTAAACGTGACTTGTCCTTTTGTACATCGACATCATCTATTGTTGGCAATAACGAAGAGGAAAAACCAGTTGCCAATGCTGCATTGTCAACATCCATCTTCCATAGAGACCCAGGAGTGGTAGAATCCAGAGCATTTGCTTGAGAATGTGTGCTGGAATTCCATGACGCGAACGGTTGGTATGTATATGAACCGCTGTTGAATCCATTACAGGGCTGAACGCTACTCGCCGGCGGCATCGGCTGCCCTACTCGCTCGTCAGGATTGTTATCTTTGAGTATAAGGCTATTCCTAAAATGGTCGATAAAGTCCTCCAGCTCATCACTCTTCTGCTGATGGTTCATGTTGGGCTGAAAGCTCATGAACAAGTTTTGCCGACCATTCATAGGTTCACTCCCCGAATGTTTGAGGCGTTTTGCGTCAACAGAGACTCGGTCCTTGGATCCATCCAGTACAGTCATTCCAAACAAGGGACGACCCAGTCTTGTTCGTACGTCTCAGCACGTAAATAGCAAAACCAAATAAACCTCTTGGACAAAAGCTTAAACAAAAAGATACAAAAAAGCTACTGTGGTTTTGGAGGTGATGGAAACGGTTTCTTGCACATGAATTTGGTCATCCACGAGAGCGCAATATGTAAACAAAGACTCGAGCCGGGTGTTTCCAGTGAGCGCGATATATTCGCTCAAACTGTCGCTTGCTATGTATGCTCTGTATAACCCGAAAACAATCGGGAAAGCTAGAACTGAGGCTATATCTTTTCGCGTGCTTTTCCGAAATTGTAATAATACACAGTGATGATATATATGGTACATGAATAACCCAAAGGTGTAAAAACTAAGCGAATTCAATTGCAGCAGTTGCAAGTTCCGTAAAGATACGTACTTTCTCAGCTTGTTCGTTTTTTTCGCATGTACATATAACATACAAGAATCCGTCTCGTTCATCTCCAATCTTTCAAAACCATGAAAGTTGAGCCCATTCAGATGCACAACGCGGCCTCTATTCACTCATCTAAATCATTTCATACCACGTCCCTCCATCGTTTCTCTAGCATATGGTCGATTCTCAACTTTTTATTCCACACAGTCAAATCCTGCAAGAAACCATGGAAATCAATAGTAAACTACTCTACTAGTTCACAAACAAAGTTCTAATGTTATTTTATATAATAAAAACGTCAATTAAGGTGGTATCTTAAGAAGTGTAGACATCCTCCCGGACCCAGGCAAACATGCCCTCTACCAACCACTTAATAAATCAACGAAAACAGGATATACAGCTGTCGGATTAAATGAAAAGGTGATACATTAAAAAAGACACGATAGTATTAAAATTTATTGCCATCCTACCCTGTTTTTTTGATAATTTTTGTGACCAATTGATCATTGTTTTTTGAGTCAAACGTATTGAGAAGTACTGTAAATTAAACCTGAGTCATCCCCAAAAAACGATGGATCTAGTTGAATTGGATTACTTTAATGCTTTAAATGACCTCACATTTAACAGCAAGCCAATTATCCATACGCTGACAGCAATCGCACAAGAAAACCGTCCTTATGCGGTCAGCGTTGTTAATGCTCTTCAACATCATTTACAAAAGGTACGAATGCGCTCGTTGGCTGGTCTGGAATTCGATAGATACTAATACGAACTAGTGTCCTCCTGCACAAAAATTACCAGCTCTATACTTGCTAGACTCTATATCAAAAAACTTGGCCGAGCCATATACCAGTATTGTGGCTCCTCGGTTATACACTATGTTCATGGACGCTTACACTGTCGTAGACAGCGCTTTACGGCCCAAATTCGATCAATTGTTTGAGACCTGGAAACGACAATCACCAAACGCGAGTATCCAAGGCCCCGTATACCCAGAATCAGTGACGAAACGGATTGAACTAGCACTGACAAAATATAAAGAGACTGTCTATAAACTCGAGGCCAACCGGTTATCGAGTCCATTTACGTCAAACGCTCGCCTATACAACAAATACGGTTCTGTGCCGCTTCCTGTGGCCTCTACCAGCCGGATTTCTCCCCCGCCTAGTAGCGTTTCGGTCGAGTCATTACTCGAGGAAATTAAAAACTTGAGTCTCATAGAACAGAGTCGCTGTGTGAGTAATCCCATGGACGGGAATGCGCGTACGCGTCTTGTAGTGTTGAACAAACTGCATGAGGTCCTGTCAGTATCACGACTTACCGAGTCTCAGCTCGCTGCCATCAAGAGTCAACTTGTTCAACTTCGCACACCAAATCATCATCCTTCCGCCCCGGCGCCTATGGCCCAGCAAGCTGCGTATGCTGGCCATCCCGCTGGCGTATACAACCCTCCCAAGGCACCCAAAGCTATGACTTCGCTGAAAGGATCCTCTCCGTCCCCGTATGCTATGGGTCCGGCAGCGTTAATGAACCAGCAACCCGGGTATCCCATGCACAATGCCTATCGACAACCTGCGGCGCCTGCTGCCAACAACATCCCTACCGAAAATGTAAACGCCTTTTTTGCCTCCCTTCAAGCTGCAGGTATTGTGCCAAATTCAGCCTCGGGTTCTCCTGCCTTGTACGGCACGTCCGTACCCTTTACCGTGGAATTAACGAAAGAGTCACTCTCGAAGCCGCGGCCGGAGCTGGTTACGCAGTTGTACGATCTGTATCCAAACCATTGTGCAAACTGTGGTCGGCGGTACGCCGACGATGCCAAAGGCCGTGAGCTGCGGGATGCTCACTACGACTGGCATTTTCGTATCAACAAGCGAATCCGCGAAAGCAATGTCCACAGCATTAGTCGTTGCTGGTTCTTGAAAGAGGAGAACTGGGTGAGCATAAACGACAACGAGGACGCCATTCCGGAAACGGAAGAGGATCGTCAAGAAAAGGAAAAGAAGGCACACGAGTCTGTCGTCTCACAGTACGTGCTTACACCTTCCGATCCCACACAAGCGTCGCAGCCATGTTCCATTTGCCAAGAAAAGTTCCAGAGCATTTGGCACGAGGATGCCGAAGTCTGGGTCTTTATGAATGCCGTAGAACGCGACGGGCGCATTTACCATGCGACCTGTCTTCACGAATACGAGAAGACTGCCTCGAAAGACTCCGCAAAGACATCGGCTGCCGCAGGATCCACTGCTAATGCACCTGTCGTAAAGTCTACTACCGACGAAGAAGCTGTGTCCAAGCAGGAATCAAACGAGAACAAACCATCTGATGCCAACGTGTCTAATCTACTACAAGGCATTGATGTTGCTGGCATTTTGAGTGCCATTGGCAAACGAAAAGAACGTGAATCCGACGTGGACATGGTACCCAACAAATTCGTGAAACAGGAGAATGATTAATTATTAATTGACTAATGTTACGAAAATGAATGAAGGAGAAAACGTAATTAACGGGAGAAGATCATGAGAGAAGCAGAAGCGGTTTTGTTCAAGCGTAGTATTTGTTATGGATTCTATTGACCGTGAAAGCAAATGTACACAGATGACAAGCAGACTTACACCTACATCGTTGTCTTTTATGTCTTGTCTACGTTTAACAACCATAGCACCAGTGTCCTGCTACGCACACACACACACACACACACCTCTTCTATCGTCAGTCTTTTCTCTCTAAAAGTTGGTATCATTTCTTAACTAAAAGGACCGTGATGATCGAATGGAAGCAATGGACGTCGAATGCACCACCGTTTGGCTGCATCCAACACAACCATGTCCATCCTAGCATCTCATCTTTTTGTCTTTTTTGCACATTTACTCGACCTTCTTGAGAGCAGCCTCGATTTGCTCCCAGACCTTCTCAGGTGCTTGAGCAGCAGCAATAGGAGACCACTTGTTCTTGCCCTTGTAGTAGTCAACGACGGGAGCAGTTTGCTCGTGGTAGTTGACGAGACGCTTGCGAAGAGCATCAGCGTTGTCGTCAGAGCGTTGAACCAAAGGCTCACCAGTGACATCGTCGGTCATAGGGACCTTGGGGGGGTTGAACTCGACGTGGTAGCTACGACCAGAAGCAGGGTGGACAAGACGACCAGTGATACGTCTAACCAAGAGCTCGTCGTCGACCTGGAGCTCAACAACGGTGTTGAGCTCGAGCTTCATCTCAGCAAGAAGAGCGTCAAGCTTCTCGGCCTGAACAACGGTACGAGGGAAACCGTCAAGGATGAAACCGTTCTTGCACTCAGGGTTGTTCAAGAGCTCGTCCTTGATCATACCAACGACGATCTCGTCGCTGACCAAGTTACCTTGGTCCATGATCTTCTTAGCCTCTTTACCGAGCTCGGTTTGGCGGGCGACTTGGGAGCGGAGCATGTCACCAGTAGCAAGATGGGCGATACCGTACTTCTCCTTGATCTTGGGAGCTTGGGTGCCCTTACCGGCACCGGGAGGACCAACGAGGATGAGTCTCATACCAGACATAGTGAACAAAAACAAACAGCCAAACTTAACGCGTGGTGTGCAGAGGGAGAGTTCTGCGGAAGGCTTGACGGATGTAGTGGAAGAGCGGCAGGAGGAGTGGGGGAGTGGGGCACGTGGGATAGACATGGGGGTGTGTAAGCGAGAGAAGAAAAGCAGCAAGAATGGGTGAGCAAGGAAGATGCGAGACGGAGTGCAAGACGGAGTGCAGGAGCGTCGTGTCAAGCAATCATGACAGTGTTGAAGGCTGTGCAAGATTGTAAAGTGAGTTGAGCGTTGGCAGAACGCAGGCTTTGCTGCGTTCTGCATTGGGAGCGCTCACATTCACGCTCCAAACAAATTACCGGAGCTCCCAAACCACGAGCGTCCGTCGGTGGTCGTCTTGTGCATCGTGATCACTGACTGTTTGTCTTGCTCATCATGCCAATCCATGTCGACCATACCGTTCTTGCCAATCTCAAGAAGGTTTTTGGCTGTCTGCCACGAATACCGGACAACATGTCCCTTCCAGCCAAAGACCGGGTGGACGTTCTTGCGCAACCAGGCCGTTGTCTGCGAATCCGACGAATAACCACAGCCCCAATTGTCGATGTCGAGGGCTTCGCGGGTCCGTTCAAGATGCGCATCACGAGTCACCTTGGCACAAATGGAGGCCAAACTCACAATGGGAAACAGAGAATCAGCTTTCTTCGTCACCGTCACTTTGGCCTGCGGAAACCGGTTTTGAAGTTTGGCTTGGTACACGGCAGGCGGTCCCACTGTGTCGACGTAAATTTCCGAGATGTTATACCCTGCCTTCAGCACAGATTGGATCAACGCAATCGTGGAATCGTGTGCTTGAGCATTCAGGTTGTATTTGTCCACACGACGTAGCATTCCACGGCTAATGTCACGCGCTGTCATCACAGTGGTTGCCCATCCGATGCTTGTGCTGGCCGGATTGTTCCTGTCGCACACGGCTTGCAGCAGCTGTGTCCGTTTCTCGGCCGTCAGCTGCTTCGAATCCGCAAATCCGTACTCCGAGAGCTTCAGCTCCGTTGGACAAAAGGCGACAGCGTACACCATCGGTCCTAGCACCGGACCACGGCCGGCCTCATCCACACCCAAAACAAACGGTTGGGTCCGAGAAACCGAATCGTCCACATCAGCACGGAATGTGTATGTATGGAGATCATTGCTCTCTTTCACGGACAAGGAAGGGGGAAGAAAAACGTCACCGACTTTGTTTATGGCGGTGGGTTCGACAGCGGTTCGTAATTCGTCCGAACCCTTTTCATTCTTTTTAACCATAATAGAAGCGGACCAAGGGAATATGGAGGGAAATGGTGGAGCTGGAGGTTCAAATGCGTTTTTTCACCGTAATACTGTACAAAACAAAACAGCACAGCACCGTTTTCGTAGTGGAGGTAGTGATGCAATAAAACCAGGTACGTGTCAAGGTTAATGAAATGAAGATGCAAATATTCAAAAAAAAATCAAAAAAGAAGCTGTAAACGGAGAGGGAGGTGGGTCGTTGATCGTAGTCATCGTAGAAGGTCTTCTTTCATTTGTAGCCTCGTGCATGTCATCCTTCGTATGTAGAACTCTTTTGTACCTAATCCTCCAACTGACTCAGAATATCGAACGCAGGAAACTCTCCGATCGTAACCTCCTTTAATGGAACAAAAGAACCGTGCTTGGGAGCGCAGGTAAAGTAGCGTTTTCCCTTTACGGAACCGTCGTTCTTGCCTACAGGCTCGTCAAACTCAACGCCGGCCCAGAGACTGGTTTCGTTGATTTCGGGAACGAATCCAACGTAACGCACAGTACCCAAACGATCACCCGGAACACTGCAACGCTTTCCGACGTTTTGTTGAACGTCAGAAAGCTCGCGTTCCAATTCGACGCGTCGTGACTCGCAGAGTTTTTCGGCTTCAGGATTGAACCGACCCAGCTTGTTCTGTTTTTTCCACATAAGCACCGAGTCCGTGCGTTTCTCGTACTCTTCGTTAGACATTTCGTACTTTTCCACCTGCGACAAATCGTTGAAGTTGTCACGAACGGACACAGGACGCGTGTCATGCACGTTCAACGTAGCCAATTCCTCCAAACCAAAGTCACCGACAGTTTTGTTGTCGTCAGCGCTCGAAAACGTGTATTCTCTACCGCCCAGAAGAGGCTCGTACACGAGTCTCTGAGACGATGGCGGGATTCCAACAATTACTTCGAGTTTTTCCTTCAATTGACCGATCGTCCATTGCGTGTTGACTCGTCTTTCCGAAGAGACGTTGTCAGAGATCACAAAAAGTCTTAATTCAGACATGTTGAGGTTGGTGTTGTTTGTGGAGGGTAAGTTACTTTTGACGCTGCTTGTCCTCGTATAGCGTCGACTGTGTGCATGATGTCATAACCCAGATTAAGCTCGCGGCGAGCTTATTGCGTATGAGCCGAGTATCAGTGGGTCGCGCCTTCTGCCCTCCGCGTGCACCGTGCAGCGAACTGTTTTTTGTTAATTTTGTTAATTCTTGGGGTTTTTGAACGGCGGATCGTATACTGTTGGAATTGAGAAAGCATCTGAGCGAATTTCCCAGGAATTGGACAGCTGTAGCTTATGGAATCGCAAGAAACAACCGAAACTGAACCTCAAGTCATTACGAAAGGAGAACTATGGTCAAGGGCCGTCTGGGAGCGGAGGAATGAAGGATTCCAGGTAGAAACAAGCCAGACCTTTCGCGATTTTTGCGAGGCTTGTCGTCGAGGAGACTTGGAGCAAGTTTGCAGGTAATTGGCGACATTTCCATCCAATGTCAAACTATTTCCACTCACTATTAACACCGCCTGTAGCCTCGTCGAAAACTACGATGTCCCCGTGAACGGTATAGACGAGTTCGATTATACTCCCTTGATTCTCGCTAGTTTGTGTGGACACGCAAATGTCGTGGAGTACCTGCTAAAACATGGCGCCGTATGTCAACGTGATACATTTCAGGGCGAACGATGCTTGTATGGTGCATTAAACGATCATATCCGTAACATGCTACTGTCCTACGACATTTCGAAAGCTATCGACGACAATCAGCCGTTCGCTAGTCATATAGCCTCGCTGTTTGACAACCGTGCGGACTCAAAATTGGCGTTTGTGAGTGATTGCATGTTTTCGACAACACACGCCGACTTGGGATGCCATAAATTTTATCTAGCAGCACGGAGCACTTATTTTGCCAACAAGTTTGCCGGTGCATGGGAGTCTCTCAGAGAAATTGAGTTTTCGCAAGAGTTTGCAGACGAGCTGTATTCGGTATTGCGACTTACATACCTTCATGACCATGCGAAGCTTACCGGCAAGCAAGTTGAGAATGCAGCGAAACTTGCCAAAAAATTCAAGCTACAACACATGTCGGAGCAACCGTATGACCCGGAAAAACGGCGTGCCATGCGTACATGGAGAAGCGACGAAATTGCCCAAGCCAAGCTTGATCTTGATGCATTCTACCGACGCGCCGTATTAGCGAACAAGTACAAGGGCAATGGACACAGGACGTCGCCCACAGGCGTGTACCATGATGCCTACCTGCAATCGAATACAACAACATATCCCGTACACCGTGCTATCCTGTGCCGATCCGAATACTACATGGATTTGTTTACGGGCCCGTTTTCAGAGAGTTACCAAGAGTTCCCGGCGGTGACGTTGCCGTACGCCGACGAAGTCGTGGAGATTGTACTGCAGTTCCTGTACACAGACAAAGCAGACATCGCTCCCGAGCTGGCACTGGAAACCGTGTATGTCGCCGACATGTTATCGCTCGACAAGGAACGCAGTCTGAAATCCATGGCGGCTATCGTGCTTACGAAGGACATGGACAATCCACCCGCGAGTATTTTTGATATTTTACGTGCCGGATGGGATACGGGAACACAGCGCCTCGAGCACTTTGCGGCAGAACACATTGCGCGGAATTTAGACAAGCTATATGACGATACAGAGCTGGCAACTGTCGTGCTGGAGAGTGCGCAGCAGATCAGGGAGCGCCAGGAAACGGACACGGTTGAGTTGATCGACGATGTGCGGTACTACTTGGCTAAGCATTATGGCATCTACAACGAAGACATGAACCCCCTCATTGGAGACGACAGCGGTTTCACGGCTGAAGAGCTTGAGTATGAGAAGCATTTGCAGCAGATCGATCAATTGTTGGAGGAACTTGATTTGCAGGCATGATCCTGTTTGGTACAGGAAAAAACCCAAAAATTAACGCCCAAAATCATCGTCAATTGCACAAACTTTCGACTTTCTACACCCCGTCAATAGTTCGTGTTACTATCTCTCTATATCGTTTCGCTTTCCTACCGTCACCAACCGGCGTCCGCACCTTCCACTTCATTTTTGGGTTTCATTTTTCAGTGCCCCCAAACTTGCCGTGTACGGACCTTTAGGATACTTTTCGACGCGCCAGCAGAGCGGAAAGAACAACTACCGTACAAATGGCTGCCCTGAGCGAAGAAGCGTATGAGGAAGAGCATGTTCATCGTGTGTACGACCAAATCGCAAATCACTTTTCCGCAACCCGATACAAGCCCTGGCCTGTTGTAGACAGATACCTCTCTTCGCTGTCTCCCGGTTCCGTTGGTGTCGATGTTGGATGTGGAAATGGCAAGTACTTGGGTTTAAATTCGAATGCATACTTGATTGGAAACGATCGCTGCTCCAACCTCGTCCGTATCGCCAGCAACCGTGGACCTGCTCTTGTTGCAGACGGTCTAGCGGCTCCTCACCCGACTGGACGTTTTGACTTCGCCATCAGCATCGCAGTGATCCATCATTTCAGCACACCTGAGCGTCGCAGGGAGGGAATTGCCGAGGTGCTCCGTGTTCTCCGTCCCCAAGGCACAGCCTTGTTCTTTGTTTGGGCCCTGGAACAACAGAATTCACGCCGGGGATGGAAGGAAGGAGACAGTCAGGACGTTTATGTTCCATGGGTCTTGGGCGACCGGTACCAGGGAGGGAAGAAGAAGGATAAAAAGGAGAAGGGGGAGTCCTCAACGGGATCACCAGCAGCATCTTCAGTTGCAACTGAAGCTGCTGATGCCTCTGAGCTGGTCTCTGCCGCCTCCTCGAAACCCGAGCCTGTTGTCTATCAACGCTACTACCATCTCTTCAAGAAGGGAGAACTAGAGGAATGCATTCAGAGTGTTGGAGGCACTGTGATGAAAGCGGCTATGACCGGGATAACTGGTGGGCGATTGCTCAACGGTAGCGCTACGTCTAATGCACGTCCTCTCCACGGCCATTGATCATACTTCCTTGCCTGCGTCTGCATCCACTCTTCTTTCTCCCGCGCGTCCTCCATTCCTCACCTACATGCTCAGTGTTTACGCGACGCGTTTTGCATTTCAGTTCGCCTCTCGATGAACTCACCACCACGAAATCCCCACGTATCCCCACTTTCTCCACATTTGCCGCCCGCCCCCACTTCCACGCGAACTTCAAAATTTCAGGCAGTCACACGCCTCCCACCACCAACCATTCGACGTTTGCACTTTGATTTCCACCAGCAGCCGTGCAGAAACAGGTGAAGATGGAATTCGAGTCGGAGCCTACTTATCCGCGTACGGGACCCAGATGTTACAATTGCAATGAAATTGGACATCAGGTAAGAAAAACAAGAGGATGTGAGGATTTCTGGACGAAGAGACCTCGAGAAATGGAGAGAACGGAAAATTTTGACTAGGACACTTTTTTGAGGGAGTTTCAGGCAGATAAAAACGGAAAGGACGAACTGTGATGTCGAAACTTTGGTCAAAACGGTGTCTGTGCGCGCATTGAGAGGAATTTGGTTATAATTGTGCCGATTTCGGGGCTATTTTGAGCAACCTCGTGGTACCTAGGACTTGAGACCCTGGAGACCACGTTTTTAAGCTTATAAAAGCAATCAGGGTCAGTTGACAGGCGTTTGAGAGACTTTTCGGCTCTCCTCGAGAAAAATTGCCTGTGAACTGCTTACTGAATTTGTCTGTCTACCGATCTGTGGCTGTGGTTTTCAATAACTTTGCTCATGAACTCTTTGCTTCGTTTCTCCTTCCGTTCACCGTCTCTTTAGTCTTCCCAATTTCCCAAACACCCTTTTTCCAGACCAATCTTACTAACACCCATAGGCCCGCGAGTGCGTGAAGGGTTCTATTTGTTACAACTGCAATCAAACTGGCCACAAGGCCAATGAGTGCTCTGAACCTCAACGTGAAAAGGCTTGCTACAACTGTGGCACTGCTGGTCACCTTGTCCGTGACTGCCCCACGGCTCCTCCCAACCCTCGCGCTAACGCCGAGTGTTACAAGTGCGGTCGTGTCGGTCACATTGCTCGTGCCTGCCGTACTAGCGGTCCTGCTGCCGGTGGCCGTCCCGGCCGTTCTAACTTGAACTGCTACGCTTGTGGATCTTTCGGTCACCAAGCTCGCGACTGCACCCAAGGCGTCAAGTGTTACTCTTGCGGTAAGACTGGACATCGTAGCTTTGAGTGCGAGCAATCTGGCGGTGGACAGTTGTGCTACAAGTGCAACCAACCCGGCCACATTGCCGTGGACTGTGCTCAAGCTCCCATTGAGGCTTAAGTGTCTCTTTCTCTCTCTCGTGTTCTCAAATGCATGGTAGGCAAGCCTTTGTAAAGGGGTTTTGATGAACTTGCATTGAGCTGTGATCGAGTAACTGCCGTCGACTACCAGTCCCGGGGCATCTGCTTGTTGTATTCCTTCCCCCCTGCAGACAATCGCAGCAAAAAGCAACATTTGACGATGCTTGAACTGGCTGTTCTTGGTTGTTGTAGGTCAAAAGCTCGGTCTTAGGTTCGGCCTAATAGTAACCGTGCACCTTAAACTCTCCCTCTTCTCATACTACGCAACTTTCCGTTTCCCTCTTCGCTGTCGTCGACACACCCTATGTGCGCGATGTTGTTTTTCTACTTGGGAAATGTTTAATTTCGTGTTTCTTACTTACTGATGTTTGTGGTCTGTAAAGGAGTGTGATGTGTATGATGCAGCATATGCTTTTATGATTGTAATGGAATCGTAGCTGTCATTTTCGTGGTCGTAGTAGAAAGGGGGTTTTGGTATGTGCGAGCTGCACAGTTGAGAGGTGCCTGCTTGTTTGTGCGTACACTGGCGCATGATGCAGCCACTATTTTCCTGCCTTCTTCACCAAGTCGTACATGTAGTGAACGGTATCCAGATGCTTGCGAGTTTCCATTCGAAAAGCATTTTGTTGGTAACGGGCAATTTGAACGTGTTCAGAGAACCATGATGGTGTGCTTTGTCCCAGTCGTGTCAAGTAGCCGACGCCTAAACGATCGAGCATAGTGTCCATATTGAATCGCGATGCAGGCTCGTAGACGTCGATGATGGCTTCCAGACATGGGTTGCAAATGTTTACACCCACAGACCAACGGTAGAAAACACGGCTGTCTGCTCGTACAGACAGTATCCGTGGTGCCATCTGACACACATAGCAACGTCCAACAACGGACGAATAAAACATGAGGTAGGCGAGACATTCAGAAGTTGATGTTGACGACGATGAAAGCTGGTTTCTTTGGTCATGCTGTTGCTGATTGGCATTTTTATCGTCTGTCTCCAGCACGCATGGTTGCGTTGACTTTGCTGCAATCTCATGCTGTTTGGGGCTAGCATTGCGGGTACGTCGTTTGTGCAACAAAAGTGCCGGTTCTGAAATATGATGCTCGAATTCGGTGATGGACGAAGGAATTGGAGTCGTGTCGGCCACATCGAGCATACTCAAAGTGGCCACTCGGGCTCTCGGTGCCCGTGGAAAACGTTCTTGGTTGCTATCCAAGTGAGCACGGTAGATGTCTTCCCAAAACCGTTCGTTTGCCGGCGACAGCAGAGCTCGCAGCCGCCGACACGTCTGCGGCAGGGCTTCAAGTAAGGAATGACTTTTTTGACGATAGGTAAAGGCAAACATGGGTTCTGGCGTGTACTCGGCGTCATGACAATAGCGCAGGATGATTAACAAAAGCTCGTCCGGTAGATCCATCAAGGAGTGTCTCCGAGCAGGCGGTGGTGTAAACGACGAAGACACTACAGCAGTCGCAGCGGTCGAGTGTTCCGGAACGATTTTTGTCGACTCGTCGTCGTCTTCCTGTGCAATCTTCATAATACTGCAGTACTCGCAAAAGTCTTTGAACAGGGATTCACAGCCACGTTGTTCGCACTCGAATTGGAGCTGTGACAGTGCCGGCGAAGTGCTCAAACCTGATCGAACGTAGCAGCAGTCTTTGCTTCCAGCCAACGGACATCCGCCAATTGAGTCAGCAGCACAGCTGGATGCACAGGACTTGTAGTAGGCCTCCATACAGTTCGTCTGTTGTCTACGAATCCGACGCAGCGCCCGGAGGAGCATCAGGGCCCACAGGAATTCGTCCGGATTCGAGGGACGTCGAAAAGTTTCGCGAATTCGACGGCGGCTGCGAAAAATGCGTTCCCGCAGCTCGTCTTCAGGTGCATACACCGTCCGCGGAATCATTGTACACGCAAAATGTCACGTCTGCCTCTGCTGTTTTGAACCGTAGAGGATGTAGACTTACTAGAGTCTGGCCGGGTTTGATAAGATAAGATTTTGGCTCTGAGCCTAAATTCATCTTATCTCGTTATCTGATCGGAGCACGCAGTCGAGAGCCATCTGGCTCTGGACTACGTCGCACATGCGTCATTCGTGCCACTCGTGATCTTCCGAGAGCATATGATGTGTCTTGTGGGATGCGGGGGTGTGGGGGTGATGCAGGTGGGGAATGCATGGGGGTATCTCAACCCAGCTCTCTGGTGTGGGGGTGTGGGGCAGACAAGGCAGGCAGAATGCCAGGTAGGAAGGAGTGAGCGGAAGATGAAGAAGAGAAGGAGGAAAAAGAATGGGAGCATGGGGTGTGGAGCACGCGGACGCAGCACAGCAGCAGTGTGATGCGACACAATGTGTATGTGCGCCAGCAAATTGCACCCTCGGGTCCTTAGGCGCTCGCGTCCCACCCTGATTAAAACGTCAAGTTCTCATCGTCCTCGTCGAGCTCAAGACTCTTGAGACGAGCACGGACAAAGTCGGGCTGGGGAACGGTGGAAGAAGGGTCGACACCAACAGATTTTGGAGGCTGTTTCATGTGAAAGCTTTGGTTCTCGCCGGGCATGGAATCACCAAGACCTGCGGCGATGGAAGAAACATTGGCATCGGCAACAGGCTGCATGTCCACCTCAATGGCAGAGTCAGCGGGGATAGGATCCATAGCACCCTCGGTCGGCTGCTCAAAGCCCTCCTCGGTGGAGTAGAGGATGCGTTGGACTTGTTCCAGAAACACATCAATCTTCGCCGTATCGGGAGACTGTGATGTTGTCTGCATAAGGATCTCGATCTCACGGAGCTTGTTGAAGTAAAAGTCTCGTTCACGCTCAAGACCCAGCATGGTCTCGTTGGCTTCGAGCAGCTGCGACTCCAAGTTGGCGATCTGTTGCTGAGCCTGTTTGGCACGCAACGAAGCAGCAGACGGCACAGACGGTGCGTGGTGCGCAACAACCGAGGCGGAGGCCATTGTGGGCGTGCTGGAACCACTGCCAGACGATACGACACGGCGACGAGTGGATGTGGCAGCAGCTGTGTGACCAACGGCACTCACCGGGTTTCCCGAAATGGCAGGAGGCTCACGACCGCCTCTGCGTGCTATAGCATCGTATGTGCCTCCAGGATAGTACTGGTCCCAGAATTTTTTAGCCCACTGGACGAACTCCAAGTTGTCCTGCATCTTACAGCGTGACAGCCGTTCAGCATCGACCAATTTCTCAATTCCTTTTCGTAGAAACACCTGCTGCAGCACCTTCCAATTGTTTATGTACTGGTACTCGCTGTAGCAATTGAAATTGACCTTTTTTAATGGCGCGTCGCGAAAAATAGAGTCGAATATCTGAATCATCGCGTAACCCTTGCCGCAATCCTCGATTCTTCGCAAATTCAGCTTTGTTACCTAGAAAACGTTAGCGAGAGAAGAAAATGTCCGCGTTACATCGTTGATCCACGCCAAAAGTTCCTGCCTCGACTCGGTCATGATGTTGGTTCTGGGTGCGAGCAACAGCGAGGAGCAGCGAAGCTGCATTGAGGTTTAGTGAGCGCCAACGCGGTGCAGTGTAATCTGTAGCGCGTTACGGTGAGCAGAATAGCGAGCGCTAGAGCGTCCTAATGCAACACTCTACATTGTGTTAAGTCGAAAAGTGCTGCTCGCTGGAGTGCACTTTTTACTTATACGGCAGTGCTGTGTGTGGCAGCGCACACGCTTTGCGTCTCCCTGCCCCCCGCTATATTCGCCGCAGAGGTGTAGGGTAGGGTAAGCCCACTCTCCCCCCACCCTCCATCTCTCTGTTACCAAGACAACCAAAAAAGACAGTCACAAGGCAGAAAATGGACGAGCGAAACACCTGTCTTCCACACAACAGCAAATGTCTGCTCTCAACAAGATTGTCAAGCGTTCGAGCTCCAAGCCCTCCGAAACCGACCTCCTTGTTGCCCAATGTCTTTACGACTTGGAGACCTCTTCCAAGGACTTGGCTAAGGAGCTCCGTCCTCTCCAATTCACCTCTGCCCGTGAGGTCGAAGTTGGCAGCGGAAAGAAGGCAATCGTTGTTTTTGTGCCCCAACCTCTTCTCAAGGCCTTCCACAAGGTTCAAGCCCGCCTCACCCGTGAGCTCGAGAAGAAGTTTGCTGAGCGTCATGTCATCTTCATTGCTCAGCGCCGTATCTTGCCCAAGCCTTCCCGTCACTCTCGTGTCACCCAAAAGCGTCCTCGCTCTCGCACTTTGACCGCTGTCCACGACTCTATTCTCGAGGACATCGTTTTCCCCACTGTGATTGTCGGCAAGCGCACTCGTCAAACCACTGACGGTAAGAAGACCATCAAGGTTTTCCTTGACAACAAGGATGCCAACACTGTTGACTACAAGTTGGGTTCCTTCACTGCCATCTACCACAAGCTCACTGGTAAGAACGTTTCCTTTGAGTTCCCCGTTACCGCTGGTGAGGGCTTGTAAGCAGTGTGAATGCTTCTGCCAGCACGTTGTGTAGCGAGAACTTTTTCCTGTCGAAAGCAGGAGGGATTGTAGATTCGTGCTAGCGAATGAATGGTTTTCAGGGCACAATTGCCATCAATGGTGAGCTGAAGCTTGACATATATTATTGAGGGAGAGAAGGGGGAGGAGAGAGTTGGTAGGGTATGGTAGTGAGGGTAAGGTAGTGCATTGGTTTATTGGAAGTAGGAAGCGGTTTAGACGTTTTGTTGGAGGAGAAGGAGAAGGTTGCAGTGGTTTTTGCGTTGTTACTGAGTTGTTTTTGAATTGTTTGGTTTTGTTTGATTTTTTTTTTCTTAATTACTATTTTTTAATTTTTATTTTATTGTTTGATTTTTTTCATTTTTTTTCATTTTTTTTTATTATTCTTTATTATTCTTTATTTATTAATTTTTATTCTTTTATTATTTTTTTTTTAATCTTTATTATTCTTCTTTTTCTTTCTATTATTGTTCTTTATTTATTCTTTTTTATTTTCTTTTTTTTCTTCTATTTTTTTCTTCTATTTTTCTCTTTATTATTTCCATTTCTCCCTTCTCTTCTTCTTTTATTATTTCCATTATCACATTTTCCGAGATTATTCCCTCTTTCCCCGTCTCTACGCCTGTTCCGTCCATCCTTCACGTCTCCCCTCTTTTCATATTTAATAAAAACATTCATTATATTTCATTTCCTCAGTCGTCCTCAGCAGAAGACCAAAACAGACCTTCAAACTCGCACACTTTAATCATCAGGCTGTGAGTAAGCTCCGTGCTGGGCAGTTCCTGGCATCGGTACGCCAATTCCTCGACATACTTGTAGAAGGGACGGCCTCCCCAGTAGTTGACAAATTCGAGCTCCTTGTTGTATGTCTTCTGGAAAATCGGTGATGCAGCTGCTGTAGCAAAGGAACGATGGTAGATGGCTTCTCCAAGCCAAACCATATACAGCAAGTCGGCCGTTCTGAGATTGGGAATATCAAACACTTCCTTGGTGATGAACTGAACGTACCGACGACACTTGGGCGAGGAGAGTTTGTAGTACTGAGTGGGATCCGTTTGTGCCATTGCCTCGGGTGTAGGCTCTATAGGAGGCAGTTTGGGCATTTTCACGCCGTGCTGTTTGCACATATTATCAAACCGCTTCAGCTCCGGGATCAGAGCCATGTAACAGGTGTGAAGCACGGTCAAGGCACCCTGGTTAATCTCAGGGTCTTGCTTTGCCCGCACGTAAATCTTGGCACAGTGGTAAGCTCCAGCATGCACAAACAGCCGGTCGTCAAAAAGCCATTTGTCAAAATTTTCTACGGGGAGCTTTCCTTGCGCGAGCCGACGAATGAAGGAGCACTTGTTCGAAGATGCTTCGACAAGAGGTGCAATCTTGAAACGCTTATACAGCTCTACCGAGTAGGCGTCCATACTACAGCTACGGATTTACAGGAAAAAAAACAAAAAAAAAAAACAAAAAAAGGTAAAGATGTGTCCGTCTGTCGCTCCTATTAAATACTATTTTGAGTGAGTGTAACGGCAGCAGAGGACCGTTGCAGAGAAACGTTTGCAGGGTGCCGTTACAGACTGCCGGGAATTATACCCGGACAAGATTCGTCAAGCGATCATGAGCTCGATTGAAGGCGAGCGCTTGTGAAGATTAGAAAACAATGCACAATTCTGACTGGATGGGTCTAGGCGACAGTGCAAGCTTAACTTGTGGTTCGTTTATATATAAGGCAATGATCATAGACGAGAAATTGAGTGGGCCCAAGTGATACAAGAAAAGCTCGGTAGCCGCATTTCGCCCTTGTTCACTAGCAATTGGTTTTCATTTCAGGTTCCATTACAACTAACCTGCTGTCTATAAAAACCATCCAGTAAATGACTTTATGAGTAGGTCCTCTTCATTCATACAAGACCATATGACACATAATGAGAAACGACCTTGTCGTGAACTACAGAATACAGAAAAAGAAAAACAATAAAGATAAAAGATTTCATATGTACATGTATGTGTGAGTGTGTCAATATACCCAAAAATAAAACGAATGAAATAAACCTTTATAACTGTTAGAGCCGTAAGGGCAGAGAGTATACTGTATACTGTATTCGAATTGAAATTAGTGTTACAATGTGATATCCTAATACGCAAATCGTACTGAGTGTAGTTACTATGATACTTGCAAGCAAATTACATGGAGAATTACGGCTACGACCCATGCATACTTTTTACTATTACGTTCTCAGACAAATCCCCTAGACGGGTCTCTTTCTTGTATTCCTCTTCACTGTGTTCTTCTGAGTTACTCAATTCAACAATTCTTTCACTAACTGTTTCCTCCTATTCAACACTCTTATTCTCACAGTTTTCATTAGAAACACCAATTGATCCCTGCTACATACTTCTTTTATCTTCCTTTGTCATGTTGCAAAATGTTTAATGCTGGTTGACCACGCACTCTCACTTCCTCTTTACAAAGTCAACGTTCTCTAAATTATGAGTTAATTGAAATCTAAAAGGCGGTTTCATACAATCTGAACTGTTTCACACCTAATTCAAGGAACTGCCTTTAAAGAAAAAACATCGCTCGTGACTACATTGTGCTTTTTTTTGAATTGTCTATAATCTTGAAGGGAATTGCAGCAAAGACTGGAAACCCTGTTTTGGAGCGTGTTCATTGACACGACTGACATTATTTCTTCTTTTTGAGCATTTTTTCTTTACTGCTTACGTTCTGAATCTCTCATATTTTCGTTGGAGACACAATTTGCCGCAGAAAACTACTTTTTTTTGTTTTATACGTTTCATACGTTTCATACGTGCTCTTTCCTTCACAAAACAACATATATTCTTGCATTTCGTAACACTATACATCCCCCTCTCTGTTTTTTCGCCGTCCTATCCGGGTTAATATTCGTTCTGCTGTCATGGATGACCTTTTTGGAACGCTTGATAATGAATCGGCCGTACTTGAAGACGCAAAAGTCATACCAAGACGCCGCAGAGTCACTCGTGCGTGTGATTCCTGCCGCAAAAAGAAAATCAAATGCGACGGTACACGACCTTGCCGGAACTGCAAGTACTCGAATACTGAATGCACTTTTCAGTTTCCTTCCAGCAGAAAATCTCTGTTTTCCTTAGAGTACCTGGAAAAACTGGAATCAAGGGTTCGGTATTTGGAACGGCTACTGAAAGAACACACGGACGTAAATCTTTCGAAAGATGCTCCCAACTTTCTAGCTTTCATACGACAACACGACTTTGCAGAAACATGTGAGCTGGAATCAGATAAATACAAAGAGACTGCGCGTTTTGTCCCGCTGTCAAGTTCTGGTGATTGGTTCCATCACCCAGATTCTAATAATCGATACTACAGAGGCGGTTCTTCAACGGAGCTGTTCCTCCGCACACTTTTTGCCGAGCTTCCCAACGGTTGGCGTGTCACTGATCCCAGCTCCTTCTATGCTTTCATCTGTAATGATATGTATATCGATGTTAGCGACATGCAAGCTCAGTTTTACGTTCGTTGTCCCAGAATAAGCCCCGGCTTCCAATTATTAAGTGTTAATGTTCGCGATCTTGACTTGCCTTCTCTCGAGGAAACGCTTCATTATTCTGCAATTGCTATGAATACGGCCAATAGCACTGCGTGCTATGTGAGTTGCTCTGCCTTTGAACGGAAGGTTCATCAACTGTATGCTGGTGAATACGACCGTGCGTTCCTGCCTTTACTTGCCGCTGTGCTCTGTTTAGGATATTACGACGCACACGAACACGATCCACAAAATCAACGACTTCAGCAGGAGGCCCAACGGTACTCATACATTGCCGAACGTTTGGTGAATCCTATCGACGTGTGTACTATTGAAACTGTGCAAGTTTTGTTGTTTCAGTCCATGTACCGCTACAGCCGTTCGGAAGTAAGTGCTTGCTGGATGTACCTGAAGAATGCTCTTAGCTGCTCCCTTCGCCTTGGAATTCATCGAAACTTGGTTGAAGGGCTTTCGCTTAAGGAAATTGAAATGCGGAGGCGCGTCTTTTGGGCTCTCTACTGTTACGACAGACATATTTGCACCATCATGGGTTTCCCTCTGGGCATTTCTGATGAGGACATAGACCAAGTGCTTCCCGACTATTCTACCTCTGACAATCTCGCTGATGTTAATGGCAATATAACCAAGGACAAGCATTCCCAAGATTTCTACACCAACGGCATTCAATTATACAAAATTGCTAGCCTTATTTTACGAGAAGTGTATTCTCCCACAAGACGGCGCGCTAATAACGGTTCTATTTCCTGCACGGCGATATCTGAAATTGAAAAGAAAATGGATCAGTTTTTCAACAATCTTCCCCGTCATTTACAGGAAAAGGCTAACGATGTTTATTACGAAAAGTGCAACAGACTCATGTACGGCCTGCAAACCGTCTACTATTCCTACCGAATCTTACTGTACCGGCCGCTACTGCATTATCTAAATTTCCACAGTGAAGCAATGCGTTCGTTAAAGCGATTCGAAAAACAAACTGCTTTCAATTACGCGTGCAAATGCGTGGATGCCGCAGTAGTCGCTGTACAGAATTTGACCTTCCTCGTAAAAGAGGCGAGTAAGACGTACGATCGGCATTACTGGACCGCCTTTTTCAACGGGTACAATGCAATTGTAACCCTGATTTATGCTGCTGTTATCACGAGAAACGAAAATATGCTTGTATATATTCGACAAGGCCGTGAAACGCTAAGCCGGACATCGCGAGATTGGCTCAACAAAAACACCATCTCGTTGCTGGACAAAATGATTGAGAGTTTGGAAACAGTGCTCTCCAAGAAGCGATCTAAGCACAAGAAACTACTACCTGTCCAAACCGTAACCGACATCAAACCGCCCAACACACAGTACACCGAAAGCATTCTTTCCGACGGCAGTGGCAGCGGTAGTGGTTCTCTTAGCGATCCCAGCCCAATTGACACTGGTATGCTGCCGAGTATGCTCAAATACCACGAGCAAGTCATTACCGTTCATCATCCTTCCTTCTACACAACCAGGAACAAACTAACGCCTTGTGAAAATGCTAATCTTTCACCCTTGGAGACTGCTCTTCCACCCTTCACTACTCCGTATCCTAAAGCTCCCGATAATTCAGGGTCTTGGGGAGAATAGTTAATGAACCATTCCAATAAAAAAAACACAGTTTGCAGCAAGCGCCGGATACTGTAGTGTATTATATTCAAGGTCATTAGTAAGACAATGGGGAATAAGCATCCTAGTTTTGAAAGGTTCATGAAAGTAAGTTGAAAAGATTAACAGGATGAAACTGATGTTTATACTTCATCAATGTCATCAATTAGCGAGTCTTCGGTTCTGTGATAAAAGCCAAGATTATTTCTCGCTCTCCATCTCTTAAAAGGAAGGATAGCAGAAATAAAAGTACACAAACTTGCTACAATGGCAATGCTCATGTCCTATAGAAATGAAAATGTTAGCAAAAAAAACGTGCACCAGTATCGCTGTAGCACAGCGAAATCGTACCTTAACGAAGCTAAAGATGGAATACCACATGTCGAAGTTTGGAATCTGTTGCAAACCAGTCGCACGCATCACAACACGCTGGTACACACAGCCTCCGACTAAATAAGCAACAAGACCAATACACGTCAATACGCCAAAGACACCAAACGGTCCCATTGAAGAATCCTTTCTGCCTGTGGGACAGGCAATCATAGTCTTCCACTCGAAGAAGTAAGCACATTCGTTCAGGTTGCCAATGTACGAAATACCAGACTGCGTGTAAGGGTCACGATTACAGGTAAAGCTGAGCAATGCACTCTTGCGAATCGTACGTGAACCGGGGCACAGAGAACCATTGTTGAATTGCATTACCAACTTGCGACCGCGAAACACTGGCTTCTCGCGGACACTTCCCAAAGAGTAAAGGTTTTCTTCCCTGTCAATGTAGTATGCGCCAATATTGCTGGCAGGAATGTTACCGACAATTGTGAAATTTGAAACGTCATTCACAATAGTGTTACAGAGGTTCATGGAGAAGTTGTATCCATAGTCAAAGCCATTGATATTGTAGTCACCTTTTTCGGACACGTTCGTGCGTTCCAGATCGTGAAGACTGTAGAATTCACCGGTAACAGGATGATGAAGCGAACAGATGTCGTTGTCTTCTGCGTCCTTGTTTGTCTTTCGGCCCATCAGACAATGATCGCCCATAGCCACACTCATGCGCAGTGAAAGGAATAACGTAACAAGGAACCAAGGAACGAGACGAGACCTCATTGTAACGATTCAAGAAGGAGAAAGAGTTGAAGTGCACTTTATGGAGAGCAAGAGCTGGAGAAAAGAAGAAAATTACGAAAGAGAAAAAGACGAAGGAAAACGAAAACAAAAAAAAAAGAAATTTACAGATAAAGTAACGTAGTAACGTAGTATGGTGAACACAAACAATGAGATGACCCTTAAAACTCGAAAAGGAAGCTAAATTCAAGGGAATTCTCCGGGGTTCTACAGAATTAAGCAGTAATTGCTTCTTGTGCGCAGAGTAAGAATTTTGCGCTCCGTCAACGGTAAATGGAAATGGGGTTTTAGCTGGGTCGGATCCTTCTGACCGAGAGCAAATTCACTCTTTTAAAGTAAAGCGCGATGCGAACTTTTGGTGGAGCATTTTAAGAGAATTTAGCGAATTTTAGCGATGCAAATATCTGATAAGATTAAGTAAATAAGCATTAGATTAGGTTTTAAATAAGAACACTACCCTGTACCTCACTAAAATTGATGTTAAGCACCCCAAGGTGGTGCAACGACAGAATGACAGTGACAGAAAAACGAGCGGAGGAGACACTAGGCAGCGGATGCGTTTAGGGAAGAGATTCGGCAGACAGAGAACGCACTGTCGCCGTATTCGCTGACGACTAACTCTAAGACACTACAATTCTACTCCTTAGCAATTGCTCGGTTTGCACGGAATATGCTGCTGAAGAATAGCACTTCTCATTTTTTGCAACGGGCTGACATGAAACTAGGAATAAAATGTGGTTGCAGGGAGGAAAGGGACAAGACGAAACTAGAATAAGAGGGACATGGTGCATAGCATCATAGAGTTACATCGCATATTCCGCTAGATAGTCACACTAACGAGAAAACGAACATAGGGTACGGACTGTCACTACAGCCATAAAACATAAAGCAGAGGGCAAACGAACAACAGCGAACCACACGTAGAAGAGCACTAGGTTGAAAAAGCCCGCATAGCCACGCATTCAATTCAACAAGAACTGTGATCCAAATGTTGCTAGTCGCTATCGTTGTTCAGAACGTAGTCGCGGTCGTCATCTAGTACTTCTTTCCGAACAAGACGAGCTGGACACGGTCATAGATGGACAGGACACCAGCACCGGCGACACTACGGAGAATGTTGGCACCAGCACCCTTGAACAACGAGCGAGCACCCTCCTTTTGAATGATAGACTTGAAGCAAGCAGCAGAAGAAGAATACTTGACAGCCTCGCCAGAAGTCATCATCATACGACGACGAACAGTGTCGAGAGGGTATGAAGCGATACCAGAACCGATAGTAACAAGCCAACCAAGCAAGAACGAAGCAGCCAAGTTGCCCTCCAAAGGACCGACAAGAACAACAGGCTTGAGGGAATCATACATACCAAAGTAAAGACCACGGTACACAATGATACCCAGTACAGAAGGACCAAAACCACGGTACAAGCCACGAAGACCATCGGAGGCCAAAGTCTTACGGTACACGTCGGCCAGACCACGGAATTGACGCTCACCGCCTCCCTTAACTGCAGACTTGGCATCATTGGCAAGACGAGTACGGGCGTAATCCAAACTGTACACAAACAGCAGGGAAGCAGCACCAGCGGCAGCACCAGAAGCCAAGTTGCCCATCAACCACTTGGCGTAGCCATCTTGCTCCTTTTTGTAACCAAACATTCTCTTGAACTTGTCCTTGAACGCAAAGTTAAGAGCTTGGGTTGGGAAATAACGGAGAACATTCGCCGTGTTTCCTCTCCAGAGAGAAACAACGCCCTCATCGGCCATTGTACGTTTGAAACAATCAGCAATGCCAGCATAGCGATGAGACAGACGGCCGGCACGAATCATTTCATCTTGGTTTTGAATAAGAAGCTTAACACGCTCGATGGGAGCAGCAGCAGTCTTAGAAACAGCTGCAGAGACACCACCCATCAAGAAATCGATCATGAAGCTCGATTTCTTCTTCTCGCCAACTTCATTGGGACTAACGGAAACAGAAGCCATTGCTATTTTTAGTGTGTGTGTGTGTGTTTTGGTTAAAGATAAGAAAAGACAGTTTTTCTAGCGGAATGAGTGTTGTTCAATTTCTTTTTTGTTAGAAACGTTCACAAAACGTCAAAAATGTCTCAATTTGAACCGCTCAAAGACGAAACAATGCTACTTGACAAGGATGCAATTAAAGAAGGCCGTCCGAATTGCTTTTTTGCGGTTTGGAAAGCACAATCAAATTACTTTTGGGGTTAGAGTATGTGTGTAGGTGAAACGCTCTGGGTAAAATACCGCCGATTACTACCGTAATGTCTTGTGCCCCGCACTTTTATGCCATTGAAGCAGTCACGCATGGTCGGTAAACCGACCAAAAAATGATGTCACGCGACGATTAAGGTTATTACGCGTCTGGAGCTACAAGGGTGCTCGTCCGGAATACGGGCCCCACAGAGGCTAAGACAAGTTCTGTCGACAAAAACACACTTCTCATGGGAAGATTTACGCGAATAAGGCGATAAAACGTGTCCCATGGCTCCGTTGATGCGAAAATTACTAAGTTGGCGGGAGATTTGGTCATATCAGAGGTGTGTAGATAATCTCTACACTGTAGTCGCAAACAGTCGGGTCAGATGACGCCATATCGTTTCCTGATTGCTCGGAAAATAAGCGCAAACCTTATTTTCTCAAACAAGCCGAAGAACGCGTCGCGTAGTGCAAATGAAATTGCATTTAGCGCGACGCGTTTGTTTACACAACACTGTTCAGATGCAAAAGTCAAGACAAAATAAATGGAAATAAACTTTCTTCAAAACCGGTTAACAATACAAAATAAAACATCTCTATATACAAATAACAAATAAGTGAAACAGGAAAAAAAGAAAAAAAAAAACAGAAGCGTAAATGTCGGAGGACGGCTTTTACCGTAGGGAAGTAAGTATGTGTGAGTGTATACAGATGTGTGTCTGTGTGTGCGTATGCGAAGGAGATAATACCTGACGAAAGGGCAAATATAGCTCAGCGAGGATATGGTGAGAAAGGTAAAGTGTTTATCACAGCAGAAAACAAACAGCATCATACACAGGAATTAACTAGAGAACGGAAGTTAGTGAAGCAAGACCGTACACGGCTGAGGGTCTAATTAAACACCCATATACACAATTAATGACTTCCAAGAGTTTCTGAGACAGCGGAGAACACAATGAGATGTATATGGTACTTTCATCGACTAAATAGTGATGCTTGCAATTAACGGATTGGCCAAAAGGGAGGAACAGACATGGGACAGCAAAAACGCAGAATAATTGTGCTTTGTAAAAGAATGCAAGGAACAAGAGTTCAAAATGATTGAATGCGCACACCGTAACAGCCAGCTGCAAACGGCGCACGATGATACGTCCCCATTCCTAACGCAGATACACGGTGCAACAAGCACAACGATTCTTACGTAAACGTAAAGTTAAAAGCGTTAAGAAAAGTACCCGCCACCTTCGATGAAGAGGAGGTGCCGTTCAAGAGATATCGCCTGAGCTGCTTCCTCCTCAGAGGGTTGTAATTGAGGTAGTGCATTCAATGACTGTGTTTCTGTCATGGGCAGAAACCAGCAACACAAGGATGTGGAAAGCTTCACATTCTCATCAAGAGAAAACGGATAAGCTTCCACGGATTTCAGAGTCGGGTCAGCAGTTAAACCAGCTGGCAATTGAGCACTGTTATTAGGTTTCATATACGACATCGACGCAGGCATAGCTGGTCCATTCATTGTACTTGGCTCCAAGGCCGGAGCCGCGTTATGAATAGAATGACTTTGTTGTAGGGGCGACTCTGAGGAAAGCGACGGCGATGCATCCTTCAACTGCGAAGCAGGCGTTGGATCCGCCGGCGGCGTAATAAGAGTATTCATACGGAATGCTTGTTGTTGCTGATGTTTCAAAGAGTGCGTATTCTGTTCCAATGCAGGCAATGCAATTGGATTCGAAATAAGCCCTTGAGTCAACATTCCACCATTCATCATGGGTAACCAGGTTGGAGAGGAAAAAGGTGATTGAGTAGTCATTGGATCAGTGAGTGACCCTCTTCTGGAGAGAAGAGCAGGGGCAGGAATGGTATTGATGCCTGGTATAACGGGCAGATGCGAAGCCGAATTCAATGGAGCCATGGTAAGCGTAGGTTGCATGGAGTGAGAAAGCACATACACCTTCAGCGCGTAATAAGCATCATAAAAGGAAGCCAGGTTTGGCCAATAAGCCTTCATTACGGACAAGAAGTGAGACAGTGTTGAGAGCCTTTGTCTGGATGGAGCGGACAGTAACGTGCCGTCTTCCATGTGAAAGAGAACGACAAGAGATGCCATAAAGGAACTAGTCGTCAAAAAGGGTGCAGTCAAATGAATAGATAGGTCGTAGCAGTCGCGAATAATGTGAATAATGCCATTTGCACAACGCACAGCCAAGCGAAGAGATTCGTGGATGAATTGGCCCGGGGGAGGTCTCGATAACCGAGCGGTACGACGAAATACGGAATACAGATGAATGTACAGCAAGCTCTGCAGATAGCAGATGTGCATGTACGCAAATGGACCTCCTTGTTTGATCATATGATACGAAAGAAGGCTCTGGCGTGAGTAATGAAGACGAGAAGGCAACATTCGTGCCCACTCATACACGCTTTCGTCCAACTTGGCAAATTCACTTTTTGAGTGCCAAAACGGAGGTACATCATGCGGCTTGTGCTTCTTGTACGACTTTAAAAACCTAACAATTTTCCCCCAAATAGAAGTGATACGGACAGTAAAAGCCACAAGTCCCATATTGTTGCGCGGATTTTGATGCGAGTGTGAAGAATGTGAGTGATGATGATGATGAGTTTCCCCGTCAAGCGTCTCTGTAATGGCAATTTTTTCTTCCTGAAAAATTGTCTCCCGTGTCGGCAGCGGAACCTTGATATCCTGTGAATCAAGGAACTGCGTTTTACAGTACAATGAATTAAACCGGTCAACCATGAAGCAATTCCAGAATACGCGATGGGCTAGCTGGCAACTGAGCGCTTCAGACATAGGATGCTCTGCTGAATCGTAGTATGCCAATTGCTTTGAGCAGTTTGGAGCGAGTGCAACGACCATGCGAATGGCCATTCCTCCATGTATCCAAAACTTGGACGATCCGATATAGACAAGCGAGAGCAGTAGGAACACCGCCACATACACTAAATCCAATCGTTCAAAGCTATTCATAGCAATCTTTGAAACATTCTCAATACACTGTTCAATGAAAGCGTGTCTGTTCGGAATTGACAATTCAACATCCTCTGCAAAGCGAGCAGCAACACCACAGACAGCCAACATCAACACAGGCGGCATAGACTCGTCCTGGAGATATTGCATAAACGTTTCCCGGTGAAACAAGATAAAAGGCTGCCCATGACAGTATGTGAAAAAGACTTTTGCAAGCCTAACTTGCACATCTAAAGGGGGCAAAAGGTCTGCCCCTTCTGTCCACATGGGGCCGCCTGGAAGACGGTGAGGTGCAGTGTAGCTGGGATGTAGCTCAGAAGAGATCCTTTTCTCTGACAGAGACAGAGATTGCAGTGTAGAACTCGAAAACGTTGGCGAAATCATCTCAGGAGACGACGAAAATGCAGCTGTATTAGATCGCGTTTCATGCTCAAAGGATTCCCTAGGAGAAATTGAAGAAACTGACGCGGAGACAGAAGAACGCCGTCCGCTACTCGACGGTGGACTCGATGGGCTAGCCGCAAGAGCAGCAGTAGTTTTCTCCATCATAAACAACCTTTGTTCCTCTGATTGAATTGAGTTTCTACGGGCCGGATACAGGCAAGAGAGCTTATTCTTTTGGCAATTCGCACACTGTAAAGGTTAGCAAGTAGTTAACCAAATGATGATAACCAAAAAACCATTCACATGGATGTGATCGTTTAAGGACCGTCTGAGAAACATACACTAGGAATGCTCCCGGAGCATCGAATCTTTCGCTTTCTACATGTTGCACACGCAGCAGCAAGCCGTTTTCGAATACGACCAGTCTAAAGGCACGGTGTTAGTAATAATCGCTTGACAATGGCTGGTTCACGTATGTTGCAAGCACACACACATAGACATACCTTCGTACGAGAAGTCGCAGACAAGGCTTCTTCAACAGACACGGAGTCCGGAGCATCTGACATATCGGAAGAACCGTTGGAAACGCGTCTTAAAGACACGAGAGGGCTTTGACAAAAATCCAATGCGAACAAATTATAAGAAAACAAGGAATAAGAGAAGTAAAACAAACAAAACAGGGAAAAAGAGACAATTCAACGCTTTCTAGCACTAAAACTTTTTTTCCTAATCTGTTTTAATCAGAAACACCGCCAGTACAGCTCACAGGACGTTTTAAAGCGCTTCCCGCTTTTTTTTTTTTCGACGACTCTGGACAAACTAACGGATCCGGGTATTAAACGCGTCCAAATCAATTTAAACCGACGTATAAAGTGTCTCCCTAAACGTATATCGAATGCTCGCAAAAACCTTACTCTAAAGCAATGTTTCGACATGAAAACCCGCAGGAAAAGTTCTATGCAAACCGAAGACTAAAACGCGAGTAAACGAGGAGAATATTAACACCGAGGACTATGCGCCAACTGATGTTCCGAACTTGGAGAAAGAGACGTGTGAACTGCCGTGAAGCAGAGCTTTAATCCTCCGTCAGCAGTTTCATCATCTCGACTGGCGTTGGACGTGCAGGCTATACGTTGACATAACACCAGCTCGGCAGTGTCTTTCGGCAAATACGTGGTCGTTGGTTTTGCCGACAACCGGTCGGTAGATTAATTCCGGAGTCTAAGGCTTAGTGAAGGTGCAGTTTCAGACATAATACACGTGTCGTCATTGTTCCCCACCTTTCGCGTCTAGCTTCGTGGGTTTTTGAAAGTCCATTGACGACAGCAGCATGTCCCTGCTACCTCGTGTAACATGTTTTTCAGGGTGACCTCCTCTAACCGACACAGCCTAGAACCCACGCTTAGAGGCAAGTCTCTTGATTTAGGCTTCCCAGTCTCAACAGGGGTGTCTCCACACAAGCAGACGTCATCACCGGCAATTAACGGAAACCCTCATAGCCGAACCGACCAACGAATTATCACAATATGCTTCTCTTCAAGCTTCGTCAGTATGACGTGTACACAAAAAGGCCGCAGTGTGATTGGACAATACAGATAAGCACATGGGAATCCGGGAACAAATGCCGAAAATCTCTTCGGTGCACGCCGGTGATTGGACAATAACGGTGGTGTGGGAAAAATCTCGGTACTTAGAATGACGCCCTCTGTTAGCCGAGAAACATTCCGTGGAGATACAATGACTAAAATACGGGAGACCGGCGAACCCCGCACTTCCGAATTTCTGATTGCACGTGTAAACGCCTTTCTGAACTTTATTTGTTTTGACACCGTAGAGCATACTTTGCTATCAGATAGGAAAATGCCGTTGAGGCGCGTAGCTTGATTAGGCTGTCGGGAAACGAAGTGAATGGAATTGAGACAGGTAATTCGAAGCAGGAAAAATTGTGGATGGTATTTGCTGAACAGTCTGCGACACACGAGTGTTGCTCGGCATTATTTACTGATATTCATCTGATAAGCTTATTTCCGAAATTAAGATCTAAACGAGCCCCAAAGATATTACTGGCGAAAACTCAAAATTCTTGCAACGCCTACGGGCAATCGCGAGAAAATAGTCATTAGGCACGAAGAGCAAATTACATATCAACGAAACACATAAGAAAATATTTTCCTGCGATTTACCGGGAATCATTCCATAGGATTTCGGTAATATGAAACTTGTCCAGGCCCTTTTTGTGACATGATGTTATCATTACGACACACAATTCAGCAATTAATAATGCTAATTCGATTTTAGTTTTCGCATGGTTTTGCAATTGGTGGGTTTTTCGCTTATGAAATTAACATCATGCCCCGCGAAACGATATTCGGGGAGACTAGGGTCTAATTGTTTCTTCAACTAATATGAATGACGGAAAATAAAATAGCGTCTCTCTCGCTGAAAACAACTCAAGTTGATATGATATTATAACAGCAACTGCAATATCAGTACTGCGTTCATCCGATTATAGCGCTGCAAAAAGGGTCACTTAACGTCGCGTTTGTCGCGTCGATCACGTTAACGATTTTCAACGTAATGCTCCTACAGCTAACAGGCACTTACTTACATTTTCCCAGTGACACACTCAGGCCGAAGCAATTAGCGTAATGAGTCGCGTTAAATGAATATTGAAAAGCAGTCCGGACGCGATGAGATGTATTTCGTTCTAATGTGGATGAAACTGTGTTTCAACCAGGGATTCTTTCGTCTAGATTCGTCCTTTTAACAAGCAGGCAAAACGGTAACGACAGTCAGTTTAAGTGACGAGTTGTGTTTTTACTACTCATAATCTGCTGAAGCTAAAGAGAGGGAAGCCTCATTGACAAATGCCAAGTGAAGGGACGATCGCTAGTGGGATTTTCTCTTGTTTTTCGTATTCTCTATCGACACTATGTCAGCTTTGTCAAAGAACAGGTTCACATTTGATGTTTTGAAGCAATTGCCCTTTGAATGTGATAGTCGATTAGAACAGTTGTCGAAGCTTGACTTTATTTTGTCGAAACTGTACATTGCTCTTACTGCCTGTAATTGGGTGCACATTCTCAAATGGGACAATGAACTGGATAAATGGCTTCAATTGGGGTATAGACTGCCTAGAAAGACGCACACGACACTCGTGAGCATTTACTATGAGTTAGCAATGTCTATGAACCTCACACAATTGGTTGACAAACACGCAAGTGCACGCTTTCGACAGCTATTAGACCTTCCTTCATGCCCGGACGAAAGCTGTCAAGGCAATGTTTGTACTCATTGCATTGACAAGCGTTATCTTACAGTAGCTGATCTGCAACTGGATTGGCGTTTGGCTTTTGCTTTACTAAAGAAGTACTTCTATCCAAATCAACACTACCAATCACCCGTTCTTCCACGATTTACTTGTGATGCTGAGTTGATTCGTGCTGCAAATGCATTCTTCCCAGCGGAAGAAACAGAAAACGTACTTAACGAAGTGTTGCCTCTGTTTTCATTATCTCATTGTGAAGATGCATATATCGCTATTGGGATGCTTTCTTTGTTAGTTCCTGCTTCACCTTCTTCATCAGATGACTTTGACTTAAATCCACAGACGTGGCTCCCTACAATATTCCATCTTTACAATATGCTAAAGAAGGGGGATGTCTGTGGCACGTTGCTGTTCGATATGTTTTCTCGTCTTGCCGTTGGTGGTCTCAGCGACAAATACAAATATCAGTTTTCTGAGTATGGTGTATTTACACAAAAGCAAGCACGGACTTTGTTTCATTATGGTCTTCAACTGTTGCATCTGAGCGTACGTAATGGGTTGTCCTTCACTGAAAATACGCAGAGCTTTGCGATGGAAGTTGCATTTGATGCTCGGGGCGCCACAGTAGTTTCCCATCTTGCCCGATGGATTGTGTGCTCATTGAGCGTAAAATGTGAGGAAGCCGAGGATAGCATTCTTACTTTGCTTGACGAATTATTTTCCTTGATTTCACAGTACTTTTATCCTTCAGTTGATGGATCGAATAATGTCTACCTATATCAATTTCTTCAAGAGTTGGCATATTGTTTTCTTGAACGTTGGACCTATGAAAACGATGAGAAGGTTTCCATTCCAAAGGAGAGGCGATTGACGAAATTCACAAAAGAAAAATTTGTTGGGATATTGAAACCATCTATGCTTTACGCTATCTATTCAAGTGCTCCTTATTTATCTGAGATGGCTCAGGGTGCTCTCCGTGCTCTCTCCATTCTTGAACCGGATGTCATTGTGCCATGCATGTTGAAAAGAATATATCCCGCACTACAATCATCACTTGAAACACATCAAACATTAATTTCACTTGAATCTCTCATCACGCTTGCCCCAATTATCGCCGAGTCGAAGAGGTATCGTCCTCATATTATATCATTGATGGAACTCCAGCTTCCGGGAATTGACCCAAATGATTCTCAAAAAACAAGATTGGTCTTACACTTCGTGGCTGTCATTGCTCAGTGTGTCTCGTTTTGTAAAATTGATGAGAATGTAGATCGTAATATCTTCCTTCAATGGCTTCAAATGGAGATCAGAAACCTGGACCATACAGATTACGACAACCTCACATCCAAAGGTGATGAGACTGTTATTGACTACGACGAAATTATGAGTAGTGCAATGAACAGCTTTCCCGAGTGGATGATTCGCTTTGAAGACCGTGTATTTACACTTCTCGAAAACTTTCCGGATGGGAAAGACAAAAAGTTGATTGAGAGTTATCTTTTAATGGCGTTGGAGTCACTGCTAAAGTCTATGAGCGATGAATGGTTTAATTTGGCACTTTCGAGAGCCGCCAACTTTGTTTCAACGAATGTCATTCATCAATCTATGGACGCCGTAAAAGGGGTTTGTATGGCGTTTTCATGCGTTGCTCCCGAAAAAACTTGGAGTGCATTGTATCCTGTTATATCGGCCAACATTTTTTTTGAAATCGATGAAAATAAGGCAGGTCTTTCACGAGGATCTAACGCAGACGCGATTTTACCCCGTGATCGCACATTGGTTTGGAATCTAAATATCCTAAATACCATTATCGGCTCAAATGCCACATACTTTCTTCGCAAAGAGGAAGAACTGATAACGTTGCTTGACAAGCTTCTTCGTTGCAGAGGATTTGTAAGTACATTAGCCTCATCTTGTATGAGTCAACTAGTAACTCGGTTGATTTCAGTTTTCCCAACATATTCTTTAAAAACACAACATCTGACTACAGACGAATGGGGAAAACCTTGTAAAGAAGGATCTTTTCATATGTGTTGGAATATACCTTTTGAACAGGAAATTGACTTGGTCGTTAAAGTGTGCAATCGCTATATGATGTTATGCATGGATCGTCTACAACACTTAATTATCGATCGGAAGTTGACCAACGCAACAATTGAATGGGTAGACGAAGTTAATTCTTACCTCGAACGCTTAGGGTTCATGTGCTCAGCATCCGCAGAGTTGTTCCGAATTCCAGATCAAGAGTTTGTTCCAGAATCTGAATATGATGAAGACAACATGTACACGGCAGATTTTGAGTATGTACGCTCTAAGAGCCATTGTCGCTGGGCTATAACTACTCAGCATAGATCTATCATGGATGCATTACGGGAGCGCTTGGGTTCTCTCTTAATAGAACTTCATAGAATCATGTTTGACTCTGTCGATTCTGACGTTTCTATCTTAAAAAACCTTGTTATATGTGAGAATAAGTTTTTGTCTGATTACGACTATCCGGTTTCTCTTCTTTCTGGCCGCGATTATTCAAACTATCTTAATCCTACCCTTCGTTACACAAATCTTCTTAAATTTTTTGACTTTGTTCCACAAAAACAACCCTATTCTGCAATGCTTTTAAGTCACAACATTTATGTGAATTATCAAAATCATATGTGTCGGTCGTTCTTGTCACGAATCCCTACTTCAAATGAGCGGATTCTGATTCACAACCTCACTGTGCCTTGCTGTTCACAGTATGAAGACATACGTCGCACCGCGTGTTCAGCTTTGACAGATTGTGTTCCTTTCTTCCGTCGCATCCGGCTACCTGTTTTGCAGTCCTTGATAGGCATCCTCAAAGAGTCCAAGGATGTCAACGTCCTTCAAGGAGCATTTGAGGCTATATTCTTCAACCCCTTCTTAATGAACTTGGTGCATAGACATTGGGTTTTTTTATCACCTTTTCTATCCATCCTTATCCGACTGTGGAGCCTTGATGAGCCTATCTTACGGACTATTGCTTCGGATGTCTTCGAATACGATATGACAACGACTGTCTGCTATGAAACTTATTTTCCTGTTTATAAGCATTTATATGTCCCTAAAGTTTCTTCACAGTCAGAAACCGAAAGACTGCGTCTGTGGTGCCGCACCGAACAACAAAGACAAAGAGACCGAGAGGCTGCCCTCAAGACTCGGGATGAATTCGTTGACCTATTCCCTAATGCCATTGGAAACTAAAAAAATGGATTACAACCATATTTTGTTCATTTGCTAATTTATTTGTTCCGCCGGTATCAGAGACATTGAAATTAATGAGTGATGGACTTGCGGCATCACATTGCATCAACAGAATGAAGAGCGTTGATGGACTTTTTGAAATTCTGTTATATATCTGGGAAATAGCTCTATCAAAAGGAAATACAGATGATATACTATGCCAAACACTACGTCTCCCGAATGAATTAAAGTTAGAAAGAACCCCCGAAAACAAGAAAGTATTTAACCAAGCTCTCTTTGACTTCAAGAAGCGCGACAAAATCTTCTGCGTACAGTATACGTTTCCTGGCTGGTTTGTTTTACCTAACGCTTTCAATTCACTACGGCGTGAGTATGACAGAAAGATGGATTTCTCGGCAGTACAGGTTCTTGTTGATAACGTTGTTGAAACAATTGATGAAAACTGGTTCCAAAAAGTATCGACCTATTTCGCTGAAGGCTTCTCAGAGGAAGGAGAAGATGATGAGGAAGAATCATCTAGCTACTCAGTTACCACGGAAAATTGGCAACTCAAAGTTGTTTACTTTTGGGGATCAATTTTCAAGCTTCTTTTTAATGTGGACTCTAATGTTTCTGCAAGTTTTTTACATAAGCATATTGATACCTTGTGTTCGTCTTCTGACTGCTTCGTCAATCGATCGGGTATTGAACTGCTCACTGGTGTAATTTTGAGTTTGCCCTGGTGCAATGAGGAAGTCGCCCAGAAACATTGGGAATGGGTTGTGTCTGTTGTGGATAATTCGTTGCAAACTAACTTATTGCCGGAAAATTTTGAGTATTGGTCACAGTTAATTTTGACAATCTTCACGGACCGAGATCCTGCTCTTTATTGGCCTTTATATGACAAGTTGGTCAGCATTTATCGTACCATATCTTTCAGTCATATCTGTTTAGATACTGCGAAACTTGAATTACTGGCACGGCTGTTTAAAGCACTCGGTTGGCACTTTCAAAATACTGAACTTGTTTACAAGTTTTTACTTTCCAATTTACAGCAGCCATACAAAAAATACAGGGAAGTAATTGGTACTGCATTAGCCGAAACCGAGCTTGTACACGTCCATGAGTCCTTTGATTCGGTTGGCGCTTTAATAAAAGCCAACCTGACAGCAGGCTCGCTTGGCTTATTCTTTGAAGATAGTCCTTCTATGAAAGTCGATACTTTGGTGACGGCGTATGAAGAGCTTGAACTCTTGCGTCTTGAGGCGAAGACTGATTCAGATTGCAAGAGTTATGCATATTATGCAAGCACAATGGCTCATTGGACAGAGAGTTTGTTATTGCATCCGAGTGGTTTTGTCGTCTTGTCTGTTGTTCCTGATACGGTTTTGCCTGCAGTAATTCATATGTTGGACGTGAAAGATGAAGACGATCTACAACAAACAGCATCATTTTTGTTAAAATTGTTGGGAAGTTTGATTTATCCTTTGTCAACTGTTGATAAATTTTGCTATTCCTGTATAGCTATCATGAAGAACCAAGATTCTTGGCATCATCGTCTACATATCCTTACTATTCTCCCCCCTTTCATGTTTCAACATTCTCTCATCATAAGCAAGGAAACGAAGCTTTCTGTGTTAGAGATGCTCATTATCATGCTTGATGAAACAAAGCCTGAAGTTCAAGAAAGTGCAGCCATTTCGATAGCCATGTTAATTCAGTGTTTTACACATTCACGGCTTGATGTTATTCTTAATTTGCGCGAACGATTTTTGAAGGTTCTTAACATTACTCCATCGCTCAAGTCTGTTGTTGAGAGTTCATTGTCAGAGTGCGAATACTGTCAACTGGTTGCTCAAAGACATGCAGCGGTGTTAGGCCTTTCGGCACTGGTGAATTCTAATGCTGTTGACCTGCCTCCAAAATGGATGAAGCCTGTTCTCCTGCGGTTGGTTGAAATTACGAATGATTTACAACCTCTTGCCACGGTTGCTAAAAAAACAATCGCCAATTTCAAGAAATCACACTCGGATGTATGGCAGTTGATGTTGGGATATTTTACTAGCGAAGAGCTTATTGAACTGAATAGTGTTTCATCTCATTCTTACTTTGCATAATAAGCAGAGGAGATGACGCTTTTTGAACATCTCAAGATACAATCTTGCCAAATATTCTCTACATCAACGGTTTTCAGCATAAATTTTATCTTCTTGTTTACTACGCCTGTTACTATTACCTAATGTTCCACAGACACCTAGTGCTTAGTGACTAAAACTTGATGGGCTCTAATTACAGCTGAACGTGGATGGATAAGATTAGTACCAAAAAATTGTTGCCTGAAAGCTATTACAAATGTTTAGCCTAACAAGTGAAACGAACCGTTTTAAGGTATAATTCCGATGACAAAAAGAACATCAAAAAAAAAATCTCGATGTTAAAGGAGAATATGACATTCTTGAATGTCAACCGCGACTTGAATTCTAGAGATTGTTCTACTAATGATTTAACTAAAAATGAAACTGAATCGGTCGGTTGCCGTTCAGTAACGCCTTTAGAAAGCTCTCAACACTCATTCAATACTCTAGGCCGACTGTATGAAACTAATAATTTCTCATTGAGCAAAATTGCACTAGTAATATTGTTCATATTTTAAACAGTGTGCTCCTATACTTTTACATCGTCTAAACGAATTTAGGAGAGCAGTGGAAATCTGTATAACTGTTGCGAGATCATGTTTTAATAGCAATATTTTACTTAGTCCAGTAATGATTCATTGGGCTTCCTCAGTCAATTTAATTCCTTCTTTCATAACGCTTACTGCAATCAGTATACCAAGAGAAGCGCTACAAAGAAGAACGCAATGCATATGAACAGTCTGTAACATTCTCTTCTTCTAGTATCCTGCACTCACTAGACCTGTTCGGTGCCTTGTGCTGTAGTCCCTTAGTCATGTTTATCGAAACACTTAGCAGTTCAGTAAAACCTATTTAGACATTCCTAAACGCTCTTTTCTATGCATTACCGCACAGTAAACAACATAGTGCACGTTGTCATTTCTCAGCAGAAAACTTCGGTAAATCTTCTTAGTATGCCTTAGCAATGTACTATCGAACGCACACTAAATATCCGTATAATGCGTTATAAAACCTTGTAACTCAACAAACCGCGCTAACTCATATACTGAAATTATCCCGGGTTCGTTGCCGCTCACAAAGAACTCGGAGAGGAACAAAATATCACATTCATGAGGGAGAGGAAGACGCTGCCGGGAAGCTCAGATTCAATACGTTACATCAATCATCCTTGTTAGGTGAACGACTGTCCAGCCAAAGACGGTGATGGGTATTCACAGACCAAGGAATCGTATCTTTGAAAGAGAACATTTGGAGCAACTTCCACTCAAGGAGAAGGTAAAGCACATCAAAGACGCGCAGAATAGATACAATGATGCACCAAACGGTACCGACAATTGCACCAGCGAAAAAGCCAACTGCGACTTGTTTCGCTGTGTGGAAGCCAAGTAGATACCGACTAGCACAAACACACGTACAGAGCAAAGCCCAGAGATTCATTTTAGCGATGGTCACCAAGCTCTTCAACTGTTCGCGGCGGTAAATAATACACCAAGTACACATATAGGCAAAAAAGTAACCCATAAACTGAGAATGGCTGCTCGGCATTCCGTAGCCCATGCCAAAACCATGTTGACGAGGTTCGCGAATAGTGATTTTTAAGATATAATTAAACATCTCGTTGCCGACCTGACCAGCAAACTGCATTAATGTGTCCATTTCACGGTTCGTAAACAGAACACTCAGGTACACGATTCCAATAATTTGTGGAATTAAAGAAAAGAGCTCAAGTAAACTGTGGTAGACATCGTTGATTTCATAGAAGAAGTGGGAAAACACGGTGACGAAAGCAGAGGCAGCAGTCGTACGCAGCTTTCTACTGACATTAACAAATGGGTTTGTAAGATCATCCAGTTCTTCCACAGTAGTGATTGGAGCAGCTTCGGAGGGAGCGTTTTCAGCTTTCTGTTTCTTTTGTGCAAACTCTTTCAACTGTTGAGCGGCCTTCGAGTCGTGCAATTTTTTTGAAGCCCAAGGAGCACGTTTCACATGCTTGTAGCTATTCGGTCTGTCTTTTGAATCGACTGTGTCGTCAGAGTTCCTTCTGAAGTAAGTCAAGATCAGTTTGGCAAAATCGCTTTTACTGAGGTGAAGATGGTTTCCGGGAAAAATCAACTCATCCACTTTACCAGATTCGTCAAGCGTACGCAGACCGAGAGCGTTACTTTTGTAAAGGGGTTGCTCACGCATGGGAACCAGCTCACCCGTTGTCTCGTTCACCCATCCGAACAAGGACGAGCTACGAGGTTCAATCAAACGGTCGTCGCCGAACCCAACGAGAACAAGCTTGTTCAGTTTTTGCAGTCGGGAAGAGAACATCGAAGAGCGGTTATGAGGAAGCTCGTTATTAACATAGGGAAGGAAAATATTGTTTTCGAGGTACTTGTCGTAAGCCGTTTCTTCACGGTAGTATTGAGCTTGAACAAATCGTTTTTGAACCCAAGCATCCCAGAAACCCAAACGCAGCAGAAAACGTACAGCCGTCCGGCAGAAGATGTTGGTTGGAGAGCACGTAGGGATGCTCTGGACACCCATATGGGGAGAGCCTAAAGTGACCAAGTTATGAATCCGTACAGACGAGCATGACTGCTGCAGAGCACGTAAAAATAAACCGCCCTGACTAACACCCAAAGCATTGAAACCGTGATGAAGTTCGGGAATGGCAGCCAACTCAGCACAAACGCCATCAACTTGCTCCCAAACTGTTCCAAAGTAACTATCTCTCACGTCCAGAACGGGATTCTCGTCCAACTTCACAACATACACATCTGAATCCGTTAAAGTATGAATGAACTCGGAAACTTCGCGCATCTCGGGACTATCGTAATTGTCGCCCAATCCATGCCAAACGACCACCGGCAGTGCGCCATTCGAGCTCGTTCCTGAGACATGGGACACCGTAGACGCAGCTACATATAGAAAATGAGAGACGAGCAGTGGAAAAATCCACATTTTCGTCCAAAAGCTATTACAAAACGTCATTTACAGAGGACAGCACCTGGCTCATGACTTCGGTATAGACCATTCACCGATACGACATAGTGTTGTAAATAGCCGCGGAAACGGAGTGGGGCTAACGGACATTCCGAGGTAAAGCGTGGATTAAGCTGCCGCGGCAAATCCGTAAATTACCGCGCTGCCGCGGATAATTACTCCACCAAAAGAAAACCACCAAGGCAGTTTGCTGTTAGAGGGAAAAACCAACGTCGAGGACACGAGGGGAGCTTGGAGAAGACCATTTCACGACACCTGCAGCAGCAGTAACATCGGCATCAGCATCAACGTTGCAGGAACGTAACAGCATAAAAGGACAGATATGAATGCGACGCAGAAACACGAAGCAACGCAGATGGTCGAGTCTGTGCGATTTTCGCAGCCGTATTTCTCAGAGCAAATGATTCAGGAATGTTTAGCAGGTCGAGATCCAAAAGAAATGCAGCTGAAAATACAACAATTCGCTTGGATCACAGACATGTCGAGAGCGTTGAGATTGTAAGTATGAAGAAGCAGTAAACACCATCCAGGGGAATAGACGGGGGTTGATCGTAACGCAAGCTGTGATGGGTGAATTAAGAGAGATGAGAATTAGTACTAATCGTATCTGCGTCCAGTCCCACTAAAACAATTGCTCTGGCAATGATGCTGTGCAACCGATTTCACTTGTATCATAAAATTGTGGACATTCCTTATTTGGTAAGTAAAGGTAGAGGCAAGCGTTACGGCGAGAACATTCGATCAACGTAACAAGAACTTCCTGTGTTTGCACTCGTCTGTCACACACCAATTCACAAACTAATTTATCTTAGGACTGTGCAACAGCCTGTGTCTTTGTGGCCTGCAAGGTAGAAGACACTTCGAAAAAAATCCGAGATATTTTGATCGTATACCAAAAACTTCGATACCCAAACAGTGTTGATGTGGATCCTCAGTCCCCCATTATGGAGGAACCAAAGAAAAGAATCCTCAGCTTTGAGCGACATCTCCTTGAGCTCGCCTGTTTTGACTTTCGGACTTGCAGTCCTCATGCCTACGTGGTAGCAATTGCAAAGTACTTGAATGGTATGAGTAATGACGAGGAGACGTGAGTGGGTTGCCATGCTAACAAGGATATAGTGGAAGAAAACATTGCCAGGCTTGCGTGGGACGTATGTACAGATGCGTGCAGGACGTTTGTACTGCTGAAATATCCCGCTCATATTGTAGCGTACAGCTGCCTATCACTTGCCTGCAAACTGCAAGGGAGATCATTACCCCCCATTTCCAAATCGTTCTGTATCACACAGAACGAAATTTACGGAGCGCTTTCAGACATCCTTGACCTGTTCATGCATTACAATGCTTTCACCATCGTGGGTCCACGATGCAGTAATGAGACGATGATGTCGCTCTGCATTGATCTTCAACGTGCTCGAGGAAAGGGTAAAACAGAAACGGGGATTACGGAACCGACAGCAGCGTCAACTTCCGCGACCACGAATGCATTCCCCAGCAATCCTGCTTCGATTGCGGCCATGTTGTCACCAAAAACAGTATCTTCACAGGCTCCGGACCAACGATCGTCACTAGCAGAACAATATCGCCAGTCAGAACGACAGATCCACAAAGCACAACACAGTTGCATACGATTCCTGCTCGAAAGCGATCGGCAACGGATGGCAGAAGAATTGCACAAACGCAAATGCATGAAGCCAGCTAGTTAGTTTTAGCAGGTAGGAAAAAAAAACAGGCGAAGCGTTCTTGATGAGGTCGGTTTCATTGGGTTTCCGGTCATGTCTGATTCATAATACCCACAAGACTGCCATTAACCGTATTAAATCGCTATATCCGTGATGCTCTCCATTAAATGCACCGCACCCGTATTTTGGTTTTTTTCTTTTCGTTTTTTTTACAATGAACAGAACTCTATTGAATGGCAAGTTGCAACAAGGGGAAATAATAACAAAGGTTAGGAAACCCTATAGAAACAAATCAAGTGGAAAGGATGTAAGCAGGAGGGGCGATGAACTATGATTTTTTTTAAGGAACACGGGAGACCGTTCGTCAAACAGCAAGCAAAAATGAACAACACACATAAACGTTAAAGACACGTTTTAGTATAGTACAAATCCGGCGGGGGCGGGTGTTGAACGTTATAACGAAAAAGAAGGAGTAGAAAAGAATTAAGAAAACATCGTAGCATTCATTCCAGTCATCAATAGCAACAACACGGTTATACAAATCGTTTTGCTTCTGAAGCCCAGCCAGCGATACCTTCTCCAGTGGCTCCCCGAACGTGGGGCGAAAAGGACGCGTCTGCGACTTCCTTCAACCATGGGGCTTTCGACATGTAGCCAGCGTTATGGCGCTTACTAGGATCGAACTCCAACATGGGCGTTAAAAAGTCGGAGATGTTTTGGGCATCCTCTTCGGAGAAGTGATATTTTTCAGCAAGAACATTTTTAAGAGGCCAATAATGTAATCGGCCAATGTGCCGCAACTCTCCACGACGATCGAAAATCCTCCGTGAATATGTACCGGAAAGTGCGACATGCTTAGGAAACCTTTGGATAAGTTCGATGATTTGTGCAATGTGATCATCCTCCTTTGAGTATGAGTTTCCATTTTTCGGATTGAACAGGTAATCACCCGTCAATAGTTCAAAGACAAGACAAGCAAAACTCCAGATGTCAGCAGAAGCGCCCCATTTGCAACCCAGAATCACCTCCGGAGACCGGTACTGGCGAGTTTGAATGTCGTTGGTGAAGTGTTTGTACGTCCAACAAGCATTTCCCAGGTCGGCAATTTTAACTGTGATGGGAGGAAACTCAGTGTTATTCCTCAAAGCACAGTCATTAAGACACAAACCGGAAACACTGCCTTCCAAAGACGCGGCTTCGTCTTCTGGCTGAGAGCAACGATGTACTGTGCTGACACCGTTCATCAATGGACGACTCTCGATAAAAGCAGAGGGAACTCGTCGACGACGGTTGTTAAAGCGATTGGGGTGAACTCCAGCATTCTCTTCTTTTAAATTTTGTTTTGGCAACACACTGTTTTCGTGTTCCAGAATGGATTCCAAAACATCCTTGTCTAAACAAATAAGGACATTTTCTGGTTTAAGATCGGTATGAATTATACCACATTTTCTGTGCAAATAGTCCAACGCAATAAGCAGTTGGTATGAAATCTGCTTTACGAGTCCGATAGGCACACCCCGATGGCCAAAGGATCGAATTAGACTCAGCAGCGTTTCACCCAACACCTCAAAAACCATGCAAATGTGAACGCCGTTTGGACCGCTGTGAGAGAAATAATCAATCAAGGAAAGAACATGTTTCTTGCCCAAATGTTCGTCGGGGCCATTGTTGACTTTTTGCAGCAAACGAATCTCATCAATGGCAGTTTCTCGATAATGCTCGGCTGAGCGAACGACTTTCAGTGCGACGTGGCGCTTGTGAACTTTATCAAAGGCTAACCAAACCGTTGAAAAGTGACCCCAGCCAAGTTTCCGTACAACAACGTAGGTTCCTTTAGCAAATTCTTCGCCAATATAGACAGGATGGTAACCGCCGTACCGATAGTCCTCAACACTCTCCTCAGAGGTTTTTGGAGCTCTGGGTTTGCCAGGTGTAGGATGCGACAGCAGGGACGGCCCGTTTTTTGACGCAGTAGTTTTTTGGTAGCTTACAGGCTTTTTCTCTTTAATTTTCGCCCCTTTAGTGCCCAATGCCGCTGCCTTTTCACTGTTTTCTGAATACCCACAAAGAGAGCTTCCCTCCATACTTGAATTGCTTTTGATTGAAAAAAATGAGAAAACAACAAGTAAGCGGGCAAATGCAAAACAAGAAGAAAACTAGTTAAATTCTTTCACTTGTAGAAGGATGCAGCGGTTGCGACAACCAATCCACAGCTTAAACGACGATTTGAACAATTTTAGACGGTTTGCGAATGTATGGTGTAGAGGCTGAAAATTCGCCTGGGTGCAAATCAGGCACGCATAAAACAAGCAACCAGAACCATGAAACCAGGATGAGTTTGACAATGTTACACACGGAGAAACGAATATTTGAAATAAAAATTATGATACACTGAAACTCACAGGGAATTGAGATAAACTGCTTACGCTAACGATACCTTCTTCACGTCTGCATCGAGCGCGCTTGTACACTCCCAGTAAATCAAACAGACTCCACTTGCATACTTTTTTATTAAGGGTATTGTGTTGCTGCTGATGGAGAATACAACAGTCAATGGCCTTTTTTTAAAAATCATGCAGACAGAAACGACTCATTTGGCGAATCTTGGGTCCGTAATGGAAGAACAAGAAAGGAATAGGAATCAAACCGACTGCAACGAAACCAATTAACGAACCAGCCCAGCCAATACCTAAGCCGTGGTACATCTGTGTAGTGAAAAGTGGGAACACTGCACCAGCGATACTACGCAGAATTGTGTTTGCCGCGACAGCTGAAGCGGTACACCCGGCGTAACAATCGACAACAAAGTTCAACGACTGCTGGAAAATGGTGATAATACCAAAGCCAATTAACGTACCAGCCAGCGTTGGCACAATCCAGTGGATGCTTGTTGAGTTACCGGTCCAAGCGAACCAGAAAATACCGATGGGGAAGAGCACTGCAGCAATCATCATAGGTGGAAGACGAGCTTCTGGAGCTGGTTTGCCATTACGCGACTGAACTTGACGGAAATAGTACGGTTGGAACAGAGCAACACTTGCACAACCAAAACACACACCGATGAAGACAGCGAGATAAGGCAAACACTCAACACCCTGACTCCATCCACGAGCTTCACCGAACACGATGGGATAAGCCTCAAGCAGACCGTACAAAATACCATACACAAAAGCAGTGTATGTGGACACGAGAAGCAGCATGGGCTCCGTGACCAACAGACGCAACGGCAGCGTGAAGTATTTGTGTACGAGATAGTTGATGTCCACAGGTTCCTCCTCGGTTTTTGTGTGGACGAACCAATTGTTCGTGTACACGCGAATTTGCTGGGCTCGACGCTCCGTAATGGTACGGGTATACGTTTCGCGATGGAATATGAGCATGTTGAAGAAGGCAATGAAGCCCATGATAGCTGTAATGTACGAGACCCAACGCCATCCCAAATACGACTTGGCAATGAAACCACCGACGATGGGACTGATCAAGGGACCGTTGAAAATAATGGCCGAGTACACAGCGATGACCAGACCACGCGTTTGCGGTGTAAACATGTCGGCAAAAGAACCAGCGACAGTTGTGATGGGAGAACTACCGAAGAAACCACAGAAGAAACGACAAATCAGAATGGTATGCACGTCCTTAGCTGTTGCGACAGCAATATGGAAGATACAGAAGATGAAAACAGCGGCTGTCATGGGACGACGACGACCAAACAGCTCACACATAGGTGCCCAGATGACAGGACCAGAAGCGAAACCAAGCACGTACAATGTGATGGAAAGTAAAGCAACCTCATGCGACAGATTAAACTTCCGCATAACCTGAGGAAGAGCTGCTGAGAAGACAGATGAACCCCAACCGGCACTCAAACAGGCGCAACCCATAACGAAGACGTTTCTGAGTTTCAACCAAAGAGGCCAATTTGTTGCGAGCTCGGGATCATCAGGACCGTCAAGCGTGATGTAGAAGTCGTCTGGATTGGGAACAGTCGGGTACTTACGGTTCAAGACGTCTTCCAGGTGAGCGCGTTTCCGCACACTGTAAGGAATTGCGCCAGGTTCATCAATGACACTGGGCTCGGCAATAGCGCCTTCTTTTCCAGAGATCATGCTGGACACATCACTGCTGTTTAAGCCATCCGCGCCAGTGGTTCGTGCTGGAGTGGAAGTGCTCATGGCTGTTTGCGAAAGGTGATAACTTGCTAAGTGAGAGGAGAGAGAAGCGAGGAATTATGCAAAGAATAAGACGAAAACAAAAGAACAAATAAAATGCCAAACACACCGCTTAGTCTGTCAACCACACACAAGTTAGCTTGACAATTGTGTAACAGAAGGGAAAGTAGTGCGGACACGAATACACTATAGGAAGACCCTTGAGAACCCTATAGAAACGATGTACCAAACCGTTCGTTTAGCACGAGTTTTTCAACAATCGCTTCCGTCAAAAATTCTTCTTAACGGTATATGACAGTAATGTGTACACGACACGAATGGATGTTTGTTGTTTTTTTGACGCGCAAACACAAACACGCAGAAGCTCAAAAAAATGTCGGTTAAATGCGAAAAGCACTTTATATGAGACACTCAATGACAGGGTACCGCGTGAGGTGACACAAAATTGCGCTGTTTTAAGTTTTTTCTTTCAAATGCCGCGAATCAGGGCTCTTCACTTAACCAGCTGCTCATCCAAGTGCTGCGTTCAAGTCAAGTGCAGAATAGCCGTGGGCATTTTATGGTGGTGAAAGTTTATATAGTAGATGCGAGCCCCAATGTGTGTGTATCATCGGCCATAAAATTGCCGCAAGATAAACAAAACATGCCTTGAATACGCACGAAATGGATACAATCACTTGAAAAAACTTGCAATTGTAATCATTGATAGTCCCTAAATCCCCATTACAAGCATTGAGTCGTGTCCGTGTACACAGTGTGCAATAGAAAAATGCTGATTTGCCACCAGGAATAGTAAATTCGCGGTGATCGACCGCGATACAGGTTCGTTAAACTCGAGAAATACGCGCTACGGCGAAGTGATATACGCGAAATCTGGTTTGTTGAGCGGTTATACTTACGGAATCACTGTTTCCTGCGCGCTGAACCCAAATAATCGTGCGAGTGTGATTGATTTTCACTCAAGATGAGGGTAAATACAAAATGCGAACGAATTCGTTGTTTGCTGTAAACTGTGAGAACTGAAGGAGTAGTAGGGAGTGTATGGCTCTGGTTAAGTTCGTATTGACGCGTGGATCCCGTTTTCTTTCAAAAAAACGCGTTGTTCGCGACGCGTGACCTCATGATGATGTGGGCACGGGTCCCTTCGTAAACAAAGTTTAAGCAATACACAGGCTTAATCAAAAACGAACATTCTATCATTCAATTGTTGTTTATTTTATTGGCCCAAACTGAGTTTACGCTGTTCTCGAGTCCCACAGATGTCTTTGTTACCTAAGATATTAGATACGATCAACAGTTAAGCATGTCTAAGCGACAAATAAGCATCGCTTAGATCTTCGATAGGGACCGAACGGGAGCAGCGAATCACGCTCACTGAAATGGCATGATGTGGCATGACGAACAAGGAGCACAATTCGTATTATTAGCAGCGGTCTAGACGCACCCACATGTGGCACGTTCGCAACAGGTTAAGGAAGGGAAGGTGCATTCGCCTTGATTCGAACGCAGACGAGAGTTTAACGAGGTACATCGATACTGAGCGCAACGCCTGCAAGGGTTGAATTGAATGAATGGTTATCATAGTAATTAGCTGTAGCCACAAACAGCTACAGCTGCGAGAGTACCCAGTGGCAGCCATACTAGCAACAGTACAATCAATATACAACAACAGCATTAACAGTGACAGTAACAATAATAATAACAATTTGAACAGGAAACCTATTTCATTCTTCTCATCACATCCCCGACACTGATTTTAAAAATATAATCACTTCTTAGTAACCATGTAGTACGAATTTAATAAGACCTTTCAGCTTTATCAGCATTAAAAAACATCTATCTCGGCAAGCCATTGTCTAGTAACACTTTATAATAAAATGAAAACAAAAGTTAAAGTGCAAGAAATCTATACTGGTGCAAGACAAAGGCTGCGGATAAGATTAGCCTGCGCAAGACAAGCGCAAGGAGACAAAGGAAGAATAGTCAATAGAATAAAGAATGAATGAAGGTTGATAGGACCGTTCCACGGGTTAAAAAAGTGAGACGGTCAGCTTTCAACCGTTAATAGTGTATGCGCATAGAAAGAAGTCGTTGAGTAGTGCGTTTCACGCAAGGAAAGAGAATAAGTAAAGTGGTAAAAAGTTCAAAGAAATCAAGGACGCTAAAGGAGTTGGAAAAGAACAATGAGACATAGAACTCGTTCCACACTCGGGAAGATATACGAGCAGGTTCCGCGAATAAAATACCATGTAGAACAGCAGCCTGCTCGTAACAGATCATAAACATGGGTTGCCGAGCAAAAAAAATAAAATGGAACGGAGGTAAGACGATAATGGTGTATTGATGATACCTATCCGAGCGTGTAACGCCCGATGATTAAACACTTGGGACGAACAGACATTCCGAACGTCAAATTGTCTAAAGCATCACAGTCATCTTACTCATCTTACGGATGCGAGCACCATAAATGTAGAACAAGACTGGAATAGGAATCATGGCAACGGAAAGAAGACCAATCAAAGTACCAGCCCAACCAGTACCCAAGTTGTGGAACATTTGCACGGCAAACAAGGGGAAACCAGCACCGACGAAGCTTCGCATGATTGTGTTGGCAGCAAGAACAGATGCAGCACGGAAAAGATAGGCATCGACCAAGTAGTTCATGGACTGCATGAAAATACACAGGATACCCCAACCAGTAAGGATACCAGAAAGCGCAGGGACAATCCAGTGAACGCTTTCATAGGCGCCAGACCAACACAACCAGAAGATACCACCGGGGAAAAGAATGGAACCGATGATCATGGGGGGAAGACGAGCTTCGGGGACGGGCTTGCCTCCAGCCTTAATGACTTGTCTGAAGTACCAGGGCTCGAACTGAACCGTCATGAAGGAACCACAGAACACACCGATGACCAAACCGATGTAAGGAAGGGAACTGACACCTTGGATGAAGTGGTGCGTCTCACTGAAAATAATAGGATAGGCCTCCAGAAGAAGGTAAAGAATACCATAAACAAACGACATGTACAGAGTCAACAAGAGCACAATAGGCTCAGTGAACAGCAAACGAAGGGGAATCATGAAGTAGTTACGGACGACAAAGGAAAGCGTCATGGTCTCCTCCTCCGACTTGGCGTGAATAAAGGGGTTGTTGCACTCTGCACGCAGACGCTTGGCCTCGTTTTCCGTAATAGTACGTGCGTACGTCTCAGGCATCAAGGGCAGAATAAGGCAAATGCCGAAACCCATGAACGAAGTGATGTACTCAGTCCAGCGCCAGCCCAAGTACGACTTGGCAATGAAACCACCGACAATAGGAGCCAACAGAGGACCGGCGAAGGTAAGGGCGGCGAAAACACACACGGCCTTACCACGGGACTTGTTGTCAAACATGTCAGAGAACAAAGCACCGACAATAGTCATAGGGGCACTGGCGAAGAAACCACCGAAGAAACGGCAAATCAAAACAGTGTGGACGTCTGCGGCAGTTGCGGTACCGATGGAGAAACACGAGAAAGCAAACATACCGAGCCAAAGAGGAAGCTTACGACCAAGCAACTCGGACAACGGAGCGAAAATGACGGGTCCAGAGGCGAAACCACAGACGTAAAGGGACATACCCAACAAGGCAACTTCCATGTGGATTTTGAAATACTTCATAAATTGGAGCGTAGCAGAAGAGAAAATGGAGGAACCCCAAGAAGCTGTCAGGGTACACATCAAGGCATAACCGGCCGTCTTGTACTTCTTCATGGGGGGCCAATTCACCGAGAGCTTAGGGTCTGTAGGCTCAAGCTTCACAATGAATTCCTGAGGGTCTGGGACAACGGGAAAGCCACCAGCACCACGAGGAAGAACGATATTCGTCGTTCTGGGGTCATTGGTCACCGAGACCACACGTTCCAAGGCAACAGGAGGAACGGATGGCTGTTGTTCATCAGAACCAGTTTCGAAATCCGAGCTGGCGCTTGCGGAATCGTGATATTCTGGTTTCTCCATTTCGTTTTACCACACAGGAGAAGCAAGTAAGAGCAGAAGAAAAGTTGAACCGAAGTAACAATCGACTAACAAACTAAGTCGGACGCTAAAAAAAAAGCGAAAATATCGTCTCAGGATGCGACCAACGGGAAAAAGCTTAGTGCTAAACCACTAATTGCGCAGGAACAATTGTTTATTCGCAAATCGTCTCAAACAACGTCTAGTAGCCAAAAAGAGCCACACAATCGACGTATACGCGTCGAACACCTAAATTCGTCAAACAGTACCGCGAAGGAGCAAGAACTGGAATTAAGATCAAGCGGCACGTCGTAATATATGGACGTAGCTTCAAGAAAATGAGAACCTCAGCTAAGACAGTAGAAAGTCGGATTCACTGGTGCTGGATGAGGATAAATAGATATGCGGGGTGTAGCTGTATTTATATACAGATACATGGCATCGGTCCTTCGAAGAAAACTGTCGACGGCATTTTTTGTGCCGCAATACCGAGCCTGGCATTATAGAAGCTAGATCCATAGGTACGTCACCGCTTGTGATGTCATAAGACAAACACATTCACGTGCAGCCAATTAAGCGCAAGAGCAGCGCGATGGGAGGGATAAGAAGCGAAGGCGACATTCCTAGGGCGCGTTTAATTGCACGAGGAAGAGCCACAACGTCATCTTCGGCAAGGCGAAAAACAAGGGACTGTCGGCCGACAAGAATATCGCACCAGGGCCAATCATTAGCGAGCACAACGACTGATTTGTTGCGCAAAAAGAAGGCTCGCGAATCGCTAGGCGGGATGCGGCAATGCCGCAAAAGGCCGATAAAATAAGCGACGAGTACGTTTTTCGCTTAGCCGATAACGATAAGTTTATCGATATCAGATAACACCCTTGTTGAGTTTCGTTTGTAAGACTCGGAACTGTCGGGAAGGCTGCGGTTCTTCGGGTAGCTCTCACGTGTTCATGAAGCGAAAAGGGTGCGAAGGGGTGCGGTTTAAGTTGTCGTAATGGGGGCACCATGTGGGGTCGGAAAGTGCTCCACCAAACCCATGCGTGCATTCAAAAGCCCGAAAGGCTGCAGGGCCCAACAAGTCGGATGCAGAGTATCACCGAGAGGTGAAAGAAACCAACTCAAAGAAACGAGGAGAGCATAAGCGATTGAGGCAAAGCGACGTGTGAACGGGATGTGCATGCGTGCGTGCTTGTGAGTTCGGAGGTTACCGGAACCCCAGGATGATGGCGAAGTAGCGTGGAACGAAGAAACTGTTGACTCGGGATGAAATGAAAGAGTGACCGAGGGGGATGATTTAACAACACGGGGCATTGGCAATTGCCAATTGCTACTACCGGACTAGCAATGTGCATCTTTTGGTTGCAGTATTGTGCTGATGTTTTTTAGCTGGGGAAAAAGACTGTGTTAACTCAATTCGACAATACTTCAAAAAGGAGACGCAATTGCTCAAGATTAGTAGTGCGTGTCTTTGGTTTGCGGAGATAGGCTTGCAACAAATGACCCATAAGTGCACGAAGAATACGGAAGGCAGCTGCAGAAGTAGGACTGTCGAGATGGAAGGACAGTCTGTCAATTTTGGCGGCCGCATTTGATACACGAATGTCGGCGTCCAGTCCACACAGCAGTAGCAAGTACCGCGTGTTGGTCGGACCAACTAGACTGGCATAGTCACGGTTGGTGCGTGACGAAGACATGAGACTCGTATACACAAGGAATTCAGGCTGGCCTTCGACTCTGTGTCCCTTGGTGACATGGTTGAGAACATGGTTAACGGAAGATGAGTGGATAGACACTGGCTTGTTGGTCGTAATTGTCCTCCAACGGCCGTGAGCTTGTGCATCCAACTTGAGGATGTTCGGATAGAAGGCAGCTGCAATCACGGCTGACACTAAATCGGTATTAGTGGATTGGGTGTTGAACTCGTGGGGCACTTGAACGAAACGGCTGCAGCTGCAGCGCTTCGTGGGCTTGTCGTAGGTAAGGAGCGACGAAGGCGAGGCTGATGTATGCTTGGGTAAAACAAGAAGTGTTCCGCACAGCTGCGAAAGGGTTTGCACTTTAAGGTTTTCGGCCATGTTCAGCACATTGGGATTGAGTTGCTTCTTACGACAAAACTCATACTCTGAGATGCCGTACTTTTGCAGACATACTTCCTTCCATGCATTGTATGCGTTGTACAGCATCAAAAAGTCGCTGAACTCACCGGTTTGCTAAACGAAGCCTTGGCACGTTGAGTCGCCAGCTCGTCACCAGGTGCCATACGGAAGGGTGATCCGGTGGTCAAAAGACACGCGACCGTCATCGCAGCGTCTAAACAGCTGAAATGGCAACCCAGTACTATGAGCTTGCCCAATTGTGCATCCATGGGCAATTGGGCAAGGTGTTTACCCATACTCGTCAATTCCTCCGAGGAATCCAAGGCGCCGACGTTTCCAATGTCTTCATAGCATGCAATACACTTGGGTGAGGAGGAGGGTCAAGTGATTCCCGAAGCACGGCTTCGACCTGTCCCATCTGGCATATTTTGATTCGCAGCACGAGCTCTTGCAAATTAAGACGAAGCATTTCAGGTGTTTGGTATTCAAGCATCTTGCAGTCGTGTCGGAAACGTGAATACAAGTGGAAACACACACCTTCTTGCACACGACCAGCACGACCTCGGCGCTGTTTGGCGTTTGCGCGCGAAATGAAAGTGTCTGTAAGTCGGGAAAGACTTCGACGACTGTTGTAACGCATTTCGCGATGGACACCAGTGTCGATGACGCAGGTAATGTCCGGAATTGTAACACCAGTTTCGGCGATATTCGTAGACAAAACGATTTTCTTACATCCGGTAGGCAGACGCTCAAACACCACTTGTTGTTCGGCTGTGGAAATGGAAGAGTGGAGGATGAAGATACGATATGTTTGTGTGTCGGAGAACAAGGGGTGTGCTGCGAGCATATCGTTCACACGAAGAATCTCAGATATACCGGGGAAGAAAACCAGCACGGATGTGTTGAATGACGCATTTTCAGGATTGAAGACATATTCTAAAAGCGAAAGAATAAGGTCATAATGCATTAGCTTTTCATTGTAGTGAAACAGAGTTTTGAGAGTGACAGCATCGTACCTGCTGTCGACATAGAAACTCTGAAGAGTTTGTCTGTTGTTGACACTGGAGTCTTGAGCGCTCTCATCCGCATCCACGTCTTCCGATTCTTCGAGTTCGGTTTCAGGTAGTATGTAACCAGTGCGCTCAATAACGTCTTCCAGAAAGTAGGATTCAACGGGGAAGGTTTTTCCAGGGACGGAGATAACATTGGCAGAGAGGTATTGTTGGAAGCGTTCAGTGTCGACGGTTGCACTCATAACAATAACCTTTAAGTTCGGATGCGTTCTCAGCAGGCGTTTTATATGTACAAGTAAAAAGTCTGAATCAATGCCGCGTTCGTGGACTTCATCAATAACAAGATGTGTAACGCTGGACAATTGTCTTGAGTCCTCCATAAGGCGTAAAAAGACACCAGTAGTCACGTACACCAAAGGAGTATATTGGTTGTATTTGGAATCAAGACGGACGGAATAACCAACTAGCGCGCGTCGATGATAATGATGCTTTTCGCCCAACTCGTGGCTTACACGGCTTGCTAATGAAATAGCACTAATTCGTCTGGGCTCCGTAACGAATATGCGCACATGCTCTCCTCGCTGAACAGCATCTTCAAGCAGAAATGCTGGCAACTGCGTACTTTTACCGCAACCCGTTTCACCTGAGAGAATAAGCAGATTGCTGTCTCGGAGACTCTCGAGAATGGTTTCACGATATGCAGCAATGGGGAGTGAGTCACGAATCTTCAACATGTTTGCATGTGCTTCACTCGACAATCTTTCTTTCCAACACTCCATCACCTCGTCTGGCAATACAAAAGGTTTTTCTTCCTCAACCTTTGCGGGTGAAGAAGAGAGCATGAGATTTTTGGATGCATCCTCATAAGAGAGTTTCTGCAATTTATCTTGAACAAGTGGGTTAAGTTTCTCACTAAACTCTTTGTCCTCAGCAAGTCGCTTCGATTCCTCTTGAAGGACGAGAATGCTGAATTTTTCTTTGTAAGCGCCATTTAAACGACGAGTAACTTCCTTGACACTCGGATAAACTAGCTCAAACAAAGCCGGAATGCTAGAATAGTCAATCGCAGCTTGCTTTGTAGACACTGCGACGCCATCTTCCATGGCATATGTTTTTTGACCAGATGAGCAACGAACAATACACGTGCACACCCAACAACCGCTGCCAATTGCCCTGGGTGTATAATTGACGGTGAGCGACGAGTCAATTTTTTTCAATTCTGTCTGCAAGATATTGCTTGCCTGACTCGCCGTATGTGCAACGGGAAGATGAAGTATGTTGTACTGTGAGGCGGGCATTGACGCACCTGTCTCCTGCTGCTCGCTTTCGTTTTGCTCCTCAGAGAACAAGTCACTAAAAATGGGTTGGTCCTCCTCCTCTTCAGTTTTGGTATTACTTCCCTCAACAGCTGCCTCAGCAGCATGTTCCTTCTGACGTTCCAGCTCGTTTTCTTTTTGAATAGCCTCCATGCGTGCCTTTTCACGCAACCGAACTTCCCGTTGGGCCTTCAGTTGGGCCATGAATTGGTCCTTTTCCTTCGCGAACACTGCATTTGCTTCCTTAGCAGAGAACAGGTATTGTTTGGTAATAGAGTCGAGTCTTTCCTGAAGTTTTGTATATCTGGGTGTTTTACCTAGTTTGGAGATTGTAAGTTGGAGCATGCGTAAACGAATTCGAACATATTGAGTCGTCAAATCATAATCAGGAACATCTTCTGTAATCAGATCATCGCTCGTAAGTTCTGATTCGGAGGATACTGGTTCAGAGCGCTTGACCGGCTCGACCGTACGATTTTTCACTGGCTGTAAAGGGCGCTCGTGTTGTAGGGGTTCGATTAACGCGGCAAAAACTTGCTGCTTGCTCGAGTTTTGGGGAGTTGGAAGCTTGAATGGGGTGCCACGCTTTAACATCTCACTGCTAAGCGTCACTGCATAATCTTCCAGAGTTGCCAAAGGCATGAGCGCAAGTACGGAAAAAACATCCGCAGAGTCAAAGCCCATGCCCACCAAGGACAAGTATGAACTCCACAGATGTCGCTTCACAGAGCTGGGGTCTGGTCTTGGCAATGATGGATCACATTTAGGCAAAGTTTGCATCCACGAAGAAAGCAGCCCAAGAAGTGTCTGACGAGAGGATTCTTCCGAAAGACTGGAGGCCTGAATGTTTTTGCGGAGACGCAATTCAACGATCCAATTCTGGAGAAACTGAGAACTCGTTCTTAAAGCAGCATCTCGTATAGATTTTGTTTCCTCATCAAGGACAACCGTTATAATGTCAGGATGGTTTAATTCGAGCGAGTTGCTGTTTTTCTGTGGACCAGACGTCGGCTTGTTGTTTTTCGTGTTGGCAGTATTACCTTTCGATGCCGAGTTATTCGTCGTCTGACGGGATGGAACAGAAGTAGTGGCATATCCACGGTTAGAAGATGCAGATTTTCCCTTCTTTTTAGCCATTTGATGAATTATAAGGTTAAGTATGCAGGAGACGGAGTAGAAAGTTTAAACGATACGAAAAAGCAGTTTCCAGTACAGACAGAGAAAGAGAAATGGGCAACGAGTGTTTTGCTAACGGTTATCTAGTCTATCAGGTCAGTTTATTAGCAATTTGGGGCAATTAGCAAATCTGGTAGTTGCAGTTGGTTAGGTGTGTGCTCGTTCGCTAATAGGTAATCGCTTCCTATGCGTGGCTGGCAGAAATTGTAATTGATCTCGTTATTACATGTTCACAGACATAACTGTTAATGTATGATATGAGTAAGCAAGGCTTGAGTCCGTGCATTCTCTATTTGATCGTCGTTTTAAGTGGAGATTTCGTTCATTGTGACATTTTCGCGTCGCGTTTTGAATATAACTTTATTTTTCGCGTGTTTAGACGATCTGCCCTGAAAGCGCTTAGGGTTAGCAATCTCTGTCCAGTAAAACTACATTTTGATAACCACCAAAACCCTAAATCTCTACATCCCTTTCCCATAGACTATAAATACTGCTGGTCCTGAGAAAAGCCAAACTGCCTCAACCTCACGGACGCAGTTTTGGATCTCGTGCTGTGTTCCAATTGAATCTGTACTGAAGGGTTGAGCTGCATTTGAAAAACAATATAGTTTAAGGCGTGTAGTTTAAAAAAGTTCAACATGGAGTCTACGCGAGTCGATGACTTCTCTAAGCAGAAAACGGCTTTCACAAGCACGATCAAATCTAGCATGCTCGCTGATGACAGCAAAAGTGTCAGCTTGGAAAGTGAAAATGGAAGATTAGAAGAATTGGGCTATAAGCCCGTTTTTAAGAGAGAATTTTCTACATGGGCTACATTTTCGTTCGCATTCTCGATTTCCGGACTGTTCGCCACTGTTATGACGACTTTCTCATACCCATTAGTAGCAGGAGGTGCTCCCTCTGCTGTCTGGTGTTGGATTATTGCCGGTGCAGGTTGCATGTGTATCGCTTTGGCAGTTGCAGAATTGGTTTCAGCATACCCTACCAGTGGTGGTCTGTACTTTACTTGTAAAGACTTGGTTCCCAAGAAGTATATGCCAGCTGTGTCATGGGTTGTTGGATGGTTGAATCTTTTAGGACAGGCTGCAGGTGTTAGTAGTACGGACTGGTCGTGTGCTCAAATGCTGCTTTCAGCTATCTCTATCGGTTCTGATTTCTCTTATGTTCCCACAAACAAGCATGTCGTTGGTGTTATGGCCGCAGTGATTGTTTTTCACGGACTCATCAACTCGCTCTCGACCCGCTGGCTTGACCGTATCACTCGTTTCTATGCTGCATTCCATTTGGCAGTTCTGATTGCATGTGTGGTCTGTTTGCTGGCGAAATGTAAGGACTTCAATAGTGCGAGCTTTGTGTTTGCCGATGTGAACCCTAGCAGTGGATGGACGCCTAGAGGCTTTTCTTTCTTGTTTGGTTTCCTTAGTGTTGCTTGGTGTATGACGGATTACGACGCAACGGCACACATTGCTGAAGAGATTGAGAATGCTGCCGTGCTTGCCCCTCGTGCTATCGCCATTGCACTTTCCCTGACTTATGTTCTTGGTGCCGGTTTCAACATCGTTCTTGCCTTTACTATGGGCAACAATGTTACTGCTATCCTTAACACAGCTAGTGGACAGCCCGTGGCGCAAATCTTCTCTAACGTCTTGGGTAAGACTGGCGCAGTTTGCTTCACAGTATTGGGTTTCATCATCCTGAATTTTACGGGAATTACGGCTATTCAAGCGAATGCTCGTACAATTTGGGCATTCTCTCGCGATGACTTGCTCCCTTTCTCTAAATACTGGTACAAAATTAATAAAACTACGACGACCCCCCTTGTTGCCGTATGGCTGAACGTCGTTTTCTGTATCGCTCTTAATCTAATCGGTCTTGGAAGCTTGGAAACCATCGAGGCTATTTTCAGTGTCTGTGCTATCGCCTTGGATTGGAGTTATGTCTTGCCAATTGCCTGTAAACTTATTTTTGGAAAGCGTCTGGGTTATAAACCAGGTCCTTGGAATCTTGGACGGTTCTCTGTATTTATCGGTGCATACGCCGTACTTTGGACGGCGTTTGTGTCAGTCATCTTCCTTATGCCTACTATGCGCCCTGTCACTGCTAAGAACATGAATTACGCCTGCGTTGTATTGTTTGTTGTGCTCTTGTTCAGTCTTATCTACTGGTACTCCGGAGCTAACAAACGTTACGTTGGACCTCGCGTAAATATTGTTACCCTCGATCCTATTTCTGATGATCCCTTCAAGATGAAGTAGGTGAAATTCATTTTCAGGCAAGGTGGTATTTTTGTACAACTGCTTCGTAAATTTATTTATCAAGCATGAGCTTCTCTTTATCTAAGAGAATTAGTATTTAATAAGATTTTTGGTTATCTTTCAAGTTGAATTAAGGTTCGTAAATGAAGAAACCAATTGTATTCCAGGGATTTCTACCGTTTACTCTTCTTCATCTTCTTTTTCTGGCACTAAAAAGTGGTCAAGACTACCAAACAAATCAAGGAATTGCGATTGGGCATGAAGTACTGCCGCATCATAGTCCATTAAGGTAGTGTCGTCGCATTCAATGTCCATTTGCATCAATCGTGTTGGATGCTCAGGATCACATCGTTGTAAGAGAAGATTTTCAGCCTGCAAAAGAGCCGCATCACAATTACTAGACTCAAGTGTGCGAAGATACCAAATAGTGTGGTCACGAGGGCATTCACCCATCTGTGGCCCTATAATTAAACATTGAACACTTGCGTCGTTGGTAACGTCCAAAGAAGCTGGAGAAAATGAGTAGTGGCTACTTTCCATATTAAGGAAAACATCTCGTTGCTTAAAGAGCTTTCGGCAATCGCCTTTATAAACAATACATCTCTGGTGGATACGAAAGAGGGAGGGCCCCTTCTCAATCTTGTTGTCAATAATAACCTTGGCATGAAAGACTTCTCCGTTTTCCAGTGTCACAGTGTTTTGACCGATACCCCTTACTTCTTGTGAAAGCATGTAAGTTGCTCCCATAACGGCTGCTGAACGGCAGAAAGCCTGGCACAGTTCAGAACCCGTTCCATATTTTGCTTTGAGCATGGAAAAGTTTCCATAGATTCCGTGAGATTGGATATGCTTACGGATGATTGTGATAGCATCCTTCGTTAAAATGTCGCCTCTCAAAGAACGGCACAGTCCGTAAATTACACATTCTCTAAGTTCATGAGATAGTCCAAAATGATTTGACAAAAGATTTTTGAAAGGTTGCTCATAATATTGCTCCAAAATCTCTGCGTGCGGTTCCTGATCGGAGGATAGGACAAACGTAACAAAACGCATTACTTTCCGCTTTGATTTGAGGTCAAGAATCTTGTTCGTAAAAATATCAGAACGAGATTCGGGCACACTCAGCCAATCTTTCTTGTATGAGTACAATTCAGAAGCGTAGACAGGCTTGAGTTCAAGGTATTTGTATATGTGAGAGCGAGTCAAAAGTTTAATTAGGTCGCCAGAAGCAAATAGAGCCCGTGGTATCAGCTGAATAGAAATGCTCTTTGCGGCTAGAAGTTCTTCAGAGTTGTAAACCTGTACATGAATGCTTCGTAGCTTTGAGTATTCGCTATCAAAATTGGCAAAAGGAAATTTATTACTTGATGAGCAAGAATCTGACAGCTTTAAAAGATCATGTAAAGCCAAAGAGCCATCTAATTCACCATAAAAAGGATTCTTGTCAATATGGAGTACTTTTTGGCCTTCCCATGAGCATGCACTAACTCGTTAGTCTTCTTTCAACGAAAAGGTGCATACGCTGCCAAGATCGAGTTTGCAAGATTTGTACCAATAATGATAACGTCAAATTTGTGTTCTTCCATCTGTGATCGATGTATTAATGTTTTAGGACTAAGTTTTTAGAGGAGCTGGTGACCAGCTACGAAGTACCAATTGCGGTCCCGAAATGGGGAGCTGGAATGAGAAAATGCGACATCCAGCCATTCAAGTGAGCAATTCAATAAATGTGTACGGAAGGTGAAAAGAATGTATATTAGTTATGGAATAGGGTTGGCCCTTGGGCTTTTTGATAAATAGGATTTCAAAAAAAAGCAAACAACTTAGAAGTACAAGTTTTTATAGTAAAAGTAATTTTCGAGCATAAGATATCGTAAACACCCAAACCAGTAACGAACGCTGCAGCCAAGCTTTTTGAGGATCGTAGAAGGGTAATACTGGTGCTTACTTTGTTGAGTAATCTTCTCCATGTCTTCTTCATGAACTGTACGTAGACAGTATCGAGCCATGATAAGAAACAGTTTTTCGGGGCCAGAACGAGTCTGGAGGTTGTCATCCAATGACCTCACTAGGTCATTTGTTTTCATTAAAAGTAATCTAGAATTAATGTTAGTAGGTTTTTTTGAAGCGACCATGTAACATGAAAATAAAGGCGATGATAATTGCCCATTGTATATCAACTTACACAGTACGTGGAACATCGCTTAATAATTGAATGATTTTACCAAGCAAGTCTGTTTGATCAAGAGCTTTTAGCAGTCGATCTCTTTCTTCAAGCCCACGACGACTAGAAATTCGGTGTTCCTTTATGGCTTTGTAATCACGACCTGTTATAGCAGAAGCAAAGATGCTGAACTTTGCATCATCTACATTGGCGACTTTTTTGGCATAATATCGCAAACTAGTTTCGTCAAAGTTAATGATACTCAACCACATCCGTGCGTAATCTCTTTGTAATTGCAATGGGATATCGCGATAAAGACCATGATCAAGAAGCACAATTTCAAAATTACGAGGAGAAGAAGAATGCTTTGGCTTCTCGCGTATAAACACATTACCGCCATGTGGATCACAATGTAAATGGCCACCCTTGCCAAAAATCATTTCGTTAAAGATGTGACAAAGCTCCAGCGAGACTTGTTCACGGGAGACGTCGTGAGTATCATAAAAGTTCATATCATCAATGCGGGATCCTTTAACGAATTCCATAACCAAAATTCTATTATCGGCCCATACCACTTCAGGAATGTAAAGTGCTGTTTTTATTTTCGCAAAATGGTCACGAGTGCGTTGGGCATTCTTAGCCTCCATTGTAAAGTCAAGCTCTTGGGGCAAGGTTTTTTCAATCTCATCGGAGATCCAGAACAAGTTATAGTCTGGGAAGAAGTACTTGATGGCTTTAAAAACCCAACGTGTCATAGAAAGATCTAAGGCACAAAACTCACTTACAGGTGGATGTTGAATTTTGACGGCTACGAGCTGTCCATTGTTTTTAAGCTTTGCTTTGTGTACTTGCGCGAGGCTTGCGACGCCAACGGGTTTTGGATCAAAGTATTCAAAATACTCATCTATGTGCTTTCCCGTGTCCTTAAAAAAAAGCTTGTCTAAATCTTGGACGGAAGTCATCGGGCATTGGTCTTGTAAGGGTATTAACGTTTCAGTCCATTCCTAGAATAAAGTCAGTTATTGTTTAGTCATAGATGGCAACCGTAATTACTCGTAAATGTCATGCGAATTTTACAAGCTAACCTGAAACGCTCAAGGGGTTCAAGATGGCTTACCTTTGGAATAATGTAGTCCATAACGGACAGATGCTGGCCGACTTTGATATAAATGCCACCATTTTCTTCAAACACTTTTAGGGTCCGTTTTGCGCATCGCAGATGACAGCGACTAAGTGCGTGTTTTCTATCTTCGGGAGTTTCGTACTTGTCGGTAAGGACCTTTTTGTAGTCTGAGAAACAAACAAATCCCGTATATACAACACGATAAGCACGTAATGAAGAGACTCCTGCATGTTTTATAGGATCAAAGTCTACGAGCACTGCAGATGCAACTAAGGTGACTCCTACTCCAACCGTTACGTTCTTCCTGGAAAATCGCGTTCTGTTGGAGCCATTGTACCTTGAACGAAAACTGAATCTTCTAATATTTTCCGAGAAGCTTTTTCTGAACGATTGATGCCGAAAAAGCCTACTAAACATGATTTCTTGGGGTTTAATAACAATGGTGTTGGTAACAAACTGATACTGTTGGGCTCCTGTGAAAAAACAAAATTCAGTAATAAACTTCATTTCTAAAGTGCTTTAGTCTTTTGAGTTCATATAGAGGGAGATTTATGCGTGTATAGTTTTATTAGATTACAGAGGAAGGTTCATTAAGAGCTCTAAATACATGTCTGGAGATAATTGCCAAAGAAGAGATTTATTATAAGGCTTGGATGCTAATTGTAAGGAATATAAGGTTAAGTAACTGTAACAAATTCATTGTGCTAAAACTTAATGTTATTGCTTCTTATCAGAAAATGCATTCGAAACTCGTTAAATGAACAAAAGAACAAGAACAAAAACGCATATATATATGGGGATGCACTCTCAAAAAGTGGCATTCCGTTAGTGTTTAAGAGAATGATAACATTAAAACTGTTTATGAACGTTTGCTTGAGAGAAGATATTGCTTTCAACTAACAATACGACTTATTTGTAACTCAAAAAGCATACGATATAACTACGTTTAACAATAGACTTTATTCATCTTTTTTATATTATACGTATTTCCAGGCAGCATTATCGAAAGCATTGCATTTTTGTAATACTGTTTTATATAATTAATTCAAAAAAAAAAAAAAAAAAAAGAAAACTAGGACTTTGGCGACTGTCTTAAATGAGACTGTAAAATATATGCGAAGACCTTTTTTTTACAGTAAAATGCGTTTTTTATAATAGACTTTTGCTTATGCCTATGTCACAAACATGATTAAGCTTAAATCCAATAAATAGCCACTCATTCTGTTTTACAACCGAGAACGAATAACACTGATGATAAACTAAGAATTTGCAATATCTTTTAAAATCCGAATCGAAACCGAGCTACCGACCTCCTTTTCGTTTTCCTTCTCTCCTTACCATAGTTAGGTTTTAAACGAGAATGACACAATCTACTAGCATATTAAAACTTTCCGATGACAAACCAGAGGCTATTTTGAAGCTCTATGCTGAACAGAACTCTGTGGGTCTCTATAGAGTTTATGGAGACGAAATACACGATGTTTATGAAAAAGTGTTTCTCGCTGCTTTAACTGTAGATGATCAAGTGTTAGCAAAGGTTCGAGTCTCCTGCTTGTAGAAAAAGTTAGATACTAACACACTGCGTTATTAGTACTGCTATTCTATTCTGAATGACAAGTTCTATGGTTCACCAAGAGTGAAGGGTCTCTATGGCATGTTTCTTGAAGCGACAAGTGGTGAAAAGGATGCTTTTGCTTATTATGATCGACAATTGAAAGAGGACCCTAACAACGTTGTAAGTTTTGCCTTGTTTGCCTCGGGGTGGTATCTCACATTACTTGTTCAGTTTATCAAGAAGCGTCGAATAGCTCTTCTTCGCTCGTGTGGCCGGACAGATGAATTTGTAAAGGAATTGGTCACTTACTTAGACATTTATTACAATGATCTTGAGGCGTGGGCTGAGCTTGCTGATGTTTACACGGAAACCGAAGAGTAAGCATTTCAATGCGGATATACCAGAAGCTAACGTTGATGTTCTAGCTACTCTAAAGCAAAGTACTGTTATGAAGAGATGCTTTTATTGCAGCCCTTTGAACCTCGTTTGTTCGCTGCACTGGGTGACACGCTCTTGGCGATTTCTAGCGCACAACTTCGAGAACTCTACACCGCTCTGAAACATTATTGCAGAGCTGTAGAACTTTGCGATGCTTTTGTTCATGGATGGCTCGGTGTAAAAACGGTACGCATTAAATGGAAGATGTTATTTTGTTTTTGCTAACATTATGTCTCTAGTGTTCGGATAAAATACTGAATCTTTCGCGCTCGGAAAAGAAGAAGCTTGACTACAGACTAGAGAAGGATAACTCATCTCCCCTCTTGGATGATAAGAGTGTTGAACGACTTCGTGCCTTAGCGACGAAAAAACTCGAGTCGCTTGAAGATCCTCTTGTGAAGCAACAGCAACAAAAATAAAAGACCGAAATTAAACAAGCAGTGGTAACAACTTACGGTATAAGGGACACCATGCCACTGCTTTTAGAATTCTAATTGTATTACTCGTGTCACTCCGTAACGATCACTGCACTGCGGTAACACGTTTAGTTCCTCTGAAACAGATCCAAGGCATCTAAGGCTTTTTGTCATACAAAACACTATTCTCTTGAATAGTAAAGTGTTTCCATTGTCAAAAGACTTGCTTTAGAGTACCATGGATGAGTCTGAAGTGGAATTAGGGCTTTTAGAGGACGATGATGTTGAAATGGAGGAAGATGAGCCCATGGAGGAACTGCCTGAAGAAAAGGTCGAGGAAGAAGAAGAAATTGATATAGATGCAGAAAATGAAGAAGATGAGCTAGAAAGCAGCAATTTACAGGAATTATTAGAAACTGGAGTCAATGAACTGGAAGATCCTATTCGAGAATTTCGAGAGAAGGCGGTTCAAGCGAGTTCTTACGATATCACACCTACTGTAGCCATTCCAATGGCTACGAGCATTAATGCCTGTGCTTTTACATCCGGTTTGCGATGGCTGTTCACCGGTGGTGAAGACGGTTATATTCGGAAATATGATTTTGCTGCCAGCGTGAATGGTCAATTACCACTTACAGTGGCTCAAAAACATCCATTCGTTGATACAATTGTCAATGCGGGTGTCTTATTGAACTATTTTACGAATGGTTACGAGGTCGACAAACCTTCACCTGTTTACAGTTTGGCCGTCCACACTCAAGGCCTTTGGGCTCTTTCGGGCGTAAACAATGGTGATATTATTATGTACTCAACAAGACATCAAGAGGGTTATCCCATCACTTCTCTTAAGAAGCACACTGCGCCGGTCTCCATTTTAACTCTTCATTCCGAGGAGCGTAGCGTGCTTAGTGGCAGTTGGGATCGTGATGTGCATTTATGGGATCTTGAAACTGGTAATGTTAAGGCTACCTTTTCAGCAGACAGTGGACAAGTGTCTCACATCCAATATCGACCCGTTCCTGGCACCATCACGGGTACCGAGTCTGATGATATGGAAAGCTTGTTTGGAAGTCCCGTTTCCCGCAGTCCATGTGAATCGCTGTTCGGTGAAGAAGAAGCAAAACAGAAAGACGAAGAAAAAGAGCCTTTATCTAAGGACGACAAAAACCAAGTTACCGTCTCTAACGATGAAAACACACCAGAAAAACAGGAGGAAGGAAATGTTTTCTACTCACTTTACATTGATGGTATATTGGCCTTGTGGGACCAACGGCAACCAAATGTAATATCAAAATATCCAGTCCCCAAAGGTGTGCCGCCATGGGCAATGTCAGCTTCTTGGGCTGTAGATGGCAACTCCATTTTTGTGGGCCGTCGGAATGGTATTGTGGAAGAGTTTAATGTGCATGGACCGAAAGAACCTGTCCGGGTTTTGCGTATGCCTGCTAATTCTGGCCCGGTGTCTGCCGTGTGTCCCACACCGAATGGACGCTATCTCGTTACTGGCTCATACGACAATGTTAGATTATACGATCTACAGAAAACTTCAGGTATTAATTTTTTGATTATATCCGGACATCATGGCGGTCTTGTTAGTACTATATTTACTGAACCTTCTTGCCGGTTTATGATTTCAGCAAGCGGAAACAGAGGTTGGGAAGGCACTACGACTGAGGCGCTACTGGGTTACGTTATTAATTCTAACCCGTAAACAAAAGTCGTAAAAATCAAGCTACGAGAACCAAAGTCATTTTCACAATCTGAAAGTTTATTTTCTTTTTGATACTAAAGCCGTCATATATTTACTTGGTTGTCTCGTATGCCAAGTTGTCATATGCTGGTGAATAAAGAGTCTGAAATATCTTCTCCTGCTATTTCTGGTCTTCATAAACAACAACAGCTACTCTCTTTTACAATAACGAACTTCTACTGGATACCAAAAACTTTCCTTTGTTTCTGAATCCTCTTCTGTCTTCACTTACTGCGAACTTATCTATACCATACCCCAACATCCACTACCGCTAGGACGTTTTGTTACACGAAACAACACCACCAATAAAAAGTTCCTGGGATGAAATCAGACTTTCCCTGCTTAGTATGAAATAAACGGTTCAACGTTGAATCCTCCTTTGTTCATTTCGCTTGTCACAAATTCTGTTTCTTTTGGGTCTTTTTCGATTTCCTATTTGTACTTTGCTACTAATCTCGGTATATGTTTGTGTATATAAAACACCTTAATTGACTTAATTTTTACTAAGCGATGTTGTCTGTTCGGTTTCAAAAGGTTGTGAAAATTGTAAACCGATTATCGTCCACCGCTGCTATTCAATCTAACTTACCGGAGAACCCAGAGAACGAGTTCTCAGAAGAGTCTATGGAGCATTCAATTCCCCGTATTTCTATCGCTTATAATGATGTATCACCTGTCCATATCCCCGATGAGTCATTATCTCCTTCTGTACGGTCTCATCATTTACGACGAAAAATGGTTGAGTGGCTTTCGAGCCCGGAAGTGAAAAAAGCGTATCACAACAAGAGCACAAACATTGGGTTCTCGCGTAATTCAAGTGCACCATTTCCCTTAAACCCTCTCTTTCATCCCGCAAAACCGCTCTCTCATCTGCTTCGACAGAAAATTTATGAAAAGTATTCAAAGGGTGATAGCTTGGAGAAGCTAGCAAAAGAATATAAAACCTGTCCTCAACGTGTTGAGGCAATTGTGAAATTAGCTCGTATCAATGAGTCTTGGGGAAACAACGGTACTCCGGTTCTCGAAAGCTACTCTCGAGTAATGGAGAAAATGCTTAATGCTTGCCAGAAACGAGAGGAAATTCAATTCAATGACGATAATGACATTGCCGTAAAAACAACGATGGTCCAGAGATGGAAAGTACTACCAGAAAATGAACCATACACGACAAAAGACGCTGCTAAGGAGCTTGGATGGCCTCCCTTAAGTGAATTATTGGCTTCTGCAGAGGCCGCTGTTAGCACAAAAGCCTCTTGTAATGATGCCACTTACGAACCCACGAAACTTGTTGAAAAGTCACCATTTATGAAGAGTCACCGCATCTACCGTATGCGTGATATCTCTTCCGGAGATGTCTGGAAGCGTGACATCGACGGTAGCTTGTATGTGCGGAGGAAGAAGAAGGTATTCTGAGTAAGGGACAGTATGCAACACAGATTCGTACATAACGACTTGGATTGGAATACAGCGTAACGCTTGCTTAATAAATTTACATTCATTTATGGTACAAAAAAGCGAAGATAATTAAGATTACAAAAGACGATGTAGCAAAAGTGATGTGAGTACGACAAATGGTAGATGATTACCCACTCAGGCAATCACTTTTCGCGCTGCCTTGCTTGAACTTGTCGATGCAGAACTGCTAGATTGCGGGCGTGCAATTTCATTGAACTTTTCAAGCGTTGGTTTGTATACATCCTCATAGCAGTTTCGTCCGAACAAGAGATCCAACTCTTCATAGTTTGGTACCTGTTCCTGTTAGTTATACGTCAGTCTCGAGCGCAAGTACTTGCCTTGATGAAATCCTCAAAATGGTCACCAACAGTCTTGAGTACATCGATGTTTACAAGGGAATCGCTGGCTCCGTAAACGGTTAAAATCGGTAATTTTATATTCTCAACAGGATAGCGAGCAATCCGATTCAAGTTCGTATAATAACTTGTTTGAGGACCTGGGTTGTCATCGAACATCTGAATTACTTTGCTTCGTACAATTTGCGTCCAATGAATAAAAGCCTTAACAGAGGTAAAAGAGTATAGGTGCGAAAGAGAAACAACTTTTTGTTCATCATTAATATTTTTGCTTGACCAGTCAAGCAAAAAATTCAATGAAAGATCGATTATTTTTGCAAATACAGGAGGGTAAAGAACAGCCTGCCAAAATGTTACAGATGCCAACAGAGATTTTCGACTAAATAACAAAAAGAGAAATTGTGAATTTGCGTTCATAATAGCTTGAACAATTTTTGACTGATAGTATTTCGGAGATATAGTAGGAGCAAAAGCAAGTAATGCATTCACCGATTTGTACGAATGCGGATGCATCGACATCGCAGCCAGTAGAATAATAGAACCTTGTGAGAAACCAACAAGATTAATTTTGTCCCTGTTAGTTACTGAAAGCACATAGTCTATTGACGCTGGGATATCGAAAACAATGTAATTATCCAACGAAAAGTCCCAGAAATCCTTTTTCTCTGAAGGATAACGACTGTTCTTTTTGCTGTACTTATTTCCTCGAAGATTGGCGAGCTGAAGGGTCAGTACACCGAATGGTTTCAGGTATTATTGATATTCATTTAGAGTTATTTCCAAATGAAATTTCCTTTCTAGCATTAATCACGTACCCATACATCGTAACCCTCGTCACACATGACTAAAGGCAAGTTATTTTTTCTTTTCATATTTGTAACCCACACTTCTGAATTCATCATAAGTCCGTGCACAAACAGTATTGGCGGCCGGGGACTGGGAGACTGTTTCGGTTTAATCTTCGGCATAATTCTATGCAAGCAGAGTAAGTATCCATCACTCGTACGGATAAAATGCTCTTCAACTGCATAACCATGAATTCCGCAAAGATCAACCGTGTCTTTTGCAGAACACATTGCTCCAACCATTCCATCACACATCAATTCCGGAAAAACCCATAAATATAATCTGTTCTCAATCGTTAGTATTTTGTTTATTAAGGACAAATGTTTAAACCTTTGTGATTTGTTATAAAACCATAATCGAATACGATTAGGTAGCAAAATCGTAGCAATTCGGATTCCCTGCTCCAGTCCGACTAATATAAGGACTAAAACGAGAAACCAGTTCTCCCTACCAAAAAGCATCTTTATTAGAGACATGTTGGTAAAGGGAGGCAAATAGGCTTACGAGTAGTAATAATGAATTAACTCTTCTGTAGAAGGCATGGGTATAATGGCTCAACCGTTTTTACCACATGCTCTGAAGTTAAGTAAAAGAATATTAACCGTTATTGATAACGAATTCAAAGTTTCTTCCATTCTATGAGTAACAAAAGGACCAATCAATTTTGGGGCGACTTTTGAAATGCGGGTAGTAGACGGATCTAACAACTTAACTTTTGAAAGAGAACAAAATGGAGAATGAAATATAGTTAACGGAATTGAATAAGAAGTGTTAAGTTGAGTGGTACAATAAGCAAAACCAAAGGTTTCAAATTTGCCAATAAAAACAGCTAGTTTTCGCTCACATAAAAACGTCAAGGTTGCTATACTAACGTTGGCTCCCATTGAAACTGAAATAAGTTGCTTATCAAGTTTTCCAATTCATATTGTGTCTTCAAAAGTTATTGGGCAAATAGTCTTAAACAAAAATAAAAAGTACTATTTAAAGTTGTCAACTTATTATCAAACAACAATACAAATACAATACCCGGTTGACTTCAAGTTCGCTTGGCTGCTGTCTCGAAACTTTCTTTGTTATGTTTTACTTTAATTTCAATTCGTCAGTAAAAACACGCTGTAGAAGCTTTACGATAATATGCAATTGACAAGGAAAGAACATAATTCAATAACGTGTTAACTCATCTTCTTTTATTGGTAATTTACTATAAGACTGTCATATTGTTTTTATTCACTATATATGTTTCACTTCACCAGACTCACCTCTTCCCTCCAGTTGCATTGACTTTCACAAAAAAAATGGCTACTAAAGCTCAATTGGAGCTTTTTACTAAGCTAGCTTCTAATGAAAAAAACACTAGACTGATGGCAGCTGAAAGGCTGCTGGATTCTATATCAAATGAAGCTGAATTGGAGTATGCTTTAAATCGTTTAACAAAAGGTATCTCAAGTGGACGAGAAAGCGCCCGTTTAGGATTCTCTGTTGCTCTCACAGAGGTAAGAATATAATTTACTGTTTTTGAACCGCAATTCAACCAGCTAACGCGCTGCAGTTATTGCTTCGTGAGGAAAAAATTACAGCTGCTCAAATACTTGATTTAATTGAGAAGCACAACACTCCAAGAGGCAATCTAAAAGGACAAGAAGAGCGGGAATACTTTTTTGGCATGCTCTTCGGCCTCCAATCTGTTGTCCTCGCCAAAGTACTAGAACGCAAAAGTTGCACTTATGAGGATTGCAAGCGAGTTATAGACCTTCTGGTTCAGCTTTCACAAAAACGAAACTGGCTGAGGGAAACTTGCTTTTATGTTCTTTGTGCTATTGTTGAACAAGTCCCAAATTTTGACTTTGGTACAAAAGTGGTTGAGGCAATGAATGAGTTGCTCCAGAATGTAAATATATCAAAGACCCCTGATGGAGTTGCACTTTATCTTGCATTACAGAAATTACCCTCGAATTTTACAACTATCCCAATTCCTAATGCAGGTTGGACTCCTGAACATCCTTTACATAAATCCAACTTGGCGACACTTTCTAAAGTGATGCGTCAGTCTGACACCGAAGAACATGCACAGACTGGCGTATGGTCAAAAAAGCTTCATCTTGCCTGGACGTATATTCTCGCTGTTTTTGACGACACTTCTGCTGCGCCAAAAGACATTGCATCTTTTGATGATTTGTGGAAGGTGGTTATTGATGAAGGAATGTTTTCCCTTACTTCCTCCCTCGAACGGAAGTTTTGGGGATTTCGTATTACGGAGCTGGCTATGAACACAGCAAACACTGACAAAATCAATATACTGTTCTCCAAGAACTTTATGCGCTGTTTCATTAATCACCTGAGTGCTGAAGATCGTTACCTTCATAGAGCAGCCAAACGTTTAGCTACAAAGATTGAAAAAGTTGTGCAGAAGCACCCTAATCTTGCTTTTCCCATTGTATCTCACTTAATGGGTGTGAATGGCTCACCGAATTTTGACCGTTTGACAAACAACAAGCTTGTTGAACACATCCTCCCCTTAGCCGACGAAGATGGTATGAACTCCATCTTAGACTTGCTTATTGGTTTCATTAAGGAAATTCCCAAGGATGAAGAAATGGATGAGAAGGCATTTGAAATTCGTTGCCAGCGTGCCGCTGACACTGTTTTGGGTATTTTGAGAAACAACAAGTCAATGAAGCACCCAACATGGATTAAAAAGGTTTTGCACATCTTTGCGGTTTACGGTTACTTTGTCACGGACGGTTTGAAGGTCTCTAACGAGTCCATACACAATATGTTTATCGGTCGACTTATGTCTGCTTTGGGCTATCTTAGTTCTTTACGTACTGCAAAGGATCAGCCTGACGAGATTACAGCAGTCAATTGGCCCAGCGTTGTTTTAACTGACCTACTTTCGACAGAAAAAACGAAGAAGTATGATTTATTCTTCAAACTTGATGAAAGCCTAATTGAGGTAAAGAACAATGCACTCGGTATTCTACACAAAATAGACAAAAAACTGAAGAAAAGCAAAACAGATCAACAACAGCTGCAAGCATTCAGCTTTTTGTATTCTTTAGTCCTCCTCCAAGTGTACGCTGGCGACGCTGACTCTGTTTCCGTGTTGGAGGATCTTGATGTCTGTTACCAACGAGTGTTTTCCAAGTCAAGTAAACGTCATTCACATGCAGATGAACCTACTGTACCTGAAATTCTTACGGAAGTTATGCTCTCATTCCTTTCGCGTTCTTCTGCTTTACTCAGGAAGTTGGTTGATCTTCTCTTTTCATCGTTCGCTCAAGATATGAACGAAAAATCTATTCAACTGATTTGCGATGTCCTCCTTTCCCGTGAAAGTGCAAAAAATACTGATGGTGTCTTTGAGAATGTCGATGAAGACCAGGACGAAGATGACTTCGAAGACGAGGACCAATTTTCAAACGAATCACAAGATGAACAAGAAAGTGATTGGGAAATGGTTTCTGCTGATGATGCATCTGCAGATGAGGAGCTTGAAGCAAAGTTGGACGCATTGATGCAGGAAGCCAATGCTAAAGCAAATGAGGATGAAAGTTCTGAGGAGGAACTCATGAACGACGAGGAAATGCTCGCACTTGATGAAAAGATTGCTGATGTTTTCAGAGAACGCAAGAAGGCTTCCAACAAAAATCAGCGCAAGCAAGCATTGGAGACTGTTCAGCAAATGGTCGTGTTTAAGACAAAGGTACTCGATTTGGTTGACTTGTATATGAAGACTCAAACGACGAATCCCTTGTGTCTCCAGTTCTTGCTTCCTCTTACACAGATGATGCAAAAAACAAAGTTCAAGGTTCTGGAAGAAAAAGGACAGTCTATCTTGCGCAACCGTTTGACACGTCTTCACTTCGAAAACTGTAAACTGGACTCCAATGTACTCATTACGTTACTTGAACAAATTCACAATGTTTGTTCTAAGAAGGCTTCTCTTGCTGCCAGTGCTTCATCTATATCACAATTACTCATGAAGCTATTCGCAGACGATGCTACTGCACTTGAACGAGGCATTGAAGTGTATGCAGACACGTTTAAGAAATGGATTCAAAACCCCCAAAAGAATCAATTGAACGCGTCTATTTTCCACGAATTTGTCAATTGGGGTGTGCAACAGAGAACTAAGGCAAAACAAAATTCTACGAAGTCGACTGTTTCTCAGGAAGCCCCTTCCAAAACTGAAGAGCAAGGTCATTGAAAGCATATACTTCCTCAAACTTCGGAAAGCATATTTTATCAAAAACATTATTGCTGCATACCTCAAAAATTGTTGGATATTGTGCTTTGACTTCTTTTGATGGCCGAGTGTCAACGTACATGGATAAATCGTTTCCACACAAAACGAAGTCCGACCAGTCTGGCTGAAATACTGACACCCATTGTTCGTACAAATTCGTAGGACAGTGAGGCATGTAAAGCAGTGTATCTTCGAGCTTCTCAGTCTTTGGTGAGTGTTTTAAAACTTCGAAGCCAAATTCTTCGAGGAAAGAAATGTCATCCTTTTCAAATACTGGATCATAGAATCTTACATTCGTTTCCTTAATTTCAAAAATACGAATTATCTTTAACAGCAAAGACAGCTGTAGAGAAGCTGTCGTCGTATGAATTCGTCCAAGACCGAGAACCAAACAGTGATTACGAGTTGGTATAACGTCCTGTACCTTTTCTGTAAAATTAGGTGACAACTGTTTCCAAAATTTTGAGTTTTCGAGCAGTTCATCCACACGTTGTAATTTTTCTTTAAGCTTTTGAGTTGTCCATATTTCTATGTCATTCTTGTTTCGACTTGACTGAGCCGTCGGGGAGCAGGAATTGAGCTGCCCTTTTTTCCTTCTAAGGCATCGTTTGTTTGAACGAGTTACGACGACGAAGTCCATGCAAATGAGAGCTCAAACGTGTACAAAGTTTTATACGAGGGTAAACTCGTGTTTCCTTTCGCAAAGTATAAAGTTATCTAAACGAAGCGGAAAGATAAGCTTAAATGACGAGACCGCTAGTCGGCCATGAAAGTTTGTAGACAAGTGAGAGAGTTTATGTTTGAGCATTAAAATGGTCTTTCTTACTGCTCTGGTAAGCTTTATTTACGCAAAATCAATCCTTTTTTTTATTGAGAGTACTTCAACTGAATGGCAAGCAAAGTGTACAATCGACGAACTTGCAATTTAGGGTCCAAGAAGAGACAACATGTCTAATAAATTCACTACAAGCACAAGTTATACTCCAGTAGGATATGTAGAGGTATAGTTGAGTTATAGATCCATTTTTTTTCAGAAGAGAAAGACTCAACAGAAACTACTTTCTCAAAAGAAGGTAAACGTTGTCCTTAGAGAGACGGTATAATTTCCGGTGAGAGCCCTCAATACTCATTAACAAGCCACCATAGCTGATATAAACAGAGCTGTATCGTGTTAATAACTGCACCCAATTCTGTCGTCTCCTTCACATTCACGTACATTTTGTCATCTTTGGCTTCCTCAACACGATAAACCTTGCCATACATGATGTAATCTGCAGCTTCTTTTAAATCGGGACTATTCAGATTACTCGTTAATTGCAAACTGAAAGTTGCTCCCTTTTCCAAAGGATACAACTGAGTATTGATATCGAGGATCAAATCCAAGTCATTTTGAGCAGAGGATGCGGTGATGCGAGAGACTATGATTATAACAATTAGTAAAGCGAACAAAAACTGATGTTTTCATCACTGAAAAAAAAATCAAAGAAATGCAGACCAAAAAGTAATGCAATCAAAGAAAAAACATACCACGTTGATATTTCTCGCTGTTCACATCAGAAACGGTGAAGATTTCGTCTACAAGAATCGACTCTGACATTTTGTTGAATCTTCTGCAAGGTCAAGGTGGAGGAGGAGCGATGAACGGCAAAATCAAAAACAGCGCTCATAAAAAGATTAGTATATCAGAAAGATACAATACTTAAGGTTGTGTCATAAAAAATTGTTCGTTACTCAATTTTAGCTGAAACGTTCAATTTAAATCGAGTTCGTGGCAGACTTGGCTTCTTTAGCTTGCATAAGCTTTTCCATTCTCGCACGAAACTTTCTGCTGCGATTAAGTTTCATAACTGTTTGCAAGACCGTTTTCACGTAAAAAGCTTGTTTCTTGGGCTCGCTGGGCATACTGTCAATTACCGGATTACAATCTGGAAATAGTTTATAAGCGACTAAAGAACGTAGTTCAGTCCCGCGTAAACCGAGTTGTTTTAAACGGGAAGGAGTAGATTTTAATAAATACTCATCAAGACCACCGTCTTTTTTTATTGTTTTCAAAACTCGTGCACGAACATTGAGTCGAAAATGCATTTGCAACGCATCTGACCATAGTCTCTTCGTATGTGCGTTCACCTCCCAAGTGCGTAAAGTTTTCGGACCTTTGTCAGGAACATTTTTGCCGTAATAAGTAGAAGAGCCGCCGTACAATCCACGCTGGAAGATACTCTTGACTTCTTGAATCCTACCAACTACTGGAAGAAAAGGAAACGCATGTGTCTTACGTCCGTCCTTTGAAAGTGCTCGTAATCGAGGTAACAACTTCGTCAAAGTATCTTTTGAAGCCATTGTCATTCAAAAACTGGATGTTTGTCACTTTTTTGGATCTTGGTCTTAAATAAGAGGATGAGTGTTCAGAAACCCCTCCTGTGGACAAAGAGACACACAAACAATCAAAAACTCGTTTTTTTTGAGTTTTTTATAGCGGTTTCGTCAAAATTCCAGGTCATTAATACTTAAATTCTGTTTCCTGGCATATTTCGGCTGCGTAAGACGCAGAAATAATAGCCAGCGAAATAGAGCCATATCCATCACACAGGGAGGCCGCAAGCAAAAAACACATTCATGAGTGGATTGAAACAATCCCAATTGAACTTTACGAACAAGGGAATTATACTTTCGACCCCTAAACAATCTCTGCAACAATGTTCTCACATGTCTAATTTCATCACGGATCGCAACTCCACGTTTGTAAGTTGCTTTATTCCATGCACAGACGCGAAAATGTTACCGGTGTATCGACTAATGTTCCAAGAGTCAAGTGATTTTCGACACTGCAATCACAAAATGCAGGCATGGCGGCTATCAGCTGAAGAAGAAGGATTCAACGACGATGGAGAAGACTGGTCAGGCACAAACTTACTCAAGGTACTGCGTGAGGAGCATGTATATGGCTTGGTCGTGTGTATACGATGGTTTGGAGGCCAATTGTTAGGTCCCGTTCGGTTTCAGCATATTCGGAATACGGCTAGAAATGCCATAACGAAGTATAGAAAGGATCTACAAGCAAAACGGATGGCAGCAATGATGAAAGATGTAAAACCTTTAGGTAGCGAAAACGGCTTACCGCAACAAACCCGTCAAGTTTTGACTCAGAAACAGCGACAGTTACTCACGAAGGACAAAACGGTCAATCTGCTTAGGAAAATGCTTGGAAAAGATCCTATTGTTTCCGCAGATTACTCAAAAAAAACATTGGAGATATTAAACATGCTTATCCACAGCCGTAACAGCATGATTCTTGCTCTCAGAGAAGAACTAAAACAACAAAGAGAAGGCAAGACAAGTATTGAGGCGGAAGAAAAGCCGACGAAAGCCAATGAAGAAACTGCGAATGCAAAAGCGGAGCCTGCAGCAATCACACAAGCAACTAAAATACAAGATCAGGCGCCTAGCGACTTCACGAAACCGGAAACGGTCAGCAGTGCAAGTGATAGTACTTCTTCGACGGTACCACTGATACCGCCGGAACAGCATCTAGAAAAGGAACACGAAGTACAGCGAGAGAAACAAGTGGAACAACATGAGGAAATTTCGGATAATGAGAGTACACTGAAATCAAAAACAACACCTTTGGATGAAACAATTGAAAACGCAGACGCAGCAAATTCCTCTGTTCCGATAGCGAAAATGGAGACACAAAGCAATTGTGAGAGCAGTGCGTCTCCAGAAAACTGATTTGGGTGCAGAAATCCTTTTTTGATGGTTATGGACTGAATGACTTTTCCCTTGCTCGTTTTCCTATCGTCTACCAATCCCCACGCAATTCCTATGGGCTCTTCAAAAAAGGCAAAACTGACGTCTAAGGACGAAAAAAAGCCCATTTGGGGCACGTCGGTAGAGACATTCCGTAAGCTTTCTTCCAAGGAGAAGAAAAAATTGTGTACGTAATGAAAAGAAACTGTTTGGTGCTGTTCAATGCTAATGAGTAGCCAAGGACGAATTAAAAGCCTACAAAAAGCTGAAGCATCGTGTAAAGAAGTTCAAGTACGTTGACACTGTTTATCCACGAGTGGAGACATTATTAACAAATGAAAGATTGGAACAAAAAGCCATGAAAGACAAGAGTTCATCCCATGCAAAGTCATCCTCTCATGAGAAGCATGCCAAACACAGCAAAACAAAAGAAGTCGAACCTGAGAAGGAAGTCTCTGCCGTTTCTGCTTCAGGTAACAAGGAATACTGGTTGTCATCTGCTCTGCAAGGTGGTAATTCTCGTAAGGCCAAGTTTTTGAAAATGATGGGGATAAAAAACGTGGATACGACTACTGTTGTTGAGAAAAATGACAAGAACGTTGTTGTCCGTGAAAAGCAGCTGGAACAGCAATTTATGAGTTCCGTCGTACATAAGGGAACTCGAAAAGGATTGGGTGCATAGAAAAATGGGATTATGTCTTTCAAATTAAACACAATGCTGGTAGTGTGCTTTCGATGCAAGGAAATGCGATTGAATTACGCATCTTAAGTGTGGAATTTCTTCAGCGTTATGTACACATATTCATGAATAGTACATTTCATGAAACAAACGAGTAAATCATGCTGAATTGCTTGAGAAGAGTATTACCTGTTGTCTTTGTAGTTGGTAAACGGGCGAATTATTTCGACAGAAAGGTTGTTCTTAGATGATGCGCGTCGCGACGCGACGCGACTGCATTAACGAGCAATCACGTTACGTCATGTTAATTAAAAGGCGCGTCGGTACGCGACGCGTGACGCGGCTTCATAACGTTATGAGACGCGCCATGTACACAACGCGTCGCGTCGCGTCGCGACGCGTCAGTTTCCTACAAAACCGCAGCTCACGCTCCTTCTCTTCTGCTTCTCTGCAAAACCGCATGAAAGGATGAGCGCAGAACTTGCATCTTCCGGAATGAATCAATCCTGCCCATCGACTCCACTTCGTCGTAGCAAACGGTTGCAGCAAAAACTTGCATTGGCAGACTGCACCGATGAGCTTTGTAATTTACCTCAGACAAACATCTTTACAACGCCTAAGAGGAAGAGAAACGCGGATATATACAAGTCACCAAGTCCCTGTGAAACGTTCTCGGATCAAGCGTACGGTCTGATGAAACGTGATGAAATGATGTGAAAATAAAGAAAATTGGAAAGAGCCATATCCCGGCATTCCCAGACTCCTAAGACACCTAGACGCGTTGTACAGCTGTTGACACCTCAGTCTCATCACATGCGGACTCCAACGTGTGCATTCTTAGCTCGAGGATTTACTCCTAAGAGACCCGACTTCACCGGTACTCCAGCAACCCCCGGTACGCCTTCGGTTTACACGAACGCTAGACAACAGCTTCGCCGGTCTGCTCGTGTTCAACAAGTCGTAGGTCGCAGTGAAGAGAAGTCTAAAGTTTTTGAATTTGTGTCTACATGTGTGGAAAGTCACACAGGTGCAGCCTTATATGTCAGTGGTGCTCCCGGTACTGGTAAAACAGCAGTGATTACTGAAGTTGTGTCTCAATTTTCTGCTGAAAACAATGATATCCAGTTATGTAGTTTAAACTGCATGACTGTGAGTAATCCTCGGACCATCTTTGCAAAGATCCTCGCAAAGTTGACAAACTCACTCGAGGCAGAGGCATTGGATCAGGAAAGTGCGAAGCAACAGCTCGCAGCGTACTTGAGCCGGAATGAAAAGCAGGGTTCCCCTTGTGCTACTGTTATCCTTGTGCTAGATGAAATGGACTATCTCGTTGCTCGTGAACAGGAAGTTCTCTACACATTGTTTGAGTGGCCCACACTTGAAAACTCTCGTCTTTGTTTGATTGGTATCGCAAACGCATTGGATCTTACAGAACGTATTCTTCCTCGGTTACGGACAAAGAATGCTGTGCCTAAACTTTTATCTTTTCCTCCATACTCGGCCAAGGACATTGCCGACATTATTCAAACTCGACTTAACGCAGTCAGCGGCAGCCCTGGCGTTACCTTTATTCATCCGGCTGCAATTGACTTGTGTTCTCGAAAGGTTGCCTCGTCGAGTGGTGATCTGCGGAAAGCTTTAGACATCTGTCGTCGAGCACTGGAGTTGGTTGAGTGTGAGAATCGCGAACAGGTTGCTAAGGGTGAAGTTTCCGGTGTTCCTAAACCTGCTACCATCTCCCATGTCGTTCGGGCAACTTCTGTACTGAGTCAGTCTGCGAGTTCACGGATAAAGTCGTTGAGCATGCAGCAAAAGGCTATCTTATGTACGCTGGTCGTTCACGGAAAGTCTTCTTCTAACATACTCGACGTGTTTGAACGTTATTGCGCTTTGTGTCAACGTGATAATCTCATTCACCCGCTCACTTCCTCTGAGTTTTGCGATGTGATCAATTCGCTAGAGGTATTATCTATTGTTCAACTTCGGTCCAAACATCGCACATCTCGGCTGGCCGATCGTGCAGTTACGCTTTGTGTTCCGGAAATGGATGTTATTACAGCTGTTGCAGACATTGGTACTTTGAAGCGGTTTTTTGACAAAAGTTAATCTCCTCAAAAGCTGGCCCTTTTGGAATAATACTATTACTTGAATGCATGGATCCTCTGGGCATGCATGTGCAGACACTCTCCTTTTATCAGTTTTTTCACGTCCTTTCTTTTTTCCGCTAATTCTCTCTTTACCTACAAAAGCATCACCCCTTGTCGCCTTGATTTATGGTTCTCTTCGTGTTTGCAGTGATTATTTTTAAACCTAATTAGATCGCTGTTTTGACACATTAAGGTGACACGCCACTAGTCATTTATTCTGTTAACTTTGAACTCTCTTTCGTTCTTATCGACCTACCGCCTCCGTTCTCCTTTTACCCCTATAAAGTCCGAGCATTTAAATACGAACATTAGTCTGTTAAACAAGCTTACGCAAACCGAAGAACGGTATTCGTACTTACAATATAAAGATAAACATTCGACATTACAAAACATTATAGAACATTGGGTTGAAGTGGAAAATCATTAGTGAATTCATAATGTAAGGAAAGAGCTGCGGCGAAGCCGTGTAACCATCTACCAGTTATGAATCGCTTGCAGAAGTAGGAATCGTCGTATATGAGTTTAGCACCTAATGCCTACCTTGTATTCCGTTTATGTTAAGAAAATTTAGAGCTGCCAAATAACAACACGACCATCAGCTCCACTGGAACTAAAGGTACTAACGTCGGTAGCGGACGCATTGGTGTAAGGACGGATGGAGGCAATGGAGTTTTGATGCACAGTAGGCAATGAAACTTCCATACTAGCGGAACCCTTCAAGTCCATGTTACGGAAAGTCGAACGAAGAGCTGAAAAGGAAACAGGACCAGACTCTTCTCCCGCGTCGTCATCTGCGGCCGTAATGGCAGGGTGTTGCTTGCTACCAGGGTCCAAGTCACGGACACAAGTCCATTCAGACTCGTTTCCTTGAAGTAGTATGGGTGAGCAGTTGTGACCTGCAGCTACAATGGACATTTCATTTGCCCACAAGATGGAACGGAGGGGCAGATGAGACGTTTGCACCTTCAGCACTGCACGAGGAGGTGCATCTGGAGCAGAAGGATAGACGATGGTGACTGTAGAATCATGGCTAGCAAAAGCCAAAGCATCACCAGAAGGCGAAAACTTGACCGAATGCACCCAACCGCCAGCAACATAATCAGCACATATAGTGTTGAAAGGCAGACGGGCACCCCAAACAGAGGGATTGGGCTTTGAGTCTACGTCGCGAATGTATGCCGACAAAACGTTCACCTTACGATCAGCGCAGCCGGTAGCCAACAAGACGTTGTTGGGATGCCAATCGAGACTGAGAATCGTACTTCTCAAAGGCTTCTTCAAATGCTTACTGACCCACCAATCATTCTCCTCTTCAAAATAACACACTGATACTACGCGAGCACCACTTCCAACAGCAAACTTGTCCTCTTTTGGCGACCAACGGACAGTTGTGGCAGCTCTGTTGATGCGGAGAAGTACGAGTGTCTGCTTCCAAGATCCATCGGGACGCTTCTCGTAAACATACGCATTACGATCCTGTGAACATGTAACAATTCTGTTAGTGTTCGGTGCCCAATCGACACAGGTAACGATTTTTTCGTGATCAGAGAAAGTCTTTGTTGCTTTCCAAGAAGCATCTGGTTGCTTGGAGAGAATTTCAACCTTGTTCGACGCAGTAGTGATTGCAACCTCTATGAAACACAATTTTGTTAGCTAAATGTATAGTAAAACGGTAATCGGACGAACCTGAGCGATCAGCGTTGAATGCGTGCTCAAAAATAGGGACTGTAGGAGTATATATGAGAGTAGAAGCCATACTATATATGTAGGTACAGGACTAACAGTCTACTGTGCTCTAGTTACGTCTGTCGCTCCCTGTAGCGGAACTATATGGCGGGGAAGGGTGAGACGGAAGTAGTTATAAACGTCATCGTCGCTAACCTTAACCTTGTATGAGCTTAAAGTGATGTGTTGAATCGCATTGTATAAACGAGAAGGAGAGTAAAGAAAACGGAATAATAGCGAAGAATTAATGAGAATACAGCTCACAGATTGTCTATTATAAGACTAGAGCAAACCGTGATATAGATTTATAAATTTTGTGTTCGCAATAAAAATTGGAGTATGTATGTGAGCTTGTATTCTGGTCTTTATTCTGTAGTTAAACGGAATAGAATCAATTATAGCTTCTAACTTGAATAAGGACAAATTCGTTAAATTTGCGTTCATTAATTAAATTTTTTTTTTTTACTATTTAATGATATTTATATTTATATCTTTATTTTTAATTTTTTTTTTTTGAAAACGCTATACGCCATCTGCTAGTAAATCTGGTTGATGAACTTTATTAATCCATATTCATAGGGTATTGGATCGCAGACGAGACACAAATGAATTTTTTGAGACAGTATTTGTTGCTAAAAAGTAAGAGTAAGCATTAAATACAGAAAAAGCCCTGACAATCATTTATTGACCTTCTTTCGGCTTAATATAATAGACACTATTTTCTACAAACACAACTCGGTTATGCGAAAAAAGCCGACAGCTTTATTTCAAACCGCTTTGAAAATTAATAATTAGATTACTAAGAAGAAAAATAAAAACACTCAAAAATAACGGAAATGAATAAAAATGCACTAATTATATTTTTATTAAACCGTTTCTGAAAGTAAAGTAAAAACTACAGTAATTTTCGGACAATTGCATCAATTAAATTACGCGACTAAAATATAAATGAAAAAATAAAAAAAACAATAATAAATCTAAAAAGTCCATTACGCAGTATGTTTTTCAATCCCAATTAAAATGCTTTCCTCTTAGTCGCATAATAGCAGAGTATATAATTTATTCATTTCAGCACTCATAAACAATGGCAATTGCTCCACTCCACACGCGTATTTGTTTCTTTATGCTTGTTTTATTGTCTCCCCACTTCGCCTGAGAACTATTCAAATTCCGCTAAGCCAATGAGCATGGTTCTTTTGTTTAGACTTGACACGTAAACGTACGGGGTCTTGGTTGCGCGCGCCTCATTGTTGTCGGCAGCGAATAAAAAGCGCTCAACAGTGATTTCTGTTGAAAAAACAAAACAAACAAAACCGTTATAAAAAGTACATAAAAAAGAACTGCAACGATGCAATTGCACTTTATAAACGTTCTGCCAAGTTTTCAGTGTAAGTTTTATCAATTATGCAGAAAGCTTAAATACAAAAATAACTATTGACGTAAACACGCTTCTGAAAGGTATAAATAGAGGACAAATTTCCTCACAATTCTTCAGAACATTTGTTTTTCTCTGCATTCTACTTGCATTCTTACAATCACTCTTGCACATTGCATATTGCATAATTCGCTTAATTCATTTGCACACTATGAAGACTCTTGCATGGATCGGTATCATTAGCTGGCTTACTGGCATTTCCCAAGCTACCATTGTCAAACACGACGATTGGTCTTTGGATAACTGGGCCGAAGCTCAAAAGGGTGTCGCCTTTGGTCACCTTTTGGACAACATCGGTGACAGCGGCAAATACGCCAAAGACGTTGATCCTGGTTGCATTATCGCATCTCCTTCCAAAGAGAATCCCAACTACTTTTACCAATGGGTCCGCGATAGTGCCATTGTCATCATGAACCTTTGCGACAAGTTCCTCGAAGGCGACCATAAGTTGGAGCCAATCATTCACAAGTACATGGACGAGTCCATTCGCTTGCAGAAAACACCTAATCCCAGTGGTGATTATTACAACGGCGGACTTGGTGAGCCAAAGTTTAACACGGATGGCTCTGCCTTCACCGAGCAATGGGGCCGTCCTCAAAACGACTCCCCTGCTCTACGAGCAATGGCATTTATGAAATACCTTAATTACCTCTTGGAAAACGGAGCATCACCTTCTGAATTCCCTCACTGGATCGAAGCCGTTCTTGCCGACTTGGACTACACCGTGGCCCATTGGATGAACGAGTCCTTTGACCTTTGGGAAGAGGTGCAAGACATTCATTACTTTACCCTTACCGTTCAAAAGGCCGCTTTGGAGAACGGTGCGCACTTTGCTAAGCGCATTGGTGCCGTTGACCAAGGTGTCTTATACGAACGTGTTGTCTACTCGATTCAATTGAAGCTTGGCGAATTCTGGAACCCTAAGAAGGGCTGGATTGATGCCTACAAGAACAGACCCGAGCGCATGGGTCTCGATTGTTCTACTCTTTTGGCTTCAATTTACTCGAACCAATTCGATATGCAAACACTTCCAACATTGCTCTCAATGCAACAAGTCATGTCGAGAATTTACCCTATCAATGCGGGTTACAAGTTTGCTATGGGCCGTTACCCTGAAGATATCTACAATGGCATTGACAAAACTATTGGCAACCCCTGGTTTATTTGTACTAGTACTGCAGCCCATGTCATCTATAAGGCTGTTGACTACTATGACACTTATGGCCTCCCTGAACTCACTGGCGCCAACATTCACTTCTTCATGCACTTTTCCGAGTATGGTGATCCTTACAACTGGCCTGTTGTCCGCAAAAACCTTTTGGCATATGCCGACAGATTCTTGGAAGTCGTTGCTGAATTTCAACTTCCTAACGGTTCGATGTCCGAGCAATTCTCCCGCGAGGATGGTCACCAAATGGGAGCTCGCGATCTCTCTTGGAGTTACTCTTCTCTCCTTAGCACTCTTCGCGCTAGAGAGAAGGTCGTCAAGAAGCATTATCCCGAGCACAAGGGACGCAAGTGTAAGCTTGTTTGTGAACCTGAAGGAATGTGGGATCATGAGCACAAGGAAAATTGGGAACCTGAACACAAGGAACACTGCAAGCCTGAGGATCATAAACACAAGGAGCCTTGCAAACCTGAACATCATGAGCATCACCATGAACACAAGGAGCCCTGCAAGCCAGAACACAAGCCTGAGAAGCCTTGCAAGCCTGAGGAGCACTGCAAACCCGAGCCCAAGAAGCCTTGCAAGCCTGAGGAGCACTGCAAGCCTGTAGAGCCTTGCAAGCCCGAGCCCAAGAAGCCTTGCAAGCCTGAGGAGCACTGCAAACCCGAGCCCAAGAAGCCTTGCAAGCCTGAAGAGCCCAAGCCCAAGCCAGAAAAACCCTGCAAGCCCGAGGACCATGACCATAAGCACAAGCGCCCTTGCAAGCCCGGTGAGGATGAGCACAAGGACAACTGTGAGCACAAGCGCCCCTGCAAGCCCGGTGAGGATGAACACAAGGACAACTGTCAACACAAGCATGACCACAAGGACGAGCACAAGCGCCCCTGCAAGCCCGGTGAGGACGAGCACAAGGACAACTGTGAACACAAGCGCCCTTGCAAGCCTGGTGAGGATGAACACAAGAACAACTGCCAACACAAGCCTGACCACAAGGACGAGCACAAGCGCCCCTGCAAGCCCGGTGAGGACGAGCACAAGGACAACTGTGAACACAAGCGCCCTTGCAAGCCCGGTGAGGATGAACACAAGAACAACTGCCAACACAAGCCTGACCACAAGGACGAGCACAAGCGCCCCTGCAAGCCCGGTGAGGATGAACACAAGGACAACTGTGAGCACAAGCGCCCCTGCAAGCCCGGTGAGGATGAGCACAAGAACAACTGCCAACACAAGCCTGACCACAAGGACGAGCACAAGCGCCCCTGCAAGCCCGGTGAGGACGAGCACAAGAACAACTGCCAACACAAGCCTGACCACAAGGACGAGCACAAGCGCCCCTGCAAGCCCGGTGAGGACGAGCACAAGGACAACTGTGAGCACAAGCGCCCCTGTAAGCCCGGTGAGGATGAACACAAGAACAACTGTCAATACAAGCACGACCATGACCACGAGCCCAAGCGCCCCTGCAAGCCTGGCGAGGATGAACACAAGAACAACTGTGAGTTCAAGCGCCCCTGCAAGCCCGGTGAGGATGAACGCAAGAACAACTGTCAATACAAGCACGACCATGACCACGAGCCCAAGCGCCCCTGCAAGCCTGGCGAGGATGAACACAAGAACAACTGTGAGTTCAAGCGCCCCTGCAAGCCCGGTGAGGATGAACGCAAGAACAACTGCCAACACAAGCCTGACCACAAGGACGAGCACAAGGACGAGCACAAGCCTGACCACAAGGACGGACACAAGGACGAGCACAAGCCTGACCACAAGGACGGACACAAGGACGAGCACAAGCGCCCCTGCAAGCCTGGCGAGGACGAGCACAAGGACAACTGCGAGTTCAAGCGCCCCTGCAAGCCTGGTGAGGATGAACGCAAGAACAACTGCGAGTTCAAGCGCCCCTGCAAGCCTGGTGAGGATGAACGCAAGAACAACTGTGAGTTCAAGCGCCCCTGCAAGCCCGGTGAGGATGAACGCAAGAACAACTGCGTGTTCAAGCATGACCACAAGGACGAGCACAAGCATGACCACAAGGACGAGCACAAGGACGAGCACAAGGACGAACACAAGGACGAGCACAAGCGCCCCTGCAAGCCTGGCGAGGACGAGCACAAGGACAACTGCGAGTTCAAGCATGACCACGAGCACAAGCATGACCACAAGGACGAGCACAAGCGCCCCTGCAAGCCTGGCGAGGATGAGCACAAGGACAACTGCAAGTACAAGCATGACCATAAGGACGAGGACGGCCACGACCGCATGAAGCCCAAGAACAATGACCATCATGAAAAGCCTGAACACAACTAAGGGCTGACAAAAAACAAAAGAACAAAAAAAGAAACCAAAAACTACAAGACATGTTCATGCAACACCAATAATCCCACTTTTAGGGTCCCTTCTAACAACACATTCGTCTCACGGGAAGTTCGTTGCTTCACTTTGCTGTTCTAACTATTGTATTTCTTATCCAGGAGGCAGGTCGGTAACCTCCACAGTTTCCTATAGAATAGAAGTTAGTAATGAGATTCCCGTTTCAACAAAAGTCGTGGAGATAAATAAACACTTACAATTTCCTCGACTTCTTCTTGACTAGGCAAGGAGTTGGAGAGGGGAGTACGGGGCATTGCCATCATACCAGATCTACTGGCCTCCAATACACCAAACGGACGGAGCAATGTCAAAAAGTTGTCAATACGAGAGGGCTTTGCCGACAGCTCAATGACCGCAGAGTCAGTGGAAATGTCGGTGACATGACCCCTGAACAACGAGGTGAGCTGATTGATACTGGCCAACTGCGTGTTGCGAAGTTGAAGACAAGCAGTTGCACTCAATGCAACTTCAGACTCCTCGTTACTGGAAGGAGCACCCTCGATTCGGTTTCCTTTACGGTTGAAATGCTCTTGATAGTGGTCGGGTCCTAACAAAGAGACTTTAGCCAACAACAATTCACGCTCAACGATATTGGTATTCGTATAATCCAAGACAGCCCACACAGAAACAATATCTTCAATTTGGCGTCTAGCTTGTTCAACAAAGTCATCAGCACTAAACAGGTCAGTAACTGGGAGTAGTAAGGAAGACAACTAAAACATATACACACCCTCTCAAGACAATGGTCATGCGAGACAGATTTTCAATTTCGGTATTGCAAACCACGAGGGAGTCAATGTTGAAACCACGAGCGGCCAAAATTCCCGACAAACGGGACAAAACGCCAGGCTCATTTTGAACAAGACAGTTCAAAACATGTCTCTTCTTCTTATTCTTCAAATTGGTGGGAGTCGTCAAAATGATCTGTAAAACACGCAATCAGTTAGCTCATAACAACTAACTCGTTAAAGGTAAAATAATGCATACATTTGAAACAGCCTCGGGAGTAGAGAGACGAGGGGGCTCAGTAATGGGGCAAGGACGGAAAGACGTGTTTCCATGCAAAGCTTTGTAAGTAAGCGCTGAAGTCGCTGAACTGGACTTAAACCGAGCAAAGCGAGGGCCCTATGTCTGTCAGAAAAGAACGGCACACCAAAATATAACAGTACATACCAACTGGGCACACCGCCTCAAGAACATGATGGTAAAGCGCAAGTTTGTCCGTTGTCCACACAATCAGATACAGCAAAATAAATGGTGGTGATAAGAAAACATAACCGGATAAAATATATGTACGCAAATCGAGTTACAGACAACAACCATTAAATCATTCTGGTTATATAGATACAATTTTCATATAATGAACTGTTCTACCGAACGTAATAATGGGTTTGTAGTGAAGACTACTCCCAAGCCTTCTGTAAGTGTTACAAGTGCCTACTGCGATTACCACCATGCATCCCACTTGAGGTGCACAGCAAGTTTGTGGGGGGGGGCTCACCAAAGGCATGAGCAAGCCATAATGCATAGGATAATTAACCTAAGTGGTTGATGGCGAAGACATACAATACTCAGTAGCGATCCATCACAATGCCGCTCATACCTTTAACTACAAAATTTTCATCATGTCTACTCCATTTTGTTTAACATATACACAATGAGAAAAAGCATCGCCCTGGATTGTGTTTAAACATGACCAGGTTTCATTCGCTGCTTTATCTCACTTAAGTATGGCAAAAAGGTAACTAAACACTGTCTAATAATCATCACCACGAGAGAGAACCTCCTTTTTGGTGGGACGGAGCACAAGCGTATGCTCGAATTGAGCCGTGTAGGAGCCCTTGATATCAACCAAAGGAGGGTAATCTTGAACAATGCCAGCTTGAACAAGATTGTTAAGTGCAAGCAAGTACTTCGTCTCGCCCAAACGGTCGAGATAACGACGACAGAAGGGCAGAGTACCAAAGTTCTCATTGATAGTATTCAACAAGGCCTTGGCACGAGGCAGACGAAGGGGAATGTGTGGAATATTGGCGTTCTTGGCATAATGGGAACACTCACCATCCTCATGAACAATACCGCGACCGGTACTACCGAATGTTTCAATGGCGAAAATCTCGCCTTCCTCCATTTTCACTTCTTCACCGCCCTTCACGATAGGGACACTCTTTCCACCGTGAATGACATAGGGATCAATGTTGTGACCACTCAAGTTACGAATAGACTTGACAGGGAACGTCTTGCCATTGATTTCCACCTCATAACTCTCCATCGTTTCTTGGATAGCTTCACCAATTTCGTTTAAACGGGCATCGATACCGGCTTCACGAACACCGGTTTCGGTGGCTGCCTTCACAGCAGCCAACAAGTCGTCGTAGACAGGATCAAAAGTCATAGTGAAAGCAGAGTCGATAATGCGACCGTTCACGTGGACACCGATATCAACCTTCATAACATCCTTTTCTTTCAACACAAGCTTATCACCAGCATTGGGAGTGTAATGAGCGGCACAATGGTTCAAACTCAAACCCGTAGGGAAACCAACACCCGACTTAAGACCATCCTCCTCAGACAGAGCACGAGTCGAATCCTCAATCAAGTTAGCAATGTCGGTCATAGACATGCCCGGCTTGATTGTTTTCTGAGCATATTGACGAGCTTGGCGATGAACCTCGGCAGCACGACGAAGGTCGTTGTAAAAGTCAAAGTTCGCACGCTCAGCTGCACGCTTTTCCTCATCGGTCGTACGCCAAAGATTGTCTTCATTGTACTCATGCTCCTCACCAACAGGGTATTTCTTGTTAACAAAAATTTTCGACATTCCAACTCTGGGAGGTTCCGTTTGTACCTGAGGAACCTTCTTCTTCTTCTTCTTATGCTTCTTTTTCTTAGCAGCGGTAGAAGCTGCAGGAGCAGCCTCAGCTTGCTCTCCCTCCTCAGCATTCAAATTCAGTTTCTCCTCAACATCCTTGGCGACTGCTTCAGCCTCCTTCTGAGCTACCGTTTCAGCAGCCATTTTATGGTTTTGTTTTGGCGGCGTCGAGTGTTTGGCAAAGGACAAGTTTGTTTTAGCGATAAACTCTTCGGTATACAGCGCAAAAATTGTCATAGCAACCACACCCTTGGCACATGGCGGCGATCTGTTGTGGGGTAATGTGGGGAAGAATGCGGGGAACTGTATTAGAGCGATAGAGAACAAAAAGGCAAAAGCTGGCAAAACACAGTTGCAAAGAATTGACAATTCAGAAACTTTGTTTAAGTGCAACTGCTTACATTCATATCCCGAACCAAATCTATATAGAAGAAAGCGCTAGAGCAAGACCTATAGAAAAACAACAGAAAACATCTCGACACAAAAAAACAATTTTGAAGCAGGGAACTGGATTAGCCCATGGAATGATAATCAGTAGTCATAACACCAAATGTGAAAACAAGAACTAGTTGTAATCAACAGCACGAGCACGAGCAAAGTCGACAATGCACCAACCCTTGGTTTCCTTATTGTCAAGCTGTTCCTCTAATCGAGTCATCACAATTGCATACGTACATTGTTGAATGCGATCATTGCGGCCAGCAACCACCTCACCAGACTTAGCGTTCTTAAACAAATGTACCTCTTGTGTCCGGAATGTAATGACCATGACGGGAATGTTGTTGGGCTGAAGCATACGGTAGGAAGCAATATCGACGCCACGGATGTCGAGCACTTGTCCAGCGCTTACAACCCCGTGCTTTGCATATTCCTTCGTGGTTGTTTCCCAAACAGAAAAGGGTGCCTCAGAAAACCATGTACGTAGAGCCTCCTTGTCTCCCTTCACATATGCTTCCGATACTTCCGGAATGATATACTCACGCAAGTAGCGCTGGAAAACCTCAGAGTTGAACGAGGGATCAATCTCCTTAAATCGGCTTACAACTTGGGAAGCCTCTGTCTCGCTAAACATACGGTACCAAAACGAGGAGATAGAGTCAGCCATATCGCGTACAGACGAGAGGATAGGATGTTCCGTTTCTTGGTAGTAGATCTTAAAATCCTCCCATTTGCGGAAAAGTTTGGATTGATTCTTGTACATGCGAATGCGATCACGAATGGTCAATTTGTTGTGCAGCACTACACGGGTTTCCTCCGTATTGGGTTCGTAGCGTATACTTTTGGGATTCAGCCGCTCTTGCATTTCCAATAAAGCGCGTGCCTTCCGACGTTCTTCTTTGGTTCCGTAAAATCCATAACGTGAAGATGCACCATCAACCATGCTATCCCTGATACTTTGATACAAACGGGTACCAGTAATGGGTTTCATAATGATATCAAACATCCGGAAGAACCAATGGGTTGTACCTGAGACTGCTTTTCGCGACATACGCACAGGAGCACTTTCCCATGTCTTGTGCAGACCAGTACCTAAAGCAGCGGCAGTTTTAGTGCGTGCAATCGATGCCTTTTCTAATGCGTCTTTTGCCTTTTTGAACGCCTCACTTTCCCCCAAATGACCGGAACTGTCTTGGAGTGCTTTCACACTGGTTTCGAGTTCTTTACTCTTCTTTACTTCCGACTTGAAAGTGTCAAGGAAAACCTTCAATGGCGATTGAGGGCTTAATTGCTCATGTAAAGCCGAGGATGTTCGCAAGTAACGAACTGTGTACAAAGTCGTACGTAAGGAAGTGTGCAATTGCGAGGGACACAATGTCGTCCGCAACAGACGTCTTGTAGAGCGTGTGGCCATCTTTTCCAATTCAAAAGACTGTGTTTTTTACCAAAAAGAACAAGAATGTTAACTTGAAAACGAAAAGCTTCGTTATTCAGTGATATTATAATGGAGAAAAAATAGGAAGAAGACAAGGATATCGACAATGTTTGTCTATCTTATAGAACCACTTAATACTAACTTTTATAGCACTCAGTACGTCCACTGAAAACTAGACACTTAACAAGTTTCCAAGTGTTTTAACGTGGTTCTTCTGCCTACGGAACTTTTAGGGACGAAGCTTCCGAAGGTGAATTATTTTAAGAAGAACTGGTTACAATTCCTCGTGTAATTAGGGATTATCAACTACAGGGAAGAAAACGGCACAGGCGCAATATAGAAAAGGCACCGCCACAAATTCTGTTGGCAAATAGTCAATACTGCCAATGTGGGTGAGGTTTTGTTTCACACAAGACGTTTTCCTGAATTTCTGTAGTAGCTGTTTTTGGTGTTGGCATTACTGATAGTATATTTACAGAAAACAAAAAACCCCATAGGAAAGCACAAACTTGAGCTAGAACGCAGTTTCTTCCAGGTACTTAGCTAAAACAATTCAATGCATCTTTCAAAGCTTTTCTCGCAGTATAAAACAATTTTGGCGTGGCTACTCTAAGCTGTTCCATTCTCTCCCTCAATTTTACACACCTTTAGCCACAGAAAAGCACTTGCTAAGCATAGTATATTCTGTGTAAACTAACTAATTTGCTCGTTTGGCATATCCACGTCTCACGAATTCCCTTGCTTTTCTAGCTCGAGTATTTGTCATTTACTGAACGAGTTGTTCGTTTATCTGAATAAACGATCCTTGTCATTATTGGTCAAAATATTGTTCACTACACCAGATTTTTATTTTGGTCCCGGTCGAATTTGATATATTTTCGTGCGTTAGCGTCACCAATTGTTTTCTATAGAAAATATGGATCAAGAGGAAACCACCACACAGTCCGAATATCGGCCTAGGAACCGAAGGTATGACGAACGCAGCAGTCGTCGAGCTGAAGAAGATTCTCGACGGAACCATGACCACAAGTCTCGACATAGTAGACACAGACATCATCGTCGAAATAATGATGCAGATCGCGACGAGGGCCGTTCACGACATCAATCACACAGCCATTATCGCCATCGGCGGGAACGAGAAGAACATGTGAAACATCCAGTGGATGAACGGGAATTGTCACCAGCTTCCAAGCGAACAGTCCAACAACCGGATGATTTTTCAGCAAAAGAAATGGTACGTGCTCCAAAGCAATCCACTTTTGGTTCCCGATTCACACCGGCGACAAATGAGGACGTGTTCAATTTTGGCACGTATGGTTCGTCAGCTAGTGCAACTAAGCTAGGTCCCAAAACAGCTTTACCTGAAAAGTTAGAAACTGAGGAACCTCAATTGCAACCTTCTAGTCTGGCACGGGAAGATAGGGAGTCATCTACTGCTTCTGTTGTCTCCTACACTATCGGCGACAATGGTTCTGAATGGCGGATGATGAAGCTTCGGCGAACAATAGAAGCAGCTAAAAGTTCTGGGGTGCCTGTTGAGCAAGTGGCTTTAGAACGATACGGTAGCCTTCGACTGTTTTATGAAGCACGTGAGGAATATGAGGAGCTTGAAAAAAGAAAAAGACCAAAAAGACGAGGTATTAATGAAGGAGACACACCCATAACGAAGGTTACGGGTCGTTTGTACTTTGAACGAATGGCTCGAGAAGGCCATCAACTTTCACAGGAGACGGGGGAACGCGTGGGTTCAACAAACGTGGCATCAACTTCCTCATCGTCTGTGCCGACCTTAGACCAATTAAACAAAATGAGAGCAGCCGTCTTGCGCGCTCGTCTCACAAATGATCCCCGGGAAAAGCAACTCGAACAGGACTTTGAGGCAGCACAATCAGCATTTGAGAAAAGTAAATCGGCAAAGACAGCCGTTATTAATCCATCTAACTCTTGTTATAATCAGACTATCGAGGAAATGGTGAAAGAAGAAAAACAAACGCGTCGACTTGGTTTAGATGCTTCGTTGGCACGCAATATTATGAGCGATTCTCGATATTCAAATGACTTAGACTATATGGAGGAGCATGCAAATCGTCTGGCGGACCGTGTTAAGCGGCGGGAAATAAATCTTGAGCGTTTGCCGACAATGAATATGAAAAAAGCAGAGCACATTCTTGACAATTGTCCTCTTTGCTTAAATGCTGAAATGCAACCATTAGCACCTGTTGTTGCTCTTGGTCATCGGGCCTACTTAAGCTTGCCTACTGAGCCTGCATTAGCAAAATACCATTGTATCATTGTGCCAAATCATCATCGAGTCAACACACTTGAGTGTGACGAAGATGAATGGGACGAAATTCGAAACTTTATGAAATGTGTTGCCCTCATGTTTGACTCGCTGAATATGGGCGTCATCTTTTACGAAAATGTACCTTCTCCCGAAAAGTTTGTACACACAGCCATTGAGTGTGTTCCCGTGCCTAAAAGAATGCTCCAACTTGCACCCGCATATTTTAAGGAGGCCATTCTTGCATCAGATGAAGAATGGTCGCAACATAAAAAAATTATTGATACCCAGGCAGCGGCGGAAAGAGGTGCTGGTAAGTATGCTTTCCGCAACTCAATGGTGAAGGAGCTTGGCTACTTTCACGTTTGGTTTACCATAGACGGTGGTCTTGGTCATGTCGTTGAGGATGCTGAGAAATGGGGCAGTCATGATTCTCTGCCTCGTCAAGTTTTTGCAACAATGCTCAAGCTTCCGCAAGACTATATACGTCGGCGGGGGAAATGGACGGGTGGTTTTGACGAACGAGAGCTTCCATTCAAAAAATTATTTTCCAAGTTTGACTGGACTCGGCAACTTACAGAGTAGTTAGTTCCGGGTTTTAGTTATGGTAACTATTTAGTTTTTTCGATTGATATTAATATGTTAACAATGGGATGTTGATTAAATAATTTGTGGGCATTAGAGAACGCAAAAAGCTTATGAAAAGTTTACATTAACTATGGCACGTCAGCAGAACCAATTGTACAATCCAATAATAACCATATGTTAGTCAGCCTCTTCCATTCTTGTATTAGCTGGTTTCTCGGTATAAAAAAGATCTACTACCTTCAGTCAACAAGTTCAACAAACAAAACCGAAACTGACAAACCAATTTCGTGCAGCTTCTATTCTACGTCTTAACAATGTGAAACATGAATTCAAAGTACAATTCAACTTTGTTTCGCGTTACAGCTCCGTAAGAACTGTTCTTTCGGCGTATAATCTATATGTCTTATAGGCTACACCGCGTACACAACACAAAGCAGATTTCACCTTATACCTCCATTGTTCGCGGCAAGCACCCGCCCTCTTCTCATTTCATGCAGCATCAGGCAGTAGAAGAACGTGGAAGTCGTTTTGGTGAGCCATACACGCAGAATGAGTTCCAAACGCTACGTTCGTCCTTGTCGCGAAAATTAGGTCCTGAGTATGTTTCACGTCGTGCGGGTCCAGGAGGATTTTCTGTGAGCTATCTGGAATCCTGGAAAGCTATTGAACTTGCAAACGAAATATTTGGCTTTAATGGATGGTCATCCAGCATTCGAAGCATGAATGTTGACTTTATGGACGAAAACAAAGATAATGGACGCGTCAGCATGGGACTAAGTGTTGTTATACGAGTAACACTGCGAGACGGTTCTTACCATGAGGTACGGGTCAATATTAGTACTCTCTCTAGCAGTCTTGGTTTTATTAGTAACTATGGAACGTTAACTAACTAGCCTTTCAGGACATTGGTTATGGATCCATAGATAATTGCAGAGGAAAAGCTTCTGCCTTTGAGAAAGTAAGTTGGAGAGAAAATGAGTGAATGAGTGAATGCTTTGCTTGTTGGCTGGGCCCTTTGTTGTTCCAAGATTTGTGCCATATGCTTGGAGCAACTTTCACACATCCTCTATCCTTCATTTTATGATTCATTCTAATAACTTTTTCTAGTGTAAAAAGGAAGGGACAACGGATGGACTAAAGCGTGCACTAAGAAACTTTGGCAACAGCCTGGGAAATTGCCTATACGACAAATATTACCTGCGCGAAATTGGAAAAATGAAACCTCCGCCTTACCATTTTGACAGTAATGAGCTATTTCGAAGAGCTGACGCTGCTTCTTATCATACACTTCGTCCAAGACCATCCTCTTCTAATGGGCGTGCCTTGAATTCTACCAATTCCCCACAAGTGTCCCGCTCAAACGCTTCCCCCCTGCAACAAAACGAAGCCTCTAGAAAGGCTGTTCCTTCCCATTCCGCTCATGAACGTAATGAAATGAAACCGGGCGATTCCGGCACGAAAGAGGATACATCTCGCGATATTGAAATGTATGCTGATGAGGAACTTGACAAAATTTTCATTGAAGACGAGGTTATAGCTCATTTAGCCGTCTGTGAAGATGCAGGCATGAACACGGCTGTTTCAATTAAGGAACAAGTCAGCATATCAGACGTCACTGCCAATTTAAGTACGAATCCAAATATGTATGCTCAAGCAAATCCTACACGTGTGAATACTGGGAACCCGGCACCTACTGCCTCATCCGCTCAACGCCGAAAAACGTTTCCCATGGCTGCGAAAACCGAGGTGTCTAATACTTCAGCACCTCTTACAACGCCTGCGGCCCAACTCTCGCGGACGAATTCCGCATCAGAAGGTCAAGCGCCGTCACATCCACTCGCACCTCCCGTTAATAGTGCTACAGCTGCACCTTTCCCCCCATTGTCTCCCGCAGCTGCACCTGCACCTCCTCAATTCATAAGTGCTCGAGCAGCAGCAGCAGCGCAAGGAGTCGCAAGTGCGCCTCCAACAACCACATTCGATCCTCATCGTGAAAGCCCATCCATCCGCAAGTCTTCGCTTGTTGATCACTCTCGGTCTGCTCCAGTTCAACGTGTAGCCATTCAGCCTACCAATGGACGATCAACCACTCCAACTCTACAAGATCGTCGTAGTCCGCTTGTTCCGAGCAATAATACCACGGTCCATCACACTCCGTCCATCGATCACAGCAAACACACACCCGTAACCCGGCCAGCTTTTCGCGGTGTTGGAATGCCTCCTGGTGCGTCACGATACCATAGAACCAGCGGCGCGCATAAGCGACCATTGGAGACACCACACATCTCTCCGTCAACAGACTCGAAATCGTCAATTTCCAAAGGTGATTCACCGAGTGCGAAAACTTCAAACTCTCCAAACAGTGGAGATAAAAAACCGAAGACCGACACTTGATGACACTGAACCCACTGCGAATCTGATGAAAAGTCTCCGCTGTTCTGTGCAATTATTAAACCGTCTCAATTGTCATTTCTTTCTTATTTTCATGCTGGTGTTGGACAGCACATTAACCTCTCCAACTGTCCCTCAGCTTTATCTTTAATAAAGTTTTTCGCTTATCGCTTATTGGATTGCCACGCTTTCGCTTCCGTCCGTTTCCGTCAAGTCTCACGCTTTGATTGGGTTTCGGTAACTGTTTTTCGCTTAAGTCGTTAACTGGTCCACAACACCAAAGAGCAGGCTTTCCGTCAACCGTGAGGAATGCAAATACCCAACACTAGGCATATAAGCAGAGCATTGCCGCCCATATTCCTGCCAACTACACATACTCATTGACTGCGCAGCACTCGACTTTATAGACTTATTTCATCTGCATTTGATCCATTACGACCACAGGGAAACTTTCGGACCCCTACTAAACTGAATCCATCTTCCTCCAGGGACTTTTTCCAGACGAACGAAGAGATACTCCTTGTATCTGGAATTTGCCGACGTCATCTTTTAAATAATCGACTGTAGAAACTCTCAGGATGTCGACTACGCGAACACTGTCGGTGCCGGTCAATACGGCGACTGAAACGCGGGGAAAGAACGACGCGAAAATTCGCCGTAATTCCTATGTCGTGGGTCGAGGTCGAGACGATGAGGTTTTGGAGGACTTTGTGATGGCCGAGTTGAGTTCATTCCTCACTCGTCTTGGCGAGCGGTTACAGGAAATCCGTAGCAACGGTGCGTCGTTTCAGGAGGGCAGCATGAAAACGGTCATTGAGTTTTTCGTTCGTGTCCACGAGTATGTTTCTAGTGACACGGGCGTAATTGGCACAAAGCAAGTTGCCAGCATGCTTCAGCTTGTTGAAGAGAAGTACCATGATATTCTCGATGCATGCGATACCTTTCCCAAGAAAGCACAAGCTGCTTTGACATTCATGGAGCGACGTCTTGCCGATTTAGAGCGCTCTTCGGCTCGGTCGTTACAGAATGTTGACTCGATGCTTTCAGATGCGACGGAAATGTTTTCGTGTGCCATTAAAATGGGCACTAGAAGACTGTTGACGATCGACGAAGTTCCTGTCGATTGGCAAAACAATCCATACATTTTGCGTGGGTACCGGTTTTATCAAAGCAAACGCCGTTGTGTCAAGTCCATTCTCTCTTGGCACAACGAGACCGTCAACATCTGGTCGCACATGCTGGGTATGTTTGTCTTTGCGGGCATTTGTTTATTTTTGCACCCAAACACGCAATGGTGGACAGATTTACCTTTGTCCAACCGTCTTATTGCCCTCGTGTTTCTGCTGGCTGCTGTAAAATGTTTGGCATGCTCGACGATCTGGCACACGTTTGCCAGTTTAGCAAATCTCAAGGCCATGCATCGCGCTGCTTGTATGGACTATCTCGGCATTTCTGTACTCATCGCCGCCTCCATTATGTCGGTTGAATTTTATGGCTTCAGCTGCTTTCCCAAAATGCGGAATGTGTTTCTTTTCTTCACGGGCTCATTGGGCGTGATCGGTATATACACGCCATGGAAGGATTGGTTCAACGATAACAAGTACCGTCATGTAAAGATTGCCTTTTTCGTTGGTCTTGCATGCAGCGGATTTGCACCTCTGTTGACCATGATTCACATGCGTGGTTTCTATTACACAATGTGGATCCTACGTTATGTGATGTACTCCATAGCGTGTTACTGCTTTGGTGTCACCTTGTACGCCTTCAATTTCCCCGAACGTGCATTTCCGGGAGTCTTTGACAATCTAGGCAATAGCCATCAATGGTGGCATTTTATGATTGTATGCGGTGTCTCGTTTCAGTATTGCGCACTGAAACATTTTGAGCGAGGCGAGAATTTCGTCTGCAATTTGTAGGCATTTGAGTACAGTGTAACAAAGCGTTTCTAGCTTTTTACATTTAGAAGTATTCATTTGGTTTCCATTTGATTCCTGAGTCCGCTGCCCATTACTTGACCGCTTGCAACCGTACATCAGCCCGCGCTTGTCTTTTTTTTTTTCTCCTATGCACCTGTATCAATCTTGTTTCTACTACACCTTGTTTTCCTCATATCCCTTGTTTCGTGTTCCTGCATGTTAAATGTGGTATATATGGGGTGGGCTTTATATGTTTGCTCCGTTTCTTTTTGTTCTTGTTTAATACACTTGGAAGTAATGGAATGAAACCGGCCATGGCCGTTCAACGTTAACAAACACACACAACTTATATTCCAAACGCATCTATGTTTTTATTACTAAATCGGCATCTTGTCGCGTCTTTACGCGGCGGGTTCGACGACCAAATTATTATGGTCTTTTTATATGAGCGAAGTGTACTTACGGGTGGCTTTTTGTACGTCTTGCCCGTAGGGGCCTTTGCTCTTTTCTCTTGCTTCGAGTGTTGTACATTATGACCGCGTTGACTGGGAGGTCGCTTCTAATCAACTTGGATGGTAGGTCAACTGTCTCCTTTTAGCTGAGTGTATACTATTGCCATCAAATTATTTGTGAATGAGGAATTGGTAAGAAGTAAGAAGTAAGAGAGAGAGAGAGAGAGTAGAGAGAGAGGAGGCGTTGTGATTGTTGATGGGAATCAACTTGCAAGCGAGAATGTAACTTAGAATTACTATTTACCTTAAGACAAGCGACAGCCAAAACTGTTGCCTCTCGTCGTTTAATCCCACTTGGGCTGAGCCTTATTTACTTACTGCTACTCTTACGGCTATGTCTGCGTTAATACGATATAGGAAGACGCAACGAGGTTCAATAAGTGCGTTGTTTCTACTAGAACGAGAGTCTACGCAGTGTTGAGGATCATCCAATCTAATGCTTGCTTGCTAGTTGCAGGCATACCCAGGAGCACTACGGAGCTAACATGGTGATGCGATTATGTAAAACAATGGATGATGCTCGTTTTGCGTGATGGATTTGATATTCGCTAAATATATTGTTATATACCTTATGTGGTAAGTTCGCCCTTGGGGAACGCGGGTTTAAGTCTTGTCGTGTATGATCCAGTTATCGGGTTTGTTTCGTAGTGACTAAGACCAATAATATATGTCGTTGGTAGAATCTGTTAAAAGCTTTCTATAACAACGAACCAATTAATGCAGAGCTACATAGAATGTTTAAGAGGTTGTGTTTCGACTTCACTTCGTAGGGACAATGAAACAAATGGTACTCGATATATAAAATATGACGAGTCAACGACAAAACTCTGACGAACAACAGTGCGAAGCAGAATTAAAAAAAATACAAAAATTTTGATACGTATTGCTTTAACACGGGCATCATTCGCACTCAAACATTGTTTCCTTTTAGTAATTTGGTGTTCATTTTACGTAAGGACCCCTAACGATGGTCGATTTTACCGTAACGTTTTTTTTTTTTCTGAATGAATCGGCATTAAGCCGACACTAAACGTGTCGCATTGTTGACTAGGCTACACTAAGAACAAGAATAGATAATGAAAAGCCGACGAAAGTTGGGTCAATCCCCTTTGTCGAAGCAAGCGTTGAGCTGTCAGTGGCCTGAATTTACGTCAAGAATGAAATTGGCCTTACTGACTAGAGCAGACTATTTTTCTATAACTAACTAAGGGAATTGTTGCACGTAGCTGCACGTAGCTGCTGCCTGCAGTAGAGTTCGTTATTTGTGCGCAATTCGAAATACAGCGTCTTAGCGAGTGTGAACGCGGCGTCCAGTAATATGTTTTAAACCGAAGACTACAGCGAGGAGTTCGTAAAGCTTTAAACTCAGATCGTTTCAATAAGCGCGCGTCACACAAATGATTGCCAAATAACAGCTCTTGTATCAGAATAACCCTAAGGCTGCTCCAGACTAACCTAGCTGTGACCTAAGGGACCCTTTCGCATTTCAGTTTACTCCGTGCAACACGGTTCGTTACCGTTCGCTACACTAGCGAAACTCGCTAAACAAGTAACACCAACAACAGATGCAAAAAGCAGTCACATAAACATCATCATGGTAAACTCACTCTCTCCTTCTCTGCACACCAAATTCTCCGGAGTCGCAAAATGGTAAGTGAAAGTTGTTCAAATTCGCAGTAGCTGATTTACTAACTTTTAAAAAGCCTCGTCAAATCAACGACATTAAGCTCTTCTTGGAAATTGCCCGCAGAAAGGACGCTTCCTCTGCTCGCATCAAGAAGAACCAGAACAAGGAGATTAAGTTTAAGCTTCGTTGCTCCAAGTACTTGTACACTCTTGTCGTCGCTGATGCCAAGAAGGCTGAGAAGCTCCGTCAATCCCTTCCTCCAGGTATGTTTGTGTGTGCATTATGAGTGGTCTTCATGGGCTACAGATTTGTTTCGTTTTCGCGCGGTTCCTAACCTTTCCTACAGGACTTGTCGTTACTGAGGTCTCCAAGAAGGCCAAGTAGACTCTAGTAGCTTCTACTAGGTTCTCTTGATGGTGTCAATGAAATTCATCTTTGGTTGCCAGTATATTAAGTGGGTAATAGTGGGGGTATTGTTAGTGTAAATGGGCGGAAATGTCAAGTGCTGTAAGCGTCGTTTAAGGTGAGCATGTGGTGGTAAATATTCTCTAAAGCGTTTCGATTGCTGTCGCGTTATTTCGCTCGATGAAAATCTTAATACTTAAGGACTCGCTAAATGTTGCTTTATTTCCACGTGCCTATTCTATTTTCTCGCTCACCACCAACTTTTATCCACACCACCAGAAACCCACCTCTTCCAGTAACAATCACAATGTCGTCTCTGTGTAAGACACGGCTTCAGGAGGAGCGCAAGCAGTGGAGAAAAGATCATCCTTTTGTACGAACATTTTTGTTTCGCCTGAATGCTAACAATGATATAGGGTTTCTTTGCAAAACCCTGCAAGTCCCCGGATGGAGGCCTGGATTTAATGAATTGGACCGTTGGTATCCCAGGCAAACCAAAGACACCATGGGAGGGTGGTCTGTATAAGTTGACTATGATATTCCCTGAAGGTTTGTTTCCTTACCACGAATTGCCTCTGCAACACCGACAACACGATGCGGAAGATGAGCAGGCTGAGTGTTTTTGTCGCTGGTCCTTGTAGTTTTTTTTTTGAAGATGTCACTAACCGTGTTTAGAATATCCCACCCGTCCACCAAAATGTACGTGATGATAATTGTCTAGACTGGATCAGTTGTGATGGCTCGTCATATTGCCCATCACTCAAGTCTCCGTCCGTTCTTCACATTCATAATTGCTCGTTCGATTCTTTCAGCTAACACTTTTGTTCTGTAGGCAAGTTCACACCGCCTCTGTTTCATCCAAACGTATATCCCTCAGGCACTGTGTGTCTCTCAATCCTGAACGAAGAGGAGGGATGGAAGCCGGCCATCACCATTAAACAGATCTTACTGGGTATACAAGACCTTTTGGACGATCCCAACATTGCTTCTCCAGCTCAAACGGAAGCATACACCATGTTCAAGTAAGTTCTGATGACAGCCTATCAACGGCTTCCTCATGCATACGACTTTCTTCCATTCAGTGAACTAACATGAGTTTGCAGAAAAGACCGGACCGAGTACGAAAGACGAGTTCGTATTCAAGCCCGGGAAAATGCCGCCTAGGGGGAAAACCTTGGCGTTTGCACGAATTCCGTTCTGTTCCTATTCTTTTTCTTTTCGTCGTTATTTTTTGCTCCTACTGCTGCCGTACGGGTTATCATAAATCGATCCCACAACTATCATTCCCTTGTCATACCATGAATAGAGACAGAATTAGTGAGAGGGCAGCGAGGGAGCGGGACAACTAAGTTGGATCTTATTGGGGGTTTTGGTTGTTCCCGGCGTTCATGTTTTGATACTGTGCGTACAACTGCTGCTGATAAAACTGCATATATGCCTGATATCCACCGTACGCGGCATACGGATCCATTCCGGGAACAGCGACACCGCTAGGCGTCAAACCTGGGGCCGTTGTACCGGGTGCTGCGCTGATTGCGGGCATGGGCACCGCGGGCATCAAATTCATTTTGGTACCTGGGGCAGCCATGCCCAAGGAAGCAGCGTCAGCAGGCATGGACGGCAGTGGAGCGGCGGCTGCTGCACTCATCGGTGCAGCGGCTGCTGGAAGGGTACCGGCAGCAGCCGTTGCAGCTGGATTATTCGAGGCATAAGGTGTAGAGGAGGAGACGGGTTGTCGAGTGCTGTGATTGGAATTGTGGTTATGATTGTGGCCTCCGCGCTCTCGAGGCGCATTTTTCCATGCTTTAAACTGTTGATGGACGTTCGCAATTAGATCCTCACACAAAGAACGTGCGCGTTGTAAAGAAGCCGCGTCCTGTCCCAAAATGTGAAGGTGAAGCGGCTCATCGCTCTCGCGATTCGTGCTTGATTCGATAAAACCGCTTCCGTGACCTTTGATTTGCACACGAGTGTGTGTTTCTTGTTGGATATGTTTGACGTACGCACCTTGAGGACCAACAATTGCCTGCCGCAGATGAAAGCCGCGTGAGGGCGTCAAATTAACAAACACCTTGTCTTCCAACCACCGCCGACGACCATGATCGTCAGAACTGCTCCCTGCTCCAGCGGACGGGCCAGCTGCACTACTAAGCGGCGTCGCATTGCTGCCTGTAGGCGATGGCCGGTGATGATGGTTGTCATCGTGTCGGAAACGCCGCTCGTCCACCAAAGGACCAACATCCTTGTTAATCCATTTGTCAATCTCATTTATAGCAGCTTGTAGTTGTTCACGGGTTTTAGCAACCACGTGCATATGGAGAGGCGGAACCTTCGCTGTTGCCAATGCTTTGTTTGGATAATACTTTCCTCTCGTGAACAGCTGCACGCCAGTCTTGCTTTGAATATCGCTAATTGTATTTTCCTTGACAAGAATGTATCGATTTCGAACATCGTTGATCTCAACATCTTGAAGGAAAACGCCGTCGCTTTCAATTACCTTGCTGATAATGCTGTGAATGGAAGGCGGAGGAGGTGGTGGAGGAGGAGGAGACGGAAGACGAGATATATTTGACGAAGCAATGGTCCCTGCCCCAGGACGAGGAGAAGCATCTGAAGGCCCGGGAGGAGGTGGAGGAATTGTAGCAGGAGCATTGACAGCTCCCGATCCAGCGACAGGAGCTGCAGAACCGTGAGCAGTGGATTCCGGACTCGCACCTGTTTGCTGAGCCTCCATCAGCTTTTGTTTCTGTATGCTTTCTGCAACCTTGCGAGCGGCAAGAGCAGCGGCTGCGACAGCCGCTTGATCAATGCTTGCTGCAGGCGATGCAGTGGAATCAGTGTCATCTCGACGAACTTGCGACCGATCCATACTACGAGAGCGGGTTCGTCTCGTTGTCGCATCTCTCGAACTATCTCGTCTGGGAGACCGTTCACGGTTCCTGCCGCGGACGTCTCTGTAGTCAAAATTCTCCTCGAAACCACGATCGCGGGTCCGACCTTGACTACGTTCACGCGTCCGTTCGTATTCCTCACGGTCGCTGTTGTCAAAACGGCGTGAACGAAGACGCCGTCCGTCATTGCGATCATAGTCGCCAGCTGCGCTTCCGCGCGGCTCCCTACTGTCCCAGCTTCGTCTGGGTCGGGATGAATTCGACATGCTTTGCTGCACTAGTAGCTACTACCGCTGCTGCGTTGGTTAGAGTAGCCGATATCCTGGTTGTGGTCACGATGTCGGCCTGGTGGTACCGCGGATGTTTGCGGAAGTCCCGCGGAGGTTCCGGGGAAAGCCCCAGAGCAGTATACAAGAAAAAGATGAAAGCAGAAGGGGAAAAACGAAGAAACAGAACCCAAAAATGGATAGGGAAGATGTTGGAGGATGTACACCTAGTACAACTGTTTCCAACACTGGATACGTTTCAAAAATTTGTGAACAGTCTCAACAACCTCAGCGGGATACACAGCGGTAGGATCAAGCTTGTTTGCTAGCACAGTCTCCTCATGGTGTCTGGCTTCGTTGCGAGTCATGGCAACAAAGTTTTCGATGGCAAATGGTTTCGCCGGGTCCCAACGCACGAGAGTGATTTTTTGAGTTTCATGGGGAGGCAAAGCACTACGACCAGCGTAAACTTCCTCAATCAAGTACGACATTTCGGCAGCCGAGAAGCGGTAGTCAAGGTGCACGTTGTCGTTGCGTGCCTCAGCGTGAATTCGCTTAAGAGACTCATCATACAAACGGGGACGAGACTGCGTAGAAATGGGAGCCGTAGGATATTCAGCCAAAGTCGTAAGAATGTGTGTTGCAATGGTAAGACCAAAAATACCAGGCAGAGGACCCATGACGGGAAGAATGCGAACACGGAATTCAGGCAACACACTTAATTCATCGACTTGTCCCTTGGAGAATTCTTCCTCAGACAGCGGCAGCAAGGACGCCTTTTCAGGATCAGGTTTTTCTGACGAGTACACGACACGAATGCCCTCCGTAATTCCACGAAGACGCAAACGACGACGGGTTGCGCGTGACAAAGGATCCTCGGCCGTAGCAGAAATGTCGGCGATGTTGATACGAGTGGGATCCGACTTACAGGCCGAACCTGTCGACGAAATTACACGCAGGTTGTGCTCATGACAGTAGGCCAAAAGGTCCACCTTTGTCTGAATGTTATCAATAGCATCCACGATGAACACGGGTTGGCCTTCCATCAGCAATTCATCCGCATTGTCCTTTTGAAACAGCGTGATACGAGCGTCTACATCCACCCAAGGAGCAAACGATGCTATAGCGTTCTTGAGGGCAACAACCTTAGGCGTGCCAACATCTTTCAGCGTCGCGACAGAATGGCGATTCAGACTGCTCAAAGAAATCTGATCAAAGTCAATGATACGAATTCGACCGACGCCTGAACGTGCCAGCATCACTGTAACCCAACTACCGACACCACCGCATCCAACGACGACAACAAGCGCGTTTCGTAATTGACTCATGCCTTTTTCACCAAAAAACGCGTAATTCCGAGCCAATTGCTCCCGAATCAGTTGCTCCTTCATCTCTGGATCTTCTTCCTTTAGCAACTGCGAAGCCGCTGCGCGTTCTTTCTTGTCAATAGGGAATCCCGTCTCATCGAGCATCACGTCGACCGTCGACTCCTCGCGAAGAAGCTTCTCGTACTTGCGCCGGCTGCATTGCTTGCGTATTTGGATCGTCCCGAGAAGAATCGCAGCCGTAGCTAGCGACGACGAAATTGCGACCCAGGTTCTAGACGAAAACCACTTGGGAGCCATGTTGGCGGAGGGCAGGAGCGTTCAGCAAGGTGACAGAAGGAAAAGGTTTAACGCGTGACGTACCGTTTCCTTGCACATCCCTTAAACCTTAACTCCACGTGGGTGAACGCGGGGAACGTTTAGTGAGGCTTAAATCGAAACGAGCCCACATTCATGCTGTCCAATGCAGCCAAAAACAAAGATCAGAGGTAAAGAAACAGTAATCAGCATTAGAATAATCTACGCATTCGTTTTCCTGTATGAACCGCAAGCTCACCTCATTCTCGTGCTTCCCACCGTTTTTTTCTCGTGCTCCACACATTCGGATTATTGCCATTCGTTGGGTTGTTTCTCCGCTTGTGTCTTAACACTAATGTGATTTAAAGTGTATGAAGAAATCTACCTGAATTGCGACACCGAAACTAATAATTCGTCTTCCAACGCCTGCTAGGACCAATCAAGTTCTGCTCTTTGGCGCAACCGGAGTAGCACCTTTCCGCTATCTCGTTCTCTTCTTCAATTTTCTCTTTCTCACCCCCATTGCATCCCACCTGTGACTTCCTCCCCCCTCATTTCCCCACATATCCCCACAAGCCCCCACTGCCTCCAACACATTCACCACCACAGCATCCCCACTCCCGTTCGTCCCAACACAAACCTGCACCTTCCGGTTTTCCTGTTCACCTCCTTTATCCTGAAAACCTGCACGACAATTGTGTCTGGCCGACTTCGCTCATTGCCGCCTCTTCCATCTTCTCAACCGGAAACAACTTTCTATCGCCTTAACTGTGCGTTCTGTAATTTTCGGAGACATTTGTCAGTAAAACGTTTAGAACGGGATTCTTGCTGGTCAGTATAAAGGGATCGTAGATATTGAGTTTTCTTGTTTTCGTCGCGTGTTCTTTCGTCGGAAAAAAACGCTCCGAAATAACTTAGTCACGTATTTTCTGGATTGGAATTAAAGGTCGCGTCGAAACTTGGACGCTCCAGTCTACTCAAGCTACCAGAAACGGAATTTCTGGCATCAGCACGAACTCGTCGTGAATTTGTGTGTCTAGACTGAATATCCTGTGTGTATTTTTTTTTTCTAAATCACAGGGTTTATCACGTTTAGACCTGTGAACTGTGTGTGTTTCTACTCAAACAGAAACATTCTATTTAAACAAGGACGTGAACGTAGCAAACGTGAACGTCAACATCGTTTGTAAGCAGCATCACATTGTGTGAGGCTTGTTAACAACGAATTGTACAACGTCTATACGTTTAGTCGTAACGGGCTTGGTTTCGTCTGTCTCGACACATTATTAAAAGCGGTATTGGTTGTGGAAATACCCGCTCTTCAGGCTTATTTCGTTCATTTTTAAACCTTGAACCCTTTGAGCAGCTCTTCTTAATTCCACTAGGACACTTGTGCGTTTATCAAACCGAATTTTGATTTTAGCACTGTTTATTTTTTTTTCTGCTCAATCGCTCTCACTCCTTGATTTCAACCCTTTCGCCCTCTTTTTTACAACTTTTAAACTTCATCTTCCACATGCCTTCCGTTGTTCACGACGAAAATTTTAATGAGATGAGCGCTGAGTCGGGCTTGCGGAAGCGAAAGTCGGCGGTCGAACGGTCGGAAAAGCCATCTTTCAGAAAAAGTTCGAAGAATGATAATTGTGCGCCATCCCTTTCTGACCCGTCGTGGTATCTGACTCCAGATGGTAAGAAAAAGGTTGCTGCTCCTTTATTTTTCGTGATATGGCAAAAGGAAATTTCCTTAGCAGCCATTTTGTCTTTCATCATTGCAATGTTCATTCCAGGGCTCCGCGACTTTGCTCGTCCGTTTTTGTTCCTCTCGTACGAGCGGCCCGACGGCTTATATGGTAAGGGAATCAAAGACGTGGCTTTTACGACCTACTGGATTATCCTTTTCACCTATGCGCGCGCGGCCTTTATGGACTATATATGTCGGCCATTTATCGTATGGTACGGTGTGCGCCGACGCAAGACGGTTGTTCGTTTTTGTGAACAGGCTTGGTGTTTTGTGTACTACTTTACGTCCTGGCTCTTAAGTCTTTACCTGTACAGAACTGGCGGCTACTGGGCGGATGAGAGACTACTTTTTGTTGATTATCCTCAACGGTTCAACACTGCTCTGTTCAAGTGGTACTATCTGACACAGCTTAGTTTCTGGTTACAGCAATTTGTTGTTCTGCATATTGAAGAGCGTCGTGCTGATCATTGGCAAATGTTCGGCCACCATGTAATTACGAGTTCGCTTGTTGGACTTAGTTACCTCTTCAACATCACCCATGTCGGAAATGCTATCCTTTATCTCTTCGATTTTTCGGATTTCATTCTCAGTGGTTCAAAAATGATGAAGTATATGAATTTTGGTCGGATTTGCGACTATGCTTTTGTTTCTTTCATGCTTAGCTGGGTCTATACACGGCACTACTTATACTCTCGCATCGTTAGTGTCGTTATCCATCACCTTCCTACGATTATCGGTGGTTTGCGTCTTGATCTCGCGTCGGGCTTTCTGTTCAACCGTCCCATTTACTATAACTTCATCTTTCTTTTGGTATTCTTGCAGGTTCTTGTCTACTTGTGGTTTGCTATGATCGTCAAAGTCGCTTTCAGAGTCGTGACGGGTGCTGGCGCCGTGGACAGTCGCTCTGATGATGAAGGGGGGGATCAAAAGACTGCTCAAAGTCCGTAGAAGGAGTGTATGTTGAGCACAGCTTCTCTCGTTGATTGATTAAAGGTACCGTCATCCCCCACCCGTGTCCTGCATTACTTTGTTCTTTTGTCATTCATTATCCCCGGACGGTCCGAGTTTCTTCGTCAGCCGGACTGTTGCTCACACATTACATACTACAGATTAGATTTCATTATTTTTTACCTAAACACTCGATGTTAGGTGTGATGTTACGTGTTGTGTGTATGTATGTATATTGTATAGAGTGTGGGCATTATAAAGTCGTTAATGTTTGAAGTAATTGCTTATTGAATAGAGTTTAAACAGATATATGTCTAAAGGTACAGATGGTAAGCGTTTTTTTCTGAAGTACAGATTTGTTTATGAGGGCGGCTGTGTTTACATTCAGTTGTTACTCTTTTTGTTTACATAGAGTTTATAGACAAGGCTGTAATAACAAGGAGGATTTAGAAAGAGAAAATATTATTAAATTAAACGGGACCAGCTATTACTTGCGAATTACTATCACAGAAATGGTGTCAACAGAAAAAAAGGGAAAGTATTTTACAAAAGCGTGCGGTATCTTCAATGAATCCTCGCAGTTGCCATTAATGGCAGCTCGGTTAGCGATGAGAAGCACGGCAGGGAAACAGACATGCATTGGTGCCGTACAAGTAGGATCAAGCAGTATCGTTCAGAAAAGTGCTCAGACACAAACCAGACCTGTGCAAACAAATGATAGAGTGACCAAAGTTAATCCCCCTATCATGGCTTCTCTCGGCAACAAACATCAGAAAGACTATTTCACCGGAGAGTACGCGAGAAACATCTATCGCGTATGTCATCAAGCATTACGAGGGCATGAAAATCAAAGTGAAGAAAATGTGTTAAGAACATACTGTACTAGCGTATTGGCTTCACCGGATTCTTGCCAGGAGAATCTTATTTCATCAACCCTGTCCGGTCCAACAAGTGATAGAGAAGACACAATGCTACCAAGCGGTGAATCTAGTGAATGGCCAGAACAGCTTCTTTTAGGTCTGAGTACAGATGAATTGGAAGATATTTTGCAATCCTCGTCAGAAGCATCTGAATACGATGTCTTAATATCGACACGTAACCAAAGTTCCGGAAGGATACCGCCAGCTTGTGAGGAACGAAGCTGCAATCATGTAATTGACCATCGCGAAGGCTTTCGCCCGTTTCGATTGCCCGGGATGGTGCCATTTGGCAGGCTTGTTTAGGAAGCTGTTCAAGAAACGTTATTATACTCCCCATAACAAAACTGTGTGCAACATTACACACCTTTGTCAGCAAAAAGAAAGTGACAGGAGAACACAAACAACAAGCAAAAGGGAAGAAAAGGATCTAAAAAGGATGACAAACAGGGCTTCTTAGATTCGTATAAATGTTACAAATTGTGAACAACATGGTTGTAAAGGAAGATTGTGAAGAAGTGCACTTAGGAAAATGATTATGGAGAAACTTACTTCAACGGTACAGACAATGTACATTATCTTTCGGGATGTTTTTTTTTTTTTAAAAATGCTTTTTGAAAAAGCGTCTAATAGAACGGAAACGCTTTCCCTTAAAAGAGGTTTTCTCTTCAAAAGATGAGTCCGGAAGGGCTGCATTCTGTCGAGATGCAGAAGTATCATTTGCTTTTTGAGAAGACATCCCGTCACCTCTAAGCGTAGTAAAAGCAAAAGAGCTTGTATTGCGTCGTCCATCGACGCCCGCGTTAATAGAAGATTGTGCAAAATCAGCGGTGTAACGTTCTCTTGGGGCATATTCTTGTCTAAGACTCAGACGGCTACGATCCAACGTACCGTATGAGGGATTATAACCGGAATACTCATTTGCGTCAAACGTTTGTGTTTGACTACGTTCGGATTTGTTTTTTGAGCGCAAGCGACTAAAGAAACCCTTCTTTTTGCTTGCAGAAGCACGTTTAAAACTGCTTCCCGAAGCGACAGAAACGTTGTCGCTCATAGACCGCATAGGAGGTACCATTTCATTTTGCAAGCGTGGTTGCACAATGGGTTGCGGCGGTACTGCCGTTGTCTGTAACGAAGCATCCATATTTCGTAAGGTTTCTTCGACTCTGCGACGAGCGGCTTCCTCCAACGAAATTGGAGTGCGCTGACTTGTTGCTACTGAGTTCAATGATTCCTCGTATCCACTATATGCTTTTTGAGGCTCGTAGCGCGAAGCAGAGAGACGTACAGGGCTTCGTTCATCGGCGTTGAGAGAAAGAGGATAAGCATCATTTCGAGTGTTCCCAGACTCTGAAATATTAATTGCAGGAACAGAACGTGTCGGGGTTTGTTCAAGCCGCCTCATTTGAGGGTTCTTGGTGCCGGTATTTGCATTATGGCTTTCATTATATCCGCCAATGGCAGGTGGTTTGACACCATCAAAGTGGTCGGGTGCATCCTCAAAGTCGCTGTCACTGGGCGTGACAGTGGATATTGTTTCTGAGAGGCTTACATGCTTCCTGGGTGATGCACGGAGACTTGGGTGAGCGGAATGCAAAATTCCGTTCGCCGGTTTCTTTATAGATACTGTTGGAGACAAGTATCCAGTTGGTTCCGTTGTTTGCGTTAATTTTCTTCCTGAATGTGAAGGGATTGCTGCAGAAGAAGGAACATTAAGGGAAAGCACCGGCTTGCTGCTGGAGTAATTCGGCTGTTGAAAGGATTCAACTGATGGTTGTGCACTATGTGCACGGCTATTAATTGGGCCACTGCTTGTTGGACGTTGACGTCCATAAACTGTAGTGGGAGGACGAGGTGCAGAACTCATGTTCGGACTCGAAGGCATATATTCCCCTTCGCGAATGATCGGTGAGGGCGGTCCTTGTCTGACTTTTGCAGCCTTGCTAAGTGAAACACGGACTGCACTGGGAGAGGCAGGCGGCTGAGAGATGTAGCTACTATTTTGGTGTTTGTAACGAATGGGTTCAGCAGAAGATTCGGAGGACAGCGTATCCCAGTTTGCTGGTGATGATTGATCCAATGAAGACGCATTTTTACCAAATTGTGAGAATTGCTCATGATAAGTGGCACTATTTCGGTTATATCGCTGTGGAGAACGCGTATAAGAGGTAGGAGGAGTCATCATGGAGTAACTTCGAGCAGTAGATACATAAACAGGCTGTTTCTGACGTTGATAGTGCACAGAACTTCGCGTATTAAGCTGTTTAGAAGGACTCTCATGTCTATAGTTTTGACTTCCATTATACGGGGACCGTAAACTGTAGAGAGAGTTCGGATTTTGTCGTGGAACATTTACTGACGTATCAGTCAAAACTTTAGAAGGACTTCGTTTGAAAAGAGCCGCTGCAGCTGCCGCCGCCGGCAATTTTGACTTATACGCATCCATACGCTCCTGAGAGACATGACTAACTGGATATGCTGACATCGCAACGAATCCTATAAAAGATTGCACAAAATACGAAAAGGAGCGACCAATTCACGATATACCTTTTCGTCTTTATTTCCTTTACCTCTGCTTCAACAAATTACCTTAAAAAAGCAGTTCAAAATGGCAACCGTGAACAATACCAGCACAATAATTATCTCAACTGGGTTTAGAGTGGAACGCTCTGGTTAGGTTCGCATTAACGTTTGAACCCTGCTTTGCGTCAAGGGCTCTTACGTCAATAGTATGACGTTTACCGCTCGAAGGGCGCGTTTTTCGCTTCTTTCGATGATTGGTTGAGCGGAAGACGTCTTCCACTCAAGTTGCCTAAAACGAAATGCACGAATAACAGGAAACAAGATGAGAGAAGAACAGGAAAAAAAAGACGAGTATGAGAGTATTTTCCGCTTGACGGGAAGAGCGGTCCATTGGAGTTGTTGGTCCGTTTCGTAAAGACGCTCTGATCCGTGTTGCAGTAAAAAACCGAACAAAAACATCAAACGTCATATAAATGTATCTTGAATTAAAGGAACAAAAAAAAAAATAATAAATAATAAATAAAAATCAATATAAATATAAATATAAATATAACTAAAAAAAAAATTAAAAATTCTAAAAATGTAAAAAAGACTAAATTTCTTCCAAAGTTATGTTGTTTCTCGTTTGTTACTTTGTCATATTGGTTTCTGCATTCCACAAGAATATTCTTTTAAAGAGAAAATGAATTCTTTAATGTATGGTCATATATATATAGACATATTTTAACATCATCGAATTAATGAAAAAACGCATTTTAACACTATTGATACGACTATGAACTAGGTATAATTGTCTTTTAAAAGTTCTCTAATGCATTTGAATTGTTTATTTCTTGTTTTGCTTTCCAAGAGTTGCCCCTTCCTCTGTATGTCACCACTTTGTACGCGTCTCGCGACGCGCGCGTAGTGTTAAAGATGCGACGCGTACACGAGCTTATGAACACGCGCTGCGCGTTGTCACAATAACTTGCTACTCCAAAACATATTTCATAAACGCGATTTTTTGTTCAATTTTTAATTAACAAGTCGTATTAATGTTATGCGTATTCATCAGTGTGCTATATGCTGTATAATTAATTTAAAGTTTGTTTACGCGACGCGTATTTTCTTATAAATTCGCTCCCCACACGAACTCTCTCCGTTTCCCCTAATTAAGTACGAACGTGTAAACAAACCAGCATTGCGGACAATTGAAGCAAAAATGCGCTGTTTTAGAAAGACAATAACTTCTATGGAGCTTATTAAGACACCATGCGTGCTAATTTGTGCGTCAGTTGTTGGAATGAATCTTTCTTTATTTTATTTTTTAATTCAGAATTGGAACAATGCCATTCAATGGTGCATGTGGACGGTATCGCTGGGGACAATTAGCATTCTTTTGAGTGTACGGGTAAGTTGAGGCACCTTTGTCTGCGTAGCACTAACTTTTCGTTTAGAAACACATTCATTGGACAAATTTAATTATGATTTACAGTACTATCGATTGCTGCCTTTCCTTTGTGATACGTTCGTGCTTTCTCATATATTTCTGTGTGAATCCATTCGTGCTGTGCGAATTATTTGAGGCATCGGAACTAGAGATTTGTGCTGCACGAGTCCAAAACGTCGCAGGCTTTGCCATTGCTTTTGGAACTGTATACAGCTTCCTGCAATTGGGAACGTTCCTCTATCTTTTTGGTCATAAACTGCAAGTCGTGTCTGAGGAAGATATGAATGATGAGAAACAAGCCCATGCCAACGATATGGAGTACATGATTGATTCCTTTCCCGCCAAACCCATTCATCTTTAAACATTCGTATTTGTTACCCCCAATAAGTGTATTTTTTACGAACAACTCTGCCAAACTGCAGTCTAACCAAAGCTTATTGTTAATACGCGCCTAGTAACAACCAATTGGATCAACTAGTAAGCGTTTAACATCGCTAGCCCAGAGTTCGTTCCCCTTCCTTTTTTTTCTCTCTCGATTACTTTTTTTGCGTTTTGTTTTGTTTTCTTGTTTCCTATTGTTAAGGCATAACTTACTCTTATTGGAGAATATTGTTTCCAATTTCCTGTTTCTTGATTCCTTTATCGTTTTCCGTATTTCCGTACAGGTATATGGAAAGTCTTACCAAAACCGAGGAGATTGTGAACCTATAATATACTCTATAGGTTTTCTCTTTCTAACCAACGACTGTGTCATTGCAACGACCGTTTCATTATTGTACACCTTTTTCTGTCTTTTTAAGGCTCAATCCTTCGGTTTTTTTTTTTCACTTACAATTATTTTTATAACTCTCATTTTATTATTATGGTTAATCAAATTTTAGGTTCTCTTGAACCGAAATAGGACATTATCAGTGATTGGCTCGTTGTTTGATCGTAAGTCAATGAGCTAGCGGCCCGAGAACTTTGTCAACAAGAGACCCTGACAAAACAAAAAGCTTACAACAAATTGCGACGCATTTTCTGTTGTTTATGTGTTCTTAATCATCATGACTAATTAAATTCCGTTTCATGCCTTGCGAGTGTTTAAAACGGATGTCCACACAAGCCTGACGTTGGTGTGAAAAAACACAAAATGCGTAATGCATTTGTGACACAACATATTCTTGCTGCATTTATGCTTTCTTCCCAGCTTCCAGCTGACAAGCTAAATGAAAAAATTGCCTGATTTGCTATGTCGAGCCGACCATTCACCACAAAACTCTTCAGTTTCATACCATACCTGCACAACGAAAAGAGATCAATGGTCTCTCGGTCAGATTTATTAAAAAAACTTAAGTATGCTTCGACTTACGAAGAATGGCTCGCCGTAGGCAGCGAACTAGATAAGCGGGATGGTAAGTTTGATAGAACTTCTTTATATTTGTTTTTTTTTTCGAAAGTTTACTAATTACGGGGGTACAGGAAATGAGGACTGGAGGAGGGATGAACGATCCGATGAATACAACTATGATCTTATCCGAACAAGACTTGTGGAGCTTCGAAATGCGAGAAAGGAGAAAAATACGCAGCTAGTCCTTAGTTTACTTCGTATCACATTGACTCGAAGCTTTGGCAATCTCAACAACATGCGTCTGTATCGGTTTGCGTACGCAGGCACAAAGTACCTAATTAATGATTATTTAAATGAGGTTCGACAATGTCTCGAGTACGTTAACTTCACTGGTGACTTAAATTCGCAAGAAAAACTGAACGAGTTTATCAATTTGAAGCTCACTCTTGGAAACACAGCTCTTATTCTGAGCGGTGGTGGTACATTTGGCATGAATCACATTGGTGTCTTACAAGCGCTTTTGGCGGAAGACCTTGTTCCTAGAATTGTTTGTGGTTCGTCTGCAGGTGCAATCGTAGCTGCAGCGGCTTGTGTTCGAACATACGAAGAACAAATGCTACTTATACATCAATTCCACACAGGTGACTTGAGCGTGTTTAACGAACCTTCGCTGCCATATGAGTCCATGTGGACTCAACTAAAGCGATTTCTGACACGTGGAAGTTTTTTGGATATACAGTATTTAACACGAGTCATGAAAAAATTAGTTGGCGACTTTACTTTCCAGGAAGCTTGGGAGCGTTCAGGCTACATTCTCAACATTACTGTCTCATACGAGGGACTGTATGACATGCCAAAGCTACTAAACTACATCACCGCACCCAACGTTCTCGTCTGGAGTGCTGTTGTTGCTACGTGCTCCGTACCACTGCTTTTCCAACATGCAACCGTTTGGGAACGGGACCCCATTACCAAAGCACTCGTGCCCTTTACTGCGGGTGATAAACCCGTGTGGATGGACGGTTCTGTAGATGGTGATATTCCACATGCACGGCTTGCCGAAATGTTCCATGTGAATCATTTCATTGTATCTCAAGTCAACTTCCACATTGTTCCCTTCATCTTTGATCCGAATTCCACCTCTCGGCTAGAACGCACAGCCAAAAAGTGTGTCGACCTAATTGCCCAGGAATGCAGTCTCACTTTAGGATTACTGTCTGAAATGGGCATACTGCCAACTCTGTGTACAAAACTTCAATCGGCTATTCTGCAAAAGTGTATGTATCTCCATGAACGCGCTAGATTTCGATTTTGCTGGCTGCTGGTTTTCTTCTTGTTCCGTACTAACTTACAGACTCTGGTGATATTACCATCCTGCCCGCCCTTGACTGGAGAAATGTGAAAAAGGTCGTTCGCAATCCAACACCTTCGTTCCTATTAGATGCTTCTGCTAGAGGCAAGCGTGGAACATGGCCCAGTAAGTTCCCTTACTCTCAACTTTTCATGAGCTGAAGTGGATTATTACTAACGCGTAATTATATAGAAATATCTGCCATTCGCAATCAGTGCTCACTAGAGTTCATGCTCAATGACCTTATAAACCAATTGGTTCGCGAACAGGCTGAACATCCTGCAATGTTGATGCAATGAGTCAGGACAATGAAGGACGTTGTCACTTGTGCTACACAAAAAGTTATTCAACCCGACCTCCTTAATCTTCTACAGCTGCATGCATCTTCAAAGTTCCTTCTCCGCTGGTCGTCTCTTCCGCTTGTCTCTTACTTTCACTCACCTTCCCCACGTGACCCATTCGCATACCCCAGCGTAACTGGGGCCCCACTTCACCGCCAATCACCCCGCGCTACTTAGTGGGCAGAACCCCCTGGGCCCCGCCCGAACAAAAACCCTTGTCCGCTTTTCGCATGTTCTGAATGCTAAATCAAGCACAGCTGGACTGTGCTGAAATAAAGACCTGCCTTTCAACAACACGTTTGCCTAGCAACTAGCGATGAACGTTTTGTAACCTTCAGCTGTTTCCGCCAGCATCCAGGTGCCCGCTCGGGGTGGACGAAGCGCCGAGTATTTTGATTTACCCCTTTTTGCGCTAAGCGAACCAATGATTATTGACTTTTAACGAAGTATTAACATAATTGGTTCCCGAGACTGCTTTCCCAGTGGAGTAAACGGAAAACCGATCAGCGTTTAAACCAATCAAGATGAGGGTTTTTTGCCGAAACCCCTCTCCACACGGGATGCTATTTTGCCCGTCACACGCATCCAGACCGTTGGCGCTAGTCGCTTCGGCTCTAATCGTTGTGCGGGGTAAACCCTCCGCGAATATTATTATCGCCACTTTCATGACGTCAACATTACGAGAATTTCCGAGAAGAAGAGCAGATTTACTAAAATCCATGGATATGAAGTTTTACAGACGCCAGAATTAGACGTTGAAGGCACGAATAAAACAATAAATATCCGGGTGCAATTCGTACGGTTCTATAACTGAATCTAGACAAATCTTAATCCGCCGGCGACGTAAGAAGCAAACGCGGCATGCGACTCATTGCGACGCGTCCACCAATGATAAACGTCATGCGTCTCTACGCGAGCTGCCCCAGACGCGCATTGTTGACGCAAATCGCTCACTCCTTTCGGCGCGAAGCGGTCCGGGACGACATAGAGTAGGTGAATAGACGCAAACTAGTATTGCGGAGAAACGGAGCAATTAGTCACAGCAGTTTCACATTAAGTGAGATGGATCGATTAGACGCGTGGTTGTCTCCACAATTCATGTTTTCCACCTGCTGCACTACCCCCTATGATGTCAAGCACATTCTTGAGCAAAAAAGAACAATGAGGGGTATGTAGCGTGTTCGTTGCGGGGAATGCAGCTAGCAGAAGCAATTTGATGATTATGAATTCGAAAAATCGACTAATTCCATCGAATTGGGTTCATTTTTCGGAATCGAACGAATGTAATTTGATGACCTATATGCACCCTGCCCCGCCTTTTCTGTCTTCAACAATACTATAAAAGGGCCTGTATCCTTCCCGTATTGCCATCAATTCACTGCATTCTATCCTCGCATAGCCTCTTTATTCCAGTCGCTTTCGTGAGCAAGCAATCTATTTTCCTTACCCCAGAGTCTACGGGTGTAATATCTTTTTTAATTCTTGCTTACTACATTCCCGTTCCAGCATCACTAGCTCTGTGACCTTGGAACAGTTTGTCTACATCGCACGCTACTACAGAACTTACAGCTGCAATTACCAATTCAATTCTTAGTGCAACAACACAGGAACCCCACACTTTGCTAGGACTCTTTGTGTTTGTTTCTCATACTCGACTTACGTATTAGTCCAGATTCCGAAGACTATCCAGCCGTTTCCGCTATTACAGTCATCGGATCCCTTCTCCACCTTTGACGTCAAACCCCTCAATTCGTCGCGGCTTCCGAAAGATTTCCAGTATCGGCAAGTGACGACTTCAGCGACTTGCTAATTCGACGAGGTTTACACACTTCGTTCATTCAATTCCCGGCTAGTCTAGCGAACAACTTTTGTTGATCTGATTCCCGGTTTATTTAAGCAGTTGCAATCCGCTCTTTAAAGAACCTCAACAGCAACATACCTATCTTTTTGTTTACAAAGCACCCATTGCTTATTCCGAGAAGTACCTCTCTTTCCCGTGCACAACTAACACGAACATGTTGAAAGGACTTTTTGTGTGGACGTTGTATTTAGCGTCAAACCTTTTGAGCGCTTCCGCATTTCCCGCCGATGGCGCTGGTAGTATCGCTCACGTGCTAAAGAAGCGCGACAGCAGCAGCAAGGACTCGAAGAAGAAGCCTAGCTATGCTCCTTATTACACCGATTGTCCTTCGGATAACATTGTGGAGTCTGTCAGCAGCGGCAGCATCCCTGCAGCTGAGCGCTCGTACCTCAGCACTCACAAATCTGTGGCCGACCCAGCTATGAAGCAATACTTCATAAACGCTGGTCTGCCTGGCATCAATGCTGATGATCTTGTCGGCAGCAAGGGTCCTGTGGTCGGTATCGCCATTTCTGGCGGCGGTTTCCGTTCCATGTTGACTGGTGCCGGTGCTTTGAGCGCCATGGATTCTCGTCACAATAACCACACCGTTTTGACCGGTCTGCTCCAAGCCGCTTCCTATGTTACAGGTGTCGACGGCGGTGCTTGGCTGTTGGGCTCAATGGCTGTCAACAACTTCAGTACTGTCAACCACCTCAAGGAAAAAATCTGGCGTCTGCAACGTGACATTCTCTTCCCTAAGAGTATCATTCTTTACAATGCCGACTTCTACAAGGATCTTGTAACAGAGACGGCTGAAAAGAAGGCCGCCGGTTTCGACATTTCTCTATCAGATTACTTTGGTCGTGTTTTGTCACGTCCCTTCGTGGACCCCAAATGGGGCGCCCCTAATGTCTCGTTCTCGAGCATCGAGTCGCAAGAGTGGTACGCTGACGCCGAATTCCCTTACCCCATTGTTATGGCCACAACTAAGAAGCCCGATACCCAATTGAACCGTCTGAACGACACAATTATCGAGATCTCACCCAGCGCTTTTGGTACCTTTGACCACGGTGTCCGCGCCTTTGTGCCAACTGAGTACATTGGTACTACTCTTGACAACGGTAAGAGCGACAACGGCTCTTGTGTCGCCAACTACGACAACTTTGGTCTGATTATGGCCATTGCATCCACGCAATTCAACGGCCTTATGCGCAACTTCAACGACTCTTCTACGAAGAACGGTCGTGTCCTTCAAGATTACTTGAAGGGCAACTTCACTGAAGCCAACCAGGACATTGAGCCTATTCCCAACCCCTTCAAGGGCCTCTCCTCTGCTGCCAATGCTGATGGCTTGTCGGACTCTGACAGCTTGTACCTTGCCGATGCTTCTGAGAGCCAGAACTTGGGTATCTGGCCCTTGATCCAAAAGGGCCGTGACGTCGATGTCATTATCGCCGTCGACAACAGTGCCAACACCGAGTACTTGTGGCCCGATGGAAGCGCATTGGTTGCTACCTATGAGCGTGCTCTTGCCGAGAAGGACAAGGAAGACAGCAACGTCAAGGGTTTCCCCTACATTCCCTCTCAAGAATCCTTTGTCAACCTCCACTACAACGACCGCCCTGTCTTCTTCGGCTGTGATGGTCGCAACACGACCTACGGCAACCACACTGTTACTCGTAACACTCCTCCTTTGGTTGTGTACCTGCCCAACGTCCCTTACATCTACTACACCAACATCTCCACGGAGCGCCTCTACTACACCGAGGACCAAGAGAAGCAACTTTTGACGAACGGTCTCATTGGAGCCACTTATAACAACAACACCTACTTTGGCCAATGCGTTGCCTGTGCCGTCATCAAGCGTACTTTGGAGCGCCAAAACATGACCGCTAGCCCGCAATGCCAAGAGTGTTATGCCCGCTTCTGCTGGTCGGGCGTACAGGACAACACCGAGTCCGACACCACTTACCTCTATGACCCCAAGCTTGCACTTTAATCAGCTCTCTCGTGGTGATAATACCCAACAAAACAAATTGACAGCAATATCAGCCACCTGGTGTCATTAATCGATTCAAAAATTCGAGGTCATTGTAAGAGTAATTCTATTATGTATGTATCGCAAATATAATATATTCAGTTTGGTTACTTACGAGTGGTTGGTGTTTGCGTAAGCACTGTGGCGACGGGCTGGCGCAAGTGGTGGGGAGTCTCCTCGGCGTTTATGCGTAAAGAGCGGACTGAGAAAACATGTTACTGAACATGTTGTTTTTGTTATTGTCGACGCTGCTGCTGCTGAGTTGTATGATTTCGCTCGAGTAGATCCGTAAAGGTCATCGCCAGTAATCTCCATGCTCGTACACATCCGCACTACACAAAGTTCCTCCAACGAGGATCCTCACACCGAGAGTAAACACCGAGGACGATCCATCTCGGTTCAGATAGGGTTTCGCCTATTGCCTGACGCCTCAGTTGATCGGCTTTAAGTCGGCTATAGTCGGCGATGTCATCACTATACTGTCGTATATACGTCAGTACTTCGCGGTTCGTGTCGGCCATTTTGTCTCCGAAACAACCTATTCAACTAGCGACGAACGCAACTTGTCTTCTCCCAACCACAAGAACTGCAAACGTTGTTGCACTAGTGGGCGATTGTAACGCAAACCGTTCTTTTTCAGTAACTGTACGTGCCGTAATGGCTCGAAACTGTGTTTTGAGCTCGCACTCAATTCTTAAAGCCGCGCGTTTAGGAGAAACTAACCCCCAAGGATAGATTTTAGCTTTGATTCGCTACGTGTAAATCATTTTAGTAGCTATATTTGGACGAGAGAATCCTCTGTTGTAATTGTACTTGTTGTGCGTGTGTTCTGCATTAGAAAGAGGTTTTAGCTTTCTTCTCTCCTTAACACACTCTCGAACCAATGTTCTTTTCGACATCGTTCGCTCAGAAGGTCGCAGCAGCTCTTGCTGGTGTGACGCTGACTACACACCTCGTTGGGGGTGTGTCGGCAGTTCCTATTGATGTTTTAAACGAAGAAGTTTATGAGGGTTTTGAAATTGAACGAGACTCAGAACTCATTACATCATTGACGAAGCGCCATACGGACGCTTCGTACGCTCCACGGTTTGTGGATTGTCCTTCGGACTACATGCTCAGAGATGCTACTCTGGGTGTCTCTGATGGCGAAAAGGCCTTCTTGGACAAGCGCACGCCTGTAATTAATGAGGCTATGAACACGTTCCTGAAACGTGCGAACTTGAAGGATCTGAATATCAGTGAGGTCATTACGGACGAGGATGGCCCTCGTCTTGGTATTGCGTTCTCTGGCGGTGGTTTCCGTGCAATGATCAACGGCGCCGGTGTCGTTAAGGCCATGGACAGCCGTTACGGCAGCAATTACACTTCTGTGTCTGGTTTGCTGCAATCGGCCATGTATGTGACGGGTCTGTCTGGCGGCTCGTGGCTCGTTGGCTCAATTAGCATCAACAACTTCTCCAACATTACCTTCTTGAAGGACAACGTTTGGGATTTGTCTGACGGCATCTTCTTCCCCAAGAGCAACTTTGTCAAAGACCTTATTTACTACCACGACTTAAAACATGAAATTGATGAAAAAGCCGATGCTGGCTTCAACACCTCTATTACGGACGTTTGGGGTCGTGCTCTTTCTCGTCATCTTATTGACGCTGAGCGCGGAGGACCTAACATTACCTTCTCCAGCATTCGCAACCAAAGCTGGTTCCAAAATGGAGAGTTCCCCTACCCCATCATCGTTGCTGACAGTCGTTACCCTGACGAGAAGCTGGTTGCTATGAACTCGACCATCTACGAGTTTTCGCCCTACGAGTTTGGCTCCTGGGACAATGCGATCAAGTCTTTCCTGCCTATGGAGTACTTGGGAACGGCTTTGCACAACGGCAGCAAGACGAGCTCTCGCTGTGTGCGCCAATTCGACAATGCTGGTTTCGTCATGGGAACTTCTTCGACCCTTTTCAATGCGGCCCTTTTGCGTTACGAGGGAAGCAACTCGACTATTTCCAACCTGTTCAAGGACTTCCTCGAAGACTTGTCGGAGCACTATGATGACATTGCCGCTTATCCCAATCCTTACCAGTACTACAAGTCGAACCACTCGAACGCTACCAACTACTTCTACGATACGAAGTACTTGAACCTGGTTGACGGTGGTGAAGACAACCAAAACATCCCCATTTGGCCCTTGCTGCACCCTCAACGTTATGTGGACACTGTGTTCGCTGTTGACAGCTCGGCCAACAAGCCCTACGCCTGGCCTAATGGATCGTCGCTCGTCAACACGTACAAGCGTATGGTAGAAACACCATCTCAACGCAACTTTGACGTGCGTGGATTCCCCTACATCCCAGATGAGGCAACCTTCGTCTCATTGGGTCTCAACAGCCGCCCTACTTTCTTTGGATGTGACGGAAGAAACACAACTTTGAACAGCAGTGTTGTGAACAACAAGACACCTCCACTTGTGGTTTACCTTCCCAATGCTCCCTGGACCTTCGATTCTAACATCTCTACCTTTGACTTGAGCATTGACGATGATGATGTTGATGATATCATTAAGAACAGTGTGATTAATGTTTCGCAGAACAACAGTGAGACTTTTACCACATGTATCGCTTGCGCTCTTATTCAACGCTCCTTGGAACGTAAAAACATGTCAACAACCTCGCAATGCAAGCAATGTTTCTCGGACTACTGTTGGAACGGTACTGTTGTCTCGTCCAAAGACACGACAATCGTCTACAACCCTACTCTTCGTGCTAATGCAGTAACCTCAACTGCATCTACTACGGTCTTTTCCGCACAAGTGATGTATGCAGCCATGGCCATTGTTGCTAGCATCATTAGCACCATCTTTTAAGAGAGTATCACTAGCATGAATTGATATATGAAAACGAATCTTTCTACATAGCATTTGTAGGTTACTTTGAGTAGCTAGAATTAACATTTTTTTTTCTTAAGAAGTCAAAAAGTGGTGATGGCCTGGAGGAAGATAATACGGAAAATAACAGAATGTTTTGGAAGTAAGGCTCTGTGGCCGTTTTCGTAATGCTTTACCGTACATTCACTGATTTGACCTCAGTTTCCCTATGACATCGTTGAACTACACATGTTACATGTCATTAAAGAAGTCTGTCTTCACTAAATCTCGTGCAGGTGGCTTGCTCGTTTTGCGTTTCTTGGGCTTCTTCTTCGTGGGCTCATCAAAGTCACTGTCGGAAGAATCCTCTTCCTGTTCGGAACCTTCATTGTTGGAAGACGGGTTTTGTTTTTCCTGAGACAACTCCGTCTCCAAATCAGAACCTGAGTCTGAGTCTGAGCTTGGCGCAGACTCTGATTCGGATTCTTCTTCAAACTTCCAAATGCCCAAGTCAGATCCGCTACTAGCGAGTACATATTGACCATCGTCACTCTTTGTTAAAGTATCGACACCAGCATCCTTTTCCAGTTGGCCGATCACTCGTTCATAACGATTAGGCAAAATGTGAAGCAGACGAACAGCTCCATCACCTCCTCCAACAAATACGGAATCCGAGTCTGCCTGAACCATCTGGTCGACTGACCATTGTTGTGAACGAGGCAGAGGCGACAGGATACGGTCAGTATGATCTCCCCAGTCACCTTTAGTAAACAATGTAACGACGCCAGCAGCCGTTCCAACAACAAATTTTTTGTGAGCATGATTTGTGCGTACAAAGGATCCGCAAGTTAAGTCATCCTCCTGGTCTTCGCTAACGACTGTCTTCTTGGGATTACGGGCATCGATCACCGAAAGCGTGCCATCACCGCTTGTGACGACAGCGTACCGGTCGTCGAAAGGAGTTATGGAAGAAATGTAATCAATGTGATCATCATGCAAGCGAATCACACCTTTTTTCGTTCGACTGTCCCAAACTCCCACCTGTCCAGCATCATCACCAGTAACGAAAATATCGTTATTGAGCCATTGGATTACACTGTATGCTTCTCCAGAAGTACCAGCTTCGCTGGCTGTGGAAGCGGACCATTTGGCCGAGACACGGCCGGTTTCAGATGCAGCAAGCTTTATCACTTTGTCAGAACCAGCAGTGAGGATTGTGTTGGCAGAGCGATTGGCAGAAACAGACCGGCAGCTTTGTTTGTGTCTTTTTGTTGACCAAAGCTCTACCACAGACTTTGTTTCCATGGACCACTGATAAGCACCAACATGGCCGGTGGAGAAACCTGCTACGAAACAGTCTTCACCAGTAACAGCCAAGTCGAATATGTCTTTGTCAAACTTGTGAATCATGTTTTTTATACCAAAAAAAAAATAAATGTGAGATGAGTAAACGAGGATGCAAAAGCAGTAAAGTAACAAAATAATCCAAAAAATTCTAAAACAATGAAAAACCCCAGAACAGAAAAAACACAAAAAGCCTTAGATGATAAATGACAGTGGATAGTTCAAGGATAAAAGAGGGAATCCTAAGACCAAGACAAGTTTTGTATTAACGTAACGAAAGAATAACGAGTCACCGAGTAACCAGTACAATGCTAAAGAATGAAGAACACGAGAAAAGCAGTTCCGGACTCAAAGGCCTTGGACTGTTTTGCACTGTTAGTAAGAGTTCTGTTTCAGTGTGTAGTGGGAATAGTGTGGAAGGTGGGGGTCATAGTAGCTAAGAGGAAACAAAATGCATACCTGTTCGGCTTAAAAAAGAATGGATTAACGAATATGAATGCGATGAGGTTGCTTACCTATGAAAGACGCAGCACTACATCCCAAGGGGATGCTCGTATCCAACCGTGCGGGCACGCGCTCAAATTATTGAAGAACCCGAGTATTGTTGCATAAGTCATAGACTTTACTTGAAAACAATTATTGCTTTAGTTTTTTATTTTCCTATTTTAAACCCGATTCATCTGACAAACTCACCCCTCATGCTCTATCGACTTTGGACTTTTCATTTACTAGACTAGACGCGTCTTGAATTCACGTCGCCAATTAACTTTTTAAGATTTGTCTAAGCGAACTATTTTACTCCACCATAAATGCTACACTAAACGAGCAGATCCTATGTAAGAAGGTAGTTAGTAGTTGGGCTGAATTCTTGCACAAGAATGCATAGGCATAACTAGAAAAAAGCGGAGTTGGTTGAAGGGAACTGGGATTGCGTAAATTTGGGCCCCCCGTAATGCGTTGTTAAAAGAATAGGGAAGAACAGCGCAGGGCATTCTAGTAAAAAAAAAAAGGGAAAAAAATGTTTTGCTGATATACGGTTTTGGGACTGTTAAACACTTTGTTAGCGTTCTGAATTTCAGAACAGAATTGGCTGATGTGTCGCGAACTTTTAGCGCAATTTCTGTACGTGGCAATTGGTTTCATTACGACTAAATGGGGGCATTGCGAACTTGGGTTACCTAAGGAAATAGTGTCTCAGGGAGTGAGATTTAATAAAACTAGGCAGTTCAATTAAACACACTTCCGTAGGCTAGTACGGTATGTATCTCTAATCAAAGTTCTACGGCTTGCATGCATTCGCACTAGAATCATTAATACGAATACTTAGGCTTGTGCTACCCTTTTTTTTTTGCCCTCTCGCTTATGTGAAATCCGTCGCATACAGGAGTCGCAATCCCTTAATATCATCCTATAGTAACGACATGTCACGCATTGCTCACCTTACTCACGAGTAAGGTGGTGCAAAACAAGGCTTTGTGGCATGAAACGTTTTCTGTGATGACTGGGACTGTTTTATTTTCTTTGCACCTTTTTTGCTTCGGGAGAGCATTGTTTTCGATTGTTCGTCAACAATAAAACTGTCGCCTAGAACAGACTTCGTCGGCGATGCGACAGATACAATGAAAAGAGCCATTTAACCTCGTCCAGTGACTCGTCAATCTCTGGGAATGTTGACGCGGGTATGTTGCAAGGGTTGACCCCGTAAAAACTAACAAAGCAGAATGGATCCCTCGGCTGGTAACGCGTATGTCGGAGAGTTGTCCTGTAGTAATGTGATCTACGATACAATAGAGATTTTAGAATACACAATAAGGAGTTTGTACAAGGGGTCTAGCCCGTCATTCATCGATTGTTTTCGGGAAAGTGAGGGGGTTTCTCGTCAAAAAAATAGTATAAATAGGTGTCCATAGAAGTCCATTTTCATCATCCAAAGACGAATCAATTCATCTTTACAACAACTACTACTACTTCTTCAATTCTCAATATGAACTCTGCTCCCGTTTCCAACACTGTTGACGTTGTCCCCACCAAGGGCGCTTCTTACCACCCTACCCACTGGCGTTACCCCAACATGTGGTAAGTAAAGTTGATCGGAGCGAAGCGAAAAGCGACTCGCTTAGATTAATGCGACAGCTTAAGTCGGTCGTCCGCTGGCCCCCATGGATAGCTTGAATCATTACTAACGCACCTTTAGCATCATTGCCTAAGTCATTTGGCATTCACTAAATGCGCACCACCAGTAGGAATTTTCCTAATTCCAATAATATTTTGTCCATCATACACTGAACGTAGCTGGGGGATGGGGTGAATATAATAAGGCGAAGGAGTGGTAGCAGTGGGGTTGGACTTTGTATTAGTAAGAGCATAGATGTTGTTCTGTTCTTTGCATTACTCGATAACCACTAATCTGCACTCTGGATTGCTTATGAATTGATCTACAAAGATTTTGCTTTTTTCTGAGTTTGAATTAAGTTTTGTGCTCTTCATCATTAAATATCATTCAGAGTCCTTGGGTACTTTACATGGTTGTGAATAATAGCGAGTATATATATATATATATATATTTTTTTTTTGTCTGTACTTAGTCTTAGGACCACAGACTAATTTAATATGCACGATGATCCATAGAGCAATCTTTGACCACAGGTGGCAACGTAACACACTAGTTTATTTTACAGCTGCTGGACTTTGCGACACCCTACTACACACTGTCGCTTATAGGTTACACATGCATTCGTTGATCAAGGGTCTACACAAACTATTGCTCCCACTAAAAAGTATATCAGAGGACCCTTAAAGAAATTACTCGAGGCGCCTACTAGTGATCGTCATCGACTCCATTTAACTTTTTCTGAAGGGAAGCCAAACAGAAACTTGGAAACGAGTCTAGAAAACCATTCTCACTCTCACAAACGAACCAATTCCCCCAGGTGACTATAAATAGTTCCTCACGAAGGCAAGCAAAAAATAAATTTATTAAATGAGAATGTCAGTTAGTCGTAGAAGACTAATTGAATGGTGACAATGAAAGTTCACAATTGCAAGGGATGATTGTCATTGTCAATTATTTAGGCAATGACGCTGTAACCAGGTTAATAACGGAAAACTTGTACTCAAGGAAAGAAACAAACAAACGCTCGAATGAACATTTAAGCTCATCCAAGCGAGTCGCTTTTCGCTTCCTTTTCGTCTGATTTACTTACCAGTTGTGGTAAGGAATGGCGACATGGTGGTTGGTGGCATCAGTCTTAGCGGGAACGTTGGAAACGGGAGCAGAGTTCATATTGAGAATTGAAGAAGTAGTAGTAGTTGTTGTAAAGATGAATTGATTCGTCTTTGGATGGTGAAAGCGGAGGATTATGGACACCTATTTATACTATTTTCCAAGACAATTACTTCTCAATCTACCATTCTTCGTTGTCACAACTCCCCCAAGATGCGCCTTGAATTTCGCACTAACTTCGCACTCTTGATACTTTCTCCAATGGATCTTGCGATGTCATGTTAGCAACAAACGCAATCTTAGCGACTTTACATGCGGCTCCCTTACATGTCTCAGTTTTGTAAATGTGGTCCTGATTCAATGACAAATCCTGTCTGTTTCCGAGTCGTACACTGCCACAATCTCATGTCATACTTGGAATTCTGCTTGCTTATTCAACACTTCATCCCGTAAAGTCAAGCGACACTGTAAAAGAAACGAACAGTCGTTCGCATGTTTAATTCACTACTCTTCGTCTATACTATAAGCTTAATCTATGGATGCTTACGAGCAAAAGCGTCAAAAACTTGAGTCCCAAGGGAATCTGACTAAAATTGATATGTCTTTTCTTCTGAGTGGACAGAATTGGTTTGAGGGTAATGCACTTCTTCCTTCCAAACGTTATGTGCCTAATCGTTCATCTCAATGAAGCTACGACCCTCACTAAAATAAACGGGGCTGTGCTTTATTGGAACGCTCTGAAAAACAGCAAGTGATGTAGACAGTTCTCCACTTATCACGTAAAACGTAACCTGCTCGCTGTCACCATTGACAATTGCTGCAATATACATTCAACTTGACATTCTTGTACAAATCCATTATTAACACGTCACAATCAGTTTAAAGTTATCTGAGATACGATAAATACCTTTTTATCTTATCGAAAACTTGTTACCCAGAAGACAATATAAGAAAAAAAATAAATAAACGCCGTTCTTCTTCACCAAAAAGCTAATACCATTCAATTTATAAAATTAAAACATCTTACCGTCAATAGTTTTATTGTTATACCGATATTTTACAAGAATGTCTTGTCTGTCATCATTATAGATAAATCTCAAATAATGCCTAACCTTATTCATATCTATTATCTTAGGTAACACAAACAGCACATAGAGTAGCACGTTACTCGCCTACAGGTGACAGTGGAAACGGTGCTAAAGGTCGTTTCGTAGGCGGCGAGTAAGTCAAAGGAAGCAAGCACACACACTCAACTTTTGTTCTAACAGACATGCCTAAAGAATCAGTTGAAGACTGGGCAATTGAGAAACTCAAGAAGCTGCTAGCGCTTGATAATGAAACTCTTACAATACTTGTTCATGGCTTACTTGACGCGCCGGATCCAGAATCTACTAGAGAAAAGTTTTATGACTGGCTGGGCCGTTCAAAAGCTATAGAACAGTTTGTAGAAGAACTTTTGGCAAGGCAATTTCCAAATGCCGTTTCTAGCGAGAAAAATACAAATGGAGGCACCAGAAGCACATCTAAAGCACTCTCTTCAAAGGGTGCTTCTAAAATATCCGGTAAAACTTCGACGAACTCCCGATTAAGACAAGGTTCTCGAAATAAACAAAAACAGCCAGTTCCGTCAGCGTATTCGGGCTCTCCTCAAGTTCAAAAGGCAAATATAGTTCAACGAGATGATGATGACTTATATCGAGTAACTGGTAAAGGAAAGAAAGGAAATAACCCAGTCGGCCCAAAAGAAAGCAGCACTTCTACTTCCACCGCCATCTCTTCCTCGGCTTCAACTTTGTGGGATATTCCTGAGCCTGCATCAGCTAAGAACAGTGAACTGGAAGCGGCACCGAAGAAAGTGCAGTCGAAATCAACTACAAGCACACGCGGAACCTCCCATGGACCGGGTGTTCTTACGTCTGAACTCGGACTTAAAACTAAAAAATCACAATCCAAAGCGAAACAAAACCCCAAGACCTCCCAACGCCCCGTACGCGCAACCAAGCTGTCCGATATTGAACTAGCAATTCGAGAAATTGAACTCACCCAGGCCTCTCAACAGCCAGAATCACGCAAAAAATGCGACTGTCAAGCACGAAAACATCCTCTAAATGAAGTTGCTCCCAATTGTCTCCGATGCGGTAAAATCATCTGCGTTATGGAAGGTATAGGACCATGTACTTTTTGCGGAAGTCCTGTACTCAGTCGCACCCAGCAACTAGAACTTGTGCAGGCTTTAAAACAAGAAGAGCAACGTGAAAAGCAGATGGCTAATGAACGTCGCAAGAAAAAAACCATTTCAAGCAAACAAGGTTATCGCCCCCTCGCCAATCAGGGTACTCATTCTATATTTTTGGACCCAAAGGAATTTGAAAAAAGTTTAAGTGAAGCCGAGAAGCGCAAACAACAACTCCTCAATTTTGACAAAACGATGGCCCGTCGTACCCGTATCATCGATGAAGCCGCTGACTTTGATGTTAGTCAGTTAGCTAACGACAAGTGGGCTTCTCCAACGGAACGTGCTCTAAACCTTATCAAAATGCAAAAGGCTATTGCTGCTCAGCAGAAGAAAAAGAAACGTGTTTTGGCAATTGACCTCAAAGGTAAAAAGGTTTCGGTTCGTGATGAAGAAGAATCTGAGGGAGAAGCATCATCTGAGGAAGACGCTACTGCGTATTCAGCGGTACCACGAGTTAGCGAAAACGACACTCCAAAAGGAGCTATGCAAGTACACATTCCTCGACAGTTTGCTCGACCGAAGTTTCGTGAAAACACAGATCACCCTACTGAAGGTACAGACAAATCCACCAAAGATTCAACGAAAACCGAGACAAACTCTTCGATTATTCCGCAATCGCTATTACAGCGTATTAGCAAAAAATGGTCTATTGTTCAGGATGAGTTTGATGATGTTTCAGCTATTACCGCGTAACGTATCTATTATTATTCTTTTGATTGAAGTCAATCTTTTGCCCCGTCCAACCCTCAGTCACTTCCCTCGCTACCTACTATTCCATAATACTATAATCATATACATCACATTCAGTGCATCCTAAACAAAGTAAATACATCTAATTTAAACGTGAGCAAAAGGAAAAGAATGAGGAAGGGCCTGGGCTATGTATGTGTTGTGTGCGCACATTGTATAAGCAATGTATTTGTACCAACGGGATGCACATGCATGTTTTTAAGGAGATGGAGGCACGTACTTAGGAGAGTCATCTCCATCATCATCATCGTTCCAACCTCCTGGCGTTGGCGCTGTCCACGCGGAGCCTTTAGCATCAGCTGAAGGCTTACTAGCATCATCGTCGTCATTATTGTCCCAAGGTGCGGCCGAGAAACCACCGTAAGAGGGCGTTTTACCGCCATCAGCACCCCAAGCTGGCGTCTTACCGCCGTCATTACCCCATGCTGGTGTTTTGGAACTGTCATTACCCCACGTAGGAGTTTTAGAACTGTCAGCGTTCCAAGCAGGTGTTTTGGAACTATCAGCATTCCATGCTGGAGTACGGGAGGAATCAGTGGACCATGCATTTGAACCACCTGAATTCCAAGCAGGAGTCTTACTGCCGGCGTTCCAGGCGGGCGTTTTGCTTCCAGCGTTCCAAGCAGGCGTTTTGCTACCGGAATTCCAGGCAGGCGTTTTACTTCCAGCGTTCCAGGCTGGTGTTTTACTACCCATGGACCAGGCGGGAGTCTTGCTGCCAGAGTTCCAGGCAGGAGTTCGGGAACCACCTGCTTGCGCCATGGGCGTTCTTGCACCTTGTGCCCATACTGGCATGTTGCCCCCAGGATAACCTCCGCCAGGTCCCCCAGAGCGAATACCCCGGTTGCGTTCAACGAATTCCTGGTATGAAATGAGTTGGCCAGTCTTTGTTGTATACATGAGACTATCTTTTGGAACGGTAACCGTTTTATTACCAGTGTGAAGTTCAACACGAGCATTAAGATCAGTAGTATCTTTAATGATACCCATCAAACCCTTCATAGGTCCTCTTCTGATACGCACCGTGGCACCAACAGCTTTGTCACGACCAATAGTACGCGACAAATTAGCGGCAGGAGGACGAGGCATGCCATTGCTGATGGCGGGATTAAGTTTTGTCAGATCAGTAGAAATACGAGCGCCTTTAGCAGCAACAGTAGCGACATTACGACTGCGTGCCACAAAAACACCGTTGTTCTCGGGGTTATCACGATTGTGAAGAAAGACAAAGGCACGATAGATATGAAGAATAGTACCCTGCTTTCCCTCGCCGTTCACTTCTTTAACTTTATCACCAATACGAATTTCAGAACCATTTCTATCGGTAGCGACACCACGACGATGGTCATGCTTCATACTAATTTGTGAAGCCGTAATGGTACGTACACCACCATTTTGATCAATCACTTTGTAAACATCGCGATCCACAGAAAATATACAAGCGACGGTGTTCACATCCAGTTGAACAAGGTCATGTAAATCGTAAGCGGAATTGATTGATTGTGCCGTGCTCGCTTCACCCAAATCTCGAAAGAACACTGTGAGTTCGGAAAGTGTCGTGTCACTGAAAAATGTAACTTCGTCCTTATTGATCCGAACAACCATACCGGTATCGTCCTTATACTTTCCAGATATAACTTTAACATGATCACCATGTTTAAACTTCTTACGAAGTCCTCGAGAAGGAACATCCAGTTTTAGTCCATCAGGAGACCGTAATGTGACGATGCTACCATGCACATTTTCAACGACTCCGCTAACACCGGCTTGTTCACCAATGTAAACTTCAACATGATCACCAGGTTGAAAGTCAGCATGACCACCTTTTATACTTTGTGCAAGAGAAGTTAGATCCATTTCTTCATCCTCTTGATGAAAACGAGAAACTTCTTCTAGAGTAGGATTCACACCTTCCGTAATGAGAGAAGCGATACGAACATCTTTCACCAGAAAACCATCCTCATACTCTTCACTATTGTACATAAACTGGCGAGGACCACGACGTGAAAGTTTTGTGGGATTATTTTTCAAGGCTTCACTTTCATTGAACAGACGGGGTTGAGGACGAGAAGTAGGATGTCTGCGTTTAGCATCGACGTAGTCCAAACGAGGAACTAAACGGATTCGAGCATTCAGACCGTTTTCAGACAAGTTGTCTACTTGTGCCAAATCGCCTGCATACTTACCGCGACGGATACGAACATAGGCGCCGGGAAGAAGTTCAACTGTCTTTTTCTGAACCTTGAGAAGATCTGGCATCTCTTTGATAGGAACAAGAATCATGTTCTGAGGATATACGTTGACCACGCCCTGTAATGCTGCCAAGACATGTGCTTGTTTTCTAGCTTCAATGTAGATATAGCCAATTAAGGAATCCCGTTGAAAGGCCGAAATGATGTCCAACGGTCTTCCAGAGTATTGTAAGTCCATTGCTTTACGCATAAGCGAGAAGACAATATCCTTTTCTTTTCCGATTTTACAACGAACGGCCCAAATGTTAGGATCGTTGACTGAAGGCAAAAGCAAACGCTGGGGGATATTGCTTGTATCACCTCGGAACGTTTGACTTCGACCATATTTGTGACGATATTCCTCAGCAAGACGCTCAGCATCGACACTTTGAAATTCTTGCCGTTGCCGATCAAGTTCACGATGACGGCGATCATCAGTAACATAATCGGCACCAGCTTCTTCTTCAATAAAGCCATCTTCACGACCAATTTCGTCCTCATCCTCTTCAATATCTTCCTCATCCTCATCGACTTCGGCTTCAATATCGAGGAACTGGTTTCTTTTTTCCCGACGAGGACGCTTCCGTCGGCTTCCACCTTCTTCATCTTCGTCCTCATCATCTTCATCCTCGTCTTCATCATCGTCCAAAAGGTCATCATCATCGACCAAGTCCTCTCCATGGTCGTTAACGTGATGAGAGTTTCCTCGTGCATTCGTGTCAATGTCACCGAATGCGTCTAATTTTTCATCTTCACCTTGGACCGAGTGCGTATCGTCCTCAAATGCCGGTGACGGTGCACGGTCCACAGTTTCGTTCTCCATTGTTAATTTTCGGTTACACGGAGAACTTTATGCCTTTTTATGGATCTATCTAGCGCCAATCCAAAAAACTATTGGAATAGTGGCTAAAGGCAGGTAAATTCCTCGGGATTGATTAGTTAAAGAAGAAGGCAATTTTTTGTACTGTGAAGAATTTACAGCCATCGAATTTGGTGGTAAAAAATAAGGTTGTTTAAGATTTGAATAAACGACAATTATGGGTCTGTAGTGTATGATTATTTGGCGAAACTTTATACTACCAATAAAATTCGGAACGTTTTAATCAGAGAGATTGAAAGCTTGGCATGCTGTATGTTGAGTGTAAAAAGTTTGAATGTTGATGTAATGAAACCAAATTAGCATAGTTGCCTGAGACACATGTAAACTTGTCCTATTGATGAACTTCATCAGAGTGATCATATAAAAGAAAATGTCTTTAAAATGTCTTCCATAGATATCAACTGCTACACAGCATTTAAATCATTACATAATTGAATTTAATTGCTACTTGGTAGAATTAAAATGATCAATGGCCTTTGTCTTTAAACCACCAAACGAGGGATCTTGGGAAATTCCTGCAAGACCTGTATTGTCGGGAATTTTTGCGTTTAGTTATTTGACTGGACCTTGAATTGGAAAACTTACGTGCCATAATTCTTTTTACTTTCATGTTATTCACTTAACATACTTATTAAATTGTCTAAATTGGGTACTTACGCATATGAACTCAAGTAAACCCTTAAAAGACTGTATTATATGTTGTACGAGTATCAGCATTGAGAAAAGAGTATGTATTTTAACTAAAAAACGATTCTATATAAAGCTGTTACTAAACAATTTTAGACAGAAATATTCAGTAAGGCTGCAAAACTTGGGGCAATATGCAAATCAGACTTGACAAGAGACGTCACTCATCTAATTGCTGGTGATTTTGACACTCCAAAATACAAGGTATCCCTTTCGTGAACAAACTTTTTTTATAAACTAACGTTATTAGTTTGCCGCACGAGTACGGTCTGACCTTGCGTTTCTTAAGGATTCATGGATTCCGGATCTTTACAATAGTTGGTTAACAGGCGAGGAAATTGATCCAACACATTGGCAATTAGAATACACACTTCCTGCTCTGTTCTCTACGCGCGTTTGTATTACCAACATTGACCAACCAGAACGAAGCCGAATTGAGCAAGCTGTAGTACGCAATGGAGGATTTTTTTCGCCTGATCTTACCCGTGACATTACACATCTCATCGCTGGTAACATGACGGGAAGAAAGTATGAATTCGCGTTGAAATGGAACATCAAAGTTGTTCGACAGGAATGGCTTTGGGACAGCATACGACGTGGGGCTGTACTTGATGCAGACTTCTATTCAATGGATGTTCCTGATGACCAGGTAGGCGTTGGCGCCTATCCGACTGCTATTCATGCAACGCATGTTGCGCAAAAGCGTACCATAGGAAATACAACAAGGGAGGCAGAGGCTGAAGAAGACATCGTTTTAACAAAGAAACGTCGAAAAGGTATTAAAGATGGACTCTGGGACCACTTAAGTCGTACAACATCTTTTCGTACGGAAGAGGATGAATCGAATGAGAATGATCTGTTCGTCGAGAATGAACCAGAAATGGTTGATCAGGAGGTGGATCTTCAATTCGAAAAAAATGTACCTAAAAAACTATTTCACGGTTTATTCTTTTACGCACATGGCTTTGACGAAGGAAAACGTTCTCGTCTCTATCGGTGTTTACTCATGAATGATGGTACTATAATGGACACTCCAGAACGTTTAAGTACATATGTAATTGTACCACATGACATGTACATTGATGATGTCCCAACGCTTCCAAATAAGATTGTTAACGAGTGGTGGATCGAGAAATGTCTTTTTCACAAACGTGTGTATAAGCCTGAAGAATATCCGCTTGCGCAACCATTCATGAAATCTTCTTTAAAGTCTTCATTTAGTGAACTTGCTCTGCATTTCTCGGGTTTCAAGGGAATAGACGTTGTTCATTTAAGGAAACTTGTCGAACTTCTCGGTGCTCGCTACTTCGAATATTTCGGTGCTCAGCGCAGTTTGCTAGTCGTGAACACTTTTGAATCCTTCGGTTCCAAAACTCTGCTAAAAATGAATCATGCGGTCAAATGGCAAGTAAGGGTCGTAGGAATTCCATGGCTGTGGGAAGTGCTAAAAAGAGGAACTTTTATACCCGATGTGGCCTCTTGGGCACTAGACAAAAAGGGTGACCAAAAAATTAAAAGATTTCAAGACCCCAATAAAAAAGACAGGCGTGTGTCTAATCCAGGTTCTATTTTTGAACTGGATCCCTCAAAAGGCAATACTCAAGATACACCTAACAAATCACTAGACTTCTCCGATATCCAGAACCCAAGACGGTCATTAAAGAGTCAGACGATTCGCGTTGTTCACAAAGAAGAACCTTTAAAACGATCTAAGACTGCACCGACGCAATTTGGCGATGTCTCCATATTTCACGAAGAAATGTCCTTGCATTCTGAGCCTGGAACACCACAGGACGAGGTTTCTTACATTGATCCACAGGCACACAAAATTAAACAGCATCTGCTGAAAGAACTCAATAGAGACAGTACAGATGAAGCTCTCCCACTTTCGGCAACACCCATAATGGACGAGAACAATGAATCGCTTCTTGTTACGGAAAAGCGGCGCTCTTTGCGCGGTTCACGCTGAGTACAATTGGCCCTACTTCGTCTGTTTCCCTGTATAATATCTCTACACCCCAGTTTGAATTAGTTACCAAAAGTCAATGAACCTATTTTTTATTCCAATAACTCAAATCCAACATAGTTGATTATTTCAACTTTCCAAAAAGCTCTAAAGCCAAATTTCTACCAAGTTAGTAATCGAACAAATAACGAGTAATTAAAGTAACATACTCTTTCTCCTTTCTAGCAAGCATGAGATTGCAACTGCTAGGACTGCGCCAGATTGGGCAGAGAATCTGCATGTTGATTTGGCAGCCCACTGATTCAGAGGCTTCAACGCGAACAATGTTACAACCATAAGACATTCCTTCGAATTTCTTACTGAGTGTACCATTTTCAGGAAATTGTGCCAAATGAGGATAGTCGTTATCAATAAGTGTGCGCAAATCTTCAACAGAGGCATCATAAATGTGGCGTCCATTCAAATAAGGATAGATAATGTTCACAGCATCACTGTGAATCCGGAAATTGCACACATCAGTTTGGATCTCTGCAGCACTGTTCTTAAGCGTGTTGCTCACATCTTGCTTTACGAAAAACCGAACACCACCGTGAACAAACTTGACACGATTTATGTTACTCTCGATGACATTCTTAAAAAGCTTGCAAGCAAAGTAAATAGAACGAACTGGTATTCCAGTTTGATTTCTGACGAAAAACTGATCACGAGGAAAAGAAGAATCAATTCCGTAGTGGTTCCTAAAATGGTTAGAAGTTAAAAAAGAACAAGAACTAATTTGTCTCACATTATTTTGTCCAACTCTTCATAATCAGGTTTGATGTAAGTGAAAGGCTCTTCATCAAAGTAGGTATTACCAGCGATGGTTTTCTTGGGTACCAAGGAAGTATTATTTTCAGCTGTTTTGGCACGCTTCGTTTCAGATGCGTTTTCTGAATCTTCAGAAACCGCACGCTTTTTGTCGGAGCTTGGACTAGCGGTAGAAGGTTCACGACCAAGAACCTCCGTCTTTTGTAACAAAGCAATGAAAAAGCCACCGGTGTTTTGAAGCTGAGGATATAAGCGTACACTGAAAGATTAGTAAAATAAAACAGAAATTAAGCCAAAAACTATACCATCTTTCCATATGATATTCTTTCATCTCGTTAATGGGAAGGGGCCACATGGTCGGACATAACTTTGCTGCTTTAGCATCGTCATTGTATTCCGCATACTGCTTCAATTGTTCATCCATAACCTTCCAGTTACAGAGTCCGGGTTCACGAAGAAGTTCAGGCATCTTGTCGGAAACATCCAAAAGCTGAACGGAGCCACCACACGACTTAAGTGCAGCGGCAACCACGGATTCGTTTTCAATAGGATTCATGGAACAAGTTGAGTAAGCCAGTACACCGCCAACCTTCAGCATTTGCAAACCACGCATAAGAATTTTCAGCTGCAAGTTATGCAAAGTAAGAGCACTGCTTTGGCTCCATTCCTTCCAGAGCATCAAGTTTTTACGGAATGTTCCATCGCCCGAGCAAGGAACATCAGCTAAGATTCGGTCAAACTTAAGGATTTCTTTTTCGCCATCAGCGGCCTCTTTCTTTTCTACGTAGATATTAGGCATTTGTGAGGCATCGTGATTAATGACAAGAACGTTAGGAGAGTTAAGTCGATTAATTTGGTGGACAAGCATCTGAGCACGTTTAGGATCTGCATCATTTGCAATAACGAGGCCACTAATGTTGTGTAATTTGGCACTGCTTTTGTGGCATCGATAACATTAGCACCTTTGTAGATTGCTTCAATCAGTTGCGCTGTTTTTGAGCCCGGGGCAGCACACATATCCAAGACAACATGATGAGGCTCAAAGTCAAGGAACAGAGGGGGAAGCATACTAACCGCTTCTTGGCGACTAATGTTTCCAGCCTCTGTTTCGCAGACAAGAAAACGTTGCAAACGTTTCAAAGGAGGGCTTTTACGAATGGTTTCTTTACGAGCATCAATCATATAAGCCAAATCATCTGGGTACCAAGAGAGGACTTGTGGAGGAGGGATGTTTTGGCCTTCATAAGTAACGTTTTGTAAGTCCGGGACGTAGTACTTTTCAAAGTGTTTCTTTAATTCCACAGCGTGTTTCCGAAATCCAGAAATTCGAAAAGTTGTAGGAAGTTGCTTCTTCATAAACTCAATAAGAAGTTTATATTCTTGTTCCGGACTCTCTTTATGAGCAAACAGATTCTGAACAGCATAGTAAGACTCAAATTTCTCGTTTCTAAAAGTAGAAGAACAGTTAGCTACGCTCAAAGTATAATTAACACAGGCTACTCACTCAAAAACGATTTCTTCGCGTTGAAAACCGGCGCGTTTTCCTTGTCCGAACTAGAAAAGTCTGGTTAAAAAACATGATATCTAGACGAATCAAGAACTTCATCATACACTTTTTCCCTTTTTCCGAGCCATGATTCCTGACTTCCACCTGTCCCAAATGCTGAAACAAAGATGTGTTCACGGCAAGTAACTTTGTGAGGTCCCCTGGCAGCGGACACAGCGAGATGCAATGAGGGTTAACGTGGATAACGGAGGCTTAAGGAGGCCAAGTGTTCTTCCACCTAAATGCGGTTGTTGATGTCATTATAAGTGCGCTACAGCCCCCATCCATTGTGTGGGGGTACATCGCCCACGCAGTCTATCTAGACACTGAAGAAGCGCCGTTCACACACTAACCAACAACTACTGGGCTGACGAGTTCAAGGAAACGAGCTCAAATTTTGGGCTTTGTAGGCGTTTTAACGCTTTTTTAATACAATTGAAGGAATAATCTGGCCCAATTGTACCTGTATCCCTTTTTGCTGGGTCAAAATGACCACATACAAAGTTTTCTTTATTCTAATTATCTCATTTATCGTTTTTGCATGTTTCTTTAGCAATTCCTCACTTCTCCCACACTTATATGCTAAACAGGGACCAACATCGTTTAATACAAGCGCTTTCGATTCGAACGTCACGTCCGATGCATTTAGAGACGAGTTTCGGCTGCAATACGTTTTTTATCACGGCGTGAACGAATATTATGACTTCCATGCTCGTTTGGATACGTCGGGGAAAGCTTTCTTTGCGGAAAGTGAGAGTACGTTTACCCTAAAAGGTATTGAGAAACGTACTGTCCGTTTAAAAGATCTGTCGCGTGAAGGTCTAAAAGCTTACAGGCGTGCATCACAAACAAATGAACTGCATGCCTATGACGCGGACTTATGGCGTGAGGAAACGATTATTGTCCCCGACATCAAAGACAAACAGACAATTTATGCCTTGGGAAAGATGAGTTACAATGCATACATTGAGATTCCTTTCGACGATGACTGGTTAGACCTCGGTTCTAATTGGAATATCACTCCTCCATACGGCTTTGGTTGGGAGGACAATGGTTTACGAGGCCATGTCTTTGCGAATAGTGATAACACAACTGTAATCGTAGCTATGAAGGGTACTTCCATTTTTGGAATTGGTCGTGGTACCTCACAAAAAGATCGCATCAACGATAATTTGCTGTTTTCATGCTGTTGCGCCCGTGTTAGCTGGGCGTGGACGACTGTTTGCGACTGTTATCGTGGTACGTATACATGTTCGCAAACATGCTTGGAAGATGAGTTACAAAGTGATGCGCGTTACTATTCAGCAGCTCTTGACATTTTTTACAACATTACCCAACTATATCCGAACGCTGTTGTGTGGATGACGGGCCATTCTTTGGGAGGCGCCACAGCAGCTCTAATGGGTTTGTCGTTTGGTATCCCAACGGTAACTTTTGAAGCTCCAGGTGACCGTTTGGCTGCTCGTCGCTTACATCTTCCTCAACCTCCAGGGCTGCCAGACGAAGACAGTCTAGTCTGGCACATTGGACACACAGCCGATCCAATTTACCTGGGTACTTGTACAGGCCCCACATCATCCTGCTGGGCTGGTGGCTACGCAATGGAGTCTCAATGCCATACGGGTCTCGAATGTATATACGACGTTGTGAAAGATAAGGGATGGCGTATCTCTATAGCACATCACAGAATGCAGGCAGTCCTTCAGGATGTCATTGACTCGTATGATGAGATTCCCACCTGTGTTAGTATTGAGGATTGTGATGATTGCTACCTTTGGGATTTTAAGGACGAGGATTGATCCGCGTGCAAATAAATGGTTTCTGTTATGCAATAACTAATGATTTGCTACATGAGCGTCCGTCCACTCTTTTCCTCCATCAACGAAGGACGTGTACACACACCTACAAATTCATCAACCAAAACTCATCCCACTTTAATGTTCCTTTAATGACAAGTATAACCTTTTAGAGACTTTAAACTTCACTAATTATGGTATTGACAAAACTGACCTCCTGCAAAACTCGATCGACAGGAGCAGATTGAGAGCTTTTTCCTCTTCTTTTTTTCTTGACCCGCTGATGCTTGCATACATGCACGCCTTTAACATATGCATGCAGAGGAGAAGCAAAATGCTTTTTGTACTTTAAGCACAGATCCGATAACTATTGTAACGGCCACTGGTTTCACTTCTACGGACAATCTTGACGACTTGTCCACGCTTCAAACCCAAGTAACGGGCGACAGGATCGGCCATTTGGATACGTGGGAGTTGTGTTTCACGCAACTTGTAACGGTCCAAAAGTTCTTTTTTCTCTTCAGGGGTTAGAAGAACGTGCTTGGGCACCAATTCGTGGTGTGTGATGTTGACAATTAAATCGCTCTCTTGGAATGTTTCAATTGTGAATTGGCCGGTAACTGTGGAGATAATTTTGGTAGCACTAGGAGTCATATTGTTGGCATAAATCAAGATTCCGGTCTTGTGGTTATGATCGCCAAGGGTGTGAACAAAAGTACGCATTTCCTTGATACCAACTGATGGTTCCTTGGCAAATTCGACGTAAATTGTACCCTTGTCAGATCCGGGTGGAGGCTTTGCGTAAAAACTCAAGGTGGAACGACTGAAGCTTGTGTTAGTCAAAGATCATTAATTGAGAATACCAATCAGGCACTTATCACACAAAAACTTACTCCAAATTACGACCCATTCCGCAGTGCATAGCTCTGAATTGATCCAAGGTGAGTTCCAACTCTGACTGAGACACGGCATAACCCTAGATTTTTGTCAGCAAAGAAACTACGGTTACAGAAAGAGAGTGTTTTTACATACTCTGTCGTGAACCAGCTGATGAACGGTTTTCCACACACGGAACACCTTCACGATGTTTCTTTCTTCGGACGACGACATGTTCAAGCAAACGAAGAGGAAAGAATGGCGATGAAACGCACTGCTGTCGGTGAACTGCACTTGACGGTTGAAGCGGTGAAAAGTTGGCACAACCTAACTGTTTTTTTTTGGTGGTTAGGATCTCTCTGCCCCACGTTTTACACTCCACCATTAATTGACCGGTAAAGCCACGGTGCGAATCCGGGTTTGCCGTGGGTGCCATTGTTTCGTATTCATAAATGATACTGGGGCGATGAGATGGTTATTACTAAAAAACGATCTTCGTTTAATCGACATATTATTTGTTTCAAAACGTCGAAGTATTCATTCATGAGACCACGATTTTGGTAGGTCGCATCCGACGCCATTAGCATACAACAGTCATTACCTGCTAGCAAAGAGCAGCAGAATAAATCTACTTCTTTTTTGCTGCCGTTTTGTTATTCATCAAGAAAACCTGAGACGCCACCGTGTCCCACTCCTCATCCCAGCGATGTTTAGATTCACTCATTGCTCCACGCTTCAACGATGACAGCTCCTTTGTGTTGGTAAAAAGATTCTAAGCCCGTTAGCATCATGCTATCTAAAATGGGTTGCACAGATCGCATGTCCCCTCTGTATTTAATACAAACCTGAATTGTGACAGCCATTTCATGAGCGTCACCGACGATTTTTCCGTTTCGGCCATCCTTTACGAGCTCAGTTATAGCTGGAAATGGCAACGAAAGCACGGGAATGCCACAGCCAAATAGATCAACTACCTTCATGGGCAAATCCACACCGCTAGAGCTTGTATGAAGACTTACACCCAAGTCTGCACAAGCAAGCAGGCGCGGATAGTCGCCAGTTGACAGCCATGGAGTCAAGAAACGAACGTGTTGTAGAGGGTGTTCTTTTACATGGTCCAAAAAGTCCTGCTTCATCGGACCTTTGCCCGTGATGACAGCAAGAATAGGGGATGCATTGGGTTGTGCATCGTATTCTTCCAACGCTTTATAAAGTACAAAAATATCCTCATCTGGGGTCCACGATGTTGAGGACACAAGCAGTTTGCATGTCTTCGGATTGAACGCCGTTCCAAGCAGATTGTAAGGCTTCTTTGAAAGCGGTTTGAAGTGACTTGGCGGACGATCGTAAAGAACGTATGTTGGTCTTAAAACTAAGTGTTAGTGAAATGCTTGCCAGAGATTAATGTAAATGTAGAAGTCTCATTCGAGTGCAGCTGCGTTACTTACTTAAGGCCCCAATTACCAAGCACCTCGCTCATGGCATTTGAAACACAAAGGTGTTTGTAAGCAAATCGACCAAGGAAGAGCTCATAAGCTTTCATGATTTTGACGAGCATATGATTTTTGCCGAGTTTGAGGGCCAAAATACTGAAACCGAAATTGTGCCAGTCAATAACGATTCGAGATCCGAAACAAAACCGCATTAATAATGCAAAAACAAAAGTAGGGATACATGGAGGATTCTGCACAAGCAGATACGACGGTGCGTGTACCCGAAAAAGAATGCTGCACAGGCCGAGCCAGAGGAATGTCACTTTCAATGGAGCGAACAGTAAGAATTGAAGCTTGGACGATGGTGTTAACCAAGCCGGAGTCTTCGGAATGTGTATACAACGTATCCGTTTGTCCTTCTTAAACAATTCTTGCTCATTATTGTCGTCTACACACAGTTAGAACTAGATACTCAATATGAAAGACAAAAGTAACGGCGTAGGCAGCGCACGCGTCATTGCTGTTCACTACTGTCATGACTTTTCCATATGTTTACCAACCTCCATAACCAATCAATTCTACATTCCAATCATGTTTTGCGAAACTGTTTGCATGGTACTGCATTCGTGGACTGTGGCCGATATCTCCCAAAACCAAAATGGCAACCTGCTTCCCTGAGCGGCATCTACGTCTTTGGACATAAAGACATAGGACCGCAACAGCAATTGCAATGCCAATGAGGATGTGCATGGCTGAGGATGCGTTCTAACATGCATCATTATTGAATGTGAGTGAATTATAGTGAACTCCATTGCAGATTGGAGTTTTGCCTTGCAGCTCATTACATAACGGGATTTCTTAATGCTCGTTATTCGAAATACTGGATCTTCTTATATCACGTAATATATAACTAGCATCCTCCAACGCACTTCGACATTACCATACTTGCTACAGATTGCTTCATTGCATTTAGTCTGTTTTGTTTTAATATAGAACGATGATAAAAGAGGTTTCGTTGCACGGTGATAGTGTACAGTTACATAGCGTAGTGTGGAAAGGTGAGTTGCAGCGAAAGAACTTGAGATTAAGGAAGAAAAAGACCGGAGGATTGGGTAGACGGACGGCCGAGAGCAAACTAGCAGAAATGATGTGAGACGTAACGGGGAACATATTTGCTAAGGACGATAGCACCACGTTTGTCCGTCTACGTTGTCTTATTTTGCTTAATACCGTACCCAGACAAAGACGAGTGCGACACAACAGAAAAATAGGAGCCAAGTCCATATGGAAATACCGTGTCGCTGACTAAGGTTCTTTAGCTTGAGCATTGTCGTAGACACAACGTTGTGAGTAGAAGAAAAGCTATCATTCATGGACTCCATCAAATTAGTAGACGAGTTAATTTCATGTCCAATAGCCATTGTGATGTGCTTTAGCGATTGCACCTTCCCAGTAAGACCTTCAATCCGTCCATTATTACGGCTTTCTAGTTCATCGTCTCCAAAAGAGCTCCGTCCTAGGAACGGCGATGATGGAGATTGTCTCGTTTCGTACAACGGAAGAGCCGTGTCAACCTTGTCCTTTCGTCCAAACCTTAAGCTTGGTTAGTTGCTGGTTACAAGAGAACATTTCCACAAAAAGGGATCACAGTTGTTTTTTATTACCTGTTAGCCATACAAAAACTGGTGAACTTGGCGAGCCCAAAAAACAAAAGCGGTGTAAACGATCACTGCTGTTTGTTGACGATTACTAGTTTTTGCTGCAAAGCTCGATGAGGCGATCGGCTGGGGAGGCGACAATTTAGGCGAAGCTTAAAGTTGAGATACAAGGTTATTTCACATAAAGTTATTAAGTAATATCTAAGCGGCCGCAAATACATTCACTAAACTAAAAATGCGCCAAATTCAAGCAGATTAGAAATAAAAAGACACGTTGAAATACAGATGGCTAAACGCATTGACAAACATTTTAGCACCATATTTATCCTTTCTACTAGATTAAGTGAGTTCTTTCCTGCTTACAAAACAGTTTTTGGGTTTTTTGTGTTTGCGTTGCGTCTTCTTTCCAATGGTCTTCTGGCTGCGCAGCCTTTTGCTTTAGAGCCAGAGTATCATTCCATTCGCGCCTTGTAAAAGAAGAAATAAAAGTGACTAAGTGAGAAAAGAGAGAACATAGTGAAGAGAATGGCGTCAAAAGGCGTTTGCTGCAACTGAAATAATAAACAGACAAACAACTTAAAAGAGACATAACACGAGACTATGCGCAAGCATGTTTATTGTGTACGCGTGTGTGTGTGAGTGTATGTGTGTGCGTGTGAAAGTGAGAGTGGATGTGCGTGCGTGTAAATGTAAGTGTGAGAATTCAGAAGTTTGTGTACGTTTGAGCAGAAGCTTGCGAAAACAGTGAATAAGCGGTACATGCCGTCAAATAGAAACGTTGGCATCAATCGACGTGCGTTTGAATGCGGTATAAAAGAGCAGTGCATCAATTACCGCTCAGCGGTAGACGGATGGTTCATCGGCTTCAACAAAGTATGCTTGGAAAGACAAGCGGCGGTTTCGTTGCTCACATTAACATCGTCAGAGGGTTGAACGACCGGGGATCGCATACGCATAAGCACTGGAGACGCCGGCGGGCAAACTGAATAGTATGGAGAGTGGTACGCCGGTGCGGCTGGTGCGGCACTCCGAGTGCTACGGTAAGGTGTGCTTGCGCTCTGATGCGCAGAGGCAGGAAACGGATTGGGCGAGAGGGCAGTAGCGGTTGTTGGAGAGGCAGAGGCAGCCTTTTTTCTATATTTCAACAGCATCCAATCGAACACATAATCGTACTGGTAGCCAAGGCGCGTCAAAAGATCACGGAAAAGCTTGCGCAAAAAGGTGTAGTTTGGCTTCTCGGTGAAAGCGAGCTGGCGAGTGTAGCACATGTACGTGACAAACTCTTTTGGCAAGCCCTTGCACAGCACCTCAAGGGGTGTATTAATCTTCGTGTCACGAATACGCTGATACTTTTCCTCCTTCGTCTCGGCCTGTAAGCCCTGCCATGGCAAGCTGCCGCGGCAGAAGTAGAGCAGCACATAACCCAATGATTCCAAGTCATCACGCCTCGATTGTTCAATACCAATGTGGGTATTAATGCTAGCATACCGTGCTGTGCCCGTCAAATTCTTGTTATCGCGGTATGGAATGTGTACATGGGTCTTGAAGTCGCGATACTTCTTCGCCAACCCAAAATCAATCATCGTAACAAGATTGCTGTGCCGTTTCATCAAAAAGTTATCCGGTTTGATGTCTCTGTGTAAAAACGAGCGTGAATGGATGTACTCCACCCGGGCAATTAGTTGGTCTGCCAACAGCAGGACGGTTTTCAGCGAAAACTTTCGGCCACAGTAACAAAATAGATCCTCTAGTGACGGCCCTAGCAAGTCCATTGCCATTGCAGTGTATTGCTCCGTCTTCCCGAACCACCAAATGGTCGGGATTCCAATGTTGCCTTTCAAAATGCTGTAAACACGAAATCTACAATATAAAGTGTTAGTTTTTTTACTCCGTTATGCTCCGTTTAAATCGAAGAACAACATACTCATATTCCAGCTGCTGGTGGCGTGTATTGATCGGTTCCAGCTTTATTGCAACCTGCTGCCCGGTAATAATGTTAAGGCCTAAATAAACCTCTCCGAACGAGCCAGATCCGATTTTCCTACCGATCTTGTATTTACTGTCAATTCGCAAATCGACAGCGCTCATATTGGCTGTAGCGTAGGCACTGGGTAGAGCTCAGGCTGCGTGGAGTGCGATGGGATGCGAGCGTTTCCTTGCGGCAGATGCGTGCAACGTGATGAAGTGGCCAGGATCACACGCAGTGACAAACATCGGACGGTTGTGAGGGTGCGGGAGCGAGAAAGAACGAGCGATAAGGAGTGGTAACGAGAGGCAAGGTGGCATTTTCGTTTAAAGCACGCAATATATCGTTGCATTTCGTAAATCAGCGATAAGCATCGTTAGATATCGCTAAACGCTGTTATCCAGCGCTAGCCTCCGCACGTTCCGCACACGATCCGTTGCATCTCCCTATAATCATTAACGCGACACGCAGCGGTCTGTTATGACTAATTTGACCCCCGCTCTGCTGCGGGGGAATCGGGAAGGTGGCGGCCTGCGTGGGGGTTGCGTGGGTCGTTTTTGTAGGTGTCACCTATGTGGGTTCATTAGTCAGTATTCGCGAGGTCAGTCGGATCGTGGTGTGCCGTTTCGGCTGGCTGGAGAGGCATCTATGAGGTCCCTCACCGTACCACTTTACCACTCTACTCACTCTTAAGCATCTTATCCTGGGCCTTGAAGAACAGGTAGCCTACGATGGCAGCTCCGCCAATGAACGGAAGCAGCGGACGCAGAACGGGCGTCGGATACTTTTTATAGCCCAAAAAAGACATAGAAGTAACGAAGCGAGATCTACGCAGAAATTTGTTTGTGTTTTTAGTGCGTGCGTGCGGAGGATTGGAGAATGTGAGAGCACTAGCTTTTTTAGATACTCGTTTCTTTTTACGTCACGACAAGGGTGGGATGGAGGTGTAGGATTTGCCTGCGTTAAGAAAGCCATGTGGAGGTCACGAGGTTCATATTTGTTAAGCGATGGTTGTGATCGACGTCCGGATTAACATAATGCAGATCGCATGTGGTTTCCCCGTGGGCCCTCAATAACGTATGATGAAGAGCGCAGATCGTTACTATAAATTCAAAAACAAACGCGTACGCGACTTTTAAGCATATTCGTTTTCATTCTTTTGGTTTTTGATATTAGAAACAGTACGACGAGACGTCGTATCTTTTAATCTGCCGAAAAGTAACTAACCGTTGTAGATGGTCAAGGTGTGTCTATTTGTTACCGGTGGATCGGATGAAATTGAGACGGCCTCTTGCTACGGTGTGTTTACGCGTGCCAAAACACCCATTGACACCGTGTATGTTTGTGAAGAAAACAAGGAACGTCTTGTGAACATGTTGTGTGGCATTCGGCTTTATGCAGACCGTAGCTTGTCTGAGTTTCAGTCTGCAGAAGACTTCATGAAAGAATACGACGTTGTCATCATTCCCGGCGGTTGGGGAGGATCTTTGGAGCGGTCTATCCCAGGAACCAAGATGGTTCAGGAAATTGTTAGAGGAATGTATAAAAAACCAGGCAAATGGGTTGCTATGATTTGTGCTGGTTCAATGGGAGTGATGACAAGCGGGCTTGATCCGAAGACGTTGGAGCTGACGAGTCATGCTTGCGTTATTGACGTTCTTCGCAATGCTGGTTACAATTGGGTGGATGAGCCTGTCGTGGTGTCAAACAACCTCATCACCGCTCAAGGGTATGTTTCAAAGTCGTATTAACCTACAACTGCTAACGAGTCTCAGACCTGGCACTTCCATGCTGTTCGCTCTCAAAATTGCGGAGCAAGTTTTGGATAAAGAAACGTATCAACAAGTGTATGCGTCTTTGGAGATGCCTCAACGTAATTAAACTGTTAGGCAGAGTCACGATGGCCTTTTTTTCAAAAAATGTTTTTTGATACGTGCTTTAGCATATTAATAGAGAAATGGAAATGATCCATATGAACGCGATTGTCGTTATTTGGGATGTAGCTAGTGTTCGTGCAATTAGTTAAGCCGAAAGACAATGGTGTATGTATGACTATATAATTTTAAGGTTTTGTTGATTGAAGAGCCAATGCCTAAACTTGTTAACCATGACAAGCGGATTCAATGACCACCAGAAATGCGTCTGTTTGCTATGGCAATCCCACATCGCCACTTAAGTGTACCCTCGCCATAAAGGGCCCAAGACGTCGACAGATAGAGCTTGGATATTACTGAAGGGACAAATGAACAGCTATCGTGGACACTCAGAAGGCCAGATGCAAAAGATCTACCGTCACCAACGACCCCGAAGCACACACTTTACTGTATGAAAACAATGTTCGATTCGACAACGCGCCCGCTTTTAAACTTCATCAGTCTAACGATTCATTAATTTCTATAATTCTCTATATTAAACATCAAAATGCTTAGAACTTGGCAGCGGCGGCCTTGATGTAGTCAGCGGCCTTGGCACCAGCGTAGATGGCCTTGTCACCGAGAGCCTCCTCGATACGGAGAAGCTCGTTGTACTTGGCCAAACGCTCGGAACGGCAGGGAGCACCAGACTTGAGTTGACCGGCGTTGATACCGACAGTCAAGTGAGCAATGAAGGTGTCGGCGGTCTCACCGGAACGGTGAGAAACCATAACACCCCAACCGGCCTCGTAGGACATGCGGACGGCGTTCAAGGACTCGGTGATGGTACCGATTTGGTTGACCTTGAGAAGAAGGGCGTTGGCGCACTTCTTGTCGATGGCCTTGGAGAGACGCTTGACGTTGGTGACAGTCAAGTCATCACCAACAATTTGGAAGTCAGAAGAGGCTTGGAGGTGAGTCCAGGCATCCCAGTCATCTTGCTCGAAGGGGTCCTCAATGGAGACAATGGGGTACTTCTTGGCGAGGTCGGCGTAGATCTTGCCGAGTTGCTCGAAGGAGAGCTTGTTGGCGGGGTTGGGGTTCTTGACCTTGATGTCAACGTCGTACTTGCCATCCTTGTAGAACTCGGAGGAAGCAACATCAAGACCAATCTTGATCTTACCCTCGTAACCGGCCTCCTTGATAGCCTCGTTGATGAGGTCAAGAGCCTCCTCGGGAGTTTGCAAGTCAGGAGCGATACCACCCTCGTCACCGACGTTGGAAGCGGAAGAGCCATAGCGTTGCTTGGCGATCTTCTTCAAGATTTGGTAGGTCTCAGAACCATAGCGCATGGCCTCGGAGAAGGTAGGGGCACCAGTGGGAAGAATCATGAACTCTTGGAAAGCGAGCTCACCACCAGCATGGGAACCACCGTTCAAAACGTTGAAGGAGGGAACGGGGAGAACGAAGGGTTGCTTGGTACCAAAGATCTCAGCAATGTATTGGTAGAGAGGGATCTTCTTTTGAGCAGCAGCAGCAACAGCGGCAGCCATGGAGACACCCAAGATGGCGTTGGCACCCAACTTGGACTTGTTCTCAGTACCGTCGAGGTCAATCAAGAACTTGTCGAAAGCAGCTTGGTTGGTGACATCAAGGTTAGCCTTAACGACAGCGGGAGCAATGATCTCGTTGACGTTGGCAACGGCCTTCAAAACACCCTTGCCGCCCCACTTGGTCTTGTCACCATCACGGAGCTCAAGAGCCTCCCAGATACCGGTGGAGGCACCAGAGGGAACGATAGCACGGTGGACACCAGTCTCAGTGGTCAAGTCAACCTCAACAGTAGGGTTACCACGGGAGTCGTAGATTTGACGAGCTTGAACCTTTTGAATTGCCATTGTTGTTGATGAAGAGATGTTGTTGTGAATAGGAAATGTTTTCCTTGATGGTTATACAGCGGCGAACAGTGGAGTATTTATACCTTTCCCGGCCGGACTCGAAACGACGGGGCGTCACTCAAGCCATCATGGAATCGTGTGGAAGCTCGGCAAAACTCTCAACGGACTAGTTTGAGAGCCGTGTCGCACATGCCACTAGTGTGTCAGGTGCCACTTTTGCCTCAATGCGGATGCAATACTGTTCACTAAATTGGCAAATAATCGTTGTTATGCATTAAGTGGATGGGAAATGATGCTAAAATACAGTGTCTTTCATTAGGTAAAAAGAAATATTCGTGGCATACTCGAATAACTTGTCAACACTCACGGTGTCGGAATTGCTTTTCAATTATTGAAATCGTTGCTATATGCTAAACTTAGAGACAAACTGTTTTTGTTAACCAGGTTAATTCATTAAAGAAATTTAGGAACACTGATTTAAAGGTTCTATTTTGTTTATGCCTAAAAGTTGAGTTTTTGTTTTTACAAGGAAGTAATCTTGAATTTCCAATGACTTAATAGTTGTTGGGATGCGGAAATAAGATGTATCGTCTCTACAAGTTATGGTAATTCTGGCCGGTTCCTCAATTGACACGCTATGTAAATGACGATACGGATAGTCTCCGCATCGGAGCTTAATCTTTATGAACAATGCAATTGAATTCGCGTAGGGACTATTTTGCAGGTGAGTAATTGATCTCGTGTTTCGACAAATGAAGTGAATGATTTAAGACGGCAGAATATGTTGTAGATAGTATTGTAATTAATCCTTTGTCATACCCTAAGTCTTGAGAAAAACATTCTCGACCTTGATGGAAGGGGGATGGGGTTGTTTACAGAACTTAAACAAATACCTCCGTTTGTTACAATATTGACTTGATTGAATTGATCGCTTTCATTCCATTTGTCTGCCGAAACTGGAGTGTTTTTGCTCCTACCATTGGTAATTAATTGGACAATCCGTTCGTTTAGACTGCCGATTGTTCAATCACGTTAAGCGGATATTGAAGCTCGGAATTGCATGTGCAAAAACTGAGAAGCATGATGTAATTTCAAACCCTTGCCAAAAGCAGTTTTATTTCTTGTACTAAATTACGACGTAAGTCTTGTTTTCTTCATTTGAAATACGGAGGAACCTCAAAATAAGATAACAGTGGTGAACAGAAAAGGTTAAGCAACGAAGAACTGTAACCAACCTTTCTATAAGAACATTGAAAATCAGTTAAAGTGATACATAGGTTTCGTCTTTATTATTTAAAACCAATTTTGTAAAGTATTTTGTTTTTATCAACATTCCTGTAAAAGCTACATTGTATGTTGAAAAGAGCTCCGTTAACTTCTTAAATCGAGCTTTGTAAAGTGTCATGGTTCTCGCTTATGTGTTGCGCGTTTTAGTGAACACGCTGTTTTTAAGCGAAGGCTGTAAGCATCTATCAAATAATACGTGTTCGCAGTGCCCTTTATGAAACTCCTTTAGAGAATAACCGTCAAATGAGCGGGTTCGCTAATGGTAAGTTTAATTGAAGTTACTACACTCAGTTTTATTGTTGTTGCGCTAGCTACAAATAATCGTCGGTAGCGGAACTATTCAGATGAAGCTGATTTACCAAATGTAAATAATATAATTGACAGAAGCTTCCAACTTTTTCCTTCCGGATTAGTTTACTAAGAGCGATAGCGACATCCAGTTGTAGTTGCTAACGTCGTAACAACGAAACAAAAAGCAAGAATGACTAGTATTGATAACTAAAAAACTGTGGGTATAGTAGAAATTATTAAAATGGATAACAGAAATTGCTACTTACAAAATAAGTACTTCTATTCACCTTGTTATTGGCGCTAGTATGAGTATATTATATTAAGTCATAGTAATTACTGAATCATGATACCCATAATAAAAATGAACTGTTTGAGTATTATGCTTGACAAGGTTATCAAATACCAATTCATCAATGTTTTTGCCGCTGCTGAAATGGACTTTGCTAATCCCATAATAAATTACAAAAATTTTACACTTTGTACAATTTTTTAATGACAGTACGCGGATATACTCAATATGATTCTTGTGGACATTTGAATTATTGATCATAAATAACTCCAGTTTCGTTGACTTATAGTGAATCCCTCTATATCGTTGAAATTATACCCTTGAAATTCGCTGCTTACTGAGTGTGTTATGGTGTTTATGCTTGCTAAATTTTGCTGTTCACAGCTTTTCTGCCGTCATGAGAATACACTTCAAATTATGTTAGAATCACATTGCTTCATTTTTATAGGCTTTTTTTTCAATAAGAAGAATAATATATTAAGCCATAATGAAAGAAAAGTCGAGATGCTCGATATTGCGCATAATACGTTACACCATATTCACTCTGGCAATGCTCGATACAAACAAGTACATACAGCGTTTGAGATAGTAATGCCTGGATATGCTTTTACAACCCTATTCTTAACTCACGTTTAGATTTACGATAACACAGTTAGAAGAATTGATTTTGTTTATGTTGTAAGAAAAAAGAATGCAAATGTCATGAAGTATTTAACATGTAAAACAAATGCATTTATATCATTTCGACGTTAATGTATGCCTGGAACATTAGAAAATCTGCTTTCACAAAAAAGCATTACGAAACTTATGCATTACTGGCATTGCTCGACTTCTATAATTAAAATAAAACATTACGAATTATTTCGCCCCTGACATAAAATCGGTAAATAGTCACCAGTCAAAGACATATTCTTTCACGAACTAACCCTCAGTTTTCCCAACCCTTGAACAAAGCGAATTCAAAACTAATGGAAGGGATGCTCATGAATTTAATTTACAGTTTTCGCAGTTAGTAGTAAATCCATGAATAATCAATAGCTAGTCAATATGTATTTTTCCTTTTTTATTTTCTTTATGTATGCTTTTTGAATCTTCAAGTTCTAGTTCGTTAAACGCACTATACATCTATTATTAACCCTATCATGTTCTTTACACACAGCAAAGTTATAAGAAAATCTTATATGCAATCATTAAGATCTTTGTATTCAATGACTCATATTTTCAGCGGCGAGGCCCAAGGGGTTACTAAACAAAAACAAACATATAAAAGTAAACTTGTCATAACTACAGATATATATAGTTGATTTTAACATTATTAAGTAAATGATACTTTTTATAAATAAACCCTAAGACATATTTAAGTTTTTCTTAGCCTCGTGGACAATAAATTACGAAATGAAGAAGCTTTGTCGTGCATCCATAAGCGTGTCGAGATTAATATATTTGAGAGAACGTTTTATTCTCATATCCCACGAAACTAGTCGCATTCTTTATGGGAAACTAGACTGCCCGATTTGATTCGCGTTATTTTTGCCAGCCGGCTTTGTTTTAGACTTACATCTAACCGCAAAAAGTGAGTTAATTCACGATTATAAAGGGTCAATTGTCTAGGGGTCTATTAGCAATTCTTTCTTTTAAATAGAGACCAGCACCATCTTCAATGTTGTGAAGCAAACTGAAATTAAGCGCTCTTGGAATTTTTGTAATCGCTCTTCTGCAATATATGGGACAAGTTTCCGCCGAAGTCACTACTGTGATTAAGCAAGGCCTTGGTGGTTGTCAGTATATGCAACCCGCTACGAACGCCTCAATTACGTTGACTGTCGGTTCGTCCAATAAAGCCGCGTTTGCGTATTTAGTGTACGGACCTGGTGAAGTTGGCTACACTAGTGATGTGAAGGACGGTGACGGCGAAGCGTATCTGAACCTTGGTAAATTCATCATCTTGAATGGTACCCAATATGTTTTGTCTACAGGTGTTTACGACCCTTCAGTCAACAGTACAAAGGAGTGGTCTATGTCGGTAACACAGAGTGGTGTTTATTGCGCAGATGCTCGTGCTATAAACAACAACACGAAGACTGACAATTATGAAGTATCGGCTTCATTTAATAATGGAACATCCTCTACTAATAAACCGACCTCATCTGCGTACAGTGCTAAGCCTTTGTTATTGCCCATCTTTGCTGCTATGCTGCTTTCATTAATGTATCTTAATTAAGCACTTTGCAATGCATATAGTATTTTTTTTTACCATTGAATTCGTTTGTTTTTCTTTTTCTAGAAGTGAAGTTACTGGATGCCAGACAAGTAAATATGATAATGTGTGTGTTTGTATTCTTGAAGGCTACCTTCGTCTGCTCCGTAGTCTCGTCGCCTCTGAATACGAACTGTACGCAGCTCCTTTTATGGTACTTACAAGCTTGCTATTCAATTTGTGTCGTTTAGAATTTGTTTGATGAAAAATAAGTTCTCAGTTTTTCTCTATGTTCAATTATGTAACGGTTAAAGTTCTCAGTTTCTGCTTTTTAAAGCTGAAAACTGTATAAAATGTGGATGGAGTGTTTGAAAATTTTCACTGACAAAGCATAGTGTAGTAACATATCATGTTTCGTTGTCCGTCTATTTGAAAGTGGGGTGTAACTACTCTTTATCACCAATGTCTTAGATGATGTTCACTTAGTTACAGCCATAACTGTACACAATAGTTATCGCGAGTGTCATGAATCATTGCGAACTTAAGCCATCCATTTAAACATGTCAAGCACCTCATCACGAACGTATGAATAAGCAATTCGACCCGCGCCATGATAAAATGGAGACAACGGCGTTCATACCCACAATCGTATAAACTATAACGAGCTTGAAAAGCCAATAAACTAGACCTTCGAGAGCAGAAGTCAAGATGGTGCCATTGACGGCGTTCATGCTTGTATCGACGCACTCTTCACTGAGATGAAATGAAATGAAGTATCGAACCCAATCATAATACAAATGACAAAGCAGAAGGACATAAATACTGCAAAACAACTAGGCCACAGTGTTACATTATTGAATTTTGTCCAACCGTCGATGAATTTAGTCTTAGGGTTAAGCGACCAGATTCTATCAGTATAACGAGCATTGAAACGAACAGAAAAAGATATCCAACAATGTTTCAAAGGAATTAATATGACCTTTAAGCTTTATGGGAAGTAATGTCATTATTGCAAAAACCAATATGAAGATGCACACAAAGAATAAAGTTGATAGGGTTTCACTTTGTAGTCCTCCTGACTGATACGAATAGCTGACAATGTCATAGATGAGAGACTATATACACAACTTGGGAAACCAATAAGCTGCCCGAGATAATTAGATCAACCCGTAATCCAGGAAGCTAAGGGACACAACCTTCTTGGCGCCAGTACGAGTAGCATAAACCACCTGTAGTGGGCATGCTGGAACATAAACTCTCTCAATCCTGCCGCTAAGCAATCAGCAAACACCATTGCAGAAGCCATCCTTAGACCAATCCAGGTGTGTCGCAAGCATTATGTGCCCAAGTCCAAAGTTATGTCTAAAGTGTTTAAACTAGTCATCTTTCATTAGATTTGAGAGGAATTGAATTAAGAAGTGGGTCAAAAAAAAAAAAAAAAAAAAAAAAAAAAAATTACTAATAGTGATGCGAAACCTAAATTAATTTAATCTTCTGATAAAAATTTGGCTTTATGAAGATGAAAAGGGCTCAAAATGTAATGATTACATAGGTAATTTTAATGTTATATGAAAGGTAATTGCAATATAATTTGCTTTGACATTGCGCAGGTAAAGATTGCCAAAATCACTGATGAGTCAATTGGTTAACAGTCTGAAATGTTATGGATAAAGAGTAATTAAAGTGATCACAAATATTCATGTTTATATCTCACCCTTTATAAAGTTCCGAGAACACCAAAGTTGTATTACTATAAATTGATATAGCTGACGAAATCCGGTTTCATCAAGTAGTTTATTTCACGGATTTTAAAAGCTAGCACATAGTATGTTCTCTAATTTTAAAAAAAAACGGTACAATGAGGAAAACTACTTAAATTTAATAAGACTTAAGAGTAACCTCGGTTTTTCCGGCTTCACAATTTCTTTAAATCTTGAAACTCTGAAACACCGTTTAGATATTAAATGATCCTGATTTAATATTGGAACTCCTTCTTATAGTGTCGATGCCTTGTTAAATCATTGATAGTTTCTTCGATTCACAACAAGGAATGCTATTAAATATAGCACGCTTGTGTATTAACCCTTATTTATACCACTTTCAAAAGACCATTAAAAATGTTGTTCTGCCCTTTGTTACGAATTTGATTTTGTTACAATAGCAAGCGACTGCAACGTCGATGAGCCATTAAACAATCACGCAGTACACAGTATTATTTGCTGACGTATGCTCATGAGCAAATTTGTTTTATCGGTTACACATGTACGATACTTCAATTCAGTAAATTCGCTATATACAGTTTATTATAAATCTACTTCCGATTCTTTTTCAAAGAAAGTCTCTAGCGTTATATCCAGCACCATATGTTATTATTAAGTAAAACCCGTTTCACTTAGAATTTGTTTCTCCAAATTTGCAAATACATTATACAATACAACGTGTGCTATTGTTAGAATAGTATACAGTGCGCGTTCGGTAAATTAAAAAGTGACCGACCCGTACTGTTTAACTAGAATCTAAACATATCCGACCCGTACCCTAAATCTAAAGACCTAAAATAACATGTAAATGCAATAAAAAGGACACCTGCACTGAATTACGTTTCTACCACTCGCATTTCCAACAGTGCTGCCTATCCACAACGTTTTTTAAAGCACCAAACTCAATTTACTAACGATCAAATTAGAACAATTCCATAAAATCTTAATAATATCATAGCATTGCTTTATTATGGTCTTTCGCAACCTTCCTTGCCTGTTTACTCCAATCAATGACTTCCAATTACGTTCCGTCAGTAGCCTCATTAAGAACAGCGAGCTTTATCAACCTAGTTAACCTGCACTGTATTGTTTCTATTATGCCTATGTTAACAAACACCATACTTACATCAATATTACCACACATGAATCAGGGTACCACTGTCAATCTCTATTAAACCACGCTATTACTTTTATATGAGTTTTTATTTAACGCATGTAAACAAACCCACCACTGTCATTCGGGAAATCAGTCATCAATCGTTAAACGGACATACGAAGCTGCTTGCACTGCGTAAAATATCTAATGACACAGTAAATTACAGTATTCTACTTAGACTTTATACAATAATGCGTAATATATAAATAGCGCGAGACTTGAACAATAAATAGCATACTTAATGACAGTTTAACAACAATACTAGGTTGCCCTTAACCCAGACTATGCCAAATAAATAAATCGCTTGGATTTTGCTCGTTAGTCAAGCTGTGACACTGATCTTAATTTCTGCCAACCTAGCAAATATTATATCATCTAATTGTTTAGCAAGTAATGGAAGTTCATACGAACTGATGTAAAAAGTTTCTTTTTTCCGCATTTCGCTTACACAACACCAAAAACTCTTTAAGACTTCTCATTCCACCTGTAAAGCCGTAAGACTTCAAGAAGGATTGCACATCAGTCTTTAATACCGTGCATCATTAAATAACTAGAAAACAGTAATAAAATTCGTAATATTGATAGTATTCAATTTTGACGATTGCTAATCCCCACTAAGAAATATTGTGGAGCCGCAGCGCTGTTAAACTCTATATCTGCAAGTAGCGCAGTGTGATGTGCTACGAAGCAACCAAAGGAATAAACAGCCTCATTGGATTCAGATCAATAGAAAAAAGAAAACAAAAATCACATGGAATAAGTACTTTTTCACCACCGTACACTACAAAGTTAACAGTTTCACAGTTATTGAGGGTTTGCTAGAATTCATAAAATTTCACTATTATAACTAAGAAAGGATGTTGTCAATTATTGCGTAATTATCATTTAACAATCGCGTTGAAACACATTAAGTTCTTCATACAGTAGTATTTAAAGCTACGCAAACTTGCGGTGCCACACCGTACACCACTTAAGAACACACACCAACGTATTGCAGTGCAATTCATAAATAAATTATAACGTGTTCCAAAAGATCCCTATTTACAATTAAGTACCTCGTTAGAATGTGTAAACGAGATAACGTGCCATACAACAGTGCTGTATTAACACATTATGATCCTAAAACGCACTACATTAAAATCGTGCGTACCATAACGCGCTTTTACGCAAAACGCTAATAAAATTTAAGGAATGAAAACGAATCCTAAACAAACATAAAACGCAATCCTTAAGATGTGTTAAAAGCTTAACACGCGTTTTTCCACCACGTTAAACATTTTACTGTACTCTACGCCAGAACACAAAAATAACACCGAGTACCAAGGCAATACTTAACGACACACTAATAATATAACGATGGTTTTCGGGATCTACTATGTTAGAGCTAATAACACGCTTCGTTACACCACGCAATATATTAAACAAGGTATAACCAAGATTTGAACACGAGCCATAACACAACATAACACAACATAACACAAAAAGACAATACCACTATGCTATCATCAGTTACGTGTGCCCAACTCAAGTAAAACTCGCGACTATATCAGAACTTGAAATCATTTTATAAAAATTATGGAAAAAGAAAAGGTGTTACGAAGTTATACGAGTTTCCAAAAAACGAGGTTTGCTTACTTTTGTTCGTATTATTAAATTTATTTGACCATTTCTAAATATTATGCACACTGTTTTTTTGGACATACCCTTTCCGAAGAAGAATGTTTAGTCACAGTGTCGCTCCTGGCAGCAACAATAATTTGTATTGTAATGCTAAATCCAGTGCTGTGAATAAGACTAGTATTGTGAGCAACACTTGAAGCCATGTAGAATAAATTTTATATTTATTAGTAATTCTGGGTTTCTATACATATAATTACGAGATGCAACGCGCCGCATAATAACCCGCAATTAGTAGTGGCTAAGAGCCAACGTACCACATTAATTGGGCAGCCGTCTGTATTTCCAGCAAGCAAACAGTGCTAAGTCGTTACAAGTATATTATTTTTCCCAATTATTAATACCCAATTGACTGTGACGAGTAAAATTAAACAATTGCGTACGTAGACATAATACAAGACCTTCATGGTGCAATGCAGCGCAACGTACGATCGCCAACTTCAAACAGCGATTCTGAACGCCACAGGCATCGTACGAGGTTCGCGTGACAACAATTGCAGTCGCGTAATTTACCTCTTCGTGACTGTATAATTCACGCCACGCTTAGTCATACCATTATGACTAAGAACCGTTTCTTCAGTATAAATACCTTAGCCTTAGTCTGAAATGATCATCACTTGTTTTTCAGAACATTCTCGTTCAACTTTACACATAATGCAGTGCAGTGCAACGTAAGTCAGCACTTGCAAGCACCCTTGA